TCATTCTCGCCGAACATGTGACCATAACAAATTTGTCGAATGCGTCATACACAAATATGTGTTTGTATACAATGAAAAAGTCAACATTCTCCTACAAATTTGAAAGCGGGGGCGCGTATTGGAAAAGGAATGGGGACAGGGCACATCTGGCAGCAAATTATCGTAAAACGATTTTCTAGGGAACACCACCCTTTGCAAAATATTCTCTCTTTCTCATTCTCACTATTTTCTGATTGGCTGCTGAAAATAGAAAAACAAAGAAACTCACTATTAGCAATGATAAGAAGAAGATGGCTTCAAAAAACGTGACCGAATTTCTTTTTTCTTCAAAAGTTCCAATGATAAAATTCCTCGTGATGGAATTGAAATTAAAAACGGATTGAAATGCAATTTGAAATTTTGCGGGGTCTATTGAAACATGAGTCATTCAAATAGAAGAAGAACACATGTGAACCCACGCTTCAGTAGAAGCCATACAAAAAAGTCTAGTTTGATGTAAACATATACATATGTGCGGAGGGGTGAATCACGTGGTTTGAATGTTTTTTTTCGCGAAATTCAATATGATTTGGAATTTAATTCAATTCAAATTCGATTCCCAAAAATCGTTGGAACTTGTCAGAAAAAGTGTTTCTTTGAATTTTTGAATCATAATTCACATTCTGATTCACAAGGAGAGATTAAAAATATTTGAATGGAAAAGACTACAAAGTAGTTTTGAAAATTGACTATAGTTAGTTCCAACGAACCTATTCAATAGCTAATCTTCAAGTACTTGCAAAACTCTAGTTATTACCAATAATTCTATTGTTTGCCTCCATCCATTTTCCTTTTCTCTATGATAAACCAATCAGATCACACCTCCGTTGTGCAAAACTACGTTTATTTACAAGCCAATGTCGGTGAAACAACGAAAAAGAAAAAGAGGAAGGAAGGAAACAGTCACGAGTTATGCGAATCTGATTTTTGCAACAAATAATCAGTGAGAAACAACACTGTGCTGCTGCTGCTGCGTCAGTCAGTCACTCGCTTATTGTGCGCCGATTATCACCGAGAACAACCGGTTTTTTTTTTGCACATACGCACGCATTTAGACTTCAGCTGCAATGGAAAAAGAGCTTCTTGGTCTATATTTAGAAAATGTTGCTAAACTAAACTAAACCATCCTTTATTGGGGACCGGTTTGAAGATGATTTGTACGAATTTTTAGGGGACTATGATTTATTGAATCACGAGGTACAATGAATCAAAATTGGATAGCAACACAACAAGAATAAATTGTTCAGTCGAAACGTTCTAAAAATGGTGTGATTTATGAGTAAACTGCATATGACTCTATTGATTTATAGCAATTTGAACGAAAATACTTTTTCCCCTTCAGGTCGGAGAATACAGAAACTATTTTTTCAAGGGAAAAACCTTCCGGAAAAATTCGAAGAATGCAAATTTAAATGCGCACTTTCTGTCCGCAAAACAAATAACACATGACTACATTTAAACTACACTATAGATAACATATTCAAAAATGTATCGGAGAAATGAATTACACGTGTATTCTCTTTTGACATCACTGGCGCCAGTTCCAATTATCATCTGACTCGTGAGCTTTTCAAACAAAAAAAACTGTTGGGGGAGAGATAGTTGCAAAAAACGGTATGCTGTGCAAACATTTTTTTGCAGATTTTTTTCTGTTATGAATGCTCAAATTGCGCGGGTGTTCAATCTATTTTTGTAGATTATTACGCACACGAGGAAAAACGCAGAATTCTGTTGACTTTTTTGGGGATTCTTGCGGATGTTCGTATAAAGAAAGAGCCGGATAAATGCAACGAAACAAGAAGAAACATTCTTTGTGCTTCGCTCTTTGCAAACAGAAAACGTAGTTTAGTTGTATAAAATATCATCTATTTACCAGTACTATAACATATTTTTGGAGCCAGTGAGTAATGGTTTAGTTGTCTCTCTGATAACCTGGCGCCGCTGATGTAACTGATGTAAAAATAAATAATGACATAAAAAACAAACGGGCGGAAGTTTAATCCATGGTAAAATGTTGGTTTATTGTAGAATTGAGAATTGTGAACGAGGGATTCTCAATTTCTTATTTTAATTCCAAAGAACATAAAATTATGAGTTTCGTTACTGGGGAACAAGCGTCGAGGGTTTTATTCCTTACTGTCACAAAAAGTTTTTCCGCCTAGCATCTTCAATTTTCAGCTATTAAAAATAAGTTTTTTCATTACTAGAGCGTCGCGATTTTCCGAAAATGATTTCATTATCACTTTTTTCTTTTGACTGTCCTGTGAAATCAAAAATGATAAGATTCTGACCACGAGGGGTTTCCTGGATTTCACAATTTCCTTCCTGAAACTAAGAAATCACAACAAATTAGGAACTGGATTCCTCAAGAAACAACAAAAATTCCTTAGGAAGTTCAAAAGAATTATTTAGATGTCGTATGATTTTTCATTTCGATGAAAAACTCCGAATTCGGAAATTCGTTTCGACGATACAAAATCTTCCGTATGTCACATGCTTTTCTACATTTTACTTGGCCAGACAATCTTTTAGACTGATTTATGGAACATGAAAAATCACAAATCATCTATCTCTATATGACAACACATTATTTTCTTCTCTTATAGTTTTTTTTGCATCTTCTCCTATCAAATAAACATTCTTCAACTTCCGTTTGTACTTTGAAAAAGTATATAGATCTGGCATAGTGTCAAATTTCTGCATATCTCTTTTACTACTGTCATCTATGATTCTTTCTCATCCTCCCGCTGAGAAAGCAAAAAAAGAACTATTCTAGAAGGGGGCCAAAAACTAGAAACAACTATCAAACATCAATCTTCTCTATGACTTCGCTCCTCTCGTTTTCAACAAATTTTAAACAAAATGAAAAAGTATGCTTTTCTCTAGGAACTCCATTTCTTTTTCATTATTATCATCTTCTTTTTTTTTGCTTCACTCAACAAAAATCTTCTATACGGAAAAGTTCAAAGACCTGAATCATCTCTTTCTAGCATCTCATTGGCACATAATTATTATTACGAAAAAAAAAATGAAAAAATGGGGGGCCTTTTCGATGAGATTTTTATGATTCTGATCAAAAATTAGAGAGAAAAGGTAGAGAAAGAAAAAAGGAAGGAACAGAAACATCGGAATGTTCAAAATCACATTTTATTATTTCAATGAATAAACATGGTGTTTGTTGTAACAAATCGATGAACTATCAGATGAACTTTGTCTGGTTGATTTATATGGAACGAGTTACAATAACCAGATTATAGCAAACACATAACTAGAAACCACAAAACAAGAGTTCGAAAATGCAAAAAGGGATTCGGGAAACTAAATTTTATGTCTGATGTTTGATTCATAATGAGATCTATAGATTTCAAAAGGTGAAAGGTTTCGAAAAACTCCCATGATGAGAGAAATTGAAATTTTGATTTTGTCTATGGTGATAACTTCAAAAACTTCATAAAATATCAACCTTTTCTAAAAAAAAAGCCAATCCCAAATCTTGATTTCGAAAAACGAATTTTTGTCTAACTCCGCGAGACTAAATTCACTGCCTAAATAAGTTCTTCTCGTGCTCGAATATCTTTCAAAATTTACTCTGGAATTACAGTATCTGATATTCTTTAAATGTTCGGAAAAGCTGTTCAAACTTTGCAAATTTAAAAATGATAATTTTAAATTCAAATTCAATATTCCTCAACAAAAAAATATTCGCATCCGAAGTTTTTGTCTTTTACGACCACAAACTACACGTTTTCCGTTTTTCGAAAATTTATCAAAATATGGTTTCTGTTCTTTTCAAAATTATGTTATCAGTTGCAAAAAGAAAGTTTGCAACATATGTCATCATACATTCAACACCAGTCACAATAGAATTAAAACTTGGAAAATTGCCAAAATGTTTTGTATAGAATTTGCATTCATTGATAATAGAAACCGACACAAAAAAGGGCAAAGTCCTACAATCGTAAAATATTTGGAGGGACTGGCAAATACAACCGATTCATTTTTCTTTTATCATTTAATCATGGCATAATCAGAAGCTTTAATTAGTTCAAATTTGGAGAAGATCGAAAAATCGAATTGTACAGTTTTATCTTGATATATTTATTTATTGTTATATTTCTAATGTATATGCTAATGCGTTTTTGACAAATAAAAATTTGCTGTTAACACGAATTCGCATAAATTGTGTTCCCAACTTTTATGAGGGTTCTTATTTTTATCATTGCAAAGAAAGACCTACAGACAGACTAAAAATCGTATTTTTACTGCACGAAAAAGCACGGGGGTTCTAGACATGATAGTCACAGCAGGATATCCACTATACAACTACAAATATTTAAAAGTTCAAGGTGGTCTTGGTATTAAAGCCATGTTACGAAAATATTAGAAATTTTATGATTAGCAATACTTTTTTTTTCAAAATATTTCAAAATACTCACAATTTAACGTTGAAGTTGAAACCACTTTGTTGAAGTTAGTAAATATGAGTTATTATCTGAAATTTAAGTAATGTTTGTTTTTGAAAAAATACACTTTTTTCGAAAAGAAACGCAAAAAAAAAAAGAAAAGACGAAAAAAGAATTTCGAAAAAAAACATGTTGCACAGTACTCATCTAAATTAAAGGAACATTAAAAATGTTTGTGTGTCTCACAGCGATCAAAGTTTGCGAGTCTGTTTTTTGAATATTTGTTTGTTTTTTTTTGTTTTTTATCGAACCCGCTGGTTAACCCGAATCAAAAAATAATAAAAACTCGTCAATTAAACCGGATTTATTATACATATTGAAGACCCGCTCCAATTCAATCAAGAAACATCAAAAATACAAGAAATACAAACTGTAAAACATCATTTGGGCGACCCGAAAAGGAAAAGTGATTGGATTTAATAATAGAAAAAAGCAAATTTCTAGAAGAAAACTGAGAAAAATGATATATTAAAGCAAATATAAAATATATAAATTCAATCAGATCATTCCACGTCGAAATCGTTTTTGAATCATTGGTTGAGGTTTTTGATCAATTTTTACACTTGCGAGGCTTGGAATATATGTGTTTTGCTTTTCAGCAAGCGCCGCATCCATAACAATTTGTGATTGTGGTTTGATAATCTGCAAGAAAAATTTGAAATTTTTTCAAACATCACAAACTTTTTGGCTTCACTAAATTTAAATTTATCTATTTTTCCTTTTTCTGTCGTAATAAGACTCACTTGGAAAGAGCACAACAAATTTTCATCAACATTCATAACAGCTCCCGCGTTGTCAAATTCACCACAATAATTAGGGGCTGAAAATACAGTAACCAATCCACGACGTCCAAAAAATTCATAACCATCTTCAACAACCTGGAAATTGGATTAAATTATATATTTTTAATAGGATTGGATTGAATTGGATTATAAAAGATGAAAAAATCATTCAAGTTATTTTCAAAAAAAAAACACAAACCTGATGTCCTCTCACAACAATATCCAAATCCATTTTTTGTAAAAACTGTGCCAAAACATCAACTCCAAATACATAACTAACACCTCTTTCATTTGGTGCCCATCCAACAACAGTTGCATCTGGATCAGACCATAAAACATCGCATAATAATCCAGTTTCTTGAACATCACAAGGTCGAGCGAGTCGTTTTAATTGATCCAAAGATCGAAGATTTGGAGAAAGTCCACCGTGGCAACAAAATATTTTATTGTCAATTAAAGCAGCGACTGGCATACAATTGAAAACATCTTGAAAACATTTCCACAATTTCACACTGTATCTTCTTTTGCCTGAAAAAAACCGCGAAAATTATTTGAATCTAAAGAAATATGAGATTTTCTTACATTCATCATAAAATCCATAAATTCTGTTCAAATTTGCAACTTCATGATTTCCACGAAGCAAGAAAAAGTTGTTAGGATACTTGATTTTGTAACAAAGAAGAAGAAGAATTGTCTGAAAAAAAAAGGAATTTTGAATTGGCCTTGTCATTTTCAATTATAATCGATGTTTGGTCATTTGTTGAAAAAAATAAATATTATTTATTTTTGATTCAAATACTAACCTCAATACTTTTTGGTCCTCGATCAACATAATCTCCCAAAAACAAATAATTTGATTCTGGAGGGAAACCAGCCAAATTGAATAATCTGAGAAGATCCGAATATTGTCCATGAATATCTCCTGAAATTTAATGTTGGAAATTAATAGGAAATTTTTGTGACGTCCAGATTAAAATTTTTTCAGGATTGTAAACTTTTAAAGCTGTTAAAAAATCCCCATTTCCAATTTTTTCTAAAATCAACAAACCTCCAATTTTGAGAGGAGGTTCCAATTCCAACAACATCGGCTGATGCATGAATATTTGCCTTGCCAGAACACAAACCATCCGAATCTCATTTTCAGTAACATCCAACGATTTATGCCAAGGTTTTACAGTAACCAGCGTTGAGATAAGATGATCCACGTTTAGCTCACCGTAACCTGAGGAATTTTTGCGTCGCATCATTTTTGATCTGAAAATCTAATTATTGACAAAAAATACGGATTCGCAAGAAAAATAACAAAGATTCAAAAATATGCATTCACAAAAATTTCGAACACCAATAAAATTCTTATCAAAAACATTTTTGTCACTCGCTCCAAAATAACATTCCATCCTGTTTTTTTTTCAAATAAAGAAGGAACGATTTTCCACCTCACTTGAATTCTCAAAAAAGAAAATAATAAAAACACGACGAAAATCCAAAAAGTCAACATCAACATCACAAAATCAAAAAAGTAGTAAGCTACCGAAAAGACAACAAAACGAAAAGTGAGTTTTTGAAAAATGACGAAAATGTTGTTTTATCACGGTTACGGATGATTTAAAAGAAGTAGGCGTTGGCATTGAAATTGTCTGCGTCTCTCAAATTCCAACACTATTTTTATGATTGTGTATGTGTGGTCAGGTTGGTTTAGATTGGAATTCGGTTAGAAAATAATCAAACTATATTATTTCTCAATGAAAAAGTACTGTAGCTAGATAGATTTGAAATTGTAGGGAATGAAAGCTACGAAATATTCAATAACACTTTCTAATTAATTAAATACAATTTTTCCTTGCCTGCGAAAAAAAAAACGAAATCGAGGTGTGATTTATCTAGATCTTATTTCCGGTTCTAAATTTGAAGGAAATAAAATTATTTTTTCTATGACACAACACAACAAGAAATTGTTGAACCTTGAAAAATTGGTCAGAAACTGGAAGAAAAATGTGATTGAACCGGGAACAAGAAAACAAAATATGGTTTTTTTTGAATAATTTTGAGAGAATAAAAACTTTCAATTTTTAATCACTGAAAAAATGAAAATACTCGAATTCGAAAATAATTCCGAAAAAAACTAGTCAAACAACAACAAAAATTGTTGTGTTAGATACATAGAGAGGCCAGATTATCTGACTGACATTCGAGAGGGCGAAACGATTAAAAACAGAGACAACACACGAGGAGGCAAAGTGGAACATGAATAAATTTTCATTTTTTTTCTATCGTTTCTCTTTTCATTTTGAAATTCCCGAAAACTTGTTGTTTTATTTGTTTCGGATCGTGGGTGGGAAAACATTAAAAAAATAAATTTATTTATGACTTTCTGTCAAATTTTTTTCTATTCTAAATTCTAAGCCATATCTGGAAATATCCAGCTGTTCTGTACTTTTTCAAGTCGAAGAAAATTGGATTATTTTCCAGTTTTCTATGGACACAAATAAATAAAAACAGGTAGAACAACTCGCATAAAAATAGAAATAGCAAAAAAGACATAATTGCGCTTTTTCTCCATTTTTTGCTGGAACAAAAAGATATCTGGAAACTGAAAAATGGATTTTTTTGAAGTGGCTTGCAGAATAACACTTCAAGATTTCCTATGGACTGAAATTGGTTTTGGATATTCCAGATGGAGACCGTTTAGGCTTATCAAAAGTATTTTTAAAAATATCGGAAACAATTTCAAAATTAATATGAATCATCAAATCGGAAGGAAATGCGACAACTTTAAAAGCGGAGACATTTTTCAATTCTCATTTTTTCAACACAAAAACAAAAAAAAAGATTTTTGGACCCCACGTGGATATATCCAGAAATAACCCATAATAATATTGTGGCTGCTCGAAAAAACACAGAAAAAATAAACCAGAAATCAAAATATAAACAAGAAAACACCAACTGACAGAAAAACCCGGGATCTTTTTCCTTCCTTCATTAATTTTTCAGAATGAACAACATGTGTTTTTTTTTTGTATTCTGTTCTGTTGGAAGAAAAAGTTTTTCTCATATTTTTTTTTTGAAAGAGGAAGAGCACAAAAGATTCTTTAATTTTGAACTTTCGAAAATTTTTTATTTATTTTTTTATTGATGAAAAACGTCTATAGAATATAGCTTTTTTATTATTGAATAGCTTATTCAGAAAAAAATTAGAAAAATTCTTTTATTTGTGAGAATTTTCGTGTGAAGAGAACTATTGAAGCGAGTTAAGTTTTATGAGAAAAAAACGAAGAGAAGAAATGAAAATAGTTGAATTTTTCACGAAAAATACGAATTTGCAAATGGAAACATACAAAAAATGTTTTTTGAATTATTAATAAAAACGATCAAACATTGTTTGTGAATAAAAGAGAATGAGTTTGAGCATCTCTCAACTGAAGAACAAGTTCGAAAAAGCTCAAATTTATGAGATGAAACAGATGGCTTGAAAAATGATCACATTTCAGCCCGAGGCTGAGGCTGAAAATCATTTTTGAGAGAAAATGATCAGATTTTATATTAGAAAAAAAAAGGAGGAGAGAAAATATGTCAAATACAGAAAAAATAGTGGAACGGGGGAGATTCTAAATAAAGGATTCCGGCAAATTTCCTTATGAGAAAATGACATCAGAATATTTTTCTCGATTGTGAAAAAGAAAAAACCTTTTGGAAAATTCTGAAAAAAATTACAGTAAGTAAGAAATCGAAATTTTGAAAATCTCAGTTTCAATTTTTTCACGAGTGGTTGAACTCTTGTTATAAAAGGTTTCTCAGTATCAGAATGTTTTTAGAATCAGATTTATTTCTAGAGACAGAAAAAGAGAAAAAGTTTCTTCCTCAAATAGAATCGACCCAAAACGCGCAAAATCCTGACAACAAGCGAAAAATGATGAGCCGGAACCTCACACATTTTTTTCCCAAAAGACACCACACTCTTGGGCAAAAGCTGGCAAAAAAAACAAGATTTTTCGAAATGATAAAATTCAATTTACACGTTTTTTTCAGCATCGGCCTTGCTGGCTGCCTGGCTGAAACATGTTTTTTGGTCGAAAAAAAAAACGAAAAACAAATCATCAAAAAACATGGCAAAAAGAAAATAGGACGGAAAAAAGAGGAAAGTTTTTTTTTTTCGTTGAATAGGCAGAAAATTTGGAAAGTGTGAAAGAAGTACTTATCGAATGTTTTTCTGAAACTTGGAATTCTTCTCTTTTTCTCACTCTTTTATACATTTTTTCTTGAACAGTACATACATAAATGTATCTTTCTTTTCACAGAAAAAAAAAAGAAACACATGACAATATGAAAAAAATATTATGATTCATAATTTCCCCCCGGAAAAAATTCATTTTCAGAAAATAAAATCTGACATCATCATTTTTTTCACACAGAACAAAAGTCGAGAAAAAAACAAAACAGACTGCATCCAACAAAAAAACGCGAAAAAAAAATGAATAATGGGTCTTTTTTCCTGTCGAGACCAAGAAACGAGAAAAAAACAGAGCATTTTTAAATAAGAAGAAGTGAAGTGAACAGTTTTTGAGACAAATGAAAATGAAGAGGATTTGTGTAAACATGGAACAGAGATTCACTTTTAGAAACAACAAGAGTTTGACCTGAAATATGGAGAAAAATGGAAATGTCAAAAAAAAATTGATAAGAAATTTTGTGGAAACATGAAGGGTAGGATGAAAATTTTTTTGCAAAAATTCGATTGCAAAACAAAATACAGAAGTTGTGAAAATGAAAAAAATTGTTCGAACTGAAAATTTTATGGAAATTATTGTGGGAATGAAAGAATTAAGTACAAAAAATTTGCCACGTCATAACTTTTTTCAGAGCTATTTTTCAACATCTTTCAACTGGTAGTACTTGAGAGAATTGGGAAAAATTTGATGTTTTGATCTGACTTCGAGAGAATTTTTACTGTATATGTGCTCAAAATCAAGCTTTTCAATTTTCAGAAAAGTATTCTAATCTAGAAATCTACAGTAATCCTGATTATCAAATTCTGATGTGCCACATCATAACGTTTTCAAAAGGTAAAAATCCTGGCTCTAAAATTATGCCACAGCACATTTTTCCTAGAAAATTTGAACCAATTATTATTTCCGATATTTTCATATGTGGGAATTCTTGTTAATTTGGAAAATTGTCTAGTCACAAGTTTGCCACGTCATAATTATTTCCCAGAAAATTTCAATATTTCAATTTTCCTCAAAAACAAACTCCCTGGCAATTGACCAAAGCTATTTTTGACCGAGAAAAACTAATCCTTCTGACTCAAAATAAACCACAGAAAATACATGCATAACGTTTTTGCACTTTTCGGAACAAAAAATTGGGAAAGTTCTAAAAATATTTTCCAGACAGAAGAGAGAAAAACAAAATTTTTTGAGAAATTCTGACTTTTAGACATTCTTTGTTGTCAAAAAATATGTGGAAAATAAAAATAAAAAGAGGAAAATCTCATCACACAAAAAAGGGTTGAGAAAAAAATGTTTTTTTGGAAAGAAAAAACTTGTACCAGAAAGTTCGAAAACTTCAAAGTTCATCAACAAATAAACCGAAAAATTCCAGAAACGAAAAAAAAAGATAAGCAATAAAACAAAAGACAGAAAGAAAGAGGTTACCAAGTTGCTGCCACGAAAAACCAGAAAAAATCATCATCAACTCAACCTTTCTCCTTCGCAGAAAAAAAAATGATCGTCGCGCACCTCAACAAATATTGCGAGCGCACCACTTGTTTTCTCTAACTCCTCTTTTACAGTTTATACTATTTTTGTAGACTAACTAGATCATATGATGAGGACAAAAAAAATGGTTGGAAAAAAATATATAGAAATAAAGAAAGAAGATGGTAGAAAAAACCCGAGTAAAATGTAAAACGACAGGATTATATATCATCAATAAACGAAAAAAGTGTCAAGTGGTGAAACCACTTGAAACATTGAAAAAATTAGCAACAAATTTGAAGAAGGGTTCAATTTCACGTGGATTTCGAAATATACTGAAAATTGGGTACTTTCTAATCGGTGAGAGTGATAGAGAAGTAGAGAAATTCCACGTAGATCACGTTTCAATAGAAAAATAAGATGTTCACGTGAAATCACCAAAATTTCAAAATGAAAAAATAATGAAATGTTTAAAAATGTACAAAATGAATTTTGACGTGAACGTGAGCCACGTGTGAAAATAAAATTTCATTTCCATTTTTTGGTCCTGAATTTGCAAATATTTTTCAAACCTTTCTAGAATTTTTGTCAAGAACTAGAGACCTATATTTTGTGAAGCCGGAATTTTCTTTTTCAAAAAATTCTGTATATTTTTAGATTTACAGTAACCCTCCTTCTCACTTTCAATAAAAACCGAAAAAAACCAGAAGAAACAAAAAATAAATACTAAAAATACCAATTTCCCCCTTTCTCATTTTTTCCCTGTAAAACTCCGCCTTTTTTCTGTGTTCCTCGAAAAAACCGGAAATTTGTTCGATTATTTCCAAAAATGTAAGTAAACAAACTAATTTTGGCCAAAAAAAAAGAACTTTTGAGCATCGAAACTGTTCCAATTGTCACGTTTTCTTCAAACTTTGACCAACTCTTCACCCCAAAAAAAAATTCAATTTCCTTCCAATTTTCCTTTCTGATTGCATTCATTTCTTGTTCGCAAAAAAACGATGGAAAACGTCAAAATTTCACAGATATATTAATAAAATAAATCAAAAAAAAGACAAAAAAACAGCAGCCCCACTAGTTTGTGAAAAAATAAAAAGATAAATAGTACAAAAATATCATAAGAGAATATGTGCTCACAACTACCAAAAAAAAACTAGGGGTTGAAAAAAATGTAGAGATAAAAAGTCGGTTGGGTGAAAAAAAGATGGAATTGGATTTAGAAAAAAATAAAAAAATTGGGGGGAGAAACACGTTTCGTCGGTAACGGTAATTGTTACCGTAGTTGGACAGGGGAAGACAAAAAAAGAATAAAAAGAACTTGGTGATGATTTATTTTTTGGGTCCTCCTTGAGTTCCTGGCCTTCCTCCAGATACAGCCGGTCGTCCGCTATTCATTCCTTGATATTGATATTTTGCCTTTTTCTCCGATGGTTTCAAAATCTACAAAAATTCATTATTTCCCAATATTTATTTAAACCGAAACACTTTTTTCTCGAAAAATTAATCTCTTGTAAAAACTTTGTGTGAACTAGACAATCAATTCGCAAAAAAAAACTGAATGAGTCAAATATAAACAAATAACCAAGTTTTTAAGTGATTGGCAGGCAAAATTTTAGGGAAAGTAAGGGTAAATATTACATATAGTTTGATCACTGATTGGTGTGTTTTAACCTACGTAATCAACATTTTTTGTACTCGAAAAATTCTACTACGCAGTAGTACTAGTAGTATTTTTCAACAACAACCAATTTTTTTGTATTGTTTTTTTCAAGTATGTCCGCCGCCGCCGCAGCTCAAAGCGACAACAACTACTACTAAACAGAACAGATACTTGACATTTTTTTGTGTGTTAAAGACGGAAAAAGTATTTACCTGGAAACTGCACATCAATGTTTCGTCAACACTCATCATTCCACCGGCATTGTCGAATTCTCCACAATAGTTTGGAGCCGAGAAAAGGGTTACCAATTGACGTTTGGCGAAGAATTCGTAGCCATCTTCGACAACCTGGAAACAATAGGATTTTTAGAATTTCAGAGAATTAATTATGGATTCATTTTATTTATTTATTTATTTACAATTAGAGAAAAATAAAGACCGAAGTAAGTAAAATAAAAGATAAAAATAGAATGAAATCGAACAAAAATTAAAAAAAAATAAAAAATAGAACAAAAAGATTTTATGAAATGTTTTCAAATATCTAATCTATGCTCTACTAATTGTAAGCGAATAGAACTAGTTTAAGATAACTAGATTTTTCTCTAATCTGAGAATCTCAATATATCAAATTTCAAACCTAAAAAGCTGTTTCTCGAAACCGGCTAAAAATTTGCCTAATTTCAAATTTTAACTTTAGCTAACATTACTTTTGAAAAATCAATTTTTCAAAGAACAAAACATATTCTTGAAGTAAGTTTTCTCGCTTCTTCCAAATTTTCAAATTAGAATTGTTCTTGTTCGAAATGAAATTGAGAAACCATTATAGTTCACGTTTCAATAATTTATTTTTAACGTCCCCCATTTTATTTTTGTTTTCTATATTTTCCGAAAAACAATTTCTAAATTGTCACGTCATAAGTTCACGCCAATTATCTCAAAAATCACTTGAGGCCTAAATTCTTGATCAATATTTTCTGTTCTATTTCTCGTGGTCACATTCCGTCGTTTAAATTAGTTTTAATGCAATTTCATGCCATTAGAGAAACTGTAATGTGTTTTAGTTTTAGCCAACCCATTTTCAACCTCGACTTTTGAACAAAAACGGAAAGTTCCCTTTTCGAGAATTTCGATAATTAATTTTTTTTTGTGTCAAGGGGCCGCAGACGAAATGAAATGCAAAAAATACCATAAATTAAGCGAAAACACAAAGTGCATTTGAATGGCGTCACAAAACACTTTTGTTTGGAAAACCAGACGAGAAAAATCATCAAATGAATAAAAGAATCGGCGTGAGACTCTTATAGAATTGAAAAAACATAACATGACAAGTTGTTTTCAATAGAAATTATTTTGAAAAATATTTTGTAAGGGCTTGAAAAGACTTACTTGATGTGCTCGACAAATCAAATCCAAATCGTGTCTGTTCAAGAATTTAGCAACAACATCTGGTCCAAAAGTGAATGAGACACCTCGATCATTTTCTCCCCATCCAGTCACATCTTTGTCCGGATCGGACCACAATAAATCACAGAGAAGACCTGTGTCTGGAACATCAGTCGGTCTCATAACTCTGCGAATTTGCTCCATGTTTTGCAAATCTGGCGACAAACCACCGTGACAACAGAAGATTTTCTCATCAATCAAAGCAGCGATTGGAAGACAATTGAAACAATCGGTGAAGGTTTTCCACAATTTGATTGAGAAACGACGTTTGCCTAAAAATTCATTTTTTTGTTTTGAACCAATAAAAAAAGAAATAAAGAACTTACACTCATCATAAAACCCGTAAATTCTATTAATCGAAGCACATTCGTGATTTCCGCGCAACAGGAAAAAGTTCTCCGGATATTTGACTTTGTAAGCCAACAAAAGGCAGATTGTCTCCAAACTTTGCTTTCCACGATCAACATAATCACCGAGGAATAAATAGTTGGCCTCTGGTGGAAAACCTCCGTATTCGAATAATCTGAGCAAGTCGTTGTATTGACCATGGATGTCACCTGCAAAATATAGGGATTTGAGATTTAAAAATTTGTGTCTTTCAATCTCTGATCACGATTCTATAGTCAAAATCACACGCGGCAGTGGACTTCAAAAGCAACTATTACACGCTTAAGTTTGGGAGAGCTTCTGTATCAATTAATTGAACCTAGAATGCCCAATGAGATGTGTCTTAGTCTAGTGAACATGATTGTCTAGGACCCACGCCTAGAAAACCATATTGGCTAGGAGCCGCGCCTTGAGAGCCACTGTGGTTACGTGCGTCTCTTCAAGAGATTCATGTGGACTTTTGTTAATTAGAGAAGCCTAGGCCTTCAAAAGCCTGAAAAGCCCAAAATCTGCTCATCTCAATGGGAACATAAATTATGACGTAGAAGTTTAATTTTAATTCGCATTAGAAACATTTCGGTATGGATATTTTCGAATTTCACGTCATAAATCAAGTCAAGATCCGGATATTCAGTTACTGACATCTGGAACGTTTTCACTAACATCTATAACGAAAACTCTCAAGATTCCATTGTTTTCAGAAATTCTACCATTTTGTCAAACGTCATTGTTTTTCTCTCTCAAAAATTCATTCTATGTGCTTGAGCACAACAATTTCATGAAAATTGATAGGTTGCTATTATTTTTTGGCCTGCATGGCGAAATTTTGCAGCAGAATCGATGTTTGACCCAACATGACCAATTTTAGAGCTAATTTTTCTTCACAAACCGAATTTCAAAAGTATGTATGAACTTTCTACGAACAAACAAAATTTGTATTATTTTTCTCATGAAATTGTATTTGAAAACACTACAAAATGGGTTTTTGAATAATAACATACCACAGATTTTGAGCGGTGCTTCGAGTTCCAACAAAATTGGTTGCGACAAGAAGATTTCTCTGGATTTGTGGCAAAGTGCTCTGATTTCAGATTCTGTCATTGAAACTGGTTTCCCTGGACGACATCCTCGGACTGAAAAAATTGATTTATAGTTTGGTGAAAAAATATACAAACATAGAACTTTTTTGTAATAAGTTCTAGTTTAGTTTACACTGAAGATTATGATCAAACTGATCGATAGATTGTACTCAAAAGATAAAACAATTGAAATTTTGAGAAAAAAACGAACCTTCCAAGAGTCGAGTGATCAAATTGTCAATATTCAGATCATCTGACGACATTTTTCGATGTTAAATGTGTGAATTGAAAGAAAACAATAAGTTTGGCCCCGGCTACCTCCTTTTCTTCTTCTTTTTCGTCTTTTTTCTTGTGTCAAAAAAGACAACAACAACTGATGTTGTAAGAGGAGCTGCTGCAAAATTAGTATTATTATTATTTATATATTATTCGGTTCGGTTTTTATGAAAGCTGAAAACGAGAAAGCAAACGACTGAAAATGAATTGGATACAAATAAGATGTGAGAAAAAGAATTGCGCCTTGGGAAAAAGGGGAAGAAGAAAATAATTATTATGATATCAGCTTCGGAAATTCGCATAGGAAATAAGTATTAATAATGTTCGGATGAATAAAAATTATGAAATCGTTGATTTTTTAATAAATTATTTCAACATGGCTTTGATGAAGGAATGAATAATTAGAAAAGGAACACGAATCAAAAATAAAATCTCAATGTATTCAAGAGTGTTCTGTTACAACCGTTTTCTCAAGTGCTCTCATTATTCTGGATCATCATCATCCGCCTCTCATTTCCAGAAAAAAAATAACAAAATTTTCGGATTATCTTGATGTCGCGTCATTTCAAAACGTAAATATAATCAATGAAACACAAACATGTGGTAAAATATATCAAAAACGTTTTTTTTTCGAGTGGGAGAAATCTGGACGCGGAAAAAAATTGAAGAAAAAATACAGGGAAAAAAGAGAAACGCATGTGTATAGAGCGAAAAAAGAAGAGAGAAACACGACGATCGGGAGACAAACCAATCAATAAAAATAAATAGAAATAGAAAAAAGAAGAAGAACGAACGATTTGGGCGCCAAATTCTTTCTTTTCTCTCCGTTTTCCATATATGTTATTTATTTCTCTCTTATTTTGCCGCGCAAACACATGTTTTTCTTCAAGTTTAGGGAAGAATAATTCAATTTTCGAAGAAAAAATCAACTCGTTATCTTCGCTAACTATTTTTAACTTTTCAAATTGAAATACAACAGAGCAAGCAAACAATGTTTTGTTTGGCGAAACGAAACAACATTTTTTGTTTCTTTTCGAAAAAAAGAAATGAAAAAGTTTGAAGAACGCCAGGTGCACACAAAATGCGTCAGTGTTTAGCGGAGTGTCGTTGTGTGCGCTATTCTCAAAATTTCAAAACAAATAATTTTGTTTGTTCCGAAAATTCAAACGGAATGAGTCAGACAAAAATATAAATATGCAATAAAATAAAACTATATAGTGATATGATATCAGGAAGGTCATATAAAAAGGATAAGTGTTCCCTCGCAACAACAACAATACGTATATTCTTTCAAAAAGAACACAACATGTTTCGGGGCAAGAAGAAGAAGAAAGATGATGAACATAATTAAATCCGACTGGATTTTGTTGTGATTTTTCGTTCGGGTGTGGTTTTATCAGGTTTTGTTTATGACAAGAATTTTGGCGAACTTCCAAAAAAGGTCACGTGAACACTATTTGTTCGAGAGAATGTGAGTGAAAGTCGTGTTTATGATAAAGTACAGTTGCACCCAGAAGTAAAATGTTTTCGAATATAAAATAGATACTGTGTAAAACAAATCTATCTGAATTGTATTCAGCTTCACTATAAAATAAAAATTTCATGAGAAATGAAACAAAAAAGTTTGCTCAAACATTTTCTCAAAGCCCAAAAAACATCAAAAAGGGCAAAGTTCTGTATTCGATCATCTGGAAACAAATTCAAGGATCACCCAAAAAACGCAGCCAAAAATGTTTTTGTTTTCCATGATTCGTCAACAACAAACATGTTGTTTTAAAATTCCAAAAAAAGAGAAAAAAGAAGAAGAAGAAAAAACTAGAGATTATGAAAAATGTGGTGAAAATGGATTAACAATTTTTTTGAGTGATGTGGGGGGGAAGAAGGGTGACTGAAGGGGGCGAAACAAGGAAAACGTGGTAAATATGTTATGAGGAAATGAACACCTGTGTATGTGTGCAAAAATTCAATCAGACTTGGTCATAATCAAATAAAAATCGTAAAGTTATTGGAAATAATAAAGTTGTCAAGAAGGAAAATTGTGGGAAAATATATCACATAATTACTTAGTAACTCTCTATAACATATAATTTTTCTCAGAAAGAAAAAAAAACAAAAAGGTTTGAGTTTTGAGAAGAAGAAGACGTAAAGGAGAAGGTTTTTCGAAAAAAAAGTCTGTGAAGTGTCATCTTCAACATCGGAAAAATTCACTTATTTGGGTAAGTAAGGAAATGACGCGTTGTCGAAATCGACGTCTTCTGCTTCTTCTTTTTCTTCTTTCTTTTGCTCTCCCCTTTTTCGTTTTATGCTCGCGGCGAAAAAAAACGACTCGTCAAAGAGATTCGTGAAACGCAGACGGTTAGAGAAAAAAGAAAATGGCTGGGAGGACAAGAAGCATTGATTCAAGTGAAAAAAGAAAAAGAAAAGGGGCCCTCCACCTTTGAGCTGTGCCTCACCGAAAAAGGATCATATAAAAATGGAGAAGCATACAAATAACCCCGGAGGCTTTTTTCTTTGCTTCGGTTTCTGGAAAAGGGAAGAACGACAGGCAAAAATTATGTACATGGTTAATTCGTGTTTTGTTTCTGGATTTTGAGATTTTTCCCATTTCTCAAAAAATCTCAAACAAAGAATTTTTAATTAACATTTTCTTTGGTTCCTCAAAAAAAATTTCCATGGAAGGGTGACTAATTTAATTTGAGAATAAGAAAAAGAAAAAACTTTCAGAAAATAAAAATCAGTTTCGAAATAAATGTATGCCAAATAATTCTCGCTGACCAAAAAAAAAATGAATCATATTTGGAAAAGAAATGACTGTTTAAAATGAAGAGAGGAAAAAGAAGACTGATGAAATACATTTGGATTTCAAAAAGGCATCATTTTGTGAGCATGAAATAACGTGTGGGCTGAAAATTCAAATCAAACTTTATGATATACTGTAACTCTCTCATCCGTTAGTTGTATAAAAGGTTTTTCATGAGAAAATGACGCGATGTGAATGTGAATGTTTTTGATTTACAAGACGGGTTTCTAGAAAGAAATAACTATCGGGGTATGCTAAATTAGAAGAATTTCTCACACCAAAACTGTTTTACAGAGTTAAAAATCAATAGATAATTAGCAAAACTCTTGAAGAACATCTTTGAAAAATGCAGAAAAACACTGATAAAATAATTTTGGATGAGAACTGAAATGATGTGGGCTAAAAAATCACATTGAACTTTATGAATTACTGTAATTCTCAGTTGAGTTGGCCTAATAGGTTTTTCATTTGTGATGTTAATGTGAGGATTGTTATTATACAAGTTATCTTGAAATTGAAAAGAGAGTGCGAGGTAGATTGCAGTATTTTTTTCTGGAACTTAAAATTTTTGACAGAACTCAAATGGCCCGGCAACGGAGATTATGAGCACTTTTAAAATGTTCAAATGTTGATGAATTAAACTCAAAATGCACTTACTTCACAAAAAATTGAAGTTGAACATAAATCCCTTATAAAAAGCGAAATAACTGAAAATTTGACGTCACATCCCAAACCTAAAGAAAGAACGGAAAAAATAGAAGTGTATGTCAACACCGACAGCCCGCAAACAACAAATCCTACGCGCAACCTTGACGCGAAATACGCGCTGTGTGTTTTCGCGAATAAATTTCTAAGGATTTTTAAAAATTGGGAACCCCCCCCCCAGATTTTAGAAATGGACACGTTTTAAGTATAACATATGGGAACCCTGAGAATCTCTCCAATGTCGCTTTTCCCTTGGAGAATACTAGTTCAATAAGAAACACCGCTTGGTTTTTTTCAAAATTGTATTTATTTACAACGACACTCCGCTTGCCCACTGTTTAGCGCAACAGGAGAATATTTTCATTTTTCGTTTTTTTCGTTGGGTTTTCAAGTTTCCGGGGGAAATCAGTGAATTTCCGCCAAAAATTGAATTTCTAGATGCTCTACAAGGCTGGAATCATCGCTTTCAACAGAAAATCCGAGGATTACCGAAGAACGGTGGGTTTTTCTAGAGAAACACTGTTTCGATTGAAAATTTTGAGTTTTCAGGGTCAAAAAATATTTTTAATTTTTCCGGATTACTCAAAGATTTTGATTGGGAATGTCGAATTTCCGATGATGTTTGTGTGATTTGAGAAAAAGAAGCGATTGGTGAGTTTTTTGGGGAGGGATTTCGGAAAAATTTTAAAAATCGATAAAAAATCTGTAAAATTTGAAAAATATATGAAAATTATGATAAAAAATCTTTAAAAATTCAAAAAAGTTAGGCTAACATGTGCTCATAATCTCCGTTACGGTCGGTCCATTCGAGAAATTGTATAATTGACAAAACATTGATAAAAGTGACCCGCTTCACTCACGTTTTTCTCTTAAAACTCTTGCCAATTTGTTTTCCTGATTGTTAGATGGAATAGAAATCAGATAGAATTTTAGATCTAGATCTGATAATCACTTATTTCTTTCTCGAAAGAAAAATTGGAAATGAGCGAAATCTCGTAGAATTCTCGACCACGTCACGAAAAACACTTTATTCAGGACTATTTTTTTTATTATTGTAGATTTTTTATAAGGAAGAGATAATGCTCAAATCATCAATCTATGACCACTGAAATGATGTGAGATAAAAACCACACTGGACTTTAAAGATTACTGTAATTCTCAGTTGAAGTAGACTTAATAGGGGTTCTCATTTGAAAATGATGTGAAGCTTGTTGTTCTACAAGTTAACTTTAACTTAAGTTGAACGAAAAAAATTAGGTAGGATATGGTACTTCAAAAGAAACTAAAAATAATGCTGGATCTGAAAATTTTTGGAGGGTTTAAAAAGGTCTGGAAACATAATTAGCAATACTTGGTTAATTGTTCGATTTTTTGTGTCACATCTGATCAAACTATAAATTTCGAAATCGCTGTTAGACACAACGTGAGAAGTTTTTTTAACGAAACATTCAGTTCAGTTAAATTTTCGGATATACAATATTTTTGTAAATCTAACATAAGAGTCTGGACTGGAAGACAAAATAAAACGTTTGAAATATTCTGCGGACATTTGACTTTTTTATCAATTGAACTCTCTATCTGAATAGCTGTAATTATATAGAACGTCACAAAACTTATATACTTTTTTCGAAAAAAAGTGTATTTTGTTTTGAGAAAAGCGGATTGTAAGAAGGGGTTTAAAAATGACGAAGTCACTAAAAATCCGTGTGTTCTGATTTTTCATATATCGGTTTCCAACATGCTATTACACACGTTTTTATTTTCAAACGAAGCGATCAAATTTCACTAAAAGTTCAAAAATCTTTATTTTGGTGCCTGAATTGGAAATTGAAACGATATTATTTTGTGTGATATAACTGAAAAAAAAATAATAAATAGGATAAAAACCGGTAGAAAACATTAAGAATAAAGTTAGAATGAGCAATTTGATGTTTGAATAGAATAATTGTGAATTAACTTTGCCACCATTGATTTGTCATATATGATGGATTTTGTGGAGTATTAGAGAAATATCCAGAAGTTGAACCAGAAAGATAAGCTGAAGGTGTTGAGAGATATCCATTTGGAGCACTTCCAAAAGCAACAGCTGCAGCTGCTTGATATGGAGATGTTGTTGATGAAAGATCCGATTGACATGGTTTTGAAGAATCACCACTACGGACTAACATTTGAAGAGGCATACTGAAAATCAAATTTTTGATTTAAGGAATTTCAAAGAAGACAGGAGGAATCCTAAAAATTTTCTCAACTATTCGATCTCTGAAACTCACGTTCTAGTCGGAAAAGTTGTTGATGCATTTTGAGTTGAAAATCCATTTGGCATCGACGTCAGAATTTGTGTGTTAATTGGTTTGTCTTGATGACACTTTTTCGTCTTGTAGCTGAAAAAAGAAAAAATAACATTTGAAATTCATTGAATAATCGAATTATTTTCTGGAATTTTCTTTCTCGTTAAGACTTTGGGGGAAGTTCGGATAAGGCTCTACAAAAAATCTGTGATTTTTGTGTTATTTATTACAAGTTTAACAATTTGCCGTTAAGATTTATCGATAATTTTTTTTTAAACAATAGCTATGTAAGATCGGCTTGAAAACTGTAACGATGCATCAGGAATGTGGTTTTAAAAACCATGTACTCACTTTATGAAATTTGTCAAAATATTTACAAAATTTGCAAAATTCTCACCGATGATTTTGAAACCAAATTTTAACTTGTGTTGGTGTCAATCGAATTTGATTAGCCAGTTGTTCTCTTTCCGGAGCACTCAAATATTTCTGAATTCTAAATCGACGTTCAAGTTCAAAAGTTTGGCCTTTAGTAAATAGAACTCGTCGCTTCCTTTTCTTTCTTTTTCCTCCATTTCCATCATCTTCATCTTCAACTTCTTCATCGTCAATTATTTCATCCTCATCATCAGCTTTTGAACTAAAAAAAAACTTTCTTTTTTTTCTTGAAGGTTTAGAATATTTGAACTCACTCATTTTTATCATCTTTATCATTATTTTGTGTTCCATCATTCAACATATCATTTTCTGATCTTTGAAATGGATCTGCTGGTGGTAAACTATACATTGGTCCTGCAATTCCTCCAGATGTAAAATATGCAGTTGATGGATCATAGCCATAAGTACATTGATCAAAAGGAAATGAAGGATTTGTTGAATATCCTGAAACAATATAGAATTTCAAAATCGCGTTACTGTCTATCTACATTTACATATTTATTTATTTATTTATATTATATTTTTATTCCTATTTTCTTTCCAAACAAAAACGAGTGAAACGTGTACAGTATCCATTTACTTTCTTTTTTCGGGTAATTCGATATGTGTTTCTCATCTTTATTCTTTCGATCTACGGATATATTACTAGCAAAATTCAAATGTGTCAAAAAAGTACTGTACCTGCTAATAGAGGTAAATGATCAGTCCAGGTTGTGGCACATTGAAGATTTGTTGTATCTGATGATAAAGGGTCCCATTTTGGTGGATCGAGTCTGCAAATAGAAAATGTTGAAATAAAATAAAGAAAAAATATAAGGTTATTTGAAACGTGACCAAAAATGAACATTTTTAAAATAATTTTAAACATTCATTTTGTTTTGAAATATTTCAAAAAGTAAGAAAGTTCCAAATTTCATAATTTCATAATTGAAGTTGAAAAAATACATTTTGAAAAATCTTGATTCAGAACTTTAATAAGATTGAACTATTTTGAAATTTATTTTCAGAATTCCTTGAATTTGTTAAGCTTTTCGTCAATTGTTTTTATTATTAATTAGAAATTCCCCCAAGAATTCTTTTAATTAATTTATTTTTAAATTTTTTGCAAATTAAGCTTGAATATTTTCGAATTTAATTTCATAATACTGATGAAATTATTCATTAAAAATTTGAAAAAAATCTAAAGATTCTGGAATACAAAATCAGAGGATTCAAGATTCAAATGGTAATCGATCAAAATATCTATAATTCTTTTTTTTTTTTTTTGAATTTGAAAAGATAATGTTGAAATTTTTGGAAAACGATGTAGAAAAAACCAAGTTCGAGAAAACTGTGAAATGGTAAAAATAAAAACAAAGAATGGCATTGTTGAAGAGTTTGGCAGACTGAATGAAAGAGTGTCTCTGAACACAGTCGACACAAAAAAAGTGAAGAAGTTGTAATCGAATATTAGATGAGTGGCTCATCTTGACTTCAAGTATTGTTTAGATGAAAAAAGATACACTTACTTGTTGTTATGAATAGAATCACTTGACGGAGCAACAGTCAATCCAGAAGTTGAAGATGTTTGTGAAGAAGATGGAACAACAATTGAACTTGTTCCAGATTGTGTTGCAGCTGATGTTGATGAAGATGAAGTCGTTGATGAAGTCGCTAACGATGACACGTTGAACATAGCTCTCGAGATTCGAGTGCAATTGACAACCATTGATGAGTCGCTTCTTTGCCTGTCCTTTTCCTTATGACTCCGCCTATCTTTTTCTGCTCGCTGGTTGTGCGATTACTGTATTCTTTTTTCCGTTGGGTTGGTTGGTATTAATAAATATAGGGGTGTGCGCGGGAAGGAAAGAGAAAATAAAACACTTGACATTTTGTGGGGGAGAAAAGTGAGAGAGGAGATGTGCACGGGGATATAGTTAGGCTATGTTAGACGGGGAAACTAAATTTTGAACTTGGATTTTGTATATATTTGTTGTGAGCGGAGATGAGGAACTTTTTTTGTGATCGAGATGAACTTTGATAATTATTGGGAGAACAATTATTGATTTGAATAATTCATTTTTGATTGTCCGATTGAGACTCCGGATTAAATAATCTGAAAATGGAAGTGGTAGCCACCAGGATGCAAATAATTTGAATCACAATCGATAAAATCCTCTTGATAAACAATGTATGTCAATCATTATGAAATATTTCAAATTCCAAAACTCGGAGCTACTCGAAAGACATAAACATCGAGGTCGAATCGAAAGCTATCAAAAACGAAAACGAAAATCTTCACCTTCAAAAGTTCATACTACATCCAAAACCAAAAAGTAACTTGTTGTTATTGTTTTTACATTGATCATATTTGCCATATCCTCTTGTCTTTATTATCAAGTGTAGTGCTCAAAAATTATGAGTGGTTTGTTCGTTTCTTCATTATTTTCATTTCTCAAAATTTTGCCTGCTGACTGTCATTTTCTAATTTTCCAACTCCTTTATCTGAAAAATTCCTTTATCTTTTTCTACAGTTAAATTTTGAACTCAATGACCGTCATCCCACTCGATTGTTATATTTACTACTGTTAATCCCATCTTGTAAAATCAACAAAAACTCGAATTTGTAACTCGATCTTTCTCCTTTTCTAATTAAACTCAAATGACCTTTGATTATATTCGGTTACAGTAATCATATGTGTATTTGAGCAACAAAAAAATAGAGAAGAAAACGAAGGAAGACACGACGAAACAAGATATTTTTACGCAATCACGACTAAATATTACTGTAGGTTGGTAAACAACAAAATCGAAAAGATAAATTTATGAAGAATTATCTCTTTTTTTCTTTTCGGTGGATGAAGAATTTTTGGATCTGTTTGGAAAATGAGGATTTTTTTAGGGGACGAATAATAATTGTATAAATCTGTGGGGTTCCGAAAAAAACTATCAAGTTGTTAAAATTTTATAATTTTTTCTGATGAACTTTCCGATGTCTTTCAAATACTCCATTTCCGAACCAAATCTACAGTAGTTGATTGATGATGAGCACATATATTAGATTAGACAAACTTGGGAGCAGCTTCGGCTTTTTTTGAAGATACCAAATAAAGATGCGCCAAATAAACACATCTTCTTTTCGGTAAATATGTATGCAGATTAGACATTGATACAATGTTTCATTATTATTATTATTATGCCTAAAAATAACCCGTAATTAGAAAAAAAATTGGTGAAAAACATTTTGACAAAAATGATGATCACAAAATTTCCCGTTTTGATTGTTCGAAGCATCCAGAATCTTCGATTTGTGAAGTTGTTCTAAAAGTTTTCAAATTTGAGAAAGGCCCTGTTGAAAAATAGAACTTACGTAGACTGAGAAGGCGAATCACCGGAAAAGTCCTGAGGTATTAGTCCGCAAATTTTTCGAGCTTGTGAAAGTTCAAGACTTGTATCAAGTTTCACTTTTTTTGTGCTGAAAAAATTGATACATTTTCAGAAATTTCATTCTGAATGTGAGCAGGATAATATGTATTTAGGGTATCACAACATTCTTACCTTTCGAATCGAAAAGCATATTTCTACTTCTAATAATTTTTGTTGTTTACAATTAAAAAAAAACTAATAGGTACTCACTCAATATCTGAAAGTGATGCCAATCTTCGAGGTGTCATCAGAATTTCTCTATCTGCTGGATCTTTTTCATCGACAGCATCTAGAGGAGATGTTTGTTGTGAAGGTTTTCTTGGAACTACTGGCGGAAGTCCAACTGCTTTGTTGAAATTTGGGTTGATTTTTTCACGAGGAAGTTTCATTACATCGTCATCATCCATCTAGAAAAATATTATGTTGAGGAAAACCAATTTGATTTTTATGATACGAAAATCGAAGAACTAGAAAGCCTACCCTGAAAATTGATTGTGATGAGATTTTATGAAGTGAAGGTGGAGAAACAGCATCGGTTGAATAATCAAATTTCAAATCGCAAAATGCGGCAGACATCAAAGAATCATCATCGGGTAAAAGTAATGAATTGGTAAATATTGTTGAAAATGAAGAATTTGAATCTACAATTATTATTTTTTCCAAAACATTTCAAAGATAAATATTACCCATTCTATAATTCATTCTTCTTCGACTCGTTTTTCTTTCCTCAACAAAACCACAAACATCAGTCTGACATGAGATTGTTGCAACTTTTTTTGGTTCCGCAGCGACCTCATCAATCAATTTGTTTAATTTGTCGGATTGCACAAATTTCGAGAAGATGGCTGACTTGAAATTGTCGTTTTTTGGTCGAATTTTTTTCCAGTGTTCGGATTGTGTTGAATAATGGACGATTGTGGCGAAGGCGACCGGATATTTTACCTCCAGATCTTTCAGATGCTGAAATGAAATTCAGTGGTTAATTGGGAAGGTATATTTCAAATACTAGACTTTTTTAAATCTCATTTATCAAATTTTCTTTATTTCAAACTTACGAGCATAACTGATACGACTTTGCCTTCTTGAATTCATTGTTGAATGCACAATTGTATCTACAGTAGCCACATTCAACACACTTAATCTATCCTTAGCTTCTTCATCCAATTCTTTATCTTTTTCTTCATCACTTTCCTCTTCATCTTCATCATAATTTCCTAATTTTGATGCAATTAAACTATTCGCAATTCTTCCAGCCATCCATTCTTTTGCCTCGGCTAAAAATCCCGAATCATTTGCCACTCTTTTCATTGGCAACGACAACAAATTTCCAGTCATTTTGAACTCAAGAGGAATCGCTTCTTCTTGTAACCCATCATCATTTGTCACGATTTCGGCCATTTTTTCAATTTCCTCAATGTATTCATCGAGCAAACGATTCAACATTTTTTCGATTGATACCTGACATTTAATGATGTATCACTTGTTATTTATTAGTTTGCAAAAATATGGGATAGAGATTAGATTAGAGTTCATGTTTTTTTGTTTAGCTTACCTGGATTAAATTGAAACACATTGATAGAAGTGCGAGACCGACTAGAATTAAACCAAAATTCACAATCATCATATCGGGATTTTTGAGAACAATATCACCTAATCCAACAGTACTAATTGATACAAAATAAAAATAAACAGAAGTCGCATAACCCCATTCTCTTTCCCAAATACAAAACATTGCAGCAGAAAATAGAATCCAACATATCAAAATGATCAAAGCAATCCAAATTGGGAATGAATTTTCGGCATTTTCTTTTTTCTTTTTCTCATCTTCTTGAATCACAATAATTGTCGGTGTTTCAACTTCATTATTATTCATTATAACATTGTTATTCTTCTCATTTTTCCCAGAAAATGCAATTTTATGAAGAGGTGTTGCTTGAGCTATTTTTCTTTTTGAACTTCTCAATCTTTTATATAATTTTCTCACAGATCTTGATAATAATCTTCCCATATCTTTCAAAATTATCAAAAATATCGGAATACCAAATAAAATATAAAATATTGTTGCGATTCGACCGCCAACTGTTTGAGCAGTCGGAACACCGTAACCTGAAAATATTTTGAATAATTTTCGAGACCCAAAAGCTACTTACCAATAGTTGTATAAAGTTGTCCAGCATAAGAAAGTGCACCAATCCAAGACCAAGGTGTTTCTTCAGTTCTTTCATCAATAATGTCAGTCAAATTCATATGATGGAGAAACCAAATAAGTGCAGTTTTTGCATGATTTTCTTGAAGTCGAACATTGTTTGAAGTTATTGGATCGTGGCATTTTATTTCAAGTATTCGTCCAATAAACTGTAATGTTTCTGATGTTAGGAAAAATAAAAAATGAATTATTTGAAACATTTCTGAAAATGATACAGTTCACGTTCTGGATTTTTCACGTTGTTTTTTTTAATTTCACAAAAGTTATCTTTTTCTAATTTTCAAAAAAAATGTTGCTTACTTGTTCCATTGCAAAATCAGTAGTATTCCTATAAGCCGCCCTTCTTTCCTCATCTGGTCCACTTTCAATTGCTCGAAATATAAATGCTCCAAGAACAGTATACCCAACTAAAGCAAGAAATGGCATAAATGTATCCAAATGTAATTTTTGATAAATCCATTTCAATCGCTGATAAATATGAAACATCTAAAATCTCTGGAAAATCAACCATCAACAACTAATAAATCAGGTGTGAATGAAGCGAAAAATAAAAAAAAAGAAATGAAATATGAGTGAGTGAGGGGAAAATGTTTAATTCGAGAGTTCGCGTTAGGTGTTAAAAGAAGACAGCTGGTCTGCCAATTTCTTAAGATTTGCAAAAAAGAAAACGGAGAGAAATAGGTTTTTGCTTGATGAAAAGTTTCAAAAAAAAAAACTAATTAATAATCCAAAAACCGAGTTGTGCAAATAAATATTCTAAAGATCCGAAGATTATTCATTCTCATTTTCATTTTCAAAATTGGATTCAAATTAGATTGGGTTGGAAAAAAAATAGTTTTTTTTTTTCTGTGGGGCACTTCACATTTTGCAAAATGAAACAACCTCTGACCTTTTTTTTTCACACACACACACTTTTGAATTTTAAAATATGAGAAGAATGTTTCTTACAAGCAAAAAAAAACTGAAATGTGAGACTGAAAAAAAGTGTTCGGATTTCAACATGAACGAGAAAATATACCAAACCAAAAGTCATGCAAAAAATAATAAAGTTTATTTTATTTTGCAGGATTTTGAAGCGGAAGAAAATCCAAACAATTTAGAATGTTCCAATGCAGTCTAGTTTTTTTTTTGAAAAAATACGGAGAAGTTTTTGAATTGAAAATAGGGTCTGTTTCAAAAAAAAATATGCAAAAAAAAGAAACAAAAATTGAAATACTTCTCAAAATTTTCCACGATTTTTCACAAACACCGGAAAAATCATAAATCACAAGACCTTTTGGATTAGTAATTTATGGTTCTCTTCTTCCTGACAAAAATAAATGCCACAAAGTGTGTAACGTTTCAAGCAAAAAATAAACAAAAACATAAATAATATTTACCTAATAACACAAAAAAGTTACAAATTCGATTTAGTATGTTTTGTTTTCTCGTTCGAACATTTTTCGAATTCAACACACAGAAAAAAGGTTCCAGGGTTTTTTGTTCCGCAAAGAAAAAGTAAAAAGTCTGAATTTTAAATTTTCTTGTTCGGGTGCTAGAACACCTTGTTTCTGAGTCATAAAAATTAGACATGTGTTCGTTTTTTTTTTTGAAAAAATATAGAAAATGACGAAAAACAAGTTTCAGACAAGCTGTCAGGTTGTCTTCATCTTTTTTTGTTTGATGTTTTTGTTTGACATGAGAGAGCTCAATTATTAGAACTTATGTGAACTTTTAAATAACTCACTTATTTTTTTATACTTTTTAGGTAGTTCATAAGGACATGAAAACAGCTATGTAATAAACAAATAAACAAGAATTGAATTTGGAGAACATTTGAATCCCATGGGAAGATTGTTCAATTTCAAAATTTTAATTAATGACTAGTTTTTGACCTGACCAAATGAAAACATTGCGGAAGAGCCCAATTATCAACATTTGAAAAAAATGCGATAAATGAAAATTGAAAAAAGTAACAACTGACTGGCCCGATACCAACTCCTCTGTTAATTTTTCGCATGTTACAACAATGTGCAACAAAAAAAAACGAAAAAATACATAAAAATGAAAAGATTTAGGAGAAACTATTAACGAGTGACTCGATTTATGGTTTTCGGGTTCAAGATGCAGAAAAAACGAGTCATGGGAAAATTTGAAAAACTTTTTTCTTTTTATGTCGGACCAGAGAAATCGAGCTGGTAATCCCGAAAAAGTGTTAAGTTTTTAAATTCAGCAAAAAAAAACTTCATAAAATCCGATTTCTGATCATCTTTTTTTGAACACCAGAAAAAAAGTTTTCAAAAAAGTTCTTCATCTCATCAAGATAAAAATAGAAAAGTTCTACTTTTTCTTCAACAATTTTTTCTAGAAAAAAGCAACAAAATCCAAATTGATCTAATTTGATAGAAGAACAAACTGCTGGAACACAATTAGTGAAAAAATCGAATTTCTCTTCTAGAAACAAAAAAAAACAGATGAAAATCAGAAGTCATATTTTTCAAATAACGCAAAAATAATCCAGCTATTTTTTTGTTTGGTTTTAAACCCACTTCGAGAAAAAAGACTGACTTGTCGTGGTCAAAATTGTTTTTGTTTATTTATTGTTTTTTTTGAGCTCTGAAAAAAACAAGAATCCTGAACAAAAATGTCTCACATCTGGCAGGTGATTTAATTTTATTTGTCTGTATTGGAATTTGAATTTAATTTGAATTTGGGAAGAAAAAGAAAAAATTATTTAGGGTGAAAGATTGAGAAATATACAAACAAGGCTGAAGTACTTTTTAAGAGCTTTATTTTCCAGGCCTTTTTTGATTTTGAAGCACCAAAAATGGTCACACCACAAAAGAAGAAGAAGGAGAACTTTGAGATGAGATGATCGAAGATCTACAGCATGATATTGAACATCAAAGATGAAACTGATCTAGACACTTGAAATCTAGAACTTTTCTTTTTCCATATGCAAAGTTGAAATTTAAGTCTGGGTTTTGCAAATCTACTATTTTTTGAAATATATATCCCTTCACTTCTCAAACTTGGGTTCTATTAATCGGACCTAACTTTTTCTGAAGTCAGGTTCAAACATTTTTTTTAGGCCGTGATCTCCAGATTGAATAAGAAAACATCGCATCGCTCAAGACACACTTGAAATCCAGAAGTCACCAATTAGTTTGAACAACTTCCTCAATTTCATAATCCAATTAACATCTCATTGAAATTCCTCAATTTGTCACTGACATATTTTAATATTTATCTGTGTTTTCATTTTCATCTCTGAAAGTTCATCTACCATTCTCGTGATTTCGAAAGAAAGAAAGAAACAACCGCGATAAGTCAACGTTGCCTAAAAAAGAGTATTGACGTAAAGAAAGTGCACAAAACTGTTTTGTTATCACAAACTTTATCATTTATTTCTCCTCACTATTATAAATAGTCACGACTGTTTCAATAGATTCTCACAATCTGTCATTAATTAAGTAGCTACTGATTTTTTCCTAATGCTAATTTTTTCAGAATCAAAAAATGAACACCAGAACTGTCATTGTTCTTGCAGTTTGTGCTCTTCTTTTCGTTTCTTCGATCGATTGTAAAAAAGTGAAGAAAAATGCCAAGTAAGCGATTTTTTCTTCTATTTTCTATCAATAATTTCTTCTATTCAGAGAAGTCAAAGCCAAGAAAGAAAAAGTAGTCAAAGTTGAAGAACCAGTTGTTGAAGCCGCGCCAGAAGTCCACGCTGAAGTTGTTCCAGAAGTTCATGCTGAAACTGTTGTAGAAGAAGTTCCAGTCGCCGCCGCAGCTCAAAAGCATAGACTTAGCCCACCAAAATCATTGAAAGTTACTTCAGCTTATGAACAATGCAAATTGGAATGCAGAAAGGCCAGAGATGCTGTTCAAGCCAAAGATGTGAGATTTTTTTGAATTATTTATTTTTTGTACTTTTTGTATTTATTCTGGAAAAAAACAAAAGTGTGGGAGGAAATCAACAACAATGCAGAATGCTATCTTTGAATTCAGTAATAAAATATAAAAGAATAGGCTGAATTCAGAAAAATCTTTTCTGAAACTAAAATTTTTAAGCAGGTTTTTTTTGACAAAGTCTGGTTGAAAAATTTCAAAAAATCAATTTGCCTTTGGTCCTCCAATAAACACTAAAAATAGGTACACACGGGAATTTTCCAAACCGTTTTTTTCCAGTACGTCGAACAACTTCGCCAAGAACTCACAGTTGCCGAAGCCGCCCTCGCCGCTGAAGTTGAAAATGCTCCAGTCGCTGAAGCTTCTGCCGTCGCCCCAGAAGCCACTCAACACTAAACTAAATATACTTTTTCTCTCATTTTCCATTTTTTTTTGTTTCAAAAAATCTTTCATTTTTCCGTTATCAATAATCAAATAAAATGTTTCAAAAAAATTCACGCAATTTTTTTGTTTTAATGTGTATTTTGTTGAGAACCACTGTTATCAGCAAGATGTGAGACTGTATTTCGTGACAGTTTTGTTTTGAATCGTTGCGTCAGCATCATATTTCGGAATTCGACATTCAGGAAAATCAAAACGAGTGGATCAATTGTGTGAACAAGGGTCCAAGCGAATGTTGTGCATAAAAATATTGCAACTGGACTTGTTTGCATTTGCGAGATTATGAAGAAAAATACAAGTTCTGTTGCGAAAACAGCACCTTGGATGAGAACTTGTTTCACGAATTTGATCTCCTTTTTTCGTTTTCGCATGTTACTCGAGTCAGACTGAAAATACGTTTTTAAATTTCAAATCTGGGTAAAGTTATCCCTTACGTTAATTGGAAGAGCTGTAACTCGAATCATAATAATTGTCAGAAGATCAACAACCATAATCAATGCAACAACACCAAAATCTTTACAGAAATCAATATAAAATCGAATCACATCGCAGTCCTGAAAATTATCTTTGAATTCATTTTCTGATTTTTAGTTTAACTCTTACCGCTGATGTATTTACTCCAAAATACCACCCAAAATCAACATATGGAAGAAGGCAATTATCTGAAAATATATCTTGTTTACTCACGATTCATAATTAATTTTAGGTTTCACTAATAACTCACTCGAAAGATGCATATAAATAGATGTAAAGCATGGAATTGCATAAGCTAGGAAAATAAGAAATGTAGTATTGTGGTCACTGAAATGAATATTAATTAATATTTTTAATTAGTTGACTACATTGTAGTTTTATTCTTGAAGAAAGAAAATGAAAAAAAGAGAAGAAAGCTCACTTGAAAATGTGATTGTATTGAATTGGTCGAGCAATTGCACAAAGACGGTTGCAAGCAATGAATAAATGGGAGAAAATACAAACATCATAACAAAATAGAAGAATCAAACCAACGTGAGAAGATGCCATTTTTAGAGGAATTATGTCACTGAAAAATGTATTACTTAAGGATTTGGAACCAAAATTCCAACAACTCACAGTACAACCATCGGACAATAATAGAAAACGAAAACTCCACAAAGAACAGCTTCTGCAAAAGACTGTGAAGCAGAAAGTCGACCGAAAGAATTTTGTAAAGATTTGAGAGTTGCGGCAAAAAGGAAAACTGAGAGATTGCTCAAAAGTCCGATGAGCGAAATCTGAAACAAACTCTTATTTTAATAATAAAAAACTCAAATTCAAAAACTTACGGTAAAAATGATGATGGTCACATAAGCTCGTTCGATTTGAGAAGATACCACAGTATGTGGAGTCACTGTCGAATTTGACGAATTCTCCGCCATTTTTAGTTTTCAATAATGAAATCTAATTGAAATCTCGACTTATAAGAGGCAAATCTTCAAGCTCCGCCCACTTCTCGTCACAATACAAAATGTTATTCTCCGAGTTATTTGAAATGAACTTCAGTTGAGTTCTGAAGGAAAAAAAGAAAATAAATGAGGACATTCTCATTATCATATTTATGGTAATTTAGAAAAAAAGATCATTGGTGGTCTCAAACATCTGAAACGAAAAAAATATATAATGAAAATCAGAAAAAAAATTAAAAAAAGATTGGTTTTTGAATTTTTGAACGAATAAGTTGTTTTTGAAAATATGTATTTCAACAAAATCAAACTGATTGTAGGAAATAGCTAATCTTTTTTTTGTTCATTTTTGCATGTCTACTTTTGGACCCAGGCTAAGAAATCAGAAAACAAAATGATGCGGACTATTTTGAAGATTTCGAAGCAGGAACCGGATTTATGAAAATGGTATGTCAATATAATCCTGGAATCTCATTTGAAAAATTCAAATCAAAGTTGTAGGTGGTCTCATCAACATCGTTCCTTCAAGTCAAAATGATCAGAAAACTTTGAAATTGTCAGTTTCAGATATAATTGCGGGGGGAAAGACAAAGATCGGAACATTCTATTTTATTTTTATACTAACATCATGTCTAAACCTAAATCTATAATAAGAAATATACTTGATAAGTATCAGAAGTTTAGGGATTAACCTAAACCAGGAATAAACAAAAACTACTGTAATCTCCCAACAATGAACCATTTTTAGTCAGCCATTATACTTCGCTTTGTACCTAACAAAAGCATTACTGAGATTAATTTGATTAGACATTCAGTGAAACAGAAATAAATAAGAGTAAGAGTCAAATGAACTTTTTTGTTAGCAAAAAACAAAAGAACTTAACTTCCTTCAATTTCACAAACAAATAAAAATTCGAGAAATTTATGCACATTTTTCTGACAATTTCCATGAATTTTAATTATAATTCTCCTCCATTTTTGGAGAATTATTTGTTTGAATAGAAAAAGAGCCGAAGAAAATAATAATTATAAACGAATGAATGAAGTTTCTGAGAATCTTTTGGATTTTTTGAAATATTTTTAAATCTGATTCATTTGATTTTTTATTCCTAGAATTACTTTGTGGTGAGAAAACATGTGATAGAATACAAAAAATGTTCCAGAAGCAATTTTTGAATTCATATTTGTATTAGGCGATTTGTAAGAAGAAGAGTACTGTAGTCAAGTGCACTACAGGAATTGCGTAAATAATTTTCAAAAATTCACGAGTCAAAATGAAATCACACTGTCAGTAGACATGTCTGGAAAATATTTGTACAGTGTACTTGTCCAAATAATATAAATAAAATCACGTCAAGAAATGGTTTTATGAAAATCTGAAACTTAAACATCTAATACAAAATCAGAAAACCCAATTTAAAATTATAGGTGTATTTGCCACATGTCTCCAAAATCAACCTTCTTATTATTTGTGCAATATTAGGATCAAACAACTTTTGGAAAAGAAAATAATCGCAGTTTTTTCCAAAATAAAATGTACCCCGACTTTTATTTTTCCGAGCTTTGATTCATTCAGTCAATCAAACTCCAATTTTTTTCGCAGACATCAAACTATTGTATCCCTTTGACCAATCCATAAAAAAGTGCATAATTGAAGCGAAGAAAGATGATAGTGATCAACGAACCTGACAAAAAATGAAAACGAAGAACACATGTGTCAAAAGGCTCTCAAGTTCATACACCGCCAGAAAGCTCCTCATTTTTTTTGTCTGCTACTGATTTCTATTTTTTCTTGAGGTTGTTTTTTGTTGCAAAAATACTCTTTCTATTTACTTGTTAGATCACAATGATTGATGTTGTTATGAGATTTTTCCAGTGCTCATTGATTTTTCATTTTTTTTTGCAGATCCTATAGAAAATTCTGTTTTGAGGAATCTAATCAAGAAGGAATGTGGTTCAATGTTTTGAGAAAAATTTAAATTCTGATTTTGTTGAAAAATCTGATTTTTCCGGTTAACCATCTCAAACTCCTTTTTCCTGGTCCCTCATATCATCACACAGAAATCGAAAGTTACAAAATATCATATTTCGGAACTCTTCTCTTTTCTGTCAAACCTACAGAATCATTTGATGAGGAAGTGTTCGTTTTCGTTTCCTTTCCTATAGTCTTTCAGCCTTTGTACTTTACATCAGTCATTTTTTGAGAACTCTGTGCTATTCATCATATTTTCCAATATTGATAAATCAATTCTTCTCACACCTGGATTCTTTGCTCCCCAACGTATTTCGAATAGAATATTTTTTTATTTCTTTTTATTTATTGAGGTCCCATCGAAAATTTCAGTTTTACACTTTTCTCTCTCTTAAACAAATGTTTGATTAATTAGCACTTTGGAATTTGTTCAAAGACTAATTTTTTCATAGAACAATTTTTCTATGAATTTTATTGGTTTCTTTAAATTTTAAATTTTTGGGGGACTTATGATAAATCACTTGACATTTTGAAAAATGTACGATAGAATTCGAGCTCTTTGCTTTTCTTTTCAAAAAAAAAAAGAGAGCGTCGAAACAAATATCACATTACCTGACAATTGTTAGAAAACTTTGTTTTATTGCAAAAATTAGAGAAATTGGGTTGTCAGTTGGCTTTGGATTGTTTATTGGCATCCAAAAATAATGGACATTTTTTGAGTTTCAGATCTTCTTTCAGAAGTGACTTTTCTCTTTGAAGTTGACGGCTCAGTTGATTTTGAAAATTGAGAAGAGATAGGAAAATGTACACTTCTCCACGTAGTTTTTATGTTTTTTGTGACCAATAATTTGTTCTCACCTAGAGAGATGGAAATGTATTTTCAGCACACAAATGCTATAGGCTACAAATAGATACACCTCATTCTCTTTTTATAATTTGGAAATTGAAAAAAGTGCATTCATTTAGATCAAAAATCGGATTTCAGCTAATAGGGGACCATTTTTATACACTTTGAAAATAAGTATGAAAATATAGTAGAAATTATTGTTGATTCCAAATTTCCACCCACAAAATATAATTAAAAATTGTGGCGTTAATGAAAAAACAATTTGGATCTAAAAAAAAGATCCCAAAGCTAAAAGCCAATTTTTTCCGTTTTTTTATCCAAACATTCTAAAAGTTTTGGTTTCCTTTCATCGTTCTAATTGTATTTCTCTCATCCCCCGAGACCAATTTTAGATTAAAGATTCACATAAGATTTCTCAAATTTTTTTTTGGTTAAAAATTGATCTGCACAGCTGACTTTTTGCCTTTTCAGACCTCCATGAACTTTGAAAAGAAAAATGTATGAATAGGAAATATCTTCAAGTCTGGAAAAAAACCTCATTTCAGCTCTGTTTCTTTCTTTTTTCACAGAAAAACAAAAAAGGATCTCATAAGGAAGCTATTAGCCAAAAAGTTCCAAAAAAAACTAATTTTTTCCCCGTTTTTTCCAAAAAGTGTCAGAAAACTTGTCAAAAACAAGATTAATGTTCAATCTTATTCTCCTCAAACTCGAGTTCTCTCAAATGACAGAATAAACCACGCCTCCATATTTCAGACCACGCCTTCTTCATTTTTTCCCGTGTCAAAGGTTTCGGGAAAAACCACTAAAAGTAAAAATGTTGGCAACGTTACTGGTATTATTTTTATTTTTTATTTCAAATTCTGCTGCTGAAATTGATAATTCTACTATGACAAATATCGATTTATTGCCATCGAAGAATATCAAAGTTGGTCGATTAATACCAGCACATTATTATTTAGAAGAAGATATTATGTCGGGTTATAAAAAAGCTCTTATTCCAAAAGTGAGAAGAGAAGATCCAATAAATGTTTCTTTTTCAATTCAATTATATCAAATTATTCAAGTTGTGAGTTTTTTCCGGAGAATTTTTGATAGATTTGAGACAACGTAACCATATTTTTTATCTGAATTGGACCGCCTTGCATTTTTCGAGTAAAATTCTGAACTTGAAAAACTAGTTTAATTCTGATTTTTTCGCCAAAAAAACATATTTTTAAGCAACCAATTCTCACTGAAAATCCACCCTGTTTCAGCTTTTCAAACCAGAAAAATGTTTCAAAAAAAATCTAAACTACGTTTTCTTCCAGAATGAACCCCAACAATTTCTACTTCTGAATGCATGGGTTGTGGAGGTTTGTTTTTCCCATAAAAAATATATAGATCATAAATTCATGACGTCATTCAGAGTTGGACCGATCAAATGCTTGGCTGGAATGAATCAATTCACAATGATACAGAGATTTTAGTTCGACATGATGATGTTTGGCTGCCAGATACAACTCTTTATAACTCGTCAGTATTTTTCAACAACTGTCAAGTTCTAACAAAATTTTTCAGACTTGAAATGGATGACTCTGCGGCTAGAAAATTGACGCATGTCAAACTGACAAATCTTGGTTTAGATAAAGGTGCAAAGGTTGATATGTTATATCCTACAATTTATAAGATCAGTTGCTTGCTGAACTTGAAATTCTTCCCATTTGATTTGCAGGTTAGCATTTTATGACTACTTCTTTTTACAAAAAATAAGTGACGGAACCCATTAATTCTCTTTTCTTATATGAGATCTCATAAAGTCAGAATTACTTATACGACCTTTTTTTCTTCATTTTTTGATGGATTAAAGTGCGTGTGGTATGGAATAAAAGACAAAAGTATAATATGAAATTTTGATGAAATTCGAATTTTTTTTTGTAGAAATGTCGAATGACTTTTGGCAGTTGGAGTTATGATAACACATTAATTGATTATTATCCATTGAAGAATTTGAAAGATGCAATTGGATTATCCAATTTTTTAGAAAATGACGCTTGGTCGGTTGTTTCTACTCATGGTATGTTTTATTCGAAAATACATTTAATTACTTGATGAGAATAACAGCAAAAAAGGTCGAGTCTATTATTTTAATAGATATTGTGAGCAACATTTTTGTGAGCTTTGGGGCAAAATTGAATTTCGCTTCAAATTGAGTGGTTCAATGATTTGTTCTATGATCCGATAATTTTTGAAAATCCATTTTGCAAGAGCAGGTTCTATGAAGAAGAGAATTGCGTGACGATTTGGGGAACAATAAAATCCACTTTTTGTTGCGGAAAAACTGAAGATTTTGTAGAAAAAAACAAGTACCATAAGTTTTGCAAAAGCAAATGCATAAGAAACGATGATTGAAAAAACAAAATAAGACAAAGAACCAAACTATATTATGTTTGAAATATATAGAACGCTTCAGAAGTGTAAGGAAGGAAACACTTGGAAGTAGGAGAATTTTAAAATGTTTTGAGAAGGTCGAAGAAGGCTCTACAAAGTTGTACAATTATAATTCAGATTGACTATGTTTTTGAACTGTTCTAGTGATATTTAAAACAGCCGAAATTCTAGTGAAAAACTTTTCAAAATTTCTATTAGTAGTTAAACCATTCTGTTTTGTTTTTCAAAAAAATTCCTAATAACTCAATTTGCAGTTATTCGAGAAGAGAAAAAGTACGAATGTTGCCCAAATAATTATACAATGCTCAATTATCACATAATAATTCGTCGAAAACCACTGTATTATGTTCTCAATTTAATTGCACCAACTGCAGTCATCACTTTCATTTCGATTATTGGATTTTTCACGTCAGTCAATCCGTTTGACTTTTCTGTGTGCGTTAGCTAATGTGATGTGGTTTTTATTAAAACTTCTCAAAAAAAAATATTATTTAACACAATTTTCAGCACAAATTCCACAGGGATTATTCATTTTCTTTAACACACCTTTTGTTATTCTTATTATGTTACTAGAAACGCTCATTATTAGTTAATAGATTGTGTTAATGCTTGAAATGGCAACCCACCCATTAAATTTCAATTTTCGTTTTCAGATCAAGTTCGGTTCATGATTTACGTCAAGAAAAAATCACCCTTGGAATCACAACCCTTCTTTCAATGTCAATTATGATATTCATGGTTTCCGATAAAATGCCATCAACTTCAACTTGTGTTCCTTTAATCGGAATATTCTATACACTTATGATAACTATTATATCCTTAGGAACTCTTGCTGCATCAGCTGTTATTTTCATTCAAAAACTAGGTGGTGTTGGAATACCTCCATCTCCATCAACAATGAAATGGACACATCGATTAGCACCATTTGTATGGATTGAAATGCCTTTGGTTATGAAACAGGCATATGCAAAAAAAGCAAAAGAAGAGAAAATAAGAAAAAGACAATTGAGAAAAGAAAGTATGTGGTCAAGAGTTTATAAAATTGCAAGGGATTCTTCGAGAACTAAATTATCAACTGCTACAACACCAAATTTCAAAATATCTCTTCCACATGAATATGAACCAAAGAAAGAATCATCAATTACAACAATGACTACAGCTATGGGTATGTCTAGAAATCTTAGAAGAAAACTTGAAAATATGACTATTATTTTCAGATGAATCATTAACAATCGAAAGTTTTACTGCTCCAATTGATGATATTGAAATGCTCAACAGAAAAACAATAAATCATTCAGAAAGTAGTCAAAGTCTAACTTTGAAACCAGTCGAAGTACAAGTATCACCTCATACAACTCGAAATATTGTTGAACTTGAATGGGATTGGGTTGCTGCTGTTGCTGAGAGATGTTTCCTTGTTCTTTTCATTATTCTTTTCCTATTTTCATCAATCGGTGTCAATTTAATAGGTTATTTTTATTGGTTATTAGAACAAAAAGATATCGAACATTTTGACTATGATCTTAATATTTAGAATTTCCGGCTACTTTTTTTTTCTAAAAACATTGTGTTCCAATTACGTTGTATTCAATGGTTGTCTGTATTTATAAACGTTTTTGAGCTTTATAATTTCCAGATGTCAATTTATTGTGCAAAAAATCAGGAAACGTGTTTTGATCTAAAAAAAATGAAAGAAAAAGAGAACTACGATCGAAAAATTAGCGGAACAACGGAAGAAAAAAAAAAGAATCGGCTTAAAAACTTTCTAATTAGATCTGATTGACACCTGAAAAAATTTAATGAGAATGAGGAACACGACAAATTTTGTTCCTTGAAATGAAGAAAAAAACGTCTATATCTTGATGGAAAAATATTGGATAACCTAAGTTTTTAATTATTGAGATTTTAGTTAACTTTTCTATGGTTATTCCAAAGAGAAAGATTTCCTACTTATGAACATACGCTAACTAAAAAGCTCGCACAACATTGAAGCTTCTGATGAAGCTGAGAATTTATCACATTCGGAATTTAAATTTCAACTTTTTTTTCAAGTTTTAAAAACATACATCAGTTTCTCCCGGTCAGGGCCTCAAAATTAGCAACCCCCGGAATGTGAAAATACAAAAATAAGCCAGACCCCCTCAAAAAAAAAAGAAAAAACTTGGTTTTTGCGGTGTAAATTGTTATTTTTTCAAAAAGTTAGCCGGCCCCACCCTTTTTTTCCAAAGTTAGCCAGACCCCCTCCGGACGAAAATCCGGGGTTACTGATGTATGTTTAAAAACTCCTGTGAGTTTTGAAATCGTTGATAAATTCAAGATTGAAATTGAAAACAATTCCCAGATTAAGATTCTTTGGAAAATTTCAGATTGAAAACACAGTAACATATTTCCTCTCTCCCAGAACTTTTTGAACGTGACATCTAATCTCTCAAATATTAAATCGCAAAAAATCCATGCTGGCGAAGCATTGTTTTCCCCCGAATTATTTCTAATAAAAAATAAAGATCAGATAACAACACTTATAGGCGGATTCAGCAGACATCTTTGTGAAGGTACAAAAAGTTGAAGAAACAATATTTTGGCCTCATTTTTTGGGCTGCTTCCAAACAGAAATGATGATTCGAAAATGGTATCAATTTTTTCGAAGAAAACCCCTCTTTATTATTCCTTTGTGTATTTTTGCTATATACATCCCAGTAAGCACTGTTTATACGGTAATTGCTTTTCAACGTGTTGAACTGTATGTTTTAAATTGAATTTTATTTTTCTTAATTTTAAGTTACTTACAGCCAACCAGTTGAAAGGGATGATTTCAAAGCATTTATCACATCTTCATATTTTTATCCAAAATCCAAAAGCTTGGGAGATAATTCATTAGCCTTAGTTATGCTTATAAACCAACACTCGAAAAATCCTCGTTTCAATTCACTCATTCAACCCGAAATATTAATCGACGCTGATAATGGTACAAATAGTATGATGATTAAAACAAATTATACAAGAGTTACTCCTCATGCTGTTTGTAATATGATAACTGTTTTCGCAACTGTTCAACTTTTACCAAACACAAATTTAATATATCTTCATGGAAATAATGGTTCGGTTGCGATTCCATTTGAAATTCCTCCAAGTGTTCAACGTGATGTTGTTGTTTGTATTTCTCCACTTTTTATTAGTGAACAATGGCAAAACTTTTTATTCGCAGTTCATATTTATAAAAAATTCGGTGCATTTGTTAATTTATATTTGATAAGTGCAGTCGATTCATTTTATTATTTGATGAAAGAATACGAAGATCAAGTTAGTTTGTCAGAAAAAACTAGAAAACATATATAATTTGCAGGATTATCTAACAGTTCAACCATGGATTAGTGCGAAATTTCACAAAGTTAATCCAGATGTTGCAGATCCTTACAATGATGTTGAATTCAGAAATCAAGCTGGATCTCAAACGGATTGTCTATTGAAGTACAAAGTGAGTAGATTCATAACTTTTAGAAAAAAATTGATCAAAATAATTATAGGAATCAGCAAAATATGTGACATTTTTGGATCTCGATGATGTTTTGATACCTCGATTAGCTCCGACATATTTAGAAGAGTTCCGAATAATTTCTAGACTGAATCCAGGAAAATCAATGCTTCATTATCACAAAGAAAATCATGCAGTAACAACAGTCAGCAATTCGAATATGTTTTCATTTTCAAAAATGTTCCGATCACTGAAACATTATCCAGTACAAGAAACTGGAAAAATTGTATTGGATCCTAGATATTTGAATTTCACATGGATTCATTGGCCACCAAAAATGCCTGATGGTCTTACAAAGTGAGTTAAACTAACTAAGAACTTATTTTATTTCACAATTCGAAAAAAAATGAATTTACAGAATAATTGTGGATGATAATTCAATAACTCATTTGAAAAAGATTCGATGGATGGAAGATTATTCAAAAGAATCAAATCAAAGCAGCAAAGCTCATCCTATTCTTAACAACATTGTGATGGAAGAAATTGAAGAAGATTGGATGAGAATGAAAAATGCATCAAAAGTTGTTTCATATTTGCCAAAACATAAATTCTATTTCAATGTTATTCGACAATGTTACGACAAAAAGTATTATTCACTACATTATTCGGGTAGAACAAGTGAAATAAAATGTCCGGGACCACAATTATGTGATTATCCACAAAGAGATGAAATTGAATGTATGCATGTTGATGCAAATTATGCAAGTGTTCCAACTATTGATCCTATTACATTTTACTATGCAACAAATCACAAATTCAGTAAAGATATCGGATGTTTACCTCATTAAATTTGTAATAAATTTTTTAAGTAGTATTACTTTTGTTTAAAACAATTAATTTTTTTCCTCCCAAAAAATCAATGAAAACAACTAACCTGTCTGATTTCGTTCCAAAGCTGTCATCAAATCCATGTTTTTCGACGACTAGACGTCGAATTGCGGTGATTTTCGTTGGCATCTCTGAAAAATTACAACTCGTCAAAAAAAAAGAAAAAAAAATTCAAACATTATTTTCCCTCCAACCGCAAACGTGCGTCAAAGTGTTTGCACACTCTAGTTTTTTCTAATTTTTTTTTGAAAAAAAAAGTTGGGGAATTTTACTTTTTGACGCCAATTTCATGATTTCTACAAACTATTTTTCTTCTTTCACTATATTTTATCAAATTTTATAGACTTTGCAAGACTGGAAACCCGCTCAAAAAGAAGACCAACAGAGATTTCGCTGGAAATGGCAATATTTGAGGAATACGTGATTGGATCAAAAAGAAACAGGTTAGTTCAGTTTTCCGGGTGGTTTGAAAAAATTGACGAACATTTGAATTTTATGGATAAAATTCAGAACCCCTCAAAATTAGCGTTTTTCGCAATTTGTTGTCTCAAGGGTTTTCTTCTTCTATAATAAACTCACAGTTTTCACGCAAGATGTTTATATGAATAACCAGTCACCGTTTGGGAAGTCGGTTGGATTTAGAAATAAATAAATATGCGAAATGTTTTACTGCCACGTTAGGCAATTTTAGAGGTCACGTTGAAAATAATATTTCAATGTTTGAATTTTTTTTTAATTTTCAGTTTCAAAATTAATTTGAGAGAAAGTTTAAAAAATTAAAAACTTTAAAAAAATGAAATGAGTTAAACTATTGGGAAGCAAATAATTGAAATCAAAGAAAGTTTTTAAAAACAAAGAACATTTTTGAGAATAATTTATTCAAATATATTTGTTTCACAATTATAACTGACGATTTGATATGTTTTGCATTTTTTGAGACCATTTTGTTTCCATTTATTTTTGTTTTCATTTTTTGGCTACTGATTGTGTGACGGTACTATTGCCAACAGATAATTCCGTCCGAAAAATAATGCCTGGAATATTATTGATTTGTTGATAAATATGCCTTATGATCAAAGTAATACTTTTAATATATCTCCGAAAATCTTTAATCAAGAAAAGTGTGACAAATGGATCGATTCCGGGATAAATATGAGCCATAACAACACATATATTCGCATATGCTCCAAATTCAATGAAATCAACAAATGAGGCAACCATGAGAATTGTGTTTGGTAGAAACATGCAAATCAATGGAATCAAAGTCTGAAATTCTTGAAATATTCTCAAATTTCTCGAAAAATGATACAAACCTGAATGACAAGTGCATGGAACAGTTGTTTTTGCAATCTTTTTGTTCTTGTCGATGTTCCCTTAAAAGCACAAATTGTGCTATATGTTTTGATTCCATAATTCTGCACAATTCCCAATGAAATTTGCATAACAGTTACATGATGAATAACACCAATCATATTCAACATATTCAATTGTTTTTCAGTTCCATTATTAGGGTAAACGTACTATAAAAAGACAATCATCATTAAAATTAAAATATAACGGTAATTAAGGAAAGTACACTTACGTAATTATATGGAACGTAATCAACCGAATTAAATTCCAAACCATAAGATGTAGCAAGAACATAACGAAGTGAAGAATCAGTTCGAGAAGTATGAGGATAACAGAAAAATGCGCAAGCTGACCAAGTCAAAGATATCAAAATCGCACCAAAAACCCAATAAAGAAATTTCTTTCCTTGAAAATGACGAAGATTATCAGGTCTAAAAGCTCAGATTTTGATTATTTACAAATGTGAGCTTAGAAAGATTAACTTACTTGCAAGCTGCAAAATAACGGTAAAGAAAATGAAGAGCGAATAGAACAAAACTCATTGCAAAACATCCGCAGTATATTGCTAGAAAATAAATCGATTATTTATTTCATAATTTTTGCTGAAGCCGAAGACTTACATGAAATAGCTCGTGCTACAGTTGTACTGTAATCAAATCTTTTACGTTGAATCACAAATAATGTGTTGTCATAATGGTGGAGAAGCTGCAAAAATTAATTTCAGAGAATTCTTTTGAATCTGAAATTTACCGGTCTTAAGAATGTTTCAACTGCGGTGTAGAATAAACTGAAAATACTGAAAGTGATCATAAGATATTTGTATGATCCAATTCCTTCATTCGGTCTTTTCAACAAACATCCCAAAAGCATCGAATTTCCCAAAATTGACATTGCCAATCCGAAATATTCACAACCAGTTGTCAAATTCAACCAAAATACGTCGCTCATCTGAAATCTACTATAAAATTGGAGGAAAAAAACACGAAAAAGCAAAACAGAAAAAGATAGAGTTTCAACGAACATATGTTCTGGTTGGCTAAAAAATCTCACAAGACTTATATAGTCCCACTCAGCTTTTTTCATTATTTTTTGTTATTATTTTTTTACTCCGCCTATTTCCTTTTCCTTTTTTCTCGGTTCATTGTTTGAGTTATTTTTCATTTTTAGAATCTATTGAACCTTCGAGGATTAAGGTAAAGTTCAAAATAACACTTGGATTAACTTTGAACTTTCTTTGAATTGGAACGGTATTCTTCGTATTTGATTAAATTAAAGTTCCAATGAACAAAGAATGTTCTTCCACCTCCACAAAATACAAAGAAGTACACAGAACTTGCATGTGAAAAAAATATTTGGAAAATGAAAAAAAAAACACAGCAATTTCCAGCTACTTAGTTCTTTTTCGGAATGAGCGTACTCTTGTCTTTTACTGTAATTTGAGATGTTGAAAACAACTAATGGAATTTGACGAATTAGGCCCATGAAAAAAAGAATTTGATGAGAGATGGATTAATTGAGTTCATTTGTTATATTCCAGCTACATAACTCCACATTTTTAATAAAAAAAAACAAAAACATGGAAAATGATGAATTATTTAGATGTGTTCAATACAAGATTCATAACATAACAACGAAAAAAGAAACAGAATATGTATGTAATAAATAATAACAAGTTATCTAGACATTGATCCTTTTATTCTAGTCAAAAATTGTATCCGAATTCTAAATAAAAACAGATAAAATCAAAGATGACGGGAGAATTATAGTTAAATATTCCGGAAATCTGTAATTTTAGAAACAAGACTACCCAAAAAACAATATTTTCGTAGCTATTTTATCAATGAAAATATTTTTCTGTCAAATTTCAAATTGACGTGAGAAATATTTTGAGAATTTGACTTGTCATGCAAAATTGTTATGAAAAGTTCTCTTATGTCTCCATCCGGTCATTATGAATAAAATGTTTACGCTTTTCATTTTCAATTATAAAACTTGTGAGTGAGATTGTTGTTTTCACAGAGAAAATTATGATAACAATTGAAGAAATTATTTTTTTTTGAGTTATGAAATGGCTACTTAAAAACAATTAATTATTCCAAAAAAATTTGAAAAGATGAAAGACTTTGCGGAACTAAAAAATAATAAACAATGTAATTTTCTTGATGGTAGTCTCAGCTGGATGAAACAGAAAGAGAAGAAAGTGCACCAAGTTGTTTGGGTCGCCGATGAATATTATTATCTGAAAATTATTCTACCCTATTGTTTTTTTTTCCTATTTTTTTTTGTAAACACCAAACATGATGAAAAACAAAAACAGTTTACTTCTTATTCTGTCGATAAGAAAATTCAAGGTTAACCAGTTTTCCGAAATGGCAGTTCAGGAAGTGACCTTGGCTGATTTCGAGAGGACGTATTTAAGGAGTTGAATAGGTTAGCAGAAATCAGTTCCGATTTTGTCGCCGGTTCTAAACGTAAGTTTTTCTCGCAAAAATTGTGTTGCTATTTCACCTGTCATTTTTCAGATGGACGAGAAGATGGAGTTGGTTCGAAAAGAACAAGAAATCGAAAAATTGCGAAGTGTTGCTTTTGCCGCCGTCGCAATTACTGGTTTGGCTATTGCAACATCAATTGTTGTTTTGCCATTACTTTTCAATCATGCTCAAACCATTCAATCTAACTTGGATCACGAACTTCAATTCTGCACCTTGAGATCTCACGATCTTTGGGACGAGTTGCAAAAGGTTGAACACTCTACTGGAAAACAAAGCAGAATCAAGAGACAATATGTTACCGGACCACCACCACAACCTGCTTATGGAGGTTATGCACAAGCTAACTATGGTCAACAAAGATATGCTCCACCACAACCACAGCCAGTGTATCGTCCAGCTGTTTATCAACCAGTTCCACAACCTCAACCAGTTTACCGTCCACCAGTTCAAACTTTCGCTGCTCCCCCAACCTCATCAATCTGTGTCTTTGGACCACCTGGACCACCAGGTCTTCCAGGAGCTGATGGAAAGCCAGGACTTGATGGAAGACCAGGAGCTCCAGGAGCACCAGGAGGTGATGCTAGATCTGGGCCATCGCCTGCACCAGCTCAAAACGATTGTCAAACATGCGCACCTGCACCAGCCGGACGACCAGGGCCACCAGGACCACGTGGACAACCAGGAAACGCTGGAGCACCAGGAGGATCTAGCGGTGGATCGAATGTTGGGCCACCTGGACCACCAGGACCAGCCGGGCCACCAGGAGGAGATGGACTTCCAGGATCAGCTGGGCGACCAGGAGCTCCAGGACAAGTTATCCCAGGACCAGCTCAAGTTGGACCACCAGGACCACCAGGAGGTGTTGGTTTGCCAGGAGCTGACGGTCAACCAGGACGTGGAGGAGCCGGACTTCCAGGACCACCAGGACCAGCTGGAGATAACGGCGCACCAGGACAACCAGGAGCCCCAGGAGCTGCTGGACAACCAGGAAACGACGGAGGATCTGGAGGATCTGGAGCTTGCGATCATTGTCCACCACCAAGAACCGCGCCAGGATATTAATCTAATACTTTATAATGAAAATTTTACTGCAAAAATGTGTTGAAAGAGAAAGAAACAAATATTTTAAGCACATTCCGATGTGGGAACACAAGTTCCATTTGCATTTCTTGCGTAATTATCAACACAAGCACATCCTGAATTACAACTGTCATGCGTTGGAGCTTTTGTTGTGCTTCCAAGGAATGTTGCACAAGTCAGATCAGTATCTTTGCATTTGACCCATTCTTCGTTATCCACACAGTCAGTACCTATAACAGTATCAGTGTTACGATAAACACCTAATATTTGTACTCACTCTTATAACAGTGTCTGTTATGAACACACTCTCCATTTGTATCTTTCTTGTATTTATCTCGACAAACACATCCCGCAGTGCAAACATTTTCATCAATTTCACTATCACATTCTTGATTTCCAGTACAACTCATCCAACATTTCGGAAGACAATCCGTATATTTTTCAGTAGCCAAACACGTAATATTATTTGTTGTCAGCGACGAACATTTTTTGAAAGTCACACAATTTCCATTTATTCTCACAAATCCTTTTGCGCATTGACAAGATTTTGTGCAATTTTTGGTGTCACATTTTGGATAGAGATTTGAACATGTTGCATCACATCCTTCACAACGATAGTCCTCATTTTTACCGCAAATTTGATTATCGGGACAATCCAATTCTTTGTAGCATTTTCCATCGTTTGATCTTGCATAACCATCAGAACATCCACAACCAACACGACAATGAGTTGTGCATTGAGCGAACTGTAATAAAACCCGAGATCTCATTAAGCCACTTATGTACCATACTCACGCTTGGAATACCAGCACATTTTTCTTCGCTACAACTGTTATAACATTCTGTCAAAGTTTCGTTAACTCCACATGTTGTCGAATTCAACGTAGCTTCTACAACAATCGGACAATCATCTGATAAAACACAATGTCCAGTTGTATTTCGTTTATAGCCAGTTTCACAAGTACATCCAGCAACACACATTCTGTTGCAGATAAAATCCTGAAAAAACCAGGAAATCATTTGTTCCAATATACATTGTAGTGTGTGTTTTTGTTTATGACGCAGTTCCTTCTCATTTCACCAAAAATAAATTAATTTCTCGAGAAAAAAACTTACGGTGTTTATTATACACTTCGATTCTGAACAAGGGTTTGTGCATTGTGAGAATGTTTCATTTGTTGAGCATGTTGAGATTGTAGTCGATGTTGTGTTTACTTCAACATATTTCACACATGAAATACGAACCGGGCTGGAAACATGTTTTTGTGAAAAGATGTTCGCTTTGAGAAAATCTCGAATTACCATGTTTCATCTTCACATTCAACAGCGTCTTCTTGACAAACCTCGTCACTTTCACATTGAACAACATCACAACCTTGAGTTGGAACATCGGTTGAATTATAGTTGTCAGAAAGACAAGTTACAACCGGTGGACACGGTGCAACAAGGCAATTAACTGTGATTTGTTGACAAGTTTCTCCAACTGGACAAGTTATAGTTTCACATCCAGAGATTGTTGAGTTCAATTCAACTCGTTTAACACAACTCGCTTTAGTACTACAAGATCCAGAATCATCACAACTTTCAATTTCTTCACATTCTGTTTCTGAAGAACATCGAACCATTGCACAACTTGTTCCATTGATCACTGATGATTGTTGATCTTCTTCTTGTTCAACTATTAAAATATTATTTACTCAATGTTTTCTCAAAATATTATTATCATTATTCATCAACGGAAAATCCCATGGCATGCAGAAAAAAAAAATGGCAACTTAGAAGTAACACAAAATAATTAATATTTTAAATAGTTTTTAATCCATCGCAAACTTTTTGATCGACACATTTTCCATTTGGATGTCTATAGAATCCCGAACTGCAAGCACATCCTGCGTAACTACATTCTTGGGTACACATAAATCTTTCTTTTTGATTGCAAACTTCTTCGCTGCAGGCATTTTTGCATGATACCATACTCTCGTTTTCTGGACATTTTGGAAGGAAATCATCAGAGAATCTGTTTCTTTTCTGACGAGAAATGCTTGCTTTTTTAGGAACACATTCGGCGATTGGGTTGCTAAAATTTAAAATCACATCATTTTATTTTCTAACAAAGTAGCCTACCATGGTGTCATAATACATGTAACTTGTTTCAAAACACATTCTGTTAATGCCGTGCACTTTGTATGATGACACGCTGGAATAAATTGATTTCAATTTCATAACTCAAACTTTTTTGGGAGAAACATACGATTTGACTCGATACACATTGGTTGTGCAACACAATCTGATCCAGAACATCCAGCTGGTTCAACCATAGCACATCCACCTGATGTTCCACATCGAACATTTCTACATGTGATACTTGGAATATCCATAGCTGCTCGAACACATCTTGCTTTTCCCAAACGAGTTACACAATTATAACCATTCATGCAAAGAACTGCTGCGCAATTAGCTGCCGTTGGTTTAACTTAAAGATAGAACATGCTTTTTCCCGAAAAATTGAAATTAGAAAAAAAGTAACCTTGAACACAAATCGGCTTTCCATTTTGTGTTTCGCAAATCATTCCCGATCTACAATCAACCGTTTCGCATGGGTTACTTTGAGCTAAATTGTTTTTGTTAGAGTAATAATTAACATAAAAATGAAAAAAACCAAAGTATAATTCTTACCAACAACACCACAATCTTCTGATAAAACACATTCTCCTTGATTATTTCGAACATATCCTGATTTACAAGCACATCCTTGCATACACATTGTGATACAAGCAACGGCTTCAGTTGTTCCTGATGTTGGGCATTTAGCTTCAGTACATGGACTGTGACAGTCACTGTAAGTTTCATTGGCAGCACAATTGAATGAAGGGGAAGTGGTTGATCCAAGAACTTGTCCAAGATTTGGTGAAGTTGTTGCTGAAGAGTTTGAAGATGCTGATGTTTCAGTACATTGTTCATATTTGACACACGCTTTCTTAGAATTTCTGACATATCCTGTATCACATTGACAACCAATCACACATTGTAATGTGCAGAACGACTGAAAAAATTCATAATAAAAAACTTTAATTATTTTCGATGAATGAAACTCACAGGGTTTGGTGTGTCACACGATGGTTCGCAAGCACTTCCACATGTCTGATATGTCTCATTGTCTCCGCAATCGTCTGATCTTGTTAATGAAAGTTGTGCTTGGCAAAAAGCCAATAGTCCGATAAATATCAATAGACCGGTCTTTGGCCACATCTAAAGAATACAAAATTTTATTTTCGAATTAAAATGACAGTTGAACCGCACAAAAAAAATGAGAGATACGGATCAATAATTATATCCGATTTGAAAAACATAAAAAACATAGAGAGAACAAAAAATGACCGAAAAATAATTGAAGGGTTTACCAAAAAAAAAAAAATGATTTTTTCATCTTTATATAGGGCTTCTTTACACAAACATTTATTGAGAGAAGGGTGACAAATGTTATTTTTCTATTTGCCCTATCATTGTTCAATAGATCAAAGATGATGTCAATTTAAGCGACACAAAAGTTCGAAAAGAGATCGAAACAATTATTTTCATTTTTTGCAAATCGTCGAACACAAGACACAACCAGTCTATTATTTATCAAATTATGATTCATGAGTAAATAAATATTTTTGAGAGGGGATGACAAAAAAACAATTTGAGTTTCATGAGCGGTTTGAACTTCTATTTTCGTTATTTTTCTATCAAAAAGTTCAATAAAATAAATCTTTTTATTTAAAAAAAACCCTAAATTTTCAAAATCCTCTTAAACTTTGAATTTAAATGTTTAGGGTTAATAACACTCCCATAATTATTGAAATTCGCCGAATCTGCGATATTTATCCAAGTAATTGGCGGTTTGATAAATCGTGTATTAGTCATCAACAATCCTTCACAACCAGCTGAACTCTCTCGACATATTTCATTTTCATCTGTCAATTTTAAACCAAATGACTCTTTTCGACATTGTTCAAGGTTTCTAATCACCTGACGAGCTTCCACGGACCACGGAGAGAAATCGAATTCTGAAAAAAAAATAAACGAGGCATGTTTCCTCTATCTGATTTTCAGAACATTTGATGTTTGATTTATTTAAAAAAAAAATCAAACACCATGTGTTTATTTGTTTTGTAGTTTTGCTGTTATGAGAAACGATTTTTCTGAAAATATTATTTCCGATGGGAAAAAATTTGATCGTCGACCCTCGTAACTCACTTTCAAACCACGTTCCTTTTATCCGCTTCGCGTAGTTTTTCATCATAATCCGATTCAAAGACTGCAAAGTTTCGACATTTGTAGTTTCATTATAACTCGAAACTGTCACATTTTTTAAAAATCGTTCAAATCGACGGAGATGGAGGAAAAATGTGTTGGGATTACTGTATAATTCGACAGCAGTGTAGTAATAACCGTTGCGGATTTTCTCATTTCCATACACGTTATGTTGATCGAGATGTATAACCTACAACAAATATAGATTTCACAATTGAATAACATATGCCTATGATCAAAAAAATACAAACTCTTTCAGGGCGATGAATGAATTTTTTGGCATTAAAATAATCGAATCTGACGTTGTCAATATTAAGAATTTTCACTTCGTCGATATTAAAATTGAGATCTGAAGGAGTTTTGATCGAATCCCAATCCAATTTTTGTTCACTCAGCCACCAATCCATTGCAAATTGTCCTGCTTTTGGATGTCTTTTTGAAATTGTCTCCAAATCGTTCAAAATACTCATATTTTTCGAAAATGGAAAGTCATCCAAATCCGTATTCGACACGAATTTCACAATATTCCGTGCTCTTAACATACAATCATGCATAAAAGCAGTTGCACCATATCGAAAAACATGTGCGTTTGGATCTCTATCAGGAATTCCACGATCACGGGAAGGAACTGGTAGATCAGACCAATCGATTAATTCAAGATTATCTCCAAGAGTTTCCTTGTAGAATTGTAGTACTTTTCCTGATTTTTCGGTATAACTATTGATATAAAAATAGAATTTGGTAGCACCTTGAGCAATCCACGATTCAAAAAACTGTATAATAATTGTCCAATCGGTTAAATAAAAAACTGGTTGTAGACAAACTCCTAATCCATGTTCATACGTTCTTTTTGAACTCGATCTTTTATCATTCAAAGGAATCTTGAAATATTCTTGAGATTCAGAAGTTGAAATTTTCAAATATTTTCCATTATCCGTTGCAGGATCAATAAATAATCTACCAATTCTTGGAGAAATTGAGCAATGATGATAATCGATACAAGTTGTATAATTTGTGCAAAACCATTCAATTTCTTTCCAAGTATTATTTATATTTGCAATTATTGGAGTCCTGTAAAATTAACATAGTAATTCATTTTAGAAAAAAACTTACCAGTTATTATTTTTAGCCAAATAAATCAAACGAATTTCCGATTCTGAAACACGATAAGCTTCTCTAACATAAATTCCAGAAAAATCTGGTTTCAATAAAACAGTTGAAGTTAATAAATTTTCCGTTGATGGTTTGTCATCGTTTACTTGAAAATCAACTTCAGATTCTTCAAATTCGTTCCGAATTTTTGTAATCTGCCGAGTTAGACTATTATGATAAACTATGAGACCACCTGAAAAAGTTATATTTACACAAGTTGATATTGAAAATAAAAACTACCTAAATAGACAATTATGAATAATATAATAATAAAGTATTTGATTCGAAATCGATACATAACTGTTTTGAATATGTGTCGATTTTTAGATAAGATGAATAACGAAATAAAAAAAGCGAACAACTTGTTGAAATAAAATACTAATGCGTCGTGGAAAACTTCTTCTTATTATTTGTATTGTTTTTATTTTCATTTTTATCTTCAATGTTATTTTTATTTATCGAGCTCTTCGTGATCGAAAAATTATAAGTGAAGAAGATTATGAGAATGAAGAATCAAAAGAAAGAGATGATTTCAAGGCATTCATCACATCTTCATATTTTTATCCAAAATCCAAAAGTTTAGGAGATAACGCTTTAGCATTGGTATTAACTATTAATCAGAAAAAGTCGATTAATAATTGGTGGAACTTACAATGGTGGAATATACCAAAAAATCCTGAAATTGTTGTTTTATCTAGAAATGCAACATCAAGTAGTATTGTTAGAACACAATATTGGAAGTGAGATTGTTTTTTTTTAATTTTTATCATTTTCATTTAACTTTTAGAATTACACCACACGAAGTTTGTAACATGATTGCAATTTTTGCAACAGTTCAAATTATTCCAAATCCGACATCGATTTCTCTTGTTGGATACAATAGTTTAGTCGATATTCCATTTGAAATTCCTCCAAGTATTGAACGTGATGTTGTTGTTTGTATTTCTCCACTTTTTATCAGTGAACAATGGCAGAACTTTTTATTCGCAGTTCATATTTATAAAAAATTCGGAGCATTTATGAATTTATATTTGATTAGTGCAGTTGATTCATTTTATTATTTGATGAAAGAATATGAAAATGAGGTTATTTTTCATCAAAGAAAAATATTTTGAATAGTTTTTTTTTAGAACTATCTCACCATTCAACCTTGGGTCAGCGCGAAATTCGTTGGAGTTTCTCCAGATATTGCGGATCCTTATAATCAAATAGAGTTTAGAAATCAAGCTGGATCACAAACTGATTGTCTTCTGAAATACAAAGTGAGTGTTTCGATTTTTCACATTTTCACATGAACAACTCTAGGAAACCGCAAAATATGTTACCTTTTTGGATTTGGATGATGTTCTAATACCTAGACTTGCGCCAACTTATCTTGAAGAAATTATTAAAATAATAAACAATCGGAGAAATATTGCTTTCATTCATTATCACAAAGAAAATCATGAAATTTCAACGGCAAAACATGGCGAACAATTTTCATTTGAAAAAATGTTTAGCACTCTGAAATATGAAGGTGCAAGAGAAACTGGAAAAATTGTTGTTGATCCAAAAAACTTGAACTACACTTGGATACATTTTCCACCATTTATGCCAGTTCAAATGAGACAAATTGTTGTGAAAGAAAATGTTATTACTCATTTGAAAAATATTTTATGGTTAGAAGAAATTAATGGAAATGATGAATTACCAAAATATTATAACAATTCTGAAGAACATATTCTAGAATATGACACGATTTCTTCAATTGAAAATGATTTGCAAACAATGATGAAAAAACCAAATATTTCAAAATTACTTTCAAAACTGCCAACACATCATTATTATGCAAATTTAATTGGAAAATGTTATTTCGAGAAATATTATTCCCTACATTATTCTGGAAGAATAAAAGAAATCACTTGTCCTGGTCCTCAATTATGTGATGTGAGTTTCTTTAAAAAAATTGGGATAAATAAAAATAGAATATTTTTCAGTACGATCAACGAGAAGATATAAAATGTATCCACGTGGATGCTGATTATCCTGAAGTTCCAAAATTAAAACCTGTCTCATATTATTTCGCAAAAAATCGACGATTTTCCAAAAATATTGGTTGCTATCCTCATTAATAAAATTTGAAAGTTATTGTAATAAAAATAGAAAAACTATTTCATTTTTTTGGATAGTATTTCATGGAACGCTTATAAACAAAAACTATTTCTAAAATAAACAACTGAATTTTTATGGATCGTTACTATAAGCGTTTTCCATGACACATTATTCTTATCAAAATGATTTTTTGTGGTTTTTCGAACTCGAGTTGTACTTTTTATGTTTGATCTGCAAAAATGGGCTTTGATTGAAAAATGACGTCCCTTTTTGTAGTTTTATTTCCAAAGATTCAAACTGTTTTGTATGCATTAGAGTATTTCTCCAAATTAACTATAGTTATTGTCAATTGCACAATATTATTTCCATGAAAGAAAATTCACCACAGTAAACTTTGTCGGCTTCTTTGATCTTTTGCATGAAATGAAGACATATTAGGTTTTCTAGGTTATATCGATTCTCTTCCAAGGGTCAACATTTTGGATTGACAATATAAAAATAGTTAATTTAAGAAATTGAGCTTTCCAGTGAAAATTTTCGAATACTGGGACCAAACATTTTGTACAACGACTTCCTACAAATTTAACACCTCCCACTTCAATTTTCCACTCCTTCGCAGAAGAAAACTGAAAAAAAAAACATTTTTATGATTCACCTGGTTATCAGTGAGAGCACATATAAAAATTCGTATTGATAGATTTTTTATCATTTCACATTTTCCAGACGCAACGGAGAATGTTTCTAGGATTTCTTATTTTTTCTATTTTATTTTTCAATTTTTCACAAGCTGATGTTTTCACATGTACTGATGCAAATACTGGTAATCTTCCTTCGAATGTGAATAGTGTGACAACAGTTCCAAAAGGGACAAATTGCACATTTTCGGTGAGTAATTTTTTTTTTGATTATCTAAAAAAAATTGTTGATAATTTTGTAGATTAGCACTGCAACTGGTTATGCTGTTCGATTCACAATAACATCACAATCATCAAATGTGAATGACACTGTCATTTTCACGCATACAAATGGAGATAGATATCTTATGCCATCAACAAATTCAATTTCTCAAATTTCCACAACTGGAGTAACTACAATTCAAATTGTTGGTTTTTCTGGTGCAAGTACATTTTTTGCAAATTACACATATTTCCCAATCACTGGATATACACCAAAAACAACAATAAACACAGGAGAAGCTTTCCAACTCAGTTTAACAGTCAATTCATATTACACAATTTCTTCCACCAAAAATGAAACAATCATTTCATCTGTTGCGAAAGTAGCTACGGCTGCTATTGATAATGTTTTAGATCAAATATTTGTGTTCGATGGAGCAGATATTGTTAACTCCAAATTTTTGGGAAGATTGAGTCATGTTGCGGATGCTGCTGTATCTTCCACTTCTTCCGAAATTACTCTAGTCAACTTTTTCAACACTGTATCTACCAATTATTTCTTGGCAAATGATGCTTCAAGTGAGTCATAATACGAGTATTTCAAAAAAAAAACATAACTTTCAGCTGTTTCAAAATTCAACAAATACTCTGTACTTCGTATGAGTTCCGAAGGAGCATTATCCGGAAATTTGACAGATTATTCCACTGCTGGAAGTGCCTACACTTTCATATGCACCGATTGCGATACTTTCTATTTGGGTAGATTGGTTTTCAATAATTTTGCCACGATTGTAAGTTTTCCAAATTCAAAAAATAAATCCAGTTTTAAATAAAATACTTTTTCAGACTAATCTCGCATTCATCAGCTTTTCTGGAATGACACCAACTCATCGATTGCCAACACTTTTGAATTACACGTAAGAATTCAACCAGTCAGATTTCTTTAAATTTTATTTTTCAGTGCAATGCAGTTCACCGATGATAGTTTGCCTCAAATAATTCCTTCAAATGTATTCACAATGTATACTTATATGAGTGGAATTCATATTGGAATTTCAACACAGAACACTTGTTAGTTTAAAAAAAAACGTTGAATTTATTTATTTTTTAAATTTTCTTCAGGGAAGAATTTCTGGCAATCGCCGTATGTTGGAAGAAAAGGTTTTATGATGAATCCTTCACTTTGGAAGCCAACTGCATCACCATCCTTCTCTTACACTATTAGTTAGTTTTCCTATTGATAAAAAAAAGAAAGAAAGAAAAAAAAACATTCTTGAATAGATATTTTCAGATAATCAATCAAGTCTCTACACATTTTCTCTAACTCCTTCAAATCTTGCATTCACATCTGATTCCGATTCTCTCCAAGTTTCGCTTTTGAATAGTGCCGGAGTTACAACATTGCAAAAGAAATATTCACGAGGTGATGCAATTTCAACATTTAGTGGAATTGGAAATGGAATCAATGTTCAATTGTCAACTGGAAAAGATGCAAATGTTCAAATGAGTTTTGATATTAAAGAAGGAAAATCATCTTCCGCTTTGACTCTTTTCACAACTTTTATTGTATTGTTCTACAAGTTACTGTTATAAATTATGTTTTGTTGCATAATATTGTATTAATCATTCTTATTTACATGATGACTTTTGATACTTGTGTGATGAAAGCACACAACTAAAAATGATGATATTTATATCGTTCTTATCAGGAAAAAGTCATTCATTATTGAAATGTCAATACTAAACTTTATTGTGCTTTTAATTTCCCTGACTCAACATGTTCAAGCAGCATTCGTTTGTCCAACTCAAGCTATCACGCTTCAACAAGGATTAACAGGTTCAATTCCATCAAATTCTAATGGACTCCAATCAATATCCGCAAACTATAGTTGTGATTATCGATTTGATATTCCAACTGGCTATGTTGTTAAATTGAATTTTTTCACAAACTATAATTATGGCAGTGAAAATATTACATATATTGACAGTCGTGGGAACAATTATCGGTAACTTTTAATTAAACAAGTTTTACATTTTACGACTGATCCATTTTTTCAGACTTGGCACACCTATGAGTAACTTCCCATATGTCGCAACTCAACCAAATGCTCATGTTGTTATAAAAACAGTGACTAACACAAGCAAAGTTTTCGTGCAATATCAATATATTGACAGTGAGTATGAAAGCTATGTATATAAAATAATCAAAACAAAATTTCCAATTTAGTAACAAAGTTCCAACAAACAAAACTTCAATCTGGAAATATTCTGAATTTGATGTTTATTCCAAACACATTCTACACATTCAATTCGGCTCTCAACGATTCAATTGTTCTTCAGTTCTCCAAACCGTATTATACAACTTCAAAGTCAAGAGTTATTAGAAGTTTAGCATGGAATTATTATATTTATGATGGACCAAATATTCTCACATCAAAGTTTATCGGAAGGTAAATTTCAGAATATTTAGAGATTATTTTATTATGAAAATGTATTTTTTCAGTCTTACTGATTATCTTGAACAACCTTTCACTTCTAATGGAACTTCTATTAGTCTTGTAAATTTCTACAATTCATCATATTCTGATTATATAATTGCAAATGACAAGAAAATGGTGGGATACATGACAAATTATACATTTTCAATTATCGCCAATGATAAAACTACTTATTCTTCACTTTATGATTTGACATATACTGGAGACAGCGCAAATACAGTTTATTGTGTTGATTGTGAAAGTATTTATCTCGATCAAGTTAATCTGAGCAACGATCAAGTAATTGTGAATGTTGCACCATTGACACCAACACAAAGAATAAGTGGATTGTTAGGATATGCGACAAATCTATTTGGTAATCAGACACAAGTTCCACAAGTCATTCCATCAAACTTGTTCACAATTTTTGCATTAAATCAAAACAAGGGAACTGTCTCAACACGTGTCAATGTTGATTCAACGAAATTTTTAACTCCAGCTGATGGGAGACAAGGATTCTTATTCTCACCAAATTATTGGAAAACTATGATACAATCCAAATATTCTTATTATTTCAGTGAGTTTGGTTTATACATTTTGAAAACTAACATTTATTTTTCAGAATCAAACGATTATTACAAATATAATCTCAATTTTTTGACCCACAACTTGGTTGCTGATTCAAAACTAGAAATCACAATTGGCGGAAAAGATTTTGTATCAAAAGTGTTCACTTCGGCATCTACTTCGACAGATTGGAATACTGCTATAAGTGGAGTTGGGAAATATTTGAATGTTACCTATAATGGGGGTTATACATCAAATCTAACAGTTCAATATACAATGCAGTATCAAGGAAATTCAGCTAATAATCTGGGAATATTCGGAGTTCTGTTCACCGTTTTGCTACTCGTTTCATTTTAAATCTCAAAAATGATTTCTTGATAATTGATTTTTTAACTTATTCAATAAAAATTCAGAAAAAAAATTAATACAGACCGATTTTCCGATTTTCTATACCTTTTTCGAAATAAATGAAAAAGATCAAAATTAAGTCTTGATGGAGAGAAATTTCATGGAAAACATAGGCATGAATAATAGAATTGACATCATTTTTTTCTAGGTTTTTTATCACGGACGTTATCGTTTCAAAATATTTTTATCGGGTTTTTTCGTTTCCAAAAGTGTGATAATGTGCATTTTAATTCTCTTAAAAATGATGCGATTCAAGATTTCTTATCAATTATCGAAAAATGTTGTCGATTCTATTCCTGCTCCCTTTTCTAATCAATTCCCAGTTGATCTGTCCAAGTCAACATATTACTTCTGGAAAGGGATCTATTCCATCAGACGCATCTAAATTCACAGTTCTACCTGCTAACTTCAATTGTGACTATCAATTCGATGTTCCTTCTGGATTTGCACTTTCGTTGAGATTCTATGCCAGTTATGATTCTGGAACGGCCAACATTACATATGTTGATAATCTTGGAAATTCGGCCAGGTAAAGTTTTCTTTTCAAATAAAACAATTGAACATCAATTTTTAGAATTGGTGCAAACACCAATAATTTACCACAATGGGCTGTTCAACCAAATGCTCATGTTATTGTCAAAACTACTTCAGCGACAAGTAAATTATTGATTTATTATGAATTCGTTGATAGTAAGTTTCAAGCTGTTCTTTTTAATAACGCAAATTTTCGATTGTAGTTTCGAAATATTATCGGATTCGATTCCCAACTGGCAAAGTTCTGAGTTTGGCAACTTTTCAAGATCAAACATACTATACTTTCTACTCACAAAACATGGATTCAGTAGTTCTAAATCTCGCCAAATCTTTCAACAACTACAGGGTTCCATCATCAAATTATTATATTTTTGATGGAGATAACATCGTGACTGCAAAAATGATCGGAAGGTTAGTTTTTGCATCAAAAAATAATAATGATAACAATCGCTGGAATGTTCAGATTGTCAGATTATCTCACAACTTCTATCAACTCAACTGGTTCTTCTATAAGTTTGGTTAATTTCTACGGAACAAGATATTCAGATTTCATAATTTCCAATGACAAAAAATCGATAGATTCGTTTGCAAAGTATTCATTTTCTGTACTTGCCAATAATCCAACATATCCTCAAACAGATTTAACATTTGTTCCTGGATATAGTGCTGCAACATTCTACTGTGTTGATTGTGAAAGTTTATATCTTGAAAGTTTGGGATTTTATCCAACAGGATCAGTTCAACTTGTTCCATTGGCACCGACAAACAAGATTGATCCAGTTCTAACATACAATTCGAATACTTTCAACAATTCAACACAACTTCCACAAGTTATACCTAACAAGTTATTTACTATTATTTATAACGGAAAATATATTGAGACTCATCTTGGAGTAAAATCAGATAATTGGTTGAAACCATCGAATGGAAGACAGGGATTCATGTTCTCACCGACAGTTTGGAAAGCTGGAACACAATCTGTATTCTCATACTTTTTCGGTGAGATTTCTCAAAGTGTGAATATATTGAATTGAATTTAATTTACAGATTCTGACATTAGCTACAAATTCTCGCTTGGTTTTTTGCAAAAAATTGTAGACTCCAATTCAAATTTGGAAATTTCAATCGGAACTTCGTCATCAACAAATATTTATACAAATTCAACTGCTCTTGATTATTTTTCAGCAGTCGGAACACATATGAATGTGACATTCAAAGGAGATTACAAATCATTTTTAACTCTTCAATTCAACACAACTTTACCAAATTAGAAAAATTATGAATAAATAAATATTCAATGCATTACATGAATTGATTAAACTAATTTCAAATTCGACAACAGCAAAAGACGTGGATCTATTTCCAGTATATTGAATTTTCATATAATTTCCTTGGCGTTGTTGAGAACTTTCAGAAATACTGTAAAGTTGTTGCAGCTTTGAAGAATAGCTTGAAAAAACTCACAACTCTTGGAAAACTTCGGGTCCAGATTGCAGGATCAAGGTTTCTCCGTTCACGGATTTCACACTTATGTTGAAATAATATGTTTGATCTGGATCTTCTGAAGAAGTGAATTATTCAGAAACGAAGAAATTATAAAAATTCTTACCGAAAGAATAATTGAATGATGGACGGGTTTGAGGATCCCATAATGATGGAGAATGAATAATTCCCTTTCGACCATCATAAGGTTGTAACCATTTAGAATCTGAAAATTGTTTGATTTTTTTTGAAAAGTAAACAATTTCATTTCGTACTTGTCATATTGAGAGTGTTAATTGTGAGACCAATTTTTGAATGATGATTTATAACTGTAAACATTCGAGTTGGTAGAAGTTGTGGAAAATAGTTGTCCGAATGATGAATTCCCGAATAATTCAAAATAGGTTTCATTTGATGACTTGGTGATAATGGTTGTACTTCAATAAATGCTTCTTCTTTTGGTGTTTTCCATTTGTCAAATTTCAAAACATTCCAATAAAATGTTGAACAATCGGAACAAATCCACGTGTAGGCACTGCTCAAATTACTCGAGTCATAAAATTCGCCAGATGTTTGTTCATTCTTTGACATGAGTACTGCTTTGTATTTTGCGAATTTTGATATAATTGAGTAATCATTTCCAATAACATAAGATGGTGATGGAACATCATAAAGATTTATAAAACTTATATTATTTTTAGTTGAGACTCCAGACTTTCGAGAAAATTTGTATAGGTTTCCAATCATTTTTGAATTTTTCAAATCTCCACCATCATAAACAAAAATTTTCTCAAGATGTGGATCAAAATCCTGAGTACTTTTAATAGCAATATTGATTTTTATACGCTCATGTGATTTGAAAGTATAATATAAGAATTTCATAGAATTCAAAGCGAAATAATCTCCAGTTTCTAAAACTTTTTGTCTATAATATTTGTGAATATTGACAAATTCATAAATAGCAAACATTTGACTTGAATTTGAAATTGTTCTAATAAGAAGTGAGGCTGTTGATGAAGCTGACCATTCATCAATATGTTGATTTGGAGTTGGTATTCTGAACAAAGACGTAGGTGTTTATGACAAAAATAGATAAGTGCATTATCAAAATCATGTGACATGTCTCGTCAATCTTCAGGGATTTTCGAAATTTTTTATAAAAAGAGGCACAACAAAAACAATCTCATAAGAAACAAAAATCAGATAATTATAATGCTGATTTTCATTTTTGTCCACGCTTTTGTTTGCTTCGTTGGAATGGTAGCAAACTCAATGTTACTATTTTTGGCGTTAACAAAATCACCAAGAATAATGCGTCCTTGTTCAGTTCTTTTAACTTGTAAGTGCATTACAAATTTACTCATTTTGATATTTGATATTTTATCAATGAGTTCGGTTAAATTTGACAGTTCTTTGGAGGCTGAGCTAGAATGTTTTGGATTGTGCTCTTTTTTGAATTCAAATGTCTGTTATATTTCAACTATATCTATGTTGATTCTGTTAAATCAAAATCTTATATGGTTGATTATCAGTTATATTTTTCGATATTATATTATTTATATCAAAGAACCGACTGTTAACATCATATTGTTTTTGTGTGCAATTCTCACGATTACTTCAGCTCTCCATATAATATTCTGGTTTTTCTATCCAGAATTTTCCGTTTTTGCAATAATTATGTTGTTAATAACAACAAGTTTCTGCATAATAATAACTTATTATTGGCTCAGAAAGAAAATCGTCAAATTCATTGAATTTCATGAACATCATCTAACTGAAGAAGTCAAATGCTTAAACAAAAAACTGATTAATATCATTGATTTTCAAGTGAAAATGCCGTTGTTAATTTTCAGCGGAGCAACATGTTTGGGATTATCAATGATCGATAATTTGGAAATTCTCAAATTTTTTGTGACATTATTTTTATTGTGTTATACAATAACCAGTTCATCTTGTTATATTTACTATATCCCACCTTATAAGAACTTCATCGTCAAAAAGATCAAAAAAATTACAACAACTGCGGATGATAATTAATTTGTTGTATGCTGATAAACTCACATAAATTCTTCTCCCAAATTGTTTGTAAATACAATTTGATCTCCAAGCAAAATCTCATAATGTGTACTGATTGAAAAATGTAAAGCAAAACCTGGCGGAATATAAAAATAATATGTGCAATTATAATTTGCCGGTATAACAGATAAACCAACTCTTCCACGTGGAATCACACCAATCGGACCATCTTCTAATGTGATCAATCGATTTGGACAAACTGGATAATTTTGTTGAATTTTTACAATTAAAAATGGAAAACTTACTAAAATACTTTGATAGCACTGTGTTAGCTAAAAATAGAAAATACAAGAGAAAAGCAAAAATCATGCGCCAGACAGTTATTTTTTATTTTTGTTTTGTTTTGTTTTTGTTGAGGGTGGAGAAAATGGGAGAGTTATACATTTTTAACGAAAAAGATCAAAAGCTAAAAATATTGTTATGACGTGGCAACATAGTTCAGGATGTTTTTGTTTCGAAAGAATTTCTGATGATCAGTTATCCATGTTGTTTATAAACACCAACAAAAAAACACATAGTTCAACTTGACATGACCTAAATATCGTACTGTCTGCGTCATCCTATCTCGCAAACTTTCCATTTCTTTTTTTCCGAACGGACACAGCCTTTGGATTTTTTCTTTTCGTCTTCTTGTGAAAATAATTTTTGCAAAAATGTCGATGACCGAAAAAGACCGGGTGGCCATTAATGAACTTCGAGAAGCTGTCAAAGAACATGTAAGTTAGATATGTTTCGGATTAATTTTTCACAAAGATAAAGTATTTCAGTTGACACCTTATTATGATACAGATTTCAATTTGTTGCGATGGTTAAAAGGACATAATTATAATTTGGAATTGATCAAACCAAAATTAATCAATCATTTGTTATTCAGAAAATCTGATTGGGATTTGGATAATTTGGCAGATAAACCAAGAGATCATCCAGTTCATAATCATTGGAAAACTGGGTTGACTGGAGAATCTGGAATTATTCCAAATACAATTGTAAATATTGAACAAACTGGATCAAATGATTATTGGGGAATGTTGAGTAGTTATCCAACAAATGAAATATTGAAGTGAGAAATTATCAGAGAAAAACTTTTTTACAACTGGAGTATTTTTATAGAGCTCGAGTTCATGATTTGGAAAGTATGCTCCGCGCAGTTATGGAACTCGAAAAGAAAACAAATGAACAATGTTCTGTTGTTTATATAATGGATTTGACTGGAATAAAAATGGACACTAAACTAACAACTTTGTTATCTGGAGGACTTGCTGCAATTTCAGCATTTATGGCTGAACATTATGTTGAACTTGTTCATAGTTTTGTTCTTGTAAATGTCCCTAGCTTCATCTCTGTAATCTGGTGAGTTTTTCATTCTGTTCAAGTTTCTTGAAAAACTAAATTGAAGGACAATCGCTAAGCCTCTTTTGCCGGAGAGAACTAGAAACAAGATCAATATTTTGAACAGTAGTTGGAAATCCGAAGTTCTAAAAATCGCTGAAGGAAGATGTTTGCCAACTTATTGGAACGAAGATGAATTAGACGGAGTGAGTAAAAAAATGTTTAAAAAAACACAGATGAAATAAGCTCGAAATTTCAGCCATTCACAGCTCCAATTGAGAAATGTGTGCCATTCCCTGTTGAAAATTATTACAAAGAAAGTGTGCCAAAAGATGCAAAACTGTTGAGTGTAGGACCAGGGAAAACAGGACATGTTGACATTGATGTGAAAGAGGTAAGATTATTTTGGGAATACCAGGCAGGTATAATCGTGAGAAAAATATTTTGTTTATAGGGACAAACATTGTCGTGGGAAATTCATGCAAACGGACATTTTGCTTTTGCGATTTATGATCAAACTGAAGTTGGAAATTCTGATGAATTAAGTGTTTACAAACGAGTCTATCCATTGTTTAGTGTAAGTTTTTTTCTAGGAGAAAAATTAAGATCTTATCTTCGGTCACAGTTTTCATTTTTTACAGAAAATACCCGGTCCAACTTTAGTACCTTGCGTTGATTCGATCAAATGTAAAAATTCTGGAACATATCGTTTCTGGTTTGGAAATCAACATGCTTGGATTCACACACTGAAAATCAACTATGTTTTCAAACTTGAGTAATTCAGATGATAAAAGTAAAAATTTTTCATTCGAAGCTACCCGTGTTCAAAAAATTACAATTCTCAAAAGAAAAAAAAAGTTTTAATAATTTACAAGGTTTTTTTGGCATTTTCATTCAACTGGTGTCACATCCTCAACTTTTTTAGTTATTCGAGGTTGTTGAGCTGCGTCAACGATTGTATGTGAAGCTGATGGGAGTTCGGGGAAATTAGAAATCTGACTATAACTAGGTGGTGGTGGATATGGTGGAGGAGCAGCCAATCCAGGTAAACCTTGAAATTGTCGAGGATCACGGAGTGACATTAAAGGAGCAGCATATGGTGGAACATAAACTGGATAAAGAGCAGATGCATCTGTCGACATTACTTCAGCATAATAACCTGAAAAATATTTGTGATATTATTTAACTATTTTGCGGTAGAAATAAAAAAAACAATATTTGCAAAACAAAACTCACTTGGTGGATTTGGCTGACTAACTGTTGTTGTATGATTTGATTGTGCTGGCGGATTATATGGAACATCAATTGCTACTGAATCTGATGATATTGTTCCCATCGCTCGAATTCGTCGATCTCGTCGAGTTTCATTTTTACGACTGAAATTATTAAATTATGATATTTTGATCCCTCTCTGTTCATAGAACATTTGAGTTCATACGTAATCTATTTCTAGAAAACTACCGTAGTTTCGTACTAATAATTTGCTGAACCTATAATTAGTTCAACTATAAACAAGAAGTTTAGTTGAGCAAACATTGATGTGAACTAACCTCATCATAAAAAAGGACCTCAATAATAGAACAGCTAGAAAGAAGAGGATAAATACGATAAGCGGTGCAATGACGAGCACATGAGACATCTCCATTTCAACATTACCACCAGAATCCGAAATTTCCCAAATTGTTGTCTATGAAAAACTGAAAATGAAATTTGAGACTAAAAGACTGAAAAGAGGACGGGAAGAAGATGAAAAATTTAATTAAATTTCAAAGTTGATTTTCTGTGCTTTCAAAAAAAACGAATGAAGACACATTTCTCAAAAGAGTTGACCTTTTAAGGAAAAAATACGTTCAGAAGAAAAATATGAACGTCATATTATCATAGAAAAATACAAAAACGAGAAAAATACAAATTTACATAATTATTCTTTTTCGAAAAACAAAAGAAGAAAAAAAAAACGTCAGAAGAATTTTTGTGTTATGGAATTGGCTTCCAGCAAAAAAAATTGGCAAAACCAGAAAAAAAATCTGCGTCATTTTTCTTATTATTTTGACATAAATTCAATTTTCCCGGAATTTTTTTCTCTTTTATTTTTTTCCAGACGTTTTGTGTTCCGCTTTCAGCTGTCAAAAGCATATAACAGAAATCTAAAAATGGGTTTGGACCATATTATCCTTCTGCAAAATCACAAGCTAGGGAATGTAGAATTTAATTTCCGAGTTCAACAAAAACTGGAAAAAGGATCAACATTGGAAGTAAACATTCAAAATTAAAATCAAAATTGGAATAGGCTTATGTGCATTTCGAGAAAAAGAACTTTTTGATTGCAGGTTTTGAGGTTTAATAAAAAACGGAAAGAATAAGAAAAAGTTGGGGTGCCGAAACACAATAATATAAGATAAGACAAATCAAATAATGGTTACCAAGGTTTCTGCGCAAAAAATGAGATTGTTAATTTTTGGGAAGTTGTTTTTGTTCTCTAAGATTGGCAAATATTAATCCTAGATAATTATGTATTGACTCATCAATTAATTGAATCGATTTTAAATTTTTTAAGGCTGCACACAAAATATTAATTTCAGAAAGTTAATTCGAACTAACACTTCAGTTCCCCTGATTTGATTTCGAAAAACATATCAGTGGGTGGGGAAAAAATGGAAAAATCATCAAAGACAAATTCAAACTATACACATTTCTTCCTAAAATATTAGCTTCAAACTATGAGTAAAAAACCTGAATAAATCAGTTGATTATATGTGTGGGAAGTAAGAAAAAAGGAAAATATTAGACTCGTGTGAACAAATAAATAGCCTAACTAGGTTGCAAAAATAGCGAAAAGAAATACTGGGAAAAAATGTTTGCAGGTGTTCAAAATTGTTTTATATCGGGGAGAATGTTTGACTCATTTTGTCATGTGATTCGATTCAGATCAAAGTTTTGGTTGTTCTAAAAATGTTAAGAATCTCAGGAATTTGTATTTATCATGAGAAACAAAAACTGGGAATATTTGTCTGAAATACATACTAATTCTAGCATTCGAAGTTTACACTGATGAAAAACAATAAGGGGTGAAAAAAATGATTTCTGAAATCTTTCAAAAAAAAAAAATGACGAGGCCTATTTTCAAAACCGCCTAGTTCTCAACATCTTTTTTGCCAAACCTAATTAATTGAGCATGAAAACAACTAGTACGAATTTTCAGAATCACCATTAAAATATCAGCGTGTTATTCAATACAACCTTACGAGTGCAACCAAACCTAATAAAATTTAAGCAAGTGTGAATGAACTTTAAAAATCAGGTTTTGTTTTTCTGTTGATATTTGAATCAGAAGTTATGTCAAGGTAAATCAACAACCGCGCTGGGGGCAGGTTAAGTTGGAAATGAGTCGAGTCATTTTGAAATCAAACTAGAAACTGAAAACAACGTTCGGCTCAAGTCGTGTTTGTTCGGGTTTGAACGGTACCGAAATCAAATTCAAATTCTAGAACTGGTTTGGAATCATAGGTGATATCTAGGTGACACCATCATCGTTAGACCAGACCTTCTAAAAATTGGATCTGACTGAATGTACCTGGCGATTCTTCGAATGTTTCCAGAAACTTGATCATTCAAATCACGCTTCACTTCCGTCAACAAAAGAATTACGAGCTGATAAAAATCAAGTAACTAAAGATTGTAAGAAAACCAAAAGTGGTGGAGAGCTGATCATATTGTTGTCAAGGAAACTGCTTTTCATTTTTCATTCTTCTTCTTCTTCTCGTTCTCATTCGCCTTATTTCACTTTGTTTTGTCTTTTTCTTTGTGAGCCGCCGAAAAAACCGCCACTGATATTATTATTATTATTCTTATTAACACACAAAAACAAGATATCTGAATGAATGAATAAAAATAACATGTTATCGCGATGTGCAGATATTACGGTCAGACTTTTCTTGAAAACAAAGAATACAATCGGAAAAGTGCACGGAAGAGAGGAAATAAAATGAAAATCAAAGATCTGATCACATTTGCGCAATAATAAAACTTTGTAATCATGCGGCGGAGAAAAAGAGTTTAGTAGAATGGATTCGTCAGAAAAATATGATGTTGATTGTTTGGTCGGCTAAATATGCAAAACATAACACAAGGAAACCGGAAACTTGGTAATTAGATAGAAGTAGAACTTTACAAATGAAAAGTGTTTTTGTTTCAATCAAAGGATACTCCCACGTTTCTGCAATAAAATCATGTTGGAAACTGATCTTGAAATGCGAACAAAAAATTACATAACAAAAACAAAATTCGAAAAACGATCAAAAAATGAAAAAAAAAACAAATAAAAATTGTTTGGGCTTCATTGTGACTATCGTCAATCAACTTTATTAATGAGATGATTTTTTTTCATTTCGGAACCATTTTTTCACCAAGATACTTGCCCATATCCACAAAAATCCCAATGTACCCCCTCCCACCTTTTGTTTCAAAAATCTAACAACCTCTAGAAGAAACAAATGGCTAACAAGATGTTTCAAAAAAGAAAAAAAATGTAATTTCTCCCAACGTCAACGTTTTTGAAAAATTCTAGAACTCCATTTCAAAAGCATCCTCGATTCAAAAGCAAATCAGTAAAAAATCTTTGAACTCTACAGAATTCCCTCCGACTAAAATCTAACTACTCAATCGAACCGCAAAAAAGAACTAACCTTTGAAATTTCGTCCGTTCCTCGAACATCTCATCGCTCAAATTTGATTTATTGCTTCATGTTTTCCAACAAAAATCTTCTCGAACATTTTCATCCACGACAAATCTGAAAAATAATTGTAATTTAATGAAACTTTTGGTTATTTTTTATTGATTCAAAACGCTATTTCAAAATGTGAGCGTCCATACGAGATAGAAGAGACATAAAGATAGTGAAATCGCGCGTGATCTACAGTGATTTAAAAAAAAACTTGCAGGACTAGGTTAGGAATTGTTTTAATTTTTAAAAGTAAAATTGTTCAAATGCGTGTGTACAACGACACTCCGCTTGCCCGCTGTTTAGCGCAACAGGAGAATACTTTCATTTTTTCTTTTTTTTGTTGGGTTTTCAGGTTTCCGGGGAAAATCAGTGAATTTCCGTCAAAAATTGAATTTTTAGATGTTCTACAAGGCTGGAATCATCGCTTCCAACAGAAAATGCGAGGATTATCGAAGAACGGTGGGTTTTTTCTAGAGAAACACTGTTTCGATTGAAATTTTTGAGTTTTCAGGGTCTAAAAAGATTTTTTTGGATTACTCAAAGATTTTGATTGGGATTATCGAATTTCCGATGATGTTTGTGTGATTTGAGAAAAAGAAGCGATTGGTGAGTTTTTTGGGGAGGGATTTCGGAAAAATTGATAAAAAATTGTGTAAAATTTGAAAAATATATGAAAATGAAAAACAAAATAGTACAATAACTCACCTAACCAATTTGAGAACCATTAATTTCGAGAAATGAAAAAAATTGAAAATAATTGTTGGAAAATTGACACGTCACGTTTTAAATTTGTTCGGTGTTTTTGTTGTTTTATTTCCGTTTCATTGTCAGATGGCAAAATTGAATGTTAGCAAAATTCAATTTTCATTTAACTCGAAAGGTGTTTTTTCTACAAGAAGCTTTTATCAAAAACAAGTTTATTAATAATTCGAAGTTCTATCAATTTTCGCTTTAGTTTCCTCGATTTTCTTAATAAATTCCTCTTCTCTCCACTCTTTTCTAATATAATCTCCATAAGTTCCAAGTTTTTTGAATTCATCAAAATCTGTTGGTTGTATAACTCTTGGATCAGTTCGATCAAACGCTTCAACTATATCATCATTATAGTTTTTCGACACAGTACTTTCAGAACAATACATTTCATCTGCATTAAATGTCCATTTCCTTCCAATATTCATCATTAATGTACCAGGAGTGTGATTGTTAACACTATTAAATGCTATCATTTTTCCACAATACGCTGAAATTCACAATTTGTAGTTTATTTTGATTTTTTTTCAAAAGCAAACCTGGAAATGTTCGATAATAAGATATTGCTGTATCTGATATTTGAAAATCAGATTCAAAATCAATGTATTTTCGATAATCATCAGGATTGAAACAATTGACGGTAAAACATAATAAAGAGATCACAGATACTTGAATATAATTCATTGCAAAATGAGAGAAACACGTTGAATCTAGTGTTTTTTTTTTAATTTTATTGTCTTTGAGGTCACGTAAAAATTATGTTAGATGATTTTGTTTCGAAATGTTTTTCAGTTGGTTATTCAACATTTTTTGTGAGATAATAAGTCCGGTCAAATTATTGGCCTGTAATACTATGTACATACAGTAATTAGAATTGTCACTGGAAACTCTGATTTTTGACCTAAAGCAACCTGAATAGAATTTGATGGTAACCCGAGATCTATAGTAACTATGAACAATTAGCGCTATATTCAATTTACAGCTATTACAATGTTTTGCTTCAATTTTTTAGCCAGGATTCCTGTTTTTATACGTATTTTATCTACAATGGGCGTAATTTTGGCCAAAAATTAGATCTACAGTAATCTTGACTTCACGCAAAAGCTTCTGAGGTTTTTGGCACAAAATTCAATCTACCTAACCCGCAGTCAATCAGAGCTGTCGTGATTTCTTAGATCATATTTAATATCTGGTTGTTCTCTAAATTTTGTGTCTCCCTAAAGAATTTTTGATGTAAAACATGCAGACTTATTTTTCTTGACTGTACTTTTTTGTATAGAATCATTGAAAAAAAGTTCCTGATAAATCTAAACCATATCAATAAAAATTTCAAAAAGATTTTAGTCACGCAACATTTTTTTTGATTGTTTTTGATTCAAATCAGATTTTTGACAAATACAACTTTCTTTAAAAAAAAAATTGCGTGACCTCAAAACTTCAAGTTTCTTTGATTTTACGAAAGCATAATTTCTAATGAAAATAATTACGCGATTTTTTTCAGTGTCAGAACGAGTTTTTGTTTGAAAAAAGCAATTTTACAATTGTTTTTCATTATTTCTCCAAAATTATGATTCAATTACCCAAGGATTTCTTGATTTTTGAGCATTTGATCACTTATGATTTCAATATTTTGTTATGATGACTGCTTATATTAGTCACAAAATCGTGGAAGTTATGAATTCCTGAAAAAGTGCTTGCAAACTTGATAAATGAAAATCACAGACTTCAATCAAAAACAAGGTAGAACTTCCTATTTCCTGAGAATTTTCTTCTTTTTTCCAGAAAGAAGTTTTGTTCCATTGAACATTGATTAGAGCAGTAGACAAGTTTCTGAAAACCCAAAAAAAAAACTAATTTCCGCTGAAAAAGTTTCCAAAATGATAAAAAGTCACATTTACACCCGCAGCATATAATATTTTTATGCGTCAATTTCCGACGAAATTAAATTGGCACAAGGACATGAGTTAATAACCTCGCCGGCTACTTTTTGTGTCTTGAACAAAAGGTTTTTGATCTTTGAATTTGTATGGATGAATGAAAAGCTTCTTAATTTTATTCGGTAATTTTAAGTCTGCAGAACTAATTTTTGACGCACGCACATTGCTTTTTTATGAAAAAATGAAATCAAAATTTTTCAAAAGTCATGGATATTAGTAACAAATCATGAGTCAATTTGGCTGTTTTGCTGACTGATTTCCAAGTCTCATGTGAGGTTTTTAAATCATTGTTATTCAGGATTTTCTGCAAATCGGGCTCAAAAAAGAGCTTTCCAAATAACGTGAATATTTTCACAATGTAAAAGATTGGTTAGAAGTAATACATTTATTATCAATTCAAAAAATGACAACTAAAACAATTACCCGTAAGGTAAAACAATGTTAAGCAAGTTTGAAGAATCCCGTAGACAAAATTAGATCTTCGAAAACATCCTAAAAACGATCGCGATGATAAACAATAGGATCAAGAGGTGGTGGTCCTTTTTCAAGTCCTGGATATGGCGGAGGTGGTTCAGTTGGTGGAACAATGAAGTTTGGTGGATAACATTCATCAATATAATGTAATGTGTAATATCGAGATAGATCGGGTTCTGTAAAAAAAATATATATGAATTTTTCATAAGTTCGCCCCAAAGTTCTCATTCACTTTTTCTTAAAGCCGTATTAATGGTGTACTTTTTGAGTTCTAAGTTAGTCTGCACTTTTTTCTTCTTTTCTTCTCGTAGACTTTTTCTCACTTCCGATTCATTAATGTTTGTCTTTTTTTAAGAACCGAAAAAAATGTTGTCTGTGTTCCAATAATTAGCGTTTTGTGTTCTAAGAATCTCAACATACAATTCTTAAAAAAAGAATGGGAAAAAATAAGATTCTTTGAATTTTCCCGTTCTTTGTAATTAATACATACCTGTAATTGCGAAAATATTATCAGTTCGACAAGTGACTGCTTCACCATAAGATGGAGCGGCTTCATCAACTGGTGCAGTTGGAAGAGGTCCTGAAAATATTTGATCATTTTGGGGGTGTTTCTTTCAAAGAATTATGAGTTAATGCGCGAATTGATATGATTTGATTTAGCATAACTTGATTTTTTGAAAGTGTTTCAATCAAAAAACAAACCTCTTTGTGGTGGTGGATATGGATATCCAATAGTCAAGTTTTCACGATGTCTTCTTTTCAAAATATAAAAAATATAAATCAACAAACTGAATGATATGACTGGAACGGCAATATATAACAAAGCATGTTCTAGGAGCATCTGAAAAAAATAGAGAAATTTGTGAACTCGTTTCAAACACAAGGAAAAAGGAAATGGCGTCAGAACGAAAAAAAAAGGGAGACTACATGGACGGGAAAATTGAATTTGTGTTGGACCCGCGAAGATTTTTATTCATTCACTCATTCATCTCTTCTCAAAAGAGATTTATAAGGTTCAAAAAATCTATGAATTATTATTATATTCGAGAGCAAGTTATGATAAATATATATATGTGAACGAACAAAACGAAACGAAGAGAAAAGGAGGCAGAGATTAGGCTCCGCCCAGTTTTTTAGAAAAAAGTGTTCGAAGAATTTTTTCCTTTTCTCTTTAGTCACTTTGACTTCAGAAAAGAAGAAGACGAAGATGGAAGAGAAAGAATAAATGTACTTAACGGACATAAGAAAGTATGAAGTTTAAGTTTCACTAAAGTTCAAAAATACTTTTTTCCAAAAGAAAATGGATAAAGTTTCCAATTTTTTTGATCGTTCTAAATCCAAATCGAAAATAAAACAAATGCACAGTAGTCTTGAATGGCTTCTTCAAAGGATTCCTGCCATTTCATTTTCCCTCTTTATTTTCTATATATATATTTTCAGTCAGTCAACGGACCGAGAATAAAAATTGTTTTTTGACTCTGTAATTCCCAGGAGAATATTTCAGTAATGATCCGCGAAATTCATATTTCTTCGAAAACATGCAGAGCGTTGATAAACTGCAATTCCAGCCAGTTCAACTGGAAAATTTCGAAAAGAGTTTTTTTTAGATAATTTAAAAAATTTTGAATTAGTTGAACTGGAAACAATTTGAAAGGGAAACCCTTTTAGAACTGGTTGAAAATTCATCAAAATTTTATAGGACCGAAATTGTTTCAAGAAACTTTTTTCTGATTCAAGTTTTAGAGTTGATTTGAATTCCGATCATCACACAGGATTTTGAAGTCTAGAAAAATTGTTCCATATAGAAATGAGAGCATTTTGAAGAATAAGATTTGTATTCAGATACAACTATACTATTAACGTCAGTGACTTGGTTATTTTTAATTCTTAGATCTTGTAACAGATATCAGAGAACTTCCTCATTAGGCCTTCTAAGACCAAACTCAAGTCAACTGTTATTTTGAGTTGAGCTTCAAGTTCAAACGTTGTGCTCGAAATTTCAAGACAAAAATAGATTATCTAACCGTTGCTCTGAAATGAAATGAATTGAAAAAGAAATTTTCAGAATTCAAAAAAGCGAAAAATTAATTTCGCCTCACTGAAAAGTCTCTTTTTTCTTCTTCTTCGAGATGAAAAAAATATCTCCAATTATTTCGCACATTCAGCAAAAAAAACGTTGGATTTGTAAAGGAAAAAAAAGGAAAAGGTGTCCTTTTTCGAGAATGAATCATAACTTTTTTGCTAGTTGCGAGGCGAAAAAATATGAGCTTTTGATGGGGTTGAAATCTGAGATCAAGAAAAATTTCCCAGCCTACAAATATGTATGTAGTAAATCGAAAGTCAGACTGAAAAATCAAAAAACTAGAAATCTACAATGAAAGAAGGAAAAAATGCACAACTCAACAATATTTAACCAAATTTTGCATGACTAACAATTGCGAGGAAATTGGATTTTCAGCATTTTTTTTGTGCGCCGGAAAATATTCATATTATATTATAATCTCGGTGAAAACTAGTCAACTAGTAATTGAAGTGAAAGAAGAAAGAAAGAACTCGACATAAACAGATTACGCATTTCCAAATAATTTTAGGGTTTGAAATTTCGAGAAAATAAAAGAATGAAATGGGTTTTGGTGGGAGTTGAAATGGGCTCAAAGATACATCATCTTTTTGATGCGATTCGAATGTGTTCTAGTTCTAGGAAAGATCTAGGAGGTATATAATTTCTGGAATTGTAGAATGGGACCCCGATCTATTCACTAATTCTGTTAATGTGGTTCTAAAAATAGCTCGACACTTTGGAGCACAAAATAACAGCGCTGAGGATCTGTATTCCGAAATACCGTATGATCTATACCAGATTCGAATCAAGTTTTTTCTAGTTCTAAGAATGATCTAGAACCTACATGATTTCTCACGAAAAATCATATATCACACCCAAAAATTCTCACACTTTAAATAATTGTAATAAGAATACAAATATTCTTGGTCTATTCTTGGAATAAGTATATTCCAGATTTCTAGAAAAAATATCTCACAATTATCTGAAAATAAATGAGATTAACCATGAAAAATCTTTTGAAAAGTATAAGGTGCTAAAGAACTTTTTTATGAAGACGTGAGAAGTGAAATAGCTTATTTTTATTTATAAAATAACTTCTGAAAAAATTCAGCTGTTTCTATTGAGAGAGAAAAAGCGGAGGAAAATAGAGATGTCATCATTTTTGTGGATGAAAACAAACAAAAAAAATTCGACGCATTTTTATGTGACACATGAGCCAAAGAAATTTTCAGTAATCCGCTTGTTTTTGAAATCTTTGAAATTATACGTTTTCGAGAAATTATAGGTGTCACAGATTCTAATTTTGTGGCTGATTGATCGACGGTGTTTGCGCAAATTTCAAGAACTTTTTTTCGGAAATACGAGGGAATACATTTTTGGACCTAAAACTTTGGAAATATCCTCAATTCAAAGTTGAAATTCGCAAACTAATATTTCAAACACATAAAATTTTGAGGCAGACAAAAAGTATGAACTTTTCACACTTGTGATGAAGATGGAAATTTTTTTCTGATTGAAAGTGCTATCTCAGACAGCTGAAATTTGTTTCAACTTTAGAAAAAAATTGTGAGGGTGGTGATTAATTGTTTTTTCATTCGAATCCATGAGAATGTTCTTGAATTTTTATTACTGATTTATTTTGAGTTAGGTGAAAACAATGTTCTACGGAATTCCGTCACTTTGTATCCAGATATTTTCATTTATGTACATATGTCCATTAATTTTTAGTCTATCATAAAATTAACACCAGAAATCACTATACCTTACAATAAAATTTCACCTGATCAGATATTTGTTTTGATTATTTCCGTCTTTGGTGAAAAATAATCATGAGGAAATTTGGAATAATGATCAGAAATTATACTATAACTTTGAATCAATAAAATTATTGATTTCTGAACTGTAAATGAAACCAGAGAATTAGAAATGTTATTATTCTTTATTCCATAATTACTATTTGAAACGTAATTTATCCTATGATTTGTTTTTCAATTTTTAACAAGCACTGATTCTAATTATTACTTACGAATAAAATAATTCCCTCAAGTTTAATTCTCTTTCTCTTTCAAAAACAAGCCACTAAATTACTGTATAGGGGCCAAAAAATCTCAAACCACAGTTCTCACTGATAACCATGGATATATGAATAAGCTCAGTCTATATTTTAAAAAAAAACATAAAGTTCAAAATCAGTGAAGCACAATTTTGTAGGGAAACTACAAGTCTACAAAATTGTTCATCGAGATCTGAGAGCAAAAAAAATTCTAAAAATATTATTGAGGGTGATTATAAGCAGGTGAAAATATTTTATGAAAAAACATCATAAAATGTGATTTGTGAATATACCTTACTTACCTCCGGAAAATCCGATCTTTTTAGAAGTAAAGAAGCCATTTTGGAATAAATAAGAAATACAGAATATGGAATGGAAATGAAAAGGAAGAAGAAAACCTATTTGATGACACCAACACAGAATAAATAAACAAAAGAAATGAAAAATGTCTTCCCAATTTTAATTTTAAACTGGATGAAGAAATAGAAAAGATCAAATAAGCAATAGTTCAACTTTTCATGAATTTTTGTATCTTGAGAAGTGCACACAATTTCTGTGCATTGATGCATGTATCATCAGAAAAATTGTACAGTGCACTTTAAATATCTATTTGTGGGGGTGCTGTAAGAGTCTGACAGAAATTAGGGAATCTCCCAGAGGATGGCTATTTTCATACGACCTCAAGCTTAGGCTCTGTTTGGAAATAAAGGGTTTTTTGTTGTGGATCTGTATTCTACGGAAGTTCGCTAAGCCTGAATACGGGATAAATGTGGGAAAAAGAGGAGTGGACCTTTTATTTATACCCCTGTAAATTTTTTGAACTCCTAAATAAAACTTACTTCTTCTGCCAAACTCTTCTTCCATACTTTCTTCTTCTCAACAGTTCCAATTTTAGTCATAAATCCATTCCAAACACCTAACATCTTTCTCCAAATAAATGATCAAATGAACCTTTTTTCTGTAATATTACGAACTTTATAAGTAAAGCATTCCTTTCATCTAATCCCTGACTGATTCATCATTTTTTAACTCAATAGAGATTAACATGTCGTTCACCAAAAAAAAATGTTGTCATCCGTGAGTTTCAGGAAACCTAGGATGACACAAAAAATTGAGGTGAAAAATGAAATTCATTTCAATTTGATTCAATTGCAGTCCAAAACATAACATGACAAAAGAAAACAAGAAAATATGTAAAACACAAGAAAACAAAAAAATAAAACGCCGTGCGCTTTTTTTTTTCATTTGTTCTGTTTTTTGGGACCACCTAATTAGGCGAACATCTTTTGAAAAAAAGTTGAATATTGAGGCACACTATTGGAGGTTTTTGGCGAGTTGTTGGAAAAAGATGGATTTTCCAACAAAAAAAAATAGAATAAAATCGTGACCTATTTTGGGAAAAATGAAACGTGAATTAAAAATTTGAAAATCGGTTATTTTTATTTTTACCTGTATATACAAACAAAAAAATGGTGAGTTCGGGGATAAATTGAAAATTAGTTTGGTGTATCCATACATTAGGGAAAACCTACTTTTCACAATGTCAGAAGATTTTCATTGTCTATGAAAAATTCTGAAACTGTTCCAAAAAAATTGACACAGTAACCTAACATTAGTCCGGGCCTGGAAACTTTGAACCGATATCTATAAAACTAGAAGCCTTTGATTCTGGCCTCAAGCCCAGAAGCTCACGACTAGAACTCTAACCCCGGCCCCATAATTCGAGAGACCAAAAATTGATCTTAAAAATTTCAGAACTTAAATAAGAAAAGGTCAAAAAGTGAACTAATAAGAAAAGAAAATCAAATTGGAAACAATAAGAAGTTATTGAATGAAAAAATACCGCGTCGAGAAAAAAATGAGCGATTTCGTGAAATGGTCATCGATAAATTGCATGGAACAATTGGCGAAGATATTATGTTTGCACTTGAACTCAGAAAACACTCAAATTGGAAACATTTCAATAAAGTCGAGACGCCACAAGAGTTTTTCGAGTCAATGGCATAGTTTGTTTTTTTTTTCTTTTAATTTTCATAGAAAACATTTAAAATTAATGAATTTTTGCAGCAAATGTCCAATGCCAATTCAAACAAGTTATACAATTTATAAAAGACCAGATTATCCAGGAAGACCCAGTTATTTTTATCATTTTTATTCGACATATAATTACATTGATGAATTGACAAATCTTGAGATTTTTGAGAGAAAAATGCATTATATGTCTTGTGTTCCACGTCGAACATCAATTCAAAAAGAACTTGATCTATTAAGTTCAACAATTGGATTACGATATGAAATGGAGCGAAGGCGAATGCTATTTTCACATTCTCGACCTCGAAAACTTGAATTTGAAGCAACATCGAGAAGAAAATTGGAAACATCCAGGGTATTTATTGCTAAAAATGAATATAAATCAACACCAATTTTTGGACATATGTTAATTCGAGATGAGCGAAAAATTCAAGATTCAATGAATATCGGTTTGAGAGATTTGAATTTGGAATGTATCCAGAATCCGGAAAAAGTTGTGAATGGAATTGAGAATTTTATCAAGAGAAATGTTGAATGGACAAAAACTCGATTACAAATTTCTGAATTTCCTATTTATTTACATTTTTCATTTCGAGCGTTGATGTGAGTTTTGAGACACAAAAATTTTTAAACTTCAAAGTTTTATAATTTCATTACAGTAACTGCATCGACAATCATCAAACATCACCAATCCGAAATCGAAGCGAACAAGAACTTTTCAATGAATTCAACTACATCTCATCGCATTTCGCATTTTCAGCACATTTTTGTAAAGTTTTACACAATTTTGAGTTTCGTCGATTGGCTGAAGATATGATTATTCGGAAAAATGGAACCAAAGGTTCAATTCTTCGAGTTCTTCCAAGTCGATATAATAATAATCCAGCAACTTCAGTTGTCCGAAGTATGTTTCTGTTTTTTTGCTGCTAACAATTATACAATACAGTAATCTTTTTTGCAGTTTCAAAAGGTGGATTTCTGATAAGTACAATGTGTAAAACAACAAAACGTGCTCCATCAATCGAATCTTTGAGTGGTTATTCAACAGATAGTGCAGCTTCAACTGCCACAATTTCACCATTGGATTGGGCACAAAATTGGAAGTTTCAAGACAAGGATTTTGAGCATCGATTGATGAAATGTGGAACTTCGGTTGGTTTTTTTCGGAAATTATGTACAAATAGTTTAAAAACCATGAAATAATTTCTAGAATCCAGCTGATGTGAAACGCGAAGCAAAACAGTTTTGGGAAGAGCGAATACAACGTGAAATGCGTCGACGGAAAGAAGCCATCAAGAAAGTCAACGCAAGTTTTGTGATGAGACAAAATATTCCAATTTTTGATGAAGTATGTTTTTTAATTAAAATTTGGTGGGAGATAGCACACGCAATTATATTGTGTAGTTGAGCTAAATTGAAATAGGTTGACACGCAGACTTCTTTTTTTTAATTATCATGGAAGTTATTACTCACGATCTACCAGTTAGTTTTTCTCAGTAGCAAAAAAATCAATTATTTCGATGTTCCCATAAAAATTATTTTCAGTTGATGCACATTCGTCAACCAGCTGCAAGTGTTTATCTTGGTTACTCAGAACTTCACAAAATCCGAAAAGTTTTCGAAAAATTTGAAAATCAGGGAACTATGGATACAGCTACAAAAATTCTGTTATCAAGAAGATCGGATTATATTTTAAGAACACAGTGGCGAAAAAATTGGATGGATTTGGAGTGAGTTACAGTAACTTTTCAATATATATTTATGAATATTATTTTTGTAGCATTGACGTGACTGATGGATGGAGAACATTATCACAAAATGAGGTGCCAACAAATATTGATAATGTTGGACGATTTGTAGGTTTTATAAATTTATTTTCAAAAAATCCCTAATCATTTTTTCGCAGCTTCGACGGCCTTGTTCTTGGATCGAATCGAATTGTTATTCATTTGCTGATACGATTCCACGATGTGATCAAATAACAATTGTAAGTTCACACAACTCTCAAAACTCTACAAAGCTTACACATATTTTCTTTTCAGAAAACCGGACGAAAATTCAAGAAGATCACACTTTTCCTGATATCCGTTGCTCTAATTGTCATTGCATTTTTCTGTGCAATTCTATCAACTGGAGTTTAGAATAAATTTTTAATTTGTTTATTTTTCAAAATACAACCAAATAATACCTCGTTCAAGTTATATATTTTCGTTGACGAAATTTGCAAATTATTCATTTTCCTCTTGCCAATCAAATTTCTCATCCATTTTTATTCCATTATTCCGCATCGCCAATTGAACAACTTCCGAGATAAATGTATAATCGACTGTGTTTTGATATTTCAAACCCATCAAATATGTTTGAATGCGACGAAATTCGACCTTCAAAAAATTCAGTCTTATCATTTTTATTAACGCCCGTGGGTTCGTCCGCCTCATTGGCTCAGTGGCAGAGCGTCTGTCTAGTAAACAGAAGGTCGCTGGTTCGATTCCAGCATGAGGCACCGAAATTTTTTCATTTTTAGAAAAAGTTTGAATTTTCGTTTTTTAGAAGTTTCCAACTAACTCTTGGGCAATATTTCATCATTAATAAGCATCCTTCAGATGTTCGACAATGTTCTTTCATTGCTGCAGTTTCTTTAGTTTGTTCTCTATGCAAATATGTCCAAGGAAGTTGTCCAGATACCAACTCAATCATCATATAAAACCACGATTCCAAATCATCTTTCGGTGATTGTTCCTCTCCATAATGTGCAGCCAAAGAAGCATATCGATTTGTCCCGCGGAATTTTATATCACTTCTTGGAGTTTTCAACTCTCCCGATTTATCTTTGAAACTTCGACTGATTCCAAAATCAACTAAACAGAGTTTCAATTCTTCGGGACGACCATTCAAATTTCCGACAACACAGAAATTTGATGCTTTTATATCTCGATGAACATATCCAATTGAATGAAGAGTTTGAATTGGAGAAATAGCCAAAAGGGATAATCGAAGACCAGTTGACAGAGAAAAACGACCATCTTCAAACATAAATCTCATATTCATTAAATTATCGCCAAGCTGAAAATATTATTTGTGATTTGATTGAATGCAGAAAAAAGTAAAAAGGAAAAAAATATTACCAAGGGCATGATGATAAATTTAAAATGCTCCTCAATTTTTCCACGATCTATCATTTTCACCAAATTCTCTGCTCCTCGTTTTGCTGCTTTATTCATAACCGAATAATCTTGATCAAGTCCATGTGAATGTGTTCCGCAGATTTCCAATTTACAAGCAAAAGGTTTTCCATCCGAACGTCGAAGAACCTGAGCAAAAATATTTATTGGAGACTTGAAACTTTATAGATACAGTAATCCTTCTATCTGTCAGCTGATATCTTTCAAAACAAATAAAATTTTTATATCTAATCTTCCTAGAAACGCTATTTACTTTTAATCGAAAACAATACACTTTTTTCAAAAAAATATCTAAAAATAAAGTTTTGGGAACTTTACCTCATAAACAGCTCCATATCTTCCTTGTGCAATTTTTCGGCCAACTGCATAAACCGCATCTTTTCCGCGAATCAAACAATTTTTGGATGGAAGTTTTTCCTCGATTGAGGCACCTGATGATTCTGTATTTTCACAACTTTCCAAGTCGAATGACATTTTCTGAAATTATATTTCGGAGAAAAAATTAATTAGTTACAGTTATGAAAATGAAAAGGTGGTTGAGAGGATTCAAGTTTTTTGTAATTTTGGGAAACACATTGCAGAACTCGAAAAGTAATGTTTCCAAAAAATGTAAAAATTGTCACTTCATAAATTCTTTTGAAAAATTTCATTTCGTCTTCCGGAATGTTCTTGTGTTTATTAAAATCTTAAAAAACAATTTTCGATATCTTTTGAACAATTCCGAAATTTGCCACGTCATAATTTTGTTTTAAGAATACATTTTAAGGGATGTTTTTCGAACTCTTAAACTTATAGAAAAAATAATTTGAAATTTTCGAGAAAAAATTTGTATTCTTAATGTGACTACTTGAAAACATGTTTTCCCAAAAAAAAATATACAAAATCCATAAAATCTCAAAAAACATTCTCATCCAAAAAAAACAACAAAATAATTGAGCAACCGGAATAAACATCAATTCTTTTCTAAAAATAATAAAAAAAAGCTGGAAAAGAGTTGTTTTCAAACAACAACTGACCTTTGTCCTGAAAGAATGGCGGGAAAAAACAAAACAAAACACAGATATAAAATGAAATTTTTCTTGAAAAATGCTGTCAGGTGACAGCTTTTCCCATGATTTTGTTTGGATATCTGCCAAAAAGTACTGTGGATCAAAGAACTTCGAAAATGTGTTTTTTTTTTGCGAAAAATAATAGATAATCAGTTGGCAAAATCAATTATCTTCAACTTTTGAGATGAACAAACCCAAACAGACAAAAAAAAAATGAAAAAGTGTTGTGTCCACCGACCAAGAAGAAGCTTTCATAAAATGTACACACACAAAAAAGAAATGTGAAGGGATATGTGTTTACAGAACAAAAAATATCTATTTTTCCGCGGATTAACCCAAACCTCAAAAATCTGGTATTTAGATATTAGGTTTTGTTTCAATTTGTTATTTTGAGAAAACCGAAACATATGTTTTCGATTCCTCATTTTTTGAAAAAACAAAAAATTTAAAAAAAAATGTTCATTTTACTCGTGAAAAAAGAGAAGAAAAGAAATTAATTTTGACATGAGTGAGATAGATAAAAAACAAACCGGCACATTTTTCATCATTTTTTTCAAGTTTTGAAATTCGCTATTTTTTGGCGCCCCGCCCTCGAGTTGCTCCGCCACGTGTCCCGCCTCGACCTATAACATGGAAAGTAAATTCTTCCAGATGTAACACATCACGTTTTATGGTAATGTGGGTTTCACATCTGGGGCACATAAAAAACTTTAACGTGGAATTACCTCCTCTTGTCGATTTTGTTGGAGCGGCTTTTCCAGCTTTTGTGATTTTGACAACAACTTCAGATGATTCGCCATTTCCACCTTCTTCGTCATCACTTGCACCATCATCGTCTTCGAATTTTTCGACCAAATTTCCTTCCTCGTCCATTTCGACACCTGCAAAACAATTTTTTGAAAAAAAAACGTCAACAGTTTCAGATTTTCAAAATTAAATTCAAAATTTCTAAATAGAACATCACGTTTTCGCGTCTCAATAATTTTCCCATCATTTCTTATTTTTCTAACCACAATAAAAATACCTATTGAATTGACTCCAGTTCTTTTCTTTCCTTTTGCCACGTCATCCAATGAATATGGCAACATTCTTGATGATTTATTCAATGTTCTTGTCAATGCCGATTTGACTTTTGTCAAAATCTTGCTAGCCGGATCAATTTTTCCCGGCCAAACAACAATTTCCGAGAGCGCTTCGGAATCGTCTCGAATCAAATCGTATTCAATCATTGTATCAACAACTTCGGCAATTCCATCAGATTCTTTTTCCAAAAGTGGTTTTGTTATTTTGGTTCGAAGCATTGGCGCATATTCGGTGGCGAATGAATACATACTTGCGGAAACTCTGCAAAAATAATAATATGAAATTGGGGATACGAAGAACTCATAAAAGTACAAACTTCAAATGAGTATGTGACACGAGTTGTTGTAAAAGTCGTTTTCTTTTTCCAGCAGTCGAATTTTTTCCAAGCCAAGATGGGAATTCAATTCTCGCCTTCATATGTCCTCCAGTTGCAATTGCTGGCAAAGCCGCTGATAACATACTTTGCTCATTCAATAATTTCCAAGAACCACCAGATCTAATTATTCTATCCACATTATCACCCAATGAGATAAGTCTCGATGCTTTTCGTAATCCACGAATTGCTTCAAGTGGAGTATGTTTATCATTTTTCATACTCAAATAATTATCTTGAACAAAAAGTGGCATAATTCCATAATCAACGAAAAACATTTCTTGTTTTTCTTGTAATGTTGATCGAGAATCCAAAAGTTTTCGAGCTGCTTCAAATGGTCCAACAGAAATATCTTTTTGATTCACTTTTGCATCTTTTGAATTTGAACGCATTTGAAGATTATAAATTGTCTGACGAACATCGTGATTTGATAATTCGATAACTTCGTCAAGCTCTTCTTTTGTGATTTTCATTTTTTCCGTACAACAAATCGTCATCATTCGTGACTAGAAACACTATTTTTTTGAGAGAAAATTAATCCTAACTTACGCGAATTTGTTCAACTCTTGGTTTTGGGAATTTAATATCAAAACAATGATTAGCCAATGACCGAATTTTTGTGTGTTGTCTATCGTTGCAAATACAAATAATCGGAATTTTCGATTCCTTGATAATTTGAATCAATTCAGAAATCTAAAAAAGAAATGTGAACTCTGAATCTGTTTTTTTCTAACTTACACCAGCTCGATCTTCATTTCCACTCATTCCATCAACCTCATCCATAATTAACACGTGATGAACTTTCAAATTATCTTGAGCAACTGATTTTTTGACACCGAAGAATTGTTCGATTTGATGTGACCCGGAAAGTTCTCCAATTTTCGCCTCGAGATGTTTTTTGTTTCTCACATCTGACGCATTCATTTCAACGAATTTGAAATTCAACATATTACAAGCCATATATGCACATGTCGTTTTTCCAATTCCAGGAGAACCAGAAAGAAGTGCAGCTTTGAATGGTGTTCCATCTTGTCCATTCATCCATGGAGCAGGTTTTGGTTTTTTGATTTTTGCGCCTTCGCCAAGATTATGTTTTGCCCAATCTTTCAACCAATCCAACAATTTATTGATTGGACTTTTATCTCCATGTTGTCCAACAAGTTGATTAAAACTTTGTGGTTTATATTTATCAACCCATGGAAGATTTGGATCATTGACTTCTACTTTTTTGACTTTCACTGGTTCTTCCGAAAATCCACTATCTTTTGAGACCGTTTTTGGTACCTTTTTCGGAGCTGCTTGAACTTTTTTGGGTGGCGGTGGTGGAGAAGGAGATGGCGAGTTCTTCTTGATTTCTTTTTTCTTCTCCGGAGTTTTGATTTTTGTAGGGACAAAAGATTCGAAACTATCATCAGAATCAACAAATTCGTCATCAATATCTGGTTTTTTGACAGGACTTGGGGTTTTCTGGAAAGATGTTGGTTACAAAAAAGAAAACACAAGTTGATACCTTTTTGATTACTGTCGAGTTTTCTTTTTGAGACGGGCTTATTGTTTTGGTTGGCTTTGGTGCTTCTTTTTTAGTAGTTTTTATAGGTTTGAAGAAATCCGCGGGATTAACATGAGACACCGTTTTCGCTTTTGGTTTTTCATCTTCTTTCGAGGTTTTTGCGAAAAAGTTCAAAGTTTTTTGACCCGCCGGAAGTTCGTTTTTCGATTTCCGTTTATTCGTCTTTTTTTCACTTGAACTGGCAGTACCTCTCACAAGTTCGTCCTCATCTGATGAAATCTAAAAATATAAATGAATATTTAACGAAGCCTATTTATTTTCGCAGCGAACCAACCTCGATATCACTATCCTTTCTCTTTTTCGCAGAATTCTCCGTAATTTTCAATTTCTTCTGCTTCGTTGATTTCACCGGCATCTCATCATCTTCTGAGTCGGAGGAAACCACTATTTTTCGTTTGTTGCTCATTTTGTGCCGCAAATTACGAGGTATCGGGTTCTCACCGTCCGCTGAAAATATATCCCATTAAAACATTGATATAGAGAAGAAGTGAAGCACTCACAAAGTTCGTCTAAATCCTGAATTTTGTGTTTTCTCGCAGAAAAAAAAATTTTTAATTTATTTTCAAACGAACTGATTTGCCGCTCTAAAATTTATTGGTAGAGCGCAACTGCTTTATCGCTAGAGGATATTTCACGAAATGTATAACGAACCTTTAAACTATTCCTACGGTGTTCACGTTTTTTTCTAAAAATAAAATGAATTTTTCAATTTATCCGAATAAAAAACAGTTTTCCCTTACAATTTCAAACTCGGTTAAACAAGGCGCATTGCGGCACATCGTTATTTGTTCAACCCCGCCCACCCTACTCAAACACTCTGCGTCTATTCATTTTCTTTCTCCCAATTTCTAACCGCCTTGTGTCCGAAAATGTGATTTTTCTTCTTCAGTAAATTTTATATATTTTGGAATGAAATGGACATGTTTTCGTATTTTTGTTTTTGTTGATTCTGACGCACTGAATAATTTTGATTTTTTACAGATGGCCAAATTGGCTGTAGATTTCCTATTTTTTCGAAGGTTTTGGCGTCTATTAAAAGTATTATTTCCATTAAATCGAAGAGCAACAACAACATGGCTAATATTTTTTGTTTTAATATCAGCTTTAATCGATCAAATAATGACTTTTTTGGTCGGAGTTCAACCAAGTTTGTTTTATGTTGCAATAGGAAATCGGGACAGTGATAGTTATTTGGCACTTTGTGCGAGAGGAACAGTTATTGTTATTGGAAAAGCATTTGTAAGTTATTTTAAAATTATTCATGAAACATTTTATAAATTTGTTTTTGTTCAGACCTTGGCATTATGCAAATTTCTATCAACATATTTATCAATTAAATGTCGTGAAATTTGCAATTTAACAATTCATCGTTTATATTTCAAAAGACAAGCATTTTATAAAATGTCATTACTCGGAGATCATCTCGACAATCCAGATCAACGAATGACACAAGATATTGAAAAAACAACTCGAATATTATCAGTTGATTTGATGATTCCATTTTTAACAGCTCCATTCATTATTGGATATTATACTTATTTAACTTATGATAGTTCTGGTTGGGTTGGACCTGTTGCAATTTATTCATATTTTGTTATTCAAACTGTTGTCAACAAATTCATTTTAACACCAATTGTTGGACTTGTAAATGATCAAGAAAAAATGGAAGGAGATTTTAGACATCGTCATATGGAAGTTCGAAATAATGTTGAAGCTGTTGCATTTTATCGATCAGGAGTTCTTGAAAATGTTATGGCTAATCAAAAACTCAAACTTTTGATTGCCGTTCAACGAAAACTCACAGAATGGCGACTTGCTTTGAATTTTATTACAAACTTTTTCGATTATTTCGGTGGAATGTTATCATATTTTATCATCGGAGTTCCAATTTTCATCACAGATGCTTATAACGGAGCAACTGGAACTGAACTGAATGCAATTGTTTCGAGAGTGAGTTTTTTTTTGAAAAACTAATTTCGCTAATCCTCAAAAAATGTATTTCGTAAAAAGAAAACTCATGACAAAAAAAACGAAAAAAATATATATTCTTTTTCTCGAGATTAATTGAAAATTCCTACGAAACTGGTATACTCATCTATTTTTCATTTCGGGGGGTTTCGGAGAAATCTTTCAGAAAAAAAGTTTCTTATCAATTTTTTTCCAAAAACAATGTTCAGTAAGTGATCTCTTGTGTCAGCAGGAAAAAAAAAAAGAAAAAAACTTTTTTTGATGGATGGAAGAGCATGAAAGAAATATGATATTTTGCAAAGTACAAAACTTTGAACGACGTGATTTTGTGATTTTTAAACAAAAAATAGTTTACATCGTAAAATAAACACATCGTTGGTGTCCAAAAGCATATTTTCTAGGATTCACATCTAGAGATCTCTGACAAGGAACCGCACCTAGAAAATTCAGTTCTCAAGGATCAGCGGCTAGAGATCTTAGCTCTTAAGTAGCCGCTCCTAAAGAACTTAATTTACTAGGAGCCCCACTTAAAGCTCCACTTTAATTAGAACTCGCTTTTAGAGCTACTAGTGAATAAATCAATTGTTTTCTTTTCCCATTCCAAAATCCACCCAACAAACATCTGTCCACCAAAAATAAATGCACCCTTTTTTTTCCGAAAAGAGTCGCCCTCTATTTTTTATTACTTCATTCATTTTGAAGTACTTTCTTTTACTACTTGTATGTAGTATTGGTCAGTCAGTCAGCGGGGTTATTATTATGTAGAGGAGAAAAACATGGAATAATTGGGCTAGTTTTCGGGGGCGAAAAATCCATGCTTATTTATTAGAGAGGACTGCCTGGCTATACAAAGGCAATATTTTATTCGAGGCGCCAAAAGTCGGCGAAACACACACACACACACAAAAAAAACTTGAACAATTTTTCATAAAAAGTGTCACTTTCATAATCTCCGTGTTATTATTTCTATTATTAACCAGTATATGTTTTTGTAGATGAAAATAGGAATAGAAAAATATAACAATTTATTATTATTTGTTGTTTGAATGAATAAGAAAAGGGGAAAAGTAGTATAATGGATGAGATACCAGCTGCTTTTCAAATTGGGAATGAATTGGATGAATGTGGTGAATGATTTTTCTTACTAGAGGACCCATAGGGCGCGGCTACTTGAGAACCAGGATTTCTAGGCTCGGCTAGGCTTAGTATAGAAGCTCCCAAGATGCATCTCCTTGACAATTAGGCTCTAGGCGCGGCTGGTTGAGAAATAGGCTTTCTGGGTGCTTTTCTGGGGGTTCTCTAGCTTTTAGAGTCAAATCTCAAACATTCCTCACTCACATCAAAAATCAAGATATCATGTTTCAACAAACTTTTTTTTCACTTCCCACTTTTTTTTTTATAAACAATTCTCTTGTTTCTTGTGCTCTCGAACAATAGGAAACCAAAAAACGGGCTGATTTTGTGTGTCTTCCTACCAACATCCATTTTTGTTGTTTTTGTCATGCGTTTCTTTTTTTGCTTTGCTTTGCTTGTAACAAAAGTTTGTCGATGATGAACAGCTGTTTAGCTTTTGAGGAAAAAAAGACAAGAAAAAGAAAGAATTGGTTTGAGATGAGACGAGATTAATGAAAAAAGAACAGAAAAGAAAAGAAGGGTTGCATTTTGCACACAATTGGATTGCTTTTTCGCGAAAAGAAAATGACAAGATTTGATTTTTTGACGTCATGAATAAGGGAAACAGGGTTTAAAATATTGCATTCGAAATGAAATCTTAAATTTTTTGAACTAGCATCATTCAAGTTCACGTTCCAAATTTAAATTCCATTTTTTAATTTTTCAAAAAAATTGTTTGGTTTATTTTTCGGGTATAAAATTAAAATTGATATAAAATAAAAGCCTGATCCGAATTACGCCAAATTTTAATGAGCATTTTTCGGACCATAAAATGAGATTTATTTTGAATAGAAACTTAGAATGAACTTTTTAGAAAAGGAAAAACAAAAGTTCATACATCAAATTCTTATCTTCAATCCATCTTACTACATTCAAAGTCAAAGTATTTCGTAATTTCCCCAGAGAACTCTTATTCTCAATAACCACCAAATCCCAATTTTTCAAAAAATTATCATTTATTTTTCAGAATGCCTTCTACTACATGTATTTGATATACAGTTTCTCAAGTGTTCTCAAACTTGCTGGAGATTTTGGTGAACTTGCTGGTGTAACACATCGTGTTATGGAATTGTATGAAGAATTGACAAGATTGCATTCAGATTGTTTGGAAACAGATCGTCCACCTTCGACAGTTCCATCTTCAGTTGTTGTGATTGCTTCAGATGAAGATGATAAGAATTCGTCAGCAGTTCGAACAATTGAAGAAATTCATGGAAAACAATTATCATTGGAAAGAGATGAACAAGAGGAAGAAGAAGCACAATATTTATTAGGTGCAAAAACAAAAGATGATGAAGAATGGCCAGATGATGGAGTTGCGATAACTGTTGATTCAGCTACACTTTCACCACCAACTGATAATTCACATATTATTATTCAACGTTAGTTTTTCTCGAGGTTTTGTTTTAAAATTCAAAAATTATGTTTTTTTCAGTTCTTTCACTTCAAATCATCCAAGGACAAACACTTTTAATAACTGGAGACAGCGGATGCGGAAAATCATCACTTCTTCGAATGTTTGCTGGTTTATGGAATTGTTCTTCAGGAAAAATGGATTGTCATTGGCGTAGAAGATCACAAAATCTTCTCTTCCTCGCACAAAAACCATATTTCCCATCTGGAGGTGTTACTTTACGACAACAATTGGTTTATCCGATCAAAGCATTGCCTGTCGAAAAAGAAATACCACGATTGACAAAAGTGTTGGAGATTGTGAAAATGGAACATCTCATTGAAAGATGCGGCGGATTTGATAATAATATTGAATGGGATTGGATGAAAACATTGTCACCGGGAGAATTGCAGCGACTTTCGCTAGCTCGAGTGTTTTATACAAATCCGAGAATTGCTTTCCTTGATGAGGCAACAAGTGCAATTGGTTTTGAATTGGAAATGCATATTTATCGAAAATTACAAGAAGAAAAAATCACATATGTTTCAACTGGACATCGATATTCGCTTAAACAATTCCATGATATGGAATTAAGAGTTAATGTAAGTTCAAGATATTTTTACCGAAAAATATGTATAGGGATTTTTTTGAACACTTTCAATATTTCTGTTTTGAATTTTTCCAACGTAAAAAAAAATTCATCTTTATTTTTTCAGGGACATGGCGGTGAATGGACTCTTCATGATATTGATAGTGCTTCAATCGCCAGTCGAACTGCCAGTTTTCTCGGAACTGATACAGTTTTATCTATGTAATCAGTAAAATCTACGGGCCTTTTTTCATTGAGCTTTTTCCATGTCAATTTTTATGGTCGCTTGCTTTACCCTATCCTCTTTTTTCTATGTATTTATATTACAGGTACTCACAGTTTTTTCCCTTCATTTTTTCTTGTTTCCTCATCCCAATTTTCAACAATTGCCGATTGATTTCAGGATTTTGTACAAATTGTTTGTTATAATCATAAATAATTTAGTTTATCAAAAAGAAATGGACATTTCTGAAATTAAAAACGTGATCCATAAATAACGTTGTAAAAAAAATATTGAAATTGAATTATTTTTAATTTTCACATGAGCGACAATTCGGCAGGTTCAACAACTACAACCACAGCAACAACCACAGTAGCATTCGAACGAGCTGTTCATTTCTCTGCCGGTGTCATTTCAGGTTAGTTAGGGTAACTAGTGAACTCACGAGGGAATTATTCTGAAAATCCTACAACTCACTCAAATTATAGTTATGACGTGGTAAAGCTACCATTTTCACCGGGAATCGATATAAGATAATGTTGTTGAAATTGGAAATTTGAGATTTTTTGTTAAATTTTCCAAAAACTTAATATCAAGGTTTCGAGATCACCTTAAATTTCCTAAACGCCGTGAAATCAGAATTCGAAAATACTGCCTCTGGAATTGATTACAGTACCCGGAGAGTCCAACTTCAGATTTTCTAGCAAATATTGAATTCATGCTGAGTACTGTAGATTTTTTTCTGAAAAAAATGATGTTTCTGAATACATAGTTACAGTATTTTTCAAAAATGTTTGAATTTTTTTGGAAAGTTTGACTTGTTTTCAAAATTATTGAATAAATCTGTGTTTTGCAAATTAAGAACCTTCTGAACTCAAAATTTTGAAATATTTCTCATCTAAAAAATCACGGTAACCTAGAGCTCTGTCTTTCGACAAAAAGAAATTTTCTAATTAAGGGTCGCGATCTTCGCCTCTATTACAGTATCAACTTTTTTTAAAACTTTCAATTTAGAACATTTCAAAAATGTTTCCATTCTAAAATTCGAAACATTCCAAATTTCACAACAAAAAAAACAGATATGTAATGTACTTTGTCCGTTGTCCGCTTAGTCTCCCTCTTCTTTTTTTGGTCGATTTGCAGAATGTCTTCTTGATTGATAAAACGCGTGATAATCGTTTTTCGTCAATTAATCATATCCTTTCCTTCTTCCCCCTTCTTTTTCATCGTTATTATATTCTTTTGTTCAAATACTTTTAGTTATAATACTATACCACTACCTTTTTATTAATTTTTGAACGAACGAAGTATCGGTTCAAAAAAAAGGCGGGGAATCAGAAGTATTTGAATGAAGAACACAAAATGAACATAGGGTACAATATTTGTAATAAATGAACATCAGCCATCACTGCTTCTTCTTCTTGTTGTCAAATACAGTCGTAACATTGTCTTCGACAAATAAACACGTGTAGTATCTTCATCACTTCTTCAATCTTATGACGCGTCTAAAATGTCTCGAAGCCATGTCTGATACTGTTGTTTTCTGTCATGAAAATATTTTCGTTTTGTCACGTTTCATCCTAGATACCTTAGTTTTTTTTCAACGATATTATAGTGCGCAAAAAATCAAGTGTTGTTATTTATCACTTTTGTATCGAACAAATTGGGCGGGGTTCAGATTTCATCAGCTGGTCGAACTATCATGGAAAAGAAAAGAAAAGAAAACAAATGTGTTGATGGATCGGAAATAAATGTCAATGAGAACATGAAAATCGCAACAAACTGTGATAAATGGTTTCGAGTTGGATTTCTTGAAAAAGTTCGGGCCGGGCCGGATCAGATCTAGATTTTCTGTCAGGGTTTACAAATGGTTATAAAAAGTTATGAGTCACTTGACTGTTGATCTATTGACCTTAGAACTAGGCTTCAAATTTTCACCGGGTCCAATAAAAACATCCTGATTCAGAAAAGACCCTCCACAAGTGAGCATGGTCAGAAGTTTCGACCTGGAACATTTCACGTATTTTTACCTCATGGTTTTATCTAATGTGGGAATTCAAATTCGGATATTTTTCTAGTTGATCCGAAAAATTGAGGTTTCAAAAAAAATTCTAAATTTACTTCTCCATCCAAAATTCAACGCGTCAAACATAAAAACTATTTTTTTACTTCTCCGTCTTCCGCATGATGAAAACAAACATCGCAACAAAATGATCTTATGAGAACTTTTGTGAATGATACGTCATAAGATCGAAATTTGCGTGAATTCGATAAATCAACACGTGACTCGTGAATTTTTGAGATCAGAATAACACCCCAACTTTAGCTAATTCCTCCCAAAAATCAAGTTGAACTATCATTTGATCAATTTTCAATTTTCTCGTTGAAATCAGTTATCACTTCTCTTGTCCTGGAGAAATGTTGCGTAAATCTACAGTAATATGTTTCCCAATTTCATTTCGTCTCTTTTTTTCTCTTGTCTTTCTCTCTTTGCCTATTTTTTGGTGTCTTTGACGAAAAATGTGACAAGTTTATGAATCTACAAATCAACACATATATCGAATCGAATTGTAAAAAGTGTGTCTTTTTGCCTTCTCCTTCTTCCTTTTTCTTCTTTCTTTATTTGTCATGATCTCCAATGATAAGAACGATAAAAGGCGGAGCTTGCTACTCTTTTTTTTTTGGCTGAATAATGGTTCATTTTTCGAAATTTCGTCGATTCCCGCTAGATTATCTGCTTTTTGTGATTCTCAACATTCAAGTTGAAGTTCGTCTTGATTTCCGGAGAGTTTTGGCATTTTGCCATATTTTTTTTGTTGCGACTTCGACCGCCTTGACGGTTTCTTGCTAGATATCATGGATTTTGTCGCTGGAATGTTTGGTGGTTTGTTTTTTTTCAAGATTTTCGAAGTTAGGGCTACTTTAAATTAGGATTACCGGAGAATCGAGATTACTGTAGCTCAAGTTTCCCAATTTCAAGATTACGGGGAGCAATCGAGAAAATGTGTGAAATTTTTCCATAAATTCTAAATCTGATCAAAAAGGGGGAATTCTGGATCGACTGATTTTTTGTAGTGAAAAACTTCATGAAAAGTTGAAAAAAGTCTAATCAAAATTTCTTGAAAAATATCTTACTGGCTAGATTCTTCGGCTTCATTCCTGAATTCTTCAAATTTTAAATTTTCCGAATTCAAAAACTCTAGAACTTCTCATATTTTCTCCCGAGTCATTCAAAAAACTTTAAAACCTTCTCACTATTTTCCAGGAGCTGCTGGTGTTTTGGCCGGTCACCCTTTGGATACTGTAAAAGTCCGCCTCCAAACTCAAAATGCCACTCAAGGAACCTCCCCGCAATATCGCGGAACATGGCATTGTTTTTCAATGATTGTCAAAAAAGAGGGATTTGGTGGATTGTATAAAGGTTGGTTCTTTTTCTCTATTTTTCAAAACTGAACTCAAATTCTTTCTGATAATGTTTTTTTTTCTGAAGATGAAGAATCTTTTCATTTTTGATCTTATCATTTTGTAATGTCTTTGACAAGATGACAAAATCCTTCGACATAACCCGAAAATAGTTGTGTTGGGTTGTAAAATAAATCATAGATTTATTTAGGACTCTCATCTCCATTAGCATCATTATCTGCGATCAATGCGATTGTTTTTGGTGTTCATGGAACTGCTTGTCGAGAATTTAAAAATCCTGATTCGATTCAAGCACATTTTTCAGCTGGTGTTGCTGCGGGAATTGCTCAAAGTGTTGTTGGTAAGATTTTGTTGTTGTAATTTTGTTTTGGGTCCTATTCTTGAAAATTCTGAATTATTTTTTATTTTATTTTCTTCCAAAGTAATTTTTCTCAAGAATTTTTCCATTTTCCAAAATTTTCTCCCGAACTTTGGATAACTACGAACGTTGATTTTCCAGCTGCTCCAACAGAACGGATTAAATTATTATTGCAAATTCAAAATGACGCGGCACATACCAAATATCGAGGACCAATTGATGCAACTCGGCAAATTGTCAAAAAACATGGATGGCGGAGTTTGAACAGGTTAGATTTTTTTAACTTACAATTTGAGTTTGCAATTTCCAAACTCAATCTTTTTCAGAGGATTTGTGGCAACTGTTGCTCGAGATGCTCCAGCTTTTGGTGTTTATTTCGCTTCTTATGAAATGATGGCTCGAGCAATGAGCCAAGATGGAAAAATGGAATCATTAACATCAATGCAATTATTATTAGCTGGTGGCGGAGCAGGAATGCTTTCGTGGCTTTTCAATTATCCAGCTGATATTATCAAATCAAGGTTTCAAGTGAGTTTATTCTCTTGTTTTTTCTCAAACCCTTATATATTTTTTCTAGGCTGATACTTCATATAAATCATATTTACATTGCATAAAAGCAACATACGCTGAAAGAGGAATTCGATCATTTTATATTGGTTTGAATTCTGCACTTATTCGAGCATTTCCATCAAATGCTGCCACATTTTTCACAGTTGAATGGACTTATCGATTATTACTTGATTTTAATGTTTTGGGAGTTGGCACGGATACTGTTATCGAAAAGAATTCGGTTAGTTTTTTGGTTTTTTTTTGAATTTGGAAAAAATAGTTTTTGTTTAGCTTTAGAATTGAATTGAATATTGAAATTGTTTTATTTAGAAATGCAAAAAGTTTTTGACAAATGCTGATATTTGGTCATCAAATTCGATTTATTATCTACTTTTACCGGAAGCTGGTTCAACAATAATTGATCGATATGTTTGATGGGTGAAATCAAATTCACACAATTTTTCGATTACCTCTTTGTATTTCTTACTGGTCCCCAAACGATCTTTTATACGCTATTTTACTCATTTTTCTCAAATTTATCATATTTATGAAAAAAGTTCAATTTGTTCGAGGAGATTTGGAGTTTTCATGTGACGGGTTTTTTATTTCTATTTCTTATCATTCATAAACTGATTATTCTCTGTGTTTTTGTGCTGAAAATTATTAGAAACTGGAATTTTATCATATGACTAGACTGGCAAAAACAATGCAATAATACAACATTTTTAGAAATATCAAAATGTCCACCCAGAATACAAGTCACGTTTTTAATGGTACCAGAATGCAATAATGCAAGAATACAAATTTTTTCTGTTTCTATTTTTTTTTTAGAAAAAAATGAATACTCATAAGTAGAAAACAAGTCGAAAATTATAAAAATCGAGGGAAATCAAGCCGAAAAACCTATAATCATAGTTTTTTGGTGTTTGGAGAAACGTTTTCTAAGTTTTTCTTCTTGCAATCTCTATTCTCGTTAATTTGCTATTTTTTGCTGCAAAGATTGTGAAATTTGGTTAAGAATGAACGATGTTAGCTTTTTTTGTGAAAAAACGAAAAATGGTTTTGGAGTTTGCAAAAAATTCACAAAAACGTCGTGTTGTCTGGCGTCTCTCTTACACAAACACTCTCTCGTTTATTTTTTCAATTTGGTTTTTTCCGTGGAATCAGGAAATTTCACGATTTTCATCGAAAACATCATATATGAGAAGATAGAGAAACACAAGGCAAAGCCAGAAAAATAGAATAGAATTATAAAATTCAACATCGGATTGCAAAATATGAGCGAAAAACCTATAATCATAGTTTTTCGCTGTTTGGGGAAAAATTTTTGAAGTTTTTCTTCTTGCAATCTCTATTCTCGTTAATTTGCTATTTTTTGCTGCAAAGATTGTAAAATTTGGTTAAGTATGAACGATGTTAGCTTTTTTTGTGAAAAAACGAAAAATGGTTTTTGAGTTTGCAAAAAATTCACAAACCGTCCTGTTGTTTGGCGTCTCTCTTACTCGTTTCTATCTCTCATTTCTCTCCTCCTCACTTCGTCTCTTCTACACACAACACTCTCTCGTTTATTTTTTCAATTTGGTTTTTTTCCGTGGAATCAGGAAATTTCACGATTTTCATCGAAAACATCATATATCACACCCCGGAAAAACGAACCCAATTTATTTTTTGTGTGCGACGCTTGACTTTCTCTCTCTGCACTCTGCCTGTGGCGGCAAATGTTTGTGTGTTTGAAATTATTTATTTTTTTAATGGAAAATTTCTTTTTATTTGTTTTCTAGAAAAATGATTTTAATTTTGCAACATTTTTTCCAGTTTTTTTGTATTTAGTAGTTAAATGGGTGAATATTAGTTAGGAAGTTATGAACGATTTTAGCTTTTTTTGTGAAAAACCGAAAAATGGTTTTGGAGTTTGCAAAAAATTCACAAACCGTCCTGTTGTCTGGCGTCTCTCTTACTCATTTCTATCTCTCATTTCTCTCCTCCTCACTTCGTCTCTTCTACACACAACACTTTCGAAGATTTTTTAGAAAACAAATTTATGATTTTCCAAGATTGGAATTTCCAGCCAACATTCCCATAACTAAAGTTGATCCCCCATCAATTGTAATTGTTTGTCCAATAATATAAGAAGATGAATTACGATCAGCCAAAAATGCAATCAATTTGGCAATTTCTTCTGGTTTTCCCATCTCTCCACTTGGAATTTTACTTGGATCTGATGTCATTGATTCAGTGAACTGTAGGAAAATATATGAAATTTCATGAATATTTCTAAATTACTAACCAATCCAATTTGTTCATCATTCAAACCTAACGCAGAAAAAAATCCAGTTGAAACAATACCAGGATTGACACAATTTACACGAATTCCATGTGGAATAAATTGAAGTGCAAGATTTCTAGTCAATTGATCGATTGCAGCTTTTGAAATTGAATAATAATTATGAGCAGAATGTCCTTGTGGACCAGATGCAATACTTGAAACATTTACAATTTCTCCACGAGATGCTTCAAGATATTCAAATGCTCTTTGTGTTAATTCAACAACACTGCGAACATTCAAATTGAAATTATCATCAAGAATTTGAACATTCTGAAAAATTCCCACGTTTCCCAATTTATCAGGAATCAAAGCGCCAGCATTATTCACAAGAATATCAATCTTTCCAAATGAATTAATTGTCGAAGATATCAACTTTTCTTGAACTTCAGATTCCGTAATATCTCCAATCACAGAATTGATATTTTCTGAAGGAACTCCATTTTCAATTAGAAGTTTTCGAGTTTCTTCCAATCTTTCAGAATTTCTTCCAGTTATTGTAACTTGAGCTCCTTCTTCCGCAAATAATAATGCAGTTGCTCTTCCGATTCCATTTGATGATCCTAATGTATTTCAATGAGAATATTTTTAAAAACAAGAATACTATCTAAACTAACCTGTGATAATTGCCACCTTGTTCTCAAACCGTTTTGCAGTCATTTTTTGAAAAATTCTCAGTCAGGAAACTATTTATAAACTAAATTCGAGTATGAAAAAACGCGTAGTTTTATCAATTTTTTGACAGCTTTATTATGATAATAAAAATAATAATAATAAGTATAGTGTCTTTATCGGGGAAAAATAAAAAAAACTTATTCATTGTGAAGTGCTGAATTTCCAGCCAACATTCCCATAACTAAAGTTGATCCCCCATCAATTGTAATTGTTTGTCCAATAATATAAGAAGATGAATCGCGATCAGCCAAAAATGCGATTAATTTTGCAATATCTTCTGGTTTCCCAACTTCTCCACGTGGAATACAATCTGCATTTGCTTTCATATCCTCAGCAAACTGAAATTTTGGGAATCATGAATATGTCTTGGCTTTTCTGGTATAGTATTTCAATCTTGCAAGATTTTTTCACCAATAGTTTTCAGAATTTTGAATTTTAGAATTCTGCACCGATTTTGAGAACCCTGACAATTAAATCACATTTCAGTTTTCCTTCACATTTTTCTTCAAAACAATGTGTATTTTTCTTATCAATCTAAAGTATTTTCTTCAAAAAATGAAAAAAGTAACAACCTTCTCAACTTCTTTATCATTCAATCCCATCGCCGAATAAAAACCAGTAATAACAGTTCCCGGATTGACACAATTCACACGAATTCCTTTCGAAATCAATTGCAATGCCAAATTTCGAGTCAATTGATCAATTGCAGCTTTACAAACCGAATAATATAAATGTTCTGTATGTCCTTGTGGACCAGATGCAATACTTGATACATTTACAATTTCTCCTTTATTTTCTGCCAAATATGGAATCGCTTTTTGTGTTAATTCCATAACACTTCGAACATTCAAATCAAAATTCTTATCAAAAACATCGATTCCTTGAAATATTCCAATTTTTTTGTTTTTATCAGTTATAAGTGCACCAGCATTATTCACCAAAATATCAATTTTTCCGAATTTTTGAATTGTTGATTCGATCAAATGAGTTTGTCCATCATTTGTTCCAATATCTCCAATCACTTGATTCACATTTTCAGATGAGATTCCACTTCTTAAAATGTGTCGAAATGTTTCATCCAATTTTTCGCGACTTCTTCCAGTTATTGTTACTTTTGCACCATTTTCAGCAAATAAAACAGCAACAGCTCGACCAATTCCACTCGAAGAACCTTTGAAAGAAATTTTGAGCTGATTCCACCTTTTTCGGGTTACTGTAGATCATAACTTACCTGTAACAATAGCAACTTTATTAGCAAATCGTCCAACAGAACTAGACATTGTTTATCAAATGAAATGTGTTTTTCCATTTTCCACTCGCCTATTTTTCATTTGTTTTTGTTTGTTTGCAGTAAAGTAACTGCACTAATCACAAACTCGTTTTCTCAATTAATATTTATGAAAAAGTAAGTACATTGTATTCACAGAGTGTGTATTGGTGGGCCATAAATGACTAGAAAAGGCGGAAAGAAAATGAATAAATATTTTGGGGGAGCATTTGAATAAAATAAATAAATAAGAGGGAAAAAAAGGTACCGGTATGAATCACATATTAGTTGATGAGGCGAAGTTAGATAAGTCTGCAAACATTCTGCAAATGTAGGCAACTTGGTAGACTGAGAGTTTCCAGTGGGAAATCACTATATGAGAATGGAGTTGTATCAAATGGTGGAGCATAAGTTCCGCGCATTATCAATGCATTCTGGAAAAATGTGGATATCTGACTAAATTTTTTTCTAATCCATATTTTGGGGTTATCCTTTGTTTTTATTCTCACCCCGTCTGATTCAAAATTATGAAAATACCAACCTTATCTTCAATTGGATCCCCATTCGCAGCCGCTCTTTCATTCAATTTCTTCTGAACTTTAATCAAAAACGCTGGCGACATTTCCTCTTCCATATCTGGATCCGGATCATAATGTTGAAGAATTGCAACAACTTGACGAGGTTTCAATTTACTCGTCATTTCACCGCATAAAGTATCCAAATTCGATTCATCTTTTCGACTTTGCAATAAATGACAAGCTTGTACAAGTGGTTCCAAATGTTCGCGGAATGATGACAATCCTTTGGCCTGAAGCCAAGATTGTACTTCAGTTACATTATGTTTAATTTGAATGGCTTTTTCAAAATTGCACAATTCTCTTCTAAACATCATATTATTAAGAGCAAGTGAGCACATCCAATGACACATATGACCGATTACTTGATTAACAATTATAGCATCTGCACCATATGTTAATAATCGAGAATGAACCATATCAACCTAAACAAAACAATAATTATTCTATTTTTCATCTCCAAAGTTATGGTAACTCACATATTTCAACAAATCATCAAGTGTCTTTTTCTGTGTATTTTCCGAACTTGCCGATGATCCTCGTTCTCTTCGATCTTGTCCAGCTGTCATCAAATCACTACTACTTTCATTATGCAATATTCCAGGCACAATTTTCGGGCAAAATGCGTGTTCAATTGCTTTTTTCATCAAATTCATATAGCATTCTTCGACGCGAAGTTTGAGTTGATCACGAATTGGAGTGACGTCATAGGATTTGAATCGATATTTGGCTTGTTGTTCAGTGTTGGCAGCTTGCCATTCAGGATTAGTGTCATTTCCGGCATATTGTCGGAGTAAATTGAAAAGACGCCAGGTATTCACAAGCCATAACGATAAAAGTTCAAGATCGTGCGAATTCTGGAAAGAGAGTTTTTTTTAAATTCTAATTCGACTTGATTGTGAAATTTCAAAAAAGTTCCAATTTTAGAAATGAGAAGGAATTTTCAATTATGATACTCCATATTCAAAATTAATACTTTGATTTTGAAATAGCTCCTAATTTTTGGAGCTCAAAAACTACTTTTCAAAAAAAAACTCACCGAGATCGTATCTTTGAGTACAATATGGACTGAAGAGAACAAGCTGGTGAGGGCCGTTTCGTCTTTGTTTTCATCATGAGTTCGGAAGGCGGCAAAAAGTAAGTAGGCTGGCAAATTCTTGGTTAGTAATCGAGCAAGACGTGGTTTCAATTCTAAACAAAAATACATCATTAGATTCGAAAATAAATCCTGAAAAACTTCACTCACCACAAACAATGATTCTCGAAAATTCAGGAACGTTGTAAACCTCTAATAATCCTTGGTGTGGAATTGCTTTATCCTTTTGGAATGTTTCCAATCGAATAATATCTTCGTCCGAAGTGTTTTCTATAAAAAATAAGAAATTGTTGGAATAAGAAAAAAGGGAAAAGTTAAGGGGGCCCCGAGAGACATTAATAAATCCGTTACGCATCAGATGTCAATCAAACTCAAAAATGAAGCTGAAAGCAGAGGGTTAAACAATAAAACAATTTATGCAACAACAAAAACATTGTACTATTCAATTAACAAAATACCGGGAAAAATATTAAAACATGTGACTAGGTTTGCACGAGGAAAAAAGGAAAAGGAATACAGGTTAGGAAAAGGAAAGAAAAACTGAAAAGTGGTGATGGGTGCAGATCTGATCGAGTTAATTGATTGAATAGACCGGTTCCAGATTATTCAAACAAAAATCGAAAGATTAGTTTGAACAAATTGGTAACTGCTAATCAATAATAATAATAATCAACTTGTACAAACAACGAAAAAGTGGATAAATATTTGTGAACAAAACCATGCTGAACAACCATCACCACTTTTACAAAGAAACACAACAAACTAATTCAAACCAAGGCGATTCAATAAACTAGCAAAATATGAAATAAGAGTGTCTTTGAAACCATTTTGATATTCAAATTGGTTCATTGGAGGAACACGATTTGCTGGTGATGTCCAAACCCATTTCGATGTAGATTGTGGTGCAATATCAGTCACCATTGAATAATATGTTGAAGATGTGGTTGAGGATGGTGAAAGAAGTGGTCCACTTCCATCAATGAATGTATCACCACAACCACCCAATTCATTATATCCGCCAATCGATGACAACATCGATTTTGCGGGCGAAAGATTGCGGAAAAGCATGCGTTTCCCTGCCGCTGCTGCTCGTCTCTCACCTAATCCAAGTGGTCCACTGTATCCTCGAAGTTGTGCACGTGCTTCTGTCAATTCTTCCGATTGTCGACAAAGTTTCTCGTTGAGATCCTGAATTCAAAATTGAATTAGATGAGAATGAAGAGATGGGAACGGTTTACCATATTTTGTTGTGCGAGAAGTTGAACATGTTTATGAACACCTCGAACAGCTTCGTCCAACGAACAATCCGATGGTCGCTGCAAAAAATTTCAACATTTTTTTGGAAATGGTTTTTAAATTGGACCTAATCCGGGGATAATCCGTTTTTTTTCGAGTAAATGTTTCCAAATTTTGTTTTCATGAAAAACCATCAATACCTGGTTTGTGCAGGAAAACTTCCGCATTTCCCAGAATAAAAAGGTTAGAAAATTGATTGTTTCAAAACTGACTACTTTTCAGATTTCAGGATGAAACGTCCGGATTCTCAAAAATATTTCCTAAATATAAAAATAATAATTTACAGCTGCAGCTTTAACAAACCGTAAATATTTACTAAAAATATTATTTCAGGAGCCATATTTTTTGATAGAATCATACATTTTAATTTTTTTGTAGAAAATCTTGATCTGGAAGTTGAATTCATACTGAAACCCAGTTTTCCGTTCCCAACAATATTTTGAATGTCATAAAATCTAAACTATCACAATACCTTACTATTAGTTGATGTACTCAATTGATCAACATCTTCATCTGGTTCATCAAAAGTCATACAATAAAAATCAGATGCAGCTGTTGAAGCAAGTCGCTGAACAACAGTTGGTGGTGGAGGTCCAGAAGTACCAACCTCATCGAATTCAAGCATTCTACTAAAAAACTATAACTCGTAGAAAAAAGAGAAAGAACAAAAGAGCGGAAAATTCGGAAAGACATGAATTACAAATGAATGTGGCTGGCTCCATCGAAAAAAAGAAAAAGAAGCCAAAAAATCAATAGAGTCGGGTCATTTGAGGCACAAAACTGAAAATAATTAAAAATCTGCTGGATTCGAGTGGATTTCGAGGAAAAAAAACGAGAAAAAGAGTGCTCAGCACGCAAAAAATGCATTTTTCGGTGGGTCCCATATGAATTGAGTCAACGAGCCAAAAAATAACGAATATGTGCCTGGACGAGACATAAACAAGTGTTGAGAAAATATATAAAAAGAGAAAAAAAGAAGGAAAATGACCATATGAATAGAAGAAGAGGAAGGAGAAAAGAAGCAAGGATTTATAGGATCAGATTATTGTCATGGTAACGGTAGAAAAAGGGGGAGAAATGTTGAAAGGAAATGAGATGATTTGCCAAAAGATAAATTATGAGGAATTCCGAAAAATGAAACAATTTGGAAGAAGAAAGATGATATCTTTGAGCTTTCACTGTAGATTTTTGGTGGGTAATGAATCTTGATGTCAAAGTTGTTAGGTTTGATTCTGAACATTATTTTTGACGTGGCAATTTTGGATACCTAATATATCTTAACGGTCTATTTCATAAATATTTCAAAGAAAAATGAGAAAATTTTTGATCGAGAAAAAGGTCAAGATTTTGAAATAATTTTTGGCCACTTTTAAAAAAATTTTCAAGGACCCAAAACGAATTTTTCTCAATAAAAGTATCGTTGACAACCGAAATTACAATAAATTCTGAATAGCAAACCTCAAAATGAAAAAAAAAACAATTATTTTGACCAGCAAAGTGTAAGTAAAAATCGATAACTTTCCAAAAACAGGAAAAAGGCGAAACCAGTTTTGTAAAACGTCAAAATTAGGTCAATAAAGGTGTTCAAACACAACTACTCATCTCCGATTATTATTATTATTCTAAATTGAATTGAATTCAATAAAAATCACAAAATATTCTCAAAAACAGTGTGAAACTCGTATAGTGTCACGTTTCAAAAACAGAAAAAAAAGATCGACTCAAATTTCGGTTGGCGAAGAGGTAAATAGTAAATAAACTGGATCGAATTGGGCGGAAGTGAGAAAAAAAGAAGAGAAAGTAATGGAGAGTAATTTATGAATATTAAATGAATCATTCGAAAGAAGAAGAAAAAATAGTCGATAATTGTTCAGAAGAAGGTTTTTTTTTTGAAATAAAAAGTGAAAGATGAAATGGACTATGAGATATTTACAAAAGACAAGCAATTTCAAATACCAACGAAAAACCCAACATTTTACAATTATTACATTGTAAGATATGCGAAAGGACGGATAAACCAGATTGATACTATCAAACAATAAAAACTTGACAAAAAATGAAAATGACTAACAGATTATTGATTCGAAGATCAACTACGATAGACATATCAACCGAGGCGGGAAAATTAACTTATGAAATTCTTTGAGATTTTTTTTCGATATCATCTCGAAAATTATTTGATGGGAAACCCCATTTTCAAATAAGTGTTCGATATAAATTTTTAGCCATCGATTTCTCGATAATCGAAAATCTTGCAGAAATTTTGAATATTTTTTTAAACCTTTTAAATTTCTGGAAACAATTTTCATGGAATTTTCATCGTAAACGATTTGTGCTCCACAAAAATCGAATCTATCCCCGAAACTGCCTTTCCCAATGAAAATCTCTCACCATACTAATTTGCTGTTCACTCATTCGTTGTTGATTTTGAAGACGTTCCATCTCAAGGTTCTGATTTGTCAACATCCTTGTCAGATTTCTGAAAAAAAAACATTTTTGTTTTCATTAACTCCGTTTTCTCTTACTCTGCCAAATTCTTCAAATATCTACACTGTCTTTCAACACACAAATCTTCTTCCAAATCAACATTCGAACTTCCATCTTCTGAATCTGCACCAGAACAATGTCCAGAATCAGGTCTTGGCGATCTTCTTGCAGTCGATCCATTGACAGATTGTTTTTCAAAATGACTTGATAACATAGCTCGAAGTTCAGCCGCTTCTTCTCGATATCTTTCATTTTCTTCCATAATTCTTTCAAATACCGCATGAATATTATTCGAATTATCTCTTTCAATTATCAATTTTTCCATATCGGCTTTCAATCGAGTATATGCATTTTCCAATTCAATCATTTTACTCGTTTCAAATGCTCTCAATGATGTTTTCTTATCAAGTGATTCAATTAATGAAGATGCTTCTAACATTGCTTTCATTCGAGCTGTTTCTCTTTGTGAATGTTCCATTCTTTGTCTCATTTCATTTATCATATTTTGTTGTCGAATAATTAATGCAACATCATCTAATTGTGCTTCTGGAGAACCTCGCGCAGATATTATTGTTGTTGGTTGAGATAATTGAATATCTGATAAATTCGAAGTTGTTCTTGATTCATCATTTCTTCGAACATTTGATAATCTCGAACTCATTGCTCCGGATTCAAACAAATTCACATTTTTGATGAGTTGCTCTTTCATTGCAACAACTTCCGAATCTAATGCACTTCGTGTTGATCTTTCTGAAAAAATAAACGAAATTTAAAATATCGATAAATGTCACGTCATAAACACGTGACATCTTTTTCAATTTTATTGACCAACCTGCATTTAATTCAACAATCAATCGATCTTTTTCCTCATTCCACGTCAATTTTTCAGCATTCAATTTGTCGTTGGCTTCAGTCAATTCCATAATTTTCAGCGAACTTTCAGCTTGTATCTGGAAAATATACAAAATGAGAAGAAGAAAGGAGGAAGAGCTGTTTTTCTTCCATTTTTATGACTTTCGAGAAAATTGCAATTTTTCTTCATTTTTAACGGCTAGAACGAGAAAAGAGGAAAACGGTTAAAATAATGAAGTGAAGCTCAAAAGTACACAAGTAAGTCAATTATAAAAAAAAGAAGAGCATCACTAACCTGATCCAATTTACTTTGCAATTCAACCATTTTATTTTCGAGTCCTCCACGTTGTCCTTCTTTCACATCACATTCTGTTTCAAGTCGTTCGACTTCAGCCTGAAGAACTTCTGCACGATGGCGAGCCTCCAAAAGTGTCAATCTGAAAAATGTATGATTATTTTGGGGTTCGGAAAACATAAGATTCGGATGCCAGAAATCCAGAAAAAAATAATCGAAAGTAAATCAAGCTTCTGATTTGATTTAAATTCTCAAACATCAAAACTATACAAAAAACTCGAAAATATGGCTCCATTATTTTTAGCCCTAGTTCTCTGGTTTAAAATTTTCAAGTTTCAGATTTTTTGAGAAATTTGCTAGATGTTCCTAGAAGGACCGATTTTTCCCGTGATGATTTCTATGGTAAATTTTTCAAAGTCAATCAAAACAAACCTTTCAGCTTCCATCATGGCCAATTCAGCATGTGTTTTCTCGACTTCTCGATTCGCTGCTGCCAATTTCTCCGACTCTTCTTTCGCGCGTCCAGTCTGCAAATTCATCATCACATAAATCATATGAGAAAAAAAGAATATAAGATTAATGTGTTTCTGCTCAATCCACCAAACTACAATTTTTTGGAGATATAAGAAAAGGAAATATTTTTGAATAAATACACAAATAAACATGGAATGTTTCCAAGTGGAAAGGGGGTGAAAATTTGAGTGAAATACACTGTTTATTTTGTGTGCAAATAGTGAGAAATTGGTGAACGGGTGATCAGAAATGTTAATATTTAAAAAAGAACAACTGTTGGAAAACAAATAATTCCCCCAAAAAAATTAAGACACAAACTATTCTTGTCCTAGTTTTATTTTTTTCTAAACTACTGTATATATGATAGGCAATAATCACCGAAGCAATTAAAAAGGAACAAAAAAACATGTCCGCCAAACAAAAAAAAATAACATCAATTAATCAGCGAAGAACATGTTCTGACCGAATCAACAAACAAAAAATGCTTCGAAAAAAATGAAGAATATGTCAAAAAAAAAGAACCCAAACACGATTTGTCCTTATTTTGACCCCTTGGGATATTCCAGAACACAAAAATGAGGAATTCTTTGAGAAAGAGAATAATGTTGGTCGAATAGCAAATAAATTTTTCGAGAAGCATAAAAAAATTATAATCAAACTGTCAAAAAATGAGGCAATCATCTTTATTTTCTCTATTGTTTATGTTTGCTTTTTGCGAAAGACCGGAAACTTGAAATTTTTGTTTCGAAAAAAAAAACTTTGTGACGCTTTTGAGATGGATCACGTGTTAAATGATCGGCTAGTTTAATCTTTTAATTGCAATGAATTTGCACATGGTTGGATGGTTCTCAAAACTGGATTTGGATCTTTAAAAAAAACTATTCTCTAAAATTTGATATCCCCATAGAACCTAAAATCTCATAGCTCAAAAAAATTCACACGGGACTACGAAAAACTCATTTGAAAAACACAAAATAAAATAGCTCGTTTCCTCTCACTTTAAAAATCAGGCCATAATCCGAACAAAATGTGAACGACTCACTAAACAAAAAAAACGCATTTCAAGTACCAAAAAAATATAATGATGCCTGAAATGCATCTTTTGTTTTTGTAAGTAATAGATAAATATAGAAAAGTGTTCAGGAAAGAAATAAATAGAAAAAAACATCTTTTGATTAATGATGATTGTCGCGAAACAACAGCAACATGTGTGTTCAACCGGAAAAAATACGACATTTGAATTATCTTGAAATCCACATCACAAATTAAGACTTAAGTACTTTTCATATTTCCAGATCTTCTGAATATTCCAAAACCAATAATAAATTTGAATTATAATTTTTTAAAAACTGCATTTTGGCATGAAAACAAAAAATTCCATTCCCAACTAAACCTACTTCTAGTTTTCAAAAAATTTTCTAATTTTCACAAAAACTAGAAAAAACAAACAAGTTATTCAAAAAAATGTTGAGAACAAAACAACCCGACGAAATCCCACAAGGACTCTTCTAGTTCTCAAAAATGCGTCTTATTTGCCCCAAAACAAAAACTCGCAACAACTTGTTTGAGACAAGTGAATAAATCAAATGTTTGAATGAATAAAATATAGAACAAATGTCATAAAATGTTTTTCACATTTGCTTTTTTTCGAGAACATCATTTGATTATTATTGAAAATCGATAGAAAAAATATGAAGATGTGCAAAAAAAGTCGAAATTTTGATATTCTAATTTCTCATTATGAAAAAGAGCAAGAATCACTCAAAAATAAAAAATAATCTTCGTGTAAATAATAAAAATGCACTCACCACACTATCCAATCTCATTTGCAATTCAATAATTTTGTTTTCGAATCCGGTATTCAGTTTTTGAAGATGGACAACAGATCGAGCTTCGATCTAAAAAAAATTATGAAAATTTGAAAAGCAGATATTTTAAAATAATCTTACTTTGAGCTCACGAAGTCGTTTTTTCGCCAAGAATTTTCTGACAGCACATTGAACCATGATAATTTTCTTTCTTCGAGCAATTTGTTCCTTGCGAACTTGATATCCTCTCCAAGCTGATTGAATTGCGATCGCCGATTTTTCATAGCGTATCTGAAATTATTTTTTTAATAAACGAAAATTTGGCTCAAATAAAAAAATCCCAGAATTTTTTCGCTCACCTTTTCCACATATCTTCTAACAACTTGTGCTCGATAATGCGATTGAATAGCAATAACACATTTCCGTAATCGATTATATTTCTGTCTTTCGATAAATCCTCTCACAGCCGTTTGCATTGTAATCGCAGCTCGATGCATTTGTAAATACTTGATTCTTCGAAAAGCCAAAAATGCTTTGAGAGAAGCTTGTACAATGAGCAATGCTTTCTTTTTCGTCTCATAATTTCTTCGAGCAACGAATCCTTTCCATGTTTTTTGAATCATAACAGCTGCCGATGACAGTTTTTCCAATCGAACTCGTTCCAAAATCGCAACTTGTCCGGTTCTCAAAAATATTTTCGATTTTCCCAATGCGAATTTTCCATCTTCTAAACATTCTTCGCAGGCCAATTTGGCGAATTCTTTGGGTGAATCTCGCCAAAGTGCGACAGATTGTTTCGTGTATAGAACTCGATATCTTCGAGCAAATTCATCATAAGGATATCGAGATGGAAATCCAGCTGCCGAAATTCGAACAGTTTCCAAAACACCGCAAGCTCGAAGTTGTTGAATAGCTCGTTTTGGTTCAAATTCGAAGCTGTAAATAACAAAAATTAGCAATTTTCAATAAAAAAAACAAAATTACCTTGTTTTACTATCATTCGGCTTGATGCATCTAACATAATGCGGTCTTGTCGAACACAAAACATTCATCAATTCTTTGAGCGAATCTCTAAATTGGCTGGCGACGGTTCGTTTTCCACCTCTTTTCAATGTTGGTGTTCCATTTGATGGCGGAATTATTCTCGCACTTTCAACAACATTCCGCATGAATTCAAATTGGCTCGATGCAATGACATTCAATAATTGTTCTCCAATCGCATCTCGATTTTTTTCAACAAATCCATCGATTGTATAAGTGACATCTGCAGCAAAGTGGCGAACAATGAAATCATTGCATCGAACTCGTGGGAATGTCAATTGTGGATTTCTTTTCAATTCGGAATTATTGTTTAATTGACTGAGCCAATCAATATCGCTTCCATTCAATCTTTTGCATTGTTCATCGAGAAGACTAATTAATCCAATTGGTCCTTCAATCAAATCAATAGCAGGTTGATTATCATGAAAATCGACTCGAACCCAATCAATTTCTTCTCTCACATATTCTTCTTGTTCCAATTTGAAAACGTGTTGATTGAATTGTTGTTGCAGTTTTTCATTTGCATAATTGATGCAAAACTGCTCGAATGAATTGACATCGAATGTTTCGAATCCATAAATATCGAGGACTCCGATGAATCGCTCGATTTTCTTTTTCATCGGTGTCGCTGCCGTCACATTTTCATTCAGCGCTCCATTTATTTTCTCAACCAGATAATTGAACAACTGGGAGTAAACCATTTTTGTGAGAGCATCTCGCGATCGAATCGCTTCATCTTTTGTCAAACTTTTGGTGACAACTTCATTGACAGCTCGAATTTCTCGTCGTGTCAACCAAATTCGCAATGCGTTCTCATCAATATTCCAAATTTGGGAGCAGAGTTGAGCGATTTCAGTTGATGAGGATGCCTGAAAAGAAAATTGTGATCAAAATTATGAGAAAAAAAATTATAAAAACTCACGGCAACTGCTGAACAACCTTCTCCATTATCAAAATGAACATTTCCGAGCAAAAGAATACCAGCGAGAAGTCGGAAAACATCTGCACTTTGCTTTTCATCAAATCCAAGAAGACCGAGAGCATTCACAAGATCATCAAAATCATGTTTGTCATAAACACCGGGAATTCGACTATCTCCACCTTGCACAAGATAACTGTATGATTCACAACCACCCAAATGCAAATCTTTGACAATTGGATGATGTCTGGCTGCACACATTTGGTAGAAAATGTGATAATTTCGTTCACCGGGTGCTTGGAATACTAGTCGACTTTTTTCGAGCAAATACGTCTTCATTTCAGCTCCAGCGATTCGTTTTCCATTATCAGCAAAGTTGATTTGAATAAATTTTCCAAAACGAGACGAATTGTCATTTCGAATTGTTTTGGCGTTTCCAATGCTTTCCATAATTGGATTACTCGCTAATACTCTTTGCTCAATTCCAGTTGTTCCTCCTTTTTTATTCGATGATGCCACCGATGCCAAATATCGCATCACAAATTTCGCCGACACTGTTTTTCCAGCTCCGGATTCTCCCGAAACAATAATTGATTGCGATTTCGAGAATTCGCGCATATCAAAAAATGCTTCTTCAGCGACTGCGAAAATGTGTGGATCGAGTTCTCGAACCGATTTTCCGATTCCTCGATAAACTTGAATTATATCCTCGCCATATAAATGTGAACAATCCGAATATGGATTTATTGCGACCAAAACAATTCCACAATATGTGTATATTGTTTGTCGATCCACAAATCGGAATTCCAAGTTGTGGAGAACTGCGGGTTCGTGCAAATATGATAACAGTGTGAGATCATCCTTTCCAACCAAAATTTGCGGATTCCTCAAAAACGGCAGTTGTTCGAATGACGAGATATCGAATTCAGCGGTCTGCAAAAAATATTCTTGATAACTTTTTCGAACACTTTTCCCTATCTATCATATTCAATTATGCATATGATAAGAAAAATATTTCAAAACCCAAAATGAGTCAGTAAGTAAACATGACAAAAGGGTTTGAAGACAAAATATTCAGAACTTACCGTATCATCGTCAAGCTTCAGTCGAATTTTCCTCGTCTCAAAACTGACGTCGTGCTCCAACTGTCCGCCAATCCAAATCAAATGTGGATGGCGATGCCAAACCCGGGCACCTTTCTGAAAACCAAAATATTAGTTTTTTTTAGAAAGCAAATGATCTCACAAGAGGAAGGATCATTTTTTGAATCTAGTAAATCGAGAAATGAGCATTTAGAAAACACGTGAATATTTTTATTTTAGTGATGTCACGTGTTTTTTAAAAATGAGTATTTATTTGTTTGAAAACTTACTTTATAGTTTTCCAACGGGAAAACATAGCCCCTTCCAAGAGTCTCCATTCAAAAAAGCGGTGGAAACTTCTCCAATCACAAAAAATGCGATGAGTATTCCAATAATATCTGCAAAAAAACAAAGATCGATAAATTATTCAAATTTTCAAAGCCAACAAAATCACTCAGCAAAAAAATTCCGGAAAACGTTTCAAAGCGTGTGTGTAAACAAGAGTGTGTTATCATCATCATGGCAAAATAAATAACGAAAAATCAGAAAAAATCAAAACTGTTGACAGCTATAAAAAGTAGACGAGAGAGAAAGTTAAGAGGAGATAAACCTGTATTCAGATAGCCGCAGAATTATGGCAATTTTCATGGAGAATCTTTATTGGGTCAACAAAAATGGGGTTTATGACTTTTTCACGGAAATTGATAGTGAAAAAAACTAAACTAGAGGAATGCTCGCAAGATTTAATAGTTTCAAAACTAAACATGACCTTGAGCTTTTTTTTAGAAGAAAGCAATTTACATTAAATGAGAACGTATTTCGAGTGGTAAATGTTATTTTATGAAGGACAACATTTGAAAAGGTGTTGAATTACAGTCTGGCTTGTTATTTTAACAAAAAATGTTCATTATTCTCAAACTAAAAAAAGTATAATTGAAAAACTTTAAATGAAATAAATATTCCCATTCACACGCATCTATTGACACGACGATGTATTTGACCGGCGAAATAACAAAAATGTTATGTTATACAATATTTTTGGTTATTTTACAAAAAAGGACACTTGATGTGTAGAAAACTAGGACGAGCGAGGAACATTTGCGTAATCCTTTTTTGTTTTTGGAATATTTTCGATTAAAAACTGAAAGTTTTATGAAACAATGAAAACCAGTGTTTTTCTATGCGGAGAAATAAGAATAATATGAATAAAGAGGAAAAAAGTTCGGAAAGACGAAGAAGCATAGTTCTAGTCAATGGCAAAATAAACAAAAATACGTAAGATCTGGACTCATACAATATTCGGCACTTGAACATTTTCTTGTGATTTTTATGCAAAAACAATAATTATTCTTATAAAAATGAATTACTGTCTGGTGTCACAAAATAATCATTGTTTTATGTGAAAATTAGTAAAAAGAAAAAATATGAAGGACACTCGCGTTCCGCTTCTCAACAATTTGAAAAAAACCAGAATATTATGAAGATTTATCACTTTATACGGGAGGAAAACTTTCTTCTTCTTTTTTGTCTTCACCATATGGCGCGAAACACCTTGCAATAGAGCGCGAAAACTATACACAGGCTATGTTTGAAATTACAAAAAAAAACTGAACGTTTACAAATAAATAAAGAGGCATGCGTTCGCAAAATGGGTTAATTATGGGATTATGATCTTTTGCTGGATGAAAAAAAGGAAAATTTAGATTTGAATCGAAAATGAAAGAAAAAGAGAGGAAAGGGAAGATGAGCCAAGTTGTTTGTATACCGAATAAGGTTTATTTGCGTTCGTCGAAGTCATCGAAGAGCAAGAAGAACACAAAACCGGTTGGAGGGAATAAAAAAAAGAGGATTGAACCATTGTTTGTATTTCTCAAAAGGTGCTGGTCAAAGGGCGTTTGCCAAAAGAATTTACACTTCGAACGATATTTTTGGACTCTATTCAAAATGTATTGGCAAAAATACTTTTCAGAGAAAATGAATAGAACGGGAAAACCACGAAAAAAACAGCGAACGCACAAACAAAAAATGAAAAAAATTTATTTGGCGAGAATTTCGAAAAAAAATTCCCGGCGAACGGGAAAAAATTCTCGCGGGCGCGTTGCAAGACCACAACAAATTTGTGTGTGTTCCTTTATTCTTACGGTGGAAAAAATAATAATTTTCCGGTTTGCAACAATTGATTTTTCGCAGAAAATTTCCAAAAAAGAATGTTCACCAGGGTGACGCACCTGTTATTTATTGGTAATTGTGTCTTCCGCCAAAACAGCTGTCATAAGGAGAGAATGAATAAAAAACCACAACCAAAAAAAGGAAGAGTGAACAAAATATTTCGCAATTTCCAAAAAAAAAAATGAGAAACCAGTCAACCATTCTTGCTTTGAGGTAGGCAAGTATGTAGATAATAATTGGAGAATGTCGGTCATGGAAAATTATGTACCTTTAAATAAATAAAGTAATTATCTAGCAGTCTAAGAAGAAAACCGCGATTATTATTTTTTTTTCTAATTGCCGGATGGAAAGATGATGACCACTTTGGACTGAGATGGAGAAGTCATCTAAAATTTTGCTAATTGTAAAGTTCTCACAACTCAATAATCCCAAATGAAGTTTCATTACCCAACAAAAAATAATTGAATTATTATTTTTTAATGATCAGCATGATTTGCATAATCCTTGTATTTTTCGAACATTTCATCGACAGTCAAACAATATCCATCATCACACAACAAGTCTTCTGGGCACATTTTTTGATTCAAGCATCGCTTCTTTTCTCCATTGACCAACAAAACCAAAACCATGGAGATGAAAACAAAAAGAGGAACGAATTTCATTTTTCAATATTCGATATTCTTTGAAAAAAACCGTGGAGTTTTTATATTGAAACTTTTTATTAGAAAATAATTGATTACAGTATACGAAATTTTATGAGGTTTATTATTAAATTATGAGAAAGAAATGTGGGATGGAAGGAAGAAAACGTTGCCTAAAGAATCGAAAGTTTAAACATTGTTCAACATTTTGTGGAAACAATTCGGATATTATCAATTGCCAGCCACTTAAATCTTCTCCATTGAATTGCTCGCAAGAATATTTTGATAGTCCCCTTTGGAATCAAAAATGTCTCGCCATCTTTCCAATATAAATCTTTTTCAAAAGGCGTAACAGTGTAAGGACAATAAAATGGTGTATCCAAGCAAATCTGGAATACATTTTGTTTTATGAACTTTCCTTGAACCCGACCTGTAAAGTAATATCATTTGATCTTCTATAAACATCCATCTTCATTTCCAAATCATCATTAATAATCAAATCCGGTGATTCCAAAATATAATTGACAATCTTGGAACTCGTTGAACTATCAGTTCCAACATATAAAAATCCACCAGTTGATTCTTTCACTCCAGTATGCGGATTTCCAACTCTTTGATTTCCAATTTGCCACGGGGCAAGAACCATACTTTCATTTGCATAATTTGTGTAGAAACACATACTATCACTGAAATCACAATCAAGAAGTTTACAAACAGTCTCCGGTTCTTCTTGATTATTATCATTTTCAGTTCCTGGCATTTCAACATCTTGAGCACTTCCAATAACTTCATTGAATCTTGCTGGATCAATATTTTCCTCAATCGGTCTTGTCAATTCATCCAAAATATTTTCTACTGAAATAGTTAAAGTTTTTGAAAAAAATAAAATCACGAGACTCACATTCGCTCTTCTTTTTTGGTGCCAATCTAACAGGCCTCGTTGGAATTTGAACAGCTTCTTCTCCCTCAATTTCTCCAGTTATTTCATCTGGATTTTCTTCAGCATCAAAGAATCGATCAACAGTTGCAAGTTCATCATTATTATTTCCCTTTTCCATTTCTTTTTCTCGATTTTCCAATTCACACATATCTGCTTCATATATTATATTATCATAAACTATAACAGTTGGATCAATCAAATTTGATGCAACTATTTCAAGTTCGAAAAATGTGGAATTCGGGTGTACAACTTCGATAGCAATTGTTGAAATCGAAGTGGTATATCCAATTTTCTAAAAGTAACTATGAAAGTGGATTACTGTAGCCTACAGTCTGTAGGTTACAAGCTACCTGTGTGCAAGATCTCGCCAAATGATCCTGTGTGCAAACTCGAATCAAAACTTCGTCGTGTTTTCCAACAATCCAATAACTGAAATTTCATATTTTTTAGTTTCAGTAAATAATTTTCAGAAAAATGGAAAACATACTCAAATTTCAACACTCCATTTCCTCGTTGGCATGTAATTGGAGTTGACATAATAAACTCATCCTCAGGTTCTGCTCCCTAGAAAAAATTCTGGTTAGAGAAATATGGGGCTAAAAATTTCACTGATACTTTTTATCAACAAAAAAATATTGCGCTGAATTTCAACCATTTTCTGGCTCACATTTCTAAACTTCTCGACAAAAAAATCTTACCCGATGTTCAATGAAAAACACAAAATTCCCAGTCGGCTTCTGTGTTTCAGGTCTCGATGCCAACGTGGCAAAAGTTCTATAATGATCATCTGTTGGCAAATTTCCAACACTCAACGGACTCGAAACACTTTTGAATCGGCATCCCGAATCTTTCTCAAAATCACACGAAAAATTGAATTCATCTTGGGTTACTGTAGATAATCTTCGAACACATGTTAGAAATTCAGTCATTGTTGTGATTTCAATTGGACAACTCAAGTTTTTGTTTGAGGAGGAGTTATCCGAATTCAACATTATGTGAAGAGGAACATCAGATTTATAGGTATTCGAGGAATGCTGCAAAAATATTATGTTTTTTTTTGATTAGGGAGGAAAATTTCAGAAGTATAAGTACCTGAACTTCATTGTCATTAATCAATGTGGGATATTTCGGCGGTGGAATATAACCAGGATACGGTGTAAATCTCTGAAACAACTCAATGATTTGTCCCACCAAAATAACTTATTAAAAGTAACTCACAGTTTCGCCAGACATTCTTCCAGGCGGTGCAGCATTTATCATCTCCAAACTATCATCATTATAATCTGATGGAGCTGGTGGAGCAGGAACTGGAGCCGATTGATCAATTGGTGCAGCACCAGCGATTGCAGCCGGTGAATAACTTGGAACACTTTGTGGAAGTGCTGAATTTTGGAAGCCGAGGGAGATTGGTGGTTGGCAAGAATTCACTGAAATTTTCGATTAAAAATTTTTTAAATGGGATATACAGTAGGAAATCACTGAAGTGGTTAGCATTTTCTGACAATTGAAAATCGAACTACAGGTTACTGTAGTTGATAATTTTTGATCTACAAATATTTTATACAGTCCCGATGTGTTTTTTTTTGAGATACAGTAATCATAATCGATGGTAGATAATTACAAAGTTTTTTTTCCTATGTTTTGGAGCTAAAAAATAATTCCCTCTTCCCCAGAAACTTACCTGATTCAAAAAATATGAATAAAAGTTTGGTCCAAAATATCACTTTGATCAACATATTTCGAAATGTGATGAAGTGAAGTTAATCCAAGAATAAAATGTGATTATTATTTTGTTGTGATCCCCTAAAAGGCGTGGTTTTGTTTTCGCTCGTTCTCTATTGTTCCAGAATTGAAATGAGGTGAAAAGAAATTGACAAAGAATTTCGAGAAACGAAAATATGTAAAATAACAACAAGAAAAACGCGCGAAATCCGTAAGGAATGGGAGGAAAAAAAGTGAATATGATTGATGATTCGTTTTATGGTATTTTGAAACTGTTCATTTTTATGGGATTATAAGAATTCGAGTTTTCAAGAATACGTAGTATAAGGAAAGGCTATAAAGTGGGAAATTTTTGAAATCTTTATGATAATGTTTTTCAAAATTTGGAATTCAGAATTCAGAAATATTGTATTACAAAGAACTTAGGTTTGAAAAACTACTGTAATTCTATCTATATTTTCAACGAAAAACCTTTTAACTAATAAAATTCCGGTTCAAAATTCAGAATCTTTAAAAAAAACAAAGAAAATTCCCACTCAAAACTGTACAGCCAGCCTCCCAAAAAATAAAAAACAACTCCAAGAAATACAAAAAAAACGAGAATCTAAATATTTACAAACCCTAAAACCGTCAACATAAAAGAGAAAATTTATACGAAAAACGCAAATGTTCTTTTCTTACTGTACTTACATTCAAAAAGGTCGCGCAGAAAGCAAAAAGGACATGCGATTATTCAAATTATTATGATTTTTATCCATATTTGTTTTTCATAAAATTTCATAAGTTTGATTGGAAAAAGTCAGTGAAAACTAGGTTGAGCAAATAACACACAAAAAAGACGGGTACTTACAAGTGAAATACTTCGATGCGGACCTTTGGAAAATTTGAAAGTACTAACAAGTTAAAACAATTCTGGGCGAGCAAACTACAAACAATTAAAAAATGAAAACCAGAAAAAAAGGAAAAGAAAAATGAAATAAGTGAGAAGACCAGTTTAATTGTGCAGAAAAAACATAAGAAAAGTTGGTCGAATATGGGACAAACGAGTGCCGGATTAGCCGATAATCGGTCAAAATGAAAATCGCCAACAAACCGTTCCTCTTCTTAGATTTGATGAAATATGCGTATTTATTTCAACTTGAAAATTCAGCGAAAAATAGATACATTTTATTAGTGATATTATGGTACAGATTAACAACTTTACACAATCAGGTAGATTTTTGGATAAAAAATATCACTTCTTCCCTTTCTCTGCTTTGAGTCGAGCAATCTGAAAAAATCAAAGATTATTCAAAAATGGTTCAAACAATGACTCACTTCATCTTTCAATTTCTGATTATTTTGTTCAGCTTGATCAAGTTCATTGCTCAGTCGAATATTTTCAGATTGTCCAGCTTGTATCGTGTCAATTGCTTTTCGCAAAATCATAGCTCTTGAAGCCTGAAAAATTTGTAAATGAAAAATTTGTTTTTTTTTTCGGAAAACAAAATAAAGTTCACGTTTAGAAATACAATTATTCATTTTTTAATTTAAAAATTTCCCATTTCTAACTGCCACGTCAAAGTTCACGTCTTTTTAATTTTAGAATAAATTAAAAATTGTTTCTTTTTGAACAATGGAAATTATATTTGAAAATACTTATTAACATTATTCTCAATAATTTTTCAAATTTCACAAATTCATAAAACTAACCCTTTCAGAATTGGCTTCTGGCACAACTTCTCTCAAATTCGTATACATATCCTTAATATTATCACGTCTCCGTCTTTCCAATGCATTATGTTGTTCTCTCGCATGTTTTTTCGCATCTGGCCGATTTGGATCAACACTTTCTGGTCCACCAACATCCAAATCTTCTTCCATATCGCTAAAATCTGACATTTTTCTACCTGAAAAAAACAACATTTGATTATTTCTCAAAAATAAAACAAAACGAAAATATTTAGTAAGGCTCATTCAACCTTATTTTTTTTATTAGAATATCGATTTTCAGAGAGGAGAGTAACCGTTTATAAATAATGAAATAAGTGAACAAGTAAATGAATAAATAAATAAAGAGAATAGCCAGCACCGGATAAATTAAAAGTTACACCTGAAAATGTTTCAAAACCAAGAGAATAAGTAAGAAACCCGTCATGGCTTCCAATGACAAATGTTCAAATGTGTAATAAGTGAATGAAGATAATATAAAGAAACCCGTAAAAATCGACCGCTCTGGATTCATAATTCGATTTGAAAATACATAAAAGACGAGGAAAGAGAAAAAGCAGAAACAGTGTTGCATGTTTGCACTCAAAAAATCCATTGTTTCATATTGTCCTTTGAGTTTGAAGAAAAGTGGAATGAAATATGGAATTGCGAGCACAAATTTCTTGATACTTCGATTCTAAAAAAACCAAAACTTGGAATCAAATTGAAAAATCAAAACTTCTTACCAAAGTCAAAATGGAAATGACTATGAAACATGTAAGAATTGGAGAAATAATAACACTACAAAATGCTCCATAAAGAACTTGTTCCATATTATCCGGGTTCAAACGCATATCAATAACTCTGAAAAATAAAACAACTTTCAATGGAAATTGTCAAATAAAAAAACTTACGCTGGCCAAAAGACTGTGGTCACAAGCCAAATGATTTCGACAATGAAGAAATATGCCATACAAATAAGAAGGCCGAGAATTACTGGAACCATTGGAATAATTTCATCATTTACATATACAATTGGGAAAACAAATGATACTGCTATTGAGGCCCAAATCATAAATTGTTCTTCTTCGCCAATTTCTTCAATGCTTGTTATTATGTATGCAAGAAAGATCAGAGCACAGGCAACAATCAGATTGCTATTCGATAAAAATATCTGAAAATTTTATGTGAGTGAATCATCAATGTGATCGTGTGAGAAATTGTCGCAGAAGTTTTTCAGTATCAAAAATTTCAAATTTCCAAAACTCACATCAAAGAACAATCCAGCAGTTGCTTGAGTCAAAGTCGAAACTTCAACATTGAATTGACAATTATTATCGAGACTGAAAACAAGTCTTACTAAACCTGACACATCATTTCTAGAAATTGTTGTGACAAGTGTTGTGCCATTTCTTATTTGAGTATTTCGGAAACTGTTCGCACGAACTTGAGTGACAGAACGAACTGAAAAAATTACGAATTAGGAATTTTCATTTTTTTTTCTAATAAATATCTTACCGCATTGGCCAATCGTCTTTATTTGTACAATTTGATGTTGTCTAACCATAACAGAAACCACATACTGATCATTTTTCTACAAAAAAATAACTTTGTGTCAAATCAAATTCTCTAAATCTTCTTACCGCACGAATTACTTTTTTCGATCCCAATTCTAATTGTTCTGATGCAACTATACTTCTAATTACAAACTTATTATCTCTAATTGCAGTTTCTCTTTCCAAAAACTGTTTCAATATTAATTTTGTATCAATTTTTCCTCGGTTTTCGGCATAAGCTTCTAATAATCTCGAAGTATGTCGAACAACTTGATTACACCAAACAATACATAAATGATCAGTTCCATGATCAGGAACTTCGTCAATATTCCAAATTGGGACTGCCGCTGAATATCCATATTTGGTTAACGGATCAGCAACAAGTACATCTTTAAGTCCTCCAGAATACGATATTATCGCAAAATCATCATATTGTTTTTCATTCCAAATATTTTGCCAATGAACATAATAATCGCGGAAAGAATTGTCGAGTACAATTGCTAAAATAATAGTTATTAATAATTTTCTAGAAAATGAAAAAAACTTACGTGCAACTTGAACCGGTGCTGATTTCAAAATAAACATATCAATCCAATCGATTTTAAATCTTGGATCAGTAACAAGTCCCATTGCAACAGTTCCACCAAGAGAATGTCCAAAAATAATGATTTTTCGATTTTTATACATTTTTCGTAATTCCTCCAAAGCATCAACAACAAAACGTGTCTGCGATCGTAACATATGTCCATTTAGAATAGTGTTTTCCTCTTTGAAATCGCAAGTGAAAAAACGATAAGTGTATTTTGTATTCTTCCTTTTCTTTTTATCTTTCATCACAGTTGCCAATGATCGAACTTGATTCTTAGAACCTCCACTTCCTGGTATAAATACAACTGGGATTTCATTCGGATCGGCTCCTCTGAAAAATGTATGTTAGTTTGAAAAACCTAACAAAGAATTTTAAAAACTCACAAAACTCCAGGATCCTCAACTCCTTCTGTATAAAGATACAATTTGTATTTGGTGTGATTGAGAGGCTGAATCTGAAAAATTGTACCATTCTTATTAATTTTGAGAAACAACAACCCCCAAAGAAAAAAACAAGCTCACCAAGAAAAGTGGAGGTTCCAACATAACAGTCATACCGCATTTATTGAATGTGAAAATGTTCAATAAAAATGGTCGAATTGTTAGAACAATCATTCCAATTGAAACGCATGTTATGGTAAATGCAACAGTTTTTGGTAGAATCATTGTTGTTAATTTATAGGCATTAATTAAAATGCAAAAATTGGAAACCCGATCTGTTAGAAATGACTAGATGGCACGTGTAAAGGACAACCTGAAAATACAATTAGTATTCGTAAACTGAATTGCAAAAAAAAGCATAATCTATATATCTAGGAAGCTGAATCAAACTTCACACAAATCATCGACAAAAAATAACAAAAGATTGGTTTTTTATCAGAAACTATTCCCAAAAGGAAAAACATATTCACAAATAAACAAAAATTCAGATTGAACCGGATATTTTCGATGACAATCAGGCGAAGCCTAGACTAGAACCTACAAAGAAATTGAAGGAGCTTATGAAATAGTTATAAATGAGTATCATTTTGGCTGTGGAAGAGTTGCGGGATTGAGTCATGGATAGATGAAATTAGAATTTGAATTTAGGAGTTATTGGCTGCAACAGCTGAAAGTAATGAATCAATTGTTTGATCAACTGTAGAGCGAAGTTCAGCAGAACAAGTTGCATTGTAATGAACAAGTTCGTCATCATCAAAAAAACGATCCAAGATATTATATGATTTGACATGTATATCGATATTTTGACTTTGTGATAGAAATTCAAGTTTAGCTCGACATCCAATTTCTTCAAGTTGAACTGATACTGGATTTGTATAATCAGGTGAAAGATTGATCTCTCCATATAAAAGAAGACTTTCAAGAGCATCAAGAATCTGGAAATTTCATGAACAATTTTTTTCCAAAGAAAAAAAGAACTCACATATGTGACTAATGATGGATCCATACATGTCAACAAATCGGTGAATACTCGCAACAATCCTATTTCTAAAATATAAGCGATATGTGCCCGACTGGTTGATGAACAACAATGACATATTGTATAAGCAGCTTCTTTTCTTGTTCTATATTCTGCGGTTTCCATTACTTTAGTTACTTCTAATAAAACACCAGAAGAAATCAATCGCTAAAAATATTGAAATATAATATTTTAATAGTTTTTTTTTCTAACTCACATCAATAACGTGTTCGCCTTCTCCGGAAATATTTGCAAGAATATAACAAACATCTCTAGAAATATATCTGACATTGATAATTGGTTTGAGAACTGTGAGAAGTCCTGCATCAATCATTTCTTGTGTAAAATCGGGAGTTGTTTCAGTGATAAAATCGATAGCTTTCAAAACACTTGGTCGAGCAACACCAATTCCAGATGAAAGTGAATTTACAAGTAATACGAGCAACTTATTTGTATGCATTTCTTGCCAAATATCAGGCCATTCAGCCATAAGTGCACAAGCGCGAATTGCATCTGATTGTATTGCAGTATCAGTTGATTGCATTCCTGAAGCAACAAGTTCCATGAGTGGTGCAACTTCTTCAACGCGTGGAGAATATTCTTGAAGGCGATGGAATAGTTGAGAAACAAGCCACATGAGACAGCGATTAGCACGTGGATCACTAAAAAGTTGAAAAATATTAAATTCTCTAATATTTAATCAGACTTACTTTCTCTCATAGATATTCAATAATTCTGGAACAATCGCTGAATCGAATGCAATATTTCGATAAATGATATTCATTCCAACAAATACGGATATTGCTTGCAAACAATCACATGTTATTTCAATTGATTCAACATTGTCTCCCAGAACATAACACAATGATTCGATGCATAATTTATCAGCTGTTTTCGCATCACTCGGCCGATTTGAACAAATTCTGAAAATTTCGGCGATCGATCTTGCGACAATATCACTTCTCCTTCGATTTGAATAAATATCAGATAAAATAGACAAGATTCCATTAGAACACAAATCAAAAAGAGACCATTCGGATGTTGTAAGTTTTGAGCCAATAATTCTTATAGCAGTTGCTTCAATACCAGTTTGTTCACTTTTTAGTTGATCAATAATTTCTGCGGGGATTCGACTAGCTTGCGGTTTCTCATTAACTTCGGTGATTTTTCGACGATTTTCTAAAATATCCTGCCGTTTCTGTTTTCTCAATTCTACTTCATTTTCACGACGTCTTCGACGAAGTTCTTCATTATTTGAGCCTATAAAAAACATCAATAAACAATCACTTTCAAGTTATATTTATAGATCAACTAACCTTTTTTCTTGTACATCCTCGCTCTGTCCTCCATCGCTGAACGATGCATTTTGAATGAAACAGCTCGAAACGAGCTAAAAACAAGTTTGAGAGAGGAAACACGAAAGAAAAACAAAACTCGTGCGAGGAAAAAACCAACAAACAACCAGGCGAGCAAGTGCGCTCCAATGGACTAGAGAGGGAATTTGAAATGTGTTTTTTTTGTGTGTGCGAGTTTGAAGCGCGATTTTCTATAGATGAAAGAAGATTACTGTAGTTTTTTCGAATAAAGTTTGAAAACAAGAAAGCTCATTGCTTAAACTGAAAGAAAAATCGGCAACTTATGAGATTTGTCATTCGAAAAACACAAAACTGAAGAAAATGAAAAAAAACAGAAACACATCATTTGTAATGTTCGCGGAAGTTTCAAGATCAAACATTCTAAAATCATGTAGGTAGATCAAAACTTTTTGAAATCAGAAATAATTTATTATCAAATGTTTTTGAAATTCCAGCTGTGCAACGCAAAAGTTCACGTGAATTACGTTTTTATTTCAGTGCTAAATATATATTTTTAAAACTTTTTTCTGGGCACCGATTCTGAATTTTAATTGTTTTCTATTTATTTATTCTGATTTTCAGAACTTTCCACAAATAAATTGTTTATGTTTTTAGCCTTGTAATTGTTCATATGTACAAACAAAAACTAACATATAAATAATAACTATTTTGGATCATAACTTTTCCAAAAATAATTTCTAAAAATTGTATTCCTAAAAATCCAAATAGTTCACTAAAACATCACAGTTCATTAAAACTGAGATCAACACCGACAAAATTCGAACTTTGTCAATTAATTACGTGCCATCTGAACAAACATATTTCAGTATTTATAAAGAGTGCGGAACTTTGTCTGACCATCAAATCATGCACTCACTTTTCTCAACCTTGGTAATTGCTCTAACTTTTGTAGCTCTTGCTCAAAGTTGCAGTGACAGCGGATCAAAGTGAGTGGTACTGTAGTTTCAAGTGAAACAAAATATATATTTTCAGTTGTGCTAACTGGGTGAAAAATGGATTCTGCACTTCGTCTTCATACACCACAGCTCAAAAAACCCAATATTGTGCATCTTCCTGTAACTTGTGTTCAGGCTCCTCTGCAACAACATCTTCTTCATCATCCTCGTCTTCATGTACCGACGCGGTAACAACGTAAGATCTTACATTAGGAACCAAAAAAATATTATAATGACAAATTTTCAGATGTTCATCGTGGAATGCAAACGGATTCTGTGCCAGTAGCTTCTACACAACCGCCCAAAAAACTCAATATTGTGCAAAGACATGCTCATTATGTTCATCTACAACCGCATCTTCATCTTCTGATTCAACTGATTCTTCAGATTCATCAGATTCCTCAGATTCTTCAGATAGCTCAGATGCTACCACAGCTGCTTCAGCAACCACAACTGCTGCTTGTGTTGATGCTGTTTCAACTTGCTCATCTTGGAATGCAAATGGTTTCTGTTCAAGTTCATTCTATACAACAGCTCAAAAAACAACATATTGCGCAAAAACCTGTTCACTTTGCACATCTTCCTCATCATCATCTTCCTCTTCTTCTTCAACTTGCACAGATGCATCATCAGCCTGTTCTTCATGGGTTTCAAATGGTTTCTGTACCAGCACTTTCTACACAACTGCACAAAAAACAACATACTGTGCAAAATCTTGCAGTTTGTGCTAATTCTATAGTTAATAGTTAGTTGAGTCAATGAAGCATTTCAAAGCAAAATATATTTATTTATTCACAAAAATTATCACCATCAATAGTTTTCAATTTTATATTATCTATCGCCAAAAATTGATGTTTTCCAACATTCTGAACTACAAAAAATAATTTTTTGGAGCCCTCAGGAATTGTAATATTCTGCGAAGAATGCCAGAATTTATTTTTCTGAACAGGCGGTGAAGTATATTGGCAGTCATCAAAGTTATCAATACAGACCTGAAAAAAACATAATTTAATGTGAAGACGTTTTTTTTTTTGAAAAATAATTACCTTCAATTGTGGTGAAATAGATCGAACATATATGTCAAAACTGACTATAATATTTTGTGTCATTGTGAATTTTGGAGATTCCATAACAAAATTATTATTAATATTTGATTCAGTATCACTTCCAACAAATGCATATCCAACTGAAATAACATATAGATTTCTGAAAATGTCTATGAAAATGTGATTTACCTTTTTTCTGATCATCAAGATTGATACGTTGAATTCCAGTATGTCGATTGCCAGTAAGTTTATCTGATATTTGCCAAGATGATGTGCTTCCAATTCCACTCAAACCATAAAAACAAGAATCTCCATCATTAAAATTGCAAGTCAAAGCAGAACACGGGGAAAGTTCACTAAAATGAACATTCGAAGTTGTTTGTTCTGTTGAAGTATCATCATCAAAAAATGCGGTATCAGGTGAACCAGTTATAAGTTGAGGAATTGATACGGTAGATAAAGTTGGAAGAAGTTTTGGAACATTTTCATCCTCAACAACTTCGCAAATTTGTCCATCATAATAGAGATTATCAATTAAAATAATATCATTTTCTTGTAAATTAACAATTTCAATTCGAACAGTTATTGGTTCACCAGTCATTGGAACTGAAAAATTGACAGGATTTGGCATTGGAAGAATATCTTGACATGTTATTTCAGCTGAATGTGAAAGACAAAAACGAAGAATTGGATTGAGAGTATTCGCCCAAAAATCAAATCGAATCACCGAATCACCATATTGACACGGTATTTCAGTTTCAATTGCCGCTTTTTGTGGAGATAAAATTGGTTCACCACCGGCTAACAAAAATGTTCGATCGATATCAAATTTGCGAACACTTGTACAATCAAATCGATCCATATCGAAATTTTGATCAAAGTATGCTTTCCAAAATTTGACAACAGTATCTTGAGCATTATGCCATCCACAAAACTCCATTTCATCATCAAAAGAACATGTCGCCTTTCCACCATCATTGATTGACAAATGAGGCATTTCCGAAAATGGAATAATTGATGAGATACTTCGAATATCTAGTAAGACAAAATATATTATATTTTTTATTCGTATTAAATATAAAATCTTACCCTGTGAAGAATACGAAGGATGCGCTGCACATTTAAAATCTTCCGAATAATCAAGATCAATAGGAGAAGATAATCTATCCATTGATGTTACACCTCGTGCTCGAGATGTTCGATATGGAGAAGTTTGTGAATAAAATGAATGACAAGATAGTGAATGTTGAAAAAATATGGAAGAAAAACAAATAATGAGAAACGGTAATATCATTTCATTTTTCCCATAAAAAGTGAAATATAGCGAAACTTTATTTTCGTTTTTATTATAACCTTGGAAGTTCAGTAATTAAGTATCTCGAATGGTCAGAAGAAAGTACAATAATTACTCGAGATTTTTGAAGAATCGAAAGTAGGTTAATCCGAATTAAAAAACAATCAAGAATAATTTTGGGTGTACTAGGGACTCGAAGATTTTTGGAAAAAAATAAAGGTCATTTGATAATAATTCCCATCAATTGTATTTGAATGTGCACATGTATCTCTGTGTGAAAATAAAAATACTTATGTAGAAATTCACAAATCCCTTGAGATCACATATGTTTTCGTCCTGATGATGTTCCTCGTGTTTCCTATCTATCTAACATGAGTAATGGTTTCGTGTTGGCTCGCAGAAAATAGGCGTGGCTTGCATGAAGAGAAAAAGGGAAAAAAGAAGAAGAAAGACGAAGACGAGTTTCGAATTTCCTTCAAATCACATCACAATCTACATTTTTCTTTTTTCTTTTTCAAAAGAGAAAAATTGAGCCAATTTCTTTTTTTTTTTTTCTTTACGATCGGTTTGTGGTTTCTTCTTTTTTTCATTTGTGTCTCAATTTTTTCAATTATAAAAATATTTTTAATAGACACGTGTCTAGACACTTTACAATATTTTTGCGAAGCTTTTCTATTCTAACTATACAAAATGTAAAATTTTAGTTTTTTTTTTGGAAAAATAGTAAAACCCAAATTATTTTCACACTAAAAAACAATTTCCTGTTATATTTTATCTCTCAAATTGAGTTTCCCCCTATTTCTTGTTGATCGAAAATTTTGAGAATCTTGAGAAGTTTTGGAAAATATCTTTGAATAAACCGTTTCCACAAAAAAAACCCCAAGATTCTTCTCAATACTCATAAAATTTGTGTCATGCATCTGTTTTCAAGAGCATTTCCTAATGAAAATGTGGTGGCTCCTCTTCTTCTTCTCCTTTTTTGGCTCGCCGAACAAGAGATAAATGTATCCTCTGTGGTTGTACTTAAATGAATTTGCATGAGGCCTTTTTGCTCGCAAGACTCGCATAAAAATGAATGAATGAATGGATGTGATGGCCATTGGCTTTGCACAAGTTTGCGCTTCTTCCCGAATACTCATGCATACATCACAAAAACGACACAAATAATCGTGTCGTTTTTTTCTAATCTCCTTTTCTTTTTCTCTCATTTTCAGTTGCTCTTTTTTCGAAAATAATAAAAAAAAGGCATAATAAAATTATTTGTTTATTTAGAGAACGAATTGCTATTGACAACGTAATATTAGAGCCAACCAACAAAAAACCAAACTGGAGACGATTATGAGTTTGGCCGGATCGACTATCCAGGCATATCGCCAGTAAGTTTTTTTTGTTCTTCAAAAAATACTGAAAGTGATTCCGTTTTCGGAGTCATTCTGCTCGTTTTTCAAAATTAAAAATGATCATAACGAACATTTTTTGACGTGAACTCTAAATTTAAAAACGTGAAATTTTTGAAAAACATTTTCAAAAAAAAAGTACGCAAACATCATTGGCGTGTGTGCACAGTTCATTACCGTATACCCGGGTTTTTCATTTTTTCATTTTTCTGCACTTTTTCAGCTGCGCAGCTGTGTTCGAATTTCACACCTGTGTTACGCAGATGCGCAGCTGCAGAATAACACGTGTTGCACGTGCGCGAGTTTCATAGTATTAAAGGGCCTCATTGAGTTCCATTTTTACGCTCCAGACCTAAATTCTCTATTCATTCTGCACTTTTTCAGCTGCGCAGCTGTGTTCGAATTTCACACCTGTGTTACGCAGATGTGCTGTAGATAACACGTGCGCAAGTTTCGTAGTATAAAAGGACCCCACTAAATTTCATTTCACGCTTCAGACCTAAATTATCTATTCAATCGTAATACGGTCGAATATTCAACTTAAGTAAAGTAATTTTCTAATTATGATGATGCTACACTTAATCGCAAGCAGTGGTATTTTCAATCGCGTGAACCTTTTCACCGGTACTCGCAGGTTAGATTTTTTTCGAAAACATTTCGAGGCTGCCTATGTTTAATATTATAAATTCCATTGTTCTGCCCTCCAGAATATCGAATTTCGCGCATTTCACAATATTATTCTTTCAAAAAAAAACGAGGAGAAAGAAAAAGTTGTCTTTTGTTGTCTGCGTCTCAATACAACTGGACATCTGTCTCAATCAATAAATGCCAGCCATCTCCCTTTTCTCTCATTTTCCAATAATATTTTTCTGGTAATTGCGCACACCTCGTCTCTCCTTTTTATACCACAACATTTATACAGCTTTTTAGTTGATTTTACTATCCTTACAAATCGTAATTTGTACTTATTGAAAATTTTTTATTTTCAGACGGAAGATCGAATCTTTGGCGAAAATGTCGAACATGTCGCAAGACGATGTGACGACTGGACTTCGTACTGTTCAACAAGGATTGGAAGCGCTCAAAGAAGAACATTCGAGCATTTCCAACACTTTGGGAACTAGTATCAAAGGTTATATTCATTTTTATACTTCGAAATATTCGTCATCTGTGAAATTTAGGTGTGAAAGATGACGAAGCTCCATTGCCAAAAGAGAAATTATCACAAATCAATGATAATTTGGAAAAACTGTTTGCTGGAATCGACGAGACAACTCTCATGTTGTCGGTGTTCGAATTGAATCAATCACTCGAAGCGCAACATCAAAAATATCAAGCTCAACGTCGTCGACTTTGCCAAGAAAATGCGTGGCTTCGTGATGAATTGAGCTCCACACAAACACGACTTCAACAATCTGAACAAACTGTTGCTCAACTTGAAGAAGAGAACAAACATCTCAAGTATATGGCTTCGATTAAGCCATTTGATGATGGACAAGTGAGTTACTTATTATTAATTTTTAAAAGTATATTTATAACAACATGTTTTTAGACGAACGAAACTAAGGTTTCTGCTGATGCTGGACCACAACCAGTTAGCAGTGAAACACTTCAAGAACTTGGATTTGGTCCAGAAGACGAAGAAGATTTGAATTCTACTCAATTCACTAGTCAACCAACACCAGCTCATTCAATGGCTGCTTCAGCAAATGTTGGTTATGAAATTCCTGCAAGACTTCGAACATTGCACAATTTGGTTAGTAAATTACCAACACAACGCTGTTACTAATAATCATACGTCGCATACTCACGTTTCCAATCGGCCAGTGCACATTTTTTCAGAAAATTTCAGACAAACGGGATACCCCCTCTCTTTCCTTTTTCATTTTTAGCTATGAAGACTTGAAATTCTACATTTTTGATTAACATTTCAGCGATTTCGAGTCCAATTTTCACTTATTAAAATTCTAATTTTTCAAAAATAAAAAAATACGTTTAATCCAATATTATTTCAATCATAAACTCTTTCTTTATGGATGATTCAAAACCAAAGTTTCAGATTGAAATTGGAAAATGTTCAAAATTTGGATGAAAGTTCTTGAAAATTTCAAGTAATCCCAATGATTGATAAATAACAAAGCTGAGAGAATTTTTCAATTTTTTCTCAAGTGAAAACCCCTCCACGGGTTCATTACCACAGTCACGCGAAGTACTATGCTAATAATATTTCATTTTTAGGTTATTCAATATGCATCGCAAGGTCGTTATGAAGTTGCTGTTCCATTGTGCAAACAAGCGCTAGAAGATCTTGAAAAAACAAGTGGACACGATCATCCAGATGTTGCTACAATGCTCAATATTCTTGCACTTGTTTATCGTGATCAAAACAAGTATAAAGAAGCAGCAAATCTTTTGAATGAAGCTTTGACAATTCGCGAGAAATGTCTTGGAGAAAGTCATCCTGCAGTTGCAGCAACTTTGAACAATTTGGCAGTTTTATTCGGAAAACGTGGAAAATTCAAGGATGCTGAACCATTGTGCAAAAGAGCTCTTGAAATTCGTGAAAAAGTTTTGGGAGAAGATCATCCGGATGTTGCGAAACAACTCAATAATTTGGCTCTTCTCTGTCAAAATCAAGGAAAATACGAAGAAGTTGAAAAATATTATAAACGAGCATTGGAAATCTACGAAAGTAAACTTGGTCCAGATGATCCGAATGTTGCGAAAACAAAAAATAATTTGTCTTCGGCTTATTTGAAACAAGGAAAATACAAGGAAGCTGAAGAATTATACAAACAAATTTTGACGAGAGCACATGAAAGAGAATTCGGACAAATCAGCGGAGATAACAAACCAATTTGGCAAATTGCCGAGGAAAGAGAAGAAAATAAACACAAAGGTGAAACAAATACAACAAGTGCTGAACAAGCTGGATGGGCAAAAGCTGCCAAAGTTGACAGGTAAAATTTGATCTATCCGAGATGTAAATAATATAACATTTTTCAGCCCAACTGTTACAACAACACTAAAAAATCTTGGTGCACTTTATCGCCGACAAGGAAAATATGAAGCCGCTGAAACATTGGAAGACGTTGCTCTTCGAGCCAAAAAACAGGTAAGATATTTTTGAAACAAAAATCTAGGAAATTTTGGGTGTCTCTGAAGACTATCGAAAATGCTCAACGCGAACGTTTATCGCAATTACTGGCAAAAGTGCAGCCAGCAGGTGCCGCAGCTTGTGCTTTGCCGCCGACTGATTGTGGTGTGATAACTCGCGCAGGAAGATCAAGCAATGTTCACCATCATCCCATCATCAAACTCAAAAGTGACCAAAATGTTTAGGTGCGCGCTTTTTTATGAGATTAGTTGCGCACTAGTTTTCTTATTTTTTTTCGTGATTGTGATGGTGAATATTGCATGGTTTCTCTAGTTAATTAGAAGAATTTATCGATTTTTATCCTATTTTGGTTTCATTTGCAGCATGAACCAATTCGAAGTGGAGCAATTGGTGGAGTTGATGAAATGTCTCAATCAATGATTGGATCAAGAATGACAACAAGTACTTCACAATCTGGTCTCAAGAATAAGCTTATGTCTGCGCTTGGATTAAATCGCGTGGAATGAATTGACTCCATATATTTTTCATACCCTTTTTTGTGATGTAAGCAGGGGGTTTAATTGTGCCTTCTGTCAGATGAGCTTTATTCTATTTCTCATTTTTATTCTTATATAATATCTGTTGTAAATATGTTTATGGGTTTCATGTCAGTTATAATACAACTTTTTTCATTTTCCTTGTCTTCTTCTTCTTTTTCGTATATCTTTTGCATGATCGATGTCGTGTTGAATAAATTTATTTATCACTTTAAACAAATATAGTTCGTTACAGAAAGCACTTCTAGAAAAATTAGTGATTTTTCTCTGTAAAACCCAATTTTTTGCAGATGTCTGAACAACGAAAAATGGAACGATCTATGATGTATTAGACTATTTCCGCCTTATTTGCCTTGGAATCTGATTTCACAGTTGTCTACAGCATAAATGTGCCTTATAATTGCTGACCACTTCTTTTTTTTCGATTTGTTATTTTCAATTTCAAAATTCATTTTATTTCAACCCAAAAGAGACAACTGTGACAGAAACCTGCTTTTTTCCGATTATTACGTGCCTATGCGATCTCAATAAATTATTCTTTTGCTTTTTCGATGTAATTTTTGGAGGAGAGAAAAATAAAATACGAACTTTTAACAGTGTCAGAACTCACATTTCCACAGTAATCTCCAAGTATCGATTTCATAAATCCAAAATTTCCGCACAAAAATTAAGAAATGACCAAAATTGTATTTTTTCCACTGTTTCAAAATGTCACGTATCACGTTTTAAATTATTTATTTCTAAATTTCGAATGAAAATTTATTTTTCATTTCTAAAAAAATTTTAAACCAAAAAAAAAAGTTTGCATTTGTCATTCTCTGAGGATTGCGAAATTTTTCACAAGACAATCTATTTATTTATATATAAATACAGAAAATTTTATCACAAAATGTGTCATTTTTCCATGATTTCATCTTTCTTCGAATATGATCTGTAAGTTTTTTTTTGTTGAAAATTTATGTCTCCATTTCAAAATTAATAAGCCCTCATGAACGGTCCCTAGAATTAGTCCTGAAATTTTAGTTTTTCTATTACTGTAGCAGCTGTAGTAGTTTAAAACTCAAAACTTATCATATCTCTATTAGAAATAGGTAAATTTTTCCAGACAAAAATCTGGAAGAGGAGCACATTTCCGAATTGACAACAAACAAAAGTTTTTGATGCGTGTTTCGGGAGAACATAAAAGTCTTATCAAAGTTTGTGAACCTGATTTTGAGGAAAATGAATTGGACTTCAAAGCAAATGTGATTTATTCAATGAATAAGGATAAACGTTGCAAAATCGCTGAAAATTTGGATGAAAATTTAAATCCAAAAATTCTAGTTATTGAAAGACAATTTGATGGTTTCTTTTGGTCTCAATGGACACGTCGAGTACATCGATCTGAAGAACATTTCAGAAGATCAAAAATTAAGAATAGAAAAGAAATTGAAGGGTTGGACATTGATGGAAATTATGAGGATTTGATTGTTTATACACTTTTCTCATCTCCAAAATTGAACACAACACGATATAAAAATGAAAGTCTACAACCATGCAGTAAGTTTTTTTTTCAATGTTCCAAATATTTTATTTTTTGTGAATTTTTAGGTTGTTGTTATCTCAAACATGAACCAGAATATGAGCGATTTGATGGCAGAAAAGCTTTGGAAAAATTCTATAAAGAAGAAATTATGGAACTTGTAGATGATAATTATGAAGATATTGGAAGTGAAAAGGAAAGAAATCGGAATCGAGAAGAATTTTATAATTTAGAAGAGCATTTGATCAGAAAACCGGGTAAAAATTGATTGATTACGAGTAGATTTTTTTAATATGGGTTGAAATATTTTTTTTGAAATGAGAAATAAATATTTTATTAAAATTACGTGAAACGTGACTTTTTTGTTTGGTTTTATTTTTGAAATTAAGTCATTTCTTGTTTATTTGTTGTTGGAAAACCTGGGATTTGTAGAAATGTGAGTTTTCAAAAATCTGGATTTTAAATAGTCCAGTTTTTCAAAAGTTACACTCCAAATTCTTCAAAAGTTGTGTTCTACAAAAAAATCCTGAACAAATTTAGTTTTGTGAAATTCTTTGGAGCACTTTTTTCAAATTTGTAGAAACCCCTTCTCTCCCAAAATTTATACAAATTTATAAATAACTTTTTTTTGGTCCATTGATAGTTTACAATTTTGAAATTGATATTACGCCAAGCTTTTTATAAATATTTGAAAATTCGTAAATCAAACAAATTTTTGTCGATCGAATTACAATATTTGTTTATTATTTGTCGAAATTTTTATATTATCAACATTTTTCCAAAAATTTCAATAACTTCCATTGTCCTCGTTTTTCCAACAAAACAATAATGTCCTTGTCTAACATCTCTGCGTCTCTCACCCATATTCACACTATTTTCCAATTGGTCTCATTCTCTAACTGTCTACTTCTCACACTCTCTATTTTTCCCATCTGCCAGTTGAGCTAACTCCTCAAAACGTATAAATTTTCCTTATTTTTTTCAGGAACTTCAGATTTTTTTTGATAATAATAGAATATATATTGGTAATTTGATAGTACTGTATGATGTTTTTGTTGTGAAAATAAATAGTATTTCGAAAATAAACACATAAAATTAGGGATAAATGTGACCTTGAATCCAATTTTATTTATTTTTGTTTTCACGAAAAAAATTGTTGTTTTTTTCGGCAAAAATGAAAACAGAGTTCTCTAGAGTTGAAACATGTGTTCATCGATTCGAAAAAAAACATTTTTTCGTTTTTTAGTCATCAAAAACTTTACGAAAATGTTTTTCTCTCATTTCAAAAGTTCCAAAACTTTTACAATAAAAATGTAACGGTCAAAATATACGGTGTTAATCTGTAAGCTTAGGGCTTCTCCTACTTTCTTCTATTCTTCAACCAAATTTTTTATTTGTTTGTTTTTCTCGCGCGCTTTTTGCCTCTTCTTTTTTCCCGCCATTTCTTACTTGTTGTACTTGAAAATTTCTGCCGCAACCGACAAACGAAACATTATTTTTTGATTTATTCAGGTTATGACCAAAAAACGACGGATAGGATTTTGGAAATTTTAAAGGTTGGTTTGATATTTTTTTCCAAGGTTCAGTTTTCCCAGGAAATTATTCCGATTTATATTTTGAAATTAAAAAAAATTGACCAAAATTTAAATTTTTTCAGAACAAAGCAAAAGTAGTCAAAGATGGTGTTGGCAGCGGTTTTGTCGATGCTCAGATATGTGGCAGGTTCAGATGATCGAGATTTTGTTGATCGACTTCACTCATATTTCACGTGTAATTTATTGATTGGTCTAGCAGTTTTGGTATCATTTAAACAATTTGGTGGGAAACCTGTCGAATGTTTGGTGCCAGATATATTTAGTAGTAGTTGGGAGCAGGTTAGTTTTGTTTATGATCAAAAAAGTTTTCTAAAAAAAAATTAAGAGCTATTATTTTTGAGAGTTCCGACTATAGAACTTGGTTTTCCCAAGCTAATCTTCAAGTGTCCCATGTTCTCATTTTGAATTCAGTTTTTTTCCAAAAACTTTTCTTTTTACTCCCAATTTTCTTTGCTGTAAACGAGCCATAATTTTTGTGAGAACTTCGAAATAAAAATAATTTTCTCACCTCAATTTCAATCCCAATTTTGTTCCAGTACGCCGAAAATTATTGTTGGGCTAGTGACACATATTTTGTGCCAATCGGTGATCCGGTTGCCGGAATTGATACGGATGAAAAACGACAACGAAAAATCAGTTATTATCAATGGGTTCCGTTTTTCTTGCTTTTGGAGGCTGCTTGTTTTCGACTTCCAAGTCTTTTATGGAAATATTTAGCTGGTCATTCGGGTATTAAAATCAATGAGATTGTCAAACTCTCATCTGATCCTAATAATATTAAACCAGATATTAAACGGGCTAATATCAAATCACTTACTGTTCATCTTCAGGTACTTGCATTTTTTTAGAATTAAAAAAAATACTTCTGAAATTTTCAAATTTAGGGAGCTCTCCGATTTCATCGTCGCCTTCAAAAGAAACAAATTCGACCGCATCGCTTTTTGTGTTTTTTCAATCTACCGTACTCTGCATTTTTTGTAACTGCAATGTATTTATGCACCAAGTTTTTATATCTTGGAAATGTATGTTTACAACTCGCATTTATGAATAAGTGAGTTCAAAGAAAAAAAGGTTCGGGGAAATTCATAGTAGAGTTTCAGATTTCTGGAAACTGATAAATATAAATGGTATGGTCTTGGAGCTGTTGTTGATTTGTTAAATGGTACAACTTGGGAACAATCTGGAATGTTTCCAAGAGTTTCACTTTGTGATTTTGATGTGAGTTTGATTTTAAAAGGGAAAGTTTTTTGCTGTATCTCATTTTTTGTTAAACTCGAACCGTTAAAAAAAAATTAAAATCTAAATTCCGGGATTGTATTCTAACGTAAACCTTTTTTTTACCTTCTAGAATAATTCTTATCCCAATTTTTTGTCAGGTCCGTGTAATGGGAAATCTTCAAGAGCATACAATTCAATGCGTTTTGGTTATCAACATTTTCAACGAAAAAATTTTCATTCTTTTATGGTTTTGGTACCTAGCTCTTCTCGTTTTCACATTTGGATCTTTTTCATATTGGCTAATCGTTAGTTTATGGTCAAATCTCAATCGTCGTTTCATAATCAGACACTTGGAGATGTCAGATATTGCATTTGATTCAACTGATGAAGGAGCCGAAGATCAAGTCAAAAAATTTATCGACAATTATTTGAAAAGCGATGGAGTTTTTGTTATCAGAATGATGACCTTGCAATCTGGTGTTATCTTTGGAACTGATTTGATACAAGAATTGTGGAGAAATTTCTATGGCTCTGAGCAGCAATTAAAACGAAGTAATTCGTTGCCGAAAATGGAAGGAGGAGGAGGTGCTCCAAGAAATATGGATGAACAATGGTGGCCAGCACCTCCACCATTAGTCAATCAAATAACACCATCAAGTGAGTTCCTCGGTTTATCAAAATATTTATATATTTTTATACTTGAGAAGGAAGATTCATCCTTTTTTCATTAGCATAATGCACCACCTACATAATCCAAGATTAGATATAAGCATTTTCAAAACAAAATCTTTTTCCTCCTCATATTTTTGATGATTTTTTAGGATATCGAAACGACAATGAGACAAACGCGTTGCGATGGAGACGGGCTCTTGGAGCCAATATCGATAATACCATAGCAACACAGGATTTGATGGAGAAATTGCTGCCGAGAGGCGGAGTCGATTCGAGAGGAGGCACATTCAGTGGCCATCAACAACACGACCAAGACGAACTGTTGTGAGTTTTTATTTTATAACTTGGTTATAATTTTTTTTTAACTTTTTGTTAAATTCCTAGTTAATCCGTTTTCAGAAGGTTGAGTGTTGCGGCGTTCGCGCCTGAAATTCATGACAATCGATAATCGATTGAATATTGTCGAAACAAGTAAGAAAATGTTGTTGTGTGGTGTTTTTGCTGTGAAAAAAAACTTTAAAAATATTTTCTAAATTGAATTTTTCCCAGAAATCCTCCGACAATGTTCATCGACGATGATGGTAGTCAGAAAACAAATACGGACGCTGTCAAAAGATTGAGCACTTTCAAATGACACTCAAAGATCTCAACATCATAGATTAGAATCCCCCAATCCCTCAAAACTGTTCAATTTCAATCATCTTGGAATTTACCGTATCCCTACAGTACCCTTAATGGAGTGTATTGTCTCGATGCGAATTTCTACCATGAATTATTCTACAGTACCCCTCCCCCCTCTTCTCAATTTCTGGTCTCCTAAAAATGCAATATTATCTGTAAAGTTCCCCATCCCCGTTTTTGTCCCCATTTTTTGATATTTTTTTGTAAAGCCCCCCGGTTTTCTTGGAGTCGTTGGTTAACCAAACTCCCTCCCCGCCCCCAATTAAAAAAAAACAAAAAATCCCAAAAAAAAACATGGAAAAGGATTAAAAGACTCATAAATTGTACAGACCCCTTCCCCAATTCTCGCGCCCCCATTTTTCTTTTGTTACATACATTCGCCGAATGCTAATCATATGTACAGGCCCGATTCCCCCGATAGTTTACAGTACTCTTAAAGTACTGTACGTCCCGTTTTTTTGTATTAAATGTGTACTCTGCAATTCCAGCAGTCTAAAATTCTATTTTTAATTTGTTAAATACCTCCTTCTAAAAATTCGTAACATTGATGATAAGAAATCATTCTTGTTACGTATGTAGAGAGGTGCAGTTTGTGTTCAAAACATCACCGCGCGCACATTTCTACAGTATTCCCCCAATCCAATCCCCCCGAAAGAAATGTACCCGGTGTTTTGTCCCCCAATTGTTGCTATTGAATCTTTGAATAAAACTTTATTTTGTTCATCTACTATCTACTTTTGAAGTGATTTAGCGAATCCAATCAAGCTTGATCAAATAATAATCGCAAGATGATTCTATACCAAGTTATTGGTGGTTATTTGGTGGCCAGCTGGCTGTTTGTTTTCTTAGGACAGAAGGGTGCTAATAATTAGCGTGCACCATGGTGTATGAGCAGAGACGCAGAGGGAGAAGTGGACATGTCAATATCGCATTTTTGTTTTTATAATGTATATTTATTGAAATTTTTTGATTTTAGCCGTTTATTGTTTATTTTCAGACCACTCTCTCATTGCGTAAAAATTAATTATTTGAATCCAAGATGGAAAGCGAATTGAACATGGTATTTATTTCCATTTTTCCAATTTTAAAGGGAAATTTTTAGACTTCTTCATCGTCTGTCAACAATGATCACTCATTCGAACTTATGGAAGCACTACCGGCATTTCAACACGCGGATATTACTCACGCTGGTCTCAAACAAGTGAGTTATTATCAATTTTCGTTGTTATTTCTGAACCTTCATGGTTTTCAGCTCGGTGACAATACAGGCATGGAACATTTGAGTGCCGGTTCGTTCTTATCTCCAGCGTTCCCGGTGGAAGGCGTTATTTTCGGACCTAATAATCGATTGATGGTGTGTCTCAATTGTTGCCATGCCGAGAAGCCTGATGCGCCAATCGTCAAAGTCTGGTTTTTGGTTGACCCTGCATCGAATTGCACGTTTCTCGACGAGAAGACTATCAGCAAGCTGACCGGAACTGACGACATTCCATCGGCCATTCACGTCTCTATTCAGGTTCAGTTTTGTACTCTTAATTATAGGTTCAAATTTCTGATTTCAGGATCAGAACTCTGTGATCGACTGTAATGTTTCCCAAAACCACTTCAAGGAAGCAAATGTCTTGGGAATGTTGGCAATGCGAACATTGAACTTGACGATCGAAAACATGAATTGGACTTCAGATACTTGGCGTCTTGCGACTTCGTGAGTTAATCACAAATCGTAATTTTAATTGAAAACTTATTATGTATTTTCAGACCGAAGATCGAACCTTTGCCGAAAAATGTTACCAGTGAAACACTTGATTATGAAACCCCTGAAAGAATTCGAACATTGCACAAGTTGGTAAGTAAATTACAAAAAAAGGTGAAAATAAATGAATATATTCAATTTTCAGGTTATGCTTTATGCATCGCAAGGTCGTTATGAAGTTGCTGTTCCATTGTGCAAACAAGCACTAGAAACTCTTGAAGAACAAAGTGGACACGATCATCCAGATGTTGCTACAATGCTCAATATTCTTGCACTTGTTTATCGTGATCAAAACAAGTATAAAGAAGCAGCAAATCTTTTGAATGAAGCCTTGACAATTCGCGAGAAATGTCTTGGAGAAAGTCATCCTGCAGTTACAGCAACTTTGAACAATTTGGCAGTTTTATTCGGAAAACGTGGAAAATTCGAAGATGCTGAATCATTGTGCAAAAGAGCTCTTGAAATTCGGGAAAAATTTTTGGGAGAAGATCATCCGGATGTTGCGAAACATCTCAACAATTTAGCTCTTCTCTGTGAAAAGCAAGGAAAATACGAAGAAGTTGAGAAATATAAGAAACGAGCATTGGAAATTTACGAAAGTAAATCTGGTCCAGATGATTCGAATGTTGCGAACACAGAAAATAATTTGGTTTCGGCTTGAAGATCACCCTCTCCTCCAAAATTATACAAATTTATAAATAACGTTTTTCCCTCCACGTCTTTCATCCTTGTTCCTATTGGTCTCATTGTCTACCTCTCTTTCCCATCTGCACTAAAATCAAATTTTGATTAAAACTTTGAATAAAACTTTATTTCATCTACTTTTGAAGTGATTTAGCAAATCCAACTCGTTGATTGGTAACATCATAAACATTACAATATTGTCGAATGAATGGATCTCCCAAAATCCAACTTGGTCCAAATCCAAAACTATTGAATGGGAAGACGGCGAAAATGCAATTGTTCGATCCATCTCCTAATGGAATAACTGTGTTACTTGAGTCAACACTGTAGACATTTGATCCGATGGTGATATCAACTGTTGGAACTTTTGTTCCACATGGAACCAAGTAAACACCATAAGTTGAATTGTACTGAAAATAAAGAATTTTTAGGGAAAAATTCTTTGAAAAAAAAAAACATACTGTAGCTCCAGCAGCTGATGCAATTCCAGAAACAATTGAAGCTGGTCCTCCGATCAAAGAAGTTCCAGTGTCTGAGATAACTTGCCATCCTTTAGTAGATTTATAGCTTCCGGCTCCAATAGCACTCATCTTGAATTGATAATAAGTGGCTGATGAAAGTTGTTGATAAGCAAGAACTGGTCCACAATTTGTTGTGTCAAGTCCTCCATAAGTGTAAACTCCTCCCGGAACACCATTTTGATCTCCTTCGTGTTCGAGGAAAACTGTGAAGATTGGTTGATCAACAAGTCCTTGATTAACGGCATTGATGAATGGTGGAGTGATTTGATCAACAGCAATTGATTTGAATGCCAATCCCAAAATACCATCCAAAGGTTGTCCTTCGAAGAATGCAGCCAATGAAGTGGCTTGTCCGAATACTTGATTTGGAACAGTCAATTGTGGCTCTCCAACTCCTCCAAATGTAATTGTATCTTGTCCAAGGAATCCTCTTGCTGAACCAGTTCCATATTCAATAATGAAGTTTTGTCCATTTGCAACATAGGTTTTCGATTTTGAAGAATCGAATTTAGCCTGAAGAAGACATGAATCTGTGTAGTTTGGTCCAGCTCCACAACACGCTTGATCTTCACATTCAAATTGGCAAAGAAGTGAACTCGAACATTTTGGATCAGATTGACAATTGATTGGTTTTGTTCCACAAGTAATATCAGGAATCCACAAATTTGATGAACCAGTATCAAGAATAACTTTGAATTGTTGTTGTGGATTTCCGATGGTAATATTTCCAACATATGCTTCATCTTCATAATCACTAACAATTTGTCCAACAGTCGCAGCTTCTCCTCGATTTATATAAAGTCGACGAAGTTCTTTTGTTTTCAAATATTCGGCATATGTTCCTTGACGAATCATACGATTACGAATTGATTCAACTTTCAAAAGTGGAACTTGAACTACAGCTGAGTATGCGCATGCCACAAGGGCAAGCAAAATTAATGTTCGAGACATGGCTGAAAAATATTATATTTTTGGCTGGAAAAATAAAATAATCACAAAAATCATTTGCTGCTGAACTATTTTATGGCGAATTAAAATAGGCTTTTTTGCATGTCGCAAATGAAAATGAGTTATCAGCACAAAAACTGATTAGAAAATGATGATTGAACCGGAAAATTAATCTAGAGTCATAAAGAACATTGTGATCGAGAAAGGAGAAAAATCGAAAGTCTGATGAAAACTGACTATACTTTAGTGGAGCAAAGGGATCCCCAGAAATTTTTGAGTTCTATTTTATTCAGATGCACTTCCTAGAAAAGATTCGGAAGAAAGATCAAGTTATCAGATTGAACTTTGTTGGTTAGAAAACGTTTTTTGTGTTCCAAAGTATTTTTGAAATTTTTTCTAAAAAAATATCCGAATCTTTTTCATTGTTATTTTTATTTCCAAAAATGCATTTTTCCCGATTCCAATACTTTCAGAAAACTTCCAAATTTCACGTTCCTCAATTCAAATTTTCGATTTCTCAAAAAATTCTGAACTTTTCCTTCTGTTCATTTCAAGGTAAGTTGAAGGTCAAGAACAATTCTTTCAATTTCTTCCAATACACATATATTTACATATATTTTCAATTTCAAATAATCAAAAATCCTTTTAATAATTTCTTCAATCTTGATCAAGATTCGAACGGGAAAAGTAGCAAAAATAACATCGCTCACTTTCACAAATTCAAAAAGATTCGAAGAAAAGATAAACAAAGGTGAAATTAATTCAGATTCATATGTTTGATACTAAAAATCGCGTTCCACTTTAATTATGAATATTTTTCTATTTCTATTCCCTTTTTTCATTTTTCTATTTTATCAAGTCAATTGTTGTGTTGATTTGCTCTTTGTTATTGATACAAAAAATGCTGAGGTTGGTTTTGGTTTATTTTCAATTTCCAAATTAACATGAGCAAGCAAAAAAAAAAAACAACTGTAGATTTCGAAAAATCGTGCAATTCAAGTTGCAAAACAAATCCCAGAAGATCAGAAAATTCGAAAATGGATTGCGATTTCGAGACAAGATCGATATGTTCCCCGAGTTGTTCGAGTACGTTTCTTGAATTTTTTTATCTGATAACGATATTTTTTCAGAATAACGCTGAATTACTATCAGTTCTCAGTTCAGTAACAGGAGAATATGATAGATTTTTAGATGTTGTGACATCTGAAGTTGCCAGAAGAACACCAAGTTAGTTCGGATTAGAAAAAACAATCAGAATTTCAATATTTTTCCAGCTTATCAACCTCTCATAATTCTGTTATTCTCTGATGTTGGAGTGAATGAAACTTTGAGTTCGGCTTGGAAATCAATGTCAAGAGCTCCAGCCTTGCACATATTCAGAATTGGAACATCGAAAAAAAGAGAGTATGTAGAATACATTTTTCTTTTTGATTTCATTTTTTTTTCAGAATCGAAGAAGCTTCCGAGTTCCGTCAACTTATATCTTGTGGGAACAACAAAACATCAGGACCTGAAACACTTTCATCAAAGTTTTCTGGCAACGAAATCCGTCGTGCTCCAATTCCTCTAACAACATCTCGTCCACTCACATCAACTCGCGATCCATTTGTTAGAAAATTGACATTTCTGAATCCAACAAAAACTCTTCTCAAGGATCGTCCAATCAAAAGATTTACAGTGACTCGAAATTTCAAAAGAATCACAACATCAACTTTTGCACCAACTTGGCGAAGGTATCGTTTGACAACAATTGCACCAAGACAAATATCACCACAAATTGGTTATGCAACAAGATGGACACCAAATAATAAAAATATCAATAATAATAATAATGCACCAATTTGGTCGAGCACTGCACAAAAAAGACCACCCCCACCTTTTAGAAATGGGAATTCGAATAACAATCGGGTAACAGGTTCGAATTTGGGGTTTCGGAATCGACAGCAGCCATCATTCAGAAACAATATACGATTAACAACAACTCCAAGATCAATTTGGAATCGATTTGGAAATACAAAAACAACTCTTCGGCCATTCTTTCGAAATAATCAACGTGTTTTTAATAACAACAGAAATATTCTGAAAACTACACCACGACCAAGATTTGTAACTACTAGAAGACCGTTGATATCGAACAATGTGAAATCTGGGATACGGAAGAATTTAATAACAACACCCAAACCAATTCGAACAACGCCTCGACCTTTTACGATGAGAAAACCATTGTCTACCACAAGACGACCTTTGAACCGGAACATAATACAGAAAAAACCAATTGCAAAAATTATATCCGGTAAAATAACACCAAGACCTGCATTCAGATTCACAACACATCGACCAATCACAACCACTAAATCTTATTTCAATAAATCACGAACCACTTCTAAACCACCAAGATTCACAACTAAAAAAAGTTATGTGCAAAAAAGTCGAGTAACAACAGCTCGACCAAGATTTGGATTTGGAACTACGTCGAAAACAACTACAAGAAAATTTTTGAAACCGACTACAGCTCGTCCAAAAATAACTGTGACACCCAAAGTAAATTTAAAAACTTTATCGAAACCCTCGAGATTCACACCAAAACCACGTTCAAAACCACGATTTTCAACAACGACTTCAAAAGCAAAAATCATCAAACCAAAAATTCCACCAGCAAAACACCGTGTCACTTCTTCACCTCGATCAAAACTGAATCACAAAGTTACACCTGCACCACACAAAACCTCAATTTCAAAACTTCGCAGCTCAACGCCAGCGCCTACTGTATCTACAGTACTATCTGCTCCTCCACCATCTATAAAAGAACAATTTGCTGGAGGAAAGAATTTCCGAGTTCGATCGAGGAGTGTGCAATTTACCCTAACAGAGTGAGAAAAAATATGAAAAAAAAAATACATGTTGTGTTTTTCAGAAAACCTCCAGTTTCTCCAAAATCACTTGGCTTCAATATTCGAACTCATCGATCAACTTTGGCTCCACCAACAACAACCCCATTTACACCACCAGCTTGTATTATTGATGTTTATTTTATGATTGATTTATCAAAAGGAACTGGTGATAAAACTGATAAATATCTTCAAATAATATCAACTGCTGTAAATCAAATGCCAATCTCAAAATATGCAACACATGCTGGAATAATTGGATATTCTGGACCTGGTCGAACTCGAACCGATGTTTATTTAGATCAAATTTTCGAGAAGAAAACTTTGATTTCGGAAATGATGAAAATGTGGAGAAATGCTGGAACAACAAAAACTGCAAATGCTTTGAGATATGCTGTAAAAGAATTCAATTCAAAAGCTCATCCAAGTCGGAAAAATTCGAAGAAAGTTTTAGTGATTTTCACAGATGGATATTCACAAGATAATCCAAAAGATGCTGCGAAAATTGTAAAAAGTCGAGGAATTCAAATAATTGCAGTTGCATTAAATGATAAATTAGCTCCGCCAGATGTTGAACAACTAAAAAGTATTGCCGAATCTGTGAGTTCCAGAATTAAGATCTTTGAACTTTTGGGAGAAAAATCTGATTTTTTTCGAAACTTTTTTTTCTAAAATTATATTTTCAGAATGTTCTACTTTCTCCAACTGGCAAAGACTTACGCGACAAAATAATTGGCTCCCAATGTAGATTATAATATTGTTCTTCAAAGTATTTGTATATTCGAATTTTTCTTTTCTCTAATAAAACTTTTTTTCGGGACAATAAAAAGCTGACTAATAATCCCTTGAAAGACATCAATGTTGTTCTTCTTTCTTTTTCAATTTTATTTTTTTTGTTCCGGCTGCAAACTAATTCCAAATCCATTTGTTGTACCACCGGATTCCATTCAATTCTAAAACAAGTAGGTTTCTTCCCCTCGAGAATTGCCAATTTGTTTTTTTTTCTGTCTTTGTCTTGGCTCATCCCGTTTTTCCCACACTTTTTATGATTTTTCTGTCCGTCGTTTTGGAAAATGGCCAGAACCAAAAAAGATGTAATTCGATATATATTCACACTTTTTCTTTTATTTTTCTTTGACATAGATATATTCATGTTTTAAAAGAATGTTTTGCAGGAAGAAAAACGTAAACAGTTAGTTTTGTTCTCAACAACTGTTCTCGTTTGATTTTCTTTTGCTCTTCATCTTTTTTCTTCTCAAAAAGATAATTATGATTGCAGATCAAATGTTATTACTTCTCATTTTATATTGCTCATGTTTGAATCAATTTATCTGCTCACCAGCTGAAAATAAACTTTATAATGATTTGTTAATGGGTTATGTGTCTGAAGAACGACCAACTTTAGATATTTCGAAACCGGTTGTTGTTAGTTTAGGCGTTGTTTTTCAGCAAATTATAGACTTGGTGAGAAATTACATTTTCCACGTGTGTTTTTCAAAATAAAATGATTTCAGTCAGAAAAAGAGGAGCAACTCGAAGTGAATGCTTGGCTAAAATTTTCCTGGACTGATGAAAATCTTCGATGGGAGCCAAGTTTATACGAAAATATCACAGATCTTCGACATCCACCAGATCAACTTTGGACACCAGATGTTCTACTTTATAACAGGTCAGAATTCAAATATCAAATACTAACTTAACAAAACTTATTTTCTAGTGTGGATTCGGCGTTCGATTCAACATACAAAGTAAATATTGTAAATGCATATAACGGGTTAATGACGTGGATTCCACCAGGAATCTTCAAAATTTCGTGTAAATTGGATATTTACTGGTTTCCATTCGATGAACAAACGTGTTTTTTCAAGTTTGGATCATGGACTTATTCTCAAGACAAATTGAAATTGGAAAAAGGAGATTTCGATTTTTCGGTTTTTATTGAAAATGGTGAATGGATTATTTTATCAAATAAAACTGAAATTGTCAGTAAAGAATACGTTGATACGGCTTACGAATATATCACTTTTACAATTCATTTAAGGAGGAGAACTTTGTAAGTTCCAATGATTTATAAGACAAACATAAGTAATAAGTTGCCAGGTATTATGCTTTCAATCTCATTTCTCCGGTTATTCTTACAATGGTTCTTGTGGTTCTAGGTTTCACAGTGAGTCCAGAAACTTGTGAAAAAGTTGGACTTCAGGTAAGATACTGTTTTTGAAAACTTATATACTTCAAAGCAGAATTTCAGATTTCGGTATCTCTCGCGATTTGTATTTTTCTAACAATAATGAGTGAATTGACACCACAAACATCGGAAGCGGTTCCACTTCTTGGTGTATTTTTTCATACTTGCAATGCGATTTCGGTTTTGGCAACATCTTTCACTGTTTATGTACAAAGTTTTCATTTTCGCAATCATCAAGTTCATGAAAGAATGGGATTTTGGGTATGTTCCGGAAGAGATAACAGATAATGGAGATTTTGTAGATGAGATTTGTTTTACTCGAATGGAGCCCATGGATTCTTCGTATGAAAATGCCTGACCGTGAAAATAATTATAAAACATTGAAACACAGTTGGGAAGAAAGGAAACGACGAGAATCAGTAGCAAGAACAGCATTTGAATATGTAAGAATATCTCAAAAATTCTGAAACATTTTTCAAAAAAAAATAAACAATTTGCAGACTGATGGAACAATAACACAAATTCATTCAATGGGAATTATGTTAAAAGAGAACTTTGATGAATTAATTTATCAAGTTCGAAAAGACAAAGAAGGGTCAGCACAAGCTGATAGATTACGAGTACTTCAAAAAATCTATGACCATGTGAAAATGATTCGAGAACACGACGATGATAAAAATGAAGATTCGATGGTTGCATTAGAATGGAGATTTGCTGCGATTGTTGTTGATCGAATTTGCTTAATTTCTTTTACAATTTTAATTCTTGTTACTTCAACTATTATATCAATTCGTGCTCCATATTTATTTGCATAAATTAATATTAATTCGAAATGAATTTTCTAAAGTTCAGATCCCTCGTTTTTTTAATTAGCGCAAAAAAAGTTCGTCCAACTTATCATCCATCAAAATCTATTGCCATTTTCACACACTAAATCCATTTTATGTGCTGTGAAAGAAGCATTTTAATGACCATTCACTTCTTGGTGGCATTTTATTTTTGAACACTTCCGACAATTATATTATTTTCAAGTCATCTTATATGATTTATCGCTAGATTCTATCCTCTAGACTTCCGTGAACTGAATATTGAACCTTATTAAATATTCATTTGAGCTTCAAGAAGGTTGTGCAAACATAAAAATAACAAAAGTTGTGGGTGAAAACAATTCCTACTCAATTTTTACGACATTTTCTTTTTGTCTTATGAAAGATGAAAGGGCAACATTCTTTTTTGTCTTTTTTTATTCTATTTTTTATCTTCTCCGAAAATAAAATTGAGTTTATTCAAAAGTTCAGAAATCTATCTATCTATCTCCAAACGAAGTTGTAAGTAACAGAAAAAATCATTTGATTTTTTGCACCGCACCGAAAACTTTTTTCCTGGGTTGAGCCAACTCAAAACAAAACAAAACAAATCCGTGTTTTTCCCACAACCGAAACTCTTTTTTTCCGCATCTTCTAAGTGCTTTTCTTCAATTTCATTTTTTTTCGGGTTTCCCCTCAACTTTTCCTTGTTTTTTGGAAAAAAATGATTCATAGATTTCAGATATTACTGTAATGAACTCGAATGTTTATCTTAACACATAAATCACCAGAAATCAGAGCCAGCTTTCTCATTTCTCCATCATCAATCTTTTGTTATTTTTTCGTTCTCATCCAGGTTGAGATTCTTTTTTTTTGCTATTTTTTCACACATTGTCTCAATATATCTTTGATCAATCATCTGTGGATCTGTGGTTGCGTGGGTTATTCTTGAACTCTTCTCATTCTGAAGATCCAGTGATTTCTCAAAACTTTTCGTAAAGAAGGAGTACTGTATTACTCGTCTTTCTCTCAAATATCTTGTCCCTCCAACAAATCATTTATTCATTTTCGTCCAATTTCATCCATCGTAAAAAAGATTTCCACCATGTTTTTTTCGTCGTTCAATTTAAGAAGAAAAAGAAAAAATGGGGGTAGAATAGCTCTTGTCTCCCAACTTGATTAGTGCCCTCCCATCTATCCATTTTCCCTTTCTCAATTTTTTCTTACTTTAAAATAATGTGAAAATGAGATTTTCAAAATGCAAAAAAAATTATTTGTTTTATTTTTGTTTTTTTGTTGTGATGTTGTTAGTTGATAGTAGAAAAGTGCCAGCTGACAAAAAAATGACCGGTCACATTTTTTGTAAATTTTTAAATCTGGACTTGAGGTTCGTATTATTTTACCGCTCTTAAGATCAGGAAAAAATTCAAAATTCAAATTTCCAGATGAAAAATTCTTTGTACAAAAATCAAGAACTTCAAAACTTCGAAACTTTTCGAAAAGTTATATCATTCATAGCCCAAAGCTTGTGCATTGCTCAGAGTATACTGGAACCAATTTCACAGTGTGTAACTAGCCAAAAAATAATAAAAAGATTTTTCTAACTTTTTTCTCTCTCTCGAAAAAAAATCTTTGAACTATCTATGTTTCTTATTTCTCATTTTCATTCCCATTCTCATTTTTGAAATTCCATTATCTATACAACACCTGACACGATATTTATAAGTGCACATATATCATTGTCATATATTTCTCTTGTTCATTTCAAAAATGACATGAATGCGGTTTCCAAAACATTTTGTTCTTGACAACAAAAAGTTGCAAAATATGTATAAAAAAGAACACAAGTTCAGTGTCATATTTAAAAAATCCTCTGGAGAAGAAAAAAAAAGAAACAAAACAAATTGTTGTTGCTCCTCCTTTTTTCCTTGTTCGCCACCGCAAAAAAATTCGTTTACCCCCAATCGTCCCGAAACTTTTAAATAATAAAAAATGTTTTGTTTTCGGCCGGATATTCAACACCAACAACAAACAAATGATATTATGTTAGCAATATGATTTTTCAATTTTTACTCACTTTTTTATTTTATTATTGCTCTATTCACATTTCAATAATCGACGGGTCGAAATACGAGAGATCTTTGTATGAAAAGTTGTTGGATAAATATAATATTCTTGAAAGACCTGTTGCAAATCATTCTGATCCGGTTATTGTTCACTTAAAGGTTGGTTTTTTCGGGAAAGAGAAATTGGAGATACATTTAATGAGAAGAGCATTTTCAGATTGTTTTGCAACAAATTATTGATGTCGATGAGAAAAATCAAGTTGTTCTGATCAATGCATGGCTAGATTATGTGAGTTTTTTTGGGGAAAAATTTAAGGTTCCACGATTTCACCTTCCAATTTTTTTATTTTAGAATTGGCATGACTACAATCTAATGTGGGATAAAAGCGAATATGGAAACATCACAGATGTTCGAGTTCCGGCTGGAAAAATCTGGAAACCCGATGTTCTTCTATATAACAGGTTATCAAGCACTAAACTTGATCCTTGAAGATCAAAAATTTTGCAGCGTTGACACAAACTTCGATTCAACATATCCAACAAATATGATAATAAATCATGATGGGAGAGTTCAATGGGTTCCTCCTGGAATCTTCAAAATATCGTGTAAAATTGATATTCGATGGTTTCCTTTTGATCAACAACATTGTTTTTTCAAATTTGGAAGTTGGACTTATGATGGATTTAAAGTTGATTTAAGAGCTGATGAACAACATGGAATTGATAGATCAGAATATATGATGAATGGAGAATGGGATCTACCACGTAAGTTATCAATTAGACTATGAAATTGTATTTTGATTTGATTGAAAAAACAAAACTTTCAGTGGTGACAACAAAAAGAAATGTTCAATTCTACGCATGTTGTCCAGAACCATACTACGATGTTCACTTTTTCCTAGTTCTACGTCGTCGTACACTTTACTACGGTTTCAATCTTATTATGCCGTGTATTTTGACAACTTTAATGACCCTTCTTGGTTTTACACTTCCTCCAGATGCCGGTGAAAAAATCACACTTCGTGAGTCTATCAATCAGAAGTGATTTTAAAAAAAATCAATTTGTTTTTAGAAATCACCGTGTTACTGTCAATTTGTTTCTTTTTGAGTATTGTTTCTGAAATGTCTCCGCCAACTTCAGAAGCAGTTCCTCTTCTCGGAATATTTTTCACGTGTTGTATGATTGTGGTTACAGCTTCGACTGTTTTCACTGTTTATGTTCTTAATTTACATTATCGAACTCCAGATACTCATGAAATGGGAACATTGGTGAGGATTGAGGCATGCGATTCAAAAAATTACCCTAACTTGAATTTCAGACCAGAAACATTCTTCTCTACTGGCTTCCCTGGTTTTTGCGAATGAAAAGACCAGGAGTTAATCTAACTTATGCATCTCTTCCTCCATTATTTTCTCAAAAACCAAAACGTCATTCCGAATCTTTGATTCGAAATGTGAAAGACAACGAATGTCATCATTCAAGAAGTAATTCTTTCGACGCTGATCGAAAAATTGATCAATATATTATGATGCAACCAATGATTCCAAATATTCTACCAAATTCTGTGGTAAGCAAATACCTTATGAGGGAAGATCAGAAAATAATAAAGATGTAATTTTATAGATTCCAAACAATAATCCACACGTGGATCCATCTCAACAAGCAACCCTTTTAATTTTACATCGAATTTATCATGAACTAAAAATTGTGACAAAACGAATGATTGACAGTGATAAAGAAGAACAAGCTTCGAATAATTGGAAATTTGCAGCCATGGTGAGAGATACTTTTTAAATATAAAATTTCAAATACTTTCCTTTTGACCCATTATGTTCCAAACTTTTTTTTCAAAAAGTTTTCATCGCAAATTTAAACCTCGAGACAAAAAACCCCCTTAAAACTCACGTGACTCATAATTTTCCGCAGGTCGTCGATCGTCTCTGCCTCTACATGTTCACAATTTTCATAGTTGCCTCAACAGTCGGAATATTCTGGTCGGCTCCATATCTTGTCGCATAAAAATCAATACACATTAATCATAACTATAATATAACATTTCCGAGCTTTTTTCCTGTGATTCAAAATATCGAAGAAAACAATTCAATTCAATTCAATAAATATATTTTTTGGAATAAATTTGGATAACAATTGGAAAATGAATACAGCCTGAGAAACACTTATGATTTTTGTTGAGTTGCAGCCGCTTTTTTGTTTTCCTCGGTCTTTTTGCGTTTTTCCAAATTGACGAGTTGAGAGACGAGAATTGCTGAATATTGAGTGTGGAATTTGTTGACTTCCTTTGCTGTCACCTGTGAAAAAATATTGATTGGTGGGGAACGAAGATTTAAAAAATGAAAAATATTACCTCTGTGGCAATTTTGCGGCTTCCCCATTTTGCTCGGAATAAGCATGAAACTTCATCTCCATCTTTGAATTCCGATCCTTTCGCAACAGCTTTTGTTCGTCCATCATCTAGAAAATGAAAAATGTGAAATGGGAGACGGGAAAAATGAGATGATGTGGAAAACTGAATAGATTCACGTGAAAAATGTCACGCAAAAAATACATTTTTAAAATTATTTTCAAAAATTGAGCATTCGGAAAATGATCATTTCACCGTATATTCCTGAACTTTCGAAAAAACCCCCGATTTTGAAATATTAATTTCACACTGATTTTAAAATAACAAAATCTTACATGGCTTCATTGTGACATAAACACTTTTTGCTCCGCGAATTTTCGAATCTCTATAAAATCCAGTCAATTTTTGCAAAAACACATCATTGCTCAAATGTTGTTCAACTGACATCTGAAATATCCACGATTACAAAAAAAAATATCAAATTGATTTAAAAAAATATTTCAAGGGTTCCGAAACCCCTATAAAAATTGAGTGTAATGAAAAACAATATAACATTTATTCTAACAAATAATCGAGAGAATTCTCGGATAACAAATTGATTTTTGTCGGATCTTTGGAAATCCAGAAATTCGTGAAATCTTTGATAAAATTTTTCGATTTTTCCGGAACTCCAGGATTCTCCAAAACTTCAACAAAAAATTTGAACAACGTTGGTCGACTCGAAACTTCTTCCAGAATATTCTCAAAGTTCGAACAATCATAACAATAATCCCGAATAAAAAACTTATTGGGTGATTTTGAAAGGACGAATGCATAAAAAAGTGAAATCAATTTTTCCTGAAAAAAGAATTCCTATTAGAAAACTCATCCATAATTAGTAAAAATTACCTGATTTTCAGTATCTTTTTTCATTTTCGAATATTCGAAAACCAAAAAATCCGCAAATTTCGCAAAATCAACCGTGATCGCGAGCATATAAATTTCCAAGAAACCCGAATTCTTGAAACTTTCTAAATCCACATTTTTCTTTCCTTCAAAACCATCAATTTTCAACCAAATTGGATCATAAAAACTTGAAAAATCCCGAATATTTGGTTTCTTTTTCGATAAAACTTTGGAGAAATCATAATGATTTTGTGAGAAATCAGGATTTTCAGTGATATCCAAATACTTTTCGATGATGTTTTGAGATAAAGACGGTGGAAGAAAAGTTAAATCATAATCTATGATTTCCAGAATTTCAGCGTTCTCTAGACCTTGGAATATTTTTCGATCATAAATTCTTTCCTGACAAGCAAATTTCAATTTCTTTTTGTTCGGTAACTTCTCCATTATATTCAACCAATCCAAAGGAGGGAGAGGCCTGAAAATCTACATTTTTCTATAAAACTCAATCTCAAAACTAACCGATTATCTTCTCTTTTCAAACCAACAAAACAATCGATCCAATTCGTCTCAAAGTTCTGCAAAACTTCCAAAAACATGGATCCTTTCAATTTTTCCAATTCCAAATATTTTCGAGTTTTCCATGTTTTTCTCGATTTCGTCGATAAGTTTTCATAAATCTCTTTTCGATTCTCCGAAGTTTTCCATAATTTTTCCAATTCTTTGATATTTTTAGAATATGTTTCTGTTTCTTCTTCTGATTCTTCATAATATTCTTCTTCTTGTGGATTCAATAATCGTTCTCTACAATATTCCTTGACAAATTCTTCAGTTTTCAGAGGATTTTTGAAAATCGAATCTTGCAAGTTTTCATCATCCAACCAATTCCAAACTTTGTTGTTCCAATCATCTTTTTTCAAAATACCGTGTTTCCTTATTTCCAATTCGAAAACTTCAGAAAGTGCAATCAAAATCAATAGAACATCGGAATTGTCTGGTTTATCGAAAGTGAAATTCGACAAAATCAAACAAATATCATTTCTCGATCTGGAAATGTAAATTTTGAGTAATTTGAAAAACTTCGAAGGAATAAATTGATAAAACTTACTGTATCAAATTTTTCGATTTTTCAAACATTTCTAAGAAAATTGAAGAAATTGCAGATTTCCATGATTTTTGACGAATTTCCAATTGGTCTAATGATGTTATCGGAAAAATCTGAAAGAGGAGAATAAAAAATTATTTTTCAAATGCAAAATTCAACCAACCTTTGCTAGACAAAGTTTCAAATATTTGATTCCGACAGCTGATTTATCTCCATTATTTGCTAATTCCATTAGAATCGGAATCATTGGAATAGTATTTTCAGCAAACCAATGAACATTTGATCGAGAAACTTCAGCTGCCCAAACATCTAAACTCGAAAATTCTGGCGAAATTTGCCAATTTTCAGCAAAAAATGGGCGAGGAAATTGATCAAGTTCAATTTGAATCCAAGGTCGAAGAACTTCGGGAGATTGAAGATTTTTTGGGAATTCAAACTTTGGAATTTCTTGAAGATCGTATTTTTGAAGCGATTTCCAAGCTTCGTTTGCAATTGAAACATTGTCTGATTTTGTTAATTGAAGAAGTTCAGAAATAATTTCCAATCGTAATTCGAGATTCTGAAAATAAGAGTTTTCAGATCGAAAGTTTGAAAAAAACTTTGATAAATATTACATTTTCATCAGTTTCTTCTTTGTCAGGAATTGCTCCCACAGCCAACAATCTACAATATGCAAGAGTCACAATTTCTGTACAAGACCCGATTTTTTTCGATAATTGTTTTCGTGTGTTTTTCAATTCCAATACATTATTTGCACATAATTCAGAAACAATATCAATTGTTGAAGCAAGTCGAACATCTTCTTCTTTCAATAATTTTGATAAAGTTGAGAGAATTTCATCGCAATTATCACTGTAATAAAACTAAGATGTTTTCATATAAAAAAGCAGCTTGATAATATACTCACTTTGAAATACAGCATTCTTTGGCAAGTTCCAATTTCGCTTTGAAAAGTTCTAAACTTTCGGATTTATCGAAAGTTTTACAAAGTGGTGAAACAAATTCGTAACATTTTGGATACTTTTTCATCAATACAGTTAGACTTTGATAAACGTTGATCTTTTCGGGAATTTGCATATTTGAAACAGCACATAAAAATCGGATGACTGGTTCGAGTGAGATCTAAAAATATAACCTTTGTTAAATGAACCTTTGAAGAAAAACTAACCAAATCTACAGCTAATCCAGTAAGAACATCAATAACAAGTTTTCGATCAATTTTGAAATAAGGTTTTCCGAATAACGAAATAAAATAAATGATGACTGTGTAAGCAGTTTCTTTTTGAGTTTCAACAACTTCAAGTATTCGTTTCGTGATTTCTTCAGGATTCCGTGGTAAAATCGATAAAAGTATCCATAAATTCCTAATGTTTCTTCTTTCTTCTGGAAATCTTGACATAAATTGTGCAAACTCTTTCTCATGATCAAAAGATTTTAATGATTTTTGAGATTCAATAATCGATTTTTTGAGAATATCCAAATCAGCAGGATTGAAAAGTTTGGATTGAACAATTTCGAGAACTGTTGGTATAAAAAAGTTGTTGAGCTTTTTGGTAAAATTTGCATTTTTCACAATATCCGGACGGTTTTGCAGAAGATCCAATAAATTGAATTCGTTTAATCCTTCAAGATCATCTTCAATCAATCGAGAAATTTGGCAATTCTTCAAAACTTCTAACCTGTTTTTCGGTTTTCGCTTCAATTTTTCTCCTCCAAGTTTCGATAATTTACAATATTTTGGAAATTTATCTTGAATATCTTCTGTTTCAAAAATTGGTTTTGAATGAAGTCTTTGTACATATTTGAGGAAATCTCGATATTTTGGTTGACAAATTTCAACAATTCCAACATGAAAAAAATCCGTTTTTTTCGTGTTTTCACTCGTTCGAATAATTGATTCATCCCATATTTGATCGGTTTTCAAAGCATTACTGATTACTAATTCGTGAATAATTCGTAAAATCCAATCATCAGATATTATTTTTGTTTCAAATATGAAATCGAAAAATAGATCGGCAGCTTCTTTATGATTTAACAACTTGATAAGTTGCTGAAATGCTTCTGATTGAACAACAAGATTTCCAACTTTCAATCGTCGTTTGATATCAGGTAAATTATCCATCTGAAAAACAATAAAAAATAGTTTTGAAAATGAAACTTCAAAATATACGTCTAAAACGAATTATCGAAACCCACTCAAACCCGCCAAAAGTATTGAAAAGGGCATAACACGGGCGAAAAAACAAGACAAAAAAGGCACACTTTTTTCACTGCGGACTTTTAGGGGAAAAGGGGCGTGTCATGTACCCTACATTGTACCTTATGGGAATCCCTCCAGAGTCAGCTCTGATCACTCCTCGATTCATATTATCTCTCGTTTGAGAATCGACAAAAAAGTGAAAATGAAAAAAAATACAACAAAATGATTTTTTCGCGCACTGATTTTTAGGTAGATCAAATTAAAATCTGAATAGTCCGCAATGAAGAAAAATGTTTGATTTTTTCGCCCGTGGGCATAAAACAACATTTTCCTGGCGTTCAGTGAAAAAATAAAATTCCAAATTGCAAGACTGCAAACATGCTCTATTGACAATCAATGCATGAAAGCGCGCTCCAGTGAACAAGGAGGGAGTTTGAAATTGTTTGTTTTCACTGTAAAAACAAAGAGTTTGCATAGAATAGATACAGTACAGTGGAAATGAAGAGTATTGACGTATTTGAATTCGAAGAAAATTGGCTGAAATTTCCGAAGAATTATCTCGTTTCAACGCTCTCCTCTCTCCGAAAACACATTTTATTTCGCCATAGTGCAAACACGGCTACGCAAAAGAGCACTATAAAATTCACATGGTTACGAGAAAAAGATAAAGTAAATAGTGAATCACTTACTAGTGATGCGTTTGATAATAATTTTAATATTTTTATTCCAATTATGTCAAACCTACAAAGTTCTAGTTTTCAATCCTGCTTTTGGTGCCAGTCATTCAAATTTTCTAGGAAAAATTTCTGATATTTTAATTGATGCTGGAAATGATGTGGTAAATAATTTTGAATTTTTTATTGAAGTTCAATTTTCCTGAATTTTCAGACTATGCTAATTCCAGTATATATGAAAAGTAAATCACATTTGGTAGGCTCAAAAAAGGTGAAAAATATATTCAAAATAGATTTGGATCCAAGAGCAGAAGAAATGCTCCAATATTCTCAAGCAGATGAATTGATGAGGAAAAAAGTTTGGGAACCAGTTTCTGATTTATCACTTTTGATTCCGATTCTGAAAAATTTCACTGGTGCAGCTGGACATCAATGTGAATTTATAATGCAACATTCTGAAATTCTGGAAAAATTGAAAGCTGAAAAGTTCGATCTTGCAATTTCCGAATCGATTTATTTATGTGGTTTAGGTCAGTGTTATGATTTTAAAATTTTTAAATAAAATAAAATTGCAGTTGTTTTCGATCAAATTGGTATAAAAACTACAATAAGTGTTGATTCAATGGTTTTCCAAGATATTGTGAAATATTCGATTGGAGAGCCATCTTCAACAAGTTTTTATCCAAATTTAGTTTCCCCGGATTCCGATGATATGTCGATATTTGGAAGAGCAAAAAATATGGCTGGGTTTTTATTTTCACTTTATTTTGGAAGATGGCGATATTTATCCGAACTCGAAGCTATAAATTCAACAAAAACTTGGTTTGATTATTTGGATAATGTTGCCTACAGTATGATTAATTCTAATCCATATATAGATTATCCTTCTCCAATTTTACCAAAGACTGTGTTTATTGGTGGAATGCAAGTTACAAAATCACACAAATTAGAAGAAGTAGGAATTTATATTCGAAAATTATTCGAAATGTCATAACTGAATTTTTTCCAGAAATGGGACGATGTTCTAAATCTGCGTTCTAAAACTATATTGATATCTTTCGGAACTCATGCTTATTCTTCAGATATGCCTGAAAAATATAAAAATCAATTTCTGAAAATATTTGAAGCTATGCCAGATGTTACATTTATTTGGAAATACGAAATTGAAAATTCTACAATAGTTGATCATTTGCCAAATGTTGTTCTAACAACTTGGATGCCTCAAATTGATCTTTTGGCTGACGAGAGATTATCTCTTTTTGTAACTCATGGTGGATTGGGAAGTATTATCGAATTGGCATATTCTGGGAAACCAGCAATTGTTATTTCATTATTTGGAGATCAACATCGAAATGCTCATATGTTAACAAGACATGGTGGAGCAATTGAATTACAGAAAAATGAAATTGGAATTGATAATGCTATTTTTAATGCAATTCAAAAAATTCAACAAGATCCAATTTATGAACAAAATGCGAAAAAATTGGCCAAGATTTTGGAATCTCAACCGAATTCACCAAAAGAAACTGTTTTGAAACATTGTGATTTTGCTGTCAAATTTGGATCTCTCGATACAATAAAATCAAAAGGACGATTGTTGAATTATGTACAGTATAATAATATTGATGTTTTATTTTTATTTATAACTTTGATCATTCTAGTCATTCTCTTGATAATTTTCATTATACGGTTTACAATTTGGATAATCAGAAAATGTTTGAACAAATATAGAAGAATACCAAATTCTTGATCTCAGAAATATTTTGATTGTAAACTTATCGTGTAAAGTGTTGTTATATGCTTATGCCCACCTAGTCTTCCACTTATTCTTTGAACAAACATGATTTTTGAAATTTAGTTATTCTCAAAAGTAATCTAAAAATAAACTTTTGTCTATTTGTTCTTCCTTCCTTGCACCTGCAAAAAAAGAAGCATTCTTTTTCTCCAAAAAAATCTTTCTAGTAATTTCAGAAAAATATTTACGACCTCTCATAAAATTTGGAGGAACCTGTTTTTTTCAGAGGTCTTTTTTTCTCAAAACAATTGCATTTTCAGTTGAAAGAAGAAGAATTTCACAAATTTTACTTAAGTAATCCTTGTTCTACGCAACTCCGTTCCAACCTAATCCGATTGTAAACACCACTTTTTTCGAAGCATACGAGAAAAAAAGGTTTTTACTTACTTTTCTCAAAAAACAAACAAGGTTGGACATTCGTTTAACTTCTCATTTTTTGTTTTAGTGAGAAGAAGAAGAACAAGGTGATAACGATGTGTTATCCAATTGAACCACCAAATGACAGGTTAGTTTTGGGAATTTAAAATTTATTGAGACCTTGTGGCCTCATCTACGATCATATCAAAGTTTAGATCAGCTTTAAATTTCCAATCAAGTTACAGTATCCCTAACCAATTGTCAAAAAAAATAATTTAAATAAATAATCCAAGAGTTGGGGTTTTGAGACAACGTTAGAAGTTGCGACAACAGTTTAGGCAAAAAATATAAGATCTCAATATTCATGTCGTCTGAAAACAGTAATTCTGGATTTCTGAACACTCAATTGGTAGAATATCTTATTTTAATATAAATTATTGATGACAGAAAATCACAGCTGCGAAAGCAAAAAGCCACGTGTCACCTCCTCATTTTTAATCATATTTCTAAATTTTCCATTTTTGCATATAGTTCTTTCTGTCCGTTCTCCATTTTTGTTTTTCATTCTCTGTCTCTCTATTTTCTTTTTTCTTTTCTCCCGCTCTAAAATTTTCTTTTGATTATTCAATCACCAAAAAGATGATCATATTATTATTATTATTTTATACAATTCTCTTTCATTAAACTTTTGGGTCAAACTTTTCTCTCGTTTACTCCACAAAAAATAGCTGATTAATTTTGTTGGCAAACATTCGAGTACTCCTTCTGTAAATAAGACATTTTTTCTTCCAATTTTTTGTTTTTTTTTTTTGGTTGATTGTGAGAAGAGCAGACAAAAAGTTTTTTCGAATCCAAAATTCATGACTCATATAAATACATTTTTTATTTTATTTTCATTTTTTGCAAAAAAAAATAATGTTCATAACATTTTATGAATCATTTCAACCAAGATTTAGAATTTTCTCAAATAAAAATGTGTCTTATCACATGTTCCACCCAATTAAATTATACTTATCACATACATTTTCATATCATTTTTCAGTGTAAAACTTTATCCTCCTCAAAAAATTTCTACCTCACATTAGAACCAGTTTTCTTCGCTTTGATATTTTTCATCCAACATTAAAAAATTCTCAGCTTTTTCTTTTTCGTGTCGTCATGAGTGAGATTTGAATAAAAATATCCTATTTCATTTTCTTCCGCCAAATTTTTTCTCACACCCATTTTTTCTCGCCCTTTCTTTCTACAGCCGTCAATCACAAACAAAAGACTGCCCAAAACATTTTTTTTTCGTTGGCGCGCTTTTTTTCGAATAACATTTTGTCGTCCTCTTCAAAAATATTTTCAGTGGGTCGCGGAATTTTTTCTGAAATGAAACATAATAAATAAATTGGCAATGTTTATTGAAGTGATTCAGAAAAAAAACCACAAAAAAGAAGCGCCCCAATTTTTTTCTTCATAAACAAAAGACATTTTTTCGCATGTTCTGTTTTTTCCTTATTTTTTTCATTCTGATGATTATTAGAGCTGTTTTTTAGGAAATGGTATCTAGAAATGTACTTTTACTTGATCGAAATCTAATTTTCGGAAAACCTCGAAATCAAATTTATTTCTCTTTGTTTTAGTGTGGATTTTTTGAAGGTGTACGCATTTTCTGAGAAAACACATTTTGCTAGTTGTATTTCTGTACTTTGCTATGTTTCAATGAGCTGATCTACAGATTTTTAAATTTTTGATAGGTTCTGATAGATTCCGTAAAAACTTGAGATCATTGGAAGTTCTAAAAAGTCCACAACCTAAATTTTGAGAACCTGAATAACTTTATTCGTAAGAAGTTTTGGGAAATTATAGAATTGAGACTCCTGGAATAAATCTTCCAAAAAGTTAGGGATATCAGAAAATTCAGTTCAAACAAGTTTCTAAACTTCGCCACGTCATAACTTTTTCACTAATGATAGATCTCCACCCTGGAAAATTGTGCTTGTTTAAATTCCACATCCCAGATCTTTTTTTTTCCAGAAAAATGGGCCTTGACACTTCACTTCTCAAAAGTGTTCTCGAACAATTTGTGGATGAAATCGGAGAAGAATCCTCTGATCTAATTGTTGATCGTCCTCGTTTTGCACACGCTGTTATTGTTGTAGCCGACGAAGAAAATGGCGAATTTTGCCAGGCATCTTGCATTCGACAACTCGATGAAATTGTACTTCACGAAACACATGTTGCAAATGTGTAAGTTTTTTGAAGCGCTGATTTATTAGCTATTGTTCACAGTTATTTATTTTCCACATGTTGTTTTTAGGGAAGCTGAATGGATGGATGAAGAAATTCAAAGAGCACTTCGTGAATTGAACGAATCAAAAGATATGTTGGAAACTCCAAGAAACAGTGTCTTCGTTGAAGAAACTCAAACACAAACACAAAAAACATCAAGCAGAACAACAAGTTCAACAAAAACATCAACAACAACGACAACTTCAAATTTGGGAACTGGTTCAAGATATGAGGTATGGTTTAACTAAAAGGTCATCTTGATCCCAGATCCCATGGTCTAAAATATAGTATTGTATTTCAATGATATTCATTTCAGTTTCCATCAATGTCTCGTGCTCGTTCAACTTCTGCTGCTCGCCGTCAACGTCAATTCCATTAGAAAAGTGCATTTTAAGACAAAAAAAAACGAAAAATCGCGAAGAAATAAACAACGATAATAATAATATTAATAACTGTATCTATTTTTTTTATTTTTTAAATATTCATATTTCAAATATGAACGTTGTATTTATTATCTTTGCGAAAACTGACAATAAAAATTATTGAAAATATTTTTTTGAAAAACGTAGTCTCCTATTTTTTCACAATCTGTTTCAGGCCTCAATAGCTTTCGAGTACTATTCTAAGAGAATTCTATTTTTTATCAACTTTTTTTGGCCAAAATTTGTAAATCTGGAAGCTCTTCCAGTTTTACAAATCCATCTTTTTCGAGGCAAAATGCATGATTTCAGTCTGAAATTTTTGGGAAAATAAAAAATTTACAATCAGAAAAAAAAGATTGTATTTTTTTTAATAAATGCACTATTTCAAAACACCACGTTTCACTTCACGTTTTCAAAAAATCACGAGTTTTGTCTTTTTTTTGTTGAGTAGGCTGGCAAAAATGTAGTAATGAGGTCCCAAAATGCATTGTTTTTTTACACGTTTACAAAAATAATAATACAATTTTTTTCTTTGCCTTGTGTTTCTCTATTTTCTCATATATATTGTTCTCGATGAAAATCGTGAAATTTCACGATTTCACGGAAAAAAGCCAAATTGAAAAAATAAACGAGAGAGTGTTGTGTGTAGAAGAGACGAAGTGAGGAGGAGAGAAATGAGAGATAGAAACGAGTAAGAGAGACGCCAGACAACACGACGGTTTGTGAATTTTTTTGCAAACTCCAAAACCATTTTTCGTTTTTTCACAAAAAATGCTAAAATCGTTCATACTTAACCAAATTTCACAATCTTTGCAGCAAAAAATAGCAAATTAACGAGAATAGAGATTGCAAGAAGAAAAACTTAGAAAACTTTTCTCCAAACACCAAAAAACTATGATTATAGGTTTTTCGGCTTGATTTCCCTCGATTTTTATAATTTTCGACTTGTTTTCTATGAATATTCATTTTTCTATAAAAAAAGAAACACAGAATTGTTGAAATTTTGGCTGAACGAAAAATTTTCTATTCTTGCATTATTGCATTCTGGTATTTCGGATACAAAAAAATCAAAACGAAATAGAAATCGCGTGCATAAAACTATGAAAAAATTAATCTACCTATGAAATATTTCATAGTTTGTTTTTCAATAAAATCTTGAAGCTTATCCTATACCATCAAGTGTAATTCAAAGCTTCATCAATAAGAACTTTACCCAATAGTTTTCAATGAAGCTCAAATCTCACCTGTTAGTCTTGTTCTTCCCCCCAAACCTCAAAATAAACTAACTTGACTGGTCCGTTCCGTGAAAATTTGTTGATCTCTTCGAATGTCTTTTTCAAACGAAACATCTTCTTGATCGGAAGCCTGAAACTTCGACATTCTTTTTCTCAAAATTTTCGCCTATTCTTAAACTTACATCAGAAAATGACAATTGTGGATTTTATGGGACCACTGCATTCTTTGACTGTTGTCTCTAAAAAAAATAAGAAAATTAAAAAATGTAACACCATTAATAACTTTTTCTACGCTGAAAAAAAACGAGAAAACTGATTCAGTTCGAAAAAAAACGTGCAATCAATAATTTCTTTTCAAATAAAAAACATATAAGTATATCTCTTTCTCTCTAACCCTCTCTCCATTTCCCACACTCTCATCTACCCTGCAAAAAAAAAACCAACAAAATAAACTAAACAACGTGCACGCGGAGTATCGTTGTTTTTCTTTTATTTTTTTTGCACGACATTTTTATTTTTTGTTTTTTTTTCTGGTTTTTGAGTGGTTTTTTCAGCGCAGAAACAGTTATTAATGGGGTGGTTTGGTAAATTTTTTAATTTTCTTATTTTTTTAGAGACAACAGTCAAAGAATGCAGCGGTCCCATAAAATCCACAATTGTCATTTTCTGATGTAAGTTTAAAAATAGGCGAACATTTTGAGAAAAAGAATGTCGAAGTTTCAGGCTTCCGATCAAGAAGATGTTTCGTTTGGAAAGGACATTCGAAGAGATCAACAACTTTTCACGGCCAGTCAAGTTAGTTTATTTTGAGGTTTGGGGGGAAGAAGAAAACTAACAGGTGAGATTTGAGCTTCTATTGGGTAAAGTTTTTTTTTCGAAAAAAAATTTATTTAATTTTTTTTTGTATTGAATGCACTCGAAAGATGTTGAACACACGAATTACAATTGAATTCATGAAAAACTTCAAATTTTTTGATCGAAAAATGACTCGTGGCAAAATCTGGAAGGCTTCCTAATTTTGCCATGGATGAAGTCATCAATAAATTTTTCGAAAAAAATTTATTTAATTATTTTTTTGTATTGAATGAACTCGAAAGATGTTAAGAATAAGAATTAAAATCAAATTTATAGAAAATTTCGAGTTTCATTGGCTTGAAAATTGAAATATTAAGTCGAATTATTTTCCATAGAAATGAAATAAAATTGAAATTCTCGAGTTTTTCAAAGGTTTTCCTCACCAACTATCCGAATTATCCATAAATATTTCAATTTTTGTTATCTCGATCACTTTTTCTACTCATTTATTGGCTTGTTCAAAATTGAAATATTAAGTCGAATTATTTTCCATAGAAATGAAATAAATTTGAAATTCTCGAGTTTTTCAAAGGTTTTCCTCACCAACTATCCAAATTATCCATAAATATTTTAATTTTTGTTATCTCGATCACTTTTTCTCCTCACCAACTATCCAAATTATCCATAAATATTTTAATTTTTGTTATCTCGATCACTTTTTCTACTCATTTATTGGCTTGTTCAAAATTGAAAAATTAAGTCGAATTATTTTCCATAGAAATGAAATAAATTTGAAATTCTCGAGTTTTTCAAAGGTTTTCCTCACCAACTATCCAAATTATCCATAAATATTTTAATTTTTGTTATCTCGATCACTTTTTCTACTCATTTATTGGCTTGTTCAAAATTGAAAAATTAAGTCGAATTATTTTCCATAGACATGAAATAAATTTGAAATTCTCGAGTTTTTCAAAGGTTTTCCTCACCAACTTTCCGAATTATCCATAAATATTTTAATTTTTGTTATCTCGATCACTTTTTCTACTCATTTATTGGCTTGTTCAAAATTGAAAAATTAAGTCGAATTATTTTCCATAGAAATGAAATAAATTTGAAATTCTCGAGTTTTTCAAAGGTTTTCCTCACCAACTTTCCGAATTATCCATAAATATTTTAATTTTTGTTATCTCGATCACTTTTTCTACTCATTTATTGGCTTGTTCAAAATTGAAAAATTAAGTCGAATTATTTTCCATAGAAATGAAATAAATTTGAAATTCTCGAGTTTTTCAAAGGTTTTCCTCACCAACTATCCAAATTATCCATAAATATTTTAATTTTTGTTATCTCGATCACTTTTTCTACTCATTTATTGGCTTGTTCAAAATTGAAAAATTAAGTCGAATTATTTTCCATAGAAATGAAATAAATTTGAAATTCTCGAGTTTTTCAAAGGTTTTCCTCACCAACTATCCAAATTATCCATAAATATTTTAATTTTTGTTATCTCGATCACTTTTTCTACTCATTTATTGGCTTGTTCAAAATTGAAATATTAATTCGAATTATTTTCCATAGAAATGAAATAAAATTGAAATTCTCGAGTTTTTCAAAGGTTTTCCTCACCAACTTTCCGAATTATCCATAAATATTTCAATTTTTGTTATCTCGATCACTTTTTCTACTCATTTATTGGCTTGTTCAAAGTTGAAATATAAGTCGAATTATTTTCCATAGAAATGAAATAAATTTGAAATTCTCGAGTTTTTCAAAGGTTTTCCTCACCAACTATCCAAATTATCAAAATGAAAAGCGATTTATGAGCAAGTCTAAAACCCGATGCAAATAAAACATTTAAACAACTTTAGCCAAGAAAATGATGCAAACTTCAGCTTCTCCTTTATCGTTAACAATTTCCCATCTGACTGGAATATTGTTGTATCCTTTTTGATTGTCTTGGATTTCAATTTCTTGCTCAAAAGTTTGTGATTGGCCAGCAACAACTGGACATTGGACACCTACAAAATTGATAAATCGAATGAAAATATCCAATTTTTTTTAAAGCTTACCGAATTTGCAGGCGTTTCTTCCTGGTTGTGGGAAATCCAACAAATTATCTTCGATTTTAGCCTTGATTTGGTTCTTCATGGTTTCAGAGTTTGAATGAGCAGTGAATTCAATTCTGATCTTTGGCTTTTGTCCAACCTTGAATTTGGCAACTGTTTTTGTGCCTTCTTTGAGAGCTTCGAAGTTTTCAGCAGTTACGCTCAAGATGGTTCCTTTATGGTCTGCAAAAATCATTTCTTGTTGCTAAAATGGGATTTGCTGAAACCTTAAACTAACCGCACGTTTTGTGTTTCAATGGAGAGAAATCAGCAAATGTGGACAAAACCAACAAGCATGAGAAGAGGGCGATTTTGGTGAGAAGCATCTGAAAAAAAATATGTAAGAAAATATTTTCTTTTGAAAAATTGAGAACATCTCAAAGCATAAAACATAGAATAAAATAAAATAAGTTAGCGACGCTTTGTCGAATGATTTTAAACCAACAGTTGCTCAGCTTTTCCCTCCCATTATCGTTTATCAATCGAATTTTCTTCATTTTGTGGTGTGTTTCGAACAATGTAATATTTTTTTATTCAAAAATCCTTTTTGTTACAAAAAAGTATGCGTTGCAAGAGACTTTTAGTTGGAAAAGTTACGGAAAAAAAAATAAAAATGAATGAGGAGGTGGATGGAGGTGAAAGAATATTATGAGATGATAACTTTAAATTTTCAGAAAAAAAAAAACAATGCTCACAGTTAGACTTGAAGCAAGAGTTTTGAAAAGAAAACGGAGAAATCATCTTTTGATCTTGAGCAATGAAAAATATCAAAAGTAAATTGATATTTCGGATTTTTAATGGAATTTTAGAAAATCAGAGAAAGTCTGAACCTAAAAATCATTTCATTATTCAGATTTAATTTAAGATTTATTAAAAAATCGAAGTTGTAACATTAGGCTGTCAACTAAAATTCTGAATATGATCCCAAAAATCAAAGAAAACTTTTACAAAAGTCCGATTCTATTTAGAACCCGAACTTCCTGAATTTTCAGAATTGATGTTTTCCTGAGACTCCTTGAAGAACATTTTTTCTCGCTCCATATTTTTGCAGACTCTCCAAATCCTCTGACAAGGTCAAAGTTCTATCATTCCCATACAAAAATTTATAGTTCCAGACACTTTCTTCCTTTTTTTTTATTCCTCGTTCCCCCTCATAAAAATATCAAGCGATGGTGTTTTGAGATAACAACGTTCCAAAAGGTCATCAGATTTATTATGTGATTTGATTTGACATGAAAGGTGACCGACGCAAAAACAAAACAGATCAACTTTTTCTGTGTTATACTATTTGGAAAAGTAGCTGGATTTTTTGTTCAAAAAATTCATTTGTATAGATAGATAGATAGTGAGGAAATTAAGTTCTTTCCTATTTCCTCTTAGAAAAGATTCCTACCTCAAAAAGGGGTGGGGCTTCGAGAACAAAACCACGCCCACTTTTTTCCTTTTTTGCGCATGAGAATGTTATGAGTTTTTTTGTTTGAAGAAAAAGAATAAGAACATTTTCTGAAATGTTATGCTGAAATTATGCTGAAACAATACTTTTTGATATTTGCGCTATCTTTTATTTTTTATTCACAAAACTTGTTCGCTGATTTTGTTTACGATGATCGGTAAGTTGGATTTTCATATTTTTTTAATACGAGTTTTTTTTCGAACATTTCTGGTTTGAAAAAATTACAAAAAATTATAGAAATTTTTTTTATTCAATAAAAATGAGATCTCAAGTAAAAGTAAGTAGCCACCATTTTTTTTCCAATTGTCACTTTCACATATATCTTTTTTTTCGATTATAAATTCCACGACATACTTTTTTTTGCTCATCCAATTTAATATTTATATGATTCTCCTTGTCCTCCTTCGTCTTCTTTTTTTCCTGTTTGGTATACTTTTTTGGCTTCGGTCGACCAAAAACAATACATTCAAGAAAGTAGGAAAACAAAGTGTTGAATTACTTTTTTGGAGAGCAGCCAACAAGAGAACCTACGAATTTTAAATGGGTAAATAACAATACAAAAATCATAAGTTTTGAAAAGTGGACTAAAAAATAAAATGAATTTGGAACCACAAAAAAAGCGAAACGAACATACATTCTTTCGTTTATTTTATTAGTTTTTTTTCGAATAGGAGCGAAAAAGAAAATTGGTTTTTTTTCACTTGTTGTCAACAATTATTCCCACAACTTCTTAATAAATTTTTAGGCCAGCGATTTTGGAAAACGATGACGTTTTATCGAAGACAAGTTGGAATGAAATGCTATTCGAGAATGATTTTTGGGGAAATCCAATTAAAAATCCGGGATCGCATAAATCTTGGAGACCTTTGACAACAGCCACATTTCGGATTCAGATGAAAATTCATGGCAAGAATCCATTTTGGTGAGATTGAATTTTTTGTTGGAAAATAGGGGTTTGAAAAAAATTTCGTTGGAAATCAACGTTGCAAAAAAAATTTCACTGCTGGAAATCCACATGACCAATTTTTCTGGGCCGATTCGAATTTTGTATTCCAAAAACTTTGAAGCATAACTTTTTTTTTCCAAATCAGTGGGTCATTCTAATGTGTTTTTTCTTTTTTCTCATCTCATTTCCATCAGCATCCTATCCTCCTCTTTATTTTAATGTATCCGGTTTAACTCTATCTTGTTTCTGTTGACCGCGTCGCGAGAAATGCAAATTTCCGTCCGTCCGTCCAAAAGTAGTAGTACATCTGCTCATAAGTCGACTGACAACCTTGTACTAAAAAGTCGAGAAAAAAGATGAGCACAAATTGAATGCGTTGTCACTTCAGATTGAGCCAATTGCAAGAGATTGATGAAGTGTAAAATAAAAATATTTTTGTTTTCTTGTTGAAAAAAACATAGAAATTTCAAATTTCTGACAAGTTAGTCTAAATATGATTGATGTTTTAGAGTTCCAAAAATATTTTTCCTCTTTTCTCATTTTCTATTCAAAAAAGGTGCACTTTTAAATCAACCCAACCTTCAGAATTTCTAATATCTTTAATGAATTCTGGATGAATTTTAATGCAACATCCTCTTTGCATAAAAGAGAAAGAAGAAGATGTAATCCAAGATAAACATGCCAAAATGTCATTATCCTCGCCTTCTCCTTTTTCTCAAAAGAACGAAAAAGTAGAAGAGCTCTCAGATTCCAAAAGGGACTCCAAATAATTCAATTAGGAAATCCGGGAGATTTTTTGAGTGTTGTTTGTGAGCCAAAAAAAAAGAATAAAATGGGACACCATAATTTTCTAATGCAGAGTCATATGTTGTTTTGTTTATATAACCATAACTAATTCTTTTATAGACCTTCTTTGCCACTTATTCTAATTAGATTATTTCTGAAAATTGGGTAATTGAACCAATGGTTTGTTATGTTTTTGGTTTTAAATGCAAGATAAAATCAGAATCAGGAAATTATTGCAATACAACACACAGGGGACTATAAAAATATGATTAATTTGGGTTTCAAAAATTCTAAAAAAAAAGGGTCAGATAAAAATGTCCAATTTCTTTCCATTTCAAAGTTTTCAGGTTCCATTTGTTCAATATTCTGCTTCACTCTCTCAACTCATGTTTGGTGGCAGTTTTGGCAAAGAAATTAAAATTGAATGGTGAGCAGAAAGAGATTATATCATATTACTGTTGGATGAAATTTGAGACACAAAAACTACTAAATGGGATATTTAAGAAGACATCTGTGACTATATTTATTATTCAGAATCAGACACAAAATTCTCATTTTTAATTTTGAACAAAATGAGAAAGGGAAAAGTAAAGTTAATATTATTTTGAAAAACATCATGTTTCAGATGCTTCAACCTTCTGCGGACTTTTATTTGCACTTCATCCAATAAATACCGAAGCTGTTTGTTCAATTGTAGGAAGATCAGATCTTCTCGCAACATTTTTTGTTCTTCTTGGTCTAATTTCAGAAAAGGTACTGTACTGGTCAACACTAATTTCGAAAAAAAATTATTTCAGGATCCATTGATTTTCTCGATTCTTGGATTGCTTTCCAAGGAAACATCAATAATTCTACTACCATTGCTCATATCAAAACAATTTCTAACAAATGGCAAAAAAGAGGTACCTTTTAATTTTCTTCCTGTTTTTTCCTATAAGAATACCGCACAATGTAATTATGACCTGACAATAAGTGAAAAACTACCTACAGTAAGACAAAAAAGGGAAGACCTTGAAGATCTTATGGGAACAATACTACAATAGAAAATGAATGGGCGCGAGAATTGGTTGGATAGATAAATAATACCATGACACATAGAAAGGGGCAGCAAATATTTTTCGCATTTTTTTAAATTTGGGAATAAGGGAGTCTGTGAATGGTTTTGGACCAGGGTTACGGGGCTCATAGAATTTTTTTTTCAGAAAACACTTCAATATTTATTCTACCTCTCATTTTTGCTTTATTTCCGACTATCAATCAACAATTTCGAATCTCCGAAGTTTTCCAAATCCGATAATCCAATTGCCTATGAACCCTCGATAATATGCAGATTTTTAACATTTTTATACCTTCCATTATTCCACTTCATGTTGATTGTTTTTCCAAAAACTGTAAGTTCCAAATATTCATTCCAACATTAACAAACCCCCATTTTTCAGCTTTGTTTTGATTGGCAAATTCAACCAATTCGCTCATTTTCTGATTTTCGAATTTATGCATCACTTTCATTCTACATTTCAATTTTAATAATTTTCAAAAAATTGAAAAGTTTCCGATTCTTAGTGATACTTTTATGCAGTCCCCATATTATTTCATCAAACATCTTCTCATATGTTGGATTTGTTGCAGCCGAAAGAATATTATATCTACCTACAGTAGCCTTCGCAATTATTTTGGCCAAATTCATAACTGCAAAAGGCAATAGCAATAGAAGCTGGATAATTTTCGTGATTCTATCAATTTATGGATCAAGAACAATTTATAGAGTTGGAGAATGGCGAAATGAGACGGAATTATTCAAAAGTGCTCTATTGATTAGTCCATTAAGAGCAAATGCAAATCTGGGACATATTTTTGCGATGAAGGGAAATGATATTGAGGCGAGAAAACATTATTTGGAAGCATTGAAATTACGACCAACAATGGCTGATGTTTGGTATAATTTGTAAGTTTTTAAAAGTTATCTTTTATTTTGAAACTGGATTTGATATAATATTTACATCTGAATCCTTATTTGAAGTTAAAAAATTAATTTTCAGAGCAATATTAACATCACCATCTGATCGTAACTCATCAATTCAATATAATCATCAAGCAATCAAAAATCGTGCAAACTTCCCCGCCGCACATTTAAATCTCGGACTTCTATACAGTAATCCAACCACTGCTTTGAAACATCTCGAAATTTGCCAGAATTCAAAAAGTGAAACATCAAAAAATTATAGAAATCAGCAAAAAATTCGAGCAAAATGCGCGTATAATTCGGCAAGAATAAATAGAAAATTGCAAAAATTCGAGAAATCAATTGAAAATCTTGAAAAAGCGATGGATTTGCAGCAGGGAATATGGGAATTATCACCAATGATTTGGAATTTGTTGGGTGATTCGTGGACTGAAATTGGAGATTATGAAAAAGCTGAAAAATATTTTGAATTATCGATGAGAATTGATCCATTGAGAGTGAATAGTTTAGTGAATTGGGCGAAAATTCGAATTCGACAAAATCGAACAAATGAAGCAAATCAATTATTTGGAAAAGCTTTGGAATTAGAACCAAATAGTTCAGATGTTTTATTTAATATTGGATGGAGTTCTCAAAAAATGGTAAGAAATTCAGAAATTGATTGAACTTGGGGATGAACAAGAAAATATTTTCAGGGTGATTTCAATCGTTCAATTTCATATTATCAGAAAGCTTTGAAAACCAATCCAAATCATTTCGAAACTCTCGAGACTTATGCAAATCTACTTCAAAAACTTGGAAACTATTCAGAATCTGAAAAATATTTCGCAAAAATCGTGGAAATCCATCCAGATGCTGCAAGTTCATGGACAAATTATGGAGCAATTTTGCATTTGAATAGAAAATACGAGAAAGCTCTGAAAATGTATGAGAAAGGATTGGAAATCGAACCGGAGAATCGAATCTGTCAGCAAAATCGACGAAAACTATTGAGAATTTTAAAATAATTTGTGTGTATCTAATATTTATTGTGATATTTCAACGGGTATAATATTATTTACGTGTCGAATTGAATAATAAAAAGTATTAATAAAATGAATAAACATGCGAATGGATGAGTAAAAATTAAAAGCAGAAAATATACCCAAAATAAGTCGAAGATTCTAAGAAAAAAGAAAAAGAGACACGTAAGAATCGGTGGAATAAAAACATGATGGAAAATCTAAGGTGACGCGTCTCGATTTGTTCGATTTGAACGAGTTCGTGGAGTTTGTGGATGAGTTTCAGTTGAGGTATTCGATGAATTTGAGCCAGAAGGAGAAGCTAAACGACCACCAAGGCGACGATAAACCGTTGAACGACGTGGTCTGAAAATTCTATTTTTAAAGATTTAGGCTGGAACAAATGTTGCATTCTTGTCCACGGTTTTTTTTCAAAACGTGACCTAGTCTTGTCACGTGAGTTACGTTTTTGATTTTCTTCCATTTCACATATTTCGGTGGTCTAGGAAATAGAGGAATCAAAGTCAATTATAAAAAATGTGAGTTGCATTTGGACCATTGAAAAGATTGCATCAGGAAAATTAATAAAAGTTATTTTGCGTGACTTACCTTGTTCGTGCGGCCGTCAATTCTCTAGATTCCGATTCATCATCTCCAACATCTCCACTTGTGTTTTCCTCGACTACCACTTCCGGTCTAGGATCGATAGCCAATGAAGTTGGTGCGGTTGAAGTAGATGGAGTATCATCAGAAACATCACGATTCTCTGATTTTCTGAATCGTTTTGTTGGAAGCGGACTAGTAGAATTACGTGGATTTCTCGCAGGTGAAATAGTGATCGATTCCATCAATTGTTTTGCCCTTTCTAATGCAACTGTTTTTCTATCCGATCTTCTTGTTGATGGACCTGGTTCATTTGAAGAACTTGGAACTTGACGAACTGCTTTTTTCATAGGACGACGACTTCGGCCATCTTCCTCCTCTTCTTCTTGGTCATTTCCAGCAGCAAAATTAGGAGAAGCAGTTGGAGTCTGAAAATTTTTGATTTTATTTTATTGATACATTCAAAATTTATTACACTTACTTTGAATTGTTGAACTTCCTCTTCATCTTCACTGCTTGATTCAGCTTCAGGTTCAGGTTCAGCTTCTTGTTGTGGTTCTTCAACAGGCTCTTCAACTCTTGCTTCAGCATTTGGTCTATTCCGATCTCCCTGAACAACGTTAATTCTTCTCAATTCCGTCGTATGTCGACTCATAATTTCTTCGTACTCATCTCTCTGAGCCTGCGTCGCATTTCTTCCAGGTTCTTCAATTTGAGCCAAATAAGCAACAGCTGGTATACCAGTATTACGCGGAATCACAAATGGTGGTCGCTCGCGATGAGGTGCAGGCGCATTTTGAGGTGCAGCACGATTCCCTTGTACACCTTGAAGATGTGGACCTCCTTGTTGTACAGCTTGTGCAGCTATTCCCTGACCAACTTGAACTTGTTGCGCTTGTTGTTGCCGTGCTGGAGGTGCAATAGGCAATTGTTGATTTTGAGGTTGAACTTGCTGCTGCTGTTGTTGTTGCTGTTGAGGATATGGTCTCATTCTCATTTCCAAAACAATTTCGCCTTGATGGTTTGGCAAATAATTTACATTATATATTGGATTCATGAATCTTGCTTGATTATGCATAGCTTGTGCTCCTTGAAGCTGTCTACCCATTTTCTGATGTTGAACTTGTTGCGGTTGAGCTTGTTGTGGCTGAGCTTGTTGCGGTTGCGCTCGCTGTCTTTCTGGTGGTTGGGCAATTCCCATCATAGCTCTCTGTTGCTGTTGCATATGTTGCTGCTGTTGGATCATATAATGATGGATTTCTGTAAAAAATGACGTAATACACAAATTATATTATACAAACTGAAAAATTTAACCTTCAAAACCAGGTACAGTAGACTAAAATGACGTGACACATGCACATCAAACTGGTTGGCAAATAGCCAGCGTGTAAATTTCATTTCCCGCAAAGATCAATTCCCGCAAGATCTCGCTCCTCCCGAAACATATCTCCCAGCTCCCGAATTCCCGCTCCTCCCGAAACATATCTCCTACCTTCCGAATTCGCACAAGATCGTTCTGGCACATATCTTCCAACAACAGTAGATGGATAATCGCAACTTCCAACTTTGGCTCCTTGCGCCATTGCCTTTCCGCCTTTTCTTGTCGTTCTATATTTCGCCCGCGCAATAGCATCACCAGAATACGAGTGATTTCTTTGTGGTTGAACTATTAATAATTGAAAATGTTTTGAAATAATTACAAAAAAAAACTTCGGCGTAAAAAAACTCACAATTGGCGAGTGGAATAATTCCATCCGGAATTGATTTGCTGTTTTCAGGCAGAAAGAAGTGATCGTAACAAATATAGCTTCTTTCAACGTTGGCTTCCACATTTCTTATGAACGTTTTTCCGAGGACTTGATTCCATAGTTTGAGTTCTTTTTTATTCTCGGTGACTTGTCCTAATTTTTGACGAGGTTTAAATCTTTCGCAATATGCACATTTGTAAACCTCTGTAGTTGCCGGCAATTCACAACTAGAAGACCTTGCAGGAGACTTTGAATCCGCAGCATTTATATCATGGCTCAAATCGACAGACAAATCATCACAAAAAAATTGCACACCGCAATAAACACATGAACATTCTTGCCGCTGGTAGTAATTGTTTTTATTACTACAATTGTTGCAACATTTTTGCATTTCGAACTATAATAAAAACAAGCATTTGAATTCAAAAACAAGAGAAGAAACGGAGAAAAGAATCCCATCCCACCCTTATAAAACACGAAATCACTGAAAATTTGGCGTCACATAAAATGTTTCGTTGTGTGCGCACGTGCAAACACCGTTTCGTTTTGTTTTTCAAAAAATCAAGGCGCGTTGCGAGACAAGGAAGAAAAATTGTGTGCGCCTTTGATGAGGGGTACGGTAGTATTCGTAATTTTTTTTCTTTTTTGAAGGGTTCTTTTTTGCTTTATCTGAAGTTAGCAATAGTGATATTGATGGATGTTCCCCTCATATTACTCGAACCCGTACTGGTTTTGGAATTCAACACCGAATACTTATCACCAACATCCATATTCATCACATCCACACCCACTTCCACTTCCAACTTCAAACTTTGATAACGAATCTGATATTATAAAAATCTTCAAAATCCACGTTTCTCTCCAATTTTCATCCAAAACCTTCAAAATTTCCCTTCCAGAATCAACCTCTTGCAATGAAAATCCATCGAGACATCGATAAAGAGCTCTATCAAGTCGAAACCGATATGATGGATCTTGTCGCGAAAAAAGCGAGAGCCAAGTAGTTTTTCACTAAAATTTCAATTTCAAAAATGTTTATTTTTCAGAAACATCGTGAAAATGCACGGATTCGGCAATTTGAAAACGAGAAATCGACAAAAGCTTTGTGCGATCGATATATTATTATGGATTTGCTCGGACCATCGATTTTTCAAGTTTTGGATTCGGAACATCCAGCCTGCTTTGAAAGTGAGGAAATATTTTGAAATCGGCTGAAAAATATTATAAAATTCGATCCTTCATTGCTCATATTATGTTTTCTCTCGGAAAAATTGACTTTGATGAGAAAAATCGTAAGAGTCGAGCCCGTAAACATGGATCATCGTTTGTATTTCAAACAATAACTACAATGCTCCGCGTTTACATCTTGAAAATTTATAAAATATTCTCTAGCACTTTTGAGCCAAATTTTAGTTGTTGGCTCGAAAACGAAAATGAGAATTTTTCATAACTATACACAACTTTTCAAGATGTAAACGCGGAGCATTGTAGTTATTGTTTGAAATTCAAAAGATGCTCCATGTTTACGGGGTCGACTCTCACGATTTTTCTAATCAAAATTCAACTTTTCCGAGAAAAAAAACATAATATGCGCGATGATTTTGAATCAGAATTTCAGCCGATTCTGAAATATCATCGATTTTCACTATTTCTGCCTCTCGTTAAAATCCCGTAAGGTGCAATTTGTTTAAAAATGTTCATTTCTCCCGGTCACGTGAAAAACCTGATAAATAAATATATATTCACCAAAAATACATCATTTCTTACCTACACGCGGGGAGAGCGCTTCCTTCTAGGCGGGGAGAGCGCTGCCTTCTAATCAGACAGCCCTCCTACTTTTGTGGGTTCGAGCCCCACTCGGGAAAAATTTTTCCCTATATCGAGTAACGCAGATTTTCGGAAATTTTGTTCATGTCTCCCCAAAATTGCAAAAATTCGGCTTTCCAACGCGGCAAAAAAGAAAAAAAGAAGATGGAATAAAAAGAGCTCAAAAAATAAAGAGAAAATTGAGAAATTATCCTGCGTGACCTATGAATGAAAAGTCCGAACACTTCAGATGTTATTGCCGTTGTTCGAAAATTTCAAAATCTCAATGCCTCGAAGTATTTTTTGAGTAACTTTGAATCAGATCAAAATTCGAGCACAGCTCAGCCAATCCGTCTCAGCAAATTCATAGTTCAATTTTTGAAAATAATCTGAATTTCAGCTTTCAGAGGTCAAAAACCGACGAATTCGGAGTTTTAGAGGTCAAAAACTGAAAAATTCAAATTTTCCATACCGTAAAAGGTTAGTGTATTTTAATTTTAAAACCAAGATTTTGGCCGAGGTGTGTTTCCAAGATAAACGGAGAAAATTTACGAATAATTTCCTTATTCGATAAGGAAACATTTTCCGATCGGTGATCGAACCCACAAAAGGAGGAGGGGTCCCTGATTGGAAGGCAAATATTTATTTATCATAATTTCAAGTGACCGAGATAAGCAAAAATTTCTTCCAAAAATGAAACCATTTCGAGCTTGGAGGAGACACGCTCAACAACCAAAAATCAATAAATTGTTATTTCAGACAGCGACATATTCCAAATTGGCTATCAAATCTGCTCGGCGATGGAATATCTCGAAACCGTGAATATAGTGCACCTTGATTTGAAGCTCGAAAATATTTGCTTTGTAAAAATCAATAATTCAGTGCGATTTCGAAGAATCCAAGAGCAAAAACCGATTATCCAAATGGAAAATATATAAATTCGCCTGATTGATTTTGGAACAGCAAGAAGAATCGATCAAACAAAATCGTGGATAAATGTCGAAGTTCAAACACAGAACTATACCGGAAGTTTTTCTTGGTTTGGGATTCAACGAGATATATGATGTTTGGTCTTTTGGATGTTTGTTGTCGGAATTATACACCGGACAATTATTGTTTTTTGGCGATGAGAGAACGAATTCGGAAGAATCGCAATTGGATGTTATGCAGACTGTGCTTCGAAGATCAATTCCGTATTATATGTATGAAAGAGCCTTCGATTCTGAGTAAGCATTTATAGCGGGGATTTTGGGATCGGAAATGATGAGAAAACTTGAAAATTGAACTGATGATCTCTGCAGAATTGAATGAATGAAAAACTTCACTTCGTCAGTAGCGTGCGGCTGCGCGTCGCGGTTGATTGTTTCCCGAATTTTTTTTTGTATTGGTCGGCAACGGAGATTATGAGCATTTTTTTAAATCTTCAAATGTTGAAGAACGAAACTCGAAATGTATTTCATTTACTTGACAAATATTGAAGTTGAACGAAAATTTCAGAAAAAATGAAAAATATATGTGGCCGAACTTCTTTGGAGGCCGAGAAATGTGGGAATTCGGCAAATGCAACGAACTCGCTCTAATGTTGCGAAAATCCTCATTGTTAGAGCGCTTTTGTTGCTTTGACCGAATTCCCGACATTTCTCGGCCATATAAAATAGTTCGGCCATATATGCAATTCATTTTTTTCTGAAATTTATGTTCAACTTCAATTTTTTTCAAGGAAATGAAGTACATTTTGAGTTTCATTCATCAATATTTGAATATTTCTAAATTCTTATTATATATAATTTTCTGAATTCTTATTATATATAAAACTTCGTTTTTCAGTAGCAAGAAGGTGGAATTGTCGGAAACTGGAATCGGCTTTCACAAATTCAATGAAACCTCAAGGACATCGAACCGATTTTTGTAAGTTTTATCTAAAATTGCTGCAAAATCCCCCGGAAATCCAATTTTCAGACAAATGTTCGACTCAACGATTCCATCGGCTGTCAATTATTCGACCTGATTCTCGATTGTTTGGAGATGGACCCAGAAGATCGCCGGAAATGTGTTTATATTTTGTGACGTTGCATCAAACAATTTGGAAACTGTTCTGATCGGCTGATTCCATTTCCTCGATAAATTACTGTTTTCATTTTTGGTCGGAATAATCTGAATATTTCTTGACAACTTCTTGAGCATTTTCCAAATTGAGTTATATCTTCCGGATCCAAATATACAAACCTCACCCAATACCTGGAATTCCAGGTGGGCAACTGAAAAATTTTTTGTAGGTGGGTAAAATTTTTCAAAAATTTGAAGGTTTTTTTTTCGAATTTTTCGCCGAAAAATATTTAATAAATTATATAATTTGCTCCTGTGGGTTGGAAAATGTTACTTCCAACTATGTTCTCAAAATTTTTTAGAAAATAGGTTCAATTCAACTATTATTTTTGGATGGCCAGCTTGAAACATCTGAAAAACACGAAAAAATGAGTTTTTCAGGTTTTCCGACACTTTTTCTAGGAAAAGTTGGGTATTTTGTTTCTTAAAATCAAATAGTGAGTAGATTTCCAGCTAGTTTCACTTCTCTCCCACCTGCAAACTTTTTCAATTTTTTCCAAACCTATCACCTGGAGTAAAAAACCAGCTATTTTTGATAACTCATGTCAAAGTCATTTTTTCAGAAATTTTGAGAAGCTGAAATTAGTCTACAGGCAAAAATCATGTTAGTCCCAAAACAAACTTTTTCCTCAAAATCACTCTGAAAGCTCAAAAAGTTTGAAGTGTAAAATCACCCAAAATGCTCTAACGTTATAAGAGAAATCAGGTCATCGGTTTTCTCGGCTTTTAAACAAAAAAGAATCTGGCCATTGTTATTTGTAGCTGGGAACTAGACATACACCCTAAATGCTGAAAAAGCTGAAAATGAACTTCAGTTTTTTTTTTCACAATGCGAAATAAAAAGAAAAGTAGGTGGCACAGAAGTGTTGGTTGTCTTGGAAATTCGCATCCTCGTTCTCAACGAGGTCGGTGGTCTAGTGGTGAACACGTGCGTCTATTGAACGCACGTGGCGTTGAGGGCGTGGGTTCGGGTCCCACCCGGGGCGCGAGGGAAATTAGGAGGAAAGAGAGAGGGAGGAAGAAAATTATTTTCATGAAAATCTCATATACTCTGTCTGTAGGAACACAGGAACACAGGAGGGTGTAGGAACACAGGCTGGCAACCCGTCCCAGACCTGTGCCGCACCAGTTCCCCCAAAACCGAAACCGACCGGTCTCGCACCAGTATGACACCCGTCAGATTTCCTGGTCAGAGGTCGACAAGGGGAACTTGAAAATGAAAAAGGCCAATGTCCCCAGAAACCAAAAATATCGACCTTGTAGTCATGTCCAATATGAACTAGAACAACTTTTCATAGAACCTCTAATTCGAAATAGCAAGCAACACTCGCTTCTCTTAAACAATCAGACTCACAGACAGTTGGCTGTTTGTGCGTCTCGCTATGTTTTGTGTGGGAGATGGTCGAACCGTTTGCGACCTGTGACGCGCCAGTTTTAAGTGACCCGTTACAGGTCTGCACCCGTCTGACACCAGTAACAGACCTGTAAACGGCCAATTTTGCTGACTGGTGCGGCACAGGTCTGAGACGGATTGCCAGCCCACCACCTGTGAAACTCCGGAGTTTCGCCAAAACGGAATGAGAATGTCGCTAAAACGGCTCCAAACCCGGTTCCAGATCTTTTCTCGGAACGCTTTGGCGATTCTCCAGAACTTTTTTTGACGATTCTCTAGAGTTTTTTGCATTGTTTCGCTTGCCTTTTTCGAATACACTCTAGTCTTTCACTCTCAAAAATCAATATTTATTTTCATCAAAAAGGAAAATATAATTATTTTCTGATGGATTCAGTGTCCAAACGAGTAGAATATGAGCATCACAAGATTAGGCAGTCATTTTGATGAAGATTTGATGTTGATTTCGGAAATCTTCTGACGGAATCTTCTGTTTGTTGCCCTCGGGAAAAGAACCGCAACTGTGGCGGCCATTTGTCGCAGCGCTGCGGCAATTTGTCGCAGCGCTGCGGCATTTTTTTGTCGCAACACATGCGCCAGAGTTGCGCCCATTTACGCAACAGTTGCGCCTTTTTACGCAACAGTTGCAACAAAACTCGTGATTGAATGAAAATCGTTCAAAAACTCAATTTCATTGCGACACATATAAGGAAACAAAACATAAAACAAATTAAAAAAACATGGAGAAACAAACCGGTGTCAACGAAATCTTAACATTTCGTATTAAAAAAAATAAAACAATTAACTTGGATCCAATTCGCTGGCTTTACGCTTTTTCATATTTCTCGCATTGATTCGAACTTTTGAATCACGCTGGAATAAAAAACACATTGATTAAAAAAATATACGTTGAATAAGCAGAACTAACTTCTCTTCCTTTGAATTTCTTTGCTTTTTTCTTTGGATCCCAAGTTCCACGTCGAAAATCATAGCTATAAAATAGGATGTGATGCATATTTAGAGCAATTGGAAAAAACAACTCACACTGCTTGTTTCAGTGTTTTCTTGAAATGAACTTTTTTGAAATCCTTGTATTTTTTACGCAAATGCGCCATTTTTTCGATTCTTGCATCCCAATCCGTCCCAAAATTCAGAAAATCTGGATCATTTTCTAAATCGGCAACTTTCCATTGTCTTCTATCAGTCAATAATGGACTCGATAATTTGTAGAATTGGAGAAAGACATCTAAAAAAATTAGAATTTATTTCGAAATATTTTATTCAAAATTGAAAATTTACATGTTTCTATATTTATTCTGAAGCTGAATCAATCATACAATCAGAATTCAGATCCATCTTATTAGATAATTTGTTTGAATATTTGAAAAAAAGTTTTATATAAATCAGACTAACCGAACATGTTCCTCTTAATAAATCCGTTTAATTCCACCAAATTTTCATTTCGAGATCCATGTTTAGACACCTGTGATGGCTCGTCAGATTCATCGGAAGGTTCTTCTTCTTCGACTTCTTCAATATCGTCATTCGCATTTGTTTCATCTCCGTCTTCCACAAAAAAATTGACTGATGTTGATGTCAATTTGGCTTTCAAGTCTTCATCAACAATCTGCAAATTTAAAGTTGTTTTTGAAAAAACTTTTTAAAAATCATTTCTCATTTTTATTTTCTCATATTTATTGAACAGGCTTCCAAATCGGGATAAATGCGAGTAAGCAGAAGAAGATACTTATTGAACAAGAATACTTCTCAAAAAATATATTTCTGGTTTTATAAGAAATGAGGTTAAAATCAAATTTTGATAAATTCACCGTGTTATAACGGGAAAAAAAACTCACTTCACCAAGAAAATAGATCATGTAATGTTTCATTTTCATGAGCTCAGAACAACCATCTCTAGGTGGTTGCAAATCACCAATTTTTCGAGTGTGACCAGTCTGTAATATGTAATATGTGAATGTGCGTTTTTTCATAGAGAATTGTAAAGAAGGCTGTTTTTTGAGCAGATTATTTCCAAAACGTCTCACTATTTAAAGACAGCCTACAAGTTGGAAATGAGATTTGAGGCATTTTAGCAGTTTCTTTTCTTGAGTTTTCCCAAGTTCTATTCAAAAAACTCGTAGAAAAAATTCAAACATTTTGATAAAATTTTTACTGGAAAATTGTATGTGGGAAACAATTACACCTTTACCGCGACGTTTGTAAATCGTCTGAATGTATTGAATTTTTTGCGATTGAATTACCTTATAACCTTCTCCACATCTAGCATCGACAAAAAACATTGTGGAAACATTCGACGTGGATCCAATGATATCAAAATTATCACGAGCTTGTTTGATTTCTTCATTTCCTTTTCTCATTGAAACCATGTTTTGCTGAAAGCAATTCCGAGATTTTCAGAGAAGTTCTCAGAGTTTAGTAATTGTACTTTGATAACTTCTATTTTTTGCTTGAAACATTTTCAAATTATCAAGTTAAAGATGTAACTTATTTTTTTAATAGAACAATCATAATCATAATTTCTACGGAAATTTACATTTTAATTATGAAACACTTAAAGACTTACAAAAACTGAATTCGCAATTGCTAGAATTCCTGCATTTTCGGCTTCATAACATTTTTCGCTCAGTCCCAACACTTTGACTCGCCCGCAATTTTCTTTGACAAAAGTCTACAAACATCAAAGATTCACTAGATTTTTCTGAACATTTTTTCCTCACCTTCATAATGGAAGTGTGGCGTTGGAAGTTGCTTTTTGCGGATAATTTGCAAATATTCCCAATCCGGTAGGCGTCGAGACGATCATTTGTGACACAACTTCTCATCGCATCTGTAATCAAAAAACGGTTGGTCAGAATTTAGTCATTTCTCAATGTTTCCCTTTTCCTAACTAGGGAAGCAATTAAACAGTCGAAAGTAAGTCAAACTACTGTAGAGGATAAAATCATAAATTGTTCAAATTTCCAGATGTGGAATAATTTTTTTGGTTAGAACAAGACTTAACATCGTGAGTTATGATTTTTTTTTTGGGTCTCATTATTTAGAATTCGAAAATTGAGGCTCTGAACGAAAAAAAGATCAATTTCGGCCTGGCAGATTTGGATTTATCGAAAATTAATTGATTAAATTATGCTTGTAGAAAATTAGGTTTATGGGATTGTTCTTGAAAACTCTAAAACTTTAAGGAAAATAAATAACGATATTTTTGGCTCTACCACAATTTTAAAATTTACAGATTCATCTTTTTTTCTAGAAATTTCGAGAAACAACTCTGGGAGTGATTTAAGATTGGTAAGATTTGAAAAGTACGAAGGATTAGACGAAAATAGAAATATAAAAAAAAAACATGCAATCATTGTTCGTTTCCGATGTTTTATGAAGTTTCGGAAAAATTTGGATTTTCTATCGTTATATTTTCGAATCGTTATATTTTCATCATTTTGAGGTCACGTTTTTTTCTTCAGAATTTCGTCTTTTTAAACTAAAAAAACGATTTGGGTCGGAATTAAATCGTTAGATTAAGACAATACAATGTTTTTTTTGAATAAAAAAATTCAAACAATTAGTTCGTTTTTCAAAAAACAACAAAATTGACTAAATAAATATTTTCATTGATTTTAAAATTCGAATCTGATGTTTTTTTTCGATATTTCGATTTTTCGTCTTTTTTACCAATCTTATATCTTACACGGAATACCCTAATTTTTGAAACCCTCAAACACAAATATCCATAAAAAGTTACCTAATGAAATAGATTCGGATGTGTAACATGGTTCCAATCTCGGTGAACTCGTTGTCGCAATACTGGGCGATCGTCTACTTGGTGTGGAAAGCGGAGTTGCATGAGGTGTTGAATAATTGGTCGTACTAGTGGTTGAAGTAGCTGTTGGTGGTGGTAATTCTGGTGTCGGAGTCGGAGTAGGATACACTGTTGGAGTCATGAACATGTTAGGACCATGCGAATCTTTGTAATAAGAAATAGGAGCGGCCAGAGGATTGGGGGGTTGGTGTTGTTGCATTATACCCATTTGATTTTGTTGTTGTAAAAGTTGCATTCTCAAATTGGCAATTTCTTGATCTTTTTCCAAAAACATTTGATAATTAGCTGCTGGTTCTGAGACTCCTGATACTTTTGACATTGCGGCAAAGTTTTCTGCAAATAAATTACTTGAACATTTCAGAAACAGGAAATGTTTAGGATGTACCCAACATATCCCTTTCACTTACCACCCATTTTGCTTAATCCACAATTCAGAACACGAAACAACTGTAATCTGAAATCGATAGGTTTACATGTGTTTTTTATGAAGGTATATACTGTGAATTTCAAACACATAGAAATGGAACGGTAATTGACTTATTAAAGAAGAAATTGTATTTTCATTATAAAAAAAAAAGATTGTCGGAACGCAAGAAGGCATTCAAATAGAAATGGACGCCGTTGACATACTAATCAATAAATGAAGAAAATGAGAATTATATTTAAGGGGGCATAGTGATAAACTTGAGCCGTTCAAATGGAATGAAAATCGCACTTCCAACGACATCGCTAAATTTTACAACATTTAAATATGAGCTTTCGATCCGTTCGAATGGGGTGTTCAAACCCCGGAACTTCTCTTGAATGGAACGACAATGTTCGAACGAGCTTCGGGATTCATTCGCTTTCACATTTTGCAGCATGTTTTCCATCAAATCAACCAAAGTGGTTGTTCTAAGTTCTTCTACTAAAACATACACCTCATCATTGCATTCATAAAAAATAATACATTTCATAAACTTAAAATCGGCGTTTGTTTTTTTGAGAAAATATGAACCACATGTTTTTTTTGTTCTCCAATATTTTTCCGAATCGATAATTATTGGTTTTCCATTTATCTTTTCACAAGAAGCTCTAGATCTGAATATTTCCAATAAGTTGATTTCGAACAACCCCAATTTCAACTTACCCAAATTTGGTTATTTTCTCCAAATTCTCAAATACGTTTATCGAATCCAAATCTGATATTGACACCAACTCTTTCTCCACCTCGTTCAATATCCCATAGTTTGGCACATCGATTTCAATATCCAAAATTGAATGTATAACATTTTTTGCATAGTCTTGTTGATCTTCGAGATCCTTCATCAAATCGGATCGAATTCCAGATTTTGCAAGAAATCTGGATCCATACAAATCAATTACATTCGTACATTTTGAATTTAAATTTGCTTGAAATTTAGAGTGCAGTTTTTCGAATTGCTCCATGTCGAATCTCACACCATACGTTTTCAAATGCAGAATTTGATGTTTGAAGAAATCCTTAAAATGATTCGGTATATATTAAAAGGCAATAAAAGGCAAAATTATGATAATTTTTTAGATGTTTAGATATTCCATAATCAATTCATAAACAATAAAATTATTTTCGATATGAATTTGTAATTCTAATAAGATTTAGTTTATCTTTTGAAATTCGAAATTGGAATTTCTTCAGAAAAAATGTTGAAAATTACAGAAACTGACTAGCTAGAGGTTAACTTCCAGAAGATTTCTATATCAATTTTGAACAATGCCACTCTTCTTCATTTTATATTTTTCATATTAAACATTATCAAATTTCGCATAAAAACCTACATGACCCTTCAATGGGACTTTCTCCGGTTCCTTCGAAACATATAAACGAAGAGCAGAATCGAAAATTTGCTGTATGGTGTCATAAGCCGCAACATTTTGTTCATTCCATAAGACTATGAATATCGTCAAAACATAAAATCCGTAAGACGTCTGAACAAAAACCATGTTGACCGCGGCTAAAGGAAGCGCAATACTAGCCATCTGAAAACAAGAAGACTTACAATTGATGAAGTTCATCATAAAAAGGAAAACGAAAAAAAAACATACGCGTTGTATTTGGCACCCAGTTGCGATTGCAATCGATGATGTGGATAGAAGGTCCGTTTCATTTGTGGTGGGTTTTGTGTTCATCAATGCGTGTTCAATAGCAGCTCTTCGAGTATTTTTGAGTTTGGACCAGCTCCACTTATTTTTCACAAGTTCTGATATGCAAAACTAGTTTTTCCAGTAAATTTACTCAAAACTGTCGACTTTTGACCCGAAACTTCTAATCAGTAATTTTTACGCTTAATCAGATTATATGTATCAATTACATAGACTTGAATATTCTGTAAAAGTCGAAATTTGATGATCCGACCTACTAAGTTGAAGAAAATTTTTTATCTATGGAATTGGTGCATATAATCAGATTCAGAAGGAAAGTCTTTTGATGTTCCCCCCTGAAATAAAACTAGGTGGAATCAACTACATATTGATAGATAAAAAACCCAACAGGATTAAAGAAATAAAAATCTATTTCAAGAGTTACGGCAACTCCTCAAATTTTTATACAAAGAAGCCTATTATTTAAAAAGAATCGTAGTTTGGCTCACAGTCAACAAAAAAGCATTCATATTTTCTGATTTTTCACCTTTTTGTATGATTTCTGAAAAATTAAAAAATTTCAGATAACTCTTGAAATAGATTTTTATTTCCTTAATCCCGTTGGGCTTTTTCACCTATCAATATGTAGTTGATTCCACCTAGTCTCGTTTTATTTCAGGGGGGAACATCAAACGACTTTCCTTCTCAGCGTAAAAAATAACCCATAAGAAGTTTCGGGTCAAAATTCGACAGTTTTCAGTAAATTAACTCGAAAAACTAGTTTTGCATATCTTTTTGGCCAGTACTGCAGGTCCAGAAATCAACATTCACTGCTCGTAACATACCTTTTAGCGCTTTTTTAATAACGCCTTCTTTCCGAATATGGAACAAGTCCAGGAGCATCATAACCGCTACAAATAATTTGGCAAATTTCGAATAATCTGGAACAGTAAGTTATATATCTTTAGCAAACTAACGATAAGACCTAATAACAAAAAAAACTTGCCATCTCTCCTGAATCCTTTTTCCTTTTTTGCCATATCGTTCAAGCAGGACGTTGTTGTCCGCAAATCAGCATCTTCGACTTTGTTGAATGAAATAGTCATCAAACCAACAGGTTCTCCAACAGTCTCACAAACTTGACATCCCACAGGTATTTGCCAATCTGGCAAGCCTCCTACTGTCCGAGCACCCTAAACAAATTTCAGAGAAATGTAACTGCACCAGAAGATCATAAACCTAAATCAACACACCTTCATATCGCTCATTATTCCTAATACACTGATAAATATAGTCCATTGAGCGCCATTAATCTCAACTTGGAAGCCTTCTGTGATAATTTTTTTCGTATTCGACGACGAATCTTCAAAAATTATTATTGGTTGCAGTCCTGGACAGAAAGATATGCAAAATTAGTTTTATTTTTTCATAAATTCCAATATTATTGATTTTATTCAAAATTACATGCATTTCTGTTAGGCAATTTAAATGAAAAAAACGTTTTTACATATATATATATATGGCACAAAAAACTTGAAGTATTGTACATATATTTTCACACTTACGATTTTGTAAATTCATCAATATCCTCTGATTTCACACCGTTGGATGAATAATGAAGTGAAGCTAACACAAAATTTTCCTCGATGTTACGAACTTTTTTGTTCAGCGATTCCAACCGTAAAACGAAAGGGGTTATTTCTCGTCTAAGAAATGAGAAATATATTTATTTTGTAAAAAAGTAAAAATTTCTTTTCAAAAATACTTACTTTGTAAGTTTTGCGGGACGTGCCCCATCAAAACTTCCAGTGACAACAATTGTAATCTTTTTCTCATCAAATTGTTGGCGAGACTCTATTTTACTTCGATAAATCGGCAAAGTTCGAACATCATCGATTGATTCTTCCTGAAAAATAGGGCATTTTTCATGTATATGTATAAGCAGTAAAATAAAACTCACAACTTGGTTATCGTGAATGGCTTGATGATGTGCGACTATTTCTTCCAAATTGTCTTCAAGTAAAAATCGCATCTGGTTTTCCACACTATAATCGACAAGGCAATTTTCAGCAGTACTTTTTCCATTTTTCACAATATTTCTAAAAAAATAGTTTTGGTATAATATACGGTATAATAATATAAAGAAGATATTATCTTCTTTTTTAAATCAAATCACCTCCAACGGTCACAGTATGGATTCGGGCATCTTTTGTTATTCGCGGATAACTTCCACCGGCATTCGGTACAGTAAAATTGTTTTCGAACTTTGAACCTATCACCCATTTGTTTCGCATAATTCCAAACTGATGAAGCCTGCAAATCAACGGCAAGTTGAGAGAGAGAACAAATGAAGAAAAAAAATTAGTTATTTCTGAAGATCGAAATGATTTATTCTACCTACTAATTTCGTAGTTTCCCACACTCTGAAGACTTACACCGACTGGACAATGACCACCATAAACAATGTTCATCACAGCAATCGTCTCTTCCAATTGTTTTCTCGACATTGCAAATTTGACAAGAAGAAATCCGAGAAGATGTTTGGAAAGATCTGAACAAAATGAACAATTTAATACACAAACACAATGTAATATATATTTTTTGGGCATAAGTTAACTTACTATGTAGGTGAGAAGTTTCCATAACCGGATCATTATTTTGATTTTCTCCATCTATATCACCATGATCTTCAAGGTCAAAATCATAATCATCCGATTGACTGCCGTTTTGGTAAACTTCATCAGATTCTGCGCTAGAATCAGACAAACTGCTATCAGATCGCAACACGAAATCGGTGTCTGAAATGAATAATGTAAACATCAAAAATGTATAAATTCTAAACTCACCTTGGTACGATCGCCGACCGATGGAAGATGTGAAGGGTCCCTGTGATTCGAGATCAACATCGTCTTCATCAGAAGATGAATAATCATTTTCGGAATCTGTTTCCATGAGGAAAGAACTCTATAAAATACCCAATTATATTGGTACGAAGTTAGAAAAATCACCATAGTTCTGTTTATGACCGCAATTCAACGTCGAAATGAAATAAAAGCCACTTCCTATAAAAAGTAAAAATTATACATAGATTACAACAATCTTTTGAAAAATACGAACATAAAAAAGTTTAAACTCCTCCAAAAATGCCGAACGTTAAGAGAAAGAATTTACAGTACTCAGGACAATAAAGTTGGATGTTAGGAATAGATAGATCGCTATATTTCAGAAACGATAAATCTCGGAAACAATGATAAACCCGAACCACCTTTTTTTTCAAAAAAAAAAAACAGAAAATAAAAAAAACACTGACAATACGCTAAGCCATACTTATGATTGGCACATTTTCGGTTGTCGCAACAGTTGCGGCAATTTTGTTTTACTATTATATACTGCAACCGTTGCGACCAAATCAAGAAGCGCGACAAGCAAAAAACGCTGCATGTGTTGCGCCATCGCTGCGGTTCTTTTCCCGAGGGCCATTTCGAGCAATTTTTTACAAATTCAGCATTCTGTAGAGGCATCAGGACCACGTTTCATGCTGAAAATTGAAAATTGATAATAGATTTGTAAGGATATGCCCCCCCCCCCCAGTGATTCATTAAGTTTAATTTCTAATTTTCAATGGTTTTTAAAGAGCTGTGGTGAGTTTGATGATAAATTTAGAATTTGGAATATTTTAAAGCTCAAAAACTTGAGAAATATACGTGACATAAATTTTCTCTCTGACGACTTACCTCATAAATATAAAACATCTCGTGATTTACGGTTTTCAAAATATTACACGGCTATAAAAATCGATCAAGTCTCTGTTCTCGAATTCTCCTGGCGCAACGAGATCCAATTGAATCTGTAAATAAAACCAGGATTCACCTTTTTTTGAAGAAACTTCACTCACCAGGAGCAAAAATCGCTAATTTTATGCCAATTCCAGGTTGACTTTTATCTATGACGATTTTGTAAGGCGCACAATGCTTCAGGCCGATTTTAGCTGTCTGAAAATTATCAAATTAGACTATGATACTCCGAAAATTGAGTGATTTTGAAGGAAAATAGCAAAAACTAGAAAAACGAAAAAATATATGAAATGAAAAAATGACTCGTCATTGTCATCATTCGATGGAGCGCGTTCGATCGACAGCGATTTGCTCCAGAGAATCGCCAAAACCAAACTAGAAAGACGTGACCAACTAGGAAAAGCAGGCACTCTCTCGATTTTCTTTACCCACTTTGGCCTATCTCCAGAGTTTTTGCGTTTTTTGGTTACCCTCCGGAGTTTCCTACAGCCAGAGAGCATGTATTTGTTCAGGAAGGTCGTTTACATAAGTTTAGAAAATTCATACAAAAATCCAGAAGATTTTTCAAAAAGTTCGAAATCTGCAACCCATTAAACTTTTTTCACCAAACAAAAAATGTTTTCAAAGTTGATCTTGTGAAAATATCCAATAATACACACCCGTCAATAGAAATTTGCAAAAAGCAAAATAGTGAGAGAGTGGAGAGCAGGGTTCCGAACCGGGCCGGTTTTTGGGCCAGGTTGGTTTTGGTGCAGTTGGGTTGGGCCCAAAACCAAAAGCAGAATATGGGTGAACCACCCAAACCCAAAACCCAAAAAACGGGCCTGGTTCTGACCCAACCCAAACCCGGACCAACCCAAATCCAACCCAACTCGAACCCATTTTTTGGGTACCCAACCCAAAACCAAAAAATGGGCCAAACCCGGGTCAGGCCCAAACCAAACCCAAACCCAAAACTACCCGCCCAACCCAACCCAACCCAACTTAAACCCAATTTGACCCGGGCACCCGGGTTCAAAACCATGGGTTACCCGGAAAATGGCACCATATTTTTAATTGGCGATAATTTCACCAATTGCACAAGAATTTAAAAAAAATGGTGCCAATTACACCATTGTAATGAAAACATGAGATGTGATCAGCGCCATTGGTGTGATTGGTTCAGTTGATAAATTTTCGAATTACTGAATACTGGATGGTGTGATTGGTGGAATTGCACCAATAATGGGAAATTTGTGTGATTGGTGCAGTTGGCGCATTTGGAGCAATATTCACCATTGGTGCAGTTGGTGCAATTGGTGCATTTTTCATCATTGGTGCAATTCGTGACCATTGCACCAATGGTGAAAATTGCTCCAAATGCGCCAACTGCACCAATCACACAAATTTCCCGTTATTGGTGCAATTGGTGTGATTGGTGCACTGTCACCATGTCCACCAATTTCCGGGTAACCCATGGTTTTGAACCCGGGTGCCCGGGTCAAATTGGGTTTAAGTTGGATTGGGTTGGGTTGGGCGGGTAGTTTTGGGTTTGGGTTTGGTTTGGGCCTGACCCGGGTTTGGCCCATTTTTTGGGTTTGGGTTGGGTACCCAAAAAATGGGTTCGGGTTGGGTTGGATTTGGGTTGGTCCGGGTTTGGGTTGGGTTAGAACCAGGCCCGTTTTTTGGGTTTTGGGTTTGGGTGGGTATATTAAAGACTGGGTTCGCATGGTTGGGTTTGGGTGGGTTTTTTCGGGTTGGCCCTGCCCCAAACTGATGGTCCTGAACCGGGTCGGAACCCTGGTGGAGAGACGACGCGAGAAAATTATCAACAGGGCGACGTTTCATCATTAATTTTCAAAAATGAAAAAGAAGAAAATAAAATGAATGATGCAATGTCGCTCCATTGATAATTTTGTCACGTTGTCTCGCCACTCTCTCACTATTCTGCTTTTTGCAAGAAAAAAAGGTGTGAATAGATTATTGATCATCGATTCAGAAAACTTCAGGAATCGAGATTAAATCAAATGAAATAGTGAATAAGGTCAGAATCAGCATAACAAATTACCTTGAAATATTTTCATAATTTTCATGGAAAATTGACAAAAAACCTGACATCACGAATCCGAAGTCAAAAATTGCCACAAATGCCTGTGAGCACTTTTCTGGAGCTCAAAAGTTGAAATCGAGTTCTGGTTTTTGTCCATTTTCACCATGTTCCTGGAGGAAAAATCAACTTTCATATTTCAAATAAGATCCGGCGATTTTTATTGAAAATAGCTAAATATACGTAAAAAGGCACGAGGAACACTTTGGAAGCGGTTAGAAAGAGCGGAAATGACTCCTGAGCAATGTTTTATTATGGCGAAAAATTTTTTTTTTCGAATAGAGTATCGAAATGCATGCTATTTCCCATCGCAAAGAGCGTCAAAAAACGAGCAAAATGCTTTTTTGATGTTCAAAAAATATGAACTTTAACCCTAGTTACAATAAATTTTCCAAAAAAATAATTTCGCCTTCACCCGGTCCCACCAAATTGGCGAAAAGGGATTAAGACCTTTATCTCGGTGGAACAAGTTCCCCCACCCATCCCCCAATTTAAAAAAAATTTGGCCAATTCTGAGATCATGACTTTTTTTGTCCGAGCCCCTATTGTAAAGTTTACGTTTTTACAAATAATGTCTTTTAAACACTTATAATTGAACGAATTATAACACTTGCTGCATATTTCCTTTGTGGACACCAACATATCATTGTAACATTTGTTCACAATTTCCATGACGTGCTCAACCTATTCAATGAACTCGAAAGTTGGATGCAGATAAATAACATTTTAAGAAAATAATTTACCCTAAATTCAATATTCCACTGTCTATTTATAATTCGATATAACTTGTTCAATAGGCTGATGAAATTTAAATGAATACCTTGCATCAAAACAAAACAAATAAAAATACATTGCTCAACGACAATATTTGCTTCCATTTGTTTGACATCACGTCTCAAATTCTCGATGCGCCAACAATTCAGGGTGAGAAAAGACTAAATTAGGAGGAATGTTATATGAAAAACATCATTACAATTACCTCGATTGTTGCATCAACATCGACGCCACAATTCTCGCACTTCAACAACCATATTCCTACATTCACAACATCAATAACACCTGATTTTACACAAGATTTCAATTTAGCTGGAAAAGGGGTCGATTACTAGGTGTTAAAAAAAATACAATCAAATTACCTATGACATCTACTCCAGCTAGTGAATCAACAATTATTGAACGAGATCCATCTTTTTCAGTCATAATTTCCGATCGAACCACCAAAAGTTTATCTTCATTTGTCATCATTACGATATTGTTATTATCGTCAGAATCTAATGTACACTCAATTTTTGCCTTCTTCGTAGAATTTGACGGAGATTTCGCGTTTTTATTCAGAACATTCGAATTTCGCCTCTTATTCGATTAACTCAATAGCGATTCTTGGGACATCTGCCCAAATGCATTCACATCGAATCCAGGTATTATTGAATTAAAAACACGTGAGAAATAAAAAAAGTAGGTCAAGTGACGTGGATTTAAAAACAGTATAGGTAGCCATGTCGTCAGTTGCGATGCGTGTCGGCAACACGTTTTTAGAAATGAAAATTTGAAAAATTCAATGGAAAAATCGAGGTCAACACGCATCGCAGAACCGCATCGCAATTGACGACATGGGTACCTATACTGTTTTTAAATCCACGTCACTTGACCTACTTTTTTATTTCTCACGTGTTTTTAATTCAATAATACTTGCAACAATTGAGGTGATACAAAGTCGATGGGCGGGACTTGCTGAAATTCATATAAATTTACAAATTGTTTTCAATATTTTCAGAACAAAACCAAACCCACTTGATTGAAAACATTTGTTGATGAAGCGCATGGGGTCCGGCTGCCATTCCAGACGTGGAGACCATTTGCAAATGCATTTTGGAAATCGATGGAGGCGATACGATATGCATTGTGGAATGTTACAGAACTGAAAACAAATTGAATGATCTGCTTCAAAGAGTAGACTCAAATAATACGTTGGGAAATGTGGCCAAAGAAATGTATGATTTATTGGCACTTCTACCACCAACTTGCGTAAAAATTGATGATAAACACATCATATCTACCTCAATTATCAGTTTGAATGATATCGTATGCCCTTTCGTCACTGTCACTCTTCACGATGAAAAATTCGCATTTTTGGTGCGATCCTAGATTCTCAATCAACATCGAGATAAAGAGAAACCACATTATGTATAAATTGGATTATGAAAATAAATAGCAAGTTATATCCTCAAGAACAATTTAAGGGATCTAAAACATAACTTTTTATCAGATTGGAAAAATCATCGCAAAAAAGTGAAAATAAAAACATCTGGCCTATAGGTCTATATAGAATATGTTTGAAATTCTCGGCCATATTTTTCGGCGGTGAATGACGTGGTTTGAAATGGCCTGCATTGCTTCTGTATTTTTGCCCATTACTATTTTTCTTTTTCATACGCTCATTATGTATTTTTCCGCCATATTACGTCCACAACTTCAATAGAACTTTTTCAGATGTCCCATGTTCAACTAGGAGCGAATTATGGACAACAAAATCCGCATTTCATGGCTACGTTGGCTGGACAATTAAGTCGAAGAAACATGATCAATGGTTTGATGAATTCTTCATCGAATAATAATTTGACTGCACCTATTGGTTTTCAACCTGGTTTCCCTGGGTTCGGATCTCAACATGCTCAAAGTAATCAAGGTCTACAATATGTTCCTGCAAATGGTCTCCACGTCTGGAATGGCAGCCGGACCCCATGCGCTTCATCAACAAATGTTTTCAATCAAGTGGGTTTGGTTTTGTTCTGAAAATATTGAAAACAATTTGTAAATTTATATGAATTTCAGCAAGTCCCGCCCATCGAGTTTGTATCACCTCAATTGTTGCAAGTAAATACCTGGATTCGATGTGAATGCATTTGGGCAGATGTCCCAAGAATCGCTATTGAGTTAATCGAATAAGAGGCGAAATTCGAATGTTCTGAATAAAAACGCGAAATCTCCGTCAAATTCTACGAAGAAGGCAAAAATTGAGTGTACATTAGATTCTGACGATAATAACAATATCGTAATGATGACAAATGAAGATAAACTTTTGGTGGCTCGATCGGAAATTATGACTGAAATTGGTCAAAGAAATTGAAAAAAAAAAGATTTCACGTATTTATTTTTAATTCGAGAAATTTCGCGTCAACCGAACATCTTGCTCGGGTTTTCCAATTGGATTTTCACAGAGGAAATTTTGCAACTCTCAATCAATTTTTTCGAACTAAACATAACTTTTTCATAGTTTATAAAATTGAACCGGTCTTGATTTTTCGAAAAATAGGGGTTGGAAAGTGCATAAATCAAAACTTTTGCTAGCAAAAAAATAAATTCTGACAGGAAATTCCAAAATGTTCTTATTGTGACTTTCGAATTTTACATTACAAATTACTGTATTTTTTAAAACCATCGTACTTTTATCTGTTTTTTTCCTAAAGAGAAATTTTCTTCTCAACTCTTCTAAAATCGATAATGGTTTGGTAGTTTATAGATTTTGAAGTCAAAAGAAGCTTTCAAAATTTTTGTTACCCTGAGCCAAATTTCTAATTCTTAGAAATGTAAAAATTGCCAAAATTGGCTTATGAAAGCCACCAAGAGCATTCAATTTTCATTTTTTTTATGTTGAATAAAAGTTTTTGATGTGATATAGAAACTTTGAAAATAAAAAAAAACATAAATTGTTCTAAGGGGAAAAAACAAAAAAAAATCCATGAAGAATTATTTCAAACTTCATGACACAAAAAATGAAAAATAAAACTTTTTGTTTGGCGCCCAAATTTGCTGTGAACGGGATCGTCATTTTGTTTTCAGAAAAATCATCTTGTGAAAGACCAAAAACGGTCTTCATGTAAAAATCCATCTTTTTTGAGTTGCATACGTCCATCTATACTGTTTTGAATCCACATCACTTGACCTACTTTTTTTATTTCTTACGTGTTTTTAATTCAATAATATATTTATCACTCCTTTATTTTTCCAATCGAAATAGAAAGCGGTGGTTTTCTAATCTATTTTTCTATCTAATGTATATTCTATCCAAAAACCAGTGAGAACTGGCATGATTTTTGAAAAAAGCTGAATGAAGCGGTTGGCAAGGTGTGGTTTTATCAATGGGTACTTAGGAAGTGAAAGAAAATGAGGTTCTGATCTTACTTGCGGGTGGGGGACTAATTTACGCCCAGAGTTCCGCAATGAAACATTTTTTCGACACAGTGTCATAACCCCACTTCCTCTCAATTCCAAAAATTACAAAAGCGTTTTATTTTTGACGTGTCCCATTCTCAATTTTAGAATTGTGCTTCATTTTGAAATGAAACGCAAAAAATAAAAACAGAAATACTTTACATTGAAAATGTGGAGCATTTAAAAAAAATGAATGTGAGCCATTTAAAAAATGTAACGCATCAGAAATGTACCGCAAAATGTTCCGCGTTTCAATTGAGCCAGGTTTGGTTCATTGTTCCATGGCTCAATTTTGACACATGTTCCATATTTATTTCACAGACACAACTCGATCAAGATTTTCCAAAAATTAAAATTTTACGCTGAAGTATTGTGTGTGCAAATGGTGAAGCTGATCTACAGTGATGTTTGATCAAATCTGGTGGGGATCTGATCTACATTAGTGGGGACCTAAACTACATTGGTGGTGGGCTGATATACTGGTCTTGGTGCGGTTGCGAATAGCGTCACGCCAAGGGGGCCATTTCTCAGGTACAAGCCGATGTTCCATATCCGGGCTTGTCTGAGCGTTCTAATATTCAAATACAATGTAGAATATAATATTTATTAGTCGTCCATCTCGAGGGAAAGTGTAATATAGAAATCAGGATAGAAGGTCATTAGAACAGATGTTACTCTAATATGAGAGATAAGAGACGCAGGCATCACACATTAAAGGAACTTATTGAGGGCTTGAAATACACGTTTGCCTTCTCGGTAAAATGCGTTTGGAGCCCCCACGCACCTTTTATTGGTGGGGACATGGGTGGGTCTTCCAAACTAGTGTTGGGGCCCTGAATATAGGTGAGGGCTCCAAACGCATTTTTACCGAGAAGTCAAGCTTCAACATAAAAAAAACATATTATGTTTCAGAAAAAAAGTAAAACAGATAAAGAAACCAGAAAATTCTTAAAAATCCTCTCGTACAAGATTTACTCGAACAGGCAAATTATCAATATGATCGATCATAACTCCGATGATATCGAAATCTATCGATGGCGAGCCAACAAGTCCACATCTCTTTGCATGATTCCTGCTGCAAAAAACATGAAAATTTTTTTGAATCTCACGGCTTTTTTGAAAAAGTGGTTCAACCCCTTCAGAAGTTTTGGGAATTTCAAAAATTCGAATTGTTCTCCGAATTTTGCTGAGATTGTGAGGAGTTCATTTTCCAAATTCTAAAACATTGTGAAGTTAAAGAGAGGATAAATCGGAAATAACAGAATTTTGAACATAATTCTTAAAGTTTGTGAACACGTTGATAAACTTTACGGTGTCAATATGATAAACCTCCTGTAAATACTTTTTATCAACTCACTATCGTAATATATCTCCATATTCATTCATCATAAATCTGAGCATCGTATTATCAAGAAACAAATAGCGAAACCATTCATGTTCATCTCCAATCATCAACACTTCTCTCAAATTATCACTCAATTCTCCGTCTCTCCAATTTTTCAAAAATTGTTCATATAATTTTTTGTCCATAACTGTACTGTGAATCCGAAGATACTTTGATTTTATCATTGGAAAATGTTTCTTGCGAAGATTGAAATTTTGCATTATAAGAAATTCAACCGAGAGAAATTGATTCAATTGTGGATGATTTGTGAAATATCCATCGATTGATAATTTTTTCAAGTTTTCCGAATAAATATCGATCGATCTCATGTATCTTGATTCCTAAAATGAATAAAGATATGGAGGTTGAAAGTTTTGGACGGTCCTTGTTAAATAAAAATTAGCCTCCTAAATTTGAAAAAAAAACATTTTTTTGAAAAAAACTTACAATAACACTTGCTTCAATTTCAATTTCTTCAATCGATGATTTGTTGAATTCAATAATGCTTTTGAACATTTCAAGAGCAATCTTACCATGACATTTTGGTTTTGTTCGCTTTGACAGTATTTTCACAGCTTCATATGTTGATTGCTGTGTTTTTGTGGATCTGAAAATATGAGTATTTGAATGCCACTGGAATTGAACTGGAATATCTAGATTGGAAATCCAAAAGGTCTAACATCTGACCCATTTGGTTAAACTTAGGTAAGGATCAATTTTGACCCCATGATAAGTTGCAGAGGACTTTGAACTATTGGAAATGTGTTTATATTTTGTGACGTCATAACCTTTTTGAAAAAATTCCGATTCCAATGAAATAAAAAACACGTTCATTATTGGATCAAAATTGATCGGTGATTTAATTTTCACAAATTCAGCCAAAAAAAACTAACTTTGAGAGTGTAAAACTGGATCTGCATCTTTTAGTTGTTTTTGTCGGTAATTTTCTCGTGTCAGCTTCTGTCCAATTGTTTGAATTCAATGTTTCAACTTCTATCTCATATTTCTTCCACGGATGTTGATGAAATACGATTTGGATCAAACAATTTGGAAACTGTTCTGATCGGCTGATTCCATTTCCTCGATAAATTACTGTTTTCATTTTTGGTCGGAATAATCTGAATATTTCTTGACAACTTCTTGAGCATTTTCCAAATTGAGTTATATCTTCCGGATCCAAATATATGAAAATCATCATTTTCATTTCCATTGGAAGAATATCGAACTGCAAGAAAATAAATTTTGGTCGGAATTTTGAAATGAAAAGAATGTGCCGTGAGTAATATGAGCTATGACGTGGCAAAGCTTGAAAAATGAAAAAAAATGAATTTTGAAAAGAAAACTCACCGGACTTTTGATTTCGTTCCAATTAAAGAAAAATATTTTCTCAACCTGTTCGTAGTCAGATTCAGAATCGCTTTCATTTTTAAACTTGAGTAGGGCCATTTTTTCAGCAACAAAAATAACGAGAAACAAAAAATAGCAGAGTCTCACAATTTTATAATCAATATAACAATATGAAACAGGAGCGTCGCTTTTTTTGACACCCTTTGAGCTCCGCCCATTTGTTGGCTTGGGACCAATTTATAGGGGGTCAATTGAAGAGAGAATGTACAAAAAAGGAAAGAGATATTTACAACAAAAACTTTTTTTTAAATCTTATTATGAAAATTACAAAATTTGACATTTTTTCCAATTTTTCTCAACAATACGAGACATGCTAAAAGAGTGTAAATTAGAAACCTAGCCCTTCATGGCATAATAATTTAAAGTTTTTGCAAAGAAAACGGAGAAATCATCTTCTGATCGTGAGCAATCAAAAAAGATCAAAAGTGAATAGATGTTGTGTCTATTCAAAATTCTGGCAGATTTTGACCCTCTTTGAGCGCAGAAAACGTGTACTTAAAATTGTTTTTGAGAGCTAAAAATTTTGGCGCATTTTTAAAATGAAATTCTGAATCGAATGATGTATGACACCATGTATGACAGGGTCAAATGTTTAGTGCATGTGATACATGGCATGTTTTGACTGTGCATGGAAAAATGTGTTTTACATGTAAGATGTTTTCTTTGCAAATACTTTAAATTATTATGCCATGAAGGGCTAGGTTTCTAATTTACAGTCTTTTAGCATGTCTCGTATTGTTGAGAAAAATTGGAAAATATGTCAAATTTTGTAATTTTCAGAATAAGATTTTAAAAAAAGTTTTTGTTGTAAATATGAGAGCTTGAGGGATTGGCTGGCAGAATCGGGCACAACTTTTTTTCAAAAATAAAATCTGACATAGTCAGATGGGTTTGGATGCCCCGGCCCAAAAACTTGTTTCCATTTAGCCAACTAAATATCTCTTTCCTTTTTTGTACATTCTCTCTTCAATTGACCCCCTATAAATTGGTCCCAAGCCAACAAATGGGCGGAGCTCAAAGGGTGTCAAAAAAAAGCGACGCTCCTGTTTCATATTGTTATATTGATTATAAAATTGTGAGACTCTGCTATTTTTTGTTTCTCGTTATTTTTGTTGCTGAAAAAATGGCCCTACTCAAGTTTAAAAATGAAAGCGATTCTGAATCTGACTACGAACAGGTTGAGAAAATATTTTTCTTTAATTGGAACGAAATCAAAAGTCCGGTGAGTTTAATTTTCAAAATTCATTTTTTTTCATTTTTCAAGCTTTGCCACATCATAGCTCATAATACCCGACCAAAACTTTTTTCTTGCAGTTCGATATTCTTCCAATGGAAATGAAAATGATGATTTTCATATATTTGGATCCGGAAGATATAATTCAATTTGGAAAATGCTCAAGAAGTTGTCAAGAAATATTCAGATTATTCCGACCAAAAATGAAAACAGTAATTTATCGAGGAAATGGAATCAGCCGATCAGAACAGTTTCCAAATTGTTTGATCCAAATCGTATTTCATCAACATCCGTGGAAGAAATATGAGATAGAAGTTGAAACAATGAAATCAAACAATTGGAAAGAAGCTGACACGAGAAAATTACCGACAAAAACAACTAAAAGATGCAGATCCAGTTTTACACTCTCAAAGTTAGTTTTTTTTGGCTGAATTTGTGAAAATTAAATCACCGATCAATTTTGATCCAATAATGAACGTGTTTTTTATTTCATTGGAATCGGAATTTTTTCAAAAAGGTTATGACATCACAACATATAAACACATTTCCAATAGTTCAAAGTCCTCTACAACTTATCCTGGGGTCAAAATTGATCCTTGCCTAAGTTTAACCAAATGGGTCAGATGTTAGACCTTTTGGATTTCCAATCTAGATATTCCAGTTCAATTCCAGTGGCATTCAAATACTCATATTTTCAGATCCACAAAAACACAGCAATCAACATATGAAGCTGTGAAAATACTGTCAAAGCGAACAAAACCAAAATGTCATGGTAAGATTGCTCTTGAAATGTTCAAAAGCATTATTGAATTCAACAAATCATCGATTGAAGAAATTGAAATTGAAGCAAGTGTTATTGTAAGTTTTTTTCAAAAAAAAATGTTTTTTTTTCAAATTTAGGAGGCTAATTTTTATTTAACAAGGACCGTCCAAAACTTTCAACCTCCATATCTTTATTCATTTTAGGAATCAAGATACATGAGATCGATCGATATTTATTCGGAAAACTTGAAAAAATTATCAATCGATGGATATTTCACAAATCATCCACAATTGAATCAATTTCTCTCGGTTGAATTTCTTATAATGCAAAATTTCAATCTTCGCAAGAAACATTTTCCAATGATAAAATCAAAGTATCTTCGGATTCACAGTACAGTTATGGACAAAAAATTATATGAACAATTTTTGAAAAATTGGAGAGACGGAGAATTGAGTGATAATTTGAGAGAAGTGTTGATGATTGGAGATGAACATGAATGGTTTCGCTATTTGTTTCTTGATAATACGATGCTCAGATTTATGATGAATGAATATGGAGATATATTACGATAGTGAGTTGATAAAAAGTATTTACAGGAGGTTTATCATATTGACACCGTAAAGTTTATCAACGTGTTCACAAACTTTAAGAATTATGTTCAAAATTCTGTTATTTCCGATTTATCCTCTCTTTAACTTCACAATGTTTTAGAATTTGGAAAATGAACTCTTTTCAAAAAAGCCGTGAGATTCAAAAAAATTTTCATGTTTTTTGCAGCAGGAATCATGCAAAGAGATGTGGACTTGTTGGCTCGCCATCGATAGATTTCGATATCATCGGAGTTATGATCGATCATATTGATAATTTGCCTGTTCGAGTAAATCTTGTACGAGAGGATTTTTAAGAATTTTCTGGTTTCTTTATCTGTTTTACTTTTTTTCTGAAACATAATATGTTTTTTTATGTTGAAGCTTGACTTCTCGGTAAAAATGCGTTTGGAACCCTCACCTATATTCAGGGCCCCAACACTAGTTTGGAAGACCCACCCACAGAACAGTATTTGTACAACGAAATCTGATCAATTTTTCACGTGGCCTTTTTGAATAATTTTTTCGTTCTTTTTTTCTCTTCATTTTTTTTGGAAGAAAAAAGGAGAAACAAAAACCAAGAAAAATACACACCCGTCCAAGCCACGCAATGAGTGTTTTTCTACTGTATAACAAAACAAAAAAGTGTGCAAACACTTTTGTCTAATTCTCTCTGTTCGCCGTTATATTTCGCACTACAGTGTTAAAGGAACACGATAAATTTAATGCGTTGGGTCTTGTCGCGATTGCTAACTTTCTTCGCAGGACCTCAAAAAGTATGAAAAGTAGAGAGTCAGGTAGAACTCGAGGCGCTGATTGTCATGCTATATTTAGTTTTTCATGAACATTATCTAAGTTTTGAGCTACTTGGCGCACCGTTTTAAACAGCGTTTCGCTAATTTTTGTGTTGCTTGGGTGGGTGTGAATAATAAATTTCACGTGTAAAACGTCATTGCTGATGTGGCAGCATTTTCAATCATTTTTTCTCATTCGCTGCATTTCATTTGGAAGGAATTGGACGATGAAGAAAAATATAAAAATTTTATAAACCTGTGGAAATGCTCGCATATCACATATGTTTCGATACAATGAAAAGTAATGCAATTTACTTTTCGAAAAATTGAGACTGTTTTAGTCTGTGATCGTTATATTTTATGAACACTTTGCCAGATTGAAAATCATCAAAAAATAATGACTGAAAAATGAAAGTTGAAATTGTATCAAAATATTATTTTCTTCGCTTTTAGCTCCCCATATAAAAATTTCTCTAAATTTGAGAAATGAAAAAAAAATTCACGTGAAAATTTGAAGAAAAAACGTGACAAAATTTTTAGTGATCAGATTTCGTTGTATACCTACGGTACTGTGGGTCACACATGTCCCCACCAATAAAAGGTGCGTGGGGGCTCCAAACGCATTTTACCGAGAAGGCAAACGTGTATTTCAAGCCCTCAATAAGTTCCTTTAATGGCCCCCTTGGCGTGACGCTATTCGCAACCGCACCAAGACCAGTATATCAGCCCACCACCAATGTAGTTTAGGTCCCCACTAATGTAGATCAGATCCCCACCAGATTTGATCAAACATCACTGTAGATCAGCTTCACCATTTGCACACACAATACTTCAGCGTAAAATTTTAATTTTTGGAAAATCTTGATCGAGTTGTGTCTGTGAAATAAATATGGAACATGTGTCAAAATTGAGCCATGGAACAATGAACCAAACCTGGCTCAATTGAAACGCGGAACATTTTGCGGTACATTTCTGATGCGTTACATTTTTTAAATGGCTCACATTCATTTTTTAAATGCTCCACATTTTCAATGTAAAGTATTTCTGTTTTTATTTTTTGCGTTTCATTTCAAAATGAAGCACAATTCTAAAATTGAGAATGGGACACGTCAAAAATAAAACGCTTTTGTAATTTTTGGAATTGAGAGGAAGTGGGGTTATGACACTGTGTCGAAAAAATGTTTCATTGCGGAACTCTGGGCGTAAATTAGTCCCCCACCCGCAAGTAAGATCAGAACCTCATTTTCTTTCACTTCCTAAGTACCCATTGATAAAACCACACCTTGCCAACCGCTTCATTCAGCTTTTTTCAAAAATCATGCCAGTTCTCACTGGTTTTTGGATAGAATATACATTAGATAGAAAAATAGATTAGAAAACCACCGCTTTCTATTTCGATTGGAAAAATAAAGGAGTGATAAATATATTATTGAATTAAAAACACGTAAGAAATAAAAAAAGTAGGTCAAGTGATGTGGATTCAAAACAGTATAGATGGACGTATGCAACTCAAAAAAGATGGATTTTTACATGAAGACCGTTTTTGGTCTTTCACAAGATGATTTTTCTGAAAACAAAATGACGATCCCGTTCACAGCAAATTTGGGCGCCAAACAAAAAGTTTTATTTTTCATTTTTTGTGTCATGAAGTTTGAAATAATTCTTCATGGATTTTTTTTTGTTTTTTCCCCTTAGAACAATTTATGTTTTTTTTTATTTTCAAAGTTTCTATATCACATCAAAAACTTTTATTCAACATAAAAAAAATGAAAATTGAATGCTCTTGGTGGCTTTCATAAGCCAATTTTGGCAATTTTTACATTTCTAAGAATTAGAAATTTGGCTCAGGGTAACAAAAATTTTGAAAGCTTCTTTTGACTTCAAAATCTATAAACTACCAAACCATTATCGATTTTAGAAGAGTTGAGAAGAAAATTTCTCTTTAGGAAAAAAACAGATAAAAGTACGATGGTTTTAAAAAATACAGTAATTTGTAATGTAAAATTCGAAAGTCACAATAAGAACATTTTGGAATTTCCTGTCAGAATTTATTTTTTTGCTAGCAAAAGTTTTGATTTATGCACTTTCCAACCCCTATTTTTCGAAAAATCAAGACCGGTTCAATTTTATAAACTATGAAAAAGTTATGTTTAGTTCGAAAAAATTGATTGAGAGTTGCAAAATTTCCTCTGTGAAAATCCAATTGGAAAACCCGAGCAAGATGTTCGGTTGACGCGAAATTTCTCGAATTAAAAATAAATACGTGAAATCTTTTTTTTTTCAATTTCTTTGACCAATTTCAGTCATAATTTCCGATCGAGCCACCAAAAGTTTATCTTCATTTGTCATCATTACGATATTGTTATTATCGTCAGAATCTAATGTACACTCAATTTTTGCCTTCTTCGTAGAATTTGACGGAGATTTCGCGTTTTTATTCAGAACATTCGAATTTCGCCTCTTATTCGATTAACTCAATAGCGATTCTTGGGACATCTGCCCAAATGCATTCACATCGAATCCAGGTATTTACTTGCAACAATTGAGGTGATACAAACTCGATGGGCGGGACTTGCTGAAATTCATATAAATTTACAAATTGTTTTCAATATTTTCAGAACAAAACCAAACCCACTTGATTGAAAACATTTGTTGATGAAGCGCATGGGGTCCGGCTGCCATTCCAGACGTGGAGACCATTTGCAGGAACATATTGTAGACCTTGATTACTTTGAGCATGTTGAGATCCGAACCCAGGGAAACCAGGTTGAAAACCAATAGGTGCAGTCAAATTATTATTCGATGAAGAATTCATCAAACCATTGATCATGTTTCTTCGACTTAATTGTCCAGCCAACGTAGCCATGAAATGCGGATTTTGTTGTCCATAATTCGCTCCTAGTTGAACATGGGACATCTGAAAAAGTTCTATTGAAGTTGTGGACGTAATATGGCGGAAAAATACATAATGAGCGTATGAAAAAGAAAAATAGTAATGGGCAAAAATACAGAAGCAATGCAGGCCATTTCAAACCACGTCATTCACCGCCGAAAAATATGGCCGAGAATTTCAAACATATTCTATATAGACCTATAGGCCAGATGTTTTTATTTTCACTTTTTTGCGATGATTTTTCCAATCTGATAAAAAGTTATGTTTTAGATCCCTTAAATTGTTCTTGAGGATATAACTTGCTATTTATTTTCATAATCCAATTTATACATAATGTGGTTTCTCTTTATCTCGATGTTGATTGAGAATCTAGGATCGCACCAAAAATGCGAATTTTTCATCGTGAAGAGTGACAGTGACGAAAGGGCATACGATATCATTCAAACTGATAATTGAGGTAGATATGATGTGTTTATCATCAATTTTTACGCAAGTTGGTGGTAGAAGTGCCAATAAATCATACATTTCTTTGGCCACATTTCCCAACGTATTATTTGAGTCTACTCTTTGAAGCAGATCATTCAATTTGTTTTCAGTTCTGTAACATTCCACAATGCATATCGTATCGCCTCCATCGATTTCCAAAATGCATTTGCAAATGGTCTCCACGTCTGGAATGGCAGCCGGACCCCATGCGCTTCATCAACAAATGTTTTCAATCAAGTGGGTTTGGTTTTGTTCTGAAAATATTGAAAACAATTTGTAAATTTATATGAATTTCAGCAAGTCCCGCCCATCGACTTTGTATCACCTCAATTGTTGCAAGTATTATTGAATTAAAAACACGTGAGAAATAAAAGTAGGTCAAGTGACGTGGATTTAAAAACAGTATAGGTACCCATGTCGTCAATTGCGATGCGGTTCTGCGATGCGTGTTGACCTCGATTTTTCCATTGAATTTTTCAAATTTTCATTTCTAAAAACGTGTTGCCGACACGCATCGCAACTGACGACATGGCTACCTATACTGTTTTTAAATCCACGTCACTTGACCTACTTTTTTTATTTCTCACGTGTTTTTAATTCAATAATACCTGGATTCGATGTGAATGCATTTGGGCAGATGTCCCAAGAATCGCTATTGAGTTAATCGAATAAGAGGCGAAATTCGAATGTTCTGAATAAAAACGCGAAATCTCCGTCAAATTCTACGAAGAAGGCAAAAATTGAGTGTACATTAGATTCTGACGATAATAACAATATCGTAATGATGACAAATGAAGATAAACTTTTGGTGGTTCGATCGGAAATTATGACTGAAAAAGATGGATCTCGTTCAATAATCTTGTTTCGGTGGCACTAATTATAAAGTTTTACACATTTTAGAGATAATATTCCAAGACTCATAGAGATTCATCATGTTTGGGCCAAGTTAGAGAGGTTGGCCGGGACGATACAAAACAAAAAAAACACGATTTTTTGTACGCACCTTTTTTTTCTATTAATTTTTCTACTTTGGCTCCTGAAATTGAAACAATATGGGCATTTCAGAAGCATAGCTGAATTTCCAAGTGTTTTTTGGGTATCAAAAAAGGTATTCCACAAGATGAAACCCTCTTGAAAATTTTTATGAGATCATTTCTAGGCTTGTTTTGAATGTCCACTGTTTTTCACAACAAATTTGATAAGTGGTGCCAAAATCAAAAATGTTGTGAAGCATATGAGATATCAGAACCAAATAGTGAAAACAGGTCTACTAGGGACATTTTGCACAGAAAATACCAAAAATTAGTTACACACCCTGATGGTGAACAAGAAAAATCATAAAAATCGTGTTTTTGAGTTGACAATTCGGTTTTGAGGGGTCCAGCTTACTGTTTCCTATTCTTGTTAGAGAACATTTCTGGACATGTCCTTCAGAAATCAAACACATCTAGGGATAATCTTCGAATTCTGATCTAGAAACATATAACTTCAAACCCCACATGTATAGAAAAATCATGATCTTTTTGAAAAAAGCTGCGTGTCTGAAGTGAATTTGTGAAACTCATTCTCGATAGTTCAGCTGCCACATGACTAAATTATATCAGAAGATTCTATGTCAAAATGATGAAGATAATATCTGGGAAGGCTTTTTAAAACCAAAAATCATGTCTACATTCCCCGTTCAAATATGACTACGAATTAAATTTGTACGGGTAATTCGCGACCACCCTGTAGAAACTTTGAAAATAAAAAAAACATAAATTGTTCTAAGGGGAAAAAACAAAAAAAAATCCATAAAGAATTATTTCAAACTTCATGACACAAAAAATGAAAAATAAAACTTTTTGTTTGGCGCCCAAATTTGCTGTGAACGGGATCGTCATTTTGTTTTCAGAAAAATCATCTTGTGAAAGACCAAAAACGGTCTTCATGTAAAAATCCATCTTTTTTGAGTTGCATACGTCCATCTATACTGTTTTGAATCCACATCACTTGACCTACTTTTTTTATTTCTTACGTGTTTTTAATTCAATAATATATTTATCACTCCTTTATTTTTCCAATCGAAATAGAAAGCGGTGGTTTTCTAATCTATTTTTCTATCTAATGTATATTCTATCCAAAAACCAGTGAGAACTGGCATGATTTTTGAAAAAAGCTGAATGAAGCGGTTGGCAAGGTGTGGTTTTATCAATGGGTACTTAGGAAGTGAAAGAAAATGAGGTTCTGATCTTACTTGCGGGTGGGGGACTAATTTACGCCCAGAGTTCCGCAATGAAACATTTTTTCGACACAGTGTCATAACCCCACTTCCTCTCAATTCCAAAAATTACAAAAGCGTTTTATTTTTGACGTGTCCCATTCTCAATTTTAGAATTGTGCTTCATTTTGAAATGAAACGCAAAAAATAAAAACAGAAATACTTTACATTGAAAATGTGGAGCATTTAAAAAAAATGAATGTGAGCCATTTAAAAAATGTAACGCATCAGAAATGTACCGCAAAATGTTCCGCGTTTCAATTGAGCCAGGTTTGGTTCATTGTTCCATGGCTCAATTTTGACACATGTTCCATATTTATTTCACAGACACAACTCGATCAAGATTTTCCAAAAATTAAAATTTTACGCTGAAGTATTGTGTGTGCAAATGGTGAAGCTGATCTACAGTGATGTTTGATCAAATCTGGTGGGGATCTGATCTACATTAGTGGGGACCTAAACTACATTGGTGGTGGGCTGATATACTGGTCTTGGTGCGGTTGCGAATAGCGTCACGCCAAGGGGGCCATTTCTCAGGTACAAGCCGATGTTCCATATCCGGGCTTGTCTGAGCGTTCTAATATTCAAATACAATGTAGAATATAATATTTATTAGTCGTCCATCTCGAGGGAAAGTGTAATATAGAAATCAGGATAGAAGGTCATTAGAACAGATGTTACTCTAATATGAGAGATAAGAGACGCAGGCATCACACATTAAAGGAACTTATTGAGGGCTTGAAATACACGTTTGCCTTCTCGGTAAAATGCGTTTGGAGCCCCCACGCACCTTTTATTGGTGGGGACATGGGTGGGTCTTCCAAACTAGTGTTGGGGCCCTGAATATAGGTGAGGGCTCCAAACGCATTTTTACCGAGAAGTCAAGCTTCAACATAAAAAAAACATATTATGTTTCAGAAAAAAAGTAAAACAGATAAAGAAACCAGAAAATTCTTAAAAATCCTCTCGTACAAGATTTACTCGAACAGGCAAATTATCAATATGATCGATCATAACTCCGATGATATCGAAATCTATCGATGGCGAGCCAACAAGTCCACATCTCTTTGCATGATTCCTGCTGCAAAAAACATGAAAATTTTTTTGAATCTCACGGCTTTTTTGAAAAAGTGGTTCAACCCCTTCAGAAGTTTTGGGAATTTCAAAAATTCGAATTGTTCTCCGAATTTTGCTGAGATTGTGAGGAGTTCATTTTCCAAATTCTAAAACATTGTGAAGTTAAAGAGAGGATAAATCGGAAATAACAGAATTTTGAACATAATTCTTAAAGTTTGTGAACACGTTGATAAACTTTACGGTGTCAATATGATAAACCTCCTGTAAATACTTTTTATCAACTCACTATCGTAATATATCTCCATATTCATTCATCATAAATCTGAGCATCGTATTATCAAGAAACAAATAGCGAAACCATTCATGTTCATCTCCAATCATCAACACTTCTCTCAAATTATCACTCAATTCTCCGTCTCTCCAATTTTTCAAAAATTGTTCATATAATTTTTTGTCCATAACTGTACTGTGAATCCGAAGATACTTTGATTTTATCATTGGAAAATGTTTCTTGCGAAGATTGAAATTTTGCATTATAAGAAATTCAACCGAGAGAAATTGATTCAATTGTGGATGATTTGTGAAATATCCATCGATTGATAATTTTTTCAAGTTTTCCGAATAAATATCGATCGATCTCATGTATCTTGATTCCTAAAATGAATAAAGATATGGAGGTTGAAAGTTTTGGACGGTCCTTGTTAAATAAAAATTAGCCTCCTAAATTTGAAAAAAAAACATTTTTTTTTGAAAAAACTTACAATAACACTTGCTTCAATTTCAATTTCTTCAATCGATGATTTGTTGAATTCAATAATGCTTTTGAACATTTCAAGAGCAATCTTACCATGACATTTTGGTTTTGTTCGCTTTGACAGTATTTTCACAGCTTCATATGTTGATTGCTGTGTTTTTGTGGATCTGAAAATATGAGTATTTGAATGCCACTGGAATTGAACTGGAATATCTAGATTGGAAATCCAAAAGGTCTAACATCTGACCCATTTGGTTAAACTTGGGTAAGAATCAATTTTGACCCCATGATAAGTTGCAGAGGACTTTGAACTATTGGAAATGTGTTTATATTTTGTGACGTCATAACCTTTTTGAAAAAATTCCGATTCCAATGAAATAAAAAACACGTTCATTATTGGATCAAAATTGATCGGTGATTTAATTTTCACAAATTCAGCCAAAAAAACTAACTTTGAGAGTGTAAAACTGGATCTGCATCTTTTAGTTGTTTTTGTCGGTAATTTTCTCGTGTCAGCTTCTTTCCAATTGTTTGATTTCATTGTTTCAACTTCTATCTCATATTTCTTCCACGGATGTTGATGAAATACGATTTGGATCAAACAATTTGGAAACTGTTCTGATCGGCTGATTCCATTTCCTCGATAAATTACTGTTTTCATTTTTGGTCGGAATAATCTGAATATTTCTTGACAACTTCTTGAGCATTTTCCAAATTGAGTTATATCTTCCGGATCCAAATATATGAAAATCATCATTTTCATTTCCATTGGAAGAATATCGAACTGCAAGAAAAAAAGTTTTGGTCGGGTATTATGAGCTATGACGTGGCAAAGTTTGAAAAAAAATGAATTTTGAAAAGAAAACTCACCGGACTTTTGATTTCGTTCCAATTAAAGAAAAATATTTTCTCAACCTGTTCGTAGTCAGATTCAGAATCGCTTTCATTTTTAAACTTGAGTAGGGCCATTTCAGAAACAAAAATTGCAGAGTCTAACAATTTTATAATTAATATATGTAACAATAAAAGACAGGAGCGTTGCTTTTTTTGACACCCTTTAAGCTCCGCCCATTTGTTGGCTTGGGACCAATTTGTAGGGGGTCAATTAAAGAGAGAATGTACAAAAAAGGAAAGAGATATTTATTTAGTTGGCTAAATGGAAACAAGTTTTTGGACCGGAGCATCCAAACCCGTCTGACTATATCAGATTTTATTTTTGAAAAAAAGTTGTGCCCGATTCTGTCAGCCAATCCCTCAAGCTCTCAGAAATCCCTAAAAAATTAATGTTTTTCTAAAAAAATGTTTTTTATAGTTCCAAAAGTCTGGAATCTGATCATTTAAATTTTGTTTTACCGAATATGTTTTCCACATATGCAAAATTTTTAATTATATACTTTTTGAAAATTTTCAGCCAAAACATATTTTTCATGGTCGCATCACTGACTTCTAATTTGATGTAGTCTGGTTTCATTTTTCAGAATTGAGAGAACTTGAGATAACTTCAACTTCAGTATAAAACTCTTGACTTGCACTTTCAATAAATGATTATAGATAAATAATTTGGAAAAAATTTCTCCAATTTGCAGAATTGTGAATTTGAACTTCTAGAAACAATTTCCTTTGAGAACCAAATTTGAATGAATGAAATTTCTATGATTTTCAGATTTTCATGTTGAAAATAATTGACAATATTTTTTTTTAAATTTATCTAACTTTGACATATTTCAGAAAAAGTTGATAATACCAATCAATCAAATTATGGTATTTATTGACTTTTGATACTACTTTTAACAGTCACAAACACTACAAAAACTACACAAAAATACTGTATAAATAGGAAGGTAAATTCTATAATTTGGTCATTCTTATAATGCGAGTTTTATTGTTTTTTCTGTCACTGCTAAATTTGTTAACTACTATATTTTCATACAATGCACTCATTTATTCTCCGGCTTTTGCAACAAGTCATATGAACTTCATGGCACATTTATCGGATACTTTGACTGAAGCTGGGCATAATGTTACATTTTTGGTACCGATTTCGGAAGAATCTCTACGGAATCGAATAAAAGTTCGAACTAGACATTTGATTAATGTGGAACAAGATGAAATTTATGAGAACCATTTTTGGGAAGCAGGTGATGAATTGATGCAAACAGTTTGGACATATGTTGAAAGTCCGGAGAAAAACAAGGAGAAATTCAAGTTGTTTGAAAATCGAACGATAGAAACATGCGGTTTGTTAATAAGAAATCGAAAAGTTCTCGAAATATTACAAAATACTAAATTTGATGTTTCAATAACTGAACCATTATCAATTTGTGGATTGGCATATTCGAAAATACTAGGAATTGAAAAAACAATAATTGCGTCATCTTGTACAATGTATGATCATATTATGTATTTAATTGGAGAACCAGACCATCCATCTTATGTTCCAGGTTGATATTTCTCCACATTCATCTCAGAAATCTTAAAATATTTTTTACAGCAATGCAATCGACATATACTGACAAAATGAACTTATATGAAAGATATCAGAATTATCAATATAGTGTTGGATTCATTGAAACGATGCAAAATGTTTTTGAAGCTGAAATTCAATTATTCTCAGAATGGAATATTTCAAATTGGCATGATCTATATTCCGAAACATCATTACATTTTGTCAATTCGAATCCATATATAGATTTTCCTCGTCCAATAATTCAAAAAACAGTTTCAATTGGAGGTATCAGTGTAAATTTGGAAAAAATCAAATCCGAGAAACTATCAGATGAATGGAATAATATTTTGTATAAAAGAAACCAGAATATGTTGATTTCATTTGGAAGTATAGCAAAGTCTATGGATATACCAATTGAGTGGAAATCAAATATTTTAGATGTTATAAAATTATTTCCAAATGTCACTTTCATTTGGAAATATGAATCAGATGATTTGGAATGGGCTGAGAACATTGAAAACATTGTATTTATGAAGTGGATACCACAAACTGCGTTATTGAGTAGGTTGAAAATAACTTGAACTTTTTCAAAATCAAATTCAAATTGAAACTTGATTGAGAAAAACTGACCGTATTTACAGATGACAAACGAGTGAATGCATTTTTAACACACGGAGGTTTGGGAAGTACAAACGAATTGGCTTATTTGGGAAAACCAGCAATAATGATTCCAATTTTTGCAGATCAAATGAGAAATGCAAATATGTTGAGAAGACATAATGGGACTATTAGTTTATCGAAATTCGATTTGGGAAATTTAGATTTATTGAAAAAATCAATCAATAGCATTTTGAATTATCAAAAATATTCGAAAAATGCAGAACAATTGGCAAGCTTATTATCAAAACAACCAATGGAACCAAAAGAAACAGTAATAAAATATGTTGAATTTGTTAGCAAATTTGGACCATTTCCAACAATGGATCCATCTTCAAGAAATATGTCCAAAATACAAATTTATATGTTAGATATTTATTTTATTTTATTTTTCTCATATTTTATCACACTTATTGGATTTGTATTCACTGTTCGATTGTTGTTTAATTATTTGAATTTTAGAAGTACAAAAAATAAAACAAAAAATAAATTGAATTGAAATAAACGATTCCGACAAATAAATTTATGTACATATATGTTATTTTAATTGAATGAAGAATTTTAAATTGCCACGTTTACTTCACGTTTTTATAAATCATGAATTTTGTCCTTTGTTCCTATTGAAAATAATTTTAAAACTATTTTTTTAATGAAAAAGCGATTTATGAGCAAGTCTAAAACCCGATGCAAATAAAATATCTAAACAACTTTAGCCAAGAAAATGATGCAAACTTCAGATTCTCCTTTTTCGTTGACAATTTCCCATCTTACTGGAATATTGTTGTATCCCTTTTGATTGTCTTGGATTTCAATTTCTTGTTCAAAAGTTTGTGTTTGACCAGCAACAACTGGGCATTGGACACCTACAAAATTCAGAAATTAGGAAAAAAGTTCAAAATGTTTCAGAAGCTTACCGAATTTGCAGGCATTTCTTCCTGGTTGTGGGAAATCCAACAGATTATCCTCGACTTTAGCCTTGATTTGATTCTTCATGGTTTCAGAGTTTGAGTGAGCAGTGAATTCAATTCTGATCTTTGGTTTTTGTCCAACCTTGAATTTGGCAACTGTTTTTGTGCCTTCTTTAAGAGCTTCGAAATTTTCAGCAGTTACGCTCAAGATTGTTCCTTTATGGTCTGCAAAAATGTTCAGAGTGAATTTTTCTGAAACCTGAAACTAACCGCATGTTTTGTGTTTCAATGGAGAAAAATCAGCATAACTGGACAAAACCAACAAGCATGAGAAAAGAGCAATTTTGGTGAAAAGCATCTGAAAAAAATCAAATAAAATTTATATTGTTCTTTCGATGAACTGAGAACATCCCAGTCACAAACAAAACATAAAACATATAGAATAAAATAAAATAAGTTAGCGGCGCTTTGTCGAATGATTTTAAACCAACAGTTGCTCAGCTTTTCCCTCCCATTATCGTTTATCAATCGAATTTTCTTCATTTTGTGGTGTGTTTCGAACAATGTAATATTTTTTTATTCAAAAATCCTTTTTGTTACAAAAAAGTATGCGTTGCAAGAGACTTTTAGTTGGAAAAGTTACGGAAAAAAAAATAAAAATGAATGAGGAGGTGGATGGAGGTGAAAGAATATTATGAGATGATAACTTTAAATTTTCAGAAAAAAAAAAACAATGCTCACAGTTAGACTTGAGGCAAGAGAGTGTTCTATGGAAAAGAAAAGGGATAAATCATTTTCTGATCGTGAGCATTGAAAAAAGATCAAAAGTAAATTGATATTTCGGATTTTGAATTGAATTTTAGAAAATCAGAGAATGTCTGCACCTAAGAATAATTTCATTATTCAGATTTAATTTAAGATCTTTATTAAAAAATCGAAGTTGTAACATTAGGCTGTCAACTAAAATTCTGAATCTCGAAAATCAAAGGAACTTTTTAAAATTTCCAATTCTTGAACCCGAGATTCCTGAAATTTCAGAACACATCTGGTCAGGAAAAATTAGCGATGCAACATTCCAAACAACAAGTTTTGTCACGGGTAAAATAAAACCGTCACTGTCTCAGACGTTTTATTAAAACTCCGTAAAGAACATTTTTTCTCGCTCCATATTTTTGCAGACTCCCCAAATCCTCTAACAAGGTCAAACTTCTATCATTCCCATACAAAAATTTATAGTTCCAGACACTTTCTTCCTTTTCTTTTTTATTCCTCGTTCCCCCTCATAAAAATATCAAGCGATGGTGTTTTGAGATAACAACGTTCCAAAAGGTCATCAGATTTATTATGTGATTTGATTTGACATGAAAGGTGACCGACACAAAAACAAAACAGATCAACTTTTTTGTGTTATACTATTTGGAAAAGTAGCTCGATTTTTTTGTTCAAAAAATTCATTTGTATAGATAGACAGATAGTGAGGAAATTAAGTTCCTTCCTATTTCCTTTTAGAAAAGATTCCTACCTCAAAAAGGGGCGGGGCTTCGAGAACAAAACCACGCCCACTTTTTTCCTTTTTTGCGCATGAGAATGTTATGAGTTTTTCTTGTTTGAAGAAAAAAGAATAAGAACATTTTCTGAAATGTTATGCTGAAAATATGCTGAAACAATATATTCTGATATTTGCGCTATCTTTTATTTTTTATTCACAAAACTTGTTCGCTGATTTTGTTTACGATGATCGGTGAGTTGGATTTTCATATTTTTTTGATACGAGTTTCTTTTCGAACATTTCTGGTTTGAAAAAAAATTACAAAAAAGTTTTTTTTTAATCAATAAAAATGAGATCTCAAGTAAAAGTAAGTAGCCACCATTTTTTTTCCAATTGTCACTTTCACATATATCTTTTTTTTTCGATTATAAATTTCACGACATACTTTTTTTTGCTCATCCAATTTAATATTTATATGATTCTCCTTGTCCTCCTTCGTCTTCTTTTTTTCCTTTTTGGTATACTTTTTTGGCTTCGGTCGACCAAAAACAATACATTCAAGAAAGTAGGAAAACAAAGTGTTGAATTACTTTTTTGGAGAGCAGCCAACAAGAGAACCTACGAATTTTAAATGGGTAAATAACAATACAAAAATCATAAGTTTTGAAAAATGGACTAAAAAATAAAATGAATTTGGAACCACAAAAAAAGCGAAACGAACATACATTCTTTCGTTTATTTTATTAGTTTTTTTTCGAATAGGAGCGAAAAAAGAAAATTGGTTTTTTTTCACTTGTTGTCAACAATTATTCCCACAACTTCTTAATAAATTTTTAGGCCAGCGATTTTGGAAAACGATGACGTTTTATCGAAGACAAGTTGGAATGAAATGCTATTCGAAAATGATTTTTGGGGAAATCCAATTAAAAATCCGGGATCGCATAAATCATGGAGACCTTTGACAACAGCCACATTTCGCATTCAGATGAAAATTCATGGCAAGAATCCATTTTGGTGAGATTGAATTTTTTGTTGGGAAATATGGGTTTGAAAAATTGTTTCAAAAAATTTGGTTGGAAATCAACGACCACACGTGGTCCAATTTTTCTGGACCGATTCGAATTTTGTATTCCAAAAACTTTGAAGCATAACTTTTTTTTCCAAATCAGTGGGTCATTCTAATGTGTTTTTTTCTTTTTTCTCATCTCATTTCCATCAGCATCCTATCCTCCTCTTTATTTTAATGTATCCTGTTTAACTCTATCTTGTTTCTGTTGACCGCGTGGCGAAAAATGCAAATTTCCGTCCGTCCAAAAGTAGTAGTACATCTGCTCATAAGTCCACTGACAACCTTGTACTAAAAAGTCGAGAAAAAAAGATGAGCAGAAATTGAATGCGTTGTCACTTCAGATTGAGCCAATTGCAAAAGATTGATGAAGTGTAAAATAAAAATATTTTTGTTTTCTCGCTGAAAAAAACATAGAAATTTCAAATTTCTGACAAGTTAGTCTAAATATGATTGATGTTTTAGAGTTCCAAAAAATATATTTCTCTTTTCTCATTTTCTATTCAAAAAAAGTGCACTTTTAAATCAACCCAACCTTCAGAATTTCTAATATCTTTAATGAATTCTGGATGAATTTTAATGCAACATCCTCTTTGCATAAAAGAAAAAGAAGATGTAATCCAAGATAAACATGCCAAAATGTCATTATCCTCGCCTTCTCCTTTTTCTCAAAAGAACGAAAAAGTAGAAGAGCTCTCAGATTCCAAAAGGGACTCCAAATAATTCAATTAGGAAATCCGGGAGATTTTTTGAGTGTTGTTTGTGAGCCAAAAAAAAAAGAATGGGACACCATAATTTTCTAATGCAGAGTCATATGTTGTTTTGTTTATATAACCATAACTAATTCTTTTATAGACCTTCTTTGCCACTTACTCTAATTAGATTATTTCTGAAAATTGGGTAATTGAACCAATGGTTATGTTATGTTTTCGGTTTTAAATACAAGATAAAATCAGAATTGGAAAATTATTGGAATACAACACACAGGGGACTATAATAACATGATTAATTTGGGTTTCAAAATTTCTTTAAAAAAAAGGTTCAGTAAAATATATTTGGCCCTGATCCAATTTTCTCCAATTCAAAATTTTCAGGTTTCATTTGTTCAATATTCTTCTTCACTCTCTCAACGCATGTTTGGTGGCAGTTTTGGCAAAGAAATTAAAATTGAATGGTGAGCAAAAAGAGATTATATCATATTACTGTTGGATGAAATTTGAGACACAAAAACTACTAAATGGGATATTTAAGAAGACATCTGTGACTATATTTATTATTCAGAATCAGGCACAAAATTCTCATTTTTAATTTTGAACGAAATAAGAGAGGGGAAAAGAAAAATAATATTCTTTTTAAAAAAATCATGTTTCAGAAGCTTCAACCTTCTGCGGACTTTTATTTGCACTTCATCCAATAAATACCGAAGCTGTTTGTTCAATCGTAGGAAGATCAGATCTCCTCGCAACATGTTTTGTTCTTCTTGGTCTAATTTCAGAAAAGGTACTGTAAATATATCAGACAACAATTTTTCAAAAAAAAAATTATTTCAGGATCCATTAATTTTCTCAATTCTCGGACTTCTCTCCAAAGAAACATCAATTATTCTACTCCCATTGGTCATATCAAAACAATTTCTAACAAATGGCAAAAAAGAGGTTAGATATGTTCTTCCTGTTCTTCCTAAGAATACCGCACAATGTAATTATGACCTGACAATAAGTGAAAAACTACCTACAGTAAGACAAAAAAGGGAAGACCTTGAAGATCTTATGGGAACAATAATACAATAGAAAATAAATGGGCGCGAGAATTGGTTGGATAGATAAATAATACCATGACACATAGAAAGGGGCAGAAAATATTTTTTTTCTCGTTTTTTTTAATTTGGGAATAAGGGGAGTTCTGAATTTGAGAATTTTTTTTTCAGAAACAACTTCAGTATTTATTCTACCTCTCATTTTTGCTTTATTTCCGACTATCAATCAACAATTTCGAATCTCCGAAGTTTTCGAAATCTGATAATTCTATCGCTTATGAACCTTCGATAATATGCAGATTTTTAACATTTTTATACCTTCCATTATTCCACTTCATGTTGATTGTTTTTCCAAAAACTGTAAGTTCCAAATTATTCATTCCAACACAAACAATCCACATTATTTCAGCTTTGTTTTGATTGGCAAATTCAAACGATTCGCTCATTTTCTGATTTCCGAATTTATGCATCACTTCTATTCTACATTTCAATTTTAATAATTTTCAAAAAATTCAAAAGTCTCCGATTCTTATTGATAATTTTATGCAGTCCCCATATTATTTCATCAAACATCTTCTCATATGTTGGATTTGTTGCCGCCGAAAGAATATTATATCTACCTACAGTAGCCTTTGCAATTATTTTGGCGAAAATAATAACTGCAAAAGGCAACAGCAATAGAAATTGGATAATTTTTGTGATTCTATCAATTTATGGATCACGAACAATTGATAGAATTGGAGAATGGAAAAATGAAACGGAATTATTCAAAAGTGCTCTATTGATAAGTCCAGTAAGAGCAAATGCAAATCTCGGGCATATTTTTGCGATGAATGGAAATAATATTGAGGCGAGAAAACATTATTTGGAAGCATTGAAATTACGACCAACAATGGCTGATGTTTGGTATAATTTGTAAGTTTTTAAAGATTCTCTTTCATTCGAAATAGAAATTATCATTATTCATCTGAATTCTTTTAAAAAAAACCGCGCCTTCCTTTCCAAAAAATTAATTTTCAGGGCAATATTAACATCATCATCTGATCGCAACTCATCAATTCGATATTATCATCAAGCAATCAAAAATCGTGCAAACTTCCCCGCCGCACATTTAAATCTAGGACTTCTATACAGTAATCCAACAACTGCTTTGAAACATCTCGAAATTTGCCAGAATTCAAAAAGTGAAGCATCAAAAAATTATAGAAATCAGCAAAAAATTCGAGCAAAATGCGCGTATAATTCAGCAAGAATCAATAGAAAATTGCAAAACTTCGAGAAATCAATTGAAAATCTTGAAAAAGCAATTGAAATACAACCTGGAATATGGGAATTATCACCAATGATTTGGAATTTGTTGGGTGATTCGTGGACTGAAATTGGAGATTATGAAAAAGCTGAAAAATATTTTGAATTATCGATGAGAATTGATCCATTGAGAGTGAATAGTTTGGTGAATTGGGCGAAAATTCGAATTCGACAAAATCGAACAAATGAAGCAAATCAATTATTTGGAAAAGCTTTGGAATTAGAACCAAATAGTTCAGATGTTTTATATAATATTGGATGGAGTTCTCAAAAAATGGTAAGAAATTCAGAAATTGATTGAACTTGGGGATGAACAAATAAATAAGAAAATATTTTCAGGGTGATTTCAATCGTTCAATTTCATATTATCAAGAAGCTTTGAAAACCAATCCAAATCATTTTGAAACTCTCGAGACTTATGCAAACCTGCTTCAAAAACTTGGAAACTATTCAGAATCTGAAAAATATTTCGCAAAAATAGTGGAAATCCATCCAGATGCTGCAAGTTCCTGGACAAATTATGGAGCAATTTTGCATTTGAATAGAAAATACGAGAAAGCTCTGAAAATGTATGAGAAAGGATTGGAAATCGAACCGGAGAATCGAATCTGTCAGCAAAATCGGCGAAAACTATTGAGGATTTTAAAATAATTTGTGTGTATCTATTATTTATTGTGATATTTCAACGGGTATAATATTATTTACGTGTCAAATTGAATAATAAAAAGTATTAATAAAATGAATAAACATGCGAATGGATGAGTAAAAATTAAAAGCAGAAAATATACCCAAAATAAATCGAAGATTCTAAAAAAAAAAGAAAAAGAGACACGTAAGAATCGGTGGAATAAAAACATGATGGAAAATCTAAGGTGACGCGTCTCGATTTGTTCGATTTGAACGAGTTCGTGGAGTTTGTGGATGAGTTTCAGTTGAGGTATTCGATGAATTTGAGCCAGAAGGAGAGGCTAAACGACCACCAAGGCGACGATAAACCGTTGAACGACGTGGTCTGAAAATTCTATTCTTAAAGATTTAGGCTCGAACAAATGTTGCATTCTTGTCCACAGTTTTTTTAAACGTGACCTAGTCTTGTCACGTGAGGTACGTTTTTGATTTTCTTTCATTTTACATATTTCGGTAGATTAGAAAATATCGGAATCGAATTCAATTTTTTTAAATGTGAGTTGCATTTGGGGTGTTTTTCTTGAAAAAATTATTCAGAGGTATTTTCAAAATTTAAAATTTCTGTGACTAACCTGGTCCGTGCGGCAGTCAATTCTCTAGATTCCGATTCATCATCTCCAACATCTCCACTTGTGTTTTCCTCGACTACAACTTCTGGTCTAGGATCTAAAGCCAATGGAGTTGGTGCAGTTGAAGTAGATGGAGTATCATCAGAAACATCACGATTCTCTGATTTTCTGAATCGTTTTGTTGGAAGAGGACTAGTAGAATTACGTGGATTTCTCGCAGGTGAAATAGTGATCGATTCCATCAATTGTTTTGCTCTTTCTAATGCAACTGTTTTTCTATCCGATCTTCTTGTTGATGGACCTGGTTCATTTGAAGAACTTGGAACTTGACGAACTGCTTTTTTGATAGGACGACGACTTCGGCCATCTTCCTCCTCTTCTTCTTGGTCATTTCCAGCAGCGAAATTAGGAGAAGCAGTTGGAGTCTAAAAATTGTTGAATTATTTTATTGATACTTTCTAAAGTTATTAACACTTACTTTGAATTGTTGAACTTCCTCTTCATCTTCACTGCTTGATTCAGGTTCAGGTTCAGGTTCAGCTTCTTGTTGTGGTTCTTCAACAGGCTCTTCAACTCTTGCTTCAGCATTTGGTCTATTCCGATCTCCCTGAACAACGTTGATTCTTCTCAATTCCGTAGTATGTCGACTCATAATTTCTTCATACTCATCTCTCTGAGCCTGCGTCGCATTTCTTCCAGGTTCTTCAATTTGAGCCAAATAAGCAACAGCTGGTATACCAGTATTACGAGGGATAACGAAAGGTGGTCGCTCGCGATGAGGTGCAGGCGCATTTTGAGGTGGAGCACGATTCACTTGTACACCTTGTTGATGTTGACCTGCTTGCTGTACAGGTTGTGCAGCCATTCCTTGACCAACTTGAACTTGTTGTGCTTGTTGTTGTCGTGCCGGAGGTGCAATCGGCACTTGTTGATTTTGAGGTTGAACTTGCTGTTGTTGTTGCTGCTGTTGTTGTTGTTGCTGTGGATACGGTCTCATTCTCATTTCCAAAACAATTTCGCCTTGATGATTTGGCAAATAATTCACATTATATATTGGATTCATGAATCTTGCTTGATTTTGCATAGCTTGACCTCCTTGAGCTTGTCCACCCATTTGTTGATGTTGTTGTTGAGCTTGTTGTGGTTGAGCTTGTTGTGGTTGCGGTTGTTGCTGATTCTGCTGCTGCTGATGTTGTCTTTCTGGTGGTTGAGCAACTCCCATCATAGCTCTTTGCATCTGATGCTGTTGTTGGTGCATCATATAATGATGGAGTGCTGTAAAAAATAAGGTCATATGTACAACCCTCGGCATTTCAAAAATTATTTTTCCATTTTCCTCTATGAAGCTTAGGCTTGTTAGTTAATGCTCAAGAAAAATGTTGTTTTTTCAACAAAATACGATGTTCCAGATAAAAAACAAGTATTTCTAAATTAGAAGGGAAATTTAGAGTTTTTCGCCTAGATCCAAAGATTAAAAATCTTACCTCCAAAACCAGGTGCTCCAGCGGCTCCTCTCATATATCTTGCTCGATATGGATGATCATTCCATACGAATCCATTCATTCCTTGTTGATTTTGAGGTGGCTGATGTTGTTGATGTTGAATCTGTGGATGGTATGGAGCTTGTTGCTGAGGATGATGCATTTGTGCATTTGGATGTGGTTGTGGCGGCGGCGGAATTTGTTGATGATTTTGAGCAATTTGTGGTTGTTGAGCTACAACATCTTCTTCTCTTTCATCTCCAGCTTGTCTATTTCTTTCTCTAATTCGATCTCTCATCATCATAAATTGCACAGCGTTTCTAACATCTCCATTTCCTCCTCCAACATCTTCACGTCTTGGCGCTTCACCCATATCAACATCCATTTGAACTTCAGGGAATTCTTGTTCAACTGGCGCACCAGCCACAGCAGCAGCGGCTTCTTCGGCAACTGCAGCAGCAACTTCGGCGGCAACTTCAGCTGCAGCAACCGCAGCAACTTCTTGGGCAGCTTGTACTTCTTCAAAAATACCGATTCCCATTTCCATCATTGAATTTTTGATTGGAACAAGAAATTCTTCAACAGCTTGACGAATTCTTAATCCAAGAACTTGATCACAACTATCAACAGCTTCTTTATAGATTTCAGCCAATCTTTGAGATTTTCTAACTTCAGCTTCCAATTCATCAATTGTTGAACTTGGATTGATTCGACCATCAAAGTTTGTAGCCATTCTTTCAAAACAACCAAGATTGTCTTGAAGAATTTTCAAAATATTGTCATTGATTGCTTGACTCAAATCTCGAAGTTTTGGTTGTAATTCATCCATAACTTGAAAAGCAACTCCAGCATTTGCACTTATTTTTTCTTTCATTGCTTTTACATCGTCATCAGTAATTGCTCTTTTTTCTTGAATATCATGTCCATTATGAGTTCGAATTGCACAAGTTGAACAAAGTTTTGCCTGAAAAAAAAACAATAAATTATATTCATTTTCTAGACAAAGAGCACAAATAACAAACCCCTTCTTCACCGCATGTCAAACAGTCAAAGTACACTCCTTGATTTAATGCCTCATCGCAAACTTTACATCTTTGTTGGAGTTGTGGCTCTGATTTATGAGCATTAGCTGTCGATGCCATCTTTGCAACAATATCTTGGACACGATAATTTACGGGCAGACCATCTGGTGGTACAATCGTTGGTTTTCTACATTCCGGACATTTTATTTCAGTTCCACCGCCTCCTCTTCGATGTTGTCTCAATCTTTGTTGAACCATCATCATTGGTCCGTTTCTTTGCATTGGTCCAAATGGAAGAACACCTCGAATTGGTCCGCCACCTCCAGCTCCAGCAAATATCGGTTCATTATTAGGCATACCTCCTCCTAATCCTTGTAAATCGTGCATAAACATATCAGCTGCATTATTCATCATATCGACATGAAATTGTGGAGCTGGACGACCGTGAGGTGGAGGAGGAATGAATGGTTGAGCAACCATTTGATTATTATTTGGAACTACACGAGCATTTTCAACAAGACGATCGATACACGTAGAGCAAAGAGTATGACCACAGCTTAATTGTAAAGGTCTGTTGTAGACATTGTAACAAATCGGACATTCGATGATATCACTCAGTTGATTCTGAAATCAAAACAAAATACATTAAAATTCTACTCGTGTGAGAAATATTTCTCATTTTAAATAGATCCACTTGTTCATGTGAAAAAAGAACTCACGGCAGTGAAACCAGAAGTGCTTGGAGCAGAAGTAGTTGCCATTGCCGACTGTGAGTGGTTATATTGAAATTGGAAAATATAAATGTGATTATTTATTAGTTTGAACCGGTATTGGTTGAAATACCCTGAAAAGAAGAAAATGATTGGAATAAATATGAAAATGTAAAATCAATACGTCTTATTATCTACTATATACTAATTGGGAAAATTTTTTTGGCAATAGTATGTCCGGGACCCGTTCTCAAAACTGTGCGCATAAAAATTGATGATAAAAAAAGAAAAAGTTTCTAAATGTTGGCAGCTCGATGCGCTTCCTATTCATTCTTTCTCAAAATGTCTGTGAGTGCGCGGAGAATGAAAAGTTTGAAAACTCCAATGTATTTTTCGATTTTAAAATGTGTCGCTCGACTTTTCTCAATTTCCAGAAGACCATTTTTGATGGGACCTTCACCATTCGATCCCAAATTCTTTCCCATCGAGGCGCTAATATACAATTTTTCAAAAAATGCGCGAGTTTTCACGTGAAAAATCAAAACTTTTTTCATATAAAAAAGAATGATCACGTTTTTATTCCAAAAAAATTAAAGGACACGTTTCTTATCTGATCTTTCTGTTTTCTGAAAAAAGCGAACAATTTCTGGGCATTTCTCACTGTTTCTCTTTACCTAACCGGAAAATAAATCAAAAGTAAGTCAAACTACTGTAGATGGCGTTAGCCAGCGAAGCCCTTCTAGTTTGTTTATAATGCGAAAATCGATAGAGCGCTCTCAAACGTACTCGAATAAATAAATTTTTGAAACGACAAGCAAAAAAAATAAATATTTATATTACAAAAATATTTGTGTTTCAGTGACAGCAAAAAAATAGAAAAAGAACGGAAAATGAAAGAACGTTTTTTCGAAAAAAAAATGGAGAGAAATGACGGCGTCGCACGATTACACATAAAGAGGAGGTGAGACGCAGAGAAAGAAAAAATGAAAAGAGTGCGCGACTTAAAAGAGAGGTCAGTGGGACCATAAAGTATATTATAGTAAAAGAAAGAGTGTTTGCGCACGAAAAGAAGGTATTTAATTGAAAGAAAAGAGCGAATGAAGGTTGTGTCATGTCGAAATAATTATTGGGTTTTAAGACCATCGCGTACCAGGAGACATGAGGAGCACAAATTAGACATAATACGATCAGATAAGAAATTTATGCATGAAAAATTATTATTCTGAATCATCTAGTTATATATTTTTCGAATTCCAAATATAATTTTGAAATTTCGATTTCTTAATTAAATGAGCTTGGGAAATAGAAGTAACCGGAAATAAGAATTTCTTTGCATTCTAATTAGCTAAATGCACATTGGAATTAGTAACACCTGTCTAACACATTTGAATAAGACTTTTCGGGAGAAAGAAACAAAAAACGAAAAATTACAAGAAACGCGTCAGTGTTTGATTATCCACGTGAAACACGTCAATCCAACACTTGACACATTTTGAGTGTTTTTTTTTTCATTTTTTGTTTGTTCACCAAATCATTCTTATCTAGATCTCAAAGGAAAACAGTTTTCAAAATGTTATTATCAAAAGCAAATATGGCGGCGACGAAGATCAATAATTTGACAGTAATTGGAGCTGGTTTAATGGGTTCGGGAATTAGTCAAGTTTCGGCAAATGCAAATATAAATGTTACAATTGTTGATAGCAATCAGAAGGCTCTTGAAAAATCCCAGAAGGGAATCGAATCAAGTTTGAAGCGTGTTGCCAAAAAGAAATTTGCCAATGATGAAGCGGTTTGTTTCTTTCAAATTTGCATATATAAATACAATTTTTCATAGCAGCGGCAGAAGCGAGGAGGAAACGTAATTTTCTTTTTTCAGGCACAATCTAATCTTGTCAAATCGGTTTTGGATCGAATTAGAGTTTCGACAAATGTTGGAGATTCGGTTGAAAATGCTGATCTTGTTATTGAGGCTATCGTTGAAAATATTGAGATTAAACAGAAATTGTTTGCCGAGGTGGAAGATGCGACAAAAAAGTATGTAAATTTATGAATAAAAAGAAAAATGAGAATATTTGTCTTTAGATCTACAATTATCGCAACTAACACATCTTCTCTACGATTACAAGATATCGGGAAAAATCTCAAAGATAAAACCCGATTTGGTGGTCTACATTTTTTCAATCCTGTGCCTATGATGAAATTACTCGAAGTTGTCAAACATCCCGAAACATCTGATGCAACTTTCAAAACTCTGATGGCCTATGGAAAAGCTGTCGGAAAAACGACAGTCGCTTGCAAGGTAACTTCGGATAATCTATTTATCAAGAAAAAAAACAAGCTGGTTTTAGGATACCCCAGGATTCATTGTAAACCGACTTCTTGTTCCATATTCTTTCGAAGCATTTGGTTTATTTGAAAGAGGAGATGCTTCAATGGAAGATATTGATATCGCAATGAAATTAGGAACTGGATATCCAATGGGACCATTCGAATTGGCTGATTATGTGGGTTTAGATACAATGAAATTTATAATGGATGGATGGAAACAACAGTATCCAAACGATCCATCTTTCAAAGAGAGTAAATTGCTCAACAAATTGGTAAAAGAAGGGAAATTCGGAAGAAAAAGTGGAGAGGGATTCTTCAAATATTGAATAGTAAATAGCTTCAAGTAGAATATACATACATAAATGTAGTTTTAGAAAAAAGAAGAAAAATGAATGGAACTACAGATGTATTGAACATCTGGTTTGAACAAATACTTGGAAAATAATGAAAAAGCCGAAAAAGATGAGAGGATAACTCAAAAAAGGAGCAAATAACCCTAGAAATGCGATTAATAGACATATTCAAGACAAAATGACCTTTCTGTTTGTTTACACTATCTTTAGGATATCATCTGCCGGTTGTTGTAATTTTTGTAAACCATCTATTTAATATCTGGCGGGTGGTCAAATATAACAGACAAAAAGAAGAAGAAAAAAGAACAGTTGAACCGAAATTCAGAAAATGTTTTTATTATCGGAAGAAGGGGTTTTTCCGATAAGAATGAATTGGTGGGTGGAGCCAGAAAAATGACCCCGCCCATAAGAAAAATACGCAATCAATAGAATCTAATTAGATAAAAACAGTATCATTAATAAGTGGATAGATTGGGTGATTACAATACTAAAAATATATAGAATTAAACCAGAACTATTATTTGTTTTATTAATTGGAACTGGTCACGAAATGTAATGCATAGACTTCAACAAATTAGATCAGACTGCTTGCTGGCTTCTGCCAGAAAATGAGAAAAGAAAAATAAACCAATTTTAGACAATTAGCCTGAATATATGCATCCTTTCTTCTCAAGAGGAATCTAATAGAAAAAAAGGAGCGAATGCAAATATTATGCATGTAAATATGGGAAGGGACTTCTTCTTCTTCTTTCATTCTTGTGTAGACGAAAAGGATTTACATAAGTATTGTTGTTGAAAATCGATAGAGATTGTTGTAAAAATGTGTGTGGCAAAGAGTGGGAAGAAGGCAGGCAGCCATATGAAATTACAATAAAACTTGATACAAAAGAGTTTAACAACGAACAAATAAACGAATGTAAAAAAATATGAGAACCAGACAGCAGGAAAAACTCGGCGGGAGATGACTAAAATTGCGTCATATAGAAACAATTCGCCAAAAATGTATATAGAAAAACTTATACAATTGTAGAGAATGTATCAAGGAAGAATTATGAAGTTTTTTATATTCACTTCGTTGACTGATGAATCTTTTGGGAATATAATTATTTAATTTCGTTAATGTCAAATAACACACACACTTTTTTAATGAGATTTTCAGCGAATGAGAGAAAAGTTAGAGAAACAGATATATTACGAAATATTTCCAGGAGGTCTTGTTTTTGAGACAAATACATCAGGCAAATCTCATATAAAACGTATTTTTATTGTAGTTTTTGGGGGAAAAATATTCATGAATAAAAAAGGGAAATGAAATAGATTAATATTAAATACAAATCATATAATCTACTTTTTATTTTGCGAAAATTCTCATTTAAATAAAAGCAAAAATAAATAGACGAAATGATAAGTGATTCAAGAACTATTATTTTCATATCAAAAGAACGAAACATGATTCATCTCACATCAATTTTGTTTTTATTGAATGTTCCAAAAAAAAAAAAGAAATGATTCGTTCTTATATAAAAATTAAAACGGAAAAATATCGAATCTGATCATACGTACTTATCAGCACAGACATTTCAATATCTTATCAAAAAATGAACAAAGTCTCTCTAAAAGCACCTGACAAATAATGGATTCAGAAACAAACGTAATTAATGACAATGTGTGTGGACAGGAAATAATTTCGTTTGGTTTAGTTTTCAATAATCCAAATAAGTAATAGTTTTGAGAATATATGATTAGTAGTCAGCCATACATACATTTTCGAAAAAGATGAAGAAGAAGAAGAAGAAGGCAATAAAACTAGGGGGTAGATACTTCTTGTAAATTATAGACTCTCATTCAACTAACACGCCAACATATTTTCCCACCAAATGGCCACTCTTCAGCTATAATAAAACACGTCAATACACATATCAATCTTTTTTCAGTCGGCGTCGTCGTAATTTTTTAAAGGGGAAAACGAGATAGAAAAAAGGAGAAAAACGATGACAAAATAATAATGGGATGGAATTATCGCAATAAATTTTTGTGGGATTCTGAAATATATATAATACATATTATGACCAATTTGGTTTATTTGAAAATATATTCACATTTATAATTTGATGGGAAAATGGCTGAAGTACTCGAATTTCTAGATTTCACTTTACTATTTCTAGAAAAAAGTGCTAACTCAATTTGTGAATGTGAAAAAGAGACAAATTCAATTCATTACAAAAATCTACATTTTATGTTTGTCACAAAACGAAATAGAAATGAATTTCTATAAAAATAAGATAATCTTGGCCCATAATCCGCCCAAATTCCAATTCCAATATTTTTGCGAAATATGAAAATGCGAGCAACGCAAAAAAAAAAACACGACCAACTGAAAATTGACTTAATTCGTTCTAAATTGGAACCAGTTTTCTTTTCATTCTTTCAAGTGCACAATTAAGTAACAACCCCATAAAAATAGGCAATTTTTGAAAACGAAAAACGGCCAGGACGCGAAAAAATAATAGAAGAGAGAATGGGAAAAATCAGATAAACATAATAGAGGTATTAAAAATTTATCTGATACAAAATTATAAATGAATCAGAAAAATATAATAGCGAGAGAAATAAATAATTAGTCAGATGGATATAGTATGATTAAAGGGAAAATGTAGCAACAAAAATGAACGGATTATTTATTATAATCAAAAAAAGTATACGGTAGCCATACTACAAACAATTTTTTATCGCCATGAAGGTTTCGTTGAAAACCAGTTTCCAAAAAAGACATTATCAGGCAAGAAGTTGTTTTTTTCTGGTATATTTGATTTTCCGCGAAAATAACCTGTCTAATCAATTAGTTGAAAATAGATACTTTGATAACTTCAATATCTAATATAGTCCAAAAAACAAAACAGACAAACAAAACTAAATAATCTTTACCGCGAGTTACCAACCAAAAACAATTGGAATTCCTTTGAATGTTTTGCGAAACGTGACCTTTTTTATAAATGTTTGATGAAACCAAAATTTTGTTTATATTTGGAAATGAATTTCAAAAATTGATAACATTTTGGTCACGTTTCGAAAATCTATCATGAATTTTGTACTTCACATTTGCACCTGTCGTTTATTTTGTGTTAGAATAACGCTGGCCATGAAAAGAAACAGCTGCAATAAGTGTGAGAAAGAATGAACTATTGAACAATTTCCTTCGATTTTTGTGATCAAATCAGAGGTGTGCTGATTTCTATTTGGTAGTCCGATTCTAAGTTACTGAAAACTCGAATTCCTCGTTCGATTCAACAATCATTTGAAAATTATCAAAAATTCTACTGAATTTTTGCAATATCAGCAAAGTTGCACTATTCCTTTCACAATAAATTCAAATATTATTTTCAATTGATGTTTTCCGGAAATTTAGTTTTTCCTAACATAATAATAGTTCCTTATTTTCGCTTGCTTGTTCTCCAAATTTGGATCGTTGATGTGTCGAATAATTCTCCTTGGCTTCTATTTTCAATCGCTCAAATTGCACTGTTTTTTGTTGAGAAAACTGAAATATGATTTCACTAATTAGTCAATTCACTTTTTTGTACTTGTTAATTGAAGATCATTTTTCTATCCGAAACTAAAAATTGGGATCTAACTGAAAACCAATTTTTCAAATAGACAATATATCATTAAAATTGTCTAGCCATTTTCAGAATGAGTTATTACAAAGTCCTTTTTTTTCGTCACTTCTTCGAAAACAAAACATGGTGTCAATATTTCTTTTTCTGTCCATCCGAATTCAATTATTTCTGTTTTATTTCATCCAATTTCTATTCTTTCTAGAAAACAACAAAACAGAAGAGATTAAAAGTGCTGCTCTTTCAACCCAACTAAAAATAAAACTATGCTGGTATTCAAGTATTATATAATTTCTATAATGCCTGCAGCTATTTGCATTTCTATACATCTTTTTGTATAGTTTCAGTGGGTGCAAAAAATATAATGATGATCCAAAAATATGCAAAAAAAAACGAAAAGGTGTTCATCGTCATACTCCCAAAGGGCTCTTCTCGTTTATTTTTTCGCCAATTTTTCTGTTGGTCTCCACATTTTTTCGTCGTCCAGAAAGAAGACCACCAAAACAAAGCTGAAATATTTGAGGATTACTCATTTTTGTTTAATTTTTGCCCTTTTCCCTCACGCTTCTTCTAATTGAAAAAAAAGTTTTGCGGTAAACAACACATCCTTGTTTTTTTGGCGCGAAAATTTCTCTGAAAAAGAAAAAAAACGAATGTTTATTTCTGAAGTGATGCTCAATTGTCTTCTATCTATATTTCAATTGAACAAGTCGGCACAAAATTGGTTTTTTCGAGGATTTGAGAAACCAAAACATTAAATAATTTATTTTTTTGGCGGGGTAGAAAAAATCTTGATTTTTCGGTGTTTTCTCAACCTCTAAAAATCTCCAAAACCTTTTGCATTTTCAATCAAGTTTGAGTAGTAAATTTAAGTAGAAGTTCAAACTTGAAGAAAAACAAAGTTTTAATGACTTTTTGTTATTCTCTTTTTGCAGAATTTCAATCATTTGAGGTAAAAACACAAAAAAGCTCAAATAATTCGCAATTGTTTCAAAGCTTGACCTGATTTCTGATGAACTATGTGAAATTGGCAGAAAAAGAAAAGGTTCCTCATTGTTGGAGAAAGAAAAATAGAGTTTAGTTTAAACGTTTTCATTTCCTTCTATTTTTTTCGACTTTATTTTCTTTTCCCAATTACCCTCATTTATGCATTTATTTTTTGCGTAGATATGTGTTTTTGTCGCATGAATAGACAAAACTTTGTTCTCTATGTTAGCCAAAAATTTGTATTTCAATCAAGGCTAAAATAGTCTCGTTCCAGTTCAACCTAATTACCAAATTCTCTAATCTTCCAAAAAGCATTTTAGAGCTCGTTTCATTTTTGTCGCCGACGCCAAACATTTTTGTTGCGAAAACTCTTCTTTTTTGAATGTGAGTGTGTGAGAAAAACCCTGTTTTTTCCTGTCGAAGGCTACTATTTTTTGAAGCCAAGAATAAGTATTTTGAGAGCAAACGTCATTTTCATATTTTTTATTTCAATGAAGTGGAAAAAAGTATTCATTATTATTCACTCATAATATTATCTTCAAGTATAATTATTCAGAACTTCCAACAAAATGACTTTTAGTTAGAAAGCATTTTTTTTCAAAATTTATTTTTTTATTTTCAGTTGAGAAATCTGAAACAGTTGTCCTTTTAGCTGCAAAATGTTTATATTGTTTCTTTCTTTTTTGTTTTGTTTTTTTTTTCCAAAATCAAAAACCAAAAGTGCGCCACATGCTTCTCGAAAATTCCATTTCAATTAACAATCTTTTCAATTATTTATTTGAAACTCTACCGAAAAAAAAGTAGAAAAAGAATCGAGTCATTCGACAATGGAAATATGCTTTTTGTTGAGCTAAAATTGGCTCTTTATGCTTTTCCGGTTGATGCCGAAAAAGTTCCATTTTCAAACTTTTATGTTTCAGAAATTATGTAGTTTTTTCTTGATGTATGAGAATTATTTTTCAGAGCAAAAATCAAAAACAAAAATGCGGGTATTGATTGTTTTTTGGCGTTTCCGGAGTTCCCAACATTTTGGGCTGTCTAGTGAAATTGAATTTTTTTAGAGAAAATATACATTTCATTCTAGTTTTAGTTTTAGTTTTGAATTTGTATTTGAATTTCAGGCGGAAATACTTTGATCTTAGTGAATCCAAAATTCAACCTAATTTATTCAACTACGTCACGGATTTAGAGATTTATTGAAATAGGAGTATTCCTCACTAGAATTGTTCACCAAAATAATTTCTAAAATTAAAAAAAAACGAATTGAATAAACTGTGGAAACACTGTGCGCAAAAAACCTACAGTACTTCTAACGAGCAAATAAAAAACTGGAACCTTACATTAGGAACCCTGAGAATATTACAATATTCAATTTTTAGAGAAAGTATAATAATTACAGCATTATTTGAGTCAGCGACCTCCCCTTATTAATTTTTCATTTCCAATAAAAAATATTTCGAATGCGTCATTTTCATTTTTTTTTTTCAAAAATAGGTTGTGACGCATTGTGGTTTGAACACGATCAGAAAAATCTAATCAACCGTATCATTGAAATCTTTGAAGCAAAAACACAAATCGAGCTAGATTTCGGCAAGCTTCCTTGTACACAACTCTCTTATCAAAATAACAAAAATCTTTCGATATTTTACACCCACTTGTTTATTTTTGTCTTATTTCTTCTTTGATAGTCTACATGCACTATTTTGAAATTTTCAAAGATTTGTTATTTATAATGAACTTTGATTTAATTGGATGTTCAGTTCGCATTGGAGCCATCTTATTTTGTTATTTCTTCTTGTTTTTTTTATGAGCAATGTCGGCGAATAACTTGATTATGTTTTGGCCGGAGCATTGGCATTTGCTCAAAACATAACTTTTTACTTTATTTTTTGTTTTGTTTTCATCAAAACTTGGAATCGTAAAAAATTATAGGGAAAAGAAAATTATTGTGCAGCGAATCGTATTCGTATAATATGCATGTATACGAAAATAATAAATCCCCGCGAAAACTTTACGTATTTTTGATGGTCACTAAAAATGTTTTACGAAATTGTACGAAATTTCTGTCGGTATAAAATACGAGACCTGATGGTCAGCAAAAATATCAACCAACATGAAAATTTCATTTGTTGTTCTATCACTTTTTGTTTTCTTTGCTGAAACTTTTGGGGCAACCACAACTGAACCATATTGCGATGAACTAACAACAACAACCACTGCGAAGAAAACCACTGCAAAGAAAATCACTGGATACGAATGTCCAAGTGGATGGGGTTTGTTTAGCCGACAAAAAGGAAAATGGTGTATCAAGGTATTTCAAAATACTTTGAGTCAACCAAGTGCCAAATTAAATTGTCAAAATGTTGGAGCAAAATTATCTGGAATCGAAAATACGAATGAGCGCGCTTATATTATCAGTAAGTCAATATTCTTATTCTTTACAGAAATTTGAGTTTTTTTTAATTGAAGAACAAGGACTTGGAATTGTCAGAAGTATGAATCTGAAAGAAGGAACTCTTTGGGTTGGTGGAATCAGAAAAACCGCATGTTCAGGAAGTAATAAAAGTGCAGCTGGATGTGTTCCATGGGTTAATAATGCCTTCGAATGGATTGATGGATTTACAACTCTCAAGAAAATGTTCACGTGGATTCCAAATCAACCAGATTATTATAAGTAGGTTTTGTCTTTCTAAAAAAAGCTTGCTGTAAAGAATGATATTTTCCAGAAATAGTGAAACCTGTATTCAAATGGTTATCTCCGACAAAACACCTGGTACAGGAGGTGCAAAATCAGGGCAAATGAATGATATTTCGTGTTCAAAATCAACTTCAACGATTGAACTCAATTATGTTCGGGGATATGTTTGTGGTAAACAAGCGACACCAATTTATGGATAATATAAATTTTGATTGTTTTTGTCAAGATTTTTTAATAGTGTAGTTTGGGAACGCTGCAATGAATAAATAATTTTTTGAAAACATCTAGTTGCCAAGTTTTCGGATTTATAGTTTTCAGAAATAGAAACATGGCTGAATTTTTGATTTTACATGTTTTCAAACACAGATTAAAATTTTCAAAAATACTTTGACTAACAAGGGAAGTGTATAAGGTCCCGGAATAAACTTTTAATGAGACTTGGTACACATATAGATTCGAACTCGCTGAGCTCGAATTCGTTTTCAAAAATTGCCACAATTGCACCCAAGACGAGTTTTTCACCATCGAAAATGCGCCATATTTCTCATTGTTTCATATGTCAAACATTTGCGGGCAAGAAAAATAACAGCGGATGGCAGAGTGGTTAGCGATCTCGACTTTAAAATTTTAGGTTTCGGGATCGGTCCCGGCCCGTGGCGAACTTTTTTTTCAAAATTTTTTCGAAACCTGTAAAGATGTCTACGTACCGATTTTGAATTATAATTTTTTGTCATCATTTTTTTTTTCGTTTTTTAAATTCTCGTTCAAAATGTTACCTTCTGAACAAATTTTGCACTTCGTAATGTGTAATTTCAATGACAATTGTACAATCCCAAGAAAGTATGTCTCCCGCGAGAACTTCAAAAAGTTCCTAACGGAATTATTGATGTTTTGCGTAGTGTGGACATCAACGAAATTATAGTTGAAAACGATGAAATTCTGGAACGAATTGAAGATGATCCACCGGATGAAGGTAACTTGGATAGCTATAAATATGAAAGCTATAAAAATAAATATGAAAGATCATCTTCAATTCGTTCTTTTTTTTTGAAAAAAAAAAATAAAAAAATTTGAAAAAAAAAGTTCGCCACGGGCCGGGACCGATCCCGAAACCTAAAATTTTAAAGTCGAGATCACTAACCACTCTGCCATCCGCTGTTATTTTTCTTGCCCGCAAATGTTTGACATATGAAACAATGAGAAATATGGCGCATTTTCGATGGTGAAAAACTCGTCTTGGGTGCAATTGTGGCAATTTTTGAAAACGAATTCGAGATCAGCGAGTTCGAATCTATATGTGTACCAAGTCTCATTAAAAGTTTATTCCGGGACCTTATACACTTCCCTTGTAAAAATAATGCAAAGATCAATGAAGCCCCTTCAAATCCACGTTTGATTTATTACTATCAAATATCTGTAATTTATCCCTGAACTAAAATTCCAATTCAAACTATCTAATTTCTATTGGTGTACTTTCTTATGCTCTTTCCCTTCTTTTTCCTCAAAACAAAAGTTCTTTGTAATTTTTTGATCAGAACTCGGAAAAATATTTTGTCTCTGAATACAAGGTCAATGAATAATTGAATTTCGTTGTTTATCCAAAAATAGTGGCCAAATCCTAAAAAGGGCCTCGCCTCTCAAACATTTTCCATTATTTTTTTCCCTATTGCTCAACTTTTTATGCTCAACTTGACACAAACAAAAAAAAATAAACTTCTACATTTATGTATTTTCATATTCTGAACTACACAAATTTGGGATAAAACTTCACTTCTGTTTTGAGCAACGATTAAATAATGAAATAGCTCAAAATACATGTGAAGCCATTTTGTGATGAATGACGAAAAATTGAAATATTCTTTCAAGCAGGTCAGATCTTTCACATAAAAATATATGTGTTACGTATGTTCAAAGGCTCTCTAAGTTTATTTTATTATTCTTATTTTCAAAAAAAAAAAGTTTTAATCTTCCAATAATTTCATTATCAGAACAAATAGGTCAAAAATATACTGATAAATGCTTTTTTGATTTTTGTTGTCCAAATTTTCTCAAAACTCCATAGGTAACTCATTTTTTGCCAGGCTTTTCTCATGCCAATCGAAAATTCATTATTTTTTCTTTCCTTTTTTCCCTACAATTTCATCCGTTCCTTTTTACACTTCCTAACCTTTTTTGTTATATCTTTTCCTAAATCTTAATCGTTTTTTGTTTCGGATTTCCAGAAAATGCTCTTAAACAATTTAATTTTAATTTATAGGTCAAATGGCGAATTTTACCGAAATATGTTATCCTGCAGAGCAAAATAGTGTTTCAGGCTCGCCTTTTGAGTATCATCTGCAAAGGTTAGATGATGTAGATTATTTAAAATAAACATTGTTTTTTTTAAAGGTATTTCTATCCAATTTTGGTCATTTTCGGAATCCTTGGAAATTCATTGAATTTAACAGTTCTTCTAAATCGCTCAATGCGAAGCAGGTTTGATTGTTTTCGAAATAAAAGTTTCACTTGAAATTTGATTTTTCAGAGCGAATTCATTTTTGGCAGTGTTGGCATTTGCAGATATAATATTCCTATTTTTATTACTCCCTAACATTCTTATAAATTATTCATTTTTCATGAATAGTTATTCGTTTCGTTCCATGTACTTTTATCTCAAGGTACACAAATTTCCGGCTCTGCTCGGGGATAACGAGATCTAGAGAAACATTGATTTTTAAACTTTAAAAAGTTGATCTACAGTATCTCATTTCTACAGGTACACATACTTGCAACGGCAAATTGGTGTGCTTCAATTGCACATTGGTGTGTTATTGCTGTTTCATTTGACCGTCTTTTCGGAATTCGTAATCCGTTATATGCGAGAGCCACGTGGAAATGGTGGAAACTTCCAATGGTTATATTCTCGATTGGTATTATATGTGGTGTTTTCACATTTTATCAACATTTCGAGTTTCACTGTTTGATAAAAGACTTTTGTAGCGGAAAGCAGATTTTTTCAAAATGCAAAGCTGTTACAGGACCGTAAGTTATTAAAACTATTTGTACAAATTCAAAACATTTTTTATTGTAGTACATGGTTTGGAAATAGAACAAATCCATATTCGGAACAATATCGAAATTTAATATCAACTTGCAAGATGGTGAATATTTTTGGGATGATTGTTACCCCAATTATCTTACTTGTGATTCTCAATTTCCTTCTTCTTTGGTCACTTCGAAAACGACAGAAACATTTATCGATGGGAAAAGATTTGAATGAAGATGGAAGACATAATGATTCACATATGCAAAAAACAGAACATCGTGTAACTTTGACCGTTTGTTTCATAGTTACAATGTATACTCTCACAAATCTTCCATCTGCATTGGTTCATGTTTCTGTTTCTGAACCAGCGTCTTATTATGATCTAACAATATTCACAAGGTAAACAAAAAATTTTTTATTGAAAAATATATTTTTTTCAGTACCTTGGTAATTTGTGGAAAAGCATCAAACTTTATATTATTCTGTCTTGGCTCAAAACATTTCAGACTTCGACTTCTTAAATTGACCCAACGAAAAATAAATCGAAAAATCGGTAAGTTTTAAAATGAAACTCTGAATATGAAATGCTTAAAGTGGTGACATCGCAAGTTGGTACAAATTTTACGAAACTCGGATAGGTAGAGTTTATTTGAAATTTCGATTGATTTGATCTAATGATTTTTGTGTTTTGCAGTGTGCTCATTTTTCAGTTTGCTTTTGAAAAAACCCAAAAACTAACTCTGATTTTTCTAAAAATGAATGTGTGATGATTTTTACCTAAAAAAACTTTCTCATTGAGTTTTTTTGTGTCAAACTCATTTTTTTCAGAATCTCTTGCTGGTTCTCTCATCAACAATACAACTACAGTACCCCTATCAACTGCAAAATTGAGTGTATCCTCATCTTCAGGTGCAGCTTCTCGCCGTGTTTCAATGCCACCTCCAAAACGTGGATCTGAAATGCCACGTGGAAAAAGAGCACAAAGTGCAGTTGAAGCAATTTATCCACTTTTGAAATCAAAATCATGATTTTGAATTATTTATTTCAATCATTAATTAATTTATTTTGTTGTTTTTGTTTGAATATCAAAAAGGCATATATTAATTGTATACCAGTTCTTCCAATTAGGTACAATAAAGCGGGTTAATTACAAAAAAGAAATGATAATATTTTCTGATAATAAAAATGTTTGAAGTGAATTTGAATTGAAGAGACCCGTGAACAAAGAAAAATAAAATTCAGGAAGGAAAATGGGGTTTAGAGATTTTTACAGTCGACGAAATGATCGAGGTCAAAATGATGACAGAATGATTCTAGTTTTCTACGGAGATCTGGGTTGATCATTGACATCGCAGACATTCTGGAAAAAGGGAAATAATTTTCAAGGTTGGATTGGTCAGGTCCCATTTTCTGAGTGTGTTAAGTGGGCAAGGGTAAGGACCATTTTAGATTTTTAGAGACACAAATCTGAATTGGGCTTGAAGTAGTTTAAAGGGACATAACTGTAGCTATGGTATCGTGCTTTATCCTAACTTAAAGGATCATACTAAGAACGAGTTCCCAAGAATTGGTTTGGAAATCTTGAAATATTCAAGACGATCCGATGTTTTCAAAAATGTGATAACCTTGATCCCAGAACATCTTGAAAATTTCCTTCAAAAATTACCTGACAGTGAAATGATTACATCCATGTTTATCAAGTTGCCATTTCCAATCGACATCGATTTTCAGCGGCGAAATCGATTCGACAACAGTTTTCCGTTTGTCATACCCACTCAATCCCAATTTCAGATATTTTTTCTCGCCATTTTCCATATTTGGTAATTGTACATAACTGAATGCATTTCGCCAGATTGGCATTTCTGTTGAATTTTGAGATGTTCTCGCATAATCCACATTTGTTCCACCTTTACATTCTCCAGTTTCAGCTGAGCAACTCGAAACATGCCATCTGGAATAATAGTCATTTTTATCTATGTATCTCTTTTTTTTTGCTCATTTTTTATCTCACCGAATAGCAACTTTATCCCAATGTTTACATCTCAAAACATCATTTCCTTTCCATTCATAAGTTCGACTTCCAATCAATTCCCAATCATCAATCTGAAATTGGAAATAAATAAATAAATAAATAGGCCACACCTCTTATTTTTTCTAGTCCCGTGATGTAATCTTCTCAAATCTCTCTGTGCTCTCTCGATTCTTCATGAGTTTTTATATTTATTACACAACAACAGAAACTTTTTCTCATTTTGCCCGAGATTTTTCTTTTTCTGTTGTTTTTGACAATTTTTTTCAAACTTCAAGTGTCCGTTTCTAAATTCTTCCCTGAAAAATATCAGTCTCTAGAAAATTTTTCAACTTCAAGCTTCCGAATTTTCAGAAATGTCCGAATACTTGGGATGGAGAGATCGAAAACCGGCAGTCGGTTACAATCGACCAAGTGAATTTGATCGCGAAATTATTCCAGGCGGTGTTCAAACGAAAAGCTATGAGAATTATGTCAAAAATATTTTCCATCCTATGAATCGCCTCAATTTCAAGGTAACCTATTTTTGGAGTTTCAGAAAGAGCTTTGAAGAATTTTAAGCCCAGTACTTTTTTGTGCCAAGCTATACAGTACTTTTTGAATTTCTGATTTAATGTCCCTCCTACAGAATATAAATTTTTTAGGACAAGGAAAGACTTGCGCGTGATCATGGATTGTCGGCTACAAAAATGCTGAGAATGGAAAAGAGAATTTGGAAGAGCTGCTTTGGACGACAAATACGATCATGATCATTATTTTGAAAAAATGCCACTTGAAAATCTTTATGCTGAACTTGGCCTCAAGAATCCGGCGGTGAGTTGAACTTTCACTAACAAGGAATCTATATAACTAACATTTTACACTTGCACTTTTAAAAATAGAAAATAAAAAACAAGTAGATGAATTGCAGTCAACAAATTATCGATCATTCCCAGTTTATGAACCAAAATCATCATCCGAATATTTTGCAACAACTTACGAAGCAGAAAGAGATCGAAGAAGAAAAGAAATCGAGAAAGAATATGAAGAAAATCAAAAAGAAGATCAACCAGAAACACAAAAGAATTTGTATTCGACTTTTTCTAGTTATAGAACGGTATGCTGTGGCTTATTTTTTGACATTTTTAAATGAAAAATATTTAATTAGCGTATTTGTTCAACGCAGATGAACCTAATATTTTCAGCCACTTTCATCTTATCGTACACGAGAAGATGATGAATATGCGAAAAATAACAGAAAAACTTTGATTGACTACAAGGAATTTGACAGGTAATTTTGGAACTCACGAAAAGGCCCCTGTCTTACAAAATTCCGAATAACTTGCTTTTTGCAGTTCCCCATTGTCACCATATTTGTACCAATCTCATCCATATGTTAGAAATCAAGATTCGCGAATCGTTGGATCAAATTTCGTGCAACTCACAACTCGCCCAAAAGACAAATTTTTGTCGAAAATCGATGAGACTTTGGCTATGGTTCGAGATATGCCAAGATATTAACACAAATATGATAACAATAATAAGCTTTTTTTTAATTAGAAATATATCCGGTGTTTATTTCTTTCAATTCTTTGTATAAACTTTTTCGAGAAAAATTGTAAGAAGTTTAGTAGGGAAAACTTGGAAAAAATTTTCAAATTTTGTAAGTAGAGTTACATCTCTAATTTTTATTGCATAATTTTCCAAAAAACAAAAAATCAAGCCCCAAATTCAAAACCTCACCTCTAATTTGATAGCCAATCCAAATCCAAAGTTCAAAAATACAATAGTCAAAACCAATATTTTGTATCCACAAACCATTTTAACATTTCCAGCTTTCGTTTTTGTTCGCGTTTTTTTACTGAATAAAAAAAATAAATAGAAGAAGATAGTAGATAAATAGGCAAAAAATTAATAAGACGAGAGATTATTGAAAATTTGGAGAGTATTCTGACAACAAGAAGAGAAAATATATGTATATCCGGAAAAAAAGCAAAAAAAATGCATAATTTTTTTTAGAAAAAAATCTTTCAGGGAGTTTTGGTTTCAATTGAACACGATTTTTATTTTATTCTATTTTTTTTCGAAAAAAAATGAGAAAGAAACTAATCGTAAAAAAATCCGCTTTTAATTGTTTTTTCTTCTTTTTCTCCAGTTTTAGTTTTTCCTTTTGTTGCAATTTGGCTGAAATTTTTTGACTGGAAAAAACTAAACTGTAAGAATATCGTACTAACTAACTGAATTATTATACCAATTATTTTAATTGACAAAGAAAAGTAGTGAAACCGGAAGACTTTTGTACTTAAAATGAATGGAAAAACTGAACTTATCACAAAATAAATTCGATTTTGAAAAAAATAAAGAAAATTTTTCGAAGTAAGAAAAAACACAGTGAGTAATTATTTGCCTCCTCAAAAAAATTTCGTAACTTTCCAAGAAAAACTGGTTTTTTTATTATGAGAATTAGTGAAGAAAAATTTGAAATGAGAGTATTCAAAATTTTTTTGAAACCTACAATTCCCCCGAAAAAAAGTACAAAATTGAAAAGCTAGTTTGAAAAAAAAGAAACTATTGATCGATAATACATATGAATGATGATTTTAGTTTTTTGTTTGCACAAAAGAAGAATTGAGGCGGTCTTCTTTTTTAACACTATTTATATGATTTTTGTAAACATTGCGAAAACTTTCTTCAAATTTCAAGTTTTAATTTTCTTCCAATTTTGAAAAAAAGAAACCAGACTAATTCAAATTAGAAGTCAGTGATGCGACTATGAAAAATATTTTTTTGGGCTGAAAATTTTCAAAAAGTATATAATTAAAAATTTTGCATATGTGCAAAACATATTGGCGAAAACAAAAATTTGAATGATCAGATTCCAGACTTTTGGAACTATAAAAAACATGTTTTTACTTAAAATATGTTTTTTTTAAAGCTCAATTTTGCTCATCCGATTTTTTTTCGAATAAAATCTATCTTTGCGCGATTTTTTGATGTTCCTATCCAAAAAATTATATCCAATTCAAAAGCTTACATATTTCCGTACGCTAATAATTTTCAGAAAACAAAAACAGTCGCGCCAATAAATCAGCGAAATGGCATGAACACAGGAAGGAAATAACCATATCAAATGAAAGTGACCCAAATATATTTGTGTCTAAAAATGAGAAAATGCCGACATTTTGATGGATTTATTATCGAGTCGTTGAAGATTTATGAGATATGTCAGTCAGTCATGTATTTTGTACTTCATTCATATTCATGGGAAGATTGAGACAACAATTTAGAAAGGAAAAAACTATATCAAAATGAGTTCGATAAATATTCCTCTTTTGAAAAAATTGCCTCCATCATTTTTTTGAAAAAAAAGTATGCATAATTTGTCATTGCAGAGCGCAGAAAAATGTTCCAAAATTTAATTTATTCTCGTCACGGTCAAAAAGAACATCAGAATATTGGAATAGGATAGGGTGACTTTTTTTTGGAGAAAAAAATAAGGAGTTTGGAAATTACCAAATATTTGCAAGATGTAATAAAAAAATACCTTTTCCAATTCCATTTCCAGCTATTTTTTGTGTTGGTTCGAGAAAAAGAAAAAAGAAGAAAAACATTGTGAATAATTCAAGTATTTAGTGAAAATTGATTACAATGAGGGTCTTCGTGTTTTTTCTTGTTGGAACAAAAATAGCAAAAAATTTAATTGGAAGCAATTTGAATGGTTAGAGACGCAGGTTTCAGTCATTTTTTGGAACTTTTTTCCAATTTGGTTGAAAGGATCTGCGAAACACAGAAAACAACGAGCAGAAAATAAAATAGAGGAAGAGATGTTGTTTTAGATACTATTTATTAGGTTATTTTATTAGGGAAGTGGATTTGGGACAAGAAGAAAAAATAAACAAGAAATCTGCGTCTCTTGAACAAAAAAAAAACACGAAATGAGACTAATTTGGTAAATTGAAGAAAAAGAAACACATTCTTCTTTTCTCTAACATTAGAGCTCTATAGAAAGAAAACCTGTGAAAAGTTTTCGAAGTGCACTCAATTTTTTTTCAAAAAAAAAAAGAAAAATTTTCACAAAGAAAGAAGATACTGCTACTTTCACCACTTCTAATTAATTTAATTTTCTTTTCGCAATTCAATTTTTTTCAAAAAAAAAAAATAAAAAAGAAATCTTTCACAACCAAAAAAAGTTCACAAAACATTTTTCGAGACCAACAACTTAACAAACTCAGAAAAAACGAAAGAGTTGCTCGTTTTTTTCGAGCAAAGAAAAAAAAAGAGATTTTGGAGTAGAAAGAGTACTACAAAATTTACATATTCTCGAACTCTGAATAATAAAATATTTGGGGAGGAAACTATTGATACTTATTAATTATTTGGAAATCGTCGAATGTTTAATGAGAGAAAGCAAGTCAAAACAAATTAAATATAATTGGTGTGATTTGCGGTTTAATACATTAGGAAATAAGTTTTTTCTAATTATAGGCATCTCTTTTCTCAAACATATTATTTTCACATAACAAACACATTTTTTTGACTGAAAAAAATGAGAAAAAAAAAGAACTGGAATTCAGAATTTTAAATCAAGGTTGGCAAAATGAAGGGATTTTTGGTCCAATTTGCGCAACATGTCAATAAACAATCGGTGAGAGTGAAAAAGACGAAAAGATATTGGAATCGCGCGTGATCTACAGCGAGTTAAAATTGTGGGTCTAGGATTTGTGAAATCTAAAAAATAGGCTTCAGATTGATTTTTGAGAATTTATTCTTGAACTTTCAATTTCAGAAAAAACGAACAAATTTCGGTTCAATCCAGAAACTTTCTCAGAAATTCAAAAAATGATATTACTCTTCTCATTTACCCTAAAAATTGAAAAAAAAAAAGTTCAATTCAAAATTTCTCAAAATTTTTATTGTCATGTAAGTTTTCTTATTTTCTTCAAAAAAAACTTTCTGACATCTTTTTTCTCCGGATCAAAAAAGAAATAAAAAAACAACTGAAAATTCGAATGTGAAGAGTAGTGCATCCATCAGTTTTGCAATTTTTTGAATTCCCCACGGAATTACAAATTCGATGGAAGAAACAAAAAAAAATGTGTGGAAATAAAATGAACTTTAGGTTTTTTGTTCTTCTTCGTCACGGGATTCTGAAACTTTGTTTCCTTTCCTTTTAGCATGTCTCGTATTGTTGAGCAAAATTAGAAAACATGTCGAATTTCGTAATTTTTATAATAAGAAAAATAAAGTTTTTTGTTGTAAATATCTCTTTCCTTTTTTGTACATGCTCTCCTTGCCAAACTTCAATTGACCCCCTATAAATTGGTCCCAAGCCAACAAATGGGCGGAGCTTAAAGGGTGTCAAAAAAGCAACGCTCCTGTTTTATATTGTTATTATATTAATTATAAAATAATTAGACTCTGCTATTTTTTGTTTCTCGTAATTTTTGTTGCTGTAAATATGGCCCTACACAAGTTTAAAAATGAAAGCGATTCTGAATCTGACTACGAAAAGGTTGAGAAGATATTTTTCTTTAATTGGAACGAAATCAAAAGTCCGGTGAGTTTTCTTTTCAAAATTCATTTTTTTTTTCATTTTTCAAGCTTTGCCACGTCATAGCTCATATTACTCACGGCACAATCTTTTTATTTCAAAATTCCGACCAAAACGTATTTTCTTGCAGTTCGATATTCTTCCAATGGAAATGAAAATGATGATTTTCATATATTTGGATCCGGAAGATATAACTCAATTTGGAAAATGCTCAAGAAGTTGTCAACAAATATTCAGATTATTCCGACCAAAAATGAAAACAGTAATTTATCGAGGAAATGGAATCAGCCAATCAGAACAGTTTCCAAAATGTTTGATGCAAATCGTATTTCATCAACATCCGTTTAAGGAATACGAGATAGAAGTTGAAACATTGAAATCAAACAATTGGAAAGAAACTGACACGAAAAAATTACCGACAAAAAAAACTAAAATATGCAGATCTAGTATTACACTCTCAAAGTTAGTTTTTTTTTGGCTGAATTTGTGAAAATTAAGTCACCGATCAATGTTGATCCATTAATGAACGTGTTTTTTATTTCTTTGGAATCGGAATTTTTCCAAAAAGGTTATGACGTCACAAAATATAAGCACATTTCCAACAGTCCAAAAATCCTCTGTAACTTATCCTGGGGTCAAAATTGATTCTTACCCAAGTTTAACCAAATAGGTGTTAGACCCTTGGGATTTCCAATCTAGATATTCCAGTTCAATTCCAGCGGCATTCAAATACTCATATTTTCAGATCCACAAAAACACAGCAATCAACATATGAAGCAGTGAAAATACTGTCAAAGCGAACAAAACCAAAATGTTATTGTAAGACTGCTCTTGAAATGTTCAAAAGCATTATTGAATTCAACAAATCATCGATTGAAGAAATTGAAATTGAAGCAAGTATTATTGTAAGTTTTTTCAAAAAAAAAATGTTTTTTTTCGAATTTGGGAAGCTAATTGTTATTTAGCAAGGACCGTCCAAAACTTTCAACCTCAATATCTTTATTCATTTTAGGAATCAAGATACATGAGATCGATCGATATTTATTCGGAAAACTTAAAAAAATTATTAATCAATGGATATTTCACAAATCATCCACAATTGAATCATTTTCTCTCGGTTGAATATCTTATAATGCAAAATTTCAATCTTCGCAAGAAACATTTTCCAATGATAAAATCAAAGTATCTTGGGATTCACAGTACAGTTATGGACAAAAAATTATATGAACAATTTTTGAAAAATTGGAGAGACGGAGAATTGAATGATAATTTAAGAGAAGTGTTGATGATTGGAGATGATCATGACTGGTTTCGCTATTTGTTTCTTGATAATACGATGCTTAGATTTATGATGAATGAATATGGAGATATATTACAATAGTGAGTTGATAGAAAGTATTTACAGGAGGTTTATCATATTGGCACCGTAAAGTTTTTTTAACGTGTTCACAAACTTTAAGAATTATGTTCAAAATTCTGTTATTTTCGATTTATCCTCTCTTTAACTTCACAATGTTTTAGAATTTGGAAAATGAGCTCTACACAATCTCAGCAAAATTCGGAGAACAATTCGAATTTTTTAAATTCCCAAAACTTCTGAAGGGCTTGAACCACTTTTTCAAAAACGCCGTAAGATTCAAAAAATCTTCATATTTTTGCAGCAGAAATCATGCAAAGAGATGTGGACTTGTTGGCTCGCCATCAATAGTTTTCGATATCTACGGAGTTATGATCGATCATGTTGATAATTTGCCTGTTCGAGTAAGTCTTGTACGAGAGGATTTTTAAGAATTTTCTGTTCTTATGGGTTTCTTTATCTGTTTTACTTTTTTTCTGGAATATATCAATAAAATAATTGAATCTTAATCACATTTATCGCCCATGTCAAATGGCTTATCGAAATGTGTTTTCCCTCCTCATTTTCGGTGTTTTTTTCACAGAAGACTCAGGAAAAAATATATTTTTTTCATTCATTTATTTTTGAATACACTTTACGGGATCTGAAACTTTGTTTCTTCCTGCAGATTTTGATATTCTTTACAAATGAAAAAATTTATTACTCGGATAAAATTATCACAAATTCGAAGGATCAGCCAACAATGCTTTTTTCTCGTTTGACGACGCTTAAATAAATAATAATTTATTCCTTAAATACTACTTGAAAAAATCTAAAAATCTATAATTTTTTAATCCAACCTCCTTCTGACGTATTTGCACCATTTCCATTTGTTTCGTGTCCATTTGTCAATTTTGCTGATTTCACAGATTTTTCATCATCTGAAGCCTCCAAAAGACCTTTGACAAGTTCCTTATCGACTCCTAGAAAACAATTTTGAAAAATAATCAAATGGTCTCCCAAACCTTTTCCACCAACTAAAACTCCATTCAAATGTTGTTCAACTCTTCGAAGTTGTCTTTTCTTGGCAAAATGTTCACAGCCTAAATTTTTTATTATTTGAAAAAATGAATATTTCTATTACTGTATCCAACTTACACATATAAATCAAAGCAAGAGGGATAATTGTAATAATTCCAATTGGTCCAATACTCGAGGTGAAATTATTGTACCATCTATAAATGTCTTTTGTCTCAGCAAACTCACAATAATCCCCTGAAAAGATTTTAAATTTTTAGGGAAAGAAAACTTTAAAGAAAAGACTTACCAGTATATGGCTCGTTACAATTACATTTTGTTAAATCACCATTTGGTGTACCAACTCCATTACAATTTATAATATCACAATCTGGTCCAACCCATCCTTTTTCACATTCTGTGCAACTTCCATTTTGTTGTCTTTCATATCCGCCACAATGCATTGGACGATGACAGAAATCACCAGTCCAACCATCTATACAATAACATTTGTCACCTGAAATTGATTAATTTGGAATCGTTTGAAAATGAATGTCAGAAACTTTAATGCACTGTAAAAATTTCAATTTTTAATTTGGATGTTCAGGTTTCGTTAAAATATTTTTTTCAACTTTCCGAAAACTGAAAAGCATTATAGAAATATAAATTTGGGCTAAACTGTTCAAAAAATTGACCAAAAATTAAGATAAGATTACAAACTTGTACATTCTTTGATCAAATTTTTGTGTTCCAATTATTTTTTTCGAAATTAATTGATCAATCAAAAATTGATGTCACCTGAAATTTCACCTAAAATTCAATTCAAAAAATAATAATCACAAACCTTCTGGTGATCCATTGATACATGGTTTCTTTTTTCGAAGAACAGCAGCGATCGAAATAATTAGTATAGCTGAAAATACTAATCGGCTGAACCACATATTACCTGAAAATCAACAATTAAATGCATTTTTGATCGTACGAAAAAAAGGAGTTTTGCAAGACGGATGGCCTTGTCACCAAATTAACACCGAGAATTGAATTCTTCTTGATTTAGGGGGTATTGATGGAATTGTTTCGAGTACTGTATTTGGAATATCATGAATATTTTTTTCAAAAAAAAACTCGGCTTGAATTATTGTATGAAAATGTTTCAAAGACACAAAAAAACATATTTTCTAGCTAAAAAGTACTCTAGCAAAACCCAAAATTTTTCATGTTGAAAAATAGAAATGAAAATTCGAGGAAACCAAAAATCAGAATATTAAAATCGTTTGTCAAAACAGAAATAAGGAAAAATTGAAAACATATATTTATTTGTAAAAGATTGACAATCTCTTTTTCTTCTTCTGTGTTTGGAAGATGATAACCTGTCCGAATTCGAACAAAATGTGAGAGAATTGACAAATCAGAGAGACGCAGACATCGAGACGAATCGAAAGCTAATCATTCAGAAGGTCGAGAAAATAAGACAACTGGTTGAAATCAAATACTACAACACAACTATCAATCCAAATTTACTACACATAAATTAGAATCGACCCTTATCGATAACATCCGAATTCTAAGAGTTTGCAGAAAAACATTATTTCGCAATAAAAATATTTATGATAAAATACCTGAAAAATATAAACATGAAACAATTAGGCTCCCAATTGTTTGTAGAGAATTGGAACGTAATCATCGTATTCGGCCTGACATTCAAAATTACACTTATTTCAAGACAAACACGAAGTGAAACAATTACCTGATACAAGTTTCCGTAAATCGGTTGTCCCAAACCGTGTTTTTCAACAAATTTGGCAGCTTTCCAGCCTCCTCGCTTATCACCAGATGTGTTTGTCAATTTTCCGTGTTCCGCATCTTCGATACGTTTCGATTGTTTGTACAAAAGGAAAATGTAGCGATGCAATCCAGTATTTGGTGGTGGACCAGATCCGATATAAGCCGAGAGAACATCTCCCTTCGAGATGTCGTTTCCTGGAATATTTGCGACGAGCCAATGATGCCATTCGCGATAAATTGGATCTTGGCGAGATGGCGCATCCGGATCTGTAACATGTTTTCATTTTTAGTGATTTTCTAAAAGAATGTTTACCAGTCATGATAAGTGTATACAAAGCTCCATCTTCAGCATCCCATTTAACTTCTGGTTGATCTTTGACTTGAGTTGGGGTCAAAACATTTCCCAGACTGGCTTCAACTCCAGAATTGTATTTAACCGACAATGTCTTCGATGGAGCACCAGATGGGAGAACATCAGGAATAACTTGATGTTTGGTGAATGCTTCTGACGCCATTGATGCCAAACCTCTTGAAATTAGCAAATTATCTAAAACACTCAACTTTATCAACAAAAAAACCTTGTGAATCTCGGTGCTCCCGTGATTAAAACGGCGGTCAAGCGAGTTAACATGCTTAAATTCATTGATTATATTTTTGAGAAATGAAGATAACGCGTTAACACAGAAAAGATGCCTAGGTCAACAAAAAAACAAAAACAAAAATTATTTTTGAAGGTCGCCCGAGAGAAGTACACAAACTGTTCGTTCATTTTTTTCGTGATGAGATATTTTGCAATAAATGAGTGCGTCTTTTTTTGCAAGTGTTTTTTTTTTGAAAAAGTATATTTTTCAAGAAAATTTTTTTTTCTGAAAAATTTCTCGGAATATTTCGAATGAAATTTTCGAAAAAAAATTGTTTCTAGTCCACGTGAGCTTTTTTTCGCATTTTATTTTTTAATTTTCGTTTCGAATTTTTGGATCATACAAAGTCAACCTATCTCAAAAATTCATAGATTCCTGAAAATAACTACTGTAAGAGAAACATCACACGTATCAAAAATTACTTTTATCATTTATTGCTTCATAAAATAAACCCATAATAATTTTCAGATTTCAATTGGATGATTTTTTCGATTCGATGAAGTGTGCAAAGGTGATTGTCGTTCATCGTGAATTCGTCGACAATGGAAAAAACATAATACAAAAATGGCAACAATAATTAGAGCAATCACAATTAGCAATAAGGCGAAAACCATTCTGCAAAAACAATGAGGTTAGTTTATTTTGTGGGTGTTTTTTGTAGTCCCATTGGGACTGTCCCATTTACCTGTAAATCCCCTCAACGGATTGTTGAATTTTTCGAGTTGTATCATAGTTGTCATAAATGATGCCTGAAAACATTTGTTTGAAGTTTATTAGTCAGAAAATTTATAATTAAATCTTTTTTGAAAAAAAAATCCGACTAACCATCGGCAAAAAGAATACCTAAAAGACCGTTGAGTATCGCTTTTTGTTCTTCTCGTATTGATGAGCTATAACTATCCATCCGTGACATTTTCATTTGAGTTTTTACAATTTTTTCATCTGGTTGTAGTTGGCTGAAAATTGAAGAGAACTCTATTGGAGGAAAAAGAAGAGGAACAAATGATTAGAATGAGGTTGCAAAAATGGAACTATTAGAATTACTTTCGGCAAAGTATATTGATTAACAAACTGGGATTTTATAAAGCTAGCTTCAGAAATTGTTAAAACAAAATAGAAATTCATCAGGATAACTATATAAACTCGTAAGGTTTAGAAATCCTAGAGGGTTTGAAAAATTTTCTGGAAACATACACGACCGAGATAAGTAGATAAAAATATACTACAGAATTTCATCAGAAGGCTCAACTGAAAGCTCAAGAGGTTTCCTTGTCAGAACCATTTCCTACTGTAGAATTTTCATTAATTTCTCAAGAGATTCCGAAAAAATATTCCCTAGATTATTAGCTAACAGAAATCTATCTCTTACAAAATCCCTGTCTACTTACTGTAGGTGGCAATAAGCCAACAAACAAAACAAAATGACACTTCCTAAAAATTGGCAGATAGGAAGAAGGAATAAGAATAAGAAGAAGTAAGTAAACTGAGATTCTCGTTTTTTTTCTTGCTTTTTCTCGTCTTCGATTGAGCAAACAAACCGAGAAAAAAATGGAGGATATTTAACACAAAAATTTGTGTGGAACCTTTTTTCGTAAAATTTTTTGAGGAACAAAAAAAGGAAAATTTTGTTTGGTTTTGGTTATGATTCGAATCTTTTTCCTTCCAAAACACAACGTTGGTTTCGAAAAACTAACTACATATACTACTCACTTTTTCCTGAAATAAAATAAAAGTGCTGAAATTTAGCGAGCAGGTGAAACTTTTTTCTCGCGGCATATTTTCTACACGTCAAGAAAAAAAGAAACGCCCGAAAAATCGAGAACAATGAGGAAAAAAGTGAATAATTTGTTAGTTTTTTCCTGTTTTTTTTCTGGGATGGAAAAATTCGAAAACAAAAATAAACAACATAAAAAAGGCCAAATTCAATCCGAAATTGATTTTTTCTCGGTCTTTCAGAAGAGGCACAATTTTTTAGTATAAACAAATATTTTGAAACAAGAGAAAAATATGTTTCAGAAAATTCAAAAATTTTTAGATTTCAAAAAAAGAAGGCAAAAAAATTGTGAGAAGGAGATAAGAAGCGAATTTGTGCCCAGAAATTTGTTTAGCTTTTCTCCTTTTTTCGTGCCGTCGGTTGCCCACCTAACTCGATTTCTCACTTTTTGATTTTTGTCTTTGTCTGAATTTTCGAAATTCAATTTTCTCCTATACTTTTTGTTTTTCTGAGAAGAAAAGGGCAAAATGTAATACAATTTGATATATAGAAAACTAAAAAAATGTAGATTTTTGATAAAATGTGAGATGAGATGTAAAATATACATTTCCTCCAACAAATTTTTATAATTTCTCACATAAATAAGGGAAATGGGTAGATTATAAAACGAAAAAGAGGATTATCCCAAGCATCAAAATTAGATACTTCTGGAAATTTGCTCATTTTAAAAAAAGAAAAAGTGAGAAAACTCCAAAATTGTTCTTCAAAAGTTCCTCAAAAAATTCGGACAGACAAACAAACATATGTTATATTATTTAGTGTGTAAGAAGAATTTGTCGGAAAAATAAGAAATGACAATCAAATGTCGAAAAATATAGGTATTAAATGACAAACAAGAAAAAGTGAATGTATTAGAAGAGCAACAAAAAACAAGAAAAGTTGTAGGAAAAAAGTGGAGAAAATAATAAGAAAAAATTCGATTAGGTTGTTATATTTTCGCTTCGACGAGTTGATTACTTTTTGCTATTTTAAGCGGAAACAAAAACGAATTCTTGATGATTTTATTGGAAAAATAATCGAGATGTTTTGAAAGTGACAGATTTGTTTGTTCGAAATTTTAAATTTCAATAATTCGAGGTGATTTTAAAAGGGACCAGAGTAGAATTTTTTGTGTTTTCAAAAAATTTTCTTGACAGCTACTTTTTTTCAGTTAAAATGTCAGAAAATTGAATTACTGAAAATACCCTTTTTGAAAAAAGTTCTTTTCTAATTAAATTATCTGCTAAAACTTTAAAGGAAGGAAAATTCCACCTGATCCTAAAATTACCAAAAGCTTTGAAATTGAATTTTCTACAAATTAAAAAAAGTTCAGACTTACTTTAGAACTCGATTTCCAAATTATTGTTGTTTTGAAATGTATATTTTCTATATTTTCTTCTCGGGTCAGAAGTGAAAAAAGTTAGAAAATAAACAAAAAGTGTGAAAAGAAGATGAATTGAGTTGAGTGAAAAAGTGAAAAGCCTCTTCTTTTGGCTTTGTTACATTTATGAAAAAAAAAACTTGTTGGCTGAAATCTCGAGGGACCTTTTGATGTTTTCAATTTTTTTTTGTTTAAGAGTCTCATCAGTTTCAAGTATCTTCTACAGTAATCACTCGTCAAAAAAAAGTCAGAAAAGTTGTTTCTCTTTCTTTCTCTTCGTCTCTCAATCAATAATGACCCCCAAAAACAGGTTCACAATCTTTTTTTCATTCAAATATTTTTTTTACATAATAATAAGAAAACAATAAAACAAAATGTCAACTGAATTCACAACTCATTTTGTGAATCCTTCAACTTCTGAAGATTTACTTTTAGAAGACGACAAATGCTCAGCATCTTATATGACTCCTTATGCAACTGTTATTGCAATGGCTGCACTATATTTATTAGCTATTTTTTATTTTTTGAAAAATGGAAAGAAAATATGTTTACCTTTGCCAGATTCATTACATCCATATCAAAAAAGATTGAAGCAGCTGGAAAGAGGTTAGAAATTATTTTATAATTGACTGTGAGAGGATACAAATTTAAATTCAGATCTTCAATCATATTTAATAGCTGAAGATGGAATGGAAGTCGATGATTATCAAATTGGCCAAACTGACAATGGATTTGTGTTTCGTGGTGGAGTTTATCCGAAAACAAGAAATCGGTTCAATGCAAGAGTTACAACTGCGGTTAAAGTAAGTACTTTGACTAGAAAATGAATCATGGTGTTTTTTTTTCAGATAAGTTTTCCAATCGTTAAAAGATCTATAAATTTATTGGAAGATGCGTTAAGACTTTCGAAATTGGAACATCCAAATTTAATTCGACTTTTGGGAGTTTCTGAATTATCATTCACAGGTAAGGACTATATTTTTAAAGTTAGTTATATCTCAAAGATAACTTTTTTTTCTAACAAAAACCCTATGAAATTTATCATAGATAAATTTGATCTCTCATCCCACCCCCATTAAATTTTCTCAAAACACAAAAGTTTAGTTTTTCGACCAATGATTGCTTTGGAATGGCTTCCTGGTGGTACTTTGGCTGATTATTTCACATATTCTATCAGAGTACGTATTATTTCCAATGTTTTCCGAACCTCGAATATATTTTTTCAGGCAAAAGAAGATGATGATCGTCCAACAGTTCAACTGAAAGATATGTTATCTGTTATTCATCAAATATCTCTAGCTCTCAAATATATTCATGGTAATTTGGATGAATTTGGACAGGAGTTAACACATGGAAGAATAATTCCAAGAAATATTCTGATTTCCGATCAAGAACTCAAAAAATGCCACGTGAAATTGGGAGATTTCGGAGATGATCCATTACCAGGAAGTGTTCCAATCCTTGCCTATTTACCACCTGAAATTCTTTGTTGTTCTGAAAAAGTGGCTCCGCATCGACCAGAAAATGATGTTTGGATGTTTGGTGTGTTGTTTTGGCAATGTTTGACACTTGGAGCTGTCCCGCATTTTCGAAAATCTGTTGACGAAATAAAAAAAGTCGGTTCATTTTTTCATTAAATCTCTTTCTCTACTATATAAGATACATTTGAGACGAATTGAACTTTTAATCCGCTTACGAATATTTTCCGAAAAAAACAATTTATCCTTTTTGAGCAGCCAAAAGTTCAGAGCTTTTTAATGAGAAAAATCAAACGAAATTAAATACGAAACTTCCTTTTGTCCTTTTCTTTTTGTTAAAAAAATGAAAACAAAGCTAAATATTTTATAGATCATTTCGTCTACCAGACAGAGGTCTTTCATGTCCTCCAACTTGTCCATTAGATGTTTGGACTTTGGTAACTGATTGTCTTTCCGAAGCTCATATTCGACCTCGATTCTCATCAACAACTCCAGCATTATCAATCCCAAATAGAGTATCTTCTTTACATAATTCTATATCAACTTCTTTGTTTTTATATCCCACACCTGATATTTCATCATGTTCTTGTTTAGAACATCACTGTCAAAATATTGCTGTATATTATTAATAACATAATTTCCGAGTTTTGAATTAGATGGTGGGCGGAAAGGGGCGGAGATTGATAGAAAACAACAAAAAAATCAGCGAGAAAAGGAGAAAAATATTATTTCAAGTGAAAAAGTTCCGAATTTCGTGCAGACTTGAATTGTTGATAACTTTTTTCTTCCGCGTTTCAGACTTTTCTGTAAAGAATTACATTTTTTTCTGAAACTATTGATTTACTTGAACTTTACTTCGAACTTTGGATCATGGATTTTCTAGATCATCCCAGGTGATAGTTCCGCCTCAATGACTTCAAGACAGGTTCCCTTATTATTAAAAACCCAAAAAAAAGTTTCACAATCTCGTGCAGACTTGGATTAAGTGAAAACTCATAAATTTGAATAAAAAATTGTTGATCATTTTTTCTTTCTCGCGTTCCAGACTTCCGAAGAAAAAAAATTCTTTGCGGTTTTTCCAATGTGATCTTTGCTAAACTCAAGTTCTAAGCTCTTGAGCTAAACTAATTCTCAAATTGACCATCAAAATATTTTTTCTCTCTAATTTTATACCCATTTTTTGCGGTCCAATTTTCCTAAAATCTAACCCGCCTAGATTTTTTGTTCTTCTCACAACAAAACTAATCCTCTTTCGAAAAATAGAAAAATATATTTAATCTTCATTTTTTTTTTTCTCAGTGAGCTCTTTTCGGAGAGCTCTAAGAATATCCTATCGTTTCAAATTTCTTCCGAAAATTTTTCATAAATTTTTGATAATCTCGAAATTAAATATAAAGGAAGAATGAATGACGAGCACTTTTTTCTCTCATTTTTTTGCGCGCTAGCAAAATATTATTCATTTTCATATTTTTTCTGGTTACAAAAATTTGTAGGTTTCAAAAGTTCAAACACCGAAAAAAGTAGTATCTACCGTAGACAATTAGCCCTCTTTAGTCATTTTTTTTCCAGATAAATACTTTTATACTACTTACGTTTACTCTTCTTTTTTTCTTTGCTCATCTTGTCCAATCTCGTTTTTTTTTTCAGAAATTTACTTTTTTCTTTGCTCACCGCACACGCTTAGGGCCAATTAGAGGCAAGAAATTGAAGAAGAAGAAGAAAAAAAAAGATGGAAGGAAAAAAAACGAAAAAAAAAGAGAAAAAACTAGAGACCTTCTACATTTCTATAAAAAATGATAAATGTTTGAGATTTTTCAGACATATTTAATTTGTGCTATTTTTGTCGGCTTTTCCTTTTTCCTTTCTTATTTATATTTTTCTTTTACGTCATTTCATTTCATTTCAATTTCATTCTTATTTTTTTTCGAATTCATTCACATATTTGCTGTCCAAAAAAAAAGAAATTCGATTTTCTTTCCGCACTTTTGAGCCTGAGCCCCTATCTGAAAATAATCAGCCAATTTTTTTCTTCTAAACACCTGCACATTCATATCTGAAAAAATTAGTTTAACTTGAATGCTCTCGCTCTTTTTTTCTTCTTTTTTTCTTCTTCTGACAGCCAAAAAATGTCAGCATATAATTTTAGGTTTCGCTGATATTTTCCAATGAAAAATGTAAAATGTACTATATAATTATACATGAGCAGCTTTTTTTTCATTTCAGATTTTTTTTGAATTCATGTTATTTCAAATTTTTTGTGTCCTCTGTGCAAAAAAATATTCTTTTTAAAAAAAAAAAAAATGAATGAATGAATGAATGAGAAAATGTGTCTAATTAGGCACCTAAAAATAAATCTTCAAAAAATATCGGATTTCATTGTAAACTCGAACCTTTTCGTTTTTTTTTATTTGGAGCCACAATAAATGTGTTTCATTGAATTGCTATACGTGTGGCTTTTATTATTGATTTTCAAACCACTTTTTTTTGTGTTTCAGGTATAGATCAATACGGGCCTTTTAGGCCTCAAACTTAACCAAAAATGATGTCAACAAACTCGGTAATTGTTCAAAAACCTCCAAACACACTGTATTGTTCTTTCTCAATTTATGTTACTACTTGTATTCTGGCTATGTTTCAAATTATTCTAACCTCATTTATGGCGTAAGTTTATTAGTTTTTCTTTCCAATACATTGGAAATCACTCACCGCAACAAAATAATTGAATTTCAGAATCTTATACAAGAAAGTGTTGGAAGGTGGAAGTTATATAGTTCACATTGTTTTCTGGATCCATATTTATTGCATCTTTGTGTCCACAATCTTCTTTGTCTTCTGTGTTTACAAACGAAAAATTGGATCAGCCTATGAAATTGTTCTCCACGCATACCTTCTTTGTGTTGTCAGTTCCCCGTTTTTTTTCAAAATCTTCTACCTATAATTTTTTTCAGCTTCTCAATGGCTTGACTTCATTCTTCGGCGTAATGTATATCCCACTTTTTTTCTTGCAAACTTCTCATTCTTTCATGGAAGGTAAGAAAGAAGTGATATTGATTTTCAGCGCAGAAACAATGTTTTTTTTGCAGGAGTCGATTTTTTCGTCTGTTTCGCTGCTAGTGCTCTTCTTCTCGGTCTTCAATGGGCCATCAAACAGGTCACCGAACAAATGTTACCGGTCATGGAACACGATTTCAAAGTTTAAATTATTTTTTTTTTTTTTGATAATTTTTTGATACACACTTTCCTGATATTTTGATACTTCATTTATTTTTCACATCAACTTATTTTTATTATGAGACAATGAAATATATATTCCAAATTTGTTTTCTTTCTGTACAAAAATTTTCAAGGAGTCCATGTTTCCGTTAAAAATAAATTTGAGTTTTGATTTGATCATGAAATTCAGTACTAAAAATATAACAACAAAGATTTATTCAACATTAAACAGCCCATTTGCCACAAGCTGAAAAACGGTCCCCTGGTTTCGTGCAGTTAAAATCATCAAATTTTCCAAGATCTGGTTTATACTGCAAACATTCTCCAGAGCAATTGTAATCAATAATCGTAGAATTATTAACAAGTTCAGTGTTGTTTGAAACTTCTGGCAACCATCGGAAAGTTGGAGAACAGGGTTTTGGAATCACTGGATATTGTTGAGCTCCAAGAACAATTGAGTTGCTTATTCCATTTTCTTTCACAACATTTTTGAATTCTTCAAATTCTTCCCAGTGAGCAAATCCGTTCAGAGTACTCTCTACATTTTTGCAAACTGCTACTGCTTCGTCATAAGTGTTTTGGATGGTTGTGATAATCTGAAAATTATCAGAAAAATCGATTTTTTTATTGAAACTTTCAAAGTTTTCTCACTTTATAGCACCATGTTTTTCCATTTGATCTTACAAAAGAATTCCATCCGGAATCACAAGTTGGCAATTCATAGTTTATTGTGTAGTTTACTCCGCTGTTACACTGCCTATCAGTTTTTTGATATGTTATAGAATATTTGTATTCTTCCGATTCAAATAGTAAACATGTTGGATACGTTGTGCAACTATTTTGAAGATCAGAGAAAAATTGGTAATATTTAATTCCATTTTTTTCATAAATGGCAAAAAAACAATATTCCGTGTTACAGTTAGTTTCAACAACTTCGTGTATATTTGGTGTTTTCATATCACCATTAGCCACGTTTGTTCGAGTCATTAAATATGAATAGGGAACATTTGATATGAAAAATAAATCACATGAACAAGAAAATAAAAACAAAACGTTCAGAAGGAATTTCAAGAGCATTTCTAGATACAATTCTAAAAGTTCATTATATGCGTATATAACATTTCCATAGATACATTCTTCATGACTACAAATGGGAAAATAACATTTGTAAACAAGATTTTTCATTTTTCTTCGCTAAGAAAATATACGGGGTTGAGGACCATATTTTTGAAGTTTGATATTGATATAAATGTATTTCAATAGTAACTTTGCACAAAAAATGATAATAAAGGCTATTATTCTCAGATAGTTGAAATAATAATTCACGTTGAAGTTCGCATATGTTTTAATCTCAAAAACGAATTGGCAAAAAATTTCGAACACTCATACTTTTGCGTTGAAATGAAGGATTATTTGAATGTCCTTCAACTTTTGCCTTATTTTTTGAGAAAAATGATAAAATAAATTCTCGATAATTTTTATGGCAAAATAACATTGTTAAAGTTGCAAAACATCCATGAGATGCAATCATCATAATACTGATATTTGTAAAACCTGCAAAATAGAAAAAATAAATGAATGATAATTCGAAAAATATTACTGACCTTGTCGATAATAATTGAATTGAAATGCATACCAAAAATAAAAAATCGGCAAAATCAAAATTGCAGTGGAAACAGATATTTGTAAACTGAGAGCTGAGAATACAGCTTTTTGTAATTTTTGTGTTTTTACTGATGCAAAATTTGATATTTTTCGAAGATGATAAAATGAATGAATTGAAAAAAATACAATTTGAATAAAAGCAAACGAAAGTGTAGTACTCAAGGAAAAAATAGCATTATCATATTTCAAAGTTAATGTGAATACTGGTTGTTGAAAATATTCAATTGTTGGACAAGGTATTCTCTGAAAATGAATCATCTATTAAAAATCCTAATATTCTTGAAATCCATACTTTCAAAATCTCAAGAGCTGCAGGAATTTGATCTGGAATATGAAGAAACACGGGAAGTTGACAGAAGAAAGGAAGAGTGACATTGAGAAAGTAGAATAAAATACGACTGAATTTTCCAGTGATTTTGAAATTACTTCTAACAAGAATGTTATGACGATTCTCAAAAATAATTGGAATCGAGAAATTCATCAAACTTATTCCAAAAACTGCAATAAAACATTGAAATATCATTGGAAATCCGATACTGCGATAAATTCCTATTGTGAATCCAGAACATGTTGGGAAAAACAGATATGGTATCATGCAAACTGTTAAATTAATGTCAAGGAAAATTATTCTGTAAATGTCCAAGTTGATTGAAAACTTTCATATTGATTGGAAATACTTACATGCTTTGCAAATACATCAAACATCCTTTTGTTTCTAATTTTTTTGGTGTTTTCGTAATTATACAATACATTCCAAAAATATCGATTGGAATTATAACAATACTAATTGAATGACCGATAATGAACACAAAATCAGAACTATCGAAAAAGTCGAACTTCACATCTTTACAGTACTTTGTATAATTGTTATTGAAGTATTCGTCCATTTAAAAATAAAATAGAAGCAGATCTGAAATTAACAGATGAAGACAAGTAGAAAATAAAATGATTGAAACTGAAAAAATATTAACGGTTCACAAATAATAACGAATTATTTTTCGGTTCGAAGAATTTTTCTAAATTCTTGGAAAATAAGCTGAACTCTTGATTTAACAAGTGTTCACAAGCAGGTGTTTTCTGCCTGAAAATTAAACATCAGCTAATTGATTATTCAGGGTACACAACATTTTCGGCTAATGATAAAATACAATAGGGTGAGAGGGAGAGATACCAAGCCTAAAGAAAGAACGGAAAAAATAAGAGTGTACACCGACTGCCCGTAAACACCAAATTCTACGCGCAACCTTGACGCGAAATATGTACTGTGTGTTTTCTGGGGATTTTGAAAAATAAAAAAAATTTTTTTTAAACAAACGGAGCGTCGTACCATTTCAGTACGACACTCCGTTTGTCCGCATGCCTGTTGTTTATCGAGAAATAATTTTTCTTTTTTTTTTTTCACTGTGTTTTTTTTTGGTTTTTGAGTTTTTTCGTAGAAAAATACGTGACGTCATTTTTTTGTTCTGGATTATTTAAAACGTTGTTTTTGATTTATAGGAAAGACCAGAAGGACTCCGCCGGCTATCGCCGGCTCCTCCTTCTGGGTTATCGCGGCTTCGCGTTCAGTATTCTTTTGATGAACGGTTTGCTCTGAAGTCCTGTTAGGAAACCTATCTGATCTTTTAATGAAATCACGAACAATGATTTTTTAGTCGATTTTTCTGATGACACAGACGTTTGGCCAAACGAAAATTCAAACACTGACCCTTTTTTTAATAATATGTACGGATTCATTTTTGTATGTGCCTCAAAAAATGAGACCCGGCTGTAATGGGAAAAATCCGTGTTGAGTCCAATAAAGAAAGAGAAAAATATGAAAAATCAATTTCGCCAAGCTAATTAATTTTTAGGAAATTAGCCGGCGGAGTCCTTCTGGTAATCAACCTAACGTGGGCAAAAATCCTGGTAGATCCCGTCTTAATTTTTAAAGAATATTTGCTGCATGTCCTCTGCTTTTATTGGAATCATAAAGGTTAGGCTAGTCCATTACTGTAAAACGCTGGGGCTGATTTTTTTTCTCGTCTCTCTCCTCATTCATCCCGAAAAAGAAACGTATGTACTTCACAGTTTTCTAGTCTAAGGATGAACCGAAACTTACAACAGAAGTTCATAAACCGTCTTGGAATCATTTGAAACCATTATTCATCTGAAGTTTCAAATAACTGATAAAAATTTCCACAGTAGTTCAACTCACTTTGTTTTCTATTAATTCAGCCAACCGATTAGGAAGAAGCTATCATCGAGAAATGACTCAAAATGTTCAGCTTCTTCAGAAAATAGAAAAATCAGATAAGAAACGTGTCCTTTAATTTTTGTGGAATAAAAACGTGCTCATTCTTTTTTACATGAAAAAAGTTTTGATTTTTCACGTGAAAACTCGCGCACTTTTCGAAAAACAAAATATTAGCGCATCGATGGGAAAGAATTTGGGATAGAATGGCGAAGGTCTCATAAAAAACGGCCTTCGGGGGACAGAGCAATCTCGAGTGGAACATTTTGAAATCAAAAAATACATTGAATTTTTTGACTTCCTCGAAACTCGAAACTCTCCGCGCACTCACAGAACCTTAATCAAAAATCCAAGAAAAATACCTCGAGGTGCCATGCAAAGCTACCTTTTCTTTTTTTGATGATCAATTTTTATGAAGTGGAAGCTGAGAACGGGCTCTGGACACACTATTTTTGAAAAAGCATGTTTCCAATTAGTAGATAGTAGATTTTTATTTATTTTCAGGTTGGACTCTCATTTCTTGAAGTATTGTATTTTGTATTTGGCCTGTCTTCAATGAGATCTCTCAATTAAACGTAAGAGGAAGTTTATTTTTCTTTCTATGATCCAAATGAATTTCAGATTGCTTCAGATTTGTTGGTTTTCCACTCCAATTTCAACGATGAATACAAAATTAATTTGAGGACTTGGTTCTTATACAACTGCAACAACTCATGTCAGGTCAGTTTAATGGGTTTTGGGGTCTGGTTTTGAGTGAAAGAACACATTGATTTGTGTTAAATTATAGCAGGTAAGTTTGGGGTTAATTTTTGATAATCAGATTAAAAAGTTTGCAAACAAACATTTGTATTTTTCTAGTTTAGAGAAAAAAACATTGTTGTGGGTACAGCAGAATTTAGCTGAGCAGATTTTGAAAACCATAAAAAAACGGAAGTTTTTATTGAACAGCATAACTTTGATAACTTGAAACATCAATGTCTTTCGCATTAGTCAAAAATAAATCACGATTTTTCAAAAATCCGAATCCGAACAAAATCAAAATCACAAAAAACATCAGAAAAGTTAGTATTTTAAAAAATCCTTGTGATTCTTCTTCCATTTTTCGAGCTCTCAAAATAATGAAAAATCCAAGTTCTTCTTCATTTGAATCACTTTCAAATCTCAAATCCACCTCGTTTTTTCCAGTCAAAATTGTATAGTTTCGATAAGTTCCGGTCAATTCAATCACATTCTTATCGATTCTCAAATAATCGTGGAAATTTTCGAGTTCCGATTTTTCGATAAAAATTTCGATTTGAGTTCCATTTTCAGATTTCAGATTAATTTGACAATTCATATTTTCACAATATTTATCCGGATAATTTGGGCTTGTTAGAATTATTGATTGATTTTCAAAAATTTTAATGGGTGGAGTAGGGCAAGAGCAATCTGGAAAAAAAACTGATAAATGGACTCATGTAAGTAGCATTAAATTTACCAAGGGTAAATTTCCACGTAATCTTAATATGGGTTTCTGTCGAAATATTCATTTCCAAACGCTGAAAATCGATATTCACTGGAAAATTGTTGGTCGAATATATATCAGATTTCTGAATTCGATGATTTATAGAATTATGATTAAAAATCAAAGCATCGTTGATATGCGGGTTTTCAAATTCAATTTCGAAAACAACACGAGGTTTTTGAGAGCTTCTATCAGTGAGAATTGTAGTTTTCCTTTGGTCATTCTCAATTATCCAATGACAAAAAATATTGCGACAAGATTTGGGAATTTTTAGTTCGATTTTCCCGCGCAAATCATTATAGTATTTATCGAAAAATGATGGGCAACGACATTTTTCCAAAATATCAATTTTCGTTATATTTATTTCGAAACTTCGATCAGCAATTGTGGAACTTGCTTTATATGTAACATTCAAGTTTCTCGAAGTTAGAAAAAATGTTCTGGGCAGGTATTTTGAGTGAAAATTGATATCTCGGTTTCTGACATTATCACCAGCTATTAATCTATCTTTGACATCAAAATTCGTGACAAAATTGAATAATAACACTGTATTTGGATTATCCGAAGGTTCGAAACTCAAAAAATAAGTGCACTTTCGATGATGGCAATTTGCTTTCGGAAAACCGGGAGATCTGATTGTTGTGAGTGTAGAATTTGTTGATATATTTTCTGCACCACAATCGCATGCTGAAATTAAATGAAAAATGATTTTAAACTATAATTTTTGTCACGTGGCATTCAGAAGTTTTAACGCTCAACAATATAAACTCACATTTATGCACCAGACTCGTCTTCAATTTCCCACTATCATATCTTGAACTTTTCGACAAATAAATATCCAAAACTTGTGTCGCAAAAAATTTTGTGCCCACAAATTGTACCTCCTTTGAAATTGTGCCATTTTCATCGTGTTCAGAAATTTTGTAATCGCTTGAAGTTTCGATGAGAATCTCATTAAAATCCTCCGAATTTTGGGGCGGAATCAGGCGATATACACATGTTTCAGATTGTTCTGGTTTTTTGAGAACTATTGTTTGATTTGCAGTCAGATTTTGAATAGGAAAATCACATTTTCGATTTTTTGGATTTTCATTTCTTGAAAAATCAAACCTAATTCCATATCCCTCTGGATTATAAAATTTTACACGAATCCCTGTGCTTTTTGGAGACTCGTATCTATAATTATAAAAAGAACATCGGCTTGTGGTGAATTCATCTAAATAAATCTCATTCTCTTTCGAATCTTCTTGCTCATCAACAAATATCAGCCAAACTTCCATGTCATAGTAACATGGAATATCCGACAAAACCACAGATTCATTCAATTTTGGCACAAAAATATACTCACAAGATTCGGCGCCTGCTTCACGGAATGATTCTTCGGTGATATTGGTGCCAAATCTTGCCATATTTTTGTTGCAAATAACATCGGCCTCGCAAATTTTAATTGAAATTATTAGAAATATCATTGAAAATGGTAGAAGCATTTTTTAAAAACAAAAAAAAAATAGTTTTTTTAGTTTATAAAAAATTTTGAAACGTTTTTTTATATAAACAAAAAAAACGGGAAACTTTTTTTGAAAATTAATAGAAGTTTCACGTTACAAAAATATTTTTATTTCAAAACCGAATTGGTTCAACATGTTGAACACTTATATTTGTACGTTGAAACGAAGGAGTATTTGAATGTAATCCATCAATTCTTGGCTTCTTTTTACAGAAAAATGATGAAATATATTCTCGATAATTTTTATGGCAAAATAACATTGTTACAGTCGCAAAACATCCATGAGATGCAATCATCAGAAAACTGATATTCGTGAAACCTACAAAATTAAAAAAAAAAAATAAATGATAGTTCGAAAAATGTTACTAACCTTGTCGATAATAATTGAATTGAAATGCATACCAAAAATAAAAAATCGGCAAAATCAAAATTGCAGTGGAAACAGATATTTGTAAACTGAGAGCTGAGAATACAGCTTTTTGTAATTTTTGTGTTTTCACTGATGCAAAATTTGATATTTTCCGAAGATGGTAAAATGAATGAATCGAGAAAAATAAAATCTGAATAAAAGCTACAAAAAGAGTAGTACTCAATGAAAACATGGCAACATCATATTTCAAAGTTAATGTGAATATTGGTTGTTGAAAATATTCAATTGTTGGACAAGGTATTCTCTGAAAATAGCACTTCGATTAAAAAATCCGCGAATTTTTGAAACCCATACCTTTAGGACTTCAAGAGCTGCAGGAATTTGATCTGGAATATGTAGAAAAACAGGCAATTGACAGAAGAAGGGAAGTGTTACATTGAACAAGTAGAATAATATACGACTACATTTTCTAGTGATTTTAAAATTACTTCGGACAAGAATGTTATGACGATTCTCGAAAATTATTGGAACTGCAAAATTCAGCGTACTTATCCCAACAATTGCAATAAAACATTGAAATATCATTGGAAATCCAATACTGCGAAAAATTCCGATTGTAAATCCAGAACATGTTGGGAAATAAACATAGGGTGTCATACAAAGTGTTAAAAGAATATCAAGGAATATTATTCTATAAAAATCGAAATGAATTAACAATTTCTGAGTTCATCAAAAAAAAAAAACCTACAAGCTTTGCAAATACATCAAACATCCTTTTGTTTTCAATTTTTTTGGTGTTTTCTTAATTATACAATACATTCCAAAAATATCGATTGGAATTATAACAACACTAATTGATCGACCAAAAATGAACAAAAAATCGTAGCTATCAAAAAAATCAAACTTCACATCCTTACAGTACTTTGTATAATTGTTAGTGTAATATTCATTCATTTTCAAAAGATTGAAGCAGATCTGGAATTCAAAGGTGCTGAATTATAGAATATCGACAAAAGTGGCTCGTGAGGTTAAATGAGAAATATAATAATATTTTTGTTCAAGAAAAAGCTTTCTCTGAAAATCATCTGAATTCTTGTTTTCATATGAATTTTCCACCTGAAGACTAATTACGGTTAATTGATTATTTGAACTACAAGAAATCTGGTGAATTTTAAATAAAAACTGGAAAACTGGAAGAAGTTGTAAGTAGAACTCTTTTGATTTTTTGAAACTTTAGGAAAATCAGCTGCATAGTTGAACATATTTTTTTCATAAAAAGAGTTGAATCCTAGAGTATTTGTGACAATCAACAAAACAAAAGAAACCCAATAAAAATCACATAAATCAGGTCCCATTCAATTTTGTCTGCAAAAATTATAAAATTTTCATTCACAAAAATGTATAAATTATTCATAAAATGCTCGAGAATGTAATCCACTTGAAGTACTGTGGAACATTCTCGAGTTTTGTTTGAAATCTCTTTTGAAAATCGAAACAATAAAAAGTCGATAATATTTGTGACATAATAACATCACAACTGTAGCAAAACAGCCATGCAAAGCAATGAGAAAAAAACAAAAGTTACTCAAAGCTGAAAATTGACAGATGTTTTTCAAAATGATATCAATCAAAGAAACAAACCTTGATTATAGTAAGTCATGTGAATTGAGTACCAAATATAAGAAAGTGGAACAACAAGGATTGAAGTTGATATTGATAATTGTGCACATAATGAGAAAAAAACTGATTTTTGTAATTTTTGAGTATTTTTCGATGCAAAGTTATGCATTTTTCGAAGATGATACATTGAATGAGTTGAGAAAATGATCATTTGTCCAACTCCAGTTAACAATGTTATACTCAAACAAATCAAAGCTGTTGTATTTTCAATATTTAGAACAAATATTGATTGTTTAAAATATTCTTCAATTGGGCAAGGTATCAACTGAAAACAGAAGATCAAAAATCGAAATAATTTTCAGACTAAAGTTACCTTCAAAACAGCTAGAGCTGCATGTTCTTGATCAGGAATTGAAATAAACACGGGATACTGTACAATTGTTGGAAGTGAAATATTGATAAGATAAAACATGAAACGACTTATTCGTCGAGTTATTCTGAATTTTCCACGAACAATAGTGTTATGACGATTTTCAAAAATAATTGGCATAGTTAAATTCATCATACTCACAGCAACAATTGCAATAAATGTTTGAAAAGCCATTGGAACATTCCAATCGTGAAAAAATCCGATTGTAAAACCAGCGCAAGCAGGAAAAAATACAAAAGGTGTCATGAAAAATGTGAGAAGAAGATCAAGAAAAATTATACTGTAAATTATTCAAACATGAAGATTTATCAAATTGTTTTGAATAAACTTACAGAAACTGTAAATATAAAAGACAATTTCGCATTGTCTTGAATTTGATTGGTGTTTTTTTGATAACACAAAACACACCGAAGAAATCAACTGGAATAACTATGAAACCAAGAACTCTTCCGAATATTTCTGGGAATGTATAGCTATCAAAAAAATTGAAATGTGAATCTTTACATTGAATCGAATAGTTCAGTCGATAATATTCCTCCATATTTTTTCAGCAAAAAAACAGGATGTTAATCTATCAAATCTGAAAAAATTTATATTTTATTTGGATATTTTCACCTGCTGAATTGTTCATTGCTTTTGAATAAAACAAGCTTTATAAAAAGTGAAAACAACAAAGTTTATCTGTTCCTAAAAATGATGTCATTTTCAATAATTGATCATGAACCGGTTTTGAAACTTTCTTGTTACAAATTTACGTGAAATTACGGTGACTTTTTCCTCTGGAAATACTACTTTTCGCCAAAAAAAACTTCGTATCTATTTTGAACGATTCCATGAAAGGTAGTATCTTCAAAGTTAACAAAAATGTTATCAACTTGATTTTTTATCAAGTTCTTTTCCAGAACTGTTTGCCAAGTTTGATCATTTGAAGAGATCTTTATCAATTTTGGAAAAGTATAAAAGGTTCAGAATTTTTATAGGTTTCAAAACACATCGCAATGATTTCAACTTCTTTCCTTCTTCTTCTTCTCGCTGTTTTGGTTTGTCTTTTTGTTGAAACCGAAGCTCAATGGGGGTACGGTGGATATGGAATGTATGGTGGATACGGTAGATGGTACAGTAAGTTATTTTCTATTTTACGAGTATTAGGATTTCATTTGAAAATAATTTTTCAGGACGTCGTATGTGGAGAATGGGATATCCATATGGCGGATATTATGGATGGGGAAAATAAATCAGAATCTGTATTTTATTGAAAAAATAAATTTATTTACAATCATCTTTTTCATTAGTCTGTCTTGGATTTTTTAGTTAAACGAACTACAAATCTAACTAAAACTCGATAAGAAAAATATAAAAATGAGATCGAAATAAACCCAACAAACAACCAAACATCAATATAATAATATGCAATAAAATTATTGTTATTATTTTCAGGGATTAATGTTTTCAGTTTTGGGAATTTCACGGAAAATTCCATGTGTTTGAGGAGATTCTCTTTTGGGTCAATTGGTTGATTATTCAATATCATTTGCAACTGTTTTGCATTTTTGTCATAATCCGAGTTTCCAATTATTTCACTCACTGAATCAACAAGTTTTTTGTGATTTGGAACATCATTTTTGTTATATGCTTGTGCTCCTCCGTGTCGAGAAAGCATCATTGCATTATTTGGTTGATCTCCAAATAATGGAATCTGAAAAAAAGGTATTTTTGATGAAACATTCAACAAATCTTACCATCAATGCAGGTTTTCCAGCATATGCAACTTCCATTGTACTTCCCAATCCTCCATGAGTTATAAATAGTTTCACACGGGGATCTGCTAACAAAGATGGCTGAGGAACCCATTTTTTCAAATGAACATTTTTCGGAATTTTTTGCAACATCTCATCATCTTTTTCGTATTTCCAAATAAAAGTGATATCTGGAAGCGACTGGAATAAATTCAGAAAACTATTTTTATATGATTCTGGCATTTGATAAGATCGTACAACGGATCCAAATGATATCAAAACAGTGGATGGTCTTTCTTTCAGAATATTTTCATATTCTTCCGGAAGTTCATCAATTTTTTTCGATTTATCAATTGTGAATCCTCCAATATTCACAATACTTCCAACATTTGCCATAGCAAAATCGAGATATGGATTTGAATTGAAAAAATAATAAGTGGATTTTGTAACCAATTCTTGCCATGTTGGGACTTCTATATCATCTCCAATCATTTTTGAAAATTCATAAGCTTGAAATTCCATCATATCAAAATCTGTTTTTTTGGCTGTCATTAAATAATAAAAATCATTGAGTCTATCAAAAAATCCTGATTGTGGTCCAAACTTCGAAAATTCTCCAGGTATATAACCAAGAGTATTAGGTTGCCCAAAAATGGATTGAATTGAAAATTTTGAAGCCGAAAATACTGATATGGTTTTTGGTATTTTAATGAGATGCGCAAGATCTGAAAAACTTGTTGATGCTTCAAAAAATTGAGAAAGAAAACTCACAGAATGGTGAAAGTTCAAAAGTTTCTGCAACGTGCGCATCAAATTTTTTATTCTCCAAAAGATCGTGCAACTCTTTGTCATTTAGCATTTCTATAAAATTTGCTATCATTAATTTTGTTTTGTGTATCAAAACCTACGTTTTGCAAGATTTGTAAACTTTTGAGCCATAGCTCTTGGCATAACAAATGATCCAAGAACTTTGTTGTTATAAAAAACAGATTCCCATATTTCGTGGAATGTGTCTCTTTCTCCATCTCCAAGAGTATCAAAATTAGCCGGATAATAATTTATGATCTGAAATAATTCTTGTTTTGCTGATACTTAAAATTACTTTCAGAGTTACCTCAATGTTCTTGTTTTTTATCAAATTATCCATGTTTTTCATTGGTAAATGATGAAGAAACAAGGCTGTCTGGAAGTTGAATTTTGACTTACTTTAGGTCATAAAATTAGAGACGTTCTTGATAAATTAATGAAAAACTCACCACATTATGTCCACCATCAGCCAAAACATTACTCAATTTACTCATAAATTTCACATGACTGAAACCAAATACAGGAATTGAAACTAGATAGTTATAACAATAAACTTGACTCAAAAAAATGAGGAATAGAAAACCTGAAACATAAAAACGATTCATGTTTTGTTGAGAAATGACCGCCTCATCAAAGTCTTTTATAGTTTCACATCACAATGTAGTTTTTGTGATTATTGTGATTGATAAAATGTTTAACATTATCGTATTAGTAAAACACAATGATAACTGAAACAGAAAAAATGAGAGAGACCACATGTCAGAAGTTCTTGATCAAAATTTATTCGCAAAAATTGTTTGTTTAAACGTTTTTTGAGTATTTGAACGTGACACATTTTTCACGTTTAAAATCGCTATTTTTGTTATTATTTTCATTTCACGAAATGGTGGAAAACACTTTTGGCGAATTAGAATTCGACAAACTCGGTAATTTTTATCTGAAATCGCATTGGGAAAATACGGCAGACGTGCTGCAGATGTTGTGCAGATGAAGCTGTAGGCGTATAGCAGCCCTGCTGCAGTCCGGGCGTAGTTTTCCAGTGTATATACATATACGTATATGCAAATTTGATGTTTTTTTTTTTCAAAAAATAAAAAAACGAGAAAGCGTTTTCTGGTGAAGAGACCGAGAGAGAAAAAGATGACGAGAGAGTATTGCAATAGAAGAGAGCGAACAGACATTAGTATACCGTGTGTTAGAGTGCAGACACAGCGTACGTATTTTTATTTGTGGTCATCGCGCGGAGCAATTTTTTTCAATAATTTTTTAAAAAGAACGTTTTCACAATAATAGTTTCAATTTTTCAGAGATGCGAAAATATCAAAAAGAAGATGGCTGGAAAATTCGTGTTGTCTCAATATCGAAATGGATTTGGGCTTCTTTGGACATCAATTGACAAGTTAGTTTATTTTTTTTCCGGGTTAGAAAAACAGTTCACTTCAACTATTCCTGAGAAGTATCAGGAATTATATCTAACAAAGTAAGTTAGCTGTAAGTTTTTTTGCTTCATTTGCGCGTTTTCCGGGTTTATTTGAAATTTACAATTGATTATTTTTTGAAAATGTGTTTTTCACCACATTTACGTGTGTGTCACGTTTTATTTATTTTTTTTTCGTACTTTTTTTTTGTTTTTTTTTCAAAGATTTCATTAATTTCAAATATTTACAAATGTACAAATACAGGGTGTTTCATAAATAGTGTTACAACTTGCACAGCTCACCTAGGGAAGCGCAAAAGATCAAAACTCAATATTATTTGACACAAACTTAGCCGAACGTAGGTATGACAAGATTTGAAAATGAATAACATCTCATTTCAACTTTCACACTATTGCCACCAGCCCAAGTGTGCCAGTGGAGGGTCACTGTTGCACGCACGATTTTTTTCGTTCAATGAGATCCTTTATTTTTGAAATTGGTCTTTTCCCGAAAGTAACTTTCGAAAACCCTTTTTGACGGGTTTATATCGTTAGTTTAAAACGGACAAAGTAATAGCATTACTGTAGACTCGTAGCCGGGAGGTTAAAGTGAACCTACTTTTCGAAATTTTCAAAAAATAAAATTGAGTTTTTCAGCTTTTGTGGAAAAATATGATTTTTTCCACTCAATATTTATTATTCCTGTACCACAATTGTTTTTTTTTCTATAAATAACTGATTTGACCGATTACATCAAAATTTAAACTCGATTTTAACGATATTTTTGTCAAAAAATCGGGAAAAACCGAAGTTTCAGTCTAAATTGAAGATCTTCTTCTAAGTTCAAGAAAAAAATAATAAATATGTGGAGTTGTGTGAAATTTTTACTAGAAACATTGTTTACATTAGAAAATATCATATTAAGCCATAAAACTCAAAAAAAAAAACTAAAGATTTCATGGCTTTTCATTTTTGGAAAGACCGTCGTGCCAGAAAAGGATTTTTCCAAAAATTCGTTTTTGTTTACACGTCATAAACAGAGTCCAAAACACATTAATGTCAAATTTACATAGATAGCTCTTGTAGAGGAAGAAAAACTCTACATTTTTGATCTTACGACCAAAACGATTGGAATTACCCAACATTCACAAAACTGACCTAAAGATGAACAACTCTTGTAACACTATTTATGAAACACCCTGTAAAACATCAGTTAGTTTTCTCTTTTTTCACGATTTTCACAATTTTTGAAAAGAAAAATCGAGAAATATAGAAAACGGAGATCAATGTGAAAATAATTAAAGAGATAACAATTAGACCAATATCCAAAAAATAATATGAGATGAATCCTGTTTTTGAGATTTCCGGAATCAAACTTCTTAAATTTGGAAACTTGACAGCAAATTCCATATGTTTAATCAAAACTTCTTTTGGATCTATTGGTTGATTTTTCAAAACATTGAGCAGTTCTGTAGCTTTGATGTCATATCTGAAGAGTTGTTTTTTTTTGTTAATCTTAAATTGAAAATGATAGAATAGTCAAAGAACTTACTTCGGGTTATCAATCATATTTTGAAGAATTGATGTGAGTTTTTTATGATTTGGAAGATCGAATTTAGAATAAGCAACAGCTCCTCCATGTCTTTCTAACATTAATGAATTGTGAAATTGATCTCCGAATAAAGGAACCTGAATATAAATAATTGTTGAAGTTATATTTAACAATTATTCTTACCATCAATGCAGGTTTCCCAGCATATGCAACTTCCATTGTACTTCCCAATCCACCATGAGTTATAAATAATTTAACACGTTTATCACCAAGTAGTTCAGCTTGTGGAATCCATTTCTTCAAATAAACATTTGATGGCACTACATTTTTGAAATAATCATCCTTTTCATATTTCCAAATGAAAGTGATATTTGGCAAAGATTCAAATGTTTTGACCAATCCCTTTTTGAAATATTCTGGCATTTCATATGATCTCACCACTGAACCAAATGACACCAAAACTGTAGATGATCTTTCGTTCAAAATGTTTTCATATTCTTCAGAAACTTGATGAATTGTTTTGTTTTTATTAACGGTGAATCCTCCAATATTCACAATATTTTCTAATTTTGGCATTGCAAAATCTAAATAAGGATTAGCATTGACAAAGAAATATGTTGATCGTGTGATTAAATCTCTCCAGTTTGCGATATCATATCCAACTGCCTTTGAATATGCTTTATGTTGTAGATCAAATAGTCGATAGTTTCCGATTTGAAACAAAACCGTTCGATAAAAATCGTTCCATCTATCAAAAATAGAAGCTTCTGTTCCTATTCTTGAGAAATGTTTTGGTAAATAACCAATTGTTGATCCTTCGCCATATTCTTTTCTGATCGCAAATGTTACTGCCGAAAATACTGCAATTGGTGGGATGTTCAAAATATCAGCCATATAAAATCCAGCTGTATCGAAAGTCTCGACGATAACCGCATCGAATTTTTCATTTCTCAATGTTTCATGAAGCGTTTTATCCCTCAAAACTTCTGTAAAAAACTCACAATTGTCGGAGTAAATTCAAATTTATAATTAATTACTCACGTGTTGACATTTTCTCAAATTCTCCAGCTAACAAGTTTGGCATTGCTAAACATTCCAAAACTGGATTTGTGAAGAACGCGCCATCCCAAATTTGTGGAAATGTATTTTCCCCAACTTTCTTCAGTTCCTCGAAATTATCAGGAAAATAATGAATTATTTTCACATTTTTATTCTTGATCACATTATCCAGGTTTTTCATAGGAAGATGGTAATACTGCAAAACGGTCTGTAAATTAGAAATGATCAGTTTATCAAATTAAATTAATTATTAGTTTAACAAAACTCACCACATTATGTCCAGCATCTGATAATGTATCAGCAATTTTTGAGAGGAATTTAACATGGCTAAATCCAAAGACTGGATTCATAATCAAATAATGATAAGAATCTACATGCTTGATGATGACAATTAATAAGACCAACAGTAATAATGTTATTTGTCTCATAATATCTCAATATTTCATCTCATCATTCTTACAACCCTTTTATATACATTTCTCATAACTGACCGTGGTTTTCCTAGTTTGTAGTGCTTTCTTGATACTGTAGAAATAATAATTGATATGAAATTGCAGTGGTCTTAACTAGAAACTACATTTCTATCCAACACAGATTGAAAAGTCTAATCTTTTTTCATTTTACCAATCAAACATTTTGATATAATTGTTGAAATCAATTTGACAATTAAAAATACTATAAGAATTATTGAAACAAGGACGAATGAAAAAACATCCAAATAGTAAAAACCAATGAAATTTGATGATAGAATGTCTGGCGCTAATGTTTTGAAATTTGGAAATTTGACAGCAAATTCGATATGTTTAAGAACTGTTACTTTTGGATCATTGGGTTGATTTAATAAAACATCGAGAAGTTTTAATGCATTGATTTTGTATCTGTAAAACACTGTGTAATGTACAGGGTGTTTCATAAATAGTGTTACAAGAGTTGTTCATCTTTAGATCAGTTTTGTCAAAGTTGGGTAATCCTAATGGTTTTGCTCATAATTACAAAAATGTAGGATTTTTCTTCCTCTACAAGAGCTATCCATGTAAATTTGACAATAACGTAGTTTGGACTATGTTTATGACGTGTAAACAGAACGCAATTTTTTTAAAAATCATTTTCTGGCACGACGGTCTTCCCAAAAATGAAAAGCCAGGAAATCTTCAGTTTTTCTGAGTTTTATGGCTCAACATGATATTTTCTAATGAAAACAATGTTTTAGTGAAAATTTCAAAAATCTCCAGAAATTCATGATTGTTTTCTCGAAGTTAGAAGAAGATCTTCAATTTCAACTGAAACTTCGAATTTTTCCGATTTTCCGACAAAAACATCGTTAAAATCAAGTTGAAATGTTGATATAATCGGTCAAATTAGCCATTTATAGGATGAAAAACAATTGTGATACAGAAATAACAAATATTGAGTGGAAAAAATCATATTTTTCCACAAAAATTCAAAAACTCAATTTTATTTTTTGAAAATTTCGAAAAGTGGGGTCACTTTAACCCCCCGGTAAAGTGTCTAGATGTGATTCTGTTACTTTGTCCGTTTAAACTAACGAAATAAACCCGTCAAAAAGGGTTTTCGAAAATAACTTTCCGGAAATCACCAATTCCAAAAATAAAGACTCTCTTTGAACGAAAAAAATCGTGCGTGCCACAGTGACCCTCCACCGGCACACTTGAGCTGGTGGCAATGGTGTGAAGGTTGAAATGAGGTATTATTTATGTTCAAATCTTGTCATAACCACGTTCGGCTATGTTTGTGTCAAAAATATTGAGTTTTGATCTTTTGCCTTTCCCGGGGTGGACTGTGCAAGTTGTAACACTATTTATGAAACACCCTGTATATACGTTCAAAGTTTAAAGATAAATTTACTTTTCATTTTCAACCATGTCTTTGACGATTGGAATCAGTTTTTCCGATTTTGGAAGATCAAACTTATTATAAGTGATTGCTCCACCATGTCTGGATAACATCATTGCATTATTAAATTGATCAGAAAATAATGGAATCATAAGAGATGGTATTCCTGAATAAGCAACTTCCATTGTACTTCCTAATCCTCCGTGAGTTATAAATAATTTGACACGTTTATCAGCTAAAATTGATGTTTGAGGAATCCAATTCTTCAAATAAACATTCTTCGGCACTTTTTCCAACATTTCATCATTTTGCTCATATTTGAAAATAAATGTGACATTTGGCATTGCTTTGAACATTTCAATTAATCCTAATTTATAACTATCTGGCATTGCATATGCTCGAACAACAGTTCCAAATGATATAAGTACTGTAGCTGATCTTTCATTTAAAATATTCAAATATTCTTCTGATAATTGTTCAGTTTTCTTCTTATTTCTATCAATCGTCATTCCTCCGACATAAATCATATTTGGAGAACTTGGAACTGCAAAATCCAAATAAGGATTTGAATTTATTATATAAAAAGTTGATTTTTTAACTAATTCTGTCCAATGTGGAAATATTCCAGATAATTGTCCTTCTGTAAAATATTCATGTTGTTGTTCACATAAATAATATTCTTTCTCGGATTCAAAATAAGCATAATAAGCATCATTCAATCGATCCCAAAATCCAGCATTTTTCCCGAATTTTGAGAATGGGCCAGGAACATAGCCTAGAATATTCGGTTGACCGAAAAGATATTGGACACCGGAAAATCTGACAGATGTCATGACAGCTATTACTGATTTCACTCCGATTAAATGAGCAACATCTGAAAGATGGATTATTTTCACAATAAATGTATTATGGAAACTTACAAAATCCACTGATTTCAAAAGTTTCAGCAATAACAGCATCAAATTTCTTAGATTGTAGTTTGTATTTGATATCATCATCTTGTAGCAATTCTGCAAAACCAAACATGTTATTGTCATGATATTTTCACAAAAAATGAACGAACTTTGAACACATGATCTTGATTGGTTCGCAAACATTTTGGGAATAACAAGACTTCCGATCAAAGGATCAGTGAATATTGGATCATCCCAAAATCCAATATCTTTATTATCTTCTCCTGATATTTCATCAAAATCATCCGGAAAATAATGAATTATCTCCACTTTTTTGTTTTTTATCAATTTTTCTGTGTTATTCATTGGCTTAATGTAATATTGAAGAACTGTCTGAAAACAAAAACATTTTTGGAATTACTTAAGTATTCCGGTTTTTCTTGACTTTCAATAAAATATTGTGAACTTACCACATCATGTCCAGCATCAGCTAACAAATCAGCTAGTTTTCCTAAGAATTTCATATGACTAAATCCAAACACAGGATTTGCAATGAGAAAATTATAGCAAATAATAGTTTGGACATAATTTAGCAAAAAAATCAAAAACAAAATGTTCATTTTGTCAAAAAAAAAATGAAAAACAAATTTATTTCCTCCTGTTTTTCCTCTTCTCTTATCATAAGAACTAGTAATACAAAAACAGACTGTGAACATTTAGTTTGAATTTTTAAGTAGCCAAGGAGTGAAAAGAGAGTAACGTACTTTTTGAAAGTTTATTCTTTTCTATAGTGTTTTAAAAGAAAATAATTGTGAACATTGATGGACACAAAATACAAAATTTGTCACAATGCTCTTATTTTTTCAGAATTTTCAACCTGATAATGTTTACATCAGAAAGTTGAGCGAAATAGAAAATATTCGGTTTTTTATTGTTTCCTAATTTTTTTCCTCGTCTCTTCAATGATCTCTGTTTTATTTTTCAAAATGTTCATTTTCCACGATTTACAAACATGAAAATAAAAAATATAAATTTACAGTAGTAATCAGAAAACAAAACAAAAATTAATTTTCGACAAAACATCATAACTCACAACCGTGAGAGATCATTTGCGAAAAAAACAAAGATTATTTGTTGATTTCTTGAACATGTTTAGTTTCAGCTCCCTCATTCTCAGATTTTTTTGGATTTTTCAAAATTTCATAGTGGTTGTTCTTTAAGGTGGGAACTGAGATATTAAGATAACATCATTTTAATTTTCAAAAATACGGTCGTTCGTTGAAGCATTATTATTTTTTAATGAAGAAGTACTATTGTTTTCACACTTTTTTTCTGCTCATTCTTTTTTTTCTAAAATTGACCTCTATCTTTGAGACAAATAACAATAAAGCCAAAAATAAATAAAATCCAATTTCCCTAGAATTAGTTTTAAATAAAAGTTATGATTGAAAACATTAGGCCATTCTGATCCAGAACTTTTCCTTTTCTGTTCCTGTTTCTGTTTTTTCTCGTTTTCATTTCAGAATTTTCAATGGAGATCCTTCAAGTTTTGGTTGATCTCGCTCCTTACAGTATCGCATTTTTCATATGTTTTTTCAATATCATTGGACATTTTGGTAATATTAATTTAGTTGTAATAACAATTCGAACGAAACATTTGCAAACGAAACATGGTCTGAACATTTTAAAAATATTTTTCCAAGAAAACAAAATCAGTTTTTAATTTATTAGGTATACTTTTATCAGTTGTTTGCACAGAACATTCTTTGTGTCTTTTGGGTGAATTTATTCAAGCAATATCTGGATTTATCCCATTTAAAATTTCTCGAAAAACATGTTTAGCTTTTATGACTCCTTATATTTCAATTAATTGCTGTCAATCGATGATGTTTCTTATGATTTCACTTGATATTCTAATTTCTATTTTATTTCCGATGAAGTGAGTTCTCAATGCAATATCTTCAAATTATTTCAATAAAACAGTTTTCTTCCCACAGGTATGCAAAATTTCCAACTCTAAAATATTGCTCAATAATGTCTATAATTCCAACTTGTTTTTCATTCATCGTGATTAGTTTTTCATGGACCAATTTATCTGAAGAGCAGATATTTCTATGTAATCCACCATTGGCTTTGGGTGAAAATGGAACACGTGTTTGGGGAGGAGGGGTAAGATAAATAATGAAAGTAGATATCAAAAATCGAGTACCTTTTTTTTCAAATTTGAGGAGCATAACACGAACAAATAGAACACCGACCGGCACTTTTTTTAAGTTCCAAACAACAAAAACATTTTTATTGAAAATTAAAAGTAATCCTTGTTCCTTCATTTTTCCCACTTTTTTTTAGCTCTAACAAAAATGTGACCTAGTCACGTGGTGTCTTTTGAAAACAAACAGATATTTAACTGAACAAAAATCAAGTTCCAATAACGTCAGAGAACAATTCTAGGTGCTTATTATCAACATCACAACATTAATTATTTATGGATATATTTATTGTCGAATTTATTGCAATCAGAAAAGTTTGAAATTTGTCTACAAATATCGCCTATTTTCATTGTTTTTTCCAGAAAATTCAATGAAAAATAGTGCTGAAAAACGGGTGATGAAATCCTTATCAATTCTTGTCATTGTTTTTTGTTGTTCATGGGTCATTTGTATGGGAAGTGTGTTTTTTGTGAACTTTATCACTGAAAATCAGTTGATCATCATACTTGTTCAAAGTTATGTGGTATGTGAGACGATATGAGTTGACAACAAGGAAAAGAAAATGATTCAGGTGTTATTTGCGTTGATTGCATTTTCACAAACTTTTTATGTGTGCTATTTTCGTTCAAAAATGTATCGTCGAGAATTTCAAAATCAGATGCCATGTTTCAAAAAACAACAAATTCCAAGGCTCGAAATGTTCACAGCTTCAAAAACTTGTGTTATATAAATAAATAACATTGTTTATTTTTATTAATGATAATGTTCTGCAATTTTACACTGTCTTCTGTCTGTTCATAAAAAACTTGAAGGGGAGGAGAGGGGTTTTCCGAAATGTAATTGTCACGAGACAAGTGATAAAAATTGTGATATTGGTAGTCAGTTCGACGAAATATTTCAGAAATAAAAATGTCGATCGAAGTAGTTGGTGATGGTTTTTTTATTGATGCATCACAGTTCAATTTTCTAATCGCTGATAATAAAATTATTGGATTTCAGAAGAAACGTGAGTTATTTTCTGTTTTTTTTTTCTACAGAAAATATAACCATAATTTTTTGAACTTACGAGAAATTGAATTTATTTCCAATCGTGAACTTGTGTTTTTGAAAGCATAAAAAGTTCCCTGATTTTTTCACGTAAGGTTTCTTTGTGATAAATTAATTACAGTACTGTAATTTCCAGTGCAACTATGAAAAAATTCAAAAATTCTACAGTAATCCCAAAAAATGTTTTTGTGTGCAGGTTACGATGATGATGGTCATGAAAAAGAGTCTTGTTCTGTTGAAGGTGGTATTCTTGCAATATTAGATCTTCAAAATGAAGAAGAATCTCAATGGGAAATGTTGGAGGTAGAGTCTTGTTTTCTTTCATCTTTTAGTATCAATCTCAATCGTAAAGGGGCAACCCCGCACTTACTTGATAACAATTTTGCAACAACAATAAAAAAGTTTTAGTTTCCGGCCTTCGACGAAACACCAAACTCTATCGACACATATTTTACGTTTCAATCGAAAGTTTATTCGTTGATAACAAAATATACTGGTGGATCACAAATTCAAAAATTATACGAATTCAAAAATATAAATGGAGAATTTGTTGAGATTTCTCTTGATACACCGGAAGAAATTGAACATTCTGATGATACAATTACACAAGTTATTATTGCTGATGGACTTTTTAAAGATGTTCGAACATATACAAATAAACTTCTGATCATTTTGAGTACAGGATCGACATATCGAATTTTTAGTTTATCAATTGGAAATGATAATAGTGGACATGTTGAATATATTGCAACAATTGAAGAAAATTCGGAAAGAGGATCTGCTTTGAATGCAGTTGTTATAAACAATCTTTTATTTATCAATTTTGAAGTTGACAATCATTGGGATAGCAGCAGAATTTTAAAATTTGATCTCGAATCACACAAAAATAATATTATTGAGATTAACAGTCCAGAAGGTCTCCCTCCGTTTTCTCAAAATGGTGCACATTCAACTTGGTTATGGTCACCAATGCCACTTTGGGGATTTACTACTGGAATTAATTTGAAAGGTAGGAAACATAAGTGTTCAGAGTTATATGGAAGATTCTCAGATTCTTCATTCAATGGTGAATCTTGGGCAATTGAAGGTTTATTGAATGCTTCTCCATTTTGGCACCGGCGAGATTATACTGTGCCAGAAGAATATGGTGGATATGTTTTGACGGATTCAATTTATTTAGACACTTATATAATTGGAAAACGCCAAACTGTTGTTGTTCATAATGTTTGAGATTTTTATCAAAATCATTTATTTCATTTTGAGCACAGTTAAGATATATAAAAATCGATATTTTTTGAAAAAAAGGGGAGTACAAAAAAGTATTGCAAAATAACACGTCGTTCGAATAAAACAAAGATAAATAAGAACATTTTACTGATCAACGGTATGATATCTTCGTAAACTATCACTACGTGCCGCATTCGATGAATTTGAAACAGAAACCGATTCACACATACTACTATGCTCATTTCTTGTTCCCATTTGTCCTCTTGCTCTCATTCGTCTTTGACGTTTTTGTTCGTCTTGAAAACCTTCTTTCAATTGCTCAATGACAAACAAAACAATTTTTGTCCAACCAGTTTGAGTAGCCTACAACATTATATGTTATAGTCGTTTAACAAAAGACAATACAGCACTACCTCTGTTCGATCTTTTTTCTCTCCCCATTCTAAAGTGCGTTCAATCATTGCAGTAGCAAACTGATCGAGAAGTTGAGCACGGAATGGGCAACCGTCTGGAAAATTACATTTATTTTGGAAGTTCTCGTGAGATCTACATTGTTCACGGCTTGGCCAAACATGTTTTTCTCCGGCTTCTCGCATTGATGCAACTGTTGCATGTGGAGAATCTAAACCTTGGATCAAATCATCCATCATTTGAGTGAACATTTGAGCGTGTCTCTGTAAAATTTCGAATTTATTTTGATAATTTGTTATCTGACTAACCTTCAAACGTTCATGTCCCGAATTTTTTGTTCCATGCATAATCATTTGGCGAATTTCTGGATGTTTGAAGAATGAGTTACGGAAAATACTTATAGCTGGTTCAAGAGCTCCTTGATTTCTGGCATGAGCCCAAGTTTTACGAACAAATAATATTTGTGCCGCTGTCAAATGAAGATATTGATGAACAAATGGAGCACCGATTGCTGAAAAACATGTTCAAATGAGTTCAGAGTTTTGGAACTTCTAGCTGCTCACGATTTGAGTTAGATGAAGAGGCCTTATCTTTCGAGTTTTGAGTACGGAGTCCATTTTTTGATTTTGTTGAGTTTGATTTCTGAACACTCATTGTGTTGAGATTTTGAGATTGATCACGTTCTCCACCACTTGTAGTTCGAGAAACCGAAACGCTGAAAAATAAAGTGCTCGGAAAAAATATGAAAAATAATGAGCAACAGAAAAAATGAAGACGAAGAAGAAGAAGAGGAGGAGAATTAGTAATAACTAATGTTTTGTACTTGTCTTCGAAGACAAATTAAAAATACAAAAAAGCGATATCTATACAGCTATGTATATGAACAATAACAACAACATACTGGCTTCTTGGAGTTACTGCATCTTCAATATGATCAGAATTGGAACTGTCGGTTGAACGGCGTTCCGATGATGAGTTTTCTTTCGAATCATCGCCTGCAAAAAGAAAACAGCGACGATGAGAAATTGAATGAAGCGGTTAGAGAAAAACGCGCGAGCGAGAAGGGGAAATTCAATTCAGTCTGAGATTTTTTGTCGTATTCGGGAAAAAAAATGCGGTTTATTACTTTTTCCGAGATGGAGATTCGTATTAAATTGAGTATCATGTTGGGGTCTTCTCTGATTTTCGCGCGCACAAAATATATATTTGTGAGTGTGTGAGTAAACTAACTTATTCTTCTTTCTCCAGTCGAATCTGTTTGGGCTCTTTGATGAGAATATGTGTGATTGGTGGTTCTGGCAGAGCAAAACACTTCATCTCCCGAATCATCGTCATCAGTCACATTTATATCAATATGTTGTTGTTGCAAGGCTAAATTTGTATTGTGAAAGGGTTTTTGATGTTGGAAATTTTACCTCTGCGATTGTGTGACACGTCAACATATTTTCCAGGCGCTGCTACTGGACATGGCGAATTTTTGATATCTCCATCATCTTCGAAAAATTGTTGTTTTTCTGAAAATTATTAGTTTTTCTCAAGAAAGTCCCGTGGCAATGATCCCAAAAAAACTCACGAGAAGTTGGAATAGCTGAAGCGGATCTTGGAATCACATCATGTTCAATTCTCATTGTATTATGATGCGATTTCGAATGAGGAACTCGCGAACTTCCACTTTCTCTCGATTTTGTTGATTGGTTACCCATCTGCAAGAAGAAAAAACTTGTTTACAATCCTTTTTTTTCAGGAAACGCGAAAAAAAAACATAATGAATGAAAGAATGAGCACCCAGCAGAAAAAGCTCACTAATGAATTCTCACCGCCAAAATAAGTATATTTCATTCATTTTTTTTTCAAACAAAAAAAAAGAATATTGATTTTGGTTAGTTTTAGGGACAAGATAATTATCGAGAGCAAAAAGAAAATAAATAAAAATAGAAAAGAACATGAACATGAAGAAAAAATAGCAGTGGGTCAGGATTGCGTCAATCATTGTGGAATGGTAAATGAGCTGGAAATATTATTGTGTGTGGTGACGAAGAACAAAAACAAAACAACTGAAATATATCGAGTTGGGTTGATTATGTATTCTTGAGAACAAAAAAAGAGAAGAGTTTGTGTCAATGATGACGTTGTTTTTGGAGGAAGAAGAAGGAGGAGACGGAAGAAAAACGGAAACAGCGTTCAGATTTTTAAATACATTTTTGACTTCAGAATTTTTAATTCTGAAAAATTGTACTGACGAATCTGGACTTGTTTGGGCAGGCTGAAGGTTGTTACTGTAAGAAGATATGGGTATGATTGAGAAGTTCGAGAAGTAAAATTCTCTAGGGCTCACATCTAGATATCCACTCTGGCAACGAGCCTTTCTAAATTCAGATGCCTGAAAAATCAGTCTACAGTAAGTGTTATCAATTTTTTAAATAAGTCTGAAAGGTTTTAAATAATCGCCGGCTTGGTTCAATTGAAGAAATGTTCAAACAAGGAATTCCCGCCCGCCCGCCGCAAAATGAACTCGAAAAGAATCAAAAGAGTGTGACGACAGAGCCAACAAAAAAATTAAATTTGATTTTTTGCCACGCGATCTAATTTCCTACATGAAAAGGTCATCGAAACGAGGAAAAAATAACTTTTTTCCCCCGAAAATATGTATTTCTCGCGCACCACAAAAAACACTCGTGTGTTAATCGAATTGGCAAGCACTTCTTACGTATCGCGGGATATTTATGGAAAAAAATCCGAAAACGAAAAAAAAACTAATTCAAAACATCTGAATATGGATCTCTTGGGAATGCGAAAAGTACTGGAGCCGAAGCAAAAATTGATGACGTAATAAAGAAGAAGAAGAAGACAAAAAAGAGGAGACCTCGGGCCGGCGAAGCAAAAAATGAACAATAAAAAATTGCTCACTTATTATTATTATTTTTGGACATGTGGCGCGTTTTTCCAGCTTCCGCGAAAAACGAAACGAAAATGGAAATTTCGAAGAAAAATGAATGATTTAACCCTATAATTTGTATTTTTTTCTCGAAATGAAATGACGTCTGAATTCTGAGAATTGAGCCACGTAAATATCATCAAAGCGTAGGCACTTGAAAAGTTCAAAAGATGATATTTGTTGCTAGAATCAGAGATGGAGCCAAAATAAAACAAAACAAAGCTGGAGCTAGAACCAGAAAAATAGTAGACATCTCTGCTTTTTCTCCGAATTAAATTAAATTGAGAAGAAGGAGAAGAACACATTCCCCCCCCCCCCCAGATTTTCTGTGAATTCCAAAACCAAACAAAACAAAAACACGTGGATAAATGGAAGCCATCAAAGGAAAAAGTACTTGAATCTGAATCCCTCGAGATTCTCAAAACCCCAAAAAAAAATCAGATTTCGACGGAATTTGTCGCTATTTATTTGAGTAAGTAAAGAAAACATGGAAAATTGGTAGGAAATTGAAATCTTTTTTTTTTTGGTCGAGAGTTGAGCTGCAGAAAAAAAACGACAAATTGAGAAACGAAAAAAAAATAAAACATTTAGTTTGAGAAAGGAAGAAAAATAAAGTGTGTTGTTTTGGAGATGCCGAAAATTCTATACATACTACAAATAATTTATTTAATTTATCGGCTCCGCTCGGCTCAGTTTCAGAAAAAGAAAAAAGCAAGTATTTTGAAAGATCGAACAAAAATAATATTTTCCACATTGCTGACTTCAAGATTATGAAAAATATGTAGAAACCTTAGTTTTTCTCGAAAAATATCTTGAATATTTTTATTATGAAAATGTCTGGATGAGCCTTTTCATGGCCAGAAATCCTAAGTCTCTGTTTAATTCACTTGATTTTTCAAAATATAATCTTATTTTTTGAAATGAATAAGCGGCAAAACTCAAAAACTCAAAAATAAATCACCAAAATAAACCCTCTAATTTTCTAGCCGAGCAATCATGCGAAAAAACTGGAATATATATCCAAACGAGAGCTGAAGAAAAAGAGTACTTTCATAATAAAATCGAATTTTGAAAGAAAAAAACGGAGGGAGTACACCTGAATAGATGGAATTAGCAGTATTTTTGAAAAGAATTCAATTTTTTTTTTGATAATTTCAGCTGCGAAAAAAATTATATGTTTTTTTTTGTTTCAAAGAAAAAGTTCTCGAATTTCATAGAAGACGCGTTTCTGACAATATAAATTATTCACATTCCGAAAATTTATGAATGAACAAAAATTATGAAAAAAAAAGTTTCAAGAAGGGATCGATGTGGAAAAAATGCATAGACCCTGAAGAAGAAAAAAAACACATGAATCCATAATATGAGAAGATTTTAATCCGTGCATGTCATATTATAATCCGACTTTCTATTCTAGATATAACAAGTTAAAATGATGAAAAAAGGTTGGGCAGACACTCCAGATTCTCCACCTCTTTTTTTTACTGTTTCATGTATTTATTTAGAACGATATCATTTTTGTTGGTTATGTTGTTGAACAAGAGAATATAAAGTGATATGGGGAGTCTACTCGTGTCACTTACAAGAGCTTTTGATTGCAAAAATCAAAGAGGGTAAATAAAATCTTTTGAGAAGATCAAAAATGAACACCATGATACATAATACACAGAAATATGTAGGTTGCTAAGGTGATTGAAGATTTTTTTTTGATATTGAATTAAAATTCGGTTCAAAAATTATGAAAAAAAAACTAGACAAAAAGTGATCATTCAAAAAAAAAAAACAGGAATGACTAACTCGCTGATCACACTGAAACTACAATAAATGGCTGCTTCAACAAGAAATATTTGTAGCAAAAATAAGAAGAGAGTTCCGGTAAGAGAAAACAGGAAGTTTTTCATCATTTTTTTTTGCAACTGGAACGAAAAAATCTGAAAATAGAGATATACGTGTGTTTTTTTTTTGAAAAGGAAGGAAATATTTGTTGAAAAATATTTTATTTTCATCTTTGAGATATGAACTTTATGCAATGATTTTTTGGGTTTTTGAGTATTGATAAGATTTTTGAATAAATACAAGAAAAATGAACTGATAATTATCATTTTTAAAAATGAAACGTGTATTATTAACTCTTATAAGTTGTTTTGTTTTCATAGTTTCAAAACCAATCGAAGATGTAAGTTGAAAAAAGAAAACTGGGAAAAATTCAGAAAACTTGTAGGAAAACTTGGTAGGAGATTCATTGGATATTAATCGCATGGCTGACTCTGGAAACCTTCTGAAAATGAGAAATGATGGATACAAAACTATTTATATTCGAGCATTTGATACTTATGGATTGACAAGTTTTGATAAATCAATGGCACAAACAATTCATGACGCGTATAAAAACAATTTCCAAGTTGAACTTTATATGGCACCAAATTCATATAGTTATAAAAGTGGAGCAAATCAAGTTCAAAGTTTTTATGATGGTTTGATTGATAATCAAATACCAATTGATAGTTTATGGGTTTCTGTAAATCATACAGCAGTTTGGTCAGTTAATACAACTGCAAATATTGCATTAGTTGATTCCGTACTTCATAAAGCAAGAGTGAGTTTTGTTTAAAATTCAGCATTCAAACCTTGTGTTCCAGCAACTTGGCTTCAAAAAAATTGGCATTTTCACAAATTCTGATGAATGGCAAAACATAACTGGAAACTGGAAAGATGCTGGAAGTGATATTCTTCTCTGGTATTGGAGTCATACTGGACAAGGGAAAGATGGAGAATCTGCAAAATCTTTTGATGATTTTGTTCCATTTGGTAGCTGGACTCAAGCGGAAGTTAAACAATATGGAGTGAATGAGTTGATGTATAACACAATTGTTAATCGGTGAGTATTCTTATGCATAGTAACATCTAAAATCTAAAATTTTTAGAGACATCTATAATGGGTCGACTTCTCAACGCCGTAATTGATTGTTTGAACAAATAAAAATTTCCAATCGGATTTTTTCCACAAAAAAATTCCAGATGAATTTTACAAAGTGCAGACGTACTATTGCGAGCGTCACGCGATAATTGTCACATTTCGAAATTATTCCATCTAAAAATATCAAACTAACTAGCAATTTATCAAAATTTTATGAAAGGGATTAACATCACTTTTTGTATTGTGATTTGAATATACTTCAACAACAGTAAACCATTAAAACCTTACCGACAAATATTTTATAGCATTCCAAACTCTAAACAAAAATTTTATTTTTATTAATTGGCACTCAAAAATCAAGTAGTGATGTGGTATGCAGTTTTTATACACAAACTTATTTAAAATCATCATTTCATGACAAATTTTGTAGATTGATTCTTTGACTCGAGATAATTTTTGTATTTAAACGGCAGCAAATTTTACTGATAACACCATTTTTCGAAATGAAAGTTCAATTTACACTACTTGCTTTTATTTTTGCTTTGTCGACATCGACGCCAGTTAGAGATGTTAGTTGAAATTGTCAAGATTTTCACAAAATTAAAACAAATAATTTCAGCAAATCTTGGTTGCCGATTCAATCGATCTTCATCATCCAACTGATTATGAAAATCTTTTGAATATTCGCGATGCTCGATATACAACTATTTATATTCGAGCATTTGATACTTATGGATTAACAAGTTTCGATAAATCAATGGCACAAACAATTCAAGATGCCTACAGTAATCATTTCCACGTCGAATTATACATGGCACCAAATCCATATACTTATGTTTCTGGAGCTGATCAAGTTCAAAACTTATACAATGGATTAATTGATAATCAAATTCCAATTGATAGATTGTGGGTTGCTGTTAATTACACAGAAGCTTGGCCAGTTAATAAAACTGCTAATGTTGCTTTGGTTGATTCAGTTCTTCACAAAGCAAGAGTGAGTTTATCTTCAGTTTTTGTAGGAATAAAAATAATTTTTTGAAACATTTTAGCAATTGGGATTCAAAAAAATCGGTATTTTCTCAAATTCCGTAGATTGGAATAACATTACTGGAAACTGGAAAGGTGCTGGAAGCGATATTATTCTCTGGTATACAAGTCATCCGGGAAACGGTAGAAGTGGAGAATCTCCAAGATCTTTTGATGATTTTGTGCCATTTGGTAATTGGACTCAAGCTGAAGTTAAACAATATGGAGTTATCGAAACTGTTTATAGCACAATTGTTAACAGGTAAAAACTATATGAAAATTATTTTTCAAATGAAAATATATTTTCCAGAGATATCTTTGTACTTCAACGAAATCCAGATTCATAAATGTACATATTTCTCTATCCATAAATATTTTTATATTTAAATTTTTTTTGAAATTATATTCTTTTACAGAATGGGTCTATTTTGCCAAAGATCTGGTACACAAATTTGAACTCGTGATAATAAATGAGTGAGGAACGCGATAACGTTTATTTGACACCTTAAAATTATATGGTGTAATTATTTAAAATCATCATTCAATGAAAAATATCAAATGTTGATTCTTCAATTTTGAGATTATTTTTTGATTGATAAAATTATCTCGAATTGAAAGTTCAAATAATGAAAATTCATGATAAATTTTGATTTCGACACAAAGAAATATTCGAGTTCAAAATCTGTTAAATCAAACGTATTCTAAACCACTTTCAAATTAAATTGTAAAGCGGTAATAAATTCAAAACTCGTTAGAACAAAAATACAATTTAATTTGCGAGCGATAAACTTGTAGTTAAGCGTCAGCTGTCAACTTTTATAGACGTATTATTTTTAATAAATATTTATTTAGGAAACTCAAATTATTACTCATAATATTGTTTGTTTGATTCCTCTGACTTTCTTTGTCTGACAATTTACGTCTGAAAACTTTAATAAGCACCTGTCTTCAACGTTTATTTCAAAAATTTTCATTAATTCTGCAAAAAAGTATCATTCAGACCGAAGAAAAGAAAATTCAATTATTTCTATGATTATTGACTTTTTGGTGTTGTTATGCTCGAGAATTCAAAAACATTTCTAAATAATATTATGATAGATACGACCAAAGAAATGCTTGATAACTATGTTACTTTATTTCTGAGTTTTTCTGGAACTATTTCAACTTTCTTCAATTGTTTTGGAATTTATATGATACTTCATCAACATGGAACAATGGATGATTTTCGATACGGTTTATTATTTTTTCAGGTGATTTTTTTTCAGTTTTCTTTGACTAAACATCTTGCTTTCAAATTCTGAGAAATACATCTGCAATGATGACAAATAAATCAAGTTCAAAGGCCAAATTTTCAGATTAATCTTTTGATATTTGATATTTACTTTTCATTTTTTATGATTCCAATTCCAATATTTCCAATCATCGGAGGATACTGTATTGGTATAATGACTAAAACACTTGAAATAAGCACACATTTTCAAATGGTAATTTGAAAGAAAACTTGCTCAATTAAACATCAAAACATGATTTTTTTTCAGATATTTGCTCTTTGGTGTGTTGGTAATATAAACACGTGTATTTTTGTAAGCTTATTGAAAAGACATCAAGTTGTTTCAAAAATTGAACAAAAACATTTGATAAATGCAAAATTCTTGAAACTAACTAAATTATCAGTTTATATTTCACCATTATTTGGAACATTGATTTATGCAACAAGTGAACCATCTGAAATCAATAAAACCCTGATAATATCTCAAAAATATCCATTGTACTCATTTATTCTGAAAATTCCTGGAATTGCAATTTATGATATCGATTTTTCATTGAATCCTGTGTTTTTCTTTGTCACTTATTGTATCATGGTTGGATCTTTGATTTTATTAACATCTTATCATGTTCTTTATATTCAATTATTCATTATGTTACAATCGGTAAAACGCAAAATATCAGTTCGAACTTATAAAAAACATTTCGCCGCAGTTTTAAGCACAGTTTTTCAGGTATGAAATTATTTGACTGTAATTTATGAATTCTGAAAAAGAAATTACAGAACGTCGTTTTTTTCATATTTTATATCGTTCCTATTTTCATGCTCGCAACTGTTATTTATTTTGGATTCGATGCTTCAGGTAAAAAAAAACTTTTCAAAAAAAGTATTCAAAATTTTACAGTAATCTGTGTGATAATGGTTTGTATATTTTCATTACATTCAACAGCTACAACAATTGTAATGATTCTAACTTTCCCTGCATTCCGAAGATCAATTTTCGAAACTTTTGAAATAATGTTCTGCTATTCCAAAAAGCCACCAACACCAGTTCCAGTAACTCATATGAGCAAGAATTTCCACTAAAATAAGTATTTCCTGACAGAAAAAAAGAATTTCGGTGCTCTTTTTTTTGTTGCCAGTTTCTTTTTGTTTTATTTTTTTCTGAAGAAAAGAAAAGAAAAGAAAATGAATTTTTTCTGAATTATTTATATTACTTTTCTTGTTGCAAATTAGTTATTTCTTTCTCTATCTTCTTATTTCAGTCGTCCTCTTGAGTATTCAGGTTTTTATTGACTCTCACCATTTTCTTGAATCCTTATTTTATTGCGCAATTCCCAAAATAAGAAGCTTCTTCTTTTAATTGAAAAACAAAAAACTTTGTGAGACGAAGAGAGACTACCACACTATCTCAACAAAATCGAGATAGGGTTTGTAAATAATGCTGCGGAAAATGTCGCGTTCGTGGTGTAATGGTCAGCATGGATGCCTTCCAAGCATTCGACGGGGGTTCGATTCCCCCCGAACGCAGAAATGACATTTTTGTTATTCTGTTTTTTTTTTGAAAGTCCCCTGGTTATATGTGTTTGACAACAACAAAATAGCGACAAAACTTTTTTCTTCATTTCTTTTTTTTCTCGTGTATATATGCATCGTCTCTGTTCCCCCCGTTTTCTATATTGATTCAAAAATAGGAAGAAAAAAAGAAGGAAAAAAAAGAAGCTCTGCGCAGGCAAAAGCGAGAGCTGCTTCTGGCGAATCGATCTTTTTTTCTTTCGCTTCTCTTCCACAGAAGACGACGAATATTTTAAATGGTCACAAAGTAATCTTTATATTTTTTCCACTTATTTTTAACGTTTTTTTCATTTTTCGTATAAAAATGATGATTTGGTAACGAGATTCATAAAAGAAGAATAATCGTTGTTTTTCATGAAACCTGATCCATAATTCTTTATTTGTAGCCTGAGAAAGTTGGTCCGCTTCTATTCAGAACGGCTATTATTTTTCCCAAATACAAGACTCAAACACAAACATCATTCTTTCTTCCTTCTTTTTTTCCAAATCCAAATCACAAAATTGAATTCTAACTTTTGAACTCGAAAAAGTTTGTTAGACTTGTTTGTCACATTTTTTTCCAAATTTGAACTTCAGTGAATATATCTTCCAAATGTCAGTCAGTCTGCAAAACATATCCGCCCGGAAATTCTCGCTTTTTTTTCCTTTTTAAATCCCAAGAGCATCCTTTGTTCCATACTCTCAAAGTTTTCCTTTTTTAAGACACTATTTTTTTCAAAAATAAAAAAAAAACATCTTTCTATCTAGAAGTGTTTTTATTGTGTGAAAAATCCTATTTGTGACGTATTTTTGTTTCGAAAAACTGACTCACCAGAAAAAAATAGATTCTTGAACACTAGTTTCTTGAGTTCCCAATTAACATCCGCTTTTTTTTCTGTCGCATCTCAAAGTTCTAAAAATTAGTCGTCTACTGTAATCCAAGGATTTCAAAAGATAAAAATTCATTTTTCTCTCTCCCAAAAAAAGGAAAAAAAAACAAAAGTATCTATTTTCACCCAAAAAACCTAATTAGTCAACTTCACTTTAGAAACTTCCATTTTTGAAAAATAGTATTGTTTTTCTCAGTTCAGTTTCTGCGAAAATAATTGAATTATGAAGAAGAAAAAATCGATTTCTCATTTTTTTTTGTTTGTGGATTCATATTTATATTCGCAGAAAAAAAGCGGGGTGGAATTTAATATGCATTTTTATTTCTTCCCTTTTTTGGTTCGTCGGTCGATTTCAGCTTTCGAGCTGAGCTCAGATGAGTGAAAGACTTGGGGTTAGGTTATATAAGGAAATATGAGACCATCTCTATGCTGTTACCAACTTTTGACACGAGACTTATGCTTGTTGGAGCCAATAAAATCACACTGGAAAATGAAATTTTGTTCTATAATTCACCACTTTCTTTTCATAAAACTTGCAAACATTCGAACAAAATTGAAATAATAGCTAACAACATTCAACTACATATTCCGACCAAATTTCACGCTTAAAACTTGCTCCACATCCGGTCGATTCCTTAGTTACCACGGAAACTCTTTCTTTTTTCTGCCATTCCATTTTTTTCTTTTCTTCATAATCCACCTAATCCTTTTCCTTTTTTCTTCCCGAAAAAATCAAACAGTTTTGTCATTCATCAAAAAGAAAGTAGCAGTTCAGAAGCTGAAAGCTGTGTATTTGTTTTGGTTTCAGCAGGGAATTTTGTCTGATTCTCTCAATTTCCAGTTATATTTTTCGATTTTTTCACATTCATTGGATATTTTTTCTTTCTCGCTGCCTTGTTTAGCCAGCTTCATACGGAATATAAATATATGTTTTTTGCGCTGCTCTCAAATGATGAATTTGTTGTGTTCTTTTGTTATTTGGCACCAGCAAACCTTTTTTATTGATTTATGAGGTTTTATTTTATTTCAACGTGGGAACCTTTTTTGTTATTTTATTTTTTGCCGACATTTTGACAAACTTGTAAGATGTGTTCTTAAAAATTCATGAACATGCATACATATTTCTTCTGCTTTCCAAAATTATTCTAAAAATGAGAAAATAGAAACCAAGTTTCCTGTTATTCTCGTGTTAACGTCATATCCTTTCAGACCAAAAAAAATCATTTCAAATGATGTTATTTTCTGTTTTTTCTCGCAGAATTATAGATATAACGAAACTAATTTCTAACATACATAGATATGTATTGCGAAATATAGAAAGTACAGTATTATTTAAATTTTTCGATGATTCACATGATAGGAAAAACATGTATGTTCATTTCTAAATAAATTTAAAAATTCTTTTTAGAAAAATATCAGATTAGTATATCAGGGTACTGTATTTAATTGAAAAAAGTACACCGATTTTGATAATAGATTATTTTTCCGGTTTGGCTTCTGTGACGTCAAGAACATTTTAGATTAAAGGTTCTTGTATTTTTGAGAAATAGTTTTCTCATTCAAAATGTGACTAGAATTTAATAGAAAGTTTTCTTACAAGTATTACAAAATTAGAATTAATTTTTAAAAATTCAGAATTCAGTTTTATTTTTTTTCTTTTATTATTTTGTGAATCAAAAATTCTCAATCTTGAATAATTTTCAGATTTTATTAGGAATTACGAATTTCTTGTCTGACTACAAAAACTTTAACATCGCTTTTTAGGATTTGATAAATTTGAAGTTCGAAATTATTTTTTTTCTGAATTACGTAAACCTTACTAAAATTCTCTTTTTTATCCCCAATCCCATTTCCCTCCAAAGAAAAAAATACTGACCTTTGCTTTGCTTCCAGAACCGTTCTTCAAGTCATCCCAACTTCTCCAAACTCAAAATGCCAGGCGACGACGATGTTCCAGAATCGCTTGAAGCCATCAACTTGAAAATGAATGCTGTCACCGATGATGTAAGTGATTTCCTTTGGGTATTCTGAATTCCAAATCAAATTGGTGGTACCAGAAAAAAAAAAGAGAATAACAAATTTCTCGTTTATTTTTTGTTTGTGATTGAAGTTTTTGTCGACGATCACGGAGGTTTTGAGCGAAGAAGAAGAATGCTGGACAAAACAAAATGGAATGGAAGTTTGCATTTTCTATCGTGACTCTTCTTTTTCGAGTACTCTCAATTTTTCAAACACACATACACCAACCAAATTGAGCATAGTCGAATAAATTGAAAATTCGCATGTCATTCACTAATTTTTCTTTTTTTTTTATTCTTTCTTTTTTAGATCATAGAAAAGTACGCTTTTTTCGAAACAGAAACATCCTATTTTTGGTTTTCTTGAATTATTCTTATTAGAAAATTTTGAATCGGTCATTGTTCCATTTCAAGACAGTTCGAAAATTATTTTCGAATTCGTGTGTGCAAACACTACGACAAATTTTGCATACAGTAGGAGTTGAACTTTCATTTTTCAATATTTCGTGTCTATCAGCAGACATTCTTTTTTCTGAAAAACCTGAGTTACACGACCATTTACTCCAATAGAAAATTGCCCCTCGGGTCAGACGAGAGACGACGGGAGTCTGATGACGTCATCTGGGACAGAGAAAGATATCGCTTCGAAATATTTTTGAGAAAATATGTGTCCCTTTGAAAAAATACCGTATTTTGTTTCAAGGAACACATGTTTTATTGAAAATATCTCGAAGCGAAATTCGTTTTCGGCATATTTTTGTAAAATACTCTCGTCGTCTCGCGTCTGACTCAACGGGCGCCTTGTATGGTCGTGGTTAGACCACTCAAAAGATATTCAAATTCAAATTACAGCTTCTGTCAAAAATTGATATTGATCCTATTATTTTTTACTGATATTCTAAAATCCTGAAAACATTTTTCGGATGAAATTTTGCAAGGTTGACTCAGTTCAAAAAGTTCTTTGTTCATAAAAATTCCAATCAATCTCTCTCACAAAAAATGTTCCATACCGGAAATTGAGCAAGTTGACGTGTAGATAACTCACACTTTTATGAGCTGAATTGTCTACTTTCAAAAATTTGCAGAGAAAAATCTAGAATTGAGAAAAAAAACATGTTTTCCTCCTCAATACTGCACAAAAAACCAGAGAAAAAACCAATTTAAACATCAATATTTTATACATGTCATTTCATTTGAAAAGTGTGGAAGAAATAATAATATGAAAAAAGAACCGAGGAGTCTTCTCTCATTTTTCTCGTTTTTTTCTGCTTTTTTTGTTCTTCTTCTATCCATATCCCATCCATCCATCCATCCATCTAGTTACTCAACTAATAGAATAACTCTATTTTAAGCCCATTTTTGTTCAACCACACATTACCCATTTTTTTCGACTAGTTTCGTTTGAAATCTTACAGAAATACGCATTTTGTTTTTTCCGACACTCACACTATTTTTAGTTCTGAATTACATTGTACTTTTACTTTTTGTTGCGCAATTCCAAAGGAAAACAAAACGAAAAAAACGTCATTTTGAATTTCGAAAAATTAATGTGAGAACTCCGACTTTTTCGAGAGAAAAATCCCGTCTTTTCTCGTTCGGACAAGGAACCCGAAAAATCGACATTTTCTAATTCAAAATGCATGTATATTTTAAAGCCAAATGTAATGTTGGAGAGCACACACAGAATTTTCGCTCTCTATATCCTTTTCATTTTTTTTATGTGTTCATTATTTTGTTCTTTTCACCACTTTCAACTTTCATTCGAAATTGGAATTGAACACACCAGATCCATAATTTGTGTACCACTCACTTTAAAATTCGACATCTTCTTTCTTTTTTGTCGCTTCTTCACATAGGTATCGAATTTCTTCTTTTACAGAATTTTTCAGTGTCTTTGTGTTGTTTTTTTCCAACACCAACACATTTTTTTTGTCAATTCATTCAGTCAAGTGTAAAATTCAGCTGGAAAAATACATTGTTGGCCGGCGCAAAAAAATTTGATTACCCATAAAAAATTCGCAATTTTTTCGCGGCTTTCAGATTTGTTGCTGCGCGCCCCAATAAATTAGAATTTTTCTAGATTTTTTTTCGAACATCTTTGTTTGTCTGCAAGTTTTTCCCGTGGGACTAATTTGTGATTAGAATTTTGAGAATCGGGATACCAAAACAATTATTTTTATTTTCATTTTCAAATCATAAATATATATTTTACCCGCTTGAATATTATATTCTAATAACTTCTTGATTGATTTATTCAATTATTTTTAACTGATTAAATTTTCTTCAGTTCATTCTGATTTACCTTGTTGATTGATACAATCAAATTCAACTAACTTCCCCCGATCTTTTTATTAATCGGGGATGTCGTCGTCGACGCGTAACATCAATAGCTCCATCGGCGGCAGCGGCGCTCGACATCCCCGTCCGTTTCCGCCGCCTCCAACTCATCAATCAACAATTGATATCAATGGATTATTATTACCAGCTGATATGAGCGATGAACTTCAGGGTCTTAATATTTCGATCGATAATAAAACTATCGAGGTTTTAAAGAAAATGGGGTTTTGGGATACATTTTCAAATAAATCTCAAAAACAATTGTTCTATTAATTTCAGTCTTTGGAATCAACTCGTCGTATGTTGGCATTATGTGAAGAGAGTAAAGAAGCTGGTATTCGAACTCTTGTCAATTTGGATGATCAAGGAGAACAATTAGAAAGATGTGAAGGTGCTTTGGATACAATCAATCAAGATATGAAAGAAGCTGAAGATCATTTGAAAGGAATGGAAAAATGTTGTGGATTGTGTGTGCTTCCATGGAACAAGTAAGCTTAAGTTACATTTTTTGAAACACTTTTCAACTATTAAATTTCAGAGCTGATGACTTTGAGAAGAATTCCGAATATGCGAAAGCTTGGAAAAAAGATGATGACGGAGGTGTGATTTCCGATCAACCAAGAATCACAATCGGTGATCCAACAATGGGACCACAAGGAGGTTATATTACCAAGTATGTTAATCCAAATTCCTATCAGCTAGACAACTGTGGTGATTTGACAATCTGTCTGCTCACTCAATTTATTCTAGAAAACATAATCAATTTATGAATTCAGAACGCATAACAATTTCTAGAACATCTAATTTTTCACATTCTCATTCTCATTCAAAAAAATTTCAGAATCACAAATGACGCGCGTGAAGATGAAATGGACGAAAACATTCAACAAGTGTCAACAATGGTTGGTAATTTGAGAAACATGGCTATCGATATGAGCACCGAAGTTTCGAATCAAAATCGACAACTCGACCGAATTCACGACAAAGCACAATCGAATGAAGTTCGTGTTGAATCAGCAAATCAACGAGCAAAGAAACTTCTCTAAACAATTTATTCCCAATAACAAAAATCTCATAATTTGTTCCCCAGTAATAATTATTTTCATTTTCATTTCCACTAATTTATATTCATATTGTTTCAAAACAAATTCCAAATCCAATACAATAAAATACACTTTAGAAACCTACGGTAGTCCGAAATTTTTCCAGCGTGCTTTGATCAACCAAATTTACATAATTGTATCTTTTGAAAATGAATGATTTGACAAAAATATCTTTGTTGAAAGAATACAATTTGAAAAATAAAAAACAAAACCGAGAAAACTGACTCAGTGCAAAACAAATACAGGGTGACCAGAAATTATCCGTGCAAACTAAACCGGTCATAAAAACTTCAAAATTGGATATTTTTCAAAGAAATTTTTTGTTAACAATAATAAATGCATTATAATTCCAAAATTATCACGAATGTTGATTTTATGATTTTTTCAGGGCTTTCTGGGCCTTCAACCAGATTTCTGAAATAGTGAGAAAGGCCGCGTGGAGTTTTGACTTTGTTTAGTACGTGGAAAACTCCAATTGTATTTTTACAACTATGAAATGAGTAAGATATCTTCTAATGATGTTATTTTTCAAAAATTACCACTCCAAGTAACCTTGCGGACTGAGATTCGATGAGCTTCAGAGGCCCAAATAAATTGAAAAAAAAAGAAAAATTTTTTTTCGCGAAAGTAAGTTTTTGGTTTTGGTCCAAATGTTAGGTCTTCATCAGCTTTAATGGTTTTATGAATATTTTTAAGTTAGACTAGACTGAGAAAACATGAAAATTTTCAAATATGATCGTTTGTTGTGAATCTTTGTTGGTTTTGACACTTTTATCAGTAAAAAAACAAGGGGCCGAGGGAGTCATGACCGCCCAAACCATCCCCAAAGTCGGTAAATTTAATTTCATTTTGGCAAAGGCAGAAGAAGTCGTCTAAGATCCTTTTAGGAACAAGTGAAAATAGTTTTGAGAATTTACACAGTTGTTGAAGCGAAAAATGGGGCAACATTGTTAACACCACTAGCCGCGGCTCTTTGCCCAATTTCTGACACATCAACATTAGGCGCTCAAGGTCCAAGTAAGATTTCAATTTGATCACGATTTTTTGTGATAATTTTAAAATAGTTATCTATTGATTGGTGCTCAATCAAAAAATTTGTGGAAAATATCATGTTTTTAAATATTTTACGGCCGGTTGAGTTTGCACGGATAATTTCTGGTCACCCTGTAGAAACGTTTGAATTAGCTGAATAGAGAAGCTGAATCATTCAACTGAATTGAACAAAAATGATAGAAAATGTTCCAGGTTAGTTGCCCTAACTTCTGATTTTAAATACTAAAGTTGTTTTTTCTTGGTAAATAAGAATAGAAATTAGAGAAGACAATTTCTCATTGTCAGAAGAGTTAGAAAAATTATTTTGTTTAAAAATTATCACGTTTTTATTTATTTTAATTGTCGAGTTCACGTCTGAGACGTGGATTGGTCATTTCAAAAATTATTTTTCATTTTGATCGGGAAAACGTTGCACAAAAACAAAAGATTATATCTATTTCCTAGTTTTCAATAATTTTGCGATGAAAATTGAACTGCTACAAATACTCCGTGAGTTTTGATTTAACGAAATGAACGAATTTAGAAATGTGTTCCAAAAACTGTTTTTTTTTTTCAAAAATTGTAAGGCCTCGAATTGGGATTACATTTCTTTTTTCGAAAATTTCTAGTTTTTCCTATACTCGATTATAGCTCGAAAATTGAACTTATTATACTCCGGAAAATGTTTTATATTCGAGTATTCATGTTACATTTTTCTATATATGTAATATGAGTATGAATATGTTGCTGGATTTCAAAGTGATGACTTTACATAAGTATTTTTGCTCAATTTTCCTCTTTCAACTTTCTAAACTTCGAACACTTTAGAAAAAAAAATGCATTTTTTGGAGACATTTAAGTAGGTCATTAATCAGCAACGAGTTCATGAATTTCCAACAAACAAAAAAAATCGATCTCTTTCTCTCAAAATATCCAAATGTTTCAAATTTTTAAAACGGATTAATATTTGTACATCTCTCCTATATTTGTTCATGAACTTTTATTATAATGACTAACAAAATTCTCAGTTTTTCATTTTTATGAGAATAATAAGAGTTCTCGGTGCCTAGCAACATCATTGTTGGCTTTCAAGAAACAAAATCCTATATGAGAAAAAACACGTGTATTTTTTTTTACAAATCATTGAATTTCTCAATTTCTTGATAATTCGATTTGAAAATTCCCCAGATTGTTGTTTACAGAAACAAATATTTCTTGGTGTATGCGACCATTATGGAAAATTTGCATTTTATCAGCTTCAATTTGTAAGTCTTTTTTCGAAATTTATCATAACTTCGAATGGGAATTTCTAGATGTGTTTGTTTTTCTGAACTATGAGAAAAGACCTTCGATATCATTTGAAACTGAATTTGTTGAAGAAAACAAAACTGAAGAACTATTTTATGCCAACTTCACAGATAACAGCTTTGCCTATCAGTTTTTGCAGCACCCAGGACATTGCAATGAGTAAGAATGTGAAATTTGATGATTTCTCAAAATATTTATTAATTTCAGATCAGTTGAACTTCTGATAATTGTTTTGTCTGTGGAGAAAAATATAGAAATACGTGAAACAATTCGACAAACTTGGGGTGCCTCAAAATATGAAAATGTTCGACTCAATTTTTTGTTCTCATCAAATATATCAACAACTAATGAAACAGATGTTATTTTAACAAATCTAGCTGATACTTATGACAACTTGATTTTGAAGGTGGGTGAACTTTAGAAAATGTTGAAAAGTTCACAAGAAATTGAAATAAGTCCAAATTTTGTCAGAAAAATTGAAAATCAGGCTCGTTTCCTTGAAATTTCCCCATAGTCAAATCAATTTTCAGGTACATTCCTTGTTATCCTACAAATCAACATTCTGTCCAAATGCAAGTTATGTTCTAAAAATTGATGAAGATGTTATATTAGAGATTCCCCGTCTTTTAGCAAGAATTCAAAATAGTTCGAAGAAAATTTCAAGTGAAGACTCACTAAGTTGCTATGTTTGGAAAAATGCATTACCGAAAAGAGAGCGCAACAACAAGTGGTATATTCCAAGGTCATTTTGGCCGGCCAAGTACTTTCCAAATTATTGTGATGGACCGATGTATTTAGTTGGGAAAAACAGTGTCGATAGAATGTTGAATGAAACAACGAAACAAAAATTGTGGAAATTAGAAGATGTTTTTTGGACTGGAGTTGTTACAAAGGCTCAAAACATTAGATTATTTGAATGGAATTCGTTTTATTTAAGATCACCGGATCAAATGAAATCAAGTGGAGCAAAAAAATGTTGGAGAAAAGAAGAGCCTTTGACAATCACTTGTCATGGTTTCAAATCAACAAATGAAATTAAATCAGGTTATAGTGAACTTTTGAATGTTACGTGTAATAAATAAAGACTTGTAAAACTGTTTTGCTTGAAATGAATTTATTTTCAATTTATTAATGTTTGAGGAACATAACACTTCTTGCTGGGCATGCACAATATGCGGCATCTGGTCCAACGAGTCCTGGGTTTCCAGGAGTTCCAGGTGAACCTGGTCTTCCAGGAAATCCTGGTGATCCGGGTCTTCCTGCAGGTCCACATGTTCCATCAGTTCCAGATGCTCCCGGTCTTCCTGGTTGTCCATTTGGTCCTGGTCTTCCTTGTTGTCCTGGTCTTCCTGGTTGTCCAGGTGCTCCTTTTCCTCTTCTACCATCTTTTCCAGGTTGTCCTGGATGTCCTGGTTGTCCATTTCTTCCTGGAAGTCCAGCAACACCTGGCAATCCAATTGGTCCTGGTTTTCCTGGAGCTCCACGGAATCCTGGTTGTCCTGGTCGTCCTGGGAATCCAGGTCTTCCGACTGGCCCAACTGGTCCTGGATTTCCTGGAGCGCCTCTTGGACATTTAACACACCCTGTATCACGTTGAGGGCATGGGTTTGAATGAAGTGTTTGATAGTTGTCTCTTCCTCGTTGTCCTGGTTGCCCTGGATATCCACGTTGTCCTGGACGACCTGGTGGTCCTGGTGGACCTGGTGGACATCTTGGTTTTGTTGGTTCGCATTGACACCAAGCTGGAAGACTCGAGAATTGTCCACGTTTTTGACGGAAAACACTGTTGAATGGGTTTTGTTTTGGTTTGGATGGTGGTGCAACTGTTACTTGAATATCCATCATTTCAACCCAAGCGGCATCAGTTTCAACTCGAAATACTTGAACTCCATCGAGAACCTGAAGATAATAAAATAAAATAATTACAACTTTTCAAAACAAAAAATAACTTACTTCATTATGCATTTCATTAATAGTATTGAGAAGCGATGGAATCACAATAAGACATGTGATAACAGCTAAAGTCGAAGCTGCCGAAGCAATGCCAACTAATAACTTTTCCTCAAACATTTTGTTGATGATTTTGGTTCAAAACCGCGCACCTTTTTAAATGCTTTCAATTGACCATGACCTAGTGTCCCGCCCATTTTTTCTCAAATTTTCCTGAAAACTTTGTTTTTTTTGTAGGTTAACTGATAAGAACTTTCGCCGATACTTCCGAGAAAGAATGCTTGCAAACCGACAAATTGACCTTGAAAGCGGTTTTTTTTTTTTTTAGAGATTATAAGAGATTTGAGCGAAATGTTTGTAATCCTAATTCATCGGTAAAAATTCGAACTTTTTCAATGAATAATTCGCGAAAACTTGTTTGGTTGGTAACTTGAAGTCAAGAATTTCTATCTGAATATTTATGTGAGCTGAAATTTTTTAAAGCTTGTTCTTATGAGTATCAATATTGTTTTCCTATTTTCTGAAGTTACTTTCGGTATTCTACAGTTCTTCTTGTCTCCTTTTATAGCAATTTTGTTATTGTTTTCCAGTCAAGCTTTGTTTGTTTGTTCGATTGAAATATTCGAAAATGTGTAATAAAATGTAAAACATCAATCACATAATAAATCAAACCATAATCACATGTGGTTAACTAATTCGGGTCAATGAAAAAATATAGTTATCCAATTATTCTGAAGGACAATGTGATAAATTGACAAATTTCGTTTTGGATGAAAAAGAACATTTCTCCTGAGGATTACACAATCAAATTTTGCAACAAATATTTAATTATTACACAATTATTAAAAAAAAGCAACAAAACAAAACAAAAAAATCAAAAACAATAACAAAAATTGCGGTATAAAAGCAACCAGAAAAGAATGAAAAAGTATCGGAAGATGATTGAAGAGAAGATTCTAGTTGTGTTGGCTTCTTCAGCCTCAGTTTTGGCTATTCTAACATGTCTTGTTGTTATGCCTTCTCTTTACAATACTATTCAAGATACCTATGAAGATGTAAGTTAAACTTTGAAAAAAATTGACTTCGATGATAAGTTCTTTTTTAATTTAGGTGTTGGATGGTGTTAAAGTTTTCCGAACTGAAACTGATTCTGCTTGGACAGAAATGATGGATATTCAAATAACTGTTTCACCACCATCAAAACCAAAAATCAATCCATTCAACAGTGTTTTCCGTCAAAAAAGACAAGGATTTGGCGGTCTTCCAGCCTGGTGCCAATGTGAACCAACAAAACCACAATGCCCACCAGGGCCCCCGGGACCACCAGGTCGTCCAGGACAACCTGGAACACCAGGTCAACCCGGTCAACGTGGAAGAGATAATTATGATCGACCAACAGCTCCACCATGTCCACAAAGACAACAAGGATGCATCAAATGCCCACAAGGTCCAGCTGGAAGCCCAGGTAATTCTGGACCACCGGGACCACCAGGACCATCTGGACAACCAGGACAACCAGGAAGAAAAGGAAATGATGGAAGACCTGGACCAGTTGGGCCACCAGGAGATAGAGGACAACCAGGAAGAAATGGAGGACCAGGACAACCAGGAAGACCAGGTCAAGACGGTAAACGAGGAAATGGAACACCTGGACAACCAGGAAGACCTGGATTGCCAGGACCAGCTGGACCAAATGGACAACCTGGACAACCAGGAGGACCTGGAAATGATGGTCAACCTGGACCAGGAGGACAACCAGGACAACCAGGAAATCGTGGAAATGACGGACAACCTGGTTCACCTGGTAAACCAGCTCCACCAGGAACTGATGCCGCTTATTGTGCATGTCCAAGAAGATCTGTTAGCTTTGTCAAACACTAATTCCTTTTTTCTGTGATGAATATTTCGAATGAAGATTTTCTAATTCAAAACAATCAGTTCACAAACTTTAATTATGGAAAAAAAACTGGTTTTTCGGAGAATTTTCAGCAAGTTTTCTCTCAAATTATAAACTGAAATGCAATGACCTTTTCTACTTGAATTATGGGAAAAAACATTTTCAAGTGAAAACTGTCTGATTTTACTATGAGAAAAAAAACAAACTCTTTTCAAGACTAGAATTTTTGTATTTCTGATGGAAAATATTCAAAAAACTTACGGACTTTCGCAATTTCCTATCGATGTTGATCATCCGTTCCGAAATCCATATCCTAATCTCAACAATCAAAACGATAAGCGACGGAATTTTCTTCTGGCATCAGTTGTTCTGCAATTTTACAATAAACTTTGGGTTTAAAATGCATAAGCTAAATATACTCACCTGTTTTCATCAAATCAATTTTGGTTTCGAGGTTGTCCAATATGTTATTCCTCATAATACTCGTATCTTCGATGGCTCTGATAAAACGATAAGCGACTCTGAAAAAAACATAAAAATGCGGAATTTTCAAAATAACAAGAAAACTGACCTTTTTAGAGTGTAAAGAGCAAAATCGATGTCCCGCACCAATGCAGCATGCTGAAAAATGTTCTTCAATTGAAAAGTTTTGGCTAATATATCAAAAAATTCGTCAATAATCAGCTGAAAAAGAGAAGCGAATCGAAAAAAAACAGAAAAAAATGAATTTTGAAAATGAAAAAAAAACTGGTGCGAACAGTCCGATAGAGCGCACTTTCCTTTGTTTGTCTGCGCTCTCCAAAAGAAAACTCTCATTTGTGTCATTTGTGTTCAGAATCAGAATTATAGAACGTTAACGTTGTGTTTGATTTTTAGCTCATAAAACTTCATTTTTTCTGATTTTCATTCAATATCTTTCTAGAATTTCGCGCGAATTCAAATTGGTCCAGAAAACAACGAATCGAACTCAACTCAACACTGCTTGGCTCATCAATAGGATATTTTGGATGATTTGAAAAGAGGCTGGAAAAGATTCGAATTTTTGAATTTTGGTAAGTGAAAAAATGAATTGAAATTGTGAAATTTCAGTTTAAACTTTGAAACTGATAAAACTCGGATTTTTCTAGATTTTCTTTCTAAAAATCAAATCAAAAGCTGAAACCTGATTTTTAAATTCATAAATCCTAGACCTGCAAATGTATATAGTGGGGGAAAAAGTACATGTAGATCACGCGGGATTTCAACAATTTTTCGTTTTTCTAAATCGATTGGCAGCCGAAACGAACATTTCTAGAAAAAGAATTTTGTAATGATTTTTTTATTTGTCGAAAAAAAGTGTTCACGTTTTTATTTTAAAAGTATTCGAAAAAATCACGCCAGATCTCATTTTTTTTCAGGTTGGACGCTCATTTCTCGAAATATTTTATTTCGTATTCGGCCTGTCTACAATGAGAGCTCTCAATTAAACGTAAGAAGAAGTTTATTTTTCTTTCTATGACCCAGAGAAATTCCAGATTGAGAGAGAATTCGGAACTGAGTGAGCCGATGTTCGTTTCCCACTCCAGATTCAATGCGGATTGATGCGAAAAAAATGGATTTGAGGATTTTGTTTTTATTCAACTGCAACTCATGTCAAGTTAGTTTATTGGGTTTTGGGTGAGAGAAAACACAGTGATTTGTGTTAAATAATATAAGGTAAGTTTGGGGTATATTTGTTAAATGTATAATTTGGGACGGCATTCTTATACTCAGTTGCTCACAAGCTTGTGATAAAAGAGGAAAATCCCTTAAAATTCCTCGTTATTTTTTATTTTATTTGTTTTATTATTTATTTTTATAGTTTTTTTTATATTCCACGTTCCGATTTGTTTTCAACTAGCTCTTCAACTTCTATCGGACAAAGATTATTCTTTTGGTTATCATCATTTTTTGATAATCAAATTAAAAAGTTTGTAGTTTTTCTAGTCAACAAATATTGGTTTTATTCAGTCAAGGGTACAAATTTAATGTTATAAGCTGGTGGTCTTTTTCATCATTGCAAACGGTGAAATACTTTCCATTTTTGGAATTGTATTATCAGCACATTTGATGTCATAGCGAAGAAGAATATTACCAAGAATCTGAAAATATTTAGCTGTTTCAGTAAAACTTAAAAAATATTTGAGAATACCAAAAATAATTCTGCTCTTGCCAAAGATTCTCCAAGACAAACTCGTTTTCCAATTCCAAATGGTATCAACATTTTTTCGAGTTGTTCATCCTCCAAAAATCGTTCAGGCCGGAATTGTTTGTGATTTTTGAAAACGCCTTCATCGGTGTGTAACATTGATAATTGTGTTGTGATAACAGTTCCTTCTTGTAATGGTTGACCATCAATTAAAGTATCTTCGTTTGTTTTCCGTAATAGATTTATATTCAAAATAGATGCGATTCTTTGTATTTCATTTATAACTGCATTCAAGTATGGTGTGTTCTTTTTATCACTCAAAGAAAGATTTCTAGTTCCTCCTGTTATTTGAATAAGTTCTACTCTAGCTTTTTTCTGAACATCTGGATTATTCAAAAGACAAACACCGGCCCATGTCAAGGTTGTAGATGTTGTTTCTTGTCCAGCAATCCATAAATCCAGCATATCAATTGATAATGTTTCCAGAGTAAAACTGGAATTTTTGTTGTTATTTCCATCTGTTTTATCTTTTTCGATTTTATCAATGAAAACATCCAGGAAGTCTTCGTGTTGTTCATTTGCTGGCTGTGAAACTCTTTCTTTTATTTCGTCAAGACAAAATTCATGAATCCAATCAAACACACCAAACATTTGTCCTTGCCTGAAAAATTATAGCATTCAACACGTTTTTGTATTTTCTCACCTCCATTTCAAGCATTCCCATTTCTGAATCCATAATGGACAAAACAATTCAAACAAGCCAAATTTTTTCAAAGCGTCCGATATGTTATTTTTCAATTTTTCAAATCGTTCATCATCTCTTGAAAATCTTTTGGAAACCAATAATTGATTTATTATACTTCCAACTAATAAATCAAAAAACGAAGAAGCATCACTGGTTATTTCCTTTTTATTTTGAAATTTCTCAAAATCTTGGATCAACCAGTTCAATTCATTCAATATTTTATCTTCCATAACATTTCTTCCAACTCCAAAATCTCTCAAAGTTTGCAACGCAAAACGTCGATGTTGTTGCCAGAATTCACCATTCGAGGCAATAATTCCTCTTCCCTCTCGAATATAATGAAATATTCCCGGAGAAAATCTGTTACTGAATATTTGCGATTGTTTTATGTGTGTTTCATAGGCTATTTTGTAGTCAGCAATATAAACAGTTGGCATTGGTCCAATCCAAATTGTGAAAACTTTACCGTAGATTTTTCCAATTGCATTGAATCCTTCAACCAATCCACCACTTTTTGAAACATAATAAATAAGTTGGTGAAGATTTCCAATAATGGGAAGAGGGTAAGGTCCTAAAAATTATAGTTATGGTTAATAACCATGGTTATTTGAACACCTCTAGGCAATTTCTTTCGTTTGACTTCAACATAGAGAAACAAGGAAACAATTACGGTAGAAAATACGAGAATAAGAAGCATTTTTTTCAATTTTATGAAAATGAAAATGAAAAACAAGTAGTATCAAAATGCTTATCATGCGGTTGGGTCGAGTTCCATTTTAATTTGATTATTTTGTTTTGTTTTGATTTTTTGTCTTTTCTTGGGATTATTTGGGGAACAAAAAAACGATAGTTGATTCGATGATTGATCTTCAAATGAGATTAGATCGACCTTCAATATCACATGGGCCAAAACACAATTTTTGTTGTTTTTTTTTTTCAATGACATCATCAATTGGGATCAAAAGTTTGGTAATTTTCAATAATCTCTGTACGAAAAAAATAACGAGAATCAAAGAAAGTATTTATTAATTTCAGAATTTATATGTACATAATCAATGAGTCTATTTTCCCCATCCATATCCACCGTATCCACCGTATGGTCTGTATCCTCCATAGAATGGTCTTCTCCATGGTCGGCCATATCCATATCCTCCTCCGTATCCACCATATCCACCATATGGACCTAAAAAATAATATATTCATATTTTGTTCTCAAAATATAGATTTTCTGACTTACCGTATCCCCATTGAGCATCGACGACAGCGACGAAAGCGAGGACAACAAGGAGAAGAAGTAAAAGAGAAGAAATTGAAGCAATCATTTTTTTAGAAGTTGTTGATGATGAGAATAAACGAAAAAGTTGCGATATTTATACTGTTTGGCTGGGGGAGGAAGACATGAATGACCTTTATCAAATCTATTGGCCAAATTCTATCTTCTTCTTTTTTCATCTTCATGTTCTTGTTCCTACTGCTTCATCTTTTTCGTTTTTTTCTTGGTGTAGAGATCAATTAAACAAATGACGTTAATGATTTGACGAATAGAAATAAACATATACGAAGATCTTTGTGTATGGTTATAAGATCACAAGCTGTGACTTGATCGGAAAAGTATGATGTCACGACTAGAGACTTGGAAAAAAATTACAAGAAGCAGAATAGTTGAATTTCGAGAACTATACAAGTGTGTTTCTAAACGTAGTTCAGTTATCGAAGTTATGTTTTCCCGAACTCAGGGCAGAATATTGGTTCTCATGGTTCATCAAGCTCAAATTAGCCGTGTATTGAAATGGGCCTGAAAAAATACGTCAAACAAAATTTTTAGACATGTGAGCCTGGTCGACTTTGTCACTATCTTACTATCTTATTTCACCAGAATTATTGAAATTTTTAGATTTACTTCCCAATTGAAAAAACGCATCGAATTCCAAAATGTTTCTTCAACCCATTTTCTCAAAATTGTTGGTCATTTTACACTTTTTTCGCGTCACAAGTCACAAATGTCATCATAGACAGACCATGTATTTTACAAACTTTTTGAAAATATATTTTTCAAGTCAACTTTTCTTTACCTAATATGAAAAATAACAATCATTAAAAAACACTCAAATCTTGTTTTTTCATTGCAAAATGAGATTTTTGATCACTAATTCTTCTTTCCTCATTCACTAAATGGTTGTCGCGCGCACGTGTCAAAACAGTCAATTCGTCAAATCTTCAAATAGTATATAAGCCTTTACATTTTTCAACATTTCCATCATTCATTCGAATATGTCTACAACATCGTTCTCTCTTGTACTTCTTCTTGTTATTTTTGCCTGTTTTGTGGCTGTTGATGCTCAATGGGGATATGGATATGGAAGTGAGTTGATGTTCTGAATTTGAGCAATTTTCTTATTGATTGTTTTCAGGACCTTATGGTGGTTATGGTGGATACGGACGTGGATATGGATACGGTAGACCATGGGGAAGACCATTCTATGGAGGATATAGACCATACGGTGGATATGGATGGGGAAAATAAATCACACATATCTAACCATCAGTTTGTAAATATTTATTGAATAAATTTTTTTCTGTGATTTTTTTGAATGAGGAATTTGAGTTATTCCTAATTTGAGAATTTTTTTACACCAATATTGAAATAAAAATACACAACCAATTAAAGCTTACCTCTCTACACGTAATACCAATCCAATGGTTTTGATGAGTTATTTTCAATATTTCGTACACATGAATTGTCCTAGTTTTACTGTTCCTGCCAAATGTCAGTTCCATTTTTCTCAAAATCAGATAATTCACCGAAAAAATAGAAGTTGAGTTAAATCTTTTATTTCTCAAAAAATATCGTCATTTATTGTACAGTCTATCTTCAATCCGAGTTTATTTTCCCCATCCGTATCCACCGTATCCACCATATGGATATCCCATTCCCCACATACGACGTCCTGAAAATAACAGTATTGAATTGAATTTCTTTTTTAATTGAACTCACTCCATCCGAAACCTCCTCCATACATTCCGTATCCTCCCATTCCATATCCACCATATCCCCATTGGGCTTCGGTTTCAATGAAAAGGCAAGCCAAAGTGGCGACGAGTAATAAAAGGAAAGATGTTGAAATCATTGTTTTACTTGGGAAAATGAAAATTTAGTTCACTTATATAGTTTCTCCGAGAATTGATAAGTAGTTTTTTCTCGATTTCTGGAACTATATTCGCTGAAAACTTGATAACAGAGAATACGGAAAACAGTTTGGTCAATTAGTAAGTTTGGTATTTTGGACAGTTTTGTTTTTTTGAAGTCGAATATTATTCGAGGAACACACCATCTATGAAGATTCAATAAATAAAACTAAATCACACTTTCACGTCATGTTGATCTGTGATGCAGATTTTAATACCCTGGGTTCAACGCTCGAAATAAATAAGTATTGCTGAAAAATCACATATTTCGAGTGAGGTCACGTTTAATATGATTGACCTTTCTGTTTTCCATTTATTTTCTTTCTAACTGGTTTTCATATTCCTCTTATTTATGAAGTAGTAATGAATTAGAAAAATTAGATTATTTTGAGTAACCCACGAACTCGGAATTTTTATCACGAAAAACTATTCTACTACTCATTTTTTTTATTTTCCCCACAGATTATTAAAAAGGTAGAATATCGGTTATGACCCCACTAACTGAAAAAAATTGTGAAAATTTTGGTTGCGTCTTTCATGGCAGTTTGAAAATGTATATATTTTTTTAATTTTGCCGTGGTTTCTAAAACTGTCTTCCACTTATTGATTTTTCAAATATTCGATATTTCATTCTCAGATTGACCAATTCAAAAGCCGTTTTACTGTGTATCTTGAGATGAATAGTCTGCATGTCTAGCTGAAATATTAAAAAAAAAGATTATCAAATAATATTTATTCAGTTACGATGTTATTAAAAAACAATTTCAATTAAAGTCGGCTTGTAAAGTTGATTCGATTTTTACTTTCCCCATCCGTAATATCCACCATATCCACCATATGGATATCCCATTCCCCACATTCGGCGTCCTGAAAATAACAATAATATTATTTCTGCAACGAATTGGGAAAGAACTTACTCCATCCGAATCCTCCTCCATACATTCCGTATCCTCCCATTCCATATCCACCGTATCCCCATTGGGCTTCGGTTTCAAGGAAAAGACAAGCCAAAATGGCGACAAGTAATAGAAGAAAAGATGTAGAAATCATTTTTAATTGGGAAAATGAAAATTTAGTTCACTTATATAGTTTGTCCGAGAATTGATATATAGTTTTTTCTCGATTTCGTGGAACTTAGTTCGCTGAAAACTTGATAACAGAAAAAAGTTAGTTTGGTCAATTAGTGAGTTTGGTTTTTTTGTTCTTTTATAGTTTGTTTGATAGCGAAGTCACGTGATTCAGAAAATTAAGAATATTTTGAGAGCTCACAAGATGATTGAATTTTTGTTGCAGTCTTGAATGAGTTATATGAAAAGGAACAAAGATCGCATTGATTGAGACAGTGAATGTTTCGATGAACGATGACCGCCCATATTTTTTTTTTCAAGACAAACTCTAATTATATTTCACGAGATGTTGATCTGTGGTGGTACACTGTAATTTTTCACTTATGAAAATGAGTTTTACCCAAAAATAAATCACATAATTCTAATTAGGTCTCCTGCAAATTTACCTTTTTGTTTTTCATTTATTCATTTTCTATCAGGTTTTGTAGTTCGCTTATGTAAAACATTTGTGAATTAGGAAACACGGATTTTTTAAATTTCAGAATTTCAAATATACATATTCTGGAATTTTTGAAATTACCAAGAAAGTTTTCATATTATTTTTTGTTGATTGAAATTATCGAAGGGACCCTATTAAAAAAAACATCACGTTTCAAGATTCTATTGAGAAAAGAAGATAACACTCATTTACTTCTCAAAAAATTATCTAGAAAAATTGGTTCTGAATTTGTTTTTTCCGACAATGGAAATCATAATAACGAAAAATGTTTTTCTAGTTTTTATTCCGTTCTGGAGTTATTTTCTTCTTGCTCGTACTGTTAAGGAAGGTAGATGTGACTAATATTTATTAAATTTATGTACAATATAATATAACAAATCAATTTTAATTAAAGTCGGAAATTCATTCGATGCTTATTTTCCCCATCCGTATCCACCGTATCCACCATATCCTCCATAGGGATACCCCATTCCCCACATACGACGTCCTGAAAAAAACAGTTTTGAATTTAAATTCACTTTTTAATACACTTAGGACTTACTCCATCCGAAACCTCCTCCATACATTCCGTATCCTCCCATTCCATATCCACCGTATCCCCATTGGGCTTCGGTTTCAATTAGAAGACAAGCAAAAATGGCGACGAGTAATAAAAGAGAAGATGTAGAAATCATTGTTTCACTGGAAATACTGAATTTTGTTCTCCTTTTATAGTTTTTCTGGGAATTGATGAAGGGTGTTTTCTTGATTCGTTGAAACTTAGTTCGCTGAAAAGTTGATAACAAAAATAGGAGAAATGGTTCTAGTTAACTGAACTCGTGTTTTGGACACTGGGTGTCTTTTTTCAAAAGTTCATCCGGATCTTGACCACGAAATCAAAAATCAGGACAACTCATTGAAATTCAGGACAACTGTGTCAAAGTGTATTCCATTCTCTCCGACATTTTTATGTTTATTGTGTCCTGAAAGATTTGTTTATTAGTCGATCAAAAATATGTAGCTGTAACATTTTAAAAGTTTTCTAGCTTTAATATAAATTTGAAAACTTATATCTTATTCATCGAATTCAGAAATTCCGATAGTATTGATCTATGAAATTCGTAATTTTCATTGAAAGTCACGAGTGCAATATTTATTTTTCATGACCACCAAATTTAAAAAGTTTGGCAAAGTAAAACTTTATTCTGTAATCATTTGATTTCATCTGTCAGCAGGAAGGTCACGCGGACAAAATTCTGTTTTTCGAACTTTCGGTTTTTCTTTTAAGAGATGACGTTTCTGTTTTTCAGTTTAGCGAATCAGACTTGATTTCTATTTGAATTCTGTTTTTTTAAACAAAAAATCAGATCAATACCAACTTTTTATTTCAATATAAGATTAAAACATAGCAATTAAAGTTGTGTCGAAATTATCATCATTTGATGTTTCGTCAAGGTTTATTTTCCCCATCCGTATCCGCCATATCCACCATATGGATATCCCATTCCCCACATACGACGTCCTGAAAAAAAAAACAATACTATTTTTTCTGCAAATAATTGAGAAAGAAGAACTCACTCCATCCGAAACCGCCTCCATATCCTCCTCCATACATTCCGTATCCTCCCATTCCATATCCACCATATCCCCATTGGGCTTCGGTTTCAATCAAAAGACAAGCCAAAATAGCGACGAGTAATAGAAGACAAGATGTAGAAATCATTTTTACTGAAACTCTGATAGAAATTAGTTTTCGGAAACTTTTATAGTTTTTCTGGATTGATAACAATCAAATGACATTCTGGAAACGAAGGTCAAAGAACCGGTTTCGAAAAAAATAGAAAAAAAAACAGTTCCAGATTCGCTATGTGAAAGATAGCAAAAAAATTACAATTTGAAAATAAAATTCATTGAAAATAAGAATCAACATGTTGATTTGTTTCATCATACATTTCAATATATTTTCTAGTTGGCATTGGAGGTGAAATTGGCGCCGAGTTTGAAGGTTTCTTCTGTAATAATCATAATGATAAAATGATTTCCAACCTCTTCGATCTCATTACACTCCTTTGTTTCAAGAGCGCTTAGATCGAAAGGTAGTTTGGATTTTCGAATAAAATCACAAATTACCTCCGGCATTGAAGACTTCTTTTTCAGTGTCGGAACTTTTTTCGTCGTCGTTGTTGTTGTCACTTTTTTTTTCTTCCTTGTCGTTTTTTTCTTCTTCTGAGCTGCTACTGCTACTGCTGCTTTCGTCGTTTTTACGTTCTGTTGAATCATCGATTGATCACCTTGAACACATTATGTGTCCAGAATTCCCTAATTTCTCCAAATCTCACCTTTTTTATCAACCGATCGAACTGCTCTTCCACTTACAACCGATGGATCATGGATTTCTTCGGAAGACGAATTTGTTGGATGCTGAGGTTTTTCTGAAAAATCGAAATTGATTGTCTAAATTGAAACCTACGGTATAGATGAATAATCTGATGAATGATCATATCAACACCTTTTTCTGATTGTTTTGATGTTGTTGAATTGTCAGAATCGAATTTTGAATGCGCTTCGAATTTCAGACCTTTGTCCAATTTCACAACAGTTATGTTTGATTCTGAAATTTTTGTGTTTGTTTTCAACAAGTTTCTGAGAGACGGGGGTCTAAAACAATGATTGCGAAAGTAAGTAAATCAGCTTCTATCCAAAACTGTGACCCGATAACTTACCTAACTCTAACTCCAAAGTATCGTCTGAAACTGGAGCAAGTTCAACAAAAATCACAAAAATAGTGCAAATAACCAATAGGCTACGCAACATAATTTTTTAAATGACTGAAACGGTTTTTTTCAGAGATAACACACAAACTTCCGTTGTGTTTTTTTTTGTAAATCCGATTTTAATTGTTATACCAATAACCAAATGATCAAACAAAAAGGGCATAGATCAGGAATGTATTTATTTGTTCACATGAAATTTAATCTACCAGTGGACAATACCAAATTAAAACTAGCGGAATGTAATTAACAGTATGAAGGGTATCAGAATTGTTTTGTTTACAACAATTACAAGTGAATTTTATCCCAGTTGGTGAAAAGAAGAATGATTGATCCGATGATTCCGATGACAAAAACGAACATGAAACAGAATGCGCATTGATTTTGATAGCGAGTGCACAAAGATTTGCGAAGAGTTGGTGGTGGTGGTGTCAATGGATTCGAAACTCTGCAATTATTGATTTATGATGATTCAAAAACAGCTAGTTCGAATATTTTGATATTTTGTTATCTCACCCATGTCTTGCCAAATATCTCGTGCCATATTCGGCCGAAAAGAATGAACCAATCATGATTGGTTGACGATCAGCGTATTGTTGAACTCTTTGGGGATTCATCAAGAATGAAGAAAGAAAGAAAGAAAGAATAAAATAGTAAATGAAAGAAAGTAAGTGTTCATAAGACCTCCATAGGCGGAGCTCAAACTAATTGCATATATATGAAATGTGTGGCAGTGCAAACACATATGAATAAATGAGTAGGTTTCGAGAGTATATGTATCTCAGTAGGCCAAGAAATCATTACTACTTCGATGTTGTTTTTTATTCCAGTTTTCAACGTCGAAAAAGGAAAAGAACGAGAGGTGCCTGCCTGCACAGATTCAAATTAAAACAAACTCAAGACCCCCACTAATTTGTTTCTTGCGCCTAATTAGAGTGTCTATAAGAGACACGATCAAAGTTCTGCGCAGAAAAAGTTTCCCCTTTCGAAACTCCAATTAAAAACCTTTTCTTCAAATGATATCACTATTGAGCAAAAAGCGTAAACAGGAAGAGAAAAACTCACATTGATCCAGAAGCGGTTATATCAAAATCCAAACTATCATCATCGTGTTCACCAATTATATTCAAAACCATACTTTTGTTGTCGACCAATAACAAAAAAAAATATTGGCGAAAACGGGGGGCGACAAATAAACGAACCACAATCTCAGATTTTTTTGCTCATTTGCCCGCGTCTGCAAAAAAATGCCACAAAAAAGTTCAATTTGTGTCAGTTGTGAGCAAAAGAGGAAGAACCTTATTGAATTGAAATATTCGCGACCCTTATGCTCAAATAAAAAAAAAGTGTTTTGTTCCTGTCAGAAAAAAAGTGAAGCCAGGAATTTACATATTTTTTTTTGCTCTTCAATGTTTTTTCTTCTTCTTCTTCTCAAAATCTCAGTTATGTTAATACCACCTTTTTTTTGATTGAGAACAAAAACAACAACAACAATAATAATAATAATACTAAATATGAGGAAGAAAAAGAAAAAGCAAGTATTCTTGGTTGTAAAGTGCTAAAATGCAATTCATCAAGACGCGCGAGTCAAAAACATTCTGTATATTCTTCTCATGGGAATTCATGCCACGGGATTTCGCTTTTTTCGACAGAATTCTCAACCAAAAAGTTGAACATTTGTGATTGGCGTACTTGTTATTTCTATACTCACATCAGAAAAAATAAATAAAAACAATCTAAAACAACTTTCAAGTATATTGAAAGTTTTAAAACTTGCAAAAAGCACTCGGCATGTCATGTCAACTCAATTAATTCTTGCACAAAGATGAAAAAGACGCAGACATTTTCACGCAGTTTCTAAATTTTTGCATAAAAGCACGAAAGATAAAATGTTTTATTTGAATAAAAAGTAGGAATTATTCTTTTTGAAATGTTTTTTAATACTGGAAAACATGACAACGAGGAATTTACAGAGAATTTCAGAAATTGATTTCATGAGTTCAACCTTGAAATTGGGGAAGACCTGATTCTTAATGAGCAAAAGTGATTTGAAGTTGATTGATCTTACATCAGCTTGTTGTTCACTTCTTGTTTACTTTGACAAAATCAATTCGGATAACACTTTTGAAATGTTTTATGACGCAACATCGGATTTGGTTCACTTCTTCTATCTGAAACTTTAACCTGACACTGTTTCACCGAGCAATGTTTTTTATTGTTCATTTTATTTTAACAATTTTCGGTCACAAGAAAACACCAAGTTTAATTTGCAGTTTATAGAACACCCCAAGAAATAATTATTTCCAAAATTATAGGGTTTATAACCCGTAGGTATGACGTGAACGACTTTTTTAATACTGCAATTTTTCAGGGGCTTTGATTTCTCCTGTATTTGGCGAAAAATACAGAAATCTGAAAAGTATGAAGTATGAACATCCAGATTAACTTATTTCGTCTGAAACATCGATATCTCATTTGTATTCATTCCAGGCCGATCGAAATTATCAATTTGATAACATCATCCAACTAACCATAACCATATTCCCCTAGTCCAGAAAAATTCCTACTCGTAGGCGTAGTAAATACACATAGCACTTGAAACTCATGAAAAAAGAGTGGAAGATCTTAAGAGATGCGCAGACAGTTTAAACATCGCGCAGCTCTTTCGAAGAAAATGATGGGCGGGCGACACAGGATTTGAGAGAGCAAACTTTGTAACACTTTTGTCGACGATATTTCGCTCCGCATTTTTCTTCTTTTTTTTGGGATAATCATTTTAAGTGAATTTTTCAGTGAAAACCTTCAACATCAACATGTCTGACGAGGAAGAAGTATAGTAAGTTATTTTTTTTCGAAAAAAAAATTTCCCAAAATTCTGAAATTTGAAAGATCTGGAATGAGAGATGTTTTCGGTTTTTTTTCGAAAATAAGTTTCTTGAAATTCAAAAATTATGAATATTCCAGTTTCAATTTAATAATTTTTCAGTTCTGACGAGGAATACGAGGAGGAAGAAGAAGTTGAAGAAGAAATCGAAGAAGCTCAAGCTGAAGAAGAAGAAGAGGCAGCTGAAGATGATGAAGAAAGGTTCGAACCAACATCAAAACGTGCTTCTATCGATACAAATGCCACAACTACAACCACTACTGCGCATGCCCAAAATGCTTTCGAGTATCTTTTCTTTCTCATCTTTCGAATACTAACCTTTCTTTCCGCGCTCACGGGCAAATACAGTCAGTCATCAAGTGTAGACAAAATGTTTGCACACTTTCAAGTAGTTGGATTTGCGCTACCAGATATTGACAGGATTTTTTTGCCTTTGTCTTTTTGAAATATGTTTTTTTTTCTTGTAAGAAAAAAAATAACATAGGACATCATACATCAAAAAAAAATTAAAATCACATTTTATTTTGAAAACAATACTGTTCTCTTTTCAAAAAAACCCCGGAGCGCTTTTATTCACTAACTTTTTTTTCATTTCTTCCACTTCTTTTCCTTCCTCATCAAACTTCGAACTTTCTTTATAATCTCCCAATTTCAGAACTGAAAACTTGAATGAAGCCGAAAAAGCAATGTTGGCTGCCAAAAAACGGCATGAAGAAGATGATCAAGCAAAACTTGAAGATTATGAACAACGTCGTCGTGCTGAACGTGAAAAAGAAGAGGAAGAGTTGAGAAAACTCAAAGAGAAACAAGTGAGAAATCAGAAAATGTTGAACTATGTTTGAATGAGTTTGATTTTTAGGAGCAACGCAAATTGGCTCGCGAACAAGAAGAACGTGAAGCCGCTGAAAGAAAACGAGCTGATGAGGAACGTCGTAAGAAAGAAGAAGAAGAACGTCGTGCTCGAGCTGAAGAAGATAAGAGAAAGAAAGAGGAAGAAAAACTGAAAAAGGCACAAATGATGGGTGGAGGATTTACACCAGGACAACAAGGTGGAAGGTAAGATAAACAACAATACTAAAATAAATATGACTCACCTCATTCGCTTTTGACACATTTCAAAAAATAAATAAATACCGCTTTTAAAAACATTTTTTCATTTGATAGTTTTGCGGTGGGAGAATGAGAAGGTTTGTATCATTTTTCCTATACGTAGTTTCATATTGTTTTCAGAAACTTTGTTATCAATAAGAAGGCTGATACTGGAGTTGGAGATCGTTTCGGAAACATTGTCCAAGCTAAACAAGAAATGGGAATGACAAAAGAACAACAAGAAGAAGCTAAAGAAGCATTCTTGGTTCAAATTCGTAAGACTTTGCCAGCTGGATCTGAAATTTTGCCAAATGATTTGAAGAGCAAAATTAAGGAACTCCATCAAAGAATTTGCAAGTTGGAAGCTCAGAAATACGATCAAGAGAAAAGACATGAACGTCAAGTTTATGATGTAAGTTGTTTTTCTTCAAATAATTTTTCAAACAATCTGAGTTTCAAAAAAAAAGAACAATATTTCAGCTCAAAGAATTGAACGAACGTTCTCGTCAAGTTGCCCGTGCTAACAATGCCAAAAATGGTCAATCTTCAAACGACGACACCGGTGGCCGATTCCCAGCCAAAATTCAAGTTTTCTCCAAATACGACAGACAAATCGACAGAAGAAACTTCAAAGAACGTCGCGCAGTCTACGAAAATGTGAGTTGAAAAATACCGTCATTTATTTTTATTTTTGTTGTTTTTTTCAGAAGATTGCATTCCCTTGCTTCCCTGGAATTGCTCCACCACCTGCATTGTATGAAAAAGTTATCAAAAAGTTGGACTACGAAATTCAACAAGAATTGGATGCGGCTGAAGAAGAAGAGGAAGAAGAAGATTATTAGATCTTTGTAAAGATAATTATTTTCAATGTTTACAGAGACTTTTCCATGTTTAAATACCTGATTGCTAATTTTTGACCAATGAATCGTTTGCGAAAAATACAACACCTAGGAAAAACAATATTTTATGAAATGTTGCACATTTCTACGTCACAAACAAATACAACTGATAGAACAAAATAAGTCCAAGAATCAAAATTGATAACATCTGCATCAGAATTATGGACATTTGTGGTTTTTTGATTTGGAAAACATTGAAATTTTAGAATTAGAAATAAAGAGATGAGAAATTAGGCCGACATTAGAAGTTTTCGCGATTCGTGTGAAGCGGTCTTGAGTTTTGATTTTTTCTGAATTCCACCATTGAGAAGAGTTTTCATAAATAAGTTCCTCTTCTTTTTCAATTGGAATTTGAATTTTGGTTTTCGAACTCTCAAAGTTCATCCAATCAACACTCATTCCGTGGAATTCTTTTCTTTTTACTGTTATTTCATCTGAAACTGTCTCCTTTTTCTGGAAGAAAAATTGAACGAGTTCATCCGGATCTTTCCTCTTTTCCGTCTTATCTAATTATAGAATACATATTTTTACAATTTACAAGCATTCAAACAACCACGTACTTTCTTTTGATTTTATCAGCAAAAAATGCTTGATTCAATTTACTCACCTTATCATTCTCTCCGTCCCTACATGTTTTATTAGCTTTTCCAACTCCCGCAGTTCTTTCTAATTGATTTTTTATTTGGATTCCACGTGAATCTTGTCTTGATTTCCACACTTTCACAAGTCTCACAGATTCTATCAACTTCAATGTAGTTTTTTTCACCGTTTTCATTTTTGATGATTAATACAAAAAAAACTGATATACAACTTATCATCTTATTTTTTTTGTTTATTCATTGGCGTCAATATTTCTGAAATTTGAAAACCGAAAATCAGTGATGTGGTTTGCTCACTCACATTCCAATCCTATTAAAAATATTTAATTCCTCTACTCATTGAAAACTATTTTCTCTTATCAGTTAAATGTTTCAATTTCAGATAAAATGTCCGACGACGAGGACATTCAAAAACCAAAAACTTTGGTGTAAGTATAATTGTAATTCAATAAAAATCAGGTATTTTCAAATTTCAGAAAGCCAACCTATGGGGCAAAGAAGAAAAACAAAACGAAAGATTTAGTTTTCTACACAAATTTTGAAGAGGTTCTTCAAAAAATCAACCCATTTGGAGCTTATCAGATTTTCTGTTTCATTGTCATTTTATATGCGTCAATCGAATGGGCCGGAAATTCCACGTTTATGTTTGTTTTGGGATCATTTGAACCTGATTGGAATTGTACATTATCGAATAATCAAACTGAACGATTAAATGCTCCAACAAATAATGCATCGTGTGCATACATCAAAAAGAATTGTGTAACTCTTGAACCAATTGTCAGTTTTTTCTCGGAATAATCGGAATTTGTATTTGTAATTTCTGTTTTTTTTTCAGCGTGACAAATTAGAGTTTTTCTCGTTGGTCGCACAATTTCAATTGATTTGTGACAATGCTAATGTTCCAGAATATATTGAAGTTATTATGGCAGGATGTTCTGTAAGTCATCGGGAAAATTAAATTTGATATGTATGTTTAAACAAAAATATTTTGCAGTTAGTTGGATCTATTTTTGGTGGTCATATGGGTGATCATTACGGTAGACAAACTATATTCTTTACCGGTCAACTATTAATTATTATAACATCAATGATGTCAACAGCTGCTCAGAATTGGCAAGCTTTTGCTGCAATTCAAGGAGTTAACTGTTTCTTATATGGTGTTATCGAAGTTAGTCTTCAAGTTTTTTTTCTTCTGAATAAGAAATAAAGAAGGATTTTAGGTAACATCACTGACAATGATGATGGAATATACATCAAATAAATTCCGAGTTATTATGGCGAATGCTTTCCAACTTCCAATTGCTTATATGACAATTGCATTGATCGCGTATCTCACGAAGGGTTGGCAAAATTATTTTGTGTTCCTCAATCTTGTTTCATCTCCTCTTGCAATTGGTTTTATGTTGTTCTTGGAATCTCCAAGATGGTTGATTGCAAGAAATCGATTGAATGAGGCATGTGATGTTTTGAATGATATTGCACATCAAAGATGGAATAATACAAAAGTAAGATTCACAAACAATGATATCTCAGCTATTCATAAACAAGAGAAACAAGGATTCTATTGGTTCATTCATTTATTCAGCACAAAAAGATTAGCGAAACAAAGTTTTCTGCAAATTTTATCAGTTTTGACATATGCGATGGTTTCAAATACTTATCTTTATACTGCTTCGGGACTTCATGATTCAGCAATTATGTTCACATTCCTTGATGGTGTTTTCCGTTTGGTTGTTCCAATTATAATTGTTGTTTTCGATATTTTTGTTCCACAATTTGGTCGCAAAATTCAATTCCTCGGATCACTTGTTATTGAAGGAATTATTTTTGGAGTTATTATTGGACTTGTTGCAAGTGGAACATGCACATATGATTCAAAACGTGAGTAATTTAGCAATATTAGAATGTTTGGCATTTTAATTATTTTCAGCAATCACAATTATGATCGTTGTTGCTACAATGATAAATGATTGTGTATTTTGGATTAATATTGTTCAAATCACAACTCAGAGATATCCAACAGTAATCAGATGTATTGCATTTGGAACACTTCATTCAATCAGGTTAGTTTTTTTTAAATTTTGCAAAAAATTCATCTTAAATATTTAGACATATTGGAGCCATTATTGGTTATCTAATTCTTCAACCACTTTTAACATCTGGATGGCCAACTGGAGCATTTGTTGTCCCTGAAGCAATGATTGTTCTCACAATTATTGCTGGATATTGCTTCCAGCCAGAAACTAAAGGAAAAGCTTTGATGGATCAAATGATTGAAGCGAACTACGGTAGATTGGAAAATGAATTACCAAGAGCTCTTATCAGGTAGGAATTAATTTCAAAAATGATATCAATACTTACAAAATATTTCCAGACTTGCTGCTGGCCACAAAGTTGCTCAAATGGAAGTTCGAAAACAACATCGACAAGACTTGGAACAAGCAAAAGCAGCTGAAAGAGCTGGAGAAACTATCGATAGTCCATGGGTATTCAAAGGTCCAGAAAAACAGGAATAGATTATAATTATTATAGTGAAATTATATATTTTATATAATTACAGAATGAATTATGTACATACATACATATAGCTAATCCAATCCAATTGTTCTTGTAAGAAGATTTATCCGATTGACAACATTTTCGAAGACACTTGGTTTGCCTTCCGGAAATTTAGAATCACATCCGGTTTTTCCATATGGTGGTACTTTAACACCGAAATAATGTCGATGGTCCCAAGTATAAGTATCAGATTGATCGATGTAGAATTTTATACGATCAGAGCAAGAGAAATCTTCATTTTTTGGAGTTCCTAGGCATTCTACGTAATGAGCACCGGGACTCATTTCATCTGGATACCTGAAAATCTTTGTTTTCATCACAGAAATGAATAAATAAATAACAAGAAGGGCTTACCATATTTCAGTTCCGTGATGATAATAATCATTATGTGAAGCATGACAAGGTTTAGCTCCACCTTCATATTCCGAAATAAATGTTTGATTCTTATGACAAGCTGGTAGATGTGGAACAATATCTCTTCGAAAAACAACACGATAACTTGTTGGAACTAATTGATCAAAGTTTCTTGCATATTCAATATGACCAACTCTCGGTTGTCCGAAGGTATAAACTTGGATCTGATTTCCATTTCGATATTGTTGTTTTGCAGTTCTTGCTGCTGCCAAAGAAGCTAATGCTCCCCCGAGAGAATGTCCTGTGAAAGTGACATGATAGTTCTGGAAAAAAGAATATGATGTCAGAAATACCTTTTTATGTCTTACCGCCCATTTTTGATTTTTCAAAATCTGCTCAATTTCTGGCCACAAAACCATATGAGCATTTAAGAAATATCGATTCACATTTCCCATATCAAAAAAGTCAACACCATCATTTATTGATTGCCAACCTTCTAATAATAATTGTGTTTTTGTTTTCGTGCCACGGAAAACAACAATAATTCGTAGTGTATTTTCGGAAACAACTAAAAAGAAAATGTTTTAATAGTGTTAAAAAATAAGACAAATAAAAAACTGACCAACAAATGCTTCACAAGTACTATCCAAATGATCACATTCTTTTCGAACAATTGTTTCAATATGGAAATTTTCACCATTTCCATAGCTTCTGAAAATAAAAAAGGTATGCAAATAAAATGAAAGTTTTTCTCACTTATTAATGCATGGCGCGTGTTTTGTTCCATAAGCTGCGGCTGCCAAATTCACTAATTTTCGAGCTTCTTCATCATTATAAGAAGTCTGTTTTCCAAGTGGAATACAATTCACAGAATAAAAGTTCGGTAAAATAAAAAATGAAAACAATATCAGTATTTGCATTTCGAATTGAACAAAAAAACGGAAAGGAACAGAACAAGGAACGACTCGAATCTGTATTTTTAAATAAGATTAAAATTTAGAAAAACAACAGAAAAAATGGAGAGATAGGAAGAGAAGTTACAATAACTTTATCAATCGACGCGGATTATTTTATCAATTCGAAAAGGGTACAAACTATAAAAATCGATATGAATCACTATTTCGAATAACTCGTTTTATTTCATTTATACTATTCATTTTTCCGTGTTTCGTCAAAAAAACACACAACTGGTCACGGACTGTTACACTCGAAAAAAGATGGACAATGTTTATTTTTCACACATTAGTTTGGATAATAATGTCAATCGTTGATGAGGTTTTTGAATGATTTATTGGATTTCAATTCGAAAGGTCAATGATCATATTATTCAAATAAAAAATTCAAATAACAGACTGTAAATCCAGTCACATTGAAAAAAGATACTAATCAAATCCGATTTTCTTAATAGCCTCGAAGAAAAATGATGCCGATCTTCTATTTTTCAAAATGAATCCAATGTTTTATGTGAGATTTTTTCTTATTATTTCTATTTTAATTATGATTGTTTGGTTGTTGAGAAATGTAGTTATTAAACCAAAATATGTATTTCCTCGGCCGAGATTTTCTGAACCCTATCATCACACAACTACTAAATCGCCTGAAGTCAACGAAACATATCCGGTTGAACGAGGAGGAGCTCGAAATTTTTTCGCTGATTTGCCACTTCCAAAAGTGAGTAGTTTTTTTTAGAAATAAAAACAATTTCTAGAATTTTCATTATAGAAATGGTCAACTGATTTGCAACTACTAGAAAAATCATTGGATGATGAAGAATCGTATTCAACTCCAAGAAAATTGAACTCCAATTATGAACTTTTAAGACAGCAATCACATCGTAACCGAACTCAATTGAAATTATGAAATGTTCTTCAGATTTCGAAAAATAATAAACAAAAAAAAGAAATAGTTTTAAAAATGTATTTATTTCTACAATTGTCACTTTCAAAGTTAAAAAATTTGAAAAAAAAAATTAAAATTCTATAAGCTTTCAATTTCATTATACATTTGTTCTATCTCATTTTTCCAAAAATTTTCCAACATTTTTCGTCGATTTTTCAAAGTCGATGTTATCAAACCATCTTCTTCGCTAAATTCATTCATCGTCAAATATACATTTTGCAATAATTCAATTGTTTGAAGTCCAGATGCTTTTCCAAATTCATTCAATTCTTTCATCACAGCATTTCGAACTTTTCGATCTCCCAAACTTTTTTCAATTGGAATATTTTCGTAATTTTTCTCCGGCATATTACTAAGCAATTGTTTAAACCACATTGATTCCAAAACTACAATTCCAACCAAAAATGATCGTAAAGTACTTCCAGTCACATATATTTGAGTAATCAATGGTGAATTACAATAAATCGATTCAACTTGAATTGGTGAAACGAATTCACCTTGGCATAATTTGAACATCTCATTTTTCCGATCAATAATTTGAAGTGATCCATTTTCCAACCATCTTCCAATATCTCCAGTATGTAACCAACCATCTTCATCAATTGTTTTTGCTGTTAATTCTGGATCTTGATAATAACCAGACATCAATGCAGCTCCTCTAAAACAAACTTCTCCCTCATCATTCTTCGCAAAATAATTTTTCTCTGGAACATCGACGACTTTCATTTGAGCCCAAGGTGATGGTCCACCAACATTTCCATAAGTTGTATCATAAGGAAGTGTAAGTGTTCCAGCTGCACCGCATTCTGTTTGTCCATATCCTTCAATTAATGGACAACCATAAGCAATTCTTGTGAATATTTTGACTTCTTTTGTGACAGGAGCACCTCCAGTTGATAAAAGTCGAATATTTCCACCAAGAAGTTCTTTGCACTGCAAAATGTTTTCAATGTTTTATGAACATTTCAATTTTTCACCTGTCGACTTGTTTTTCACGCAAAGAAAAATTAACTTATGGTCTCTTGAGATCAAAAAATTACATCAAACAAACAAAAAACATTTACCTTTTTAAAAACAATTTTATCCCAAATTGTGTCGTTTTCCAAAACTTCCTCTTCCAGCTTTTTTGTCTTCATCTAAAATAAAAATTGATGTGTTTTTCTTTGTGTTGCAAAGACAAGACAAAAAATTAAGGAAGAAAAACCTTTTTGGCGAACTCGAATAATTTTCTTGTTAGCACGTTTTTGCTGCCAATCGAGTTGTGCACATTTTCGTAGATCTTATTCAAAAGACGAGGAACCAAAGAAATGATTGTTGGACGGAGAATCTGAAAATCAACTATTGTTTTTTTGTTTTGTCTTTTCTTCCTGGTTGTTTTCCATGATTCACTTTTGGGAGTTTTTGAATTGGATTCTTGGAATCGTAAAAGATTATGATTAATTGGACGAAGATATCCAGAAATTCCAGTCAAAAAATCTAACCTGAATTTGCTGAATCAATGTTTTAACATCTCCATTATAAATTCCAATTTTTCCACCAAAATACAAAACCAAAGTTTGCATCAAATGCTCATAAATATGTGCTAGAGAAAGAAAACTGAAATACGTATCATTTTGATCAAATTTCCAATTATGAGCAATTGTCCAACTTGTGCAAATCCCACTCATCGAAGTTAACAATGATCCATGTGACATTTCAACACCTTTCGGTTTTCCAGTTGTTCCACTTGTATGAACAATTACATAGATTGATTCGGATGTTGGACGAGTTCCTTCAATGAAATTTTGATTTCCGAGATTTTTAACATCTTCATATGATAAAATTCGAACATCTGGATGAGTTGGCAATGTTTCAACTATTTCAAGAAGAACAATAGTTTTCAATGTTGCCAATCGTGTTTCGTTTTTAATATCTAAAAACTGTTGTGTTCGTTTTTTAGTGTCAACAAATATCAATTCCAATCCGCAATTATCAATTATATCGCACAATGTTTCGAATTTTGACATATGATAAAGTGGAACTACGGTATAATTATAATATGCCATTGCATGCATTGAATACATATATCTGACTGAATGAATACCAGCAATTCCGATTAATTTTGTCGAATTTGGAAACGATGGATGGGATAATAAAATATTCTCAATTCCTGAGCCGATTGCTTTCGATTCTTCAATCGCATCTCCATAAGTTGTCCAAATATATTTTCCATTGACTAAAAATTGAAGAATTTACAAAAAAAGGACGCAAATAGTTTTAAAAGTTTTGGAAAAACACTTACCATTCTCACCGAAAAGCAGAGCTTTCGGGTTTAATTGATAACTTCTTCGCAAAACATCTGGGATTGTTTTTGTGAATCCATCAGGTGTTCCAGTTATTGGTTCTGAAAATTAACATCATTTTCTAAAATGGTCAGATTCCAAAACAAAATAAGATTTCATTCAACTTACGAGTAACTTGAACACTTTCTCTTATTCTTTCTGGTCCACCAATCAATCGAGAATGTTGATAACTCGAAGTATTCGACATGGTTTTTTATCCTCAATGATCTGAAAAATGATCGGTTTCGAAAAAATGTCGATGAAATGATGGCAAACATGTTTTTAAATGGAAAATGAAAAATATGAATAACAACAAAAACAACAACCATATATATCTGTTTGCATGTGCGAAAAGAGATTCGCGCGACAACCAAAAAATAATTGAAAAACTGGATCAGATGAGGAAAATGACCTCAATACACTTAGATTTTTTGAAGGCGATTAAATATACATACACCTTTGCATTTCGAGATTTTCGCCACTTTCTTGCGACTAGTATAATTAGATATCCAATTAATATGAGAAGCTTATTTTAATTGAAGGTCCGGCAAACTTTTTTTTATTGCTTTTAATAACAAAGACTTTTTTTTTTTTGAAAAAATTTTATGAAACTGAAAAATACTGTTCATTAAAAAAACGAGGCCAAATTGCGAATACTTACCAAAAACAAAAATCGTTGTCAAAAAATAATATTTTCAATGAAAAATAAGAATAAAATGGATGAATGTATGAGAGAATTTGGTGGAAAACTACCCGTTAAATATTGAAAATAATTACTGTTTCAGGTTGAGAAAAAAGAAAAAAATATACAGAAGAGGCGGAACAGTTAAAGATTGATGAGAAATGTTCGGAGAGATGTTATCTGTATCTAGGCGAGACAAACACTTATCAGGTACTGTTTCAGGACAAAAAATACAAAATGATCAGATGATGTCTATTCTTTTCTTGATTTTGTTCCGTGTTCCGTGTTTTGTTTTCTACGAGTTGAACCCTTCTAATAAATATTTGAGACAAAATTGGAAAAATTTCCTAAACAGTGATTCGGCTTTCTCATTGAATCGATCTTGTAGAACATATTTGACCATTTGCACAAATGGTTCTTCCATATTTTGAAAAGATGTCGCTGTCATTCCGGATACCTGGAAAAAGCCACAAAATAACGATGATCAAAAATCGTTTTGTATTTATTTATTTATTTTGTTTATGTATTATTTTTGGTTGGTTATTCGATTTACTGACGATTGTGTATGTGTGTGAGACCAACAATTTTTGAGATCAGTTTCTATTTTTTTCAAATAGAATTCAATAAGAAAACCAACAAAACGCGAAATTGAAAAAACACATTTTGTAGCGTGTCCTTTTAGAATAACAAGAAAAAAACTACAAAATGCTGGATACTGTACTCACCTTTGTCCTATGCATTTTTCCCACTGAATGTAACCTATCACAAGCTGTTTGCACGTCACCTGGTTTCTCTTCAACAGCAGTAATAACATCATCAAACACCTAAACAAAATAAATTAGATTTATTCATAAGTTAGATATGTGTGGTTTTTTGACTTACTTTGAGATACGTGGCTGATATTGCTTCAAAACCGGGATCACTACAATTCATATCAACTGTATCGGCTTTCACATTTTTCAATTTTGCATACAACTCTTTGTTTTCCGGAAAATCATTGAGATATCTGAAAATAAAGTTGTTTGAACCTATGTTGATGGTGATTGGTCTGATAAAAATGTCACGTTTCATTTTTCAAGATTTTTTTTGAAACTGAACTTTTGATAAAAATGAGACAGTTCCAATGACTTCTAAGAACTGAATTCAAGATAAGTTCACACTCACTTTCCTAACATGATTTTCCCGCAATCTTTCTCATTTCTGCGGATAGTTTTCCAATAATTTTTCAAAGTGAAAAGCTCTCGAAAGTTAGGATAAGGTAATCTCGAGTCCACAGTTGGCGTTTCAGCAGCTGGTTGTGGTTCCGGATCCGGCGGTTTTTTAGCAGCCGCTGAACCTTTTGACGCGCCACTTCCCATATAGACAACAGATAGTAAATGAAGTGAATGAATGAATGAATCGAGCTCACGAGCTCCGAGAAAATATACACGCACAAAGTGTATCCGCCGGCCGGGTGGCCACGCCTTCTTCTTCTTCTTTGCTTTTCTTTTTCTTTTTTTGAGGTAAGAAAAGAGAGAGAGAAAGAAAATTGAGAGTGTTGAAGACAAAGTGGCTGAGGTAGAGGAGGAAAGGTAGAAAAAATGATTACGTATTTCTCACCGATCACCATAGAGACCTCAAAATGTCTTGAATTGTGAATATGTTTTTTTTTCGAGGGGAATTCATTGGATTAGGTTAACAATTTCAAAGAACCACAAATTACTGTGAGAGCTAACAAATTTAAAATGTTATCATGGATGGAACTGGAAAGTTCAGCAATTTCCTGAATTTCCGAAAAAGTTTACAAAACTTAGTCTGATTACCAAAATAAACTTCCAAAAATCGCCCACGAAAAATATATTTTTGCACGCAAATCAGCACCTCACAATCAGTCAGAATTTGCCAGATTCTACATAATTTCTTCAAATTGAATTCCACCACATTCATTTATTTCTTTATTCAAATTGAGTTTTCTATTTTTAGTAAACATATGTTTTTCATTTCAATGTGGCGAAAATGAGGAAGTATCTAGGGTAATTTGCATTTCCTTTTACGTCAAAATTGGGTGTCTGAGGTGATAATCAAAAAATTAATCAAATCAAATTGTTTGACAATGATTTATGAATTAATTTTGGAGAAAATCTATGACGTTGGGTTGATTTGATTTAATTTGATTTGAAATTTTTCCATCTTTGAACTAACAACATGAATTATCAGGATTTTCTCACGCAAATCGCAACATTTCCTAATACGTGGGAGTTGAGAGTTTATTTTTCCTTTGGTCAGACAGACAAAACGTCAATTTGGTTCAAAGTGCTTTTGCCCGTACAAAACGGTATTGTCTGTCCTTGGACGTCAAAATAATCGAGAGACCCAAGAATTTTCAGAAATTCTTAAAAACAATAACAGATTCATTCTAATCTTTTTCTTCTTCTTTCGTTTCAATGAGCATAATCCGGTGTATTATTGAATTGTGTGTGAGAAGAAATACAAATTTTCTTCTCACACAAATGTTTACTACGTAATCATTCGCATAGTATTTTGAGGGGTTTTGAAGGAAAAATTGAAAGGAAAACTCACTTGCTGAACATATATTGTCCAGAATCTGCTCGTTTTCGATCAATTGCTTTCCAATAGTTTTTGAGTGTGAAGAAGTCTCTGGAAAATATTGATTTATTGATTATTGATTGTGAAAATTGGAACATTTCAAATTCTGGGTTCTTTCTATGTAAGAGTTGTGTTATTTTCATGTTTCATTTGAACATTCGGTTCCAAGGATTCTCAAACCTTTTCAAAATATTCATCAAAAAACATGTGATAATCTTGTTTCAACTTTAGTTTTTCAATTTTTGGTCCGAATAATCCGCTTAACTTCTCTGGTACAATATCATGATCATGTGATTTCCAGACAGATTCACATTATTGTTTACTCCAAAAACATGAGATCATCATCATTATCAACCCAAAAAAACTGTAACTTTGAAAAAAATCCAGACTGATAAGAGTTGTTTTTCTCACTTTCCAGGGCGTTTTTTGACAAGGTGGTTTTTTCTTATGATAATGATGATCACAACTGAAGAATCAAAAATCTGTCTGGATTTCAGGTTAGACACTTCAGTCAGAAATCTAAAAAGAGATTTTGCAATTCTTGAACATTCAAAGCTCAAAAATAAAGACAAAGAAATTTTTGAAATTTTTGAGCGTGACTCTTTGATTTCCAAAATTAATTCTTGAAAAAAATTATCATTTTCAAAAAAGAAAGTAATTCTAAAACGTAGGAAAGCTCAATTTTGGTTCATGTGGAATTCAATGTTTTTTATTTGTTTCAAATCAATTTTTTTTCGAAATCACGAAATTTCTCTGATTTCTGATTCAATTGTTCAGACTTGTTCTCTTTTTGAACATTGGCCGAATAAATCTTCAATAAGAGGATAATCTCTATGTATTGTTTCAAAAAATAATTCAAATCCTATTGAAAACAAATATCAAAAAATAACTAACCTATATGTATCCATTCCCATCCTTTTGTCAAGTTGTTTAACAGGTTCAGGTTCAGGAAGTGGCATTCCTTTGTCTTTATTTTTCTTTAATTTTTTGAATACCGCCATTTTGTTCTTCTGAAAAATGTAAAGATATAACTAATAAGTTATAATTAGAAGAAAAGAAAAGGAAAATGCAAAAAAAAATGTCGAAAAAATTCTGAGAATTTTACAGTAGTTCAGTTTCGTCAAAAAACACGCTTCGTAATGAATAATAATAAGAGAAAAAAGGCAAACGGCTGCGAAAAGAATAATGCCAGTTATATACAGCACACGCAAAAAAAACGAGAGAGAGAGAAAAATGTTTAGAAATCGGAAACCCGGAAATTATGAAACCTCCTTCTGCGAAATATCTATGTATGTTGTATGTTACCTGCCAAAATTGACGGCAGTCTATCTATGAATATTTTTTGTTGCCGCGGGACACAACATTATTTTTGGGGCGAAATATGAGTCACTCTTCCTTTCTCTTCTTTTTTTCGGAATTAGTTTTGATGGACGAAAATTCGGAGAAGAGTTATGTGGGAGAGAAAATACGAAAAAAAAAACATCAAAGTTTGATCGAGAATTTGGAAATGCTTTTGAAATAAAATACAAGCAAAAGTAAACTATCCGAAAAATTCGAAGAATTTCAACATTTCTATTATATTTATTATAAAAATAAATACGAAAAAAAGGAAAGTAAACAAAATGAAATGTTCTAATCGTGAGAAAAATCGATAATTCAGATAGTTTTTTTTGTATATGAAAAAAAGAATTGCAAGTTTCTTCTGACTAAAAAAAGATCTCAAAAAAAAAGAGAAAACTGAACCTCAAACGAAGCTGATTAAGAGGAAAACTTTTTCAGTTTGGGTGTTCAGCAAAGTCACGAAAAATGAGACGAAAAAAATGTTTAATTAGAAAGTTCTGAAAAAACTGTGTGTGGCATGCGAGTGTGTCGTGTCAAATCTCAAAGTGTCAAATTAATTCGTTTCTCATTTTACTGAAAAAGTTCGTGTGAGAGATTTAGAGAAAACTTTTTTGATCTTCTAGAAAATTTTGGAAAAACTTGAAGCCTTTGAGGTAATATATCACTACAGTCCAGATTGTTATGCTTCAAAATCAAATTCTGAAATTCTTAGGTTATTACAAGAATTTTTCCAGGGGTTCAGAAAGTTCAGGTATTCCTGACGTCGAAAAAATCCGAAGACCACAAAAAAATGTGAATACAAAACATTTAATTTCAAGCACAATAAATTTTGTGCAGATCCAAAGATCGAGACAGCAAAAAAAAACACAATAAATTAACCTCTTGAGAACACGAAGAATGTGAGAAGCGAAAAAAGCAATTAGTGAAATTGTACAAAGGATCAAAATAAAATATTTTTCGAAAAAAGAAGACGAAAAGGTTGGATTTCTCTTGGGTAAGCAGGTAGGTAAAAATTGGAGGGGAGAAAAAAGAAAGGATGGAGAAGAGACTAGGCATGTGTGTTGTGTCTCGTTTAGGATCAATGAAGGCTCCTCGCTCATCGCTCGCGCACACACACAAAAAAAAAGAAGAAGCTGAAGAAGAAGAAGACGAGACTAGTAAGGCAAAAAAGAGGAAGATGTGTATGCTTTTGTGGGGGCGGATAGATTGGCTTATTTGGCAACGAAGAAGAAGAAGAAGAAGAAACTAAAAAAGACTGAAGACATGCAGATTTATCCGTTTTGTGACAAAACTTGGAACTTGGAACTTTTTTTGGTTGGGTCACTTGGGGAAGTATTATATATTTTAGTTTGTCATCTTACTAATTTTCACTACTGAATTTTTATTCCATAAGTATTTTCATTTTTAATTCAATTTACTTGGAAAGATTTTAATTGCTGTTTATAACTTTGTTCAGGAAAAAATAAGTATTAATTATAATTGGTTTTCAGTGCATATTTCCTGGCGAAAAAATATAAAAAATCGAGAAGGAGGAAAATAATTGAAAAAATGGACGAAAATTGAATTTTCTTTTTTTTGTTCAGCTCATTTTTCAACTAGTTAACTACTATAGTTTGTCTCCAAGCGCAACGAAATTTCGGGTTTTTTCTTTTTTTTTTCTAATAAAACACAAAACATTGAAACTGAATAAAAAGAGAAAGGAGAGCAAAGAAAAAATAATAAATAATAAATTTTAGCCAATTTTTCTTGTGTCACTCAAGCAGCAAACGAGCACACGGGCACAAAAAAAGAAAAAAAAGAGAACGGACCACGAAAAAAAAACGTCTAACACCCTGGAGGCTCATGATTTTTGCTTTTCTACTTCTTGTTTATATTTTGCGCGATTTTCCGGAATTATTATTTTTTAGAGGTCTTTTTGGGAAGAAGACAGAAATTTGATGCGAATCAATCAAAAAAAAAGAAAAAATTATGCGTTCGGGGGGAATCGAACCCCCGTCGAATGCTTGGAAGGCATCCATGCTGACCATTACACCACGAACGCGGTTGAGAAGGGTTGATAAAATGATAATGTTTAGTTCGCATTTTTCTTATCATTTATATCAATATTATAATGAAGGGAAAGTTGAATGAAAGAAAAACTACAAAAATGTAAAAGTGTGGGAAAAAATCTAAAAATAAAATCTATATATTTTTGGAAATTGTTTACAATTTCGGTTAAAATTAGCATAATTTTATTTGGTTTTTTTTTCGCTCTAGAAATATATATTTTATCGATGTGGAATATTTGATATTTATTCGATATGAACAAGGCTTGATTTGAGAAGGGGAGGGCTTATCAACATTTTTCCATCTGTGGAGAAAAACAACAATAACAACAAAAGCTGACATGACTGCTGTCAACATTTTTCTTTTTTTCTTCTTCTTCTTCCTTTTCCTCACAGAACAGAACAAAAAAAAAGAATGAATAAAAAAATAAGTTTTTCGCGTTTTGAATTAGCTATTCAGACAATTCGTCGATGCGCAAACCACACAAAAAAAATGGAAATTGACTGGAAAATTTTTATTAATAAATGCCGGCCCGCCCGCCCGACAAAATGGAATGTATTGAGAAAATCATAAAATTTTACCGTAACCAAAATTTACATTTTATGTATTTATTATTGTCAATCCGAAATTCTGTGTCTAGAAAATCAAACATACAAAAAATCAACGGAAATTCAAAAAGGTCAGAAAACTTTCTTCTAATTTGTTGAAAGTTATTTGAACTAAATGTTTTTTCAAAAAATCTGGTTCTAATATTACAACAACACCAAAGCTCATGTGAAAATTAAATTTTATTTTCAATAATTCTAAAAATATCTTATTTTTCAACACATTGATGTCATTTTTATTTCCTTCGAGTTATTGTACTGGAAATTAAAATCTATCTATTTATATTTACTTACTTACTTTCATTTCTCTCTATTTTTATTGATAATAAATAATAAATAACACTCTTTCTCTTAAAAGCGTGAAGTTTTTGAAGATGGTTTTGAAGAGGGCACGAAAGAAAAAATCAAATAAATCTTTGCTTTTTTGCAATATAAAAAAAAGAAACAATGAAAAAACCGGGGGATGGCATGTGCAAAATGTAATTATACTGGGATACGGTAGTCAAATAAACTTTATTCGTTTTTGTCTTATACTTTTAATTTAATTTAATTGTAAATCTTGATTTTTCGATCCAAACAAACGCCCATGCAAATGTATAATAATGTAAACAATTCTAATGCTATTGAAAAATATAATGATAAACTAAATTGTACTAATTTTGAATTCTGGAAAAATAAAATATTGAAAAAAAAAGAATCATAATAAAATATGACGCTGAAAACAATCACATCTTTTTGAAGAATCTGGTTGATTTTGTTGTTGCTGATTTTTATGAAGTTTTTTACGATATGTTGAAGATTTTGTGCTAATTGTTGAATTCGAATAAATACGTTGCATATCACGAATTTTATCATTATTTGGAAGACTTTGACGAACTCGACTATCTGAATTTTTTTAAATTTCCGAATGAGCTGAAATATATTGCTCACCAAATTTGCTCAGTTTCACATTGGCCCCATATTTCGAATCCATATTAGTTTCGGCCAATCTTTCTCTTTCTTCCAAATATATTATTTTTAGTTGTTCTGATAACGCGTCATATAAAAACTTTTCCCAGGCGTAGAAAGTTTGGAATTTGAAATTTTTCACGTCCAAATTGTGCATTTTACAAAAGTTGGAGACAAGCGATCGAACAAGTATTCGTTCCTGAACCTAAATATTTGAGTTAAAAGCAATTCGAATGAAGTTGGTAGGGAATTTTTTAAATTAGGGCTGGCCACATAAATCTTGTTAGGGAATAGACAAGTTAATTTTAAATGAGAGAGCACTCTTGAAATATTATAACTGCAAAAAATTCTCTGGAACTCTAGAAAAAGGTCCGAATTTTTTGAAAACCCTGAAGTTCCCCAAAAATTTACTCACTTTTCCATACTGTATTTGCATTCGTTTCAAATGAGTCAATTCTTGGAAAATGGCTCTTTCATGAATATATTTACTTGTTGCCAAAGCCGGTGATTTTGATGATAAATTCGGGTCGTCTTCAGTTTCTTCATAAATATCAACATCTCCTCCATCATTTCCAATTTCAGGTTCTCGTCGAACTCTCATTACTACTTTTCCAGATGATGTTTGGTTCTTAAAAATATTTTTTTTTTAATCAAGTCAAGTTCACACAATTTCAGGCCTCACCTTCTTTTTTATTTTCCGTCAAATGATCAGTCGAATCTGGCACAATTCGAACTTCTTTTTTCTTTTTCTTTGATTTACTAATACTTGTTTTAGCAACCGGAATATCCAATTTTTCCCTCATTTTTTCATCCAAATATTCTGGATCACTTTCATCAATTGAAGTAGCAGCTGATAATAATGGACTATCATCTGAAAGTGGTGGCAAATTCTCAAATTCTTCTTCAATGTCCAAATTTGGATCTTTTTCTCCATCTGATTCTTCGTCACTTTCTTGTGGAGATGGAGCACTTTGAATTGTTTCAATTTGAACTTTTTGCATTGTTTCTTCTGGTTCAAGATTTGTAACAGATGTTGATTTTGATACTCCAGCTGATCGACTTGTTCGATTCTGCAAAATTTGCAGTTTTTTTCTTGTTTTTGTCATTCAATCTTTTTTGCTAGTAAAAGTTCCGCCCAAACTTCCTTTACTAATTTCTTGTTTTCGTATTTTTTCTCTCAATTATCCATTTTTCGACAATGATTTTTCTCAATCTGTGAGTTTTCAGTTTTAAAATATCACAGTAATATCGTATAATTCAGATTCTTAATTTTGTGCATTTTCATTTTCGCTTGCGCTGAATTGGATGATAGTTTCAGTCGCTTTTATGGTCGACTTGGTTTCAGTCGAAGAAATATGAGATATTATGGATATTATGGACGCAAGAAAAGACAAGGTAAGTAATTTAAAAATCTACAGTAGTCCCTATATTTTTCAGATGATACAATTGACTTACTGATGTATTGACACCAACATCTTCTTTTTTCTTCTCAACTTTTTCAATAATTCCATTTGATGTCGAAGGTCGTCTTGGTTTATTTTTAGCTTCCTTGATTCTCTGATCTCTCTCTAATTTTGCTGAAAATAAAGTGTTAATTTATAAAATTTCATTTTTTTTTTGAATTATCTACCTTTCGCTACCATTTCTTCAAAAGACACTTTCCATTTTTGAATATATTCCGGTGAGAATTCAGCGCTAGATTTCGCCGAAAACATTTTTGTGAGATAATCAACAACAAGTTCATGATTTTGTTCCTTGGCCAAATCAAGAGGGGTATACACGTTTTTCTGAAATTAAAATTATAGAAAAAAAACAACTTTGAAAATATAGGTACTTACCTCGATACTAATCAAAGGATCAACAAAACATTTCTTGCTGCATAGTAAAATGACAAGTTCAAGATTTCCAGCGGCGGCAGCTAAATGTAAACCAGTTCGACCATTATGATTTGGTGCATCCAAAACACTTGAATCCATCGCAAGCAACCATTCAACAACATCTTTACTTCCTGATTGAACAGCTTCATGAAAAGGCATATCACCTCGATAATTTTGAATATCAAATGAAGCATTATATTGTCTCAATAATTTCAACATTCTCATTTGTCCTTTTGCAGCTGCACTGTGTGCCGCAGTTCGTAATCTTTGATCTTGATGATTTGGATCAGCGCCATATTGTAATAATTTCAATGCAGATTCATAATGTCCATAGGTAACTGCATAAACAAGAGCTGTATGTCCAGCAGAATCTTGATCATCTACCATTGTTCTTGGAATTCGATTCATTACAACATCAATTATCTCATGATATCCATGTGAAGCAGCACAATGTAAAACACCAAGACTATCTCGATCTTTTATAAGAAGATCACCTCCTGAACTTGCTAGAACTTCAATAGCATCCACATTTCCATTACTTGCACACCATAAAATTGGAGTTCGATTATCAACATCTTTTGAATTTGGCATTGCACCATGTCTTAATAAAATAAGAAGAATTGCTTGTGAAACTTCTGGAGAAATATCATCCATTACTGTAGCATAATGAACTGCACATCCTTCTTGCTAAAAAGTATTATTTATTTCGGAAATTAGATTAAACATATGGATACAACATGTCAAAAAACAATCGATGAGACTCTCTCATCATGAGAGTGAACGAGACGAAAAGATATTGAAATCGCGCGTGATCTACAGCGAGTTGAATTTGCGAGTCTAGGATTTTTGAGGCTTGGTTTTTTTTCATTTTGCCAAGCGAATAACAATTTTTTCGAAACAAAATATGCTCGCCAAACGAAATTTAAAAAATTATGGATTTTCAGTCTCACAATTTTTCTCTAAGTATTCTTCACTCTCACCGATTGCCAACTTTCATTGGACTGACATGTTGTGGTATACTAACCGTATAATCCTTCAAATTAATATCAACTTTTTTATCAATCGCCCATTTTAAAGATTCAATTTGTCCACAAACAGTTGCCCAATGTATCAAATTATGTCCGTCATTATCAAGTTGATGAACATTTGCACCATTTTCTGCCAAAAATTTGGAAATATTCAAATTTCCTGACATAATCGAGTTTATCAATGGAGTCACTCTATAAATTTTTAAATTTAAAATTATTTCAAATGTAATTTGTTCATACCCTTTTTTATTTGGATCATCTAGAACTGTTGTATCAAGTTCGTACAATTTTTTGAAAATTTCCAAACTACTTTTTTCGGCTGCATAATTCAAATATGTATTTCCTTCATCATCTCGTATTGAAACTTCTCCCTGATAATTGTTGAAAAATAAATTTATAATTTTTTTTTGATAACTGATATGGACTTACCGGATGTTCTTCTAAAATTTTCAAAACTTCCGCTTCATTTTGTTGATCGATGGCATCAATTAAACTCATTTATATAACAATCCCAAGTGACCAAAAAAAAGTAAAATTATTTTTTGTTCAGCAATGGTCAAACAAAAGAAATGGGAAAATTACACACACAGGTTGCTAGGGAAACTTTGGAGCACGAAAAAAATGGAGCTCGAAAAAAATTGGAGCTCTGAAAAAAAATAAAAAGGAAATCGCGTGATAAGATGAAGTTATGCATAAATTTATGGATATCTGTTTATAAATAAATGTGTGAAATTTTAATATGATGGATGGATTATCCGGAGCTAAACGATTAGGGATTTCATTCCTGGGATTGACTCACAAAAAACAAACAATTTCTGTAAATATTATGTTTTCAAATACCCTCTTGAAAATCTTCTCCATGTCAATTGTGAAATTTGAAGCTATCTAACAATCAATTGAAAAGTACAACACAACAATACTCAAATATTTGACCACCTACTTTTCTCCTGTAAGTAAAAATTTCAACATTTTTTTTTGAAAAAAAAACTCCCTCTCTATTTGTTGCATCTCTTTTTCTCTCCTCATCATTTGAAACATATGTATTTCGAGAGGCAGTTGAGTGTAAACTAACGGTTTATTTTTCAAAAATCATGAAATTTCATAATTTACCTTGTTTTGAGTTTCCCTCTAAAATGGCGACGCACAAATGCACACATTGTGCAAACACCAGCGCCGCGCCAATTTCGAATGTTTGTCGCGTCCCATTTTTTCTTTTTCTTTTTTGCGCCACACAAGCCTCATTTCCCAACCTTTTACCCGGGAGAAACATATTTTCTTGAAATGAAAAACGTGTCTTGTTTCACGCGGGGTTTTCTTTTTTCCGCGACTAGGATTTATTGTTAAAAAATGGTTGGGAAATATTGCTTGTGAAAATTCCCGCTTTTCGAACTCAAGATTGAAAAATTTCAGTTACATCAAGCAAGAAGAAGACAATCACCAGAAACAGTTGGCAAACATTAAAAGTGAGTTTTTTTTTCAAAATTTTTAGAGAAAATAATGCGATTTTTCAAATTGCACACATGCACTCTTATTTATTTCTTTTGTTGGGAGATTTATAGCTCCGAGTTCAAAATTGTGTGTTTTTTCGAGGTTATAGTTTGAAGGCGACCTCGAATTATTTCTTTTGTTGTCAGCCAGTCTTTATTAAGTGGTTTTTCCCTTCTGAATAAATAGGAGAAGTATAATTCGAGTATATTCTCTATTTTTTATAGAAGTGTAAATAATAAACAACGAAAAAAATATATATTACAAAATTATCTGTCAATTTTTTTGCCGAAAAACGATTGATAACAATGTGTTTCATTTTCATTCTAAAATTTTCATAAATAAATAAACATTTTCGTTTTTTTTCTCCAGGGAAACAAATCCAATACATTTTTTTTCGAAAACCACGAAAAAACTTTTCTTGGGTTTTCCCTGCATTGATTTCTGGTGATTCACTCAAGAATTTTTCGCATTCTTTTTTTTAGTTTGATTTGATTTGTCAGATCTTATTTCTCCAATTATATTTTTATTGATTTTCGAACACTCGAAAAATTTGAAAAGAATGACAGTGAGCAAAAAGAAAAGAGTTCCTGAATATTTCAAAAATGTCTGTTCCTAGCATCAAACTTTTCTCTATTTTCATCACTTGTCAGCCATCACAGCATGAAAATGTGTACTTTTTTCGATATTTTTTCAAGTGTCTCATCTCTTTTCCGGTTCACTAAGTTTGCCGCATGTTTCGAAATAAACATGAAGAGATGAAAGATTCGAAAAACAGCTGGTTCAAAAAAAATAGAAGCTAAATAGCTAATGCACTTTCCTCAAAATAAATGTGGGGGAAAAAGTTTTGAAATCAAAAGTTATGTGATCCCAAAAAAATGATGAATAATTACTTGTCGCTAGGTTACTTTGTTTCTTCAAGAAGCTTTCCATAACATTATGCTTCATCGTATACGATTCTGAGTCACGTCTTTGTAGCATGCATTCTTATTTTTTTGGAGCGCCCGAATATATTCATCATTTTTGTTGTTTTTTTCTCCTTTCGTCTTCTGTAGGCGCTAAAGCGAAAAGCGGCAAAGAAAGAGAAGACATAACACAACAAAAAACAGCACAACATCATTTCGATATATATTCTCTTTCTTTTTTTTTTTGCTTTTTTTGTGCTTCACCCATCAAAGCGACGAGCAAAAAACGAAGGAAAAATGCACATACATGCATACACAACAACTCTCGATCTCTAACAAGCCGATCCTGTTTTTTTTTCAGTTTTTCGCGCTGAAATTCTTGTATCATTTCGAAAATTATTGATATTTCTCCTCTCTTTTTTGCACTCATAGACAAAGTTGATTAGTTTCATTGATCTAATTTAGAACGGAAAAAAGTGTTCTCTCTTTCGGAAATATATTCAATTAACTCAATAAGTTCACAAATACCTAATAAATTTCTTTTTTGTTGAAAACAATTTCCTCTTTCTAATCATTTCAGTTCGAATCAGACATTCCAAAAACAACAACTTGTAATTGGGTTTTTCTCTTCTCGTTTCAAAATACGTCCTGTGTTTTTTTCAGTTCAGTTTCCTCTTTTTCTCCTCGACCAAAAAATGAATAACTCTCTCCTCGGTCTATTTTTTGAACAATGTTGAATTTATAATTCGGTGTTCTTTCTCACGCACTTTATGCGATTAAACGAAGACGAAGGTCGGTATTAACTTTGAAGTTTCTACTATTTGATGCGTCAGTTATTTTAGTTGAATTGATAAGATTTGAAATGGTATTATCTTTGTGTTATCATATTTCGCGCAATAATTCATCAATCATATTGTTTGACCATTCATCTTAATTCGAATTAACTTGAAATAAGTTATATTTTATTAGCTTTAGAGGAATCGTTGTCTAGGGTCTGAAATCATCAAAAAAAATTGAAATTGAAAGGGTTCCCTTTTAATTCCAATAAACATCAAAAATTACATGTCATTTTTTTACATCGACAACCCTCAAACATCATAAATGACTCATATATCATATTATTTTTTTTGTTGCCAATCTAATTTTTTGTGCTTCTCACATACACATTCTTTCCTTTCTTCCTTCTATTTGCCCTTCGTTCATTCATTCGTTTTTTGTCTGTTTCTATGTGTGAATTGTAACACCTGCAAATTGTATTTCGAATTTCAAATATTGTCAAAACATCTGTCTTCATCATCTTTTTCGTTTCACAAAATTATAAAACATCTCGAGGCACGCCCCATTTTTTCATTACACGGTGTTTTTTGCTGTGCCGCTGCGCTCGCTCGCTTGCTAACAATTTTTGTCATCGTCTAGAAATATTTTTTGGCTATAGAAAAATTGATTGATTCATCATCATCATCAAAAAAAGTTCAAAATAATTAGTTTTTTCCGAAAGTTTATAATATTTTCATTTGAATACAAAGTAGATATTTTTTGAAATCCTCGAATTTTTCACACAAAATAGATTCAGTTTATACCAATTATCTTCTCGCTCCGGTCGATTTTTTGGTGTTTCGCATCATCACAAAATAATTTCTTTCCTTTTTTTGCCCCACGAAATCACATTCCCTTCTTTTTTTCTTTCCTCACTGATTGTTTCAATAAAATTGAGAAAAAAAGTGTCAGATTTCATGCTGTGTGTGTGTTTTTTCTCTGTTTTGGGGCGAAATTTAAACGAGTCTAATTTCCGTTTCCTCGTATTTTTTGTGTGAGCCGTGGAAAAGAATAACTCATCAGATATTTATGAGCTAATAATGTTCAAAACCTTACTTTCAAGTATCAATTTTCCTTTATTTATTTATTTTCTTACTCATTGAGTTATGAGTGTTTTTTTTGCGAAATAAAAAAAAAACAAAGAAAAAAATAGAGGGCGGTGAGCGAAACATGATCTCTTCTTGTTGTTTTCCGATGCTTTTTTGGCATAAGAGAGGGTAGATTATTTTAAAGATTAGATTTCATCAAAGTAAGAAACTTTTTCACGAAAGTTCTTTCGCGGTTAAATTTTGGCCAATCTTCTTTCTGTCTGAGAAAAAAAAATGTTTTTTTTTTCTATAATTTATAGTTCCTTATTTTTCTTTGAAAAGTTAAAACTGGTTTCGTTGATAATAAGTTTTCAACCATTTTCAAGAGATCATCGTCGATTTTTTTAAATGAAAATCTGAAAAAGTATTTCAAAAATTGACTGTTTCGAAAAATATTCAAATTTTTCTCAAAAATAGAAGTCTGTTTCTTTGTCGTTCGTCCGATTCAAAAGTTGTTCTCTCAAATTCTAAAAATCGTGCCCTATGGATTTCACAACAGATCAAATTGAAAAGTTTCTTTTTTTTTTGTTAGTGTTCGTTTTGACTCACTCGATCAAGGTCGACAAAAAAAGAAGTGCAAACGTTTTTTTCTTCCTTCTTCTTCTCATTTTCCAAAAGTATTTCAATGATTCAAATAAATTTACATTTCTCACTTATATGTTAGTTTTATATATAACCTTGAAGATCTATATCACAAACTGACAAACTCTTCTCAATCTTTTTTTATTTTTGGCTAATTTTCCCACGATTTGGCTCTCTATTTTCTATCTAACTATCTATTTCTTTAATGTTTATTTGCTTTTTTTGTCGTCGATCGTAATAATGTGTATTTTTGTGATAAAATATTTGAAAAAATGTGTACACATTTTCCTACGTAACTTTGTCAGAAAAATTGAAAAATCGCTTTTTTGCAGAACGAAAACGTGTAGAATAGAAGCGAAAACCAAAGAATAAGAAGAGAGGCGCAAATGTTGGAATTTTTCAAAGTTTGTGCATTTTTTTTTGCATTTTGTAAGTTTTTTTATTTATTTATTTTTTAGAAAAAAATACATTTTTTCGAATTGTATGATAAGATAACGACAAAATGTAACATTTTTTGAGAAAAAAAAAATAAATCGAAATAATCCTCAAAAAGTTAACGGCTTAGGGGAATTGCAACAAAAAAATACTGAGAAAAATCAAACTTCTTGCAGATTCGGCTGTAAAATGTGAGACGAAACCAGTTGCGATGGGAAATGTTCAAACTGTTATCAACAGTGCAAAATTGTATTCGGAAGAACCGTCGAAAAACTATTCAGCTACTGCATTGTGGTGTGAAGTGAAAAAAGATAAAAATGCGGAGGATATTCGGGCTGCCAAGTTTGTCAGACATCATGATAAATTTGAATTTCCTGTTAGTTTTTTGGGGGAAATATTGGGATTTGAATTTAAAAATATGTGTATCAGGCTACAGCTGAACAGTTTTGTTTTAAATTGTTACATAACCAATTCAGAGCAAGATGATGTCGATAAAGAAAACTTATACTTAGAAATCAAAAAAAAATTGAATTTTTCAAAACCTAAATTTCAGAAAAAAGTAAAATTATTTCTGAAAATTTCATATTCCTGCGCCATTCAGAAATCAAAATCTTTTGATCTATAAAATTCAATTCGCGATTTCCAGGCCGACATTGACAGTGCTAACCGAGCCTATTTGAACTTCCCAAAAGAAGCTAGCGCTTCTGCTAGTGGAAAATATCGCTGTGAAATAACATTGCTAGACGGACAAACTATTGTTGGAAATATGTTCGCTTATCGTAAGTTAAAAAATTTATCAAATTCACAATCTGTGTTCTTTTTTCTCTCAGATAGTGCAATTATCAACAACACAAATCGTTGGCCGGTCACAAAATCTGAAGATGATCCAGTTCTTATTTATGTATGTTTTATTTTTTATTTTGAAAAAAATGTTTTAATCTGGTTTTTTCTTCAGGCTCCAGCTATTACTGCTCCACTTGAATCTGATGCTGAAATTGAATGTCCATTTGGAGGATATCCTGTTCCATCAGTCACTTGGTATAAAGACAATTATCCAATCGGTAATCAAGAGTTTTCTGAAATATTTTGAAATTTCTTTTTTTTCCAGAATTTGGAGAGAAATTCCATTGGGACAAAGAAACACACGTTTTGAAAATCAAAAATGTCAACGTGACAGATGCTGGAGAATATAGGTATGTGAGAAGAAAATTTAGATTTTGAATTTTTTGCCGCCAAATTTTAGATTTCAAAAAATTTGTCACATGGATTCTTTTTTTAGCAGGGAACATTTTGAGATTTCAAAAAAATTCAGTTTTTTTGACGCCAAAAATATGAGTTCCACCCTGTAATTAACATAAAAATCCGAGAAAATATAGGTTTTTTTTCGGCAAAATTATAGCTCTACAATGAAAAATTTGCACTTTTATTACTGTGGAAAAATTTTCATGGAAATTTTCACTGTTTCACAAAATCATAATTTCTGATTTATAATGCAATTTTTAGTGCATATGATAAAATTTTGAAAATGTGAACTGAAATTATGAATTGAAAAATATTTTTTTCATTTTTTGAAGTACCTTATTTTCCAGACAAGCCTAATATGTATATCCATATCTAATTTCGTTTTTTTTTCAGATGCGAATTGAAAAACATGTTCCCATTGGTTTATGAAGGACCAGAACAAACTTATGAAGCAAAATTGGCGAGAAGATTGGAAGTTGGAAGTGAGTTCACCGAATTTTCTCACAAAAATAATCTCCAAAATATTTTCAGGCAATCTTGGTTGGATTCTTCCACTTATCGTAATTCTCATAATTCTTCTTCTCCTCTTCATTATAATATTTGTTTGCCAACGTTGCCAAAAATACAAATCTGCAGATTATAATGTTGAAGCACGCGAACGTGGTCTTCACAATGATACAACTCCGCTTAAAAATAGTGTCTAACACTAATCTTCCCCTTTTTCCCCCAACCCAATTTTTTAATCACTTACTACTTTTTAATTTGTGCCTAGGTATCTAGCATCCGCTCTTTTTTAATAGATGTTGTTGTTCACCCAAAAGCCGGTATATTTCTTAACTATAACTTCTTTCTTGATGTGTTTTTTATGTTTTCCTGTATTTCATATGGTTCCAAACCGCTTTACTTTTTCCCGATTATATAATTTTGTCCTAATAAATGAATGCTTTTCGAAGAGAAGAGAAGAAAATTTTTCATGTAAAGCAAAACAACAAAAAACAAGCTGTAAAACATTCGGGGATAATGAAAAGCATGAGATTCTGAAAAATTGAGAAAAAAACCGAAAGCTGATTATTTATTGTCCTGGGAGTCCAGGCATTGCTCCACCGGATGGAGTACGAACATTTTTGACAGTTTGATCGATTGAAAGAACCAAACAGACGGCTTCAGTTGCGGCGGTTATTGCGTTCTGTAAAAATTAGAAATTAATTTACAAAAATTTAAAAATGAAGGTTTGAGTTACTGTGAAAACTTGGAAATGAAAATTTGAGATAAAAATCTCAAACGTGGCATTTGACGTGAAAAATTAGGATTAATTCTTTGAAGATTCGAAGTGATTTTAGAATTTGGAGTTCTCTAAATTTTCAAACAAAAGTATTTCAAAATCAGTTTACAGATCACTCAGTTTTGACAATATACGTTTAAATTTTGAAACGGAAATTTTCATTTTAAAATTTAGTTTTCTAAAACTCCAACTTTCAAAAGAAATAGCCGAAGTAACGCTATCTTCAAAAATAAGTTTTATTTTTCAAAAAAAAACTCACCCTTTTGACAATACTTGGTTCCCATACACAAGCATCCAAATTATCTCCAATAGCTTCACGATGAATATCAATACCAGCCCATTTTTCACCTGAAAATCGATTGATTTTTGGAAAGAACAATCTATAACATTAGCATACCTGTACTATGACGATGTCTCAATTTGTTAACAATATCCAATCCATCAAGTCCAGCATTTTGGCATAATTGTTGTGGGATTATCTGAAGAAAATCAAGAATAAAAATGTGATGCTGAATTTTGAGAGTGAAATAAAAACAAACCTCGAAACTTCTAGCAAATGCCATCCAGAACATTTGTTCTTTTCCAGCAATTGTTCTAGCTTTGTCTCTCAACAATTTGGCTAATTCCATTTCGATAGCTCCACCGCCTGAAAAAAAAAGAAAATTTTAGGAACGAAATACAAACGATTCTAGAGGCTCTAACAAATCATTGTTCTGTGATAATTTTTATCGAAAAATGATTGCAAATTTGAAAATGTAGCATGAAAAAAGCCAACTTTCCTGGAACCATCATATTTCGAAACAAACACTTTTCCAACTTTCAACAAAAATCTGAGGTAAAATCACTTACCAGCAACAATGGAATCGTTTTTCTTGGCTCGTCTAACAATCATAATAGCATCATGAAGAGATCTTTCAGTTTCGGCAATAAATTGTTCAGCTCCACCACGAAGTAAAAGAGTGCAAGCTTGAGCTTTGCTGCAATCTTCAAAGAAGTTGTAGCGTTCACTTCCAACTTGTTGTTCATAGAAATTTCCACAAGTTCCCAAAACACTTTCTTCAATTTGTGAAACAGTTGTCAAAACGCTTCCACCGCAAGCAGCCATAAGTCGATCCAAATCGTCTTGTGGAATTCTTCCAGCACAGAACATATCACGATCAGCGAACCATTGAGTAGCAACATCACCGATTGGCAATTTTGACAAAACAACATTTGCTCCACTGTCGGCAATTTTTTGCAATTTATCGTACAAAATATTCCATTCAGCATCAACGACAGCTTGGAAATCAGAAACATTTGTCAATCTCATTTCAGCGTTTTCTTTTTCGGCTTTCAATTCGAGTTCAATATTAAGAAGTGCAACCTTTGCATTGGTGTATTTCTTTGGTTGCATTTCAAAACCAGCATAACTGAATGCTTTTTGGAAAGCAACACCTTTAACAAGACGTGATTCGTGCAAATTTCCACCACTAACTTTCTTGATTCCAATCATGTTCAATGGAAGATTTTCATCCAAAGTGTTAACTGCATCAACAACCATATTCGCGAAGAATTGACGTTCTTGACTGACTAATTTACTGCTCAAAGTAGTCGCGGCACATTTGACCAACATTTCGCGAAGCTCTTTTTTTCCGTTAATTTTGATTTCGAGCTCATTCAAATATTTCAAAACTTCTTCCGAAGCTCTTGAAATTGCTCTGATCAAAAGTTGAGGATGAACACCATCTTCAATGAATGGTTTCATTCTTTTCAACATTTCAGCGGCAAGAACTACGACTGATGTTGTTCCATCTCCAACTTCAGCATCTTGAGATCTTGCAATATCAACCATGACTGATGCAGCTGGGAAAACAATATCCAACAATTTCAAGATAGTGGCACCATCATTAGAGATTGTTGTTGCTCCTAAAAATACATCTTTTGATTTATTTTAAAATGAAACTGATCAACCTTTGCTGTCAACAATAAGTTTATCCAATCCACGGGGTCCAAGTGTTGTTCTAATACTGTCAGCAACCACTTGACAAGCATTGATGTTGGATAAAATTTGTCCTTTACCCTGTTTGTTTTCAGTTCCATCCTTGAGAAGAATAATCGGTGGACGCATCATCTTGAAAACTGTAAAAAAAATCAACGTGACATGACAAAAAAATTTGAAAAAAATCAGAGGTTATTCATTTCTTGAAATGAATAGATCACGAGATTTAACAAGACTATTCTCTACAATAAATTTATTCCGCAGAGCTTATAGTGGTATGTTAAACATATATGAATTTTGAGACGAATTTCGCAATAAAAACGTTTATTTGGGTATTTATAAGAAGGGAAATTATAATTCAAATGAATTATAACACTAGGATATCAAACCTCAATAGTGTAACAACAGAAACAACGAGAAACAGTGGAAAACACTTCAAAAATTCAAACGAAAATTTTCTTCTCGAACAAAATGCAAAACTCCGCCCATCGCAAACCCGCCGCACACATTTTCTGTTTGGTTTCCTAGGCCACGACCATTTCGAGCAAAAAATGCATGCAAAATAAACGTCAATACTCGAAAGCGTGTGAAGCATGAAATATTATAGAGATTCGAAAAAAGAAATAGTAGACAAAATGAATAGACATAGAAATGCACAAAAAGTTGTCTGAGGAAGGAAAAAGGAAGCCATTTGCTTTTTTTCTAGAGTAACATTTTCTTCAATAATATTTAAGACGTCGTTTTTTTTCAGCCAAAAATATGGATCTCGAATTCAAGACAGGACTTTTGGCTCATAAACAACAAGTACATCAATTTTTATTAGATAATTTTCGTGTAACCGAACCGATTACTGTATCATTGGGTTCGACTGTGAATGATGTTGACACATTTTTCACTGATTTGACACTTTCTGGAATTGAAAATGAAAAATCATCAATTCTTGTTTTTCGAAATGGTGACATTGTTGCAATTGCATTAAATGCAATTAAAGAATTTGATATTTCATCAAAAAACTCGGAAATTTCATTTGATCCACATCGTGATTATAAAGATGGTAAGTAGATATCTGAAAAATTTCAAAACTACAGTAACCATTTGGATTTTCTGAATATAATAATCATATATTATTTTATTAAAACTTCAGTTTATCATTTTATCTACGATTACGTTCGATCATCCAGAAAAAGGAATTTTTAATAAATATTAAAGTTCAAAAAAACCAAATTTTCCTGAAAAAATGTATTGAACTATCTCTCCAAACCTCTTCTCGGCCAGTATTGAAGGAGTCTTTCGAAATATCAACTGGGAAAACCACGGAATTGAAGTCAACGGCCGTAAAATCAATCACCTAAGATTCGCCGACGATGTAATTCTTATCACACACCACCCAACAATAGCCACCAAAATGTTGAATGAACTTGTCGCTGAAAGCGCAAAAATTGGTCTGAAAATCAACGAATCTAAAACGAAATCCATGAAAAACTCGTTCACACATGACGACCCAATAACAATCAACAACCGCCCTCTTGAAAACGTGGAAGAATATGTATATCTCGGTCGCCAGCTCAACGCAAGAAACGAATTATTACCCGAAATTCACCGAAGAAGAAGAGCTGGATGGGCAGCTTTCAAAAGCATCGAACAAGCAGTCGACAATATAACCTGCCAAAAAACCAGGGCAAAACTTTTCGACCAAACTGTTCTCCCAGCATTATGTTATGGTTCGGAGGCATGGTCATTGACGAAAAAGAACTCGGAAGCTCTAAGAGTTTCCCATGCCGCTTTGGAAAGAAGACTCGTTGGAATGAAATTGAGTGAACAAAGAGAGAGAAATCTCCATCGGGAAGATATCAGAAATATGTCGAAAGTCGCAGATCCGCTGAATCACATCCGAGAAAGGAAATTGAAATGGGCAGGACACATAGCGAGAAGAAATGATAACCGATGGACAACATCAACCATGGAATGGTGCCCTCGTGATTGGAAAAGACCTGTGGGACGACCGCCAATGAGATGGTCAGATGAATTGAAAAAGTCCTGTAATATATATGATCCTGCATCTGGAAAACTAATTGAACACTGGACGTCACGAGCCAAAAACCGTGAAAATTGGAGATCTGTGGTCCGCGCATTATGCTGAAGAACGGACCGACTAAGTAAGTAAGTAAGTAAGTTCAAAAAAACCAAATTTTCCTGAAAAAATGTATTGAACTTTGTTTCCACCCAAATTTTTGATTATGTAACCCGAAACTTTTTTATTTATAGAAATCGAAAATGGACCATATGATTCAAAAAATGCGAATTGTTTGAGTGCATTTGTTGGAGCAATGGAACAAGATTTGGATATTTTACTGGGTCGCCCCAAAAAAATATTCAAGCTTGATGTTTTGTGTGTATCAAAAGATATTCAAGGGTTAGTCATAACAAAATAATTTGCTGAAATTACAGTCTTTTTTTACAGACAAGGCCTTGGTCGGAAACTTGTTGAAAAAAGTCTTGAGATTGCTGAAAAAGAATCATGTGAATATGTTGCAACAGTCGCGACAGCGTGTGCATCTCAAGCAGTTTTGAAAAAATATGGATTGGAAACAATTCGAGAATTACCCTTTTCTTGTTTCAGATGTGATGGAGAAGTTGTTTATAAAAACTTGCCAGATGGCGGAGTTTCAGGAAAATTGATGGTTATGAAATTGAACAAAGAAAATTTAGGAGTTGAAGAAGATGATGATCTGCGATAAAAATTGACCGAATAAGTACTAATAAGATAACCAAACTAAATATAGAATACTGATTACTGTGAGAATAATAATTTATGCAATAATATACAAATTAATAAACAAGTTCACCATTTTTTCGTCAAAGTGGCATCATAAAACATGGCGCTGTTTGCAATTGAATTAAACCGTATTTTCGATGAAATTCTTCGAAGAAACAACTTTTTGTTATTCGAATATGCGAACGTTCAACGAACATTTCTTTGACAATTGTGACATATTCTGGAGCTTTTGGATAAATAAGTGTTGCTGTTACGTTTGGTCGACAATTTTTCAAAAATGAATCGAAATGATTGAAATAATCTTGAACTTCGGATATTGGTTGAGTTGAGCGAAATGGGCAACGAGCAAGAATATGATCGACTGCATAGAAGTTGAAAAAACCTGGAAAAAATATCAAATTGTTTTAGGAGAACCGATTTCTGACGATTTTTAGCTAACCTTTCATTTCAGCAGCAATAATATCAAAATATGGAATTTTACTTCCTCTTCTCCAACTTTTGAATTTCTCGAAATTTTTTAATGCTCCTTCAGAATCATCTAATTCTTGTGCTATTCCAATACAATAACAGTTTTTCAAAAGTAACACTTCTAATAATAATTCACCAACAACTGCATTTAAATCAAGAACAATTGAACCATCTGTTATATTTGTTAGTTCAGCAACAGCCATTGAAGATGAACCATATTGGCTGGTTTGTGAAAGATAGGGATAGAAAAATTGGTAACTGGAAACAATATAAGATTCTCAGAGAAAAATTAATTAGAAAACTCACTCTACTAAACGAAGACCCGTATAAATTGAATTACTTGTGATATGAACTGTTAGATAATATGTAGATTGATTCTCATGAACTGGTCCTTGTTCATTTATACACCATTGAAGTTTTCTACTCGTTGTTTCTTCTAGTAAATTTCCGACAAAATAGGTTTCTAATATTGTAGTTGCATCAGCGTAATATTGAGTATTTGTACATATTTGTACAATAAGTTTGATCTTTCGATAATCCTTAACTTTGAACCATCTCGGATATTTCTTAATATAATTAATTATACTATTAACATATTGATAATCTTGTGTTAAAACCGCGCATAATTCATCAGCCCGTTTACAATCGCTCATAACAGTGGGTTCTTTCCAAATTACACATTGCATCAATAAATGAGCAAAAGTTGCATGTCGCCATTTTCTTACTCTCCTCAAAAAATCAAAAGTGATAGGTTCATCAAAATTGTAGACTGTGTGAACTTTATCACAGCTTCTTTCTTCCACTTCGACCTGAAATAATTTTTATTTCAAAAACCTGTCAATTCAATAAAAACTCACATCCAAATCGGCTCTGTGTCTGGCTGTAATGAGAGATGAATGTGTTAAGAATATCTTGTCCGGCATTTCAGAAGTGTGTTTCACCTCTTCGCCGCAACTTGGGCGGCTTGAGAAAGCTTATAAGCTAGCTTAAAGCGTCGTCAAAGTGACTGGAATTATTTGAATAAATCGCAAAGGACTAGTTTTATTTTGGTTTCTTAGGCCATTCTGAAAACGCGTCAACAGCAAACTGACGCGTTTCCCATTTGCTGGCGTCTTTTTTTCTTTTTCGGTTTTTCACATTTTTCGGCTCTCTTAAAACTTACGCCGTTTTAACCTTGTTTGCAATAGTGTTCGTTAAAAACTTTGCTATGGACTCGTCCCATTGATGCCCAAATTATCCAAGTATCAAATCTCCATATTTCAGGTAAAAATGGTCAAAGAACGGAAAAGTAGGAAATCAAACATTGAAATTCAACCAATCGACGAAGAAATGCCATTAACCAATGGAAAAGAGCATGTAAATGGGAAACATGTAAGTTTTCAGTTTTCAGGACATTCTGCACTGTAATTTTGCAGTATTTCGTAAAAATGCCACGTGAAAATTGATTTTTAAATGTGTGAAGATGGTATTTCGAAATGAATTGTGAAATGAACATTTTCAAAATTAAAACGAAGAAAGAAACGTGATCATTTTGACGTGTTCTCGGTCGAACTGAAAATTGCAAAATCATTTCGTGGAAAAAATGTTTCGAATTCCAAATTATAATTTATAATTCTCTAGGTGAACGGTGTCAAACACAACGAAGAAGACAAACGACCGCTAGGCGAGCGAGAAAAAGCATTCAAAACTCCTAGAAAGCAAAGCCCAGCCAGTGGATCATTATGTGTTTTGTTAACCCAAGGAATAATGGCCAACGATGCCCCGAAAGTGGATTCAGTTTTGCAAAATACTCAACCCGAAATTATAAATTCGACCCTTCGAGATATCCAACCAATGCATGTTTTGCCACTTCTCAAGAATATCGAGAGTAGATTGAAAACACGATCGGCAAATGAGTAAGTTCGAGAATTTTATATTTTGCAAAAATAATTATCATGTTTTTTATTTAGCATTCGTCCAATAATTCGCTGGGCACAAGTCGCCTTATCAGTTCATATGCCCTATTTATGCTCATTGCCAAATTTGGAAAAAGAAATCAGCGGGTTATTAGGATGGCTTCGTTCAAGAATTGGTCATCAAAGGGAATTATTGGCACTTCATGGAAAGATTTCTTCAATCGCTGATCAAATCAAAAGGAGAACTAACAAAGTTGTTATTGTTCAACAACCTCTTGTTGTTTTCAATAATGATTTGGATAGTGACGAAGAATTCGATACAATTGGAAGTGATGAAGATGGCGAAAGCAGTGAAGATGATTGGTGGGATGATAATGAATTGAAAGGAGATGAAGAAGATGGAGAAGAAGAAGAAGAGGATGACGAAAATGATGAGGATGAGGATATTCAATCATCTGATAATGAGCAAAATGATGACAATGATAGTGGATCTGAAGATGTTTCTGATGAGGTTTGTTGGGAGGTCGGGAGGGGAAATTCTATATAAGATGGTAGTTCTACTATTCAACCTGAGTTTGTTCGGAAAATTTAGATCCTTGTTTTCAAAACCAAATATTTGATCAGAATTCATAGAAAAATACCATTGAAAAGAACTGCAATGTTTTTTATTAAATGGAAAATGTAGAAAAATCAAGGAAAAATAGCATTTTCTGGTGAACACCAACCACACCTCGGCCAAACTCGTGATTTCCAAAAGTCAAAATTGTACGCTAACTTTTTTTTCCAGTGTAAAAACTTTAAAGTTCAGTTTTAAGACATCTGTAATATTTAAATTTAGTTATTTTTCAAAGTTGTACTCTTGAGCTTTTCCATAATAGCAAACACTTTGTGAGAATTGAAAAATACGAATCTCACAAAAAATCAGATTTTATTCTGAAATATCAACTCATTTCAATATCTTGTTTCTGCACTTTATTTTCAACAAATATTTTTTCGCCAATCCCTAGATTCAGTTTTCCTTTTTTGTACGAAAAATCCAAAAAAATAATAATCAAAAAAAATTTAATCCAGGTACAAATATATTTCACCTGGAGGAGTTGATATGTATATACTTTTTTTTTTCTTTTTGATTTTAGATGTTTTCGATTTTTTGTTCATTTGACATGAAACGAGATTAGGCTATCATCTGATAATAATAGTTGAAGACACAAAAAAAAAAAGAAAATTTTATATTCGAATGAAAACTGGAATAAAACTTCTTTTTTTTTCAGGGCGAAGAAGAAGAGGATATGGAAGTCGGATAATTTTGGATGATTTTTTCGCTCATTCGCTTAGACAATTTTCTCCTTGTTGTTATCGTTTTTTTGTTGAGTTTGTCAATTTTTCTGATTTTTTTCTTCTTCTTCAAAATGTGGTTGGAAAATGTGTGGAAAAAAGTTGCTCCCCATTTTTTGAATTCAAAGTGATAATCCTCTGTTCTTTTCTCTCATTTTCTTCTGATGATCATCAAATTTTATGATGTTCTCTTTTCTTCCACAAGTGCAGAGAAAAAACTGAGTTTTTTACGAAATTCGATTCATTTTTTTGGCGGACAATTTTTAATGCCTAACAGCTGCCACGCATAAACATTCCGACATCTCCATCCACTTGAACACGAACAAAAAAATCGAAAAATAAATAAACTTTCTTTTTATTTTTTCTGAGAAATCGAGATTTTGCTGAACACTAGACTCGAAATCTTTTTTTTTTCTTGATGCCTAGTTTTCAAAAATATCTTCGCTCAAAATTGTTTCCCCTAATTTTTTTTTCATTTTTTTTGTTAAACCCTTCCCCATTTTTATTTGTTGAGTTGCCTTGACTGTTTTCTGTTGTTATCCAATTTTTTTTCTTTTTTATGCAAGTATTTCACTCGCCGTAAATGTTTTTGTTTTTATTTTCTGTCTTTTTGTTTCCCAAATTTTTCCGAGAAGTAAAATCTTCCTAAAATATTCGAAATAGCCACAGGCTGTATTTTTGGGTGTGAAAACTGGAGTCCGCCCCTCTATTTCTCTTCGCCGAATTTTTTTTTTTTTTTGGAAAAATTTAGTCAGAAATTCAATTTCCAGAAAAAGACAAACTCAATTTTTTCCTCACCACCGAAGGAATTTTTTTTTGAATTTTGAAAAGCCGGAAATTGAGTTGAGTTTGAAAAGTACTGTAGTAAAAGAAAAATAAAATGAAATGGAAAATAACATATTTTTAAACCACTTGCAATTTATTGAATAAATTTGCATTTTGAATTTTTGTTGCGTATCTCCTAAAATTTACATTTTTGGATTCTTTGAAAGCTTTTTTCTAATATAAAATTTGGATATTTCTCGCTATTTAGTTCCTTTTTTCATGTCCACTTCCAAAAACTTGTCTTTTCACATTTAATCCATTTTTCGTTTTTTTTTCCTTCTTTCTTTCTCACAATTGTTGTATTTATGTTTTTAATTTTATTTCATTCAAAAAAATCCCTGTTTTCTCGTTTTCCCAAAGGAGAAAAAGTAAAACTTTCAAGAATTTTAAATTTTTCAAAAAAATTGAGAGACATGAAATTTTGGAATTTTTTATGATTGAATTTTTAAATTCCCTAGAGCGAAATGAAAATTCTAGATTTTTGACATGTGAAAAAAAAGACGGATTTGTATATGGATGGATGACCATTTGCATTTTTGTGTGTGTAGAGAAAAAAATATATTTATATTTGGGAAATTTTGAAAGAGAAGACATTTTGAAGCAAGTCCCAGGATTTGGGCGAGATCTGAAGCCGAAGTTTGTGCCAGGTCTGAAAAATTAGGAAGTAAAAACGTGGTCCCCAGATCAAATTTATAAATTCAGAAAACCCCTCCCGATTTGAGAAATCCCGAAAAATCCTTGTTTCTTCGTTGTTTAATCAACATCCGAGTTTTCCACGAATCATTTTGTTCGGAAAACAAAACGGAAAAAATTCAAGTTAACCTAATTTCAAAAAAAAATGTTCATCTTCCTTTTTCGTACCTGTCCGTCCCCACCTGTTATACCCAATTTTCTCTTCTTCTTTCAACTTTTTTCCGCGATTCACTTTTTTATTCGAAATTCAGGTCAAATAAAAAATCGAAAAAGTTTTTTTTCGACATTTTCGTTTTCTCAAAATTAAATTCAGCTGTTTTCAAAGAATTGTTTCTTTTAGTTTTTTGGAAAAAAATGTGTGATATTGCAGTTTTGAAATTTTCAAAAGTCCCTCCAAAATTTTGAGCGGCCGCCGCGGAAAAATCCAATTTCCTTTTTTCTTCAGAAATTTTCCATCTTTTTTCATTTCTCTCCACCAAATATCAAATTCCACAGAAAAAAAATTTGCTCAATTTTTTTTCAAAAAAAAAAACTTTTTATGGCTCTTTTCCGAGGGCGAATGGAAAATTTATTGGATTTTTGATGGAGACTTTGAAAATTTTGAAAAAATAAACATTTTTTATGCTCGAAGAAAAACTGAAATATTTATTGAGTTTTCACAGTCAGCTGTCCATTTTTCTAAATTTTTTTTTGAAATCTGAGTGCCCGAAAATTGAAATTTGATTCTTTCATAATTCAAATTCCGGATTCCCCGAAATTTTTTTCAAAAATTATTTCGTCAAACAAAAATTTCTCAAAAAATAATAATAGGCAATTTTCAAGGGCCACTTTTTTGTTAAAATAAAATAAAAAAAATTTGGTGGGGCGAGAAAAGTGCACTTATTTAAATAGCCATGAATGTACACATTTGAAATTCAATGAGTTTTTGAAATTTTCACCAAAAATTTCGAATTCAATTTCGAATTCAAATTCAAATTTGAATTTTTTTGCTTTTTTGGCGCCAAAAAGTGAAAAGAGAACCGAAAAATTGGGGTCATTTCTCTCCTTTTTTTGTGCGCGCCGGGGACAGAACAAAGCCAGTTTTTCATTCTCTATTTTATTTTACGCCTGCCCCACACATGATTTTTTTTCGGTTTTCTCAGAAATTGGCGCGCAATTTGAATTATGTTACATGATTCCTTATTTTGTTTCTTTTTCTATTTACTTTTTGAAATCTTAAATTTTTTCTGTAGTTTTGAAAGTTGACAGAAATCTTCAAGACGTGGAGAAATACATGGAGCTATGACGTGGCAAAGTTTTGAAATATCTGAATTCGAGAAACATTGGATTTAAAGGTCCTCTTTTTCACAGTAATAATCGCGGCGAGACCTATTCAAAAATATACTGTATCTCACACATTTTCATATCTGGTGAAGAATTTCATCAGAATCGCACTTTGATTTTCAAAAAAATGATAAATTTGCCACGTCATAACTTTTCCTGTAGAGTTCCTAAATTTTCAAAAAAAAATATTGGAACTTTCAAATCACAGAACATTTTTATTATTTATGTCCAGTTTTCTCAGACTAAAAAACTAAAGCAAATCCCGTTCTGTTTTTTTCTTCGAACCCAAAATTTTCCAGTTTCTGAATATTTATGAGGTCCGCCAACCAAAAAAAGGCGAAAAAAATTCGAAAAAAATTTCCGGCCGCCTAAAAAATCTTTTTTTTTCGCTTTATAAGAAAACTGGTTCTTTTTTCTTTTTCTCCGTTTTCCTCACTCCTTTTTTTTGAATTTCACGAAAAAATATCGCGCGCGCGAAAATTTCGAAATTTTTTTGGCTTGCCTGCAAAATGTCTCCGCCCATTTTCCTCCTTCGCGCACGCCGCCAAGATTTTTCATGGCCCCCCAAAATTCATGAGTTTTTTTTCATATTTTTCTCGTTAGCCAATTTTTTTCTCGAAAAAATTTGTTTTTAAAAATCGAGAGAAATTTTTCTCACCCAAACCAATATTTCATTTTTGTTCCCCCTTTTTTCTCCCTCCCCAGCCAAAAAAAAAAACATTTTTTCTTCACCAAAATTCCCCAGACGCTTCCAAAAATGGAAGAAAAAGAGTGAAAAAACTAAAATTTGAGAAAAAATTTCTCAAATTTCATTCATCTTTCGCTCATCCCTCTTTTTTTGCCTTCTTTTTTGAGATGCTTTTTTTCAAAAATTTTCAGTAAAAATATTTTCTGTTTTTTTTTTCTTCAGATGATAAGCACATTAACCCCATCATCTCAAAGATCTCAAAGCCCAATTAATCCACCACCAATTTGTCCAAGTCCAGACACAATTTCAAGAACTGGTTTGGCACCTGCGCCGAATATTCCGAATCCAAGAAATGCTGGAAGAAAAAAGAGTAATCCGGTAAGCTGTTTTTTCTGTAATTTCTGTAAATTTTCAACAAATAAACCAAAAACGTGACGTGACATTCCGTGTCAAAAATTTTCAAAGCCTTCATTTCTGTTTTTTTTAATCCAGTCATAGCTCATGTTATCAACCTCCTACTCTAGTAAGTATCATTGCTCATATTAGCCTACTTAAATTTTTTATGTGATTCCAAAAAATAGATCAATATTGAGTTTCATTGAATAAATTACGAATTCTCAAGATATTATCTGTTTTCAAAAAATTTAAAAGATTTTTTATTCGATTAATTTTTGTTTGAAAAAAAATAAAATTGTGTTTTTTCAAGGTTTGGGAATTTTTCACCGATTTGCGCACACATGGTTTGGCAGGTGTCCGATGTCGTTTTTGTCATTGGGTAACAAATGACAGAAGTCCGACTACAATGAAATTTCATTTGAAAAGAAAACACGACACAGGTTTGTTGTCAAATTCTCGAAAATTTTCCTTGAATAAAGTTTTTTTTCTTTTAGGACCAGGTGGACTTTGGGCAGTTTGTGAGGAGAAAATCAATTCGCAAGCTCCAGCAAATTATGCTCCAAGGACGAAGAAAACTGTGAGTTTTTCATTTATTTCTTATCTCCAGAAATTCATATAAAACATTCCTAGGATAGGAAAAACTAGTTCGAAACAACGAAAAAATTAAAATTCAGTCAGATCCTCTTAAAAAACCAATTTAATGTCTTTGCTTCCTCATCTCTCCTCTTTTTTCTGACCTACAAAAACGCATTAATTTTTACAATACACGCCGAGAGAGTGTGTAAGAAATTGAGACGCAGACACGAAACTCGGCGCGAAATCCAGTTTTATCCGTCCGTCCGTCCGTCTTTTAATTTTACACAAATTTTTTGGCGTTTTTTTTTCAATTCAATTTCGAAAGAATTTTTTCTCAATGGGAAGATGAATGAGGAGAAAAGGGATTAGAAAAAAATAAAGGAAAAATATGTAGATATATTTGGATAGTGAAACTTATTTGAATGTTTGTATACAACTTTGTGGATCGATTGGGGTTTGAGAATTTGGAATTTGAAACAAAATAGAGAATTTTGAACAAAAAAGAACACATGAGTCACAAAATCATGATTTTTTTACCAAAATTCAAGTTACGGGAAACATTTTCTAAAAAATTGTACATAGATTTACTACTGTAGGTAGCTAATATGAGCAATGCTCTTTCAAGATTCACTACTCTATATATCTTCAAAGCTGGATTACTGTAGAATCTTGACATGTGCAATATCTGATTCACTTTACAAAAGTAATTTTCAGAAATGAAATTAAAAATTTTCGGCACTAAAATTCTATACATCTATAAAAATTACGGTAAATTCTAATATTTTTTCTTTCAGCCCGAAGATATTTTCATCAAAGCTCTCAGTCAACAATCAAATCAATTTCCATCATTCAATCCTTTCGGAACTGCAGAAATTAAGCTTGCAGGTTTGTTCCGCGAATAGTTTTTCTGAAGTTACGTATATTTTTTTAGATCTATCAGCTCAAGATGATTTCCTCGCTGCTCTTATTCAACAAGCATCACAATATGCAAATTCAAGCACAAGTCCATCTGCAAATTCGAATGAAAATGGAAACACAAATGAAAACGAATCAATATCTCTCGCGGATTCAGTTTTTCTCAGCAAATTGAATGATCAACTTCCGGTTACTGTAAGTTCATGGTCTGATATTTTAAAAATACTTAATCTTCAAGTTATTTTTTTCAGAAAGAAGAAGATTCTTCATCATCTTCAGTTAGTGGAATCACAACTGGAACTGATTTTCATCTTTCTGATGGATCGAGTATTGCCACACTTTTACAAATTGCATCCGATTCTGAATTGAATTTCAATGTTCGAAAATTGGGAGAATATTCATTTGAAGCGAGAAATGATAAAACTGTAAGTTCATGAGAAAATAGTTAAAATTTCAAGAAGCTAGTTTTCCAAATAAAAAAATAGGACCGGAGTTAACCTGTGAGGAAAATAGTTTTAGAGCTTCAAAGTTCAATTGAATTCAAAAAAATTCAATTTTTCAGAATAAGATGATAACTTTATCTGATTGCGGAAATGAGATTCGTGTTTCACACGTTGAAAATGACGAAGAAACTCGAATCGAAATGTGGAGAAAATCAGATTGGCAACAATTTACTTGGGCTGTTCGTGGAACTTGTCTTCATTATTTGAAACAACAAACTCCATCGCTCCAATCAATTTTTGAACAATTTCTTCCTCAAAAATTGGTCAATTCAGAAGATGATGAATAATCAATCATTCTTTTTTTCTTTCATATAATACTTTATTTTTTTTAGAAAACAAAAAGAAATCTCATTTTGAATCCCTGTGCTATCATCCCATTTTCTGTTTAACACTGAAACAATTTTTTATGACACGGGTTTCTGTTTTTTTTCATAATTAATTAATTCAAAGTTTGTTTGTTCTTTAAGAAATTTTTGTGCCTCTTTGATTCGATAAATATTTTATTAAATGACCTTGATTTTTCTCTTTCTTTTTTTTTATTTTCAAATTTCGCACATCTGCGTTTTTTTATTTCAAAAAATTTGACAACACGAGGGTTTTTGGAGTGAAATTTCAATATAACCGTGAAAATCATATGACTATACTGTGTATATTTAGAAGTATCAAAAAAATCAAATCTTGTTTATTCAATGAGAGAAAATGCCATTCTTATCCAGTTCTTTTCTATTAAAAAATCGAAAAAAAGAAAGTTGACGAAAAAATGTTTGGTGGCATAATATGAGTCATCAATTTTTATCAAAAGCTTGTTAACAATTTTTTGAAGATTTCAAAGTACAATTTTTGGGGAGAAAGTGAGATCTATTTCGAATGTTTTAAATTATCTAGAAGTTAATAGTATTAGTCATACAAAATCACGAAAATTGCAAGTGCCCAATTTTTTTTGATATTTTTCCAGTGATTCTGGATTTTGAAATTTTATTTTAAAAAATTAATTGATCCCAAAAATTCAGGAAAATTTTCTACTAGAAGGAAAATAATATCTATGAAATTCTGAAATTTTTCCAAATAAACTAATACTTTTTCCCCGTTTGAAATACACCAAGTTCACGTCAAGAAATATTTAAAAAATATATTTTTTCACTAATTTTTTTCAGAAAATGAAATCCCAAAAGGTTCACGTACTATTGTTTTCATAGAATTTCATTTTTTTTTCATCCCTAAAAATCTCGTTTTTTGAAGGAAGAACCATGTGATGAGATAGTTTCAGTTTTTTTTCAGAAAATCTTTGAAACTGGATCCTCCAATTGTAACAAATCATTCAAAAAAGCGATAATAAATCAAAGAACAATGCCAATCTTGTTTCGATTTTCTCGCTTTTTCCAATCAATCCATAAAAACACAGGCATAACCAAAACCACAAGCAGAAAATACAAAGCCAAAAAGGCGATAATTGAGGGAGGAGAAACTTGAATAGAGAAACAACGAATAGTAGTTGTTGTGTAGTTATGGTGGGATGACGATGTGGTATTATGCCTCGTTGATTTCACCGCCCTTTTTCATCTGTATGTAGATATTATATCCTGTGTAGGAAAAGCAGCAGAAACGACAGCTTTTGGTTGTATTGATTTGAGATACTATTAATATTATCATGATTTATCTACAATTTATATTATTAGTTTTGGCAGGGATTTCGAAAAATGCTGTAGCACAGGTAAGAACTTCCTAGTTTTTATCAAATTCGAAATTTTTTTGAAGCTTCTTTTTTTTCCAAAATTTTAATTCAATTATTCTACAAGAAATTTCAAAGTTATTTTTCTATTAAAAACTTTGAATAGGCACAAAATCATCAATGATCTAAAAATCTAGAATATTCTGGAAACAACTTATAATAACTCTCCTCACCCACATATTTTCTTCAGAATATGGATATTCAACCATTTCTATCATTTCTTCGACCGGAAAATATGCGAAGTATGGCTGAATTGGCTACAGAATTATCCTCAATGGCTACAAAAAATATAGCCGAAAATGAAAGAGATATACAGTATGACTTTTCTTTTCAAATCCCCCAACCAACATAATCTTCTTACAGAAAAACTGCTTCAATTCCTCAACCAATTGATCCACAAACAGCAAGACCATCTCAAATGATTGGAGGCGCTTTGAGTAATATTGCTTATCAATCGAGAAATGCAATTCTTGATGTATTATCATCTTCTTCAACTACAACACCTACTCCTATCACTTTTGGAATGTTGCCAACAACTTTGTCAACAACAGTAATCCCTAATATTTTTGGAGCAAAGACGGTTGAAATTGGAAATGGGAATGCGAATGAAGAAAGAGATGTTTTAGGTGTTAAAGAATTTAAAAGACCAAAAGAAATAAGATATGCTGAAGCAAGTAGTTCAGGAGTTGTTGAAGAAGTTGCTGCTGCTTCAATTCCAAATTCTGAACCACTTTCAAAACTTCCGCCACCTCAAAATGCATTTGATGGAAGTCCTTTTATGCAAATTGCTCGAAGATTTTTGCAAGTTGGAAATGGACAACAAAAAGATGGTGAAGGAATGATTCCACAAATTGGAATTCGAGATTTTGTTTCGAATTCTGATAGTAATTTTGGTATTCCAAAGGGAAAAGGTTGTTTACCTTTTATTTCTGAATTTATGCAAATCGCATATGGAAATTGTCAAAATGTGGCGGATGAAAAAACATTTGATGCTTGGGGTGATGAACTTCGAAGTGCAATTCTAACTGGTGAAATTGATCTACTTAAAGCAAGTCAAGAAACATGTAGAAGAGGTGCTGAAAGACAACAATGTGATGCATTAAGAGAAGCTGTTGCAAATTGTGATGTTATGGCAAGTATTGAAATTGGATCACAACTTCAAAGAAATATGAAAAGATGTGAAGAAGTATCTGGAATTATTGATCAAAATCCAGCAGCAGTTTTGGGACAATTGAATAATCTAATTAGTGGTGAAATGGCTCAAGGATTCTTGAATAACTTCCTCAAAAATGGTTAATTTTATATTTTTGTTAATTTTCCTGTTTTGTACATACTGATAATAATGAAACAATTTTTACTAAACAACAACTCTAAAATCTAAAACAATGAGAACAATTAATTAGGAAGACGAACTTTTTTGATATTTTGTCAACGCGTTTTTCACAATCAAACCCCATGAATATGAAGAAGTTGGTTGTGAAAATGGCAAACTGACACCACCAACACTGACTGTTTCAATTCCAGAAGATTTTGAGTGTAAAATTGAATATCGGCCAATTTGAGAAGTGGAACGAATAACAAGACCAGATGATGGGAATACATGATCACCAATTCGAACAATATAATTACTAAAAATATATGAACTTCTCACTAATTCAAAACTTGTTATCTCGATTGAGATTTATGGGGTTTGTGTCAAAAATCTTTCGTTGTTTGTATAAAATTCCAGCGTATGTTTTGAAACATTTTCAATTCAAAATGACAAACCTTGGAACTTCGTCGGATAAATCAGAAGGAATCGAAACAACTTCGAAATCTTTGGCATTTTTGATGAAAGATTTAGCATATCTATTGATTGTATTCAATTCGTCTCTACTCAAAGCATTTCCATTCAATCCTTCGACATCAACATGGAAAAATCCAGAAGAAACATCAATGTTTGGAATAGTGAATTCTAGATTGACATCTAATGATTCTTTGAGAATTGCAGCTGTAACCAGAGCGCAAGAACGCCAATAGGCATCATTCAAAAGGTTGACAAACTCGGATGAATCAAAATCGATTTTTCGAATTGTTGCTTGATCTTGAAGTGGTTGATTGACGCAAGAAGTGTATGAACCTCCGATATTTGGTTGAACATCGACAAGAACAGCATTATCAGCTACGTGTTTTGAAAGATCTGAAATGAAAAATAAATACAAATGCAATAATATACGTAAAATGGGTTAGGGTGTAAAATTAATTTTTGCCACAAATTAAAAAGCATTTCATTATTTGAAACTTAAATGGTGCAATCTGGTGTTTCTAATGAACAAAATAAATTCAAGTTTCCACTATTAAAAATTGGCGTTTCAAAATCTTTTGCATCGCAGTAACTTTTCGCCAATCTAAAGAAAACTCACGATTGAATGCATGATAACTGGTTGAAATATTACGATTCAATAAAACAGGTAAAGGCTCATCATCGGTGTGAACATTTACAACAACCTTGTCAACTTTTTCTTTCATCTCCATATACTTTTTGACGAATATGATCGAAAAATTCAGAAGTATACGCAGTATGATCTTAAAATGAATTGTTTTTCAAATATTATCCTGAATAACCTACTTGAAACCACTGCGGGTTTTGTTGAGAGTCTTCGAATTGTTGACGATAACATTGGTCACCTTGAAACTCGAAGATTTTACCTTGAAATTAAAGTGTTCTCTTTTCAAAAACCAAAATAAAAATTGTAATATTTACGGTAAACAACAGGCAAGCGGAGTGTTGTTTGCATGCCGCACAGTTTTTTCTCCAAAGCTCCGCCCACTGCCAGCACATTTAAAATTTTTCATTTTTCTCCTTTGACGACCGCAATTTCTTTCATTTCAAACTAGACTAAGTGCTTTTTTCAGGGGGAAACTAAACCAGTCAACCGGCAATGTTTATAGCCAGAAAGAAGCTGCAATTTCAGCGGCTTTGGAGACAAAGGTTAGTGGAATTTTGAAAACTAGGTCAAATGTCCTTATTGATAATGATTGAACGAATTAATGAAAATCAATAATTTTTAAAGAGGGTTCCGCGTGTCGATTTATATTGGGCTTGCTATTCTTGTATTGATCGGAATTGTATATAATCGAGATGATGTTGTAAGTTTATACTTATTTGAATTTATCTAATTAATTAAATTAATTAAGAATAATTTTGCAATGTCTGACACAAAAAGTGGATTAATGAAATTCGATGATGTAGATCAATGGAAAAATGAAGAATTACCTGGAGGACCCGATCCACATACAACTTTCAATGAAAATGAGCTGGGAAATTATGAGCCAAGAGAACCAGAAGTTCCTTCAAATCAACCAGGAGAACATGGAAGACCTGTTCAAATTCGAGATTCTGAAGGAATTGCTGCGGGAAGAGCTGCTGAATCAGAATTCGGTTTCAATACATATGTTTCTGATATGATTTCAATGAATCGAACAATTCCTGATATTCGACCAAAAGAATGTCAACATTGGGATTATCCAGAACAATTGCCAACTGTTTCTGTTGTTATTGTTTTTCATAATGAAGGATGGACTCCATTATTAAGAACAGTTCATTCGGTTCTTTTGAGATCACCTCCAGAATTGATTCATCAAATTGTTATGGTTGATGATTTCTCAGATAAACGTAAGTTTTCAATTTTTGTGTGTTTGTTTATGTTAATTCAAAATTCTTTTAGAACATCTCAAAGAAAAGTTGGATAAATATGTAACTCGTTTCAACGGAAAAGTAATCGTTGTTCGAACTGAAGAAAGAGAAGGTCTCATTCGTGCTCGATCAATTGGTGCACAACATTCAACTGGTGATGTTGTTCTATTTCTTGATGCTCATTGTGAAGTTAACACAAATTGGCTTCCACCATTATTAGCACCAATCAAAAATAACAGGTTACTTAGTTATATTATTTTTTCGATGATTCTATATTTTAATTATTTCAGAAAAGTGATGACTGTTCCTGTAATTGATGGAATTGACTCAAATACATGGGAATATCGTAGTGTTTATGGAAGTCCAAATGCTCATCATAGTGGAATTTTTGAATGGGGACTTTTATATAAAGAGACACAGATTAGTGAAAGAGAAACCAAACATCGAAAACATAACAGCCAACCGTTCAGGTGAGAATTTAATCGATTTTTAATATCGTATCATTTTTATTTATTTTTATTTGAATTGAATTGAATTTTTTCAGATCTCCAACTCATGCCGGTGGTCTTTTTGCAATTGATCGTCGCTGGTTTGAAGAACTTGGTTTTTACGATGAAGGACTTCAAATTTGGGGAGGTGAACAATATGAATTGAGTTTCAAAATTTGGCAATGTGGAGGTGGAATTGTTTTTGTTCCATGTTCTCACGTTGGACATGTATATAGATCACATATGCCTTATACTTTTGGAAAATTATCTGGAAAACCGGTAATATCTATAAATATGATGAGAGTTGTTAAAACTTGGATGGATGATTATGCACAATATTATTTGACAAGAGAGCCGCAGGCGGCAAAAGTTGATCCAGGAGATATTAGTAAACAACTTGGGATGAGAGATCGAATGATGTGTAAATCATTCAAATGGTGAGATTTTTATATTTTATTTTGAATCGAGAGAGAGGGTTATATATTTTTGTAACGATTTGTGCAGTTGTTTAAACATTCACAATATTTGTTTTTCGATCTATTGTATTTTTTATTTTTTCTGTATCTTGTTTCAATCCTCGGGGTCAAAAATTTCCAACAATTTTTGAACTTTTCAGGTATGTTGACAATGTTGCATACGATGTTTTGACAAGTTATCCACTTCTTCCACCAAATGATGTTTGGGGAAGCGCAAAAAATCCAGCAACTGGAAAATGCCTCGATAGAATGGGTGGAATTCCTGGACCATTAGGTGCTTCTGGATGTCATGGATATGGTGGAAATCAATTGATTCGACTCAATGTTCAAGGACAATTAGCACAAGGAGAATGGTGTTTGACAGCAAATGGATCAAATAAAATCCAAGCAAATCATTGTACAAAAGGAACTGTTGATGGACAATTCAGTTATGATAAAAATACTCAACAAATAGTACATAAAGCGAAACGAAGATGTATTACTGTAGCCGAAGAAGGAAACGATGTCAAATTATTGCCGTGTAGTCCAGATAACGAGTTACAAAAATTCGTGTGGAAAGAATTTTATCAAGCCAATTGATTTTTTTTTAAAGTTTTGTATTGGGAGAACGGGTATTGTCACCATCACTTGTTTTTTTAATAAGCCAAAGGGAATATATTTATAATTTATTGCATTTTTTTGCTATTCAAACTGTGATGAAGATGTTTATAAGTAAAGTAGAAGTGAGAAGTGTGCAAATAAATAATAAAGAAAAAGGAGGAAGTGAGTACGATTGGAAAATAACAAAAAGAAGAGTAAAGAAAGAGGGAGAAAATTGTGTTATTGACCAAAGTTTCATATTTTGCAGTGAATAATTATTATTATTTACAGCGCTGAAAAATTTGAAATATTGTTTTGTAGGCTTGGAAAATAACAAAAGGTCAAGAGATTTTGTGAGTAAAGTTTTACTTTATCAAAAATATACATCACGAAGTTTGTAGTTAAAATGACTTCATTTTGAAATATTTTTAGAAATCTAAGAATAGGAATAACAATTTTAAGAAAAAAAAGATAAAAATACCTCTCCGAAATCAAGGAATTGGAATATATGAAAAATATATCAAAAATTGCTGGTGAATCTAAACTTCGTCCTTTAATTCGAGACTCTGAATTTATATTTTCATAATCAAAAACTATGCAGTTACAGTACCCAGAAGTGTCACATTCAATAAAAAATCATAAAAGTACAGTATTTCAATGATCAGTTACAAAATCTACAGTAATCTCAAATGATATCATTGGAATGTCTAAAAATAGTGTTTTGAGCCCACGTGGTTGTACTCAGCTGGTTGGTTCATCATTCCAAATTAGTCACATTTCATTTTGAAAGTACAAATCAAATTCTTCTTATCAAATCGAAATTGTATATAAAAAGAGAGCTCTGAAACAAAACATCAATTGTTTTTTGATTCCTCAATGAAACTAATATTATTTTTCTCTTTTTTCTTCATCAAATCATTGTCTGCAATTCCACTCGATTCTTGTCGTCGAATTGGAAATTGTGAAGAATGTGTCAATTCAACAGATGCATTTGGTGATCGATGTGAATGGTGTATTTCTGGTGGAAGTTGTAATTCAATATCAACTTATAGTTGTCAAGTCGATGATACAACACTGCATTCTTATAATTGTCCAAAAAATATATCAGATGTGAAATTTGATGAGAAATTTATGAGAAATATTGTGACACCAATGATTGCTGCAACACATTCACCTGATAATCAAAAACTTCGAGATTCTCTTGAAACTTGTTTCAATTCAGATCTTGAAATTGTTAATACTTATGAAATATTTTGTGATGAAACCAATATTGTAAGTTTAAGTTTATCAAAAGCTCTCTAATTTTCTATTCGATAAATATATGTTTCAGACAACTTGTTTTGGTTACACCGCAAAACTCAAATCTGAAAATGCTTTGGTTCTTGTTTTTCGAGGAACTACCACTTTATTTCAACTTATCGATGAAGGAATTTCATTTTTTCTTCATAGAAAAGTTAAATTTGAAATCACAAAAGGTGTTGTCGATGGATATTATTTGAATGCATTTAATAAAATCTGGGAAAATGGAATGAGAGATGATTTCGAAAAAATATATGAAGAAAATCCAAATATCAAATTTTGGGTGAGTTTTTTCCCAAAATATATATTTTTTTTAAACCCTGATTTTTTCAGTTTTTCGGACACTCTTTGGGTGGCGGATTGGCATCAATTGCATCCTCATTTGTTACCAAAGTTTACAATTTGAAAACTGATCAAGTAAAATTAGTGACATTTGGAATGCCAAGAATTGGAGATATTGATCTCGCAATTGCTCATGATCAATTAGTTCCGGATTCTCTTCGAATTGAACATAGTAAAGATCCAATTCCTGCACTTCCACCAAGAACTTTTCCGGATTCAATTGATCGTGGTTCATTTCATCATCGACTTGAAGTTTGGTATCCAAATGAAATGACTGAAGGATCCAAATTCATTCTTGGAAGTCGACCAGATACAACTGTTGGAAGAAGTGTATTTCCATTCAATATTGAAGATCATTTTAGATATTTTGATGTTTTTCTCGAAACTTGGTGGATCAAAGCATGTAGAAATCATTAGAAATTTTAACTTTATTTATTTATTGCTACGGGTTCTTGTTTTTCAAATTTTGTCATCAATAAATCATTGTGAACTTAAACTAGACTACTTTGATATCAAAATTATTCATCAAAAATGTTTTCAAGTTTTTTCTTTGAAACGATAACTCTTTTTTAAAGTTATCGTATTCCTTTCAAAGAGTCATAGTGTTCCTGAGTCGAAATTCATTTAAACCGCGGAAAAAGAATGCAGAGATCCACGGCGCCAGGGATCTCCGGACGCGACGAAAAAAGCTAAAAAATATTTTTGCACGTACGGCTTTCCGTAAATCGCCCCATAAATGCTCGTCATATTTACGGTATGTGCGGACTTCGTGTTTGCACACAATTTTTTTACTTCTTTTTTTTCGCATGCGTCACACCTTTTTTGTTTCCCTCTAAACCTCGTTGAAGCTTTTAAAATCAAAATTTTCAGCCAAAATGTACAGTTCGGTCAATGATCATTCGTCAAGATTCGATGCTACAATTCAAGCTGGAATGGCTGCTGCTCAAGGATTGACAAACGATCAAATAAGTGCGATTTTAGATGATGAAACAGCGTTGGAAAATTTCATTGTGAATCTATCAACGGTAAGATTTTTAATCAATTCTATAGATATAATGTTTTTTTAAATTAAGGTTCGTTGTATGTCAACAGACAAAGAATCTGCCCTCGCTTCAAATAAATCACTCGCTGAATGGAATTTGGCTCAACGTGATCGACTAGAAAATGCGAAAGCGCAAACTATCGATCTTTTCGATCAAGCAAATCGACTGAAATCAGAAGTTCAAACGCTGAAATCACAACTAGATTCAGTTTCATCTTCAAAAAGTCTCGATACAACTTCGAGTTTAATGCAAGTCGCTGCTCAAGAAGCTGACGATGATGCTGAATCTCTTCTTCAACAATTTGAAAATGGCGAAATTTCCATCGAAATATTTTTGAAACAATTCAAAGAAAAGAAAACTCTTGCTCACTTGCGAAAAATCAAATCCGATAGACTTACCGCAATTCTCCGAGAACAAACTTATGCTCCACCTCCACTTCCACAAACTCGTCAACAACAAATGCCAGTCTATCCAATGGGTAATCATATGATGCCAAGTGTTCCATTTGGTACCGGTTATACGGGATATCCAAATTTATCGGCCGCACCTCAAAATAATCATCCATTTTTCTAATTTTATGTAAATGTGTATTTATTGATTGATCTGCTTACATTCTGTATAAAGCCATAAATCTATCTCCAAAATATTTGGCATTTTATCGAAATTTTGGTTTTACTGCCATTTTACTATTGGAAAAAAAATGATAAAATGTTGAAGGCTTACCCAAAACTCACAGAGAATGCTGGCACTTCGTGTTGCAGCTCGACGTGGATTCGCATCACTTCGCGAAATTGCTGGAGAACAAGATGCATCGCTTCTTTATGAGCCGAAATTTGTAGACAGCAGAGAGTTTCCAGAGTAAGGTTTTTTAACAATAAAAAATTATTATCCTCAATAAAATGAACAGAACTAGGTCACGTTGAAAACAAATTGAATATATATTTTTTTTTGAAATTAAACAGGAAAAAATTATGAATAAAGAAAATACGTCAACGTGACCTAGTTTATCCATTAAAAAATTAGAAACCCAAGTTCATTTTTAATGTTTTGGCTTGTGGGAACCACGAAATATATTCCCAATCGAGTTTGAAAAAGCGAAATTTCAGATATAACACAATAAATGTTCGAATTCAAGGATATGATTTTGGACCATTAGAAAAATTTCAATCCTATATTCATCAAACTGCGAAAAGATTCGGATTCAATGTTGTTGACAGGTATTTTTTAAAAATAAAATCACAAAATCCTGATTGATATTTTAGCTATGCTTGTTCTGCTCAAACCCATCGTGCAATCACATACAAACCTCATTCAACAGTCGGAGAAGCTGAAATGGAATTGTCAGTTTATGATCGTGTTGTTAGATTGGATGCTGTATCAGCACCAAGATTATCATTGCTCACACAAATTTTACAAGCACATATTCCTGTTGGAGTCACGGTTGGTTTTTTTTCGGATGAAATTTAGGGCGAAGCTGAAATTTTTAAACATAGGTATTTTCAGTTGACAGTCAAGGAGCACGAAAAAGCCGACGAAGATTATCGTTACATTCCTGATCTTTTACTCAAAGAAAAACAAACCGAATTGAAAGCATTGGATGATCCAAATGTTCGTAGAAATCTTGGATGGGAATAGTTTTTTTTGTTATTTTTTTAGTGTCTATAGATGAATGTTTTGTTTTACAATACTTATTATAAATAAATAAATAAAAGTTGGAGTACTAAATTTAAAATTATCTGGAATTCTTATAATCATAAACCTGTCTGAAAATGAATTAAGATTCGAGGATTTGGCAGACTTTTGAGAATGGCACAATATGAATTGGTGGATATTGGAGCCAATTTAGGACATCCATCGTATAAAGATGATTTTGCGGCAGTTTTAGATCGAGCAAAAGAAGCTGGACTTGTCAAAATTATGGTGACAGGAACAAGTGAAGAAATTAGTAAACAATGTGAAACACTTGTCGCACCGTATTCTGGATTCTTATATTTTACTGCTGGTATGGTTTTTTTTTTGAAAAGTTTTCAGATATAAAATCAATTCAAAAATTACGGTTTTTGAGGTGTTCATCCACATGATGCAAAAGATTGGAACTCTACAACAACTCTCCAAACAATTCGAAATCTTCAACAAAATCCAGCTTGCGTTGCTGTCGGAGAATGTGGTTTGGATTTCAATCGAAATTTTTCTCCACAAGATGTTCAACGGGATGTTTTTCGAAAACAAGTCGAATTAGCTGTTGAACTTCGGAAACCTTTATTTATTCATGAACGAGAAGCGCATAAAGATATGGTTGAGATTTTGGGAGCATTTGGTGATAAGTTAGTTTTTTCTTCTTTACTTTGGAAAAGTAAAAAAAAATGAAATTTCAGATTACCTCCAGCAGTAATTCATTGTTTCACAGGAACTGTTGAAGAAGCCAAAAAATATCTTGAAATGGGACTTTATATTGGATTAACAGGTAAAATATTATTGTAACCATTTCATACATCGAGTATCATTATGAATATCTCGACAAGGTAAAGAACAATATTTAGTGCCGCATCGAGTACAACAATATTTTGAGAGAAATCCGCAAACTGCACAAAATTTTCGAGATGGTTTATATGAAGGCGGCGCAGTTGAATTAGTATAAGCATCGATTCTGAAAATATATTTAGAATGCAGAATTTATTTTGAAATTTGTTTACAAACCTTCGAAAATCGGGATCTAGTGATTCTAAAATATGTTTACTTTGTTCCATAACATGAACATTGAATGATTTTTTGAATCGCTGTTTGTTGAATTCCGGACGAGATAGACGTCTTCGTCTCGCTTTTTCAGCATCCGGCCTTCCAGGTTTTTCTGAATTTTCCCCAGTTTTCTTCTTTTTTGGGGCTGATGCACCGGCTAATTCATCATCAAATTTTGGAGCAGCTTTATTCCAGACAATATGAGCATGTGGATCATCCTATAAATATTTTAGTTTATTAAAAAGTATTCAATAATAACTTACATGTGCATTATCTTGCTCTAAACCATCTAATTGTTTATTTTTTCTTTGTTGTCGAACAGTTTCATCCAGAGTTTTATTCACTTCTAAGCTTGAGATACGACTTGATGCGCGATTCTGTTGTATTGTTCTTTTCGGTGCAAAAACTGACATATTTCTGAAAAATAATAAAAATTCATCTAAATTTCAGGATTTTTATGGAAAGACAAGTCGGATAATGGAGTACAAGCTGGTTTGAAATCTGGAGAAATTCCAATTGAACAACTTGTTATCGAAACAGACGCTCCTTATATGTATCCAAAAATAAGTGATAAGAAAATACCAAAGGAAATACGAGACAAAATAACTGAACCTACAAAATTGATACACAAGGTGAAACATTTTTTATGGAAAATTTTTAAATTATAATAATTTCAGTTTTCTTCGTTCAATCGAAATGAGCCTTGCTCACTTGCCGCAGTTTGTGAACTAATTGCTGGTTTTTCTGGAAGAGATCCAAAAGATGTTGCTAGAATTACAACTGAGAATGCTAAACGTATTTATAAACTTGAATAAAATGGAGTTTTTTGTTGTTTCTGTTAACATGTTTTTTTCGCAAAAAATAAAAATAAAAATTTGAAAAGTGCGATAGAGCGCACAAACATGTTTGTACTTTTTTGAATTTTTCATTTTTTTTGTTTGGGCGCCGCTTTTTTTCTATCACACAAAAACAGTGGCAATAATACAAAATTTTGCCCTCTAGCCGTCCAACAGATAAGATTTTTATCAAAAGACTTTCAATTCGTATAGTTTTATCTTATCTTGCTTACCAGTAGCAAAAGCTATCTGAGTTTTTCATTCCATTTATCAGTTTATTTATAGAAATGAACGGCTTGATTGAAAATACTCGCAATGGAGCTTTGCAACGAAATCTTCTTCGTAAAATGCTGCAATCAAAGGTCTTCAAATTCGGCGAGTTTCAATTGAAATCTGGCCAGATTTCTCCAATTTATATCGATTTGAGAGAATGTTTTGGATATCCAGATTTATTGGTGAGTTAGATGAATATTTTATAAGAAGAACAATTAACAATGATAAATATTTTAGATGCTGATCTCTGAAGCATTGTCGAAACTGATTGATTCAAGTTCTGTTGAATATAGTGGAGTTGTTGGTGTTCCATATGCAGCTCTTCCGTATGCTTCTGTTGCTGCTGGACAATTTCTGAAGAAACCACTTTTGATAACTCGAAAAGAAGCAAAATCATATGGAACCAAAAAATTAATCGAAGGATTATATAAACAAGGAGATCAAGTGATTCTCATCGAAGATGTGGTTACAACTGGTGGAAGTATTCTTGATGTTGTTCGTGTTTTGAAAGACGAAGGACTTGTTGCCAAAGATGTTTATTGCATTCTTGATCGAGAACAAGGAGGTCGTGAAAAACTTCAAGAAGCCGGTGTAACTCTTCACAGTCTTCTGAATATGGAGAGTGTTTTAACATTTTTATTATCAACCGGAAGTATTGATGAAAATCAATGGAATGGAATTGTAAACGCTTTGAATTTGAAATATAGCCAGCCAGTAAGATTGAATATTTCTGGAGAAATTGAGGATTTGAATAAGTTGCCATATGTTGATGCCGGAAGAACAAGTTTGAAAGATAAAGAAAATCTCACTGAATCACCGCTCAATAAGAAAATTCTTTCGATTATGAGAAAGAAGAAATCGAATTTGTGTTTGGCAATTGATTATACAACATCAGAACAAGTTTTGCAAGTGAGTTATCTACAGGAATTAATTAATTTTTCAATTAAAAAATTCACAATTATAGCTCGCCGAACGTGCTGGTCCATTTGTAATTGCAATCAAAGTTCATGCGGATGCAATCACTGATTTCAACGAAGATTTCACACAAAAATTGACAACTCTTGCCAATGATATGGATTTTGTTATTTTCGAAGATCGCAAATTCGCTGATACTGGAAATACAACTCAATTACAATTGAGAGGAATTCAAAAAATCGCTAGCTGGGCTGATGTTGTCACAGCTCACGCTATTCAGGGAAATGATAGTATTTCGGGAGTTTTCAGAGAGGTATTCAGAAAAAGGTTTAAAAAATTTTTGAATTTAAATATTGCAGTTCATTGCTGATCCAGCTTATCGTCTCTCTGGTGTTTTATTGATTGCTCAACTTAGCACAAAAGGTTCCTTGACCGCATTGAATGGATATACTGAAGGTAAATCAATATTGAATTCAGAAAATAAATGAAATTTGAAAAAAAAAATTGTAGAAGTCGCTCAAATTGCCAACGAAAATCGTGATGTTATTTCTGGTTTCATCGCTCAAACACGTGTCTCGAACTTTTCGGATCTTTTGAACTGGACTCCTGGTGTAAATCTTGATGTCAAATCCGATTCAGCTGGACAACAATGGCGTGGAGTTGATGAAGCAATCGATATTCAACAAAATGATATTGTAATTGTTGGTCGAGGAGTGACATCTTCAAATGAACCAGTTCAACAACTCAAAAGATATCGACAAACTGCTTGGGATGCTCTTGTCAAAAATGAACCTGCCGATAATTAGACAAATTACAAGTTGGTTGCTTTTTATTTTTATATTCAAATATTTATTGATTGATTTCTCAAAAAACTATAAATTATGCTCACTTTTTTCTTCCCGCCAATTTTAGTAATGCTGAAAAACCAAACGGGACACATCGACAATCTTTTAGCGGGGAAACTGAGAAATCGTGGCATGTTCCTTTACAAAAACCAAAAATATCATGACATCGAAATTGAAGAACATCCCAGCTACACCCAGAAACCTATAAATTCAAAAAACTTTTAAGAGAACAAGTAATTTTTTCAAAAAATACCTGGAAATTATCTTTATCATTAATCAAACTCAAATAAGATGCCTGTTCCAATATATTTTTCGAAGATCCACTTCTTCTTGGCTGAATTGCTGGGATTACTGTAGTTGTTTCTTGTGAAAATATTTGTTGATTTGTATCGTATTCATTTCGCAAAAGTTTTTCGCTCAAACTAATCGGGTTACTGTATCCTCCTAGATTATTATTATTAGTGAAGAAATTCTGAAATTGATTACTGTAGCTTTGCTGGTTACTGTAATCTTCAGAAGGCACTTCGATTGCTGCATAGCCTGAAATTTTCGGGAAAAAAAATAGTTTTGTCAAAAATTTTCTAACTAGATTGCTTTCCACTTCAAAAACCCACCAATAAATTGCAATTGGTCATACAAAAACTGGCATTGCGTAATAATTACGAATAAATTAATTATGAATAATATTATTAGCATTTTTCATTTGAAGATTTTTTTTCGAATAACCAAAAAACCCGAAAATCGTCGCCCTAATTTTCATTTTTCTTCAAGTGGATTAGTAATATTTGAATGAAATTGAAATCGAAAAAAACAGTTCATTCATTATGTACAAACATTTACACAAAAAATAATATTCAACCTAAATTCTCCAATGAATTGATATTTCAATATTAGCTGCATCCATTAATATTTTTGTTGTTATTCCAAATGAAATAATAAATATTAGAACATCTAAAGTTGAAGATTCGAATGCGATTTCAATTATCCAACCAATTGCAAATTGTGTTAAAAGTAGACAAATTTGTAGAATTAAATAGAAGATATCAAATGCGCTCTGAAATAGAAACAAAATCAATTTATAGATTTAAATTTGAAAATTAAAAATTTGTTCGAAAAAGCTGAAATTTTCATTAAAAAATATTTTTTACTTCAAAAAAATTTGATCTGATCACTTCTGTGCTGAAACAATTCAATCAGGTATTTCATATTTTGATTGAATTATTTTTGAAGCTTGGATAATCCGAGTACTTTTTTCAAAATTTTTCAAAAAATTATAGCCAAAAAGTATCATTCTTACCTTCAAATATGGCCAAATTGTTACCAAAGATGCAATTTGTGTTTGAAATGTGAAAAATGCGGCAGCTTGTAGGTTTTCCATTTTCTTGAAAAAATAATTGGTTTCACGAAACTTTTGAACTGTTGAAAGAAAATAAGGGCGGGGCTAAGGAGTACTGTAGAAGATTTACGAAATTTGATAAAACAAAAAAAGTCAGTGAATTAGATTTTAAATAAGGAAAACAGAAAATAGAGATTTTTAATGACGTTTTTATCTGTTTTTTCTTCGTCAACTTAAACTTTGAATTCAAGAAGGTAAAAAAAAGTTTATCACTCAAACTTTTTTTTTTCAAAAAATAAATACTACACTTTTTATTTTGTTTCAACAAAAAGTGCACTAGAAAGCATAAAAAAGCACAAACAAAAAGAGCAAAAAAATAGTAAGAGGAGTTAGAGAAACAGCTGGAGACAGACAAAAAAAGCCGGTTATGTTATGGAAGAAAAAAAAGAGATCTCGAAAAAAAGAGGAAAAAAATTATATTGGCATAAGAGAGAGGTCATTGGGAGTCATTCAAGGTTATATAAAAAAAATTAGAAGTTTTTTGGATGACACATTTTTGAACTGTGGACTGGACTTTTTGAAAGGAAATGATCAAATTTGGAAGAAACTTGTTTTTGAGAAAAGATCTTAGAGATGAACTTTTTGATTAAAAATTTTGAAAAAGTAACCGAAAAGATTTCAAAATTCAGTAATTTTTTTTTCGAAATGAAAAAAAAAACAACTTGGAAAATACATAGATTTGATTTCAAATCCAAAAAACAAATTCTGAAGATGCAATAAATCCCTGCATGTTATCAATTGTCACGTGGGGACATTTGATCATTAAAAATGACCTTGACAAAGTGCTAAATATTTTGAAGAAACATAGAAAATCCCAGGAATTTTTCCTCCAAAAAAATGTGTGAGTTGTGCCGTCGCTCATTGAAAAAACTGATAACCTTCCTGTGAAATCATATTTTTGTCGCTGATAATGTTAAAGGTTTCCTTGTCTCCAAATTATTTGTTAATGTCAGCAACTTGGAAAAAAAAGTATTTATTTTCAAACCCGCTGAATATTTTTTTTTGTATTCAAAAAAAATTGACGATGCAATTTACATGTAATACAAATCATCAAATGACAATGGACCCAAAAGATTGTGTCGAATCATTGCCGAATTTTCTTGTGAGATAGAACATCTTCTCGATTCGATTGATTGTTTTCTTCCGGATGTTGTTGCGACGAGACTTGTTCTTTTGTGAGTTGATGGAGAAAGAGCTTGTGGAGATGGAGAACGCGATGTGAATGAATGAACTTTTACCTGAAAATTAGAATTGTTTTTTGGAAACTTCAAGTTCAATTCAAACACAAACTGTTCCTTCCAAAATTATCAGTGATGCCTGATCAAAAATCAAACTAAATATCTGAGACATTTTATCAATTTCAAAAGATACTGTAGTTTTCCGAAAAACTGATGTGTGAACTACATAGAGGAACAAGGAAATGTTTCGAACTCGTAAAGTAACTGCCTAATTTGAGTCAAAGAAATTTGGGAAAACGCTTAAATAAATAGATTTTTGAGAACTTGGGAAACTTAGAAATAGGAAGTGTTAAATTGGAAAAATTCATAAACTTTTCATCCCCCTCTTTCATATTTTTACCTGCTCATTTTGTTGTCCAATATTTTTCGAATCATCTTGTTCATCCGCGGCTACCGTAGTCGTCACTTTATTCGTCTTTATCACTTGACTAACGATGGCTAAAAAAAGAAAACACGATAATTAGTTCAACGTGACATTCGTCTTTTTGTTTCGTCTCATTTAATTTCCAATTTATTTATTTTAATTTACAAAAATTTCCGAAACATCTCTTCAACGCGCGAATTAAAATTGTAGTCAAACACAAATTCGAAACTTACATCGTAGTTTTGGTTTGACCGCGTTGGAATCTTCGGCATTTAGTGGAACTTGTTCAATCTGAAGGAAAATGGTGGGATGAGTGAAATTTGGAGGAGACTTACATCAATGAAGTTTCGAGGTCTCAAAAACGATGGGCGTTTACGCAAGCATGAAAATATGACACATAATCCGAACAGGAGGAAGAAAACTGAAACATTAAAGATATTTTTTGAGAATTAAATCTAAACTGTGAGGGTCACGTTAAAAAATAAATATTTTTGAACATTTTTATCAACTTCCTGAGTTCTTATTTAGAAAATCCCTTTTCAAAAGCAGATAAATTTTTAAATTTTACTCACAAATGCAAACTCCATTCATCAAAAAGAATCCAATCATCATATCCATTTCACCTTCTGGTCGATTTACATAATTATGAGTTCGATGATCAGTGAGCCCACTATAAAAAAATCAATATTTTCTTCCAGAAAAATATCCTATGCCTTTCATTTATCTAACAAAAACTTACATAACTTGTTGATTATCATGTGCAGTTTTATTCACCAACAGATTAGGTATCATTTTGTCTTTATATTCTGGAGTATTTTTTAACTCACAAAAAATTGGAATAAAAATAAAAATTCAATTTGAACGGCCCATTGAGCACACACTCACACAATTCAACACAAAAAAAAAGAGTCCAATTTTTGTGCGCACACACCTAATCCAGTGTGTGATGGGATTATGTGGTGGGCAAAAAAATGGGGGTTTACATAAATATAATGTGGAAAATTTTTAATGGAGAATTTTATGTTTGACTGAAAAGAGGAGTTCCTCGGGGAGATCAAGAAGAAGAGGTGAAACCTCACAATTTTTTGTGGCTAAAAATAGAAGTTTTTTGCTGTTTCAAACTCACCCAGTTTTTTCTGGAACAATATCTTCGCCATGACCGACTATATGAATATCTTGATCTGATCCAGGCATCTAGAAAAATCAATGGGAATTCTAACAATCAGTATGAAAAACAAACCTCGATTTGTTGAAAACTTCTCGAAGTTGTAGTAATTGGTGATCTCCAAAAGCTTGGAAAACTTAAAAGATCCATTATTTTGATGGAAAAAGGTCGTATCTTATGACAAAAACTACTAACAGACAAAATGAAATTAGATAAAAAGTGAGAAAAACAATGAACAACTGTTTAGCTTATTAATTGATAAAAATAAATACATTCCATGTCTCACTCGGATAAATTTTTCAGACTCGAAAAGTTTATCTGACAAATTGCCCAACTCTCTTTTTGTTAGAAATCAAAAAAAAATGTGAGAAGTGTTCTGTTTTTATTGGACCCTTGAGAAAAATCATCTGTCAAGTATACCAAAAAAATCTTTTTTATCTCGAATACGTGACCAAAATTTTTCGCTTCACTTGTTTGACAGATTTAAGCAAAAAAAAAAAATAACTTTCAGATTTTTAATTCAGATGTTTGTTTTTCTGAAATTTTGAAAAAATTTCTGGCGCCAAGAAAAAATAAAACTTTCGAGATTTTAGAAAGTGATATATTCGTATTCGGATGTACATAAATAAACTTTCGATTTTTTTTGCTACGAAAAAGAGAAAAATTGCATTTTTTTTAATTGGCTCGAAGAAAGAAATATTACGGAAATAGAAAGAACTCGAGTATTTTGATGTCATATAAAAAACCGCACGCACAGCTCCCGGAAAAACCAACCAATAAATCAATTTCTCACTCACTTAACAAAAATATCTTCTCTACCAATTTTTGTTTCAAAAAAAAAATGAAAAAAGTTGGAAGAAGAAGTGTAATAAAAAAAATTGCTTGAGGCAAAAAATTTCGAGTTCCTATTTTTGTTTTGAAAAATATTATGATGACTAAAAGGAGAATAAGAAGAAGAAGCTAAAATGACAAGTGGTTAAGAGCTGAAGAAATTGGAGATTTTCGTGAAAAATGAGATGAGACATCTTCCTTTTTGCAACATTCGTAGATGATTTTGCAGAAGATTTCGAACTTTTTTCAGGAAAACAAAGTATCCATTTTTTTCGAAATTCTGAGGAGCTTGAAGTTTGAAAAAATATTTTAAACAAAAAAAATTTTTGAATAAGGAACTTGAAACTTATAAATATAACACTCGCTAATTAAAAAACCTCGAAAAATACTTTTTTATTCTTAGAATGCGATATTTGAGAATGAACATTTTATTTTCCGAAAAAAACACGGATAAACTATTTTTCTTCGAAATGTAATTTCGAAGCTTTTCCTTTCCCGAAAAATTGAAAATGTGATAACATTTTTTTGTTTTTCTCAACCAAAACGTGAATTTTAGAGTAGATTAGGAGAAGATTAAAAACATCTGGAACGAGAAAAACAGAAGAAGATATAATAAAGTTTTTTGGAATTTTTAAGTATCTTGTAGTATTTCTAGTGAACATAAAACACAGAAACTGAGTTGAAATGCAGACTTACCTTGTCGAAGATTCTTGACCTTTCTCCATAATTTTTTCCTAATTTGCACTAATGGCTTTTTTCCTCTTTCCTTTATTCCGTGTCTCAATCTGGAAAAAATCACATAAAAATAAACGAGTTGTTTGCAGTTCTCAGATCGTTAAAGTCATGAAATTCAATATAAAAATCTAAAAAAAAATACCGAGAAACTCAAAAATGAAACTTCTAATATTTTTAATCTTGCTCGCCGGGGTGAACTATTTTTTTTTTTAATTTTTGAATGTGACAAAATTTTCAGATTTCCGCGCTTCGAATTCAGAATTTGTGTGATGCGAACAAGTCCGAAATATCGGTAAAACTTCTCACAAATTTGAAAAACACCGAAAAAAATCAAAAAGATGTTGGAAATGTAGTGAAGTTTGTGAAGGTTGGTGGAAAAAAAGAAACAAAACCTCATAATCTCCTTCCAAGTTCTCAAATTTCGATGGGAAATAATTTGTCAAGATTTTTTTCGCTCTGAAATTGTTTGTTTTTCCCACGAAGTTCGAAAAGGTCAGAAAAATAGACCGAAAAGCATCAGACATTTTATAGTTCATACGAAAAAACTTTAATTTCTTCTTTTCCCGAGTGACGAATAATTCACATTTTTTTTCAGAACTTGCAATCTTCCACAATTCAAACTTCAATAATCGAATATAATTCAAAAATCGCTGTTGAAATCGAAATTCCCAAAAGTATGGGTTCTTGTGATGACGTTAATGGATTTTTCGAAGAATTGAAACAAAAATATAAAGAAATTGTTGGAATTCTGGCGAATTGCGGTAATGAAGTTAATATAATTGTTTGAGTTATGCGAAAAATAAATAAGTTATTTTTCTTTTTTTTTGCTAAAATTTCTCATAAATATGTTTTTATACTTGTCTTTGTGAGAAAATTAATCTCCAATTTTCAAGTTTTTCTTGAAAAAAATTCCATGGAACTTATTTACTCAATTAATTATTTTCATTCACAGACATTTTTTTTATTTTTCAGCATTATAAAATTTTCCTGAAAAACAATCCGATTTTTTTTCAAAATGAAATTTTCAAACGAAAATAAAGAGGACAACTTCTGAAATATTTATTACTTCAATATTCAGGTCGAAAATTCATCTTAAAATATAAAATTAGGCATTTTGACTGAAAATATCAAATTTCATGTATTTTTGCAGAAATAATTTCATTGTCTCAAAAAAAATCAAAAATCCAACCCTTTTATATAATATTACAAAAACAAGTCAAGAATTCTTTGTTTTTCGTTCAAAATTTCACTTCAATATTGGAATTGTAGTATGAACGTCATATTTTATCCATCAGTGCATTTTTTTGTTATTTTTTTTTGAAAATAAAGAATCTTTGCCCAAAAGAAGTCATTTAGAAAAATTGTGTTTTTGTCAAGTTTAAAATTTCGCTGTTTTTTGTTCAGCGGAAGTTGTTTCATGTCGAGAAATTGGATAATTGTGTTTACCAAAAAGAGTCCTTTTTCATGATTATTATATAAGATTTAAAGGACTACAATTCTTGTTTACTGAATTCTTGTTTTACTCGTTCAAATAATTATGAATAATAAATATACTTGAGTATTCATGTTGAAAAATAGAAAAAAAATCCGAATTCTGAATACATAGACATGATCTTTTCTTGTTTTCTATAATTACTTTCAAATTTTTTTGTGCTACAATGTACTTTTTTCTTGTTTTGTTTTTGGCCTCTGAAAAATATCAGCAACCACGTTAGAACCTCGCCGAAAATCTAATTATTTTTCGCAATAACCGCAAGTTCTTCGGCACAAAAAATCATAAACTAGAAAAATCCAGCCCACTTTTTTTCTGTTCAATCACATTTTTTCAGATGACTACTGAGACCGATATTGAAATAATTCGAACTTGTCTTCTTGTTTTTGCGATTATTGGGATTTTTGGAAATATTAATATAATATTAGCAACAAGAAAGAATAGTAGTCTTCAACATAAATGTGGTATTCTTTTGGCTATTTTGGCAGTTTGTGATTCAATTTGTTTGATCAATGAATTTCAAAGTTTTTTGAGAATGACTCTGAAAGTTGGAGAAACAACACTAAAGTTTGTTTTTTTGTATCTATAGGGAAAATTATAATTGAAATTGTTTGTTTTCAGAAAATGTTTCTATGCGAATATAACTTATATATTAATTGAACCTCTCGAAGTTTATATGATTTTTATTCTGGCAGTTGATCGTTTGATTGCAATCAACTTCAGTGTTTTCTACAGAACAATTCGAAAAACAAAATATGTTTTGTCAATGTTATTACCAGGTTTGGTGATAGGTGCTATATTTCTGATATGGAGTTTTGTAACTCTATCAAACCCTGTTGTTGATACTTGTATTCTACCCTATGCAATGCCAGAAATTGTTTCATATTGGTGGAATCAATATAATCTTTGGGGTGCAGTTGGAACTCTTTTGGTATATTTATACACATATATAACAGTTTATTGTTGCAGTAAGTTAATTGAATTTTGAGCTTTGGAATTCGTCTTTTTCAGCATTCAAACAGAAAAATGAGAAAAACTTGCAAATTCAAAAAACAATATTGAATACAGTTATTGTCGGTGCTGCTGTTTTCTCAATTTCTTCTGTTTTATCTGCAACACTTATAGCACTTTTCACAAATATGAAGAATCCGCCAATTGATCCGGATACAGTATCAACTTATGCAGTTATCCCAGGTGAATCATGATTTCTCGAACACTTTTCGGGATATCTAAATTCAATTTTCGCATTCGTAATCCAATAAAAACTTTAAGGTTTGATCTCATATTCATGCAATTTTTATGTGTATTTCTGGCGAAGTAGCGACTACCGTAATGCATTTGTTAAACAACTTTGTTGTGGGCGAGTTTTGGCGAGTCAAGAGAATTTGGTATCATTTGCACCGCCTTCATCAATGATGTCAAAGAAATCAAGTTCAGTTTCAGTTATGTATAGAAGAGCAGACGGGGCTTAAAACGGTTATCAAAATAAAAATAATTTATGTTTGTTAGTAAAAATAAATATATTTGAAGAAATATAAATAGAAATCTTTTTTGAATTCATGGTCCTCTTCTAAATCTTGCTGGCTTCATTTCACTTTTTATAATACTTTCGATTTTTGCCAATAATTCTGGACTCATTCCACCATTCAATTGAGATGTAATTTCTTTTAACATATCTTGAGATGGTCTGGCAACTGGTGGCGATGTTACTTGCATCAAAAATACTTTTTCGGATGCAGCAGCTGATGATTTCGTTGTTGGCATTGATAAAGAAGAAGGAGATGCTGATTTCGGTATAACTCGAGTTCGTTGTCCACTTGATTTATTTGGTGTTTGTCGCGGGGCTAATGTTTCGGTCTGCAAAAAATATTTCCTGAAATCTTGTAGAACAAAAATCATTACCTTTGGAGTGCTTGAAACTTTTACAAATGTTGGTTGAACAATTTTATGTTTTGGTGTTGTTTTTGTTGATTCCATCACATTGTTAACACGTGGACGTGGTCTACTAAAAGTTGGTTTTGTGATGCGAGTGGCTACTCTGAAAATAAATGTACATTCCTAGAATTTCAGTTATAAATTCGAAACCTTTGAGTTGTTCTCATTGTTGTTGTTGTAGTGATTGGTGCTTTTGTGGTTGTTGGAAGATTAACTAAACTCAACATTGGGAATTGAGCATTTTCATTTTTAATTTCTTCATAATCATAATCTTCGCCTTCTTCTTCTTGTTCAACTTCTTCAACTTTCGATAAAGATTGTGATGGAACTGGTTGATATGGAACTGCTGCAGATGTTGGTTTCGAAAATGTGATAGCAGAAGAAGGTCCTTGTGGTATTTCACAATATGCTTCATCTGACCCATCTGGACATTGAACAACACCATCACAAACTTGACTCATAAGAATTTCCGTATCTCTAGATTGACACGTGTATTTTTTATCGTTTCCAGCTTTTTTGCATAACATTTCATCTTCGCCATGTGGACATTGTCTTTTTCCATCACATCTTTCTTCCATTGAAACACATTCGTTACTTTTTCCACAATGAAATAATCCATGTCCACAAATATCACAATCTCTTTCGTCTGTTCCATCATCACATTCAATTAATCCGTTACATCTTCTATCAAGTGAAATACATTGTTCTGATACTTTACAAGCAAATTCTCCAGCAGTACAAAGTGCTATAAATATTTAATCGATGTTTTTGTGTTATCTTCTCAATCTGTATATAACTCACGACAATTTTGTTCATCTTCTTCCATTCCACAATCATAATGCCCATCACACCTTGATGACATCGGTACACATTGTTCAGATAGCGAACAATGAAAATCAGTACCATTGCATTGAACAGGTCCTATAATGTTTGTTTTTGAGTTCATCACACCGACAACGATTAGTGTCAAAAAAGAAGAAGAGATATGATGGTAAATATTTGATTGTTTGATGTTTTGAGAAAAAAAAACAGAAAATGACAGCGAACTGATGATTGAAAAATATGAACATGTCTGGATGGTTCAAAAAAATCGGGTGTTCTATATAGTCATTATTTAACAAGATGTTTTTTCGTGTACTCACCAGAAACAGATCTGATTCCACAACTTTTCACATTATAATCATAATTACAGTTCTGTGTTCCATGTACATCATAAACTAATCCGGGTTTGCACTTTTTTCGATACGTCCGAAATCCGTCACTTTGCCATCTGTGTATTTTAATGTTTGTATGTATTTATTTGTAATATAATACTCACCGACAATGATAAAATTCTTCACTACAATCATATCCTAAAAATTGTCCAAGAGTCGCTCGAACTAATCCAGCTTCTTCAAGAAGTGTGCTATAAATTCAATAAATATTCAAACAAACTCCGAAAAATATATACCTGTCATTACAATAATTCGTTTCGATCGGTCCTTCTGCAACTACTAATTCCAATAAGTTCGAATAACCAAGTTTGAAAAAACAATAAACTAAAAATATTGAAAAAGTATGCATAGCTTCTTTAAACAAAAATAATATATAAGTAGATATTAATAATAATAATAATTCTTTTCTAGCAATAATACAATAAAATGTTGGGTGGGCAAATCAAAAATGGGCGGAGTTTATTTCGCGCAGACGACTCTCGCGCAAAAATAGTTGACGGTTTTCCGCTTTGTAACATGCGGAATGACCGGAAAAGGTAAACATGTTGGTATATGAACACAAAGAAACATAATAGAATTATGAATTAAACATGTTATAGATTTTGACGTTTTACTTCGCGATGACTTACGAGAAGATTAATCCAACCTTCTTTTTTAGTGTGTCTGTGTTTTTTTCTAAATTTTCCTTTTGTCACACGATCTTTGCTCGGTGAGATACTAATGATCTACAAATATCCGAAGATATTTACCTTTTTACAAAAGGTCCCGATAGCGTGGTGAAATAAATAAATTTCCTGTAAGATCAAGAGACTGTTATTTTATATATAGGCTCCTTGATCATAATTCGAACTATTTTCCTTCAACGTCAGGGAAAGTATAAAATATATCCTGCTGACTTATTTTTTTTTGTTGAAATATTTTACCACTAGCTTTTAAAAATCCAGCGAAAAGCTAGGAAGCGGAAGCCGCGCGGCTAAATATTCCAATTGTCATTTTGTATGTGTGTGTGAATTGGCCGGCATCTCCTCACTGTACAAATATACATTGCACTTCAAAATTGTTTATTTTTTATTATTTTGTTTTGTTGTCTTCGTTGCGTGGTTTTCGTCTTTTTCTTCATTTCATGATCATTTCTTGAAAAAAATAAATAAATAATAACAATAATGGAGAAAGATGACGTAAATTTGATGGGCGATGGAAAAAATTCATGTGAACTTTGTAATTCAAAGGTTGGAAAATATAATATTTGAGGAAATTGATAGATAATTACAGAATGTTCAACAATGCTCAAAACTTTATGGTAAACTTGCAATTTATGGACTTTGGTGGATTGGAATTGGATTTTTGATTCATAAAATAAGCAAATATCCATTTTGTGAGAATTGTTTTCAGAATGATTTCGAGAAAAACGCGAAAGGGATACGAATCATGGAGGTAAATCTTATAGATTTCTTGAGAGATCTGAGAAAACCGATTCTCAAACTTTTAATTTGAATTCCTTGTGGTTATTCACTAGTTCCATAGAAAACATGAACTATGACGTGGATATTCTGAATTATTTTGTTATTATTCTCTAATTCCAATTTATTTAATTCCACGTGGAATTTCATCTGCTATTGTCCCTCTTCTAAAATTCTATATTTTTCTGTTATTAGAAAATCAACCTGATATTTTCCGCTCTCCTCATTCCTTATTCCTTTCAGTTATGCGTCGATGATCGTTCAAAATGTGATCCTCCAGAATTGTCAAAATCAAAAGTTGAGAAGAAAATCGATGCGAATTTGTTGAATAATATCATCAAATCATAAACAATTTATCACCATTCGCACCAGGCACAAGTCATAAAACAAAAAAAAAAGAATCGAATCAAATCAAATTAGCATAGGAGCGAAGGAAGGGGCGCTCCGCCCGCCGCGGGTCCCACGCATAAATAGACAAATCAATGGCCGCATTCCTCACATTATTCAATATTTCTCTTCTATGTATAAAGAATAGCATAATACCATTTTGGGCAACATGGCTATAGATATCTAGAATTAAATGAATCCAGATATTGTAGCTATCATGCTCATAATGGTTGAAAGCTTCATTTTTTCGTGAACATCTATAAATTTTGAATTGGGAAAAAGTTTCTTTTTGATATGCGGGTAATGTTTTTGATGAAAATTTAATCCAACTGTCACTTTCGATAAGCTCACGAACAATCAAAAAAACTAGTTCAGGGCAAGGTTCGAGAGAAAATCAAGAGTGTGGCAGAAGTTAGGTGGAATCGGAGTTTTGAAATGAGTAATAATATTTAGGACTCGTGATATCAGATATTTCTGTTTAAAATTTTCGAAAGGGAAATTTTTTAAAAATAATTTTCTTCACTGTAAAATTAGCAATACTTATGCCAGAATTTTTCGAAACAGCAGAAAAATCGTCGAAACGCAAACAATTAAAATCAGTAAGAAGCATTGAACTGACCTTCAACTTTTTCCTAATCCCTTTCTGATTTTGTTTTTGTTCTCGGCTTTCAGCTTTAAAAAAACCGGAAATGTTTCAAAAATATCTAAACCTACATTAAAGGTTCAAGGTCATTTTGCAAGCTTTGTTGTTCAATTCAAAAAATCATCATTTGTCCGCCTTTTTTTTGGCTACCGGTTGGATAAAAAAGCGCGTCACGCCCATCAGAGCATAACAATACTGCATAAAAATAGACAGTCACTGTCTAGTTAGTCACTCATTCATTCACTAGTTATGAATTCATTGCCTATTTCTATATTATCGTTATTGATTGTTGGAGTTTCGTGAGTTAGAAAATAGGTTCATGGAATCTCAGTTTTTCAATGATTTTCAATTGTTATCATATTCAGAACTCTTCCTGCAACCGATCCACTTTTAGCCGCAATGGGATTGGGACAATTAGGTGGAATGAATGGAATTGGAAATGGTATGTATCCAGGAATGAATACTGGAATGATGGGTGGAATGTATGGAGGAATTCCTCCGCCAATGCCACCACCAGGAATGTGTAAGTTTTTGTTGAGGGGGAAAAGTTCTAGAAGCTAGAAGATAGAATTTAATTCTGGTTCCATCCATTATTGAATTCACGAAATCGCTGTTCTAAAATAGTTTTCACGTTTATTTTTCTAATCAAAAATTACAGTACCCCATTAGATTTGTGACCCCTTCCCCCTCATAAAACCAAATAAAAAATTATCATATTGATTTTACAATTATCATCATGTGAAAAAACAATTTTAGCTCCATATGGAATGGGACTTGGAGGATACGGTATGAATGGAATGAGCGGAATGAATGGGATGTATCCAGGAATGGGAATGGGTATGGGTATGTCACCATATGGAATGGGATCATCGATGAGTTTCCCATTTATGGGCAAAAAATAATGTATTTTTCTTATGATTTTATGTATGTATATGTATATCATAACTTTCTTTCATGTACATAATATTTTCTCTAATTTTCAAAAAAAATTAATTAACCCATCCACCATAAATAAAACATTACCATAAAAATCATGCAGAAAATCACACCAAATACAAAAAGTTTCCAATCCTCTTTCACACGTTTGTCGATTAAACGAAGAGTTGTGTCAGATATTCCAATTGATTTTGCAACAAAATGAAATCGTTTTCGAATCGAGAAAAGTGCCGATTTTTGATTTTCAAGATCTTCCAGAATATGAGCACCTTGTAATAGCATTTGATCGATTAAACTTGTTGATTGTTTCAAATGTTCATTTGTATTCAATTCGTGATCAAATCCCATATTCAAACGAGTTTCATTGTTTGTTGTGAATCTGCAAAAACATTTCATTTAAAAAAAAAATAAAAAAGTTGAATTTTCCACACCCGTTCAAGCCACGCAATGAGTGTTTTCTACAGTAAAACGAACAATCTGCGAATGAAAAAAACTGTGCAAACACTTTTGTCTAATTCTCTCTGTTCGCCGTTATATTTCGCACTACAGTATTAAAGGAACATGATAAATTTAACGCGTTGGGTCTTGTCGCGATTGCTAACTTTCTTCGCAGGACCTCAAAAAATAAGAAAAGTAGCAAGTCAGGTAGAACTTGATGCGCTGATTTTCATGCTATATTTAGTTTTTCATGAAGCTTATCTAGGTTTTGAGCTACAGGGTGCACTGTTTTTACAGCGTTTTGCTGATTTTTGTGTTGCTTGAGCGGGTGTGTTTCAAAATGATTCTCACCTTCTCTTCAAAAGTTCTTCTTTTTCCATCGCACGTCGACATTGATTTTCAAAACGAGTTTTAATTGTGTTGAAAGAGCTTTTGACAAGATATATATCACTTTTTAATTGTTCAATTGTTATTTTATTATTTTGTCGAAAACTGGCTGTTTCACGATAGATTTGCGAATCCAATTTATGAAGTTGCGCATCAATTTTCCTGAAAAAACAATATATTTCGTTTTTTTCTTTGTTTTAAAACTTTCAAAAACCCACACCAATCCTTGTTCCGTATCTCGAATCAATTTCCTCACTTCATTTTCATCATTTCGTCTTTCGATAGTTATAAGAAATACTTGAATATTTTCCAAATCTTGGCGAGTTTTTTGAATTATTTCATCCGCCATTGCTTGCACTTTTTTCTGAACAACAAAAAAGTATTTCGTAATCGAAAAATGCAAAAAATAAAGATAGTTTATGAAACGTGTACATTTGGGATTGAAAAAAACGCAGGAAAAAGTGGAAATGGATTTGCCAGCTGTTTTTTGTTGTTTTCACGTGAAAAAAAGAAAATTACTTTTTTTGTCATTTTGAGAATTGAGAGAACTTCTAACATCGGCATAACAAGACCGTGAACAAGACATTACTTTATTTCAAATTTTTCAGAGACAATTATTTTAAAAATCTGTTTTCGAGGCGTTGTTCGGGATCAAAACACATTGAATTCACATCTCATTTGTTCAAACTAATAGTCAGAAGTATTTCCGCTTCAAAGGTGGTTCAAAAACTAAAAATAGATTCGAAAAACAACATCTCCAAGTGCGAAAAGCATCTAATTAACCTAAATAATTAGTATATTTTTCTGCTTTCAAAAACAACGAAATGAAAAAATCAGTGCAAAAAAGCATAACATTTTCAACCACATACTAAAGTTCAGACATCTTTGGTGCACTAAAAATATTCCGCCCATTTCTTCTAAATTCCTTGTTTTTCACAGACAATTATACCAGTCGTCTTCTGGTGTGAATCATTGATTAAGCCAAGCCTTTCAGGGAATTCAAATTTGCTGATATATCACTTTTTTTAGTCATTCGTTCCTTCTAACATTGTTCATTTTTTGAGGAAGAAAACATGGATACTTTTACTCCAATGTTTTCTTTCACCTGTTTTTATGGTTTTCTTACATTTGCTGTTTATACAATGACAATGTATATGATAAAAAAGAAACAACAAGCTTTTTCAAGTTCATTTTTCGTCTTATACAAAGCCAATTATTATATCGTAAGTTCTTCGCTGAAAAATCAACACTGCAAAACAATTTGATTTTCCAGAATCTTATAACATTTCTAAATTCATTTGTTCCCCTTCGAATCCCACAAAATACATGTCATGATTGTAGTTTGGCATATTTATTTGAGGGACATACAGAGACAAACTATTCAAATTTTCCATTGGGATTATTCTATTCGATTTTGGTAACAATGGCTTTCATTCAATATGGAATGATCTTTTTGGTCTCTTTTAACAGATTTACAATGTTCTTCCTAGTTCAGGACAATGACAGAGTGAGTTATATTTGAATGACAACAAAATGTCATCAAATGACGAGGGATTACGAAGATTTTTGTGCAAACTTTGATGTAACTTCAAAAATAGAATTGATCTATTTGATATCTGACAAAAGCTTCCCAGAAAAGTCGAAAAATCGTGAAATTCTAGAAATGGAAGGCTGTTCTCCCTGCGGTTTTGCTCATTTTCATAATTGGACCAATAACACAAACCTACACAATTGCGACAAGCAAAACATATTACAGATATCTTGAAAGTCTTGGAGGTTACAAACCATTTACAAATGCGGTAAATTCTAGTTAGCTTATGTTAGGAAGAAATAAAGTCCGCTTGTTTTTCAGAATATAGTTTTGATAACCAATTCATTGCTTATTTTTATGATTACAACAACAGTTTTGTCTGCCGGATTTAATATATATTCCACTTACAAAGTTAAATTATTGAACAAAAATATCAAGAAAAATGATCGAACTCTTCTTTCAATGACACTTGTTTCATTTCTCATTCAGATGATTGCTTTTATTGACACCGTATGTTTTGTATCAAAACTAGATTCAAAAATTTTCAAAATTCAAAATTCAGATAGCTCTCCGTGTTTTCCCAAACACATCTTATACTTATGCTGTTTTCCAATTCTCACAACCATTTGTTAGCGATGCATTGACTTTGAGTCAACCTTGGATTTTGATCGCTTTCAGCTCTTTGGTAACTCGAAAATCAGAATATTCTAAAAAAAAAATAATTCCTAATTTATTTCAGACACGTTCCGAACTTCAACGCCTTCTTGTTGGAAAATGCTTCAACGATCTTATTTTCACAACAAGAAGTGAAGTACAGAATTCGAGAGGAGGTGCAACCATAACTATTTAATTTTCTAATGGAAAAACATATAATCATTCCAAGTTATAAATAAATTTTTGTCGAAAAGTACATCAGAAAAATGATAGTTTTGAAGAAAGCGGAAGTATAATTTTTAGAAAAACATAAGAGGAACAAGAATAACTAAATTCTGAAGAACAAAATTGCCGAAAAATATAGAACTGAAAAATCGCGAAAACAGGCTGAGATTCAGATTGAAACTTCTAGATTTAAAAATAGAACACAAGTTTTCAAATTACTTCCCCTCATTATCGAATTTTCCAAAATACAGTGATGAATAGTCGAAGTATATCTCTTTGAAGGTTCAAAAACCAAGTTCTTGCTGACAATTCATCATAAATACTTTTAATTTCTGAAAGGTCAGCCAATTAATTTTTGATTACATTTAGTCAGGATGAATATTATTGTCATCGAACAGGTTCGAATACATCAGAAACGTTTTTCAAAATTTATTTCAAGTAGATATTAACATTTATCCATTTCTAATATTTCTGTCAATACGATTTGCTAACATTCCAGAAATTCAAAATTCTGATGTTCATCTAATTTTTCTGACCACAGTTCTGTCGGAATTACGTAAATTGAGGAAAAACAGCATGAAATCACTTTCTCTCTTGGGGCCAAAAAGCAATTTTTATCTCGTGATTGTTTTGAATATGGTCGAATTGGTATTTCCACCCAGTTTAATTTTAATTTGAATTCAAGATCTTTCTATTTTCTTGTTCAGTGTTCTGTAAACTACATGTGAATTCGAAAATCTCAAAAATCAACAACTATTTTTTTTCTTTTTTTTTTTGAAACCTTCATCGAAACAAACTATTAGTGTTTCTGTTCAAAATGTTCCCATGATATTCAAAATCCGCAACAATTTGAAATCTAATTACAAATATGATTCAGATTTGATTTTTTATCATCAATTTTTAATCTAGTGCAAAAGTCAATTTATTTGAAGTTAGATGATAACTATCAATCACATGGCATAAAACGATTTTTAGTTCAACCCTATTCGAAAATTTTGACCTTGTTGAGACTCTTAGTCAAATCTGTAGCCAATGTTTGTTCTACTGACTTTATTTACATAAAAAATATAATTGCTTGGGAATATTCCAGAAAATAATTGGCTTTATATCATTAGGTTCAACTCTATTTTTAACGAATAGCTCAAAGTTGTCTCATGACATTCCGGTTCTACTAATCATATTTAAAAAATCGGATCAGGCCCGATTTTTTGAGAACAAATATCTCGGATACGTTTCAAAATTTTTAGTTCAAAGTACAATTCAGTTTTAGTCAGAATGTATCTGCTAAAATCACACTAAAATAATTTATGTTACTCATCATAGTTTCAGGCAGGCTGATATTAAAATGTGACCGAGTTAAATTGAGATCTCAATCCCACGCAAAATTTAATTCCTACAGTAGAAATAATTTCAACATTTTTTTTAGCAAATATTCCGGATTTTGAATTATCATTTGTCTTCTAATTTACAAATTTTAAGTATGGATACATTTAAACCTGCATTCATAGTCACACTTATTTATGGTTTATTCAGTGTTGTTTTATACACTCTTATTGTTTTTATCATCATAAGAAATAAAAACAAGAATCTGAACAGCTCATTTTTCACAATTTTTGTGATTGGATATTTTATAGTAAGTTCTAAGTTTGAAAATTTTTTAGATATAATAATAAAAAATAAATATTTTCAGAATCTGACATGTTTTTTCAATTCTTATGTAACTCTTCGTCTTCCACAAAACACTTGCAAAGACTGTAAATTATCATTTCTTTTCTCAACTGGAAAAGAATCTACATTTCCATTAGGCATTTTTTATGCAATTTCGATAAATATGGCATTTATCCAATCTTCAATGACATTATTGATATCAATCAATCGATATACAACTTTCTTAATGGTTTTAGATAAAGACAAGGTAGGTTTTAATATAGTATTGAAACCATTTGATATTTAATTTTAATTAGATATGGAATCACAAAATTATTCCATGTGTTACATTAATTATTATTTTATGGCCACTTTATGTTACTTATCCAGTTATTTTCAATCCAACTTATTACATGTATTATGAATCGATTACAGGCTATCGCACTAAAACAGAAGCTGAATTAACGAAAATGTTAGAAATTTTGAATATATTTATGATTACAGTAGCAGTTCTCTCAGCCATTTTCAATACTTTATCGTGGAGAGGTTTGAGACAAATGCAAAATGTGATCAAGAAAAGTGAAAAAGCTTTGATTTACACAACATTTATTGCATTTGCTATTCAAGTTATTGCAATTGTTGATACGGTATTCATCATTTCTTAGTAGAAATTTTTGGAATAAATCTAATTTCTTTCAGCTTATTATTCAAAAAGTTTCTTCAACTGGTCCAAATGCAAATATTTTAAGTATTGCCCAATTCTTTCAAACATATGTTAGTGATTTATTGACTTTCAATCAGCCATACGTTATTATATTTTGTAGCTCTGTTGTAAGTTGAGATGAACTTTGACCAAACTAATAGATATTTCAGGTTCGAAAAGAACTACGAGAGCTTTTCCTAAATCGAATTGATCCAATTTTGGTGGTGAATACGTTGAAAAGTCAAGGAAATACAGCAACTTTGGCATGATCTACTGAATTTTTCTCACATTTGTTTGCATTAGATACATTTTGAGTAGCATTCCGAACAATTACTTTTTTTATAACAATTAGCCGTACTAGTAAACACTTCATGATTTTCTTTCTGATAAATAATTTTATTTTCTAATAAATTTTTGAGTTGGTTGTAAAAACTATATGGGAAGTATATGAATTTCAGGAAAATTACGATGAGTGAAATGAAATTCAAATTGATTTCATACTATTTGAAATTTGGATCAGAAAGTAAAAATTTACAAATTTCTGGGATCCAAGAGTTGGTCCACCTGGACTCGGTTTAAGTCCGACCTTACAAATCCAGAACCTTCAATTTTTAGACTCTTTTCAGACTCATGAAGCTTCTAACTCTTCAAATCCCTCCCAACTATTCAAAACAGTATATCTGTTTTATTGCTCATAACTCCAACAAATCCAAAAAATTCTCATGATCCAAAAAATATATTTAATTGCTCCTTGTAAAGTGCGAAAAATCCAAGTACACCAGAAATTTTCCGAAATCCTTTCCCCGCTATTTAAGAATCAAAAAATGTTCTTTTGTTCTCAGACAATTCTTCTCTTTTGGGATTTTTACGACAAAAACAAACTGTTTTCAAATACCAATTATCGAATAACAATGAGTAATTATCTAATCTTTCATCCAAAACTAATAAAACCAAAAAAATGTGCTTTATTCCTAATTTTTCCATTTTCTCACAATTATCCGACTGCAAACAATTATAGATATACTTCCATCAATTTGTTCTTGATTTCTCTTCAATATTATCTCTAGAGAAGTTCCATTTCGAAATAATTGGAAGTACACATTTTTTTATTATGACTAATTGACTCAAATTTCATTAATGTCATACTCTGAGACTAGTTATTACAACATGATTAGAATGTCTCTTCATGTTTTGGAACATTTTTGCAGCAATCTTTCATTTATGATTCTGATTTAAGTATACTGTCTGTATTTTTTGTTGGCTAAAGTTTCAGAATTAGGGCATCTGACAACATTTTTTGGTAGATTTAGTGAAAATAGGTGGCTCATGATAGCTTTCTAGAAAATAGGAACATCCAGTTCAAATCCGTATCTTTTCCATGAATTTCTTACATTTAAATTTAAGTTTTATAAACTTCTAAAGACTTAAAATTTGAAAAAAAAACTGAAATTAGTCATCATTTTTGTTTTTCTTGCATAAAATCTGCAAGATTTCTCGGAATTGAGTAAAAATAACACCTCTGAGCTTTCCTAATTAGAAAAAAATACGGTTCACCTAAATTTTGATCCTAAAACCAACCCGTTTTTTCTATATACTCCAAAATATGATGAACTTTTTGATTATGTTCTGATTCATTACACACTTCCACAACATTTTACTAATTCACAATTAATCATTTTGTCATTTAGCTTCGAGTCAAAACTTTTGACATTAATGTTCACTTTGAAATTCGCGATTACCGTATTCTATGGTGGATTATCGTTTGTGGCATATTTTTTGACTGTTTTTATGATGCGAGCAAACTGGAAAGAATTCTCAATCGCCTTTTTTCGGCTTTACATCGCATTTTTTATTTACGTAAGTCAATGTTTTTCTGCAAATGTCTAAAACTACAAATATAATTTGATTTGTTTCAAGAATTTGATAACATTTGTGAATTCATTCATCACAGTTCGTATTCCTCAAAATACTTGCAAAGATTGTTACATGTCGTTTCTATTCAAAGCACATTCTCAAAATAATACATCCTGGTTCCCTCTTAATTTTTTCTATACAATTCACTATAGTATGGCATTTGTTCAATATGCAATGATTATGTTTGTCTCGATCAATCGATGTTCTATGATATTCAATTTAACATCTTACAATAATCAATGGAAACGTATTTTTCCTTGTATCATTGTATTAGTTTCACTGTTTCCCTTAACACAAACCTATCCTATATTTTTTAATACCGCATACTATGTTTATACAGAAGCTTTAGATTGTTATTCAACGAAAACATTGGCGGTAAGGATAAATAACTGATTTATTCTGAAATATAACAGTATTTTCAGAACACTGCCACGATTTACAGCCATCTTTTAATTTATATGGGAGTTACGACTATTATAACCGCTTTAGCAAATATTTTTGCATTTTGTAAACTCTCATTAATGAATTCAAAAATTCCAAAAGGTGAACAGAACCTAATGTTTGTTAGTCTTGCAATGTTCTTCGTTCAACTTTTTGCTGGGGGAAATACGGTATATTTGAAGAGAAAATAGGCTTATAACAAAATGTTTTTTTTTGACAGATTATAAACCGTCTATTTGTAAGTGACAGTAATGCTACTTCAACTTGGTCACAAATTGCTCAAACATTGATTCCTTTTACAAGTGATGGTTTGACTCTTATTCATCCTTGGATTTTGCTAGCTTTTAGTAAACGAGTCAGAAAGTGTATGATGAAAACATATTTCCCAAGATATGTAACAACTCCAATAACAATTGCAGTTCAATCTGGCAAATCGAAATCTGACCGTTAGGTTTTACAATAACATAACATTAACTATGTTGTGATTTTTTTCATTAGTAAATGAATCAGTTGAATATAACTCATACAGGAAGGAACATATGTTCTGAGTCATCGTAAAATAGACACAATTACTAGAAGATGAAAATATCAGACAAATCATCAGGCTACATTGTATTTCTCAGAAATACATGACATTAATGACACAAATGTGGGAACCTCAAAAATCATTGAAAAATCGGAAAATCAAGTTTCCCCAGAACATGTTACAAAATACGTTATACTAGAAAAATTTCATTAACGTTAAGAATTAAATGGGAATGAATATGAACATCACTTATCAATGTCTTTCAAGAAATTTCGTCAGGAGACTTTTTTCAATTTTAAACCCAATATATTCCCAAAAAAACTCACTTTTTTTTGTTGAATCCAGTTGTTCATTCAATTTCCAATATAATCGCCATGCGTTGAACGCAGAAACTCTTCTTTGACAACGATTCTTCTTTGCAAAAAAACAAACGCACACTGTTTTGAAAAAAAAACAAAAACAGTAATGAAAAAAGGCACACAACAAATTATGATTGTGCGTGGCGAGACCACGTGTTTATTTATTGTGATGTTTCTTTTTTTTTCATTTTCAAAAAATTGTTTTTCGTGACGGTGTTTCGTGCTATAAATTCTATGAATAAAAACATTTTGAAGATTCTTCAAGCTGAGCGAACAATCGGATTGTGAAGAAGCCGAAAAACAGAATTTGAATCGAGTAAGTTCGTTTTTAATTCGTGGAATTCCAATTTACTGTGACAAGCAAAAAGTTTCATTGATTTTTTCTTGTTAAAATATATTTTTGGAATGTTTTCAAAAAAGTTACGATAAGTAAGTAATTTATAAATATAGTATAAAATAAGTATTTACACTTTTCCGATTATATTTATTGAATAATCCAAGTTTTTCATTATAGTCTAGCCGAATTTGGAGGGTAAAAAGCCATATTTTTCTTGTAAATAATTCTTTTAAGACGAAGAAGTTTCAAAGCACCATCTCGTATTTGCACATTTAGAAAAAGCATAACGATCCTTAATTTATATATTTTCAATTTCAAAGATAGATGTAAGTGCTTTACCCTTCCAACATTCGAACGAAAACAATTGAACAACTCAAACAAGCAAAACGAAACCAATCAGCGTCATAAACTTTGAAAGTCATTGTAGTATTCAACATATGAAAAAGATTGAGACAATCTTGAAGAACACTTTGAATGAACATTGCTCTTCTATTTGATTTTCGACGTTTAGTTTCGTTGTTTGAAACTCGAATTTGAGCCTGAAAACTTTTTTTCTAAAAAACTTGTTCATTGTATGTTCTTTGGAATTGTTACGCAAAAACAAAATACCGAATCAGATATCAATTTCCATAAAACTGCAATATTAAATGAGTTGGATATAACAGCCATACTGAAAACAAAAATCAAGAAAAATCGAGATAATATTTGAGCACACGGTGATTCTTCAGGTGCCCAACCTAATCGATCCAATAAATACAGAAAATGACAACCATCTCGAAAACCAGCAATTGAAAATGATAAAGATAATAAAATTGAAACAATGATTCCAATATTTGTTGGATTGTAATTGTATTTCTTGTTGAAATATTGAGGAAAATATACAGCAAATGCTCGATTTGATGTTAACAGAATCTGTGTGAGAGGCGCTAAAAAACTTTTGTTTTCGAAAAAAAAAGTAATATCATGTTTTCTACCCAATGTGCAAGCGAACCATCCCAAAATTTGACCAAAAACAACATCATAAAATAATGGCAAGAAATATTTGTTTCTGAAATCCTATAGTTTTTGAGCTGAAAAAACAATTTTCAAAAAAATCTTACAGAAGAATACATGGAACTGGCCACATTAATGTTCCAATCGAAACTATCAAGTTAGCCCAACTTTTGACTAAACAAATTTTTGCAAATCCACCGATTGAAGTTATTGGTTTCCATAATGATAGAAAAACTAGACTGTTTGAAAACAAGCAAAAAATACAGATGACAATCAATACCGTACCACCAATAATTCGAAATTCTGGTGAAAAATGATTATGAAAAACAGTAATCATCTATGATCTCTTATTTATTTTCCGGAGTTGTAATAAATACAGAATAAATAATCAAAATTGTTCTATGTCTGTCTGTGGAAAACAGAAAAAGAAAGAGAAAAGTTGATTAGGAAAACGAATAACAAAATTTGCCACTAAAAACCTTTGGAAGTACGAGCACTTTTCACAAATAAAGTTAACGGATTTGTAGATATTCGAGATGTATTTGGTGTAGATTTAGAATGAATGAAACGAGTTCCAATAACTCGTTTAGCTTCTTCTCGAATTCTCTCATTCATTGTCAAAAATATGAATCTACAAAAATAATAATTATAAATAACTGAAATCTGAAGAAAATCACTACCCTTCAAGCATTCTGAAAAATACCATAGATAATGACATTGTCAGAAATTGTGTTATTGGATATTTTCTAGATGTTATTGTTGTATCAAAAGTATCGAGAACAATCAATAAATCTTGACAAACACTTTGAATCAACATAATTCGATGTTTTCGTCGTCGAATCGATGCTTGAACATCGCTCAATGTTTTACTGAATGCGGCAAGTTTGATGAAAATTGAAAAATTGAAGCAATTTGAGACAATTATTATGAGGAACATTGAAATGACGCAGGCTCGAGCTAAATTATTTCCACAATCCGAATCCATATGAATCCAACCAATCAAAGTTCTTTGAAACATATATTGACAGCCATCAAATATCATTCCAATACTGAATAAAAATCCAGAAAAACAAAAACACAGTGTCAACATTATCTGGAAATTTTTAAAATTGTTTTTTTTAAGAAAAAAAAATGAAAGTTTCTAACATTAGTTGTGTTGAATCGAAATTCTCTCGAAAAATAACTCGGATAAAACACTGCCATCACACGATTTCCATTCATTAGAAGTTGAGTTAATGGTCCAAGTGTCCATGCAAACCAACCAAGAAATTGACCCATAAATGTATTAAAATACTGTGGAAGAAAATATGAATCTCTGAATATATAAGAAAAATTAAAGAAAATATGAGATTTAGGAACTCACAAGTAGGTTACAGGTACAGGCCAAATAATATATCCAAAACAGATTATATTATTCGCCATTGCTTTCACCATTATAATTTTTAAATACCCGGAATTTTCTGTATTTCTTCCCCACAATGATATTATAACAAGAGAGTTTAACGATACACCAATAACTCCAGTCTGAAAAAATAAACATATTTCAAAAAATATCTGAAAAACTCACAATCAACATAATTGATGCTTCAATATGTCGAAGTTGTTGGCTGGCAGGATTTCCAGTTTCCTGCCACCGGTTATATTCAGAATCCATCATATCCATTATGATTCGATTCCAGTCACACACTCACAGAAAAAATATGATTATTTTGATTTGCCTGTGTAGAATTTTTTTCTGCGTTCAATTACCAAGTGACTGAGACAAGTTGAGATAATAACATTGTTGTTTTTGTTGTTTGAAAAGAATATGTAATTTTGTTCCGCTTCTTGTTCAAACCGTTTTTTGGAAAATCGGAAAGTCAGAACATTGAATTAAAAAAAAGAAAAAAATTTTTATTCGACTTGAAGTTTTTATTGTTCCGAAATTCAAAAATTCTCAGATTTTTCAAATTAAATACTTCCAAAAATTTCCCGTTTCAAAATAATTTATTCAAACTTTTTTGAACATAACAGCTGGTTGATTTCCAATTGATTGTTGACTTGATTGACGTGTTGTTCCAATTTGTTTTTTTCTAATTTTTAATATTTTTAGGGCACCATTTCTGATTCGTACGTTGATTAATAACATTGCCAAACTAAAATACATCATAAGTTTTTTTTTTCATTATGAAAAATATAAAAATACATAGAACAAAACAAAATGAAAACATACCCTTCTAACATGCGAATAAAAACCATAGAAAATGAAAGAGTTAGAAATTGAACCCATATAGAGTTGCTTAATTGACAAATAAAAATCGCATTACACATATCAATGAGTATCAATAAATCGTGTAAAACGCTCTGTAATAACATTCGACGATTTTTTGATCTTCGATTTGAAACTTCGTTATTTGAAATATTCGCCTTTTTCTGAAAAAAGTTGGGAATGTTTTTTTGGAATTAATGAAATATTTTTGAATCAGACCAAACTTTGAAAAAAACCAGATTCGATTCAAAATTTGCCGTGAATTTTGATTCATAAATGATTCCAGAAAAAAACAATTTTTTTCAACTTTACCGAGTCATAAAATAATTTGAAAAACGTTGCAATATTCAACGAATTCGAAACAAAAGCCATACTAAAAACAACAATTGTAAACATATTTGATAATAAAATAGCGCATGCCGAATTTTCAGATGTCCAACCAAGTGATTCAATCATAAATAAAAAATGACAACCATCAAAAAACCCCGCAATTGCAGCAATTGAAGCAACAAAAAATGCAATTGAAATACCTATTGATGTTGGACTAATTTTATAATTATTCCCAAAAGTTTGTGGAAAATACACTGCGATCAACCGATTTCCAGCCAATAAAACTTGTGTTAAAGGAGCTAATGTTATAGCAAACCAACCAACTATTTGACCCATAAATACATTGAATTGTTGAGGAAGAAAATAATAATTTCTGAAATATTATTATTTTTCCAGAGTTTTTTGTTAAGTAACACTTACAGTATAGCAATTGGAATTGGCCAAACTAAAAATCCCACACATATAATAATATTAGAAATCGATTTTGCTATACAAATTTTGAAAATTCCACCTAGTTTTTTGGGGCTCTGCAAGGCTAGAATAACTAAAACATTGAAAAATAAACCAAGAACAGCAGACTGTAATTAAAATAATTAAAAATTCGAAATTCGAAAAAATCGAAACTCACAATAAACATTGAAAAAGCAGCAAACATTCGAAACCAAAACAAATCCATTTTATTATTTAGTAATAAGGCAAGAAAGAACCCAATAAGGAAATGTTATAAAAAATAGAAAATATAACCAAAAAAATCTGAAAAACAAATTACTGAAATATTATTCGAACCAAGAACTTACTTATTTTAGAAAACTTATAATGGAGACATGAAATATGAAATTAAATTGAGACTATAATTATTTTGGAGATTCAAAATACGGAACTTATTTATAAAATGTCAGACTGTGCTTTGCAGAGTTGTTCGATCGCAAAAATTAATTAATTAATTAATTATGTCAACTCTTCGTTTCACAACATTTTTGGTTTTTTGGCGAGCAGATTTGTGATTTGAAAAATAAAAATAAACGTGATTCTCATCTTTATATCAAATGTGTCTGGGATTTATTCGAAAAAAATTAGAATATATTTAATTGGTGAGAGAATAATATGAGTTTTTGCACAAAGCGAGGTTTTCTGAAAAATGGGAAAAGCTGACATTTTTGAAATGACGCGCGAAAAGGTGAAAATGACAATTAGGAAATACATGAATACGTATTTTTTGCAGAACATTTTTTTTTTGAAAAATGGAAAGCTGAAAATAAACATTTGGAATTGTGGAAACCAATAACTCAGATTTCAAAAATGTGAGAATCAAAAAAATTATTTCAATGATGTTCCCAAAATAAAGTACTGTAAGTGTACTGTAGATTGTTGCTCACATTTTTAGGTGAATTCCTGATTGAAGTTGATGTGCTCAAAATTATCTCTATAAAAATTAAAAAAAAAATTAAATTATAAAAAATAAAGTTGATTTCTTCAATAATTTTGAAAAATCACATAGAAAATTATAGGTTACTTTTGAAAAATCAACTGTTTCTGAAAATTCCCTAATCGATTTTTCAAACTTTGCTCTACTTATAATCATTGTCGAGGAGTCTACATTTTCCACCAATTTTTCAACCAGGCTATTGTGAAAGTGAAAAATTGAAACCATATGTTGTTCTCGATGTTTCCCAAACCATATTTTGTTGCATTTCACCGTAAAAATCAACAAAAATGTGAAAATTCTCCCAACTTTTCCTTTTTTTTCTGCTATTTTTGTTTCATTTTCGTTCCAAGACACCGGAATCAATCGCATCATTTATTGATGGTTTTATCTACCAAATGCTCCTTATTTTTTCAACCACATCTCAAAATTTGTTTTGTTTTGCTTTGTTTGATTTTGTCTGAACTCTTCATCAAATAAATCATTTCTTTTTAAAGAAATTGTAATTAGAAAAAAAAGAAGAAAAAAGTTATGTTGAAGAAAATGTTGAAAGTTGTCTTGTTTGACACTAAATTTGATACTTTCCGAAACATTTGCGCTTTTGTTGATTTTCACACATATTTTTATGACTCTTTATTTTTTCTCCATTTTTTTTCGTTGTGCTTTTTGGATGATAATCGTGTGAAAGAAGCAAAAAAATCAAGATTTGATTCGTGTTTATTTTTAGATTTTGTCTCTTATCGGATGAATTCTGATATATGATTTTTTTTCTCGAAAATCTTCATCTGCTGGAAAAAAAGCCTTTTTTCAAAAAACAAACAATCTGATAACACATTTTCATTTAATTTTCTCCTATTTATTTTCTTTGTGTGTTGTTTCCAAGTTCATTTTTTCTATTTCCAGCGAGGTTCTACGAAAAAACTATTGTTTTCAATATTGAAAAATTGAAATTAGTTTTTTTTTTGAAAAAAAAACAAAATAAAATAAAATAGTTCACACATTTTAGAACATCAAATTCATCAAAAATGCATCTAGTGAAAACTTGAATATTTTAAGATTTCAGATAGTTAGATAATTGTTTCATATGAGTTATGACGTGGCAAATTTTTTCAAAATAATTTTCATGAAATTCTAGCGTAGATCACATAATTTAATTTGATTTCCTAAATTTTTATTTAAAAAATCCTAACTCATATTAGGAAGTTCAGACCTTCTTCGTAGGGTTGCAAACTTTGATTAAAAAATTGCAACTTTTTTTGGATTGCCATTTTTTTTATAATTTACAAATAAAATGCTTTGTTCTCTCCTTTCCTTCATTTTTTTCCCAAAAAAGCGATACTAAAAATAGAACCCAACTCGTCGCAAAAAACTGATAACAAGTCAAGAAAATAGCCTCTCAATGTATTAAACAAAATCATTATTTATCGATTTTGAGAGCGCCTATAAATGTACATATGTATATTTACAATTGCTATTTTATGTTTTTTTTTTTCAATTTTTTTGTCGGTGTCAAAAATTGCTTCTGCTTTTTCTATTATAATGTACATTTATTCATGAAAATGAAAATAGAAATACATCAAAAAAACAAACTGTTTTTGATTACAGTATTTTTAAAATATCTCATCTCATTCATTTTCTATTTTTTTTCGCCTCTAACATCAAATAATATTTTTATTCATTTCGAATTTATGGTTGGCGGAAATTGAAAAAATACAAGTTTATTGAAATCTGAAAATGTCAACAACTCTTATTGTTTTTTGTTTTCATCCTTTTCGTTTTCTGGATACAAATTTATTTTGGTATGACTTTTTATTATTCCTTTCTCCAAATATAAAAAACTTCTTTTTTCTTTCGTTTTTTTTTCAAAAAAGAAATTCAAAGATTACTGTAAATTATGATTAAAGTACATGTTTCATTTCAAAATATCTCAAATTTCCATCCGTTTAAATTTTTTGCATGCATGCTCTTTTTATCCCAGGATTACATTACCTTATATTTCTTTTTTTTTTGAGTTTTGTTTGTTTTTCACTTCATTTTTTTTGAAAGTCTTTGCAATTTGTCAAAAATAATCTTTTTTCGAAATGGAATGAAAGAGTGTTCAAAACACTTTTGGTATTCTCAACAATTCTCTAATTTACATAATTGAAATTCTTCTCTCAACAATGAATAATGACATTTTCTGCTCATTTTATATAGGATCATTGTACAAACAATTAAGCCAAAATTGAGTTCATTTTTCAGTGCAAAACCGATTAAATATTTCAATATTGCTTTTTTTGGTGTTTTTATGTGATTGATTCATTTTATTCGGTATTTCCTCTATTTTTAGAAGGCGTTCGAATGTTCTTTCAGAAAAAAGCTCACAACAGAACCTTCTTGGAATCTTTTGATTAATTTTTGAGTAAAAGAACGCGGGCCTCAAAGTTGTAAAAATTTTTGAATCTGGCTCAATTCCTCTGGCCCTATGTATGCTAAATTTGTCCTAAAATAATCCAGTTATGTTTTTTCCAAAACTTTCTTCAAAAATGTTGAGCACTTTTCATGTTTTCAATAACTTTGTTTCTATAAACAAAACATTCAACTGGAAATGACACAACATTTAGTAAACCAAAATTTGTTTAAAATTAGCATCCACAATTCTTCTTCCAATTAAGCAGATCAAAAAGAATCACATTCAAATAATTCGATTTGTTTCCAATTCTGACGTGTTTTTATTTTTGTGTTTTTTTTTTTTTGGAATGAATCAGGAAAATGTATTTTCGGAAGCGAATATTCTCACTAGAAATTTCTGTTTTTATTTTTGTATTTCAAAATTGTTTTGAGTTTCTAACATCACCCAGATTTTTGATCAATACACACCACAATCTCAGTACTTTTATTCCTGTTCTCTTTTTTTTTCTGAATGAAATCCTAACAATCTTCGACTGATTGCACATCCGGAAACAAACCGAAACTCACCAAAAAAAAATTCTCATGTTTTTTGTTGTGTTTTTTTCTTTGTGTTGAGCAAAAAAAAAGAAAAAGTATGTAATTTTATTAGGTCTCATCCCTCCTCTTCCTTTCCCGGATATCACTTTTTTGCTATTTTTTCCAAAAATTTTTGCTATCTATCTATTATTAGCCATCCACATTTTCACTGAACCATTTTATGAATGTGGTGCCATAAAAAGTTTTGATGGTTGAAACGAAACACACCAACATATATAGACAAAAAAAAACTTTGGCTTATGTGTGGATTAACTTGTGAAATTTTCAAAAAAAAAAGTTTCCTTCTTCTGCTGTTATTTTTTCGCGTTGGTTGCAAAAAAAACCAGCAGCAGCAAATAATATTTTGGTTGACTAGTGACACGGAAAAAAGAGAAAGAAAAGAAACAACGTTTTAGTCGTGCAAATCCTTAAATTGTTCACCTCGAAACACACTGAAATATTTCCTCTTTTTGCATATTACATGAATTTTTCTCGCACGCGCCAACTTCTTTTTGTTCGTCTTTTTGTTTCTAAAAAAAAATCCTTGTTTTTTTTGTTTGGAAAAAAATAGTTACCGTACCTTCACAGTTTCATAAGGTCACATGAAATATATTTTGTTCAATTTTTGAAAATTGAAACTTTTGCTCTACCAGATTACTAGATGTTGTTCAAAAAATCCAAAAATTGTGAATGTTGCCACGTCATAGCTTTCACGGTGTTACTGTATGAAATTCCATCAAAACTTTACAGTTTCAAAAAACACATGATTCATTCGTGACAATTTTCGTCCAATATAAAATTGAAAATTTATGAGATTTTCGGATCTAGAAGATCAAGAAGATCAACTTTCTCTGTAATTTTGTGCATTTTTCAAAATTGTGTATATTGGAAGCTTCTTTCCTCCCGTTTTCAGAATTTCTACCAAAAATAACTCATTTGCCCTAACACCTTTGTTATTTGACAAAATTCGTACTTCTGAATACATTTTTCGTCTGTCTGTGTTTTTTTCCAATTCCACTTCTTCTTCTTCTTCCTCTAATTTTTAATTTCCTTCTCATTTTTCTTTTCAACCTATCTAACCGTATATTTTTACATCAATCACTTTTTCTCGAACCTCCAATTTTACTTTATTTTTTTTTTTTGAAAAAAAGCTTGGAAATATGTATAAATCACGTTGTGTTCTGGTAGCTTCTGGTTTCTATGAAAACAAAACCTATTTCAAAAATGAATTATAAATACCGTTTCGAATTATTTATTCCAACATTTTTCCTTCCATTTGTAACTTTCTCGTTTTCAGGTGACTAACCATCAAACAACCCAAATTCTCTGATGAATCGACCTTATGAGTCGCTCATCAGACCTCACCATCATTCAATATTCGGCAATTCAAATCGTCATTTATCTCGTCGACAAAGAACAGCTTCAACTCTCCGAGAAACATTTGGAAGTCAAGTTCTTCGAGAACTCGAAGAAACAACAACCAATTTCAAAGATGTTCTATCATTTTATCGTTTTCCATGGTCACATTTTCGACAAAAAAGGGATTTGAGTAAACAAAGAAGATCAACATTATATTCATTTTATTTCGAACAAGTTAACAGTGGTCGAATACAATTCTCATTTGTTATTATATTTTTAATTGGAATGAGTGAAGCAATTTTTGGAATGCTCAAAAATCAATATTATAGTGCTATTATTCTTCTTATTATTTGTATAATTTATTCAATTTTATCATTTTTCTATTCCAAAAAAACACAAATTATTTGCTTCGCATCTGTTATAACATGTATTGTAAGTATCTTTTTTCAAAGGTGAAACCATTCAATCAAGAAAATTTCAGGTAATAACCTCATGCTCTGTTCCTCGTTTTCCAGTTTCACATCTTCTAATATTTGCAACATATTCATTATTACCAATGCCTTTATTTTTCATGCTTATTTCAACATTTCTTCTAACATTCACAATTGGATGCAGTGAATTGTTCAATCTCAAAACTTTGAAAACCGGAACTGAAGTTGGGGATCTTGATGTTTTCGATCAATTCATTCCAAGGCTTTTGATGTTATTGATTGTTAATATTATTGGATGTTTAGTGTATTATCCCACTGAATTTGTGCAACGAAAAACATTTCATGAAACACGGTGAGTAAAGTTTAGTAAAAATGAAAATCTATTTCAAAAAAAAATCCTCATCAGATGTTTCTTTCATAGTTCTTCAATCGATCTTTTTTTTGTAGGAAATGTGTTCAATCTCGAATGTTATTAGATCGTGAAATGCATCGTCAAGAGAAGATTTTATTATCAGTTCTACCAAAACATATTGCATTCGAAGTCAAAAAAGATATGCAAGAAACTCAAGAAGAACGTCTATTTCACAAAATTTATATAAAAAAATACGAGGATATAAGTATTCTTTTTGCTGATATTTGTGGTTTCACAAATCTTGCATCAGAATATACAGCTGAAGATTTAGTTCTGATGTTGAATGAATTATTTGCTCGTTTTGATAAACTTGCATCAATTCATGAATGTATGCGAATCAAGATTCTTGGTGATTGTTATTATTGTGTTTGTGGTGTTCCTGAATATCAAAAAACACATGCAGCAAATACGGTTGAAATGGGTTTGGATATGATTGAAGCAATTAAATTAGTTCGGGATATGACACGTGTCAATGTTAATATGAGAGTTGGAATACATTCTGGTAAAGCACATTGTGGAGTATTAGGATTGAAAAAATGGCAATTTGATGTATGGAGTGATGATGTAACATTAGCAAATCATATGGAAAGTGGAGGAATTCCAGGGTAAATATTTTGAGAACGTTTCAGAGAGAAATAAAAAATGATATTTCAGAAGAGTTCACATAACTGATGCAACAAAACAATCATTAGATGATGCTTATGTTTTGGAACCTGGAAATGGAAGATCAAGATCGAAATATTTGGAAAAAGAAAAAGTGACCACATGGCTGGTTGTGGAGAAAAATGACAAACAAATTAGCCAAAATGGAAAACTATTTCCTCTTCCTCGAACTAAAACAACGGTTAGTTGGTGAAAAATACGGAATGAAAATATTTTCAAAAACTATTCCAACAGTTCCATTATTTTCCAGAAAGGAATGAGCAAACAAGAAAGAATAACTGGAATAACAACAGCACGTGGAAGAGGTGGAATGTCAGATGAAGAAGTGTTAGTCGAAAATGTTGATTCGCATCTTCGACAAGGAATTCAAGCAATTCATCAGGAAAATTGGAAAAGTTTGTATTGTAAAAAATGGACATTGAAATATAAACAAATCAAAGTCGAAAATAAGTTTGTGAGAATGAAGTTCAGACATTTATTATTTCAATTGTTCATGTTTTTGGCGGTTACTAATTTGGCTGTTTGGATTGTGACAAATCGAAATATATTTGAAAGTTATCCAATGATTGTTTCACAATGTATTATTGCACTGACTGTTGGAATGGTTTATGGGTTTATCAAGGTTTGTCATTTTCTAGAATTATGTATTTTGAAATTGAGTACAATAATATTTCAGTTTCTGATAAAATATGTTCGACTGATAAATACAATCGTCAGTTTCTTATTATCTGTTCTTGCAATTCATCTTGTTATTTATTTGGCATTGGTATTTGATGGCAAAAAAGACGAACATTTCCAACTCCTCGAATTATTCACAATCTATTCATTATCTACTTGCATTATTTTATCAGCTGATTTTCCAACAAAACTTATAATGACTTCAATATTCTGCATATCATTTGTATCAGCAACATTCCAATATAAATTTGATGAATTGGCTCATTCTTTAGCTGTTACAGTTATTACTTTCTTATTGGTGTTATTCAGTACAAGAAGAAGTGAACTGATTGCTAGATATGATTTTATATGGAAACTTCAGGTATTTGTTCTATCAAATCAGAAAAACAGTTCTTTAGATTATAATTATAGGCGTTGGATGAGCAACTACAAATGAAAAGTAAACATGAGCAAAATCGAAGTGTTCTCGAAAATATTCTACCATCTCATGTTGCAAAACATTTTGTTGAAGAAGCCACAAGTTTTTCTCAACTTTATCACGAAGCTCGAGATAATGCATGTGTTATGTTTGCAAGTTTGACCGAATTCGATAAATTTTATATTGAATGTGATGGAAATAATGAGGGAGTTGAATGTCTTCGATTATTAAATGAAATCATTTCGGATTTTGATGAATTATTAGATCGAGATGAATTCAAAGGAATCGAAAAAATCAAAACAATTTCAACAACTTATATGGTTGCAAGTGGATTGGCTGGAAAAGATGATTTGAAGGATAATTCACATGTTGAAATTATTGCTAAATTTGCGCAAGAACTTCTTCGAAAAATCACATCAATTAATGAACACAGTTTTAATAATTTCAATTTACGAATTGGTATAAATGTTGGACCAGTTGTAGCTGGAGTTATTGGAATTGATAAACCACATTATGATATTTGGGGAAACAGTGTAAATGTTGCAAGCAGAATGGATAGCTCAGGAGTTCCAGGAAAAATACAGGTATACTTTTTTTTTTAAATATTCTAGGATATCCCACTAATAAAAAATGAAAAATTCTACAGGTAACCGAAGAAGTCAAAGATGTGTTAGAAAAACTCGGGTATGAATTCGAATGTCGCGGACAAATCAATGTTAAAGGAAAAGGTTTAATGACAACATTCTTTTTGAAAACTAATGACGAGGATGAATTTTGAATTGAATTGAATTTGTTAGGATTTTTCGATTGAATACGTTTTTTAAATTAATTACGGTGCTTTGTACATAAACTTGTTTTTATTGAGAAAATTTTGGAAAACTCCCAAATTATTTTTAAAGAAATTATCGGAAAACTGCCACGTCATCAAATGCATTTGGGTCACGTGAGTTGTTTTTTTTTTCTCTCAAATGTTCGTTTCCAGCTTTTAGGAAAACTTAAATTTGAAAAAAAAACCAGTGAAAAAATTTCCCGAAAAATTTTTCCGGTAGTTTTTTAAACAAATTCAGGATATTTTTAGAAAACTGTATTTTTCCAACCCAAAACTGATACTTACCTCTAACTCCCAACAATCGAGAAATATCCAAATCTCCGCCACTCAACCATTCCACGACACATTGAAATATGACGATTTTGTTCTCTGAAATTTTAAAAATGAGAAAACTTCAGAAAGATGTTTCAACAAAAAAACAAACCTGATAGTTCTGCTCATCGTGTAATATCATCTAGTTTTTCAGTCGAATTGATTGCAAAATTCGTGAATGCATAAATATTAATGTATCTTATCAACCATTTTTTGAAAATCAAAAAAAAAACTCATGGAAAAAACAAATAAATATTCATGAAAATAATTTTCCAGAAAAAACTGTCATTGGACCTTTTGGTCAAGGCCACAAAAATTGGGGGGGGGATAAGAAATACGCGTATAATGAAAGGAGTTTGGGAGATGAATGGACAAAAACATGGATGAAAATGCAATATTATTTTACAAGACATTTGAAATTACAGATGGAAAATAGTTATTGAAGGCGACAAGTTTCTCGATCACCTTCTCCTTCAAAATTTGATGATTGAGAATCTTCATTTTTCCAATTGATTATTGCACATCTCATTGCTTCGAGATCTTTGTCGAGTTCAACCAACTTTTGACATTGTTTTATGAGCTAAAAAAATATGTTTTAGTTCTACTCATAAAACTCAAGATGAAAAAAACAAGAACTCACAATAGATTCAGCAGTTAAAAGTGAAAATGGTGTTGACTCTTCAGCTTCATCTTCTTCATCATCCATTTCGCTTTCAGACAATACATTTACTGGAAAAATATGAATATTTTTATGATTTTTAGTTTTAAATTTTTGAACAAATTCAGAAAACTATATTTTTACTCCAAAATACTTACTTCTAACTCCCAACAATCGAGAAATATCCAAATTTCCGCCATTTTTCAATTTCATAAGTGCATCATTCATACAAACAACCATTCCACGACACATTGAAATATGACGATTTTGTTCTCTGAAAATTATGAAAATGAGAAAACTTCAGAACGCAAAGATGTTTCAACAAACCTGATAGTTCTGCTCATCAATGGTGTAACATCATCGCGTTTTGCAGTCGAATTGATTGCAAAATTCGAAAAACTCTTCGTCAATCCAGATATTTTTGATGGACCATTTAAACCAGCAGATGCTGGTCCAGATCCAAGAGTTGAATGGGCTTTTGTATATGGTTTTGCCATAGAAGGTCGAATATCACACATTGGATCAGATTCTTCAGCTAAAGGTGTTGAACCAGAAGAACAAGATTGTTGATAAATTACTTCTTCGAGTCGCAAAGTCTGAAAATTTTTCAAAAATTATGTTCAGGGTTTCCAAATCTTTTTCAACTCACATTATTTTCAAGAGCTTTCACATCTTTCACTTTTGCTTCTAATTTTTTGTTCAAATTGTCATTTTGTAATTCTAAATAAGCCATTTCAGATTTCATATTTTCCATTTCCGATTCTTTTTCTTTCAATCTGGCTAATAATACACGACTTTCTTGCAATTCTCGATCTTGTTTCCAAATTTGATTTCTCAAATTTTTCGTCACTTCTTGATCATTTGTTTCAATCGATTCACGTGTATTTACAAGTTCATCTTCCAAATCTTGCAATTTTCCAAGACATCTCGATAAATCCGATTTAGTTTGTTCGCCTTCTCGAATAACACTTCGAATTTTCATCTCATTTTCCTCGTTTAATCTTTCCATCTTTTGATAGGCTTTCAACAATTTACTCTGAAAAATTTAAAAATTATGGATTTTTTTGAAATCGGAAAAAACAAACCTCCAATTGTGTAACTTGTTTTTCTTTATGCATCAATTCCTCATTTATCTCTTGAATTTTAATTTGATCACTCATATTAGATGCATTTGTTGCAAAAGGAGAAGATCGAGAATCTGCAATATAAATCATAATTATGTTATTGACATGATATGATAATAAATTGGTTTTCTCATATTTTTCGACATTTTTTTTTCGGAAAAACGAGATTTTTTTCGTTTGATTTGGAAGAAATGGGAAAATTCGGATTGTTTTGAGAAAAATTTAAAAACTTTTGAAAATGAAAAGAAAAACTTACGTCTAATTTGTTGTGGTGTATGTGGCTGTGGTTTTGTTTCATTCTTTGCAATTTCCAAATCTCGAATTCTTTGTTCCAAATACGCAATTCTTGCATCATTTCCATTTCGAATTGGACCATCAACTGAAAACAAAAATTTGATTTTTTTCAATGATGAGCTCTGTCAAAATTTAGGAAAAAGAAAAATTATAGATTCATAACCGTCCCTTCTTTTCAGCTCAAAAAATCCCCCCAAAACCCTTACCAAGTCTTTCTTCTCCTTGTTGCTGTCTCATTAAATAACTATTATATGCTGGCAAATTCATCGAACCACTTCCTCTTCTTTGAATATCATTTGTATCATCACGAGAACCACTCAAATGTCGACTTTTATGAGTCAAAGGAGCAACAGCAATCTGAAACACAAGAACATATTTATTATTTTCAAATATAAATCACAGAGCCCTTTCCCCCATTTATTTTATCAATATATTTATTAACCTCTGGTCGACTTTCTCTTCTTCTATGCAAAGCAGGACTTCCCGATTTAGCTCTAGTATGCATATTATTTCTATTATTATTATCAAAATGTGTCGAATCTGCAGCACCATTTCCACCCGTTAATCTTTCCATCATTTTTGAATAAAATCGAACCATTGCTTGACCACAACACCAATCAAAAGGACTCATAAATATTATTAATCAATTTAGAAATAAAGATATACGCCGTACAAAATTCTCGACGTTCCGAGAACTCGTTTCAACAACAACTAACCAATAACTAATCGAATATGGGTTCGCTATAAAAGTAGCGCTGTTGAAAATCTTAGAAAAAAAAAGAGGAGGCGGGAACAGAACAAAAAAAAGATAAAAATGAATAGAACGAAAGGAGGAGATAAACATCTAATGGAGGAATGCGCAAAAAAAACGACAGAAGAAGTGTGATTCGAAAAACAGTTATAATTAGATATGACAAAAACGAGAGGAAAAGAAGAAGAATAAAAAGGAGAATCGGAAGCAAGCCTAATAGCCTAGGCTAATTAAAATTATTCCGAAACAAAATTGAGATTTTATATAAGACATTTGTGAATTAATCGAGAACAATCAGAATAGAGAAATGCGTTCAAGTTAGAATCTAGAGTATGAGAATTGAAAGGACTTCAAAACGGTATTGGAATTCTAAAATTTTTCAGTTAGTTGCGTTTTATTTCAGTGACCTCAGATTTTCAGAAATTCTAAATCGAACTGTTTTTGGACCAAAAATGTTCTATGAAAAAGTTAAATTTCATCAAAAACAGCGTGAAAATCAAAAAGGTTTTCTTGTGAAACAAAAGAGCCTCTAAAAATGCGAAATATTTTTTGCAAAATGTTTCCTTCTGACTCATTTTTCATAATTATATTATTAATTTTATTATCATCATCATGTTTTTTTGTTAGAAAATGAAAAGAATTCCTTCTTCTTCTTCTTCTCACCACATAAATCATCTTCAACTTCAAAAACCGAATGCCGACATCCAAAAAAAAAGATACTAAAAATCTATTAACTGAATGTGTGGGAATAATTCAAATGGAATGTTTTCATGTTTCCAATAAACATTTTGTGTTTCCGTCAAGTGATGGGTAAATAAAACTATTACTGTTACTATTATTGTTGTTCCAAAAATATTCAACAGCAAACAGAAAGAAAATTTGGAAAAAAATGAATAGGAAAAAAACCGAGGGGAAATCAATAATGGAAACATCCTTGAATGGTAATTATTATAATAATAATAATTGTTGTAGTTCCAAATAAAACATATGTTTATTGGAGTACTTGAAAAATAATTATTTGATAAACAAAGAGCAAACTCTTCGAATAATGCTCGGCCAGAAAATGTTTCGGAAAATCACATTTGAAAAGCTCGAATCTATCAAACTATCAACAAAAATCTGAGAAATAGTTGGAAAAACACGGAGAAACTAAATCATTGTGTCGTATTATGTGGCAGGCACAAAAGAATAAAGAAAAAGTTGAAGAAGAAGAGCACAAGAGCAAATATCATATTGGAGGAATGAATAAATGGACAAATACGTTTAACACTTTGGGGTGAGATTGATTGAATGGAATATAAATACGGAACAAATGAACAGACAAAAAAAGAGATAAAACAGATAATTAAAGTCTAATAAAACATTTATAATAGAGGTCATATTCGGAGAAAAAACCTATTAAAATACTGCTACTATTTATCACTTTTAGTGGATCGGCGATTCGAAACAGTCATTTTTTATCTTATTCTAAACTCAGAAAAATTAATTAGCTGGTGAAAATATACTAAAAACATCAAGGTGCACTTCGATTTTCTCCATTAAAAATTCAAAAATGCATTAAACAAAATGCGCGGCACAACTTGGAAAAGGAAAAAGTAACAACTAGCAAAAAAAGAAAGAAAATCAAATGTTTGCCAAACAAATCGTGATGATCTCTTTTTTTATTCGAAACTGTCAAAAGATCTACGGAATTAAATGTGTTTTTTCGAGTAAAAAACAGTGAATAGATTTTTTTGAGAACCTGTTTTCTATTTTTGTACAAAAAAAAAGAAAAAGACATTAAGGTTGGGAATTTGAAAAATGTGTTTTATACAAAATCAATTAATTAATTAGGGTTTCAATCAATTTTCCAGCTAAATTTGTTTCTGAAATTTTCAGAGCAAAAAAATTTCGACCCTAGATTTTAGTGAGGTATATTTCGAATGATTGGAAAGTGTAAGGCTTTTTCAGAAATTACAGCGTGCAATTTTAGCGATGCCTGCTAGAATTTATCAGAAAAAATAAACTACCAAACTAAAAATTGAACGGAAAAAATAAGAAAAATTGCAATTTTCCCATTGATGTCATTGCGGAACCAGACATTTTTCAACAATCAACGTATTATCAACAAAAAAAACAAAATGAACGTTTTTTTCCACTCTCCAAAAAAAAACAACAAATCGATTGAATTATAGAAGAGAAACGCGAGAGAGTATAAGGTATAAAAGAGAAACTAGAGATAAAAAGAAAAATGGATATGCAAATATTCCAAAAACACATGGTTGAAACTAGCCATTTTATTGCAAAAATATACCCTCCAATATAAATTTTTCACGAAAATTGATGGATTTTTATGTGGAAAGGTAGAAAAAAAGGACGCCAAGCAATAAATAGCGGGTGTGTTGTGTCTATGTGGTGAAATGCAATGGTGAAGGGCGAAATTGACACCAAAGTGTATCTATTGGTGTCTATTTTCTATCTTATCTATATTTCTAATTGACCGAAATAAAAATCAAGAAATAAATCATTTTCAGACACACCAGTTACCTACCAGAAACAATTAAAACTCATAAATAATTTAATTGAGACAGCGAAAAAAAAGTGAAAAGCGACAAAGATTTGGTAGATAAAAAACTGAACTGTTCCTTGTTTCAAGGTTGTCATATTACGAAAAGCATGCGGTTTCAAAATTATTTTTACTCGGAAATTCCCCGAAAAAATACTAACCTTTTTGGGATTCGATGAGTTTGGTGTTTGAAATTCGCTGAAGGAATCATGGAGATTGTGAACACTTCGACGTTGACTGAAAAAAAAAATGGTTAATTGAAGGAGAAAAAATGATTTGAACACTTTTTTTCAAAATAAATTTTTAAAAGTTTTTTTTTATTTGTGATTCATAATTTGGATCACTGGTTATTTCATCATTATTTTCGGTTCTTAAAAAACTTTCAGCAAAAAAAAATAAGTCAATCTTCCAAATACCTTTTCTTAATATGTTTACTCGTACAACTTTGCTCTTTTCTTTTATTTCTCCTCAAATCTGATCCAATTTCCGAACATTCCGTATCAGAAATCGTAAATAATGAATCATTACAAGAACAAGATGGCCGAATTGACGAAGAAGAAGACATTTAACATTTGCTAGAAACTTATTACTTATTATAAGAAAAGAGTAAAAAAGAAGAGAACAAAACAAACAATCAATAGAGTGTCAAAAAGACAACAAGGAATTAACTAGGATTTTGGGAAAAGAGTTGACAGATGTCGTCAAATTATACATTTTTGTATTAAACAATATATATGTAAAAGGAATAAGGAAAAATGAAGAAGTGAAAAAACATCTATGTTTGTTTTGGGAGAAAAAAAAGGATTTCCTTTTTTCGTATAAATAAACAGAAATTTCTATTCGATTCTTTTCAAAACCAAGAATAAAAAAAACAATATGAAAGTGTAAGTCGAAAATGTATCATAGAAATTCAATTTCTTTTCAAAATATTGTTTCGAGAATACGACATTTTGAATCGATTTGAATAAAAGAAGGCATTTACAATTTACGATTATCGCTTTCGTGTTCATTTATTTAATGGACGAAGACTCCCAAAAAAGAGGAAATTTCAAAATTTTGTTCCTAAATGAGTTTTGTAAATTACATATGACTATCAAAAAAAAGAAAAGAAAAAACTCAAAGAAAATATAGTCACATGCATTTTTGAATAGACAAAAAAAACAGCTGAACACAGTTGGAGCTGTGACAGACACTCGAAGAAAATAATAGGAAAAAAGAAGAGCATTTCTGGTCATATGTATAATTTGACATGAAGTGGACTAATTAGACAACGTCTCCTTCTATTCTCTTATAAGGATACATCATAAATTTCTTGTTGTTCTTCGTTTTCAAAATAAAATCTTTGTCTCATGGGAAGAGGAGCAACGAATAATAAATTGATATAAACGGAAGAAGAAAGATGGAGAGAAATTCAATTTATGCGCGAAAATTTCCAAAGAATTGAAAATGAAGAAAGTGCGCTCCATCTAATCAGAGCACATCAACTAATTCAATTTATTTTTCTCACGAAGAAAATGGAACAAAAGGTTCTTCTTCGTATTTGCTACTTTTTTCCACAAAAATTGATAATTTGTTTTTGACATTTAGCAAATATCAACTTGATATAAACAGTTTGTTTGCAAACTGTCAACAAAATCAAACAAAATTTGAATAAAATACCAAGCAATAAAAACTTTTGAAATGTTCGAATTGTTCTTGAAAAAAAAGAGCGAATGTCATATTTGGGGAAACACCGGAATAATTCTGAAACTAGGTTTTTTTTTCGAAATTCGAAATATATTCATTGAAAGGTTAATTCAGAAATTTTAATTTTTGAAAACGAGTTTCGGGATCTTTGTTTCAGGAACCATTTTTTATAATTTTATAAATAGAAAATTAAAAAATGAGCCAGAAAAATCGAACCACTTTAAATTTTGTTGAAGTGGGCCGATTAAGATAAACATAATTCTGTTAGTCAAATTTTTTCTAGCAGCTTTAAAATATTTTTTCAAATAATTAACGATAATTGAGCTTATTTAAACATCCTTAAAAAATGAATCCCGTTTGAAATTTTTCAAAGAGAAGTTCATATTTTTCGAGCATCTTTAAATATTTCTTCCCATCATTCTCATAAAAATTCTAACATTCCATAACTTTTTTTTTTTCAAGAAAAAACCCTTCCCAAAATAGACCAACCTGTCCAAATTAATTTGATTCACACTCGAAACACGTGGTCTTGTTGTTCTTTCAGCACTTATCGATCCACCATTTCCAGGATTCGCCAAAAATTGCGAAGATGAGACTCTTCCTCCACCATTTGTCAAATGATACAAAGAACTCGCTGAAATATCAACAAATTCATCAGCTGCATCGCGATTTCTCGTAATTCTTCGACCATGAGAAATCGATCGAATCGATTTCAATCTTCGCGATGGTTCACGTTGAAACATTTAATTTCTTTTTTTTTGTTGAAATATTCAAAATACTAGCAAAAACTAATAGATAATAGAAGAAAGTGAATTTCTTCTTCTTCTTCTGATAAGGAAACTTATGCCCAGCTGCCTCCTGCCGTCACAAAATAATATTTGATTTTTGTTTGTTTTTGACTCTCTTTTGGCTAGGTGCACTATTCAAATACAAACAAGAAGCACTACGATTAAATCAATCAATATGAAGAGGCAATTTAATAAATAATCTGATCTTTTTGATCAATCGATGCGCAAAACGCGGATTATTTTATGATGACGACAGGAATTAATACGATAAAAAATATTTTGTCGAAATACGAAAAAAAAAAACGATTTTGAAATAGAGGAATACCAACCTGTTAATGGTTGCAAACTGCATCGACGATTTGATTGTTGTTGTTGTTGTGTGGCTTGTTCGAGTAGACGTAAATCTTCTTTATAATCATATGAAGATCTGAAAATCAATATTAATTTATTATGTTTCTTTTTTGTTTCTTCTTTTTCAATTGTTTGAACTCTTAAATGCCCACAAATATTTGCTCAAATCGGAAAACTTGTAAATTCTTTTTGTGAATGGGCAATGGTCGAAAACCTTGTAACACTAATTTTCTCATAAAGAATTCATAAAACATTTTTCCTATTGTTCAATACATAATTTATCATTTCTCTCCTTTTGACCCTTTTCAAACTATTAAAAAATCAGCAGGGGTCCTTTTCAACAGCTTGTATCCCTAATTGTATTCAATATCTTTTCGGGGATTTATCATATCTTACCTGCTATGAGTTGGTTTCAAAATCTTCTGATGTGGTGAATTATTATTGTTATAATTTGGATTGATAATAGCTGTAGGAGCATTTCCACTGGTGCTATCACATTTTGCAGAAATAACAGATCTTCCATTTGGATTCAATGACAAATCACTTGCAAGAAATTGCGAATTGTTATAGGATTTTGTTCGTTGAACATCTCGAAGTGATTGAGTTGAATTGCATCGAACAACATTATCATTTGGCTCGAATCCAGCTTCGACTGCATCATGTCGAGATGGATCAACTCGTTTTCGAAGACGAACTGCAAAAAAACCAATTTTATTTTGATGATTTTTTTAAAAACCAATACCACATTTAAAACTGTATTTTTTGCAAAGCCCAAATTTCAGAGTATTTTTGGGAAATCAGACTTTTATTCAGAAAATTTCAGGTTTCAGCAATATTTTTCTCGCGCTTTTTGCTAACCTTTCACACAACAAACCTTTCTCAATTTTATTTCTCCTTCTACTTCGCTCATTTATTGGCGATGGTTCATTATATTTATCGTTCGGAATATAATTTTCAATTGAAAGTATTTTATCAATATTGTCCGAAGACATCGATTTCGGTGAAATTATAACAGTAATATTCGGCATGAATTCGGTAACTTTTCGAAGTATTTTGTATCCAATACAAATCAGACACATTTCTTTTATCTCATTCAAAATTCGTTCGAAATAATGCTCATAACTAGATTGAAAGAATAATAATGGAACTAATAAAAATATAGATTCATAAATCAAATGAGAAAAGAGATGAGCAAAAGCGTGTGATGGCTCATCGAAAAAAATGCAGAAAAATGATATTGAGGAGAAGGAGGAGGAGAACAACGTTTTTGCTCAAAAAATATCACAACATAGAAAAACTAACTGATTGACAGATACACATCCTAATGTCTCTTCAGTAATATATACTATTTCATAGCAAATTTTTGGAAAAATAAAAGGTCACAATGACCTCTGACTGATGTTATTTTGATATTTGAAACGAAAACTTCAGTACTAAAATCCTAATATTGTTTTAATCAATAAATTATTTCATTTCATCTTCACCGCTCTGCTTTCCATTAAGATTACAATTTCCTACAACTCCTCATCCTGCATTAAAAAATAAATACACCTGTCATTTTCGAAAGGACCTTCATCAATTAGTATTTTTGTGTCCATCTGGTGTTACATAATGTTCCGTCGATCTATCAATGTTTTTGCAAAAATTCAATTTGACAGTCTTTTTCACTAAACATCACCGATAATTGGCAGAAAAAAAAACACTTTTAGTGATAGTGAAAGTCTACTAATTTGTAGACTTGAACAGAGAAAATACACCGAAATAATCGAGAATAAAGATTTCGATACTTGCGGAATGCTGATGTTTTGAAGTTTTCCGAAATTTGATTTTTTTTAAATAATGTTCTTATGAAAACATACAATTAAACTTGTTTCATCCGGTTGGAAATTTTTTCCGAATAGTATCACATAACATGTACTAACTAATAATCCATGCATTTCTCGTTCTCATCATAAACAATGCGCGTCAAGGACATAACAAAAACATTAATAACCCTAATTTTATTTGTTCCTATTCTGTTCCACCACATTTTTTTATTCGGAAAAAAGATTTCAACAAAAAACTGTTTATCCAGATTTCGGGTCAGATAAAAGCACTAAACCGCGAAAAAAAAGATGCGAATCTTCTTTTATTTTATTTCGAAGCCAAACAAAAAACTCACAATTCAAGCAAAACGGTGACATTTGATGGCTGTTGAAAACGAACAATTTTGTACGAAAAAAAGAGAAACGACCGCCCAATTCGGGTAAAAAACAAAACAGATAATTAAAGTATAAGTCAACCAAAAAGAATAGATTGAAATAGAAAATGTGAAGAAAACACTATGAGAATCGTACTAGGATTGCCACAATAATATGATGTGTAAAAATGATTGATAGATTCGAAAGACAGGATTTAATTGAGTTAGTAAGATGTTTTGAATTGAAAATGCGTGAATAGCAACAATCAATCAAATGAAACATATACACAACACGTTTAAATAATTTATTGTAACTTGATACATCAATCACACAGAGTCTACAAAAACTGCACAAATGAAACGCGCGCGCGCCTAATTATACTTCTTCTAAATTTCGAAAAAAAATGTTTCGTCCCTGATTTCCAAAACTATAACGAGCAAGTAAAAAAAAACTCACCAATCGGGATTCCAAAAAAATTGCTGCACAACGAAGCCATAAATTGCGTTTTCGAAACAAACAGAAAACTTTCTTATGCAAACTTCGTTAGGGAATTGCGAAAAATGAAATACGACCCGATTGAATATCTTCTCTGATTATGAAAATGAGATGATGCACAGGTATAAATAATAAGATTATTAGATATGTGAATAACTAAACGGATATATGAAGAGAAACGCAGGTCGAATTATTGCGTATAAGGAAAAAAAAGGAGAAGAAAGTGAGACGCAGACAAACAAGGCGTGGCTATTGTAGACAAAAAAGGAAAAGGTTGGGAAATGGCGAGACGAGAAAAAAAGGTCCCAGTCATTATTTGCTCGATGAATACACAGGTGTATTATTCATATGCAACATTAAGAAATGAGAACAACAATACAAATATTACTTTGAAGTTTTTGGCCATTTTGATTAAAATGGAGAAACATTTAGAATATGCAATTAGAGCTAAAACTTTTGCCTAACCCATTTTACTAATAATAAAATATTTCAATTAACGTCGAAAATTGCAAAAAATTTATTCCGCTGGAAAACTGTATTGAAAATCCTGTTATTTTTAGACCAATTTTTCATAACTGAAAATTGTTTATCAATGCAACATTGAACTTTTGTATTTTATTCATATAATCAAAAAAATGTTTATGGAATTTGATACTATAAACTGAGAACCAATAATTTCACAGCTGCAATTTTATTAGTTTTCAATCGTTTTTTTTTTTTTGCAAAATTCTGACCATCTGGTGAGTCCCGAAAAGGGACATAACTATCTACTCGTTTTTTTCTTTATACCACAGCTGTCAATTCATCTAACCGCACACATCTGTGGAAATACACAGTATACTAAAATGGACGAACGGGCGAAATAAAATAAAGAAAAAGTAAGAATAAATACATAGACAAAAGAATGGAAGAAGGTGTCCGCCGAGTACAAATAAATAATAACATTAGATATTCTGCTTGTAAATCAAGGAAAACGTTGTAAAAAGTAAAGAAATAAATCTTGGTTGGACTTTTTCGAAAAACATCACATGTTTACGGATTTTGTTATGAATAAATTCGCATCAAAACAAAAATCTTACTATATACTAATTGACAAAAATAAAAAATGTGTGTCCAGAGCCCGCATTTCACTCCCAGAGCATGAAAATTGGAAATTCCTGAACTAGAAGTTAGGAAATTACGTCTACTTGGTGGGGAAGTCATTTATCATTTTCTACTCTTCTGATAAGTGCGCGGAAAAATGCAAAGTTTGAAAAAATTCAAAATTTTCAATGTATTTTTGGGTTTCAAAATGTGTCGCTCGACTTTTCTCAATTTCCAGAAGGCCATTTTTGATGGGACCTTCACCATTCGATCCCAAATTCTTTCCCATCGATGCGCTAATATTCGATTTTTCAAAAAGTGCGCGAGTTTTCACGTGAAAAATCTAAACTTTTTTCATGAAAAAAAGAATGAGCACGTTTTTATTCCACAAAAAATTAAAGGACACGTTTCTTATCTGATCTTTCTGTTTTCTGAAGAAGCCAACAATTTTTGGGCATTTCTCGATGATAGCTTCTTCCTAATAGGTTGGCTAAATTAATAGAAAACAAAGTGAGTTGTACTACTGTATTTTCATTAGTAATTTGAAACTTCAGATGAAAGCAATTTCCAATGAATGGAAAAAGACGAGCTGAATCGTATTCTATCGTGAGTTTTGGTTTAGGTTTAGGCTAGCTGTGAAGTGAATCAGTTTTTTCGAGAGAAATTCTACTCCCTGCGCTGTACAGTAATTGACTAGGCATGATGATATTCATAGAAGACAAAAAACATGCTTCATGCTTCTTTCAAATATTAGTTATTAGTTTTTATTAGGATTTTTGATCAGGTTAAGCTGATTAAGAGCCAGTTCCAAAAAAAAAGTCAATACTGAAAGAGGTTGAGGTGGGAAGTCTGACAGAGGCAAAATATCGGATAAAGGATTTATCTTAAAGGACTCTTTCTGGAATGAGGAGTAGGGGAAGAGATGAAGCTGCTTTTAAATGAAAGAATATGTCTTTTTATCATTTTTTTTTCTTTTTACAATCTATATCTTGAAATCTGTTTAATCAAAAAATGAAAGAAATTTTGAGTACTCGAAACCCGTGGAATTTCGAGAACCTCAACGGATTTCTTCTTTTTTTTCGAAAGAGGAGAAAAAATTATGGAAAAATGTAATTCAAAAAACTTAAATTTGGATTTCCTCCATTAAAAGTAAGGGAAATCCGCTGAGGTTTCTGAAATTCCATGTCTTCGAGTACTCAACTTTCTCTCAATTTTTAATAAACGGATTTCAAGATAGAGGCTTTTTAAAAGGAAAATATGGATGAAAAGACATCATTTCGTTTGAAAGCTACTTCATCATCACACATACCTCTTCTTTAAGGAGAAAGGGAATCATACAAACATACAACTGTTTCGGGTGATCCCAAAATATGGTCGAATCTTTATTTGAAACCTTAAATCTATGAATTGGGTTCTCAAAACGAGTTAGATATTGTCAATCCTAAAAAAAAGAACCGTGGAAGAGAAAACCAAAGTACAGTAGACTTCGCGGCTGCTTCGATATTTTGTATTGAAAGAGGATTTGGTTTTCTAGGCCGGTTCTCTTCCAACGGTCACAAAATTTTGGACTGACAATACCAAAAATGTGTCCGAAGCACCGCGGAAAAAGGTCGGTGAAAAAAATGGGTTGGAATTCCAGGGCGAAATTTTTCCACAACCCAATTTTTCGTATTTTTAAACGACTTCGAAGCGAAATTCCAATTTGATAGATTTCTAAACCAATAATGTCCGCTCAATCGGTTGACATTTGGAAATTTCTATCGGTTTGAAGAATCATTTCGCAAGAATTTGAAAAATTTTGAAAAAAACGAAAATTCAAGCACTGACTCTTTTCTCTTAAAACTGACAGAGCCATTTTGGAAATCCATGTCGAAAAACCACTTGCATAGTGTTTGTTGGAAACCTAATAAGTTTTATAATTATTAAAGAGGCAGGTGCTGAAAACCTCTTCTTTGAGGAGAAAGGGAATCATACAAACATACAACTGTTTCGGGTGATCCCAAAATAAGGGAGAAAGGGAACAATTTTCAAAAAAGTACACACAAAATATTTTTTTTTGAATTCTTATGCAATTTTTAAAATTAGTTTTTTTTCAGCGGCTGTTGCTAAACCTTGAAAAAGTGAACTTCCATGGGGTTCTCAAATATTCCCCAATTAGCTGAGAGATATTCAAAGTTATAAAATGATTTTTTTTCCATCTGTTGAGAAAGGCTAGGGCGGTGTCTGTGTGATCAGAAAAAATATCTCAAATACCATTGTTCGTGATTTTATTAAAAGTTTAGATGTAGGTTAAACAATTAATTAATTATCTTAAGATAAGCGATGATGTTGAATACTTTTTGATACAAGAATTCGGTTTTTCAACAAATTGTTCAAAATCTCAATAAAAAAGTTTAGTTCCATTCCTAACAGTACTTCAAAGAAACGAACTGTTTATCAAAAGGATACTGAGCGCGAAGCCGCGACAACCCAGAAGGAGGAGCCGGCGATAGCCGGCGGAGCCCTTCTGGTATTTATATACTAAAATATCAAGTCTTGTGTTCTTGATATAAAAATTTTATATTTCAGAACTTTTAGAATTGAACTCACCAGTGACCGATTTTATTAAACTTGTCATAAAAACCTCAATAAAATAACAATAGAAAATATTAATGTTCCGGAATATACTTCAAGAACTCTTTTTTCTTTTATCTTGCTCCAATAATGAAGAATACTTCAAAAACGGAAAGAATGAGAGAACCGGCAGAAATTTTGGCGCCTTTTTTCCACATGTGGCGGGGCGGAGTTTGAGCGAAAACAATAATTCAAACAAGTTGTTTCACATTTTGAACATGAGAAAGAAACAAGCCGATGACAAAAGAGAAAATGTCGAAAATTCTAATAAGCGAGCACAGAAATAATTCAAACGGGTGATACTCGAGGGAGTATTTTTGAGAAAAGAGAATTTTTTCAATTCAATGATTTGTTTTTATGTTTAGAAACGAAATGTTGGAACAATAGAAAAGGATGGACAAAAATTAAGTGCAACACTTTTTATGAGCTCGTAATGTGAAGAAAAATTGTGCCAGAGATTTCTTGGTTCATGAATAAGTATCGGGGAAAACATTTCGTTTAGAACTTTTTTTCTGAATTTTTTGTAATAAATCATACCTGGAGAGTTCAAAAAATGACGAAGCGAATTTTGATTTTTTTGAAACTTTGATCTTCGATCCAAACTGAATAATCGACTTGTTGATGCCGATGATATCACCGATCTTCCATCATCAAATTCAATCTCATCTTCTTCCTCTTCTTCCAAATCCTCATAATCTCCATTCATTTCAAAATCTTTCAAAGTTGTTAAACTTGGTGAAGATGGAACTCCCCAATTTGGAGCAGTTTCAGAATACATACTTTGTGACATTAGACACGAAGATGAAGAAATGAAAGAATCCGAATGTTTTCGAGGTTTTTGAATAGGCGGAAGATGACTGAGACTACCGAAACCAATTGAAGACGATGAAGTATTTGTATGTAGACGATTTCGGCGAGGAGTACTTGAACTCGAACGAGGTGAACATGAAGAATGACAGCCGCTGCTACTTCGACTTGTCGCAATACTGTGATTCGTGTTACTCTTGAAATAAATCCGGTAAGGTTCCTGAAAATGAATTTTTTAGATTTCAGACACACGGAAACTGCGAGTTGCATAGAAATAATTACTGTAACATGGCCATAGAATCAGAAAGAGAGAAAAATTGAAATATTTATTTTTTTATGATGAAGAAAGAACTCACTTTTGTATCACTTTCAGAACTTCTTTCTTCTGAACTTCTCATAGTCATTGTTGTGAGTGCAGTTCCGTATTTCGGCAAATCCATCATTGATTTACCCCGTTCATTTGAGTTACTTCTTTTTAATGTACTTCTAATTGCCTTCGATAATGTTTCTCGAACTGATCCTCTTGTTCTTGTTCTCAACATCAATTTCTCGCCCAACGACCCAGTTGAAATTTTTTCATTTGTCATTTTTGTCTTTAAAAAATTGGTTGCAAAACGAAATATAAAAAAGATGAATAAAAAAGACAACTGGTAAAAATTGTAACAAGAACATTTTACACTTTTTGATGGATAATAGGATCAAACTGAGCAAAACAAAAAACGAACAAGTTTGTACTGAAAAAGAAAATTGATAGAATTGAAAACATTCGTTTTCTGCAGTTGAGTTGAGGACAAGGAAATGGCGCCAAAATTTTTGACGCCATCCAACCAGGTGGCCAAAACATCCTCTTTGTTCTCAGACTAAAGAGTAATGACAAAATTATTATGAAACTAAAACTAAATCAAAATCATATGTATTTATATCAAACTATCAAATAACAATTTTTGAGGGAAAAAACGAAGTGCAAATTGATACTTCATAAAAAAGAGCAAAGGTGTGTATGGCAACAAAAAATTTGAGAGAAGAAAAGATGACCAGACCAGAGACAAAAGAAGGGAACACCCCGAAAACGCCAGAAATTGTGATAAATGACCACAACAGCCGTTATTTTCTCGATTGACACAAAGATATTCAAATCAAGCTAGTTATTAAATAAAGATACAATCAATCAATATGTGAAAAATAGCTCGATTTGTACCGAAACAAGGAAGGATTGAAAAAAATCCTTTCAAATTATTTAGACTGAACTAAGCTTTGGAGTAATGAATAAAAACATAAAACAAAGTTAAAAGAAAAATTGAAAACTAAAAAAAAACATGAGAAAAGCGACGACCAACAAGATCGTAATATTGTGGTGGCGGGTGGGTGCATATGTTTCAACTACTTATTATCATCTGTCAATATTAAGTGGGTATGCTTGTGCTCTTTGTCAAACAAACATCATGTATATATTTTGCCCCTGTTTTTATTTGTCAAACTTACATTGTTGTGGCGAAACTGAATTTGTTGGTTCAATTTGCACAAGTCTGCTTCTTCGGCCTTTTGAATCGACTCTTCTGGAAAAATATGAAGAAATTAGAAAATTATGAACAAATTATTTGATTACCTGATACGTCCATGTCGTAAAGATCCACCAAAAACTTCAGGTTGTCTTCTCTTATAATAATTCGGAGTAAAGAAAACCTGCAAAAATGATATGATTTATTTGTTTTTTCGAAGTTTTCATTTAGTTACCTCGGTCATATTCAATCGATCAATTAATTCAATATCGTTACTTCTCGATTCACTTGAACACATTTCATTTTGATTTTCCTCCTTCTTTTCCTCTTCTTTGTTATTGTCGACATTCAAATTCAGTTTAGCCTTGAAATATTTTATACATTTTTTCAGTGGAGTTGGCATTTTAGTTGTTTCTAGTAGCCAGTCTGATACTACCGTGTCAAATATAAAAAATGAGTGAGCAAAATAATGTTTCCAAAAAATTGGTCAATAAGGTCACGTTTCATTTATTAGTTTCAAAAAACATTCACTTTTTATATTTATATTTTTTAACATTTCTCACCTCGACAATAATGGTATCTTCTGATAATTCTGGTCGTGCCGATTCAAGTCGATCCCTTTTCGCATTTTTCCTTTCGCAAGTGAAAGACAATAACTTTTTGAGCATTCGCAAACTGTGAGAACAATTCCTAAATATGATAATTACATTATTCAGAGATTTCTCGAACAGAAAAAACCCCAAAAAACAGAAACAGAAAAAACTAGCATTCAAAATCAGAAAACGCGCGTTGTGGATTACTGTGTGTTTGTTTAAAGGAACATTATTCATGAATAATTATTTTGAAACGATCGTGTTGAGACCTTGTTTTGTTTCAAAAATTAAATGATTACTGTAACAGAAAATGCAAAATTCTTTTTTCGAAAAAAATTAATTTTCTTCATTTGTTTTTGCAAAGTTTGAATTTTAAAAGTTCTGTGGAAGGCAGTGACGTCACATCTCTGAGAAAAAGTTATCTTTGAAGACACTGATAAACATGCTTATTGAATAATGTGAAAAAACTCTGCTGATATCATTTACATTACTTTATAGTTAGATAATTTTCTTGATTCTGTTCTTTATTTCAATTTTCTCTCTTTTCACCAAAGATTCTTTTTTGTTTCCGCTTTTCTTTCGCAATAGAGCATGTTTTCTTCTCTCGCTCTCTTTTTTTTCATTTATCTAGTTGGTAAACATCACATGTTCTTTATGATGTTTTTTATGTTCGCGCGTATAAATCTTATGATTCATTGTCTCAAAAAATGATTTCACATTCGTTCTAAAAAGTTTAAAATCAAATAGTTACTCAAACCATTTGCCTCTTTTTTATCGATTTTTCTCTCGAGTTAAACAAACATTTTTTTTGGTTTTGTCAATTTCGCAATTTTCAGGGCCAATTAAAGTTTATTTTTGTTTGGAATGATTCTTGCTGAAGGTCGAAAATCTTTGAGTAAAAGTCGAAATGTTCAATTGCCAATAACTGATATTTCGGTGAGTCTTCTTTCAAAATGTTTGATAATGCGTATATTTTATCATGACTGATAGAATTATCGATTTCCTTCGTTTTATCATTTTTACATTTCATTGAATGTTGTAAGAATGATTATGTTTCAGCAAAATGAAAATAATAACTCATCGAATAACTATATCAGTAATACTCCTATCAGTCAAGATATTCGAAATCGAAAACATGTTTCAACTAGTCAAGATACTATAAATGGAATTAAAACAATTCGAATCTATACATCTATGTTCTCTGAATTCGACACATTCAAAGAAGTTGAAATATTTGGAAATCAAACAAATTCCGAATGTTTGAAAGATAAATTGAGTGCTCTTTTTGGAATTGATCCTTTTGTTTTCAAAGAAGTTTTCTCAATTTGGGTCGTTTCGGAACTTTTTGGTGAGTCATATTTTCTATTCAAATAAAGAATAAGTTTATTTTCAATTCATTTTTTTGCAGAAGTTCAAATAAAACCACATCATAGTCCTTATGAACTTCTTGCTTCTTGGCCAGCACTTCTTGCAAAATATGTTGATAAATATGATCCAAATCGAAATGATGAACCAATTATAATGTTACGAAGAAATGTTCATTTATCAGCGGAAAGAGAGCTCGAAATTATATCAAAAAATGATATTTGTGCGAAACTTCTTTTAACTTATGCAAAAGAATCACTTCTTTTGGGTAGAATTCAATTTGCGGAATTTGATGATTTATTACGAATAACTGCTAAACTTATTGCTATCAATATTGATTATGATGAATTAGAAGCTGAAAATTGGGTTCGAGAAAACTTGGCAAATTATTTACCAGAAAAATATTGTGAATTAATAACTGGAAAAACAATATTCGGAAAAACAATAAGAAGATCAGATAAATTCGATAAACTTTTATCAATTTGGAAAAAGGAATCAAAAAATACAAATAATATCGATATTTTGAGAGATCTTTCGGAATGTTCATCTTCTTACGGCGCTTGTTGGTTTGATGCTTTTGTTGAAAAAAAGACATCACGTGTTAGTGTCAAAAGTTTAGGACAAAGTTATAAAAATGTGAAAGCAAAAGTTGCTATTAATCAAGATTGGATAACTATAATTGAACATGGAACAGATGAATTATTATTGTTGCAAAATATTTCGGAAATGACGTGGCAATTGAATTCCGAAAACAATGAAAAAGTTATTGTTTTTAATTTTAATGAAGAACCGAGTGGAAGTGGAGATGAAAAACAAACTGTTATTCCAATTGAAGATAATAATGATAATGAAATCACTTATTTTTTGATGGTTAGTTTATTTTCTTGAGTCACCTTAATTCCAAATAACTTTATTTTTTCAGATTTTTGGTCATCAAACAGTTCTTATCGATGTTCTTCTCCAATCATTGCTAAAACAGAAAGAACGTTCACCTTCTGTTAGTAAAAAAGATCTTTATTACAAAATTCAAAAAATCCTGATTCCCGAAATTTCAGACATCATCTTCATCATCCGATTCTACAACTTCTTCTGAAAGACATTCAATAATAGTTCGAAAATTGAATTGTGATCGTCTTTGTCTGGCGAAATTCGAAAATGGAACATGTAAAAATGTAAATGGTAGTTTGAAAAGCCTGTATAAACCAGGAACATGTATATATTGAAATGCAAATGGAAAAATAAAAAAAGCTTTTTTTTATTTTTGAATTTCAATTTAAAAGTTCAGCATCTCTAAATGTGTGCTTTGTTTTGTTTGTCGGAATAATGTGAGTCACTCGTGCCAAATTAAAAGTCTGAAATCTAATCCACCACCCATTTTAATTTCCTTTTCATTTCGAAGAAAATGTCTTGGATTCTCGTGAACTTTTTCGAAATATTTATTGTATTTTTCGCTATTTTGGGAAATATCACATTTTCTTATATTATTCATTGTGCCAAAAGTTTACAATATTGTTGTCGGTTCGTAAGGTTTTGTTAGGTTTTCACATAAAAGTTTTCACTTTTTCAGATGTTCTCTTCAATTATTCTCATTTTCAATGTTTATTTTAACCATAACTCATGGATATACTGTTTTATGTTTTCTGATTCTCAACACAAATTATGAGATACTATATTTGAAAACTGGTAAAAAATATTTATTGGAAAATGTTTTTGAAAAATAAAATTTTTGCAGATCATGTAAAGTATTTCAGAATGATCCACGAATTTGGATATTGTCTACAATCGCTTTCTCTTCTGATGTTTTCAGCCGGTAATATTTTTCACAAGGGTCTTAGGCAATGTAAAAAAAACTATGACGTGGCGAAGTTCCAAACTCAGCGGTAAAAATACAGTAGCCTAAACCACAGCTGAAAATGGCTAGTTTTTTTTTCGTCGTATTTTTTGGTTACCGTAGATCAGTTTTTTGCGCTATATTTTTCAAATTTTGACATGTATATAAGATTACTGTAGATGTACAATATATATCCTTCATAATGAACTTTGCAGATCGACTTGTGGCTGGAACATTACTCCAATTTTATACATCCAACAGTTTCAAATTGTTGATTGTCGTTCTCACAATTTTCAGTTTTATCATTTCAGCCGGTTTCAGTTATATTGTTCATATTCAACATTGGACTATAATTCCAACACTTTTCATGGATTTTCTCGATTTTCTTGGTTTATTTGTGAGTCATAATTTCGAAACAATCCGAATTTTAAATCATTTCTTTTCAGTTAATCTGTGTTGCTTGGAAAAAATCGATAAAAACCTATAATTCAACAATTGGATCAATTTGTCTCGAACAAAGATATCAATTATCCGAAGTCTATAATTGGTCAAAAACTCTGATTCCTGGTGTGATTTGTGCGAGTGTCGCTAAAATTATTTCAATTATCTCAATTTGGGCCCTCATAACTGCGAAAAAAGTTTACGTTGAAAATGAAGCTGGATGTTTTTTATTTTTCTATAATAATGTGAGTTTCTTTAAAATATTTTTCGAAAAATTATAAAATTAATGAGTGCATTTGGAAAAAACACATATTTTCTTTTTTAAGCCCACAGTTTTTTTAACTTTTATTGGTCAATTTTTTTTCCCAAGCTATTTTTCCCAAATTTTTTTCCCAAGTTGATTTTTCATTTTCCCAAGTTTTATTTTTCCCAAATTTTTTTCCCAAGTTATTTTTTCATTTTCCCAAGTTTTTTTCCCAATTTTTAGTTTTTTCCCAAATTTTCGGATCGCATGAAATTGGTTCGTTTTTTAAGAACATCAGGGATTTTGATTCTCTATATGAGGATCTCGAAATTTTATAAAATAGAAGGGTCCGTCAAAAATAGCTACTAGAAAAATGAGAGTTTTTCTTGTGTAAAGTGTGGTGTGTTTTTTTCAATTTTCGGCGAGTCTGTATGTTTCCAGGAGGGTTCACTAAGCCTAAGCCTAGAAAGAATAATAGAAAAATTAAAAAATCTTACTTTTGGCTTCTCAACTTCAGAATTAGGCTTAGGCTTAGTTAAACGCCCAGAAAACTGAATGTTGGTACATTTTTTACAGTCGGCCTCTCAAAATATCAGTCTGAATCTGCTGTTTTCGTTCCGACAAACTTGTGAAAAATCACAATGTTCATTCCAAAAACAAAATTTTTTTTTTCGACTAATTTTAGCATTTTCGCATTTAGGAATTGCATAATTTCAGGTTATGACCGGGAGAAGCTGATATGTGGGATCAGTACTCAATTGGCTTTGAAAAATAGGAAATACCGGAAAAAAAACTTGAAGAATTGGGTAAAAAACGACAATTTGGGAAAAAAAGAAAAATTGGGAAAAAAACTTGGGAAAAACAAAAACTTACTTGTGAAAAAAAATTGGGAAAAATAAAACTTGGGAAAATGAAAAATCAACTTGGGAAAAAAATTTGGGAAAAATAGCTTGGGAAAAAAATTGACCCTTTTATTTTAGATTAGCTAGACTATAGTGTAGTTTGTAGATATCTAAAATAGGTTTTCATAAGATTCTTCATTTTTGCAAACACTAATTTCCACGAATATTATTTTTCATTAAAAGAAAAACCACTCGCAAATAATAACAAAAACAATGTGTCAAGAAATATTGGTTATATATATTTTTTCAGAGTCTCAATATCTACTCAATTATTCTTCCTTTTATTATTTTATTTCGACACAAAGCTTTGCGAACAAAAATTGTTCGAAATCCCGAAAATTTCGAATTGACGACTTTGGAAGGAAATCCGATTGATTTGAAAATTAGTTCGAATCAATATTTTCAGACATTGGGAAAATTTTGGAACGATTAAATTTATTTTGAAAATGTATATTTTTTTGAAATCCTAAGAAATTGATGAATCAAAATCATATTTTTTTTGCAAAAAAATAATTTTATGATTCAGCCTCTCTCATCTTCAGGGACTTTTTCTACATAATCAGCAAATTATGTTTTTCTGATTTCATATATTTTTTGTTTTCAAAATTCTGAACTTCTGGGCGGAGTCCTATATTTTTTATATATTATAGATATTTTCTTGAAAACCTCATTCCATTTTTTTTTCATAATAAAAATTCTAACACTTGTTGTAAACAAATAATTCAATCAATTTTTATAGATGTCATTTTGGCATAATGCATGGCCTCTTGAAATGTTTTTATCAGTTACCGCACTGATTTCAAGTTGTTGTTTTCTTTTTATTATTTCGAGTGTCAGTTTTGTTGAAAATCGTTGTCGACCATTTTTGATACAATTTTGTGTTTCTTTAATTCTTCTATCAATTGCACACGGTGTCAAAACTTTTGATTATACAATTTCGGAAAAATCGAAAAGTGGAAAGTATATTGAATCAGGTAAATTGTCATAAACAGGAAGTAGTGAAAATAGGAGTAAGGTGATAAAAGTGCAAATTAACTACAGTAACCAATTTTGGCAATTTTCAGATTTGTTCAAGTTCTTTGATTTGATTCATGAATTCTCATATTGTATGGAATCATTTTCCTTGCTTTCATTTACAATTGGTTAGTATTTGAAAAAACATGTCGATTTTCTCAAGACAGAATAAATTTCAGAAAGATATTGGAATTCTCGCAATGGTTCAAAAACAACCTATATTTTCTATATTTTTGTTGTGATCTTATTAACTCTCAATACATTGGTTTCATATTATTTTGCGATTTCTTCAAGATCTTGTAAGTTTCTTCTGGAATTTTTTGAAACTTACCAAAAACAAATTCAGATTCTGATTCGATTGTTATTATTCCAATGTCTCTCATATCAGCCCTTGATATTGTTTCATTAGCAATTCTAACAAGATTATTTCAAAACTCAGCAAATCGATATAAAAAAACAACTGGAATGATTAGTTTAGAACAAAGATATCAAATATCAGGTAACTATAATTTCCACTAATTGAATTTCTTCTAAATCTTCGAAATCTCAATTTCAGATGTCTATTATTGGTCAAAAACTTTAATTCCAGTGATTTTTGTTGGAGTTATAATAAAATTATTATCCCTAATATCTGCCTGGATTGTTATGTTAAATGAAGGACCAGTCGAAGCATTCTTCAATTTTTTCCATGAAAATGTGAGATTTTTCTGTTATTTTGATAAAAATCACTGCTCTTAAGTAGATCATTGTTCACTCGAAGTATACGTAATTTTCCAATTCAATAATTTCAGCACAGACATTGTCTATATCTGAAAATCAAATGTTTTCAAAATAATAAGTACAAACTTTTTTCCAGATTCTCGATGCTTATACAATAATTCTACCATATTTGGTTGTTCGAAGACATCGATTATTGAACAAAAAACTGATAAGAGCAAAACTTCGAATAAGTCCAGAAATAACTATCAAAACGCTGGAAGGAAAAATTGTGAATATGAGAGGATCAGCTCACGATCATTTTAATATTTTACACGAACATTGGAAATGAATTCGAAATTTTTGAAATTGATTTTTGACACGGCTACACCTTTTCAAAAAATTTTTGTTTTTTTTCACCACTTTTTTATTTATTCATTTTCAATAATAAACATGCCACGTGACCCGAGTTCAATTTTTAAAAATAGAAATGGAATTCAAAAAAAATGATAACAAGTCTGCAAATGTCATTCCACCTCAAAACCCCTTGAATACATAATCCTTTCGTTCTCATCGATCTGATTTGCTAGCAACAAAAAATCGCCCTTTGGACTTTGTGGGCGGAGCAAAGAAATAGACAAACATTCAACATATATCGACAAATTAGTGAACAATAAAACTGGAATTTTTCTTTCCAACACAAAAAATACAGTACTCCTTTGGCTTAAACTCCAATACATTCTACATAAATTATCAGTTTGCAAGTCAAGTCATCAAAAAATGTTCCGATAACAATTCAAAAAGTCGAAAGGTCGTTGTCCTTTTTTTGCTAATTTTCTTGAACTGGAAGTAAATTTTTCTATACATAAAACTCCAAAAAATATCGTTGCATTTTCTGAAAATTTCAACTTCCTCAATATCTGTCATTCTGTGTCTCTCATCTTCCAATAAACTCTCTCAAGCATTGTATGTAGGTTGATCAATACCATTTTTTTCGTTGTCTATCTCGAAAGTGCAAGACCACACACGTGCTGTAATAGGCTCCGCCCACAAAGGGCGAAGGTCGCTTTTTTGTTGGGAAAAGATGAACAAAAATAGTGAGATGCTATCTTTGAGAAAAATAATAAATGACTGGAAAATGGAAACAAATATGAAACAATATTGGTAGATCTGAATATCGGTGACTGGAAAGGATTCAAGAGGATGAAGAAAATATTGTAAAATTTAAAAATAGTAGAAACTTTACTGTAATCATATGTGAACTTTCCAGAAAAGTTGCCATTCATAAGTTTTGACAAGAAAGATCAAAGCTAAACTTCAAGAAATTTTGGGGCATGTATTTTGGGCGAAACTTCGGATGTTCTGAAATTTATTTAAGTTCACAGCTTTGTTTGTCAAAATTATAGTTCCAAAATAAATACGATGTTTTAACCAAATTTCAAATCCTTTCAAAATTTTGTCGTTGGAAAACTCGAACTTTTTGAAATATCCAGAACCATTGGATTACTATAGATTTCCGATGAAAACAGTTCATTTTTGTCGATGACAGATTTTTGCGAAAACCCAGAATCTTTCAAAATTATACATGTATTTCACCTAAATATTGGATTTTGCGCAATAATAATAATAATAATAATATTTTGTTCGTCCGGGTTCAATCCATCCTCTTCCTCGTCGTTTTTCCTCTTTCCATTATATTTCCAATTATTTGTCTGTTTTCTCTACCAAGTGGACTTCGACCTTTTCTGTTTTGTAGAAGAAGGGGCGGGACACACAGCAAAAGACGCACTTTTTTACCCCCACGAATCTCTTATTATTAGTCTTATTTGTGTTTATCGGGCATCTGTTCTTACGAGGGAAGTGTGTGACCAGTCCCCGGAGATTTTCAATGAGACCTATGTTTTTTAGGTCAGTTTTTCACGCTGATAAAGCTCCTGTTTTCAGTTTTTGCTGAACGACTCTCTGAAGAGCCCAAAAATGAGCCAAAAGTTGAGAATTTCCTGAAAATCGGGTTTTTAGGAGCCCATAACTCATGTTAGAAATTATTTTTATGGAAAACTGAATGCATCACGTTGTTCAGGAGGGTTGATTTACCAAAGTCACAAGTTTTGACAAAATTTTCAAAAAATTTTCAAATGTGCAATCCATGACCTGAGCCTATTTTCTGAGCCACAAAATTTTTTTCTGAAAAAGTATGGACTTACTAATCAAAAATTTGTGACTTTGGTAAATCAACCCTCCTGAACAACGTGATGCATTCAGTTTTCCATAAAAATAATTTCTAACATGAGTTATGGGCTCCTAAAAACCCGATTTTCAGGAAATTCTCAACTTTTGGCTCATTTTTGGGCTCTTCAGAGAGTCGTTCAGCAAAAACTGAAAACAGGAGCTTTATCAGCGTGAAAAACTGACCTAAAAAACATAGGTCTCATTGAAAATCTCCGGGGACTGGTCACACACTTCCCTCGTTAGACGCAAAAAAGAGTACGGTAGGTGAGATCATTAAGTAATTAATTTATTTTTGTTGGGAGCATTTCTATATGATCTAATTTTAGTTCAGAACCTGTGGGGAATGGGCTCACACTGAAAAAGGTTCGGGAGAATGTGTACTCTACAGTAAATTCCAGAATTTTTTTGTTTTATTTTCAAAGTTCCATGAACTCGGGCCCAGCTTCTGGATAAAATCTTCAGAATAAGACTGTCTCAATATTTTAGTCTTCAATTTAAAAGTGATGGTTTCCGGGTCATTTAGAAGAGTTTATTTTTGAATTTCAAATTTGGAACTTTTGAATTCGAAACCCTCAAAATTCTGAAGAATTTTTGAATCTCAAAATTCCACCAATTTCTTTGCGAATAATTTTTAATCATGCGCTGATGGATTAAGTTCCGACCTGAATTTTATTTCAAATCTCTTCACCTCCGTGTATTATTTTTCAATCACATCTTCTCCTGCACTCTAGTGCTAGATAGAACTGTAGTGCATTATTGTTTCTGAACTTTTTATCAATCGTTTTCGATTTCTATCTCTCATCAAGTTCAATCTAGATACAAATAAATTCTTATCAGATTATTTGTACTAAAATATGCTTTCAGAAAATGGCAAAAATCAAACAAATCAGCTTCGATCGTGTTTTTTACAACAATTTCAAATCGGTTTCAGTGAGTTCATTCAAGAATGGATAAATAGACAACCTGATTTTTGATTTTTGCAGAGAAAAATCGATGATTTGGTGTTCCCACTTTTGACAAAAGAAGTCATTTATTTTTTGACAATTTGGAGCATTTTGGATGTTATGAAATTAAATCCATTTGAAAAATATATTTCATTTGTTTTTCCTGAAAATCAATGGGGACAAGTTATTGCAAATCTTCTTGTTGGATTTATTCTTATCTCATCTTTAATTCAAATTCTTCGATTTACAATAACTCTTGTTTTATATTATCATGGTTGGCTTTTCGAAGAAATCGGAAAAGTTCCAAGTTTATCAACAAAAGCATTTATGGTTATTATTGGTTTTCTCTCAAAAAGATCCACATTTTTCACGTGGCAAGGTGTTTTGCCGTGGATGATGCCGCCACGTGTGAAGGATACTGTAGAGAAATATTTGAAAACAATGAAACCAATTTTGGATGAAAAGGAATTTGAACTTTTGAATGATCAAGCAAAAGAATTCCAAGAAACAATTTCGAGTGGACTTCAAAATAAATTATGGATGAAATGGTTGATTTCAAAGAATTATGTAAGATTTTTAGATCTTTGAAAAATTATTCTGAAAATTTTACGAGAATTTTTACAGTTATCCGATTGGTGGAAAGAAGTTGTATATATGAGATATCGTGATTCCCTAATTCGTTCAAATGTTGGTTGCGCAGATGTAATTTATCAAAAAACAACATCAAATCAAGCCGCAAGAGCTGCTTATGTTACTTTAAATCGCCAACATTTCTGTAGAGATATTTTCGAAAGAAATAAAATGAAACCAGTTTCACTTGGCGGTATTCCACTTTGTGCTCAACAATACAGCGAATATCATCGAACACTTCGAATTCCAAATGAAACATCTGATATTACAGTACATCTTGGAAATGAGGCAACACATATTGCTGTTTATCACAAAGAATGTTGGTATAAAATTGAGATTATTGATAGAAAATCTGGAAAACTTATCAAACCAGCTGAACTCGAAAAATCATTCCAAAATTTGTTGGATAATTCGGAAAAAGTTCGAGCAGCTCAAGGAGAAAAATTGTTGTCTGCATTGACTTGTGGACCACGTGATCTTTGGGCTAAAATTCGACGAGAAAAATTTGTTGATGGTGTGAATAAGGAGTCTCTGGATATGATTGAAACATCATTAGAAATTGTATTTTTAGATGAAGAGGAACGATATTTTGATGAGGTAAATTTAAAAAGTTGTGAAGTTTTCTATTTTAAAAACTTTTTTCAGAATGACAATTCGGCATATAATAGAGAATATGCAAGAGCATTACACGGAGATGGATATATGTTATGGTGTGATAAACCAAGTGTTTATATATTCAGCAAAAATGGAAGATTTTCCTCAAACGCTGAACATTCTCCATGTGATGCAATGATTTATGTGCAAGTTCGAGAATATATCAAATACCACGAACAATACGAAAATCCTTATGGTCCAGATGGACATTGTACTGGAAAATGTGAAAAAGTTCCAAAAGTTGAGAGATTGTGTTGGGATTTTGATGAAGAAACTTTGGATGCGATCGATAAAGCTTATGAATCTTCGAAAAATGTTGCGGAAGATTTCGAAAATGCGAGCTGTGTTTATACAAAATATGGAAAAGATTTTATGAAAAAAGCAAAAGTTTCACCGGATGCATTTATTCAAATGGCACTTCAAATGGCATATTTTAAGGTAAAAGCTTTTTCTGCTTGGAAAAAATACTGTAGCTTTAGTTTTCCATTATTTCCAAATGATTTTTTGGCAAATCCAACTCATTGATTTTCAGGATCAAGGAAAATTCGAGCAAACTTATGAGCCAGCTGTAATGCGTCTTTATAAACATGGTCGAACTGAAACTGTTAGATCTTGTAGTATTGATTCATGTGATTTTGTTCAATCAATGTTATCCAAAGATTCAGCAAAAACAAAACTGGAAAAATTGAAAAAAGCTTGTGACAGTCATCAAGATTATTATAGACAAGCAATGGCTGGAAATGGTGTTGATCGACATCTTTTTGCACTTTATGTTGTCTCAAAATACTATCAAATTCCCTCAGATTTTCTTTCAAATGTATTTTCTCGTAATTGGAGTCTTTCAACATCTCAAACACCACAACATCAAATGATGGAATATTCGAAAATTCTGAACAAAGAGCCAAGTTTATTCTGGCCAGCTGGTGGATTTTCTTGTCCTGATGGATCTAATTATGGAGTTTGTTATACAATTGGAACAACTGGTGATCGAATGAGTTTCCATATAACAACATGGAATTCGATAAAAGGAACAAATGCCAAAAGATATCTTGGATATTTAGAACAAAGTTTAGAAGAAATTCAAAAAATGGTCGAAGAAGCTACGAGTAAAAAATAATTCAATCAAATTATGTATACATGTATATTATTATTATTATTACGAATAAAATTCATTATTTTCAAGAAAACTCAATTATCAAAGAAGTTATTTTTATGTTCGTCCATTTCTCAAAACAAACTTAGATTTTCGAAATTTCCCAAAGTTTTTCTTTTTTCTCGAAATCCCAATTATTTTCCGATGATATCCAACAACTCCCAAATCATGTTTCCGATAAAATTGTGTAGTTTCTGGGAGTACTGTAGAAGTTGTTGTGACTGAAACTGTTCGTTTTTTGACATTTCCAGTTCCTTGCATCAAAGAAAATATATAATCTGAAAATAGCGAGAATTCGAAGAGATTTTGGATAATTTCTAGTTAGTTAAATACCAGCCAACTTTTTGATGACATCATTTGGAATTTCTCCACTCATTATTGAGACAGGTGCAGCCGGTTTGATATCATTTGTGAGAAGTGAAATGTCATCTACGTGATCCTGGAAAAAAATATCGCCAGAAAAAAATAAGAACTAGAAAAAAAACTTTAATGTTTCAAAAAATACCTGTACTTGAACATCGTTTCCCATAACTGCATTCATCAAATCTTCATAATTTTCGGAATATTTATCAAGACATAAAACCAAGGATTGAATTGAGCAAAGAAGAAAAATCAAAACAGTAACTTTTGAAGTGGACATATCTAGTTGAAATGAATAAGTAGTTCTACTTTTTCTGACTGAGGAAGGGAGGGAAGGTCACATTTCAGGTTGATAATGACAGTTCGAGACCTTGATAGTTCGCCGGTTCAGTTTATGTTAATTTTATTTTATTTGCGTTTTCCCTCAATCAATGTCTGGCAAAAAACGAGATGAACTTATGATGGAGAAATCTTTTTTTCTCGAATTTTTAAAAATAGAAAGTTTTATACCTTGAATTCAATAAAAAATTAAGAATCCCTAAAAGTTTTGTAAAAGTCATAACTATCATAACGATCAACTTTTGGAAAATTTTCTGATGAGCTGCTGGGATTCCGTTTTAAAACACGTGGAAGTTCGAACTTTACTCGATCATATTTCAAAACATTTGCAGATGGATAATTGAGAATTGCAGATGGAATTTGTTCCTTCAGTTGGTCTTTCTCATCTTCATCTTCATTTCCATTTTTCAACAATATCATTTTCTTATAATAGTACAACATTTCATCCTCTTTTTCTAAATTCGCATTTTTTCCCAACTGAAAAATAAAATTATTATTGAACTGAAATCCCAAACCTAAAGAAAGAACGGAAAAAATAAGAGTGTATGTCAACACCGACTGCCCGCAAACAACAAATTATACGCGCAACCTTGACGCGAAATACGCGCTGTGTGTTTTCGCGAAGAAATTTCCGGGGGATTTTTAAAAATTGGGAACCCCCAGATTTTAGAAATGGACAAGTTTAAAGTATAACATATGGGAACCCTGAGAATCTCTCCAATGTCGCTTTTCCCTTGGAGAATACTAGTAAATATTTAAAAAAATACCTCTACTTGCTCATTGTTGCCAAAATCGTGTTGATGTTTTATATGATATCTTCCTTCGCTTTCTATGTGAAACATCATACCACAATAAAGACAACGATATGGACAGTGACTGGAAAAAAAAACTATCGTATAAGAAATTGAGACTGATAACTAACTTGACATGCACTTTCATAATATGATATTCAAATCCAGCCCAGGTTCTGAAAACTAGCGAACATTCTTCACAACATGGTTTTGCTTCATTTTCTGGAATTAGAGCGTCGTTTTGATCTGGGTTGAACATCAATACGGGGTTTCTGTCATAAATATTTTCTGGAAAATATATTAAATTAGGTGAATTTGAATTCGAGAAACTCACGTTTTTCCTTCATTTCATTTCACTTATTTGATAAGTTTAGTTGAATAGATTTTTGAGATTTTGGAAAATTTTTGGAAAAAATTTTCGAAAAAAGAAAATATTTTAATACAGTAAGCAGTGTGAGAGAAATAAAGGCACACATCTTAACAAAAACATGGTCTTGCAACGATATTATAATGCGCTCATCGAAAAACTGTTTGAGATTGTTTGTTTTCTCTGTGCTCTCTCAATCGAGCACAGTGTTGCGATTGTTTATTATTTTCTGGATTTTTTTCACAAACGTCACATTTTTCTGCTGTTATCATTTATCGATAAGTCGGTTTTTCAATGAAAAAATGTATGTATTTCACAATTTATTCATTACTCAGCAAATCGCTGCGTACATGAACGGTAAGGATTTGTGTAGCTTGTGTGCTGTCTAACTCATTTTACACGCATTCCACACACAAGCTACGCACGCGTCTACACACCAGCTACACAAAATAGTTTTTTTTCGATTTTTTTTCGTTTCGCGTTTTTTTCGGATTTTGCAGGCTGAAAGATGATTTTTGAACACGTTTTGAATGAAAACAACAATTTATTATCAGAATAAGTGAAACATGAAAAAAAACAAAGTATTTCAAACAAAATTATAAATTAGGAGTTGAAAATTTCGTAGATGTTGCGGATTGTCTAATTTCCCTCTTCATACATGCAGCCGTTTTTCATGTCGTTTGTGTAGAGATTTCGATCGAGTGCTGGCGAGACTGAGCATCGGAGATCATATTCTGAAAAATTAAGATGGATTTTCAAGATTTTCAGACTAGAAAGAACTTGATATTTATCTTGAAAAATAGCTAAACGTGGCCAATTTTCCCAAAACATATTTTGTTTGCCGTTTTTTTTTCGGTTATTGACTCACCTTTTGATTAGCGTGGATGATAACTGATTGATGTTGACCTGATTTTTGTGGAGCGTAGTCGTAGTCGTTGTTGAAATTGTTGAAGTTTTCTGAAAATGGTTTTTGTAGGAAATATGGTCGTTTTAATAAAGAAAATTCCCTCACCATTTAGCAGTCATTTTGAAACGATCACGCAATTGTCCGGAAACCTGAAATTAAAGATAGTTAGAGCAATTCTGAATGAAAGAAAAATTTCCAGACTTGAGAAATACGAGAATTCATAGATGTTCAAAAGAAATTTAAACATAATTTTCATGAAATACAAAGATTTGTTCAATGATAACCAATAAAAATGTTGAAGAGTATGTATATGTTCACTGTTGGCCCGATTTTCACAAGAATTTAGGCCTGGAAAAACAAAAACAAAAATGAGAAAAGTAGCCGCGACGCCAACCGCGTTGTTTCTCTAATTTGTGTATTGTCGTTCCGAAAAAAAAAGACCGTTGGAAGAGAACCGAAATGGCCTAGGAAACCAAAATACAGTAGACTTCGCAAAATTTTGGAGTCTTTTTGAAAAATAAAATGCGAAATTTACACGTTGGCTATTTGCCAACCAGTTTGATATGCATGTGTCACGTCATTTTTAGTCTACTGTACGTGAGCGCCAATTTAAACGGGGGTTCTTTTATTTTCGGAATGACAATAGCTGGTGTGTAGCTGCGGTGTAGCTATTTTTCGCCGATAAAACCGTTCATGTACGCGACGATTTGCTGAGTAGTCAACATTTTTTTTTCTATTTGTAAATCATTTTCATCGATTCACATGTTGTTGTATTCTTGTTTATTTCTTTGTTATTCATTTTATATTTTCACATTACAACTTCACATGACAATTTGCCATGGAGCACACTTTCTCGTTATTATTTCACAATATTTTTATTTCACTTAAAAAAAGCTTAAACTTACAGAAAATGTCACATTGGTTCCATCGAAATCCTATCAAACCCACCGAATTCGCCAAATTCGAACTGAAAGGTGTTCTAACAACAGATACAACTTCGAAAATTTGTGGAGAACTTCGTCTTCGCCGCGATAAATTATTGAGTCATTTCAAAAATGCAGCAAACGATTTAACTGAAGTTAACACGGATTTTACCGAATATTTGAGATTATTCGCCGGGTTTTTAGTGGAAATTCAACCTCCCGGTTCAAATAAGTGAGTTTTTTTGTTTATTATTGGGAAATCAATATATCTGGATTTTCAGAGAAGCCGGTGAGAAGAACAGCAAACTTATACCATTACAACGCTTCAAATGGGGAAACTCAATGCTCGTCTCAACTCCAACGTAAGTCCATTTTATTGAAAATGAAATTTCACGCTTGATTTTTCACAAAACGATAAATCTGAAATGATTTGTTTCAAAAAATGATATTCCAGCGAAGTTTCTGATGCATGGTTTGAAGCTCTTTCAATGATCCAAAATATGGCAATCTGGTTAACAAAACACGCTGCTTGGGTTGCTGGAAAAGATGAAGTTCGGGATTCAGAAGCCAAAGAATGTTTGCAATGTTTAAGACAAGCTTCTGGAATGTTTAGCTATGTGAAAGACGAATCTAGTGAGCTTTGAAAATAGCTTATTCATAACAACAAGAAAAACCACGTATTCTAGGTCGATTATCGGGTGCAAATGACAATGAAGGCTCAGATTTCGATCCAAAAGTTCAAGAAACTTATATTTTAACAGCAATCGCTGAAGCTCAAGAAATAATAGTTGCACGAGCAATTGAAATGAAACACAATGATCTTCTTATTTCTTCACTATCTGCACATACTTCAAGTATATTTTCCAAAGCGGATCAATGTCTTTCAAATCTTCCTGATGAAATATTCTCGCGATGGAGAAAATATTTACAATTAAAACATCATTTTTATCTTGCTTATGCTTATGCATTTTTGGGACAATCTCAATTATCAGAAGATAAATGTGGTGATGCTGTCAGGTAAATTTTTCATTTGAAAATCAATTTTTCCTTGAATTGTAAAATTATTTTCAGATCTTGTAAAACTGGAATGTCTGAATATTCGATAGCAAAAGAAATGGCAGCCATGTATGCAGTTGCACCTGGACCAGGAAGTCGGATAAAACCAGAACAACATTTATTTTTCCGAAAAATTGAACCACTTCTTAATCGACATTTGGAAAAAGCAGAAAGAGAAAATGGATTTATTTATCATCAAAAGGTATTTTTTCAAAGAAATTTATTCAAAAATTCAGCTAATTTTTGCAGGTTCCCGACGAAGTTGCAACTCTCGATTCTGAAATCACATATGGTATTGCAAAACCAGAAGAATTCAAATATCCAAGACCAGCTGAAATCTGGAATACTGCAGTTTATGCCGCTTTTGATATTTCGAAAGCCACAATGCCAGATTTTTCAAAAATGAAGAAGAGCTCGAAAAAATTGGATTCGGTGCAAGAGGAAAAGATTTATCAAACGGAAAAAGATCCGAATAATTCAAGTGGTTGTGTTATTGCATGATTCATTTGTGTGTATATATTTCTAACAAAATATGATGTAATAAAAAATACTTATGTAATTTTCAAGAGAAGTCACGAGATAATTCAAGTTTGTGCTTCATTGCTCCTTCCACTTCAGGTAATTTTTACGATTTGTAAAAAAAAAATTCACGTAAAATGATCTTGATCTAGTAAAATGAAGTTTACAAGGAGAAGTGTGTTTAAAAAATTAGAGAGTAGAAAGTTTCAGAAAAAATATCTTCTGAAAATTTGTTATTTTTTGAGTCACAAAAATTATTGTTCCCAATAAGAAAAAAACGTACTCATTTTACCCTTGTTTGAGACCTTACGGGTTTCAGAATAACTATTTTTGTAAATGAAGTTCATTGAAATAAAAAACTACAGAAAAAGTTCATTTTTCAAATTTTATTATTCAGAAGATCTCTCCAGAGATGTCAATTTTTGCGTCTCGAATTATTTCCCAAGATGTGAATTTTTAATTCAAAAAAATTTATAGAATTTGAAGTTTTCCCCTAAAAGTTTTTCCAAAACTTTTGAATTTTTTAAAACAACTTTAGAAAGCCTTTCTTCCAGATTCCATTTTTGCTCCAAATTTTTTTTCTGCTTATACATGAATTATTTTACTCATTTTCCCATCATTTTCTCATTATTTCACTTTCTTTCAAATTATTTTTCAATCAAAAATTGAACTGATTTGAAACACATTCTGGACACTTAACGTCTACCTCAATACCCTTTCTGAATTGGTGTTGAGTTCGACTTATGTGCCAAAATGTGCTCAGTTCTTGTTAGAATATGAAGATTAGTAATAATATCAGGCAAATGAGTGAGTGTGTTGTACATGTTTCGTGTTGAGCTTTCTTAAATACGAATCTGAAAATGGGCGGATAGTTTCCTTGGTAACCGATCACAATAATATGCACTTTAAGACCGCCTCTTTGAATACTAATATGTACTTAGAATCAGTCAGCACGACAAGATTAATTGGATTTTGGTTTCTTGAAAAAAGCATCTGGCTAAAAAAAGAGGCAGCCTAAAAATTATATAGAAAGAATTGTTTGGAAAAAAATATGTGGGTCTGAAAAAAAATTTTTTGATGATTTACCGGAATATTGTTACTTGGAAAAACCAACAGGACTGAGAGAGGATGAACTTTGAAAAAAAGTTAATGTTACTGGTTGAAGAAATGGCAAAGTATATAGAAGAACTTCTGTTGTCTTTGGGATATTGGAATCAGAGAATCAATCAGGACTTCGGAAGCCAGGTGAGGCTCAAGCTTCAGACTGCGCCTATTTGGGTTCGAGTTGGATCTTTGTGAAAAAATTGTCTTCGAAATCTCGCAAGTTCTACTTTCACTTCCAGATTTTTGAAAAATGTTCTTAAAAATTTTCAAGAGATCCCTTTCTCCATGAATATAATACTGTCTTACCAAAGTTTTTGAAATTATGTTCAGACAAGCACCAAACATGACACAGATTCCATTTTTGCTCCGAATATGTTTTTGTGCTCCTACATGAATTATTTGTGATATAAATTTTATTCGAGATTTTCTGTCATTTTCCCATCATTTTCCCATTATTTCACTTTCTTTCAAATTATTTTTCAATCAAAAATTGAACTGATTTGTAACACATTCTGGACACATAACGTCAACCTTAATACCCTTTCTGAATCGGTGTTGAGTTCGACTTATGTGCCAAAATGGGCTCAGTTCTTATGTACACAATTTATTAGAATACTTTCAAAATGTATAATATCAAGTCTAATCCGTTTTCCAGGTAAATCTCATATGACAATTTCTATTCATGCTTAGAATTCACTAGAATATATTTATCCTTTCATCACATGATTCATCTCGCGCAGTTTTTTTGTTTCTGGTGATTAGCACACAAAAAAGTGCAAAATAATTTTTTTATCCAAAAGTACATATTATTAATACCAACCAACTATACGAATTTATCAGAGCAAAAAAAATGAAGAAAAGATTATGTGTACTAATAAATTATTATTATTAGAAAAATGAGATTTGGAGCTACAGTAACCTAGAATGTAGCATTTGCTTGATATGTGTATAATAATGTTTGTCGAATGCAAAAATAAACAAAATACAGAAATCATGTCAAAAATCAGTCAGCTGAATCTACAGTTTGTATAGTGAGCAATATAAAAATGACCAGAAAATGAACAAGGTGTGTTAGTTATGAATATTTTTATAATATTTTGTCTGTTTTTTGGATTCACTGTGGGTTACGGTAAGTGGACAATACACGTTTTAGAAATTGGCCAAAAATTAGGGGCTCTGAAAAAATGTTTGAAATTTTGGCAAGGATCTATGTTCCAATTAATTAATAATTTGATTAATTCTTGAAGAAAGCTCAAAATTTTATTCAAAAATATTTTCTGGAACAAATTTTTTAGTGTTCATAAAAGTGAGCCGAAATTTGGGATTTTTTTTCCGAAGTTTCTGACTCTATTCCTAAATTTATCCAGACAACCTGAAACTCTCCAAAACACAAAAAAATTGCACGGCTTTCATGATCATCCAAAATTTTCAGCTGGTCGAGCTTGTACTCATTCACTTCAATGTGAACGTGGCACATTTTGCAATGAAGGAGCTTGTCGAAAAGATACTTGTAGTTCAGATTCAAATTGTGAAGCTGGAGAAGAATGTCGACCTGGAAATGTGAATGGAAGACAAAAATCGGGGTGCTTTTTGGTTACTACAATTTCAACTTCTGGTAAATTTATGAAAAAATTATTTGGGGAATTTCCCTGTTCTAAAAACAATTAACCCCCAAAATATTTTCAGCTGATTACTGTCCAGGCGGTGCACTTGTTCTATCTTCTCTCGGTTCAATTACTCAATGTGATTTATCATCTCAATGTCCATCAACTCATATTTGTAATCCAATTCATGGAGTTTGTTGTACAAGTAATTTATGAATTCCAGAATTCCTCCCCAAATCAACATATTTTCAGAACTTCCAACTTGCCCAAAAACTCGCAAAACAATGTTGAATTTCATCACAGGAAAACCAATAATGTGTCAATTCAAAAATGGTCGAATAATGCCTTGTCCAGAATCAGGATACTGTGAACAAACAACTGGATTCTGTTGTGGGAATCAAGAAATTCCAGAGGTCCCAAAATCCAACAAAGGTCTCGAAAAACTTTCAGAAAAACCATGGCGCGGTGAAATTTGTCAACCTGTGACAGGTTGTTCTGGTGGAGCTGCTTGTATTTGTGGCGGAAGAGGAGGAACACTTTGTAAATGTGAATGTTCCGGAGAATTTGGGTATACTGTAGCTGCTGATGGGAAAACGTGTCAAAGAGTTCGAAGAAGATTGAAAGAAAAATGTCGAACTGATATGGAGTGCTCAGCTGCATTTTCAGAATGTTCTTCGGGTGGATGTAGATGTAAAAGAGGATTTAAAAGAAATGGAGATGGTGGATGTGAACCTATTGGTAAACACTTCTGATTTCTCTTTTTATTTCAAATTTTTGCAAATTTTCAGAATATCGTTGTGTAAACAAAGGAACTGTTTTAAAGAAAAACGAGAAAATCGTAACTTGTCATTTGAAACATACAACACTTCGAAGTGTTTTCAAAAGTTTAAAAGTCACAAAAACAAATGAAACAGACGATGAAACATTCGAAAAATTAATGAAAGGAATAACTCTAGATCTCGCAAATAACGAAACAATGTTTGATTCTTCTTCAATTTCTGATCGAGATGATTGTCCATCTGATCATTATTGTGTTCCGGTTTTTGATGATTCAAGTCGACCTGGTTATTATCAAGGATTTTGTTGTCCATCTCCAACTGAAATTCGGCCAACTTGTCCAGTTGGAGAAGCACATGAATCGAGTTATCCGCCAGATTATGGATGTTCGAATTGTCCTGGAGATTATTATTGTCATCGCGATGCAGTTTCAACAGAGAAAACGGTAAGAATAATAATGGAGCTTGGACTCGGGAATAAAATAAAACCCCAAAAGACTGTGTCGGGTACTGTAATTTTTCAGAATCGAATTTTATTTTTTTTCAAAAGAAATTTTAAAAAAAACGAAATAATTCCCAGGTTTTCGCACAAAATTCCTGAGTTTTTTAACAAAAAATCATCTGAAAAATTTCTAGATGTTCAAAATTCCTTGAATTCCAGATTTGTTGTCCAAAACCATGTGTATCACTTGAAGATATTTATCACGAAGGACAATGTTATTCAACTGCATATTACGGTGACAGTTGTCATGTATGTTTTTTCCCTGATCTAAAAAACTCTCAAATTCCCCAAATTTCAGATCTCTGCCCAATGCAGTTATTCAAAATCAATCGATCACTCAGAAGAATATGCGGAGATTTCGAAACTCGAATGTTTGAAAAATATTTGCAGTTGTCCGGCTGGTTTCAGTTTCGCTGATGGAACATGTAAAAGTAAGTGGAAAAAAATAATTAAAAGAAAAACTATTTTTTTTCAGGAATAATGTGTTCAATTGGTTTGAGAGGAGAACCTTCTGTTGATAAAAGTGGACAATTAATTCGATGTGGAAGATCTTCAGATTGTTCAATGGGACATATGTGTGATCCAAATACACATGTTTGTTGTAAAGGAACTAACCGTAAGTCTGAAAAACCTAACAAAAAATTTCAAAAAATAATTTAAGGATGCCCAAAAGACTATGTTGAAACTGGCGAACTTTGCACCGATGATAATTGTCGAGGTGTAAATGAGATTTGTGAATGGACAAAGAATGGAAAAACAAAAATATGTTGCACTTATGATGATGAATATAGTCTTCTACAGTACCCAAGTGATAATCTCAATTCATCATCAACGATTTCAGTTTTCTAAAATCAGATAATTTATAATTCTATTTATTCTCTAAATAATATTTGTATATAAGTTAAATTTTACAAAACAATAATAATAAAACATGTTGAGTTATTAAATATTGGCAAAAATACATGATAATTAAAATTATAATTATTAAAAGGGTTTGCTATTTTAGAGATCTGATATTGTATTTGATGTTGATGCAATCATTGGTGTCATACTTCGTCTTTCTCGCATTTTCTTCTCTTTTTCTCGTTTTTTCTCGTAAAACCTTCGTTTCTTTTTTTCCATTGCAACAATATCGGATTTTGCTGTCATATAAATTTCTCGAAGTTCAAAACATCTTGCTTCGAGGATATCACTCAAATCTTCATCACGAGTATTTTTTAGAAGTTGATCTGGAAAAAAAATTAAAAAATAATTTTTTTTTCAGAATTTCAGAATCCAAGTGTGGTTGAAAGCATGTTTCTCTTCGAAATATTTTTTAGAAAAAATTTCAAATTTTAAAAAAATGACAAGAAAAATTCTGAAGTTTTTGAGTACGGTAAAAATTTTCCGAAACTCGGCTTTTTTTCAGAAAAGCATTCTAAGTCGAGATCACTTGGCTCACAGAACAATTCTGGGTTTTCTTCAACTAAAAATTTTTTAAAAACTTTTCAGCTTTTCCTGATCCACAAACTTTTCAACAACAACAAAAAAACAAACCATAATCCGGAAGATCGAGAAGACTCAAATCATTCAATTCATTGTTTTGTTCCATCAATTTGTGCATTTTCGTTTTCAAAGAATGGAATGTATCTGCTCGATGTGATATTGTTGGTGTTGAATGACTAGCTTCTCCTCCTCCCAAATCTTCTTCATCCGAATCATCTTCATTTTTATTTTTTCCATGCGATTTTCGATCAATTCCAGATCCACCAAAACCACCTCGTCCAGATCTGGAAATATTTTATTGACAATGAAATAAAAATCAAAGTGAATAAAAAACAAACCTTTTCCTTTTATTCGGAACACCTTTCGAAGTCGATGGTAATAAAGTCGGATCAGCAAATGGTGTTGTTGTTGTTGGTGTTACAGTATTACTCAATTTTCTTGCAACAATTGGTGTATCAATAAATGCAGGTTGAGGTGTTTTCTCTTTTTCTTTCTCCTTTTCAGGTGTTGGAAATGTCAATGGTCCAGATTGCATCAAAAGTGCTGCTTTTTGTGCATTTATAGAGGCCGTTGATGAAGCAATTGTTGATTTTCGAGCACTTTTTCTCAATTCTTCTGATTTTTCAGGTGTTCCCTCTTTTTTCGGTGGAGTTTCTGGTTGTTTTACAATAACTGCTTCAATTGTCTTTTCTTCTTTTTCCTCTTCAATTTTATCTTCTTTCTGTATTTCCTCAATCGGTTTCTCTTCAATTTTCTTTTCAACTTCTTTTTGAATATCTTTCTGTGCTTCATCTTTGGATGTTGATTCAATAGCTGCAACATAAGTTGCAGTTGTTGTTACCGGAACATATGAACTTCTCAATGCTTGAAGACCAGCTTCAGACGATACTTGATGTAAAAGTGTTTTCTGATTTCGATTCGATGCTGGACCAATCAGAACTCTTCCACCTCTTTGCCTCGCTTCTAATCCAACAGCCATCGCAGCAACATCTCGAACTGTTACTTCAGTTGAAGAAGTTGCAGCAGCTGCAGCTGACAACATTGCAGCAACTCGAGTTGGACTTCCAAATCCAGTTGCTTGTGGTGATAACGAAGCAGGTCTTTCGATTGTTGGTGGCAAAGGCGATGCGACAACTGATTTCTTCTCAATTGTATTCACAACAATTTGTGAAGTTGTGGGTGGTGATTGAATTGGAATTGGGAGTGGAATTGGGACAGGAAGTGGTATATTTATAGGAACATTTGGTGGAACAGGAGTTGACAATGATGAAGGTTGTTGTGGTGGAGATTGAATTTGTGGCGGTTCGGCAGTAACAGGTTCCTCTTTTTCTTTCTCTTTAATATCTCGAATACTTTCAAGAATTTTCTCAATAGTTGGACCATCTTCCGAATATTCAGCCAAAGCAATCTTCATATCAGTTACTGTCTTCAAGTTTTCTTTGATCAAATTTCTTGAAGATTGTTGATCTTTTTCCGAAACTTTTAATTTCGTCAAATTAATCCATTCATCATATCTCGAATTCCAACCAAGATAATGAACAAAACATTCCATTTTCTTCGCCAATTTCAGCAATTCGTCTTTCAATTCAGGTGATAGAGCATCAGGCTGAAATATGAGTTTTGAGAAAATGGTAGAAAGTGAAATACAACATTTTTAATCCGAAAACGATTGGGAGTTTTTTTAATTTAAAAAAATAATTGAAAAAAATTTTGATTTGAGCATGAATTTTCATTAGCTACCCGCCCAAATCAAAATTTTGATTCAGGCGTGAATTCAAAATTTCCAAAATGATCCCCCCCCGCTCGAAAAATTTTTCCAAAAGACATGATCTCCCCCTCACAGTTTCGGGAGCAGTGCCATGTATGATTTTTCTCAGAAAAATTTGACCTGGTTCGAAACTTTTTCCACCCAAATTACCCCCCCCTCCCTTTAAAAATACTCACATTATTTCCCTTCTTCAAAATAGCTGTAATATCATTGGTTTTACTTTGTCGAATTTCGACAACTCTTGCATCATACCATCTATCACCATGCATTGCTCGAACTTTTTGACCCATATAAAAATGCGATATTCTGAAATACCATTATTTTAATCAATTAATTTTCAAATAAAAACATACATATTACTTTGTAGATATCCTTCATCTGGGTTTTCTCCATTTTCTCCAGTTCCATTTGCATCAGGAATTGGAATTGCTCCGACATTTTTTCGTTCAGTTTTTGGTCGATTTGATGTTGTCGAAATATCAGATTTGTCTTTTTTCTTTTTTTTTTCAAAATCATCTTTCGATCCACTAATATTCTCCATTTTTCTATTTGGTGTCAATTCTTTTTTATTGCCTTTTTTTCGTAATCGAATTTTCTCTTGATTTTGCTTCTTCGTCTTTTATTTCTTCTAATTTCAATTTTAATTCATCTCCAATTTCCTCATTTTGTTCTCGAACTTCGACATTTTCTGATATTCTTCGTTTTTTGGTTTCAATTTCAATTGGCTTCGGTGATTCGCTGGAAAATTTCGTTTTGAAAATAAAATGAGGCTAAGATGTTTGAGAAAATGATTTTGAAAATAAAAAACTTTTCCAGTGCTAGTGGAAATTTTTAAAGTAGGAAAAATCGTTGGAAAATTCAGACTTTCAAAAGAAAAATGGGGATTTTCTCTTCTCAAACCTTAAAACTACTCTCAAAATTTACCTTTTCACAACAGCAACAACATCAGCAATAATACTTCCTTCTTTCGATCCAATCGAACTATTTTCTCTACTCGATTTCTTTGCCGCATCTGATTTCCTCCGCTGTTTCATTGATATATGTCCAGGTCTTATAATCGATCTTCTTTCTCCTCTCGCTCCACTAATATTTGCATCAGAAGTTGCCCAACCAAGTTTTGATTCAAATGAAGAATAAGGTTCCAAATACCTAAAACCAATTTAATTTTTAGAGATCCAAATTTCAAAAACAAACCTCAAATATGCTTTTTTGATAGTAACTGAAGTAGCTCCCGGACATCCATTCAATTTCAATTTATTCAAAACTTTATTCCATTTTCCATTTGCTGTCACTTTTTTCGATCCTCCATAATTTTGAACTATTCTTTGAAGATTGAATAGATCAATCTCTTTTCCGCCCAAAACAGGAACTCGATTGATCGGTGATGCTGAAAAAAATAAGATTTGAAGGGAAAAATGGCGAAACATTTTGATTCTTACCGCTTTCTTCGTGGAATTTATAAACCTGAGCAATGAAAAAGTTTCTCTCCTCCGCAGTTATTTCAGTATCACTGTCTTCACTCAACGAATCCTCCTCTGAACTTTTCTCAATAGTTTTCTCTTTCTCCTTCTTTTCCTCTTTTTTCTCTTCTTTTTTCTTAATTCCTTCAATATTTACAGTTGGTGTTCCTTTGAATATTTCCTTCATTGTCCAATTTTTCGGTAACTTTCCAGATTCGACAAATGCATATGTGAATTCAATTGAAGTTGAAAAATCAACATTATCTGTAGATGAATTCGAAGAAGCGGAATAAAATGATTGAATTTCCTCGAGTTTCTTTTTCGAAAATGTTGGCAGCCATGAAAATGGTATGATTTGTGATTCACTTCGAATTAGGCTGGAATTTTAAAAAAAATTGTATTATCGTTTCGAAATTTTAATACAAAAAACTTACAATTTACCATCAGAAAACCTTCTAACACAAACTTGATCTTTTTCAATATTATCTTTTGGTTTATTCGAATATTGTTTATAAGCAGTTTGTGATACAATAACTGCTGGCCACCATTGTTTTTTATAGAAAACTGAATAAAGCGATGAGGGAATTGATGCTTTTGAAGCGGATAATGGAGATGGAATACGATTTGGAGAAGATGAAGCTGAAGAGGAACAAGGAGAAGTTATCTGCAAAAATATAAGGTGTTTTTGGGGCGAAAAGGAAAATTTTCAATTTTTTTGTTTTCTGTTTTCTGAATTTCAAATTTAAAAGACATACATTTATGACAATTTTCATAAAATTTCAAGTGTTTTTCTTAAATTTTATGAACTATGTACAAAGCCATATATTTTTCGCGAGCAAAAATTCAGAAATTAGCAATTTTTGTAGTGTTTTAAGACTTTAGGTCAACATTTTCCTATACAAAAATTCTGGAAGAGCAGTTTTAATTTCTATTTACAAACATCCCAAAAATTTTTGGGATTTTTAAAAATCCTTACCTGTGAAGAAGGTGAAATTGATATACTTTCCTTCAATCTAATAGCAGATGATGGTTCTTCAAATACAACAACACATTTTCCGATATTCAAAAACTTTTCATGCAATGTAACTGTTGTTGCTGGTTTCTCCTTTTCAGCAGCAGCTATTGTTACTCCTCCAGATCCTCCTCCAACATTTCCAATATTCCCAACTTTCTTCTTCTCTTTTTTCTCAACTTCATCTTTTTTATTCTGTTTCTTCCGCTCTTTTTCTTCAGATGAATCAGCACTCGAATCTTCAGTTGTATCTCCGCCACCAGATCCAATTCCAGATATTTCAGTTATTGCCATAGTTGCAGCCGATGCAGCTGCTCGTTTTTCTCGTTTTTTCGAACCTTCTTCATCACTTTCATCATCATCTTCATCTTCACCATCCTTTTTCTTTTTTCGTTTTAAAGGAGATAATGACTCATCGCCTTTTCTCCTAAAAATATTGATTTTTTGTTTTGTTTTGATTTTTTTAAAATTTTGTTGAAGACAAACTCACTTTTTATTCAATAACTTATTCTTTGCTCCTCTAACTACAGGACTACTAAATTGTTCCGGATTATATAATGGTAAAGCATCCAAATTAACTGCCGCATCGAAATGTTTTCCACCTTTCAAACATAATTGAGTTCTTCGAAGTTCCTTTTCATCACCATCATTGAAAACTTTAGAAATTGATTTTTGAATTAAATTTAAAAAATTGGGAAAAGTTCAAAATCACTTACCAACATGATATTTACTACAATCTTTAATATTTGATATAACAGCTCGAAGAGTTTGTTTTCCTTGAATAACATCGACTAACTGTAAAAACCTCTACGTATTTTTCATCAAAAAAAAATTAAATTACCTCATTAAGTTCAATTTTGGCAGTTTTCGGAAGTGCATTTTCATCAATAATCAAATGACCAAATGGTGATTCTTTCAATAATACTTTGATTTTTATACTTCTCGTAACTTTTTTCACTTTCGCTTCACAAAAAGCTCCTTTAAATTTAGCACTGACTTCTGTTCCAACTGTTAAATATGCCGGATCATCAGACTATAAAAATTCAACATTTGTTTCTGAAAATAATGAAAATTCTCACCTGCATGCTTTTGCAATTTTCAAACTGAATAAGTACACAAATACGAAAAAAGACGCCAATAGAAGCAAAACGAGAGAGTGTGTGGAACCGAGATGGACGAGAGAAAAAAAGAAGGAAAGAAAACAAAATGGGAAGAAAGAGGTTTTTCTGAAATGACTCTTTTAACGAAAAAAACAACAACAACAATTTCACGTCTGATGGATTTATAGACATTTTTTGATGGTTGATATTTTTACCGAAATAATCAAAATGCATTGAAATAATAAATATAAAAGACAAGTTCATTGTATCGGGTCATTTTTTTTTACAAATTTCATGAAATAAACATAATATGAGTAATTCTGTGGACAATAAGAAATGATTGAAATTGAAAATAAATAAATGATAACTTTCAGCGGGAATTTGGGGATGACAAAATTCAGATTTTGGGTCTAGATTTCGATTAATATTATGAATTATGCGATATATTGATACATTCGATGATCATGTTCATCTCTCGCCAAATAATCTCGCTCGATAAGAGTTTCGATACGTTGTTTGATGATAACAGGATTCGGCAAAAAGCGATGGCGAAGTTGTTGAGTTACCTATGAATTATGGAATTGAAAAATTTGACACTAAACAATAAAGCTTACCTCGGTGACCAAATTATTATGATCAAGCTTCTTTCTCGCTTTCATAATTCTAACAATTGCAGCTTCAACTTCTAATTTTCTATCATCGTCAACTTTTCCACGTGTTTCTTTGATTTCTGGTTCAGTTTCAGACTTTCCGGTGACCATTTGAACTTTGACACGTGTCAATTTCGATGAGAAATTATCGTTTACAGTGAATTCATCAGATGAATCAATATCTTTTCCTTTTCCTTTTCGAGCCAAAATACGTTGCGATGGTTTTCCCATTGCCAATGATTGCAGATTTCTTTTCAATTCACGTTCCGGGATTTTCGATTCATCCTGAAATGTTTACAGAATATTAAGAATAATTTTCAAATGGGGGAATAAAATTCTACGAGGTTTTTCGGAATATTTTAGTACAGTACAATAATTCACACTAGATACATTATTATACATTTCTCCAAAATCATATCAGCATACGGTAATAATTTCGACAATTTATAAGATTTCTCCCAAGCTCCCCAATTTTTTCCCGAAAATAAAACTAACCAAAAGTTGTTGATATGTATATCGAGTGCGATAATTGAAATGCAATAGAATAATCATTTGATGTGTATTCACTTGTAATATTTTATTTTCAGCTTTCGTTGAATGTTGTGTCGAACTACTTGGTCCTCCAGTTTCTTCATTCGATGAACTTCCTTTTGGTGGTGGATAAAATGTTGCTTTCACATCAGCATTTCCCAAAAGTGTATTCAATGTCAATTTTCTGCCACTATGTTTTGTCACATAAAATTGCGCAAATAATTCATAAGCCGTAGAACATTCTGGTGGTAAAGTAACTGGATTACATTGTTGAGTTGGCCAAACTCCCGATGTTAAAACTCTCATTGATATATCGATCGAGGTATTTGCTTGTGCAACAATTGCTGGATTTTCATCTCGCCAATCACGGAATGAAGTTCCAAGTGTTGCCCACAATTCTTTATCTCTAAACATATTTTCCAATTTTTGAGTAAATTGGCAACCACATTCTGTTTTCAATTTTCCAATCAATGCTTTTTCCACGTCATCCGAACAAGATTTATCCAAAAGAAGACGTTTTGCAAGGTGTTGTTTGAAATATCTGCAAAATATTGATTATAAAGCATTTTGATTTAGAAAAAATGCAAACCTTTCAAAAACATCTTTCTCTTGCAAATATCTGAATAAAATCATAATATTATCCAATCGATTATCCATTTCAGCATCCGAAACACATTTCATACCATTTTTCAACATATCATCCATATATAATGCAACAAATTCAGGCGATTGTTTATTCGAATTGATAAAGCTCTCAAAATCATGTTGGAATTTATTCTTGAAATCTCGCTCATCCGAAAATGCACTTGTCAAAAGAGATGTGAAATAATCTTTGAGTTGTAATAATTCCTAAAAATTTATATTTTCATTTTTAATTAAAGGTTGTGGAGAAAAATAAAATGTCGACAAAAAAATTATTTGTGAAAATATTTCGTTTTTGTCTAACGTAAAAATTATTATAGTTCCAAATTTCAAACTTTCAGACAATTTTGATTCACACGTTACTGAGTTATTGGATTTTTTTCGAAATTTCATTTTTCTGCACAGTCACATTAAGGTATCGTGCCTACTTTCTCAAACAAATAAAAAAACTTACATTAACAAAATTCACAGGATTTTTGGCCAAGTCCCCATCTTTGACTATATTTTGACCAGCCTCACATAAATACCTGAAAAAACGCTTATTATTTATTTGTTCGAAAGATAACAAATGTGAACAAACAAGAAAATAAACAGAAGGAAAACACCTGATAAATGGTCAAAAATTGAGAAAGAATAACTTACTCGCTAATTGCTTTCAATAAAACTTTGAGACCACATTTAGCTGGATCCGTTGAATTAATTCGTTTGAATATGCGATAAATTCTTGTTAAATCCGAAATCTTTTTATGCTGCAACATAAATTTGACTCCACCATTTTCCATATATACAATAGTTTGCATATGTTTTGAAACCATAACATCGTCCATAACCCGTAAAATTTTAGTTTCCGTTTCACTATCCAAATATCTTCTGGCGCGATTCACTTCTTCTTGCATACAATTTTCAACCTAAAAAAACAAAAATAGAAACAATTAAATTTCAAAGCTTCTCACCCTAGAAAGATAATAACATGCATCATTTTCACCGTCTAACCATTTATTGCAAACATCTCGATAATAATCAGCGGTTTCCTGAAAAATTCAAAATATATTCAAAGATCCACATGATTTTCTTACCAATAATAATGGTTTTTCAAATTCATCTTCATAAACACTTCTTGATTCAAGTCCCAATGCAATCAACATACTACATGTTTCTTTTATTCCTCCCCAATTAATTTGATTTGATTTTCGATCCAAATTGATAAGATTTAATAAAGCGGCACGAAGACAATCGCCAATTCCATTTTGGTGTAAAACTTCTTCTCTGGAAAAATGTTCAATCTAGTTTTTCTTTCACAAAAAAATTTTTAGAGAGAAAACTTACTTGAAAAGATCTAATCCAAGATTATAAACAGGCATAGCAACTGTACTATTCTGTTGAACATAAATACGATCCATATACATAAGAATATCTCGAATCATAACCATTGCAACAGTATGATCACTCCATGCATCATTTAATGTTTCAAGAAATCCTCCTTGATCCATTGATACAACAATTTTGGCACGAACATCTTCTAAATGTTCACTTATAACACCACTTAAACCTTTGTAAAGTCTTTCGCCGTGTTTATGAAGAACCATTGTATAAGCATGACGATAAAGTTCTTCAAAGCTGAGGCCTGAATTGTTTTTTCGTTGAATTTCTTGAATTGCTCTTTTCAGATAATTCCATGTTTGAGTTACATAAGTTTCATCCATCGCAGCCTGCAAAAAATTGGTCAGAAATATTTCGAAACATTCATAGCATTATTCATAATCATGCAGATTATTGAAAATGACTACACGTTGATTTTTAAGAACTTACGGGAAATGCACGAATCCGCATTTTTCCGGCTGATCCACTGCCACTATTTGACGCTCGTGAGGTCATTGCAAAAAATGAGGTTTCACCAAAAACACTTGACAAATCCGACGATTCACGTTGATCACTTACCCCAGAAAACACTGAAAAATGAATTTGAATTACAGCAAATACTTGTTAGAATTGGAGAAAAAGAAGGAGCTCACTTTTTGAGAAGAGATTTTTAATTTTATTATAAGCCAGAAATGAATGTAAAATCTGTCTTATTCAAATTGAATCGGAACACGTACGTAAAACAAATCATTTTTCGATCAATATTTTATTTTCAATAAATTTATTGTTTTCATTGGAACAATCAATAATTATATACTTTTGAAAACTAGAAATCATTTTCATTTTGACAAATTGAGGTCAGTTTGAGAAAAACAAAAGTGATAACGAACTCAAATAATGAAATGTGTGAGGAAATTGAAAAAACGAGGCAATAGCAAAAAGTGCGCCAACATTTTGAATGCTGACGTGTTTTGTGTGCATCGTCAATTAAGGCGGCTAGTTTGAATTCTTCTCTTCTTCCCTCTCTGGGATAACAAAGTATATTTCGCCAGTGTCAAACATCTCGTATCCCTCTACTTCGTAATCGACAAGAAAATATGAAGGTCGATTAAAAACACCTGGAAAAATCGATTATTTTTGTGTGGAAAATATAAATGAATACCTTCTAAAAAGATGAGGAAAACAAATAATTTGAATATTTTCATATCGAAAATGTAAATATTTCTAGAATTCTGCAACAATATACAAAGAAATGACGAACTGAAACATTTTGTTGTGAAAAAAACTATTTTGAGATCACGCATCATTTATTTGTTATAATCAAGTTTTCGTACTGTAATTTCTCCAAAACTCGAATTTTGTACCGCTTCTTTTCAGTATGTCATTATCCTCTTGTTCTCTTTATTTTCGAATGAATAATTCAACATCACGGAAAAAAGAGACGGAAACTTAGAAAACCATAAAAAAATAATTCCGAGAAAAAAAACCATTATTTATAGTTTATTATAGTTTAGCAATTTAAAATACAGGGTGGTCGCAAATTACGGACACAACGAGTTGTGAATGTTTTGGACCTTAGTTATATGTCTTAAACTATAAATGTCAAAATATCGTCTCAGAACTTAGTTACTAGTATGGTTAACTTGAAATTCAAAAAAATTCAACCTCAATTCATCATGTTTCAGAATAGTTATATAGCTCCATTCAAGCAATTCGAAATCAGACAAAAACAGTTTTTGACACGGTGCTTTTTCAAAAAATTATTATTTTGCTTCGGAGTGATTTTACAAAAATAAAAATGAGAATATAACTTTAGAAATGATTTTAGGTTAATCAGGAGCATTTTTGACCCTATTTCATGTAAATATTTATATCTTTATTATTCAGAACTCTGTCTATGTCCCACATTGTCGGGACAGGTTGGTTTTTGCCGAAAATCAGGATTTTGAGCTTAAAATCGATTCAAACCGCACATTTTTGTACATATAGAAATTTAAACTTGTTTTCACTGTTACTATACGCAATCACAACAAATATTACTTGAGTCCCTCATATATTTCGCAAAAAAATCGAATTTTTTCATTTTTGGGTCATTTTTTTATGATTTTTTCGATTTGAGCTATGTAATTCATCAGTCTGGAACATGACTGAAAGTAATTTTTGAAACTTTTCTATCTAAACTTTTTTAGTATATTATAGTACCTTTGAACCCACAGTAATACTATTCTAGGGTAGTATCTCCATTTGGTGAAATCGTGGTGATAATGTAAAAGTAGGGGCCGTGATTTTTTGAACAGCCACTTTTCACTTCAGCCTCATCTCATCACCTCCAATGATGCACATTGGAGTATTTCAAGTTTAAGTGAATTATTATCTATAAAGGAAATAATTTTGCCTCAGATTAAATTTCTAACTGATCTAGGACTTTTTCAATATCAAATTGAATTTGTGTTCGTAATTCGCGACCACCCTGTAGATAATCGACATCATTTCAACAATTTTTTCATTCCGGATCATTGAAAAGGCTGTGCAATAAAAAAATTATATTCGATTTGTTTTCTGAGTTGAGGGAATCCCTCAAAAGATAGTTGTAATGTTTTGAAATAATTAATAAGAATTTTTCTTAAAAAGTTAAGGACCTATTTTCGGATCTATACTTTCCTGGACCAAAAACAAGTATGTTCTGAAGACTTGAAACAAAAAAACAAAAAAAATGCATTGCAAAATCGATTTATTCAGATTCGACTCAAAATGCCAGACAACATACATTCATCGATTATTTGCGGAGACTCCAAGATTTTTGAGGAAATCTTCACGATGTGTCAACAAATCATTCGCCGTAAAAAGATACAAGTTGATCGTCTTGAGATATCTGCAAAAAATTTATATCAACAAAATGTATTTAATTTTTTCAACAAAAAAACTTACGCCATAAATATCACTTCCATATGATCATTCCGTGGCTTTCGTATGAAATACTCGTTTCGTTCTTGAACTTTCATGAATGACAATCTCGATACTTTGATGTCATCATGTTCGGTGATATCTCTCAGCTCCTACAAAATAAGTTATACTTTTGTTTTTTCATTCTCTCACTCACTTTTTCAATGGCCTGGAAATTGTACTTTGTCCTCTTCTCAGCCGTTCTTCTGCGCATCGCTCTTTGCATTCGGCACATACAGTCAATAACGGCTATGGGATTTGAATTATACTTCCCAACAAGAAATCGGGAAGTATCGTATCCAACATCTTGATTTTTTGCCGCAATTCGTCTCAAATCTTCTGTCAGCCTATTGTTCGAGAAAATATGATAAATTTCATATCTTATAGTCTGCAAAAACATATGGTTATTTCAATCTGACTATTATTTTAGACTGTTACAAACTTACTTCTCCATAATGTCTGAAAACATTTTTCGAGACAAAGTTTTCGCGGATTGATACTGTGGATGTTTGAGTAGCTCCTCCAATAAGCGTATCTAAAAAAACCCAGTTTACTGTCGTTTTGTCGTCATTTTCATTGTAAACTTACCCTTTGTTCGAGCGATCCTCGCTTAGCAAGACCGTACAATCGTGTGATTGCCGCATTATTTCTCGCTCTTCTTGGCATATTGATTGAAATTATTAGTGTTTACAAGTAGATAAATAAAAACAGTAGCTAATATAAAAATGACAGATTCAATGATTTTATGCGCTTATATAGATAGTGACAGAAAAAATAGAACACGCAAAAATTAAAAGATTTCCAATTTTTGTTTTTTTTCGCCATTTTTTCAAGCCGTGGGTTTATATTCGACAATTTTGAATTGGATAAAAAAGAACGACATGGCCGAGTGGTATGCACTGCAGATTCCCATTCGCAAAACCAGCGTGCGATGAGAGTTTTTTGATTTTCACTTTTTCCAGCTGAATTCTGATCTACAGTATATCGAACTGAAAAAAAAAACAATTTTTGCAAAAAAATTTGTTGATATTTGGTGTCATGTTTCAATAAAATCGACAATTCTGTTTTTGGCTATAAATATAGTTCCAGACTCTAATTTCAGTCTGAAAATAAATTCAGAAAATCATGGACATCAACGGCACACATCTCAACGGGACTTTGGAATGAGTTTTAGGTTCCAGGCTAACATGAGCAATGAGCAATGTTAGTATATAACTTGCCGCTACACGGAAGATCTCATTTTGCTCTCGGTGATTCTCTAAAAATAATTATTGATTGATTTTTATTTGGGTGGTGGGATGATTTGAATAATATAAATGTTTGCTTTTTTTAATCATTTTTTTCTTGCAGTTTACTGGATTACTGTAATTAAAGAATTTCCAAAAACGATTTTTTAGATAGAACTCGGAAAATTTAAAAATTTTGCAGTTTGGATTACTGTAGCTGCAAAATCCCTATTTTCAGGCAAAATTTGTGATTATTGGCTCTTTTTTATTGTTCCACAGTACCTCAAAGTTCAAACTGTAACAAATCGGATAATAAAAGAGTTTTGCCGTCCGGATTACTGTGGTCCAGAAATCCAGAATTTTGAAAAAAAAAATGGTTCGGATACAGTAATCCGAACTGCAAAAATCGGAAATTAAATTTTGAAAAAGAATAAATCCTTCGCAAAAGTTATCCGAAAATTTCCAAAATCATTCAACTTTCTTATTTCGGAAAAAAATTAGCGCGGAATTAGCAAAATTTCTCGATGGACGTTAGCACTTCTTTTCAAATATATCATTGTCCTCTTGTTCTCTATATTTTTTCGAATGAGTAATTCAAAATTGCTTGTTTCCAGTTACCCTGACAACCAAAAAAACAGAATAAGGGGAGAAAAGAATGGCCATTTTCCGATAAATCCTTACATTTTCCGCTTTTTCTTGTTTTGATTGACTGACTGACTGACTGCAGTTTTTTTGACAAAAATGTTGAGACGTTTTTCAAAAAAGCGTAATTCATCGCAAAGTTCCGAATATTCAAATTCAAAATCGGAAAGCAAAAAACTATTGAACAAGTTTTTGGATTTTATAACTTCCTCAATTTGGTCAATTCCAATTGCATCTTTCATTGAGCAACAAAGCATAGGTTGGTTTTAAAAGCAAGTTTGGTTTTGAGATGTTTCAAATCACAATTTCTTCAGTCTTTGATCGTCAACAAATGGAAATTGAAGTCTATGAGCAAATTCATAAAGAATATTCATCATTGATTGACACTTTGGTAATTCAACAAAATTAACATCCATTCCCAATAATCAAAAAAATTTTCAGATCGAATGTTTCTGTGAAGACGTGTCGACTTCCACAGAAAATTTGACAGAAGCCCTAAAATTGTTGGATCAGAAAAATCTAAGTCTTCGTCAAAGAGTAAGTATCAGAGAGATCTTCATTTACAGAAAATAATTTTTAAATAAAAAAACAATCATCAAACATCTTCGGTGTTTTTCGCTTCCCTTTTCCGCTTGTAACCTGAAAAATCTCGAAAAAAAATGGTTGATTCTGAATTTCATGAAAGTTCAAACCTTTTAGCTTTTTTGGGGCAAATCTTTCGATGTTTTCGACAATGATGATGTCTTAAATGATGTTTACATCTCGATACTTTTGGTAATTGTGCAATAGGATCTTCTTGTATTTTCTCTTGTTGTTCTGATTGATTCCAATCGTCTTCTTGTTGAAATTGAAATCTTTTTCGCTCTTGAAATTTCTCATCGATATCTTTTTGAATTGGAACTGGAATTCGGGGAAAAAGGGTTCCATACCAATCCAATTTATTAATCATCGCTCGAACTAATTGTCCAAATGTCATACAATCTCCTCCGCCTGATTTTGGATCTATTTCTCTATCATCGTCCTATTAAAAAGAATGATTGAAAATTGAAATGATTTTTTGTGATTACATCTGACGTTCTTATATGGAACCTAATTTTTCTGAGATTCTCATCTTAATTTTTCACAAGAAACCAACTATTTTTTTCGGTGAGGTAGCGCCAAAAATTGTTCTACAGATTTATAGAAAAATCGTGAACTAGAAAACAGTTTAACTTTTTATACATATATCCATGTTTTCAGATTTTTAAAACTAAAATTTGTGGGACCCTAAATTCATGATAGAATATTTTTGCTAAACTCACCAAATAAGTTTCAAACCAATACCACAAATCAGCTGGTGGTTGAGTATATCGAATATACATAAAACCAATTCCTCGAATATAAACCGATTGTTTCGAATTGAGCATAGAAATCAATTGTTTTTTGGTGATTTTCAAATTGAAAAGGCGATAAAGAATACAATAAGCGGAGCTAACAACTCCGCCAGCTCCAACTCCTCGAACTCCTCCACACATTCCAGTCATTCCTTGAAGTCGACGTGTTCCTTTTTCCCATGGTTCCAAGTGTTTTACCTAAAATTAAGTATGTATTTTATGAAGAAATTCAAAAATTAATAAAATCCTTTTTACCTGATAGAAAATCTGTTCAATCAATTCTTGAAAAGTGTCCATTTCAACAAGATTATTTTTATAATAATAACTTTCTCGAATATTTTCCAATACCAACGTGTTCAAATTCATCGTTACTTTATTTCCCCAAATCGGTAGAATATTCCCGCCAGTTTTTTTGGTTTCCTCAATTTCCTCTTCGTTTTCTCCTTCTCCATCTTGATTTGGATTTTCGGAAGGAGTTGCAGATTGTTGTGCTGAAGCCATAAATGTTCCAGATTCGATTTGTTGTTGGATAATTGCCTGAACTGGATCCATCTAAAAAATTAATTATGAGATTCAGAACTGAATTATTAGTTCAAAAAATATGTATAAAAATGGTGGGAAACCATTAATTTTCGAAAAAAAGAAGAAATTCACAAAGTAAAGATTTATACCCGAACAAGTAAAATAAATAGAAATCATGTAGGAATTAAGACAAGTTAAAACTGTTTACTGGAAGTTGATGAGAAGCTTGAAGAATCTGTAAAAAATATTTTATTATTTCAGGTTTCATTGGAGCCTTTGGCAGCTGCTCAAGATTTCAATGTATTTGTTCCGATGATGATGAGAAAAAACATTGAATTACAATTACAAGCTCTTCAAATGATCGAATTTATGTGTGGTTTGATACCAGCAGTTTTACAAATTGAAGATGGAGAAACACTTCGAAATCGAAAAGAATTATCACCAGAAGATACAGAAAGATATGTTTTGATATCTGTTTTGAGGCAAAGTCGAGATGAATTTGAAGCAATGCAAAAAGGAAGAGAAGAAATGGAATTTTTGGCAAAAGAAGGTGAACAACAAAGAATGAGATTAGAAGATGAAATAAGAAAAGAGGAACGATTATTGCAAATTGCATTGGCTAATCAAAAAAGTGCAAAAGAAGAAACACCATTATCAATTGCTGCAATTATGTTTTCAAGAATGACTGATAATTCAACAAATACAGAAGAACAAGGAACATCTGAAAGTAGTAGTAGAGGAAGATCAATTAATCGAGATTATCAAAATATTGGAACAGATGCTAGACCAATTTCTCGAAAACAACGAACGAATTCAAGCAGCAATACGGAAAATCAACAAAATCTTGGAAAAAGAGATGATTCTGCTGAACCTCGAAAAATATCTGGTGATCAAAACATTGAAGATTTAAAAATAGAAAAATCTGAAATTTCAACTAATACATCCAATGTTTCAAACGATTTTGAAGATTCAAAAGAAGACAAAAACTTCCAAACTTCTGAAACCTCAAAACGAGAAATCGGAACAGATGCTCGACCAATTAGTGGAAAACACGGAATAAGAAGTACTTCTCGACCAGGAACAGCAAAAAGAAGAGATTCGAAGGGAACTGCAACTGAAGTAACACAAAACAGACCAACAACTGGAAAAAGGAAAAATTCTCAAGGAACTTTGACAGATTCAACGATTGAAACAAATAATTATGAAGATGATTTGGAATCGATTAATATTAAAAAACAACAAAATTCGGGAATTTCGGAAAATGAAAAACGACCAGAAACAAGTAAGAAATCGAATCAAATTGAAAATAAAACGATTGAAATGGAAGAAACTGAAGAAAATACCAAAAAACGACCAGTAACTGGAAAAAGACGAGGATCTAAAAATATTCAGACTGATAAAAACTCGGAGAAAATTAGAAGTTCAAAAGAAACTGGAACTGGAACCGATTATGAAAATATGGAAGAAAATAAAAATGATAAATCAACATCTCGTCCATCGACTGTTAGAAGAAATAGTTCGAAAGATAAAGTGGAATCTGAAGAAAAAGAAACTGCGACAAAAACAAGGCCAGCTACTGGAAAACAAAAAAGTTCAAGTGATTCTGGAAGCACAAAAGATATTGGAACTGAAACTGCTGGAAAACAAAAAGAAGATCGACCAAGAACAAAATCAAAAACACGTGAACTTCCACCAAAAGGACCAGTCAAAGAACCAAGGTATGCAAATGAAAAAGAACAAAAAAGATATGTTGAAACACCTGGAATGGAACATGGACCAAGAAGAAAGAATTTGAATGATGTTAATGTGAGTGAAAATATTTCTTAATTTAAAAAATACTTCGAAAATTCAGAGTCATCTTGTTGATAGAGATCGTTTGAATAGTTCGGATGTTCGAGCTCGTGCTGAATATTTAAGAGAACAAAGAGATCGACTACTTCAATTGAAAAGAGATGAAAGAATCAAACAAATGAATGTAAGTTATTAGATTTAAAGTTGACATTAAAAAACCTTTGAATTTCAGGAACTAACTAAAGATTCATTGGATCGTCCAAAAACTGCAAAAGCTGCACGTGGAATGATGGATAAAAAAGAGGCTGATGATATTCGACGAGAAATCAATCAGAAGATTAAAACTGATATTTTAACTTTGCAATAAATTTAACTTGGTTTTTTGTTCGAATTTTGAAATAAACTGTGATTGGAAAATAAAAAAACTAACCTTTTTCATATTCATGATGATGGCAAATTCTCAATTGCAGTTACAAAACGAAAATCTTCGGGGAAAAGTTCAGCTGCTCTTGGATACAACAATTTATAAGTTTGTTTTACAGTAATTTCAGCAGCTCCAGCAACATCTCCGATTTCTAGAAAATATTTTTGTTTACAATACTATGAAACAAATTGGGTTTCAAAAACAACCTTTTGCATTTCTTTTTTCTGCCGAAGCTTGCGATGCCATGTAAATTGCAGCTGCGGCAATTGAAATAGGAGTACGTCTGGAATAAATGTTAATCGTGTTTTGAATTTACACGACTTCCTTATTTATTTACCCTGCAACAAGATCCATTTCAACAGCTCTTTTCGCAATTCTTGTGGCAGCCGCTTGAATCGAATTTGGAAGTGATAAATTTCCGCAGAATCTTGACATAAAATCGGCAGATGTAATCTGTTCCAAATTGGTCTCCAAATTCTTGATAATAATTTTGAAACATCTTCCAATCTCCTTTTTGGAAACTTGTGAAATCGCACAAATTTCTTTGAATGTTCTTGGAACACCGTCTTTACGACAAGCAATATATAAACATGCAGCTGCTTGAGCTTCGTTATTTTTTCCACGAAGAGCTTTGCTATCCAAGACATCTTTGAAAATTCTCGCAGCATTATCCTGTAAAAATGGAACTTTATTTCTTACCACTCATATTTTTAAACAAACCTGAATATTCTTTGTCAAATGGATTCTTTCACCCATTTCTCGAATCAAACTCATTGCTTGTGTCATTTGTCGATCCGAATTATTCATTGATTTTCTTTGCGCATTCGCCAAGCTATTATCACTATCCGATCCACCAAAACCAACAGCAATTGTTGTACTCAAATCACCACCACTCAATAAAGTGTTTTCTGGTGCACCAACACGAGAAGGATCATTTCCACTTCTTTCGTTTGAAAATGAACGCCATTCTGTTCCAACATCCACCAATCTGAAAAAAAAAACATTCGAAAACACATTCTAAACATCAAATCAACAAATCTTACCTATCACCAACTACCAAACCACATGCTGGACAAACCAAATCACCCGCTCGATGATCTTCAATCAAATGTACTTCTGGGTGAGAAGGGCACATAACAGGAGCAGACATTTTTGCAGATATGAACCCTGAAAGCTTTTCTGTAGAATAATCACTCAGAAATTTAGTTGACAACAAGTAAAAAGAACGAGGAAAACTTCCTAATGCACGGACAGAAATATTTCGAAAGAACTCGATGAATAATAATGCGAAATAAACTGATAATCGTCTGCTTAAAATTTCGAAATGATCGTCAGCAGCGTTGTCCGGGCCCTCAGAGAAAGCCGGCGACTAATCGGCGACGAACTTACGACGAATCGAGATCAGGCGACTAATCGTCTGCCAATCGTAAGTTCGTCGCAAGTTCGTCGGCGAAAATAGTGTGTGTTTCCCGGAGACGCAGACGAAAAAGTTTCAGGCGACTAATCGGCGACCAATCATAAGTTAGTCGCCGATTAGTCGCCTGAAACTTTTTCGTCTGCGTCTCCGGGAAACACACTATTTTCGCCGACGAACTTGCGACGAACTTGTTGGTCGCCGATTAGTCGCCGGCTTTCTCTGAGGGAGATGTACACAAGCGGAGGACTAGAAAAACAAACATTTTCTAGGCCATTATTATCACATCAATTTTTCATTTTCGTGTGTGTTTACTTTAAAAACCAAATCGAAGCCAAACTATTCGAACTCTTCAACTAAATGACTATTTATAACGTGTATATATTCGATCGAGAAGGCCAATGTCTTTTTTATGATGAATGGTTTCGTACAAAGCAATCAGGATTGTCAAAAATTCAGGTAATGTTTTATTTTTATAAAATTAATTGATAAGATGAGTAAAAGGTCACGTTTGCAATTTTTAGGAATATAAACTTGTCTTTGGTATGATGCTCTCAATGAAATCATTTTCTGAAAGACTCGCAACTGCAGATTCAAATCAAACTGTTAATTTCTATAAAACTTCGACATATAAAATGACGTTTTTAGAATCTGCGACTGGAATTAAAATTTTAATAAATACAGATCCAAATGCGAACGGAATCAGAGAATTATTGCATAAAATTTATCAGGTATTTATAATTTTCAATTCGAAAAAATATACAATTTTATTGATTTTTTTCCAGGCATGGACTGAAACTGCGAATAGTGCAGCTCGTCTAATCTCATCCGAAACAGAACCCGACGAAAGTTTTTTGAAATCCCGAGTGAAGCAAATTGTGACAAAACATCCTTGTTATGTATAGAACTTAAAAATATCTCTAACTGTCTGCGTTTCCACGTTTCCAACAAACTTATTTATTTTCCCTCGTTTTCTTTCTCTTCAAACCGATTTTTTTCGATAAAAATGATAAACGAAAAAAATGTTTCTGAAAAAAATTGGTTGTCAAATGCCATATTGATTTTTTTTGTGTTTCTCAATATATATTTATTTGTATTTATTTTATTATTTGTTCGTTTCAGGAACAAAAAAATGACATCACCTTCTGCACCACCGGAAGATGGAGACAATGTTATAAGAAGTCCCGTAAGTTTGAAATTTAAATTTTAAAAAAATTGAAAAATAACGTTTAATGTTTTCCAAATTTTTAGACATAATATTTATTCTTACGTTAGTTTTTTTTTTCAAAAATTTATGGTTCATTCATCATCAAAAATAAAAATTTTTATGAATAAACAAACAACACTTTCGATTCAGTCAATTTTGAAAGGATTAACCAGTTTAGACGACCTTTTTTATCGCAATTTTTTGTTGAAAAAAATTATTCGAAAATATTTATGTACAGCGAAGGTTTTTTCCCATTAAATATTTGGGATGCACCGTTGTATTGGATAAGAAAAAATCCGGTGAATTTTTAAATTGCAAATTTAAAAAAAAATTCAGTAATTATTTTCTAGGAACTACCATTTGTTTCTTCAATTGTTGGTGGATTATTTGCTGGTCGATCAGTTGTTGTAAGTGGAATGGTTCTTCCAGGATTCGCTTCAGATGCTAAAAGGTTCAGTAGATTTTGACGCTTGAAATAATCAAATATATTTAAATTTCAGATTCCAAATTGATTTATGTTGTGGTCTTTTAATTGATGGCGATCATATGGATAATAAAGCACTTCATATTAATCCACGCTTTGATTCAAAAGGTGGATGGTTTAGTGGACCTTCAGATGATAAATTGGTTTTGAATTCTTTTATTTCTGGAAGATGGGGAAATGAAGAACGATTTGATAATCCATTCAAAGAAGGAGAACCTTTTCAAATCAGAATTATGGCTTTGGAAAAGTATTTCAAGGTATTTTTTTTGAATTTTTTCATTTTTTACATCATGTTCATACAGATTTCTGCATCTGGTCGTCATGTTTGCGATTTCCCTCACCGCGTAGAACTCGAAGATATCAAAACCATTTCAATAAAAGGAAATGTTCGCTTGGATTTTGTCGAATTCCAGCCACCGGTTAGTTTATAAACCTATCCTTAAATTATTCCTTATCTTTTTATATTTAGGAGGAAGGTGCACCAACAATATAAAATTGGTCTCATAGCAGCTACAGTATTCAAATAAAATAAAAATAATGATATTTAGATGTTGTGTTGTGTGCACCTTCTTCTTTTAATCGTCATAATTTTGAAGCCATAAAAATTGCCAAATTTTCAGTTTGATTTTTAAATTTTAGATTTCTATAGGACCAGATGGAAAACCAAATATTGTAGCACCAAAACCGAAATCCGAAGTCATCACAAAAATTGATAAACCGGTAAGAACGTTATTTATATTTCAAAAAACGAAAAAAACAAATTATTTCCAGACAATCCCATTTCAACTAGCTCTCCCACCTGGAGGATTTGTATCTCCACAATCTATGCGATTCACTATAACCCCATTTTTATCTGCAAATCGTTTTGATATCAATTTGAAATCGAAACAAGAATATTATTTTCATTTTCGAGTTGATATGCCAAATCAAGCAAAAAAGTTGAAGGTAATTTTTAATTTTAGAAAAAGCTGACAATGAGGAATTTGAAAAAGTCATTTTCAGGCCGCTGTTATTCGAAACAGTACAACAATGAATGGAAAATGGTTAACAGAAGAACGGACATTTGGAACTTTTTCCATTTCATCGTGGAATTACTCACGATGTATTATTTACTGCATACGGAAAAAGTGTTACGGTAGGTTTTTTTTTTGAATTTTCAACGTATGGTTTTGGAAACAAGTTAAAAAATGAACCTGTGAGCCAAGTTCGAGAGCTGCGAAGTTTGAAGGATCAGCTCATTTGGCTACAAAACTTGACTGAAAATTATAATTATAAAAATTTTCAGGTTGATGTGGATGGTTCTCCTTTCGTCAAATTTGTCTACCGCGAATCTGATAGTCCGTGCGAAGTTGATTCTGTCACCGTTGAAGGAGATGTTCTCCTACACAGATTCGAACACAAATCGAATCGTTGAAATTTTTTTCACTTTATTAATTTTATTTCTATCTGCTTGTAAAACTGTGATTTTTTAATGACACAACGGTTAATATTTTTCTGACAATAAATATTCAAAATCACGTGAACTTTTCATGACGTGTCGGAAATAGGTTGGAAAAAAAAGAAAATCGAATAATTGTCATGTTTTGTCATCATTTCATTTATCAGTTAAATCGACAACGTTATTCTCTTCAAAAGGTTTTCTTATCAACAAATATTACAAAAATAATGCCGTTTCATCCAAAATCTATTGTTGTTACTGGTTCAAATCGAGGAATCGGATTTGGACTTGTTCAAAATTTTTTGAAAGATCCTCAAGTGGAAAAAGTTATTGCGACTGCGAGAAATGTGGAAAATGCCGAGGTTTGATATTTTACTTGAAGAATTTGTTGTGACTTGAATTTTTCAGAAACTGAAAGAAATCAAAGATTCTCGTCTTCATATTCTTCCACTTGATATCACATCAGATTCTTCAATCAATGAATTTATTGAAAAATTATCTGAAAAAGTTGGAGATTCTGGTGTTGATTTGCTTGTTAATAATGCTGCTGTTCTCATTCCATATACAACAACACAAACACCAAATCGTCGAATTATTCAAGAACTTTTCGAGGTCAATACAATTAGTGTGGTTATTTTGACTCAGAAAATGTTTCCATTGTTGGAAAAATCAAAACAATCTCATTCTGGAATTGTGACAATTACATCGGAAATGTTAGGATCAATTGAATTGAATACAACTGGATCGGGAAGACATGAAGCAATGGCTTATCGAATGACTAAGGTGAGCAATTAAATTTCGATTTTATATTTGAAAAAATGGTTTTTTAGTTATATCTTCAAAAAATTTTGGTTCAAAACAATTTGAAAATTTTCTAAAAAATTTAAAAAAAAATGTGATTTTTCAGACCGCAATCAATCAATTCATTAAAACAATCTCGATTGATTTGAAAAATGCAAATTCTCGAATTTTTTCAATCGGAATTTGTCCAGGTTGGGTTCAAACTGATATGGGAGGAACTGATGGAAAATTGACAATTGATGAATCAACTTCTCAAATTGTTTCAAGTATCAATAATTTGGAACCCGAAACACATAATGGTGGATATTTTAGAAGAGATTTGACTAAAATTCCATATTGAGTCAATTTTTCTTGGAAATTTTTGTGGATGAATTTTAATTCCAAATTGTTTTTGTGAAAATGAAATTTGAATTATTTCCAATTACCACGTGCAAGTTCACGTATATAAATATTATTTTAACCAGAAACTTTTTTCACAAAGTTTGTGAGAATTTTCTAGAATGCTACTAAATATAGACAAGAAATTCGAAATATTAAATTTTATTTGATTTCCAAGCTCTTTGTAAACTGACTTATAATTTCCGGAAGTTCGGGAGATCGACAAATAAACTTATGACCAAAATTGTGAACTGAATCGAATTCTCGAAACTCGACTTTTCGATCAGATTTTTTGGCTGCTTTCTGAAAATTTGATTTTTTTGAGAAGAAAAAAAAGAAAATAACTTACGTAAAGCGCTCTTCCTAATTTCACCGGTAAAACTCGATCATCTTGTGCATGTAGAATCAAAATTGGACAACTGATGCTATAAAACTCTCAACGATTATTTTCAATTTTTCAAAAAAAAATAAAAAGAAAAATCTTACTGTGTTATTCTTTGATCAGATTCCATTCTTAATCCAACACTATTCAATGGTTTTATAATAACATTGTCGACAAGAAAATCATTCATCCATTTGAATATCAAAAATATTGGATGATTTGTAATTGCATCCCGTAAATTATTGAATGGTGATTCTAATACCAAACCATTTGGAGGTTTTTCAGCCAAACATAGATCTTTCACTAATTTACAAGAGACTCTGAAAATTTTTTTCTCGAAATACTGCCTAAAATCTCAGATTTAAAAACTCACCCAGTTCCCATAGAATGACCCCATACAATTACAGTATTATTTTTCGAGTGTGATTTCAAGTAAGAATATACAGTATGTGCATCTTGAATTATACCATGTTCAGTTGGTGTTCCTTGTGAATCTCCATATCCTCGATAATCAAAACATATTACGTGATAATTTGAGTTGTTCAAAACATTATACAATTCTACTCTATGATAAAATGTTCTATCAAATGAGTTTCCGTGCGCGTAGAAAATTATTCTGCAAAAAATATTGATTTTAAATAGTTGCTCCTTGTTCCGATTTGATAATCAACTAACTTATATTTGGAATCAGCTAAACTTGACTCCATTTCCTCATCTGATGGATGAACTCCTTTTGATCGATATTCTAATGATAAATCGCGTGGAAGCATATGCCAAACACCGATTTTTCCCGCTTTTCCTGGGATATAAAAACTTCTCCCAACAGCATTAACATCATTTGCTGATATATCATTATAATCTGTGTTTGGTAGACGACCTGAATAAAATTGGAAATGTATTTGTTTTGAATTTCAAAAATGTTCAAAAACCCACGAAAGTTCAGGAAGAATATAAATTGAATATAATGCGGGAAAAGAAGAACTAGAATTGGAAGAATGACAGCAACGAAAAATAGAAATGCAAAAATCAAAATGAAGACGGGTTGAAGAATAGATATAAAATAGCCGAGCATTTTGTTAGTAGATTTTATCCATCGGTTATATTACCTGTAAATAAAACAATTGAATACAACAAAAAAAAAGACAAAATACTTTCAATTTCAACTAAATAATGACGAAAACTGGATATCGATCGAATTTCAAGTGCCCGGATTTTTAGCGCATGCGCCGATCAGCTGAAGAAAAAAAGAAATGAATTTTTTGAAATGAAATGGTGTACGGTGTGCAATTGTGCAAACACGGAATACGCAATTGCAAACTACAGTAAGTTTTTTATTTTGAAAAAATAAATTTTTTTAGTTTTCAGTTTCAAAAGTCGACGTTTTCATATTTTTAACGAAAAAAGTATTGCGAAAAATATTAAAATACTCGTTTCCAGGGTTGTTATCAATTTTGTTATCAACAAAATGACTACGATTAGACCTTTCGACGTTATGGATATGCTCAAGTTCAACAATGTGAACTTGGACAGAATGACCGAAACGGTTGGTAAATTATTAATTTTTTTGAGTGAAGAATTATTTTTTTTTCAGTACGGGTTCAATTTCTACTTGTATTATTTGGTGAATCATTCCGAATATTATCAAGTCGCTGAACATCCAAATGGCGAAATTATGGGATACAGTAAGATTTTTTGTTCGCCTATATTTTGAAACAAAATTAATAAAAATTTTTTAGTTATGGGTAAAGCTGAAGGACGTGATAATGAATGGCATGGACACGTTACTGCAGTTTCAATCGCGCCAACTTATCGGAGACTTGGATTGGCTGCCAGTATGATGAGTTTTTTGGAAAAAGTTTCAGAAGAGTTAGTTTTAAAAAATATGGAATGTTGAAAAACTTACTATAATTTCAAAATTTTCAGAAAACGAGCGTATTTTGTTGATTTATTTGTTCGATTATCTAACACGGCTGCAATTGAATTATACACAAAGCTGGGATATGTTATCTATCGTCAAATTATTGACTATTACACTGGAGAACGTGATGAGGATGCATATGGTATGAATTTGAATAGATTTTATCGTAATTTTTTTCACTTTTGCGCTTGAACTTCGCTTAATTAAAACTAAAAGTCCTCGTGATTTTTGGAATAATTAAACTTGTTCCTTCATAATTTTTTAAAACTTTCACTTTCCGAAAATTCTCAATTATTTATATTTGCTAAAAAAAAAACAATTTCAAACCTAATTACTTATATTCTAATTTTCTAACTGTCTATGACTGTTTCTAGAATAAAACCTAAATAATAGTAAGAAAAATAAAATAAAATAGAGTTGAACGATATACAAATAAATCAATTGAATAAACAAACATTTTTCGAGGAAAAACATATGATTCATAATAATAATAATAATTCGTTATTTTCTTCAGATATGCGAAAATCATTGTCTGCTGACCCGAAAAAACTCTCAATGGTTCCTCTTCCTCATCCAGTGCATTCAAGAGATATTCCGTAGAACATATAATACTTCATTTTTCAAAATTTAGTAGAATAAATACATGGGTTCATATAAATTTTCAAATTTTAAACATTCAATATTGGTTTACGATTCGCGGGTGCTTCCAAATGTACAACGTGGAAAACTTCATTTGAAGAATTTCTGGTTCCAACTAGTTTGATGAAAACAACTGGAATTGGATTGAAAATCAAATCTTGCCAACCTCTGAAAACAATACTGCCTACTTACTTTATCTAAAAAAATATTCGAATTCTTACCTGCATTCTTCATCAGTTTTATCAACAACAGTAATCCAAGTAGATTGATCAGTTGAAACAGCAATATAATATGAGTAATATCTATCATCACAATCCCATAATAATAATCGCATAGTTGAAAGAATATAAGGCTGTGGTAATTCAACAATTATCGCTCCACTTCCAATTTGATGACAAGTATATCCACTATCCCAATCATAATTCATATTTTCCCCATTTATAAGAGCATTTCGACATCGAGAAACTCCTTCCACAACAAGTGCATTACTTTCAATTGTGGCAATATTTCGAGTTGGAACTAAAAGAAAGTGAAAATGCAAACTATACTTTTTTTGGAAAATAAAAACTAACCAACAAGCCCTGTTGATTCATCAACTGGCATTTTATCATCTGTGTACAATGCTTCGAATCGCTTCACAATAACTTTTGGAAATGTTTTTTCAGCGCATCTTACTCGAATATATCTGAACTCAATTTCTCGTTTTGAAAAATCTCGAACAATTCTTTTTATACCTTACAACTCGATCTTCAAAATAAATTCTTTGTTTTCTTCTACAAGCATAATTTGAATAATCAGCAACACAAATCCAATGTTGTTCTTCTTTATCCCATGATTCATTGCTCATACTAACATCAACAATATACGAATATAATTGTAATTCTGATTTTGAGCATAAATCAAGCATGATTAGATTGATAATATGAGGTCGACCCAAATCAATAATAATTCCATTTTTAGATCCATAATGATTTGATTGTTTTGGATTGTAATGTATTGCTAATCTTTGTTCCTCTGGTATTTCTTCACATAATAATTTTTTACCATTCTCATTTTCACAGCAAACAACTGAAGCACCATTGAAAATTGTGGCAACATTTGTATTTGGTACTGAATTTTATATAATTTATTATCACTTTTTTATGATAAAAAGAACTTACTTCTTACTCCTCTATGATTAACGTGCTCTTTTTTCTGAGTTTGTATAGTTATCGCATCCAATAAATCATCGGGTTCAACTAATTTCGAAGATCGAACAAATTCCAATAAATCATTTTGTCCAATTAGAGGAAGTCGAACTAAATCCAAAAGTTTTTTCAGCGCACTTTTTTCTTCTGGATTATTATCAGACCATCTCTGAACTGCATTGAATATATCTAATTCTGGAGCATAAAAAGAATCACGACGAAGAAGTTGAAATAAACTATCGGAGGTAAGGTTTATGAAGTTCTGAAAAAGTATCTTGATTGCCTTTAAATTTGAAACTGAAAAATAAATACCGGAGCGCTCAAAACATGAGTAGCGTGTCTATCAGAATATGAAAGGCAGAATTCGATAAGATCTTCCAGTGAGAAAAATTGTGCAGCATTGAAAATAACACATAAATTCAGAATATTTATAATATCTTTCAAGTGATCCCCAATTGCTTTGACAAGTTGTAATAAATTATATCTGTTTGCTAAACTCAGAAATTCTAATAAAATTTCTAATTCAATTCCAGCGAATAATATTCTCGAAGTATATACATATTTTAATATTTGTTTGAATGCAATTGTACTTGTATCAACTAGACGAATTTCAGATTGTTCTGATTCTTTCATTCCATTGTATAATAATGCTTTGAAATAATCACTTCTTGCTGCAAGAATCAGACGATGTGCACTGATTCTTTCGCCATCATCCAAAACAAAAGTGACATCACTGAAAAGCAATATTTATCTCATATTTAATTGATTTTCTCGATGGAAAACGTTGTATGTTAAAAAATATTACCTTTGAAAGTTTTCCAAGATCAAAACTTCGAAATCATTCGAAAGTTCGGCCAAATGTTGCACTTCATACGAGGTACTAGGTTTATTTACAATATTGAAATTATTCGAATTGTTTATTCCATCATTTCGAACAATATCGTGATGTTCGCGAATAACATGGCCAAGAGCATGAACATCACTCATTTTCGTACACTGAAATATATTTTTGAATGGAATTATATAAACTTGAACAGATTCGCTACTTAAAAAAAGTTGTTTGAAACTTTTGAGGTATGCTAGACACTGTATAATACATGTTAATTGCTAAGCAGAGAAACAGCAGAGAAACAATTGCTAAGCAGAGAAACAAAAAATAATGGCTGTGGCCTAGAAACCGACAATTTCCTCGGAATTTGTTTTTATTTTTTGACCGCGGCCAGCAATTTATAAATTGAAACAATTGCATTTATATTCTGTTTTATTTCTTCATAAACATTTCGGATGTTAACAATGGAATCAATAACAAATCCTCTATATTTTTTCACTGGCTCAAGCTCAACACAAAACCATAGTTCAACCTCATCAAATGTGATACGATTCATAGATATTCTCGATTTCTTTTTTATTGCTCACCCTGCATCCGGACGAAAAGAAGGCGAAGAACACAAACGAATAATGTATTTTCATCCAAAAGGCGAAAGCGTGGATCGACAAACTGAAGTGACTGGTTTCGCAGAAGCTGTTGTTAATTTCACCGATAATTTCTTGACTTCTCGAGAAATCAATTCACACGATTCGGATAATTTTGATTATCGAACCGTATCAACGCAAAAAACTGAACATGTTTATATTCAAATTGAAGACAATAATTTTCTGATGGGAGTCGCTCTATCAAAGTGAGTTTAGACTTACGATAAGAATTTATATGACGTTTTGTTTAGGCAATTGGCAAATGTTTCGGAATATCCTCTTTTTCAACCAGCAATTCGAAGTATTCTCTGTGATGCGTATAAAATGTTTCGAATGTTTTTTGGAACATATTCTTCATTCAAGTAAGTTACTGTTTTCTAGGAGAATAAGATGTTGAAATAAAGTTCAGAAATTTTCACGCGTTTAAAAATTTATGTATTTATTTAGTTCACGCGTTTAATCAGAAACAATATAATTATTCATTTTATTTTTTCAGTCATCAAGAAAATGACAGCAAATTCAAAGATCGTCTCGATTTCTTCTTTTCTCGATCTGTTCCACTTCTCAAATGCCATAAAATGCCATTATTAGATCATCTTGGAGGTGTTGAATTTCTTCGAATGTCTGGTCCACTTTATCTAAATGTTGTTTCATTAATCAATGAATTACAAGAAGAATTCCAACAAATCGATAAAATAATGTTTCTTTATCAAGACAAATTATTATATTATCAATTATCACGACGAGATCTTCCAACTATTTTTCGATATTTGACTCAAAATCTTTTGCCGAATTCAATTGGACCAGAATTAGAAGGAGCAAATAATCGAGCAAAGGGAAGATATTTGAGAGGACCAATTGAATTATCAACTGATGAACCACTTTTAGGAGATGAAAGTCTACCAGTTGTTCATTTATTTGATAATCAAAATGGTGAAGATGAATATTTACAAAGATATCAAATGGTAAGATATTTTAGATTATTTTTTCAAAAATTATGAATTTCAGTTGGTTTATCGCTGTCTCAATTCAACTGTTTGTATGTTTGTCAAATATAATACAGAAAATACAAATGTTAGCCGAAGATTATTAAGAAATATTGATCAATTTCTCGAAAGTGAATTATCTCAAGTTGCAAATAGAATTGGAGAAGAGTAAGTTTAATTGAAATTTATGGCAGGGTTGCGGGGATCCTAATTTTTTCAAATTCAGAATTGGAAGTGAGGTATCGGAGCCAACCGATTTTCATTATATTTATTTCAATCCATCTTCTCTCTCAATGACATCTTCACTTTCTTCGAGATCTTCTAGTAGTTCGAAAGTTGCAATTCCTCCTGTTGAAGTCAATCGGTAAGTTTTTATGCAAATTTTATGGAATAGGTTATATTTTTGCAGACTTGTATGTGATACAATTGGAAAGTTTATATCCGATTCTGAAGAGTTTGGAGAATGTTTTGTTAAATCGGAGACCGATTGGTGGATTGTAGTTAAAAAGGTAATTATTTTGGCGGGTGTTTTTTTCGAACTGTTATATATATTTTTTCTCAATTTTTCAGGTGAATTCTCGTCTTCTCGTATTAATTATTCCTCCATCAAGCAGCACTTCTTCTTTGGCTGATATTCAATCCAAAACTTCTCACATTGTTCGACACCATTTTGATGCCATATTTTTCACATGACTCGTTTTTCGCTTGCCTTTTTTCTGTGATATGTATATTTATATGAATGACTGAAATTTTATTGAGAGAATCACGGTCAGTTTTTTTTGAGAAGGGATCAGGAACAGGGGTTTCAGGAAAGTTGCACACAGAAAATTTGCAGGAAAGATTAATCAGGAATTATATTTTTCTGCCATTCTTAAAAAGGTAAAAGCTGAAAATAAAATTCTGAATAAATTAAAAGTTCGAACGTTTTTTTTATGAATAAGGGGTCGCAGCGATTTCAGTTTTCAACTTTTCTTCATGAGAAAACTGCATTTTTAGCATTATTATTCTGTTAGACCAGAAAAAAAGTTGAGCTAAAAATTAAATAGTTAATCCATGAAAAATCTTTTTAAAAAACGCGATTCATTAAGACAATTTTAAAATACAGTACTTTTCGGGCCTAGAAATATACTGAATCAATGAATTTCAAGTAAGTTGTTAACAAAATTGTTTATTCAAACGAAAACAACAAAATTAGCGCGAGTAGATCACAGAACCATCAACAACCTACAAAATTTAAAAAAAACGTCAATGAAATTTGAAATACAAATAACTTACTCCATGTTGTGATAATGATTTTCCAGCCACAAACGGTTGTTGACGAAAAGTGAGCGCTTGGTAATACTAAAAAACCATTTCACTTCAAAAATGTTCCCAGTCAGTAAAAACGTACCAAAGAGTAGATTTTTTCAACAGCAACAAATGGGCTGACTTTGAAAACTTGCTCGTAATTATTCTGTCTTTGGTACACGATTTTAACCGTAATCTATAAAAAATGTTATTGTCATTCCGAAAATAAAAGAACCCCCGTTTGAATTGGCGCTCACGTACAGTAGACTAAAAATGACGTGACACATGCATACTCAAACTGATGTTGGCAACATAGCCAGCGTGTAAATTTCGCATTTTATTTTTCAAAATTGAGACTCCAAAATTTCGCGAAGTCTACTGTAGTATTGGTTTCAATCTAGGCCATGTCGGTTCTCTTCCAAGGTTCTTTTTTTCGGAAGGACAATATGTACACATATCATGTGACGTTTCACGAAATAAAAAATAACGCAATGTTATTATTTACTTGAATTGTCTCGTAAATTCAGAATACTTACCTCAGTTTTTTCTTTTCAACAGCTTTAACCAAATGCTGTCTTACGAGCCTTTTTGACAGCATCTCTCCAATCCTCAATATTTCTCAGCATATTCGAGAATTCTCGGGCACTCAAAAAAATCATAGATTGCTTGAATTTTGTCTGACAAGATCCTGGCTGACATTCTTGCGCCCACAATAACAATTCAGTCGACGATTGACATCAAGATACTGAACGCTTTCGCCAAGCTTCACCCCTGCAGCAATTTGCAACGAGCGAGTTTTGAAAGTTTGAGAAGAAAAAGTGATTTCGACTAAGCATTTATTTGCACATCCACATGATTTTGGTCTGAAAATAGATATGATGTTTTTCTGAATACTTCAAAACAGTCTTCATACTCACCTCGTCTTATTGACAGCGACTTCCAGCTTGGTAAAAAGCTGTTCAAGCAAATCCAAATTGCCTGACATTTTTGAAGTGTTTTTGGGACGAGGAGAAACAAGGGAAATAAACATGAGCAATACAGTAATCAGTCGCTGGGTCTGACAACGAAGAGATGAAAAATATTGTGCGCCTTTGAATGAAAATTACAACATTTCGCGTTTTGGGTTCGAAAATCAAAAAAAAAGTAGAAATGGCTGACACGTGAATTTCACGTGGATATGTTTATGACGTAGAAATTGAAAAAAATCATTTCTAAAAACAAGGCCCACCAAGAAAACACGATTCATAGAAAACAAATTTGAATGTTTCAGAATCTCGCAAACCTGAAATAAGTTCAATTTTCAACAAGCTATAGAAAAATTGATGACTTAACTATCAATTTCCAGAAAATCTCATTTTGTTGTGATTCCGGAAAAATATATCTCATTTTCATTTTTTCCCCTGAAAACTGTATTTCAGTCATGATTTTACTTGGCAATAATAACCTTTTCCTTTGGAAATCGTCTTGTGAATTGTGATATATCTAATTTGATATTTGTTTTTTATAAGTAAAAAAAAAACTATTCATCTCCCCTTTGCGTGTTTCAAGAAAAACGAAGTTTCGAAAAGTGCATTTCTGAAGTTTGACCTTCTGAAAGATTTAATTTCATTCTCGATTTTTTGCGCTTCTTTTTTGTCGCACTTGATATCCAATGTCACAAGATTGAATTTTTCAAATTCAATTTGCCATTTTCCCCTTCGCTTCTTTTTTCCCATGTTTTTTTTCGAATTTGCGCCAGCCGGTCACCAAGGTGACAACCAAATATATTCCCGCGAATTGAGAAAAAAAAGTAGAAGAAGAAGAAGAAGCAGGTGGCTGACTTATTTTATAAATATCCTTTACTTTATGCACATTTATTATTTGGATATATTTATTTATTAGATACCTTGAAATATATTTTCATGTCTAAAAATGAATGGGCTACAAAAATTTTAACATAAAAATTATCAAATTTTTTGGATGAATTTTCAAAAAAAAGTCAATTGGCAATAATTATTTGGTCACGCTTAGCTGCTTTCGACATTTTTTTCGGAAACTTGATATTCTTCTTTTTTGTCGGAACTCAGCCGTTTTCTAAAATTAAAACTTTTTTTTATTTCTCAACGATTTGTTTCTGTTTTTGTTTTTTCTCTTTAGTCGTCAAAGAATTTTATATTATTTACAATGTAACTCTACTATATTCATTTTTCTGTGTCTCTTACTATTTCGCTACTATTCTCCGCCAAAAAAAAAGAAAAATAACAAAATTTCGTTTTCTTCTCCAACGGATTTTTTCGTATAACACCCACCATAAATGTGCATAAGTGTGAACAAAAAAACATCCGCCTAGTTTTCTTCGCCACTTTACTTTTCTCAAGAACAAGTTAGTCTAAATTGAATATGAAATTGCTAAATGTTGAATTTGTTTCCCGTGATGATGAATCCTTCATTTTTCGTCAACACACATTTGTTTTGCACCTCGAGGTTTTCGGGTTTCTGAAAATGACACATTTGTTGGTTTCTTTTCTTTTTCGAGAAAAATAAGGCGACGGAAAAAGTTTGTGTGAGTAAACAAAAAATTCGTCTGCTGGGGCCGAAATTAATAATTAGTTTTCGTTGTTGTTTTTTTCCTCAACTGGCGCTTTTTTTTTTAGAAAAACTCTTTCGAACTCAATTCACACCATTTCCCTCGAGAAAATTATCATATTTCAAAAATTGCAACACTCAACAAGTTTGGTGAGCTTGAATTTCAAAAAAAAACTTGATGTGGGGTGAAGAGTCAATAGTCATACCAGAGAAGTTTTTGGAATTTTTTCTGTGAACAAAGTTACGTGAAAAAATTGCAGCGTCTCAATTTAACTTTATTTCACGTAACTCGACTTACAGTCAAAACTATTTTAATTTTGGACCCGACTAAAATTCAGAACAATTTTGGGCTTTAAACTGTGGAGGTCCGTGGAGCCTCGATCTCATTTTGAAATTGTGGAGCATTTTTTCGAACCCCCAAATGGTTCCTAAAAAGTTCCTATTACAATAGTACACCTTATTTATACAAATCGCATTCTCATCAACTATTATTTATTCCCCCTCCATCCTATTTTTTCCCGTCTTAAATGGTAGCATAAAACATAAATGACTTCCTGACCGAATTACTCAACACAAAAGATTATACAAAGAACCTTTCAGAATGTTTTCGACCCTTCGATTCCCAATGGAATTTGTGGGAAAAAAACCGATTCTTTTTTTTCTCGCTTCTTCGAGTTATCTAGTTCGTACACTTTTTTGTTGTCAAAAGTGAGATTTTTCTTTTTGATTTTGTGTCATCACACCTTTTTCCTCTTTTTTTCATCCAAATATATGGAGGGCTAAAAGTAAAGACTAAAAATTGCGAGGTGAAATGTGTGACACCGGATTTCCGCCATTTACGTCTTGCAGAATCGATAATTGGCACAAGAATTTTGTGTGTAATTTTTTTTCAAAAAAAAAAAGTATAGTTTCCCTCCGTCTTTTTTTTCATATTTTTTCGAATAATATCCAATTTCAGCCAGTCAGTCAGTTAACATATTCAAAATCATATATTATTCTCACACTACTTCTTATTTTTTCTTCATCTTCTTCCTTTTTTTCTTCCATATTTATGCAAATTTTTGTCTGCGTCTTTCTGAATCTCCTGCTCTTTTTTTCCAATTTCAAATGTTACTCGAGAGTGCAAATATTCACTTTATTCTTGTTACTTTTGCCGTTTTCCAATTTAAGGAAGCTTTTTACGGAACTGCTTGAATTTTGATACTTTTTTTTCGAAACAAGATAACGTACTCAAAAAATTCTGGACCTGTAATCCAGGTTAAAGTTCAAAAATTGTTCAAAAAAAGATGGTTTTGTTGTTTCGGTTCTCATGTCGATCTTGTTCCTGAACTGTTCCATTCAAATTTCATTTTTTCTCAAATTTTATAGAATATCTAGGATAATTTTTCACGTTTGACTAATTTTCGGAAGTTCATAGAAAATTCAAATCTATCAAATTCTTCTTTAATTATGCCCATTTCTCTTTATCCACATTTATTTCTCTCATTTTTTGAACATCTTTCTCTTTTTTTTTTTCTTCAAATTCCCATATTATTTCGTTCGTTGATTTATGACCCATTTTTCCCGTTTTTGCTCTAACTTTTTTTTGTCTTTTCTTTTTTTCTTCGTTCCATTTTGTTACTTTTTATGTATATTTTTTGTCAGTCGTCCCATTTGTCAAAAATATGCATTCTGACATTTTTTCTCTTCGAAACTGATTTATTCGACTCATCATTTTGAAAACATTTTTTAAAAAAATTCCGAAAAAAGAGGGAATATTCATCTTTTTATTTCTATTTAGAATGACAAAAATAAATTGAAAAAAAAAGAGATGATCGTTTATTTTTCCTCGTTTTCTCCATATTTTTCATCGCAAATTTTCTTATGTGGATTATTTAGTATTCTAGATAAGAAGAGAGAGAAAATAGCTCACATAATTCGCCTAATTTCAGGTCGACAAACTTTTTCGAAACTTTTTTTTCGTAGGATTTAGAATTCATGTCTCCCTCATATTTCATTCATAATTTTTCTTGTCTTTTCTCATTTTTTTCCCTCTTTTTTGGCTGTTCAAATAATTGCATCGTCACTTTTTTCGACCTTTTTTTGCACATCTTACTCTACTTTTAGTGGAGAAAAAACCTAATTTAAAATGAGTTCAGAAATCAATTGCACGGAATGTAAAATGAAATCAGTTATATTCGTACTTCTTGCATTTTTGTTGAATTTTTCAGTTTCTTTATTTTTACGGGTTGAAACTGGTCATCAAAATATTGCCATTGATGGAAGTAAGTTTTTATTGATTTTTTTCTGATAATTTTTAATTTATTCTAAATATTTCAGGAGACACATATTATGGTCATTTCACAAAAATATATTTCCACAATTTGACATGTATAAATTCAATTGATATTAATTGCTTAAAAGAATTAACTGGTGCTGAAGAAATGTAAGTCAATTTTTTTAAAGAAAAAATATTAGGATTCGAAAATTTCCAGAGATTTATTATATTCTGAATGTCAACGTGGAGCATCTTGGAAAGTGGCACATTATACAAATTCAAAACAACATTTTCGAATAAAAGAGGTCATTTTGTATTAGGATTATTCCTCCAATAATTAAAACAAAATTTTTTCAGCCAATCCAAGCGTTCAGTCTTCTTATCTCAAGTCGTATTGATTTATCAATAATTGATGTTCAAGTTCAATCTTGTAAACATCACTTCAAAACAACAACAAAACCATCAGAATGTGATCGAACTCATCGACATTCAAATAGAAATAAACAAGAAGTTATAAAAGCGCATGACAATAATTTGGAATTTCATAAAAGATCGAAACGAAGTTCAGAAAGTCATCAAATATCTGGAAATTTAACAATTGAACAAAATATTATTGTTGAAAAGGGTGAATTATTGACAATTGTTAGTGGAGCAAAATTGAAATTTTCGAAAGGAGTTGGAATTATTGTAAAAGGAAGATTACATATAAATGGAACTACTTATAATCCAGTTCATTTTGAATCAATCAATAATAATGAAAAATGGAATGGTATTTATTTTGAGAATGGTAAGAAAAACACTAATCTATTAGTTGGTTATATAATTTCAATAATTTCAGGTGAAAGTGGTTCTGTAATTTCAAATATTTTAATATCTGGAAGTGAAACTGGTATAAAAGTTGAAAAAGGATTTGCACCATATATGGATCATATTATTGTTCAGAAAAATAATTATGGAATTCAGATGAAAGATCTAACCACTCCATCTTATCTTCATAAAATAACTTCGATAAAAAACGAAAAAACTGGAATTGAATATGTAGGAAAGGTATAATATATTTGTTCAAACGGGTTTGTTAGGCGAATTTAATTGAATCACATTTATGTCGAACTCACAAATGTGACGAATTAATTCAACCAACCTAAACCCTTTCATCACCTTATTGTCTCTGTATCTCATATCACAAAACTTCTCTCTCTCTCTCTCTGAAATTAAAGCAGCATGCATTTATTATATTTTCGCTACTACATGTATTCTCACTTGTCCTCGTTTTTGATTATTTTTTATCATCATCATCATCAATAATAAAATGTTGATTTTTCTACGCATGGGTCTTGTCACAAAGCAACACAATACAGTACACCAGATAATTTAGGGAATATTATCGATTGATAATTGTGTGACAGCTTCGAATGGAGGATTGGGAATATTTGCGAAAACAAGTTCTAAAATTACGATAAGGTATTGTTTTTGAAAAGAGTTTACTGGGAAAATATCTTGTATTGATTTTAAAAATTGTGCCAACTGAGGCGAATTGGAAAAAATACTGAAACCAATGTCTAGGTTACTCTTGAACTTTGCCAATTTACCCAAGATCAATTTTCAGATGACTACTGTAGAATTCAAATTTCAGAAATGTAGTTCATAATTTCAAGATAATATTTTAGAAAATCTACATCCTATTCAAATAATGGAACAGGAATTTATATTGGAACAAGGCAAGCAACAATCGAAGATTCGGTTTTGAATTCAAACAGTCATTTTGGACTTCATTCTGAAATATCTGAGAATCTTGATATATCAAATGTGAATATATCTGCACATTTTCTCAATTTTGCAATTGATTGTTACCTGACTGAAAATGCTCAAATCAATATTTTCCAGTCGCATTTTTTTGATAACAAAATAGGAAGTATTCGATTATCCGGAAATTATAATCAACCAAGTGTAAGTTATTTTTGTATAGAGTTTGACTTACTACCTCTAGACCTCCAATTATTTTGTCAAAATTTTTTGTGGTAGATCAAAAATATTTTTCTCCTTTGAAAAATGCGGGAAATTTTTGGATAGTAAATTACACATTTTTTCATTATTTCATCTGCTTGTTTTTTTTAATTAAAAAAAAGTAAATATTTCAGGTTAAAATTCGAGACTCCAAATTCATAAGAAATAGCGGTGCTCAAATAATATGGAATGATTTAGAAAATGGCAAAATTGAAGTAGAACACAGCGAATTTTTATCAAATAGCGGAAAAGAGAATTCGACTTTGTTATTTAGAAACATAACAGGTACATAATTTTGTATTTCTTACTTTTTCCTCAATTATTTTGATTCAGATGGCAAAGTTATTATTGATTCTTGTGAATTTGCTCAAAATAAATACCCCGAAATCATTCGACTTCAAGATTTAGCAATAAAAGGATCTGAAATACAAATCAGCAACTCAAAATTCTTCAAAAATGTTGCGAATTCAATAATATTCACGAATTCACCATCAGCTGAAATATCAAATACAAATCAATTCGAAAATCCGAAAACAGATTGTGATTTGACTTTTACTCTTCCAAGAATTATGAAATCTTCCGATGAAAACTTGAGATTATGTTCTGGAGAATATCATAGTATTCAATCAGATCAACCAAAACATTCTGAAAATGATCAAAACAAAAATGAAGAATATATCAAATTCACAATAAATCAAGATGGAATCATAAAATCAGCACAAACTCCTTATTTAGTTGAACAAGAAATTTATGTTGATGATAAACTTATTTTTGAACCTGGAACTATTTTGGATTTTGCACCAGGAATTGGAATAACAGTACATCAAACTGGACAATTTATAATAAATGGAACATCTGATAAACCAGTTGTATTAAGAGGAAGAAATGGAAATATATGGCGTGGAATTGTAGCAAAACCAGATTCGAAGTTGGATTTGAATAATATGATATTAGAAGATCCATCAATTGGTTTATGGATTGATTCGAAAAATGTGAAAATAAATGGAGGAAGAATAAATCATCCAATTGTTCATGGAATTGAAATAACATATAATTCAAATGAAAATATTGATTTGGGTGGAATTGAAATTGAATCATCGAGTGAATCTGCAATTGGAATTGATGAACGAAGAAATGATTTGAGTATTTCAAATGCTCGAATTAAAAATGGACAAGGTTCTGGAATTGATTTTGTTACTCCTACTCAAAATATTGAAATACGAGATGTGAATATCATAAATATGGGGAGTTATGGAATTCATATATCAGAATTTCCATCGACTCCGTTGCATTCTGTCTTGATGTCAAATGTTTCAATTTTGGAGCAGAAAAGAGGTATTTTTTTAAGGTATTTTAATTTCATTATAATTTTCCTTTTTTGTTTCAGGAAGTGCTGGCATTTTGATATCTGGTGGATGGCTCAAAAATGTTTCAATTCATAATTCAAAGTTTTCTGGAAATTCCGTCCCTTCTCTAATTATCGCAATTGAATGCAATGATGATTCTGAAAAACTTATTCGAATTGAGAATTCAAGTTTTTATAAAAATCAAGATATTGTTCAACATGTTCAATTGGGTGAATGTGTTAATGTTCAAATGGAAAGAAACAATTATGAATCAAACAATTTGGATGGTATCGGGAGTACTGTAGTTATAACAACTGGAATAGATTCTCATTCAACTGATTCCGTTGTTGAAATTTCGAAGAATAATTTCACATCAAATTCTGGAATTTATTCATTGACACTTGGAAAAGGAACTATTATGTATGTTACGGATAACGAATTTATGAATAATTCAAATTCTGGAGCTGTGATTAAAGTGGAAGGACAAGATGTTAAATTAGTCACAAACACTTTCAATAATCCAAAAACTCAATATACAATAAATTATAATGAAGAAACACCATTAGAAGTTGGATATAATAATTGGAAACAAACTGAAAATATAATTGATTTGATTGATGCACCAAAACAATCAATTCGAATCAGCGAGACAATGCAACAAAATCAAACACAACTACAAATTGATAGTCCACCTTATAGTGCAAATGAAGGATGTGCACATTTAAAATATTGTTCACATCGAGGAACTTGTCGAGATTCAATATGTATTTGTCCACATGGATTTACTGGATTCGATTGTTCAATTTCTGTAGTTTGTAATTGTTCGGGAAATGGTTTATGTGATTTATTCAATAATTGTATTTGTAATGGAGGATGGAGTGGAAATAATTGTGAAATACCAAAATGTTATAAAGATTGTAATGGAAAAGGTAAATGTGTTGGACCAAATCAATGTGAATGTAATAAAGGTTGGATTGGTGAGAGTTGTACAACTACAACTTGTATTGATTCGAAATGTTTGAATGGACATTGTTCTGATGGATTATGTAAATGTGAAAATGGATGGAAAGGTTCAAGATGTCAAGTTCCAATTTGTAATGAATGTTCATTAAATGGACAATGTACAAAACCGGATAATTGTGAATGTTTTGATGGATTTTATGGGAATTCTTGTATACAAAAAGAAGAAGAATGTGATTTTGATTGTGATAATGGAATATGCAATGAGAACACGAAAACATGCTCTTGTCATGGAAATTGGTCTGGCGGAGCTTGTGATATTTGTAAAACAAAGGATTGTGACCAAGCCTCAACTGTATCATTTATTCAACCAAGCACAGCTCATTTAGAAGATACGAATACAGTTGTCACTGTTTTTGGCACAGATTTTAATAAGTAAGTGATCTTTGATTTTGAAAAAAAACCAACCAAGTTGGTTTTTTCAAATTGCCAATTTTATATTTTTTTCTAGAACTCCCAATAATTCCTATATTTGCACATTTGGTCGAACTACAGTACTTGGTGTTCGAATAACTTCAGGAATTTTAAGATGTCCAGTTCCAGCAAATATGACACTTGGCCGTCATTTATTTACAGTATCCAAACCGAATTCTTTCGAAACAATATCTCATTCACCAATTCATTTCACAATATTTGATGGTTGTGATCCTTCGATTTGTCAAGGTTCATGTTCAGGTCCATTATGTATTTGTCCACAAGGAAAAACTGGAATTCTATGTGATGTTATTGAATTGATACCTACCATTGATCAAAAGTTTTTACAACATCAAAAAGTGAATGAAGCTTTCGAAGGAACTCCATATGTTGTTATGCTACCAACATTATCTTCTTCTGTTCTTCGAGTCAATTCAACAATTCCTGGATTGAATTTTATATCATCGAAAGGAATTTTGGCATGGCCTGAACCTATTGGTTCTCTTGATCCATATTCAGTTACAGTAACCGCATTTTCACCAGCTGGAGAAAGTAATATTTCATGGAATGTGACAGTTCGACCTGAATATTCTGCAAAAATCAATAATATTGAAGTGAAAAATGGAGTTGCAATTATTAATGGAACTATTATGCCACCAAATTCAGTAAAAAGAAAAGTTCCGATTGTTATACGAGTATTATGTAATGGAATTGTTGATGAAATATTATCCGAATCTGAAATATCTGGAAATATTGAATATTCTTATATTCCAATGGCTCCTGGAACATGTTCTGTTTCTATATTTCATCCAGCAGATTTGAAAAATTCTCAAAATCCCACACAATTCACAATTCCTGAATTTAATATGAAAGTAAATGGACATTCTGATGATTCATCTCTTCAAATTCAAGTTGTTTCAAATTCTTCAAATTGTAAAACAAGACTCATTAAACCATTTGGAAAAAGCATTGAAAGTTTTGAAAGTGGAAGTGAAGTTATTTTGAAATATGATCAAGAATGGCAAGATGAAGTATTTGCTTGGGTTAAATGTGGTGATTCACCAATTGAAATAGTTCATGCACCAGCAAATGAAATAGTGACAGTTTCACCGAATTATATTTCAACAAGTGATCCAGCAAATCAACAATTTGAATTGGAAATTAAAGGAAATCCAAATGCTGAAATAAAAGGGCCAATTAGAGAAAAGAATCGAGAACAAATAAATAATGATATAACTCGAGTTACAATTGAATTGACTCAAACAAATGGATTAATTGAAATTGGCGAGTCGAATATTACAATTGTTTCACAATCACCTGATTATTCACTGTTCAAAATATGTGCGAGAGATGAATGGGATGGACAAGAACATGCATTATCAACTATTGAAGTTGCAACAATTACAATATCAAATCCACAAAAAGGTGTTCTTATTTCAAAACCAAATATTCGTTTGAATGTTCAATGGGCTGAATTCACAATAATTCCTGGAATTTATAGTCTACAAATTCAAAGCGAATCTCATTATCCATTTGAACAAATTATTAATTTGGATACAAATAATTCAACATTTTGCGTTGATTTGAGATCATCAAAAATGAAATCTTTTCCAAGTCTTCAACAAAATGGTCGGAATATTTTGTCAATCAAAAATTTTGGAGAAGATTCGCTGCCTTATTTGAAATTCTCACCATCTTTGGTGACAATTCCGGGTCAAAAAATATTGGTGACACCAAAAGGAAATTTTGATGGAACAATTGGTTTATGGAATCAAAAAATTGATCCAGTTTTTGAAATTTTGCCAAATCGAAGATCAGTTATGCTAAATCAATCATTTTGGATAACTGTTATTTGGGATCTGAATCAGATTTCAGAAGATTATTGTGATGTTAATCAAATTGAAATTCCATTTGTATTTCTGCCGAAAAATGGAGATTTAGCAATTCGATTGAGTTCACCAATTCTTGTCGAAATCAAACCAACTGCAAAAAGAATATGTGATTCAAATAATCAAGAAATCGAGATTGCTATGTTGACAAAAGTGAAATGTAATTGTGGAGACGGAATAAGAAGCAAATGTCGAAATATTTATAGACCAGCAAATGCTTGTGATAATTCATGGCTGAAAATATCAGATGATACTGTATCTTTGGAAGTTTTGATTTCATTTCTCTCAATGTTGTTTGAATGTACAGAAGTTTCTGTTAATTTTCATGAAATTCGTCAATCATTGGAGTAAGTTATTTTATTTTTGAAAAAAAACACTTTGAAAAAATATAAATATTTTTAGATGTGTTGCATCGATAGAAAATAATTGTCCGATTGGAAATCGAGTCAAACGAAACTTCCAAATGGATTCTCCTGTTAATATTGTTAATCATGTAAGTTCAATCTTCTTGTCAAACACATAACTCTTTTATATTTTCAGTTAGCATCTGTAAAAATGGATCTTGGAAAAGTGTTACCAATTCTGAATGCATTGGATGTTCAAACAATTCGAATATCAACTGTTTTTATTGATTTTATTGATCAACTTGAAAAAGTATTTCCTTCGGAATATTATCATAATTTGAATAGAAATCAGGTTGATCAATTTATCAAAGCAATATCAGATGATTCAGAAAGTTCGAATTATATAAGTGAAAAAGAATTTGATGTTGGATCAAAAGATCTGATGAATTTATGGAATAATACAGTAAGAAATTGGAAATCAGGAAAAGAATCGATTTTGAATAATGAAATATCGTATCTTGAAGCGAAAAAACTGGTGCAAACATCGGATAAATTGAAATCAATAACAAGACAAAATGGAGCAACGAATCCTTTTGAAATGTTGAATGGTTATATGGGAAGAATGTTAGAAACATCAGGAGATGAACAAAAAGAATGTGCGAGTGGATTAGTTAGTTTTGAAAAAACTGAAATTGAAGAAGGTGGAAATGTTCGAGTGAGAGTTTTTGTTGAAAATCTATCGAATTCAACGTTAACTAATATTGGAGTCAAATTATCATTTGAAGGTAAACTAACTTTTTTTAGAAAAAAAAACAAAACTCAAAATATTTCAGGAGACTCGGAGAATATACGTTTCGAATTAGGTCCATCTTGGTCCTCCGGAATTCAGAGTCTGAATGGTATGGGAAATTTAGGATCAACTGGTAACTTTGAAATTCATTGGACGAGATATGTGAATGTTATAAGGCGACTAACAAATAGTCACGTTTTTCCAGGTAAACCGAAATTTTCAGATAATTTTGAAAGAAAATTCCAAAATATTTCCAGCCGATTATTACATTAGCTTTTTCAAACAATGGAAGACAAACTCAACAAAAACTAGCTTCTCCAGAAATCCGAATAATTCCCAAGAAAACAGTAAAAGCTATAAATATAATTCGAGATGAATTATCACCGCCTTCTCTCAATTTTTCACTGATTTCATCAATTATAAATCCAGGATATTCTACTCTTTCAAACTTACAAATTATTATTGATTCAATAAAAATGGATGAAAATATTAAAGATTTAGAAGTTGAAGATGTTCGAATAAATGGAAAACCAGCCAAATCGAGTTTGAGACAAAGATTTGATGAAATGCATAGTGGAACAACAAAATCGATACGAATTGCATTGAAAAATATGGTCAGTTCTGATATATTTATTTGTGAGATTATTTTCAAAAAAAAATATTTATTTTTCAGATTCCAATAAAATCGGCTAATATAACTTGTATTGAAAATAACAAATTGTTAACAATGGAATCAATTGAAACATATGCAATCCGAGCTTCCGGACCATCAGATTATGGAATGCTTTTAGCTCCACCACATCAAACTGTTCCATTATTTTTCTTCCAACAATCATCTGCTCAAATAAATAATGTTATTAAATTGGAATATTTATCATCTCAACAAGTTAAAATTGCTGATCCGGATAGAACTATTTATATGGCGGCTTTCAAAAATTCGTAAGTTATTTTGAAGTTTTAATGGGAAAAGGTTTCCTTGTAAAAGGAATTTGTTATTTTCTCTATTTTCCTAGGGTCTGGTTTTTGGAAGCATAAGATTTGAAATATCTATTTAAAACCCACGTGGCTCCATTTCTGGCAAAAACAAAATTTTCAATTAAATATTCGAAACTACAGACTCAATAAACTAGGGAGTTTTTGATCAGTTTTTCAAAATTTTCAAAATCTTCTTATGAAAAATTTGAAACGTATGATTTTTGGGAACTTTTTGGGAAATTTTAATTTGGCGCGAAAATTAGAACAGGGGAATTTTTCGCGCCAGTAATTTTAAAACGTATAATATTTGGGATGAGATATGAAAAATTTGATAATTTCGAAACTGAAGAAACAAGTTGGATCAGTTTTTCAAAATTTTCAAAAATTTCTTATGAAAAAATTGAAACGTATAATTTTTAAGAATTTTTTGGATGATCAAAATTGGTGCAAAAATTAGAATGGGGTATTTTTCGCGCCAAAAAAAAAATAAATGCCACGTGCATGGTTCTATTTTTGGTGCAAAATTTTTGAAGAAATTTTTTTTTGAAGCTCCAAATTTCATAAAATGATCGAATCAGCTTTTCAAAATTTTCAAAATCTTCTTATAAAAAATTTGTAACGTATAATTTTTTGGGAGATCAAAAATTAGAATGAGGCGAAAATTAGAAATATTTTTTAGAAAAGTATTTTTTCAGTGAATCTTCAAGTTTCAATGGTGCACTTTGGGCAACAATGCCAATACCTGAATTACCAGGTGAAAAAAATAAATTGATTCGAATAATCGAACATTCTTCAAGTCGTCCAAGAGAATTACAAGCTGTTCAATGGTTTTCCAAAGAAAATGTTAGTTTTTTGCAGTTTTCTTTTCTGTTTCAATTTCGAAAATTGTTTTTTTTCAGGATGTTGATATGATAAATTGGATCGATTCTGGACTTTCAATTCCGCAAAAAGTGTTAACTTATGAACTTCAATTTTCAAACGAGAAAAAATGAAGAATCAGATAATTCTCCTGAATTTGATGAAGTTCGATATCGAATTGAAGTCCCAATTGGTTCAAAAAATCAAGAAATTGGACAAATTATTGCAAATGGAGATGGATTATTAGAATATTCATTGTTTTCACCAAATAATGATGAAAGATATTCAATCGATTCAAAAACTGGAAAAATCTATCAAAAAAGTGGTTCTGAACCACCATCTGATATTGAATATTGTTTAGTTTTGGAAGCAAAAGATTCAAAAGGAAGAACTTCGCGAGTTCCAGTTTCTATAAATAATGGAGGAATGAGAAATAATTGTAATTTATTCAGTATTGATGGTTTGAGACCATTGATATTTTCTGGAATTATTGAAAATCACACATCAAGTCCGATTCCTATTCCAACAACTTCGATATTCGAATCAACTCATTCTACATTTCCTGATAGCACTTTGGAGAGTGTTACAACCATCGAAACGACTACTGAAATCACAGATACTTCTACTGAAGTTATGAGTTCAACAACTTTTGAAACATCAGTGCCAACAACCGAAAACATACCAGAAAATGTTACAAATTTCGAAGTTTCTACTCTGGAATATGCTTCAACATCTGAAACATCTACTGATTCGACACCAATTGAAATAACAACTTTGGAAGGGGTTACAGATAGAACATCTAGTTCTGGAACTGATATTCCAGAAACTACAACTGATTTTTTGACAACATCAAATTTTGAATCAACACAAAGCACATCTGGATTACCAACAACTTCTGAAACAGTCGAAACAGGAACTGAAACTACAATTGATTATTCTTCAACAACAATGCTTCCCGAGACCTCACCTACAGATTCTGAAACATCTGAATCACCAACAACCCCCTATGAAGTGACTGGGATTCTTCCAACTGATCCAACAACTCAATCAACCACTGAATTAATATATACAGTAACTTCTGACAGTAATCTAGAACCAATTACACAACCAATATTTACAATAACACCAGATCCTTCACCGGAAACTCTTCGAACTATTAAACCAGATGATTCTTCGATGACTACAGTTTCTACAACAATTGAAACTTCGACAGAAGATGTTTCTGAATTAACAACAACAACAACAACAAAATCAATCGAATCAACAACATTATTACCTGCAATTCAACAAGCTTGCGAACTTGTCGCCCAATCACCAATTTATAAAATTGTTTGTGATTTATCAAATATTTCTGAATCTACAACATAGTTAATAAATTCATTTATTCCTATATAAAATGTTGTTTTTGTTGTTACTTTTTTTTCACAATTTAGTCTCGCTACGACAATTTTCAATGACCTTTATTATGTCGGATTAGCAAAAGCTTACGACGGGGTCGAGAGATGGCAAGGTAACAACTATTGAAGGTCATTCCGTGACCCCTGTAAATATCAAAATAATTCTTTTTCGAAGAGCAAACTCGTAAGTACTAAACAAAAAACATCTTGTCACATTTTGATTTATTATTTTGTGTCTCGTCCAATTCTCGAAAAACCTAAATTACCGGTCATTAAACATTTTGCCCCGCCCATTTTTTCTTGCGCACACCTGCCTGTCTTTTTTATTTGCCTTTTCGTGCACCTTTTTTTCCTGGATATTACTATTATTATAATGCCTAAATTGTTATTTTTGTTATTGATTTTTGGAATTTTTGGAATCGAAGCGCAATTAAGTGAGTTGAATGCACAGGTTACTGTATCTAGATCAATTAATTTTTTGAAGGATTATGTGAAGCTGAAGGATCGTGTAGACATTGTGCAGATAATCGATATTCTTATTATCGATGTAGAATGCAGGTATTCTATTCTATGACTTAATAATATTTTTTCAAAAAAAAAATTCCAGGATGACTGTTTTATTGGAGAAGTTTGTGACAATGGTTTTTGTTGTCCAAATGTTGCACCAACATTTTCATTACAACGAGAACGTGAGTTTATCTCTGCTTTTTTTCCAGAAAAATCTACGTTTCATTTTTGTTGCTTATTTTTTTGTTAACTAACCCGCTTTAGCAACATCCCCAACACAAAAAGAAACTTGTCCGGATGGTTTCAAATTCGAAAGACGTTGCTCGAAACATTCTGATTGTACACACAAAGAAGAAATTTGTATCGAGGAAAAATGTTGTAAAAGTAAGTTTTATTGGCAACTTTTCATGGTCATTTTGTGTACGAGAAAAAAACTATCAAAAAAATAAGGGGAAAAAGTTACAAGATTGTTGTGACGAAGGTTATAGAATCACTGAATTGTTTTGAAGACAAAGTTGTGTGGCGGAATATATTTGACTGAAATTTTTGGTGTGAAATTATAAAAACAACATGTTTTTCTTTTTATAAAAATTAAAAAAATGTCATACCTCAACATAAAAAGTGTTAGCAGTTTGATTTTGAATCATTCGATAATATGGTGTTTTATATGCTCCAAGATTGAATATATCATAATGCATTTTTCCGAATAATTTCAGAATCCATAATATCGATAATTGAATAAAACGAAACACCTTTCAAATTATTTGAAGCATAAATTGATTGTAACATTTGAATTGCTTTATCATCTGCATATGAAATACATAAATCCAAGCCAGTTATTATCACAAAACTTTGAGATGAAATTGATAAAGTTGATAGAATTGGTGTAGGCATTGGATAACAAGAAATTAGACGAGTTGAACATGTTTCTCCCATTGTTATTTCAATTTTCAAAACTTTATATCCAGGAGATGCTCGAATTGCATCCTTATTTGCTCTTTTTGTTAAACTTGACTTAACTCGTAAATTACACATTTGTGGCCAATTTGGATGACAATAATTAACAGCTGATGTAAAACATTCAATATCTTGTTGATGAATATAATCAATAAATGGATTTCCAGTCATTTCAACTTGTGATAATCCTAAATAAATTGAAATTGTTTCGGAAATATATAAAACATCGCCACGTCGATCAATAATTATAAAAAAACCATCAAGAAGTTCCAAATGATTTGAAGTCCAATAAGAATCATGACAATAATATCCTTTATTTGGTGATGTGAATATTTCGTGTAATTTGATATAAGAAGTTGCCAATCTAACCATTGTTGTTTTATCAATATGTTGATCAGAAATAGCTCGTGCTAATGGAAGTTCTTTTGCCAATTGAGAAAATTCGAAATTTTCCAATTGTCTTCTTTGTTGAGCTTGAGATTTTGTAGCGCGCATCATTTTTTAGTAGAAAAATATAATCAACAATGGTGAAATATAGCATATGGGGAAGAATAATTAGTATTCGTGTCATGAAATTTGAGATAATTAATTGGCCAAAAATTGAACAACACACAAAGGTTACTGTAGTTTTTTGAAAAAAAATTGATATCTGGTATTTTTCTCAAATTGTTTGAAGTAAATTTGAAAAAAAAAGTTTTTGAAAAAGTTAAAAATTTTGGACAAAAACTTGAATGAAAAACCTGGGCCCAAGATTAGGAAATCACAAGTCTCAAAATTTTCAGCATGTGGAATTCGCCGTCGCGATTTTCTTGATTCTCTTCAATCATCTTCCGAAATAGTTGGTCAACCAATTCCACAATGCGATGAAACTGGCCAAAAATATAGAAAAAGACAATGTTTCGCCGCAACTGAAACATGTTGGTGTGTTGATGAAAATGGAAGAAGATTGTCGAAAAAAGAAGCGGCTCAAAATGAAAAACAATGTGAAACAGTTCGAAAAAAACAAGAAAATATGGCAATGGAAGCGGCTAAAATATTACTTGAAACCAAAAAAACCGCAAATTGTTTGGAAGAGGAAAAACCTGGAGAATGTCCGGTTTTGAAAGATGGATATTCGAATAACAGAAGGCCTTGTGAATGTGATAGCGAATGTCCGAAACAGGAAAAATGCTGCCGAACTGTAACTAACAAATTTAATATTTGTTTGCCTGCTTTTAACACTTCCAGCTTACAAAGTAACAATTCCATCAGTTTTTTTCCACCGAGTTTTCCAAGAAAAAAAATCAAAACCTTATTTTTTTCAGTGACTCCTGCTCTTTCTCTGGTTTGTGGTTCAAATGAGCAATATTCAGCATGTTATTCAGCTTGTCAACCATCTTGTCAAGATCCATCAACACCTTCTTGTCCAATGCCAAATTGTCAACCAGGATGTGTTTGTCTTCCCGGTTATATTCGTCGAGATGGAAGTCCTCGATCAGCTTGTGTTCCACGTGGATTATGTCAAGCATATGATTTAACAATTCGATGTGCCGATGATCGTCGACAATATCAAACATGTGGAAGTGCGTGTCCAATTAGTTGCGAAACACGAAATACACCAAGATGTGAAAGTGAACGATGTGTTACTGGTTGTTTTTGTAAAATACCATATATCCTTGAGAATGCTGGAGATCCTTTACATTCTCGATGTATTCTACCATCCGAATGTCCAGCTAATATTGATTTGAATATACCTCCAACAATGGATATTGCTCAACAATATCTTGCCAGAAATCCAGCTGCATTTTTAAAGAATATGAATTCATATCCAACTTCACCTTCTCCATTAATCTCAACACCGAATAATCATTGCTCAGATCCTCTCAAAAATTATTTGAATTGTGGAAGTAAATGTGCTGCATCCTGTGATCGACCATTATCTCAAGCAGCATCATTAGATTGTGCACTTTCTTGTGTTGCTGGTTGTTTTTGTCGACTTCCATATGTTCTTCTCGATTCAACAAATCCAAATTCCACGTGTATTCTTCCTCAACTTTGCCCTCGAAAATCAATTCCCCCTTCAATTGTTCCAACTCAAAGTCAAAGTTGTCTCGACCCACGAAAAGAATGGTCTCAATGCGCAGCCAAACAATGTGCTCGATCGTGTCTTAATCCAGTTGGTCGATGTTCTCCCGACACTTGTATTTCTGGTTGTATTTGTCGTCCCCCATATCTTTTATTACATCCAAACGATTCCGCATCAAGATGTGTTTTACCATCAGAATGCGAAAAATCATGTGAAGATCCAACAAAAGAATTCATCAGTTGTGGATCATCTTGTCCAATGGGATGCGATAATCGAAGACCCAAAAACTGTGCACCTTGTCAAACTGGATGTTTTTGCAAAAATGGATGGGTTTTTGAGAATTCGGCAACATGGCCAACATCGAAATGTATCAAATTAGAAGAATGTCCAGCAGAAACAATAGAGGAGACAACAACAATTATTGAAACTACAGTAATCCCAACAACAACCACAACATCGACTACAACAACTCTTCCACCAATAACAAAAAGTCAAGAAGCTTTTTCAAAAGAAGAAAATTTCGGAATCGCAATTTCTAAAAGTTAGTTTGATTTATTGAATATTGATGTTTCGGAATTTTCGTGTTCTTTTTTTCATTTTCGAAATTTGAGGATTTTCCGAAAACTTAGTAGATAATACTTTTAAAAATTTCAAAAAAATTAGTCCTGAAATTTTCCTTGTAAGTCCGAGAAAAGTTCCGATTACGGACATTCAGATTCCAAACACTGCCAATCATCATATTTTTCCAGATCTTCCTGATTCGTCTCAAATTCCTTCAACTTCACAATGTCCCGAAACAACATTTGATGTTGGTGGTCGAGGTTGTAATTCAGATATGGATTGTCCAATTGAACAAAGATGTTGTCGCCCAATGATTGTTTCACTTGGTGTCAATCCACAAAGATGTGTTTGCCCGGATAAACATGCAGTTTGGTCTTCTTGTGGAACACTATGTCCCGAATATTGTGGTCAACCATCTGTTCCAGTTTGTAGTTCCACGTGTAATGCTGGTTGTCATTGTGCTCCAGGTTTTATTCGAGCAAGAAACGATGTTGGTGCTCCGTGTGTTCCACGTGATAGTTGTTCGCTGGTTTTGGCAACTCAAAAGTTTTCCGCAAGTTTTGATGATCAACCGATTCGATTTGCGACAATTCGAGAAATTCGACCACATGATCCAATTATTGAAGATGTTGTGAGGAGTTGAGAGAAAGTAATTTAAAATAGTTTTGTTTTTTTTGCAGATAGCAGTTTCTTTTATTCATTCGCGAGAAAATCAATCATTAGGAAAATTCACCTTCTCCCAAATCACTCCAAATACAATCAAAATATTTGGAGAGATTAATAATTTGCCACGTGGCAATAGATATGCAGTTGTAATGCACAGATTTGGAGATGCGTCAGAAAAATGTTCGCGAGTTGGTCCACCGTTTTCAAAATCATCAACACCTTCTTTCGGAGATTTGGATGAAAATGGAAAATTGGAACGAATTATTGATTGGCCAATTGGTGATGTTATTGGAAGAGCTTTAGTTATTTATCCGTATGTTTTCTATTTTAATTAGAGGAAAACATAAACCCGAAATGGAATTTTATATTTATTTAGATTTTCAACATCTGAATGGACATCTCGTGCACATTTTGGTGAAAAACCATTGGGATGTGGAACAATTGGAATAGCAAAAGTTGCTCAATAATCATAATAATATTGTTTTTGAACTTATGTCTGAACTTATGTCTGTTTTGAACTGTTGGAATTTATGGGAAATTTGAAATAAATATTGATTTTTGATAAAAATTCCAAACAAATGTGGGCGCTGCTTATTTTTCTCTGCACTCTCTCAAAGTTATGCATAGGCGCTGCTCACTTAGAAAATAAGCAGCGCCTATGCATTATTTAGAGAGAGCGCAGACAAAAATAGAAAATAAGCAGCGCCTATGCATTATTCAGAGAGAGCACAGAGAAAAAGAGAAAATAAGCAGCGCCCAAATTTCCAAACAAATGTGGGCGCTGCTTATTTTTCTCTGCACTCTCTCAAAGTTATACATAGGCGCTGCTCACTTAAAAAATAAGCAGCGCCCATGCATTATTTAGAGAGAGCGCAGACAAAAATAGAAAATAAGCAGCGCCTATGCATTATTCAGAGAGAGCACAGAGAAAAAGAGAAAATAAGCAGCGCCCAAATTTCCAAACAAATGTGGGCGCTGCTTATTTTTCTCTGCACTCTCTCAAAGTTATGCATAGGCGCTGCTCTTTTTTATTTATTAAGCTCCGCCTACTTTGAAAAAAATAAGCAGCGCCCAGATTTCCAAATAAATGTGGGCGCTGCTTATTTTTCTCTGCACTCTCTCAAAGTTATGCATAGGCGCTGCTCTTTTTTATTTATTAAGCTCCGCCTACTTTGAAAAAAATAAGCAGCGCCCAGATTTCCAAATAAATGTGGGCGCTGCTTATTTTTCTCTGCACTCTCTCAAAGTTATGCATAGGCGCTGCTTATTTTTATTTATTAAGCTCCGCCTACTTTGAAAAAAATAAGCAGCGCCCAGATTTCCAAATAAATGTGGGCGCTGCTTATTTTTCTCTGCACTCTCTCAAAGTTATGCATAGGCGCTGCTTACTTTAAAAAATAAGCAGCGCCTATGCATTATTCAAAGAGATCACAGAGAAAAAGAGAAAATAAGCAGCGCCCAGATTTCCAAATAAATGTGGGCGCTGCTTATTTTTCTCTGCACTCTCTCAAAGTTATGCATAGGCGCTGCTCACTTAGAAAATAAGCAGCGCCTATGCATTATTTAGAGAGAGCGCAGACAAAAATAGAAAATAAGCAGCGCCTATGCATTATTCAGAGAGAGCACAGAGAAAAAGAGAAAATAAGCAGCGCCCAAATTTCCAAACAAATGTGGGCGCTGCTTATTTTTCTCTGCACTCTCTAAAAGTTATGCATAGGCACTGCTTACTTAAAAAATAAGCAGCGCCTATGCATTATTCAGAGAGAGCGCAGAGAAAATAAGCAGCACCCAAGTTTCCAAACAAATGTGGGCGCTGCTTATTTTTCTCTGCACTCTCTCAAAGTTATGCATAGGCGCTGCTCACTTAGAAAATAAGCAGCGCCTATGCATTATTTAGAGAGAGCGCAGACAAAAATAGAAAATAAGCAGCGCCTATGCATTATTCAGAGAGAGCACAGAGAAAAAGAGAAAATAAGCAGCGCCCAAATTTCCAAACAAATGTGGGCGCTGCTTATTTTTCTCTGCACTCTCTCGAAGTTATGCATAGGCACTGCTTACTTAAAAAATAAGCAGCGCCTATGCTTATTCAAAGAGAGCGCAGAAAAAAAGAGAAAATAAGCAGCGCCCAGATTTCCAAATAAATGTGGGCGCTGCTTATTTTCTCTCTGCACTCTCTCAAAGTTATGCATAGGCGCTGCTTATTTTTATTTATTAAGCTCCGCCTACTTTGAAAAAAAAAATAAGCAGCGCCTATGCATTATTCAAAGAGAGCGCAGACAGAAAGAGAAAATAAGCAGCACCCAAATTTCCATACAAATGTGGGCGCTGCTTATTTCTCACTTTTTCTTTGCGTCTCTCAAAATAAAGTGTAGGCGCTGCTTATTTCGATTTCTTATTTCCGAAAAATGAATCCAGGAAGTTTTTTTTTTCGTAAATCGCGCATCTTCAAACTCCTCTTTCCGAATAAAAATATATTCACATAAACAACTCCAATGTTTTTCAAAAAGAAATCTTTTACTTCCATGTACTAAAAAGGGGACTAAAGCGGCAAGTTGTATAAACAAAATAAATAAAAATGAAAATATTACATACACAGACGTTCACCATTTTCATCGTATTCTCCAGAATCCTCTTCAGTTTCAAAATCATCATCGGACTCATATTTTTCAAATTCCTTTTTTCTTTTCAATTGTTCATCTCGAAGAATAAGTGGTGGTTTTGAATTGAAAATCAATTTCAAACGGAACGCGTCACCTCCATTTAAATAATATCTGAAATTTCAAATTGATTGAAAAATATGTAAAAGACAAACAAAAACTCACTTTATTAACCGTTTCTCTCTTATGAAACCCAAATTACTGTATAATCTTTGAGCATTTTTGTTTGACACTTCAGTTTCCAAAACAACTTCATCACATCCTTTTGATTGCATTGCATCGATTGCTCGACGAACCAAACGAGTTCCTAAAATTCAGAATATTCATTTTTATTTCTTCTCCCTGGCTGAAAGAATTCGAACCTAATCCTAATCTTCTACACGATTCATCCACAGCTAACATTGCAACATATCCTTTATTCCATGCATTCAATTCAGTTTCTAATTTACATAAAACAGCTCCAACATATGTACTTGCTTCGGTATCATAAGCCTGTTTTCAAAAAAAATTAATTTTCATTGCAAAAATTGTTCGAAGAACCAGATTTTAATCGATTCTCCGAGAAAACTGACACCTTTTGATAAGATAACGTATCAAAAAATAAGTCAAAGGTTGTTCGGGAAAAATTAAATAAAACTTACCAAAAAACAAAGTTCGGGCCAATTGTGAAGGAAATATCTGTAGGTATAAATTGAGTATGGTTCGGATAAATCTTTTGTGATTAAACGCATTATATCACTTATTTGACTCTCGTCCTGAAATTAAAAGGTATTTTGGTAAATTTTTTATTTTGATGATCAAGTTTTGATCTTAAATCAGGTGATTTTTATTATAGAAAAATAAAAAACTAACCTTATAGGGAACAAGTCGAATATTCTTAATTTGTTCATCGACTTGTCTTGCTTCATCTTGACTTATCATATGTTGACAATGTGGCCATTTTGATGCTTCTGGAACTGCTTCTTCTAACCGCAAATCTTCCTATAACAGTATTGATTTTTCGAAGTTATGCTAATTGTTTTCACAAAAAAAATCAACTCACAAATTGTTGATTGACTTTAATAAAATCATCATTCTTCTTTTTTGTACTTGTTCCAGCCATTTCAAGACACCGTTTCAATGTTCCAATTGTTCTATCAAGATTTGTTGAATCAGTTTGTGTTCCACCGCCCAAACATGATAATGTTGAATTTTTTGGAGCGCCTATAGCCATCTGAAAACAGGGTATAAGACTAGAGAAAAAAGATCAACAGAATACGTATCAAATTAAACTGAAAAATAAAAAAAGAAATAGAAAATGATGACAAAACAAATGTGGAGAATTTTTATGATGATACAATCAACTATTCGAAAAAAATCTACTTTTTTAAAAGTGTACTTTGGTTTTCTCTTTGTGTTTTCTATCACTATACGTTTTGGACCCATCAATTCGTTATCACATGTCAAAAGAGTGCAAAAACAACAAGCAGCGAGCATAAATATTTTAAACTAAAAAAAAGTGACCATTCGTTTTTATCTGTTGTCAGCTGTATACATTTCTTATGAGAATCACATGATGACTTGCCCGGGGTCGAAAAGATTAGAAGACAAATAATTAATTATAGGAGAGTTTTTATATTTCAAACTTTTTATTTTTTATTGGAGAGATCTTTGATGGAAAATAAATAATGAATGGGACTATATTTTACCAAATAGGACACTTCCGAATCAAAAATCGGGGGAACCACATTATTTATTGAGCTGGTCTGAATAACCCAAGAAGATACTTTTTTGGCGGGACCATTCAGAAAAGTTCAATAAATTGTGTGGTCCCATTTTATGATTCTGGGGGCCAGAAATTTTTTAAAGCTCTAAAACGATTTTTCTAGTAAACTTCTCTAAATGCTACAACAAACAACTACTGTCGAACCACAAAATTGATAAAAATGATTAAAGTACACATATCTAAATCAGAAAAATAAACAATTCTGGAAGAAAAAACCAACTTTTTTCTCCTTTTCTTTGAACATTTTCTGAGTAGATAACAAAAAGTGCAGAACTAACAAATATTTTTGTGGGAAAAATATCGAGAATAATACAAGGACGATTTGAAAAAGGGTGAGAACGATAAGAAAACGAAGAAAAAATAAAAGAAAATGATAACAATCAAGGGGCGGGAGATTTGAATTCGAATATTTACATGGATTTTTGGCAGAAAAAATAGAGTTCTTCAATGTTTTTTATTGTTTTTAACAAAAACTATTTGTAATATTATGAATAACTTAATAGTTCTACAATCGTAACAATAAAAAATATCAACACTTTGCAATTCGATTATCGAAAAATGCCAAATAAAAATAGGAGGAGCTTGGAAAACCCCAGAGAAAAGAGAGGTGAAAATCATGTGGCTGGTACGATCAGAGTTCGAACAAAAGTCATTTGATTGACAACAGCGAAATGTAGATTTCATGGAGTTTTTCATTTAGATATTATTGAATTTTTGTTCCGGACAGACAACAAAAGAATTATTTTCTAAACTTTGTATTTATTTATGGCTAGGAATTGTGAATAAAATAATAAAAATACTTCGATAAACACAAAGAATATTTTGATAATCGAACAGATTTTATCATTTATTTTCGAAAAGATAAACGACAAATAATTGATTGAATTAATCAAAAAAGAAACAAATACAATTACCGAAAAATGTTGCAAATTTTGTCTGAAAGCTGAATAAAGCGGACTTTTATCCAGTTTTATTTTAATTCTTTATCAAATTAGCAGACAACATAACAGATATTTTATAAAAGTTTTAAATTGACTTTGACATCGTTCAATTTTATTTATCTCAATTAATTTTTCAATAATTATTTATACTTTCCAAGAACATCAACAATATAGTACAAAAAGAAAGTCAAAAAAACGGAACAGATAACGGAAAAACAAATGGGTATTTTTGAGTTAAAGGGAGAGTTTGATTGATTATTATCCTGAAGCCATCGCAAGTTCTTCCAAGAGTTTCAATTCGGAACTTGACAACTTTGCGAACTTTTTGTGAAGTTTGGCATCTCTTTCCTCGTCGGATAAATCTCTGTATTTATCAGCTTTTGTTCTAGCCCAAAGAGAAAATGCAGTTTCTGGATCTTTCTTTTTTCCTGTTGCATTTGAACGACGAGCTCCGCTTGGTTTATCAATCTGAAAATTAATATTTAAAAAAATATTGGAAATTGATTGAACTTACTCTCTTGAGAATTGATTTAGCTCTAGAATCAATCGATGTTATTTGATTAGTGGTCAAATGCGGATGAATTGTCAGAAAGTTGAGAAGAGCTTGAGCGTATTCGCGCTGAAAATTTGTAATTAATTAATTATATTTAATTTAAAATCAGCAAAAAATAAACCTCTTGTTGTTTATGAATTTCTTGGACTTCTTCAACAACTTCTTTCGATTCATTTTTGAATGCTTCATAAGCAGAGGCCAATTCATGCAACTGTTTCGATAGATTATTACGTTTAATGTATATTTGGATTACTTGCGGAGGTTTTTGAGGGAAATCCTTGAAATTGACGAGAGCTTTTTCATCTTGTAAATATCTCAAAGTGATTCTTGACGAATCATTGATTCCCATAATCGATACTTTCATCGCAGTCTTCAAATATCTTCTATAATCTTGGCAAAACATCGTGATATCAATATACGAGTCGTTTTCTGCTTTCCTTTTCTCCGCCCATTCAGTGACCAATTTTTCAAGGCTTTTGACTGTAGCACTTTCATTTGACTCACAAAACTCATTAAATGAGTCTACAAGAATACGCATTTGATCTGGCTCATAGTTGATGTTCATTTCTTCTGTGATCGTTTCTTCCGGATTTCCAGCTTCACCTTCCGAATCAGAATCTTCTTCCTTCGGTTTTTTCGACACATCTCCGTTTGACTCACTGGCACGTCGTTTAGCCATCTGAAAACGTTGTTTTCGGCTCAAAAACAAAACACGTAAAAAAAAAAAGAAAATAGAAAGACGCTTGACGGTAGAGCGCGCTTTCATTGTTGGATGAGTATTTATGGCCTAGAATTCCAAATTATTTTACGGGAGAGCGCACTTTCTCCACCAACTGTTATTTTTTCTTTTTTCGGCTGTTTACTTTTTTTGCGTGTTTTTTTGGAGAAAAAGACTCTTTTCTGAGTTTAAATGTGCATATTTATAGATGTTTCATTCAATGTCTATCATTTGTACACCTTGTTCAAGTTATTCCTTTTGAAACCTTTCCGTATTTAATTGACGTGCATGTGAAATTTCAGAACATTGGAAATAATTTAGATTGACATTTCAGAATTAAATGTCAATAGCAGGGCCTAGCGGCACATCAATTCAATACTACACAACTGGACGAGGAAAAAATCCAAAATGTGTTACAATACTGAAGTGCCCCGAGAACAGTAACACATCGAAAAAAGTTTCATGGGAATGTAAAATTTGTCATAAAGACTTGTCTTCGAAACGATCTTATAGTGAACATATGAATGTGCACAACAAAAAACGTCCGTTTCAATGTGATAATTGTGAATATGCTGCAGCAAGTCAAATGACACTCCATCGACATAAACTTCGCAATCATACACCAAAAACTGAATGGGGATATCGATGTCCATATTGTGATGAAGCATATATGGAACCTGCTGGTTATCAACAACATGTTCAGTTAGTTTTGCTTCTAATTTCAAATTTACTATCCAATTCTTTGAAGGCATCGACATCGCGGACACTCTGCAACATACGGATGCCCTTTTACATTCTGCAAATTTTTCTCAAAATCACAACGACATTTTCGTGAACATTTATTCAAGCATGAATCGTTAGTTTTCTTATTTTTAACAGTGTTATTAAAAACAGTATTTTTCAGATCGGATCAATCAGATGGCGCGATGATTCCCTGCACAAATTTCCCATCTCATCAACTTGTTCGATATTTGATAAATGACGAATGTGGATATGGATATGAGCGAAAGTTCAAAAAGGTTTTAGTTCGTTCAAGTCAACAAACTCAACAATTTCCTCGAACTATTCGAATTGCTCCAAGATATCAATTGGCAAATACAACAAATGGACCGAAATTTATTCAAATTCAGCAAATGTGAGTTGGAAGACACTTATTTTGATAGAGATTATGTATCAGAAATGGTTTTTTCAGAACTCCTCTTCGTAAAATAATAAAATTGAATATTCCACAACAACAACAACAAGGGAATTCGGATTATTCAAACAAACATATCGAAGAAGAAGAAGATGATGAAGGACCACCAATTTTAGACAAACAAATTGAAAAACCAAAAGTTTATGAAGAATTCCGAGAATCTGAAATGGAAGAAGAAGAAATTGAAGAACAAATGGAAGAAGAAGAGGTTCCTTTGTTCCCGAATGGTTTTATCGAAGAAGAACTTGATTAATTGTTTTTAATATTTTTTGTTAGTAGATTTGATTAGTTATTTACGGGCGAATTATAAATGTGATTCATGATGCAGATTTATAATCCGGTAGTTTATCATTTTTCGGTTTTGAAATCCTCATATTTTATTTAAATTTTTTTCTTTTAGATGAAAAAGAAGTTCTGAATATTTTCAGATGGAGGTTTCGGGTCCTTCGGAAAGAAACAAATTCATAATTCCTGGAGAAGATGATAATCAAGACGAAAAACAAAACATAATGCGTTTATCAGTTGATCCAGATTATGGTAAGAATTCCTAGATATTTACAAAAATAAATACATAATTTAAATTATAGAAGAAGAAAATGAAGAGAATCGGCCAGCTCCAATTAACAAAATAAATGAGCCGCAGGAGAGAAGTGTGAAAATGTCAATTGGAAATTGGGATGATGATGAAGAAGATGAAGATGAGGTTGAAGAAGCCGAAGTTGGACCGAGTAGAATTGCTCAAGAAATGTGGAGATTTCGAGAGAAGGAGAATTTTGATTTTGAGGAAAACGAAGATATCAAAGCGTTTTTCAAGAATAAAGTTTCTGAAGCAATGTTTCCCGGAGTTAATGTAAGTCAATTAGGCGTCCCGAATGTAACTTACGTTTTTGGTTTCAACATTTTAATTTTTAAAAATGAACTGCTTTTGATTTTTTATGACGTGAACTAAAAAGATTGCATACGTGTAAATTAACATTTCATTTTGCATTTTAAATCGTTATTAATATGTAGGACAAGAATTCTACAAGTTTACCAGCCTAAACTAAAGAATTATCATTTTCAGACGATTGAAGACAATTTCGGATTGATAAAATCGAAAAAAGGGCCAAAAATAATCGAAGGATATTTATGGGGAGCTGTAATTGGAGTTGGATCGTATGGAAAAGTCAAAGAAGTATTAGATACTTTCACATTAACAAGAAGAGCTGCCAAAATAATGAAACACGATAAAATCAAGAAAAATACCAAATGGTTGGGCGAATATTCGAAGTGAAATCAAAATTTTGCAAAATATCAGACATCCAAATGTTATTAAACTTCAGGAGGTTTGATTTTGAAATTTAATTTTGTTTTTGAAAAATGAAAGTATTTTTTATAGGTTTTCGAAATTCCGGAGAAAAAGAAGATTTATATGATATTTGAATATTGTATTGGTAGTGTTCAGCAATTATTAGATATCGAACCGGCAAAAAGATTAACACAAGGAGAATGTCATAAAATATTTTGTGAAATGATTCATGGGTAAGTTATTAAAAATACTCGAAGTATTTCAAAAATCAACAACAAAAACCCCCATTTTCAGACTTGATTATTTGCATTCTCGCCGTATTTCTCACAAAGATATCAAACCTGGTAATCTTCTAATCTCGATTGATTTTACTATCAAAATTTGTGATTTCGGAGTTGCTGAAGAAATTTCAATGTATCAAGAGAATGGGAATTGCACTAAAGTTAATGGTACACCCAAATTTCAACCACCCGAATGTGTTGCTGGAAATCATCAATATTTTGAGTTAGTTTACTTTTTTCGACAAATATTTTTAAATTTTTCTGTATTTCAGTGGATATAAAGCTGATATTTGGGGTGCTGGAGTGACATTATACAATTTGATATCTGGAAAATATCCATTTGATTGTCCAAGACTTATTCAATTGTATGATTCGATTGCAAAAGATGAACTTGTTATGCCAACTAATGTTCCCATTTCAAACTGTTTACAAGAGTATGTTTTTCATTTTTGGAAATTGTTTTTAGTTCAAAACTTTTAGCCTCATTCAAAAATTGTTGGAGAAAGATTTCGAAAAACGAATCACAACAAATGATGCTATGCTTCATTCTTGGTTTTTGACAAGTTTTCCGGAGGTTAGTTGATTTCTTTAGTTTTTGGGGGATCTGCGGAAGAACGAGGGCAGAACATCAGGGTTATTTTTTCAAAATAATTATCGAATTCTCACCGTGAAATATCTGATCCCTCATAGTAGATACAATAAATAGATATGTTTAAAAAAATTATAAAAAAAAAAAAAATAATAATATGACGTCATGCCGCCCCCTCTTTTTTGGTCTGCTCTGAAATTATTCTGAAAAGTTCTAACAAAATGTGTAAATTTGTTCATTGAATCGCTCAACCGAAATCGAATTATGCTATCCGCATTTCGTATGATACAAAATCATATTTAAAAATTTTGAACGCTATTTTTATTTACGCGAACACATTTAATTTTTATTTGTTTTCCTTTCAATAATTTTATTTATAATATTTAGGATGAGGGACTTGGTCGAATAATGGAAAGAATGAGAACTGGAGATCGGCCATTAACAATGCGTCCATCAATGGAAATATTATTTGAAAAAGATGTTGGCGAATTTCAAAATAATGCAAGTGGAAATTCGGAAATGGCACCACTCACTTATGGTGGAGAATTAGATTCGGATGCGTTTAGAGGTTTCAAATATTTGAAAATTGATCCACAACCAACAGACGACGAAAAAAATGAGGACAAAAAATCAGTTGATAATTCAAAAAGAAAAAAGGCGAAAAAATCGATATTTTCTTGTATTTTCAGACCACGATCTGGCTCTTAAAACGGGGATTTTCTCTTTCTTTTTTTTTCTGTTAATGTATATTATTTATTTTTATTTTTTTCGGTGCTCCTCCTTTTAACCCGGTATTGTCAAATAGCTGTTTATATTTATTATTTCAGAATAAATTTTCTACACTGAAAACCCGTGAAATTAAAAGATATGAGGTTAGAAAAACTAATTAAACACGTTATAATTAAATATTACACGGTTTTGTGAACATTTGTGGACTCAATCGATTTGTTGGTGTTGGATTTGTAGATGCTTCACCTTTCAAAGAAACCATTGATTCTGAAAAAAAGTTTTTAGTTGTGAAAAGTTCAAAGACCACAAAATTTTATCATAATCTCAAAAGTTAGGGTACCTTTTGAATAATGAATGGGGTTTATCTCGAAAATCCTAAAATCTCTGAAGTTGCCCTAACTTTTGTGCTCCCCTCCCCCGTTTAAAAAAAAATAAATAAACCTTTGAATTTGGTATCCATATTGCTTCTTGTTGCATTTTCAGTGTCATAAATATTCAAATCTTGACTGAAACACCATTTGAGAAAATATAAACGTCTTGCTTGATTTCGAAAACGAGTCGAATAATTATAATAAAAATAAAATGGAGAAGAGGAATTGATAATTATAAGAATATTATTAACATCATTCAGAAAATAGCCAAGATCCGATTGAAATATTGATGGAGAAAACACTTCGAGAACATTCAGAACAAATGAAAATGTATAGCAAACCAGGAATACTGAAAATAATAATTATTATTTAGTTTAATCAGAGTAGTTTTTCATAACTTTAAAAATTATACATAAATATAATTTATCGTTTTTTTTTTCGAGAATAATAAAATATATTTGCAAAAATTTCGAGAATTTTCACCAATTCCCAAGTTACAGTAACTCACCGATTACAACCATAATCATCATTTTAGCAGTTGAATGTTCTCTTTTAACACTTGCAACTAATTCTCTTCGTTGTTCTGATGCTTTCATAATAGTTCGAGCAACTTTCAAATTCAAAACACATAAAACAACCAAAGGAAGAAGAAATTGTGAGAGAAGTGTCGCAACATTTTGATACCATAACATAAATGTTGTATTTTCTCGAAGATTTGTTATTATCAGATCATTTGGTACTACTGGAAATTGATATTTTCAGAGAAAAAAACGATAATCAATAATATTTCAAAACCTGTGTAATTTTCTGGTTTTCCTGTTCGGTTAAATTGATCGAGTTTAATTATTGAGAATTCCCAATATCGAACAAAATTGTAAGCAAAACTAAAAATCATAACAAATGCAACTGTTATGAATGCGCGATTTCTGTAAGAAAAAATGTTTAAAAATAGGGGGATTTTTGATTGCGAACTTACTTTGTGCAATAAGTATTAACCATAAATGGATGACAAACTGCTAAATATCGATCGATAGTTATTGAAACTAATAACCAAACACTCAATGATTGAAACATAATTATAACAGGATATAAATAAAATGTTGAACAAGCAATTAAATAAGTTTCCAAAACATTCTCTAAATGAGAATTAGCAAATACGGGAACTGTTAACAAACAACAATTCAAATCAGAAAATGATAAAGCTGCCAATAATATATTTATACTTCGATTTCGAAATGAAGGACGGGTATAAATGAAAAATGATAATAAATTGAATGGAATTCCAAATGCACATATTATTGCGGTGAATGTTGTGAAAATTTTTTGGAGAAATTGAAGTTGCATTTTCTGAAAATAAAAAGACAATTGAAAAATTGCGTGTCGAAATAGTAGAAACAAGAATGACTGAAAAATGATCTTTAGAAATATGCGAGAAGAAAAATGATTTATGGACTTTTGAAGGCTCGGCTCATTAGGACTCCGAAAATATGTGTATCTCTTTTGATTGTTCACAAATTGAAAGAGATTCATTTGAAAAAAAATTTTTTTTCCAAAAAAAATAGTGTTCAATTAATATTTTGCTCACGTTTATGATAATTGTTTTCAAAAAAGTATTTATTTCAAATCCCAAATTGTTTACAATTAGAGTTTATAGATTCTTTCAAACTAATTAATTAAAATAAAAAATGAGATTTATGGAATATTTTCAAAACTAGAATATTATTTGAGAAGATGATGCTATTGAAAAAATGTGCTGAAATATCTTTTCACTACTTTCAGTGGAGCGAAAAATTAATAAAAATCAGAAAACAAAAACATAGAAAGATATTCTTCGAAGTTTGGTTTTTTATATGAAAAAAAATGATTTTTGAAAAAGGTTTCAATTGTCGCTGACTTTTTCCTTTGAAAAAAAGAAAACAAAAAAAACACGTTGAAGACAAAAAACAAAAAACTCTAGACAACAAATATCTTTACACGAGCTCGAAAATAAGGTAAGCTGAAAAACATATAAATATCAGTCAGTCAGTCATAATAATAAATTGAATGAGTTTGTAACTTCTTCGTACTTGAGTATTTTTGATGTGGAAATAAATATAATTGGCTTTTTTTGAGAATAAAGGAAGGATATACGTATGTATGTGTAACTAACTTATGTCAGTCACTTTCTTTTTTGATTTTTTTGAGATAAATTGTGAAAAAAAATAACAATAAGCTAAGCTGTCAACTCGGGAAAAATCCCGCAAGTGTCGGCAAGAAATGCAGTAGAGCCGCAATGGCTGCGGGTGAAGCCGCCGTTGTTGCGGGGGAAAGACAAGGGAAGTGTGAGAGAGCACAGGCAGACAGACAAAAAGTAGCGAGCGTCTGCGCTCTCTCACATTCCCCTTGTCTTTCCCCCGCAACAACGGCGGCTTCACCCGCAGCATTGCGGCTCTACTTCAATTCTTGCGGGCACTTGCGGGATTTTTCCCGAGAAGTGTGTTTTTTTGTTCTGAAAATAGTGAAGAAAAATAAAAAAATAATTAGAAAAAAGAAAGAAGATATCTACGTATGGATGGATAATAACAAAAGAATTAGTACTATTAAAAAGCGAAATGAAAATGTGTCAAAGAAAGTACATTTCGAAAGACGAAAATGCTCATTTTTAATTAGAGCCTATGTATCTAGAAATAATATAGACTCACATCAAAAAACTTTCAAAATTGATCTTTCAAAAAATTATGCGCGAACTTTGAAGGAGAAAAAATGGTTTATAACGGGGTTTTCTGCTTTAGAAATATTATTTTCTTTTCATATTTTCTTGTGACTCTTCTTGTAAACATTTTTCGTATTATTATTTTCAATTAATCTGAAATTCCTCTCACAAATAAACAATTTCAAGCATGAATGGTTGGAAAGTCTGCTGACAAGGAAGGAATATTCTTTGAACTTCGATTTATGAAATACCGAGTTTTGCTGGTTTTTCAGCCAAAATGTACAGTAAGAAACTATGATTCTGAAAAAATGTTCCAAGGGACAAAAGTGAATAGAGTTACGTAAAAACTCTATTCCCGCAATTGTGTGTCACAATTTTTAAAAGGAAAATCAATAAACCATAAGCAATTGAAAACTTCTACAATTAAAAAGTTTATGTGAAAATACAAAAGATGCACCAAGAAATTAATGAACTCTAGTGCAGCCAGGACCTCACTTGTACATATTTTTATCGAGTTTGCAAGCCTCCATGAAAATTAGGCTAGAATTGAATTAGAGTTACATTTCAATAGATTCGTTCCAAAATTAAAAAAACCAATGTTTTGACAAAAAATCAAATTCACAAATGACTTATTTATTCTGTTTTTCTATTATTTGAACTCGTTTCTGAATACAAGATTTAGAAAAAAAATGAAAAGAAATCAATGTTTCCTCAATTTTTGAGCGATTCAAAAAATGTGAACATTTCAAGAAAAAAAATGAAAATCATAATCAATTTGGAACATTTGGAAAAAGAAGTTGACGACCTTGAGAATTTGATACATTTTTAATAATAAATTAAACAGTTTTCCAAAAATTGATAGTATTTCTTTCTCAAAAAAAAAAACAAATATCTTCGTCATCGTTATAATCATAATAAAAATAACACATAACTCATCTAAATTCAGAAAAAAATGAAGAAATAAACAGATGAAATGGAACAATTTTTCAAAAAATAAGAACGAAAACGAGAAATGCATTGATGTGAGTGAGATAGATTTAAGTTTAATCGTAAGTTCAAAATGATTTTCAGCACATAAAATGGCGGAGCGCGCAAAAAGGCAATAAAAGTGAGAAGAAGCGAATGACTGAAGTGAATGAAGTAAAACATAAAACATTGAAACAAAATTAAATTCTTTTGCTGCTGAATAGACAAGTTTCGTTGAGAAAATACTAAATAGCACAAGTTTTTTTTATCTGAAGAGGTTAATCGAATCCGAACATTTATTTTTTATGCGTGTTGTGTTGAGAGGTTGCCGACACTCCAAAAATATTATACTAAAAAAGATAAATGTGAAGAAGAAGAAGAAGAAGAAAATATAACAACAAAAACAACATTTTTGCCATCTGAGACATTCGAAATAAGAAATGAAAGAAAAAAAAATATGAAAAAAATTAATATGAAAAAAGAATACAAGGTTGAATGAACAATGTGACATTTACACTACATTTTGTTCGTATTCAGTCAAAAAATAACAAAGAGTCCGTCTATCGGACATCCGAAATAACAAAAAAAGAAACCCACGAATATTAATTTACACACATTTAAGTATCTAAAAGCAATTCAAGTCAACTCAATTTTATTTTCGTTTTATCTAATCACATAAAAATTATTTTTTCTCGGAATTTTTTTTATTTATGCTTTCTTTACATTGGAGAATTTTAGAGTATTTGTGGCTCACGAAAAAATTGAAGAAACAACAAACAAGTTACAAAAAAGTGCACAAAGGAATCGAAACTAAATTGGATTTCGGTTTTTTTCTAAATCAGTTTTTTTCTTCAAACAACAATTAAATACAACAAACAAACAACAAACTTTTCTCGTCGAAGAACTATTTTAATTAAAATTTCAAGACATTTCGGAATTGTGGTTTTTCGGAAATTATTTATGTTCTTTTTTGTTGGCACTCAATTTTTGTGTGTTCGGAAACTCCTGATAAATAATTTTTTAAAAAGTTACAGTACTCAAAAAGAGGTTTTGATGAAAATGGAATTTATTTTCGATATAGGAATTTCCAGGTAAAATAGTTTTTTCAAAAATTTCAGAATTAAACACATTTTCTAGATTACTGTGGATTGTTTCCAGAAAATTTCTGTGGTCTGATTTTTTGGCGTTTACAGGTGTTTTCTAAATACAATTCTGAAAATTTAGATTTTTCATGGTTCGGTGAAGTCGCTTTTTACATTATTTTTCCGTAACTCTCAAATTCTTCAAACCTTCAATAATTTATTTTATTTTTGAATTCAATACCAAATAATTAATGTCGAGGAATAAGTCTAACTCTAACACCATCAAATGGTCTCAAAATAATTTCCGGAACCGGTCTTCCATCTGGCCAATGTTCAATACTTTCAACACGGAATTTTCGGAAAATCGTAGATAAAACAGTTTTTTCCTCGAGAATCGCAAATTTCTGGCCAATACAATTTCTTGGTCCAGCGGCAAATGGAATATATGAATATGGATTACGTTTTGAAACAACTTCTGAATCAAAATGTTCTGGATAAAATTCTTCAGGGTTTTCAAATTCTCTCGGATCTCTTGATGCTGTTAATGGAGAAACAACAACTGTCATTCCAGCTGGCAAACGAATTTCGGATAAATTTGGATGCGCTGAAAAATATTTTTTAAAAAATTGTAGAAGCTAGATTTTTTAAAATTTTGAACTAACGTAAAACAAGATCTTCGGTCAATTTTCTGGCGATTAAAGGAACAGAAGGGAATAATCGCAATGCTTCTTTGACACATTTTTCAAGATAAACTAATTTTTTGACATCTTCATTTGTCGGATTTCTTTCATAATCTCCAGTTCCAAATACATTGTCAATTTCTTCATGAACCAATTTTTGATATTCTGGATATTGTCCAAGCCACCAAAGTGTGAAAACCATTCCACTTGCAGTTGTATCATGTCCTGAAGATTTTGTTTTGATTTGGAAAATTAGTTTGGAAGATTTCAATCATAATGTGTAATTGATCAAAAACCTATGGGCCTCAAAATTTTAAAAATTCTTTAAATCTAGCTAGAATTTTGTCGATGGAATTATTTTTCGGATCTACAGTAATCTTGAGGCGCTCTCCACAAATGGTTTTTTTGGGACTAGTCTTTTTTATAGTTACAGGATTACTGTAGTTATAAAAAAAGTTGATATTTCTTGAAAAATTCAAATAGCATTGTTTCGGCGCCAAAACATTGCTTGATTACTGTTAGAGGCGCCAAAAAAGATTTTGAAATTTTCAAAATTTTTTTATTACTGTAAATTTTTAGTGCCGAAAAATAGGTTCAAAATTGAATTTTTATCATAAAAAAATCCACATGGCTTTTTTCCTAGCTGTAGTTCTAAATAAATTAATGGATAATTGGTTTTTGACCAATACATCCGTATTTTGATTACCTTCAAACATAAAAGTATCAACTTCTTCTCGAATATCTTCATCACTCAATTTTCCTTCAGATTGCATTTTCAACAAATAATCCAAAAAAGCAAGTTTGTTATCATTTTCATCAATATGTTCCTCTTTTCTATCTTTAATAACATTTCTTGTAAAATCATTAGTTAATTTAACTAATCGATCAAATTCTCCTCCTTTTCCACTAAAATACCAAATTGGTTTAAACCATAACCAAGGAAATCGTTCATAATCCCAAATAATTTCAGATATTCTTCCAACTGCATCAACATATTCATTATTTCCACCAATTTGTGCATTTACAGTTGCACCCATTGCTGTTTCACAAATGATATCTAATGCACATCTTTTGATATATGGAAATATATCAAATGATTCATTTGTTTTTTTCGATAATAAATCAACTAATATTTTGGCTTGTTCAGCAAATATAGTTTGATATCTTTGAAGAACAGTAAAATGAAATGTTGGTGTCAACATTTTTCGTCTTTGTCTCCATTTTTCATTTGTACTTGTTAAGAGACGTTATTTGTAAAAACTCAAAAATTCTTGACATACGAAGCACAAAAAAAAGTGATGGTCTTCGATTTGGGTCTAATTTTGGTAAAATGATGCCCCACGCCTATAGAGTTGGAAAAAAAAAGTAAAATGGCGCAAAAAAATTTTTTGAGGTCAGGGGGATTTTTTTTTCGAAAAAAAATTGGACGACCCGTAAATAGGCTCAAACTTCATATTTTTTGACGTTCAAAAAAGCATTTTGCTCGTAATTTTACGATCTTTCCCGTGGTAAAACAATCCGTAACTCATTCTTTAATTTGAAAGAAATTTGTTTTTTAAAAATGAAAAAATGATGAATTTTCGGTTAAAATCATCATTTTCAACTCGAATGAGTGAAAAGCGCACTTTTTAACTGCGCGCAAAAGCTTCCTCGCGCAATTTTACCCCCGGACGCGTACTTTTGAAAAAAAAACCGGAGGACCATCATTCTCATCCAGGTCGATGAAAACCGCACACTAACACATTTGTGTGCGCAAGGGATGGGTGAAGATTTCACTTTGAAACATTTGGTTTATCTGATTCTAGGGTCATAGGTTCGATTCCTGGTGAGGGCTTTTTTGAAAAAATTTCGTTTTTCGAAACCATCCGACAAAATGAAGTCTTCATCACTCAATGAATACTTTTTCTCTGATGTCAATAATAATGAGAAAATTGAAGAAAAAATTTTTTATTTGGTTTTTTTTGTTTTCGAATGTCGTTTTTTGAATTTCATTTCTTATTGGGTCACACAAACCCATGTTTAGTGTGTTTATATTTTTATTTATGCAGTGCTTTACATAAATAAGATCGCTAGTATCAATGATAATAATCCTGAATATTATTTTTATTTGCAAATATTTGTTTTTTATCTATATTTTTATAAATTTTAAAAACTTCACTATCAAAGTAAATAGTTCCTTGGAATAAGTATATAAACTCAGTTTTATTAACGTATATTGTTAGTGCTTTATATTAATTATTCATTAAAAAATAATTTTTTTGCAGAAGCTTCTATTTTGATGAAGATCTATTTTTTTCTAATAGTTGGTTTGATTCTATGCACATGTGCACCTATAACGAAGGTTTGTAAAATTATCATTCCCTGAAAAAATTTCATTTTACAGAAAACCAAAAATGCGCCGAAAATCGAAACCCCTGGTTGTTATTTCAGAGAACCGCAGTTCTCAAAACTAGAGAATATCAAAAGACTGCCACAATTTATTGTGACCGATAACCATTCCAAAAAATTGACCAAGTATGAGCCACATAATATGTTTGAAATATATATTTTTTTAGATTAACTGATCTTCCTGAAGTAAGATCTCAGTTTCTATTTGGAGCTCAAAATAACATAGAACTATTACTGTGCCGAGGAGCAGGAAATTGGTATGTTTTTTTTTAATTCGGAATCTTTTGAAAACTATTTAGCGCTATCAATTTCAACGACAGTGACGTTACAAAGCAGCTCGATAATACATATGTTTGTCAAAGCCACATTACCGAACTACTCACTGGTTGGGCTAGAGTGACATATCATCACATAAATCGAAAATCAGAAAAAGGAGTGAGTTTCTAGTATCAATATATGGTTGATAAAATTTTGAATTTTCCGGTAAAATATCCAGCATGTTCTTTCCCTTCATCAATACGCCTACTACACAGGAACTTGAATAAAATGAAGTCAGCTACATATAATGCATTGACTGTACCGGAATCCCATCTTTTACTGTTGAAGCATCGCACCTTGGTACACCCAGGAATCCGTTAGTGTTGGCTATTAGAAAATTTTTGTTGAATTTTGTTTTTCAGCAATGTGTAAAAACCATCGCGATTATGTTGACTCAATAGTTTCCGAATCAAATGCGGATGATGGAGACAGTGAGGGCAAAGCGGAAGTACAAGTGGGAGAACAAGACGAAGAAGAGGAGAATGAAAATGAACAAGAAGAGAATGAGAAAGAGAGAAAAAAAAGACGTTGATCATGATACAGAGTATGATGAGGATATGGAAAGCAGTTCTGAACATGATTTATACAACAATGATCCGGATTTCGTTCCAGATTCTGATTCTAAAACAACTGGAGGAACATGTATGAATGATATCAGAAGATTTTTCTACAAATTTGCTCACGCGGCTGGTTTCACTAGAGTAAGAAAATTTTAAAGAAAGTTGAGATTGTTTTTTTCTAGATAACATCGCGGAAACCCTTCAAAGAACTCTCATATGGTACACAACTGAAAAAAGTTTCAATGACAAAAAAACTCATTAATGCAGTCATTGAAGAAATTTCTCCAGAGCATCCCGAAATATTGAAGAACTGGGCATTGTCACAAGATACTGAAGAAATTTGGGGTGATCATCAAGACAGTCACTTATCTTCTCTATTGGAAAACATTGCTTTCCGATATAGAATAGGAGGAAACCGAGCAGAACGGATATCAATTCTTTCTCTGGTAGCAAAAACATTTCCGTTAACTCAAATTCAAAAATATATACCTGGATTATCACGATTTGTTTATGATGAGGCCAGAAAACAAACAGATTATGAACCTCAAAGTTTGAAAAGAAAGCGGGAAAGATTCAATCCATCTGCTTTGCACACCTTCATCAATTTCATCACAAGGTTTCAAAAATTTTATCTTAGAAAAATTATCCATCTTTCATTTTTTATAGCTCAATAGTCATGGTTCCCAATACTTTTGGAATGAGGAAAATCAAGTTTTCTGATGGGAAAGTTGATTATATACCAGATATTTTACGAAAACAAACTTCCTCTGAAATTGTTCGAATGTACAAAGAATACCTGAAAGTGAGTTTCTCACCAATTTTCAAAAATTGATTTTGTTCATAGGACACCGATCAAGAAAACAAACTACTCAGCGATAGTACACTTTATAACATTTTATCAATATGTAGTGCCTCCAAATTACGAGCACACCAGTGCGTTGATTATTTTTTAGCAGATTTGTTCGAGGTTTGGTAAAATTACAACATACATGAAAATTTCTTTTCAGGCACAAGTAGACATCAAAAACATTTTGGAAAAGTTGAGATCCAAAAATCTAATTTCGGGAGACTTTTTTGAAGATTCTTCGAGTAAATTGAATGAGTTTCTTCTTTACCTTCGAACGGATTACGCGTTACATATTAAAGAATCCTCCAGAATAAGCGATCACTGCATATCTCACTCATTGAGTGAAGATAAAGAGCAGCGTCTAGCAAAGAGATGTTCACATTCTCATGATTTAGCTTGTAAGAGATGTAAATCTGGAACAAATCTTCTGGAAAATTTGAAAGAAACGCTGTCATCAATAGTTTCAGATGCCAAGACCGTTGCTGATGAAAACGGTTTGTTTTTGAAATTTTTTATCAAAATAGGAGTGCCTAATAGACAATTTTAGATTCTTCATACAATCTCCAACGTCACAGTGAAGCAGTTGACATGTATCGCGGCATCATTGAAAGTATTGAAAAAATACTGGCCTACAAAAAACATGTTATGCGAGCTCGTGTCACGGAGAACGAAAAGGCTTTCAGGTTGGCAAATTTGCAAGAAGGAGAAGCCGTTCTTCTTATGGATTATGCACAAAAGTTATTGCCTCTCAAACATATTGAACGTCAAACTGACTATTTCGGAAAAACTGGCATGAGTTGGCATGTTGCTCATGTTACTGCTAATGTATCCAGTGAACTAAAAGTTCATCATTTCATTCATATTTTGAAAGCAAAACAGGTGACATTTTTTGAAAATTATGTTTTCACATAGAAATTTTTTTAGGATTCAAAATCAACTGTGTCTATAATAGAGCATGTTTTGTCAAGTCTGAAAAAACAGGGTATAAAAAAAGTGTTTTTGCGTAGTGATAATGCGGGAAATTATCATTCGACATCTACCATTGGATCTTTGCCGCAAATATCACAAAGAACTGGAGTTGAAGTGATGGAGTATTCGTTCAGTGAAAGTCAAGACGGGAAGAGCTCTTGTGATCGACTTGCCGCAGTGGCGAAAAAAAAGGTAACAGCATGACTATTGTTGAAATCAGAATTGAGTCACAGATTCATACTGCTGTGGATTCTGGATACGATGTGACAACAGAGGAGGAATTGTTTTCTGTTTTGAGCGAAAAATCCCAAATTACTGCAACATCAGTTTTTATTATGTCTCTGAAACAATCAGCCAATTGCGAGGACAAACAAAATCAAAAATTTGAGAAAATAAGTAAACTTTTTCATTTCACATTTGACAAAAACCGAATAATTGGTAACGGATATCGGGGAATTGGTTCTGGTATTATTATGAACAAAAATGATGTTATTGTCATGAACCCAGTGTGGATCATAGAAAAAGAATCAGAAGACACATCTGAATATTGGTATATTCCAAAAATAAAAACAACTGAAATGCGCGAGAAGTGAGACTTATACTTTTTCCCGAAAAAATACTGTTATTCAGAAAACAACCCACTCCACAATCAGATGATTTGGATATTCAAGAACCCGAAGGAAATATTGAATTATTTGCATGCCCACAGTCAGGATGCATGAAAAAATACACCAGTTATCCACATCTCGAGAGGCATTTGATAGGAGGAAAACACAAATTTCACCCGGAACGAATATCTTTACTTGATCAAGCTTTGAATATGTACAAAGAAAACGTAAGTAGCTTTAGAATGGTTTGCAAACCTGTACTATTATATTGAAGGTTGAAAGTATCCAAACTCACGAAAATTTTGGAAATGTAGCTCTCGAGGAGCTAGAAAAAAATTCAGCAGATGATGATATTCTCCCAGTTGGTTGGGCTCTTAAAACGAGAAAAAAAAATGAACGGTTTGTTGATTCAAAAAAAAACTACCTTATATATACATTTTTAGATTTTCTCAAAGTGTGGTTCAAGAACTGCGTTTTTTGTTTGAAGAAGGAATCCGTAGAGGATACAAGTATTCCCCTCAAGAAGCTCAAAGGGTCATTCGAGAGAAACGCTCAAAAAACAATGAGTTAGTTTTCACTGAATCTGAATGGTTATCTACAAAGCAGATAGCATCGTTTTTTGCAAGATTAAGTAGTCAGAAACAAAAAGATTCAATGAAAAAATCACAAAAAAACAAATATAAACGACAATCTGATATGCTGGGACAATGCGAAGATACAGAAGATCTGAATGAATGGTTTGAGAGTGATTACGAACTGGACTACAAATATGAAACTTTGTATGAAGACTTTCTCGACAATGTTCGTAAACTTATCAGTCGCAATCATGGCGAATTATTCTTCATGGAAGACAAATTGATAGACTACTCCGAACTACCCACAAAACATAATTAGAAAGTTTTTATCCATTCATATGCAAACTCCATAAACTTTTTTCGAATTTACAGAGGTTTTTTAAATGTAAACAGCAAAGCAAAAAAAAACTTCAACGATAAACAGCAAAGCAAAAAAAAAAACTTCAACGATAAAAACCAAAAAAAAAAACTTTTTTCAATGTTCTCATTATTATTGACATCAGAGAAAAAGTATTCATTGAGTGATGAAAACTTCATTTTGTCGGATGGTTTCGAAAAACGAAATTATTTCAAAAAAGCCCTCACCAGGAACCGAACCTATGACCCTAGAATCAGATAAACCAAATGTTTCAAAGTTAAATCTTCACCCATCCCTTGCGCACACAAATGTGTTAGTGTGCGGTTTTCATCGACCTGGATGAGAATGATGGTCCTCCGGTTTTTTTTTCAAAAGTACGCGTCCGGGGGTAAAATTGCGCGAGAAGCTTTTGCGCGCAGTTAAAAAGTGCGCTTTTCACTCATTCGAGTTGAAAATGATGATTTTAACCGAAAATTCATCATTTTTTCATTTTTAAAAAACAAATTTCTTTCAAATTAAAGAATGAGTTACGGATTGTTTTACCACGGGAAAGATCGTAAAATTACGAGCAAAATGCTTTTTTGAACGTCAAAAAATATAAAGTTTGAGCCTATTTACGGGTCGTCCAATTTTTTTTCGAAAAAAAATCCCCCTGACCTCAAAAAATTTTTTTGCGCCATTTTACTTTTTTTTCCAACTCTATAGGCGTGGGGCATCATTTTACCAAAATTAGACCCAAATCGAAGACCATCACTTTTTTTTTGTGCTTCGCATTTCGAGAAATTACAAATAACGTCTCTTAATAATCCAGTTCCAATCCATTCCATTATTTTTCCATATTGCACTGGTTTTGTTATATTTTCAGTGCTTTCCATCAATGGTCGAACAACTTCATGTGTTAATAAAATTGCAACCGGAACAGGACCAACCCAGATCTATTCAAACAACAAATTTTTTATTGCCTACAGTACTCCTACAGTACTCATATGAATTTTTGAATTTTTCGCGCAAGAAACATCTAACAGTGTTTCCACGTAGGATTTTTCTTGGAAATATTTTTTCGAAATTATGCAACAAAAATGTTAACAGACGGAAAAGTTTCGAGTCAATTAAATTTCAAATTTTTTTTCTTACCGGAAATGCGCCACACGAATTATCACAAAGTCCATATTCTCTAGCCCATTCTTCAATTTGATATGTGAATTCACGATTATCCAATTTGAATTGATAAGCAGTTCCGATAAGTGGTAAAGATTTTGGGCCAGGCCATTTCTAGAAAAAAAAACATTCAGAATTTCCTCAACAACTCAAAACCTACAGCTAATTCTTTGGTGCATATTCGATTGATTCGAAACAATTCCCATAATTTAGACCAACTCGCAGCAATTGTCCAAATTATGAAAGTTAGAACGAATAATGCAATTATTCCCAACATCAGTTGTTATTCATCCGATTAAAATAGTGAAAAACATTTCATTTTTTTAATACTTTATACTTTTTTATAACGATGTTCTTTACTATCAATCACATGTTATTAGAGCAACAAAAAATAACAATTTGAACAGAATGATAACAGATAAAACTAGATAAATGAATGATCTGAAATTGTATTGAGACGTTTTGGAGCACGAGAAATTTCAGCGAAATCTTTCTCGCTGAACACAGATTTCGATTTTTCTTTCTTCTTCGATTTTGCTCCAGGAAATTGTCGTCGTGGCTCTTTTACCCCTAAAACAAATAAAATTATGATATTTGAAAAAAATACTAAATCGCATACTAATTTCCTAGACAGAGAGCAATTCTATAATTTCGCAATTCCCCGTAATTTCGTAGTTTGTTGTTTTTTCAAATTTGTAGTGGAGCGCATGTCTAATGATGATAACAACTCAAAAAACAAAACATGTTTTCCACGTTTTCACATTCTGACAATTTTTTGAATAGTCAGAACTGTTATCGTGTCACAAAAATTTAGACATTATGAGTATGAAAAATTGGAAACGAATATAAACAAAGAGTATACATTTTAATGTTAAAACTGAAAAAATGAATTTCGGTCTAGGTGAAACAGGAACATTTGATTTCTTGAAATAAATAATTCGCGTATAGAAAAATTAGAAATGAAAAATACGACCAAAATACAATAAAAAGACGTGAAACGTGAACTTTTTTTTTCACAAAAACAGTTTTCAATTTCATTTCGAACTTCCGTTTTTTAGGAAACCTTTAATGATTCAAATGACTATGAGCCACTAGAAAATTGTTTTTTTTTAATTTTTAAAATTGTACGAAACTCTTATAATCAAATAATGGAAATATGTACTTACCAATAAGCATCTTCTTCTGTTTTCTGATCGCCTTCAAATCATTTTTTGTTTTCAAATGCTCATTGACCAGTAATTTTCCTTTTTTTGAATCCAATTTCCGAGTTTCTTGATATTTCACATATCTGAAAAATAGAGAAATAGAAATCTTCAAAATTTTGTCTTCGGGATTAGCAATATTGGCAAAATTGTAGCGTTAAATAATATTAAATTCAACTCACTTCAAATTTCTTTTCTTTAAATCCTTTGGTTTGTACGATCTTGCTTGTTCGATCAAAGAAAATCCTTGAGAAGCGAGATGATCGTTTACATAATCTCCATGAGAAGTCGATGGTTTTTGAACGATATAACTTTCTTCGGCGGATAATTCTATGTGACCTTTGGAAGCAGCGTTGAGTATTTTCTTCACATTATTTCGAGCAACCGAGTTCTTATCTTTCTTGAAATTTTTTCGAGAAATACCATCTTCTTGTTCAACTGAGGATAAGAACTTTTGCAAAAGTTCTTCTGACATCTGATAAATTTTTAACTGAGAATTTTCTGGATAGAACTAGAGTTACTCGAGAGCGAAAATACGCATTTTACTGTTTGTTAGTAGAAAAACGTGTAAACAATAACAATTTATTCAGAGAATCCAAAAAACATCGCCGATATTTATTTAGGCGTTGGAGTTTGGTCCGCGTTTCTTTCCTGGTCCAGTAGAGACATTGATGAAGCGGCGAGTGTATTGAATACGACGGAATGCACGTCCTGGAATGTTTATCGATTATTGATTGGAAAAAAAACAAAAAGTTTGAGACGAGCCCTTTGTTTTATTTAAAAATGCATTTTTCAGAAGTATATACAACAATGTAACTAAAAAGCTCAGGTTTCAACAAAAATTGAACTAACAAATCTGCAATTCTATCAAAAAAAAAACTGAAGAATTTTTTCCAATTCTCAGAAAACGTCTCGTCAGCCATCCGCGAGGTTGCGAGCTGTCGAAAGCTAGCAGAGGCATTTCGACAGCTCGCCGCGAGGTTGCTAGCTGGCAGAACCTAGCAGACGCTGTCTGCGAGCTAGCAAACTGACAAATTAGTATCAGAATTCGACGGCCGTCTGCCGGCTCGCGGACGGTTGACGAGACGTTTTCTGAGTTGATTATGTTAAATAATCATAAAATGCTGACATATGGATAGTTAACAAGAAAATCTTTGGAATTGATAAATTTTATGAATGAAACTACTCACCGCGCTTCTTCTTCTTCTTGTCTTGCTTGTCAACCTTTGGTGTTTGAGCACGGACTTTACCGGCACGAGCGAGGGAACCGTGAACCTTACCTGAAAAAATTTATTTGTATTGTTAGAAATAATTATTCAACAAAATATGGAAAGTTAAACGAACCTCCGAGAAGTCTTCCGTTGATTGAAAGAGTTGAGAGGTTTTCGATTTGGTAATCTCCGAGAGTGCGTTCCTCATCGAGAATCTTGGATCCATGGGAGATGGCGAAATCTTGTCCGGCTCCAATCACGCCCTTCAAATATATAATTTAGAAGTGTTACCTAATATTAATAAAACGGACCTTGATGGCGCTGAGGGTGGTGGACGCATCAACGTCGAGGGTGTGTGTAGTGTTGTCGAGGCCAAGAAGGAAGATCTGCATCCTGAAATGAAGGAAATCGTAAATTTTAATTTTTTTCAAAAAAAATCCATAAAACTTTAAAAAACGAATATAACTTCACAAATTTCGTATCTAGAAACATTAAGAATTCACTAGAGAAGATTTAAAGGTGTAAAACTGTGTGAATTTCAATCTAGAATCAAAAATATCACGCAATTTTGGCGTAAAAAAAGGTTGAAAAGCCGCGAACACGACAGGAGAAGAAAACACATGTATTAAAGTTTAATACTCAGTCTACATACGCAGCCAAATAGTGGGTCTCATAGCGATGAGACATTTTTCTGTTTTTCTTCTCTCTCTTTCAACGTTTTAGTTCCTAAAATTTTTCTTTTCTTTTTGCAGCTAGAGTGATTTACCAAAACCTATGTTAAAGTTACCTTGTTACGTTAGAATTAAAAATTCACCCGTATTTCTTAGGTTAAAATGCATTCTATCATCGTCAACCGTTTTTTCTTACATGTTGTCCAATTTTTTGAGTTTTATTTTCATTCCATAATTTTTTCAGGTAATGGCTGCTTTGAAAAAAAGCTTCATCAAGCGCAAGCTTGCCAAGAAACAAAAGCAAAATCGTCCAATGCCACAATGGGTGCGCATGAAGACTGGAAATACCGTGAGTTATTTTTCTGGGATTTTATCGATTTTTTGTAAGAATTTTTCAAAATCCAGTTTACTTTGTCTTTATAAAAGTAATTTATATGTGCGATTGCTAAAAAGGTAACGCAACGTAGTATTCAAATATTTCATCCTGTTTCAAGATTCAATAATTTAAAGACAAACTTTTTATAAACCTGTTTTTCAGATGAAATACAATGCCAAGAGACGCCATTGGAGACGTACCAAGCTGAAGCTTTAAGTGATTCGCCTTCATTTCAATCGACGCGAACTATGCCTCTCAATGCTCTTCGTTTTGTTTGTTGTTTATTTCAATAATAAACTTGTTATTGAAATTACTTTATACAAATATTACATGCAACTTATTAAATCAAGAGAGTGTAATCAAATTCTGCGCAATAGCTTTTTCCGGTTATTATTACGATTGTCATTGTTATCCGATTGTCTGAATGCAATACAAGTGGTCAATCCTTTTGATGCTTCACAGAACAAATTAGATGTAAAGATGTAGGAGAAATGGCCTCTAGAACAAATAACATCCACATTTCCACCAAATTTCGCTTCAGCGGCTAAGTTTATATTCTTTTTTGACTCAGCTGAGCTATCACTCATATTCTGAAAATGTTTTTTGCAATTAGTTCTGAAGAAATGTTAAACCTCAATCATCAAATTCCGCAAAACACTGCTACTACATTTCTCATCATCAAAGGTTCCATCCGAACCAATAGTTGTTGTTTCAATATCCCCATGAACATGCACAGTTGGACTTCTTCTGATATCTCTTCCTTGGTTCAATCCTTTCATATCAGTCAAATCCCCATCATTTTCTTCGGGGAAATAATTAGAATTCGTACTTGAATCGGTTATCAATAAAGGTTGATCATTATTCGAATCATATTTATCACCCAAATTATGAAGAATATCGAATAATGTATCACGTTGTGGTTGAGGATCAATAGGGACACCAAAAGCAGCAGCTCTCTAAAATAAAACTTGATTTTATTCGAGACAAAGATGTGACATAAGATGATTTGATTTGATAATCTCATGATTATGACACAAAATCCTGTTTTTATCGATACTTACCCAATCTAATTCATCGGGAACATTATAAACTTTTGGAATACGAGATTGATGATCAGAAAAACGCTGAAATTTATTATTTTTTTTTTGAAAAAAAAAGCCTCGAAAAATAAAATCAACTCACAATAGTTTTCGCAGAATATGCCACAGTTTTACACGGTGGATTTGGTGGACATTGTGGTGTTGGCTGACATCCACAATTATTTCCTCCAAAAAAGAAACCAAAAGATGAATGGAACAGGAAAACCAAAATTATAAACGTTTTCATGTTTTGAAACACTTGACAAGATAATAATAAATTAGCGATGAAAAAAAACTGAAAAGAAATATTCGGGATATGAAAAGGGCGGGATAAATTAGAAAAAAAGAAGGAGAAGAAAAAAGATGGACAAGAAAGAGAAATCTTGTTTTTCTTCCGATTAATTGAAACGAAAAATATGATTTTGAACTTTACGAAAAAAAAGTCCAGTTTTGTCATTTTTACAGTTCTCGACATCATTTGAAAATTTGATCTTCAATATTGAAGCTCAGATTTTGAGATTCGAGAATCTGGGAAATATTTGAGTCGGGTAAGGCCTAAGTCGGAATTCTTGAAGAAATACCTGGAAGTCATCATACGGTAGCCGTTTTTTTTCAATAAATGAACAAATTATTCCGAAGAAAAAAAATTTATTGACCAAGTATTTAATAGATGAAGAATTCTCCCGATGCTTGTGGCTCGAAATAAGCTTTTTGGAAATTCATACCGCCGTTCTTTTGTGTAATAACATACAATCCATGTTCAGAAATTCCTAATGCCTTGCGATGTTCGTCGCACATATTAACATAATTTCCTCCGATATGGACCCCTTGAATATTCAAAAGTCCGTTATCGTTGAAACGCTGATTATCCCCGTACATTTCTCTTGGATTACGAACTTTTTCCATTTTCATAACTTTTGGAATATAACGGTATTCAACATCATTCACAAGTCTGTCTTGTTTTTGTTTTACAGAAATCAAAAGAGTCAAATGATGACCGTCTGGCACTTTGGGTCCATCTGTATTTGGTGCACCTGGTATTTCTTTGAATTTTCTGCAAACTTTGAATGGATCTGCACCTCCATTATTTTGACATCTGGTAAATGAAATAACTTTTCCATCGCGATCTCTAACGAAGAACCAAGTGATATGAGTGATTTCAGTATCAGGGTTTCCTGCATACGCACAATTTCCAAGCACTATCTTCTGTAATTATTATAACATTGTCATCAATTGAAAATAGCAAGACGATTATTTCAACTTACGTTTCCTTCATCACAATTTACAACAGAATAACTGAGAAGAATGAGAAGTGGGAGAAAAACGATTGGAATCTTCATCGTTGTTTTATCCAGCCACCAAATATTTCAGTATTTCTTCTGCGTATTTTAATATGATTTTCTTTCATTTTTCATCCTCTTTTATACCATTCATTTCCACGTTTCATGCGTTGGCAACACGTTTAATGATGACGTCATTCTTTGAAATATCGGTCACGTTTATGTTTGAAATTTTCATTTTCAAAATTTCTAGATTTTTTGGCAAAATATACGTGAGTCTTTATTTTTCCGATTTTGTCTCGATTACTGTAATTTTAAATAGTCAATTGGGATTAGAAATTCTCTTGATTCGAGAAATTTTTTTTTGACAAGATGAACATCAGACAACGTTCCGAAGTTTTAAAAACTTACAATTTTTGTATGTTTTTTTTCAGAGTTTTCGCCGAAATTTATGGATTTTTCAAATTTTTTTTCTCACGTGCTTTCATATTTTTTCATGCTTTGTACTCATGAATGTGGCTTAGATTACTGTAGCCTCGAAAATTTTGTCTGGGATATTATTAGCATCTAAAGAAAAACCAGAGTAAAATTTTTTCAAAAAACAAAGAAGCAGTTTTACAAAATGAAAGTTTAAGAGAGTGAAAAAAACTCGTAACACAGCTGAAACAGTGCTACAGTAATACTTGGAAGATATCCAAATTTGGTATTTTAATTTTCGAAAATAATTACAGTGCATGAACGTCATAACTATATTTTGGGTGAGTTTTGCATCCTGGGATAATTAGAATTACCATCTATCGGGGCTCTTTTTTCTTGCTCAAAATTATATTCTGTCAGAAAAATTTTCGGGTAAATCCCAATATAAAATGCCGTGATTCTCCCCAAAAAACCAGAATTCTTCCTTTGTCTTCCAATCTTAAAAATACATCTCGGATTCGAAAGTTTGAAACAAAAAAGCTAAAAAAGATAAAATCTTTCGAGTTTCTTCTTTTTATTCTTCGTTTTTCATTTTCATCACTAAAAATGCGCAAAATATATTCGGATTTATTACTATTTTTTACAATTTCTTTTTTTATTATTTTTGTTAATTTTCAAGTTTTTCACAGTGAAAATAATTTTCCTGAATTATCAAATGAAAATACTGAAAATCGAGTTGAAATTATTGATGATCAACATTATATGAAAAATGATGAAAATTTATCAGAAGAAAAAATAAAATATTATGGACATGATACGTATTTAATTAGTGATACGGTAATTATATTAACTTCAGATTTCAAAAAAAAATCACTTTGTTGCAGCCAGTTCCACGTGGATATAATTATCATTATTTGCCAGAATGTAATTTATCTCAAAATAAACCAAATCCAAAAATTGATTTGGAAACAGTTATACATGAATGGAAAGAATGTTCGATTATTCTTTGGCAAAGATTATGGAATAATCCCAGTGCTATTTTACACAATTATCCTTATTCATTTTATGTTTGTGATTTGGGTCCACAAGTTTCCAAAAATATTCCGCTTGTATCTTTTCGTAGCAATCAAAATGATGTTTATTGGGCTATTTTGCCAACTTGTGTTAGTTTTTTCAAAATACTGTAGCTATTTCAAGTAAATAAAAGTGTACTGTAGTTACAGTAACCCGGTATAGAAATGAATAATCCCTTCAGCAACTTGTATGAGTTTTTTGTTTTCAAACTTCAAAAAAATCCTATTGCGTTTTCGAAAGATCTGATCTTCGGAAAAAAATCGAAATTGATACCGATATTTTTTCGCAGATACTTCCTTGAAAATCAGAATTTCGGAATTTCGATTCTGACCGAAACAGAAATGTTTTTTCAAAGCAAAGATAACGCTTTTGAAAGTAGTACTATAAAAATTGGTTAAACCAAAAATTATAGTCCAGAAAACTAATTTTGAAAAAATTTGGAAAACTTGAAATTGACATTTTCACGCCCTACTGTAGAAAAAGTTTAATAAACTTCAAAATTAATGTTTTTTGGGAATTAGAAAGTTCTAAAATATATCCATTTTTTTTTCAGCGAGAAGAAAATATATTAGTAACATTGGGTGTGAAACCAGAAACAAAAGCTGAAGAAGAATTATTAGATACTTTAGATAATATGACAACATTTGGAACAAGTCCATTTTCAGACAAAAGTGATATTTACAAACATTTCAAAAAAACCGCATTTGGTTCAAATCCTTCACAAAAAACAACACAAATCAGACATGTCACACCAAATGGTAATTTGATAACTGAAACTGTTTATGTTGAAAATTTCAAAAATTATTTGGACAAAACAATTCAAAAAGGCAAGAAAATCGATATGTTATGGATAAATATTGAATCGGGTGATTTGGATTATTGGAAATATCTTGGAACAGATCAAAAATTCGATCAATGGGAAATTGTTGTTTGTCAAATTAATATTGAAGTTAAAATTGAGGATGGTGAACAATTTGAGCAATTTATGAAACCGATATTTTCATCGTTGAAATGGATGTATTTTCGACCGAGTTTTTCACACGATCATCAATTTGTTCGATCATTTTTGTTAAATGTTCACGATGAAGCTTGTATTAGAAAATATTTACAGTAAATATTTGAGAAAATAAATTAGTTCAAATTTGTATCTACAGTAATTTTGAGCTATTTTGTTTGAAAAATTTGACCAAAATCTAAAAAAAAATCTAGTAAATTTATTCTTGAAACCCGAAAATGAATTAATTATCAAAAATGCAAACAAAAAACACGTATTCCACCTTCAAATCACAATAATCCAGCAATCGAGTCCGATTTTCTCAAAACACAATGACAAACCTTTTTCAAAACAGCATCATTGACACAAAATGACGTGTTACCATATCTGAAAATGTAAACTTATATTTTCAACAAAAAACCAGGGACATACTTATTATTCCTTTCAATTTCAGCAATTGTTGACCATTTATTTGTTGTCAAATCGAATTCGATTGTTGTTTCAAGTAATGCGCGACTTGGTGGTTTAGCTTTTATAACCATGTGATATCTGAAATATTTTCGGATTTTTTCAGAGAATTTCATTGGGAAGTCTTACTGAATTGATACAGCTTTGAGATTAAAACCATCAGTTTCAGCTTTATTTACAACTGGAAGACGAACTGCTGCATATTGGATTGAATCCATTTCAATTGGAGAACACATGTAGTCTGACTGAAAATAAAATTTGAAATCTGAAGTTTTACAGACCTGGATTCCAAAATAAAAAAAACATACCAGTTTTTCGGAATCTCTTTCATATTCCTCAGTTTGTTCAGTTTTCTCCTCCAATAAAACATTCAACTGTTTCAAAAATTCGTTTGAAGCTTCAATCATTTCACTCTTCGGGACTTCAATTTCAGACAAACACGGGCAATAATCCGAAGGTATCTATAAAAATTTGGTTTCATTATTTTCGATTTTTTTCAAAATCTCTTACGCCAGCTGCATAACAAGTTTGTCTTTTGGGGAATTTGTCAAAATATGAATATCCTCTTTGCAATGTTTTTTGTTCCAATTCTTTCAAAAAATTGCCATTTGCTATTTTTTTGAGGCCTTCGAATACATCAAATTGTGTGGTGATTCCATTCGAATTATGTTTTAGGTTTTCGACAATCTGCAAAACTTTGGATAAGTTTCTTGAAGAAAGCTTGAAATAAAATAACCAAAAAAATGCGGATTTTAAATTTTCCCAAAATCTAGCGTTCCCGAAAAGTACTGTAGTGCATACAAATTAATTAATTAAAAGATACCTTTGGATATTTTTTGCGAATATCTTCAGGTATTCGAATTGCATGAAATGGCATTCTTGATTCAATTCTTCCAATAATAGTTTCCCTAATTTTATCACTTCGATGTCCATGATCCGAAAATAAATAAACTATCGAATTCCTCAAATATTTCTCATTTCTCTCCAGAAAATCTCGATAATCTTGATCAGTTCTTCCAATTAGATTTATAAATCCATGTGACATATCTTGTGTCCAAAAATAGCCAAATTTCCGTTTTCCTTCGTATTTTCTAATGAAATCTTCTGAAAATCCAAGGTTTATATATATTTTTCTGAGTATGAAATACATATGTTTACCTAAATAATTTAATTGTATCATATGTTGTTTTTGATTATCATAACAAGATGGAGAAGATCTTCGAGAAATAAGAGACCAAAAACAAGTTTGCCAAAATGGTCTCAAATAATGATCAGTTGGTTGGTTTAGAAATCCATTTAATTTGCTTTTATAATTGAATGTTGCAATATCAGGGCGATCTTCAGCAAAAAGTGTGACATATCCTGAAATTTTGGAATAAATTGGGGAGGTAGCAAAACCGGAAATGTTTTCTTTAAATTCTAAAATATAAACTTGGATAAATTTCAAATTCCCAAAAAAAATCAATGAAATTTGGAATAATTCTTACGTAAAGCGATGCCAAAAGTTGTAATCTTTTTAATAAAAAAAATTTAAATTTCTAATTTTTCTTTTTCTTAACCGCCCCCGTTATTCTTACCATTTTCACTGAAATTATTCCAAATAAATGGGAAATCATCAAATGCAATATTCCAATCCTCATTCAATTCAGCTTTGAACTCCTATTTTTCAAAAAAATACTATTTTTTTCTCTAAATCTATTCATCCTTACAAAACCCTTACTTTCACACTTGTTCCTCGTTTTCCAGTTAAAATAGCAATTGTATTTCCATAAGTATTATCGTGTATTTTCATATGTCCTTTCAAATCAACAAAATTCCATTTTTCCAATAATTTCATAGTTAAAGGCATTTGTCGAATAAAATTTGAATGCGACATTGAATCCATTCCAATCATTATAACTGATGGATATTGCTCAGATTCCAATTCAATTTTTCTTGAAGAAATAAAAATAATTTTTTTCAAGAAAAATTGAAATTGCAACAAAAAAAACTAACTTCATTTTCAGATTTTCCTCAATTTTTGGGACGATTTGAGCAAAATGTTTTTTATAAGAATTCTTCCCGAAAAATCGTGTTGACTCGCAATTTATCTCGAAAAACTCGTCTTTGATTGGAAATGATAAACCAGATGAAAAATCGAGTTCGACTAATTTTCCAAATAAAACATCATTGTCAGAAACTCCTTCATTGTGTTGAATTTGGGTTTTTGAACATTTCATATTTGAGATGAGTGAGGAATTGAACTGTAACAAAATATACAGGGATTTTTGAGTTTTTGTACCAGGGTTTCATAAGAATTCTGAATTTTTCACGAAAGTTGTGAGCATGAAATTTCGAAAAAAATTTCAAAAACCGAAATTTTTTTGGGAAATCTGAATTTGGTTATTTTTTTACCCCAACCCCAGTTTTTCTAACATTTTTCAAAGTTTGAAAAAAATTTCTTCAAATATTTTCTCATAACTCAAACTTACTGTAATGATTCCATTTTTAAAAGATTCCACAAGTTGAATTTGTTTCGCATCACAAATCAATGGAGGCGATTTATCATAATATTTGAGAATTGATTTATCCCAAGGATCAAGTTTTGGAATCAAACATTCTGATGGTTTTGTGTTTTCTTGAAGTTTCTGAAATTCAATTACCAAAAAATGAAAAAAAAAAGTTTTTACTCAAAAAAACTTACTTTCAGGTATTTATAATGAGGATTTTCAATAAAAATATTTTTCTGATCTCCAAAAAATATTAGATATACTAAACTGCCAATAAAAACCAGAATAATCAAAACTTTCAAGAAAAATCCAAAATAATGAGAATTCGAGAATATTTTGAATTTGACACGTTGGTTGAAATTCATGATTTTGTTCAGAAATGAAAAAAAAAACGAGAAATCAGAAAAATCCACGTTTTACGTGGAGGTCACGGGAAAATTGTTTTTTTTTATTTTTCATATAAAAATTTTTGTGACAAACCTTGAGATAAACCAAATGTGGATGTTGTAAAACATCATAATTAATTGGATAGATTTTCCAAATAAAACACACAAAAATCAGTAGAAATATAAGAAAGAATTTGATAAAAAATGCAAAATAATGAGAATTGGTATAATATTTGAATCGTATCATTCGAATCATAATAAATAGTTAGAATAAATAATACTATTGATTTCTTCGAGTTCTTTTTTCTTTCTTTTTTTTGAATGGTCTCCAAGGACCAAACAGATGTAGTGAGGAAAAAAGAAAAGAATAGCTAAAAAAGCTCTTTCGGTTTGCACATTTATTGCAACATAAAAAACAACACAATTCAAAATAAATGTAAATTGGAGAAAAAATTCAACAGGAATGTACTCAAATTAAAAATTAGAAAATATATCAATTCGTATTATTCTCTTTGTCGGATGCCCTGAAAAAATGAAATAAATGGAATCGTATATTTTTCGTGAAAAAACTGATTGTAAAAAATGGAAAAAAACACTTTTAGAGAGAAAAAAAGGGGGAAAATTCAATTTATTTCCAGACAAAAGAGGAAACAAATGCGACAAAAGTACTATTTTTCTCGATTTTTTGAAAAGAAAATATTCGTAACAACTAAAAGAAATGAAAAATCCAGATTTTAAACTTTTGCGCGCGAAAAAGAAAGAACAAAGACAATTTATCATTTTCTATTTTAAATTTTTTTTAATACAAATGATTTTTGACGCGCATTTTGAAAAATGTTACGAGGAACTTTTTGGAGAGAGGGTCGCGAACTTAAAAAATCACTAACTGCTAAAGCTATGACGTGTAAAAACCTATAAAGAATAAAAACTCTTGAAAATCCTAAAATTTTGAAAAATTCTCATTTTTTCTCTAACAAGGAAAGGTTTTCAATGTTCCCCCAAGGAAAAAATCGAGAGTATATGGAATGTTGAGGGTTCCCATGGGTAAGAAAAACCCTAACGGGAATAAGGAGAAAAATGCCTTGTTTAAGAAAATTTTGGTGTTATTGATTTTTGCGATGAAATTTTTAAAAAAAATCGAAACTTTTTTCAAAATTAATGAAAAATGTCAGTCTAAAAATCCATTTGTAGCGCAAACGGCGTACTTTAGTATTACTCCGACTAAAATTAGGAATAAAATAATTTTGGTCCCAAAAGTCCACTAAATCAAAAATCCAGTTTGAAAAATTCATAGAAAATCAACGTTTTCGTTGTGAAGGAGAAGTTTGTGTGAATCGAGACTATGATTTTTGGATTCTACGGACCAAATTACGTCTGTTGACCGTCCTAAATTTTTCAAGTTCCGTTCATTTGAAAATGGAAAAAATTATTTTTTGTGTTTTTTGGTGACCATTTGATCAGAAAAACCCCGACTAAAAAAACCAAATTTCAAAAAATGTCTAATTTTTTGATAAAAAGTTTCACAAACACGTAATCGACCATTCTGAACAACTTCCACGACTCAAAAGTTCATGAAATAGATTCAAAATCGAGTTACAGATGCTCTAAAAATCAAAAAATGGTGTAAAAATCGACCTAAAATACATTTTTTCTCGAGAATAAGGCATTTTTCTCCTTATTCCCGTTAGGGTTTTTCTTACCCACGGGAACCCTCAACATTCCACATACTCTCGATTTTTTCCTTGGGGGAACATTGAAAACCATTCCTTGTAAGCCTACCCTTGCCACAGGCAAAAAAAACTTTTTATTTTAATTAGAATATAAATTAAAATCTAGCTATTTGCGAAAAGAGCATATTTTGCCATCAATAATTAAGTTTCAGAGTCTCAAATTTCAAAAACATAGAGATCCGCAATCCCCTCATAATTTTCTTTATAGTTATTCTAACTTGAAACCTACATTTTTTGTGCCAATTCAACTTCTTTCTTCTTAATAAGTTGTCCTCTTCTAACTTCATAATATTCAGCGCAACTCTTTGTTCGAAGTCTTGCAGTTGGTCGAATCGCCGGCAATTTACTCGCATATTTTTCCCCTTCAACAGTTATTTTCTTTGTATATTCACCGGCTTCCAAATACCATGGCTTCAGAATTTCTTGCATATTTTGTGGGATTTTTGTAAAATCTGGATATTTCTTTGCGTTCATCATAATTTCATGGAACAATTCTTCATTTTCCTCCTCATTTTTTCTCATTTTCTTTTCCATCGAACCTTCTCTTTCAATATTTTCAAATAATTCTTCATATAATCTTTGATCTAAATCATCATATCCTAAATCTTCCATAACTGCTGAATACAAACTCCAAGTTGAAATTCGAGGAAAAACTCGAATAAAATCTCCTTTTCTTTCATTTTCAACATTAACTCTTCTAATAATTTGATCCATTTTTTGTTCATTTGGAGTAATTAGAGATGTTTGACCACTAGCGATTTTTCGATTCAAAACACTTCGCTGAAAAAAACGAGGGTTAGAGAAAAAATAATTTTGAACTTGAACTAACTCTAATTCCAACAGGTCTTCTTTTCAATGTTTTCACACATTTTGGATCCATTTCCAATTTATATTCAATATCTTCTGGTTCTTCTCCCGAATTCGAAATCGCATTTTTTATTGTTGCACTCACACTATCAATTATTTTCTTTTCAATCAAAGGAATACATGCCAAATTCATCAAATCGGCAATTAATCGAGTTTTGATCAATGAATCCAAAGGAGCATCACTGGAAAAGAACATAGTTTTGGTGAAATTTTTGAAAAACTAACCAGGCTAAACTTGGGGACAAATTAACTTCTAATAACCATGGTTTCAATTCGTTGTCAACAAGAACATCAAATCCAAACAATTCGAAATTTGTTCCATGGAATTTCAACAAAGTTTTGCTGGCGGTGGCAACCGAATTTTGAATTGATAATAAACTTTTAACAATCAAATCTTCGATTCGAATCATCATTACTGTAAAAAACACACAATTATTACAATAATTCTATCATTTTTTGAAAAACTTACATTTCGAATCAATTCCTTCGTTGTCCAAATGTCTCAAAAGTGCTCCAAGCGTCCATTTGTGTCCCAAATCTTCTGATGTCATACTTTCATTTCTAACAAATGAATCGGAATTTTTGTTAATACTGTAATTTGTGAGATGAACGAATTCGTTGCTATCCGAAGATGAGGAACTATCATATGGCATTGATGCTAATCTAAAATGAATGGGATTAAAAAATGGATTAAAAATGGAATAAATTACCTTGCCAAACCTTCTGAATAAATATAACAAACCAATGGATAAAATGATGTGACAGCAACATAAATTCTCAAATCAAATTTATGTTTGTTTACCAAAAGAGGATCTGACAAATATCTCGAAACCAAAAGTGGTCCATCTGTTGGAATATCTTCCATTTTATTGGCGAAAAAGATGCCTTTTCCTTGTCTTGAATTTGTTGGTTTTACAATAAATTCTCCTGGAAAACAGAATTCTCCACCATTTTCTATAATTTCCTGATTGAGCCGATCAAATGCTTCTGTCATTTTCTTGTTTTCTCTTGGTGTTACATAAAATTCAGGAATCTAGAAATAAAATAATTAATGAACTCGATAAAAGCTCAAATAAAAACTTACAAAATCAAAAGGTGTTCCAAAAATACTTTTCGATCTTTCAATATTTTCATACAATCTGTCTTTTTTTGTTAGTTCAGTTGATCTTGGAAATTGATTCAATCTTTGCCATGGCATCAAATCTCTCATTCGAATATTTTTCATTGGTGCTCCAGACCAAATCACATTCACATTCGGATTTTTGCTCGAACATTGCATAAATCCGTGTCCGTGTAACATTGTTCGAATCAATTTTGAATCACTTCTCATCATTTTGAATGTCAGGCGAAGGCGTTCTCCCAACCACGTATATCTGAAACAAATTTTGATCTGAAATTAATGGAAATCGATAATTTCGAATTTTTCATGAATTTTTGACCTCGGAAACTTCTAAAAATAAAAATTTTTCCTCTCTAAAATTCACTGTTTCAAAAATTTATTTTGAAAATTTTTTGAATGACAAAAATTAATTAACTTGTTTTGGATATGTATTCATGATTTTTTGACCAAAAAGCATGGACAAATTTGGATTTTTGAAATCACCGAAAGGAAAAAACCCAGATTTAACCAAAATCGTTCAAAAAACGTAGGGAAATGAGGCTCACTTTGACAATTTTTGAAAGGGGACCTTAACTGAAAAATTTTGCTCGCGGGGCCAATTTCATGAATGATTGAAATTAAACTCACTTTTCCATACACTTTGAATCAACTGAGATGAATTTGAGAGCATCGGTGTTGAAAAGAAGATACTGTAAAAGTTTCAATTTTCAAAATTTCAAATTGAAAAACCAACATCATTAGACTTATGCTTCTTTCTTCTCGATGAAATAATCAAATCCTCATTCTCCGTATTTTCTTCTGTGCTAATTGGTGGTGCCATTTTCAAATCAATTACTTCTAAATCGTTAAAATATTCTTCCAAATGATCGTCGGAATGCAATTTGAAACGAGGACAATAATATTGAAACTGGCTTTTCCCCTGATTCAAAAAACTGCAAAAAATACAAGTTTCAAAACGAAATTAGATGAAGCTCACCGTTTAGGTTTCATATTTTAGGACAAAAAAAAATAATAAATTTTGTACGACAAAAGTGGGATAAATGATAAGATGTTCAAGGTCATTAAAATATATCAACATGGTTAAAAAGAAACCAATGAAAAAGTGCAGAAAAATAAATAATTATGTCGAAAAAAAAATTTATATTAAAAAAAGGAAGAAAAAATAGAAGTACGACAAAACAAATATTTGAAAATTGGAAGATGGCAAATATTAGCCTACTGTTTCAAGACTTCTTCGATTATCACACATGTTTTTGGACAAATATCACCTTTTGTACCCGAACTGAAATTAAACTTTTTTGAGAAAAAAAGAAAAATATAGACTAACCTTCAATAAATATCATGCATTATAAATTAATTATATATGTACAAACTATTCACAAAGTGATTGAAACACTTGGAACCAAATGAAAAATCGATGGAAACATATTGGCAATTGTTGTATAAATAGAAGGAGTTAAACCAGATGGTAGAACAAAATGAACATTATAATGTGGTAATGATTCGAGATTTGCTGCTCCACCACAAACTTCCATTAAATATCCTTTCACACATTTATAAACCATTTCTGCTCGTTTTACACACCATTGAATTGTTGTACTCTAAAAATAGAATAAAATTTTGTTTTGGGTTTTTTTTTTTGAAAATGTGTTACCTCATCTGGTCTATCAATTAATAAAAGTGGCAAATGAATTGAGGTAATTCCAAAATGTGCGGTCATTTTGATAATATTTCGAATTCCATTCAAACAAGCATGTCGAGATGATATTTCAACAGATTGTAATACATCATCAGCCACCAAATGAAAAACAATTTGAATTTTATGAAGATTTGAATGTTTTGTACAATAAACATCGCCAATCGATAATACCGAATCGTGTAATTGTGGTTTGATTTGTTTTTCACCGCAATCATCTTTTTCAACACATTCTGCTCGCCAAATATTTCCTTGACGAGTTGAAGTTTTGACATGATTTAATTGTTCAGCAAGAGGTTCGAAATGTAATTCAGTTGATTGTTCGCATAATTTTTGAAATTCTAAAAACTCTTTTCAAGTACAAAAATGTATATTAATCTTACTTGTTGATGACGTAACATGATGCATTGGATCTCTTGGAACTAATAATGTTACAGCAGCAAGATTCCGACCGTATAATTTTGTTGCCATTTCTAATCGAGAAGAAGTTGTCCAATCTCCCTGAAAAACAATTTTTCTTATTTACAAAATTAAATTTTTTTTTAAATTGAAAATTACCTCAAATGTTTGACAAATATCAGTCATCGTATCAACTGTTACTAAACAAGCATTGTGCATTGATTTGAGTTGAGCTCCTATAAATTAATTAAAAATATATATGTTTGTATAGTAGATTGATGTAAAACTATGAGAAATGATGGATGAAAGAAGTAGAAAAGAAACCAATAAAAAAACTAAATCATGGAAACGTAAAAGAAAAGAAACAACAGCTGTGGATGCAAAAAAAATGAGAAGAGGAAAAAGAAAAGCGAGAAAGAGATTAGGTGTATTGCTCTGAGGGGGTGTTTGAAAGTTTATGATTTGACAAACAACTAACCAATATATATTGTAAAACTTTCGTTGACTCCTTCCGCATTGGTAGAATTTGTTGCTGGTCCCATGAAACTGTAAAAAAACATTTGATTTCATATTAAACTTCAAAAAAACAGTCTTACTGGCTTTCATCTAAATCAATTTCTTCTATAAAATCGGCTGGTAAACTTCCGTGCGAAAAAAGAGAATCAACGGATTTTCGATATTTTTGTCGTTGATTTTCAGACAATTGAGCGACTTGATGAGAATATGTCACATAGACTTGCTGAAAAATAAAACAATTAGATTAATCCGTGTTTTATATTGATTCTCTCACTCTTAGTTTTTCATTCAACATACTAATTTGATGTGGATGCATGTCATCATTATGTTCATCTAATACTTTTTCACATTTTCGTGTCAATTCTTCGACTTCCCAATTTCTTGCTCGGATCATTTCAGTCATTTCTTTTTTCATAAATACTTCCATTTGCATCAATGTTATAAGATTTTGACTTGAGCATTTTGAAACAACAAATTGGAATTTCTCAGCAAAACTTGGTTGTCTTTGATGATCTTTTGGGATTTGAGGAAATGCAAAGTTTTTGGACATCGAACTCAAAATCAATACATCGTTTTTGGAATCTTCATATTTTCTGGTTTCTGATCGAATGAAATCACGGAGTTTTCGATAGACATCTAAAAACAAAAAACTTGAAATAAAAACAACAAGAAGAACAATACCTTCATAATCTAAACTTGTTTCCGAAGCACATACTTTTCTCACCCAATCTTCGATATTTGTATATTTTGGAAGAGGAATAGGGATTGAAATCTATAAAAATTTGATCAATTTCTCAGAAATAATTTTAAAAAGTACCTTTTTCGTAGAATCTCCATCTGAATCAATTGGGAACTCAACTTCCATCCTAATAAATCACTTTTTGAGTCGTACAATGGCAACGAGTGGAAATATTCGATTTTATTAGAGGTTCACGTACCCGCTGAAAACGAAAAAACAGTCAAAAATACGATATTACAATCAGAAACATCGAAAAACGTGATTCGCGCCGCGTCGCACAAAAAATTAAAACGGTAATTGTGCATTTTTGCGTCACAGTGTCGAGCAAACACGAACACGACAAAATGCAGATTTATTTTTTTTCTCGCGCGTGAAATTTTTTTTCTCGTTTTTTTTGAGTTTCGACTGAAAAACTGAAATTTTAGAGTTTGGCTCTCGTTAGGAATGTTTAAGGAGGGAATGAATTTCCATAAGAAGTAAATTTGTAGGTCATGTTTTTGGAGCTCGATTCAATTCATAGAGATTTCAAATATGGAAGTAATCAAATACAACCTATGAATATCGATTTCTTTGAACGAATTTTAATCCAATTAATACTGAAATATAATTTTAAATACTGATTTGAAATTTAAATGAAACGCTCACTTCTGATTGTTTATATTAATTAGTGAAATATGATACAATTTCTCTTTTTGTTTTTCAGAAATAATCAATGCTGAGTCCTGCAATTCCTGGTGAATCAACAGTTCAATTACCTGCAATTTCATTATCTGGAAACAATGCAAATAGAACACTTTGGGTTGGAGATGTTCCACATGATTGGTCTGAAGAGGATCTATCAAAAGTGTTCGCTGAATGCTCGCATCCAACATATAAAACAAAACGTGTTTTTATAAAAGGAGAATTACAAGGATATTGTTTTGTCGAATTCAGAAATACAGATGAAGCTAGAAATACAATGTATGATTTGAATGGAAATCGAGTTCCAGGTACAAAAGGAAAAGTTCGATTCAATTTGTGTTTTGCAAATGATACTTATAATCCGTGAGTTTACATATATTTAAAATTAATCCTTTTGCAAACAAATATTTTTTTACAGTAATTCTGAATTCAATATTCATGTTGCTGGAATTCCAGTCGATTATTCAGATGCTGAATTTTATCGAATTTTTGATAAATATTATTCATGTCGCGGTGCAAAAATGTTCAGATTCGCTGACGGAAAATCGAAAGGAAGTGGCTATGTTCGTTTCGGTGATCAAACAGATCAACAAATGGCATTAGTTGAAATGGACCGGAAAAAAGTTGATCATCAACGAATTTCAATAAAACTCGCCGGACCTCGTGGTGAGAAAATCGATCGTTTTGAAAAACGCGATTCGTATAGAAACGGTGGAAGAGATAATGGAAATGGTCAAAGGAAAAGTGCACCGTATAGCAGAGGATCTTATAATAATCAACAGGTTTTTGACGCTTTTGGAATGCCAATTGTGAGTTTTTTATTGTTTGAAATCGGGGGTGAAAAACATTGTTTTTTGCAGCAACAAAAAGAGCAAGTGCAAGATTTATACAACACTGATTATCCATGGAAAATTCTACCAGATGAAAATGATTTGGATCCAATTATTGGATTAGATCTTTTACGTATGTTTTGATAATTCTAGAAGGGTACCCTGGGATCGAAAATTCAACTCACTTTCATTTTTTTTTGGTTCGGACGGATGTAGAATCGCAAAATGATCAAAATATTAATTTTGAATGAAAAATTGAAAAGATCAGACGTGACCCTGGTTTTTAAAAAAATTTTCTATTTCTGAAACAGGCGGCATTATTTGTAGAATACTTATAAACCAAAAATATTTTTCCTCTTGCTCCGAAAAATTGGCATTTTTCAGCTGCAAAATATCGTCCCCAAGTCACAAATAAACGATATATGGTAGATCCAGAACAATTCATGTTCGATATGGAATCGAGTCGATGGAGTACTGTATGCTTCAATATAAATATCAAACAAGAAGAACTCGAAAAACAATTATCTGCCAATCAATGGACACTTCCTGCTTGAAAACATATATTGTAATTGATTGTAAATTTGAAATCAACTTTGTTAATTAATGAATTCTTCTTTCTTGAAAAAAGATCTGAAACCAACAAACAAAAATAATTTGTTTGTCATCCTTCAATTATTCTTCGTACAAAATAGTTTTGGTATTGAATATTTGTTAATTCTGTACTTGAATGAATCATCCAAACAAATAAGGAAGGAAATTGGTCATTCCATTTATTTATACAATTTTCATGTTTTTTTTTTCCAGAAGTACTCTTGATTTTTGTTTGGTTTTTTTTCCTTTTTGAATTTGCGAAATTCGAATCATGATTCATTTCATTTTTTACCTATAAAACCAGTAATCCTTTTCATTTTTGTTATTTAGTCATGATTTTCTATTTTTTGCTACTTTTGCCAATTGGATTCATTGAAACACAAAGTTTATGTAAAACACCAAATGTGAGTTATTGAAACTTTTGAAAAAAAATTGAAAAACCATCGAAAGTTTAGACTGTTTATACATGTTATGTATCTTATTTGGAAAGATATGGATATCATGGAGATGGAAGTGGATATTTGCCAGCATTTCAGAGTTTAGATTATCAAATGAGAACACATTCTTTGCCAGTTATTTGCAGGTTTGAGTTTTTTTCGATTTTGAAAAATTCCTCATGACATTTTACATTTTTGACATCCATAGTGATAAGGTTACTGTGGATTTTGATTTTTAGAATTTAGATCTATGGCACGTGGCATTAGGTCACATTTCCTCCAAAATTACAGTAGTCTAGGCTCATTTGGTATCAAAATGTTTTAATTTCCAATGTAAATTCAAAAAACCACGTGGCATCTTTTGAAAATCGAAATTTGAAAAAATGGTCGATAAAAAAGTTGTTCGGAGACAATTCATTTTTTGCTCAAAAAAATAGTTCGAAAATTTTTCTGAAACCTCTGAATTCTGAACTCCCCATTTTTCAGCGATTTTGATAAACTCACGAGTTGTTTGGGATCAAGTTCAACATACTGTATAAGTTATGATGTATTCTATACATTTACGCGAAATCAACAAGAAGCAATGTATTATCTGCAGAATCATGCATTCTTTGAATTTGTTTGTGGAAATGGAAAAGAATGTAAGCCTTTTCCCAAAATTCCCCAATTCCAAAACCTTTTTTCTTTCCAGTATTTCTCCAAAACCAAATATGTATTCAAAAATCCCTCGGAAGAATATCACTAACAGATCGAATGAGAGAATGTGGACAACCACAATTTATAACAAATATGCCTGAGAAATGTCCAGAAATTCTTGAAGTAACAAATTGTGTACACGAGAAAATGAGAGTGGAATGTGGAGAAGTTGCGGGAACTGCGACATGTGGAGCAGCGACGAATATTGAGAGAAGAATGCAATTTTTAGATGCCGCATGTTTAACAGAAATGGACGTTAGATGTAGCACTAATCTTTTAAGTTTGATGTTCTCAATATTATTTGTTATAACCTACTATTTTATCTAATAAAAATCTTTGTTAACAACTAATTGATAAACTAAAAATCAACAATTACCTAATACCAGTTTACGACTTCAATTGAATTCCATATCTGAAAATTTTCGTTTTTTCTTCTCTCCAATTTTTAAAAAATAATTTTAAGTTACCTTTCAATTTGTTTCGCATCCAAAGTAGTCGGTGAATCGCTCATCAAATCTCTTCCATTTTTTGTTTTTGGAAATGCAATAACATCTCGAACTGGAGTTGTTGGATCACCTTCAGATGTTAAAAGTGCAACAAATCGATCTAATCCAAGTGCAAATCCACCATGAGGTGGTGCTCCGAACGATAACGCTTCGAGCAAATGATTCTGGAAAACATGTTTGTGAGAGTGGTTTTTGAATCGGACCAGAGGAATCAGGCCAGGTCCGATTTTTTGAGAAACATTCTTTTGAGAAAAATTTCTGAAAAAGACGGTCTTTTACATAAAATACATAAAATGGGTCCCCAGAATCGGGGTGAGGGGCATAACTTTTTTCAAAAATCTGAAAGTAAGGGTGCCTAACTTGGCCAATTTTCTGCTGATAATTTACCAAAATTCCCAGATTTGTCCAAAATTTGCTCAAAAATGTGAGGAAGGTGTTTAACTTTGGAAAATTTTCAAGGAGGGACCCTAACTTTGAAAACTGACTCGGGGGACCTATTTTATGTATGAAAAGACCACCTTTTGAATATTTTCAGATTCAAACCCTTTCTAAAAAAGTGGTCCAATTCTTATTTGAACAGTGTCAGCCTGATCCGATTCAAAAAAACCTTCGAAATCGGGTTCGATTAGTCGGACCTGGCCCGATTTCAAATTCGCCCCAAATCATTTTGTTATTTACCATTTCTTCCATTGGTTCATTCAACAATTGAAGAACATGTTTTTGAATATCAGAATTATGTATTCGAATTGATCCACCACCCATTTCCACACCATTTATCACCAAATCATAATGTTGTCCTAAAATCATCATTTTCAGTTTCATATTCATTAAAAATTCATTAACCTACCAGTAATATCTTCTAGCCTTGTTTCATCATTCAATAATTCTTGATGTTCTGAAATCGGTGCTGTAAATGGATGATGTGTTGATACCATTTGACCATTCTCCCTCGAAAAAAGTGGAAAATCAATAACCCAATGTGCTTGAACTTCCGATTTTTGTCTCAATCCATTCAATTCAGCCACATAATTTCTCAAATATCCAAGTGTCCAATTAACACCTTCCGATTCGCCCCAACTTACAATAAGTGTATCATTTTCAACATCGAAATTCGGAATTTCGGATAAATTGATACTTTTCAATGTATGATTTTTCTGACAAATTGCAAAATTTCGACCATTTTCGTTCATTTCGATAAGTCTTTTCCATTCTTTTTTCAATGAATTTGATACTTTTTCCGAGGCATTTTTACAAACAATAAATCGTGCATTCCAATTTTCTGTAGAATTTTTGGTCTTCAAAATATCTGAAAACGTAGATTGAAATATTGAAAATTCAGAAAATAAAATGAAAACTGTGCTAACCAAAAATATTCTGTTCATCTTTTTCAATTTTCCAAGGAATTCGAAAATCGGGTTTATCGCTTCCATAATTTTCCATAACTTCTGAATATTTTACACGTGGAAATGGTAATTTTGGTTTGAGATGTGAAAGTGAAGAAGGCCATGAAGATACAATCATTTGCTCAATTAATTGCATAATTCCATTCTGGGTTGTGAATGACATTTCGATATCAACTTGAGTGAATTCTGGTTGTCGATCTCCTTTTGATCCTTCATCACGATAACATCGGGCTATCTATTTACACATTTGGATTTTTTTGTTGAAAATTTTTTAATTTTTTTTTTTGTTAGAATTTCAATAAAAACGTGAACTTTCACGTGGCAGTTCAAAAATTCATTCATTCTATAAAAAAAAACTGTTTTACCTGAAAATATCGATCAATTCCACCGACCATCAATAATTGTTTGAATTGTTGTGGACTTTGTGGCAATGAATAAGCTTGTCCTAAATTTGGCTGCGGTGCCGGAACAACAAATTCAGCTGCTCCACCCGGAGTTCGTCGAAATAATGTGGGAGTTTCGACGTCGACAAACTTTTTTTGATCAACAAGAAATTTGCGTAAATTATGAACAAATTCGGATCGAATTCGAAGTGATCTTTGCATTTTTGCACTTCTCAAATCAATATATCGATATTTCAATCGTGTTTTTTCATGTGATTTTGTCGATTTTTCATCGGGTAAAAATGGGATATCTTTTGAAGATCGATTTAATATTTCCAATTCCTCTACTTCAATTTCAATTTCACCAGTTTTCATATTCAAATTTCGATTTTTATCTCCTCTATCAACAACTTTTCCATCAATTCGAATAACTGATTCATAAGGTAGATCTTTAACTAAACTCGATAATTTTTGAGGTAATTTCGCTTGAATCGTTCCATAAGAATCACGAACAACTAAAAATCGATCCATTCTTTTGAATGCCAACCAACCCATTATCGAAACTTTCTCATCTGAAAATCACCTGACAAATATGAATTTTAACAGGTTTTTTTTAAAACTAACCAATATTTTTAGCCGTTAATTCATCACAAGTATGAGTTCTTATTGTATAATCACAAAATGATGAAAATCTTCGACGAAAAATTCGAAGCATTTTTTCTATTTAGAAAAAAATTATTATTTTTTGAATTAAAAACAAATAAAAATATAAAGATTGAGATAACTTCACACTTAAAAATATATAAAGATATTTATGATTTATGATTTATTAATTTTCATTTTTGTTTCAATACAAGTAAAAATTTTTGGCAAATTACAAGAAAACCCGAAAAATCAACATCACATTAAAAATGAGACCCCAAATAATACATTTACCCAGAAAACTTTGTTACTTTTCAATATTTCTTAAAGCAATATGTGGTCCAGCTGTGAATTGATCAAGAAATGATAAACCAGAAGAAAGAAGTCGACGAAAACCAAGATGTTCAATTTCAGATGGATCAAAATCGAGAAAATCTTCAGTTTCCAAAAATTCATCTTCAAAACTTCCAATTTTTTGAGGAACTGTAAAAGTTGAATTTATTTTTTTTTCAAACTGAATCAAATGTTGTTTTTCAACCAAACCTGGTGGTACATTTTTATAACTGTCTTCAATTTTCGGAGCTTCTTCATTCCAACAAAACGGTCCGATTTCGAATTTCAAATTTTTCGAAGGGAAAATATGATGTTCGAAAATAGCTGATATCATCGAATGCAATTCAATATTATCTGGTTTATCATCAGATAAATAACAACAATTCTGAAAAAAAATTGAATATTGAAAAATCAAAAACTTGTTTTTCACTTATAATTTCTTACCTCACAAAAAACCATTGGAGTTCGTCGTTTCTCAACAATTTCTCGAATTTCTTCATTTTTCAAAATATCTAATGTTCTCTCAAATGCTTCCTCATTCATTAAATCAATTTCAGCAGTCATATTTGGATATAATTTTTTGAGTTGTCCAACAATAATATCTACATTTTTCGCATCATTTTCATTTTCAGCTTCCATATCTTTTTTATGTGATCTTATCAATATTTCAGTTATTTTAGATTTTGCTTTATCCACTGATATTTCTTTTCTAATCAATTTTCGCCTTTCAGATTCTTTTTTCAATTTCAAATCAACTTCAAATCCAATTTCAGTATTTTCTTTTCCATATTGATTTTCATAATATTTTGCGCCTCCTTCAATTGTTTGTCTTTGACTTTCAAATTGATCCACAAGTTCTTCCTGAAACCAAAAATCAATAAAATATTATATTTTTAAAAACTAACCTTTTTCAATTTCTTATTTCCATTTATAGTTGAAAAAAGCATTTCAGCATCAATAACATCAATATTTTCTCTCATTTTCTTCAACGAACTCTGCTCTTTTTCAGCCTGAATACTACAACAATCCAACATTCCTGGATCAATTGGATGAGCTTCTGTATTGAAAATATATCCACCAGCTGTAAGTTTTCAGAAATTATGGGAGGAAAATAATAAATAACCTACCATAAATAGCGCATGTCAAATTTTTCTCAGTCTTCAAAATTCTCGCATTTTCTCCTCTTGAATGAATCCAATTTTGTGGATCAAATAGAAGATATAAATATTTAGTTGTTTCAGCCAAAAAGAATGATTCCATTCTGAAAATGTATTATGTCATTGGAGCAAATATTCCCTTGAAAACAAAAAAACGAACCGATCTTCAATATTATGTTCTTTAACATTATTAATAGTTGCATATCCACATTTTGTTCTAGCCGATGATTCAATTGCATCAATCATTTCAGCTCCCAATTCCAACCAAATTGTATCTTTTGTTGCTCGATATAAATACATCAATGATTCGGCAATTTCAGGTCGAAGTGGAAAAGCAGCTCGTTTATCAACTGGCTCAGAATTATGAATATTATAAAATTCGGGAGGAAATCCATATTGTCGAATAACTTCAGAATATTGCATCATAATTCGACGAGCATCTCGAATATTTCCAACCATTGTCTAAAGAAATAATATTTTTTTTACTTAATTAAAAACAACAAAAACAAAAAAAGCCTCACCAATGTTCCAGGCCAAAATGCTTCCAGCGATTGAAAAATCGGCAAAGATACAGTACCTTTCGTCATTGAGACCCACATAAACCAATCATCTTTTCTAACATATTTATTGATTGATTTGTGAAATTCTTCAAATTGTTTGATAAGACTTGGCCTTCTGAATAAATATGCGCCTTTTGCAAGATATTCGAAATAACTATCAACTCCGGCTCCAATTCCGGAATCTGTCGCAGTCCATTGACCAGTTTGAACATTGATATGATTTCCAACCAATCCAATCGGCGATTTCGCAGTATATAATGCATCCAAAGCTTTCAACGCAACTCTTTCATATTTTTCATCTCCAGTCAATCTTGATAATGTTCCAAATTCAATTATAAATGTCCCAACTCCTGCCGTACACGTAATTGGTGTTTCTTCCTTATGCACTCCATATTTCAAATTCACAGTTCCATAAGGCATTCCAGTTTCAGTATTAAATGCTGGCATAAGTCGATCAGCCATTTTTCTCGATAATTCAAGTAATGGACCAGAACACGGCCATCCAGGCCATTCTTCAACAATTTCTCGATATTTTCCAGCTAACATATGAGCAGAAAGAAGACCGCCAACAACTCGAATATTTGTCTCGAAAACTGACACATTCACATTTGCATCATCTCGAACTTTTTGAAGGACTAATTCGATTGCTCGACGAAATTCCGTGTGATTTCCCATAATTAGAAGAGTATCAAGTGAATCAACCAATGACAATGAGAAAGAACCCCAAGTATCTTGTCCTAAATGGATACTTTTTAATTGCGACAATTTTGGTATAAAATAAAGGTACCTGTACATGAAATTGGTTTGAGTTCATCAAGTGGAAATGCATGATTCAAATATCCATCGTAAGCATGATAAAACATTCGACGAACTTTTTCGCGATATCTCAAAAATTAATAAATTAGACAGGGCTAATCGGAATGATTCAAAATCAGGAATTAGAAACATTTTCCAATAAAAATTTATGCTGAAATTCTGGATCTCAACATTTTTTGACAATTTCGAAATTTTTTTTGAATTCCTAAAGTTTCCCTCCACAAAAATCAAAAACTCACCTCTCAATAACATCTTTTTGAAAATATTCTTGCGCTTCAATTTGTTCGGGCAAAATAAAAAATATATACAAAACTAGTATCCATATCCGTAAAATCATCTGAATTACCTTAACTTCAACTTTAACATTTTTAAATTTTGAAAATAGTTTTACGAGTTGAATATTACTCATTTTAAGTGAAAAAAAAATTGTGAGCGATTGGGAAAAAAACAATTTTTTTAAAGAAGTAAAATTCACAGAAAAAAGAAAGATCATAATTAAATTAACCAGTAAAATTGTGAGAGGTTTCAATTGAAAAAAGTTGGATCACCGAATCGTTCAATAACCTGGCTTGATTCTTCAATATCATTTCGAATTTTATCGCGCATGTAATAAATTGGACAATCACGAGCAGAACAGTTTACCTGCAAAAAAAGATAAAACATTGGAATCTTCAAAAAAACACAAACCTTTTCTTGCATTGTCTTCGCACAATTCTGGCATTCTGTCCAAAGTCTTGCAAACTTTGTTTCAAGTTCATGAAGATTATTCAATCTTTGAGAAAAGATTTCCGGCAATTTCGGTTGGCAATGTTGACAAATCGCATTTTCAGCATCAGATTTCGGTAAAACACTTTTGCATCCAAGACAAGTTGCTGATTTCTTTGTAAAAGCCGCAAGTCCTCCAACTTTACTTTGAACAACAGTTCGAACACGAGTATGTTCGCCTTCGACAAGAATCTGAAAGGAATACGGCTCATCAAAAATCATGGTAACACAGAAATGACTAACCTTTTCAGCTCGATCCCCCAAAATCGGTTCAAAAATTCTAGCAAGTGGTTTAGCTAATTGATTAGTCAAATAATGTTTAGTATCAATTGGAATATTATTCGATAAAACGAAAGCTGGATCTTCTGCTCTTTCATAAGCCGGAACATTTTTAGCAGCAGCAACAAAAACATATGGAACACGATCTCCTAATCGCGGGGCACTTCCTGGATCTCTTTTCTTCATTCGAGCTGCCAATTCAACATGAGCTTGTTTTGCTTGATATTTCTTTAAAAAAAACAAACTGAATATTTTTTTCAAGAATTTGAAAAAAAAAACTCACATCTCCAGATTTTGTCAATTCCTTGCTAATAATCAAAAGTGAGATATCAATTTTATTGCACAATAAATCACCGATCGTTTTCTTTGCAAAATCAAGAGCAGATTGCTCATCTCTATCAATCAACAATTTTTCGAGACAAATTCCCAAAACCTTGGCAACCAATGGACAATTATCACGACGAACTGTTTCAAGTCCTTTACAATCCATTTTATCATGAATATCTGGTTTTGTGAAATATAATCCAGCATATCGTTTTTTGTTAATCAATAAATATGGAAAATATACTTTTTCGAATTCCAATTTGATTGGAGGTGTAAAAATTTTTGAAACTTCAGTAGCCGCGTGCAAACCAATTTCCATAGCTTGTGCAACTGTTTCAACACCAAATTTCACCATAACTGAATCCGTATCTCCATAAATAACTTTTGCATCAGCCGGACATTTTCCATTCATTGCTCCTTTTTTATAAATTCTTTCCACTTCACTTTTTGTCATATCAATCATTTTTCTTCCAAATGAAGTTACTGATTGTGAAATTTCCAAACATGGCAATTTTCCAACAGTTGCCCCAGTGAAACCATAAACTGAATTGGCTGAAATTTTCAGAGCCAATTGTCGTCCATTGAAAACCATTTTTCGAAATTCATCTTTCTCATTTTTCAAATCATTTTTCGCTCGTTTTCTCGCAGCCAACAAATCTTCCAAAATAATCGGGAGCAATCCTTTTCTTCGATTTTGAGTTGCAAAATATTGTCCTGACGGTGTTCTGATATAATCTTCATTTTCAACACCATTTGGTGATTTCAAAAGAGTTGTATAACATAAATTATGTGCAATCATAATTGAAGGATAAAGTGATGCAAAATCAAGAGTTGCGATTGGTTCATTATAAAAACCTCGAATTGGATCAATTACAGTTGCACCTTCATAACTTTCTCCATCTCCACCAGAAGATTCGATAACAGGAAGGAAGAAATTGTTGGCTTTGCATCGACGGAGCATCATTGATAGGATCTAGATTAGAAAGAAAATAAAGAACTCAGATCCATAAAAAAATAATTTGAAACAAGGTTACCTTGATTTGTTGTCCTCTAGTCAATAAATAATTCATTGGAACTCCAGTAACTCTTGCCATTTCAATATAATTAATAATAGACATAAGTTTATCCAATAATCTCAAAGGCAACAATGCATCTTTCAAACAATACATTGCGAGTCTTCTTCGAGTTTGTTCATTTCCTCTTTGAAGATCGGGAATAATATTATGTTCGACATCTTCTTTTTGTTCCGATAAAAATTGATATGAAACACTGTTTAGAGTATAACTTCGAAGTTTGTAATCACGAAGTACAACCTGAAAAAAACATTTTTTGTCATAGTGAAAAAATCTAAAAATTTCTGAGTTGTACCTGAAGAACATCAAAAATAATTCGTCCATGAATATCAATATTTTTGTTAACTCGGCTTCCCATTTGTTTTGATGAAATAGCTGCATCTCGAATAACAGATCCTTTATCTTTTTGTCTTCCAAGATGTGAAACCATTGGAAGTTTGAGAACTTTTGCGCGATCCAGAATATAAGGTAAATCGAAATTGAGAATATTATAACCGGTAATAATATCAGGATCGACTTCTCGAATAAATTCTGCCCATTTTTCCAATAATAATTTCTCATTTACACATTCAATAATCGAACTTCCAACAACTGGAGCACACGTTCCTAATACAAAACAATTTCGAACAAATGGTTCAGTTTCTCCTTCAATTTTAATCATATTTGCAATTTGAATAATTGGATCCATAGTTGCTTCTGGAAATACTCCTCTTCTTCCAATACATTCGATATCAAATGAAAGTGTTCGAATTGGTGCAATATCAGCCCATTCTCCATCACTTTCATGAACAATTAAATCACGAACAGAAACTGATACTTCAATTTGACATCTTGATGCTTTATCTTTTTCTTTAATCATATCACATTTTCCAGCTGGTATTTCGATCCAACCACATCCTACAATTCCAGTTTTTGCCATGAATTTAACTTCAGCATCAATATTTGATTCATAAAGATTTCCAATATTAACCGGTCCTTTTCCCATCAAATTTATTCCGGATTTCAGTTCAGTTCTTGCTTTATGAAGAGCATTTGTTGTGCCAGTTACTTTGATAAATGGAACTTTTGTATCAGCTCCACGAAAATAATACAAGTTTTCTCCATGAACAATTTCAATATGAACTAGATTATCAACAACAGTTCCTGATAATTGAGCATTTCCGGGTCCTCTTTTAATTTGAGAAGCAATTGCATTACAAATTGCATTTTGAGCTTGACCAATATGTTCGACACCAAATCCAGAAGGTGCCTGAAAAAACAACAATAAGTTAGAGCGGAAAAACAAATTTGAATTATAACCTGAAAATAGAAATGTGGAAAATAATCTGTGACAATCACACAAATAGAATTTCCAGCTCGTGTTACACCGTATATTTTAGCATTTGTTCTATCATATCCACTTCCATTTGCTGCTTCATAATATGTTTCAACTTCAAGAACTTGACAAGCAATATTCTTAGAAATTCCGAGTTGTTTATCGACTGCTGGTCTAGCCCATTTTGATTTGTCTATTTTAATGTTTTCTGATAAATCATTTTCGAAGTTTGGAACATATTGTTTTTCGAATTCATCACTCTCCCGTTTCCTTTTAACCGTTGGTTGAAATGTGGCACCTCCAATCCGCTTGTTAGAAGCCATTAGATTCTGAATAATTAACAATTAATATCATTGGCACGAACGTTTTTGCGGAGAAAAACATCAGTGCAAACTTTCAAAAAAGAAAAAAATATATAGTTGGCTGCAACTGCGCTCCATCGAAACGCGCCAAAAATAAAATTCAAACATTTGATCGTGAAACTATGCCCTATCGCACAAGGCGCCGGCGCCAATTTTCTTTGTTCGTTTCGCAATTTTCGGGTTTTTGAAGTTTTTGCATGTTTTTTCGCAGTTTAAAGAATTTCAGCAGAATGAGTGCACTTATCGAAACTACTAACACAGAAAACATCATTGCCGAGACTGCCGCAAAGAAGTTAAAACTCGAAGAAGTGAGTCAATATTGTCTCACTTTTCTATGGATTAAGATATTCAAAAATTTCAGGTCCCTTCTTCCCGTCTCACAGTTCGTTTCACCAAATTGAATGAAAATGCTCAAATGCCAACTTACGGATCATTGGCTGCTGCTGGAGCTGATCTTTACAGTGCTGAAGACTGCGTAGTTCCAGCAAAAGGAAAGTATTGTGTTTCGACAGGATTACAATTGGAACTTCCATTCGGATATTATGGCCGTGTTGCTCCACGATCTGGTCTTGCTGCCAAACATTTCATCGATGTTGGAGCCGGTGTTGTTGATAGCGATTATCGCGGAGAATTGAAAGTTCTTTTGTTCAACTTCAACGAAACTGATTTCGAGGTTTGGCTTCAGTCAGTGTTTAGAAAATATGTATGTTCCATTTTCAGGTCAAAAAAGGCGATCGCATTGCTCAATTGGTTTGTGAACAAATCGCCCATTGTACATACGAACAAGTCGAATCACTTGATGACACCGAAAGAGGAGCTGGAGGTTTCGGATCAACCGGAAAGTAATTTTTCTTATTTATAATTTTGCATTTGTCGAATAAACAAGATCTCACCTATTCAAATATTTATGCTAACAATTTTGTTTCTGAGGTTTACAAAATCCTCCAAATTATATTCATCACTTAAACGTATCGGACCAGCTTCGAATAATTGAGCATTACTTTCAAAAATAGCAGTGTATGGGAAAAATCCTAAATATCTACTTTTTCCTTGATATCCTAGAATTATCAAATCTTCTGGATTCTGGACAGGAGACATTGATCCTTCTTTTTCTCCTGAAGATTTGTCCAAAAATCCACACTGAAATTGTGTTAAAATTAAATAGTTTCAAATAAAAACTACTCACCATTAAAAGCCAATGTGCTTTATGTCCATTATGTTTTGTTGCACTGAAATTCTTATCGCAATCATAAGCTACCAAAATATGTTGACCATTAAGAAGTCTTTGACTCAATTCGGAAGCTCCCGGAAATTCTTCAACTTTTGAACATCCCGGGGAGATTTTATTCGCAACTTCAGATAAACTATATGCTAAAAACTTCTGATTTTTTTCTGTAAGAAAAAAGTATAAGTAATATTACCTGAAAACATTTCGCCTTGTATTGTATAATTCAATTCTTTTGCAATTCCGAATATTTCGTCCACATTACAATCAATTCCTTTACTCTTGAGAGACATTGAAAGAGCAACCAAACCACATCTGATAATTTTTGGGATTTTTAGGGTGGCCAAAATTTCGCATTTTGGTCGGTAGCAAAAATTCAAAATGAAGTGATTTTTCCATTGCGAGAAGACACGTATGTAGTTTTTTTCTAGTTCACGCTGAATAATTTTGCCTCCCAAGAATTAAACATTATTCAAAAATAAAATGACACAATCTCGCCATCATTTTTCTAAAATTAAAAAGCAACCAGGTCCAAATTAAAAACGTGAGTTAAATTTGGGCTGGTCATTTTTATCATTTCTAAAATCACGACAAATCATTCTTACTTTGGTCCAATTTGCAATTCTGGCTTCACATTTTTGTCGAATATAAATCTCGAATTTGATCCATAATCTGATAGCTTTGATTGTGTTATTGGTGGAATATCCGATATTGTTTCCATTTAAATTCTTAAATTCAATAAATATGTTTATAACATAACAATTGATGAATTCGTGCACTTATTAAAATTTTACACTCAATGGCCGAAGAAACAATAATTCTCGGTCAGTTTGTTGTTTTGTTAGGCCACGTCATTTCTTTCATTTTATGCCACTGTATTTTTTCTTGCCAGTTCTGAGAGACGCAGACTTTAACGTGGGCAGACAAATCTCTCGCCGAAAAGGGGAGAGAAATAGTGTGTGGCAGACACACATCGTGTCGAGACCAGTCTCTTTCTCTCTCTTTCTGCGTCTCCTCGGAATTGCATTTTTCTATTAGAAAAAAACACAGTGATGCTTTCAAAATAAAAAAATCTATTTTATATTTGTTTGTTTGAAATTGATTTCTTGCAGATGGATGATCAAGAATTGGAATATGAACAATTGGAACGGTATGATGAACCAGACGACGAAACCGATTCTGTATATCAGGTTAGTTGATCTTTTAAATAGTTTATAAGGTTGGTTGGGCTAAAAATATTACAACGTTCGTTTTTCTGTCTGTATTTTATTAGAAAACGAGCCGAGGATAGGGTTTACAAAATTTAAAATTTTACGCGAACTTTTTTCTGTTTGAAAACTGTTGGCCATTCATAAGAAATTCAAGACCAGGCTGGTCCGATTTCGAAAAATTGGAAATGTGTCTCGTTACTCGAAATTGAAATCTGGATATTTGCTTTTTTTGAAAGCTCACAATCATCTTTTTTTAAAGTCGAATACAGTTTTTGATTGAAAACCATATCAATTTCTAAAGTGGTGTGTTTCATGAAGATTTTCTGTTCACTCTTCCTGTGATTTTCGAATTTTTCCTTCGTTGTATATAAGTTTTTTCTGTCATTCTCAATATCGAGCTTATCTCATACCGAAATTGGAAGCCTTTCTGTTAAGCTCTTCGATATTTTTCTCAAATATGAAATAATGTTGATGTTTGGTTAACTAGTTTGATATAATTCAAGATAAATGCACTTTAAATATTCCCTTGATCCAAATATTTTTCATGATTTTTTCCTCAATTTCCACCTACTCAACCTTGTGTTTTTCATTACCTTTCTTTTTTCATCTTCTTTTTTCTTTTCCCCATGACAACCTAATAATTGGTACAAGATTTTGCGCAAAGAAGAGTATATATGTGTGCGGTTATTATCCACCTCTTCCATTTTTTACCACCACAACCTATATAATTAGAAAATAGATGGGGAGAAAAAAATAAATAGAGAGAAAATGAAGAAAAGATGGAGAAAAAGAAGAGGTGGTAATTGAACAGTCCGTCGTCCCTTTTGTGAAAATTGAATAGAAATGAGTGTGGTATACACAGAAGAAGAAGGAAAAAAGGAAGAAGAAGAAGGCTGCGCACACAGTCAGACCGACAGAAAACACAACACAACACTGCATTTTGTCGTCTGTTCGTCATTGTTATGTTCCCTTCGATGTCCTTGTGGCTCTATTCATTTCTACCATCAAAAATACATACATACATACATCTATATTTTATTTGTCTAACCAACACGCAAACTTTTCTCTTTGCTTTCTTTACACCTTTCCGATGGCCGTCAATTCATTGCAAATTATATCTACTCACTAATTATCCAATGTATTGTTTTGCTTTTCTTCTTCTTTTCATCGAAGCTATTCGATATTTCGTATTTACTGTATTTTGCTACTGAATTGTCGAGAAGTTCGGATTCGTCAGGTGAAAAACATCCTATAATGGATTTTTCGTTAGGTTCATAGGTTCAACGAGTATTTAGCAATCTAGGTTTCGAATTCACTAATCTTGCAAAATTCGATCCGAGGTTTGGATTATCGGTTCTGACTTTTACGTTGATTGAATTAGATCAAGATGACGGAATTTCTACTAGACATCGGACGATCTTAGATTACTTGAAAATTATTTTTCATCGGACCTCTTCAAAAGTCGAGAAATTCTAATTCGGACCACTTCGGGAAATTTCCTGATTCAGAATTTTAATAGCTTTAATCGCGAAAACTTCTGTCTTCAATTTTTTCAAATCGAAATTCATGTTCCATCCATTTTTTTCTCTCGAAAACCTATTTCAAACCAACAATTCGGTCTAAAATAATGTTCAGTTTTATGGCTCATTTCTAGGAAATGTTATAAATTTTCTGTTGAGAACGAAAAGAAAAATATTATTAACCCCATAAAAAATATAAACAATTTTCCCCCCGAGAGCTGCTTGTTACTTTTGTCGTTTTCTTTGTATGTGGTGTGTGGCTGGCACTAAAATCAATTAAATAATAAACAGTATTCAAATTCCCACGAAAATTTTGCAATTTTTTTATTTCTTTCGTTAGTTATTGCAAAATCGATTTGTTCGCCTTCAAAAATGGTCACAATTATTATTATAAATATATAATATAAATATAATAATGATTGTGATGGTTTTCATATATTTATGAATATATATATATTTATATGATTCAACAAATACATACACACATATATTCATATAAAAATGTATACATTCAAACTAACAAAACGAAACAAATAATAAATAATTGTAATAGTTTTGTTGAGTTAATTGGTTAGTGTTCAGTTAACCTGAACGAGCCAACCAACAACCACTCAACAAAATTTGTATATATCTAAATATACTCTGTTTTTTCTTTCTTTCTAAAAATGGTAGTTTTTGATGGTAATTGTGACAAGGTCGTCGTCGTTCGAGGGTTTTTTCATCTCTAAATACTTCATTAATCCTTACGCTCACCTTTCTTTTTCTTTTCGTTTTTTATTGAGAAAAAGATTTTCAATAGAACTTTGATTCTATAGAACAAAAGACTGTGGTTTCATTTTCAATGTTAGTTCTGACCGAAATAGCTTATCTTTGTATTCAATCACTACGTTTTCTGTCATAGAATCAACTCTTCTTGCTTATTTCGCTGAAAAATTGGATTTTCATCTCGCGCCTTCGAAGCCTCTCTCGCCAACAACAACAACAACACACATCTCCTCGTAAAAATGTTAATTTAAAAGCGAGAGACGAGAGACATGTAGCTCTTTTTTGTGATCCTTCTCCTCTTCTTGGTTTTTTTCGCGGCCCGTCGCTCTCGGCTTCTTTCCTTCGTTGAGCGCACGCGCATAAAGGGCGGAGCTTAGGCGACAGCAAGCGCCGCCCATTTATTTTTTTTTGCGGCCTGTGGTTTCTCCTTCTCTTTTTCTTTCTTCTGTTTGTGGTTGCTGATGCTGTCTTTTCTTCTTCTTCTTCTTGGCTTCCTGAAGGGCCCCTTTATGGATTATTATTATTATATTTTATGGTGATGATGATTCTCATATTGCCTTGTAAACGGTAAAACGGTCTCGCCGCCTGACACTTTCGTCTCAACCTCGTAGTGTCGATGCGAAGACGCAGGTGAGCAAAGTTTCAGGTGTGCAAGACCTGCGCCTGAATTTATGAACGGTGAGTTTCTCCTTTTTCGATATTGGAAATTCATCAGAATCTAGAGAATTTCAGAATTTTCTTTGGCACTTTTGATTCAGATTCAGATTCCAATTCATATTTTTTTTACAAGAATTTCCCCAAAAGAAATTTTCGAGCCAGAAGATTTTTTGTCAGAAAACTTCTCGCAACTTCAACTAAAAACCTGGAATCTCTCGAATTTCTACCAAAATTCTGAATCTATTTAGATGAATCACCTAAATGTTCCGGAAATTGACGTTTTTTGTTGTGTTTAAAAATGTGTATGGCTTTTTTTCAAAATCTGCGCATTCTGTGCCCGTTCTCTATTTTTTCCTGCATTTCGAGCCAGTTCTTCTTTTTCTTCTTCGTTTTTCCTTTTTCTTCTTCTACCCACACATACATACATACATATATACAACATATATGGACACATACTCTTTTTCACTGACTGAGGCAAAAAAAAGGAGCGTCGCGCTGGCAGCAACAGAAGTAGCAGTAGCAGCAGCAACCACACCACTCTCCAATTATATATTGATGATGATGATGATGTGTATGTAACATGTAACATATAGATAGAAGGAAGATATTTGTGAATGGATGAAACCAAATATTAAATTTTGAAGAACAAAAACGTTTTTTTCTTCTCCACAAAATTCTTTTTCGATCGACCAACAGATGTTATGATTGTTTCGAATGTTTGCAGTTTGAACAGATGTGCAACAAACTTTCACGCGTTTTTTTCTATGGCAAGGAATGGAAAGGGCAAAGACATGTGGAATTTACAGTTTCTGTAAATTTTGTAGTTGGAAGAAGAGCTCAAGAGGAAAATTTTCGGCTTGAAGAAATAAGATTACAAAAAATTAGCCCGTCGAAAAAGTTTCGGTTCTAAATTTGTTCTGCGCACTGCCGTACGAAAATATTCTGAATCAATGTTTCTGAATGATGATTTCGCCGTGTTGTTCAGTACCAACAGTTTATTTGTTCAACACACCTTGATATTATCCAATTCGCTTTTTTTCCTGAAATTCTTAAATTCCGAAACAATTAAATTCGATTTCTTTCATGAATGCTTCTTCGATTAAAGCTGGTATATCGAAAATAGTTGTCGCTTTGGTGTCAACTTGCATCCGATTCTTTTCGGTGATGATTCTCCCGATTTTGGAAACCACTCGCTGCTACCAGAAAACAAGTGGGACCCTATTGGTCCGCGCTCGTTCTTCCGCCTACTGTTTCGAGTTTGTTTAGGTAACTTTCCCATACGGTACCGGGTGAGATCTCCCCAGACTTCCGCAGGTCTTACAAAGATAAGAGAACACGAATTAAGTCAACTACTAATTTATGGGATCAAATATAATTATAAGAAGTAACGGGACAATGGGGGAAAGGGGAAAGTAAAAATAACAAATTTAAAACAAAGGCGGGAGCCATGCTCCCATCCGACCTCGATGCATCTCCAGCGCTGCTTTTATAGTCGTCGCTTCGGGCGGGGCTTTGAGTCGGCTTATTCTGGAAACAAAACAGTTTTTAATTGAATTTTGGAAAGCACTGTGTCTTCCGGTGAGACGCAGAGACAATACACTATCATCTGATCCTTTTGATAATGCACGTCCGTTCTGGATATTGGTTTTGGGAAGATGAACTTTAGCCCCTGGATGATTGTTTCAGGTTATTTACCTTTACATTGTTCAACACAAATTGATATTATCCAATTCGCTTTTTTTTCCTGAAATTCTTAAATTCCGAAACAATAATTCGAATTTTTTCCAACTCATACCACGTTCAGAATCTGGAACTCCAGGTCGAAATTTTTCCGCAAGCCAATTTTCGTAGCGAAATGTTTCAAAAATGCCTTTTTTCTGGAATTTTTTTGCATGGGATTTCTGAAGAAGAAAATCCTCTACTGAACAATTTTGTGAGATCAGAATTGTACTCGAAAAGTCCGAAAAAGGCGAATGTGCCACGTCATAACTTTTTTGTACGTTTGCTTAAAGCTCTCAAAATTCTTATAGCCTGCGATCTTTCTTCAGAGATGAATTCCGATTTTTCTCAATTTTCCGTATTCAGAATTCGACTTCGATAAAATAAAAAAGCAACTAATCCATCTATCTCCGTCTGTTTTTCTCTGTTTTTTCCTCCATTTTCCACTCGAAATATATATGTATGTATGTATATATAAATTCCGTTGTTTTTCTTTTTTTGTTCTTCTTCTCCTATTCGTTTTTTTCCTCTTCGAAGTGGCAGAAGAGGTGGCAAACAGAGAATACTAATGAGAAAGAAGAAGAAGAAAGAAGGGCTCGAAAAATGAAACAACCAGGAAAAAATAACACGAAGAAAAGGATCATTAGATTTTTGGTTTTGTGCGCGGCTCCTTGCGATTGTGCTGCTGCATTTTGTTCATTTTGGTTGGTGCTCTCGATTTGCCGAGCGCCGTCGGCAAAAAAACGAAATTTGATATGATGTGCTTGAAAATGGACAATGTGCTTTTTTTGTGTGATATATTGTTCTTTTTGTTGAAAAATGAAAAATAAAACACAATTTGGAAAAACACAAATATAAATATTTTTGTTTTTAGTTTGCTTTCATTTTGTCGAATATGAAAAAAGTAATAATATTAATAACATGCTTCTCTATTCTATTCTTTTTCACCATATAATCAAACTCGAATATGAAATTAAATATCCGGCTGCATTTTTGGTTACTCTGACAACCTGCCTGCCTTTTTTATTCGCCCACTTCAAAATATGGCACAATAAATAATTATCTTTCCGTTTCGTTAAAAATTGTATACACATACACACAGAGATATTTACACCTGCCCAACCAACAAAAAAGTTGGAACATAAAGGGGTTTACGATCGGATTTTGAAGGGAGATAACAACAAAACAATGTTTTTTCAGGGAAATGTTGAAGATTCGAAAATTGAGAAGAAGGAGAAGATTGCAACTGAAAAAGCGTTTGGAATCAATCCAACATCAGGACAACATTTGAAGGTAAAATTATATATTCGAAATTCTGAACATCGAGCGAGACAAAAAATTGGAATAAGATTTTTCTAAACTGCCACGGCACAGTTCACGTTTAAAATATTTTCAGAAAATCGAAAGTGATTATTTTTTCAAAGAAAATTTAGAAAGCAAACCCGAGAAGGGTTTTTTTTCTAAAATTTTTCGAATAAACTCTTTGTGAGACATTTTTAACCCCTCAAAAAGTCAAACAAAAATGTTTTTTTTCGTGACCTGAAACTAATTAATTAAATTGACACAAAATGTCAATATTTTGATCTAACTCATTACTCAAAAACACGTCCTTTTTCTTCTTTCTCATCATCTAATTCTTCTTTTCTTCATTTCAATATTCAATTATTGAATGCATTGGAGCAGAATAATAAATTGGTATAAGAAGAATATTTGCAGGTGACATCAAAAGAAGGAGCTGCTTTGAGAAAAGAACTTGGAGCTGAAATTGGAAAACATGTTATTCGAGCAGCACTTGTTCATGGGGTTGATGGAATGCATGATTATCAAATTACTAAGTATAAAAAATGTTAGAAGTTTTTGAGAAAAATGAGGATTTTTCAGAGTTTTCGCAGCATTTCGCGCATCAAATACAACAAAACTCGATGAATCTCAAGCAATTGTTCAATTTATTCTACGACAAGATGTTGCTGCAATGATGTTGAATATGACGAAAATGATGAAAAGAGTTCGTGGAAGAAAATTGGCAGATGAAGATGGAGAAATATCATCGGATGATGAATATGAAGAAGGTCAAATTATGCATGAAAAAGGAGATGATGTGGAAATTGTTGATAATTTGCAAACTAAAGGTTTGTTGGTTTTGGGTCTGTTGAATTGAAAGCAAAACTGTATTTTCTGAAAAAAATCATTAGAGAAAAAAATATTTTCTAAAAAGCAGAAAATTGTTGTTCCCTGAAAAATTGGGATTTGGAATAAAATTTCAGAAAAAATTGAATTTTGGCAGCAATTTTGTGATTTTATGGAGTGATTCAGGTCGAATAAAAAACATTTTTTAAAAAAAAATTCGATTCAGCAAATGTCAAAAAAACTATATTTTTTTTTCTATTTTTCAACATTTTCTGACATTTTTTTTCATTGAAACATTTTCGCTGCGAGATATCTCTCATTTTTGTGTGGAAAAATAGAGTTTTTTGACATTTGCTGAATCGAATTTTTTTGTAAAAAAATGTTTTTTTAAAGTTTTTTCGACCTGAATCACCCCATTACGTTATTAGATTAGAATCTTTTTATTGAAAATTGTCAATATACTTTTTTTCAAAACCAATTTTTTGATTCAGGAAGTAGAAATTTAAATCTGAATTTTTGGAAAATTTCACTGTTCAAATCTATTGCCAGATTTCTGACCAAAATTTACGAAATTTTCCTGAGCGCATGATTTATTTTCATTTTTTCACTTTGCCCAGGCTTCTTTCGAACACGTTGAATTGATCTCGAATAATAATTGATTTTTGCTTCACAGTTTACACAGCTGATATTCATAGTATTCTATTAGCTCAGGTTGATTTACCAATTCAAACAAAAAAAAAACGCGACAAATGATTTGTATATTAATTTATACAATTTATGATGTGAATATATATATACAAATATATATTATTTTGGATACATAATATTCGAAAATAATATAAACATTTTTTGTTATCCAAAACAATAATATTTCGGGCCAATTTTTCTCAATTATTATTATTAAAATATTAATCTTCTAATTTTGTGGGGATGAAAACAAATAGTTGTGTTGTTGTTGTCCGTATATTGTCTTTGTTGTATAGTACTTCTGAACAGAACAAATCCTTTGTTGAAAATTAGTAGTAATTGGATATGTTTGTTGAGGTGAAAAAAGAGGGCGAATATGTAGTGGTGGGGGAAAAATATTGGATGGATTAAAGGCAATTTGATATTTGACCATGGGAATTTTATTATTAAGAACGGGATATTTATTATAAACAACTAAGCTTGTCCATAACTACAGTAATCAAATGTTTGTTTATATTCTTTTGGAAGGTGTCAAAAAGGATGATAAGATGAGAAGATAAACAAATGAAAACATAATAAAAAGACAAATGAAATAAGTTTACTCAAAAGATTAGGAAAGGAGGAAAATAGGTTTCAAGAATAATAGAAAAATCATATGAAAGGGTTTTTTCAGGCGATGGAATAATCAAAAAAGATAAAGATTATGTCACAGTGGATGTTTCAAATCGACAGATTCCTGATGGAAAATGGAGAGTTGTTACACAACATGTTCCAGCTGGAAAATTCTTGCTTGTAAGATTTCCAACAAATGAAGAATATGAGGTAATCCTATTTAAAAATATCCATATTTCAACCTTGTTCTTTACAGTTGGCTGGAATAACTGTTGATGATTCGGAAGAACAACAGACTAGAAAACGACAAATTGCTGAGAGTGAATTTTGGACACATGAAACGAAACATCGCGGAGGATTGAATATGTTTGATAAAGATGGAAATGAATTGGATTGGGATTATGAGCATGATACAAGGTTTTATGATGAAAAAGTTGAAGAGGAGAAGAGAAAATCGGATGCGCAATCGAAATTTGAATTGCCAAAAGGAATTAAAGTTCGGGTATGTTTGACAAATTTTTGTTAGTCTTTATTTCAAGAAAAAAAATATTCTAGGGACGGGGAGCTGTAAAATGTGGATTCCTATTTGGATCTTCTTCTTCAAATTCTGAATCAACATTAGCTTCGGATGATCAAAGAGAAGTTAAAAGAAAACGACAAAATTCAGAAGACAAAGATGTTTATGAAAAAGACGATGTTTTATCGCGAGTCAAAACTACTGGAATTGATGAAAGAATTAGCTTCCGATAGTTATTTTTATATAATTTGTGAATGTTTTATGATAAATTATGAATGTATTTTGATCATGAAGTTGGATTGCATGCGAGAATTTGAGGTTTACTATTAGAGATGTGGAATTTCAGGTGGGCTGCAGAAGGTTTTTTTTTAAATTTGTGGTGAACCTGCCGAATACCTTTTTTGGTGACATAAAATTAAGAGTTTTTAAATTTTTATTTGACAAGAGAAAAAAAATGATGAGAAGTTTACAATAGCAAAAAAAATAGTTGACAAGATTGTTTCGGAGAAATTTGATGGGAAAATTAGAATATATCACAAGAAGTAAACACTTTCAGATACGAGAAAATAGTAGAGTGTGTGTTAATTCTAAGCGGCGGCAAAAAAGAGAAGAATTGTGACTAGACGAATTTGGGAATGATTATGAAAAATTAGGGGGGCAAGAAATAAAAATGATAAATTATATTTGGAGAAAACTGTAAGTAAATTGTTTAAAGTAGAAAGCTTTTGACAAAAAAATTCGTTGATATTGTTTTTTGGGCGACTGCGGAGATAATTGAATTTTTGAAAAATTCAATGAAAAAAATTAATATTGGAAATGTGGATTGATGAACGAAAATCCACGGAATTCTTCTTGATTGATAGCTCGAACAACAGTTGGATCAGTTGGTGTTAGAACTGGTTCCTCTTTTGTGAAATCACTATCGAAATTGTTAGCATCTCGTTTTGATTTCTGAAAAAAATAATTTGAGAATAACTTCAAGGAGGAGAACAGGAAACTCACAATCTTTGGTTTAAATGGTGGTTTAACTTGTCTCGCTTCCAATGCATCCCAATCAATTTCTCTGAAGAATGGATGTGCTCGAATTGCATCTTCTCCTCCTTGCGAAATCACGCATCCTAATCTTTTTGATGCGTTTTTGGTCATGAACTGAAATGATTGATTTTTTGTTGGAAAAAGAAAGATGTACTTACGGCTTTAAGAATATTGACAGCCTCTTTTGAAAGCCACACTGGATATAACACATCGTCGTTTAGAATGGCCTGAAAAATTGAATTTTGAAAGCGGATCAGACACGCCTGACATTTTTCAAAAGTCAGTTTCCTTTTCACCAACATTTATCTAATGAAAAAGAAATGCGCATTTAGTTCAGTGGTAGTTCGTTTTGCTAATGTTCAGAAGGTCCATGGTTCAAATCCTCCTGCCCGCGGAGTTTTTTTTCAAATTCAGAATTGGGAACAATTTGGGCGTACCAAAATTTTTTACTAAATTTCCAACAAAAAAAACACATATACTCCCCTCTTACCTCAAAAAGATCATCTTCATTATCAGCTTCAAATGGCGGTTGTCCAGCCATCATTTCATACATCAAAACACCCAATGCCCACCAATCAACCGATACACCATATTCCATTTCTTGCAATATTTCGGGTGCAATATAATCGGGTGTTCCACAAAATGTGCTTGTCAGATTGTCTTTGTTGATTCCCTCTTTACACATTCCGAAATCAGCCAATCGGCAATGACCATCGGCATCAAGAAGGATATTATCAAGTTTGAGATCACTAGAAAAATGAGGAATGATATTTTTGTTTGAAGATAAGATAAAAACACAAGTAAACGAACCGATAAATAACATCATTTCTATGCAAAAATTGGAGAGCACAAGTAACTTCAGCGGCATAAAAACGAGCTCGAGATTCGTCGAATTTTCGTGCTCTTTGGATTTGGAACATCAAATCACCACCATTTACATATTCCATTACAAAGAATAAACGATCCTGGAAAATTTGGAAATTAAATATGAAATTATTTTTTAAAGTTTGTTTTGCTTATCAGGATTGCGTTTTTTTTGGATAAAATATGTGGGTTCTCAGAGAAAGTCTGGCTTGAACGGCGCGGTCCGCGGACGATTTTTTCCCAATTTTTGAGTGAAAATCATTACGCGGATTCAGCGAAAAAAATTTCGCGGACAGCGAAACTTCAGCCAAAGAGAGTCTCATTTCGCGCATTCCGCGAAATTTTTTGACTCGGAAATTTGATTTTTTTGAGTTTTTCGCGGATCCGCGGATGGACTCGAGAGGGAGGGTATAAAAAGTATAAATTGTATCGCGTACGCGACAACGAGGATAGCGCAGCAAGGAAGAGAGATGACTACAAAACGACAGGATTGGGATCGAGGCCGGGTTGGAACTACAAGTCAATACTAACTTCTGATAATTATCAGGGGTAGTGAAGCATTTTTATATCTCGAGAGTGCATTGCGCGGACGTTTCGCTAACAGCGGAGTATAATTTCGCGGACGTTTCGCTAAAGTTCTTGTGTCAGCCGCGGATTGGCAGATTTCTGGGTTTCGCGAACCGCGCCGTTCAAGCCAAACTTTCTCTGAGTTACTGTAGAAAATTTAGGCTTAAAACTAAAGAGATACTTCAAAATATATTGGTTACTGTAGGTTTCCAAAAATACAGTAGTTCGATAATTTTGTGGTAGATCAAATTGTAAAATGAACAAAACTAGGAGTACTGTAGGTTACTGTAGATCCTTTATGTCTAAAGATTTTGAAGATTTTTTTGTGTAAACATTTGTTCTTATGGGAACCTTTTTCTATAAGAGAAAAATATTTTTGTTTAAAAAATGACAGATTTTTTCAAATCTCTGAATTTGGCCCATTTTGAAAAATTTTCGAATCCCACCCAAAAAACTCACAGCAGTTTGGAATGAACTGTGTAACGCAGTCAAAAATGGATGTTTTGCAGCCAATGATAATATTCTCTTTTCACACATTGTGCATTCAACATCATCATCTTGAACAATCACATCTTTTTTCAGAATTTTGATTGCATACACTTCTTCGGTGCCTTTTTTCTCAGCCAACATTACCTACAAAAATCACATTTTATTTTCCAAAAAATTCCTTTCCCCCAAAAAAACCCACTTTTCCAAATGATCCTTTTCCCAAAACTTTCATAAAAGTAAAATCATGAATCGAAAGAGTTCCACCACTTGCATTCGCCGATTTCGATCCACTATTTTTCGAGTTTGGTTCATCCTCGCTAATCTTATCCAAATAACCCGAATTCAAGTCAGATGCTGAACATCCAGATATGTCTGTTGATGTTTCTGTCATTATAGATGGCTGAAAATAGAATTGATGTGAGGAATATCAAGTGAAAAAATGAAATATTGTTGAACAGTTTAAAAATTGATATGAGCAAATATTGACTTATCTATTTCAAGATTATTATATCTTTTACCTTTTTCTTCGATTTCACACTCATTTTATCACCAGTTAGACCAAGTTGTGCTAATTCAGCAGCCATTTGTTTAGCATTTATTCCACAATTATTAGCTACATTCCTTTGACATCTACAAAATTAAATATACTTGGGCGAAAAGCTCCTAGAGAAAATCCAAATACCTTTTATGTACATTCAATTTGCAAACAGAACATTGTAATCCTTGATTTATCAAACCATACAACATTGATCCACAATGATCACAAAATGTTGGTCTTTTATAAGAATGAATTGAAAACCTATGCGGCATATTTATATTAAATCGACCAGCACCAGTCTGAAGATTTTTTATAAATTATTATGATAATAATAAGGGGAGTGGGAGGAGCTAATGGTAAGTATTTAAAAATAGAATTGAAAACAATCCCTCGAGCTTTTACTGAAAATTTTAATTGGACTGAAAAAAAAATATTTTTGTTATTTTTATTTTCGGTTATAAATTAATACAGACGCTCTTTTTTCTTTTTGAAAATATATAGAATTTTGAAAAGAAAAAAATTTAAATTGCAGTATTTTAGAGTTCAAAAGTGAAAAAAAAAAACTTAGGGAATACTTTTTTGACCAAGCTATTCTCTTCAAACCCCCAAAAATCAGTATACCTCGCTAATTTCCTTTCCTAATTCTTCAACTGCATCAGCTTTATTACCCGGACATTTCCAGACAACTTCTTCGTGACATCTTTTATGAACAACCACTGTACAAACTGCAAAAAAAGATTATTTATAAGTAAAAACATAGGTCTCTAACTCACTTTGACACTGATATCCTTGTTTACCGATTCCCCAAATAAATTCTTTACAATGTGCACAAAAGGTTGGCTGACGTAGGAAAAGAGCCATGAACTTGTGACCAGTCACCTGTAAATTCATGAGTTATGATAAATTAATCGTAAATATTTTAGTTACCTCATGAATTTTTCGTCTCATAGCTCCTCTTCTTTGTCGATCATTGAATGCATTTGTTCTTTCTTTGAATACACGTTCCTTGTTATGAGAATGATGCATATCTGAAATATTATTCAAATTCAAATCATTTAGCAACTTATCCCACCAAAAAATCCTTTTGAATTCTTTTTTTTAACTTTTTGAGTTGGACCTTCGTAAACCAATAAATCCATTATTATTTAGTAAATTATTAAGAAATGTATAGAAAAGTTTGTCGCCTTATCAAAAAAAAATGAATTGATATGAATTTATGCATTATCTTTTTTTGGAAAAAAATGGTTTTGTGTTACAAAAATCATAGAATCATTGGCACGTGATTTTGAACACGGGTTTCTGATTTTCAAATGTTCTATGATTTTATTGTGAAATTTTAAGCTTGGTTTAAATTTTTAAAATACAGTGTTTTCTTAGCTGAAATCGCTAAGCTCAAACTTTTGAAAACATTTTCTGGTGGATCAAAAATATTTGTCTTTTGAACTCAGTTTTGTCAATTCTAATCCCACCCCTTAACTTGTGCCAGGTTTCAGAAAAAAAACAATTTTTTTTCAAGTTATTTGAAAGTTGCTCAAACCTTCCAGGTTTTTTTTGTTGAAATCCAATTTTCCGCCGTTTTCTAAAAATTCTAAAAATATAACTCTTATATTATCTTTTCATTTTTTCAAAAAAAAAAAAAAACAAATTGAGTTAATTTTCCACTTTCTCATTGTTTTCAAAATGTGCTTTGCTCACTCATATTTCTTAATTTTTCGTCATCAATAAAACAAAAATTTAAATGATTCATTCTAATTCGAAACATTTTGTTATCAATCAAACGCGAAAACTTATGCACTTTTTATGCATACTTTTTATTGCCTATGATGTATAATGTGACAAAACTAACAATATTCGCTTTTCTTGCTTTTTTTCTTTATTTTATTTTTCTAATTTATGACACTTTTTTGAGTGTTCCCTATTTTATATCAGAGGTTTTTCTTTTCTTTTTTTTTGTTCAAAAAATATCTTGAAATAATTTTCAGCCTCAAAATTATATAAAAATATGTAAAGGTATTCAACCGCCTGATCCTTGGGATAAATCAATTCTCAAATATCATGATTTTTCGGAAATTGAGCCTTTGAATTGCTCCAAATCACGAGTTCAACCTGAACTTTCTTATCTCGAAAATGGTTTTTTGTATTTGAATTTGACGGAAAACATTGAATGTTTATATCGAAGTTATGAAAAATCGAAAAAAGACGATGACAAACTAAATTATTCGGAATGGTATTCAATTTCAACAATTCCAATTAAAATTATGGATGAATTTATTGAAATCGAATGTCGAAAAACAACATTTCCTAGATCGAAAATATATTCAAATAATCATTTTCAAATTTTAAAAAAGCCGGAAAATGAGAAATCGGAGGAAATTGGAGAATCTGTTTTGATTATTGTTTTGGATTCAGTTTCACATTCAAATTTTATTCGAAATATGAACAAAACATTAAAGGTTAGTCTGATGAAAAGTTAATTGAAAGAGAACAAAAATGTAGTATAAAAAACGTGACCTTTTTTAATTTCCGAAAAAAGAAATGTGACTTTTTGTTTGGAAAAAAAGGAAGAAAACGAAATGATTTTTGAAATTTGAGAAAATGGGTTACGGTTAAAAATTATTATAAGTTTTTTGGAAAATACAAAAAACTGTGCTAAAAATTGGGATCACATCATTTCTGAAGAAGTTCGCGGCTTCTTGATAACTAGGATCTCTAGGTACTAATCCTTGACATTTGAAATTTCTAGGCTTGGCTGCTTGAGATCGAAGCTCTCAAGCCACGGCTCCTTGCCAGTTCTGTTCTCTAGGCACTGATCCTTGACAACCTTTTTGTGCTTGAAGGACCCAATTGAGTTAAACGTTTTGTGGTCCCATTCAGTATCCCTCTCTAATTTTTGAAACTCATTGAAAATATTTTCAGGTTTTGACAGAAAATTACAAAACTCATATTTTTAATGGAATGACTAAAGTTGGAGATAATTCATTTGAAAATGCAGCTGCTTTTTTTGCAGGTTCGTTTTCTCTTCTTCTAAATTATCTAACTAATTTATTTTTTCAATAGGAAAAAATTCAAGCGAATTTCCAACGAAACATGGATTTTTCGATGAATATCAAATGATTTGGGATATTTATAAAAATCAAGGATTTTCAACATTATATGCTGAAGATTATCCACAATTCAATTTATTCAATTATTTAGCAAAAGGTTTCAAGAAAAAGCCAGTTGATCATTATTTTCGACCATTTTGGTTGAATGTTTATGGTTCGAATATTCATCGACGAAGTCGTTATTTATGTTATGGCAATCAAAAAATGCATCAATTACAAATATCGTATATTTCTCAATTTATAAGTTCATCTAAAAATAGGAAAAAATTGGGAATTGGCTGGTTTACTGAACTCGGTCATGATTGGCTCAATCAAATACGTTTAGGTGATCAAGATTTTTCGCATTTTTTTCGCGAAAATCAAAAAAATCTTGAGAATTATTGGATAATTGTTATGGCTGATCATGGACATCGATTTGATCGAATTAGAAAAACTAAAATTGGAAGAATTGAAGAAAGACTGCCATTTTTCTCAATTTCAGTTCCAAAACAAAAAAGAGGAAGTGATGTTGACAGAATACTTGGAGACAATCAAAATGTATGTTTTTCAATTTCATTTTTAAACATTGATCCAAGGTTTTTTTAGAAACTAGTTTCATTTTGGGATGTTCATAAAACTCTAATAGATTTATCTGGTTTTTCCTCTTCAAAAACAGAATATTCTCGTGGAATATCTCTTCTAACTTCAATACCAGATCGATCGTGTCAACAATCAGATATTCCCGAAGAATTTTGTGTTTGTCAAGATGAGCCCGAATTATCAATCAATTCTCCAACTATTTTATTTTTGGCCGAAAAAATTGTTGAATTTATCAATGAGAAAATTGATCGAACAAAATGTGCCGAAATGAGTTTGTCACAAATTTTGAGTGCAACAATTGTTGAAGAACATCGAAAATATCGAATTGGAATTGAAGTTCGACCAAGTAATGCACAATTTGAAGCAGTTATAGATAAAAATGGAAAAATATTCGGAGATATCAATCGAATTAATAAATATGGAAATCAATCAATTTGCATAAAAGATAATCAATTTTTGAGAAAATTATGTTTTTGTTTACAATTTTTGGTATGAAGCTACTTATTTTGTTCAACTAACCTTCAACATTATTTCCGTGCATTTCAACAATAACATGTAATTGTCCATGTGGTTCTAAATCCACCCAAATATCATTTTTTGCTGATCCAATTTTCAAATCTTCAAATGGTATTCGAGTATTTGCAACAAAATCATCTGGTGGCATTACACAACTATGAAATACAGAGAAACCAATCGCTTTTCCTTGATGAACATCGTTCTGGAATCAGAAGAGATAAAAGTTGGTTTAATTATTCATGACAGAAAATTGGCTTGATCTGCGTGTTTTTTTAAAATTAATCCACAAAAATTTCAATTCTAGAGAACTTTTAGGGCCTAAAAATAGGGAGGACTCAAAACTCACGATCACGCAAAAATAAAAATATTTGACTTATCGATTAATAGACTAATAATAAAATCAAGAAATGACTAAAAATTATTGGACCACGAATAAAAAATGATAAGAAACGTGAACTCATTCATTTTCAAATAAAAACGTGAGCATTGATTTTAATTTTGGAGTGAAATTGTCAATCCGAAATTCAGTGAACCTCGGAAGAGAAAATATGGCCTAGAAAACCAAATATTTCCTAATTTTAGGCCCCCAACAAAAAAATTTCTGATTCACTCATCAGTTTTCCATTTCCAGCCCAATTAACTTACCGCAATAAATTCCTCATTAAATTTTGGTTCATTGGTTTTTGGTCGAATTTGAGTTTTTCCCATCGGATATTCATCCCAATCTACATTTACATACGAATCGATTGCAGCCTATAATTCAAATTCATTTCAAAAATTATTAATTTTTTCAAAAAAAACTCACAGTTGCAGCTTCATTCTGACTAAATCTTCTCGACCATTCCGTCGGTCTTAATTGACGAGCTTCAACTATACGAACACGTAAAGTTCCGGTGAACAACATTTTATTTGTGATGAGATCCTTCTTTTAATTTTGCTTATTTGCCGCTATCTTCTATTTTTATCCGCACATTCGATCAAATAAGTTTCTCTGGAAAAAATGAAACTTTTTTATGTTACATAGATAATACTTTTTTCACCCGAGAGAAATTCAACAAAAGGAACTAATTGACTAAGGAAATTCTTTTTTTCTAAAGAAACAAATCTACAGTAGTCGCTCTGCTCGATAAAAAAGGAACTTTTTCGTATCTATCTCAACTACGATTTTTTTTTGTAATCGGATTATTATTTTCACTTGGAATTGGAATTTTAACAAAAAATCGATATTGTTTCAAAATATAAGAGAAGCAGGAAATGGACTTCGAGAGAAAATCCCTAATTTTTTAAAACCTGACACAATTCGTGAATAATTTTTGAACTACATACATTTTCAAAAATTTTAATTGGAGGCTAGAGATTTTAGCAAGTAAGTTAGACAATTGGGGGACGAAAAATTTCGGAAAGAAATCGAGGAAAAAACTAAAACTATAATAAATATCCTCGATTTGAATGTGATGAAATGCAAGAGAAAAAGAAGAGCATAGTAGTACTAGCATGTGTTAGAATTATGTTCTTCTTCTTCTTCTTTTTCTCCATTTTCTCGATATATTTATGTTTGTCTGTTGTCTCTTCTCAATTCTTCAATCTATCATTTTGTCTCATCCGAGAATGTCGGTGAAATATTGTGTGATGAGATGGAGACGACAGACACACCATTTCTCTCGTCTCTTCTATTTTTTTGAATTAAAAATGAGCAAATTTTCATGTTTTAATTTATCTATTAGAAAAACTCATTCTTTTAAATAGTCACTAGAAAACTTAAATTGTTTTTGGCCAGAAAAAAATATTTTTGAAATAAAATGAAATTTTCGTGAGAATAAGAAAACAAAAAAATAACAATTTCAAAATTTTTTTCGAAAAAAAAAACATTTTTATTGTCGCGGGAAATATTTTGTTTAAAAGAAGAAGAAGAAAAACAAAAACTGGCTCCAAAAAGAGGAGAGCTACAGTAACCCGTTCCAAAAGAACCTTCATTTCGAAAAAGCTTGGCGCTAAAAATAAGAGAGCGAAAAAAAACTAGAAAAAAATGTTGATGTGTGCGGAGGAGGCGCGCAAAAGAGAAAAAGGAAAAAAAGAGTCCGAAAATAGAGAAAGAGCAGACAAACGACGAATTTCAGAACGAGAAGAAGAAGAAGAAGAAGAAGTAGAAGAGGGAGATCGAAACGGGCTCCGTGGGGGGCTGTGCGCAGAAAAAAAAGAAAGAGAAAAGAAGTGAGCACATATAATAAATATAGTTATATATTTTCTCTTTTTCTGTGTTGTTGTTGTTGACACTTTTGGTAGTGGCAAGAAAAAGAAAAAAATACGAGGATTTTTTGTTTTCAAAAAAAAAAGTTTTAGGGAGAAAATGGAATCGAAATATCAAATATTTAATTGACAGCTTTGGGAATTATGAAAAAAAGAATTAAAATTCAAAGAACACATAGAAAATCAGTTGAAGAGAGAAAGAGAAACGGAGAAAATGAGAACATAGATCAAAAAGTTAGGAGAACCTAAATAGGGTTTTTATTTGTAGATCAAAAAGAATGACCTTCTGATCTTATGAAAAAAGGGACGAGATATGCAAATTGAATTTTTTTCAACAAAATCTTTTAACATAAGAAATCATGAAGATTTTACAGTGTGGAAATTTGGAAAAAATCACAGAAACTTTTCGAGTCGGACTCGAAAACTATCTGGTTTTTAGGATGTCTGAATTGGAACAGGCTCAACTTTTTTAAAATTTTTCTTGATCATTTTCAGGCCCATCATTTCGTATTCTCCAACTTTTATCTATTTCTAAATTCAATTTTTGGAAAAAATGACTTTGATTTGTAACTAATAGTGATTATATTCAAAATAATTTTTTCCCTTTCCTGTTTATCAGCAAAAAAAAATACAGTAAGAAGTGCAATCTGATTTTTTAATTGAAAAATCCAAACCTAAAAATATCCAACAATCTCAGTATTTATTTTCAAATGTTCAGGAAATGAGAAAAAACATGTGCACAGCAGAAAGTAGATTTATTATTATATGGAATCGGATTCTAATCCTATCATAAAATTTAGATATTCCGATACGATTTTCTCTAACTAAAAATGTGGAAAATTGGAGAAACGAAAAAGGAGAAATGGAAAAAAAACGAGATGAAGAAGAAGAAGAATTTAACCGAGTGGAATAGGAATATTCAGTAGACAAGTTGATGGCAAAAAAGTGAATAAAATATACATAAGTGAGCAACAACAACACAAAAACAACATTTTTGTCATAGTTGGATGCATTTGAGATTTTTATTATATCTAAATACCACACAATTTTGGTTTTCGTTTGTTTTTGTTTTCAGAACTCTGAATTTGAGCATTGAGAAATATCACATCATCTGATGAGAGCTGGAACTATTTTTAAAGTGGTCCGCTTCAGAAAATTTCAAAAATTTTTGATTCACATCTCTAGAAACTCCGATTTGTCTAGGAATTTTGAGCATTTTTCAGAAGTCATTGAAAAAATTAATTTAGAATTTGAACTTCATGGAATCTTCAAAAATGAACTTGAACACGTCGAATCCTAAAGTGCAAAAAGTTTGGAGGAATGTTTCAAAATATGATTATCAATCCGAAAATATTTATAAGAGCCGTGGAAGAGAAAACCAAAATACAGTAGACTTCGCGGCTGCTTTGATCTTTTGGGAAATATTTGGTTTTCTAGGCCATATGGGTTTCTCTTCCAAGGGAACTAAATTTCGGATTGACAATATAACTCGGGACATTGAAAAAGGTCGAATGAAAATTAATTTCTCATCTTAAAAATCTAGTTTTCCAAAACATAACTTATGTTTTTGAAATTCAAAGAACTGAGGACACAAAACAGAAAGAAAATCTCATATTAATTGGTAAGGGATTTGTGACATTTTATGAATTATTAACTCATTTGCTTTTATCTCTACGGAGTTCTAATAATTTTCCAAAAGTACTAAACTTCATAAAATATTAATGAAAAAGTTTGAACTCAAGAAAAACAAAAAAAAAAATCAATTTCGAAAAAAAGTAAATGAGATGGCGACGGCTTTTCTTTTTTTTTATTTTTCTTCTTCTTCTCAAAATCTGGCTGCTCATTCATTTTTTTTTGCTCGCGCGAGCTCTTTTTCAGCTTTTTCTTTTTTCTTCAGCAAAAAAAGAAGTAGAAGAAGCAAAAAGCTGACAACGACGAAATGGAGAGGGGGTAAAAGAATAAGAGAGGAAAAGAAGAACAAAATGTGGAGCTCTAGGCTCTTCTTCACTTCTTCTTCTTATTCTTATTCTTTTTTTCTTCGTTTATGAGAAAAAATGGATGCAACGATGCGAATAGGGAGAACAACAATAACAACCAACAAAATACATAAAAAACCTGAAAATATACCTGAGAAACTACATATTTATGTATCTGAAAGATGGGTTATGAAAATGGGTAGTCAGAAAATATCATCCAATCGGTTACTGTAGGAAATTGTTGGGAACAAAAGCAAATCTCAGATTTATACAGTGTGCAATTCACTACTGGAAAACGCTAGGTCTCAGATTTGACTAATAAATACTTCTGAAAAACCTTATTCATTATGATTGCTTGATTCTTAGTTTGGAAATTCCTGAAAGAAAGTTCAATTCAAAATTTATAACGTAAATCAAATCTACAAGAAAAAGCTCAGAATTGAATTGAGAAAACACGTCATTATATTTTTTATTTTAAAAAATAATGTTACAAAAAAAGTCTGATTGAGTCAATTTTGAAGCTAATTTGATTCAAATATTTTTACAGAAAATTTAAATATTTATTAATCCGAAAATATAGGGGCCGTGGAAGAGAAAACCAAAATACAGTAGGCTTTGCGGATGCTTTGATCTTTTGGAAAATATTTGGTATTCTAGGCCATATAGGTTCTCAGGTACAGTTCTGATATATTTTTTGAGTTTAATTCGTATAAAATTTTTGAGATCACAAAATAAATTTGAAAACTGAAATTTTTCCAAAAAAAACAACAGTACTCAAAAAAAAGGCCAGAAAAAAATTCACAAGGGTAAAAACAGAATAATGAAAAACCGCTGCTGCAGAAAGAATGCAAACCACGCTCAAAGCTGGAGGGTTGGGCCAAAATGGCAAGGTTCCGCACGCTTTTTATGGGTAGATCAAAAAAATATTGTAAGTCTGAAACACACAAAAAATTTTGAAATTTCAAGATTTTCATACAAACTTATGTTAGTTTTTAAAAATTATTTTGTTGTTACTAGAAAGTTACTAGAAATTCAAAATTTATGAGTTTCAGACACAATTTTAGAAATTTTCTGAAAAATTGTGATTTCTAACACGCAAATTTTTTTTTGATCTACAAGCTGTTGCTGATGGGAGAACGCGGTTTGCATAAACTCATTTATTTTCAATTTTCATACATTTTTTGCTGTTTCTCTTTTTTTCGTTTTCCTCTTTCATCAATTACTTTTTGACATAAAATGCATCTCTTCTCAACTCTTCGACCAGCCAATTCCCATTTCCGTAATAATTTTTTCAATTAATTTTTCAAACATCTTCATATTTATTTATTTATTTATTTATAAGTTAGCCCAACTCAAGTATCTCTATCTTTTTTCTTCGTTTTTTTTCTCCGCCACTTTACTAATTACCTCTTTCTTTTTCTTTTTTTCTCAAATATTTTCGTACCTCAAAATGGACCCAAGGGAAAAAAGTTGCTCGCCTTTTTTCCGCCCGTTTTTCTTTTCTTTTTTCTTTGGAACGAAATTTAATTTTTTTTTCTTTGCTCGCCTTTTTTTGTATATACTATAGTCAGACTTCCTACAATTTTTATCGACTTTATTTATGTTCGCACTTTTTTCTTCTTCGGTTGTTAAATATCTCCACATTCGTCGTCTGGTCACACCATCTGTTCATTCGGTTAAAACAAAAAAAAAAAGAAAAGTAGTTAGTTTATTGTTATTATCTATGATAGATTGTGGTGTCAGGCAGCCATTTGACCTGCTGCTGTTATTTTTTTTTGTTCATCTTGTGACCAGTTACTTATATACTTTTTTCCAAACATCGTATTTTATCGATTTTTCTATAATATTCTTTTTCAGATGGGTAATTCGATTCAGTATATTTGCATTTTACTCTTTTTCATTTTTGGAATTTGTTCCGCATTTACATCAGCTGAAGAAGAAGAGCAAAATTTATTCAGAGTAGGTTTTGGTTTTTTGGTTTTCCAATTTTTCGAAAATGATTTCCATGTTTCTCATTTTGAAGTTCTTTTATATCAGTTATTGACGCTGAAGAAACCCGGAAATCCAAAAAATAAACATTATTGATAAAAAAATAGGTTTACTGTAGATTTTTAGCCAAAACGTTTCTGAACATTTCATAAGTCTTAAGCCTGAATAATTTACGTTTCAAAGTATTTTTATAAGTTTTTTGAAATATTGAAATAGGATTCAACTATAATTCCGAGAAATTACAGTTATATTCCAAGGCTAACAATATCTTTATTTTGGCACAACATTTTGGCGTACTATTTGTAGATAGACCTGAAGGTACTGTAGATTGTTAGTCGATACTTTTTTGATCCATTTATGAGATAATAAATTACCGAATAATTTACGTTTCAAAATTTGTTATTCTAGAAATTTAATTGTAATATTTATTAACAACTCAGAGAAAGTATGGCTTGAACGGCGCGGTCCGCGGACGATTTTTCACCGATTTTTGGGTGAAAATCATTACGCGGATTCCGCGAAAAAAATTTCGCGCACAGCGAAACTTCAGCCAATGAGAGTCTAATTTCGCGCATTCCGCGAAATTTTTTGACTTGGAAATTTGATTTTTTTGCGTTTTTCGCGGATCCGCGGATGGACTCGAGAGGGAGGGTATAAAAAGGATAAATTGTATCGCGTACGCGACAACGACACAGCGTTTTCGCATACAGGTGCATTACGGGCCGTTTTCCACCCGTTTACGGGTACTCAACCCCTCGTGCGCGAGTACACCGACGGGTACACGTTTACAGCTACTACGCGCAAAAAAATAGTACTGGGAAACAGCTGCTTTAGTGGTCGATTTTTGTTTTCCTAGGTTTTCATATATTTCACACTAGTTATAAATAAAAAGTTTATCTCAAAAATATAACGAACGATATTTATAATTAGACGTTTTCCTGAGGTCGGTGGTTGACCAAGTGTTGACGTTGGGAGACTTGGTGTTGTTGTCGGTGAATGGGAGTTCCTGGTGGTAGCATGTTGAATCTGAAATTTTAATAGATTTTTCTTAAATCATGCTATTTTGGGTGTGTGACATTATGGCGTAACTTTTCAAAACTCTAGCGGCTACTTCAGTTGTTTTAGGGTCTATAATTTATCCCATGACACATTTCCTATTTTAAAGCAACACCCTCGTATAATAAGGCCATTGCGGAATGCATTCAAACACGAAAATTTATAAAATTAACCTATCCAGCTATGCTCACAAGCAATATGAAAAAGAAAAACTCAAAAACGATCAAATTTGACCACTTTTGAGAAAAAAAATTATTTTTTTTTGAAAATCGCCTGCAGATTGTGCAGATCCGCAATTTCATGAAATTGTGCAAACACTGTGACGACAATTGTGTGCTACAGTACCCCTTGCAACTTTTTTTCCACAAAAAGTGAATTGTTTCACTGAAAACAATGAAATAATTCATAACAATGATTTCTGAACATCCTTAACTATCTCTACTTTCATTTTTGACAACGATATTTCAGTTTCGTATTGCATATTCTGGTCAAAAACTAAAAAAAACACAATTTCCATTGAAAAATTTAGTTTTCGTCTGAAATATTGAATCTTTGTGTTTATACTTCTCTAATTTATTTTTTTCATACCCCGAAAACAGTTTTTTCCATGCAAATTGTCATTTTCCGAAAAAAACGGAAAAATTTTGAGAAAAAATAAAAAGAAAACCACGAGACTCCGCGTTGACACTAGCCCGCGTTGTTTGAATTTGAGTTTTTTCAATTTTTCAATGGGCTTCCATATTTCGGCTAATACTTATTCAAACGTTTTGAATTTTTTCTCCGAAATAGAAAACAGTAAAACTAAGCTAAATCTAAGATTTGAGAACATTTGGGCTTTTTTCAAGAAAGTGCCTATTATACGAGGGTGTTGCTTTAATTTATCCTATCACTGCGAAAAGTTCAGATTGAGGCCAAATTTCTATGATTTTCAATTGAAAATTGTCAAATTTTTACTTTTTCTAGTTAAAAATCACACTAGCTGCAGAAATTTTAGCGTATTTTGTTCCGAAACAGTTTCTTTAACTCCAAAATCAGTCATGTGATAATAAATTGTTTGTGAATTGTGTCATAGAATAAATTATCGAGCTGTTTTAGAAAAAACCCCGTTTTCACGTCCGGCCACAACAGTTTTGATATAGAAAGACTTACCTCAAAGTTTTTCGACTCCTTTCTTCACCTCACGCCATTGTGTCGATGTTGTTGAATGTGATGTTGCATGAAGAGCTGACCTAAAAGCAAATCATTTTTTTCAAGGTTGGTTATCTGAGGAACTAACCATTCATTTTTTGACGATCTTATCGTTGGAGCAACGCCTCGATGAGCAACGCAGCTGAAAACGTACCATTACAAACATTTATACACGGATAAATATAAAGTAAAGGAAACTAAATGAGATAAGAAAAACATTTTTATGATCCTACAGAGAGAAATTAAAATTATCAGCTGGTTTCCTACATTTTTCCATTTCAATGCGTTGAAATTTTTCTCTAATTCTACACGAAAAGGTCAAGAAACGTCTGAAAATAAGATGGCTTTTATTGTTCAAGCACCAATAATTCGAACTCAGTTATTCATTCATATTTGAGACTATTCCCAAACATATTTCTGATGAAAAAGTGAAAATTTTTTTTGATAGGCCTAAAATCATCGGAAATTGACGATTTTCAATCGTTTTTGGTGGAAATTTTCAGTTTTCCTTCTAGGAAAGTAATTTCCTATACTTTTAGCACAAAAACCTATACTCCTAACTCTAAATACAACACAAAACCACAGCAAAACGAAAAAAAATGAAAAAAAAAACGAAAAAAAAAGAAAAAATGAAAACACACAAACTGTGTATTTCGCCGCGAGACCACACACTAGCGTCTCCGCGTAAATCTACACAGAACACGTTTTTTCTCAATGGACTCCAAATTAAAAACTGAAAACGCAGTTGAGTTGTAAATTGAAAGGCGAACAAAATGATATACAACATCTGTACAAAAAAAATTAATTTACATACATCCAACTCTGGCAAATTCAGCGAGATACTCAAAGTGGGTATAATGAAAAATATATCTAAAAGTGTTTGAAATTGGTACCTGAAGAGCTTTCTATCAACAAAGTTTGTATTTCCATGAACCTCGAGTATCATTATCCTAGTTTCATACTTTTTTCTTCTTATTGAATTTCTCTGTGGGAAGAACCACCCGTTTTTGACCACTAAACCACCACTAAGGCAAAAATAGATGTTTTTATGAGTTTATTGGCTGCAAAGCGGAAATCGGTTGGCAAAATGTAATTATTAACCAATCTGTGGTGTTTTTTGATACTATTCTGCCTTCTGTGGTTTAAAACTTTCACACCCGTTTTGGACCACTACCGTACCACTATTACCAAAAAACGAGGAGCCTGATTTTTTGATTCTCTATCAACTTTTCGCCAGCGAAAAGTGATCTAATATCAATATAAGTATTCCTGAACATATACCAATCTATAAAATCTGATTTTTTCACAACACTATTCCACCACTATCAACACCACTCAACCCACTTTCGCAGTAGTAGTGCGATAGTGGTCGAATAGTAGTGCGTTAGTACCCCTAAACGGGTGGTCGACCCGTAAACCACCCGTTTTCCTATTGTGTGCGAAAACGCTGTGCGAGGATAGCGCAGCAAGGAAGATGGATGACTACAAAACGACAGAATTGGGATCGAGGCCGGGTTGGAACTACAAGTCAATACTAACTTCTGATAATTATCAGGGGTAGTGAAGCATTTTTATATTTCGAGAGTGCATTACGCGGACGTTTCGCTAAAGTTCTTGTGTCAGCCGCGGATTGGCAGATTTCTGGGTTTCGCGAACCGCGCCGTTCAAGCCAGACCTTCTCTGAGAAGATTAGCTCATTAATCAAATTATATTTTCTGTAAAAAATTCGGAATATTTTAAGTCTTAAAGATTACAATATCATTCCTAGGATTACTGTAGATTAGCTTTAGCGCAAACCTTCATAAAAAAAACCTGGCCCTGAATATTTTACGTTTCAAACTATAGCCATTCGATTTTTCCAATCATTGAAATTATTGAATATATCAGTTAAAATACAAATAGGATGTAGATAAATTGAATTCAAAATGTCTTATAAAAATTACGAACAATTCCAGAGTTTGGCCCACAAAGGAATCCATAAACTAAACCGCGAATCGAATGATTTTTACAAATGGGAATTGGATCGAACATGGAATGGAGAAAGAAATCTCAACAATGGAATTCATTACAAAATCAATATCACTCTTGTAAAAACAGATTGTAAAAAACACGAACATAGACATTGTAAGAAAACTGATGTTTTGAAGGTTTGTGCGGTTTTTCTTGCTCAAAAAATAAATATTTTATGATGATTTTTTCAGAAATGTCAAGTTGAAGCAAGTCGTCGAATTGTTGGGGACAATTTAAAAGATTTTTCGAAAATTGTAAATTGTGGAGAACCTTTTACGAAAAATATCACAAGTTTTGAGTAAGTTTATTTTATTTCACGCTGAAAAATAGTTTGAACCAATGTTTTTGCAGTTCACGAAAAATCGAATTAACCAAAGATGATGCGATTACTGTAGAAGATCTTCGCAAAGCTAAAATCATCAAAGCTCGAGATTATGTTATGTGGAACTCTTTTCTTGATTTTGTAGACAGGTAATTTCAAGGTGAAGGGAGAAAAAACATGATTTTTTTATTGAAGACATGGAAAAAAATACGAGAACAAACGACATGTTTTGAAACGATTCCGAATCTTCAAACACAATTCGAAAATTATTCGAGAAATTCAAAAACAAGAACAAGGAACTGCTGTTTATGGAATCACACAATTTTCTGATTTAACAAGTGCAGAATTCAGAAAGGTATCAATTTTTGAGGAAATTTTCAAGATTATTTCATATTTTGCAGATAATGTTACCTTATCAATGGGAACAGCCATTATATCCGATGGAACAAGCAAATTTCACAAAATATGGTGTAAATATCGACTCTCAAGATCTCCCAGATTCATTTGATTGGCGTGAAAAAGGTGCTGTAACAGAAGTGAAAAATCAAGGAAATTGTGGAAGTTGTTGGGCATTTTCAACAACTGGAAATGTTGAAGGAGCCTGGTTTTTGGCCAAAAATAAATTGGTCTCATTATCCGAACAAGAATTGGTTGATTGTGATAGTGTTGATCAAGGTTGTAATGGTGGATTACCAAGTAATGCATATAAGTAAGTTCTAATAAACATAGATGAGTTCGAACCTTAAATTTTGTAAATAGAGAAATAATTCGAATGGGAGGACTTGAACCAGAAGATCAATATCCATATGATGGAAAAGGTGAAACTTGTCATATAGCAAGAGAAGATATTGCTGTTTATATAAATGGATCTGTTGAATTGCCACATGATGAAGTTGAATTGCAAAAATGGCTTGTTACAAAAGGACCTATTTCAATTGGTTAGTTTGGAATTGTGAAAAAATATTGGAACTCGAGAAAAGGTTTGGGTTCAGAATCTGAAAAACTCTGAGAAACAATAAGTAGAAACTAATATCGAAAATTTATTTTCAACAGTAAAACAAATTTTTGAATTTCTCTCATCAGAGAATATTTTTTAAATAACAAGAGATCAAAATTAAAAATACAACAAACTTCGGAATTCCAAAATCAAAAATATTTTAATTAACAACTTTTTGCTTCAATACTATGTAGAATACGATTAATATCAGTTCTCTTAACAATCATTCGTCGATTTGAAGATGAAACCAAAGGGCGACGACGAAGTTGGTATTGATTTTGACATAATCCAACACCACGAAAATATCTGACAAAAAAAATGATAATTTTCTATTCATGAAGTTTTCATAGTGAAACTAACTGTTCAGAAAAATTTGGTTCCGGAAATAATTCATGAGCTGGTTTGACTAAAAAATCGACAGTTGCTTGTTGTATTCCTTTCGCCGCCCATTGAACTAATTTACAAATTCCACAAAAAATCACAATTATGAATGATTCTAAATAGAATTATCATTGTTTTTGAAAATATTTTAGAATTTCTAAAATAACTCACGCTCTTTTCTTTTATTTCCAATATTTCGTCGAGTTGATCGCCAATTATATTGTTGTAAACATAATGGCTTCTTATTTAGGTACCTTGAAAATTTAGGATAGAAACTACTTAGAAAATAGTCCATAGAAAGAGAGAAGAGTTACCGTAATTTAGTCATAGCTTCCATTCCACTATCTCTTCTTCCAATTGATTTTCCAACTGCTCCAGAAGAACTATTTCCTTTTTGTTTTCGGTGATGCATTCGAGATGATCTTAAACATCAGGAATTAGAAATGACGTGGCAATTTTTAGTGCCACGTCGATTTATTTGACAAATTCTAAATGTTCAGAGCTACAGTAATTTTTGCCACGTGGAATTTAAAGGTTCAGTGTTTTCTAAAGTTCAAACAGCAACATTTGTCTGATCTACTAAATTTCATTCCAGAAAAATTTCTGAAAACCTGAATTTTTTTCACAAAAACTAGAATTAAATTTTCACAAGCCAATTTCAACAACGTGACAATTTAAAATAGATTTCGAAAAAATGACAAGAAAAATAAATAAAACTCATATTTTTCTCGAAAAAAAAGTGATGATCTTTTTGCGCACTGATTGTGAGATATCAAAACTTTGAGACAACAAAATGACATGGGTTTCAATATTTGCTTTATGATTTCTTTTTTTTTTCTTGCTTCAAAAAACTAACCTTTGAGAAGAAGAAATGCCTTTCGAATTCATTCGGAACAAATTTTTCGATTGCGAATGAATGAATGATAGGCAACAATTTTCGAATTTAAAAATCTCAAGTGTTTCAACAAATGTTAACCAGTTGTGGTGGGATTTTGTGATTTTTGATGAAATAAAAAAAAACACGTACATTTCTTGTGTAAATATAAAATAAAATGTTTTTCTGATTAGACATGTGGTGCGCAATAAAAATAAAAATACATTTGAAACGTTCGGAATATTTTGAGTTTATTTTTTCCGAGAATTATTGACTTTTTAATGAAACTACGATCATTTTGAGTATATGAACCATGAGATTACTGTAGAGTTGATGCAGTTCGTGGTGGGACCTAATACTGTAATCAATCTACAGTAACTCAGATTCTGAAAACCTCATAAATCTACAGTAACTTGAAAAAATAGGTTACGGTTAAATAGGCATTTTTAAAGAAAACAAAAAAACCTGGTTACTGTAGATCGAAAAAAATTCCGAAACAGAACTTAGATACCACGGTTTTTTAATCTGAGATAACAAGTATTCTGGAGAAAAAAATTGCGCTACAGTACCCTGTCTCCTAAATTTAATTCAAATTCAATTTTTTCACAGGTCTCAACGCAAACACTCTTCAATTTTATCGTCACGGAATTGTCCACCCATTCAAAATCTTCTGCGAACCATTTATGCTAAATCACGGTCTTTTGATTGTTGGCTACGGAAAAGAAGGAAAGAAACCATATTGGATTGTCAAGAATTCCTGGGGACCATCTTGGGGTGAACAAGGATATTTTAGGTGAGTTTGGAATTGATATGAGAATATTGGAAGTTTCAAATATTTTTTACAGATTGTATCGCGGCAAAAATGTTTGTGGTGTTCAAGAATTGGCAACTTCATCGATTGTAAATTAATTTTTTTTAAAAGTTTATCTTATTGTTTTATTTTTCTTAACTTTTCAATAAATTTTGATCTATTTTTTTTCTAGAAAAATCACGTGGCTAATGATGTTCAAGGCAATCAAAAAATAGATCACTCGAATCATTTTGTCGCAATTGAACTCTAGTTTTTATCACCAAAACTATTATTGTTTTATTGCTGTTGTTTTGTCAAATCGATTTTTGAAGATGTATGATTGATAATAATTCCGCACGTTTTCATTCACTATTTATTCATTTCGATTTTTCTTTCAACTTCAATATTTTTTAGAATGAGCCCATCGCCAGTTTTGCTAACAATTAATGATTATCGAAAATATTCGGAGAGAAATTTGATAAAATTGGCGAGAGATTATTATGAATCTGGAGCTGAAAGAGAACAAACATTGAGAAGAAATGAAAAAGCTTTTGAAAAGTGAGTTTGGAGGAAATTAATTGAAAATACCTCACAAAATATATTTTTTCTTGAATATATCTTCTGAAATTATTTTTAAAAAATTAAAAAAAGTTGGTCGCCATGTGGGGTCGAACCCTGGTTTCGCAAAAGCTTGGCAAATGTGCAGACCACTCGGCCACGCATGCGTTTTTTTTTATGTCGAAAATGTTGAATATAAAATGCGCCCTTTCAAAGTTCCGCCAATATTTTTCAGTATTTTGATTCGTCCAAGATGTCTTCGAAGTGTTGAAAATATTGATACGAGTAGTGATTGGTTAAATGGACATAAAATGGAATTTCCGATTGGAATTGCACCAACAGCTTTTCAGAAAATGGCTACAAAGGATGGAGAATTGAGTACTGTAAGAGGTAAATATTCCTTTTTTTCTCAAAAAATCTCATCAATTTTTAAAACAGGATCAGCAGCTGCAAAATCAATAATGATTTGTAGTTCTTGGTCAACAACATCAATCGAAGATATTGGAAAAGAAGCAAAGATCTGTGGAGCAACAATTTGGTTTCAACTCTATGTTTATAAAGATCGAAAAGTGACGGAAGAATTGATTAAAAGAGCTGAAAAAGCTGGAGTTCAAGCATTAGTTTTAACTGTTGATACACCAGTTTTGGGGCGAAGATTAGCTGATACAATTAATGGATTTAGTTTACCGAAACATTTGAAATTCGCCAATTTTGAGAATAATCAACAATCTGCAATGCCGAAAGGAGAAGCTGGAAAAAGTGGATTTATGCAATATGTTAGCTCACAAATTGATCCAAGTTTAGATTGGTCAACATTGAAATGGATTAAATCGTAAGTTTTCATTTTTAGTATTTTTGCTGATGTAAATAATTATTTTTTTTACAGAAAAACAAATCTTCCAGTGATTGTAAAGGGAGTTATGCGAGGAGATGATGCTACATTAGCAATTTCTGCTGGAGTTTCTGGTATAATTGTTTCAAATCATGGTGGAAGACAAATGGATTCAGCTATTGCTACAGTAGGATCATCAATTTTTCCCCAATAATTCAAAATTCCAGATCGAAGCACTTCCCGAAGTTGTTTCAGCTGTTCAAGGAGCAATCCCAGTGTTTTTAGATGGTGGAATTCGAACTGGTCTCGATGTTTTCAAAGCAGTTGCTTTGGGTGCGACTGGTTGTTTTGTTGGAAGACCTATTTTATGGGGATTGGCAGCTTCTGTTGGTTAAATTTTAAATTTTATTGAACCTAATATTTGATAATCATTTCAGGGATCAGCTGGAGTTTCTAGTGTTTTGGGTATTTTACAATCTGAATTCCGTCATTCTTTGCAATTATCTGGAATTCGATCAATCTCGGAACTTCAAAATGATTCACATGTCATTGTTCATTCTTCCAAATTGTGAAATACATATTTATCGTACATTTTTTTTTGTTTTATATACATATGAATATGAAAATAGTTTTTACCGGATCAAATAAAACGTCATTTGAATAATTGTTTTGGGTTTCAAGCAATAAGTGAATATTTAGGCGGGAAGTTTTGGCAATCCAAATTCGTCAACTTCCAAACCTTCGGCGATCTGAAAAATTATGCAAATTTGAAAAATTTTCTGGATAACTATTTAATATTTACGTGAACCCATGACTATTTGAAACATTTATTTTTTATTTCTTGATTTTTATTTTTATGTTTCCGGTTGTCAAAAACGTGAGATTCGGGATTAATTTTTCCTAACTTCCCTAGTAAGAAAATATAAAATTACTCACTCTTTGTTTTGGTTTTTCGCTTGGAACTCCTGGAGCAGCTAAAGCCTCATCCAAATAATTTGTGTCAGTTTCTCCAATATCTAACTCATCTCCCAATGCTGCTAATTCAGCTTCCAAATCAGCTTCATCGATCTGAAATTCAAAAAATTGATTTCGGCTAACTTCAAGATTTTTTACTCACATCTGGTGTATCATATTGTCTGCTCATTGCTTCTTGAATTTCATTATTCATATCAAGCATATCTTCCATTTGATCTTGCAAATCTTCAATTTTATCAATGTTCATTTTCTTGTATTCTTTTTGCATTGTTTTGAGTCCTTCTTTCATTGCAGCAACAGTTACCTAGATTTTATAATTACATTAATTCTCCATGGAGGCAGTATAAAAATATAACTCACTTGATTATCTTTCATTCCTTGAATAGCAAAGTTGCTTTGATCCATATTGAAACATTGTTGATCCAATTGTCCTTTTTGGTTTTCATACATTCTTTTTTGTTTCAAAATACGCAATGCTTTTTGCTTGATCAAGTTCTTGCTTGGACCCTCACGCATTTTTGACATTTGATCTTTCAATTTAAGCAAATCTTGATCTAATTTCTGAATCTTCTTGTCGATGCTGTCGCTTCGAGATTCAACATTCGAGATAGCATTGCTGAGATCTGGTGGAGGTACTTTCTTACCAGTTCCGAAAATTCGATTCATTCTGAAAATAGAAAATTAAATTTAGTGTGAAAAGACAGCAAAATGATTTCGCAAAATATTTATACACGAGTGGGGCGATGATGACTAATCGAATCGATAAGAACATATTTCGCAATTCTCAATTTCTTAAAATAATGAAAATATTACATAAAAATAAATATGTCTGTGAGCTGCGATACAATTTTTAGATTGAACGTTCAATCCAAAATTGTACTGCTTTCTAAAAATATCTGTAAATGTAGAGTACGAGCAAACAAACTAGAAACCAAAAAAAGAAAAATAGTGTCTAACTGTCTGCGTCTCCTCATTTTTAACACACAAGAAATGCAATCGCAACGAGACCCATGAATGTGTGTCGTTCGGTGCGTCGCGGTTGCACAGCGCTGGCGTTTCGTCCGCCTTTTTATCGAAAAAAAAACACTGCGGCCTGCTCGTTTTATGACGTAATCAATTTTTTCTAATTTTTTTTTACAGCTTTCTTCATTTTTCGTTTCTGATTCTTTTTCTTCTTGATATCGAAACTTATTACGAATTTTAAAGTAGTTTGAATGATCATCAAAGATCACTATTGATTATTGATTTTTTTATTTGTTAGGTGATATCGATACGTAAATGGAAATAGTTTGAAAATCACTTTTATATTTTTTCATTCTAACATTTGAATCCTGTTTTTTTCAGCTCGTCACTTGGATCAATTGGAAAATGAGTGATGAAGTCAAACAGAATGAAACAGATCAACAGGAAGATGTGAAAAAAGAAGAGGATACCGATGCTGAAAAGAAAGTGGAGGAACCAAAGGAAGAAGAAGAAGAATCCAGTAGCAGCGAAAAAGTAGTTAAAACTACCGAAAAACAAGAAGAGGAAGAAACTGTTGATAAAAAAGAAGAAAAGAAAAAAGTTGAAAATAGTCCGAAAAAGAAAGAAAAAGCGGATGGAAAAGAAAATGTTCAGCATGAAACTATCACTGAAAAAGACAACACCTTAGATCATATTGAGATCAGACGAGTGAGTTCATTGTGAGCTAGTCAAAAAAGTATTCAAGTTATTTTTAGGATGCTGCTAATCGCGTGAAACTTTATGTGTTATGTGATCAAAGAGTTTGGGAAGATCGGGGTACTGGACATGTTATGTGTGTCAATTCACCGGATGACGATTCACCTACGAATACTTCACCGTATGTTATTATTGCGAGATTAGAAGGACAACGTGAGTAATTTTAGGTTTAAAATCAAATTTGGGAAAGAACTTATAAAATATTGAATATTTAAAAAAACGGTCAAAGAGAAAAATGTTGAATTTTAAGAACAAATTGTATAATATTCAAAATCATCTTCATTTTTATATTAATTGGAGGAAGAATTAATACAGTTTTCAATACTAAAATTTTTGAAGATTTGGGCCATTTAATAATTCTGACGTTGATTTTTTCCTGGTGAATCCTTCTTAGTTTTTAAGCTAATTGTAAAATATTGACAATTTTTAATCAAATGAAATGGATCTTCCCTCGCTTTTTTTTTGAATATTAAATCACAATATCTAAATTTAGCTGCGAAAAAAATCAAAACTTGTTTATTTATTTATTTACGATGAGCGGAAAATACACCGTTAGAGAAAATTAGACACCGAACTAGGTAATATTCAGAAAAAAATTAAATTATTTACTCACAAAAAATGCGCAGAATTTTGACGAATAACATAAAGTTTATAAAAGTATAATTATATTTTCGTATAAAAATTGATTGTTCCAATATTATGTGCCATTTTTTCAATTTTCAATAAATAATCAAACAGCGGTCTTGTATGTTCCTTTGAGACTTATAATTAATTGAAAAACTACCGTATTTTCATCTCGAAAAATTCATCTCGTTTTATAGTTGAAATTAAATAAATTTTGTTCGACCTATAACAATGGCCATTTCTCAAAATAAAAGCCTTTGTTCTATTTTCAATTTTTCAGCCAAAAACATCTTGGAATCTCGGATATTGATGGATACGGTATATCAAAAACAACAGGTTAGTTTTTAATTTTTTAATTCTTAAAAAATAGGGTTAGAACAATTTTTATAGGCAGATAAGTACTCTAGAAATCTGTCTGACTTTTTTGGAAATGTTTATTTTCAAGTCGTCAAAAAAGGAAGAAAAAAAACTACTTTACAATGTTAAAGCTTTTTTGAAAAATGGGTATCAAATCTTAGTTCGTTGTAGGATGGGTTTTCACTGTTTTCATTTGTTTTCTGGTTCAGGCTTTCATTATTTTGAGCTTCAGTTTTTATATTTGAACATTTGAAGTCGCACTTGAACCACACCATCCGTTGTAGGCCAGAGTACAATTTGAAAAAAAAGTCAAACCCATAAAAATGCCCGATCACACCTTCAAAATTTTATTTTATTGCACACTAATCTTTTTCTTAGTATCAAAATTTCAATTTTCGAGATTGAGCTCTGAAAATATGAAATTTGGTTTTTTTTAAATAGTACTCTGAATCACAGGATTGTGGTAGATGATTGTGCACAATTCTCAATCAATTAGCGTACTATTGCGAAAAACTGTAGATTTCCGAAAAAAAACAGTTTCTACGTCGTGAATTTTTCATTCAAATAATTTTTAAAATTTTTCATTTTCGGCGTTTTTTTTCCGAAGAATTTAGGAAGTTAATAAACTCTCCCGTGATTGTGAATGTTCTACTGGCTACTGAAATTCTGTAGATTCGGATTTAATTTGCATGAGAGAATTGAGTTTTTTTTTTATTTTCTAGGAATTATTCGGCTGTATTCCAACACTATTTTCTGCAGTTCGAAACTAGAGGGTTTCAAGTTTTCTCTTTAAAGAATTAAAGGTTATTTCATGACAATCACTCATTCTTTCTGAAATTCTACAGTATACCGAAAAAAGTAATGATTTCAACAAAATATAATAAATGTTATGGAATAATCCTTGCAACCAGCTGACTTGAAAAAAAAACATCTCGGTCGTTCTTTCCTCTTATAATTCTTGCTTTTTGTTGTTCTTTTTGAACTGTCTGCGTCTCTATTCTTCTAGTCCAATGACACATTGAAAACTAACAATTTCATTTTATATATCTATCTATCTTTCTATCGCCCTTTTTTCTTTCTGTTCCAACAACCGAATATTATATTATTCATTTCATTTTCTTCTTTGCCTTTTCTTGTGCCAGCTTGTTCTATTTCTCTCTTCCTCTTTTTCTGTTTAACACATTGTTCCAGTTCGTGTTTGCACTTTATTTTTCTCGTTTCGAAGAAGTTTTCAACTTATTTATAACATTTAAGTTTTCAAAACGAAACGGTTTCCATAGAAATAAGTAACATCATGTGATTAATATAATTAGGGGTTAGCTGTACTTCTTTCAACAAACTTGGTTATTTTACCTCAAAAACATTTTATATAAATTATATTTATGAAGAGTATTTCGAAATCATTCTTTTTTATCAATAAAAAAGTTTCATCGCATTGTGTACATTTCTACCAAAAAGAAAAAAGTTCAAGAATAATTGAGCATACTTTTTTCTTGTCTTTCTTTCTTTTCCTCCTCTTTTTTTTTGAAAGTTTCAACGAAGAAGAGGATTTGCACATTTTCCCTCGAATATTATTAGCTTTTCCTTGAAGCTTGGTTAATTTTGTTTTGTTTCTCCGTTTCTTTTTCCATTTCTTCCAAAAGCAGAAAAATTGTATATATTGATTTGTTTCGTGTTTTTTGTGCCTCTTCCTTTTTTCTCGTTCACAAGAGTGTGTTTTATTTTTGTTTGTCTGACATTGAGGAGTTGTTGTTTACTCGAAAAGATGGAGCTGCCTCCTTTTTTTCAGCAGAAAAGCAGATTTTTTTTCGTTTCTATTTTTCATTTCAATTTTGTGGTTTGAAAACATTTTTTTGTGGCGGCCAGAGAATTTTTCCTCCCTTTTTTCTCGAGGAAAGTAGTATGATAAGAAAAATGTAGAAATTGTTATTTGATAATTCCTAATCCCTCTATTGAAACCTCATAGAAGATTAGGACTCTCTGAAATTCTAGTTACTCTTTCTATCGTCTTATATTATTGATCTTTTCTCACTATTTTTTCTATAGAATGGATGAACCTTCAACTTCGGAATCGTCGTCTTCTTCTTCTTCTCAGAGCGAAAGCGCTTTTTATTTTTATGGGAATTTTAGTCGATTTGATAAGGTGAAAAAAAGAAAAATGTTTAACAAGAAACGAGGAATTTTTGTCACCTGGTTGAAAAAAAAATGTTCAAGGTTTTTTTTTGAAATCTATATATATTTTTTTTTAGGAGACATTGATTGTTTGGTCTGAAACTGATGTGATGGATTTGGCATTATCATTTCAAGAAAAGAATGGATGTGAAGAATTATGGACGAAAATCTGTGAAGTTCAAGGACGTGATCCAGGAGATTCAGATGCGAATTATGATGATGGAGAAGATTCAGATGTTGGAGAATTGACAAGTTCGACAAGTCGAATGCAAATACCACCAATTGAAGTTGGAAGATTGAGCGAAATTGATGCTGTAATTCATATGCATTTATCAACAAGTGCTGGAAGAGAAAGAATGGCTAGCACTATTGAAAATGATAAGTAAGTTTTTGAAAAACTTTGATGATATCTAAAATTCTGTGATTTTCAGCATTCTACCAAGTTTGTGTGAAGTATTTCAAATGTGCGAAGATATTGAATATACTGAAGGACTTCGAACATTTTATTCGATTGCCAAAAATTTGTTCATGTTGAACAGAACTAGTATGATTGAATTATTGTTGGATGACAAACATATTCGAGATGTTATTGGAATGTTTGAATTCGATCCTGCTTATAAAAATCCAAGAAAACATCGAGATTTTGTATATGACAAAGCACGGTTTAGAGAAGTTTTGCATATTTCGAGTGATGAACTAAAGTATGTATTTTATTTTCTCCATTTTCACAAATTTCACAAATCAATTTTGGTTTTTTTCAGAGAAAAGATTCACAAACTCTACCGTGCTCAATATATTCAAGATGCATGTTTGCCAAGTCTTGGGCTTTTCGAGGAAAATCTCCTATCAACTCTCAATAGTCATATTTTCTTCTCACGAGTTGATATTGTGACTGGAATTCAGAGGGATAAAAGAGCGATGCGTGAATTGTTTGGAAATTTGAAATCAAATGATTGTGAACCGAAAAAACGACGAGATTTAGCATTATTCCTCAAAGAAATGATAAATTTGAGTCAGAATTTGCCGGCGACTGGAGGACAAAGCAAAGATAATTTCTTCAAAAATTTGTTGGCAAGTGATATTTTGGATGGAGTTGAGCCTTGTATGAGATCAAAAGATGTTGAAACACGATCTACTATGGTTGAAATTTTGAAATCATTAGTTGAACACAATGCACAAACAATTCGAGATTTTCTGTTGAAACAAGCAAGAGATCAAGAAGATGAAGATGTTCTATTAAATCGATTGATTACACATATGTTAACGGATGAAGATCCTCATTTGACAAGTGGAACTGAAGTTATAATGGTATGTTGAATTCTTTTGAAAATTCGAAATAATAACTTATTTTCAGATAATGAAAACTTTGTTGGATCCTGATAATATGACAAGTATTAAAACAGAAAGAAGTGAATTTCTTCAATTGTTTTATCATCGATGTATTCATACTTTACTCAAACCACTTTTGGAAAATGTTAGCGGTGGAATTATCAAAAAAGATGATTATACAACTGCAAATCGTGAATCAATAATGGTTCGATTATTGTCATTTTGCATCGAACATCATTCATTTTCAATGAGACAACATTGTATTTCAACTGATTTATTGAACAAAATACTTGTTTTACTCAAATCAAAACATAGATTCTTGGCATTATGTAAGTTGAAATTATATTTCATTTCAAATGTCATTAAATAATTATAGATTCGCTCAAATTATTGCAACGCGTGGTTTCTGTAAAAGATGATTATTATGTTCGATATATTGTACGAGAAAAAGTATTGGATGCTGTTATTGAATGTTTCAAATCAAATGGCTCAAGATATAATGTTATCAATTCTGCAATTCTTCATTTATTCGATTTCATTCGATCTGTAAGTTTCATCATAAAATAAAAAGAAGTTTTTTATCTTCATAATATTTTTCAGGAAGATGTTCGTCCGCTGATCAAATATATTGTTGAAAATCATGGAGATGTGGTGGAAAGTGTTCAATATGTGAAAACATTTATGGAAATAAAAATAAGATATGATCAACATCGAGATCGAGAAGAAACAATGAGTATTAGATCAGAAGATAATTCGATGGCAAGTCCAAGAAGTTTGAAAAAAGAAAGACAAGAAGAACAATGGTTTGATGAAGATGATGAACTTGAAGTTGGAACAATGCTTGAATCAATTGAAAAAGATGTTACAACAAATGTTGCTGGCGGAGATTCATCAAATAATAAGAAAAAAGACGAGCAAAATAGTCCACGAAAAACTGGAATTGAGCCAATGTTTCCGTCAATTATGATGAAACGAAAAAATGCAATCGATAATGATGATGAAGCACCTGTATTTGGAGGCGGATCAGCGGCTGTTTTAACAACTTCGGATAATCAGAAAAAGATTGTTATAAAAGTTGCGTCAGATCGATCACCTTCAAGAACTCCAAGTCCAGCATCATCTCCACGTGCTTCACCTGGACCATCGAGAGAAGATGAAGTTACCTCATCTCAAAATAATAGCAAAGAAAATAGTCCAAGTCCTGCTCCAACTGTTAAGGTAAGATTTTTTGAAACTTGGGGAAAGGGTTGAAAAAAAGTAGAATCTTTTTTAATTAAGAAAATCACGATTTCTCAAAAAAAAAATCGGTTTCTAAAATGTGTTTATTTTTCAGTCGCTGGTCGATTACGATGAGTCGGATTCGGATGAAGAAGCATCACCAGATGCAGTTCCATCTTCTTCAACCGGTTCACCAGATTCGGAAAAAGATGGAAGTATTTCAAATATGGACAATAATGAAGAGATTATTGAAAATGGAACAACATCACCGGCGCTTCAACCAAATTCGCCACAAAAAACACCAAAGAAACACTCGCCGGATTATGTTTCTTCAACATCTTGCGAAATGGTTTCACAAAGTCCAAATCGAAAACGTGTGTCAAATGGAGAAAATACGATCGAAGTGAAAAGGAGTCGAGTTGTAGAAGTAGAAGAGCAAAAAGAAGACCAACAACAAACATCTGAAAATTCATCAACTTCTGTTTGAATCATTTTTTGATGTCTTTGTTTTTTCAAATCTACCTACCTCATGTGCTCTTTTTGTTTCACTCCTGTGCCTATTTTTTCGGTGAAATTTGGACTTTTCTGTGTGTTTTCCCGGGTTTCTATTCATTTTTCTTTTCATTTTCTGCCCATTTTATCCTCTTGTAAAATATTCCTTCAAACAAATTCTGTTTTTGGTTCGAAATGTTGAGAATCGTTCTCAGAATCTGTAAACTTTGAAGATCTCGATTTATGAAAATTCTATTCCCCCCGTTGTCTTTTTTTGTTGTGTAATCCTATATTCTCAACAATGTTTTCATTTTATTCCTTTTTCTATTTTTATAAATATAATTTTATATCAAAACTTTATGTGTCTAAAAACTGAACAAGAGATTTACAAACAAGCCCAAGTATTTCCAATTGGTGGGAATGATTTTGCTTTATCCAAGGCTAACAAACTGTTCAATTCTTCTTGTGTCAATGGAATTGAAATTGTCTGCAAAAATATATTTTTGCCCATATATTTTTCATCGAAAATAACTCACTGTATGCAAATTATCGTGAATTCTACTCGGTGTCGCTGATTTTGGAATAATTGAGAAGTTGTTCAAATAACCGAAAGCATATAAAATTGCCTGAACACTAACATTATATTTTTGTGCCAATTGAACAACGACTGGTTCTTGAAGGATTTCTTGATCACCCCAACACAAAGATGAATATGCTTGAACTACAATATTGTTGAGTTCGGCGAATTTGCGAAGTGTTGGACGAGTCAAATATGGTTGATATTCATATTGATCGACAACTGGACGATGTTTGGCAAATGAGAAGAGTTCGACTAAATGGTAGACTTCGAAGTTTGAAACTCCAATTGATCGAACTTTTCCTTGGTCTGGAATTTAATTAATTATTTTTAAATTCAGAAATTTGGGGGTTTTGAATAGAATATTGTGCATTTTACTTCCCAAAAATCTCTAGATCTCAAACTTTTTCTGGTAGATCAAAAATATTTTTCTCTAAAAATCTCACTCAGAATATGCGGGGAAATTTTTTTTTAAAATTAAAGCTAGGCCAAAAATGAATTTGACTATGGTCCAAAGAAAGTTCCTGAATCGGACCATTTTTTTTTCATATTCCTCGAATTTGGCCCGATCATACCATATTCTGAACCTGAAATTACAGATAGAAATCTACGTTCAGTAGTGATTTCAGGGTTTTTTCGTAGCACAATCCCTGAACGAAAAATTTTGGTAAATTAGAAATGTAACTACAGTAACCTGAGCTATCATTTTCTACAGTAATCCTAGAATGATCTACAGTGACCCAATGCTAACATTTTGGCGTACAAAAAAAAATTTTTCAGTAAAATTTGATCTATCACTTCTATGAATTCGGCCCCTGGTCAGATTCCTCTGAAAAACCAACCTTTTGCGTTTTCCAAACATTGCCAAACAGTTTTTCTTCCTTTTTGATTTTTCTCGAATTCGCCATCTTTTCCAGTATCTCGATCTCTTGGATAATGAACCAAAAGAAGATCGATGTAACTAAACAAATATGTTGATTCATTTTTTGAGTTAGGAAAACTTACTCGGTTTGAAGTTTTTCCAATGATCCATTGAATTGTTTTTCAGTTTCTTCCCATGTATTTTCATTCAATGTTCGAACTTTGGTTGTGATGAAAACGTCAGCACGAGTGAGGCCGAATTTTGGAAGGAATTTCTGGAAAATACACTTTTTTGTCTGAAAATTATTGTGAGCTACAGTAACCCATGTGGCACACAAACCTTTAGCGAATTTCCCAAATAATCCTCATTTTTATATAAATTTGCTGTGTCAAATAATCTGTATCCTGATTTCAAAGCAGCTTCAACTGCAATATCTAATGCTTCTTGAGTTGGAATTCTTGAAATTCCGAGTCCGACACGTGGAATTACATAACCATCGTGCAACTTGAAAACACCACCGACAGCATCAGAAACTGGCATTTTTCTGAAATTTATTTTTGAGAAAAAAAATTAATTATGATTAAGCAAAATTCAATTTATATCAATTTCAGATAAGAAAGAAAATGAATTGAAAAAGTGGAAAATGTGTCTTTTAATAGTGAAAAAGAGACACAGATAATCAGATGGTTTGATGATCGCATCAAAGTTCTTTTTTCTATACAATTAGAGAAATATATTATTGAAATCGAAGAGAAATAGAGAGAAAAAGGAAATGTGACTGTATTTGATTTTTTTTTGAATTTAGAAAAGAAAAGAGAAATAGGTTGTAAAAGTTCTTGATCTTTTTTATCGAATTGAAATTTTGAGAATGAATCATTAAAACAAGTGAGGATCGAATTGGAATCATTTTTTTCAAAGTATTTTAAGAGGGATGGGAGTTTTCGAAATCAAATTTTTGATTCTTTTTGAACCCAAAGCGATAAAATTGGAGATAAAAAGAGACGAAGACACATGGAGAGACACAAAATAACGTGACGAGAAAATTATCTTACAAAATGTATTTACTTTGGCGAATTGTCAAGGGGGAAATTTTTTTTTGAAATTTGTCGAAATTTTTTTTTAAAAAAAAGTTTGTTCGACTTGAATTGTTCAAAATTTTCGAATTTTCAAAAAAAAAAAATTATTTTATTTTCGAAAAAACGTGAATCATTTTTTTCCCGAATTCATTTCCAAAAATAACAATCATTTTTCAGGAAAAAATGTGCGACTCTGAAAAAAAATTTGAAATAATAAAAAATTCAATAAATCTACCGTATTTCATCAAAGGAACATGATATCTTCTCTGTGTGGTCTCGTCACGTGAGCCCGCGAAAATTTGTATTTTCGTTTTTCTCGAAAATTTTTTCTTTGCGGAAAAATTTCGAAAAAGCAGTTTCATTCGTCTGTGCTGAGCTGTGATGAATTCCAAGAAGTCCAAGCAAAACCCGAATTTTTCGTTTTGCCCAGAGTTGCCGAAATGCAAAGAACCAAGGCATTGCTGCAGTTTGTTCAGCACAACGGTAAGTTTTGAGAAGTTTTGAATTTTGAATTACAGTTGTAAATTTTCAGACTATTTTCATCATATTATCAATATTGCATGTTATTTGCACGATTCCTCTTATTGTTGTTTCGATGTTCGAAAAGAATGAGGTAAGAATTATCCGTTCAGGAGGTTTTTTGTTAAACAATACGTTTTCAGGATTTGAAAGAGTTTGGTGCGATTGGATTGATTCTACTATCAGCATTTCTTGTATTCACATTCATCTCAACCTATGGAATCATTTCACAAAAACCTTGTTTCATAATACCTCATTTTGTTTTTATCGTAAGTTGCAAACTTTTCCGAGATTTTCAAAAAATCACATTTTTTCCAGATCCTCTTGATTTTCTTGATAATTTCTCTTTCAATTGCTGTCAATATTATTTATGCTAATATTTCCATTCAAGAAAGTTGGCCTTTATGGATGATTGTTGGAATTATCGTATTTGTCATGAGTTATTATGCATACATTGTATTTTCACTTTACAAATTCGTGAAGAACAAAAAAGAAACTGAACAATTTATCAGAAATCAGAATATGTTTGATGATGTTTGTCGAGAAATGCTTGAAGAAGATGAAATGTTAGAAAGGACACAAATGGGATATTTTGAAGACGCGTGAGTTTTTGAATATTGATTTATGTATTTACTTATAAGTAATAATGATCATTATTTTTCAGACAATATTCATATGAATATTATGAATCATTTTGCTCAAGTGAAAGTGCATCTCTACCAATCACAACATTTCATCGTTCTTTTCACCCACGTGTTACTTTCTACGATCCGGAGGAACCGTCTCTTTGAATAATTTTCGTCTACTAGTTTTATCTTGTTGAATAGCTAATCTATTATCGAATCCCGTGTTGAATAAATTAATATTTACTTTTTTCTGTCAATTAATTTGAAGATGTTGATTTGCATCGTTATGAGTACTGTGTCTATTATTTTTGTCTGCAATTTCTGCAAACACCACAGGGTACTGTAGATAATGCACACAATTTGACGCCAATATATTTTCGTTTTTTACGCAAATTCTGCTCTGAAATTTCACTGTATTTTTTTTTTTGCAATTCGAGGGAGACGCAGACTTTAACGTGTGCAGACAAATCTCTCGTCAAGAAAGGGAGAGAAATAGTGTGTGGCAGACACACATCGTGTCGAGACCAGCGAGTGTCTGCGTCTCCTCGAAATTGCATTTTTCTATTAGAAAAAAACACAGTGATTTGTTTGTTTTCGTATTCTTACGTGACTTCTTCGATTCCAAATTCATTTCCAGTATTTATAAATATGTTTCACTATATTTCTCGAAAACAAGGTCAGTTTTTTGTAAAATATAACTTCTCAGTTATTGTATTTCTAACTTGATTCAAAATATACAACCCAAAGTTTCCCTTTTTCTTCCCATTTTCGGATTAATAAAGTATTCGTAGTTTCTCGTTTCTTCTTTTTTTGTTTGTTTTTCATAGAAAAATGAGTCACTGAAGCAAGTGTGCTCTATCGCACTACATGTTCATTGCCTGCGTCTCCTCACTTTTTGAACATTTTTGTGATTTTTAAGCTTGAAAAAACAAGAATTATTGCTGAAATTTAGTGAATTACTGTTATAACTCTATTCAGGTTTACCCATTTTTACTTTTACTCATAGGAATTCACATTTTTCGCTCTTTTTGCTCGTTTATAAAGCACAGAAAGTGTTTCGACATATTTGTTTCCATTTTTGAATTTTCAGAAAAATGGATTCACAAGGAAGAAAAGTGATTGTTGTGGATAATGGAACCGGGTTTGTCAAATGTGGGTATGCAGGAACCAATTTTCCCGCTCATATTTTCCCTTCAATGGTTGGTCGACCAATTGTAAGAAGTACTCAAAAAGTCGGGAATATTGAAATAAAGGTAACCGTTAATTTAGATATAGGATTTATTGAAACACCAATAATATTTCAGGATTTGATGGTTGGTGAAGAATGTTCTCAACTTCGTCAAATGCTTGATATAAATTATCCAATGGACAATGGAATTGTTAGAAATTGGGATGATATGGGACATGTTTGGGATCATACATTTGGCCCCGAAAAATTGGATATTGATCCAAAGGATTGCAAATTATTGCTAACTGAACCTCCATTGAATCCAAATAGTAATCGCGAGAAAATGTTCCAAGTTATGTTCGAACAATATGGATTCAATTCGATATATGTTGCTGTTCAGGTAAAATTCATTTGAATTGTTCAGTTTTAATATATATTTTACAGGCTGTTCTTACTTTGTATGCTCAAGGATTGTTAACTGGTGTAGTTGTTGATTCGGGTGATGGTGTAACTCATATTTGCCCGGTTTATGAAGGTTTTGCTCTTCATCATTTAACAAGACGATTGGATATTGCTGGAAGAGATATTACAAAATATTTGATCAAGGTAAAAATTTAAAAGATTGTGTTGATTAATGCATTTTTTGTTCAGCTTCTTCTTCAACGTGGATACAATTTCAATCATTCAGCTGATTTTGAAACTGTTCGACAAATGAAAGAAAAATTGTGTTATATTGCGTATGATGTTGAGCAAGAAGAAAAATTGGCTCTCGAAACTACTGTTTTATCACAACAGTATACGGTGAGTTGTTAAAAAGCTAGACAACTCTTTCGGTTGACTGAGATCATCCAGAAGGTCTCAGAAGTTACCACATAATTTTCCTGAATAAATTCGATTTTTCAGCTTCCGGATGGTCGTGTTATCCGATTAGGTGGAGAACGATTCGAAGCGCCAGAAATTCTTTTCCAACCTCATTTGATAAATGTCGAAAAAGCTGGATTATCTGAATTGCTTTTCGGATGTATACAAGCAAGTGATATTGGTAAGAATTATTGATTTCTTAGCATAATAGACTCAACAATACAGGGTGGCCGTTAATTACCCGCACAAATGCAATCTGGTCCCAAGTTTGAACAGTAAATGTAGATATGATTTCTGGTTTCAAAAATTATTCCCAGATATTGTGTTCATCATTTTAACATAGAATCTTGTCATATAATTCGGTCTAAGGGTAGCTGGAATATCGGGAATGAATTTCAGAACTTCGCATCAGGCACGCTGCTTTTTCTGAATTAATCGAGCTTTCTGTACCCATAGGGAGTTTCAAATTATATGTTACCGGTTCAGAATTTCAAGATAACCCCTAGACATGCTTGATTCTTGATGGAAATGATATACAAAATTTTTGGAACAAGAATAAGGAACAGTGAAGTGAACCCTTCAAAACGGATTTTTCAACTCAAAAACTCAATTTTTATCATTTATCATGTTCACCATCGTGGTGTGAGATAAATCCATGGTATTTTCGATGTTAAATGTCACTAGTAGGCTCGGTTTGGCTATGCAGATCTCACATTTCCCACACTTTGTAACATTTTCCATTTTGACCTCGTTTTATGAAATTTCTATCAAAAAACGGTCAATTTTAAAAACACGACCAGAAATGATCTAAATAATTTTTCAGAAGGTCTAATCTCGATAAATTTCTTTTTTGATACCAAAAAAACATCATTAAATTCTGCTATTATTCTAAAAGTTCCGAAATTGTTTCAAATTTATCACGCGAAGTATGAAAATCACTCGAAAAAAAAAGTAGCGTGCAAAAAATCTTGTTTTTGCGTTTCATACTGTCACGAAGAACCGCTCTAACTCGGCTCAAACATGAAAAATCACTATGACACTTCGATTATTTACTTTAAAACAGGTAAAACTAAATAATTATAATTACGGTTACAAGTTTGGGACGTTTTGATAAGAATCTGAGCTGGTTCAACAAAAATTTGGCTTGTGCGGGTAATTAACGGCCACCCTGTATTGATTTTCAGACACTCGTCTCGATTTCTACAAACACATTGTTCTATCCGGCGGTACTACAATGTATCCAGGACTTCCAAGTCGTTTAGAAAAGGAATTGAAACAATTGTATTTGGATCGAGTTTTACATGGAAACACTGATGCATTCCAGGTATTATAGATAGAGTTTTTTCAAAATGATATCAGAATTTGAATATTTTCTAGAAATTCAAAATCCGAATCGAAGCTCCTCCAAGCCGTAAACATATGGTGTTTTTGGGTGGTGCTGTTTTGGCGAATTTGATGAAAGATCGTGACCAAGATTTTTGGGTTTCGAAAAAAGATTATGAAGAAGGAGGAATTGCGAGATGTATGGCTAAATTAGGAATCAAAGCGTAAAAAATGGATAAACTTCGGTATGTTGTTTTTTTTCACATTTCAAAATTCGAATATCAAAAAGATCCGTTTCACGGGAGGAAGATCTTAACTGTTTCTCAATATTTTCCATGTTTTTCAAAGTAATTTTATAAATTAATATTAATTCTCCGAATAATTAGGCTATGTTGAAGTTCTGTTTCTCTTCACAAATAAAGTGTCATTCTCAGAATTCCAAAAAATTTCCTGGTTGGCTGATCAAAAACTTGTTTTTTGTCATAGTTCCATTTCCAGGATACAAAAAAGTTTTGGTTTGACATTTTTTTCAATTTGAACAAATATTCAACTCTCTCCAAACATTTAACTCCTGTCTTTTATGAAAATTTGACAAAAAAAAATCGAATTTTAATGGCTCTCCTCCTAAAATACTATTGGAGTATGATTTCCAGAATTTTCGAGCCCATATGTTTTTGAATAGTTTTATTTATTTGTTTACATTCTGTCTATTTTATTCGAGTTCATCCAGTTACTTTTTCTGAATTGGAAAAAAAGTTTTGTGAGAAGAAGATTGATCATGTTTCAAATTGTCAGAACAACTGTTTTCAGATTTTTCATTGAATCCAAACTGAAACATTAATTTTTTTTCATATCTCCAGAACTTTTTGAAGTGTTTATAATGATTCAAAGAATTTAATCAGTATATTTCAGATTGCACTCACTTCCCAATTTATTTATTGCTCGAAAAAATCTATTAATGTGCTTTATTATCATTTTTGTTTTGTTTTTTGACATTTCATTTTGTAAGTGTAAATAATTCAATACTTTTTTATTTCTTTAAATTCACTTATTTTTTCTATCCAAATCTAAATAAATAATTTGATGATGATATGACCCGGTTATCCTTTTTATCTTTCTACCCTTCATTTTTTTTGCCTATTTATCATTTTTTGTTTCCTTTTATCTTTTTTTTTATTTATTGTTTGTTTTAAGACTTTAAGGTTGGGTGAAATTCCCTACGCTATTTCGTTTTTCAGAATAATTTATCAGGAATTGTCACTTCAAAATCAAATTCAAAAACTTTGTGTCGGAATTTTTTTTATTTGTTGATTGGAAATCAATTTTTTTGAATTCCGTTCTGAAACACTTATTAAAAAATTTTCAGTTTAACTTACAGTACCCGAACATTAATTTGTTTCCTCGGAGAAGAAAAAAACCAATTTCGCCTAGTTTTTGTTCTTAAATGAGACTCATTGAAAAAGTTGTAAGTTCTAATTTCGTTTCGTTTCCCTCTTATTGTTTTTCTCATTTCTGAAAACAAAAGTAAAAGTGACCGAAACATTTTGTTGTTTTTTTTTGTCTTCTTCTTGTGAGGCCCCCGAAAAAAGCGATGAAAAGACGACAGAAAACGGGCCAATAAAAATTTGGGTGATTTATTTGAGAAATTCTACACAACACATTTAACTGTTTTTTTCTGTCATTCTTGCAATTATTTTTTGTGTCTTCTTTGATTAGTTTTATTTTATTGGGTGCCTTATTGAAAGCCCATTTAGCTTAACACATTCTTTGAATATTTTTAAAATTAAGTGAATGGTGTACTGTAGATTTCAATATCTGCAAACACCATCCGAAAAAAATTATTCACGTTTTTTTTTCTGAAAAAAAAACATTTCACGTTTTTGTTATTTTCAAAAATTGTTCATTTCTGAAAAACAATCAAAATTGAACTGCTTTTTATCTTTGAATTTGGATTTGGATTCATTTTTGATCTATTCTTATTTTCCGTGAGTTTGTTACAATGTTTCTGGATTTTTGGAAGCTTAGAACTTCACAGCGAGTATTTTACTACCCGAAATTTTTTTTAGAGACCTGACACTATTTTAAGGCTGGGACTAAAGTCAACGCGAAAGTGAGAGATTTAGAGAAAAATATTTTTGATCTACTAGAAAATAACTCGCTCAAAAATTATTCTTTGGAAAATTTGCTTTTAGGCTAAAAATTGAAGTTTTCTACGACATTGTACGATATTTCTAAATCGTTGTTCAGGCTCATCTATTTTTGGAAATGTCATTATTAGCTCATCATTTAAAAAAAGTCTCGGAAAAATTCTATAAAGAGCTTTTTTATTTGAAAATGAATTATATTTTCTCTACAAACATTTTGATTTTATTTCAAAAATTACAAAACTTTTTGAGTCCGCAAATCTCTAATGTTTATTTTTTTCCTAAATTTCTCCAAAAAATACTATTTTTATCCGGTCTAGAGAAAAAGAATATTCCAAACATCTGGCATGTGTGAAATATTCATCGTATTCCAAAAAAAAAACACAGTACAACAACATAATTTCGTTTTCTTTCTAATCGTTTAGAGATTCATTGAAATGTAACAAATTCAGTATTTTTCTTATTGAAATTGAATTTACTACGCAGTCATTTTTTTCCAAACATTTTTTGCATTTATTATTATTGATATTATTTTCAGTGTTCTTTTCAATTCCTACTGATAACAAAATCGTCTTTTTGTTCGAAAAAAAGACTTGCTCTTCTCTTTTGAATGACACTTTTAGGGTTTTAATGTTGTTTTAAGATACTTATTTATGGTTTCGATTTTTGTTCGGCAATTTTCAACAGGTTGTTGAGAGACAAAGTGCAAATATTTTTGAATAAAATTCAAAAAAAGGTTCCCATAGGTTGCCCATTCCATAAATAGTAATGGTTTGCAGTTTCACACATTCAAAAACTCATAAAACAGGGTTTATAAATGCATGGAATTGTTTCAAAACTAACCATTATACTATGTATTCTATAAGTACATACACTCTCCTTTTTACTTGTAAATATTCGCGCCCCTCGTTTTTTTCAGGAGCTTCCTTTAGATCTCTACGTCTCTTTTTTGAATGTTCTTTTAAAAGTAAATAGAGCAGCTTACAGTTTTTGGCTCAATTTCTCGAGACGCGCGACGCCGAAGAGGGCGGGGTTTTGGGAGAAAAAGAAGCTGGCGAAACACAAAACGCGTTTTTTCGGACATATTTTCTATGTATATCAAATATTCCGTATTTTAATTTTAAAATTTTTCTTCTCAAATATTTTTAATATTGTTTTTTTTTGTAGAATCGAGAAATGCGCTAAATCAATAAAGAATGATGTCAAATTTGGTTATAATTTTTCTTCTTGTTTTTTGGTGTATGATTTCAACAGCAACTGCAATATCCACAAATCAATCATGTGCAGATAAATGTGAACCGGAAAAATGTGCAAAATTGGTTGATGATTGCAAAAAAACTGTTTTGGATCCTTGTCAATGCTGCAATGTTTGTGTTAGTCAAGTTGGTGAAAGTTGCGGTAATCCTGGACAAGTTTGTGATAACAAATTGCAATGTCGACAAAAGGATCCGATGAATGAAACTGGTATTTGTGAAGGTTAGTTTTTTGGGGGAGGTGGCGGGATTTCTTTATTCAAATTTTTTTAATGTTTGGAAAAAACAGGAAAAAAGTTTCAACAAAAACCCATTATTCCTTGATTTTTTTTCCCATCCAAAAATCCATAATAAGAATAATATATTTCTAATGTTTCTCTCGTCCGAATCATCCATCCATCCATCCTGCTGGCGCCTACGAGTAAAGTAAATAAAAGGAAAAAAGCGAAACGAAATTGTATATTTTGGTGTGCTTTTCCTGTGAAGCGAGCAAAGGTTTAGAGACTGACTGCGCAAATGCTCAACTTCTTCTTTCATTTTTTGCCTCGTTTCCGATATGCGTGTCGAATTGAGAGTAGGAAAAAAAAACGAGAGAATCGTATCGGATTTCATTCTTTAATGCAAAACAATGAAGTCACAAAGGGTCAAACATCGATGGAATGAATTCTCATTAAAAACATGATGAATACACAAATATTACAGTCTTTTTTGTAATACAAAGTTAGATATGATTGAAATTAATTTTCGAAACCTAAAAAAAAGTTTTTTTTTTCAATTTAGATAGAAACAGTAGTTTATTCAATGAGAAATTATGGCTCCAAATTTTCAAAAACAAAAATCTAATTCGTGATTTTTAGAGCCGCAGAAGAGAAAATCAAATATACTGTAGACTTTGTCGGCTTCTTTGATCTTCTGTATCAAAAGAGGAAATTCTTGCTTTTTCTGGGGCAAAAAGTTTCGGATTGACAAAATCTCCCAATTAATTTACCATTTTTCAAAAAAATATTCTGAAACTTTTATTTTTCGGGAATTTCTTTTTCTAGTTGATCATTATTTTTGAGAAAAAAAGACGATTTTTGTTGGCTATAAAATTTTTTGGTAACTTTCTCATCAATTTCTTATTTCTCCAAAGTTTCTTAATTAATTTCCCAGAATGTTCCCCGAAAATATTTCCTTGTAAAAGACGAAAGTTTCTTCAAAATATTGACGTGTTTATTAAATATGTGTATTTAAATACACCCAAAAAAACTAGACATTGTTCCCGTGAACAAACAATCTTCTTCTTCTTCTTCTTCTTCTTCTTCTTTATCATATTTGTCTTTCCATGAGATTCTTGATTTTCAATGGTTTTTGTCTTAAAATACTTGTGTTCCATCGAAAGCTTGTAGGTTTTCTTTGGAACAGAAAAACTTTTTTTTCTATCAGAAATATTTTTTATATGAAAAAAAAATGAGGAATTTGTGTTCCTCCTGATATATTTTGGCACATTCCTCAAATACTTTATCACCTCACCTCAACTCTCTTTTTTTCCTCGCTTGTTTTTCTTTTTTTTTTGTTGGTCATCACACCCGATTTTTCTCTATTTTTCACTCTTCAAAAACATTTTTCTCCATCTTTTTTTTGTATGATTCATTTCACGGAAAATTGTCATAATTTTTTTCCATTTTATATTTCATTTCATTTCGGGTCACATTTTTTCGAAAAGTGTCGATTTCAGCTATATCATTGGCCTTTTTGTTGTTTTTCCTGTCACATTTTTCTGTGTGCCCCGTGATGATCTGATTATTATTACAAAAATCTGTATGTTTTGAGAACACAGTCTTCTTTTCTCATTCTTTTATGAGCCGATAGATTTTTGTCATTATTTTCTTTCATCAAAAGAAAAGAAATCATCGGAAATGAAACTATTTCTATTTTTATTCTTTATTGCGGTATTTTTCCCAATTTTCTATGCTTTTGGGAAAACAAAAAGTTAGTTGATATTAATTGGCTTTTATTGAAAAATGTCGAGTTTAAAATTCAAGAAGGGAATTTTTTTTTTCATAATTTTGGAAGTTGGGAAACTTTTCTAGACGTAATTTTTCCGAAAATTATTCAGAGAGAGGATATTTTTGAGTTTTTATTTTCATCCGTAAAATTTTATCCGCAAGCCAATTTTCAGAATATTTAATTTTTTTCGATTCTGTAGACAATTTCAATATTTCTAAAATTTTGAAAAAATACTACAGTACTCCGAATTTTTGTATCGATAATTTTCACTTCATTTCTGAAGATGTCATAAGTTCGAAAATCCTCGAAAAATGTTCAACATTCCCACACTCATCAATCTCTTTTCTCGTAGTTTTTTGTCCGTTCGGTCCCCACAAATACTAGAAAAACTAAAGAAATAAAACAACTTTATTCGTCTTTTTTCCAAAGGGGTGACTCTTTCGTTTTTTTTTGTTTCTTTGTTTATTCTTTTTAAAATATAAAAAAAAACTCGAGGAAAATAAATGTTTATGATTTTTGGTGAGATAGGATAGGATAGAAATTAGGTTCGCGAAGAATAAGATGAGATTACTTTTTGATATAAGTCATGTTCATTTTGTGTCAAAATAATAAAATTTGCCTTCAACTCTTTTCCGGGTGAAAATAGGCCTAAAATCGGCCTGAAAAGGGCTTAAAGGGATATATTTTATACCAAATGACTTTTTTTGCAGAAATGAAATCTCCTGGTTGTATGTCAGCCAATTGTACAATCGCCTTCAGTCCAATCTGTCCATCCGACTCATTTTTGGTTCAAAATCCACCGCCGCCTGGAGAATGTTGTGGACAACCGGGAAAATGTTATTGCGATTTACAGGTATTATTTTTTGCCCCACATATTTTTCTCAAAGGGATCTAAATACAGTAGTTTGAAGAGTAAGAAAAAAGCAAAAAAAAAGAAACACAGTTCTTATTTGTTCTTCTTCACTTTGAGAGCTTTTTTTCGAACAAATGAGAAGAAAAAGAAAAGAAAGCACATATTCGAGACGAGCCAGCCACGTATCAAGACCACTATTGTTCGATTTAATTGAAAGAAAAAAAGAATGAATGAAGAATGAAACAATAGACAGGGAAACAAACGAATTGATCAAAGATGAATGTAGTTTGATCATAGGTTAAAGTTAAAAATAGTCTGGGCTCTCCACACGCTGATCCTCAACGAATTGATTTTCTAGGCTCGGCTAATTGCTAGAGTGAATCTCTAGGTGCGGATCCTTGTGAATTAAGTTCTCTATGTTAGGCTACTTGATAATTGTGCTCTCTAAGATCGGCTACTTGAAAACTAGGATCTCTAGGCGCTGATCCTTAGCAAAAAAATTTTCTAGGCTCGGCTACTTAAGCCCTCAGTGCTTTAAAATTTGAAGTTCAATACAGTATTTTCATTTTTGGGGCTTTTGAGAAATTAGAATTTAAAATCAAAATTCTAATTATCAAATCCTGAACTCCAAGCAACTTTTCCAAACCTTTTGTTTCAGAAATGTGGACCACTTTTACCAAAATGTGAAAACGGAGAAGAATTAGTCTTGAAACAAAAAGGAAGCGATGAACCTGGAAAATGTTGTGATATTTTTGAATGCAAAAAGAAAGGTAAATATTTTTCTAACCTTATCCTAACTCATATTCACCCAACATTTTTTCAAGATAAAAAATGTCATTGTCCAATTTCATCTCGATCATTTGATGAAGGTGAAGAATGTCCAGCTGATAGTTTTCGTCCTCCCGAACACGTCACATCAGATTCTTGTTGTCCAATCAAACAAGGTTGCAAATGTCGTGGTTTGATTTGTCGACCAGCTCAATGTGCTGATGGAGAAGAAGTTAAAATAATCAAAAGAGGAACTGGACAACCGGGAAGATGTTGTGATATTTTCGAGTGTCAAAAAACGACGGAAAAATTGAAGTGCGGAAATTATACAGAGGGAGACAAATGGCATAATTCGTCGTGTGAATCGTGTAGTTGCAAAAAAGGAGTTGTGATGTGTAGTAAAATGGCATGCAGTAATGTATCACGTGAGTCGCATCCACATATTATTGGGAAACTTTTTTTTGAAATCTTTTTTTCAGCTGAATGTACTTGGGTTGGAATACCAGAGGGTGAATGTTGCCCAATTTGTTTGGGATGTCAAACTGATTCTCTTGAAAAAAAGAAGAGAAATGAGACATGGCAAAGCGATGATTGTACTGAGTAAGTTACTCGAACTCCAAAATTCTGAAAATCAAAAAATAATTTCAGATGTGTTTGCTCAAAAGAAGGTGCTCACGTTTGCACTAAACACATGTGTAAAACAGATTGCGAAAATCCGAGAAAAATACAAGGACAATGTTGTCCGGTTTGTGATGAGCCAACAATTGTTCGACCGCCTGCCACGTGTCCGAGTTTGGAGCATTGCTCCTTGAGGTATATTTTGAAAAAAAAATGATTTTGGGGATAACAGATATTTTTTTGAAGATGTGCAAATGGTCTTCGTCGTGATAATGTTGGATGTTATGTTTGTGAATGTTTGCCCGAAGATATTCCAATTGATGCACAATGTCAAGAATTGAATGATGAAAATTGTGACAAGTAAGGAATATTTCAAAAGAGGGGGTGGTAGGAACAACAAGTACAAAAAATCAGCTTAGAAGATCAATTTTTGAGCTCTAGAACTCAATTTTGAGCCCAGAAAGTCAATTTTGAGCTCTAGAACTCAATTTTGAGCCCAGAAAGTCAATTTTGAGCTCTAGAACTCAATTTTGAGCCCAGAAAGTCAATTTTTGAGCTCTAGAACTCAATTTTGAGCCCAGAAAGTCAATTTTGAGCTCTAGAACTCAATTTTGAGCCCAGAAAGTCAATTTTGAGCTCTAGAACTCAATTTTGAGCCCAGAAAGTCAATTTTCAGCTCTAGAACTCAATTTTGAGCCCAGAAAGTCAATGTTGAGCTCTGGGACCTAAAAACTAAGATTACTAGGCAGATGTGAATGCTCTTTTTTCAGACAATGTGCACACGGATATTTGAAAGATAACGAAGGATGTTTGTCTTGTAAATGTGCAAAATGTCCACCTCTTCATCAATGTTTTAAACATTGTTTATATGGATTTGAAACCAATTCAGCTGGATGTCCACTTTGTAAATGTCGTGCAAAATTGGAATTAGCCTCTGATAATAAAATACCGGCAAAAAAGGGTGGGAATTCGAACAACGAAAAATGCATATCATTTTCGCCGGATGGTCATCAAATTGAAAGAGATGGTGGAGAATGGTGGAGTGATGGATGTCGGCATTGTTTCTGTGAATCACGACAAGAATTCTGCTCGCTAATCTCTTGCCCGTCAAAACCAAATGATTGTTCGGAAGAAATGTGGATACAAAAAGAGGGCGAATGTTGTGCGAGTTGTCATTCAAAAGGAAAACATAAGAATATCGGAAGTGCAGCTGTTTCGCCACGTCAACAAAAACACGAGCATACTGTATGTCAATCGCCTGGAACTGGTCGATTATTTACAGATGGAGAGACTTGGAAATTGGCACCGTGTGTTTCGTGCACTTGTCGAGTTGGACATGTTTTATGCAAGACACAAGAATGTCCACCGATTCCTTGCAAAAATCCAACAAGAAAAAATGCGGATGATTGTTGTCCAGTGTGAGTTTTTGAGCTGTGGGATAAAATTGGACCTGAGCCAAGCCGAATTTTTTGAGAAAATTTCTGAATCGGACTTAAAAATTGGATAAATTCTGAAAAATTTCCAATTTCGGCCCCCAAATGTCGATTTACTCGAAAAAAAAGTCAGATTTTCTCAAAATTGGACCTGGTCCAATTTTTCGGGTCCCAAACACCTAAAAACAAGATTCTAAAAAATGATGCAATTTTTTTAACCAAAAAATTAGACCTTTTTTGATTTTTTGGGAAAATTCGAGACAAGATCAGATTTTAATTCAAAAAATTAAAATTCTAAATCTCCTTCATTTTTCAAATTCCGCATTTCTCAATTTCAGTTGCCCTGATCTTGTTCCACCAACTCCTCCAAATTTATCACAAAAATCCAACATCGAACCAGTTATTTGTGAAGATGAACTTGGAACTGCTCATTTAGTTGGAACAACTTGGCGAAAAGACGATTGCACTTCATGCATCTGCAAAGAAAATGGAGAATCTGAATGTTTTAAAGAATCTTGTGATGAAATGGGTTGTAGAGGAAATCCTCTTGTTATTAAAGGAAAATGTTGTCCTGTTTGTTCTGGTAAGAATTATATTTATAATTAGAAAATTAATTGGTTAATTAATTAATTAAATATATATAATTTTAAGATGCTCTTTCATCATCAGCAGTTTGTTCATATCAATCATCGGTTTATTCAATTGGTGAACAATGGCAAGATGGTTATTGCTCGAATTGTACTTGTGTTGCTGGCGGTCAAACTGTTTGTCGTCAAATGGTTTGTCCAGCATGTCAAAACACAGTTCCAATTGAAGGACATTGTTGTCCACTTTGTAAAGATGCTGGTTGGGCTCCGTATGGAATTGGTAATGATTCGACCACATTTTTATCACCACGTATATCACAATCTTCAAATACTGGAACTACAACTGCAATGTCACTTCTTACTGTATCTTTGATGTCTTTGGCTGTTGTTGGAATGCTAATTGTTCTTTTATTGGTTTATAAGAAGAGTCGAAAAAGTACAAAAGGACATAAATTCAATGAAGTTGGACAAATGAGTTCGGGAGGAACTTCGACAGTTCGATTGTCAGCTTCGAAAACAATTGGATCAATGCCAAGATTGGTTGATTGGAAGGATACCAGAGAAAAGTGAGTTTTTTTTTTGAAATTTCAAATCTTTTGAAAAATATTTTTTCTAGACCAGAAGATTGCGAACTTCTAAAAACAAGCAGCAAAACTCAACATATTCGACACGATTCTCAAAATTCGGATGATCAATCAGACAGTCTTTTATCAACAATGTCTGATACATCAACTACACCATCTACAGTATCTTCTGGAAATGCGCCAATTTCGGATACTCAACCATTGACGCCAACGCGAAAATTTCCAGTTTAAAAACTCTTTAATTATTTGTTGTGTCCAACTTACTGTACAATTATTCTCCTCATCTTTAAAGACACCTTTGATTGTCTCGAATTTTCGCGGGTTTTCCACAATTTTTTTCTCGAATTTCGCACGTAATATTTTTTTTGTCGTCACCGTTTTTCAGCGGGTTGTATTATATTTGATAAGGCAAATCTTTGTTGAAACAACTCATGTTTTTTATTGCTTTTTTTGTCTTGATTTTTTGAATTTGAATCATTATTATTTTATTTTATTTTAATAAGTAAATAAATAAACAAGTTTATCAATGAACAGTTTTTAGAAAACAAAAGGAATGAGAGCTTTTCGATTTTTCGGATATTTTGAACCGAATTTCTTGTGATACCAACGATGTGTGATTTCAGCAGCAAACATTTGATTCATAACAACAAAGAGAAGCACAAACTGAAAACAAGGTTTGTATTGTGTAATTTACCATGGCTAGATCTTTTTTCAAAAGGTTTTCTGGTAATTTATCTGATTTTTTAAATTATTCGGAAAAATTTATGAACATGGCCGAATTTATTTAAAATTAATTTAATTTTCATTTATTTATCACTACAGAACTCACCTTGAAGACATATGAATACGGAATAATCAGAAGAATTGACAAATATATCAGAATTTCATAGAAGAAATGTGGACACGAAACATATTCAAATAATCCGCCACGACAAATTGTATATCTATAATCTCGCACGTTTCCTGGAATAAAATATTTATGAGAAAACACTGAAATATAATCCGGTTACCTTGACGATTAAGACGAGTTTCGGCAACTTGGTTGGCTATTTGAGATTGTTTGAAATTGCAGAATACGAAACAAACAATACCAAACCATTGGGAAATTCGGATATTGTAGACACTTGGGACTGCAAAAAAAATATAACAATTTTCATTTAGATTACACAGTAACCAGCCATCTGACAGAAAGAACTTACATATTTCATGACTGTTTGTTGCGACTCCATAAGTTTCACAGACAATTGTGATTGGAAGAAAAGTATAATGAAGAATACCGAGAAGATAATGAAGAATGTTCATTCGACTGTTTGAATAAACACAAACAAAATAGGTTTCATAAAAACGACGCATAACATGGAATAATATAAGAATAAGACAGAGATGACCGGATGTATGGGGAACTGGAAAAATAATTTAGTTTGGAATTTTGAAAAAAAATCTGAGAAACTTACTTAAATCATTCGCATTTTCTTTGGTCATCATTTTCAAAATGTGATGGATAAATACTGGTCTGTCCTCAAATGGCCATATTGAATATGCTACCCACAAACTTGAATTTATAAATCCAACAATATAAAAATGACGGAACCAACTGCAAAAAAATCAAAATAAATATTGAAATTGAATCATCAAGTTACCTCTTTGGCACTGAAATCCTTCTAACAAATCCACTTGTGTCGAGAGTTTCTTCGAAACTCTTTCCATAAGTGGTTATTGCAGGAATAATTTTCCACATTTTTGGTCCGTAAAGTGTGAAAATGCAGAGAAATGAAAGACCAATTGTGACTAAAAGATAGTATGCGGGAAGAATTTGACGAATATTTAGAATAAAGTCTAGCATGGCTGTCTGAAAAAATCAATTTTAAGATGAAAGCTTATGCAAACAAAAAATATAACGAAATGGACAGAATGTAATGTATAAAATGAACCAAGTTCACCAAAAAGTACTGAAAAATCGAAATAATCTAACCGCGGTGAGAAATCGAGAAAACTAAAGTTCGAAAACGAAATGAGCAGTGCGCGGCGGAAATTATTATTTTGTTCGAGAGAAGTACAAATATTCGAAAAAATATGACCGTGGCCTAGAATCCGACAATGTTGTAGTTCTCTTGGATGATGATTTATTTTTTTTTTCGTTTTCTTCTTGGTTTTTTTGCTGTTTTGGATGAAAAATGTCGCTGTTCAATGAGAAATTGTTGGTCCCTCATTTGCCGAAAGAGTTTGCCGATGGTTTCAAAATCCGGCCATTGCATGAAAACGATTTCTCCAAAGGTTATCTCGATTTGTTGTCTCAATTGACCACGGTTGGAAAAGTAAATGAGACGAAGTATTTCGAAAGATTTGAGGTGATGAAAAATACTCATCCATTGTCTTATTATATTGTTGTTATCGAAGATGTCAAAAATAACAAAATTGTTGGCTCGTCAAGTTTAGTAATCGAATGGAAATTCATACACGAAGCAAGTTCACGTGGAAGAATTGAAGACGTGGTTGTCGACAAAGAGCAACGTGGAAAAAAGTTTGGCGCGGTTTTGAATGAAATATTGGTTTCGCTCGGAAAATCACTAGGATGCTACAAATTATCTTTAGAATGTGTCGAAGGACTTGTTCCATTTTATAGTCAATTTGGATACAAAGATGATTGTCATTTTATGACACAAAAGTTCTAATTCTTCTTTTTTTTTGGTTCTTGTGATACTTTTATATTTATTTATTTAATGCCATGAATTATAGTCAATGAAGTTTTATTTCAGATGGAATCAGACTATGGGTTGACCGAATATGCATCTGGAGAAAAATTGGAAAATATTCCATGTATTTTGAAAGAAATGTATAGCGATTTCAAAGTTGAAGAGATTCTTGATGACTTCACTGTTCTACAAATCCCTTCGCCTGATTTCATCGTGGAAAATTCGGCAAAAAATCAACCGGAAGATGTGAAGCAATTGCCAAAACCTGATTTTCTTGATGATCAAATAATAGAGAAATTGGAAGAGAGATTTGCACAAAAAGGAGAACCAGTTGTAATTGAAACCGAGGTAATGTTTGAGAAAAAAAGTGTTCAGAAAAAAAAAGAAAATATATAATAATAATAATGAGATTTTTCGCAAGGAAAAAGTTCAGAAATCTTTAATTATTCACATATTTTTCATTATGAAAATTCGCGCGCATTTTTCCATTGAATTAAAATAATGTATGACATCACATAGTTTTTAGTCGAGAATAATGAAATGAGCCCATTTGTAATGATCATGTTTTTTTCTTCTTCTTCTTCTTCTTCAAATGACTCACTGAGAATGAGAAAAGTAAAGTAATGTAATGTCATATTAGAATTAGAAATATTTTCAGAACTTATCAAAAGAAGACCGGAAAAATATTCATAACTATGTTCGTGAAAATTATGGTGGAAAATTGATAAGCGAAACGAAGGATGATAAAATAATAGTTTCGCATGGACATACTCAATCAACTCGAAAAAGAAAACATTGGGATGAAAATATTCCAAAAGAGACGCATTTCACGATGTGTAAGGAGAATAAGGATACAAGTTATGCTCTTGGAATTGTCTCGAAATTCCTAAAAGTTCCACCAAATCATTTGAAAACTCATGGAATAAAAGATAAAAGAGGTGTGACAAGTCAACGTGTTTGTGGTCGACAAATTACTGAAAAACAAATATTGGATTTGAATTCGATTTTACGACAAATTATGATATTTGATGTTTCGTATAAAAATGAATCGATTCAAATTGGAGGACATTGGGGAAATCGGTTTAGCATTATTTTGAGAAATATTCCAGAAGATTCACAAGAATTGCTGAAAAATCGATTGGCATCTTTTGATAAACTTGGATTTATAAATTATTTTGGTGAGTTTTAAAAAAGAAAATTTTTTCGAATCAATTTCATTGTTTTCTCAACAGGAACTCAAAGATTTGGTTCGCGAGTCTCAAATACTGCTGAAATTGGATTGCACATTTTACGTCGTGAATGGGAAAATGCTGTGAAAGCTATTCTGAACAATGCTCTCCCACGTTAGTTTTTAAGGAAATTCCTCAAAAATGTTTTTTTTTGTAGAACATTTGGAAGATCGAACTGTTGGTTTTGCAATTCGATGTTTTCAAGAAACTGGAAATGCAAAATTGGCTTATTCAAAATTGAGAGGTGCACAAGCTTTTGCAACAATTGAAGGATCGATTTTGAAATGTTTGTTGAAAGGAGGAACTTGGCAACAGGTTAGTTTTATTTTATGCAAAAATGCTTACAATTAAATGTATTTATATTTAAGTGCATAACTGATGCAATTCCAATTCAAACTCGCTCTCTTTATGTTCATGCTTATCAATCATTGATTTGGAATCGAGTTGCATCAAAAAGAGTTCGAGAATTTGGAAGAGCAATTTTGAATGAAGAAGTGGATTGTGGGAAAAATGGAGAAAACTTGAAAACTGGAATCAATTCACATTTTGATATTCATATTCCTTTGGCTGGAGAAAATGAAACATTCAAAAATTCGATCGGTATGTTGATTTTCTTTAGAAAAAAAGTGTTCGGATTTTTTTTTAATTTTAGCAATGCAATGGACGAATGAAGAACTTGCCAAAGATAATATTAAACCAGAAGCATTCACATCACTTCATGAGTTAGTTTTATTTTACTTTTCATTCTTGAATATACTTTTTTTCAGTCGTTTTTCACTTGGCGAATCTTCTCGTCCGCTTTTTGTCGAAGCAAAAAATCTCGAATACAATTTCATTCGATATTCTGAACCTCGCGCTTTACTTCAAGATGGTTTGAAAACTCGTGCAATTCCAGAATCTGAAAGAAATGGAGATTATCTAGCGATTCAGTTGAAGTTTGATTTACCATCAGGTTGTTATGCAACAGTTGCACTTCGAGAAATAACTGGAGAAGATATGAGTAAAATATCGATGAAAGAAGCTAGTTTCAAACTGAAAAATGATGCTGAAACCAAAGTAGAAGACGAAATTAAAGTTGAATAGAAGTTGTTTGTTTTTTAATTGTTGATTTGTTATTATTTTTTTGTTAAAATTAAATATTGTTGAATTATTTTTCTATTTTTTTAATATTTTTATATGGTTCTGAATCGCCATCTATTAATTTCACCTGTTTTTTTTTCTGAAAAAATAGTATACTTTTACAGATTTTTTTGGTAGAATGTCTGGTCTCACAATAATATGTCCAAATGCAAGAAGAGTTCAGGTTAAAACGACCCCAATGATGCTGATTCGACAGGTTCTCGAAGACGCTTGTCTAAAATCGGGATTTGAAGTCGGAAAACATCAATTGCAAACTCAAAATAAGAAACCAGTTGATTTATCGCTTCCATTTCGATTGAGTGGAATTTCGAATAATGCAACACTTGAAATGATTGAAAAAGTTGGAAATTCTTCTGGTAATTCTGGAATCGTTGAACTCGCTATACAGGTTGGTTTTTTTTATTTTTGAAAATACAAACATAATTTTGGAAAAAAAAATTTTATTGATTTTTTCTAAAAAAAAATTCACTGTTTCAAAATAGCCTTTAATTTTTTATTTTTCCGAAATTATTTGATCGACATTCGATTGGGCTTTTAAATTTTCATGAGATAAAAAAGCTGAACCAACAATAATAATAAGGCGATGTTGCAGATGAGTTTCTCCTCCGAGGAGAAATGAGGAGAAATGGGGCGAAATTCGAAAAATACATTGTTTCGCCTCCACGTGCAACACATTTCTCCTCTTTCTCCTCAATTAGCTCGGGGGAGAAACTAATCTGCATCATCGCCTAAGAGTCATCTGATTTTTTCATTAGATTCCATCGGGTGCTCGACATCAGAAAAAAGTAAGATCGAGTCAGACACTTTTTGAAGTTCTTCAAGAATTCAGCACGGAATTTGGAGAAAACTTGGCAGCTGAAAATGATAATAATGTTCCATGCATTGTTTATATGAACAAAAGATATTGTGGAAAACATGAATTGGTTTCGAATTCATTGGAGAGTTTGGGAGTTTCGAATGGAAAATGTTTAGTGAGGTAAGCTTAACTTATTTTTTCTGAAAAAAAAGACATTAAAAAAAAGGGATTTTTAGATACAGTAGAGCGGAACTAAGTGCTGAAGAAATTAAACAAATTCGCGAGAAACATGAACATGAAGAACAACAAAAACAATTAGCTGCTAATAAATTTCAAAAATTGAAAGCTGAAAATGAAGAAAGAGCTAGAATTGAGAAACAAAGACAAGAGGCATTTGAGAAGGAAAAAGAGGAAAGAGAAAAACGGGAAAATGAACAGAAACAATCATATTTGCCAGTTGAAGATAATCGAATGGAAATTGAAGAAGTTCCTAGTGGAAATAATCGAGATATTCTCGGAGAAATTCCACAACAAAGAGATAATGATTGGAGTTTTGATGGACATGTTTTTGGACAAAGAAATCAAACAAATACAATGAGATTAGAAGAATTGAATCAATTATTGGAAAGAGTTAATTCACAGAGTTCAAATGATGATAGTCGAATTGATGCAATGGTAAATGCACTTGCTGATGGTGGAAGAATATCTTTGAATGAAATGAGACAAAGAGCTGAAATTCAAAATATTGAACAACAACAACCTGAAATATTTGCTGAACCTTGTGATAGAAAACCAGTTTTATTCAGAAAAATTGCGCCAAAAACTGATAATGTTGAAGCAATGGAGATTTCTGATGAATTTTTTGAAGTTAAAGTGGAAGATGTGAAAGCAATGCAAAGAGATTTGAGAAAAACTGTGTAAGATTCACGAAAATATTTTTTTTCAAAATAATTTAATTTTTTCAGAAAAGAACAAACACAATCCGGATTTATGTCCAAAACTTTTCTCTCGAACAAGAATCGAAGTTTAAAATTAGCCGCTTATAAACATTGTGTTATTCGAATTCAAATCGGCGAAGATATTCTTCAATTATGCTTCAAAAGTGCTGAGAAAAGTGAGTTGTTATCAACAGGAAATTTCGAAAATAAATAATTTCAGGTAAAAATCTGGAGACTTATTTGAAAACAATCATTTTGAACAAACAAGTGAATTTGAAATTATTCTTCACAAATCAGAAAGTTGTTTTGGATGAGATGAAAAATTTCGTAGATCTTGAAATCGCCCCAAAGGCTAATTTGGTTGCTAGATTGGGAATTGATAATGTGTCAGCACAACAATTGATTTCGCAAGAAATCTCTCGTGTTTCGTCAGAAGAAGCGGATGAGATTTCGAAAATTTGGTTGAGTTCGAATACACAATTTGTACCATTCAATACAATTGTTGAACAAGAAAGAAATAATAAAAGAGAATCAACTACAATCAGACCTGGAAGTTCGCCACCTGCAAAAGCTGCATTGCCAAAATGGATGAACCAAGGAAGAAAATAATTATTATTACTTGTATGTGTAAATATAGTCTTTACGGATTGGATAAATATTTTATGAATCTATGGCAAGATCTACTATACATTTTAACAATAATCGAAAAATCAATCAAAAACTTATGCAGAAATTGCATCATTGATAAAGTCATCCAATTGTTCATCTTCAATGAGTCCTGTGAAACTTCCAATTTTTTCGCCATCCTGAAAAAGTTTCTATTAAAAATTTGATGAAAAAATATTTTTAAAACCTTGAAAGCAAGAACAGTTGGAACTACAGATATTTCATAATCCATCGCCAATTCTCCAGCATAATCGACATTAATTTTTGCCATAGCAATTTCGCCTTCTCTTCCATTGATTTTTTCTTCAAGTTTTGGTCCGAGAATTTGACATGGACCACACCATTCAGCATGAAAATCGACAATCACTGGAGTCGAAGCTTGAAGAACCTACGAAAACAAACTGTTATTATTTTCTCATTTGAAAAACAAACCTTCTCGTTGAAATCCTCCACTGAATTGACATCGAAAATATGTTGTGGTGTAGAAAAGAATCGGGATTGTTTTGGCACAAATGTTGAGCTTCTCGCTAGATTTGCTCCAAATCGCAAGAACTTCAGCATTTTTAGGGTTTTTTCAAAAACTGAAATTAATTTTTTGTCCGTGAGAACTTCGCAGCGCTATTATTTGGTTTCCTAGGTCACGTCTATACAAACATTTCTTGATTATTTCCAAGATGTTTGTATATCTTCTGATCATTGTTTGGCTAAATTTAACAGTAATGCATCTTGTTTTATGTTTTGGGGATTTTATAATGATTCTGGATAGAGCCGGAATGTGAGAAAACTGGGAATAAATTTGGTGGCCGAGAAATCTGTAAAAGTTACGAATAGAGCGCACAAGCTCCTTTAAATTGCTGTTTTTTATTTTTCGAATTTTTGTTGCGACAAATTTTTTCCCGTTGTTTTTTCACGTACTAGTCTCTCTAGCTTCATCTCACCCTCTCTTTAATGTCAGTCTCAGTATCTCGCTCGTTCGAAAGAACTATACAGAAAAAAGAAGAGATTTTCGAAAAATTCAAATTCATCATAAACAAAAAATCAAAATCAGGATGTGTTTTGTTGACGAAGCGCTCGATGATAGGCAGCCGAATAACGATCGAAACTTTCCTGAAAACTTTTTGAAAGTAAATTTTTTTTTTGAAAAAGATGCATACCTCAGTGATGAGCCTATTTGAAACTCCGAAATCGAGTACAACTTTACGAATAAGTAAATATTGCTGAAGAGTCTGTACAGCAGCACATCTTCCAGTTGAACGAATATGAGCAACAATTTTCTTGATATCAGGAAGCTCAAAGTGATTATGAATCATCATAAGCGCAATCTCAATTGCCACAAATGTCCCACTTCTTCCAACTCCCGCCGCACAATGAATAACCGATGGAAATTTCTTTCCCCGAATCTTTCTCAATAATCTCAACATAATTTCAGTTGATCCAGGCACTTGATAATCCGGCCATTCCATCCATTGATAATGTGTCACTGTTCGAGATTCTCCCTTATATTCCAACTTTAATTTGGTTGTCAAAACCATACGATCTCTTGTTGAATCGATATAACTCAATTCCAATCGATCAAATCGAAGTTTGCTTTTATGATCGTTTGGGAAATATTCGGTGCATTTTTCGCGACCATGTTCAATGAATTGGCAAAGCATCACAATTGCGGCTGTTTTTTCCTGCCAAACCATTCGCCAAAAATCGACAACTGTATTTTTTTTGGGTCCTTGGGTCAAGATATATTTCGTTCGCAAATATTTGCTTGTCACATAATTCGCATGAATATAATCACTTCCCGGTTCTTTTGGGTTTCCCATAAAATGCAATTTGACACGCGAAACTTCGAGACAAGGAATATCCTTATACCGATTCTTTCTAGAATTTACCGAATTATAAAATGTAGTGCATTCGTCTTGTAAACTTGGTAGATCTTGAAAATCCTCGGTAATTTCATCGATGTTTATTTGCTGCGATTTGGCTGCATATTCTTTGAACAACGATTTATATTTGGATAATCCTTTTTCATTTTCAGCCAAAGAAAATGAATCATCTTGTGTTTCAACAGAACTACTTTTATGTGGAGATGATAGAGCTGGTGAAGTCTTCTTGACAAGATGTTTCTCACTTGGACGAGGGGAATTGTCATCAGTGTCAAGATCTGATTCACCATCAAGACCAATCAAAGAACGATGTGATTCTCGTTGAGGTGGCAATTCAACCATTTGCTTATTATTGTTGTTGTTCTCATTTTTGAGTAGAATCATATTTGCTACTGGTTCTTCTTTTGCCATGATTGGTGAATGTCCAGTTCTTTTCATGAAATCAAATTCCTTTGCATTATCGCTGTTTTGTGATTTTTTGTTGTGAGTATTCCAACTTGGCTCAGATGTTTTTCCTCCGGATCGTTTTGGCTTTTCAGGTGATCGTTGAATAGCATTTGGTTTTCGAGAAATCGTTTTAACAACATCAGCACGACGATAGCTTTTGCTTGAATCGCTGTCAATTTTCGAATCCGATCTTCGATTCGGCTTTTTTGTCTCATTACTATTGCTAAAATTGCTACTCTTTCTTGTTTCATTACTTCTTGAAGTCTGAAAATAGGTTGATTAGATGTATGCCATGCTAAAAGATTGGACTAACCTTTTTGTTTTTATTCATTTTGGTCTATTAGAAAAATCACAAACTGAATTTTTGTCGATTTTGAATCCGATCGATGCCACGTTTTTTTTCAAAAAAAAAAAAAGTAGTTCACGCAAAAAATATTTTTCATCCTTTCTCGAAATGTTTTCATTTTTCAAATTTCTACAGCCAAAGAAAAACGGGAAAACCAAAAAACAATCGAGAAAAATAAAAAGTTTTCCAACAGAAATACACAAAATTTTTCAGTTTTTCAAACTTTCGAGCATCTTTATCTCTAATTTTCTTGCTGATAAATTTGTTTTTTTTTCAAAAACTGGAAATATTGTGTTTCAGAGATAATGGGTGATTTCATCGAATTGGCTGAAGATGGAGAATCAGCGTCTCAACGAATTGCAGAAGCTTTGAAAGATGCGAGAGAAGGAACTACTTTTGACGCAAAAATAAAGTCTCTTGCTTGTGTGAGTTGTTTTCACCAATTTTCAAAAAAATTTCTGAATATTTTTTCAGGCAATGCATATTCTTGTTGATCCAACACGTCCAAATCATCTTCTTGACAATTTTTTAGTTGAAATGCTCGAGTTTTCGGAAATCGGCGAAGCACGGATAATTTGTCTAATTGTTGATTTTCTACAAAAAGCTTGCGCGAAAGATCCAACACTTTGTTCTCGGGCTGTCGAAAAATACAGTACATTTTTGACGCCAAATGCGGAGATTGAAAAATATTATCGAGTTATTAAACGGGTTATTGTAGCATGCACCAATTTGTATCCGATTATTCTTGAATACGGTATAAATCATGCAAATGATACGAAAGCTGAAATTTGCTGGGAAGCTTTTTGTGTTCTGAAAACTAGAATAACTTGTTTGGTGGATTGTGATAATGATGGTATTCGCACGGTTACTATTAAATTTATAGAAGCTATGATTTTATGTCAATCACCGAAACCGAAAGATGTAAGATTTTCTTATTTTTGAAATAAATTTCATCATTAGATTTTCCTTTAGATTGCTCCCGATCAACAACCTGATCAATATACAAGATTCAATAAAATATCTTTGGCTGATATTCCACGTGGTCATAGATTCTTATCATATCGAAAAACACAATTAGAAGCTGAAGAAAATTTCACAGCTCTAATTAAACATACAACATTGGCACATATAACTGCACAAAACCTTTTAACTGTAATCGATTCTCTTTGTTTGATAACAAGATGTCGTCCTCAATGGGAAAATGCTTTGATTCGAGTTTTTGATGCAATGAAAGCACTTCATTCGAATGTTCCACCAACTTTATCTGCTGGACAAGTAAAAGCACTTCGGAAGGAAATCAAGAGAAACTTTATGCGATTTTTACGTTTATCTGCAGCTCAACCACTTCAACTCAAAATTAAATCACAATTAATTGATTATTTTGGAGCAAGTCCGAATGAAGTTATGCGAGCAATTCCAGCACATTTAGTTTTGAAACCAACACCGAAAGTTGATAGTCAAAGATCGCAATTTGTTGAACCAGCGGCGAAAAAAGCGAAATTACAAGGATCTACATTATTTCAAGATGATGATGATGAAGAAGAGGAATCTGCTGCTTTGACAGGTGTTCCTGCTCCATCAGAAGCTGCTCGAACAAAAGATACTTTAACATCAGCAATTGATACAACAGCACAATATGTATTTGAGCGACTAAATCCTCCAATTGTTACAAATCTTGTTCTGATTGCACTTTTAACACTTCCTGATGAAATGCCTCCATCTTTTGCTTCAAGTTATACACCAATTGATAAAGCTGGAACAGAAGAACAAATCAGAGAAGTATCTCGAATGATTGCAACACAAGCAACACAAAAAGAAATTGGACCAGGATATGAAGAAATGAAAAAAATCAAAGAGAAACAATTTCGAGAAAGACAAGATGCGAGAAGGGAGGGAATGGCGATTGCAGCAACTCCAATTCATCATCCAAATACATCTGCGACGAAAGTTACTCAACCAATTCAACCAAAAATGAAAGCGCCAGTTTTAAAATCTAAAAAAGCTTTTAATTTGATTGAGGATACGAAAGAATTATCACTTGAAGATATGGATGAATTATTTGAAATTGCATTTGAATCTGTTTTGATGGCTGAAAGTAAGTGAATTTTGAAAAAAAAACAAAAGATTTCATACATAAAAATTTTTTAGGAAGAGTAGTTCAAGGTGGAGCCACGGAAAAATATCAACAATTAGTTGTTCGATTGACATCTCGATTTAAAGAAGAATGTAGTTATTATGAAGATAAATTAGTCAAATTTATTGCGGATGATCATAAAAAACGAACGGATTTGGCACTTTTATGGATTTGTGAAATGTATGCACAATATCAAGGGTTTTCGTATTGTTCATTATGGCTCAAGGAATATATTAGTGGAGAAGATGGAATGACAAAAGAAGCGAGATATGATAGATATGATAGAGTTTGTTGTAAATTATTGAATGAATTAGTCAAAAGGAATTTACAAACTGAAACGTAGGTTTTGCGAAACATTTTCAAATTCGAATTTTATCACAAAAATTTCAGATTGTTCTTCAAAATTTTATTGGAATCTCCTCTTGTTACACCAAATGCTTTCGAATTTCTCAAAGCTATTTGCTTGAATGCTGTAAGTCTTTTGGTTTTTTTTTCTCATTTTCCACCTTTTTTTTGATATAGGAAACAAATGCGGATGGTATGGCTGTTTTACGTGAACTGATTTTGACTAGAAATCGACAAAGACCTGAATTCTTGCAATTCTTTTTTGGATTATGCTTCATGGATCGAGTTGAGGTAATTAGAAACTTTTTTTTTCGGAACTTTCTCTCTCAAAAAAAAATTATTATTCAGCTTCGAAATTCTTGCATTGAAACAACAAAAGAGCTGTGTAATCTCGCGCATATTCGAACTGCTTTAAGTGAAAGAGCTGTTCATCAAATAAAGGATTGTTTGGAAAGAATTCCACCAGATTATATTCAAATACCTGGAAAAATGACTGATATTTGGACTGAAGATATGTTCAAATCAGCTCTTGTTATTTATACAACAATTATGCCGTATGATTCTTCGCTTTTATTGCCATTAGGAAATGTATATGCACTTGGAACTACTGTATTCAAAAAGGTTAGTCATTATTTTGAAAAATGACGTGGCAAATATGGAAATATCGAAGCTAATTATTGAAATCTCAAGTTTGCCACGTCATAACCCTTGTTCGGAGTTACTCGAAGTTTTTTTTTCAAAAAATGCTTCAAAGAAAACCAGAAAAATTTACGATTCAAATTTTTTTAAACAGTGAATTTTCAATGGACGGTTTATTTCGGAATTCCGAAAATTGAACATTTTCTCAATAAAAATCTTGAAATTTTCGTCTTTCCAATTATTCTGAACTTGAATTTTTTTCAAAAAAATTAAAAAAAAAAAAGTTTCACTGGAATCGTCTAAAATTCGAAAAAAAGTTCAGGTTGTTCTTCGTTCAATTGAACCAGTAATGCGACTAATTGGAATGAAAGATGAACAAGTTCTTCGATTAATTGAAGAATGTCCACCTGGAGCAGAAACCCTTGTTGCACGAATTGTTCATTTGTTGACCGAAAGAGCTCCAGCAACACCAGAACTCGTTGCACGCGCCAAAAAATTGCATGATGAAAGACATATGGATATACGTGCATTGATACCAATTATTGGTGGATTAACAAGAGATGAAGTTGTTCGACTCATTCCTCAATTCGTATTACGATCAGAATATCAGAAATCGGTTCAACTTGTGTTTCGAAGATTGTATAATGCGAGAGATTTACAAACTGGAGAATTGAGTTTTGATCCGATTGATTTAATTAAAGAATATCATTTAATTGAACCAAAAGATGATATTGAAAAAGAATATCATATTAATAGTAAGTTTTTCTTGAATTTTTGAAAAAATACACACTTACATTCAGATTTGATTGATTTATTCGATATTCGATTTGTCAAAAAAGATGCAGCATCACAAGCAATTGAAGCTATTTTTGAAATATCACCACTTCCATATTTATTTCTTTATTCACTTTGTATTTTGGTCGACAAAGTAAGTTTTTCTTCTTTTTTTTTGGGAAAAAATATCGAATTTTCAGTTTTCTTCATTTGAAAGTTTTGTGTCAACTTTACTTCAAAAAGTGGCTGAAAGGAAACTTTGGCAACAAAATGATAGAACGAAACAGGCATTTTTCAAAGCTGTAAGAAAATTGAAAACCACTGCTTATGGAGTAAGTTTTTGACATATTTCGGGATTCACAATCAGTATTCATTTATTTTTAGGCTGTTTTGACGTGCCTCACTTTTGATGAATATTGCGAACTGAAAAGCAATCTTGGAACGAGTTTCATCGACGAACTTAAGGAATTTTTCCCAACTTTGTCAACTTCACAACAGAAAAGTGTCGAGTTAGTTTTTTCCGGGAATTTTTGGATCTAAATGGAAAAGGGGGATTTTGAAAACTCTATGCTCTCAGATATCAAATATTTTCACAATTCATAAAATTGAAGAGTAAGATTCCGATTAGGCTCGAAATTCTGGACCCTAGCTATTTCTAAAAGAAACTTTTAGAAATTAGTTCAAGCTTTTAAAAATAAAGTCTCCTGAACCCCAGAGCCAATTGTTCTTGTTGAATATTGATTATGTTATTTTTCAGTGAGAAAATCAAAGAAGAAGTGTATGATAAAGAAAAAGAAAGTCGAGATCGAAAAAGTCGAAAAGAGGAAAAAAATCGTGGAACTGAAAAAGAACGAGGAGAAAAAGAAAAACGAGAAAAAGATTCGGATAGAAGTCGAAGAAAAACAAAAGCACCCTAAATTTCAGATCTCATTTGTATTATTGAACGGTTTTTTATTTTATTTGTTATAAATTATTATGTTTTTATAGAATTTGTCAAAATATTCTGTTGAGTTTTCTAAATTTCAAATTATTTTTTTCCTTGATTTCAACATCTAAAAAAAATGTTAAACCAGATAAATGGAACCTGTTTTTCGACATTTTGGAGTTCGAAATGGAGCAAATTGTATATTTTTGAGTGAAGATTCAATTATAATCGGAAGTGCGATGGGAGATGTTGAGATTTTAGACACAGAAACATTTTTGAAAATTTCTACAGTATACTGTAGGTTTTTTTTGTTAAAAAAAGGTCAAAAATTACTGTACTATGTTCAGCGGATCCTGAAATGCGAGCTTGTCAAAGCATATATCTTTCCTCCTCCGGAAGATTGTGCATACAAATTCGAAATTTTGGAATATTGATTTTTCAAAATATTTCTGGAAAACAGTGGGAAGAAGTGCAATTTATCGAGATGAATCATGTTGGATTTTGTAATTTTTTGATTTTTGAGGAGAAATTGATTTATGTTTCACAAAATTCAAAAGGAAGGTCGATTATTTGTTGTGAAGATGGGAGAAAATTAGAAATCGATGAGGTATGTCTGGCGAAAAGTGCGAATTTTTAATATTTTCAAAAAAATTCAGGTAACTCCAATGCATTTATCAAGTTTTTCGGATCGAATAATTCTAGGAAGTGAAGATGGGAAAATTCGAATAATTCAGGATTTCAAAGTTATTTCAGAGGTTAATTTAATTTTTAAAAATGTTCTTCTCTTCAATTTTGAAAAATTCCAGATTCAACCAGTCAAAGATACAGTATTCTGTACATCTGTCAATGAAAATGGAGAAATTGCATGTGGATATTCGAAATCACCAATTATTATTATCAGAAATGATTTTTCAACATCGGATTTTGAAGAATTGCATTATCCTCAAACATCTTCTGGTTGTTCTTCTCTTCAATTTTCACCGAATTCAAAACAATTATTGGCTGGGTTTTGGGATGGAACTATTCGTGTTTTCTCGATTCAAAAATTGAAAATTCTATTAGTTATTTCAAATGCACATTCGAATACTGTAACTGGTCTCGTATGGAAAAATAAAAGGGAATGTTTATCTTGTTCAACTGATTCAACTATTGCTGTTTGGAATTTTGAAAAATGAATTGTTTATTTGATATCAGCACAAATTTTTGCGTATGAATTCGAAGATTGTTATCCGACAATTTTCATTTGTGAAATTTTTGATTTCCAAAATGCAGGAAGAGAGCTGAAAATATTATGTTATTTTTGGGGTTTGTTGAGATAGATAAATACAAACCAATTCGTTGCAGGAATTCTGAGAATTATTCCAACACATTTGAAATTTTAGAACACAAGAAGATAAAATTGATCGATTCAAATAGCAAAAAGTATATAAATTGACAAATTCGGTATCAAACAGGGCATTATTTGTAGAAGGAATATAAACAATTAGAGGTACATCTAAAATATCTTCAATTATATATTTTCCAAATATTTTAACTTACATCCAGAAGCTAGTTTATAAGCATTTTCCCCAAAAAATTTGACAATTCTATAAGATGATTCGCTCACAGAAAAACAATCATAATTCTGAAATTTTTATTTTTTTTTTATTTTGAAAAATTTTATCCAAGAGATCCAAAAAACATACACTGGTACAATGATGAAAACTTTGATCACATAATATTTTTCCTTTTTGTTGGTCATAACAATCGTCGTGTTTTGCACAACAATGATTGATTTGTTCTTCAAAACAATTATATTTTTATTCTCAAAAAATGTTTTCTTTACCTGGTTTCTCACAGAAATCATAGACTAGAATTCCAAGAATTTCTGTGAATTTTCCACTTCCACAAAAATTGAAATTTATATCGAATTTTGTCAGATTATTGGGTAGCGGCAGAATAATATCTTTACAACTTATAAACTCAAAAAATAATATGAATAAAATATTTTTTCGAAAGAATCGCATGATCAAAAATTGTGTAGTTATTCTAATTTTTATTCAATTTTTTTGTCTAATTAATATTCGATAAATGGAATTATTTATTTATTTAATTATATTATATTACTGTTATCCAACCAACCAAACCACATTATTATTATTTGTCGCGTTTTTCGAGGAAAAAGATTGCGGGATCAGATAATTCCATGACCTTCTTTCATAGTTATTCTGATTGACTATACAACATGAATATACCGTAAGTTTTTATTTTTTATATTTAAAAGTTTTGTACCGCAAGGTATTTCTGAGACTTAAGAAATTATCGGGATTCTCGGTTTTTATATACGGTAATCATATCGGGGTTAATTTTTGAAGAAATAAAAATCATTAAAAAATAATTTTTTAAACGTGTACTTGACGTGGTTTGTCATTTATCAGCGAAATTGGTTCATTTTTAGAAATTATGACATGTTCTATCAGCGTTGCATCTAAATGTGCGCTATTTATCTCAAAAATTACCTCGTTTTCACGTCTGTGAAAGTCCAACTTTTGAAAAATGAATTCATTTTCAAAAAGATGTAAGAGTACGGTAGTTTTTTCAAAATGTGCAAACACCGAGCAGGCATTTTATTTGACGCACAAGTTTTTTCTTTTTTTTTCTTCGTTGCGCTCTTTTGAAAAGAAAAAATCATTGTCATCTTTACAACGAATAGTTTAGATTCTTAAAGAAACTGCTTTCTTTGATGTTTCTGTTTTAAACCTATGATTAGGAAAACGCGCTCTATTGCAAACATTTCGTTTACCAGCTGCCTGCGATGGACGCGATTTATTTACGAGACATTTCTTTTGTGTTTTGAATGAATGTTGAATATCGGTTTTAGTTTTTATTCTTGTTTAAAACCATTTTTATTCTAGAAAATAATCTATTCATAGATTTAAAAAATTCAAAGAAATGTTGAATTGCGAAATGTTTTTATTATTCAATTTCGAAACTTTTTCATTTATTTCTTCAGAAATGGCGACAACAATCCCAGGCAGTTTGGTAAACAAAACCAAAAAATTCTTCATGGGCATGCCAGCTCCGTCTGGATATGTTCCTGGAGTTGGTCGAGGTGCAACTGGATTCACAACTCGATCAGATATTGGACCGGCTCGAGATCCAACAGAAATGCCAGAAGCCGGTCCAGTTGGTCCGACAGCACCAGGAGGAGCTCCGCCAGCTAAAAGAGCGAAAGAAGATGATGATAGAGAAGCTGAAGAGATGAATGAAGCAAATTATGATGAGGTAAGTGGAATTTGGATTTTTTTTGAAAAAAGTATTTTCAAAATATCATCATTTTTTTTAGTTTGCTGGATATAGTGGATCTCTGTTCTCGAAAGATCCATACGATCAAGAAGATGAAGATGCTGATAGAATTTATAATGAAGTTGATGATCGATTAGATGAAAGGCATCGAGAAAGAAGGTTTGTCCATTCCATTTTTAAACTTTTTGAAAATTGTCAAATATTTACTCAACAATTATGTTTTCAGAGAGAAAAAGTACAAGGAACTTGTTGAAAAATATCACAAAGAGCGGCCGAAAATTCAACAAGAGTTTTCAGATTTGAAACGACAATTGGCGGAGGTAAGACATTTTTTAAAAAGAACTTTAATTCAAAACCTATTTTTATTTTTCAGGTAACAGATGATGAATGGCAATCAATTCCGGAGGTTGGAGATATGCGAAATAAAGCAAAACGTAATGCGCGAGCTGAAAAATTCACACCAGTTCCTGATTCTGTTATTGCAATGAATATGAATTATGGATCTATGAATACATCAATTGATGTTAATAGTGGAATGTCAACACCATTTAATTCTGGATGTAAGTTTGATTTTCAACGTTTTTTGTCTACGAAAAAGTTTTTTCAGCTGGAATTTTAACACCTGGTTGGAAAACCGGAATTCAAACCGGAACATCGAGTTCAATTGATTTGGATCTTGTGAAAATTGGGCAAGCCAGAAACAAAATCATGGATATCAAGTTAAATCAAGTATCTGATTCTGTAACTGGTCAAACTGTTGTTGATCCAAAAGGTTATTTAACTGATTTGCAATCAATGATTCCACAACATGGCGGAGATATCAATGATGTGAAAAAAGCAAGAATGTTATTGAAATCAGTTCGAGAAACAAATCCGCGACATCCGCCGGCATGGATTGCGAGTGCTGGATTAGAAGAAGCTGTTGGAAAAATTCAAACTGCTAGAAATTTGATTATGGAAGGTTGTGAGAAAAATAAAGGATCTGAGGAATTGTGGCTCGCTGCTATCAGAATGCATCCACCTGAACTTGGTAAATCGATTGTTGCAAACGCAGTTCGATCTTGTCCACACAGTGTTCGTCTTTGGGTAAAAGCATCAGATCTTGAATCCGATTTGAAAGATAAAAAGAAAGTTCTTCGAAAAGCTCTCGAACAAATCCCATCATCGGTTTTGTTATGGAAAGCTGCTGTTGAATTGGAGGAACCCGAAGAAGCGCGAATTTTATTGACAAGAGCAGTTGAATGTTGTAGAACGAGTACAGAAATGTGGCTGGCATTGGCACGATTGGAAACATATGAAAATGCTCGAAAAGTGTTGAATAAAGCGAGAGAACATATTCCAACTGATCGACAAATTTGGTTATCTGCTGCAAGATTGGAAGAAACAAGAGGACAAAAAGATATGGTTGATCGAATTGTTGCTAAAGCACTTTCTTCTTTGAAAGCTAATCAGGTATTTTATTTTTTTATTCATTTGGAAAATGTTTGAAATGATGTTTTCGCTTTGAAAAAAGCAGGATCATGTGAAAAAAATTTTGTCCCTAGAGAACAATTAAAAATTTGTTTTTCAAAAGCATATTTTCACTACTACTAAAAATATTTGAATATTCAGGTTGAAGTGAATAGAGATCAATGGTTAAAAGATGCAATCGATGCTGAACAAGCAAAATGTCCACTCACTTGCCAGGCTATTATGTTAGTTTTATTTTTTTTTCTATTTTTTCCATAACTTTCAATTTTTGCAGTAAAAATGTGATAAGTTTGGGAGTTGAAGACGAAGATAAAAAGACAACGTGGCTTGAAGACGCAGAATGTTTCGAAAAACAAAATGCATTTGCATGTTCGAGAGCTGTTTTCTCGATTGCTCTCAGCGAAATGCCAAGAAAAAAGAGTGTTTGGGAAGCTGCGATTGCTTTTGAAAGAGAACATGGGACAATGTAGGTTTTGAGTTCATTTTTCTGTTGAAAAACATGTCAAATTAATTTTTTACAGTGAGGAACATGAACAAATTTTGATAAAAGCAACTGAAGTTGTTCCGGAAGTCGAAGTTTATTGGTTGATGTTGGCTAAATTGCGATTTGTGAATAAACGAATCGATGACGCAAGAAACACGCTAAAAGATGCATTCGAAAAACACAATCATCAATCGGAAACAATTTGGTTGGCTGCCACAAAAATTGAAATCGAAACAGATCAATTCGAAACTGCACGAACACTTTATGCAAAAGCACGATCAAAAGCTTCATCGGCTAGAGTTTGGATGAAAAATGCGAGATTTGAATGGTGTTTGGGAAATTTGAAAGAGGCTCGAGAAATTATTGAAAAAGCAATTGAATTATATGATGATTATCCGAAAATGTATTTAGTTTTGGGACAAATACTCGAACAAATGGGAGATTCACAAGCCGCCAAAAATGCATATACACAAGGAATACGAAAATGTCCAGGAGTTATTCCTTTATGGATTTTATTGGTTAGATTAGAAGAATCGAATGGACAAATTGTAAAAGCTCGTGTAGATTTGGAAAAAGTAGGTTTAGATTAGATTGTTGTAAGAGTTTGAGAAACAGTTCGAAATTTTAGGCTCGACTTCGAAATCCGAAAAATGAGGATTTGTGGTTGGAATCAGTTCGATTTGAGAATCGTGTTGGATGTCCGGAAATGGCAAAAGAAAGAATGAGTCGAGCATTACAAGAATGCGATGGAAGTGGTAAGATTTTTGGGTTTATTTTAATGTGGGGGGAAATTGGGAATCGCTTTTCTTGAAGATTAAATGTCCCGGCAACGCATTTGTGACTTTTTGTGACTTGTGACTTTTAAAAGTCAAACCTAGTATAATCGGGTGATAAACTTCGACTTTAAAATTAGAGTTATCGGAGAAGCTTTAGGCTACAGTAGTCTACAGTAAAAAAGTAAGCAGAGCAGTGAAAAGATTACTGAAGCTGAAATAAATCACCTGAATTTCTTATTTTCACTTTTAAAAGTCACTAAAATGCTCCGTGAGCCCAAGAAAATTCGAAAACAACAGGGGGACTAGGTTTACATCCTAGTCCTCGTGCATTTTTGCCTTTTTTCCGTTTCTCTTATCAAAGTGAGGGACCCAAAAATTATCAACCAAAAACATTTCAAAAAACTTTTTCTTGAAACCAATTTTCAACTGAAAATTTTGCGAAATTAGTTCAATTGTTTCAAATTTCGTTATTTGAACAGCTCTGTATTTTTTTCTCATTTTTTCTGGTTGACCGAACAATTCTATTATTATACCAATATATGTATATTTCGTCTCTCTTTTCTTCTTTTTTTTCCGAAATGTATACAAATAATTGCGTTTGTTTTTTTCTCTGAGTTTTCTATTCCTTTTTCGAACCGAACAATGTCTGTGAGATTTTTTTTCCTCAAAAAATTTTGCAATTTTTCGGAAAACTATGGGCTGAGGCAATTTGGATGGAAGGACCACATGGAAGAAGAGCTAAATCAATTGATGCGCTGAAAAAATGTGAACACAATCCACATGTTTTGATTGCGGCTGCAAGATTGTTTTGGAGTGAGAGAAAGGTATTTTTCGATTTTTGGAAGTCTTCTAAATGACATATCTATTTTTGTAGATCAAAAAGTCGCGTGAATGGTTCCTTCGTGCTGTTAATCTTGATCCTGATAATGGTGATGCATTTGCGAATTATCTTGCATTTGAACAAATTCATGGAAAAGAAGAAGATCGTCAAAAAGTTATCAATAAATGTGTTTTGAGTGAACCGAAACATGGTTATTTATGGGCGCCAATTGCGAAAGATGTGAAGAATTGGAGAAAATCGATGGAAGAAATATTGTTGATGGTTGCTGCGAAGATCACAATTCCTACATGATTAGACTAGATTTTTATAATTAATTTATGTTGTTGTTTTTTTCTTTGGAAAATAATTATTTTTATTTTATTTTTTTTGTTGGTATTTGTGATCCTGGCGTATTTCATCGCTATTTTATATCTGAAAATCTAATATTTATATTTCAGCTTTTATTCTATTTTATAGAATGGCTCAACCTGTTGTCAATGTTTATACAACTGCTTCATCAGCTGATAATTTATCCCGTCATGAAATGTTGATGTGGGTGAATGATTGCTTGCAAGCACAATTTTCGAAAATTGAACAACTTCATACAGGAGCTGGATATTGTTTGGTTAGTTATTTGGAAAGGGATTCAGAAATTTCTGTTAAAAAATGAATAAGATCTCAATAAAAACAACAAAGCCACTTAATGTTAGATTTCAGTTTCTCGATCTATTCAAATTAAAATCCTTGCTTTCAGTTCACCGATTTTCTGTTTCCTGATGCAATCCAATTGAAAAAAGTGAAATGGAACAGTCGTTTGGAACTCGACTGGCTATCGAATTGGAAATTAGTTCAAACTACGTGGAAAAATTTGGGAGTTGAAAAAGTGATTCCAGTTGATCGACTCATCAAAGGAAAATTCCAGGTGCTAATTTTTCCAACATGAATTTCATAGATTTAAATTTTTAGGACAACTTTGAATTCTTGCAATGGTTCAAAAAATTGTTCGATGCAAACTATGATGGACACGAATATGATCCAGTTGCTGCTAGAAATGGAGAAGCTTTTCCATCGGATGCACCAGGTATTTTTTTCGAAATTCAGATTTTTTTGAAGACAAAAATTAATTTTTCAGCAGCAAAACCAGCAGCAGCTTCGCGTATGCCTGGTCGTACTACAAAACCAGTGGTTACAACAATTCGTCAAGCTCCCGCTGCAGCTGCTCCATCTCCAGCGGCTGCTCCAAAACCAACACCAACCCGTGCTGCTCCAGCTCCGCGAGCTGCTTCATCGATTTCTGGCTCATCAAATGCTCTTCATTCAAATAACAATAAACCTGCTGCGCCTGCAAAAGTTGCTGCACCACCAAAAGATAATTTTGAGTTGCAAAAAGTCAAAGAAGAACTTGATGAGGTTAGGTTTCCTTACTAATTGCGAAATTCAAAATTAATTTTGAATTTTCAGGTAACTCGACAATTAACTGAAAGTGACAATGTGATAGCATCATTGGAAAAAGAAAGAGATTTCTATTTTTCGAAATTACGAACAATTGAAGTATTATGTCAAGATAATGAATCGATTGGAAATGTCGAAGTTGCTCGAATTTTAGAGGTTTGCTTTTTTTTATTTGATCATTTTGGAATTTATTTGAAAATTGCAGGTTCTTTACGAAACTGAAGAAGGATTTGCTCCACCAGATGAAGAAGCAAATGGAGCTCCTGAAGAGTTTTGAGAAAATTTATATTAATCGCCAGACGCCAACATTAAAATCTCGCTGAAAATTACAGAACACATAAAATACGCGTGCTTTTTTCTTTTACAAGCTAATTCTTTCTTTCTGCTAAGTTTTATTAATTATATGACAGTATTTTTATAATCAACAATTCCTAGATTGATTTCTGATTTGTTTTTTACCCAAATGTTTTCTTGTCGAATATGTATTCATAATATGTATTTTAAATATTTATTTCATTGTTTTTAAAAAATAAAAGGTTCTTTAAAACCTGGAAATATTTCTTTTCTCACAATCAAATCTCCAAACATTTTTTTTCTGAAATTTATAGAAAAATGACAGTATTTTTCGAATATATCGAAAATATGAAGAAATTATTTGATGAAATTGAAGCGGATAAAAAATGTGAAGCGATTGGAGAAATTGAGGAATTTTTGAATTGGATGACTTTTCGATGGCAAAATGAAGAACAAAATGAATATCCGATTCTATTGCAAAATGCGGAGGAAATCATTTTTGTGAGTATTTTTTCGAAATTTTGAACTGAAAAATCCGAGAAATTTTAGAAGTCCTAAAATTCTTTCAAGTTTAAGTTAGGTTTCGATATTTTTTCAAAAAAATTAAGAAATGGGATTTTTTTGAAAATAACAATTTTCACACAACACAAAACGTCAGAATTTTGGAAAACATTTTCAGATTTTTTTTTTGAATTTTCTGAATTCTATAGCTCTTATGTTTTACGATCAAATTGAAGCTGAAATTCAAAAAATTCAGAGCTTCAAAACTTTTTCGCGTCCTGGTTTCACCTCAAAAATTGATCTAAAATTTTTAAGGACAGATTTGGAGAAGATTGGCAAATTGAAGAAAATCAAGAATACAACAGACAAAATGATAATATGATTTATTATCGAAATCCTGACGAAGATACAGTACCCTCAACATCTACAGTAACCCGAAAAATTATAAAATGTTATTCTTGCGGACTTGAATTGAATAATGAAAAAGCATTGTATAGACATGGAATAAAAAGTGGACATAAAACAAGAGAAAAAAGAAAATATCAAAGGAAAAATGAAGAAGAAGAAGTAAATTATGGAAATGAATTACCAGCTGAAATTCTTGAACCAGAAGTTGGAAATGAAGAAGATTTTGATTTTCGATGTTTCACGTGTGGAATTGAATTCAAAAATAGAAAAGCTTTGTATAGGTTCGTTATTTTTTGAGTTTAAAAAATGTTTCGCAATATTCTGTTTTTTTAGACATGGAATAAAACTGAAACATCCGACAAGAATTGGGCGAAGTCCACAAAAACGAGGAGGTCCATTTAAATGTGATTTATGTTTGTGTTATTCGACAACAAAATTCGAATATTTAACGAGGCATAAAAAAAGACAACATAATATTGAATAATAATAATAAAACTATTTTGAACTTTGATACTGTTTTGTTATCATTTTTGAAAATGAGATAGTTGGAACTCTATTTTATCGATTTTTATTTGCTTTTTGAATAGTTTATTATGTTTTTTTCAGATGTGCATTGGATTTATAAAATTAGGAAAACCTGGAGATCGATATAAATTGATTGTTTTGAATAATCGAGATGAAGATTTGAATCGAGAAACTTCGAAATTAGATTGGAATGATCAAAAAACTATTCTAGGAGGTTTGTTTTGGAAAAAAAATATGGCAGGGGAACATTTTTAGCAGAATTTTGAGAACTTTATGAAAACTTTTGAAGGTTTTGTCTAAATTATCGATCAAAATTTTGAAAATTCCTGGTCAAGTTAGTCTCAAAAAATTCAGAAGCTTGAGTCTAGACTGGTTTAAAATTTTTGATCCTAATTCCCAAGTTCAAATTTTTCACCAATTTCTTTTGATTCGTATCCTACTTTTTTTAGGAACTGATCAAGCGGATGAATGCAAAGGAACTTGGTTAGCTATAAATAAAAATGGAAAAATAGGAATGTTATTATCAATAACTCAACCGAAAAATCAAAAAATGACAAATTGTCCAAGTCGCGGCCAAATTTGTCATCAATATTTAAACACCAACAATTCTCATTTATTTTTCGAAACTCTTCTCAAAAATTCGCAAATTTTCAATGGTTTTCAGTTTGTTGGAATTGAAAGAAATGAAAAAACCGGAGAATATTCGGAAGTTTTGAGTTTAGCCAACAAATATGTGGAAGATGTTGAAGTTATTAGAAATTATGATTCGATTCAAGTTTATTCAAATAGTCCAACAAATATTCCATTCAAAAAAGTGTTGAGAGGAGAAAATATTTTTGAAGAATGTTTAGCAGATTCTGAAAATATGGAAACATTTGAGATTTTTGAAAATCTAGTTGAACAAGTTGCAAAAAACAAAACACGGTAATAGAAACACGAAATATCTACTGTAATCATGAATACATTTTCAGACATTTACCAGATTCTCAAATTCAACTTCAAACTGGATATTCTGAAACAATGTATGCACCTTTATCCTCAATTTTTGTTGAATTTCCATCGGGTTTGGAGTACGGTACACGTTGTCATACTGTAATTATAATTGATAAATTCGACAAGGTTACGGTATTTGAAAGACGAAGAGAAAATGGAAAATGGTTGGATGAAATGAAAGAATTTGAGATTTATGAATAAATTTGAATTTGAAGAATTTTTAGTGTTTGAAAAATGAAACATTCTTTGAATTACTGTAAAATATTTTTGACAAAATTTTGAAAATTTTTTGAATAGAAAAAGTTCCAAATCAATATTTTATTTGTGAGTTTTTTTCAAAAAAAATCGACCCGAGTTTTTTCAGAAAAAAATCGGCCCGAGTTTTTTCATAAAAAAATCGGCCCGAGAGTTTTTTCAAAAAAAATCGGCCCGAGTTTTTTCAAAAAAAATCGGCCCGAGTTTTTTCAAAAAAAATCGACCCGAGTTTTTTCAGAAAAAAATCGGCCCGAGAGTTTTTTCAAAAAAATCGGCCCGAGTTTTTTCAAAAAAATCGGTCAGAATTTTTCAAAAAAACTCGGCCCGCGTTTTTTCAAAAAAATCGGCCCGCGTTTTTTCAAAAAAAAATCGGCCCAAGTTTTTTCAAAAAAAAAATCGGCCCAAGTATTTTCAAAAAAATCGGCCCAAGTATTTTCAAAAAAATCGGCCCAAGTATTTTCAAAAAAATCGGCCCGAGTTTTTTTTCAAAAAAAAAAAATCGGCCCAAGTTTTTTCAAAAAAAAAAAATCGGCCCAAGTATTTTCAAAAAAATCGGCCCAAGTATTTTCAAAAAAATCGGCCCAAGTATTTTCAAAAAAATCGGCCCGAGTTTTTTCATAAAAAAATCAGCCCGCGTTTTTTCAAAAAAAAAATCGGCCCGAGTTTTTTCAAAAAAAATCGGCCCGCGTTTTTTCAAAAAAAAAATCGGCCCGAGTTTTTTCAAAAAAAATCGGCCCGCGTTTTTTCAAAAAAAAATCGGCCCGCGTTTTTTCAAAAAAAAAATCGGCCCGAGTTTTTTTTCAAAAAAATCGGTCAGAGTTTTTTCAATAAAAACTCGGCCCGCGTTTTTTCAAAAAAAAAAATCGGCCCGAGTTTTTTTCAAAAAAAAATCGGCCCGAGTTTTTTTCAAAAAAAATTTGTTGGATGAAAAAAATCGGCCCGCCACGAGGATTACTGTAGAATATTTTTTATTGATTTTGAACGAGAAAATCAGATTTTTTTTCTCGAAAAATTTCCAATTTAAAAAAAAGAGAGACAAAAATAAATAATTTATTTGGTAAATTTACAAAGCGTTCATGCTATAAATATCTGAATTTCAAATTCTTTATCTGAGATCATCATCATCTTCTTCTTCATTTCCATTTCCACCAGAATTTTCAGGAGCTTTTAATGTTTTCATCAATCTCAAATATTCATTGTCCATTGATCGAAGTGCTCCACATTTCAATACATTTTGAAAACTTTGATCATCTCCATTTTCATAATTTGCAATCAAAGATTCACAAACTCGACCATCTTCAGTAGATTGAAAATCAGGAACTTGACTGAAAAAAGAACATTTGTATTTGTTTATTTTTTTTTTTGAATTCAACATACTTAACAATCCATCCATAATCTTTTGTGGCAGCAACCGAATCTCCTTCATTTGCCAAATTCACCAAAACTAATCCAATAGCTAATTGTCCAATTCTTGGTAATTCTTTAACTTCCAAATATTTCTCAACTTCTTCTCGAATTGAAATCATTGCATCTTTATAATTACCCAATTGCAAATTTAATTTTGTGATTTTATTTAAAAATTGCCCGGCCATTTTTGCTCGATCAGATTGTTGGACAAGTGACAAACCTTTTTGATAAATCTGAAAAAAATAAATATGAAAATATTATTTTAAAAAATATAACTAACATCAAGCGCTTTTTTCGGATCATCATTTTTCAAACAATCCGCTGCTTTTTCAACAGTCATTGCTGCTGTATCAAGACTTCCACTTTCAGCATAACCATCAATTGCTAATTCAAATAATTTCACAGCTTCACCGAAATCTTTCATATCTCGAAGCATCATTGCAGCACCTTCACGAGCCCTAGAATTTTTATTTTATTGGGATTTTTTCAATAAAAAACTTACTTCGCCGCATGAAATAAATTCCTATTTTGTTCATAATAACTAGCAGCTTTTATCAGCGAATTTGCTGCTTTTTTGTGCTCCTGCGAGTTTCGATAACAAACAGCGGCTCTTTCCATCGAACTTGCTGCTCCGTCAAAATCTGGTTTCAGCTTTAGTTTCAGCATCGATGTTTTGAGACTGAAAATGGGCAAATTTTTTTCGGAATATTGTTGAAAACATTTTTTGACATTGGCTAATTGTGAGATTAGAGAAAAAAATTATTTTCTGAAGAATACAAATTATATTTTTCCAGATTTAGAAGATTGAAAAATTTTCCATAAATTTTCAACACAAGTTTTTGAAACAGTGACATAAAAAACTTCATAAGATGTTTTTTTCGAAATATTTTTCCAAGAAAATACAAGCTTTCAGCCAAAAACCCACCATTCTTCAGCTTTTTTCTCACATTCAACCGCTTCATTTAATCTAGCTGAATTTGACATGTTGAGTTTCTCTGAAAAATTAGACATCTATAATCAGATGAAGGAATGATGGGAAGATATTTCAAGACGAAAAACACATGAAAGAAAAAAGAGAAGAAAAAAGAAGAGAGTTTATTAGGACAAAATGATAGAAATGAAAGAAAGAATAATTTAAAAGTTTTTTTTGGAAAAATACGGCGATATAAAGACAAGATAAAAAACAAGATCAAAATAAGAAGAGGGAGAATAAGAATAGGAAGGAAGGAAGGAAGGAAGGAGATCAGTGGAGGATGAGGACAATGATTATCGACGCCAGTAAGACTGAAAACAAACAGATTTAATCTGAAAACAGATATTTCGACAAGATTCAATGAATCTAGAAAATATTTGTTTTTTTCTGACCTGTTGTTCTCCACCATATCCACTACCACCTTGTCCGCCATTATCACCAAATCCGGCACTTCCGTGATTTTGTCCAACTTCTTGTCCGGTTCGCATTTGTGCCATTGCAGCAACACCCAAACCAAGGCCAAGTCCCATTATATTGTATTTTGCGAGAACCTGAAAATTAATATAAATTAGTTAAATATTTTGAAAGTTTAATTATCAGCATTCAAAAAGAATTTCAAAATTTTCTGAAAAATTACCTGCATAGCTTGCATAACTTCTGATACACTTGATTCATTGAATCCGGAAGTTCTTAATGTAGATTGTAAATTGTCCAAAAATGATAACAATTCATTATTTCCCAATCCACTCATTGGATATTTCACAGCTCCTTGAACATTTCCAGGTCCACTACCAAAAGCATTTCCACCAAATGAAGAATTGAATGAAATATTTGGACCGCCGCCACCTCCGCCAACATTTGGACCATTGTTGAATGCTGATTGACCACTATTAAATACGCCGTTTCCTCCGCCATTGAAAGGAATATTGATTTGAGTATTGTTGTGATTATTATTTGGTGGAATAATTCCGACAGAAGTTCCTCCGGAATATTTACCAAAATCTTCTTTATTTATTTCACTCGCGTGATGAGGATCTGATGCAACTTTTTCGAGAACTCGACTAACAGCTTGAAGCATTATCTAAAACGTTTTCCAATTTTCAATAAATTCAATAAAATGATACCAACCTTATCATCATCATTAGCAACAGTTACAACACGTTCTGGAGTATTTTGAGCTTCAGCAGATCCAACTTTTGGATAAACTTGAATTTGGCATCCAATATTTTCTCGAATATCTTTAATATTCGCACCAGATTTACCAATAACCATACCAGCTGATGTATTTGGCATTACAATTTTACATGAATTTGCACGTGGCGAATGTTTTTGATCAAATTGATCAGTTCCAGTTTGATCGGAGCATTTTTCTCGAATTTTCTCTTGAATAATTTCAACAACTGCCAAAATATTCAAAACTCTTCCTTTTAATAAACAAATTCTTTCACTTGTTCCAGGATATGTTTCAGTTGATTTGCTCATTTGAACGCGACAATTATGATCAGTTTTCAAACTTCTCATAGTTTCACCACCTTTTCCAATAATTGCACCAACTGCATTTGATGGAATTAATAATTTGATTGATAAATGATCTCCTCCAGTTCCATCATCATCTCCGCCATTTCCATAATTTGTTTTCTTTGTTGCTGGTCCATCATTTGCATCTTGAGCTCTTTTTACTCCTTGTTGAGATGGACGATCTTCATCAAATTGTTCATCAGACATTATTTAATCCAACTGAAAATAAATAAAAATAGTGCAGTGAATATTTCGAACAAAAAGAGTTCTATTTATAGAGGAAAATCGATGAGCGCACACAAACACGCAACGCTAGGCGTTATTTTGGACATCTGCCAAGAAACGAGGAGACGTAGACAGCTAGAGTAATGGCTAGCAACTAAATTTTAGAACGGAGTTATGAGAAAAATATTGGAGAGGTTTAGAAGAAAAAAATAGAAAAAGAAAACGGAAATTAGAGAAGTGAGAATATTTGTGAAATTACGGTAATCACGAGAACATAAATTACACTAATTGGCACCTGGGGAAACACCGTAATTTTGGAGAGAAAATGCTATTCCAGCTGACTGGCACATATTTTTGTTTTTCTACCTTTTTAATATCTGAATTTTGAAAAGACTACTGAAGAATTTTTACCTAGAAATAATATCCGCATATAAGTACAGTTATTGGCGATTATATTAGACTTGCAAGTAACATTTTTTCTATGGAAAATAGTTAATAAACTTTCTACTAGAAACTAAGCCCATATGCTTGCCAAAATCCCTGATATAAACTATTTTGGAAATGGCAAAAAATTAGACATTTTTACAAGTCACGTCATTTTTCAAAAGACGCGATTAAATTTAAATATATTCGATCATTTCTAGAAAAGTTTGAAACACAATTTAGTGTTTAGAAATACCCGGGCGCTTTGTTTTTGTCAGCCTGCGGAAAACCGAAAAAATATGGCGTAAAATTAAATGTAGGCTGGCTGGTGGTGTATGCAGAAAGTGCACACACACGTCATGATTACAGTACACCGCAGTGAATAAAAAATTTATTTTTTTTCGGAAAACGCGTTACGATTTTAAACGTGTTCAAGGAAATCTGGTATGTTTTTTTCTGGGATCCTATTAATCGTGAGGTATTAATGAGCAACTAGTTATTAGATAAATTTAGTTTTCTCTAATAAAAATTTAAAATTAACTCAAACAATTTGAATCAAATTGATTGTATGAAAAGTTTATTTCAGTTGTGAGAATGAATCAATAGTTTGGTTCATATAAAACTGTAAAATTGTGGAAAAAATATAATAGATAGTGTCATAAATTTTTGAATTTTTCCGCTCATTTTCGATGTCTGCGTCTCTTGTGAACCCGTTGTTACAGCGATGACTCGACAACAAAAAAAGAAAAGAAAGAAAGAAGCAAACAACAAAAACCTTGTGAGAAGACGAAATATAATAAGAGACAGAAGAGAAAAAGAGAGAAAACATGCGACGCGGTCATTGCGTTGCGGCTTTTCGTTTTACACACATCTGCTTATAATGCCTTTTTTTCAATTTCTAGATCAATAATAATAATCATTTGTTTTTCAGATTATCGATATTCGTCAAAATTGAATTGAACAGATGCTAAGTTATTAGAAAACTTCCCATATGATAAGAAGAGATAATATACACAAACCGGACTCGATTGTAAGTTTTAAAAAATATTTTTTATTTATCCTACTTCATTAACATAGAAAAAAATCAATATTTTCCAGAATACGGGATTCAATAGATCGGTTGATAATGGAGTTCATCATCAAACATTAGAACGAAAAAGAAGGAGAAGTCCTGAAGCATTAAATGGTATTTCTTCACCATCCATAGATTCACCACTTCTTCTTTCACCATCAACAAGTTCTAAATGTCATACTCCTTCAATATGTCCTCCTCCACCTCCACCACCAAAAAGAATGGATGAAGTGATACCACATCGACCAAGAGGTCCAAAAACACCTCCATTACCGATTGAGGAGACGATGCCTACAATTACACCAATTCCCCCACCGCCGCCAAGAAAACATGATCCATATATTTATCAGATGTGAGTTTTTGATGGGAATTGAAACAACTCTTCCAAAAAACCCTTCCCCATCATTCAGAGATATTATCAAACTGAATTTCACGAAAAATGTGCTCGAAAATCCATTAAATGTTTTATATTTATTAATAACTTCAAGATCGCCCTTTTCTGATTTTCTGATTGTGAATACAAAAATTTCAAATTATTTAAAAACGTAAGAATTCCAAATAAAAATGAATTTCATGCCCAAATTAGTGCTGAAATTAGAAGACCCTTGAAATCATTGGAATTATTTACCCGGTTCATTTTTGATTGGACTTTTTGAAAATAAATATATTTCAGGATGCATCCATATGCCCCATATGGTTATCCTCATCCATATTATCCATTTGGCGCACCCCCACTATCAACCCCGAATCCAGCAGTCAAAGTAACAATTCGAGATTGTTCCCCGCCGCCTCCACCACCTCCTCCGCCTCCGCCACCAATGCATCACAATTATTATAAAAGAAGTTGGGAAGGAAACAGCCGGAAAACATCTCCGCCACCACCTCCGCCACCAAAAAAGAAACCATTAGTCGATGATGAGTCTGTTATGGAATTGTTGAATAATGCACATAATACAACTGTTTCGTGTGATAATAAGAAAAGTTTGAATTCGAAAACAGCTTATAAGAAAGTTGAACAGGTTTGTTTTTTTTTTGGGTTTTCATATTCATCAAGATTAGTTTTTTTTTCAGAAGCCAATTGCAAAACCTGAAAAACGACCGCAGGTGATTGAGAAAAAGAAAAAAGAGAAACCTTCATCGCCACCTTCAATTATTTCACCACCTCCGATTCCACCAGCACCAATACAAAAAGAAAAAGAAACACCAAAAGTATTAGAAGAAGATGATTACTGTAGAAGACGAAGTAGTGTATTAACACCAGTTGCAGATGATGATATTGTTGAATTATTGACACCGTCACCTAAGTGAGTTTTTTCTGATAATTGGCTAGAGATGTTTTTATTAAAAATTCGATTTTAGAGCTGATTCGGATATCGAAATAATTTCAACAACAATGAATGGTCGAATTGTTGAAACAAAAGATGATCTTTTGGAAGCAATTGCTGTACAATTAAAGAAAAGACAAGCTGAAATTACGAAAAAAGAAAAAGTGAAAGAAGAATTGAAAGAAGAATTAGTTGATTATGAAGTTAACAATTATAATCATCGAACATCTGATTCTACTATCAATTTTGAAGAAAAAACAAATAATTTGGAGAAAACAACTGAAGCTGTTACTGTGGTAACACCAAGTGCAAGTGAAGCTGAAAATAATGAAAATACATCGAAGAGTAGTGAAGTTGAAACACCGGGAAAGAAATTGAAAGCAGTGAAAACAGTGAAGAAAGTTCAAGAAGCCAAGAAAGAGTTAGTTTTTTTCTTCAATTAAAAAAAAAATAAAAAAATATGAATTTCAGAGAGCCAAAAGAAGAGAAACCATCAAAACCAGAATATTCGCCACGAAAAACATTTGAAACTGAGACGTTGAAAAATGAAACTTTGAATTTTGTGAAAAGAGAAGAAAAAATATCGGGATCTCCATCGAAACTTCCGAAAATCTCATCGCGATTTCGAAAATTTGTTCGTGTCGAAACTCATCCAAATGGCGGTGCTTCGATGTTATGTTCAGATTGGAGTCGAGTTACAAAAGAACTTGAACCAGAAGATGTGTTAGTTATTTTTTTTAATTGATTGTTGAAAAATCTACAAAAATTTTGTTTTTTATTTAATTTCAACCACTTTTCCTTTGAATTAAAAACTGTCATTTCAAAAAATTTATATTTTTAAATTAAAATTTACCATGAAAAAAATCTTTTTTTTATTTCAGTGAGAAGTTTGCTCGTCAATTTATCCGCCTTGGTCTTGCTGAATCAAACGGTGTTCCTGTTTTCGTAATTGGTGTTCTTGAAAATGCGGCGTCTTATCTTTGTGTAAGTTTTGCTCTTTTTTTCTGAAAATCATATTTTTATTTTTTCCAGGATGTTTTCGAATATTTGAAAGACAATTTTGAAAATTTACCAGTAAAAGTTGGATCGCTGACCAATAAACAAATTGTTGAAACAATGCCATTGAAATCGTATTATGAACAAGTTATGGAAACTTGTCATCATGGAACTTTCAGGTTGGTTGATTTTTCTTTCTCAAAATCATTGCTCATATTATAGATATGGTCCAATGCATTCTTTATCAATGGTTGGCGCAAAACAAGAAGAATGTGGTCAACATTTTTCTGATCTTCTTTCAAAACTCGAACAATCTCCAATTTTACGTCCACTTATGCCTTGGGGAGAATGGTCTTGTTTACAAGAATTGAAAGAAGATGTGACTGATTCAGATGATGGTCCAATTTATTGGGTTCGACCTGGTGAACAACTTATTCGAACTGATGAATTGAAAGATGAACGAAAAAAGAGTGGAAATATTGGTGGAACAAGTTCAAAAGCCCATTCGATTTCTATTAGAAATTCTGAACGTCGAGAATTATTATTCGAAGATCGAACACCGTGTCATGCAGATCATGTTGGAGATGGATTAGAAAGAAAAACAACGGCGGCGGTTGGAATTCTTCAAGCAATTCGATCGCCAAATGAAAAAGTGAAATCGAAAGAAAGAAGAGCTGTTAAAGATGTTATTACTTTTCATGCCGCTGATTTTCATCGAATTGTTGATCGATTGCAATTGGATTTGTATGAACCACCAATGTCACAGGTAGGCTTTTGTTTATTTTTTCAACAAAAAAAAAAACACTTTGTTTAAAAAATAATGTTATAAACATTTTATAAACTTGAAACCTGAGATGAAAGTGAAAAAAAAAACAAAATTTCAAAAAATTAGAAATGGGCGGATTTGTGAAATCTGAAGATTTTTGAAAAATATTTTCGCATTTCAATTTTCTGTAAATCAAACGTGGTAATAATTATAAATAAGAATTTATAACTAACTTCAGAGCTCATCATATTTTTAAACAAATTTTTCAACTTCTCGAAATTTTACTGATGACAAAGCTACCATTTGTGATAGTTTTGAGCTCGAAAAATTTGAATAAATCACAAAAATTTTCCATTTTTGCAGTGTGTTCAATGGGTTGAAGAAGCCAAACTAAATCAATTACGACGAGACGGAATCCGTTATTCAAAATTCCAACTCCACGAAAATGACATCTATTTCCTCCCTCGAAATATCATTCACCAATTTCGAACAATTTCCGCATGTTCCTCAATTGCTTGGCATGTTCGACTTCAACAATATTATTTGGATGAACAAGCTGAAGATTCTCAGGATAATGATTAAAAGAATCTCAACTGGTTTTTTTTTCAAAATTTTTTTTTCTTTTTCTTGATTCAGTTTTTTCTGGTCTGTTTTTTTTCTTTCCCGGCTATTTTTCTATTTATTTTCTGTTTTTTCCTTGTTTGGTCTCAGGCATTCAGCATAGAGATTCGATAGTCAGTAATATATGTTCCTTTAACCAACTTTACCTCCTTCCCCCTGTCCTTGATATAATTATTTTCTAGGTCTTTCTGTCTGGTCCCAACAAAAGGATACTGTAATCTCGCAAAAATGTATAAATACAGTACCCTTTCAGGGTTCCGGTTCGAGCCGGGCTTGGCTTGGCTTGCCAAATAAGCCAGAAAATTTTTGAACAAGCCGATATTAAAAACTTATGGCTTGAAAAAAAACAAAACACAGAGATAATCATGAAAAGCATCACCGGTAAAAGCCGAGCTTGATACTATCAAAATGGACCAGGTTTCAAAAAAGCCTGGCTCGAAAAAATGAACCAAACAAGTAGATTTCATGAAAGTAGACTTGATAACAAGCCACAATATATTTAAAACTCAACAAGCCGGCTTGGAAACAATACGGCTTGATAGCAAGCCGGCTTGTTAGCAAGCCGGATTGCACTGGCTTGTTATCAAGCCGGCTTGCAGCAAGCCGGCTTGTTTCTCGTCTGTGGCTTGCAAGTACAAGCCTGGCTTGCCGGCTTGTTTGCAAGCCATGCTGACAAAACGTTTGCAGTGAGTTGGGGGTTTCTCGTGTATGGTTTTGGCATTGGTTTCGATCGTGAATGGCGCTATTGATGTGTTTGGTGGACAGGGTGGCTGATATGAATTAATGGAATTGAAAAAAGTAGACCAATCACGCCAAAATCAAAAATCACACCAATTGCACCAAAGACAGGCTTGGAAACAAGACCACAAGCCCGGCTTGTATTAATAAAACAAGCCAAAAATCAGCCGGCTTGTTAACAAGCCGGCTTGACGTAAGCCGGCTTGCTGCCATTCAAACAAGCCATGGCTTGTTGTCAAGCCGGCTTGAAGGCGCTGTGAACAAGCCGGCTTACTATCAAGCCGGCTTGCCGACAAGCCGACTTGTATAACATTTATTTGTTAATCTTGAATATTCAAGCCAGACTTTTTGAACTAATTTCAGAACAATTTTTGTAAAGCACCTTTTTTAAGACCAATTTTAAAAGTTCTTTTTTTCAAGCATGGTTTTTCAAGTGGCGGTTTCATTAATTAAATTGTTTAAATATTTTTTCAAGTCCATGAACAAGTCTAAGCCACAAGCCAAACGGCTTGGTCTTGGCGAAATTCGGAACCCTGTACCCTTTCTCTCCCATTTTCCTGTTAAATATCTTTATTTTATTATGATCTCTACAAAAGCCATTTTATTTCATTTTTTTTTTCAAAATACTTTGTTTTCCTTTTTTTTTGCCCCACCCAAAAACATATTGTGATTTTTGATTGTTTTTCGAAATAGTTGATTGATATAAACTAAATATAAATTTATTCATTCCGTATAAAAAACACGAGAAAATGTGGGATCTATGAAAAGAAGCTGCACTCTCTATACAAAAAAAAGAAGAAAAAGAAGATGGGCAAAAAATAATTAAAGTTTGTCATTTTTAGTAGAAAAAAAGAATAATCAAGTGCATAAATGATAAAACATGGTTTGTTTTTTAGTTGTGTGTTAACTACATAAACAATGAATGAGCAGCCGGATAAAAATCAATCAAGTAATGAAATCTGAGCGAAGCCTGTTAATGTTCGTTCATCGGGAACCTGGAAATTTCGAAATTTAAATTTTAGATCATTTTTTTAAGTAAAGAATTTTAGAGTCAAACCAACCTCATTTGGAGCAACTCCGGAGTTAAGAGCAAAAGTAATGGATCGTTTATCTGATTTCGCTTCAGCTAAATCAATCAATTTCTGGAGATTTGCAGCAACAATAACCAAATCGTGGCAATCAATCAATTCAGCAGTCACCAATTCGTGAGCAATTCCTTCCACTGAAAAACAACAGAAAAATATTTGAAAAAATTTTGTCGAGAATTGAAGTTTTTATTTTGAAGTTCGGATTCAAAAAAAAAAAATTTATGATTTTTTTGAATTATTCAAATTGTTACTATTTAAAATTTCTGTGTTTTTCATTTATAGGTTTAAGAAAAAGCTTAAAATCAGAAACTTTATTTTTGAACCAAAATTGGAATCTTATAGGATATTTCAAGTCGAAAAAAATTTGATTCACAAAATATCCACAAAAAAAAATAAAAATATCTCGGCACAAAACCGTTTCAATGAAAAAATCGCGAAAATGGAAACAAATATAGTTTTTTGACATTTTCTGAATCGAAATAATGTGTCAAAAACATTTTTCAAACTGTATTTTTGCGCTAAAAAACTTTTTCTCTCTGAGAAATCCCGCATTTTCTGAAAATCCCCGAAATTTCTTTAACTAACCAGTATCAGCAGATTTAGTGTAGTCAAATTTGATATCATTCAATTCTCTTTGTTGATTTCTCACTCTCAATACCAAATTCAATGTTTCCGAATTATTTGTTCCACTTTCATCTCCTTCTCCACTTCCTCCAGTTGTTGTTGCTGTTTTTCCTTCTTTTTCTTTATCTACATTATCTTCTTTCCGTTTTTCCTCTCTTTCTTCATCTTCTTCACTATCCGATTCTTCAGGTGAATCATATTCGAACTCCCAGTTACCGTATTGATCTTTTCGCAATTTTCCCGATGCCACTTTTTTCGTGCTATGATGACTAATTACTGGCACAGATGCCAGATTTTCGATTAATGTATGTACAAGATATTTACGATCTTTTGATTTTTTGAAAAACGAGTATTTGAGAAGTTCTGAAGCTGTTGGTCGTTTTGTTGGATCTTTCTATAATTATTTTTTATTTATGAGATGTTTTGAAAACAAAATAGAATAATACCTGCAAGCAATCTCTGATAAATGTTCTAAACGATTTTCCATATGCTTTATACTGATCTTTTCGTTCAGAATTCGCTTCCAAAGTTGGTGGATCATTTTGCAACGTCAACATCAATACTTTCATTGGTGGATATTTATGATATGGTGCAGTTCCAGTAGCCAATTCAATCGCAAGAATTCCAAGACTCCAAATATCAGCTTTAAAATCATATCCTTGAACTTGTTCCATTACTTCTGGTGCCATCCTGGAAAATTATAATTTAATTATCAATATTTTATTAAATTTAACTAACCAACAAGGTGTTCCAACGAAAGTATGTCGAACTTTTTGTCTGGATAAATCACCGCCCGAAGAAGCCAACCATCCAGAAACACCGAAATCAGCAATTTGAATAGTTCCATCATCGGCCAACAAAATATTACCAGCTTTTATGTCTCGATGAATTTGACCATTTGAATGAAAATATTCAAGACCTTTCAAAACTTCCCGAAGTACTGTAGCTATTGTCACTTCATCCAAAACACCAAACATTGCTTGCTCTTTTCCAATCGCCTAAAAATCATATGTTTTTTGAGATAAGATAAGATAAGATTTTGAGATGAAGAAACTCACTTTAACCTTTCGTTTCAAAATATCCAACATTGAGCCACAATTTAACAATCGCATTATAACCCACAATTCTTCAGCAGCTACAAAAGAAGTATGATAGCTGACAACATTTGGATGATTGCATTGAGACATTGCCTAAAATTTGAAATTTTTTAAAGATTTGGACTGGGGCCTGGTCTCTTGGACGCCTGAATCGGCCTCATTCAAAATTCCGTGACCGATTCAAAAGTTATAGAATTTCAGGATTTTTTTTTTAAATTCTAAAATTCGAATTTTTCGAGTCCGATTCAGATTTTTATCCATAATAATCTTATTTTTAAATCAAAATTCCAATATAAAAAAACCCCAAAAAACCAACCTGAATTTCGTGGCTCAATTCATCAACCGAAGTTTGACACTTCTCCAAATTGATACATTTTATAGCAACTCGCTCATTTCTTGGTATACAAATTGCCGTGTAAACAGTTGCAGTTGCACCAACTCCAATACTTTCCTCCAATTTATAGCTAGCACTATCTGTTGGCCATCGAATATCAGCTTGTGCTCCACTTGCTCCAGTTCCTTCATTTCCAGTCACTTGTGCCTCTGCTAAATTTGACGAGCTCATTTCTTTGTCGGTTTTCACTCGTCAAAAACGTTCTGATCCTAAAATTGAAATGAATATTTAATAGGAAATATTTAAGAGAACACGTTTTAAAATAAAAAAGAAACAATTTCGATTCACAATTTCTACAGAAAAATTCTAAAATCAATAAAAGATAGTTGAAAATTTGGGTTGTCAAACCACATAAAAATGATCGAAAATAATCACAGGATCATCATAATTTATTCACAAATTATACATGTTTTTTCGCTGTGTTTTTTTTGATTCAATAAATAAAAATATCACAAATTTGGCCAACCGAACTAGTAATGCAATAAATAAATAAAAAATAAATGAAATGAATAAATAATAAGTTATGAAAATCATGCAATATTTACAAAAAAAAATAAGCTAGAAAAATTAGATTATTGTTCTTTCAATTTGGCGATAACATCTTGAAGCAATCCAAGTTGAGTCTAGAAAAATCAAGAAATTCTCACAAAAATTATATGAAAAATTGCACAAACCTTTGAATGTTTAACTTCCAATTCAGCCAATTCACAAAGATTCTTTTTGAATGCTTGAACTCGTCGATTTTTCAAATCTTTCAATTCGGTTTTCGATACTCCACTGATTTCTTCAAATTCTTTGCATGCATCAGCTTGTTCAACTTCGGCTTTTTGAATTTCTCGATTTTTTGCTCTTGCTCTTTCGAGATTTTTGTTTGCCGCTTCATAATTCGCCAAACATCTGATTCTTCTATAAAGAAGATCCTGAAAATGAAAAAAATATGATATACGTGTAAATAATTATAAAGTTCACGTTTAATTTTTAATTTTGTGGTCATTTTCAGAATCATTATTTCTAGCAAGTGATCGAAAGGGGATAAATTGAACCTCTCTTGAAACCAAGTAAAATGCACGGTAAGTTGAGGGTTTTCATGAGAATTTCAAAATCCCTACCTTTGCTGCTTGCGTGTCTCTCGCGAAATATTGTAAAGTATCAGATAATTTCAATTCTTCATCATTTGCTGATCTCGCTTCAACCTTTTTCAATTTAAACATAGCATCAGCTCCTCTTGCAAATGTTCTCGCTAATTGTTTATTTGGTTCTCCTCTAGCAATTCTTTCAAATGAATCTCCAATTTTCGAAAACGCATCAACAACATCTTTTCTACATCTGATTGTTCTTTCGGATCGAATCGCTGCTTCTTTTATATGAACATTATATTCCACCAAATATGTCTTTTCTTTTTCGAAAAATTCATCGACGTCTTTCTGAAAGCATTTTGATAAAGTTCAAATTAACAAGCATATGTATTTTTGCAACACAAAAAAGATCATGTACAGAATGAATGAATAAAAGGAAAAAGAATGAATACCTGTCCAGACAATAACACTTCGTCAGCAGATTTTGCAAACTTTTTCCAAAACGATTCAACTTGCTCTTTCTTATTCTTTCCACGAACCGCGAGCTGAAAAATGACAATAAAAACTGGGATGGAAATTGTATCAATTAACAAAAAACAATTGAAATTTTGGATAAATTTCTATAGAGCATGTGAGTTTCAAAGAAATTGGGCAAACTTACATCATTTTCATATTGCAAGAAAATTCTGAAATTAGTATCATCTTTGAAAACTGGATGAGCAGCGACTCTTTGAAGAAAAACTTCGTGCATCGCCACGGTTTTCTTGAATTGTGCCAAATAATCTTGCTCCAAATCATGTTTCATTTTCGAAAATTCCTCTTTAGTCATTGTCGATTCGCCTTCTCCTAATTTTTGCAATTTTTCACGTGAAGAATCAAAATCTGGGCGTGGCGGAGCGGGTGGAATAATGAATCCAGCATATTTCACATTTTCTTCAAGAACTCCATGAAGCCATAGAAATTCTTCATGTTCTCGCACAACTGATGATTCACTTTTCATATCGCTCAAACGAGTTCTAGTGTGAACGGTGTATTTCACCTAAAAAATAAACATTGACCAAAAATTACAAGTTAGAATAATCTATTTACCTTATCTCTTTCGGAAAGCGCATCAGAAATATCAACATAAATAGCATTAGCCGAATCTGCATCAATATTGATTTCTTCGGTTCGATGCTGCAACATGTTTTATTTTGTCTATTGATAAAAAAAACGAGCCAATTTTTTATCAAAAAAAAAAAAACGAGAAAAATGTTGTTCATATTTGTTTTGATTTTTTGATGAATAATAATAATTCGATAAATCGAATAAGTCTTGTAAATATATATTACAATTTTCCGACTGATTTGAGAAAATTCATTTTTTTTTGATTGTGAGACTTACATTTCGATTGTCAGCAAATGATGAATAAGTTGAATCTTGATTAGTTGGAATAACAGAACTTTCATTACGAATACTTGCATCAGTTTTTTGAGTTTCATTTCCTGTTGTTTCTGATAATTTTTCCGTAGTTTTTATTTCATCTTCTTCTTCATCATCCAAAGAAACACTTTGAAGTGGATTACTGATTACTTCTTCGCTTATCATTTTTTCTTTCTAAAAACAGCCAGACAATTTTGCAAAATTGTATATTGATAGATAATGAAGAAATAATAGAACTATTTAGTATCAAATTACAAATCAATCGATTATTCTGATAATATATAATATAATAATTTTGTATGTGTGTTCTATAAACAATAATAATTCACACTGGAAAAAGTGCGAAAGAAAATATAGAAAGAGGCAGAAATGTGTGTATTTGTCAACATTTCTTGGAGAGACGAGAGACCGCAAACACTTTTGCCTACCATATTCCTAATCGATTTCTCGATTTCGGAAAACAAAAATGAAAAGAAGACAAAAAGAAACACAAAAACAATGGAAGTTTTGATGAGATCACAAGTCACGAAGAATGAGAAATCGAATTTTTTGAAAATAAAAAACACACACACCGCACTCTTCGCTGCGAGATATTTTTCAACAAACACTAAAATGTTTCTTTAATACAGTACTTTATTTCTTTTCCAAACCGGCTTCGGAATTTATGTGAGAAAAGTCTCTTATTCATGCATATTTTCATTCAACTATACAAAACCATTATATTCATAATACGAAGATGAACACCTGCAGAAAAATTAAGAAAACAGGTGAGTTATTTAGTTTTTAGGCTATATTGTGAAAAATTGCACAGTATATCTCAAGTCCCAAATAACTTGAGATAAACCGAGAAATATTGGGAAATTCTATATTGTATTTAAAGTTTGTCGAATTCCTTTCAAAATAGAAATTACTCGTAATTGAAAACAAGATAATATGTTTCATTATCAGTGTTAAAAAAATACGTTGACCATGTAATTTTTTTTTGAACTTTGATTCAAATTCATTTCCGAAAAATTCTTATCTGATTTTTAATTGTAAAAATACCGATTTTCCATAAATATATCTCTATTCTATATTTATCCTCATTTTTGCATTTTCTTCTTCTCTCGCGCACTTTTTTCTCTCTCACTCTCTTCATTTCGTATACTATTCAGCCATTTGAGCCAGCTTTTTCCTTTTATTATTTCTGTTCTCTTTTTTTTGGCAGCACATTTCTGAAATGAAATGAAATGTAGTATTTTTCATGTATAGTAAAATTGATTTTTTTCTAAATTTATGTAGAAGATGATAAGTTTTTAGTAAATAAAATATTTCCGGAAATTTAATCTTCAAACTTTTGAGAAGAATGAAGCAATTGTTATTTCTCTCATTTTTCTTGTTTTTTTTTAAATCATATGATTTTACCTGGATATTTTGAGTATGAGGTTTAACCTCATGTTATTTTGAACAACACAAAAAATGATGGTATTGTTATATTGTACTTTTATTTTATGACTAACAGGGTACATTATTAATCTGTATGTTTTCATTTTACAAAAATAATAAATATCTGTCATAATCTACAGTATTCTCATTCCCAGGAAATTTATTTTTATTCGCCGGCAAAATATGCTTTTATTGTTTGACTGGTTTCAAAAAATATGAAGAGATTGGCGCCAGAATTGTTGTCATAATAGGATTTTTTGTCGACCTTGTCAAATTCTTTTGTCTAAATTTTGCGATAGTTTCAAAATATGTATTTGTCATAGTTGTTTTTATTGTTTTGAAATTGTCTGGACGTTTTCGAACTTTCAAACTTCTTAATCACGCGTTTAGCAAATAATTCTAAAAATTAGTCACAATCTCAAATGTTTATCTCATAATTTTTCCAGCAGTCATGTTATTATGCTGCAAAAAAGGATCTGGTGATCCTGTAGCAAATGCAATTTACAAACTTGAACCATTTTATCGATTATGTGTTATTCTATTTGGTGCAGTCTTTATTCATCTAACAATTGGAACATATCATACATTTGGAAATATGTTGCCATATATGGCATCTTATATGAGAAATTATACTGATCCAAATATTCGAATTGAACATATGATGTGGATTCCAACTTTTCAGGTTTCTTTTTGAACTTTCATTGGTTTTTTGGGATTAATGTTTATCGTTTATTTTAATTTTTTCAGGGTTGTTTTCCATTTGCAATGGTTATTGGTGGAATAACTTCAACTAAATTCACTCCAAGAATTTCAGCATTTATTGGATGTTTTCTAGTAACGTTAGTTTAACTTCCGAGTTTTTTCTCCCAAAAAAAATTATATTTTTCTTAGGTCGAGTGTTGCTTTATCAGCTTACGCAATTCAACATTCATTCACCGCTTTTTTTGTCTGTTATGGTCTCATTTTTGGTCTTGGAACTGGAATTGCATATGTGACAGCTGTAACAACTGCAATTAATGTGAATTTTGAATTTAATTATGAAGAAAAGAAAATAATGAATTTTAAATTTCAGTGGGCGCCTGATAAAATTGGAATTGTTTCTGGAATTGTTGCCGCTGGATTCGGACTTTCATCCTCGATTTTTGCCCCGATACAAACTTGGCTTGTTAATCCGGATAATTTAGCAGCTACAAAAGATGGGTACGTTTTTTTTTTTGAAAAAATTGCGCTCTATTTTTGATTTTTAATTAGACCTTCGGGTTTAATTAAGCTGAATATCCTAAAATATATTTTTAGGGGATCCCAAAAATGATATTTAAAAAAACCAAGTTCAAATTCATTTCAGGTATTTCGTGCAATCTGAGTTACTTGAAAGAGTTCCTGGTTTATTCACAAAATTGGCAATTATTTATGGAAGTATGCAAATAATTGCATTGATTGTTGTTTGTGATCCACCATATCGAGTGAGTTTTTAGATACATTTTTTTTTTGAAAAAAAATTTGGAATTCATTTAAAAACTTTTGAAAAAAAACCTTTTGTTAACCAATATATTTGAATAATGAATCAGATTCGTCATTCTGGTTTGGGTTCTTTATCCGAATTCTTATTCCCTTCTTCTTCTTCTTCTCGACAATATTCTTCTGTTCAATATCGTCCTGTTCGACTTGAAGAACAAATGGTTCGAACATTTTTTAGATGTTGTGAAGTGTGTGTGTGTGCACAGTGTGACAAAAATCCCGACACAAAATAATACTTTTTGCATGTCTTTAAATCTTACTGTACTTATACAGAGTGTAATTTACTACTTATCCAAAACTGTAGACTTTTGGCGCCGAAACTTACAGTAACCCAGTGTTTTTTGGCGCTCAAATTATCTGGAATTTGTGGGCTTATTCAAAAATTGACGCCAAAAAGATACTTTTTGCCACGTCATAACTATTTTTGTGAAAATTTTATTTGATCGATATCTCAGACTTTCCAACTACAGTAAACCTAAATTTAAAAATTCTGATGTTTCCAGAAATTTTGAAACCAATTTTTGGATTTGTAAATTACAGACTGTAGCTGCAGATTCTTTATTCATTCTCTAATTTCATTTTTCTTCCAGAAATCTTCATCAAATGAATCTTTGACAAATGGAAGTGATTCAGAAGGCGAATATGATCCTGTTTTCAATGGTAGGCTTCTTAGTTTTGCCTGAGAATCTCTGAAATCAATTATTTTTTGTTTCAGAAAATGCTGAAGATATGACACATCAACTCACTTCATCAGAAATGCTAAAATCAACAACATTTTATTGTTTGTTTCTCTCATTGTTTTGTTGTTCATTTTATGCCAATATGTATTATAATTTATACAAGGTAAGTGTATTTTTCTCTAAAAAATGTTATACAATTAAGATATTCTTCAGACATTCGCTGAAAGTTTCATCGAAGATGATTTCTTTATTGCAATGGCATTTTCAATTGGTTCAATAGTAAATGCGATTGCAAGAATTGGTTGGGGATATTTAACAGATCGATCAAGTTTTCAAATATCTTTATCAATTGCCACGTGTATGGCATCCGTATTTCTTCTAACAATGCCTTTAACAATTGAATTGGGTAAATATGCATATTTAATATGGTTATGTGGAACATTTATTTGTATGGGTGCAACTCATGCTCTTTTTATTACTGCAACTGTCAAATGTTTTGGAACTAAAAATAAGGCGAATAATTATGGATATCTGATTTTATCAACGGTAAGAATTATTTTTGGGTGTATTTCATTTTTTTTTATTAGCATTGGAAATAATTTGCACCAAATCTTTTTCTAGTAGATCAAAAAATATTTATTTTTTATCAGTCAAAATTTATTCTTAAATCTCTGCAAAAATTGTTTTTGTATCATTAATTCAATCTAATTTTAGATTGAGGGGGATTTTTCAAAAGCAGAATCAGAAAACAATTTTTGGAACCTTCGAGCTCAAAATTGTTTTTGCAGACAATGAGTGGAATCTTTCTTGCTGGTGTTTCTCAATTCTACCTTAATATGATTGGTTATACATATCTCTTCATGATAACTTCAATTTTCCCATTCGTTGCTTTTGTCTCAATTTCGTGTATTCAATGGACGCCACAAGGAAAACGGGTTGTTTAATTTAAAAATTTTACGAGTTCAAAAATTATTTAATGCATATTTCTTTTCTACTTTTTTACCTTACTTTTTTGTCAAATGGTCATATAAATTGTTTTTTTTTCATTTCTTGTTTTTTTCGAAACCTAATTAGCTCACGTTTCAAAATGTGACAAATATTTTTCTAATGCGGAAGAACCAAAGATTTTTCTTCTCTTTTTCTGAAAAAAGTTCAGTTTTGATTCCAATAATTGTTCATTTATCTGAAAACTTTATTCTTTTTCAGGTTAAAAAATTGCAGCTGTCTTTTTGTCGCAAAAAGAAATCACATATTCAAAATATTTCGAATTTGACTATAACCAACCAAGTAATTAGATATAAGCAAAAAAGCAATTGGTTTTCGCCTTCGAGCATTTTACCACATAACTTTTCTATTTTCAATGATGTATAAAAATGAGCTGGAAAAATATTATATCACAAATTATTCTGTAAATTGTTTCCCAGATACATCATTTCTTGCTTCATCGGATGGTTTGATGATTATTTCTAGAACTATTCTATTTTTTCTCATTCCTCTTTATATTTTTGGAGGATTTTGTATTTGGAAAAAGACACCAAATATAATGAAAACTACAAAAATAGTGATGTTCAACCTTCATTTTTGGTCCGCCTCGGCTAGCATTTTATTATGTCTTATTGTAACTCCTTTCATTTTTAGTCCAAAATTCGCTGGACTTACTATTGGTTTATTCAATTATTTACAAATTCCAATGGTGGCACAAATTAATTTTGGGGTTTTTGTTATAATTTGTAAGAAGTTTTAAATATTTTTCGGTTACCCAAAACAATTTTATTTTTTATAGCAATGTGTTTATCAGTTTGTGCAATATTTTCCAATCGAAGCAATTCAATTTCAACAAATCGTTTTAGAATTCAAAATCCAATTTTGAATTATTCCATATTTTTCTTGAATACAATAATTGGATGTGTTTATCTGACACCATTTTATTTCCATATTCCAGATCAAATTATGGCTAAAATTATTATTCTTAATGTAAGTTTTTTCTTGGAATTGTTCGGAAATCAACATCAAAAATCAAAACAAAGTGGGTGGAAAACTAACTGAAATATATGAAACTGGGGGAAATTAATTTCGTAAAAAAAATACAGTAACCTTTGGGAAAGATAGAAAATTTTTTGAAAATTCTTGAAGTTCAAAAAACTTTCCAAACATGTGGAAGAAAGTTCAGCAGTATTTTTTTCTGTCTAATTCTTTCCAGATGATTCACAAAACGAGACCAACATTTTATTGAACCTTTTTCCAAAATCCACATTTTTTTCAGGAACTTCCATGTCCTGCTCCAGAATTCTTCGATGATAATAATTTTGTATTATCAGTTGATCCAAAATGGACATCATATTTTATTTATTCAACATTTTGTATCACACTTTTAATAGTTTCTCAATTATCATTTTATGTCTCCTGTTGTATTTATTATATTTATTTCGGAAACATTTCCAGATTTTCCACAAAAACCCAAAGATTTCAAAAAAAGTTTTTTCGCGGAATAACAATTCAAGTAACAATACCATTTGTTTTTATTGTTTTTCCCCTTTCATATCATTTTTTCGGACATTTTTTGCAATATTATGATCAAAAACTTAATAATATTTCTGTAATTATAATGATATTTCATGGTTTTGCTTCAACTTGTGGTGCTCTTTTAATTCATTATCCATATCGTGCTTATATTTTGAGTTTTTTTCAAAGAACAAAACCTCCCCCAAAAGTGCAAATATCAAATAGAGTTGTGTCTTATTCTCCAAGCCCAATTTATCATAAATGATTTTTCTTCATTTTCAAAGTACATACACATATGTTTCATCCAATTGCAAAAAAAAACGTTGAACATATGTCTAACATATGGATCAAAAAACCATTATCAGTTAGTTTTCAGGGTCAACCAACAACCAACCAATATTAAATGTTTTTCCAGAAAATATCAAATGAAACCGGGTAGGTATTCAGATATTTTCCATAGAACCTGTCTTTTGTTAGTATGACCATTCTCATCTATTATCATTTTTCGAAACTTCTTTTTTTTTCATGAAAAGAACATTTCTTTTCTTTTTCTCAAAGATGATGAAAGGAACATTTTTGTTATTATTGAAAAAAGAAAACGAATCGTAATATATAAACATAAAGATCACTTTTTTTCAGTCTTTCGGATTTTCATTATTTTGTTTATTTATTTTTCTTCGCTTTTTTTCGATTTGATCATTTTATTTGCAAAATTCCTCAATTTTTTTTTGTGCAAAATATGTTGTTTTTTATCATGAATGGGAAGAGTTTTGTTTGATAATCTTATTGTTTTTGTACAGTTACAAATAGTATCTTTTATTTTTTGAAAAGATGATTATTATTTTTTTTTTGAAATGGAAACGATTTTCAGAAAAATTTAATTGGAGGCCAAGAGTCACTTTCTTTAGAGTGGACCAACTTTTTTCATAGCTAGGTTTTTTTCAGGTTCAGAATGCTGCCTAGCATTTCAGAAATGACAAAAAGTTCCAATTGATCTATACTAGTGAGGGTTTAGGATTTTTAAATTCTAGAAATTTTAGGGGATTTTTAGGGATTGCAGACCCGCAATTTTCAATATACTTTTGATCTATTTTTTCTAAATCTCTTAACTCTCGCCAGCAGCCTTAGATTAACATGGTCAGAAATGTTGTGCAAAACGAATAAAAACCGGTTGCCGGTTTAAATTTCAAATTTTTTTCTATCGAAATGTGTTTTTTTTTTCGAAACAAAAAAAAACTGAATTTTAATAAAATTGTGCCCCTACACACAGTAGTATTTGTATTTTCTTTGCTAGAAAAATTTAATGTTTTCTTTTCATTCGAAAAATAAGATTATTTAGATTATGTCTAGTTTTTGAACCTTTTTTCCGATTTATGTTGAGTTTCGACCCGAAAATACGAATTCTTTTCTTGACTAATCTAATATCCAAACAAATAATAATTATATCGTTTTTCTTTTTCTTCTTCTTCAGTCACGCCTTTCCATTTTTTCTATTTATTCAAGTGATAAAAAAACAAGCTTCTCCCGTTCTTCAATTTTACATATGTCATTTTCAGATTTTCTCCAAAAAAAAAAACAAATTAGAAAAAATGTGAATTTGTTTACCCGCGTGCGTGAGAGCCCTTATCAATTAGATTTTTTTCGATAAAATTCAGTTTTACTTTTTGTTTTTTGAGTGCTAGGAAATTGAATGCTACACGCTAATTATGGTTCAACCCTGCAGGTTTGTGAAATTTTAAGAATTTGGGGAAAAAAGTGATCCAGAATTACTGTAGAATGTATTCTTTAAAATTACTTGTTTTCCAAAAAATATATAAACAAATCTAATTTTTATAATCAAATAAGTAATGAAAAATGTTTATATTTTTGTGTTTTTTCTTTTTTTTTCCAAATCATCTGGAAATGAAATAAATAAATGCGTTTTTTTCAGATGGGTCAACCACCAGAGAAAAAATCAGGAAATATAAGTGGAAGATCGATAATTGTTTCGATTCTTGCATTTATTTTGGCTGTTGTTATAACTGCTATTTTAACATGGTATATTACAAAAACAACATTAACTGGTGTCGAAAATTCGACAAATGTTGAAGAAACAAAAAATGAAAAGAATTCTGCAGAAAGTGCATCAGCTGCAGATTTGAAACTGCCCGAAACAGTTATTCCGTTGGATTATCAATTAACAGTCAAAACATATTTACCAGGTTATGGATGGAAATCACAAAATAATCCAGCAAAGAATTTGACTTTGGAAGGACAATTAATCGTTAAATTGAATGTTACACAAAAACTTCGCAAAATAACAATGAGTTCTTTGGATTTGGAATATAATTCGAAGAAAAGTTCACTTTCAATTGGCGAAGATCCAGAAAAAACAATTGATATTGAAAGTATTGATGTGAATAAGAATTTTGAAAAAGTATTCATAAATTTGAAAGAAGCGATTGAAGCTGGAACTATTGTGAAACTCAAATTAGTTTATACTGGACCACTTAGAAATGATATGACTGGATTTTATCAAACTGTTTATTCAACTGATGATGGACAACAAAAGTGAGCAGATTTTTTTTGTGAAAAAACAACTTTATTTTTTTCTAGAATGTCGGCTGTCACTCAAATGGAACCAGTTTATGCTCGAAGAATGGTTCCTTGTTTTGATGAACCTGCATTCAAAGCACCTTGGACTGTTACAGTAATCCATCCAAAAGGAACAACTGCTTTATCAAATGGAAAAGAAAAAGAGAACTCAACAGTGTCGGAGGAATTTGTTAGCACTTCATTTATTCCAACTCCAAAAATGTCATCATATCTTTTGGCGATTTTTGTGTCGGATTTTGAATATAATGAATCTCAAACGAAAACTGGAGTTAGAGTAAGTTCGAATAGGGGGAATAAAAAACCTGGTCCAAACATTTGGAACTTTTTTTCTGGACTTTTATTGATCCAGCCTGATCCAAAAAATATCTAAATTCTGGTATTTTTTAGTTCCGTGTTTGGTCGCGACCAGAAGCCAAAAAATCAACAGAATATGCTCTAAAAGCTGGTGTAAAATGTTTGGAATATTATGACAAATATTATGATCTACCTTTCCCACTTGAAAAACAAGACATGGTTGCAATTCCTGATTTTTCTGCCGGAGCGATGGAAAATTGGGGATTAATCACTTATCGTGAAAATGATTTGCTTTATGATCCAAAAATCAATACAGGATTGAATAAAGAAAGAGTTGCAAGTGTAATTGCACATGAATTGGCACATCAATGGTTTGGAAATTTGGTGACAATGAAATGGTGGAATGATTTATGGCTTAATGAAGGATTTGCAACAATTGTGCAGTATTTAGGAACTGATGAGATTAGTGATGGTAATTTCAAAATGGTGAGTGAGATTAAGATAAGACTTTTTTGAAAAAATTTGAATTTTAGGACCAAGAATTTTTGAATGATGATTTGTCAAGTGCTTTGGATGCTGATTCAATTGCTTCAACTCATCCAATGACTTTTAAAATTGACAAAGGATTTGAAGTGTTAGATTCTTTTGATACAATCACATATTCAAAAGGTGGAAGTGTTTTGTGGATGTTGAGAAAAACATTGGGAGAAGAGAATTTCAACAATGGAATTAATGCATATTTGAAAAAATATTCATATTCAAATGCTGAAGCTGTTGATCTTTTTAAAAGTTTGACTGAAAATCTGCCAAATGGTATTACAAATTCTGAAGGGGGTCAATTGAATGTGACTGAATTTGCTGAACCATGGACATCTCAATTAGGATATCCAATGATTTCTGTGGATAAAGTTAATTCAACTCATATTAAATTGAGTCAAGAAAGATTCAAGAAATTGAAAGATGCCAAAGAACAAGAGAAATACAGTCATCCAAAATGGGGATTCAAATGGGATGTTCCAATTTGGTATCAAGATTTGAATGGTGGAAAAATTGAAATGAAATGGTTGAAAAGTTCCGAAGATTTATATATTGAATCTGATAAAACATTGGTTTTCAATGCAAATTCTGATGGATTTTATCGTGTAAATTATACGGAACAAATGTGGAATGAAATTAGTGATGTTTTATTGAAAAAACATGATGTAAGATAATTTTATAAGAAGAAATTAAAATTGTATAGTTTTAATTTTCAGGTATTTTCTGTTCGCACTCGTGTTCGTCTAGTTTCAGATGCTTTTGCAAATTCATATTCAGGTGGAATGACTTATGAGATTCCAATTAAATTAATTGAATATCTCAAAAATGAACAAGAATATGAAGTTTGGCAAACAGCAATTCAAGAATTAAGAGCAATTGTAACAATGTATGGAACTGATCCGGAAAAAGAACCTATCGAAAAATTCATGACGAAACTAATTTCAAAATCGCCAGCTTATAAAGATATCAATTATGTTGTGAAACATTATACTGATGAAAAACTATTCTTTGAAGTGTGAGTTTATTTCGAAATGAAGAGAAAAGAAAAAAATGGAATTTTTAGAAATGCAGCACAATTATTGATTTCATCTGAATGCACTTTGAATGATGCTGGATGCATTGGAAATATGACTAAATTATTCCACGATGATGTTATTGCAAAATGTGATTCGAAGAAAATGTTATCACATTGTTCAACGTAAGTTCTACTTTCTAGAAATATAAAATCACATGATCTCAATTCCAGAGTACCTGCACCATTCCGTGGTCTTTCATATTGTCAAGGAGTTCGAAATGGAAATGATGAGATATTTGAAAAAGTAATTGGATGGTATAATATTGAAAGAAATCAAGCAGAAAAAAGAAAGATTTTGAATGCTTTGGCATGTTCGAAAGATGTTGTACAACTTAAAAAATTATTGTTGGATTCGATGAAAAAAGAAGGTTCGATGTTCCGTTTGCAAGATGTTTCTAGTCTTTTTGCATTCGTTTCAAAAAGTTCAGTGGCTCAAGATTCAATGTTTGATTTCTTATTAACAAGATGGGATGAAATGCAAGTAAGATTGGCTGAAGATCGAAGTGGTTTTAATGGAGTATTGAAATATTTGACAAATAATATTAGAAATGAACAAGGATTGGAACAATTGAAAAATTTCGAGAAGAAAACTAAAAATTGGGATTTCCGAAAAATTGAAGAATCAATTGCGGTTGTTATCAATTGGAGAAATAAAAATGCGAAAAAAGTATCTGAATTATTCGAGAATGCCATTAAAAATATTTGAATATCATTTTCTTTTCCAAGCACCACTACTTTTTATTTACGGGAAAACTTGTCTGATAGTAAATACTTATTTTTTGAATAAAATGATTTATTGAAATTATTTTTAATTTTTGTGTTTGGCGTGGAAAATGTCTTTTTTATTTTCTATTTTTTTTAGAAACAAATGAAGACCAAAAGCTAACAGTCACTCTAGCGTATCCGAAAAACACTTCAGGACTAGAAATAATCAATGTCAATTTACAAATGTTCGCAACAAATAAAAAAATTGCAAAAATGGTGAAGTTTACGCCAAAATAAAAAATGGCAGAAAAAACCGTTTGAATTTTCTTCTCAGAAGCGAAGTGTGTAAACACCGTCACGTCAGAATGCACACAAAAAAGTTATTTTTTTTTGTTTTAAATTTTCACCAGTTTTTGCTTGTTTTTCACTTTTCAACGATGAATTCATATTTTGCTCATATTATAATAATTTGGTGTATAAAATCACAAAAAAATTTCACAGAAAAATTTCCAAATGAAATTTCTGATTCTTCTGCTTCTCGTTGTTCTTCCAATGATTATGGCGGTGAGTTTTTGCAGTTCGGAGAGAGTACTGTAGATCACCGGAACACTAAGCGTAATCGTGGAGTCTCGTATTTTTTCCAAAAACCAGTGCGATTTTTCCCAGTCGATGGAGATGATATCGAATTTGATGATGATATTTTGAACAAATCAAAATATCATTGAAATTCGAGATAACGTTGAACAAACTCAAAAAATCTACTTTATCATATTTGACAATTAAGAAATTCGAGACGGTCCAGGGTTCGACGAATTGTCCAAATAAAGTTGCGAGTTTGATGGAGATTTTCCAGAATTTTTAGATTTATCTGGAAAAAGATTTTTCTTCCACATAATTTTCATTAAAAACTCACATTTGTCCAATTTCCATCCAATCGCCTCATTCAAAAATTCTTTTTGATAATCTAGACTTTTTACATTTTCCTGAATATTCCGTAAATATGCCATCTTCTCTCTATCTCCATTATAATTTGCAATATACTCTTGAAAAACTTGTGGGATATTAATAGATTGAAGAGGTTGAGAAGTAGTTGGAGGAGGACATCGACGCTGAAAACTTTTTGGTTGGGAAAATGTTTTTGAAAAAAATGTCAGCTACTCACTTTTGGCACATTTGCAACAACTCTCAGAGCCGATTTTCTTTTATTCGCCGTCGTTCTCTCTGGAATATTCTCGATTTCTTCCAGCTCTTCTACAATCTCATCATTTTCTCGTCTCCCTCCAAGAGTTCCTTCACAATTATCAGATCCACATTTACAAATCGGAACTTGGCTAGCGTTTCCAGTTTTCATTTGATATTTGAAACAAATCTCTTCCCCAGGCTGAAAATGAATAAAAATTAGAAAAAAACTCTCAATAATTTTTGAAACAGTAAAATTTTAATATGAAGATGAACAAAGTGAACCCTATATTTTCTAGGAGGAAATTAGACTGGACCGTATTTATCCAAGGCAATAGACCATATATAAAATTCAAGCTCTCCCCAAATCTACCTGAATATTGCGTATCGCTACAACCGCAATTCGTTCATCATACAAAATCCCATTCCTTCCCGATTTTCCAACAATCACACTTCTTTTTTCAAAACGGCAATTCGGCTCACAGCTGTGATTGATATACCGTGCCCAATTTCCTATTTTTGCCGAATCAATTACTCGTCCTTTCGATAATTGAGCCATGAAAAGATTGGCCTCTCGATCTCGTCCAATTTCCAAAATCAAATTTCTTCTATCAACTTCTCTCTTACTCAAAATCTCTCCAGCATATTCGATGATAAAATCTCCAGAAAATATCTGTTGTTTCGCAAAGACCCCATAGCCTTTTTCGGGAGTTGGAAGAACTTGAATAGCTAGATTTTGCTGGGGAACGTTTTCAGAAATCCCGCGATTTTTACATTTTCCTTGTTGCGTTGTGCAACTTTCAGAGCATTCATAATGCAGTTGGATGTTTTGGCAATTTGAGTTTTGACAGTGAGGATTTCGAGTTTTCGGACAATCGCAAATATATTCAGTTTCAACGAGTTCAACGAATTTCTTTTCATCTTCTTTTTTCAAATATCTAGCGGTCTGGAAAATGTGGAATTCTAGACAGGCTGTTTTTTTTTGAGGATTAGTTGGTCTAACTCGGTTTTCTCAAATTTTCTGAAAAATGTGAACAAAACTGAATTTTCAACTGAAAAAAAATTTTCTAAAGATTTTTGGACAAAGTATTTTCCAACCGGTCGCCCTACTACCAAAAACCCACGAAACTAACCTCCAAACTCCTGCCAACCTCCTTCAAAATCGCCGGAAAATCGACATCCCTTTTCAATGTTCTAAAATCTTTTCGCACCGAATTCCTCATTCTCAAATCCTTAATTGCATCCAATATTTTGATAGAACTCGTATGAAAAGATATCAATTCCGAAAATAAAACAATCGAAAATGTTTTATTCTCATACCATTCAACTAAACAATATCCAATTTCTTCGAAAAATTTCGATTTTTTTAATATTGGCGGGATTTTTTCGAATTTCCAATCTCGAACAATTCCCGGATAATATTGATTTTTCCATTTTGCCAAAACATGCGAATTTATTCCAAGACTTTCTCCAGTTAAACAATATTCACAGATATCAGTGTTTATGATTTTGTGGTCGATTTCTTGAGTTGTTCGACATTCTTGATGAAAAGAGCGAACACAAAAGCGGCAATTAATAAGAGTTCTTTGAGAATTATCTTCATTTTCGCAATCCAAACATGATTTAATATGCGAATTTGGTTTGATTATTGGTTTTGGGCGATGTGCGGAGCAGATTAGCATTTCAGATTTGTAGGGCTGAAAATTCATTTTTCAGTGAGAAAATTGAGCTGAAATCTTGGAAAATAAGAGGGTTTTGAGAAAAATTCAAATAATTGAACGCTTGAAATCAAAATTTTCATATCGAAAACTGTTTCTAAATGAAATATTTGAAAATTGCCCAGTTTTGTATCTCCTTACCTTGTCCAATTTCCAAACAACTTCCAATCTCTTTGATCCAACCGGAAAACATTTATCCTTATGAAAACTTCTCAAACACGAAACACATTCAATCAATTCTCCAATAAATGCACTTTGTTTTCTTCTTTCCATAAAACAACAATCACAATTATGAAGTGGACAAAGTATAGAATTTTGGCATTCAGCCAACGAAATATAGCGAATGTTATAGTCAAACGAATTATAACTTCTTATGCAATCGAAATGAAATTTCGATAAACATTTTTTCCTAACTTCATTTTCTCCATCTTCAATTAATCCATTGATAAATCCTTGACAGCTATACAAAATTCCTGATTTTTCACCACAAATTATACAATTTTCCACTGATTTTTTATTGATTGCAATGATGTTTTCTCTACGTTTTCCTTGCTCTTTTGCCAAATAATCGATATTTTCTCTTTTCCGAATTTGATCGATTTTTTGCGGCCATCTTTTATCGATTTCTGAAATTTCCAGATTTTCCAATTTATCCACACAGTACTTGATTGACATTCCTGCAAAAATTTCATTTCATTTGATTTCAAAAATTATTTTGAGAACAACTTACCGTGTTAGTATTTCCAAAAAATGGCTTGATTACATAATATTTTTAGCCATCGAGAGTTCACGGGTGACGCGTCACAAAATAGGACATAATGAGAGAAATGCATTTTTTGATCTATTCAGTAGATCAAAAGTCTACTGCGAAAGTTTCAGGTCTTGGTTCACAAATGTTTTTTTTTTTTTGGTAAAATTTGGACTTCTGGAATTCCGTTAGAACTTGTAGTCGCAGAAGAACTTCGACCATCCTCAGATTTATCCGCTCCGCTCCCGGGTCGTACGTGTTTTTGCACTAGATTTTCTTGTTTTCTTCTTTCCCAGGGGCAATTTTTGATGACAAGTCGTGACACAATATCCACAGGGCAACGCGAGCGCATGCGCTCACAGCGAAAAAAATTATTTTTTCTGTTTCCTTGTGGTACGATGCGCAAGGAAAAAAAAAAAGAAAAAACAAAAGGGGATCGGGAGAACACACAAAAACCGTGCGCACATGCAATAACATTGCAGAAAGACTATGCCAGGGGTTGCATGTGGAAAACTCCGCCCATTATTTTTTTTGAATTTCCTCAGAGAAAGCCGGCGACTAATCGGCGACCAACAAGTTCGTCGCAAGTTCGTCGGCGAAAATAGTGTGTGTTTCCCGGAGACGCAGACGAAAAAGTTTCAGGCGACTAATCGGCGACTAATCGGCGACTAACTTATGATTGGTCGCCGATTAGTCGCCTGAAACTTTTTCGTCTGCGTCTCCGGGAAACACACACTATTTTCGCCGACGAACTTGCGACGAACTTACGATTGGCAGACGATTAGTCGCCTGATCTCGATTCGTCGTAAGTTCGTCGCCGATTAGTCGCCGGCTTTCTCTGAGTCCGCAACGAATTTTTTGTGAACAAAAAAATTATTTTTTTTGCTGTGCGCTTTCTCTGAGAATTGTTTTTCACTTTTCAACGATGAATTCATATTTTTTCAGTAAAATGATGTTGGCAATTCTTCTCCCAACTGCCTCTATCAGGTTTTCGACGGAGGGATGCGAAATCTCGTCGATTTTCAGCCAAAAAGTGAGTATTTTGAGAAATCACAGATTATTTTCATAAATCACTGTTTTTCAGGCTCTTCAAGTTGTTGGCATTTCAGCTTTTGATGTTCCTTCGAAATGATTTGAGTACAAACCACAAAAAAGCGGATGTTGAAGTCGGATTTCGCATGATTTTTAAACCGGTTAGTTATTTTACATTTATTTTTGAGTGCTGAAAATTTAGTCACTGTTTGTTATATTATTTTTCTGAAAAATATCTTGAGAAACACAGTTTAGTTTAGACAGTTTTATTATATCTACAAGTATATACACAAATAAATAAAGCAAGAATAAATAACCTCGTACAATATAAAAAGTCATGATTAGTCAACTTCTTCGACGGTTGGACCAGATGGATAATTATTATTTGAGAATCCTGAACTTTGCGGATTACCACAATTTTGTTGTCCTTGTTGATGCATTTTTGCCATAATTTGTTGACAAACTTGTTTGATTTCTTGATATTTTGCATCAATTTCATCTTTTTCGGCCAATGTATTTGATTCCATCCATCTCAATGTTTCCTCACAAATACTTTTAGCCTTTTCAACATCTTCTGGTGATAATTTCGAACCATATTCATCAATTGCTTGTTTAATTTGGAATACATATCCTTCCAATTGATTTCTCGCTCCAATTTTTTGTCGTTGTTCTTCATCTTCTTTTTCAAATTGTTTAGCTTCATTTACCATTCGATCAATATCATTTTGTGATAATCTTCCTTTTTCATTTTTGATTTGAATATGATTCGATTTTCCAGTTGATTTATCACAAGCTGTTACATTCAATATACCATTTGCATCGATATCAAAAGTAACTTCAATTTGTGGAACACCTCTTGGAGCCGGTGGAATTCCAGATAATTCAAATGTTCCCAATTGATGATTATCCTTTGTCATTGCTCTTTCACCTTCGAATACTTGAATTGATACACCTGGTTGATTATCAGCATATGTTGAGAATGTTTTTGATGCTTTTGTTGGAATTCTTGTGTTTCGTTCGATCAAATTTGTCATAACTCCACCAGCAGTTTCGATTCCGAGACTCAATGGAGCAACATCAACCAACAAAACATCCTTGATTGAATCATCTTTGATTCCAGAAAGAATTGCAGCTTGAACAGCAGCACCATAAGCAACAGCTTCATCTGGATTGATTGAGCAGTTCAATTCCTTTCCGTTGAAGAAATCTTTCAACATTTTCTGAATCTTTGGAACTCTTGTTGATCCTCCAACCAAAACAACTTCATCGATTCTCGATTTATCCAATTTTGCATCTCGCAATGCTTTTTCAACTGGTTCCAAAGTTTTGCGGAACAAATCTGCACACAATTCTTCGAATCTGGCACGTGTAATTCTTGAACATAAATCGATTCCTTCGAAAAGCGAATCAACTTCAACAATTGCTTCCGAAGAACTTGATAATGTTCTTTTTGCTCGCTCACATGCAGTTCTCAATCTTCGAATTGCTCTTGGATTTGATTGAATATCCTTTCCATGTTTTCTTTTGAATTCAGTCATAAAATGTTGAAGAATTCTTTGATCGAAATCTTCTCCTCCCAAATGTGTATCACCAGCTGTTGATTTAACTTCAAAAATCGAACCATCAGCAATTGTTAGAATTGATACATCAAATGTTCCACCACCCAAATCAAAGATCAATACATTTTTCTCATCATCCTTGATGTTCTTGTCCAATCCATAAGCCAATGCAGCAGCAGTCGGTTCATTGATAATTCGAATTGCATTCAAACCAGCAATCGTTGCTGCATCTTTTGTTGCTTGTCTTTGTGAATCATTGAAATATGCTGGCACAGTAATAACAGCATCTTTTATCTGATGTCCCAAATACGTTTCAGCTGTTTCTTTCATTTTTCCAAGTACCATTGCTGATATTTCTTCTGGATTGAATTGTCGTTTTTCTCCTTTCATTTCAACTTCAATTACTGGTTTTCCATTTTTTGATTTGATTGCAAATGGAAAATGTTTCATATCCTGTTGAACTGTCGAATCTGCGAATTTTCGACCAATCAATCGTTTCGCATCAAAAACTGTATTTTCCGGATTTCGAGCTGCTTGATCTTTTGCCGCATCTCCAACCAATCTTTCAGTTTCACTGAATGCAACATATGATGGTGTTGTCTTGTTTCCTTCAGAATTGGCAAGAATTTCGACCTGAAATAAAAAATGAATTATGATTTGTTTAAAATTCGAAAAAATAGACTTACCTTTCCATTCTGATATACTCCAACACATGAATATGTGGTACCCAAATCGATACCAATAGCTTTGCAAGTAGACATGTTTGATAGCTTTGTAAGTAAATTTCAGAGAAATTATGAAAATACTAGAGAAATCCGGACCTTTATATACATATTTTGCCGTTTTCGAGAATCTTCTCCTTCTTTCTAGAGACTATGTCAGCCTGCGTCTCTTCTCCTCGCACACTATTTCTGTCTGTTTGTTTGATTCTCTGCGTCTCTTTTTCTGGTGTTTGCGAGAATTTTCTAGAAAAGTGTGTTTGGAATGGAATAGAATTTCTGGAGTTTTCTAGAAAAAGTTGAAAATTTGGAAGAAAAAACAAGTGTCTATGAAAATAAAAAAAAACTTTTCAAAACTTTTCTTGGGAGAAGCTTTGGAATCGAGGATATTCTAAAGAAAAACTTATTTTTCAGAAACTTTTTCTTTTTTCATTTAAAAACTGATAAAAGCTCAAAGTTTATCGGAAAATATTTATTATTATTATTATTCACAAATCAATTCAAATTTACAAAAAATAAAATTAAAGCTTCAATTCAAGATCATTTTCAGAAGAATCATTATTATTTTTGTTTTCATTAGTTTTCGTAAATTCAGCTGGTTTATCAGTGAATAAACAATATGAGGTGAATGTTGCAACTAATAAAAGTCCAGAATTAACACAAAAAGCCATTGCCCATTGTGATCGACTTGTTTCATCGTGAACAAATACAGCAACAAGACCAGGAACAAAAAATAATGCGATTGCTTTGCAAAATTGAATTGCGGCTATAACAACATCGGCGTATTGTTGAGAAACATATCTGTAAAAAGAATAAGTACAGCACGTGCTTTCAAAAGAATGTTATCTTTGATATACGCAATTATGAATTGATAAAGAAAAATAAATGTTTTTTTTTAAAATCGGCTTACCGTGCACATTGATAATAACCACCACAATTTGAAGACATTAAACAGTTGACTGCTGTTACTAAACCCATCGCAATCCATTTTTGTGAAGCTGGCACAAATCCAACAAAACCAAAAAGAACCGCAACAATTCCACAACTAATTGTATTGAAAATTAGCATTTTTGTTAGAGGAGTTACAATCGTAACTTTATCACTGATATAAGCAGAAACCATTTTGAATGGAATTTGTGCAAAATTTGTAATACTTATAATAAATCCAGTTTGTTCAATGGGAAATCCTAAGACTTCATTGAAATATGTTGGAGAATATGTAATCATAAGAATTGACATTGATAAATCCATAAATGCATTGAACCAACAACATAAAATTGCTGGGTTTGTGATTAATTTCAAATATGGAATTGTTCTTTTTGTCTCAAAATGTGCATCGGATTTTCCTTTTTGAATAAGTTCACATTCTTTTTGATTTACAAATCGATGATTTGTTGGAGTATCAGAATATACAAATGCCCAAATTATGAAGAATATAACACCAACAAATGCATGCAAATAAAATGCTGATTGCCAACCAAGACTTGAAGTACACAACATTCCACTTATTGAATCTGTTATTGAAGTTGCTATTGGTGAAAATATTGTTAACACTGAAACAAATATCGCATTCTCATCAAGTGGCGCCCATTTTACACAAATTATTCCGATCACTGCAAAATCAGCGGAATATGCGACTCCCTAAAATAATTCATAATTAGAGTCAGAGAAGAGTTCTAGATATTTTTGAGTACCTGAACAAATCTAACAACTAATAATAATGGGAAACTTGTTAATGCAACCATTGGAATAACACTTGTAGAAACAGCAGAAATCAAACCAGCGGCTAAAAATGTATATCGTGCACCAAATTTCACAAAACAATAATTGAATGGAAATGTTCCGGCAATTGTTCCAAATGCAACTGCCCAAATAATTGCGGCTTTTTCTGTGGGAGTATAATCATATACATTTACAACTGTCTGAAAATATTGAGATTTTTTTTTGTTTGGTTTTCAATAATTAACAATTACCCCATTTATTAATGTTTCAGAAACTGAATCTTCCATACAAATAAATGTGAAATTAATAATTGTAGAATTTGAAAATATACTCATCAAACATAAAAATGCAGAGATCATTACAACAAACCGATAATACGGTAGATCTATCATTTTATTTCTATTTTCACAGACAAAATTATAAAATATTTTTCTAAATGAATGAAATTTTTGATTTCGGAAATTTAAACCGTCTCAAGTTTAAGAAATAGGCGGGATCTTGTTATCAGAAAGAATTTGACCAAATCAGACAAAAAATAACAAAAGTTGTGATGTTTCGATGATCACTGATAAATTAAAATATGAGGAAACGTGAGAGGAAAGAACAAATACGTATTTTGGAAGGAATGAAAATGAGGGTCTTTTCCGGAATATTCATGTGAGATACACATGCAAAAGTTCACGATGTATCATCAATTGAACTTGATTGCAAAGTGTGTTTTGTCGAACACCAGACACGTCTCATTTCGATATGATTATCAAAGAATTTCTTGATCTACAGTGAAACTTTTTCAGTTTTCTTGAAAAAATGAAACATTTTCACAAAGATGGGATATTCTCATCCTTCCCATTTTCTATATCCCATTAAAAGTTTCGAAATATTCTTCCCAAATTCTTTCAACATTTTCGATGACATTAGGTATTACCTAAAAGCTTTGTGAACTGTAGTTTAGAGACTAGATAAATCAAAAGCGAAATAATTAGAGACGAGACGAAAAACATTTTGTGCCCGACTCAAAAAACAATGATACTGACACGTGCTTATTTCGTTTTTCGTTCAAAATATTTCATCGATAACAGAATTGGAACAATTTGGGGGAGATTGATGGTTGGAGAAATGGAGTTTGGAAATTTGGGGAAACATTTTTCAATAGAGCGCATAGGTACTGTAATTTTAAATTTGCCGGAAACATCTGGAACAACTCCAAAATTCAAAAAAATCCAGTTTTTTTGAAAATCTGAAAAATTTTTTCACTTACCCCATTATCATTAGTATATTCCCCGCTTGGATCAAGTTTCATACAAATAAAAGTCATATGAATTATAGAATAATTAGAAAATACACTGCTCAAACACCAAAATGCTACAATCATTACTACAAATCTATAATATCCACCTTCTGTCATTTTGAAAGAAAACTTTGAATGGTGAATGACAAAAATGAACCGCGTGCCAAATATATTAATAAAAATATGAAACCAGTTTTTGTAGAAATTCAATCTGTGCTGTTATTTTTATGACGATTTATGATTATTATGTGATCTATGTTTCATTGTGTTCTATCATTTCTTTATTTAAAGAAAACGAAGAAGAAGAAGTATTTGTTGTACTTTTGAAAATGAAAAAAAAGGTTCATTTTGATAGGCATTCTCTGAACATTGATGTGACTGACCATTTTTGGTGAACACAAAAAGATAAATTTGTATCAATGATTTTTTACCAAGGTGTTCACAACAAACAATAAAAATTTATTAAAGACATTTTCATAAATTATTTTCAGAACTGTAAAAATAATTTTGCTATAAGTGTATTGTGTTCAAACATCAGTTACAATATAACAATTTTGTTTCGTTGATGTTGAATTTTTGAAAATCGGGAAAAGGGAAAGTGACTATTAAAAAAAGATTATTGATACAATTTTTGTTTTTGACTGTTTGTCTGACAAAGAAATTTTATGAAAAAAAGTTTAACCAAAGAAGGTTTAGCTGAACAACTCTAGAAGAGCACTGTGAATTCAAAACTCCAAAAATTATAAGAAACACTTCTGGTTTCACTGAAATTTATGGGATTTTTCAGTGATCTGATCATTTTTGGAAAACTTTTTCTAGTCTGAAAGTCTCTGCAAAAAAAAACAATTAATCATGAATAAGCATCTGAAAGATTGTAAAACTGCAAAGATAGTTTTCACAAAAATCTCTAAAACTCAAGAAATTGTTCCAAATTTTTGAACTTACGAGGGAAGTTTCCGAATTATTATTGTTTTGAAACAAACTGAAACCACACGTCTGAATTATTTTGCTCATCTATTTTTACATTTTTGATCATCCACGCCTACTTATTAGTTAGTCAGTTGTTTAATGTCAACAACTTTTTCGTAATCTGAAATCTGTACGCATGAATGAATTAATTTTTGGAAACTTTTTGGTTTTTGAAAATTTAATCCGATTCAGTTTTGTTGAAAAGTTTTAAAGATCAGAAAAAAAACATCTGCTAAAGGCGTATTTTTTTATTATCAATTCAATTTTCAGACTGAATATTTTCTTGTCAATTTTTCAATTATTTTTTTTCGAATCAGTCTTTAACTTTTCCCCCTTATAACTCAATTTTCTTAATCCAATTCAGCCGCATGTTTTTAATTATTTCAGGTTTTTGATATTTATTCCACTATAATAGTTTTTTTAAAATATTGATTAGAATAAATGGAAGAATATCGTCGATTATATTATAATTCAATGTGTAATCAATCGAAATTTGGATATTTAGATAGTTGGCAATTTCTTGCAACAGCTTCCCATTCATTATCTTTTATTCTAATTCCGCTAAGTTTTTATGGTAGTTATTGTATTATTTTTAAAACTCCTTATAAAATGCGACGAGTCAAATGGATTATGTTGAATTTGCATGTTTGGACTGGAATTCTAGATGTTATGTTGACAACTTTGATCACTCCATATTTTTTCTTTCCAGCTGCTTGTGGTTTTCCAGTTGGAATTCTAGCAGTTTTTAAAGTTAATGTGAAACTCCAAATTTTTATGGGACAATGTTGTTGTGGAGGTAAATAATTTGCTTTGGAATTTCATAACTTTCATTTTTTCTAGGATTGTTTTCAAGTCTTCTATTGCTTTTCGAAAATAGACATAATAGTTTGGTCACTTCAAAATTCAGAATTCCAAACAATACTTTTCGAATCATATATTTCTTTTTTGTTTATTTATATGGATTTGGATTAATGTTTCCAGCTTATTTAAATGAACCAAATCAAATTGAAGCAAAACTTACAATTCTTAGAACGGTAAATCAATAATTTCAATCTGATCTAAGATTGTCTGTTTTCAGATACTACCTTGCCCGACTACAGAATTTTTCGATTCTCCAGTTTATGTTCTTATTCTTGATACAAATTATGTTGTATTCCCAATTATTTTATACATTTTCATAATGGGAATACAACTTATATTCTTCGTTGTTCATAGTTTTTTTTATTTATTTTGTATTTCTTCAAAAATGTCAAATAGAACAAAAGATCTACAGAAAAAATTTCTGATTGGTGTTTGTATCCAAGTTGCAATTCCAATCGGAGTTTTACTTGTTCCAGTTATTTATTGTGTATGCTCAATTTTATTGGGTTATTATAATCAAGCAATGTTGAATATTGCTGTATTATTTATATCTCTTCACGGGATGTCAGCTACAATTGTTCTAATTTATATAAATGAACCATATCGAACATTCACAATTCGATTATTTCGAAAAACCGATCATTCAACAGCAAATAATTCAACTCAAGGAAGACGATTTGCAACTACTTTTACCACTGAGAAAACCATCGTGTTTTGAATAATTAATTATTATAATCTCTATTTTTTCAGAATTATTTTCGAATAAAAAAAATCGGGAAAATTCAGAGAAAAAAATTTTGGTTGTATTTATTTTTTAATGTTTCAATCGTCACAGGAAAAAAGAACTTTGATTCTGAAAAAAAATGACTAACTTGATAATTTTATCAGAAAATTGGATAAAATAAGTGATCAATAAATAATTATGAATCTGTCTAGAGAATTAATTCTATTTGCGAAAAATAATAATCAAAAGCAACGTTCTATATTTTTTTCAGAAAGAAAAATCTGAAATTTTTTTTATGAACTCATCAAAGAATCATTAAACTTTCACGATTGAATAATTTCTGAATTATGCTAATTTTGTTCATCTTTTTTTCTTACATCACATACTTTTAAACTAGACTCGATGAATACTTGGAATTCTCTAAAGTAGATTTCGAAGAACTCACTTCCTTCGTGTAATTAGTGAGTGCGCAACTTTTCTTTCAGTTTTTGTTTTTGTTCAAAAAAAACTTTGAAAGTTTTATGTGCGCACTCTGTTTTTCTGCATTTTTCATTAATTGCTGAATAGCAGCAATGTGATTTTATTTTTTTTATTAAGACTTCCCACATTAATCGGCTTACAAGTAGATCAAAAATTCAAAAGTTCTTCTAACTATTTTCAGAATTCTCAGAAAAAAGTTGCGATTTCCTGATTATTCTCGGCTGATTTTTAGCTTTAAAATTGGATATTTATTTATTTTCACTTGAAAAAGTAGTGATGCCCTTTTTATTTATCGTGCAATGTTTTTCAAAATGAGTTTCGGAAATGAGATTTCAGAAATTCAGAAAAACAAGATTTCTATTTTTAAATCAAAGCAATCGAGTATTTTTCTTATAAAAATTTTTGAACTTTGATTTTTTGTAAAAAAAAAAGATCGCGGATATATATATATCCAAACAAGCATTTTTCTCATTCTTTTTTTTTTCGGAATATTTTTTCGATGAATATTAATATTTATTGCAGAAGATATGTTTTTTGAGCTGCTCACAATTGTTCATTTTTTGATTATTATTTTTGGAGTTGTTTTGAATATTGTATTTATCAAATTGGCTATTCTTTCTAGATATTTTCATAATTATACAAGGTGAGCATTTTTTATCGAATTTGGAAAATTTTTTGGTCAGATTTTTTTGTCCAAAATTTAGTGGAAATTTACTTCAATAGCAGAATCTACGTAAATTTTGATATAATTTATTCAAAAAAACCTTACTCAATTTAATTTTGTTCTATGAACCCATCAAAGTTTTAATTAAAATATTTGGCTTCACAGATTTTGTCTTCTTTCAATGGTTTTATCAATGATGACATTAACAATGATGAATGGTTTAGGATTAATTGAATGTTTACTTCAAGGAACATTTATCGAAACTCAAAAAGTGAAAATTCTTCCAAGAAGACAAGTTTGGAATCAGATGGGATTAATATCTGGATTTATTATTGAAGCTTCTCAATTTATGGTTCTAATCGGTATTTTTATTGAGTCAAATCATTCCATTTTCCAAGAAATAGTAATGATTTTCAGAGCGGTTAATTGGTGTTCGATTCACAAATTTTCGTTCATCTCCATTATTTTTTCCATTTTTCACATTTTCAACAATTTTCCTTTATAGTTGTTCTATAATTTATGTTCAATTATTATATGGAAATGATAATCAAAGAAATATTGCATTGATTATGACAAATTCAATGGTATCAATTAGTCTTTTTGTGAGTTTTCTTTTTCAAGTTTAAAAATCAAAATGAAAGAATTATTTTTAGTTGAGTATATTTCTTTTTGGATATTCGAAATAGTCTTTATTCGAGAACAAGAGGAACGATTGGATTGAAATATAGATTTAGGGTAGGAAAATTTTATTTAAAATTAAAGAAAAAATTCCATTTTCAGATATCCGAAACTTATGAAATTTGTCGTGGATTAGTTCCAGCTTCAATTTATCGACTCATGAATCGTTTATTTATTCTAACTTTTCTTTGGATGAATTTCATTGGTTATAATCTCAAACTTGATGATATTTTGAATTTCTTTTTCTTCATAAATATAGCGAGAAGTTCAGAATCTCTGATATTTCCAGCACTTTTCATTTTACTTCATCGAAAACTTCATCGAAGGGTTTGTTGTTTGATTGTTTTCTTGATTCCAATTCCCATTTTTTACAGTTCAATAGAATATTCTGTCATTATAAGAAGAAGAAAGAGACATTTTTCAATTTTCGAGGATTGAATGGTAAAAGATTGACAATCAATCGATCGCAAAATGAACATTTTGAAAGACTCAGCGAGCAATGGAGAATTTTATATTGAATATTTCAATTCATAGAACAGGTGAAACATTTGACATGACAACGTTAAACTTTTCATGATTTCTAGCTGTTTATTTGAGTCCAAAAAACGCCCGACTGACGGAATTATGGCCGATTTGTTGAGAGTTGATTAAAACAACGCCAGCTGCTTTCGAATTGCAGAAATACATAACTCATTTCCATATTTATATCAATTTCCAATTTCCAATTTCACCCACAATGATCTGGGAAATCATAAAAGTTTCACATTATTTGATTTCGATACTTGGTATTGTTTTTCATATTTTATTCATTCGCTTTGTCATCTTTTCAAAAGTTTTAGATGGTTACTGTAGGTATGTAAAATAAATATTTTTGATTAATTTTCAAATCGACAATGAATATTTAGAACAACGTCTTTCCTAATTTCAACCGGACAATTGGCTGTTTTATTTTCTTACCCAATTTCGATATCACTATGTTTTTCAATGGGTTTTGAATTTGAACAAAATGAATGCGTTTATTCGAGTAAGATTATTCTGACTTGAGAAGAAGAATATAACAAATATTTTTGATTTCAACTTTTTTTCAGATGAAAATCAAATTTTTCGATTAATTCATATTTATGGTGAATACACAACAATTGGCCCATTATTCATTTTAATCTGTGATAGATTGATATCAGTCAGATTTTTAAAGTTTCATGGATCAAAAGAATACCAATATATTTTCTTTTTTTGCTCTCATTTTTCATTGTATTCTTTTGTTGATTTATATCCGATTTTTATATTTTGGAGATTCGGATTTGGGTTCAGCACTTTGTTTATTTTCAAAATTCATCATAGTTATATTTTGTGCAGTTGTAAGTATACCTAATAGATAAATTACCAACTGAAAATTGTTTTTTTTTTAAAGTTTTCAATTTATATCAAATGTGTATCAAAAACAATATATTATGATAATCAAGGAAAAGTTTCACTTGGAAATCGATATAAGGTTGTTAAGAACATAGAATGCGTCATAAATAATAGAATAATTTGATTTCAGATTTCTCAGTCTTACGAGATTATAAAAAGTTATATTCCGCCAATTTTCTTCAGCGTTGTTCTGAAAATCATAATTTTCGGGTTGGCAATTGCTTTCCTTTTCCATCAAATTCAAATCGATGGAAAATTATACATGATTTATAGTTTGGTGGGTATTCTTTTAAAAAAACATTATTTTATTTTCAAATTGAGAAATTTTCAGTTTCTAAACACCGAAGCTTCAATTTTCCCAGTTTTAATAATATATCTCCATCGCCATTTTCGCAACAAAATTGTGGTTTTTCTACACTTGAACAAAGTTCAAAATACAAAAAATGTCGAAGTTCACGCGTTAACTGGAACTGTGTTGAATAACACAACAACACAGGAACAATATTTTGATGGACTCAAAACAACATGGAAATAAATTCACGAGATTCTGGTTTAATAAATACCCTTTTGAAATGAATGAATGTTTTCATAATTTGGAGCAGATGTGTTGCTCTTTCTAATATTCATTATCTGATTTTAGTTATAACGCAACTATTTACAATACAAATAATAATAATAATGTTCTTCTTTCTGCTAATCTCATTTTAATCATAGGGTTTGTTCGGATTCTTGGCGAGAAGGTCAAAAAGTTATAAGGATATGGGTATTAGAAATATAAGAAGAGAATAAAATATGATAATTATTCAAAAAAGTGTAATTTTTGAATGTTTTCTCTCACAGAAATTTCAAAACTGAAAAAAAATTAAATGAAATCCACGTGCTATAATTTTTTGAGAAAACGGACTAGTTCAAATCGGTCATTTCAAGTATGGAATCTTGAAAATCCTCAAACCCTTCGGATTTGATTCGAAATATTGTCATTCAGAAAAATTAAGAGCCTTGGAAGAGAATCGAAATGGCCTAGGAAACCAAGACCACAGTAGACTTCGCAAAATTTTGGAGTCTATTTGAAAAATAAAATGCGAAATTTACAAGTTGGCTATTTGCCAACCAGTTTGATGTGCATGTGTCACGTCATTTTTAGTCTACTGTACGTGAGCGCCAATTCAAACGGGGGTTCTTTTATTTTCGGAATGACAATACCTTATCTCATCTCAAACCCCAATATTTTCAATCAACTGTGAACTTTTATTTTGATTAATCAAATAGATACATTTTTTGGTATACATTGATGACCCGTTTTTTTTGTCTATTTGTATCCACCCAATAAATAATAATAATAATAATACAGTGTCGATGTGTAAACAGTGTCCATTTAATCTTCTACACAAATTTAGAACTTCCTCTTTTTTTCTGGGAGCCTCAAATATTTGTTATCCTCCTTTTTTGCTTATGACAATTTCGGAACTGAAATTAGAAATATCACCTTTAAAAACCTTTATTTACAAATATCTCAATTATTTAACCTTCTGGAGAAATGGTCATTGCAGAAATCCCTGGAATATTTTGATGTCATATTTACAATATGGTTTAGAAATAAAGAATACAAGAATAAAATGGGCGAAAAAATAAGACGAAAATTGGGGGGAAAATGAAAAAAAAGAAGGAGATTAGAGTCAAGATTACTGTAGTTTCGCGCACTTTATGGGTGTAAATAATAATTAGAAAGAAATAAAATGAACAGATAATTGAGATGTTTATTTATGATGATGACTATTGTAAATAAATTCGGAAGTCCGGAAGGAATAAACTGGCACCAAAACTTTATTACCGTAACATCCTTCCCTCTTAAATATATAATTAACTTCTTATTTCCAAATTATTTGTTGATGTTTACTCAATAAATTAGTAACAAATACATCAAACAAATGTGCTAATAAGTATCAATTTCATTCAATTTTTCATTCAATTTCTCCATTTGCCCAACCAATTTTTCTTACGTAATCCATCTGCTCAAAATTGCACAATTTCTTTCCTTCTTCTGTTGTAATTATTTACAGTAGAGCTATTTTGGGATTAATTTTTTGTCGTGACCGAAAAAAGCACCTGGCTAAAAGCGAAAAGAGTTTTGAATTTCATAAAGATTTTTGGCTTCGAGATAACGAGATATTTGAGAATGCCGAAAATAAAATGTGGAGAACAGCTGAATTCTGAACATTATTTATAGTTTGAATGTTTGATTTCAGTAAAAATAAGAAGAGAATGACGGAAGAGAATAACTAAGGAAAATAAGCAGGGGAACAGTTTGGGGGGAACTTCGGAAAAATGAATGAAAATCTCTTTGAGAGTAAAAAAAACAAAATTTTTTTTTTTTTTTTTTTTTGGACATGAGCCTAATTTTGAGATTAGGATGAACCAAAAATTTGAATTTCTAACTTTTCCGATGTTAGGTTAGTCAAAAAAATTCTTCGAAATTGGAGAAACCTCAGTCGAAAATTGAAATTTGAAAAATCCAAATTTTCAAGAGGATCCCAGAATCTTTTGTAGAAAACTCTTTGGAATAAATTCCAAGTTTCAAAACTTTTCTCTAGCCCTCAATGCTATAAATTTGCTCCCGAAAAAGATTTTCATTTTCTTGAATAAATATCCACCGTAATCCCTTCTTTTTCTCCAATTTTTCTCCTCTAAAAATATGGCCAATTTTCCCACGCGAAATGGAAGCAGTCGTCAAGTATTTAGCATAACTACTACCAACTGCCAGATGACTTTTTCCCTTTTCTTGTACTTAATGACTTCATTTTCTTGACAGCCCGAAAAAAAAACAATACAATTATTTTGATAGGCTTTGGCGGGTTGAGAATGGAAAATGAATCAAATTTGCATTTTGGAAATGGAAATTGGGAAAACAACAAAAAATCGAATTTTGAAAGCAAAGACTACGGTATTTTATCTTAATCTGATAAAAAATATACTGTGCTGATATGAAAAGGACTTTGGAATACGGAATCTTTAGACTTTTGCCGAATGCGAATTCTGAACCAGGAACTAGAGCTGATTTTCAGAACTGACTCAAAGGCTGGATTTTGTGTTAAGATGATTTCAAGATAAATCCTTCAGGAGTTTCAGTAAGACTGAAATTAATTCCAAAAAAAATTCCAAGTCCTCAAAAAGATCCCTCAAACATTTGCGAACACCTCTTATGTGAAAATATTCAAAAAGCGAGTGCACACCTGTCCCTTTTAGACCATCTTCCACCATCCATTTTTTTTGGTTAATCCTCTTCACCCAAAAAAGAGAGTACGAACAGTAATGTTTTGTAACATGCCGACAAGCGAGCGAGAACCAAAAGTGGAAATAGAAAGAGACAGAATTAATCTCGTGTTAAACTGAGCGGAAATAAAATTGCGGGTGTTAATCTCCGGAAAAATAATATCAAAATAGTTTGTAATTTGCGGTAAAAATATAAAGACAGTCTTTGTGAATATGGGAAGATGGTGTAATTAAATACGGGAAAAATTGGGAGTAATTTATGAAGTTTTTAAACATCTTAAAAGATTTCCGAGGTTTCAGAAAAATACAATTTTTGATATTCAATTTATACGTGACCCAAAAACGTGGAAATTTAGAAATCATTTTAGAATTTTGAACTATTACAGAATTTGTATCCACTTTCTAGCTTTCATTTTCAGACTTTCTCATAGTTTTCCAGAAATCACAACTATTTTTCGACCCCTAAATTTCGACTCGTTTTTTTTTCGTTCACATTTTCATTTTCGTCGTCGTCGACAAACAACCAAAAAAAAGCGAGAGAGTATGTTGAAACGAGAGACCGAGTGTATTGAAGGATTACGGTAGAAAGAGTGGAAACAAAAATGCGCACAGATAATATTTTATTGATTTCAACTGACTAAAAAAGTTTTTTTTTCTCTCTTTCTTTCTGTTTCTGTTTCTCGAATTACATCATCTCTGTTTTAATTTCGGGGTTACTGTAGTAATAATGATATGGTTATTTGTCAGACAAAAATACAAAAAGTTTGACGATAATCCGAAGGAAGTATTGCGCAATTATTAGATAAGATGTGTGACAACAACTAAAAGAATACTATATATTTATGTACACCTTTTTGTTTGAATTTGGATTATTTTAATGGTGTTATGTGTATGTGGTGAAGAATATTATGGAGCAGATGCTGATAAAAAATAGAGCAGACAATTTGAATAGTAACAGAAAAGGATTGGGCACAGTTCAATTTTCGACCAGATTTTCAAAATAGTCCAACAATTTGGTCAGAATTAATGAATCGGTTACAAATTTCAGAACATCTGAATCAGACGGTCACTTTTGTGACTGAATTTGGTAACCAGATGAGTCTTAGATTATTCTAGATTTCACCGGTAACATCAGATTGATTTTCAGGCTTGACCTGATCTAGAGATCAAATTGGCCCATTAAAAAGTGCCCTGGAATATTTATCGACAAAAAAGAATATTCTAACTCTTGGACCAAAACATCAAGAATCAAATTGGGTTTATAACTAACTACATAGATGACAAAAGGGTTTGGCTGATGAAGAGTAAATTTTTAAAGTTGATTGGAAAATTGGAAAAATCGTGAAAATCTCAAATTTTGAAGAGAAAAATATAGTAAACGAGGTGATGGTGACTGTGTAGAATGACTGAAATGAAAAGTGAAAAAGAGGCCAAGAAGCGAGTCGGAGCCAGCCTAGTGAGGGGATGAGCCGCGCTTAGCTGCCATTTTCAATACTTCATTCTTCTTCTTCTTTTCTCAAATACTTAAGACACTTCAAATAATCGAGAAGAAAAAGACGCAACAAAAAAAACTGAAACAGTCGGAAAAATAGTAAAGGTTGGTATGTATGTTTATATACAATATTATCAGTGAAGAGGAAAGGCGGGCGGTCCTGTCTGGTATAAGCTCTGGATTATCGGGTCGAAATCGGATAAAAAAGACGGCGACAGTACAAGAGAAAATAGACAAAAATATATATGTAAACTGTTTGAAGTGTGTATTTATTCCTATGTTTGTATATATATATTTGATTTCGATGCCAATAATCTGAGCAACATCAGGATTCTCCCTCAAATATTCTTCATTACTTTTTCAAATATTCATGAATAATAATATACCGTGCTGTCATCAATACTATTTAACAAATCTCCAAATATTTGATGCTGTCACAACAATATTCTTCTTTTATCATTTCCCGCATGTGCGCAAACTTTTATATGTGTGTCGACAAGTGTATTAACACTTTTGAAGAGCCCTTTTTTGTCCCGGTCAAAGCGAGTGAGCGAGGAGGATTAACTTGCCTTTTTTCTATATTTATTTGACCTGTATGCATTATTTTTTTTTATGTACATAACTAATAAATGTTGCCGTTGTCAATGGAGCGCGATTGCGAAAAAAAAAGATTTCTGTTCATATATACAGTACTCCGAGTGAAAGAAAGGGAAAATGAAAATAGTTTTTTTTTTTCATAAATTCATTTTCAATGATGAACTGGTTCATGTATTATAACGAGTTTTGTATGGATTAGGCAAAATATTGATTTGGAGGTCGGCGAGAAAAAATACGGTATAATTACAATAGAATATTTCTGAATTTCTAAATTCTCTGCGTCTCTTCGACGTTTTTTTTTTGCAAAAATTCTTGATTTTCCTACACAAACACATCACTTTTTTATCAACAACAAAAACTTTGATAAAATTGATTTATGAGGTGTTAGTCATCCCTATTTACCCCTCATTTTTATTATTTTAATTTTAACCATGAGTATATTTATTTTAATATACAATTATGAAATATCCATTAGCATTTCTCACCGGTTTCATATTTCTTAATTCTCTGCTGACGATAGCAAACCATGTTATTATTGTGATTATCATGCTTAAATCCTTCTAAGATTATCCCCCGCCAAATGAATACGGTAGAATATCCATTAGTGTGATTATTATTATTTTTATATTCATTTTCATCTCCATCACACCTCATTTCTCGACTCTTCCTATTTTTTCCTGATATTTTTCTACCAAAAAATGTCTTCACCAATTCCACTTATCGCAGCCGCAACTAATTTAACAACAAGTGTTGTTAATGATTTGGTAAGTATCTTTAGATATTATTTAAAACATATCCATGATTATCCGAGAAGCCAGATAAGCTATTCAGATAATTTATTGAATCCCGGGTAAAGTACTTCAAACCAAAAAAAAAGGAAAGAGTAAAACATTTCTGCTCCACCCTAACTGATAACAACTATCAAAAAATGTTTGAGGAATACTTTCATTTCCGTTTTATCAGTCAGTTTGTATCATTTTACCGTATTCGCGAAATATTTCTAAAATATTGAACAGATTCTGAAGTAATACTGTATCCCATTTCAATGTTTTGTCTAACTATTGAGCGCTTGTATATCTTCAAAAGAACTTGTGTTAAATCTACAGGAATAAGTGCTCCTGGAATGTTCCTAGATCAACATTTCACCGTAATGCACAGGAATAATCAAATTTGCTCTATTGCACACAAAATTTGTGTGAAGGAAAATTGCGGAAATGATTTTCACAAGCATTTAGTTTTCTCAACAAAAACCGAAAAATTTGAATCCGTATATTTTCCATATACCAAAACCCAGTCTTGTTCAATCTAGTTCAGTTCAAAACTTTTGATACCCTCGAAAATGAGAATCGTGTTTTCTACAGTATTTTTCGTTATTGTTAGTAGCTTCTTCTTCTTCTTCTTCCTTGTCCAATTTATTTTGGTAGCTTCTTTTTCATTTTCTTTTGTTTATACTGTCCGCCGATGTCCAGTACCGTGACAATTTTGTGTCTGTGTCTCTTTTTAGAACTACAGTACCCCCCAATTCGCTGACAAATATACCAAAATTTTGTTGTTATCAGTCAACATCGAAAAATATATATTTGGAAGCGAAGAAAAACTGAAAATTCCGAGAAACTCAAACATTTTTTTGACTTAAATTTGAGAGAAACAAATGATGATTATTCTATACCTCCCAAAAACCTCGGAATAAATCAAAAAATATAGTTTGCCCCGCCCATTTCATAATTCTCATTGGTTCGCCAAAAAGTGGGCGGAGTCTTTCGAATTACGGTGGAAATTAGAGAATGCGCAAACAATAGAGAGTCTAGAGAAAAGTTGGGCGGTTCGATGAGGCGACAAAATCGCATTTTGTGTGTTGTGTTGATGGGCCACGGCCGAAAGAAGGATGAGCCGTTTTGACGAGAAGAGTTCGTCTCTGTTTTTTAATACCCTAAGATTTAGGACCTTAATCCGGCTCGGATTTAATTTTTTTTCCGTTTGGGCCTTGGGGGGAGGGAAAAGGGGCTTTCTCATTGAATTTTTATTTTTATTCTTCTTGTTTGTACGTTATGGGTGAGACCAATTTTTGTGTTTTGTAAAAAAATTATTGATTTTATTATATTTACAGATTACATCTTCTCGAAGTCCAACTGGAAGTGTTGTAGCACAAACAGCAGTAAACATGAACGGTGGAAACTTTGTAAGTTTATTCAAAAAATGTTCAAAAAATTCTTTCAACAATAAATATTCCTAATGAAAATCTATAGAAAAATTGGAATTTTTTGTAATTTTAATTCACCACGAAAATGAAGTTGAAAACATTGAATATAAATTAATTGTTTTTTAAGCTCGAATAATTTTGGGAAAAATAAATTACAGCTTCTTGGTTTTCACCAATTTTACAAATAATAATTCAAAATTTATATACTTCACCAAAACGTATATATATATGTGTTTTCCCCCATTCCTAACCAATATCCACTTCTATCTACCTTTCCATGTGTTGTTTTCTATCTCATCTCACCAAATTCAGGGTGTTGTTACTTTACCTGAAGATGATAAAAGTCGAACACAACAACAACAACTTCAATCAACTTCACCAACACCTTCGGCTGCAATTTCATCAGCTTCATCTTCTTCTGTTGCAGCAGCAACTGCCTCAACCTATGATCCTTCGTCAGCTTCTTTGTATTTCCAGCTATCGGTGTGTTTTGTGTATAATTTAATTTATTTCGATCAAAATTCCTAACTGAGTGCTTACGAAACAAAACCCGAAGAAAAAACCAAGTTCGAGTTTTTTTTTCTTTCGAAAAAAAATTTGTACTCATATTACTATTACTACATTTCACCAGATTTTCTCTTACTAAATTTCTTATTTTTTCCAAACTAAACTAAAATACATGTATTCATTGATAATGAATGAATTCTATCAATTACAGCCAATGTCTTATATTCCAACTGTTTCTTCTGCACAGTCTGTTGCAAGTATGACAGCTGCATATTTTGGAAACAAAGCTGCCGCTGCTGCTTATCCTACAAGTCATCTTGGATTTTCTGCACCCAACAATTTTCTGAATCCGGGAATGTCTTATATTGGAGGAAGTTTGGGAGAATGTCCAAGTTCAACAATGGGATCAATGTCATGGAGTGCAACACAACCAAGGTTAGTTTGAAGAACAATATCAGAAGAAAACTAATCGATATTAATTTTCAGAGAAGACTTCAATTTCTCACGTAAACAACGTCGTGAAAGAACAACATTTACTCGAAATCAGCTTGAAATTCTTGAATCATATTTCTCAAAAACTCGTTATCCTGATATATTTATGCGTGAAGATATGGCGCATAAAATACAATTACCAGAATCTCGTGTTCAAGTTTGGTTCAAAAATCGCCGTGCAAAAGCAAGACAACAAAAGAAAGCACAACAATCTACTCATTGTTCAAATTCGTAAGTTTCGAGGAAAAATTTAGTTATTCGAAAAACATAAATGATTCAGATTCAGTAGCAGCGGACCATCAAGTGGTGGATCAACTGGAAGTGAAGTTCAACCAGCAAGTCCAGCAACAACTGATGGAGATTTGAAATATAATGATACAATTAAAGAAGAAGAAGCTGAACAATCAACATCACCATCTTCTGATGAACAAAAACCAGTTGCGACTAGTTATATTACACCAATTTCACCAACAAATGCATCAGTTACAACTTATAATGCAGCAAGTTTCCGACCACAAGCACAATATCCATACGGTATGTTTCAATAGAATATTGATTTATATTTTTTTAACCCAATTTTTCTTACAGCATATCCAGACTTCTACCCATATACTCAAGCAAATTCAGCAACTACTTATGATTGGAAATTTGGGGTATGAGAAATATAGACATTTTCTTCCTTCATATAACAAATATTCATTTTTTCTTTTGATCTTCTTTTCTTTTTTCATTCTTAAATTAATTTGTGTTTTCTCACCAATTTATTTTACGCAAAAATATATTTGACCAGTGATTCTCTTTCTTCATTGTCTACGCAATTTTTGAGATTTTTCCTTGACATTTTTCCCCAGCTTTATATAAAAATGAATATGATATAGGTCCCAATAATTTTTTTTTGTACTTTTTTTAGTATTGTATAAAAATAAATACTTTTATAATATTAAACCTCCACTACAGCTTAGATGATCAAAATTACATCTCATTCGAAAAATTAATAATCCTTGAAACTTCCAGACAAAAATTGAAGTTTCAAACCCTAATTGGAGTTTTCCAAACTTATATTTCAATCAACATTTTTTCTGAATTACAAAAAATTTCGAGCATTGTTATCAAAGAACTTGAAATAATTGTTCCTAGTTGAGATATTTTCCGATTTTCAGTTTAAAGTTAAACTGATTTTTCATCTGATCCATTTAATCTAAATAACAGTTACAGATGCTGAATCGCCATTCAGATTTTTTAACCAAAAAATATCATCTTCCTCATTGTAACGTGCTCATTCTGTTTGACAAAACCAAACCAGAAGTTATGTGTTTCATTCCAGAAGTTATGTGTTTCAGTTATGTGTTTCACCTGAGGGTGCTCAAATCCTCTTTTTATGTGTTCTACCTTTGTTGTTTGTTAGTTTGCGAAAAAATGAAAAAAAAAATGAAAAAAATCATCGCTGTCGCGGCGAAGTCCCAGCTCAAGATTTCAGGAGAAATCGAACATGGCTTCAATTTTGCACAGTACCCCTCTTCTTAAAACCCACCCAAATAACCTTCTAACTAAAAAGCCGGTTATTAATCAAAATCATTCCTATTTCAAAGGCCGGTCAAATACTTCCTCCCCATAACCTATAGGTTTCGAAGACACAAGCTGTCATGAAAAGGAGAGCTACGCAGCCTGAATCCTAGGCTTGGTCGTACTAAAAAGTGCAAAAATTATTTTAAAAATGAAACAAAGACCCGGCAAGTTTTTCCTAACTTTACTTAACTAGTTGTTAACAAATCAGTTTTTCATAACGTTTTGAGATATTCTCCTACCTCAGAGTGGACTGCGATGAATTGTTGCGTCGATCTTATACCAAATCCATTCATCCCATCTGGATATCCAGCCATATTTGAATCGCCTGCGAGAAAAAACAAAATTGAAAATAGAAAAATCGTTATTTTCAAAGCGTCATCCCTTTATTCATTTCCCATGTTTTGCCCCACTCTTCACCAGAAAAACATCATAAACGATGCGCAAAACCCAATGCGACTCCCGTCACTGTTTTCCGGCCACAACAAAGGGATTCAATCCTCACTCATGTGAAATGAATGGCTTTGGGTTTCAGAAGCTGGTAGGCGGTACTAACTCAGGGAGCGCGCGCAGACTTTCTCTAGTTTTTGAGGATCCGAGTGGGTATGATTTCGAAATTTATTGAAGCTTTTGAAAGTATGAAATTACCCCCTGAAAAACTTATCTTTAACATCCTCGTACGGCCAAAAAAATACACAAAATAATGAAAATGGCAAAAAAATCGATGAGCATTTTTTTAGTTCGCGAAAAATATTAGCGGGGTAGATCAAAAAAAAAATTTTTTTTTAATTTTTTCTGCTAAAAATCCACGGTTTTTCCCTTTCGGCCGAACTTTTGCATGGCCGAACTTGTTTTTTTCTCGGCCATCTTGTGTTTTTTCTTTTTTTTTTCGTTGTTTTTCAGGTTAGACAGTAAAACCTGGTCACATTTTTATCAGATAATGTTCACAACATCGCACGTCGACCCACCAAAGAACAAACTGCTGCAATGGGTGTGAGACTGAATGCATCAAAATGCAAGAAAACTACTGAACCATTTTGAAAACTGATTACATATTCATGATCAGCGTGTTCAAATCTATGGAAATAAGGAGTTTCATGAATTCTAGTTGAGGTTTTTTCTCGTAGCACTTTGCGGAAAACCCGAAAAACCGTACACCCGTTGCAGCAGTTGGGTCGACGTGATCGGGATCAGATCATCGAGTTCTGTCTTTTTTTTCAAAAACTGTTCGCTCCCTAATCTAATTTCCTCAAAATTTTTACATCTCCTAAGCGGTCGCATTTCAGCATAGACTTTGTCAACAATATGTTTCAACCAAATTCGAATTTTGTCTTCCGGAACTTCTCTATCAACATTCTACAAAACACTCATGCAATTTTAAAACAAAAAATGTAAACTTACAACTTTTATCAGTTTTTTGGGTCTCCGCAGATTCGCTCATTTTATTTTTCCAAAAATGAAAAAAAATATTATAATTCAAACAACTCAAATTAATAGGTCACGTAAAAAATAAAAAATTTATTAAAATTATTACTATTTGACAAAAAAATATAGAAAATTGTAAAAAAAAAATAAATATGAAAAATTATTGACAAGTACTTGTTGATTGTCGGTTTTTTCTTCTTTGTTCAACTAATGCTGGATGATCAGGAGCGCTCATATAAAGCGACAGAACTTTTTCGAAGTTTTTTACTGGAAACATTGAGGAAATTTTCGAGAAATGGAAAAGGGGGGTTAATCGGAACTAATTTTTGGTGTGGATCGAACCTAAGCGGACCATCTTAGTTTTTTGAGAAAACATTACACCTGGCCTGATTCAAAATTTTCCCAAGAAACTCACGATTGCGCCCATTCACTACAAACGATTTATAATCTCTGGCTAAATAATAATATCGAAGCGAGAAGAAATGGAACATCTGAAATTCATAAAATTATATTCATTTTCAAATTTTTCAAACTCACATCTTCAAAACTGGCTTTTGTCAGCTCTTTATAAAATGTGTTTTTTGTACAAGCTGGAGTTAGGCATAAACAATTGTCCTTGAGTTGATCAGTCACGTAGTTCTCGCCGTAATCAAAGGTTAGCTTAAATAAGATTGGATATTAATTTTGAAAATGAAAATTTGCTCAGTTTTTTATCTCATGAAGATTTTGAAAAAATGAACCAAAACTAATAATTCAAAAAAGACATACCTGTGTACCAGGAAATATATCTTCTAATGAAATCATGATGCATTTGAGATGTTGTGGTCCTATTCCACCTTGAAATATTCGACACATTCCCAAATTCGGTTGACATCCGTGAGAAACAAATCGAGCTTCATTGCCTTGGAATTTTGGATCGACAAACCATTGTTTATCGAAAAATTTCTGAAAAGAATATCATTGAAAATGTCAAAGTTCCCCTGTGTATAGTTCCCACTCACATTGAATCGTTGTCTTGTTTTTGAGCTGAGAAATTCTAATTTTTCAAAGAAGTTTCTCAACACAGTTTCGTCAGAATCAAGACAACAAAATGCATAATCCTCTGATTCTCGATCCGAAACACTTTCAAAATCAACAAATTCTCCAACAAATTCGAAGATTGGACTTCCGTAAGGAATGTAATTCCTGGTTCTGAGACAGAATCCTTTCTCATCGTGACGATAAATTTCAAATCGATTGATTTTTTGTTCGATTGTGTACATGACATTATTATCACAACATCCTTCACATTCACAATTTGAGCTACAGCAAAAACCAATTGTGTCGAAATAATGATCAACATCGCGCATCAGAATTTTTGAGAATGTTTTCTGAAAATAATGAATTTTATGAATAAAAATGAGTTTGCACATACAAATTGAGTTTTCTCATTTTCTTGTCGATATGCACTGATTTTTTGGATTTCTTGAAATCTTTGATTCATATTAAAACAAGGGCAATTGGGATTATCAAAACAATTCACAAATTTTCCTTCGATTTTTTTGCAATCACATCGAATCTGAAAAACCCCATTTGTTTTGAAGAATGAAGAGAATATACGTTCTTACCAAAATCTCTTCCGATTTCACGAGTTTTTCGTATACAATATCAACATCCGTTGTAATCTTATTTTTATCGATATAATCGAATATCGTGGTTTCGCTAATCTGAACTTCTTTTGGATCGAGGGTTAACATATCGCAATAAAGTGGAAGAGGATTTTGCGGATCCAATGTCAGATTTTTCATGATTCGATTTCTTCGATCTGGTGGAGTATATCTCGCTCTGTTTCTTAGATCCTTAAATGCTTTCTTCAACATAAAAACATCCTTTGGAACGGAGACTTCATCAGGTGTTTCATGTTTCTTGATAAACAATTGTACTGCCTGATGTAAACGAATTCCTTGCATTTGACACACTCGATCATCAGCTTTTTCTAACACCGTAAAATTGAAATGTTGTTTGAGGATTGGATCATCTTCAATTCTCTTCTTAATTTCTGCATAAATTTTCTGATAATCTCCCCATTCATCATAATCGATTGTTTTTGTATTCTGTTGCATTTCCATTCGTTTATCCTGTTGACAATTCAAAAAAATCGATCGTTCTTCATCTTCCGAATCGCATTCGATGATATCGTCTTCTTTTTCTTGCTCAATAATTTCAATTTCGTCCTGAAATCAAACCAATCACACAAATTGAAACAAATTTCCAAAGAGAAACATACCTCCGAATCTTCTGTTAAATCGATTATATCGACAGACTCGCCCATCGCTGAAAAAATTATTTTTTTCTCAAATTACATTAATTCATTCTCAAGAGCATAAACAAGAGATAGAGAATAATTAAGCTTCAACGTTTTATAATGAGAATTTTCGAATAATTTTCAAATAATGACGTTTTTCTCAACTGAGAGCAACAAATCAATTTTCAGATGAAAAATTTGATAGCTTCTTAAATTCAATAATTCAGGTTCACGCGAAAAACAGTTAAAATGAAAAATTTAGGCTGAAAACAAAAGTGTATGGGGTACTGTAAGTGTGTTTGTCTGCAGTCCGTGGATTTCTTCAACGTCAAACACGCGAATTGACGACACAATTTTTTTATTTTTTTTTGACTTTCAATTTTCTCGAGAAAGAAACAAGCGAAAAATGAACAAAATTTGTGATTGCGGATTTTTCCACGTCTTATTCCTAGTGGCCCCGCCCATGCCACGAGTACACGTTTCACGTTTTTTTTTACTCGAACTATTTTAATTACAAGATTTATAATCAATCACAACATTTTAGGCTAATGATAAAATGCAATAGGGTGGGAGGAAGAGATTTAGAGAAAAACATAAAAGAATTCACGTTTTGTTGATTATTCGCGTGAACTCTTGTCGACTCGCTTCATTTCACAACATTTTAGGCTAATGATAAAATGCAATAGGGTGGGAGGAAGAGATTTAGAGAAAAACATAAAAGAATTCACGTTTTGTTGATTATTCGCGTGAACTCTTGTCGACTCGCTTCATTTTGCAAAAAAACAAAGAAAAATAATACATGTGTGTATAGCGCTTGGCCATTTGTTTGATCAATGTCGGCAATACGTTTGAACGACCTCTCAGAAAATGTTCGAAAAAATGGAGTTTTTGTTCTCATTTGAGCACGTTTGCCCACTAAAAACGTATGTTTTCTCTAGAATCTCTCTCCTCTCACCCAATTGCGTTTCGGAACGTTGTGCAATGTGATTAGAGCCTTCACTCCTTTGTCTCTCAGGTAGAAAATTTTTTTTTTGACTTGGTTAGTATTTGCGCGCAAATATCCGACGAATAATGTGTGTAATATCATGTCATTGTGTTTACATCTTCTGTTTCCCTCTCTTTTTTTTCAAAAAAAGGAAATAATTCAAAATTTCTTGTTTTCAGAACGAAATGTCGGAGTCAGACGACAGTTTCGAAAATTTTGTCGCAGAGAGTCAAAGTTCTCAGACAAAGGTGAGTAATTATTCTTTTTAAAAATTAGACCAGACGATTTTTAGTATGAAAAGAACGAACTTGAGGAAAGTTGTGTAGAAGATTCACAAGAGCCTATGAACAATACAATGGTTGGTCAAGACATGTTTGAATATGCAAATCCAGCTGAACCCGAAGTAGATGATGTTATCAAGATTCTTGTGGCAACTGATATTCATTGTGGATATGGCGAAAATAAACCAATCATAAATATGGACGCTGTTAATACATTTGAAGAAGTTTTGCAGATTGCGATTGAAAAAAAAGTGGATATGATACTTCTTGGTGGTGATCTTTTCCACGAAAATCATCCATCGAGAGAAGTTCAACATAAAGTAACACAATTATTGCGAAAATATTGTTTGAATTCAAATCCAGTTGAGTTGGAATTTTTATCGGATCCTTCTGTTGATTTCAATCAATCAATGTTTGACAAAGTAAATTATCATGTAAGTCATTTTTATCGTTACAATATTGAACTCAAAATTGATATTTCTAGGATGAAAACATCAATGTTGGTTTGCCCATTTTCACAATTCACGGAAATCATGATGATTTGGCTGGAAAAGGTTTGACAGCATTGGATTTATTGCACGAATCTGGGTTGATAAATCTATTCGGAAAACATGAAAATATTCGAGAATTTGTTGTTTCTCCACTTTTATTGCGTAAAGGAGACACGCGATTAGCATTATATGGATTAGGAAGTCAACGAGATGATAGATTAGTTCGAGCATTTCAAAATCAAGAAATAACATTTCCTCGACCAAATGAAGGAGCTGAAGATTGGTTCAATTTATTCACATTACATCAAAATCGGCCAAGACGATCTTTACACAGATCAACAGGAGCATATTTACCTGAGAATTTGATTCCAGAATTTTTTGATTTATTGATTTGGGGACATGAACATGAATCAAAACCAGAACCACAATATGTTGCATCATCTGAAGCTGTTGGAGATGGTTTTTATATTTTACAACCAGGTTCAACTGTTGCAACTTCACTTACAGAAGATGAAGCTCTTCCAAAACATGCTTTTCTACTTAAAATCAAGGGGAGAAAATTTGCATCAAAGCCTATAAAATTGCAAACTGTTAGACCAATGATTGTTGATGAATTACTTTTGGAAAAAATACCGAGAGGAGCAAAAAAAGATTATACAAATAATCGATATAAAGATGTTTATGGCAATTTTATCGATGAAGTTTTGATTGAAAAAAAATTAGCTGAAATGATTGCAAAAGCTGAAAATGGAAGAGGTTCACGACAACCAATATTACCACTTATTCGATTGAAAGTTTTATATGAAGATGAATGGGCTGATGTTCAAACTATAAATACAAGAAGAATTGGAGCGAAATATGAAGATATTGTTGCAAATCCATTGGAGATTTTGATGGTTAAAAAGGTCTGTATTTAATTTACTTGCTTTGAAATATGTATTTTTCAAATTTTGATGTTTACAGAAAACAAATCGAGATCGTACGAAGAAAACCAAAGTGGATGAATTGATGGATGATGAAAGATTAGGAAATGTTAGCTCATCGAATTTACAATTCATTGTGAGCTTTTTTCTTTTCTAAATTCTCTGGCTCATTTTCTGAAAATTCATTTCAGATCAACGAATATTTTGCGGATCTTCCTCTTGAACAAAGAATGACTGTTTTGAAACCTGCTGATATTGGAAAAGCTGTTGAACAATACGCTGATGTTGAGGAGAACATTGCATCTGCAAATGCAGGTTTTCAGAAATCTCTAAAGGTAAATAACCATGATTTTATTTAGCTTTTCTAAATCTACATAAATTTTTAGGAACAAGTTGAATTGATGAGAAATACACTTCGAAAAATGCCGATTCCAAATATCGAAACAGAAGATGATTTAGAAACATTCAAAGATATGATTCACAAAGATTTGATTGATTTGAAGAAAAGTTATTATGAAAAATCGAAAGAGGGACTTGAAAATGTTGCAGAAGATGATGATAGAGATTTGATGGCTTCTTTTTCAATGGCGGAAAATTCGATAAATCAAGAACAAATGAATACTGTGTCCAGCGATGATTCCGATGTTATTGTATCAGGTCAGTAAAAAAGTTATGGGAAAGAAAATTAGGAAAATATGATTTTTTCAGATCATGAAGATATTGCTCCACCGAAAAAAACAACTCGTGGACGCGGACGCGGAAGAGGTGCTGCTTCAACATCTACAAGAGCAACAAATAAAAAGAAAACATACAATTTCTGATAAGTTGTTTCATTCAATTTCTAATTTTAAACAGATCTTCAAATTTATATACCGGTAATGAAAATATCACACTTCATAATGTTTCCAAGAATCACGTAACATCTCAAAATAATCGTTTTGTGATCCACGTAATTTTATCTCGTCGCCTTCTAAAGTTCGAATTTTCTCATTATTATTATTATTGGATGAGGGAGAAGATTTGGAAAAATATTTTCTTTTCAAATTTCGATTTCGAAATACAATAATCCATGGAAGAGCAACGATATAAGCATTGAGAATCTGAAAGAATATTTGGGAGAATAAGATATTTTGTTGTGAACTTCTAACATTATTGTAAATGAAGTTAGCGACACCATAATCAGAACTTGTTAATTCAAGAATTAACCATGTCCAGATTGCTAAAGAAGAAAGAAGTTTACAAATCATTGCACCAAGAGCCGCTGGAAGAAGAGTTGAAGTCCATTCAAATACTTCAGACATTTGAAATCTCCGATTCAATCCAACTTCTCCAGTTGTTTGACGATAAACACGTAAACTTGTATGCCATGCAAATATCATTATCTGAATTTCTCGGTGAATTTGATGAATCAGAAAGATCAAATCTATTTCTATAACCATTTTCCCACGAACTTCAATTAAGTGTTCGCATTGAGAAAAAATTGTGATCTTATGAATTATTACTCACTAATAATGCTGATAAATCTAGAACCGAGGCAACTGCTGTTGGAGAATATAAAATCCCATAAACATGAATACTCGTACTAAAATATAAAGCAACGCCAATTGAAATAATCAAACTAAAAATAATGAAAACAATGAAATGTTCGGAATTATATTGCATCGGATATTTTGAAGCAATCAATCGTTCTAAAAACGGAATTTTTGAAAAGAAAGAAATAAAGAGAAAAACTAAATACCCGTTGAGAAAAACAACATTGACATTGATTCAAGTGCATAACCAACTTCATGAATAAATTCCCAAGTTTTAGATCGAACTGGAAAGGATAATTTGCAGAAAAAACATTATAAATCTAACAAACATGTAACTCCTTCGTCTAATAATGCAAATTTCTGTCCAGCTGCAAGATATTCATAAATCGATAAACCATACGAAGTCATAAATAACATTCCGATTCCCAAAATAATCAGATAAATTCTGAATCAAAAAGTATAAAATTCCGATTTTTTTAATTTACAAATCACTAACCTACAGTAAGAATGAAGAACATTAGCTTGATAAATCAAATATAAATAAAATATGCTTGAAAAAAATGCAGCAAAATTCAAAATAGTTTCAAATATCGTCATCAACAACCAAATCATTTTTCGTTTTTTTCTGAAAGAATTCTATACATTCAAAGACAATTATGTGATTTTTTGTAGAGCAATTTTTGAAGCTGTGGGGTGGGAAAATCAGCTGCCTTCGAGGAAAATATCTTTTTTTCTGATGATGAAAAAGAGAAATGAGTTTTCAGAAAAACAACGTGGTCTTCTTTCTTAATTATAAAAAAAACTTGTGAAGACATCAGAAAAACAGATCTTTGAGAACTTAATTAATCAACCAAAAAAAACTTGAACTTTCAATTATGAATGCTTGATAATTTAACTTCAAAAAAAAAAATAAAAATATTTATTACATATGCGAAAACTGATGACCAAATCGTTTTTCATTTTTTGCTTTTCTTGATGCATCAATAACTTGTGATACTCTTTTCACAGTCTTTGGATCCAATAATTTCTTCTTCAATCGTGTTCGAATTTCTTCATCTTCCCCAATTTCTTCTTTTTCATATTTTCTTCTCCTTTTATTGTTTGCCTTCTCGAAACTCATTTTTTCCTCTATTTTCCGGCTAAATTTCTCAACTTCTTTCCTATGTTCAATTTCTTCTTTTTGTTTCAAAAGTTCTCGATCTTTTTTGTTTATTGGTTCTCCTTTCTCATTTCTTTCAACAATTCGACCATGCAAAGGACAACTGAAATAATTAATTAGGACAAATCAGAAAATTAATTAGAAAAATCAAACCTGCTGAAATCTTTTCTTGGGCACAATATTCCATTTTTCATCGGTGCTCGACATATTTTGTCACTTTTCTCTTGATTTCCAACAAAATTGAAAACTCTTTGAGTATATACACATTCTTGGGCAACTGCACTGCTTCTGGAAAAAAATGGAAAATTAAAAAATAAATTGGTGAAATTGCGTCACGTGAACTATGACGTGGAAATTCAGAATTGTTTTTTTTCATTTTCAAAAAAAATGAAAACTCACTCTTCATCTGGCGGTCTCCAAAATCGATGACAATCCGAGTTATTTTTCGGAATTTGAACCTTATCTCGTTTTTCTCCCCAATATTTCAAATCCAGTCCAAATGGTACAATTGGAATATTTTGAGTTTTGCTTGGTCCCGCTTCTTCTTCTTTTTCTTCATTTTCCATTATTTCAGGCTCGAAATTATCCGAATATTGTATCATTAATATTTGATCAACAGTCATTTCTTCAACATCTTCAAATTCATCATCGTCATCTTTTTCTTTTCCAAATTTATGTGATTTTCTTCGTGTTGATTTCAATTTGAGAGCTTCAACTTTGCGCAGAATTTTGATGATTTTGGTACGCAAATCTCGAATTTCAGATAAAAAATCGTCTGGAATATCAGCCATTCTTTTTGATGTTTTCTTCAATTTTTCTAGTCTTTTTTCAATCAAATCTTTCATTTCCATTATATTTTCAATAATAACATCATTTTCCACTGTGATTTCGATATTTGGATTTTGAATGTCTTTCAGATAAATTTCAATTTCTTCTTTTCCTTCTTCTTCAAAAGTTGTTTGAGAAGTCGACGGAATATTCGAAAAATCCTGATTCATGTTGAATTTTGGAACCAAGAATTCGATGAGTTGTTCAAGAGATTCAATTATTTGATTTGTGGATTCTTGAATTTCGGAGAATTCGAATTTCATCAAATTTAGAGTGATTTTCTTCATATTTGAACGGCGATTTTCGATGAGTTCATTTTTTCTTTGAACAAGATCAATTTCTGAACTAATTGATTCGAAATTCAAACTTTTCGACGACTTCAAAAAATCAACAACAAGATCAAGAATAGGGTAATGTTTTCCGAATTTCTCGTGCCATTTTCTGATTTTTTCAATAGTCAAAATCTGAAAGATAAAATAAAATCTCAATAAATATTGAAAATTTGTAAAATACCTTCAGTTTGCCACTTGACTGTTTTGTTCCTGGCAATGGACGATGTTTCAAATCAGTTTCACATGTAATTTCCAATAATTCCTTCGATTTGTTTAAAACTTCTTGTCGAAATTTGTGACATCTTTCGAAAAAATAATCAATAAATTCAACAATGATTGCTCTATCACCACAGTTTGATCTCTAAAAATTGACAGTTTTTCATTGCTTCATTAATAAATAAAAATTCAACTTACATCAATAAATTCTAGAATAACTTCGAAAATCTCTTCCATTTTATTTTGATTAATTTTGATTTCCTCGCGAAGTTCTTTGAAATTTTGATCATCTCTGTCTCCACCTTTTCTCACAATTCTGTTCAACAAACTTCGAAGCCATTTTCGATAATCAGGAACAGCATCCATTCATTTGACTTCTGTAAAAATGAACATTTTTTATTTGAACTAAATTCACAACCAGAAAAAATAAAAGCCTAACGTGTTGACCACGTGATGTGGCATTCTATTTAAACACGCTAGCGAAGGAAAATTCATTTCGGAGAAATTTTAATTTCGAAATCAGTGTGAAAAGTGAGTTCATATGGAATATTGTCAAATTAAAAATAGATGGCAGAAAATAAATAAAGAAACGTGAACATTTTCAGAGAACCCATGTCGTTGGGGGCGTTGCGGTCACGCGCTACGTGCTTCATTTTCAGAATTTTATAAATTTTTCCCATTTTTTGAGCAAATTTTCAAAAATGAAACACACATCGCGTGACCGCAACGCCCCCAACGACATGGGTTCTCTGAAAATGTTCACGTTTCTTTATTTATTTTCTGCCATCTATTTTTAATTTGACAATATCCAAAGTGTGTTTCAAAAGCAATAATACCTTTTAATTATCGCTAAATTATTCTACTCCTAGATAATATGATTTTCCAGCTAAAAATAAGTATTCCGCTGTTGCATGCAAAAATGCAATTTTTTGTTTGTCAACAAACATTTCAATGCAGCAAACATGCTCTACCGATAAAACAAATCGGCGGACGAAATAACCAAACGCGAAATTCGAAAAAACACACGGCGTCTCGTGATAATTCATTTCTGCAACATTTTAAGATTTTGAAATGTTCAGAACTTTGTAGTTTTTCAGTTTCAGTTATTGTTCTATTAATCATTCTCTGAAATAAGAAACACTTGAAAATAAGTAGAGAGAAAAGAAAACACAGCAGTCATGTGATCTTTTTTCGTGCATCATAATGTTGTTTGGGTACCCGTAATTACACCTATTTTCTATTGCGCAGATTACTTTTTAGGTGAAATTATATTGAATTTTTCGTTGAAGAATTGATCGTTTCACTCTTGTTTTTCTCAATTTTATGATAGATAAATACTTAGTTAGATATTTTTTGAATTTATTTCAGAACTGGGAAATAAAAACGCGATCTGGTTATCGAATAATATCGACTACGAAGCCGCCCGTGTGAGAGTGCGTGTGTGAGAGTGCGAGACGGACATTATTTTGTAATTTTGTGAGCGTGTGTGACTGGTTAGTTTGACTTTGAAAATTTGAATTTTCAACTGTTTCATCATTTCAGAGACTTAAAAAATGACTGCAATCGGGGCAAGTCAAGTACTTGCGGAAGCTCGGAAACAATTTACCGAAAGCGATCGACTTAATATTGAATTACTTGATGAAGTAATTCTGATTATGAATCGATCTCATGGAAAAGATCAACAAGAAGCAAATACAATTCTGATGATGCTTAAAGAAGATCCAAATTCATGGACAAAGGTCGATGCAATTTTACAGTTTTCAAATTTGAGCGAATCAAAGTATTTTGCATTACAAATTCTTGAAAATGTAATTCAAACAAAATGGAAATCATTACCACCAGTTCAAAGAGATGGAATCAAGAATTTCATAGTTTCAATGATGTTAAGATTGAGTTCATCAGCTGAAGAGGTTTCAGGAAACTCTTTGCTTCTTCACAAACTCAATTTGGTACTGGTTCAGGTAAGAAATGATCTTATTATTGCTATTTTATTTCAAAAATGCTCCAAATTTCAGATTGTCAAACAAGATTGGCCAAAACATTGGCCAACATTCATCGCAGATATTGTCGAATCATCAAAATCAAACGAACATGTTTGTATCAATAACATGAATATTCTCAGTTTATTGAGTGAAGAAGTATTCGATTTCGGATCGCAAAATTTGACACAAGCTAAAGAACAACATCTGAAACAACAATTCTGTGGACAATTCCAAGAAGTTTTCACGTTATGTGTAAGCATTTTGGAGAAATGTCCATCAAATTCAATGGTTCATGCTACTTTGAAAACTCTTCATCGTTTTTTGACTTGGATTCCAGTTGGATATGTCTTTGAAACAAATATCACTGAATTGCTCTCTGAAAATGTGAGTTTTTATTGATTTATTTTATTTGAATAACAATTTTCTTATTTCAGTTCTTATCTCTCGAAGTTTATCGTGTAATTACTCTTCAATGTTTGACCGAAATTTCACAAATTCCAATTGAAACAAATGATCAAAGTTATAATGACAAATTAACTGGAATGTTCTGTTCAACAATCAAAGAAATTGCACAATTATTAGGACCAGATCCAGATTTGGCATCAGTTTATAAAGGAGCATCAGATCAAGATCAGAAATTCATCAGCAGTTTGGCACAATTCATTGTTTCATTCATCAAAGAACATGTTCAATTGATTGAAATTGCAGAAAAACCATTAACTGATCAGAAGAAACAAATTGCTGAATTACACAATTATGCGATTACTTTGCTTTTGAATATTTCACTTGTTGAAGAAATGGAGATTTTCAAAGTTTGTTTAGATTGTTGGTGCTGGCTCACTTCTGAATTATATCGTGTTTCGCCATTTATTCAACCAAGTATGTTATATGGAATTGGAAGTCAAGTAAGAGATCATCCAAGAAGAAATATATACAGGTTAGTTCAATAATTATATAGCAACCTATTATTTTTTTTTCAATTTGCAGAGATCATTTGAGTCGACTTCGCTCGATTATGATTTGTAGAATGGCAAAACCAGAAGAAGTTCTTGTTGTTGAAAATGATCAAGGAGAAGTTATACGAGAAATTGTCAAGGACACAGATTCTATTGCTCTTTATCGAAATATGCGTGAAACTTTGGTTTATTTGACACATTTGGATTGTAAAGATACCGAAATGAAAATGACTGAAAAATTGGCATCGCAAGTGACTGGAAGTGAATTTTCTTGGAAGAATTTGAATAGATTGTGTTGGGCTGTTGGATCGATTTCTGGAACAATGACTGAAGAAGACGAAAAACGATTTTTGGTATTAGTTATTAGAGGTGTGTTTTTTTTTCGATTTCTTTGAAAATCTGACATTTTTGTTTTCCGTAATCTTCGCTTAAGAAAAAACAACCTAAACAGAATTCTCGAAAAATTATAATTTTTTACAGATTTGCTTGGACTTTGCGAACAAAAACGTGGAAAAGACAACAAAGCTGTAATCGCTTCAAATATTATGTATGTTGTTGGACAATATCCAAGATTTCTTCGAGCTCATTGGAAATTCCTGAAAACTGTTATCAACAAATTGTTTGAATTTATGCACGAAACACATGAAGGAGTTCAAGATATGGCTTGTGATACATTTATCAAAATTGCTATCAAATGCAAAAGACACTTTGTTATTGTAAGTTTTTTGCATTTTTTGAAATTATTCAAATTGTACTGTTTTTCAGTTGCAACCAGCTGAAAACAAAGCTTTTATTGATGAAATGTTGGAAAATTTGAATGGAATTATTTGTGATTTGACACCACCACAAGTTCATGTTTTCTACGAGGCTGTTGGACATATTATTTCATCACAAATCGATCCACCATTACAAGAAGCATTGATTGATAAATTGATGGAATTACCGAATCGAGTTTGGAATGATACAATTACATCAGCTGGAACAAATGATTCTGTTTTGGAAGATGATGAGGTAATTTATTCGATTTAGTCAAAATAGATAGATTTCCTCAATTTCCAGACAATTCGAAATTTGTTGAACATTTTGAAAACAAATGTTGCTGCTTGTAAATCGATTGGAAATTCATTTGTTCATCAACTTGGAAATATTTATCTCGATTTGTTATCTCTCTATAAGTGAGTTCTATTCTTCTTTTTTTGAATCATCCAATTTTTAAGGATTTTGTCTGAAAAAGTATCGAAAGCAGTTTTGGGAAATGGCGAAGAAGTTTTGAAATATCCGCTCATTAAAGCAATGCGATCTGTGAAAAGAGAAATCTTGATTCTTCTTTCGATTTGGGTGTCAAAGAGTACTGATACAAGAGTGAGTTTTTCTTCAATGTTTCTCATTCAAAAAAAAACATGTTTTTTCAGTTGGTTCTTGATAATATTGTTCCACCATTATTCGATGCTGTTTTGTTTGATTATAAGAGAAATGTTCCACAAGCTAGAGAACCAAAAGTGCTTTCTTTGCTCAGTATTCTTGTAACTCAACTTGGAGTAAGTTTTTTTCAATCAAGCTCTCATTTCCTATTTCATTTCATTATTTTCAGCAAGAATTATCACCAGAAGTTCCAAAAATTCTTGAAGCTGTATTCGAATGTACTTTGGAAATGATCAACAAAGACATGGAAGCATTCCCAGAACATCGAACAAATTTCTTCGAATTGGTACTTTCATTGGTTCAAGAATGTTTTGCAGTTTTCATGGAAATGCCACCAGAACAATTCTCGTATGTTATTGATTCGGTTGTTTGGGCATTCCAACATTCAATGAGAAATGTCGCTGAAATTGGTTAGTTTATTTTGGGAGGGTTTCGGGAAATGATTTCATTGGGTCAAGTTTCTAGTGAAAATTAAAATTTAAAGTTCTCAAGAAAAATTCTTTATTGAATGTAGAAAGTGATTTATTCATAATTTATAGTCAATAATTCCTGCGTGTGAATCCATATTTTGATAAGTTCCTAAATTATCAATATATTGTTCGGCTTGAACTTTGAAATCAGGCATGTTCATTTTGCTTTGCCGGCAAAAAGCAAAGCAGCTTTGCTGGGCGTGGCTTTGCTTTTTGCTGGCAAAAAGCAAGTAAGGAAAAGCAAAAAAAGCAGCCGCGGCTGCCTGCCGGGCTGCTTTTTCAAAATACAGAAGGCAACAAGCGAAGCTCCGCCCCTCCACACACAAAACATGGCAACACACAAAACCAGCGAACCGTCCGCGTATGCATTTATTCAAGTAGTCTCGCGCGCGCGTTAGAGAAGCAAAAAGAGGTTGTTTTGTCAATGCATTCTCACTGCTTTCAGATGATTTTGGAAGCAGTGAAAAAAGCATTGCCGGCAATTCGGCAAGCTGCTTTGCTGTTGCTTTTTCACAGTCTTACCGTGTAAAAGCAAAAGCGGCTTTGCTTTTTCGGGGGACGGCAAAAAGCAGGCAATGCCGGCAAAATGAACATGCCTGTTTGAAATGATCCGCATTTTCTTTCACTGTGAAATCGCTTAATTGTTCTCCCAAAGATATTTCTTTCATTTGTTGATGAGCTGCATGTTTTGCTATTTTGAAATCACTTGGAGCAAATTTAATGTCTGGAATACTGTGTATTTCTCCAGCTAGAACTTTCTGTGGGAATTGTGGCTCAGCACAACTCCATCTACCGAATCCAATTGCATCAGTCAGATTCATTTTGATTGAATTTATCATTGCATTTGTTGTTTGCCATCTTCCCGTTATGAAAACTTTTGTTTCTTTGAAAATATTCGAGCATCGATCGACAAATTGGAAAAAGAAGTTTTCTCGAGCTACAGTACTTTCTCGCTGATTCAATTCTTTGACTGCACTTTCCATTGCTCCACCAGTTAATTCAACAAAATCGAATCCAACGTTTTCGATTAATTCACATAATCTCGAAACTTCTTCATCAGAAATACCACAACTTTGGAAATCGGTTGAGTTTAGTTTGACACCGATCAAAAAACCAGTTTCTTGTGGAATTGATTTTCGAATTTCGAGATATGTATTTATGAGAAGACGTGATCGATTATCGATTGATTCACCACCATATTCATCAGTTCTTTGATTTTTAGGCTCTGTAATTTATCAATTCATAATACATATTTCGAAAAAATTCTATCTTACCTAGAAATTGATTGAACAACATTCCATGAGCTCCGTGTACTTCAATTCCATCAAATCCACAATCATATAATGTTTTCGCAGAATATTTGAATTTTTCGAGAATTTCTGTTTGAATTTGATCTGTTGAAAAAGTAAGTGGGTCTTCAATTTTTGAATACATAACATGTCGATTTCCTTGATTATCATAATAATATTCGAGTGCTAATTTTCCGACGTGATTAATTTGAGCGATTGCCAAAGATCCTTCCGATTTCATTGCTTCTGATAGTTGTTTCAACAAGTTTCGAGATTTTTCATTTGATGTGTTTTCAACAGAAACCACTCCTTGACCGCCTTCTCCGATGAAACGCTGAAAATATAATTATTTGATAAATAACAGATCAATAACATTACCGAATCAGTTGCGAGATTTCCAGTAAAAATGACTCCGAAACCAGATGTTCCCCATTTCTTATATAAATTGATAATTTGAGTATTCACATTTCCTCTTTTCGATATTTCGTTTTCTTTCCAATTATAGAGTTTCTCTGAAAGTGGAGCCTGAAAATCTCAAATTATTTTATTCAAATAACAAATACGTACCTTAAACAACCGATTTTTCGATGTTTTTCCACTTCGAAATTTCAATGGCTGACCTAATATAGCTGGATCAACTTTTGGTCCAATAATTCGACTGACTGACATTTTCCTAAAATGAAAATAGTTTGATACTTTTCGATTCTCTGATAAAAAACTAACCATCTTTTGCGATTATTTGTACTGAGAAGAGAGATGAGAAAAGAAGAGACGAAGAGAAATTAGATAGAATGTATGTTGTGTCCACGAAAAATAGAGGGAACCAACGAAACAATCGTAACTTGACTCTTTTTGTGGATTTTCAAAATCTGTGGTCTCTGACTAAAGTTTGGTGTCCAAAATTATATCATTCGATTAAGGAGACAAAGAAGAACTCTTGAAATTTCCTTTTTTTCTGGAATTCCGTACCAATTTGTATTTTAAAATTCAAAAAACATCACATAAAAAGAGAGATACAAAGTGGAAAGAGTATTTTAGGCCCCGCCCTTTTTGTGTTTTGTGCCTATTTATATATGTTTTGTGTCAAAACACGATAAGAAACATTTTGGTAGAAAATTAGGTTTTTTGAGAAACTTATCTAATTCTTGGACTCAAACGAACAAATAATCATCAAAAATTTAGTTTTATTAAAATTGTACATAATATTCATCTACAACGGTTTATAAGAAATAGTTTCGGCAAAGCTATCTGGTTTTCCATTTTCTCCAACATGTTTCATATATTCGGCGGCTTTTTCAGCGAAATGATTAGCTTCTTTTTCATTTGTGAAATCTGGTATTCCATCTGTTGAACTTTGTACATTTTCGATGGAAGATTGAGCTGCAGAACGCATTTGGAAATGTGCTGCATGTTTTGAAGTCATAAAATCACTTGGACCGAATTTGTTATGAAGAACTGCGTTAGCTTGACCAGTGAGAAGTTTTCGAGCGAGATCTTTAACAAAATGTTTTTTTTCCGGAATCAGAAAAGAAAAAGATAGAACTTACTTGGTTCGGCTGCACTTGCTCTTGCAAATCCAATTCCTTGTGTAATTCCGAGATTAACAGCATCAACCATTCCTCCAACAGTTTGCCATCCTCCGGTTATATAAACTACTGTTTTACTGAAAACCTTGGTCACCATTTTAATTAATTTCACAAAGAAATCTTCTCTAGCAATAGTTGAAGATCTTTGATTTTCCTCTTTGATAACATGTTCCATTTGACCACCAGTTATTTCAACAAAATCATATCCAGTTGTTTCGATAATTTCGCAGAATTTGATAATGTCTTCATCTGAATAACCATTTTGGAAATCTGCTGAATTAATTTTGATTCCAATCAAAAATCCAGAAGCAGCTGGAATTTCTTTGCGAATATATTTATATATTTCAACATGAAGTCTTGCTCGATTTTCAATTCTGTTTCCTCCATATTCGTCTTTTCTTGGATTGCTAGCAAGCAAAAAACTACTGTAAAGATTTCCATGAGCAGACATTATTTCGATTCCATCAAATCCACAGTTACTCAAAAGTTTGGCAGCATAAACAAGTCGACCAATTACTTCGCTTCTCAATTTTTCCCCATCAAATTCGAGTGGATTTTCAACTCCATCTGATATTTTGTGAACTCTTCCTCGATTATCAGTATAAGATGTCAAAGCCCATGCGCCTGGATTGTTAATTTGAGCAATTGCAAGAGAATGATTCGCTTTTGCGGCTCTCGCCATTTTTGCATACCAATTTCTCATTTCTGAACTATCATTTTCTCTCGAAACAATTCCTTGACCTGCTTCGTAAATATATTTTGGATCGGGAACGACATTCCCCAAGAAAATGATACCGAATCCACCAAATCCCCATTTTTCATATAAATTGACTAATTGTTGATTTGGAACTCCGCGTTTTTCTTCCGAAGGATCTTCCCAATTATAAATCTTTTCTGACATTGGAGACTTAAAATAAGTTGAAATTTATTTTATTTTTTTTTCATAAATTGGACTCACCTTCATTAGCCGGTTCAACGCAACTTTACCATTTCGGAATTGAATTTTTTCCTTGAGAATTTCGACATTTCCAACATTTCCTTTGAAACGCTCTTGTTGGTGAACCATTTTTTTTTGCTGTACAAAAAAATTTTTCGAATAGTGAAAAAGTGCAAACTAAAGAAATTAAACAAAAAAAAAGTTCAGGAAAGTCAATAGTAGACTACTATTTTATATAGCCTGTGAAGATGACAAATAAAAACTGTACACAACATACAAAATAACAAATACACTTGATGAACAAAAAGAAACGACCCAACCTTTTTCTTCTCCTAATTCTATTTTGTCATCATTTTTCAAGTAACATTTTGGTTTTTGGGCAAAAGATAGAAAAAGAAACAAGTGTTTAATTGTAATTAATTAGAGGTCATTTGAAAACAACAACAAAAACACTTGAGTAATTTTCGAAAACACTTTTCAGGTCTCGATATTCTCAAAGAAATTTTGGCAAAAGTATCTGAACTTCCCGAAGAAGCATCTCAACCATTCTACAAACGACACTACATTGATATTCTTCAACATGTTCTTGCTGTTGCATGTGATAGTTCACAAGTTCATGTTGCTGGTTTAACATATTATGCTGAAGTATTGTGTGCTCTTTTCCGTGCTCCAGAATATTCAATCAAATTGCCATTAAATAGTGCAAATGAACAACAATCGAATATTGATTATATTTATGAACATATTGGTGGAATCTTCTCGCAACATTTCTCCAATTTGACACAGTTAGTTTATTTTTTTTTTTTTGAAAAATTATTTGGAACCTGAAAACGTGTAATCTTATTTAATTTTCAGAGATCAAATTCGTGTTATCATCAAAGGATTTTTCTCGTTCAACACTGAAATTGGATTGATGAGAAATCATTTGAGAGATTTCCTTATTCAAATCAAGGTGAGCTTTTCAAATTCTTGAAAATTCATTCTCATTTTCGCCATTTTCAGGAATTCAATGGTGAAGATACATCTGATTTGTTCCTTGAAGAACGCGAAGCTGAAATTCAACAAGCTCAATCAAGAAAACGAGCTGTTCCTGGAATGATCAATCCAAATGATTTGCAAGAAGAAGATGTTTTCTATTAAGTTTGTTTTTAACCCTCTGAAAATTCAAATACACGTGTAATTTTTTCATCAAATTCCCATTTTCTTGTTTTCTTCCTTTTTTTGGTGATTTTGTTCTCGGTTTTCTTCCCAATTCCCCCTAATATATAACGTGTTTTCTTCTCGGAAAGTTACCCAGAATCTTTTTTTCTTTTCTGTTTTTTCTAGATCTCCGACCTTGTTATACATATTTATTATTATTATTCCTTATTTTATCCTTAATTCTTATTCCGTTTGATATATTTTTCCGAATACCATTTACTATCTTTAGTTATTGAAATAAAATTCATTGTTTTATATTTCTTTTTCCAAATTTATTTTTTCTGAAGAAAAAACGGTTCGAGGTAAACCAAAAAATGTATTTTCAACAATGTTTCTATCAAATATTTTATTTGTGAATAAGTAAAAAAATTAGGCGACTTTAGTTATAGATTTTTTATCGTTCTTTGTAACAACTGATTGATGATTTGTAATTGTAGCTTCTGTTACTGAAACAGTGGGTTTGACTCCGGCAATTCTAAGTAGAGATCTTCTATATGGAGAGACATAATATAAATATAAAATAGGAGATAAAACTGGAATGAAACATTCCGAAGCTGAAAATTTTATCAATTAATTGATTGAAATTAAAGAAGCTTTAAAAAAATGAATACCGGAAATAACTACTTGAACTGCAGGATTTCTAACAGTTCCTGATGCTTCTAATCCGAACATAACAGTTCCAAGCCCGAAAAATATTGGAAGACAAGCTTGTAGTGTTAATGCAGTCAATAATTGTTTGTGAAGAGCCTTTGTCTCTTTTCTCAAATGTTCCATTGTTTTAGCAAGAAATTTTACAATCATTCGACGAATTAATAAAACAGAAACTAAAATTGGAATAGGGCAGAATAGCATATTTATCATTGGAACAACTCCGGTAATAGCATCAGTATTCACACTTCCAGTAAATTGTGAATAACTGAGTGAAGTATCATTTGGATATATTTCATAGTATAAATCATAAACAGTTTGAGTATCAGCTTGATTGAAACAAAAACAGAAAACACTTGAAAATGCTGGAATATAAGCAATTGCCATGAATATAAATAATGATCTGATTTTTGGAGCTGGATTTTTTAGAATATAATAACGATAACTAAATGATAAACATAACGAATATTGAGAGTATATGAAAAAATGAAACATTAGACCACATCTAGAAAATTAAAAGTATTGAAGATTTAAATTTCTATTTAATATAAACTTGCCCGAGATAACAAAATGTTGGACTTAAATATTGACATAATCCATATGATACTTGAACAGTTGCAATTCCAATTGGAACTAATCTTGCCATTACAAATAGGGAAGTAACACAAGCAAATATATCAGTAATTGCAAAATTCATGATTAAAATTGAATATGATTTTATAGAAGAAGGAGATTTGAAAAAGGCTAGATATAAAAGTAATAGATTTAGGAAAAATCCTGAAACTGAAGTGACAATACTGAAAATTTTGAACACAACGATTATGAACATTGTTAGAGCTCAAGTGATATCTAGAAAAATGTTTTGATTTTCTGACAATTCGATATATTTCTTGTTTTTAATTAAACATGTGAGAATAATAAAAAAAAACAATTTTCTGTGAAAATTATTTCCGACAGATTTTATCACAAACACATTTTTTCCTCATTGTATTTTTAATTCATTGTTTGTTGATATTTTCAATCCAAAAAAATAAGAACCTCGGAAAAAGATAACCGAAATGGCCGAGAAAACCAAGACTACAGTAGACTTCGCAAAATTTTTGAGTCTTTTTTTGGAAAGATAAATTCGAAATTATTAGATGGGCTATTTTCGGATTGACAATACATTTTTAAAAATTTATTTACTATCTTCAATTTTCAAAAAAATAAATTATCAAGTTCAATATTTTTATATTTATATACATAAAAGTACAAAAATTATGCAACTACAGTAATAGGTTTATCGTTTGTTTTCTTCGCAACAAATGATTGATGATTTGTAATTGTAGCTTCTGATACAGAAACAGCTGGTTTCATTCCAGCAATTCTAAGTAGAGATCTTCTATATGGAGAAACATAATATAAGTATAAAATTGGTGATAAAACTGGAATGAAACATTCTGAAGCTGAAAATTTGCATGATTATCCTCAATAACTGTTATTATTTCACCGGAAATCACACTTTCTACTCCAGGATTTCTTACAAGTCCCGAAGCTTCTAATCCAAACATAACAGTTCCAACTCCAAAAAATATTGGAAGACAAGCTTGTAGTGTTAAAGCAGTCAATAATTGTTTATGAAGAGCTTTTGTCTCTTTTCTCAAATGTTCCATTGTTTTCGAAAGAAGTTTAATTATTTTTCGGCGAATTAATAAAACCGAAACAATAATTGGAAGTGGACAAAGTAACATATTACATACTGGAAATATTCCAGTGAATGTTTGAGTGTTTAAATTTCCAGTAACTTGTGATAAACTAATGGTATCATTTGGATATAATCCATAATATAAGTCATAAACTGTTTGAGTATCAGCTTCATTAAAAAGAAAACAAAACATGTGCATTGCTGCTGGGATATAAGCAATCGCCATGAAAATGAATAATGATCTTGCTTTTGGGGCTGGATTTTTTAGAATATAATAACGATAACTAAATGATAAACATAACGAATATTGAGAATAGACGAAGAAATGAAACATTAAACCACATCTAGAAAATTTTTAAAAATTTCCTATTAGTTGAACATCTTCGAACTCACCCGCGGTAACAAAATGTAGGACTAATAAATTGGCAGAATCCATACGATATTTGAACAGTTGCAGCTCCAATTGGAACTAATCTAGCCATCACAAATAGTGTTGTGATACAAGCAAATATATCAGTAATTGCAAAATTCATGATTAAAATTGAATATGATTTTATAGAGGAAGGAGATTTGAAAAAGGCTAGATATAGAAGTAGTAGATTTAGGAAAAAGCCCACAACTGATGTGACAATACTGAAAATTTTGAACACAACGATTATGAACATGATTCCGGGTCCAATAGAGTTGATACGTTTCTTGTTTTTGATTAAAATGTGAGAAGCAGGAAAAAACAATTTTTCACCGAATATTGTTATTCTCAGAATTTTCAGACAATTAGGACATACACAATTAGTTGGTTTTCTCTATTCTGAATTAATTTTGGGTAGAAAAACAAGCACTTTAGTAGGACACAAAAATGGTATTAATTTATTCAGTTTAGTTAAGAATGGAATAATAATTATGATTATAAAATACAACAACATTTAGTTTTATCTTGCATATTGTTGTATGAATCAATTGAATCGATTGAAACCCGAGATATTAGATTATTTGAAGACGGTTGAGTTATAACAACTTTTGGTGGAATTACACGGGTTTTTGACATTGTTGTGTTTGGAATTGAAGAATTCACATCATTCTGAAAATTGAATGTTTTATTGAAAATTTGGGTCAAAAGTGCCTTTTTTATTGTTAGAAGCTAACTTCAACCTTAAAATTTGGACTCTGAAAATAGATTTTGTATGAAATTTTCCATGATTTTTTCGGTGACTCTCTTCATTTTAAGTCACTTTTTTTTAGAGTGAAAATGGTCGATAGGAAAAATTTTGAATCTTCACTTCCAGTTTTTTTCCAAAATAAAATACTTACCTTAAATTCTCTTGGATTAGTCATTTTCTCCTTTTATTATTGATCATTTCGGAATAAGCTAATGGCAGACAATCTGCAAAAATTAATTGAAAAAAAAATAATAATGGGCAAATTTAATAGATAGAACGTTTTCAAGTATTCCAAAGAGTACTTTGATGTTTTTTTCTTTTTTTTTAGAAATAAAAGACACAAAACAACTCTTCTGGGACAAATTTTTCTGTTTCGACGAAATCTTGACAACAATGTTTCTTGAAATTTAATCGCATATTTCAAAACAACTTTTTTGTTGTTGAAACCAAACCACGGAAAAAGGTTCACGAATGAACGATTTTTGGAGAAAAAATGTTTTCAATAAACTAACCGAAAAAGAATTGCTTTTTCAAAAAAAAAAATTGATTAGGAAATGAAATGAGAAAAGATGAAAATGTTTTTTGTTTTCTTGAAATTTTCCAGACGAAATACATAAGTTATGAATTGAAAAAAGAGAGAAAAAACAATAACAGAGTTAGTTATATTTTTCATTTTAAATTACGAAGAAAAAACGAGAAAACTAGAAAATAATAATCAAGTGACACTTTCAATGAAAAATTCCTCCAAAAATAAATAAAATATTCACATCTCGTGATAAATTGAAATTAATCATGGATATTTTCCATAACTCTTTTATTTTCATGTAAATAGTTCCCAGTTTTTCCTCAGATTGAGAGAGAAACTTGAAAACTCGAAAAAAAGAATAATTCGATTTGCTAGAAAGCTGAGAAAAATTATTTTTTGTTGCTATTTCGAATGAAGATTTCCCAGAAAAAAAAGCTGGCACAAAATGCTTGTGGCACTTTTTTGATTGATATTTACATAGAAAAAAAATGAGAAGAAAAAGAAACAGAAAAAGAAGAACGTTGAGTTAGTTAGTTAGTTGCATATGTTTTTTTTTTTGAATAATATAATGAAAAGAAATAGCCAGAATTATGAATGAGAAAAATATTTTAACGGAAAATTCCGATTGCAACTTTTTTTTACTCGACGAAAAACCTAATATAGCCAATAACTGAAACTTAGTGAGTCAACATAATTTTATGTTAAGTTTTTAGGCTGAGAAATTGGGAATTTATGTATTTTCAGGAGACAGAAGTAATGACACCTACACAAAATAAATTAGTATCAGAACTAACCTTTGAGGTCACAGAGCTCCAAAGTTCGATAAATCTAAAAATTTGAGCTCAAATCTAGTCAAAGATTTTTTCATGAAAAAACCAAGTATCAGAAAATGAATCCCGTAATTTGATTAGTACAAGGAATAACAAAAATACAATAAGAATTTAAAATAATAAAAAAATAGTTTTTTGAGTCCAAGTTTCCCCCTATAAATTAATTCATCAATAGTTTTTTTTTCAACCAACAAAAAATTTCGAAAAAAAAGTCACACATTTTTATTTAATTTCCGGCTCTCAAAAATTTTCTCTAGATTTAATTGAGAAATAGAAGGAAAGCAAACTCATATTCTTTGAAAATGAATTTTTTGGAAAATGCTTCTCATTCCGCAAAAAAAACACTAAAAAATGTGTTTTGTTTTTCGATGCGAACAAAAGTCAAAAGTGATGCGCGAGAAAACGAGGGAAAAAGCTGAGAAAATTAGTTTGGTCTAATTAGATTCTTCTTACTTTTTCTCGTTTTTCGAGTACTACATGGAATAATGTGATGATGATTTCAGAGGAATGACTGAAACCAGAGAAGTTCCAAACAAGTTTTTTGGTCGATATGAACTCGAAAAATCTGAAAACTTTGATGAATTTCTATCATCAAAAGGTGTTAATTGGCTTATTCGACAACTTATAAAAAGAGCTGGGCTCACAAAAATCATTGAATCAAATCAAGAGAAAAATGGAAGGTTATTAAATAGAAAACTGTGAGATAAAAAAAGTAAAACTTATTATTTCAGATATAACTTTGAAAATCTGACCTCAAAAAAGAACACAAATTATCAAGGATGGGAATTGGGAAAACAATTCGAAGGAGATGGTTTGGATGGAAATAAACATCAAATAACTTTCGATTTCAAAGACGAAGTTCTATCCGAACATCATATTCGATTGAATGAACCAACAACTTCCGCTGAAACTTATTATTATACAATTGATGAAAATAATCAACTTGTTATGGTTTGTTTTTTTTGTTTTTCTGTAAATTCTCAACAAATATATATATTTTTTCTCACAGAAAATGGAAAATAATGGAATTGTTTGTCGACGTTGGTTCAAAAAAGTCGAGGAAAAACAATAGATAATTATTTATCAGTTTTTTGTTTTGTTTAATTAGGGTTATTCGCATAATTTTTGGGTGTTTTAAGTAAATTATTTCATAAATCGAAATACATTAGGAAATTAAATAGATGAAAACAAAAACAGAAATGCATTATTATCAAACAAAAAAAAACAATAGACAATATTTTGTATATAAATCTAGAAAATTTTGGGAATTTCGAACAAAAAATGAATATTTTTGTGATATTTCTCTCTATATTGATCCTGGTAATTCAAACAAGATGCCAATTTATGGGAGGATGTGGCTGTAGGTATGTTGTTTAAATTTCAGAAGTATTCTCAAATACTGATGTTTTTCAGTATGGGTGGATGTGGTTGTGGTCAACCAACAATAATAGTTCAACAAACTCCTCATTATATGGCAGCTCCTCCGCCAATGATTGCACCTCCTCCTCCGCCACCTCCCCCGCCTCCGCCTCCCCCACCAACTCATTTCTATATGCCAATGGCGCCTCCACCTCCTCCGGCTCCTGTTTATGCGCAACCCCCTCCTCTTCCACCCCCTCCGGCTCCTGTTTATGCGATGCCTCCACCAGTTGCAGCTCCACCGCCTCCTCCACCAATGTATCTTCCACCAACACATTATCACGGTGTTATGTATGGAAAAAGAAGAAAGTAAAATATTTGAGTTTTTGAAATTATCGATGTTGATTTTTTTTTTGGAATATTTTTCATGGGATAAAGTTAGTGGATTACTGTACTTCATAAATAGGTTCTATGTGAATTGAGGAGAAAAATTGTGCCTAATTGAGATTTTTTGAAAATTTTAGATTGGGATCCGAATTCCTGATGTCCTAAAATTAGGGTTAGGGTTTTTCGAAAAATTGGAAAAAAATGGTCAGGAAAAAAATTTTTTTCACGCTCAAAGTGAAATTTTCATTTCGGCGGGCTATTAATTTCGATTCACGCTCAAATGAAATTTCTGAAACATTTTTTTCCAGAAAAATTTGAATTTTAGAACTTTTGTTTAGCACTTTTTGATTGCTCTCTTCAAATTCTATTATTTTTTATTCAATTTTTTTTGGTCAAAAATTTGTGAATCTGGAAAGTTTTCCAGTTTTACAAATTCATCATTTTCGAGCCAAAATTCAGATTTCATTGTGAAATTGATGTTATTTCATTTGTTGAGCACATTTTTATTGCTCTCTTCAAATTCTCATATTTTTTTGGTCAAAAATTTGTAAGAAAACTCCACCATAATTTTCAAACATCGTTCAATTCCAGATTTATTTATCATCTATAATATTATAAATAACCAAAATATGATACAAATTGTGACGAAATGCAGAAATTTAAACAGATCCTTTTTCCTTTTTAGTTTGACCCATCGGCAACTTTTTCAATTGAAAGTGATTCGAGTTGTTTGACAATTTTCGGTTTTCCATTCGGTGGTTTTGGCCCTTTTTTGACTGGAAAAAGAAATTAAGTTTCGTAGGATAAAAATTTGCGCAAACTAACATCCTTTTCCATGTTTTCCATCTTTTCCTTTTGCTCTTTGTTGAGCCAAAGTTTCTTGTGGAACAACAGATAATACAGTTCCAACCGCTTTTGTTCTTCCTTCTCGGAAAACCATTCGAGTTCCTGGTCGAATATATTCAGGTTGACGGATGAATTTGAATTGAACTTTATCGCGATCACCAGTTCTCAATACTTCCTGCAAAATTTACGAATAATTTCAGAACCTCAAATTCAAAAAAAACAAACCTTTCCCATTTGTACAAGAGTTGCAGTTTGTCTTATTGATCCAATATGTAACATTGCTTGATAATTCGTTTTAATTGTAGTTGGATGATGGAGAACAAGAATTTCGGCTTCGAAAAGCATTGAGGCTTTTGGCTCAACTTTTGGGTCAACCATAACCATTCCTTTACGAACTTCTTTTTTCGTAATTTTTCTGGAAAAAAAACATTCTGAAAAATTTGAAGGCTGTTTTGTTGATACCAAACAAATCTAGCGTTACTGTAGATTTGAAGGCGCATTTTCGGACACCAAATACGCCTAGGGTTACTTTTCTTACCTTAACGCAAATGAAGCAGTTTGTCCACATCTTACAGTATTTACAGGCATACGTTTCCGATGAATCGATTTGATTGGAAGCGGTAAAAAGTCGCCAGTTGAAGTTGGTCCAATTAATAATACATCATTTACATTTACAGTTCCAGCTAACATTGTTCCACTAACTACAGTACCAACACCTTCAACCCAATAAACATCATCAATCTATAAAAAAATATAAGAATTTTTTGGGTGTTTTTGAGAATGAATAAAAGGTACCTGGAAATGTGTTGGGTCGTGTTCACAAAGTGTTCTTCTCAATGGTACAATATTCAAAAATTGTCTGAGAAGCGGTAGATTTGTTCCATCAACATTTGAAACTTGGAAAATTGGACAAACACGTTTTGACGGGAAATTTACAGCTGCATGAATTACATCGTCCATTGTTCGAACATTTACCGGAATTTTGCGAGCGCCTAGAATTATTAGAAATTGAGAAAAAACAAAAGAAAAATCTTACTTTTGACCAATCTCATGATATTTTTGAGTGTTTCTTCAAGAATTTGCGGTGGGCACATGTCGATTTTGGTGACAACTAGATAAACGGGTACACTTAATGAGAGAGCTAATGATAAATGCTCTTTTGTTGTTCCAATAATACCCATATTAGCTCCAATCATAAGCATTGTATAATCTGGCATATGACCAGTCATTCCGAAGATTGTTGTTTTTAAATATTTTTCATGGCCAGCCAAGTCGATGAATGTTACAAGCTGAAATTATGTTCTTGAACAATTCACTGTGGCCTTGTTTTTTTCAATTTAACAAAAAACCTCGACGAACCTTACTACAATCGGATGAGATTTGAACCCAATCCAAATTATGATTATGCGGATCTGGTTTATTAACAATATTTCCATGAACATCAAAACCCAAAATATCATTTCCAACCGACGAAGTTCGACCCGATTCAAACTCGTGTTTATGTCTGGAAATTTTTATTTTCCTATATAATTTATAAATCAAAAATTACCTGAATAATTTAGTTCTAGCTAAACCTCTTCCATCATCTAATGCACTGTGTGTTAATACACCTAAAAGTGTTGATTTTCCGGCATCGACATTTCCAACAACCGCAATTCGAACCTAGAAATATTTGAGGATGAAAATTCGATTCAAAAATTCCCCAATTCAACTGACCTCCGTAAAATCCTCATCCTTCGGTGGTTCTCGAACCAAATAAACTTCGGTAAACTTTTTCTGATTATTCTTTCGTCTTTCGATTTTCGTTCCAATCGCCGGAATAGTTTTGAGTATTTCGTTGTGTTTTTCGGCAGCCTTTTCCAATTCATTTTCAGTCATTCCACTTTGTTTTGATGACATTCCAATTGGAACACCAAGTTCAACAAGATATTCACCTTCGCCTTCGAATAACATTTTACGAATGTGAATCACATATTTTTCGACCTGGGGAAAATTTGGTTGAATATGTATTTTGCTTGGAGATAATGGGGTGATTAGAAAAAAACGTTTTTTGACAAAAATTTCGATTCAGCAATGACAAAAAAATTTGTTTTCCGTATTTTTGACATTTTTTCCACACAAAAATAAAAAATATCTCGCAACGAAAATGTTTCAATGAAAAAAAATGTCAAAAACACATGCTGAATCGAAATTTTTTCTCAAAAAACGCTTTTTTATTTGTCTAGTTGATTCCCCTCACAAAATCAGCATCGCATTCATAAATTAGAGCTCCAGATCCCAGATTTTCCCGCCCTAAAAATTCACCTCATCTGGATTATTTCTCAACAAAAATGTTGCATCTAATCCTCCTTTCTCAACATTATCATCTTCTTCATCCGATCCATATAAAGCTACAAGTCCTTCTGCTTTTGATTTCGAAGATTCTGATATTCGATCCATTGTTTCGTCTTCAGTAGAACTGAAAATAATTGCTAAAATATTCAGTTTTGACCCTCAGGCAACCGTTTCCCAAAGTTGTAAAACATTGCGAAATTTGACTCCTCCCACAATAGTTTTTTTGCTTTTTTTCGAAAAAAAAAACTACGCTTGCTAGAAAATTGACATATTGCTGACAAAACAAATAAATAAAATTGAACTACAAAAAGAAAAATCGATGAAAAGTGGAAGAAAAAAGAAACAGGAAAAAAACAACAACAACAGAATGACTTTCGCTTTGTAGTTTATCTCAAAAAAAAAATATCCAGAAAATGGTTAAATATTTCCTAATTTTTTTAAATTGATAACAACGTGTTAGAAAACACAAAAGTACAAAAATGGAAAAAATTAAATAAGAACAAGAACAATTTTATAATAATAAGAACAAAAACAACTTTGGAATGAGTTAACAAAAACAAAAACCTTCTGAAAAAATGCAATTATTTAGCATCTGTAGATTCCCCTTCTTCCTCATCTTCTTCCGCCAAATTTTCCAATTCTCCATAATTCTCAACTTTCATATCATTCAACCCCAATTCATCATTTTGCTCATAAGAACGCGTATAAAATTCTTTATCCAATCGACTATCATCTAATGGCGCGGTTAAACTCTAAAATTTTTTTTCAAATTTCCAAGTGGCCTCTTCATTCTGTATAAATTACCTGAACATAACTACAACCAGTTGGATCATCTAAAATAATAGTCGCTGGCATTCGCAATGCAATAATATCATCCAATTTTGTCAAGAAATTTGTGACTTCTGCTTTTTCCTCATTTTCAGCCGAATCTCCCATGAAAAATGAACTTTGAGCATCGAGTTGCTCTTTTGTTGCAGTTAGCAATCCTGAAACATTTGATTTTCAATTTTTTTTGAAAAACTTCTGGAGTATTTTAAAATTATAATCACTGAAAACGGATTCCGAGTAAAAACCGAAAGGTTTCTATACCTTCAATCGTCGTAAATCTTCCACACAACGCAGCTCCTCCAACTTCCAAATCAATTTCCGGAATTCGCATAGCACAAGTATCGGTTTTCAAAACATCTCTTGCCAAATCCAAATCTTTTTCAATTCGAACAGTCAATTTACAACCTTGCGGTTTAATTGCTCCTCCACTTTTCACTTCATTCGATTTATATCCACAATGTTCGCAATGTAATGACATAATAATAACTGTTTGAAAGAATGGAATATCTGAAAAAGATTTTCATATTAATTTCACGAATCCAAAAAAATCCATAAAATTACCTGTTGGTTTCATATTCACCGAAGTTTGTGCATGACAATTTGGACAACTCGTACCAAAATGCAAAACTTCATTCTTGGCATCCTCGTATGACTCAAAAGCTGGAGCGAGTGTTTCTTCTTCAACTTCGCTAAAAATTTCTATAATAAGTAAGAGATAACTTCAAAAATAACTAACTCATCAGCTGCTAATCCCAACATTTTTCTCTCTTCCAAATTTCGATGATAATGCGAGATAATACATCGTGCATCAACATGTCTCACATCCGGATTTTGAATATAACAATTTCCAGTTGGATCTCTCAATTTCAATGTCCAATTTTCTTTCAAATCCATTAATCCTTCCAATCTTTTTAAAAATGCATCAATTTGAATCGCTGATTCTTCATCCAAAAGTCGCCTTTTTTCCTGAAATAAAATGCATAAACTATTAATTCTTTCTTCTTCTCAGCTAACCTGATCTTGAGACAATCCCTGATGAACTCTTTGAAGAACTCCTTCAACAGTCGTCACTTCTCCTGGTTGACTTTTACTCGGAATTGTCAATTCAATTTCTGGAATTTCAATCGAAGCATATTCGGATTTGACGAGTTGTCGTCTCAAATCTTCTTGTTTTTGAACTCTCAAAACTAATTCATTTCCATGTTCTTGAACAGCTTCTCCACTTTGGATTTCATTGTTTTTATAAGCACAATGTGGACATTCAAATGACATCAGAATGACTGCTTTGTAATATGGAATTGCGGTGCACATTATTCGAGTTTCACCCTGTACAAAAATGTTTAATTTTTGGGAATAAAAATGTGTATCTTACATTTTCTTCACAATTCGGACAAACACTTTCAACAACAATTGGTGCAGCTTCATAATCATCCGCCGAAAGATTTCGATAAATCTGAAAATATTCATCTTTTTTTAGGTTTTCAAGTTTTAAAGCCATCGGAATTTAACAAAGTTCGACAACAGTACAGTTTTGAAAAAAAACTAGTTTTAACCCTAAAATTTAAAAAAAAGTGAAACTTTGGTTTTTCATCTAAAAAATTTCGGATTTCGGTTTTATACAGAGCTTCACTTACATCTTCAGAATTTGCAGCCATGGTTTCTATTGCCAAATCTGAAGAGAGAAAATTTAATTCATATATTCAGAATATGAAAAAAAAAGATACATTATTGAAGAGATATTTAACATAACTCTTGAAAAAATCCAATCAATTTTTTTCTGTAAACAAAAAATAACGAAATTTACTGAAAAAAAAACAAAGATTAAATTAGATAACACAAGAGATAAAATAAATAAATAAAAATATCAAAATTTGAAGTCTTTGTGTTTTTTGGAAGACGAAGACGATGAAGATGATGAGGATTTATTCTTTTTGTCTTCTTGAGCTTTCCGTTTTCTCTGAAATTAAATTTTCAATAATTTTTATTTATTTATAAAGTTTTCCTCACATTTTGTTTAGCAGAATGTTCGGCTATCATATCACTCAAATCTTCTTTATCTTCATCATCATCTCGTGTATTTTGTTTTCTCAATTGTTCCTCATATCTTTTAGCCAAACCTTTTTCATCCATATCAATTGCATCAGGATCCAATGAAATCTCAACTCCATCATCGCGAACACCGACACGTTTCTGAAAAAAAAATAAATTTCAAATTAACGGGAGAAAATAAACTAACTGATAAATCATAAGTATGTGTTGATGCCATCATTTGACTTCCAATTCGATCATTCTTTTTCTCTGGAATAATATGATAAGCAGCAGCTGGTGTATCACTTCCATGTAATGTGCTTTCTTCCGTTCTTTTTCCTTTTCTCAATTCAATTGTATCTGGTGTTTCTAATCCAGTTAAACCAGTTGTAGTTCCAGATGGTGTTACCAATCCTTCTTGTCCGCCAGCTGGAGTTTCAAATCCATCAGTTCCTTCAATTTCTCCATCCAAATCATCATCATCTTCCTCATTTTCCGATTCTTCATCCGAACTTTCATCCGATCCAATTTCACCCCAATATCTTCTTTCAATTTGTGATTCATCTTCTGGTTCAAAAGCCGGTGCTTGTAATCCGAACACATCTCCATGAATTGGTTGTCCATATTCATCAACTGGTGGTTTTCCCCATCCTCCAGCGTGATAACCAAAAGCACATCCTTCTGGAATTGGTGCATTCAATCCAGGAATTTTTATATTTGGATAACTTGGAGGTGGTCCATATCTTTGCATTGCAATTAGCCATGGAGGTGGGAATTTATAAGCATTTGAACCAATTGGCATTCCTAATGCAATTCGAAGTTCATCCGACATTTCACCTGGTTTTTTATCTCTCATCATTGCTTCCATTTCTTTTCCCTCATAATATAATTCACCCATTTTTGTCATCAATGGTTTTGTTTGCCATTTGAAAAAGGCGTCGTGAAGTTTTTGATAATCGATATCAATTTTTCCCAACTTTGGACGAGTTCTTTCTCTCATTTTTGATTTTAGTGATTGATTTTCTTCTTTTTCTAACAGAGCCTCTCGCATATCTTGAATTCCTGTTCTTTTGATGAAATCTGGTAATTCAAATGGTGGTCTTTCGAAACCTCTTTTACCAGCCAAATATTTTCTTTTTGCATTCCAATGTCGAGGAACTGGAACTGTATTACGATAAGATTTGAGAGCAACAAGAAGGAAAGGATCACGAGATGTAACATCAGCCCATTCAACAGCATCTGCTCGACCGGTTGTCTGAAAATATAAAACTGAAATTATATTTTTGTGAATGTGTAAATACCTCTTTCAGTTTTGCAATACTTGGCTGCAGTGAAATTCTTAATTTCCTTCTTGATAACTTTTCATCGGTATTTTCTTTTGCTCTTTCTTCCATTTCCTCTTGCAATATTTTTTCAGCCTGTCCTACTTTTCCTAAAAATTCATCCTTCTTTTCGCCTCTCGAAACTGGATGGAAATTCTGTTGATCATCTCCATCTGTTGAAATCTGTAATTTCCCTTGATTAATTGTGATATTCTATGACGTAAACTAACCTTGAAATTATCAAACACTGAAGCAAAATATTTGTAGTTAGGATTTTCTTGATCCAATTCAGGTGTTTCTCCAACATATTCAATTTCCACACCAGAATCTTCTTCTTGTTTCACTTCCTTATTTCCATTCTCCAATTCTGGTTCTTTTTCCTCGGTTTTTGTCGCCTTTATCCGTTTTTTAGATTCTTTCTTCTTTTTGTTTTTCTGCCGCTTCCACTTCAGTTCTTGCAATTCTTTTTTCGATAATGTTGGTTGATCTTCATCTGAATCATAATCGACGTTTGGCATCTGAAACGAAACAAGTTACTGGAAAAAGGAATAGAAAAAGAACACAGGACAATTTTGAAGCATTTTAAAGTTCAAAAACAATTGAAAATTTCGAATTTCAACCGGAATTCATGGGCGAAACTGAAAATTTTGAATGAAAACGCTGTCTGTTGTTGTGCGTCAAATATGTTGCTTGTCGAATGCAGAGTGTGCACCGAAACTGACGAGAAACACAAAGTACGCTCCACCGAACAATTTTTTCGTTTTTTTTTTCGAGGGAGTTCAAATCATAGAAGTCCACATTTTGCAAGTGATTCTTCATTTTCGTCTAAAGTTTGAGCGTTTCCGTCTAGTTTAATATGATTTGCAAACTCTCATTATGATGAATAAGTTAGGGTCATCATTATTACGCGTAATTTACCCGGCTTTCTTCTATGTACATTCTAAATACGATCTTTTCCGAAAATCGGCTCTTTCTAATCTTTGAAGATAATGTTGTAAAAATGATTTCGACAAACATTTCATTTGGACGTGAACCACGTACCTTTTTTCCTCAAATAATCAATCAATTTGTTTTCATTTCTGTTTTGTTTTGTTAAAAAAATGACTCGGTGTGCTGTGTTCAATAAAATATTTATTTCAAGCTCTTTTTTGTGAGGTAGGCCGAAGTTTGAACAAAAGTTTGTTTATACTACTTCAGTTTTTTTTGCAAACATTTATAAACAGACCATTTCACACTTTTTTATGTTTCCGAAATAATCGTTGAAATAAAAAACAATTCAGCGCGTAGGCGAAGAATCGAATTTCAAATACATTTCATGAATGAATTATTCCAGCAAAACTTTTGTGTATTTTTTAAAAATTCTTGATAGAATAATTTATTTCGAATTTCGTTCCTATCATATATATATATATAACATGTTTGACCTAGAAACCCAATTGTTTGTCCAAAAGAACTACACACTTTTTGACTTATTTTTATCTTCATAAAACTTCGTTTATTTGTTTCAAATGCTCTAAATTTATTGCAGATGGGTATTATGCTATTCAATTCAAAATATAATCAATATATTCTAATAATATGCTTATTTTTCTTCTTGAATGTATATTTGCTTTACAATTCTGCATCAACTCCCGAAGTTCATAATAAAAAGGTAATTTTATGCACAATAAGTATTTGAATAAATTATTTAATTTTTACAGGATGTTGTTGCTCATGTTGATAAAAAAGGAAAACTTCACGATAGTTCTTTGAATGTTGGAAAATGTGAAATATCAGATGAATTGGCACTTTCAGCTTTGAAAAGAGTTAAATCAGATGTTTGTCGAAAGAAAATTGAAGAAGCTGCTTGTGCAATCAAAGAAGGGACATATCATGATAAATTTCCTGAATCACAATGTCCAAACCATGACCATCTAATTATTGATTTTTCGCTCGGATGTTACGCAGATTCAAAAAGTTCACGAGTTCTAAAAGATTTCACATATAAATTCCCCAACGGAAATTCAAGAGATTTATGTCGAAAACATTGTTATCGAGCTGGATTTCTTTTATATGGTTTAGAATATAAAGAAGAATGTTTTTGTGGAAATCAGATATTTGATAATGCTACAAAAATTGAGGAAAAAGAATGTGAAATGTATAAATGTCCTGGAAATTCTGAAGAATATTGTGGTGGTTTTAATGCTGTTTGGATTGCAAGAACTGGTCTAAAAAGTTAGTTTTTTTTGAAAATGCATATGATTTCAAATAGTTGGGTGAAACGCAGAACAGGCCCCCACCCATATCATTTTATGCCCCCGATTCGGAACTATGTTACAGGCCCCCGCGCGGTATTTTCAAAAAACAAAAATTTATGGAAAAAATAACGAAACAAAATGTTTTTTTTGACCTACCCGCGAAAAAGAAAGCTGCACGTAGCAAATTTTTGTTCAGAAAAATTAGCAAAAAACTAATCATTCCGATTTTTAATTAATTTTTTTCATTGTGGGGACCTCATCTAAGACAAATTTTTTAGGTGGGGGTCTCAACTAAGACAATTTTTCAAAATGGGGGCCTGAACTAAGACGATTTTGGGGGCCTGAAACAGAGTTCCGAATTGGGGGCATAAAATGATATGGGTGGGGTGCTGATCTAAGATTTAACCTGAGACCGTAGATGAGGCCCCCTCACTCATTAAAATTATCTTAGATGAGGCCCCCACAGTTAGTTGAGCCCCCCACTGAATAATAGACCCCCACCCAAAATGAAGACCCCAAAATATTATTTTTTCACTGGGTGGGTCCAAAGTGGGGGCTTCTCCTGGGATGTGGGGACCTGAATTGGGGTGGGGGCCTGTTCTGCGTTTTACCCCAAATAGTTTTTTTCAGAAACAGTAATTCCTCTCAAACCAAAATTCGTCGAAAAATCCGAATCGTCTAATAAACAACAAAAGATTTTATATTTATTGCAATTAAATGGTCGAAATGAGCGACAAGTTATTCGATTTCTCAAAACAATTTATTCAAATCAACATCATTATGTAATTCATGTTGATAAACGACAAAATTATATGCATTCGGAAATGTTGAAAATAGCCGAAAGATTTGAAAATATTCGAGTTACTGAAAATCGTTTTAGTACAATTTGGGGAGGAGCATCGCTTCTTCAAATGTTTTTACAAGTTGTCAAAGATAATTTGGGTTTGGAATGGGATTATATTGTCAATTTCTCTGAGTCTGATTTTCCTGTTCTACCAATTGAAGATTTTGAAAATTTGATTGATTCGTAAGTTTCGAGTTCTAGAAGTTCTTAATTATATATCCGAATTTCAGACATGTTGGTTATTCTTATTTGGCATCTCATGGTTATAATACTGCCCGCTTTTTGCAAAAACAAGGTTTCGAATTCGTGTTTCTTGAATGTGAAGAAAGAATGTGGCGAATTGGAAAAAGAGATTTCCCAGCAAATATAAGAATTGATGGAGGATCTGATTGGGTTGGAATTCATCGAGAATTGGCTGAATATTCAATATCTGAAACAGAAGAAATTCCGATAAAATTGAGAAGATTATTTGAAAGTATTCTACTTCCACTTGAAAGTTTTTATCATACATTATCATTCAATTCAAAGTTTTGTGATCGAATTATGTCAAGTAATTTGAGATTAACAAATTGGTATAGAAAACAAGGATGTAGATGTGCTGGATTGAAAAAAGTTGTTGATTGGTGTGGATGTTCGCCATTAGTTTTTAGAAAAGAAACTGTTTCGAAACTCGAAATCGAGGTTTGTTAGATAATGTTTTTTTGTAAAAAAAAATTTGTCTATTTTCAGAAAGTAAAATTGAAACCTTCATATTTTGCTCGTAAATTTGACAGTATTATAAATATTGATGCAATTAGTTTAGCTGAATCTCAATCTGTTCCAAATTCAATTGATATTCAACATCCCTCATATAATTCTTCATTTTCAAATGTTTATAAAAAAGATATCGATGGAGAATGTATGTTTATTCATTTTTATTCCAATTTTCAATTTTTTTCAGCTGTCCATATTGAAAATTTTGCAAAATCTATTCTAAAGTTATCTGGAATTTTAGAAAGTTTTGAAGAATTGACAAGAATTGATGTTTTTCGAGCTCATTCAACTGCTCCTATACAAATTGTAGTCACTTTAAAAGTAAGCTAGCACCTATTTTTATCAAAAAAATAAGAAAAAACATTCAGACACTTTCTGGAAAGTTAGTTCAATTTTTGGTGGATCGAGTCCGACATATAGAAATCTTCAAACATCAAAGTCAAAATGGATTTTTACTCAAAAATTTGACATTCGGAACAAAGTATGAATATAAAGAAGAGTTATGTCGAGAATATATCGGAATTATTACAAATGTTAGTTTTTTTAAAATTTGTGGAATAAAATAATTTTTTTTAGAAATCAACAATCCAACTTCGTATTCAATGGCACCCTGTTCAAGCTATAACAGAAAAAATGGACAAAACTAGTCCGGAAGTGGAAATTCGATGGAAAACACCGCAAAATGCGATTTTCTCAACTCATCGTCTGAAACCGTATGATTCAAGTTTTGGAGGACAATTTGATGAAGTTAATTTGGAGAAAAAGTAAGTTTTAAACTAAAATTTTAAAAAATATACTAAATTTTTGAAGACTTCCTGCAAACCTCAAATCTGAAGAAGATTGTTCATCTGAATATTCAGCTGATATTGTTTCAACAGATCCAAGTTCTCCAAATATTCTAGCAACTCTTCATTTTCCTGTTTATCCCATCGATAATTCTGATTGTCATTTTAAATTAACGCGTAGATTTTTTGATATTTCGGATAGTTGTGAAAGTTTAGAAAAATGTAAAACCAAAGTATGGAGTATTTATTTCCCCGATCCAAAGTCGCAATTCTAGATCTTGTTTTTTTTTCATATTCTCTCATTTTCAAAATTGCTCTTTCTTGTCTTTTATTTTTATTGATTACTGTGATTTTTCCCCAAATTTCTCGTGCATTTTTTACATTTTGTGATAATTTTTCATAATTTCAGTTTTATTTGCCTTGTCTGAAGAATAACGGGTTCATTTTTTGTTGACTCCGCATAAAAGTTTTTTCTTGAAATTATTGAAATCAATTATTCTGTGTCGAAATGTCATTTGAATATTTTCTTGGAATTTTGAGAATTTTTTGGTCATATTTTTAAATGAAAAAAAAAAATTTAGACCCCGCCTATTTTTGTGTGCCGCGGAAAATAAGAGAAAATAATTTTGCGTGGGAGAAAATCGAAACTTAAAGTTTATAATATTTAATCATAGGGGTGGCTGTTTTTGACAAAAAAAATGTGATTCAAAGAAATATTTTTTACCCATGAGTTTTTCTTCGAACGCGTTCTTTCGTATTTCAAACTTTAAAAAAAAATAAAAAGCTCTCCATTTTCCAGATGAATTTGTTATTAGGATTTGTGAAAAAAATAGAGCGACTTTCAAAATGTCGAAATATAAGTATTGAAGAATTATGTGAAGAGATCAATTCTATGGACCAATCTGTTTTCAGTGAGTTTTCATAACTTCAAATTAATTGTAAAAATTGGAAGATCTCCTTTTTCAGAAAGTTTTTTGCCAAAATTTGATTTTTTCAAACCGTCGGCGATCAGATATGCGGATGTTTATAAGGATGAAAGTGTACATATGAATATTTTCGGGTTTTTGTGAGTTTTTTTCTGAATAAAGGAAATGGGAGCTTGAATTTAAAGTAAAATTATATTTTTTAGAAGATCGGGTCAAAGAATACCTCTTCATAATCATCCGAATATGTTTGCCTGTATGAAAGTTTTACAAGGAAGTTTTAGGGTAAGCTATTTTTAGACCAAAATCTGAAATTTATCAATTTTCCCTTCTAAAACTCATTTTTTTTTCAGATAAATTCATATACAATAATTGAAAGAACACACAATAAAGTACTAACAAGATATGATGGATTCAAATGTGTATCAAGTAATGACTCAAAACATACAATATTTTTGGAACCTAAAAAAGGTATTTTTCTAACTTCATCCATCAATACTTCTCACTTTTTGTATATTTTCAGGAAATATTCACGAAATAATTGCCCTCGAAGATCGCTCTTATTTTTTTGATGTATTTTTGCCTGGTTATTCTGATAATAATTGTGAATATTATCAACCAATTATGTCTGAATTATCAACTTCTTCTTCACTTTCATCCGATTCATTGTTGGATTTTGATGACTTGATTTTGGGAAATACAATTGAATTACTTGTTATTCCACCGCCACGCGATTTTGAGACCAAAAGTTTTAATTTTCCAAGTTTTCTATGAATTTGTGAATTATTTTGATATAACATTTATTTTGAATATGAACAAAGGGGTCCCATTAACCCAATGATATTTGAAAACTTTTTTTTTTGAATGAAAAATAACAAATTTTGTACAGATGGAAGGCTGGAATATAAATGAAAAACTTGCTTTGGAATTTTTTGAAGATCAAAAACTTCCCTCGAATTCAAAAGAAATTGAGAAAGTTTTGATTGACGAAGATTTGCGAGAATATGGAGAACCTGTTTTTCAAAATTTGATTGATAAAACTACAACAGTTTTGAATTTATCAAAATCAATTGTTGTTCAACTTGTCAAATATCGAAATGTACAAATTCCGAAAGTTCGAGAGGATTCAGAAAATTATCATGAAAATTCCGGAATTTTTCGCATTTTTTTGACCGATGGACATTCTACAATTTCTGGAATTATTATGGAAAATATCAAAGGATTGAGGTGAGTAATTTTTAAAGTTATTCCCGGGAAAAATCAAATTTTTTAGCACTGAAACTCCGCCTGGAACAAAAATCCGGTTGTCTGGAAAACATCCCGATTGAGTCGAATTTTCTTTTTATTTTCTCGATTGAATTTGCAAATTATTGGGGGAAATGTGGAAAAATTGGTTGAAAAATGGAGAATTGAAAGAGGCGGAGGCGAAAAAACGGCAAAAACTGCGAGTTTGGCACCAAAATGGATACCATTTGGGAAAAAGGCAAAACAAGTTCAACAATTGGATAAAAACTTCAAAGCGAATCAAGTTTTACCGAAAAACGAAATCGATGAAACTACGGATTTTGCGAAAAATCGAGAGGAAGTTTTGAAAAATTTGGGAGATGATAAGAAAGATCAAAAAGTATTTTCTCGACCAAATGTTGAAGTTCCTCTTCCACAGATTCAGAAAACAGTTCCACAAAATAAACCGAAGAAAAATACGGAAGATAATAATATAAATAAGAAAAAACAGAGAAGAGGTCGAAAAAATTCGGAAGATGATGATACTCCTTTACCTGTAAGTAACGTTTCTAGAAATTTGATAAATAAAGTTTCCAGACATTTATTTTTTTAGGATTATGTGAAACCTGGAGCAGCTCCAACACTTTTCGATTTTATTGGAGCAACAACTGGTTTAGAAGATGAAATCAAAAATATTCAAATAACAAGACAGCAAAACACTCCTAGAGGAAATCGTTCAGAACCTCAAAATTTCTCATCTGGAAATAGAAATTCACACGGTCCAAGGGAGAAACAAGAAAATCCACGTGGCAATTTCGGTATTTCAAAATTTTCTCTCATTCTTCATTTCAAAAAAAAACAAATTTCAGGCAATAATCCTCGGAAAAAACGAAATGATCAAAGAACTTCGACTTCGGGTAACTCAGAAAATCCAACGAGTTCAGGTTTTCGAGGAAATCGAAATGATGGTTTGGGAAAACCAAACAATTTTCAAGAAAATCGTCAACAACAGCAGAAATTCCCGGAAAAGAAAAGTATGATTTTTTGTTTTTGTGAGAATTTATGTATTCATTTTTCAGGAGAAGATCAACAACGCGGTAATTCTTCGAGAGTTGAAAATAATCAGCAAAATCGAAACAATAGTAGGAAATTTTATTTTTTTTTTGAATATAAATTTTGTGTGGTTTCAGAAGCTCAAAATTATCAGCATCAAGACAAATATCCAAACCGAAATCAGAATTTCGCGTCGAATCAAGGTTCGGGAAGATCTGATGTGGCTGGAAATCAAGGAAATCGGCAGCAAGGAAATAGACAACAACAACAACAATATGGAAATCAGCAGAATCGAGATGTTTCAAATAGGAATACACAAAATCAGAGAGTGGCTCAATGTAAGATTTTAAAAATTTGGGAAGAATTCAGAACCTGGAATTGCAGAGCAATATTTGTTCAATAATCCAAGTTTTGGAACGGAATTTTTCGAAAAAAATTCTAATTTTTTAAATATTTTCAAGCGATTTCAGGCCACAAATTTTCTGTTATAGATTCCTTACTATCTCTGAGATTCTGAATTTTTAATTTGAACTCTCCAAAAACAACATTATTTTTAGCGCACCATCAACCCGCCCAATCCACATTTAATCCAAATCAACAACCTCCAAGACCTTCTGGTAAGCTCCCCCTTTAAATTTTTCCCATCACTCAATTATCACAATATGTAATTACAGTTTGGCAAATTGGTAGTCAATGCATGGCTCCATGGGAAGATGGCAGAATTTATCCGGCTCAAATAATGAATATTCTACCAAATGGAACATGTGTTATCAGATATACCGAATATGGAAATATTACTGAAATTCCACTTGATTTTTTGATGTATTGCTAGAGAAAATAAATACATTTATATTTTATAAAGAAAAATATAAAAAATAGTAGGGCAACATGTGGGAAAATTATATCACTTGAATCACTTATTTTTCGAAAGAAAGAACCGAACGAAGACTGAAAAAATGTGAGTTGTATTGAATTTTGTGAAAACCAGAAAATCTTACCTTTCTCCTTTGTGAAGAACATCGAATGCTGTATTGATATCATCGATATGATAGCGATGAGTGATGAACTCGTCAATCAAAAGTTTTTTGTTCAAATAATCTTCGACAAGTTTTGGAACACTATCAACACTTTTCCATCCTCCAAAAGCAGTTCCTTTCCAAGTTCTTCCAGTAACCAATTGGAATGGTCTTGTTGCAATTTCTTGTCCAGCTCCAGCAACTCCAATAATACACGAAACTCCCCATCCTTTATGTGCTGCTTCCAAAGCTTGTCTCATTGTATGAACATTTCCAATACATTCGAAAGTGTAATCAAAACCTCCGTTGAAGTTTTCGACAAGCCATGATTGGAAACTTTGACCTTCGGCTAATTTAACCGATTTTGGATTAACACATTCTGTAGCTCCGAAAAATTTGGCTGATTCGAATTTGGTTTCCAAAAGATCGATTCCAACAATTTGTTTTGCTCCAGCAGCTTTTGCTCCCATAATAACAGCAAGTCCAACAGCTCCAAGTCCCCAAACAGCTACAGTACTTCCAGCTTCAACTTTACAAGTATTCAAAACTGCTCCATAACCAGTTGAAATTCCACATCCAAGAAGTGAAACTTTTTCCAACGAAGCAACCGGGTTAACTTTGCACAAAGAAATATCAGCAACAACTGTATATTCAGAAAATGTTGAACAACCCATAAAATGGAACAATTGTTTTCCGTCTTTCGAAAATCTCGATGTTCCATCCGGAAGGAATCCGTTTCCTTGAGTAATTCGAATTTTTTGGCAAAGATTGGTTTTTGGATTCAAGCAATATTCGCAAGATTTACATTGAGGAACATAAAGTGGAACAACATGATCTCCAATTGCAAAACCTGTCACACCTTCTCCAATACTTTCAACAATTCCAGCACCTTCGTGTCCAAGAACAACTGGGAAAAGACCTTCTGGATCATGTCCATCCAAAGTATAAGCATCAGTATGACAAACAGCAGTGTAAAGAATCTGAAACAATTTTATTGATGTAAGGTGTTCTCATTTGATACAACAAAATGTCTACAATGTGTTTTTTGTAGTTTATGTGGTTTTTTTCATTGAAAAATGTTCAATGATTACATTTTTCAATAGAACAAATTCCAGTGTTGGATAATTGTTGATTAACAAAATATTTCCCTAATTTTTTTTCTTCAATTTTCAATCCAAAATCACTTACCTTGATTCTAACCTCGTTTGCCTTTGGTGGTGCAACTTGAATAGTTTCAATCGATAATGGAGCCTTTGCACTCCACGCAATTGCTGCTTTACAATTGATTACTTGGCCAACAGTCGACATTCTTAATTAATTATTATTTTTAGGTTTTCAAATTCTCAATTCAAATAGAAATAAATATGTTCAATGGTCATCAAAAAACCAAATAACTCAAGAAAAACGAAAAAACGTGGGTATTTTTTGATATCAATTTATAAATAACAAAAAAAAACGGGCAACAAATATAAAGAGACTGATAACAAAAGATAACAAACAATAAAAACCACTTTAACAAATTGAATCAAATTCGTATTAGCCTATCTGTCTAATTGAATAATCCATTCAACATGATTTGTTTGTGGAAACATATCGACCGGTTGAATTTTTGAGATTTTGAAAGGCTCACCACCAAATTTTCGAGACCTGAATCAAAACAAAAAATAGTTTCTATAGAAAGAAAAATAAAAAATAAACTTACGTTTGTCTGCATAAATCGACAATATTTTTTATTGCCGCATTCGGTTCACACGATACAAAAATCAATCTTCGAAGAGTGTCCAACTCTCTGCAAGCCAAAATCACTTTTTCGTGCATTCCAGCTCTTGGTGGATCCAAAACTCCAACTAATCGCGATTTTCGTAGATCAAATTGAATTGGCACGTGATATTTCATTGTTCGGAATACATCTTCCGCTTTTCCCGCAATATATTTACTGGAAAATGAGAAAAATTGTACTTTTGGTAGAAAAAATATGAATAGACTTTACAGAATTTTCGAAGGATTTTTGGTGAAAATTTGGGTTTCATTAAAATTTTGGTCGGCGTTCAAAAACAGATTTAAACAAGAAAAAGAAAACTAACCAAGAAGATTCCATTTTATTTTGCTTTGAGTTTTGTTTCGCATCTTCGACAGCTTCCGCAATCATTTCAATTCCAATACAACAAACCTGAAGAAAAACATAAAAACTGAAACTTACAATTAATTCTCAAAATTACCTTGATTGATTTATCCAAGTTTTTGAGTAGACATTGTCCAATTGTTCCCGTTCCACAACAAATATCCAATAATATTGTGCCATAATCCTTCTCTACTTCTTTAACTTCTGCCTGATTTTCAGAAACTTCTGCATCATCTAATTTTATTCGTTTTTCGGGTAGACCTTCCTCTTCTTCTTCTTTCACTTCTTCTTGTTTTATGGTAGAGATGATTTCTGATTTTGATTCCGTCAGACCACAAAGTTCACCTGAAATGGTTATTTTGATTTTCGAAATTCTCCGATTTTTCTTCTTTCTTTTTTAAAATCAAAAGTTGAGTTCTGAATTATTCAGATTTTCAAAATACAAAATTAAACTCACCAATTGTTTGATAAAGAACAGAAGCAGCTTGACTATTTGTTTGGAAAAATGCAGCTGGTGAAACTCTAAACCGACAATCCAATAAAGTTTCGTAAATATACGGTGTTCCTCCGACTAATTCAAATACAACTGGATCACTACAATGAATAACTCTTTGCCAATAAATACTGCTAATTCGGAATTTCTTTTCAGATAATGTTGATTGATTGAGATATCTTGCTAATATTTTCGCCTTGATTTCATTTTCAATATTTGATTCTCCTTCTTCTTGTGGAAAAACCGTGAAAATTAGCATGACATCTCCACCGAATTCTCGAATTGTTAACATTCTCCAAAAACCTTTTCGCTCGAATTCATCGAATGGAAGAATTCCTGATTCTTTAACAAATTCATGAACATCGTTAACAATACTTTTCATTTGTCTGCTAACAATATCAACTCCTTCAATTGGAATAACATAATGTTGATTTTTCGAAAATCTTCCTCCAACAAAACCAACACAAATTTCTCCATTTAAATCCAATCCAATCGTGAATTCGCATTTATTTCTGTATTCTGATGTTTTCGGAGCTTCGATGACTTTTTGAAGACGATTTCGGAATTCACCCATTTTTCCAATATCTGGGATTCGATTATCTCGAAGTTGCGAGTATAACTTGTCCATTGTTCTAAATTATTTTTGATTAATTAATTCAAAACGTAAACAAAACTTACTTTTTGCAATTTTCTTGTTTTATTTCCAATTGTTTTTCATAAGTTTCATCAGCTAATGGAGTTACACTTTCTCTGGCTGTTTTCACAACTTTCGGTTCGGTTTCAGTTCCATTTTCTTTAATATTTGTTGGTGCTCGGAAATCTTTCACTTCAGTTGCAGCAAGTTGAGCTGACAAAACATGCTTCTTAATTTCGGTTCCATTCAAAATACTAATTGCTTGTTGTGCATCTTCGGCATTATTGAATGTAACATAAGCATAATCTGACATATGTCGAATTTTCTTGGTCTTTAAGTCACCAAGAGATTTTTCGAGGATTTTCTTGAATTGTTTGAATCCGATGAAACTTGGAATATTTTTGATGTGTACACGATCAATGTCAATTCCATTGGATTCTTCGGTCATTTTCTGAAAAATGTAAATAAAAACATGAAAAATCCTATTTTAAATATTTAAGTTCTTAAAATTAGACATAAATTTGATAATTTTCATCCGAATGTACACAACTGATGTCTGGTTTTAAAACGAAACGAAAAAAAAAGGAAAAATTCAGCTGAATCAGAAATTTCAGCTGCAGAATAGAAAACACACTACGCGCCTATTGTTTTTTTTGGGACTTTTTTGAAACGCCCCCCCCCCCGGATTTTAGAAATGAACAGGTTAAAATTATAAACATTGGGAACCCCGAGCGTCTATCAAACTTCGCTTTTCGCAGGGAGAATACTCACAGGCAGATGCAGAACGGCCGGATACTTGCCAAAAATTGAAAACCGGTCCGAAACTTGTACGTTTCCGACCAGTGTTGAAAAACGGCCAGTAACAACTCAAAAACCGACCAGTTTCTGACCGGTTTATCAAAATTGACCAGTAACCGGCCGTGTTTTTTCACTGGTTTTCGGCCGTTTTTGTTGAATTTGAGCAGAAACCGGCCGATTTTCGAGTGGTTTTTGGCCGTTTTCAACACTGGTCGGAAACGTACAAGTTTTGGACCGGTTTTCAATTTTTGGCAAGTATCCGGCCGTTCTGCATCTGCCTGTGACTATAGTTTTGTTCAGGAAAAACAGGCGTTAACGCGAAAAAAAAATGAAAAATGGACGAGAAACCCAAAGTATTTTCTCTTCCAATTAATTTTTCATGTCGACACTCTCTCGATTTTGCAAACTCTTTCTGTGTTGTTTCTCGAGAACCTAAAAGTTTTTTTTTTCAATTTCTCAATTTGATCTACCCGCGAATTTTTTAATCCAAACTGTTTTCTATCGATTTTTCCGCACGAAGGTACTAACAGCCGATCCAATTCATTTTTTTGACGAAAATGTTTGTTTGTGGGCTTTATTAACGCAGTTTTCACGAACTAAGTGTAAAGGCTCTTTACCATAGGGTCACTTTTAAAGGGATTCTAACTTTTGAATAGTTTGGGGTTTTTAATGATCAGAGGATTCAAGTAAAAATTAGGAAGAATCTCCCAGATTCTTTTCTATATCTTTTCCTAAGAATGATTTTGCAATAAAGTTAAACTAATTTCGACAAAAATCGAGTCTTCTAAGTCGCTTAAATTGCCAGAAGACTTTTGCATAATTTTGAAAAAATTCATAAGTGTCATCCAAAATGGCTTAAATGGTCACGATGACTATATCTGATTCAACTAACTTCTAGAAAAACACATCGTCTAAGTTGCTTAAATCGCCATGACGTTTGTGACTCAAATTTTTGACAAAAACTGTCATAAACGGCTTAAATCGCCTCGATGACTTCATTAATTTTGACGAAAAAGACTAGTTCTGAAATTAAAAATAGGTTATTTTAGTTTTAGTGTAGGTTATTTGCGAAAACACTCGAAAAAGAAAAGATATAGAAAAGTTTTTTTACCCAACTAGTAAAGTAAAATTAGGAAAAACTTGCTTGTTCGAGTCGTTATTGTTTCTTTTTAATTTTTTAATGGTTTTTGCACTTGTTAGTGCGATTAAAGCAAGGATTCGAGCTGCGTAGCTCTCCTTTTCATGACAGCTTGTGTGTAAAATTTTTAGGTTATGGGGAGACAGTATTTGAGCGGGATTTGAAATATAAATGATTTTGATTAATTTTTCAGAGGAGTTAGAATTAGGGAGAAGTTTTAATGTCAAATTTTAAAGAAATTCAGATGTTTTTGTTTAAAATTTAAGGCTGGAGAGAAGGAACCGGGTTTTTAGTGAGAAGGTTATTGGGGCGGGTTTTAAGAAGAGGGGTACTGTGCAAAACTGAAGCCATGTTCGATTTCTCCTGAAATCTTGAGCTGGGACTTCGCCGCGGCAGCGATGATTTTTCTCTTTTTTTTATTTCATTTTTTTCGCAAAGTAACAAACAACAAAGATAGAACACATAAAAAGAGGAATTGAGCACCCTCAGGTAATGAAACACATAACTTCTGGTTTGGTTTTGTCCAAACAGAATGAGCACGTTACAATGGGCAAGATGAAGATATTTTTTGGTAAAATCTGAATGGCGATTCAGCACCTGTAACCATTATTTAGATCAAATGGATCAGATGGAAAAATCAGTTTAGCTTTAAACTGAAAATTGGTAAAAGATTGATAACAATGCTCGAAAACATTTTTGTAATTCAGAAAAATGAAATTTGCGTGATATTTGAGAGTTGAAGTGAGCAGTTTATAGTTTTGACCAGAAAGTTTAGTTAGAGTTGGAATTGAGAACTTAGGAAATTTGAAATTGTTCCACGATAAAAAATCATTGATAATATTATAATATAAATATGTCGTTTATGTACATTATGAGCATTGATTAAAAAAAAGAACAATAGATACAGAAAATAAATCACCAGATTTAAAATTCAACCGATAGAGATCTTGAACAAAAATAAAAGTTTTGGATAAAAATTATAATACTTTGAGGTTGTTTTTATTTAATTGTCTTTTTTGGTCTGAATGATGTTCGAAGCCTTGATAATTCTTCTTTAAATATATCACCAGATTGAAGTGCACTTATTAATTGTTCAAAATCTCGTTCTTTATGATTTGTATTTCGACGAGCGGTAGCTGAAAAATAATAATTATTAATTATTTTCAAAAAAAAAGGTTCAAGCTTACATTTTTTGGCTAAAAATGTTCTTGCAATAGTTTGCCTTTTGGCTTTTTCTTCTTCTTCGATTTCATTCCATAATTGATGGTGATATTCAGTGAATGTTGTTAAAAATTTCGAAATCACAGAAAACATTTCTTCTGGCGAAGTTGTAGATTGGAAACAGAAATATTTTGAACATTCTTCGAATTTCAATTTCATTTCTTTGAATTGTTTTTCCAAATTATGGAATTCAGTTGTTGCGGAAGAAATGAAAGATTTCGCAACTTTTTCAAATTTATCCTCTTTTTCTGGAACTGATTCCGGTGTTTCCAGAATATTCAATTCTCTTCGAATAAGCAAAATTGATTCTTCAAGACTTCGAATTTCAGCCGCAGTTTCAGATTGACTAAATCGAGCAGCTTCAAGTACAGTACTCAAATCTCTTTTCAATTTCGTGATATCTGGATATTTCTTCTCGATAAATTGAATAATCCAATGTAATAAATTTCTATCTTGTCTTGTCGAATATTTAACATCGGTTAATTTATTAAGTGAATTCAATTCAAATCCATAAGCATTTCCATTTCTTTTTCCACTATTCAAATAATTTCCAGCCGCAAGAACAATTGTTAGAAATTGTCGGAATCTTTTACTTGATTGAAGTGCATTTGTTGCATTTACAACTCCTTTTATACAAGGAACAATTGTATCGATTCGATCACGGAATGTTCGAATTGTATGAAGACATCGGAGACGTTGTTCGAATCGTTTTATCCTAAAATAGTAAGTTTTAACTTAGAGGAACTAGGAATTTCTGATATAAGAAAGGGAAGCTTTTCTGAAAATTTTGCTTGTCGGAAACCTCCCAGATGACGTGGCAATCTTTTTTTTTTCTATGAAAAATTTAAAAATTTAATTCCTAGACCATAAGTCTCATCCACCCGATTTTCTAACTTACTTGGAAACTTCAAACATATATCTGTCAGCTAATGCAAGAACTGTTGGTTCGCCATTTCCATTTTTCTGAACAGCCTCATTTATCAATGTTTGCTCTTCTTTTGTTGGAACAAATTTAAGCATTTGCTCAATCATATCTTTTGGCAATTTCGATTTTTCATCCATTGTCATTATTGCTTGACATATTTCTTTATGGCTCAATTTCAGTTTTGATAACATAATTGTGCAATTTTGATATCTTCTTGGATCAATTACAGATATCTGAAAATACAATTTATTCTTTCTATTTTCTCGCATTCTATTTCAAACTCACATTAGCTTGTGGTCTTCGATTGATTGTTCCATAAACAGTTTCATTATCATCATCTTTATGTGAAGAAGTTGCTGCAAAACAAGCTGACAAATCATTCAAATCCATAATTTTATATGTTTTTTCTCCTCTTCTTGAATCGATATTCCATCCCAAATTGTTCCTTTCGATTTTTCTTGTCCAACTCTTGCCCAATTCAAACTTTTTGTATTATTCGATGGAGTTGGAATATTTTTCTGCTCATCTTTTGATTTCAAATGATTTGCTGATATATTCATTGGCGGAGGTGGAGGTGGCGGACAAGTTGGGGGACAAATTGGTGGAAGATTTGAAGAGGAATTGATAAGTGGTGGAGATGGACAGGGATCTGATGGACTTGATGATGCAAGTGATATTCTTGAACCTGATGATATTCGAACATCTGAATAATCAGCAAGTCGATTTTCCAATTCAATACATCTTGTTCGTTCAGTTTCCATTTGTTCTCGTGTTTTTTCGAGTTCTTTTTCAATTCTTTCATAATCACAATGATTTTGAAGTCGTGCCAATATTTCATTCATATCAATATTATTCTGAATTGGTGTTTGAACATCAGTCATTCCATTAACTGTTGATTGCAATGTTAGATGTTGAAGAATTAGATCAAAAAGTCGCCAAAGTGGAATATGTTGATCATCACAAGGAACCATGAATAAATGTTGTAATAGCGAAATAAAATGTGGCAATGCTTGACTATGTTTCAGTTTGCTATTCAATGCTTCAGCCATTCCAACAGCACTTTCATAATCAATCGGACTACTACTTCCGGAATCAATTTGACTCGAAGTCGTTGATTCCGATAAACTTATCTCATCTTCTTTTTGCATCATTTCGAAAAGATCCAGAGATGATCTTCGAGACGAGTTGATGAACCAGAACGACAAACATCGAGAGCAGTTGACATTCCTAATAATAATAATTCACAACGAAGATGTTGACGATAAATTGAACAATTCTGAAAATAAAATATCTATGTAGATAGTTAGATGAATATGAAAGAAAGTGACCAAAAAATTGTACTTTTTAAATAAATTATCATGGAAAAGTGAACATTATTTAGAAAGTTTTAGCGGCCAGTTTTCATAATAAAAAGGTGAAATGCGATTTGATATATATATTTTTTTTTAAAAATCATGAATATATAAATATTTTGCTTACCTCAGCCGGTCCAGTTCTCAAGATCGCATTTATCAATCCAAGAATTGATGTTCTTACTCGATCAGTGTCTCGATCACTCGAATAATTTCTATGAATATCAGCAACAAGTGTTTGGAAATCTCGTTCGTTCTCCCAATAAAGAAGTAACCTGAAAACAATTATGGAATAAAATAATCATGGGAACGCATATTTTGAAAAAAAACTGGTATATTTGTTATATGTACTATCATCTCATATGGTTTCTATTATTATTTTTTTCATGGAATGGAATGTGTTTCGTATTATTGTTATGATTATTATTTATCAATGTGATAATATGAAATAACAATAGAAAAAACATATCACAGATTTAGAGATACTGTAAGCTTTTTGGGAAAAATTCCAAAAGTTTAGATAGAAAATAAATTATTTGCGATCGGAATACTGTGCTCACCTTTGTCAATGCTTTCAAAACTTGTGAATGTCCTTCTTCGGGAATAAAACACAATCCGGAAAGAATTTCGACCGCAACGATCTGAAAACAAAAAATTTTATTTCACATTTTTAAATTTTATAAAAATTTTAAATTTTTTCAAGAATCTCAGCTTACCACAAAAACTATCCATTGCGGATAAAAATAAAGAACTGGAAAATAAATCAGAAATATTCGACCTAACAACATTTTTGGTAAGTAACTAATAATATGTACCAAAATATAGGATGTGATAGATATACGATGAGAGAGTGTGAAAGAATAAGAGACTTAGACGAAACATCTGTTTAGAGCCACAAAAAAAAGAAGGGAGAGAAAGAAACTTTTTTGCGCAAGATATTGATCTATTTTGATTGACTTATACAGTACTCTACAAATATTTTTTATTGTCATAAAAAGTGTGTCAAGCAAATTTTTTCAAAAAAAAATGAATAAAAATTTGAAAACTTTCACTTTGGAACATATGTACATAGGTTTGCTAAATACTGTAATAAAATGTATTCAAAATGAAAACACAATTTCATTTACGATTTTGCGATAATATTATTATCCGAAAAGTAATCCTTTCTCTTATTTTCCAAATTTCCTTTTCCGATGCAAAAGTATATCAAGGACGGATTAGTCGAAATTCCGGAGGAGAAAAATCAAAAACTTTTTATTTTTATAGAGAAAAACCTGTCAAAAATATGACGAAATTTTTAATTCATGAATGAATGAATGATTGAAAATACTCTTTGTGGGTGAAAAAAACTTGGAGAAAATAAAAAAATGTTTCGAAATTCTAGAACCGGAAAGGGAAATGTTCAGCAGAATAAGTAACGATTGTTTTGTTTTTGGAAAACAATACTCTGATTATCAGAGTTTGGAAGCTCTATTTATACTGTTTTTTTTTGAGTTATGAAATTGGGAACAACATAATTATTATTATTTTCTTGTTTTTTTCCAAAAATAATGATAAGAACCTCTTTCCGGAAAGGAAATTGTACAAACGAAAAATGAAGTAAACAAGAATAAAAATAAATTACACTTTTGCAAAATATCTCTAACGAGCAATATATTTTCGTAAATTTTTCAATGAGAAAAAAAGGGTCTGAAAATTACAGTACTCTGAGAACTACAGTAACCCTAATCTAAATATGAGTAGGCTATAAGGTTTTAGATTTTGTAGTTTGGGTTACTGTAGGATATTTTTGGATAAAAGGAATGTTTTAGTCTGAATAAATCTAGAATTACTGTGTTTTTTGTAGTTCGGGTTTTATAATTTTTTTAGAATCAAAAATATTGCGCTATCTAGAAAATTTCTAGAAGATCAAAATTGTTAGATTACTGTAGTTTTTGTCACTGTAGAACTAAAGCCTTTTCCGAAAAAAAACTTACTTTACACTTGAAATCACGAAAATCGATAGCTCTCGCAATATTCAATAATACGAGTTCATTTTGAAGAACTGCGTTTCGTCCGTTCTGAAAATAATATTATTAATTTATTTTTGGCACCAAATTTCATTATGGAAATAAGAAAAACTTCTGGAAAAATATCATATTTCAATTTGAGTATAAATATTTCAAACAAATATCCAATTACTTTTTAAAAAAAACTACTTAAAATTTAGTACTGTAAGTTGAATAAAAAAATGATGAATAAAATGAAATAAAATAAAATATGTTCGATTTTTTCCGGTGCGGAAAAATTTTGTTCGACAAGGAAGGATTAATAAATGTTAAGTGAAGGTGTGTCTGAGGAAAAAAAAACTTCGACGTCATAGAACAAAGAAAATGGAACACGTGAAAACTTGAAACCTATATCATTCCTTTTTTTTCATGAGCAAAGACAGTTAGGGGAACTCGTAAGGGAAATTTATTATGAATTAGTTTCAAAATCTCATGGTTATTCTTGAAGAGTAAGACCTGAAAAACCTCACAGCTCTAAAATCATTTCACGAAAGAAATTCGAGTTTTCAGTGATTCAATTTTTCATTTGAAAAAAGTTGAGGACCTATGCAGATACAAGATATAATTTCAGTTATAAAAACGATTTTAAAAAATATGGTTTTAAAAATTCCAAAAATCACGAATAAATCACGAATACTATTTTTTAAAAATTCAGTGGTTCTATTTTGTATAAACATTTGATGATATATTTAATGAAAAGATTAGGCTCCTTTTTTGCCTGCCGTGAATAATGGTTTAGGCACATTTTCACTAAATTATAAATATTTTAATTCTATTGTTTGTCTATCGAACATTCTTGTCATTTTCTTCATTTTTCCATAAAAACTAACCGGTGAATTGAGAAGTGCTCTCAAAGCATATAAAAAGAATAATGCAGGTTCTTCAAGATTGTAATGTAAATGACAATTTGATAATAAATCTGTCAATAATTCCAAACCAGATTGAGCCAGAAAATCTTCGAGATAACTGAAAGAATAAAATATTTTGAATTGGACACAGAATTCATCTGATAATTGAAATGAAACAACATTTATTACATTTCATTTTATTTTATTGGACCATTGGGAATAATTGGTTATAATTTATTTGAATTCAAAGCGGGCGTCAGATGGTGAGAAAGAAATAAAAAGTGCTAATTTTTGAAATATTTTGTGAATAAAAAATAAATGTTCAGAAAAAAAGGAAAAGTTTGCAGAAAAAAGTCAAGGTTAGACTAGAATCATCTTTTTGTACTTATTTTAATGGAACATGAAAAAAACGAATGAACTTGAATAAATTTATCCCGCATAAATAGCAAGGCCACATTTTTTTCTGAAAAAAAATACTGAAAAAAATGGAAAATTTCCGTGAACGTGAACAAGGAAATTTGAAGTTCATTTCAAATTGGAAAAAAATTTAGCAATTTTTGAAATTTTTTTCACGGAGGTAAAACTGGGCAACAAATTTTTTTAGAGGTTTAGTTTTGGTCCCCAAATTACTCACCTGAAATTCTGTGTTCTCAGCGAAATCACCAATTCTTGTAGCAATCTCAAAGCAGTCGAATCAATCACAAATGAATTTTTCAAATTTCGCAGAAATTGAATGAATTTGTTTGCGTCTTCAATTTGAAGACACTGAAACAACAAAATAATATTATTTGTTAAAAATTAACAAAAAAAAATCCTCGAAAATTATTTGGGTGCGAAGAATGGATAAATTTCAAAAACAAATAAAACACTTGAATAATTTGAACAATTATTTGTTCTTGGAAAAATGAAAAAGACAATTTGTTTTTGAAGAAGAATTTGGAACAATTATTTCGAGAATTAGTCAAAATGGGATAACCGATCCAAATATATGCAAATCTATAAATCGAAATTGGCTATTTTTGTCGAATTCTCTCTTATTTCAATACTATCTCGTTAAATTCAATTTGGGTTTTCGTTTTGATTCGAGTGTTGTTGTTTTTTTTTTCGGGTTTTCCCTTCAACCCGTGAATAAATCAACTCACATGTTGTGATACTAATAATGACATTTTCTTTTCCAGCGAATAATTTTGCATTTCCATTTGTTTTTCTTCAGCCAAACCAAGTTCTTTCTGAAAATAAAAACAAAATGAATTGACAAGTATTTTTTTGAGATTTAAAAAAATTATTTAACAAACCACAAGAACTTCAAAATCTTTGTCAACTTTTGCTGGATCCAAAGGAGTTGGCGGAAGTATCAAATGATTGTTTATGTGCTTTTCGGGATCATCTTTATCTCTGAAAATCGAGATTGATTTTTTTTTTGGAATTTTGTAGAATTTCTAGAGCTTTCTAATGAAATACAAACCTATCTCGATAAAAACAAGACATGACACGATCCACCCAATCTTCGATTATATCCATTTTCAACACAACTGATGAAAAAATAAGAAATTCAAAAAAAAATAACCGCCAAGAAACAAAGAAAAAAAACAAGTTTCACTGATTTTTCCTGATCGGATTATATGAAAACCAAAAAGTTTTTTTTCGGTTGGCAGGGGGTATAAGCCTCACATAAATAACAACAATGGTTTATTGGGAAGAAGAAAAAAGGAAAAAAAGGGGAGGAAATCCAGCTGTGAAAAGAAATGATACATTTTATGAGCGGTTACGGTCATAGCCCATTTGATAGCTGAGTATGACAGAAGAAAAACAAATTGAATAAAATAAAAGGCTTTGAAGTATTATCAAATTGTTGTACATTTTGAGGTTGAGTTGAGAAAAAAACTAATAAGAGATGGAAATTGTTGGAGCAAATAAAATTGGATTATGTTTTTGGGGTTGATTAATTATTTGAGTTAGAAAAAGGAGGAGATACATATTTATATCAAAAATAGAAACACGTAGAAGTTCAGATCATTTTGAGTTCTGAAATTTCCAAAAATAATTCGTCAGTGAGGATACTTTCCTTAAGATTTCTATCATCCTGATTTTGAAGTAGCTAATTAAGAACACTAATTAAAATTCACCTGAAAATTAGAGCAAATTTTGGGAGGAAATCAGAGAGTTAGCGAATGTTCCATTAATTTATTAATAAAATTTTGGAAAAATTCAGATTACATACTGTTTCAACAAAGTTTGATAAATTATTCAGGAACTTTAACTTAATCTAACTCAAGCTTACTTAACTTAGCTATATTCCTTCTCATTGAAAAATAAATTTCACTGAATGCAGAACTGTTTGTTGAAAACAATGCACAAAAGGTTTGGAAATTTGAGATGATTTCGGTCGAAAATTGGTGACTCGGTAAACAAATCGAAAAGAACATCAAATAAATAAAAGTTCCACATGGATCAAAATTTTGATGTTAAATAAATGATTTCCAGAAAAAAGTGTCCGGGTCAAAAATGAATCCCATACTAGTTTTGCAAACAAAATAATAACAAATAATAAACAACGAAAAAATGTTCAAGTGGAAGGAGGGAAAATCGAATAAAAAAGTGAAATGAATTCGAAAAAATGACCAAAAGTAATATAATAAGTAACTACAATTGAGGAATGAAAATGACCCGGTAAAAACATGAAGTTTTTTTTTGTTGGAATTGGAAATATGGGCGGTTTATGATCGAGAGTGTACTGTAGAAGAGAATGAAAATAAAAAGGAGTAATTTAGGGATTAAAATAAATACGTAAGAACAAAATTATTGGTGAAATGATGGTTGTTGATGTTTTTCATGTGACCAGATTTAAAATGACTTTTAAAGAAGAATAACATCATCAAAATTCAACATCATCAAAAATCACAATTTCCCAAAAAAAAAACTAAAATTTGGCGAGAAAAATGCTCTCAAAAAGGCGTTTTTTCGAGTGGTTTCTCTATTTATTTTATTTTTATGAGAAATAGTAAAAAAATAATAATTACCTCAAGAATACTTTAGCAGATGTTTATTGGTTTGGAACAGGTTTCGATATGTTTCATTAATTTTTGACAAGGTAATTTTGAAAGAGAGTTTTGACCTTGGAAAAATGAGGAAAAGCTTTCAGATTTGAAAAAGAGGGGAACATGTGTTGGGAATCTGAATTGAGGGATCGGGGTTTCAAGAAAATTCAGAGCAGGAAAACCCTCAGTGAAAAATCTAGATCTGAAGTTCTCAATCTGAAGCTGAAGTTTTTTATCGGGGATCCGGTCATGGCTGAGCTTTCGGATTTTTTGAGATAAATTCTAACTCATTCTAGGAAAAAATTCTCTTCGGGTATCTAAAAACTTTTCAGAAAAGTGGCCTGAGCAAAAAGACCTGTCTAATTCAAAACTGCCAAATCTTTCCCAGAAAAACAGTGGATTTCATTTTATTTTATTTCAATTCACCACTTTTTGCTAACTGAATAACAATACAATTATTATGTAATACACCTTGACCCTCAAATGAAACTAACTGAATATAATACTAGAAGAATCAAGAAATCAGGCGAAAAAAATAAGGACAAGAATATTAAGCTCCTCCCTTTGAATATTTTTGGCGACAAAAAGTCGCCAAACTATTAAAATAAAACAAAAGGCTTACTTTTTATGCAAAAAAAAAGAAAAGAAGGTCAAGTGTTTGGCGGATTACTGTATCTACATATTTTATGACAAGATTTTTGGGTAAGAAAATAATAATAGGTAAAAACCTGGGAGCGATGAGCAGCAAAAAAAGTAGAAAACAAAAAACAAAAAGCTCAACTTGCCGCCTTTTTTTCAAATTCGGAATCGAAAAACAAATAAAAATCAAGTGAATGACCAGTTGCGCGAAAAAAAAACGAAGAAACAGAAAACACCTAAGCCGAGTCGCAAATATGAAATTTTCCGTCGTAGTTTGCCGATTTCCGCGAGCAGCACGTAAAAAATGCGCGTGAACAACAATAATTGTGACGTGAAGCGGGAGACGGGAGAAGGAAAGATGAAAAAAAAAAAGAATGTGGAAAAAATGGCGGTGTTTGATACCTAGAAACTTGTAGTGTGAGAAATATTTGAACTTTATTGTCAAACATTTTGGGAGAAATTAAATTTCTAGAGAACTTTGTAAACTTTTTTTTGAAATCTGACTCTAGAAAATTTAAAAAAAATCAAATTTTTCACATCTCAAATAATTACAATAATTTTTTGATTATGAATTCAAGATTTCGAAAAAAAATACCATGTTAAAAAAATAAAAAAAATGTTGTCATATTAATAACATGTCAAGTCAAAAAGCAATCGGTGAGAGTGAAAGAGACGAAAAGATATTGGAATCCCGCGTGATCTACAGCGAGTTGAATTTGTGGGTCTAGGATTTGTGAAATTTAAAAATAGGTTACAGTTTGTTTTTTAAGAATTTATTCTTGAACTTTCACTGTGCCAGGTGAATAAAAGTCATCCTCAATTTTTTTCGAAAAAAATATGTTTACCAACCATAATTTCCAAAAATTATGAATTTTCAGACCCACAATTTTCAATGTACCTTTGATCTATTTTTCTCTAAGTCTCCTTAACTCTCACCGACTGCTAATTTTCACTGGGCTGACATGTTATGCATAACTCAAAAGAAGTTTCAAAAAAACATATTTTTCATATTTGATGAAAGTTCAGTGATGAATCAGATTACAGAGTTCAGAACAGTTTTTCAAAAAAAAAATCTCAAAGCCTTCTGTACATACGAGAAGTTGAAGTTTTCAGAACTTAAAATCCAATACTACAGAAAATCAAGTGTCAAAGTTCTCTCAAACTTCTAGGAACAACATAGAAAATGACAAGAAGGTTTACAGTAAAATGAAAAGATTCCGGAAAAGTACTCTAAAAATCTCAAGATTTTGCAAGTTACAAAAAAGTGGTCGGCCGCCTCGTGCCAAAAAGGCATTCTTAGATTGGATTGTTTGAAGCACCTCAACAGCAAAAAAATGAAAGAAAAAAAAAGAGAAAAAAGAACAACTAGTTCGAATCAAACAAACATTATATTGACTATACCAATATGAGACAATAATAATACATAGAAGTTGGAATAAATTCACTATTTATTGGTGTCAACTTTTTTTGTACATAGTTGTCTGGTGTAAATAAATATGTGAAGTGATTTATTTGGTTAACTTTAATATAAATATAGTTGAACTTTGTTAGGTAAAATTAAAGATAAGAAATTATTTTGAAGAAAAAATTATTTTTTGAAAAAAATCAAAATGGTTAGAAATTTTTAGTAAACAACCAATTTCCAAGAAAAAAATCAGAATTTAAATTTTTTTTGAAAATTTGAAATGGCTAGAAAATGTATAAAAGTTCTACGGTAAACTATACTTTTATTCAGACAATCTATGTAAAAATAAAACTTCAAAAAATTCCTTAATTCTTACAAGTTTTACAGTAATCTTTCAAGAAACCCGAAATTCACACAGAAATAAGTTTTTGAAATATTTTTTTCACTCAAAATTTCAGGATTCAAAAAAATCTGGAAAATCTATAAAAAGAAGTTTCGAAACCAAATGAATAAGTCGATATTCATTGTTTGGGCGGTCTTCAACCACCCAAATAAAAACAACATGTCGAAGACGAAGAAAATAGAAAAGACCGCTGTTTTCTTCTTTTGCTTGCTCTACGGTTTTTTCGACATTACAAGAAGAAGAAGAAGAAGAAAAAACGACTGACAGGAGACCGAAAATGGAATTGTATTTGTTGTTGTTTTTTTTGTGCGGCAAAATAAAAAAGAATACACAAAAAATCTCGGCTCCCCGATATTTTTTTGACATTCAAATCCGATATCCGATTTCCTTGTCGGCTCGATGGATTATTTTCCGGTTTTCGAAAGCGTTTCAAATGTCAAACTATAAAATTCAAAGAGTGAATGAGAATAGTTCAAGTTTCAAATGAACTACTGTAGATTTGGTTGAGAATTTCTACAGTGTTTTTTGTTTTCTGAGTTTTTGAGACCTAAACACAATGCGACTACAAAGTAAAAATGAGAAATTTAGAGAAAAGTAGTTTTGATCTACAGTGAAAAGTTCAAGGCTTAGGGTTTTGTGCTGTAAATTTTCCGATTTTTGAAATCTGGAAATTTTACAGCTCTGTGCCCTCTTCAAAAATGAAAAACGAAAAATTCCCAAAACTCACTAAATCAGAAATATTCCAAAACTTTGTTTCGTTTAATTTTATAAATACCATAATTCGATTTTTATCTGAAAAACTTGAAAAAACTTGAAAATTCTACAGTAATCCAACTCACTAAATATTTCTCTCAAAATTTTTTCGCTGGAAAGAATATTTTGAAAACAAGAAATGATTCAATCCCACGTAATTTTGAGATTTGAAAAATTAAAACGTGAACTTTAAAATAGAATTTTCATTATTTTTTCTGAAAAGTGTTGTTGGAAACATGTTTTTTTAAAAGAAAAAAAGCCATCGTGCCAAGGAAGTTTCAAAAGTGCAACGACACAAAAAAGGAACATCATTATTAAACCCAAACACAAATAACACGAACTATCATGGAAAAATAGGGAGAAGCTAAAAATGGTGAAACTTGACACTTATTCGAAATAAGCATGTATAGAAAAGTAGTAGGAAAATAAAAACGAATGAAAAATAATTACCTGTTGGCACTTTGCCCAACTGTAATTACACCAACGATTTGAAGAATAAGAGTATCTTATTGCAAACTACTATTATTATTATTGGATTATTACTTGGGATGATTTTTGCGCGAAAAGATGATATTTTTGGGGAACACATAAATCAATTTGGCAAAACACCAACAGTTGAATGACAGTTTCGAGGATTGTTGGAAAATTATTAAAACGAGTACCAATTAACGGTAATTCGAGATGTCAAAATTCTTGTGTTCAGAAAAAGGTACATTTATGTTGACAAAATGAAAGCGACGCTGTGGTTTCATAAACAAAACAATTTATGTAACAATAACGCAATAATTATTGCTTCTTGCGGAAGGAGCATCCGTCAGTGAGCTTGGCCTTTCCTCGGGTTGGTTGGCAGAGAACGGCGTTGCATCCGACGCAAACAACAACAGTGGTGGCGTGGGAGAAGACGGTGGTGATCTGAAAACATTGAGATTGATTGAATTTTTCAACAAAAATTGTCTAGTATGAAATTTATTATTTATTCAGTTTTTAACATTCGTTAAACTATACACAGCTTCAAACTGAATGAAGTATTTCTTCACGTCAAAATTGAAAAAGAGTGGTCAACTTTGAAAATGTATTTTATGAATTTTTCAGAACATGGAACGGTGAAATATAGTTACTCTCGCGTTGCTTCCGTACAAGATAGCCAACTGAACTATTAATGGAATCAAATTTGCATTTTTAATTTTCTTTTAAATTTATCGACTTTCATTAACGGCCGAAAAGCTTACCTTGTAGCAACCGGTGCATTTAACATCCATGAAGTAGGAGTTTGGGTGTTGAACGAGACGCTTGAGCTTGTGGCATCTTTGCTCTCTCGCTGGGTCTGGGTGAAGCAAGTCAACGGCCAAAGGCATTTTGTTTCCACTTGTTGAGACTAAGCTGTAATATATAAACTGAATTATTGAAATAAATAAATCATTTAGTTAAAGAGATAACGATTTTTATTCAGTATCTTATGAAGGGAAAGAAAAATCAATAGAAGAATGGTGAGAATGACTCAAAAAAAAATAGAGAAAAGGTAAAAACTTAAATTTACGCTGTCGTACCATGTTTTGAATAGAAAAAATGTATACTAATAAATGCGCCTTCAAATTCTCTATCTAACACACCCCGCTGAAACGAGAAATGACTGTTTTTCTACTGTAGTACGCAATCGAAAAGTGTGCAAACACCGCGTCTCTGCGTCTCTTGAGAATTCACACTGTTTTGTTCGTTCAAAGGAACATACATTTATTAATTTATTGGGTCTCGAAAAGCTGGCCTTCCTGGGCTCCTAGGAATTATGAATCATATGGTTTAATGTAGATCTCGACACGCTGAATCTCGTGATATTTTTCATTTTTTCTCTAACGCCTGTTTTCCTAACGAAAATTGGTACGCCAACTATTTCATTGATTTACGTTGCAGATTCAAGGGACACGTATTTATTTACCCGCGTGGTCTCGACGCAAATCGTAACTTTCTTCGCAGGACCCCTAAAAATATGAGTAACATAGTTTAATGTAGATCTTGAGACGCTGATTCTAATGGTATTTTTAGTTTTTCATATAACGACCTCTAAGGTATCTAAAATTGGTACGCCAATGAGAACAGCATTTTGCTAATTTTTTCATTGTTTGAGCGGGTGTGCTAAAAATATGAAAAATTGCTGGAATTGGCCAAAAAACACCTCAGAACGCGTTAAAAAACGTGAAAAAGTTTAGGCCAGAAAAGAAAATAAAAAAACGAAAACGTTCGAAAAGTGTGTGCCAGGCTTGCCCTTTTTGCAATTTTGCGGCGCGTTCATTCGGAGTGTTGTAGTTGCCTGCATTTTAGCAATTCAAAATTTGTTTTTTTTTTCGGTTAAAAAATATTTTTCGCTGTTTTTTCGAGTGAAAGCTATTTTTTCAGATCTCAAAAGTATTAAATAATAATTGAAGCTTGGTTTTCATTCACATTGGAGTGTATCTATAATCGCAGAACGTTAAATGGCAACTATAAAGAAGGAAATATCGTCACCGAGAAAAGAAGTTCAGAAAAAACGAGTTGAAGACGATGATGAATCAGATGACGATAGATCTGTTATTACGTTAAGTTCAGATTCTGAAATTGAGGAAGGAAAAAGTAAAGAAGATGAGGAACCAATGGAATGTGGAACAGATTCTTCTGGCGAGGAAGAAGATGAAGATGAGAGCGATGAATCAGAATCAGATGAGGAAGACGAAGAAGAAACAGATTCAGATGAAATGACAGATTCAGATTCTGTTTGGTCGACAGTTGATGAAAATGGAGAAACTGAAATGATAACAAGTGAAGCTATTGAAGCTAAAATTATTAGAAAGTTTGAAAAATCAATGATTCTTCTGGCCGATAAACAAATTGAAAAAGCGAAAAGTTTTCTTCTGGCACTTCTCAAAAAACCACTAATATCTATCCATCGAAAATCGAATATTGACTTCGAAGAAATTGAAGAAATCAGTAGACCATCTAAAATTCTGCAGGTTTATGTTGCAATTCATAAGAACTTGGCTAAATTGGAACCAAACAAAGCTATCGAACATTATCTACAGGTAACTAGAGAAACAAGAAGTACTTTTTGATATTATTCAATGATTTTTAGGTATTATATTATACTCCAAATGATACGAGTATTTGGCTGGAAGTCGCTTTGAAATCATTTGAAAACGGGGATTTACAGTTTGCATTATATTGTTTCAAAAAATGTGAAAATTTGAAAGAATCAACTGAAGCACATGCAACTGTTTTATATTTGACGTGTAATTATTCAGGTTAGAAAACTAATTTCGAAAATGTTTTGTAAGAAAGTTATATTTCTAGGTTGCCTTTATTTGCTGAAAGATTATATTGAAGATGTTGGAGAATTGAACGACAAAATGAAATATTTGAAATTCAAAATCAGATCGACAAGTAATCATTATAGGTAACAAAATTTTCAATTCAAATTAAATTTCGTTTAAAACACTGTTAAAATTCCAGAAAAATGTGTGATAATATATTCGAAGAAGATGATTTTTATAAAGAAGTGAAAAGTTTGGATTCAAGAAGAATTGCAGTTTTTGACCAAAGATTTGAAGAAATGTCACGGAAAATTCGAGAAAAACAACAACTTTTGGATGTTTCTTTCAATGAAGAAAAAGAACTGAAACCAATTCAAGTGGAGATTTCAGAAAAACAAAATTTGACGGATGTTTTCACGATTTTCTGTGATCTTTTCGATAGAATTCAGGCTTATTCGAAGGTTTGTTTTTCTCTTTTTATAAAGGCTGTTTCGAAATATTACAAAATTTTGAAGCAGATTACGAAATTTATTTATTTTGTTTTGTTTTTCAGCTCAATTATCATCCAATTGAATTCAAATATTGGGGAAATCGAAAAGATTATTTAGAAATTGAAGAATGTTTGAATGAAATTGTAGATATTGTTGATTGTGTTGAAGATATGACTGGAAAAATTGGAACTAAAAAATCGAACAAAAAAGCGAAAGAAAAATATTTGTCAACTTGGAAAACGAGATTATTTGTAGAAGAAGAAGTTGTAGAAATATGTGAAACTGAGGACGAATCAGATGAAAATAGAACAGAAAGTAGAGAAAATAGTCCGAAAAATGATTTTGGATTGGAAGAAAATGAATTGGCTATTGAATATGGATTAAAATGTGAAAATATTCGACCGATTTGTATGAGAAAACACAAAAGAAAGGTTTTTCATTTTTCTTTGATTTTCCAATAAATTGTGTGTTTCAGATCACCAGCTCGAACATCTTCCGATTTCAAATATTTGGATGACGAAAACCTTCTAAATTCTCTTCGAAGTCATTTTCTTTCTCAATCCCAAAATCTGACAATCACCGAAATTATTAAAATATCTCTTTTGAAATTCTCAAACTATAGTGGAGTTTTGAAAAATGATTTGAAAGTTGTAGTGGAGGAAATGTATACACGATTGGCATATTATCAATTTATGGCAACTCCGAAATATGATCAAATTAATATTATTATGATGGAATGTGGTTAGTTATTTGGATTTATGAAATTGATACGTGAACTATGACGTGACAAATTAAAATTCATTTTTTTGAACAAAAAAAAAACAAAATATTGCAAGTACTTATTTTATTTATGAAACGTGACCCAATAATTTCCACTGGGTTTTATTTATTTATTTAAAATTTCATTTCATTTCTGATAATTACAGATCATAGAAAAGGACTCGAATTATGTTTGAAAAAGTATATTTCATTTTTTGGATATGAACAAGACGATGAAGAAGATGATGATGATCTAATAAATGTGAAGAATATGTCAGAAAATGAATTATATCTACGATTTTGTTGGAAATATTCGAACACAAATTTATTGGATTCGATAAAATTGGAATATTTATATGTTCTGATGAATAATATGGATGAACATCGAGTTATTTCAACTTCAATTGATCAATTCGATTTGAATGATGTTAAAGATAAAATCGAAATTATTGAGAAAAAATTAAGAATTGAATCGATTAAACAATTATGGAATTCGAAAAATTATCAAGAAGTTTGTCGCTTTTTTAAAAACTTGGAATTAATAATCTATCAATTTTTCAGCTTATTCGAATCTGTGAAAATGATATTGATTTTTCTGAAACAGGAATCGAGGAAACTGAACAAATTTTGGTTTTTTGGTTGAAATCCCTAGAAAAATCGAAAAAAGAAGAAAGTTTTGTGATATTAGCAACTCGAGTTCTTCATTTTTATCTTTTTTCGGAATCAAATTCAATTGAAAATTATGAAGAATCAATCGATATTTTATTGAAATCATTGAGGAAAAATTGATTTTTCGAAAATAATTGATGAAAAAATAATATCATCTGTTGGCTATTTTGTTTGTGTTGCATTTCAAAAATCGAAAAATATTCAAGAAAATTGGAGAAATTGGAAATTATTATATGAAATCGTGAAATCAATGAGAAATGTTCCGATAATTGATTATATTTCGACACTTGATAAAATTGATGATTCGGATTGTTTACCAAGTTTGGAATTGAATGTTTTGGTAAAAGCACATGAAATATTAGGAGAAGCTAAAAAATGTTGCCAAAATGAAAATGTAAGTTTTTCAATGTTTTGAATTAAATCTTTTTCATAAATTTTATTTTTATTTTAATTTCAGTTCGAATTTCTATTCTTCATTATTTCTCGATTCCGTGAAATTGTCAATAATATACCATTGCTAGAAAAATTATTTGAAAAAGAATATAATTGGATTTGGCAAAATTTAAATGATGAAATATCACAAATTCTCAATTGTCTTTTTGGAAAATATTCGAAAAAGCGAAAATGTGCAGAAGATCATGGAACTAAAGGAAATTGCAAAGCTGATATGAAAATAGCAAGCAAAATATTGAGAGTTATATTGGTTCAACCTTTGCCACTTTATGATGATAAAGAGAGATTAGGTCATGATGTTGTGGAATTGATTAATTCGAAATTTGAATTTCTACTTGAAATTAAGCCGGAAAAACAGAAAATTGTTGAAAGTTTTGAGAAGATTTTGAAAGAAAGTTCGTTTCAAGATGAGGAATCAATTCGGTGAGTTTGAGAATATTTTGAGAATTTCTAACATAAATCGGATAATATTCCTCTTGTTTTCAGCCAAGAATTTGAGAATATAAAGGTTGTTGAAGAATCTGAAATACAAGCATTGGTTTGGTATTCGTTGGCTCTGAATAGTTATAGAACAAGTAATCATGAAGATTGTAAAAAGTATTCGCAGGTATCTCTTTTTCCTTATTTCTAACGGTTAGAAATTCTAACCCAATGAAATTTAATTTTCAGCTATATTTGACTTCAATTGATTCAACCTACGATGATCGACTTCGTTCTTCAGCTTGGGCAATTTTAGCACACGAACATGTTCGACAATTATTCCAACTCGATAAAAATGCAATATTCAATGAATGGAGATGGAGAATATTACCATTTAAAATGGCAATTTCAGCACAACCAAATGAAGCTGTAATTCATTTCGAAGTTGCTGCAACAATGTATCAATTAGCATCACAATTAATTCGATTTGTTCGACAATTACCATTAGATGATTTGAGAAGAAAAAGAATCAAAGATGGATCGATTTTACGAGAATATTCTCGATATCATTTTGATAAATGTCTTCAATTAGCACAACCTTCGTTAGATGGAACACCTGCGGAATTCAATTGGTTATGTTATTTCTTCATTGGAAAATTGGCTGGAAAACAAAATGATGATATTGTAAAAGTTGTGGAATATTTTTATGAAGCTGCTTGTGGATGTCAATTGGCTGGATTTTATTATCCCGTAAAAATTAATTCGAAAAAACAGACCAATTTTGAACCACTTGAAGTGCATTATCAAGCACATTCTGCGGTTTGGAAATATCTTGATAGAAAGTAAGTTTGAAAGGGAAATTATCATATCTAAATATTTTATTTTTGCAGTGATAATCCACCATTAAATACACTTCTTCAATTAGAATCATATTTGAAAGTATTTGCAAATGGCCACAAAGTTGTGAAATATTCAAACTCGTTATTCGATACACCGCCAGAATTATATTTGACAGTTTCAGAATTGGTTGAAAATGTGGCCGGATCTGAAATTGAGAAAGAAGAGGAAAGAGTTTGTCAAGAAATTCTTACGAAATTGGAAGTTATTGAAAAATTAAAAACAATGTGCCAAAGTGCATTTTTATTGATCTGTGAACGATTTCCTCACATCAAATCACATTATCGATTGGCTGAATGGTATTTGGAAAATGGAAAGTGAGTTTGAAATGAAATTTGTAAGAAATATAATAGTAATCTAGATGTTTTAGGTTCGAGTTAGCTTCAGAGCAGATATTGAAAAATGTTTTCAAACGAAAGAAACGAGACGATGGAGTTTTTGATGTGAGCTAAATATCTTTACTTCTTATTAATTCGAGACAAAAAATCCAGAAAAGAAAATCCAAAATTTTCAGAATATAATTGAAATTTCTTGCAATGATATAAATCGAGCTGGCTCATTTTGTTTCCACGTTGAAAGATGTCTTCGAGTTGCGATTTATATCACAACAAAAATGCTTGATGTTCATAATTTGGCATCGATTCTGATTAGTTTGATCTCAACAATTGCATTGGATGATGAGTAAGATCAAGTTTTCTAATGAATGACTAAACATTTACTATTTTCAGCCAGTTTATTGAACCAAGATCGAATGTGAAATTGATTCGATCGGTGTTAGAATCAATTGAAACAGTTTGTTTGACAGTTAGACCGAGAAGTTGTGAGTTTTCTGGAAAACAATTAAGTTCATAAAGATTTAATTAGTTAATTATTTCCAGCAAGAAATACACCATCACCTCCTCCTCAAGAAATTTCACAAGATTCTTCGAAAAATGAACCGACAAAAGTAATTCATGTAACTCCAGCAATGATTCGAAATGAATTGTGGAGAATTTGGAATGCGTTTTTGAAGTGAGCTTTTTTTTGAAATGGAGCAGTTTTTTTTAAAATGTTCCCTTTTTCTAAACACAAAGTCTCATTTTTTCCAGGCGCGATAAAAAGAGTGAAAATGAAAAACTGTTGGCTTTTGCTGAAAAACGAATAAGCGCACTTATCACAAAAATTTATGGAAGTATTCAAATTCTGCGAACCAAAGTTTTACAAAAAGAATCGACTTCAAATAATTCTGCTGAAAATTTGCCGAGAAAAACTAAAAATGTATTGAAGGTAAAGCATTTATTTTTTAACAAATTTCAAAATTGAATTTTATTATTATTTTTCTTTCTGCAGAGAAAAGCACAAGCAAATGCTTTGGATGTGATTCAACCATTTCTCAAAAAGACTGCATTATCTTCAATTCCTTCAACATCGGCACAAATTGCTCAAGATGATGATGATATTCAATGTTTGGACCCGCCTGTGGTTACTGTAAATCAACAATTGGCACATACTTGGAATGTAAGTTTGAATATTTTTTTCGTACAACATTTCAGAACTCACAATACATTTTTGCAGACCATAATGCAACAACTGTATTCCAAAAAGTGACAAGCTGTTTCAAAATTATTTGTCTGTAAATAAAGATTTTCTGAATTTGCCATGTTTTTTATATGACGTGACATTTTCACGTTTCATCATTTTTTTTTCATTATTTAGATAGAATCTTCATTTCTGAATTTCATGGAAATTGAAAATGCGACTATTTTTGCTGATTATTTTTCCAACTATAATATTTGCTTATTTTGACCCTTCAGCTTATTCTCAATCATTGAACAATGTTTTGAGAAAATCCGAGAAAAAAGCAGATATTGAAAATTTTTGTAGTAATCTCGGATTTTTTAAAAGTGAGTTTTTTACTGGGGTGGACTCAAAAACTGGACTTTCTGTTTCAAGTTTAGAATTTGCCACGTGGCATTTTTTTTTTTTGAAATTTTTTGGCGTCCAAAAATTTAATTGCGAAATTTTTCTCTCAAAATTTGCCACGTGGAATTTTGAAAAGTTCTGCATAAAAAATTTCAGAAAAAATTATTTCAATTTTTCAGATCAAAGTGGACGAGTTTGTAGTTGGTATCACAAAAAAACATTCGGAAGAAAATGGGAAAAATGTGATATTCTAATTGGCGATATTATTTTGGAAAATGAAAAAGATATTGTGATATTTCAAAAATCGAAAATAATGGGAATTTATGGAAGTTTGATAATTCGCAATATACATATTTCAATAATCGATCTTGATCATTTGAAAATCGTTGGATGTGAAGGAAAAGAAGAGGCAACAATTCTTATCGAAAATATTGATCATTTAGAACATCTTTTGATTTATAATCTGAAATCATTGATAAAATCAACTGTAAGTTAAGTTTTCTTGTTATTTTGGTCATTTTTTGATCAAACACAGAATATCTATATTTCCTATCTTCTTCTTCTTTTTTCGGTTGTTTTTCTGTTTTTTATCAAACCAGACTACAACAGAACAATGTGATTTTTACAGGAAAATCAAAAAGTGTTCATTGTTCGGAATTGTACGAATTTATCATTGCAATATGTATTGAGGAAGAAAATTCAGAATGCAGCTGGAAATAATTCAGATCTGGTTGTTTTCAATACAAATCAAACTGTTATTCGTGTGAAATCAGTACTTCATGAGGATTTGACGCCAGCATTTATTGCAAGTCTTCTTTTATTTTTTGCATTTATTTGGCATTTTTATGGAGTTGAGATAAGAGTTCTTCGATTGAAGGTTAGTTTCACCAAAAATATTCCTCAAACTACGGTAGTCTCTGGGATTCCCAAATTGGTCTGATTGAACTGTGTTATAGATATTTTCTCTCTCAATATGAGAAACAGAGAAAAAAGAAGATAGTGTATCTGTTTCTATCAGTAAAAGGGCGACAAAAGTTTGCACCCAAGTTTTCGAACTGTTGACGTCAATGCGCTTCGCGCTTGTGTAGCGGATTCTATTCGGAATCAGAATACTGTCCACGTGAAACCGAAAAATATCACGGGAGATCATGATTCATTTTGAAGTATTTTAGGAAAGAGAAGATGTAATAATTCAAAATTTGATCAAAATGCGGAATACTGTATTGGCTTCGGAATTGTTGGTTCAAACTCCGTCGACTGTGAAATTGAAATTCGATCAGCCGGTTTTGAAGACAAGTTCGAGGAATAAGCATTTGGTTCAACTTATTGAAAAACGATTGAAAGATATGTGATGATTGTTAGTAGAGTAAAGTTTTTTGGGATTGTTTTTGGGATGGAAGAGAATGTGGGAAGCATCAAACATCATTGATCTGACAGAAAAAAGAATCAGCGGAACATGTGCTGACAAAAGTTCTGAAATAGGGGAAACACGAGGCCCAAACATTTTTAGGGAATTCAATTTGCAGAAAATAATAATCTGAAGAGCTTGAAAAATTTTGAATTTTCATTCGAACAACATAGAACTACAGTAATCCAGGATTTTTCATCCAGAAATTTAATGTTTCAAAAAATTTAAAAAAATCTTCGCAAGTTGATTTTCCGAAAAATTTTGTTCCTAAATCTGTCGAGATTTTTTCAGACATACTTTTGGTTTCCGGTGATTTTGAGCTCCAGAAATTTTCCGTCTCCGCGCATCGAAAATTTGGAATTTTGGGAAAATTTGAGCCACTTTTAAATTTCTGAAATTTTGAATTGCATTTCAGAGATAGAATTTTATTCCGAAATTAATTGACCCATGGCCTAGAAATCCAAGAATTTCCTCATTCAAAAAAAAGATCAAAGGAGCCGACAAAGTCTACTGTAGGTGTTTTTTCCACGGCTCTAATAATTTTTTTAGAAAATAAACTGAATTTCAGGATTACTGTAGCTCCTTTGATTTTTTCGAAATTTGGAAGATTCAAATCAAAATATTCCGAGCGAACTAGACATATCACAAACTTTTCTAATTTGGAATGATCTTGTCTATGATCGACTTCGTCACAAGACGAAAGTTGAAATCATTCGACTTTGAACTATCTTTCATTTTCTCATCAAATGGTCATTTTTTCCTTCTTCTTCTTCAACTACCGTATACGTATAGAAAGAAAGAAATATACTACAATCAATGTTCACTAATCAACACGTTGTTGTTCTATCACCTTTTGTACAAAAAAGATGGATTATGTTTTTGTTCATTTCTTCCTCCCTCTCTCTCTAAAATCATGCTGATTTCACGCGACACTTTTTTGGGGGGGAAACAACAAAACATACAGATACAGATATTTTGAAGGGGGCGGTGCTAAATTGTAGTTAGCGGCGCGAGCGAAACAATAAAGGTTCAGTGGTCGATGACGCGTCTTTCTCTATATAAATATATGAGAACCAGAACCAGAAGCAAAGTGAAGTGTGAAATTCATTCTAAACTAAACCAAAGAAAAACTAACCGAGAGAAAAATGGGATTGAACCCAGTACAAAACCGATATCGGTATATTGTGGTGTTTTTGGGATTAGCATGTCTAACTTCTGTATTATCTAATTATATTATCATCAATTTTACATTCATTTGTATGAAAGATGATCCAACTGGAATTGTTGAAGATGATAATGGAGTAAGTTACAAAATTTCTCAAATCTTATAATCCTCTCTTTTTTAGACAGCTTACAATCGCTATGATTATTCGGTGAAACAAAAATCATATATCGTTTGGGCAGTTGCAATTGGCACAATTCTTGGAACTGGTCCAATCAATTATTCATATGTTCGATACGGCGCTCGTTGGCCATTTTTTGTTGCTGGAGTCATTTCCGCCATCTCAACACTTCTAACACCTTACGGTGCATATCTTGGACTTCCATATTTGCTTGTTCTTCGATTTTTGCAAGGTCTCGCTTATTCTGCTGATTTTGCGGCGATTGGAATTGTTTGTGTTCGATGGGCTCCGTTGGCACAGACTGGATTGTTCATTTCGATTTTGACAAGTTTCAGTCCAGCTGCAACTGTTATGACAAATGCTGCATCAGGATATGTAAGTTGATGTTTTTTTTTCAAAAAAAAAAAAATACTTTTGATGTTGAAAGTTCGTCAAAACAAAAAAAATAGTTCAAATTTTGTCATAATCGGATTTCTCCTCCTATCATCCCCCTTCCCAATTACACGATATTTATAAACTAGAAATATATTTGTAGCTCTGCAAATCTGATTGGGGTTGGCAATCGGCATTTTACATTCATGGAATTATTGGTCTCCTCATTTTTGTTGCCTGGATTTGTTTGTATAATGATGATCCACAATTTTCGAAAAGTGTTTCGGCCAAAGAATTATCAACAATTCAGAAAAATAAAACACAAGCTCATATTGAAAGAGACACTTTTGTTCCTTATTGGGAAATTTGCAAGAACAAAATTATTTTGACGGTTTGGTTGAATGCATTTTTCGAGATGACAACTTTGATTCTTCTTTTGACTTATTCTCCAATTTATTTCCGAAAAGTTCTCGAATTCAGTGTCATCGAAACAGGTTTGTTAAAAAATATTATTTTATTTTTTATTTTAATTTTGAAAAAAATTGGTATTTCTAGGAATGTTGATATCTGCATCAGCAGTTGCTCATATGCCAGCAAAACTAATCTCCGGATGGTTATCTGATCGTCAATTCTTATCCGAACGTGTTCGAATGTGGTTCTTCAATACTTCATCTGTTGGTTTTGCTGGTTTCATGTGCATGACATTGGCTTGGATTCCAGCTGATTGGAAATATACAAGTTTTGTAGTATTCAGTATTGTTTATACATTGATGGGAACAAATTGTGGAGGATTTTATAAATGTGGAACATTTGCATCTCGACAATATGCTCATTTTGTTTTGGCAATGATTCAATTTATGAAATGTATTGCACTTTTTGTTGCTCCATTGACTGTTGCGATTTTTGTTCATGAGGAATCGTCGCATACTCAATGGGGATATGTTTATCTTTTGAATGGTGGACTTATGTTTATTGTAAGTTTATTTGTACTTGAAAAAAAAGAGAACATTCCAAAATTTTCAGGCGAATATTTTGTTCTTCCCAATGGCTACTGATAAACCACAAGATTTTACGTTCATTACACGTAAAACCATTGAAGAGAAGAAACAAATTGATCAAACGAAATGCTAAATAATTTCTATTATCCGCTTTATGTACATATTTCTTTACGGTTAAATGTAAATATTTTCGCTTTTAATTTTTGAAAATAAAATTGTTATGACTTATACTATCTTTGTTGAAATTTAGAATGGCTATTGTCAAAATTCCAACCTGAGCAGTATGATCTACAGTAATCAATAAAAACATTTTTTTTAATTTAAACCCATCCTCATAATCAGACGCGGCCTAAATTTAGAATTTAGAAAAAAAAATATTTTCGTCATTTTATATTTCACTCTTTCCATCAACGTGAAGCAGAGCTAGCTGCAATATTGATTACAACCAAGAAACAGAAAAAAAAGAAAGTTGCGTTAATGGTCTCGCAACGATATCGACACGAAAGGTGTGTGTTCCTTTGTGTGTTTCCTTTACTGTGCGTGAAAATAAATTTTTCATTTCGAAAATTCTATTTCCAGGAGTTTTGCAATTGATAGAAATCAATTTTCGGCTCATTTTGAAGATTGCTAGGTTTCACACAATTTATGTTGATTGTCTTGGAAACTGAAACGTGGATTTTCGGATTGCTTCATCATAATAACTGACAAGAGAGAAGGGACAAGCTGTTGCTGTTTGAAAAGTAAGGTTAGTGTTTTATTAATTTTAGGATAAAATAGAAGATCCTCTTAATTGAAGTAAAAAAAGTCCAACAATTTTAAATTTTAAAAAAATGAATTTTGAAAAATGAACAATTTTCGGATCAGCGAATCGTAATTATGCAAAAAAAGGAAATTTTATTTGAATTAAAGTTTTTCTTTTTTATTTTCTATTCGACACCCTAATATGTTACCGTAGCCACGTGAAATTTCAAATATTTTTTTCTCAAAATTTGTTATCCAGTCGGACAACGCCCAACATAATAAAAAAAAGTTGAGACAAAGTTGTTCTGGCAACTACGCGGCACATTGTCTGCATCTCTGCGCTCTCTTTCTTTTTCTATTTTTTGGCAGCTGTCTTCGCTTTCATCCCGCACATTTGCCTATTGATCGACAAAAAATGGAGCGTATGTTGGGTAAGTTATACTTTTTATTTTCATAATTAATATAATCTAATACATATTTCAGAACGAATATTGAAACAAGAAGAGGAAGAAGGAAGTAATAATGGAAAGATGGAAGAACAAAATGTGCAATTTTTAAATGCTACTATCAAAATCCCAGTTTTCTATAGTACAAGGAATGTAATTCCTGAAAGTATTCGTTTTGGAGAATCAAATATTGAAGTTGACCCAAATTTTGAACTTGGTCGTTTGAATTCTTCACTTTATCAAGGACCTTCAACTTCAGGAAGTTTTACTGGAAGAAGTTTGACAAATGATTCATCTTGGAATGGTAAAGGTTTCATATTTTCTTTCTATAAATTTGATTTCATGATACATTTTGCAGACAATCTCACAAATTGCATTAAAAATGGGAAACTTGATGTTATAAGTGCAGGTCAACTATTGATCAACTTTGGCGGACCAAGTGATCAAATAATTGATGAATTCGTTGCTCAAAATTATTCAAAAATCACTGGAGCATTAACAACATCTTCAATTTTGGACCCAAATTGTTCGCATGCTTTACAAATTGGAAATTTCATAATGGTTCAAGTGAATTCAAAAAAACTTGAAAACATGGGAAAAGTTGCAACTCGTCAAACAAATGTTCAACAAAACATTGATCTCGGTCCAATTATGGGTTCATTAACAAATTTGCGAAATATCTTCGAAATCACAAATGATCCACCATTTTATCAAGTTCAAATTGATCTTCGATGTTTTGATCCACCGAAAAAAGGACTCAAACAACATATAATAATGCGTGATTATCTTTATCAAATTCTGACTATCCTTACATTCCCAGCTGAAGCTATCAAAAATTACACATATCGTGATAATCCGCGTAACTTCTCAAATAATGGTGGAAATTGTGATGATAATCAAGAAAGTGATTCAGAAGAAAACGAAGAACATTCTGAAGATGGATCAAATAATATGCCACGTGGAAGATTTAAAGATTTACCTGATCATATTGTCAAAGTTCTCCTTAATTTATTCTTTGAATATTTTGGATTCAATTCGCCAATGTATACAACTTCACCAGATGATCTCGAAACCGACATGTTTGTTTATTTTTAAAAAATATTTTTTTGAAATTTAATTTTCTTTTTTTCAGAGAATTCATGTGTCTTGGAAATACATTTGAAGAGCGTTTCAATGCACTTCGAGAACGTCGGCAAATTTTGAACAATTTCACAAGTGCCACATTTCCATCAATGTTGAAAAATGCGTTCTGTGAAATTCGTCTTTCAACAGTTGAAAACAATGATGGCAAAATCGTATGGTCAAAGAGAAAGGTAAAACTTTTTCATCAAAATATTCTAAATATAAATATTTTTTTTAATTTCAGAGAGTTGCCGGATTCCGCCAATTAACAAATAACAAACGAAAATCTGCAGCAGCTGGAAGTTCCGAAAAACGTGTTAGAAAATAATAATTTTCATTATTGTAAGTGACTTTTTCAAAATAATAAAAATCTATCACAAAATACATAAAATACACGTTACTGTGAAATATACAATTCATCAACTTGATATTCCCGATTTCGTCTCTTTTCTCGAAATCTTGCAACATCTTTTCGAGTTATTACACCACGTAATTTGTTGTCATCATTCACAACAAAAAGATAACGAAGACCCAAACCTCGAAATAGTCGGAAAATAAATGGAAGCGAAGTATTAAGTGGAACACGATGAGGATGTGGATGCATAAATGGTTCGATATTCAACCAACAAGATTCATCGTATGAAGAAAGTCCTAATTGATCGATTTGAGAATTTTGGCTGGAATTTTGGGAATTTTTATGGTTTTCCAATAAAAAACACGAGAACTTACTCATCATCATCTTGACATTCTGAAAAATCAATCGGAATACTTTCACTCGCATGTTCCTCATCAAAAACGCGATTTTCAAGAAGTTTGAATAATTGCGTTCGCAAAATATATCCTTTGAGTCGTCCATAATCCGGTAATGTTTGTGTCACAGATTCCTCAATTCGATCAACAACTGGAAAACCATGATGAAGTGTTGTTTTGAGAATTTCAACAATTCTCGAGACGCGTTCTCGTCTTTCTAAAGCAACAACATCTCGACGCATAACTTTGCTAAAAAGAAATGAATTTTTTTAAAATTTTCTCTCCAGAAGCTTCAACTCACTCGGCAAGAATATTTCTACTCATTTTCGGAGGATTCCACCCAAGAATTGGTACTTCAGCTAAATCAATATGTGAATCATATAATCCTTCATTGAACATATCTCCAACCCATTTTGTTATCATTAAAACCAGCATAATTGGTAATCCAAAAGTGATATCTTTTGTTGCTTCCATAATAATTGCAGTTAATGAAATAGTCATTCGAACAACTCCTCCAAGTTGTGCAGCTGCTCCAGCTAATGCATATTTTCCTGGATCAATTCCAGTGACCGATGGGAATAGTCTTTCAACATATATTCCAAATAATCGACCCCAAGCGGCTCCGGTTAAAATGGCTGGAATAAAAACACCGGAAGGGACTGCAATTCCAAATGTCCAAAGGGTTAAAAGAAAATATTCGATGGCGAAAATGATGAGAGTTGGGACACCAAAAGAATCTGAATAATAATCGGAAAACTTTATTTTTCTTCAAAAAAATTTTTTGTTGAACTAACTTATTGGACTGTGAAATAGACTTTTGACACTTTCTTCGGGATTTTGGAAGAATAAACTTGCAACAGCCGAATATTCTCCTTTTCTACACCACATTTGATTGATTTGTGTCGATGTTGCTGTTGGATTTCGGCCAATTGGTTGACAATCATCGACGGCGAAAATTGTGAGAAAAGCCAAAAATGCGGAAACAGCGGCAACGAGAAGACATTCGAATAAACGACCGAATTTGCTATTTACATAACTGCAAAAAAATAAATTAGAAGAAAAAGTCGGCTGTTTGAATTTTTCGGAATTTTTTGTTGAAAAAGTTTGGCAAATTTTGAATCGGACCAGGGTGACATTTTTCAATAGGAATCGGACCAGGTCCGATTTTTTGAGAAAAATTCTGAATCGGACCCGAAAAATCGGATCACTTTTTCAGAAAAGTCAATTTTTTGGTGCAAAAATCAGCAAATTTTGAAAAAGTGGTCCGATTTTTCGGGTCCGATTCAGAATTTTTCTCAAAAAATCGGACCTGATCCGATTCCTTGTTTGTGGTCCGATTCCTATTGAAAAAATGTCACCCTGGTCCGATTCAGAAAACCCTCAAAATCAGGTCCGATTCCTATGGTCTGATTCAAAAACTGCCAAAAAGTTCTGATCCCAAAAAAACTCACGTTTTTCGGAATTCTGTCAATCTTGTATTCAGATAATTAAACAATGCTCCAAGAACTCCACCAATTATTCCGATCAATAAAAATATTGGAATTTCCCAAACATTATAATCCTTATTTTCGAAAACACCGAAATTCGCAAGACCATTCCAAGACAGCCATCCACTTCGACCATTAAACCAACCAAGAATACAGTTTACTGTGAATGAAGAAATCATTGATGAAAGAAACTGTAAAATATAGATAAATAATAGGAATTCAAATCCAATTCGAGTTCTTACCATTCTCCACGTCAAATTCTGATTCCAAAAACTGGCTCCTTCTTCCAATGAGAATAAAACTCCCCCAATTGGTGCTCCAAAAGCGGCAGCAACTCCAGCCGCAGCACCAGCCGAAACAAAATCTCGTCTCTCTCGATCATTCCGAAACTCTTTGAAAATTCCGAAATCAATTCCCAACGAATATGATTTTCCCTGTGATACTCCAGCTCCAACAACAGCTCCAGAATGAATCATTGGCCCTTCTTTTCCAGCAGCCAAACCGCCTCCGACAGAACAAGCAACACCGACTGCTTTTGAAACAAGAGTTTTGAGTCGACACAGCAAATTTTTCACTACGCATTTTCTCATTGCACAATTTCACGTGTCGCTACAGTATTTTCGCAAAAAAATGTCTTTTTTTGTGTTTTTTTTCACAAAAAATGTGTTTTTGAAGCCGAAACCGAAGGAAACATGCTCAAACTACATTTTTAGAAGTAGTTGATAATTTTTCAAGTAGTAATAGTTTTTTGAATCAAAAGTTTATTGTCTTTCCTGGGAAAATCGAGAAAAATATGGAGAAACGTCATTTTGAGCGGAATTAGAAGATTAATAAGCAATTATCTGTCTTCCGGACCTCCCTCAACCCTTCTTTGCTCAATTCTGATAGTGAAAAATCAACTTTTCCCTGAAATTCGGGTTCAAATCCTCAAAAAACGAGTAAAAACAGGATTTTATTAGGCTCCGCCCAGATGTGTGTGCCGCGTGAAAAACACATTCTGCAATGATTTTTTTATTTGAGGTCACGTAGAAAAAAATTTGCTGTGGTCGAACAACTTCGGGGATAGCAATTCCATTCAAATAGCATTTGATTTGCGGGATTCCCGAACCACCAGCGATTGGAGCAACGAAAATAACAAGACAAGAGGCGATTGTGACAAGAATACAATTATAAGCAATCCAGGCAATCATAACAGTCCACATACAACCTGATGTTGTTCCACGTTGTTCTTCATCACATTTTGAAATCACTGAAAAATGTTGCGATTGGAAATGAAGATGGAAAAAGCCCTGGTAGAAAACTCACAGTATTTCAGAATCCAGTTAAATTTGATGTCTTTACTATAATGTACACCAATATCGATTAATGCGGCAACTAAAGCAGTAATAACTCCAATGAAAAAACAAGCGATCCATCGATTTCGTGAAATTCTCCACAATGTTATCTAGAAATTTTTGGATTCTAATTTTTTACTCAAAAACAAAAAAAAGTACCTGATGACTAGTTTTATATTCAGCTTCTCGATATAATTTATTTTCTGATACTTCATAATTCAAACTTTCATATCTGGCTGATAATGCTTCATGACTTTCTGATCTTGGAATTGCCGATTCAATCAATTCATTTTCCTGTTCTTGTCTTCGTCGCCTTCTTGCCATTTGTTCTAAATTTGAATTCGAAAATACTCTTTCCAATCCTTCAACTGGATCTTCATTTGGATCAATGCTATTTGAATTATGTCGACGGCGGCCAGACATTTTGTGACCGACTGAATGAATAAGTCTGTTTAGAATTTCAAATTTCTACTAACATATTTCTAAACAAATATTAGAATTTTGAAATAATAACAAATCGATGATCAAATAATTTGTTTATTATGATAATTTATTTCCGGATTCGGGAAAAGCAAAAGAAAAGTGGAACAGTGGTAAAATGTACAAAATTGTTATGAGATTCGATTTATTTAGAAGTTGTTATTGAATCCGCGGCCACGTCGACTAACAACTCTTTCGGTGACATATTGAACTGGTTGATAAGCTTTTACCTGGAAAAAATTAAGTTTTAGTTTTCTCACAGAATTTTTGAAATATTATACAAACCTGTCTGACAACAGTTCTTTGATTGTTTCCTCCTTCATTTCTGAAGTTTGGACGACGGTTTTGTTGTGGGCGGCGAACAACTTCAACAACACGTTCGAATTGCTGAAATATCAATTAATAATTCTTTCAAAATAAAATTTTTTTTGAAATCCAACTCACTTGTTGTTGTCTGACTGGTTTTCTTTGAATTTGAACAACTCTTTGATTATTTTGTGGTTGAACTCTTCTTCTAATAGTTTGTTGTTGTTGTGGTCTCGATTGGAATACTCCTCCACGTCTTCCGCCATTTCCACCAACTCTTTGTACAATAACTGTTCTGGCTGGTTGAGCTGGTGGTGGACGACGGATAACACGACGTTGTTGTGGTTGAACTGGAGATTGGATAACTTGTCGAATAACTTGGCGTTGATTTCTTGGAACAACTCGTCTGACCTGTAAATTATGGATTTATTTTGACAATCTATCACAAAATTCTGCAACCGAAGTTAAATTCAAAAGCTAACCTGTTGAATAACTTGTTGTGGTGGAGCAACAATTCGTTGTCTGATGATTTTTGTTTGTGGCACAACTCGAACACGTTGAATAGCTTTCGTAGTCGCAGCGACAACCTGTAACACCTTACCTAAGCCTGGTCCAAAAAAACAAACGAAAATTGTCGAATGAATAATTGGACGACGAGAAGAAAGGACTCGGCCTTTTTATTGGCTTAGTTCAATTCAATGATAGCTTTATATCAGGTTTTCAATAGACTGTATGCTATTCGCCGAATGAGTGCTTTCAGAAGCTCTCAATGTTTTCAGCACGAGATTTCATTCTCGACCTGATTTCTAGCTGTTTTTTCAATCTTCGCCGGGGAGTTCAATTCCGAACAATTTGAGAAAGATGGATAATGTTAATAAGAAACGTACGCCGCGACGACGAATTGCTGGAGAAGCTTGAGCGACAACCGCTGTTCTTTTACGAATAGCATTCTGGAAAAAATGAATGTTTATGAGAACTTTCAATTTTGAGAGTATAGAAATTTACCTTGACAAGTTTTTGCACCAATTTCTTTGTCGCTTGATTCACAGTAGCTTGTTTTTGTGCAGCTACTTTTCTCACAGGTCCTCCAGTTGTTTTTCTTTGTTGTTGTTGTACCTGGACTCTTCCTCTTCCACCAACAATAATTTTACGAGCTCCAGCTCCCTTTTTAATTGGAAATTGTTTACGATTACCTCCCCGGTTTCCTCCACCATTTTCTCTTTTAACTTCGGTTTTCTTCTTCAATCTGATAATATCGTCGAGTGACATGTTCAATTTGTCCGCCATTTTTTGAATAGTTGAATAGAGTTGAGTAAAACCTTCTGAAAAGTATAATTTTGTTTATAAAAAGAAGGGAACAAAAACATAAAAATTGGGGGACGCACAACCAAATGACTAAACTATTGATTGGAAAAAGGGGAAAGAACTAGAAGGAAAAGGGCGTGGTCTGGTGAGAGACAGAGAGAAACAGAAGAAATACCAGATGGGAGCCCACATTTGTTTGATAGGTAACGACTATTTATCTATGAAAATTATCAAGAGAAAATTGGCAAATAGAAGAGACGCAGAAAATGAAGATACGCTTGCGAGTGTTATGAAATTATTGAATATTTCGCAATTGGTGGTTTTTTTTCGAAAAATACGAAAATTTTTCATTGAAATGAAAATAAAAAAAAGAGTTCACGTAACGTTAAATTTTTTATTTTCAACTTCTCAATTTCCCTGTTAAACTGCTCGGATAAGTAACATGCAATTATAATAGCAATTAAGTATGTGAAATTGCCATAACTATCCTGGAAATTGAGAGAAATATGACATTTGCCAGAAAGAAACCAAGAAAATCGATTCTAATGTTTACAACAAATTGAACGCTCACATTACAGCGAACAAAAAACGAATCTGGTTCTTCTGGCGTTTATTTCTTTCGTTTGTTTAATAATCGAAGAGCGGGGCGAATACTTGGCGAAAGATGTAAATGTAAATGCAAATTTTGAACAGATAGGGAATGGAAAAGCCAAAAATCGGAATAGAAATGTTACGATATTTATAACATTTTCTTCGACAACAAAAAAAAACGAAAATGTCGCTGACACGTCAAACGAAAAACCAAAAAATGAAAATATTTTTTCTCATGTTTTGAATTCGAAAAAAAACAGTATGTTTTTTGTTCGTTTGAGGACGCGATATACAAACGCACGTATGCACCTTGAAACTACAGTAAGAAAAACATTTTTTGTTGTTGTAAATATTTATTTTGTGTCAAAATTTTTACTGTCTTTTTAATTTATACAGGGCAAATGCTATTGCTGCCAAAGTCCCAGCAAAGCCACCATGTAAAATAGATAAAATAATTTTGTCTTGACTTTTTCGTCTTTCCACAACTTCTGAATAAGGTATTCTGGAGAAAGTAACCATTGAATAAAGAGGGATCCATGATTTTGGGAATATCGAATTTAAAAACAAATCGAATTTTTTGCGAAGTTTGTATGAAGAATGGTTAACCAAGTCTTTGAGCTGAAGGTTTTTAGAATTAAAAAAAAAAAACTTTTCTGAAAAAAACAACCTCTTCATAATTATACATCGCCAAATCATTAATTGTGTGAGCATCTTTTACACGAACTCTTGAATATTCTCTGATACTTTCTCCAATATCCCCAATTTTATCCAAAATTTCACTGAAAACCAAACAATCTTCAAATCCACAATTCATTCCTTGCCCATAAAATGGTACCATCGCATGAGCAGCATCTCCCATCAAAACCAAATTATCAAAAAATGCATGTGGCGAACATTTGACAGATACCAAAGGTTGTGGTTTGACACGTTTAAATGTTTCACTAATATGTTGTTCCCCCAAAAGTTCATAAGCATCCGGGAAATTTTCTTGGAAAAATTGAAGAACATCTTGAGGAGTTGCCATATGTTTTTCAAATTCATCGAATGGTGCAAATATTGTCACAGTAAATGTTTTGTCTTTATTCGCCAATGCAATTAATGTAAAATGTCCTCTTGGCCAAAGATGGAAAACATTTTCTTCCAAAGCGAATTCATCATTTTTCGCAAGAATATTCAATTCAACATAACCGTGTTCAATGTATTCTTGTGAGAAATTGAATCTTGGCAGAGTCATTAAACTTCGTCGAACAGCTGAATAAGCACCATCACATGCAATTATCAAATCAGCTTCAATTTCGAATTCTTGATGATCTTGATGCGTTTGTTTTTGTCCAAATGTTGGAATTCGACTCGGTTGAGATATACTCAAAAATTTCAGAATTTGTTTTTTTAAAGAAAAATTTCAAACTTACTTCTGTACAATCAACTTCTTGTTTTCATAATCTACACTTTTCACTTTATGTTCGAAGAAGAATTTGACATTTTCACATTTTTCTGCCTGAGTTATCATAACTTCATTCAAATGTCGTCGATTGATACTCACAATATGCTGGAAAAAAGTTCAGTAATCATTTTTTTCAACAAAACAAAAAGAATTCAAACCTCTCCCGGTTGTCCATAAGGTTGTCTACTGTAACTTTTTCCCATCTTTATTATGAATTAATCTAGAATACATCGCAACTCCTTGATCTACAATATAATCTTTCAAACCAACAGCTTCTAATGCACTTTTTCCTCTTTGGCTCAATGCCAAATTAATACTTCTGCCTTGTACATGTTTCATTGTTCGAATATCTCGACGAAATTCGTAAATTTGAACATTCCAACCTTTTTTGGCGAAGAAACACGCGTTCAAAGCTCCAACTAATCCAGCTCCAGCAATTACAACAGTTGGCATTCTAGAAGAATTTAGAAAAACTGTCAGAAAAAAATAAAAGGCAAGATTCCTTGAATTGGACCAAAAAAAATTGAAATACCAAGACTGATTCAAAAGTTTCCAAAAAAAATATATATAAATGAAAAACTGTGAACACTTTTGAAAAATAGAAAAAAACCTAATTGAGAGAATTATTACAACACGTGGTTTGATCTTGTCCATTAGGATATAATAACCAAAAGATGTCATGATAAGAATTGCTGAAATGTCCTTGAGAAACATCAGATTGTTGCATTTCTACTTATTTTTTTGCAAAATAAAAATAGCAGAATTTTTTGAAATTTTCGAAAATTAATTTGATTTTATTGAAAAATGAATTACAAATTGAGATAAGCTTATCTGGAAAATTTAGTACTCGTAAAAAAATTTTTTTTGGAAAAAAAACAGAAAAAATATGATAGCAACTGTTATCAGAACTTTTGCAAAAACAAACAACAACAAAAAATTGACAAACTTTTTGAGATAGTAATTTTTTCTGGAGGGAGATTGAATTTCAAATTTTTCATTTATCACGTTCTCAAAAAAAACCGGTCCGAATCAAAATTTTACAAATTTTGATCCAATCTTTTTCATTTCTTTTTCAACATGGAAAAAAAAATCTTTTTTTTTCTGAAATTTAAGTAAAAATTTTAATAGTTCAACATTTATATACAAATTCAAATAACCCGTTAGAACCCCTATCCAAAATCTAACAAACAAATTTTTCTTTAACATAAGTTCCATTTTGCTTCAATTTCATTTCTCGATATTGTGGTGACCAATTTAATGCATCTTCCGGAATTCCACTTGTTTTTCCTTCTCGAATCATTTGACGCAAACAAATTATTGGACCAAAATCAAAGTTATCAAGAACTTTATTCGCTGAAAAAAAAATTTTTTTGAAAATTACTAAATTTATGAATGTTACCTGTAATTCGATTACTAGTTGAAAAACTTTTCAAATATTCCACTCCAATAATACATATCCCATGCCTCTTCCATTTTGATCTACAATGTTTATCATATCCATTCGGCCCACTAAAATTCCAATCAGTTTGTCTTGTCAAATTATCCGATTGTGATTTCGTGCAATTCGAAGTCATTTGTCCTTCAAGTCCCAAATAATTTTCATATAAAGTTTGAATTAACATTTCATCAACTCCATACATTTTATTATTGTCGAATAAATCCAAAATTGGATCCAAGTTTAATTTATCGAAAAGTGAATCGACAAATGTTTTCGACAAAAATACTTCATTGAGTCCTTTACGAATTTTCAACGGTGTATGTAGAATTTCATCTGGCACTCCTTTTTCTGCAAAAAAATGTATCAATAAAAATGATCCACTTGATTTAATTTTGAATTACCATTTTTGAAAAGTTTCAAACCAGCCGGTGTCCAATTAGCATCTCCTTTATATCTTCCTTGAAATCCATATTCCAATCCCATAATACTTGTATAATTCAACATTTCACTGAGATCCGATAACTGTTCAGATGATTTGAGAACTATATCGTAATTCTGAAACAATTTCACAAATCTTCCAAAAAAAAAAATCAATAAATAATTTCTCACCTGTAAGAGTAAAGCATGATTCCAAGTGCTATTCAAAATCATTTTGAGACAATCAAAATGTGCTCGATCTTGAAAATGTCCCGATGAGTCAAATGAATATTTCGTTGGATTTATGACAATATTCGGGAGACATTTTGAAAGTGATTGCATATTTTCAGAAAGTCGATGAACTGATTTGAAATCAATGGAAAAACAGTAAGTATTATCTGGATGATAATTCAATGAGATAAGACTTTCTTGAAATTCATAAAGCTGGAAATTCACATATTTTCAAAAAAAAATCAAAAAGAAGTATTTACTCACTGTAAATATATTTCTGACAAAAGCAATTGGTCTTTCAAGTTTTGAAAATGATGAAATATCTCCGCGTATTCTTGTTTTTATATTTTCACAATCCATCGGAAGTTCCAGAAGTTTTTCGCGTTCGAGTTTTAGTCTCCCATTATTCACATAATTGTCAATTGCATCTTTTGAACCATTTGATATTTGGGAACAATTTAAGAATCGTGATTCATCTCTGGAAAAAATCAAATAATTATCTGATTGTCAAATTTGTCCAGCTTACTTTGTGAAATAAAAATCTTCATAATTCTCGAATTTTTGAAAAACAAAAGGTTTCACCAGCATTTCTTTCAAAGATTTCAAATCCACCATTTGCTGAAAATATTGTATTGATTGTAATTAAAAAAAAATAAAATTGAAATTCTTAGGAACTCACTCTTTCACTTTGCACATGTAATAAAACAATATAACAGAATACCATTCCAAAAATAAAGAATAAAACATTTTTGAGTCTACTTGAATGCTTGATTTTTATGATAACATTTGAAACTTCTTCCTCCATTTCATCTTCGCATAATAATTTATATCGAGTGTCAGACATATTTACTTATCATCCACAAAAGTGTTGCCAAAAGAAGAATGCTGGGAAAAATAAAAATGTTGTGATAAAAGAACAAATAAACGTTACTATGGTTACTCATGTTAACAATTAAGTTTTTCTATAAAATATTTTTTCAAAAAAAAAAATGGAATCCCTCTGGAGGGTTATATAATAAACTGCCAAATATCTATGGAGATGACGAAAAACAATAGGCTGAATATGAATATTTTTGTAGACCAATGAAACAAAACTATGGAGGTTGCGGTTGATCTATGAGACAGAACTCTTACGTAAATAAATGCCTGTTCCAAATTGTATTGACAACAACACGAAAAAGAAAGAAGGAAATTGAAAAAAATATTAACAGTCACATAAAATCCAAAATTCAAACGGGAACAAATGGTTTTCAAGCATATTTTTGTATTTTTTTTTATCGGAATGTTGATGATCACATGAAGTTCCTCAACACATATCAGCAACAAAGTGCAGAGAGTGCATTTAAAATTGAAAGGTTTCGAATTTGATAAAATATTGATTAGGAATTGTGAAAGATTGGAAAAAAATTTGGAGAAATTGCAGCCGGATTTGTAGATGGAAAGCTTTGAACATATTTAATTTAAAATTTAAAATTTGAACAAGTTTTCACGTTTACAAAAAATTAATTTCACACTTGAATATAGGGAAAAGTGAACGTGAAAATGTTACAAAATATATTTCCCGGAACAATTTTCAAAATGAATAATCTCAAACATACAAAAAATGACAACAAAACCAAAAAGTATCATACAAAAGTTCCACGTAAATTATTTTTGTATAGTAATATAATAAATATATATATAATATAACAAAGCACAATCAATTTTTGACAGAACCATTCAGGTCTCTAAAAATTTCAAAAATCGAAACAATTTTTTTAACTGTGATGAATGAGTTCAAGAGGATTATCTGACTCGTCATATTTTTTTTTATTTACAAAAAAAAAATCAGATTACAAACTGGAAGCATTAGAATATTTATAGAAACCCGAAAAATGTTGAAATAACAAAAAATAAAAAACTGAGATCCAACGATCGAAATGAAGAAGAATTACATAAAAATCCTTTACAAGTATAAATTATTCCAATTGTTGAATTATCGGTTTCAGATTCTGTTAGACGAACCTGCAAAATTTCAAGGGATACTTGGGGATAAACAGTTAGAGTAACTTACCATATCTCGCCTTGAATGTGGAAATAGAATTTCCGAATCTACAACGCGGCTCCAACAATCTCTTACAATTGCACCACCAGTTTCTGAAAATAATTTTTTTTTGAAAAATGTTGAAAAAATAAAATTCGAAATGATTTTCAAAAGGTTTTTGAGAAAATTAAAAGAAAAACGTGAACTTTCAAATAAATTTTCATTTCCGAAAATATTAAAAAAAAAAGATTTTTTGGGGATTAAAAATTTTCGAGTACTGTAATTATTTTCAGGGACAATTTTTTTTTTTAATTTGAGAGAGGTTCACCCTGATTTGGAAAAAATTTTTTTACCACAAACACTTCTTTCAGCTGGAGGTTCTTTAATAACAGCTTTTATACAAACACTATTTGGACAATCTACAACTGGCATTGCATCTCGAATCTAAAAATATCAATAAATTCATATTTTTCTGAAAATTCTGAAATTCTTACAGTTTCACAATTATCATCTTCATAAATCGGAAATCGTGCCAAATAAAGCAATCGATTTGAAAGTGAATGTTTTGGCTGAAAATATTATATTTTTCCATTTCCATTTCTTTTCTCCGCATAATTTGAGATCTTTTATAATGGGGTGAGTCAATTTTATTTTTCGTCAATTAATTGACAGAAAATCCGAGTCATTTTTGTGCGATTTTTTCACGTTTTTGTCGATTAATTCCATATTTTTTTGCAATTAATTGCATTCAAAAATGAGGAATTTCAATACGAAATAGAATTTATTTGACCTCTTTTTTGAAACGTGTCCCAAATTCACTGCTTATTTTTTGGATTCATTTTGAAATGAAAGAAAATTGAGGGAAATTGGTTTTTTGTTGATAATTCCAACTCATATAGGTCACGTTTTAAAATAAAGGTCAAATAAATTGTATTTTTTATGCAATTAATCGCATTTTTTGCCAAGAAATGAAAGCGATGAATTGACAAAAACGTGAAATTAATCGCCCTAAAAGACTCACTTTTTTTGTCAATTAATCGCAAAAAACACGTCGATTAATTCGATTGACTCACCCCATAAATATTTTCTTCGGCGGAAATGCGATTTTCTTTTTTCTTCTCTTTTTTTTGTGCCAAACATCTAATGCATCCCTCGATTTTTTCTTGGAAAAAAGAAGGAAAAAAGAAAAAGGAGAAGAAATACATACCCATTTGAGATGAAGCTGAGGAGAAGAACAGCTATAGCATTTTTCTGGAATAAGAAAATATTTATTTTTATTTGGAAGGAAAGATTAACGAGAGAGAAAATTAGAATTCTGCCGAAAAATAACATATCAATTATTTTTCTCTTCTTCGATTATTTTATGAAGAACCTTTTTTTTCAAAATGAAAATTTTCGAGTCTAGTTTTTATAAACTTACCAGCCTTAATATAATCTCCAAAAATAGCGGCAATAAAAAATATGAAAAATGGCATAAAAACAAATTCCAACTTATTCTTCTTCTTATTTTCTTTCCCTTTTTCTCTGAAAATATGAAAAAAACAAATATTGTGAGAGCAACAAAAAAATAATAAAACGTTTGTCCCAAAAACGTTGGGGTTTAGTCTAACGAAAACAAAAATCTTGAAAAAAACATGCACAAAAAAGTGTGCGCGGAGTGGAATAATGTGGTCATGAAAAATGGGCGGAGCTCGACAAAAAGTAGGGAGATTCTTGAGAGTTTGTCCAAAATTTTGCGGCGGAGCGTGAGAAAATTGAATTTTCTATACTATTTTGTTCGCGCAGTCAGTCAGTCAGTCACAAAGTTTATTGAAAAAAAAACACATTGGAGAAAAGCTGACAGCTGAAAAGTATTTCTATAATTAGATTTACTAGTAATTTTAAGATTGGAAATGCAATTAATTGAGAGCCAAAATCCAAAAGCAGTTTTCGTGTCGATCTGTAATTTAAGTTCCATGATCATTCATTAATTTTTTGTTGATAAGTCGGATTACAATGCAAAGAAATTGATGATATTATATTTAGAAATGTGTGCTTTCGAGTTATTTGTACAAAGGAAAAGAAGGCGGGTGGAACATTTTCGAGTATCTGAGAACAGTCCATTTTTTGTCGACACAACTAAAATGTTTCTGTTCAAAAAGAAAAAGAAAATTTCTAAAAATGAACCAAAACAGACGTTTCCAAGTCGAACAACTTCACTTCCAACTATTCATGAGGTAAGATTTTTGAGTTGGTTTTCAGGGTTTAAAGTTATATTTTAATGAATGTTGGAGAGAAACTTTTTTGGAATTTTTCAAGAAATTAATGAGAATTTAACAGAAGGCTCTGATTGTGAAAAAGAAAAATATTTTTTTGTGAATTCCAAAATAATTTGTGAGTTGAGCTAAATACAAAAAAATCGGTACTTTAGCTTTAACCTCTTTCTATTTTTACTGTAGTTTACTGTAGATTCTCTAAACCTATTTGTTTCCTACAGTATTCCTACAGTAACCAGTTGTTTTTCTTCCAAAACAAAACGCAGTGTTCATCCATTATTTTCTCGAAAAAAATAGTTTCTGTTGTCGTGATTGAGCGCCAAAAAAACGACAACAAAAATGGCTGCGTCTCTTCAAACCGCCTATATCTCTCGCCACAACTGAACATTTGTTTGTACTTTCTTGCAATTTGTCGTGTTTCTCTGCGTCGCTTGTTGTCTTGTCTTATAAGAAAAAGTGAAACTATCCGTAGCAATATGATAATATTTTTGTTTCGATTAAGATTTTTGTCACATTCGATTCGATTTGTTTTATTTTGATTCCCACATCGAATCTTCGATTTTTGTGTGTCTCTCGGTCTCTTTTTGTCTCCCTTTCAAATATTTTTATCGCAGCTGCTGCATATTACTATTTTAGTCGTGTTCAATGACACCAAAAATCGATAATATCTCCATTTTTGCCCTCCAAAACTTTGACATGCCAATCAACTAACAAACTTATTTGTATTTGAACAAAAATTTCTATATTTTTAGAAAAAATTTCGTATTGTGACAGTTGTGTTTCTTTTTCAGTGGACAGGCGGGGTTCGAAAAAAAAATGAAATATTTGTTTTCAAGTTGAAATAAGTTACTTTTTTTCGTATCGCAGAAGACGTTTTCCTGAACAAAAAATAATATAACTTTTGATTTTTGAAACTCTTTTTTCCTGTTGTAATCTATCTTCTCATCGATCATTTGTGTGATCACAAAATTTGTTATTTTTTTGAAATTTCTAGAAAACCAAAAAATGACCGCTTAAAAAATGTTATTGATACTGTTGTATGTCAGAAAAATGTTTATTTTTTTTTACTTGATACTGTTGTATTTGAGAAAAATGTTTCGGAAAGTTTTTTTAAAAACTGATTATAAATTTTTTTTAAAATTATCGCTTCAAGTTCTTAAAATTGTGTTTGTTAGTAGTAGTATCTGTTTTTTATTTGAAGATTACAAGTTCGGGCTGAAAAAAATAGCCACAGAAAATATTTGCCATAATTTTAAGCATATTTTCAACAACCAAACCCATAAATATCCCTGACACCCGTTCATTCATCTTTCAATCTATCTCCCCTCAATCCATCAAATTTTAAGATGCTTTTTTTCTCGAAAACCCCTAACTCACCAGGAAGAAAAATCGCACTTTCTAGATCTTTCATAGATATCATTTTTATTTGAGAGACGCAGACATGTGGACATGAAAAATTAGCTTGAGTCTCTTCTATTAATTCTCATTTAATTCTTTTTGTTTCAAAAAAAAAATGCCTCCAAATTTTAACTTTACTATCAATTATTTGAATACACCAACACATTTTGTGGTGAGAATTTGATATTTCAGATGGATATTCTGTTTTTGAATACTATTTAAAAATTATATTTTTTTAGAAAGCTTCTTCAAAAAGTGGTCGACATTTGAGTGTTTCTGTTAGTTTGAAATCTCAAATATTCGCTTCAAGTTCACAAAATCAATCAAAAATGGAAAGTTTTCTTGTTCCAAAATATACTTTGCATGATTTTGAAGATGGAGAGGAATCAAAAGTTGTTCGAATGATTTTCGAAATGTCTCAAGTTCCATATGATTTCAAATTTGTTCATCACGATGATTTCATCCTTGAAGGTATAAATATTTTTCGAAAATTTTTTGAACACGTATTGAATTTCAGATTATCCTTATTATGCTCTTCCAATGTTAGAAATGAACAATAGAAAATTCGGAAGTATTGTATCGATTTGTCGTCATTTAGCTTGGAGATACAGTAAGTTTTTTTTTGGAAAACAGGAGATAATTTCGAAAAATTTGCAGATTTGTCGGGTAAAACAGCTTACGAAGATGCACAAATTGATGATGTGGCAGAAAAAGTGTATGAAGTTCGAATTAGAATTAAAAACTGGATTGATCACATCGAACATGCAACAGATCATGAATGTGATGTGAGTTCATCTAAAATATTTTAAGCGAACTTTTCCATTCAAAAAACCTTTCAGGAAATGTGTACAAAAGATGACGCTTCTCTTCTTCTCACCACACATCTCTTTCCTATTCTCGAGGCTATGTTTGTCTCAACAAACACATCATGGCTGGTTGGGCAGCAGGTTAGTGACAGTGGGTGTGGTGTAGTGGGTAACGCGTTTGCGTTTTGTGCGAGTAGTCGTTGGTTCGATTCCTCTCGCCACCTCGAGCGATGACGAATGCACACATTTGCTTCTGACACCTCTTATGTTAGTGGTAAATTTCCGTTACCACGGTGAGTCCAACAGGATCTCTGAGCTCTTTTGTATTTTACTATTTTTTTATTTATTTTTGTAACTTCTATTGAACATAATCTTATATTTTTACAGATAAGTTGGCTTGATTTGTTGGTAGCACATCTGGTTAATCCAATAATATATCATCGTCCACACCTATTGGAGAAATTCCCGAAGTTATACCTGCACAACAAGCAAGTTGCAGATCTTCCAAGTCTTGTTGGATTCTTCTATCATGTCAGACCACGAGCCAAATTCACTGATACAAGTTCAAAAACAGCTGGTTATAGATATAAACTCAATTAATCATTTTTACTTGTTATTTCAATAAATATTTTTATTAAATTTTAAAATATGATCGATCATGAGAAACTTCGAAAGAGATTCTTCACGGAGAACAGACATTTGAGCTAAAACTTTTATACTTTCTTCTCGTGTAAAAAAACGATTTTTCATGAAAAATGAAAACAAAAAACACAATTTCAATTTGCCACACCATAGTCCGCAAACACAAATGCACACAATTTAATTCATTACAGTATCACTTTGTTTTGAAGTTTTTTCCGAAATTTTTGCGCAAAAATGTCAGAAGGTAAGAAACTTATAGATAACGACTACGTTGATTGTATATTTTGCAGAATTTCCAACTAGATCGAGTACAAGAAAACGGAAAGCAACAAAACGCGCAGACTTCGTATATTTCGATGGAAAAAACAATGCAAGCATCGAAAATGAAGCTGTCGTGGAAGAACCGCCGAATAAATTGCTGTGTGATTTGAAAGAAATGGATACCCTTGATATTATTTATGCTCATTTGGAGGTTGGTTTTTTGCAAAGTTTTTGTTTTTCATAACAAATAACATTATAACCTTCGAAGATTTCTTGAAAATCAACAATATAAAGAACGATTAATTATTAGTCACACCGGAAGGCCTGAAACATATAATTTTAGTTTTTTTTTGTTTTAAATAACATCTTGAACAAGTTCAACACAGCACTTTGAAGTGTTGAAAATTCGAGCAAAGTTTGTTTTTTTCAAATTCATAATTGAATGTTTGATTGAATTTAATAAATCAAGGCAATGGTTTTTTTCAGAGTTTGGAACGTCGTATGGATTTGATAACAAAGAATTACAATTGTTTGATCGATACAAATCAATCACTTTCGTTTCAAAAGTCTCAATTTCTCGGAAATTCGTCGTTGAAAGAATATAAATATACGGAATCCGACGAAGTTGCGATCGGAATTGTTATGGAGAAATGTCTTCGAGTTATATCACATTTTCATAAGTAATATGTAATCTCATAGTTTTATTTGACTAATTTTCACGAATTTTTAATGTTTTCAAAAAAGTCTACGACAAAAATATTTGCCAAAAAATGTTTTTATCATTTTTTGATCTATCTTTATTTTTTGATCTAAAAACAGTTTCTAATTGTGCGAGCCATGTGGTTTTCACCATTTATATGAAATCATGACAAATAATTATTCGTATACCTACTGTATGTATTAAATTATAGGTTATATTGATTTAACAAGGCACTTGGAGAAAATGCTCCACCCATTTCTTCAGATATTTTTCAGCTTTTCGAAAAGGTTAGTTTTGTTTTTCCACCTTTCGATTTCAATGAGGTATTACTAAAATTCAAACCTAATTTTATTTCAGAAATAAAGCACATTTTGGTCAACTGCAATGACAACTCCTACTGGATCTACTTTAGGTGAGTTTCAGAGCAAAAAAAAAACGCTCCGCCCATTTTTTTCATGCTGATCTAGGGGTAGAAACACTTTATGCATTTTTTTTGTTGATTTGAGTGAACTTGAGTGTTGCAAAAAATGACAGAGGCAAATGAAAGCTGCGTTGTTTCAAGTAAGTATTTCCAGTATTTGGTATTGTAGTTGGGTTCTAGATTATATAATTTAGCGTAGATCACTTAAAAATAGTTTAGATTTTTCTTCATTAAATGTAATCTAAGCTAAAAACTTATCCAATGAAAAATAAAATACAGTAATTTGGTTCCGATGAATCACTTTTTCGTAAACAAAATTCTGATTTCGTAATAGATCGTGCATTTTCGAAAGATAAAAGCTAAAATAAAAATCACCTGTTTTTTCTCCAAAATAATAGTTTGTTTGATCATTAATGTTTCAGGTTCGTTCTATCTTCGCGAAACCGGTGAGATCAGAAATATTTATGTGAAATATCTATTTTCGGAAATGCCAGTTCACGTCTTCAATATTTTCATCATATTTTTCACGTTCTACTTCATATTTTCGAAAAAAGTGCTGATCCATATGAATTTGAAGGTACGTCATTTTTGTTTTTTTCCAGAACTTGTTATTTTGATTTTCTAAAGACTGTTATAATAGCTTTCTTTAAATAATAACCTCCGAAAAATGGCCACAATGGAGTAAATAAATCAAATAAGTTATTTTGATTTCATTATACTTTATATATTTTGGCCAAAAAGGGAGTAATAGTAAAGCTAACATGAGGGATAATTATATTTTGAAGATGGAGTTGAATTCTAAAGTTTTCAGATTGTAATTACAAGTTATTCTCTCACTGCTTTATTTTTGAGTATTTTCCGTTTAACTTGGCTAATTTGCGATGTTTTTTGGGTTCCACTTAATATTATGGAATTTTTCATGTTTGGCCGATTTATTTTTCAATCTTCAAGTGAGATTCTTTGTTTTTTTTTTCATTTTCTCATTTTTTTTAGTTTCTGCCCATCTTTTTGTTTTATCAACTGAAAGAGTTATTGCAACTGTAAATGCAAATAATTATGAGCATAAGTCCTGCTCATTTTTTATTGTTTTTTGGTGTCTTATGACTTATCCATATTCCGGAGTTCTTTTATATTCAAAATATTGCATTGAAAATGGTAGACAATTGAATATTTTAACAACAATTGTATGTTCTGGAGGATCATTGATAGTGAGTTTGGAATATTTTGATTGCATAGTTATTTTTAAACGTTTTAGGCAATGTTGATAGTTTATTTTGTGAATAAAAAACAAGTTGATGCTCGTCGATGGAAATCAAAAGTATCAGAAGCTTATCAAATTCGCGAAAATATTCGAACTTCTCGAATTCTTATGCAAATGTTTGGAGTTGGTAGTATTTTTCTCGCATCCGCTTGTTTCTTTGTTCTCAAATTTTCGACTGCTTTACTTGGAGATAACAAATATGATATAATATTCAATGGTTATATGTATGATATTCTTGTTTCAGTTGGTTCAACTATTGAAAGTTTTCTATTTTTGTATTATATTCTGCCAGAATCGCAAAGACGCAAGGTTTTACGTAGAATGGGTGTGTTATTTTTCAAAGAAACATTTTTAATTCTCAATTTTTTTTCCAGATTTATCTCATTATCGACATCGAAAGTCGATCACAATTACACCGACAGTTGTAAAATTGAAGTTTAAAAATATTCATGGAATTGATGTTGAAGTTGGAGCAAATTCGGTAAAAAATAGTGACGTTGAAAAATGTAATTTCCGTTTTTTTCAGGGAAATGATTATTTTAAACAATTATCGACTGCGTGGAAATAGAAAAAAAACAAATTATATTTATTTTAAAAGTACAAAAAGCTCTATAAAAATTTAGTTTTGATTAAGTTATAAAATACATTAAACTAAAGCAAATAATCAATAGCTCCCAATGGTTTCGTTCGAATTTTCATAAATTTATACAATCTTCTAAAACCTTCTTCTAATTCTTCCGAAGTACACGCAAATACCAAACGGAACCATCCGAAATTAACACATTTCTGATGAACACCCGGTGTTAACATCACACCAACTTCTTCTGCAATTCGATTCCATAATTCAAGTTCAGCTTTTTCCGAATGTTCTTTCAATTGTGCTGAGAAATCAGCGAATACAAATATTCCTGCCTGAGCAACGACAAATGGGAATTTGCAAGTTCTTCAGATTTTCAGATGTATATGTGTAGTGAATTCGAATTCGTCGTTGAACTTCAGCATGAAAACCTTTCAGCCAATCTGAAAACATAAATAATATGAAAATCATTATTTTTTCAACGTGACCTTGAAAAAAAACGAGGCTTTGTTTTAATTTTTGGTCATTTTTCACTTACCGAAATCTGATAACAGTTTGACTGCAAAATCTTGGACCAATGCCGAACATGGATAATAATATTGCAATTTTGTTGATGCCAATTTCAATGATTCGTCATTGGTATGAATAACAGCAAATTTGAGACCAGGTAAGCCGAAGTCCTTTTTTTTTAGAAAAAAATTGGTAAAATTGTGAGTACACAAAGTTATCTTACCTTGCTCACACTCCATAAATACGTAACATTTTCGGGTCGAGAAATTCGATGTCGATATGATAAATATGATTTGAATCGTGAATCTTTATCATAAACACAATTCGCAAAAACTTCATCGATAACAACTTTCAAGTTTAATTTCGATGCCCAATTGCATAATTCAATAACTTCTTCGGGTGGAAAAACAACACCGAGTGGATTATGTGGATTGACAATTATAATACCACCGATTACTTGATCTTTTTCCTTCGTCAATTTATCATAATATTTTTGGAATTCTGCCAGATCTAATTTTGGTTTTTTCGTTAAATCTGTTGGAACACATTCAACAATACATTGAGCACGTTCATTTGGATTCGAAATAGTTCCAGTATAAATTGGTCCATTTGTCAAAAGTATATCTGAAAATAATAATTAGTTGTATTATTTCTGATAAATCGATATTATCTTACCATGTGGTTCAAATAAACAATGACTTATAACATCATAACCAGTTCTTGTCGATGCAGTTAATACTAATTCATTTGGTTCAACTTGAGCATTCATAAATTGTTGGAAATATTTGCATAATATTTGTCTTGTTTCGGGCCAACCTCCACTTGGTGGATATCTTACAAGATGTTCTGTATTTGGTATGAACAATTCAAGATGTTTGAATCGTTCTTCGAGAAGAGGAGTGCACAAATTGTTTTCCGCTGTGCAAAAATTGATGATTCCTTTCGGATTCTTTTTATAATGATACTTATTATCATTCATTTTCAAAAATGTTTTTGATGCATTATCCACAGATGATAATAAATGTTGGCCGCGAATTGACATTGTTGGATCTAAATACGATTTATATTCTATTGAAATATTCACAAAATTAATCAACTTACGTTCATTTCTATGCTCATTTGTTGCTCGTTCTTTGATACATTCGAAAAGCATTGCTTTTAATTTTCGAGTCATTGAAAAATCAAGTGTTGCTAATTCATGTTCTTCACTCAATTTTGATAAAAGTTGACCGAGTGGATCAGTTTTTGGAATAACAAGAGAATACGATCCTTTGACGATGAAATAATCTTGATTTGATTCGATTTCCAGCATTTCTTCGTCGTTTTTGATTTCTTCAATTTGTTTTTCAACAATTGTTTCTGATTGTGATGACTGATTGAATATTAGATTAATAAGGTCATCTTGTTGTTTTTGTTGTTGACCTTTTTCTTCTTGCGTCATTTTTTCTTCCTTTTTCTTTTTTCGATCAATCGATGTGTCGGTGTGCTTTTTGAAGTCCAAACTTTTTGTTGAACTCAAAAATGCAGCTTCGTCTAGTGATTTTCCAAGAATATCATCAACAAAATGACTGACATCAATATCAACTTCTTGATTTTTCACAGATGTTATGTAAAAATCATTATATTCGTCATACATTTCATCAACTTCTTCTTGATCTGGATGAACACTTATTGATTTTCGTTCTTCATAAAAGTTCGAATATCTTCTTGGTGATAATGGTTCATTTCTTGATCGAGAAAAACTTTCAGATATATTTTGAGTTGTTCCAAATGATGATGTTGAAGGAATTTGATCGACAGATGATAAAGTTGGATTTGTTTCGACCTGAAAACAAAACAATTAGTTTTTGGCAACAATTTCTCATAACTGAAAAATCCCATAATTATGTCACGTACCTGTTTGTTATCTTCCAAATCAATATAAGCACTCGAAACTACAGTACTTGTAGGTGATAAAATATCAGCTATCCATTCATATTTGATTTCTTGTGATATTCTTGTTGGAGATGAAACTGAATTTTCTTGAACTAATCGAGATCTTGGATTTGACATTGGTGGAGATAAAAATATAGAATCGAGTGTATTCACATCAATTTCGGGTAATCTTTGACGAGTAAAAGAATCATCGAGACTAATTGTTGATGTTGAAGATGTATTGAACTTATCTTCTGTGACAACTTGAAGATTTTTATTCTTCTGATCACTTTTTGGAATATCAATTTGTCTTCGTCTTGTTGTAGAAGTCGTTGTTTCAGAATCATCAATTGTTTCTGTTGTTTCTTCATTTTCTTCTTTTACAACACGATTAAAAGAAGGTCTTGAATCATTCAAAAATATACTCGATGTTGTGATATTTGTTTCGAATTCGGTTTTCGGTGTCTCATTATCTTCTCTTTGACTGATATTATAAATATCATCCAAATCTTTTTTAATTCCAGAATCATAGAGTTCGGAGATATCCGAAAATGCAACAGATTTTCTTTTTCCAATCAAATTGAAATTGTGGGTTCTATCTTCTTGTCCTTTTTCTGATTCATCTGATTTTGTTTTTTCCTCATGGTCCTTTGATATATTTGTATTGAAAACATCATCTAAAGAAACTGCTGAATCATCAAGATTTGCTTTTGATTGTTTTGTTCCAACTGATGATGAATCTTGAGGTTTTTTGTGAGATTTATTCATCTCAAATTCAGAAATTCTTTGTTTCAATTTTTCATCATTAACATCTTTTTCTGCTCGATCAAAACTGACGTTGAAAACATCTTCCAAATTCAATTGTGCTGTTGATTGAGATGTTTTTTCGTCTGAAAGAACTTCAGTCGATGTTGTTGGTTCGCAATCAGGAATATGAATTGGAGTTCCAATTGTTTGTTGGTCATTTGAAGGAACACTAGTTTTGGAAACATTGAAAACATCATCAATTGAAATTCTTGAATCGTTTAAATCAACAGTTGCTGTTGTTTTATAGCTGATCGGTTCTTCTTGATGTTTCTTATCAGATTTGTTCATCTCAAATTCTGAAATTCTCCTTTTTCAGTTTTTCGTCGTTCACATCCTCTTCGTTATGTTTGAAAGCTAACATTGAAAACGTCATCCAAGTTCAAATTTGATGTTTGTTCAGATGTTTTTGTGTTCGATAGAACTTCAGTAGATGTTGTTTGTTCAGAATCCTGAAATGTTAATAGGAGTTTTAACATTATGCTTTATAGATATTTCCGAGGAAGATGGTTTGGTATTCTCATCCACAGGATCCATCTGTGGGGAAACATTGAAAACATCATCGATTGGAATTTGTGAATCATTCAAATCTACAGTCGATGTTGTTGTGTATTTTATCGGCTCTTCTTGATGTTTTTCGTGAGATTTGTTGTTTTCAAATTCGGCGATCCGTTGTTTTAATTTTCCATCATCTACATCTTCATTGTCGTGTTTGAAGCTGACATTTAGAACTTCATCTAAATTTAAATCTGAAGTTTGTTGAGATGAGGTCTTCTCTGAATCAGCTTTCAATCGATGTTGACTTTTCAGAATCTGGAACATTAATCGGAATTTCCACTTCTTGATTTTGATGGTTATCCAACGAAGGTTTTCTCTCAGAAACATTGAAAACATCATCGATTGAAATACTCGAATCATCCAAATTCACATTTGATGTTGTTGTGTATTTTATCGGCTCTTCTTGATGTTTCTTATCAGATTTATTTTTCTCAAATTCTGCGATTCTTTTCTTCAGTTTTTCATCGTTGACATCGTCTTCGTCATGTTTGAAAACTGACGTTGAATATCTCTTCCAAGTTAACAGTATTTGTTGAAGTAGTTGGTTGAGAATTCTCCGAAATCACTAGAATTTCAGATGTTCTCGCTGGTTCATTCGCTGTTACTTCAACTTCAGCCGATTTCTTCTCTTCAAGTTCAACATTGACGTGAGGTACATGTGTCTCTTCAATTGATGATATTTTTGTTGATGCTTGATCTTCAGATAATTTTTCTCTCAGTGTAGAATCTGTTGATGGTTTGTCAGATTTTGTAGTCGAAACATCCGATGAAAATATTGATTTTTGTTCGTTTCTATCAATATTGAACACATCCTCCATTGAAATATTTGAATCATCCAAATTGATGCTTGACTTTGTAATTTTTGGATGTTCTTCCACTTGATGTTGTTTTTCATTCTTGTTTTTCTCAAATTCTTCAATCCTCTTTTTCAGTTTCGAATCATTGACATCTTCTTCATTTTGAGTAAAACTAATATTGAATACATCATCCAAATTCACACTGCTAGGCTCTTTTTCAATTATTTTCGAATGTTCAATAACAGGCTCAGATGTTTCTCGATCTTTCATCCGAATATGATAATTATCAGTGGTTCCAAAAGGTTGATTTCCAACATCAGCAGTTACTGAATCGGATATTGAAGTTTTTATTTGGTCCGAAATTGTTTCATTTTTTGTGGCCTCGATGTTTACTGATTGTTGTTGATTTAGATCGATTGAAATATTTGTTGAGTCGATGTTCGGTTTAAAATTGAACATATCATCAATCGATATTTTTGAATCATCAGGTACCAAATTAGAAGATTTCGTTGTTGTTGTTGGAGATCCAACTTCATGTTTAATATCAGTTGTGTTTTTCTTGAATTCAGCAATTCTTTGTTCGATTTTTTCATCATCCACATCTTTTCCGTCATCAGTGAAGCTTACATCAAATATTTCTCTCATGTTCAAATTAGATGTTTCAATTGATTTTGGATTCACATTTGATTCAATTTGAATTGATTGGACAGTTTCATTGTTTGTTGCTTCAATATTTGCCGAGGTTTTTTGGTTCAGATCAATATTTAAACCCGAAGTTGTAGATGGGCTTTGCTGATTCGAGGAATCTACAATTTCATCGCCAGACGCTTTGTTAAAAACATCGTCCAACGAAATTTCGGAATTATCAAAGTCCACTTTTGGTTTTTGAGTTGCAAATTATAGTTGTTTCTTGTGGTTGCTTATGAGATTTGTTGTTTTCGAATTCGGCGATTCTTCTCTTCAGTTTTTCATCGTTCACATCATCTTCGTTATGTTTAAAGTTAACATTGAAAACGTCATCCAAGTTCAAATTAGATGTTTGTTCAGATGTTTGTGTGTTCGATAGAACTTCAGTAGATGTTGATTGTTCAGAATCCTGACTTTCGATTGGAGTTTTTACTTCACGATTTATTGATATTTCCGGGGAAGATGGTTTGATATTCTCATCCACAGAAACCATCTGACGGGAAACGTTGAAAACATTATTGATTGGAATTTGTGAGTCATCCAAATCCACAGTAGATGTTGTCGTGTAATTAGATGGTTCTTCTTGATGTTTTTTGTGAGATTTGTTGTTTTCAAATTCGGCGATCCTTTGTTTCATTTTCCCATCGTCAACATCTTCATTGTCGTGTTTGAAGCTGACATTTAGAACTTCATCTAAATTTAAATTTGAAGTTTGTTGAGATGAGTTCTTCTCTGAATCAGCTTTAATCGATGTTGACTTTTCAGAATCTGGAACATTTATCGGAATTTCCACTTCTTGATTTTGTTGATTAACCAACGAAGGTTTTCTCTGAGAAACGTTAAAAACATCATCGATTGAAATTCTCGAATCATCCAAATTTACATTTGATGTTGTTGTGTATTTTATCGGCTCTTCTTGATGTTTCTTATCTGATTTATTTTTCTCAAACTCCGCGATTCTATTCTTCAGTTTTTCATCGTTGACATCTTCTTCGTCATGTTTGAAACTAACATTGAATATTTCATCCAAGTTAACAGATGTTGTTGGTTCATTTGGCTGGGATATTTCTCCAACTGAATTCGGTTCTTTTTCTGGTTTTTTCTTCTCTTCACAACTTGGTTTTCGACTGATATTTTCGTTATCAATTTGATGCGTGGCATTTTCAATATCTTTAATCGTTCCAACATCATAAATTTGATCAAGAATATTTCTAGTAGTAGTTCCAGCAAATTGACTGACAATTGGATTATTCTCAATTTCATTTGGTTTGGAACTGGAAACGTCATCAATCGAAACATCTGACATTCTTCGAAATTGTTGTTGACTCTGAATCAGCTTCAGTCGATAATGGCTTATCAGAATCAGGAATATTGATCGGAATTTTCAGTTCTTCATGTTGATGATCATCCAACGAAGGTTTTGTTTGAGAAACATTGAAAACATCATCGATTGAAATACTCGAATCATCCAAATTTACATTCGATGTTGTTGTGTATTTTATCGGCTCTTCTTGATGTTTCTTATCTGATTTGTTTTTCTCAAATTCCGAAATTCGTTTCTTCAATTTTTCATCAACGTCTTCCGATTTGTTTTGGTTGAAGCGAACATTGAGAATATCATCTAAATTAAGAGCAGATTTATCTTCGGTATCGAGATTATCCGATTTTTGATCGTGTAAATCTTCGGAATTCGAATTTTTTGTTGATGAAGTAATCGTTCCAACAAGTTCAACTTATTTCATTGTTTTCATTCGATAAAGGTTCAATTTCTTCATTTTTCGGTGAATATTGGACTTTTTCAATATTTCTTGATAGTTTCCGGTCTTTTTCCAAATTGAAAACATCATCCAAAGATATATTTGAATCATCCAAATTGCTCGAATACTCTATTTTTGAATCTTTCTCTTCTTGTTCCACTTTTTTCTCAGATTTATTTTTGTTGAATTCCGATATTCTTTGTTGTAATTTTAAATCCGAAACATCATCATTTTTGTGAGTGAAACTGATATTGAAAATATTGTCAAGGTTCAACGATTCTGGCTTTTCCGAAGTGTTATCTTCCAAATTTTCAAATGTCGATTGTTTCTCCAATTCAATTTTCACTTTTGTCAAACTTGTTGGAGCAACATTTAAAGCTGATTCAGTTGGAGTTGAATGTGGACGATGAATATTTTCTTCCGTTTCTAATAAAACATCAGAAATAATTGGCACAATTGGTTTTGTAACCTCTTTTTGATCTTCATCCTGTTTTGGAATAGTAGAACTTATATTGAACACATCATCGATTGAAATATTCGAATCATCTAGAAGTTGCACAGATTTAGTTGTTGTTCGAGTTTCATTCACTTCCGGAAGTTTTTTATCCGATTTATTTTTCGAAAATTCATCAGTTCTTCTTCTCAATTTTTCATCAATATCATCTTCATTTGAATTGTATTTGAAACTAACATCAAAAACATCATCCAAATCAACATTCGCCGCTGAAATAGTCGATGTTTTTCTGGATTTGCTTGTCCAATTCATTGTTCAATAGAATATTAACTTCGGATAAAGCATTTGAAGTTGTATTCTCAGATGTTTTGTCAATAATTGGTTCTGCTGGTGAAGATGGTGGTCGATTAATTGTTTCTTCATCTTCTACTTTTTCATCAAGATACTTTCTGGATTCGGTCAAGGTAACACTAGAAGTTGAAACTGTCTCAGATTTTGTGTTGTCAGAAATATGTTCTTCGAGATTTTTCCCAACTGTTTCTGAGATCTGATTAGTTGAATTGACATTGAAAATATTATCAAGATTCAATGTTGTTTCTGAATAAATAGATCCATTATCATTAGTTACTTCGATTGTTGGATTTTCTTGTTTCGATTTGTATTGATTGTTCAATTCAATCAAAACTTCAGCAGATTCATTTGCCTTTGATTTTTCAGTTGGAATAATTGGTATAGTTACTTCAATTTTTCTTGTTTTCTCATCAAAATCAAATGCATCAATATCTTGAGCTCGTTGTTTTCTTGTCACGATATAAGTTCCTTTTTTCGTTTCCGAATCTTTCGATTCTTTTGCTGTTGTTGTTGTTATTTTCATCGTAGTCGTTGTTCTAATTTCGCCATCCTGTGGTGGTATTTGTATTTGTTGGTTATCTTCCCGAAACTGATCAGCATGCGATTTGTTAGTTTTTGTGCTTGTTCTAACCTTACTTTGGTCGATGTTTTGATATGTTTCATTGTTGAAAATATCATCCAAATTTATCTTTTTATCTTTTGTCGATGCTCTTTTTGGTTTTGGATTGAAAATATCATCGAGCATTATTTCGACTGGAGGAGTTGAATGACGACTTGGAACTGTGTTTGTCTGAAAAAATAATTCAGTTGTTTAAAAATGCTTTTTATCAGACACTTACTGTAAATTCACTGAATGTTCGATTGAATATACGACTTGATGTTGATGTTGTTTGTCTTGTTGTTGATCGAGATCTTCTTTCATTATCACTTAAACGAATTAATCGACATGCATTACATTGACATTTTTCATCATCAGATCGACGAATTTTCGTGCAAATGAACACCTGAAATTATTGATTTTTAAAAAAATCCCTGATTTTTTCTCCCGATTAGAACATTTATAGAACTCAACATCAATCTAGAAAAAACAACAGAGAACAATCTTTATTCAATTTTATTTCTACAAATCATCACAGTTAGATACATTAGCACCAACTACTTTAAAATTGAAATTGTTTTGAATATTTGATTCGATAATTTATAAGATATTCTTCATTTTTATATTTAGTTTCTTCCATTGTTTCTCTTATTCTAATTATATAATTATTACTTCGTGTATATCCAACCCAATCAACAGCAACCTCACTTATATTTCTTTTTTGACTTTTCAAAACATCTATCCACTCATTTTTATTGAATTCGAATCCACAATCATCCATTTTGAAGTCTTTATGTAAGTAATCTTCCAAGACATCGTAAGTTTGATTATGAAGAATTTGGAATATAGTTGTCACAAATTCCTCAATACCATTTGCATCGTCGACTAATCTAACAGAAGCGGAAACTATAGAAATAAGTAGAAAAATATGTGCGCTTTTCATTGAGAAAGAAATTATTAACAAAGTTCGGAAAATATCTGTGAGCTCTGAGAAAATGTTGCGAATTAATATTATTTTTGAAGAAAAAATAGACGCAGGCATCTAGAGAATGATGAGAATATGAATCTGCGAACCGAAAAAAATTTACACATATTTTCCAGATTGTTTGTTCTATGGAAAATTTAATTTTTATTGTCAGAGAAATATAATTTTTCCTGATAATTGAAAATATTTTTAGAAAATTAGCCCCGAATAATTTTTCAAAAAACTAACCTGATTCAAATCTATATCGGCTGGTGGAATTGCTAGAGAAGATTCTGAAGCGCGTCTTCGAATTGGAATATCTTTTCGATCAGGTTCCTGAAAAAACTCAATTTATTAATACATTTTTATAGACTACAGTAGTCCAAGAATTTCGGGATTCCTCTATAGTAATTTCAAACAATCTTTTTGTAGTTTGAAAATTTGAATTCCTACCTCATCCGTCTGCTTTTTCTTTTTCTTTCGTCGAAAAAGACTAACAAATTTTGAGAACACCATAAAATATAAAAAATGTTTGAATATGAAAATGAGTAAAAATAGGTGCGAAAAAAGTGTGCTAATCTGTTTAAAAACTAGATATATTACCCACTTTCATATTGAACGCCGCATACCAATCAATATCGGTTACTGTCGATTTACGTCGACGTTCGGCTGGAGTTGAAAGTAGATCTTGTGATGATCGACGAGATGTTGGAGTTTGATTAACAACAACAATTGGTGTACGAGATGGGGATCTATAATCAAATCAAATTAAAGCAATAAAAAATTTGAGAGAGTTATATACTAACTTGACATCATTTTCACATTCAATAATATTAATATCAGGTGGCCTTCGACTAATTTTTCTTTCAATTGTTGCCATTGGTGTTGATGTGGCTAATGGTTCACCAAGTGTTGCATTATCATATTTTGCTCTTCTTGGTGGTTTTGGTGGTGCTTCTGAGGAAGATCTCCTTCTATTTTCTTGCCTATCAATATGTATTTCTGATGATCTTTCTGGTCCAATAACATTGACGTGAATATGATGTGATGAAGTACGGGGAATTGTGGAGAATCGCGATTCGAATGATGTATCCTAGAAGTTTTCCGAATTGAAAACAGAATTATTTAGTAAAAATAAATATTATAGAACTTACAGTACAAGAATCATTAACTGAAACAGTTGTGATTCCAGCAGTAATATTTCTATGATCATAATTATCATTGATTGAAACAGAAGTAACACCTCCACCTTGAACTTCTTCATCTTCTCGATAATAATGTAAACTTTCTTCTTTTCCTAATCGTTTTCTTGGTGGTGGAATTGGAATCGGTTCAGCTGATCTACTTCTATTCTCATTATCTATCATACTTCCCTGACTACTTTCATCATCTGATAATTCATTATTGTGTGTATCAATGAATTTTCGATAATAAAGTGTTCGAACTTGTGGTTGAGCACTACAACTTCTTTTTCGATTTGATGATGTTGTTGTTGTTACTTTTTCATGTTCAGTTGTTTCTGTTTTCGTTGTTTTTGATACACGTTTTCGACGAAGATCAGCAAATGCTCGAGTTCCTTTTGAGGTTGAAGTTGTTTCTATCAAATGTGGATGTGTGAATTCTAGATCTATGATATTGTCACTAGATTTATTGAATAATGGTGTATAATCTGTTGCTCGATTGAATGAACTTGATTTTTCAACCTAAAAATTTTGAGATTTTTTTCTTTTTCAACTTTTTTCAATTTCTACCTTGGTTCTGACAGATTCTTGTTCTTTATAAGAACTTGAACTTGATCGTTTTTTCATTCCTGAATTATTTATATTATTTGAATGATAAGGTTGATGTGTTTCTTGAATTCGAATAACAGTTCCTTTTTCACTCTCTAATGATTCACTCGATCGCCATCTCTCATTCAAATGCTACAAAAATTAGGTAATATATTTTGTAAAGGTTTTTGGGGCGTCCCAAAAACAAAAGCTGAAAAATTCACACATGTCCAATTTCTATTCAAACTAAAATATTTTTGTTCACTGTTGAGTAAGCTGCTTTATCAAAATTGAACAGTCGTGAATTTGTTTTTTGATTTTTGAACGCCCCATTTTTCGCGAGCTTACTGTAATAGAAACATTAACTGGATGCGGACCACTTGGTGATAAATTGGTGACTTTGACTTCGCAAGATGATGGATGCTTGTCTGGTCCACCGTTGACTATCTGTAGGAAAAAAAATGTGAAAAATTGATTTAGAAGTTACAACAAATGAAAGAAAAGGAAAAATTGTTGAAAAGACATTTGGTAAATATATAATAAATAACAAATTGATAGAAAGTTGATATTGATTTTTGGTTGATTAGAATTTTTTAAGGGGAAACTATAACTTATAGAGAAAAATCAGACCATGTTTGGTTTGGTCCAGTTCTAAAATCCTGAAAATGGGTTGGGCCCAAGTCCAAACGTATTTACCTCGGTGACAGTGACAGTCTTGACAATTTCGACAAATTTCTCTCGTCGACGCGGCATTTGATTCTGATATTCGTAAGTCAGAATGTTACGCAGAAACTTCTGAAAATTTGGAACATTTTTTCCTTTCACTTTCAAAATTATTCATTGATTACCTCAGAAAACGACTCCTGATCGTCAGCAATTCGATGACTCAAAAATGGCCGATCATCCAATTGCTCCTCGTCCGAATTTGGTTCTGATTTGTGTGCAAAAAAGTTGTCTGTCGTATTTTGAACCACGTCGACGTTCGACGGATTTGTCTCCTGTTGAAACATTCAAAAATACGAAGACCCACGACAAAAAACCAAATATCGAATAAATAGAATGAATGAGAAAAAACGGAGAAGAATGAATTGATATGATGGTAGATTGTGAGAACTTTGAGAAAAGAAGAAGAAAGCAAAACCGATTTGTCACACCTATTCAAGAAAAGAAGAAAAAAACAACCCGAGCGAGCGAAACAGTTTATCAAGGTTGATTGATATTTACTGTGATATTTTGATTTGAAATGCAGTGTACTTTGAGAAGTTCGATCGAAGGGAAGTTCTTGTTTTTGATCTTTGATAAGAGAAAAAAACAAAATTCGCGCAACTTTCACTATTTTTGAAAAAAAAACTTTGAAACAAAATCAAGTTTTTTTTGGCTAAAAATAGAACTGTCTCACGTTAAGAAGCTAGAAGGGTGTATAAATAGATCACAAGCTGATGTGGACTTTAAAAAAAATAGGCCACCCTTGGACCCGATTCAAAAAATCCCCAGAAAGTTATTCCAATTTTTAAAAAATTTATTTTTCAATCTCACAATCAGAAAATATTCTCAAAACAGTCTTAGATTCCGAAAATACCATGAAAGGATTTATTTTTTTTTGCATCTGAATTATGAAAGGAATAATCAAAATGACCTGGCTTGGTTAGTCATGCAAAACTAAATTCGGTCACCAAATAGAAAAAATATATAATGGTGTTATTTCTATACTTTTTTGTACTACTTTTCCATTCTATTTATAATATTTCTATTTCTATGAAAGATCAGAAAAAATGAAGGAATGGACATAAAACGGTGACCTTGGTTTCTAACTGAAACTGGAATTCGCAACTTTCTGGAAAAAATTTGTAAATAAAATTTGGAGAGATTCAGACAGATAAATATGGGTGTTTTCTTATTTCAAATTTTTTTTTAGTTGAAACTTTGTTGATTTTTCAACTTTTAGAAACGTGTTATTGCAATAATAATAACAAACTAAAAATGTTTTCGTAGAAAAACATACAAATGACCCGAAAAGATAGTAGGAAAAAAAGAATTCTCGTTTTATAGTGTGTTTGGGTTAAAACAAAAAAAAACACACACACACACAACATTTGACAGAAACAGCAGACAAAATCTGTAAACAATGCGAAATTTTTTTGCGTATTTTTATTTTTATGTGTGTTTGGTGGAGAAAGTAATTGGAGGAGAAAAACGACAGATCGTTTACACTTTTTCGAGAATTTTGAAATGAAAAATTTGAAATAAACAAAATATTGTTTTTTTTAGAAAGGTGCCAAAATCATTTCTTTTTTTTGGGCCCAAAATTTCCAATTCAAATGAATTTTTCAAAAGATAAAATATTGTAGTTCATTTTTTGTCTACGAGTTACTGTAATAATAAAAAATAAGAAAAATAAATAACAAAATCCGCTGAACTTTCAAACGAATTAAAAAAACACAAAACATCAAATAAATTTCAACTCAAATCCCCCTCACAATATAACATAACTCAAAAAAAATAGTTTTGATCAAAAACCAGTTAAAACTACCAGCAAAAAATGACTGGGCGTTGTTTTTTTTGGCGGCAACAAACGACAAAATTGGATTTTTTTATTACATAGCGAATCGGAACGGAAGCAAAATTATTACTCATGTTATGATGATGATGACAATTGAAATTGTCAACATTTTTTGTTGTTTTCAAAGGAATTTCGGGAAGAAAAAGGAATGTACGAGTTTATTATTTTGTACGAAAAAAAAATTTCAAAACCCCTAGCGCAAATTTTTTCGAACTTATGTAATTTTCCAAATATCATTCAATTGTTCGAAATATGCATTTTGACTTGGTTTATGATCAATTATATTTCCTTCAAGACTTCGAACATTTGAACTTCCATATTGTTGAATTCGAGCACTTCGAAAACCGATAAAATTCAAAACTCTAGTTTTTATTTTTCTATGAGCCATTATAATTGTCCACGGGAATACCATACAAAATGTATTTATTAACTGAAAAAATTTTTTTTGAAGAGCTGCAACCTGAACTCACCAAATTCATAACAAAATAGAATTCAGGATTAGTAGCTTCTCCAAAAATCCCAACAATTTTCAGCCAAATGTAAGCGAAAACAATAATTGCAGCTGAAGTACTGAAAAAGGCAGAAGGGTAAAAGGCATTTGGCCAATTTATATGTTGCAGATATCTGAAAATGTTAGATATAAAACAAATTTAATTTCAAATGTCTCCTAAAGTTACCTGATATCTTCTTCGAAGTGTTAATTGTCCTCGAGTTTTCAAATACAATTTTTTCGAACTTGACAGTAATACAACAAGAAGAAATAGATTCAAAACTACGAAAATATTTGTTGAACCATAAGCAATTGAAAAAAGTGTTAGATTTTTTGCAATTCGAAGATAATAAATATAAAAAATGACATAGGATTGGGAAAATAAAAATATGAAAATGAAAAATAATTTGAAATATTTGGACGCGTGAAAACGTGGAAAATAAATTCCGATAAGACGTTCTGAAATTTTGTTTTTCATTTCAAGTTTAAAAAAAAATTTTAAATTTTATTTTTTCACCCACCAACTGAAGATATTAATTCAACAATTATAAGAGTTGCTTCTCCATGTGAATGAATATATAACCAAATTTGACGACGTTCTAAATCAAAATTTTCAAATGGGTCTCTTAAACACTTTTTTTTACGAACTTAATAGATTAACTTCCTTATCCTCGATAATTTTTCCTTTCAAAATCGCTTCAATAAATGCGAGTCCAGAAGTTATTGTCATATTAATCTGACTTAATGATAAAATCAATAAATAAAAACGAGAATATGAACTGAAATATTTTTTTAGAATCGCAAATTGGAAAAATATTGAATGGGAGAACCATGAGATTAGAATAATTAGAAATTGGAGGAATAAAACTGGAAGCCAAATTGAGAAAAACATCTGAAAAGAATAAGTTATTTTGAGAACTAATTGTAAATAACGAAAAAACATTTTTAGCAAATAATTAGAGTTTTTCGTCATGTCCTTCCTATTTTTGCAGAAAATTGAGATCTCTTTCATTAAAAGGCCGAACTAAAATTTATGAAAAGAAATAAAATAAAAATTGTGCTTGATCATCGAAAATCTAGAAATATTGAATTTTCTTGAAAATTTGATGACGGATTTTTTTTTGAAATCATCAACTACGCACTTTTTTTTTCAAATAACAGAAAGTGCAACTTTTTTCAGCTTGATTAGGTTACGGTACAAAATTATAAGAAAATTATTTGAAAATGATTTTTTGGAATATGAAAAATCACAGGGGAATTTCAAAAAAAATTATTGCGTAAATGAATATTCTGATCTCTTTTTCATGATTCTGAATCACCGTGATCTACGCTCACTCTTACTATAGTTTTTTTTATCGAAAAGAATTGCTTGATCTAACGGAAAAAACAAAGAAGTGGTTCTCTAATTATGAAAAAAACTAGAAAACAGAATAAGAGTTCTCCAGATAAATTAGATTAAGGAGACTAGATTTTCAAATAAATCATGTTACCTGGAACAACATGAAATGTCACGTAATTGAAGGTTAGCAGAACTTATTCTCCAAAGTTCTTGTTTATTTTAATCTGAAATCTCATGTTTTAGACAGGTGAAATCATAAAGACCATTGGGATTTTTCAGCAATTATTTTTATCAATTAAAAAATGAAAAAACCAAATTTCAGAGAAAACATCGATAATTTCTATTAAAATATGGTTCTTGATTAAAATGAAATGTTATTGGAGACATTTGAAGACCAGATCGATAACGAGCATCCGAATGAATACATTGAACTTTGTCTTTTTTTGGTAGATCACATTTGAATAAATTGACACATTCAGAATTTGACAAGGATTTGAGGCATTGTGTTATTATTTGAGAATACTTTGATACTGTTTTCAGGCTGGAAAATGGATAAACTTTTGGAAAAAATCGGAAAATTTTTCGAAAACACACCGTTTCACATTAACACTTTGAATAATTGTTTTTTGTTCATTCCCAATATATTTTGAAATATATCTATTTTCTTGATTCAGCTCACTTTTCGTGATATTAAAATATTCGGGACGAACAAATTGTATATCTGAATTTTGAATTTGCAACCAATTATAACCCATCTCAAATATCTCATAATAATTCAATTTTTCAAAATTGGGGATAATAATGTCTTGTAAATCCATAGTTCCAATAAATTGTGCAGATTCTTTGAATTTAATGAGACAATCAGTTGAAGAAGCTGTTTGTGTTCGAAATTCGAATTGGAGAAATGAATCAGAAGAAGTTGGGTGATATGTTTGTGGAAATTTAATCGAAGGCCAAAGTGATATGGAAATGTGGGAAAACTTCAAGAAAATTCATTTGTTTTTTGACATTTTCCATACAAGAAAAAAAATGATTGCTTACTTTTTCGATGTTCGTTTTCAAAACTTTGTAAAATTCTTCAGACATACTAATAACATAAATATGAAGATGTGCTCCAAATCTACGTAGAAAATATATTCAATTCGTAAAAATTGAAAAAAGAAAACCTTTTTGTAACACTAATTTGTTCCAAAAGTATCCTCCAATCTAATTCAGCAACCAATGGATTTATACAAAATACAACTGGATTTTGAACATATCGAATTGGCTCGATAAATTTGATTTCAGAACTTTGTGGCTCAGAAAATTGATTGATTGATCCTTGTATTTCAAGTCTTGACATATTTCGCATAACATTTGTGTACAAAAGTACTGTAGTATAATCACAAGAACTTTTTGATCTACAAAAAATTTAAAATTTAATTCTGACAAGAAATCACTTTTGTTTTTTTTTCTTTACATCTGAATTTGAAGTGGTCTAATCCATCTTGTCATTGAATAATTTGTAGCAATTATTGAAAAATTCAAATTTTCCAAGTTTTTTGCGGTTTTCTGATCAAATGTTGCTATCATAACAACGGCATCTGATCCAAAGCTTTAACAAAAATGATTTTTTTCGAGGATTTTTTTTTGAAAAATGAAAACAAACGTTTTGGAATTTGCAAAATAATATGTTGAGTGAATAAATGCATTTGATTGTAGAAGAAAATAATTTCTATTATTGGAAGATAAAAAATAATAATCAAAAACTCTATGAAATATTGAAATAAAAATACAAAAACAAATCAATTTGAATATTCTCAATTCTATGAACATATTTTATTGAAGTATTGTTCTTATCTGATTTCAGAAGTTTTTTTTTCAAATCTGATCGAAAAAGGGAACAAAAATATGTTGCGATTAGAATAATTTATTCTTTCCCATTGTCAGGAAAAACAAAAAGTGGATTCTAAATCGATTTTGTTTGAAAAAATAAAAATCCCTATTTCAAAATATTTAGGCAAAACTCGAACACATTTTTCAGTTTGATTTGATTTTTTGAAGTTGTGTAAATTGCCGGATGATTTCATTGATTTTCACTTCTTTTGGACTTTCTGCTGATTGTTCAAAATGACATTGAGAAATATATTCATTGGCAGAATTCCAATCACTTTTTGTGATATTGAAATGATCGGGTCGAGCGAAAAATGCAGCACTATCACTTTTTGTAATTGAAACGTTTTTTGGATTATATAATTTTTGATAGACCAAATAATTGTGAAGCCATTCTCCACCAATTTCAAATGAAAATTCAGAATAATAATTCGAATGTCCAAATGGAATCAAAATATCTTCTAAATCTAAAAAACCAATAAATTGAGCAGATTCTTTGAATCGATAAAGACAATCTGAAGTTGAAGCTGTTTGAGAAAATGGATCAGATTTTGATTGAAGAAAATCTGGAGGGTAAAGCCCAGAATTGATATGATAATAATTTTTTATTGTCAGATTTCAGATTTTTCAGCAAATTGTAAAATGATTCGGTGGAATTTATCAAATAAACATGTAAATTGGCACCGTAGCTGAAAACACGTGTATTTTTCGATGAATATAATCCAAACAAACTTTTTGGCATTTTTGTATTGTTCCAAAAGTGCTTGAGAATTCGCAGTTTCAAAAACCTGAGGATTAATACAAAACATGACAGGATTTTTGATATATTTCACTGATTCTATAAACTTGATTTCCACCGTAGAATTGGAATTCTTTTGTGGAGTTTCAATTTCAAAATAGTTATTTTCAGGAATCGAGAAAAGATTAGTGTGTAAAACAAAAGTTGCAGAATTTGGAGATCTGCAATTTTTTTGTTAATTTTCAAAAGTTATTCCAAGAAATTCTATGGACCTTGTTATTCGCAGTTGATGAATTTTATTCAAAACTATTTCCGGTATCTGCTTTGATGTTGTAGCAATTATAGCAACTGCATTTCGACCCAAGGTTCTAGAAGTTTTGAAATAATAAATTGAATGAATAAATACACTAGAAATATTTGAGAGTTCCACGTTTTCGATAGAGGAAACTTTGAACTTTTCCCCAACCAAAGTAAATAATTGCAAAACTTGCTAATATTATTAGAAATAACACTTTTCTATAAAGTCTTCTTAATCGCATTTAGATAATGAGAGAGAGAAATGAAATATATTCATGAGAGATTTTGATCTCAATACTTTTCGCTAGTTTTTTTCAGAAATATGAGTCTTCCTGTTTTTGAACTATAGAAGATTTTACCTGCACCATTCCGAAATTTTATAATAAGCCATCCAGCAAAAAATAATTTATGACAATATATTTAACAGACAGAAAATAATCATTCTTGTTGTGGTTCTTCTTCAATTTCTTCTTGCTCCCGTGTTTCAACATTATCTTCATCATTATGTCGAGATCTACTACTTTTCTCCGATTTTCTTTCCCGTCTTTCGTCGTCATCATCTCTTCGACTGCTTCGACTGAAATTAAATCTAAATTAAAGAAAAAATCAAAACAAATAAAATAACGAAACCTTTTCTTTGATGATCTTTCATCATCATCTCTCCGATCTCTTTTTCTATCTCGATCATCTCGATGTCTACTACTTGTTTTTCTTTCAGTAGATCTACTTCTACTTCGATGTCTTCTCGATGATTCTCTTTCTCGATCTCTTCTTCTACTACTACTACTACTCTCTTTTTTACTCGGACTTCTCGATCTTTTCCGTCTTCTATCATCATCTTCATTATAACTCGGTCTATTTGTAGCAATTGGACTTGGACCAGGTCCAGGTCCGAAACCAGCTCTTGAAAATGGCGCCATTGCAAATGGTGCACCCATTAAACCCATTGGTGGAGGCATTGCTGGATTGAAACTGCCAACCATTCCAGGTGGCGGCATTCCAAGATTTAAATCGAGTGAAGCAGGAATCGCAGATAGATTAGTTGCTGATGGAGGTGTTAAAACACCTGGTGGTCGATCAGAATCAATTCCAGGTGGAGCATCCATATTTGGAGGTGGCATTGACATTCCTGGAGGTGGACGAGAGAAATCAATTACTGGAGCAGATTGTGTTGGTGGACCACCAATAACAGTTCGCATAACTGGAGGATCATTATTCAACATATTTTGATTTGGTTGAGGGAATGTTGTAGGCTTGAAGCGACCACCATTGTCAGTTAAAACTTTCACAACGCTCGCAGACACTGAAAAAACAAATTATTCTATGTATCTAAATAAATAACACTTACTAGGAGCAATAACAGGATTTGCAAGAGGATTTACTAAATGAATATTATTGAATAAAGCTTGATTGGCTTTTTGTTGATTATTTCCAAACTCGGATCGCAATTTCTTTTGACGCTCACAATAAATATTAAAAGTATCTTCAGTAAACCCATAATTAAAATAATCTGTGATATCAGCTCCAGGTTTTCTCCATGGTTTATCTTCCATTTGAGCCAAATCTATGTCATAAATGGTTTTGTCATTTAGCATCGGAGCTGCATCGATATCCAGTTTTCCTTGTTGTTGTGCAATTCTCTGCAAAATTATTTTTTTCAATCGATGAATGTAAATATAAATAGAAATAATGAAAAACTCACAACAACAGGTTCAACTTTTCTGATTGTTACTTGAACTCCACCACCTTCTTCATCTGAATCATCATCATCGGCAAATGGATTGTCTTCTTCTTCCTCCTCTTCTTGTGTCTCATTATTTTCATTTGTTGCCTCTGTTTCTTCTTCTTCTTTGTCTTCCATTCCTTCAGGAATATCCGCATTCAATGGTTCTAAACCAGGTGGAAAAGATTCTACATCTTCCATTTTACCTATAAAATAATTACGTTGAAAACATCGATTTCTTTTGTGGGAAAAACGAAAAAAGAACGTTTTAATTGGAAAAAAATTAATAAAATGCAACCGCTAAAATGCAGGCAATACGGCGGAGTGTCGTTGTTTTCTCTGCGTCTCTTCGTTTTGTGTGCTCTTCAACGTTTTCTAAAATGCGCCAGGACCAAAAATACTGGCGCGCTATTTTGAATTTCGTGTTTTCAAAATTTTTTGGTTTTGGGATTTTTCATTTTCAACCTTTTTTTGTGTTTCAAGTTTGATGCGTCACGAAAGTTTATTATCTTTTTGGTCTGTTTAAGAGTACTTTAGAATTTTCAATTTCGAATGGAGGTTTTTGAAGATCCGCCACGGAATTTTCCTATTTTCTTCCACAAAATATGTTTAATCTTTTGAACAATGTGTTTTCCCATATTCCAAAGCGTTAATCTGGTTTTCTTCCCATATGAAAGGTCAACTCTATAAATGTCTTTGTCTACTTTTTCCCGCATAATAGCTCTTCTATGGACACGCCCACAAATAATACAGGTGCTGCTCACTGTTCATTTAGTTTCATTTTGTGAGAAAAGAGCCCACCAATCCTTCTATATTTTTTCTGATGTTACATCAAATCAACCTTTGATTTTTGTTGCAAATTCGTATTGTATCTTCTGATAATCTCTATAGATTTTGTTTTTCAGGTAATCATGCCTCGCATCGAAAACGAGCCAAAACTCGATTTCAAAGATGTTCTTCTTCGGCCAAAGCGATCAACTTTGAAAAGTCGAGCAGATGTGGATCTCGACAGAACCTACGAGTTCCGTAACTCGAAAGCAAGTTACACCGGAGTTCCAGTTGTTGCTTCGAACATGGACACTGTGGGAACTTTCGAAATGTCAACTGCTTTGAATTCTCATAAAATGTTCACCACTGTTCACAAACATTATAGTGTTGATGAATGGAAATCATTTGCTGCCAACGCTGATCAATCGATTTTTGAAAACATTGCGATTTCAAGTGGAATATCGGATAATGATTGGAATAAGTTGACTCAAGTTATTTCGGATGTTCCACAACTCAAATATATTTGTTTGGATGTTGCCAATGGATATTCGGAATCTTTTGTTGATTTTATCCGACGTGTTCGTGAAGCTTATCCAACGTAAGTTGAAATTTTCTCACATTTTCGATGCGATTGGTAGTTTTGAAATGAGAAATTGATAATTCCAACAGAAAATGATGAGGCCGATACGCAAGAAATCATTTCTGAAAAGTATTTTTCAGACACACAATCATGGCTGGAAATGTTGTGACCGGAGAAATGGTGGAAGAGCTCATTCTTTCTGGAGCCGATATTGTTAAAGTTGGAATTGGACCGGGATCAGTTTGCACAACAAGAAAGAAGGCTGGTGTTGGTTATCCACAACTTTCAGCTGTTCTCGAATGCGCTGACGCGGCTCACGGTTTGAATGGACATGTGATGAGCGACGGTGGATGCACAAACCCTGGAGATGTCGCCAAAGCTTTCGGTGCTGGCGCTGATTTCGTTATGATTGGTGGATTATTCGCTGGACACGATCAGAGCGGTGGAGATCTTATCGAAAGCAATGGAAAGAAATTCAAATTATTCTATGGAATGAGCTCCGACACTGCAATGAAAAAACATCATGGAAATGTTGCGGAATATCGTGCATCCGAAGGAAAAACCATCACAATTCCATATCGTGGAGATGTCAATGCAACAGTTTTGGATATTTTGGGTGGAATTCGATCGGCTTGCACTTATACCGGATCAAAACATTTGAAGGAACTCGCGAAACGCGCAACTTTCATCCGCGTCACTCAACAAACAAATGACATGTATGTTCCGTACGAAGTTCCAACAATTCCAGCTTCATCATCTAAATAATTTTACAGTTAGCTCATAATACTCGTTGATTCACATTTTGATGATAGTGCCTTAGCTTTATCTAAACATAAATATTGTATGCAAATACGATTTCTAATAAGAGAAATTCGAAAAGTGAAAAAAAAATTTGACACCTTTCCGCAATTTTAACTCGATCCATTGCGTTCCTTTCTTTTTTTTTTTTTTTGACATGTAGTGAATAATCCGTTTTCAAATAGTGAATATAATAGTCACTAATTTTAGCTGTGACATCATCAACAAAATCCGATAATAACAATTTTTTGTCTCTCAGAACATTCTGGATGTATTTTTGAGCCTAAAGTAACGATATGTTAAACGAAACAAAGAGAGAATTACCTCACAAGCATCCACGCGGAAGTAGTCAACACATTGATACGCTTTCAATTTTGTAGAATTACATACGCGCAGTATCGCGTAGTACGTGGAATCGCTCATTATTTTTGTTTCCTGAAACAATTTCTAATATAATATTTCTTTGTTTTTTCGGAACTCACATCTTGGCTAATTGCAGTATGACCAACAATCCAATAGCCCAGACATGGTCCTATGTTTCCTCCGCAAAGCAATGTTCTTTCCCAATGACATCCCTAAATGGCATAATATATTAATTAGTATCTCTAAGTTCTCTGCAGGTTATTTTCTCCACCGAGGAGAAATTGGGGGATTTATAAAATGAACTTACTTTATATTTTGCTGTTGAAACATCAATACACACAATATTCAGGTTCATTTTTGAATATTTTCTGAAAATATTATGATTTTCAAAGCATTCCAACGTGTTTAGGAGCTGATTCAAGTCGAAAAAATTATCAAAAACATTTTTTCGCGAAAATGTTATGAATTGTTGTGATGACGATCCAATTTGTCATCATTTCTGAAAAATGTTTTTGAACTGTACAAATCGTATATTTTTAGACACACAATCATGGCTGGAAATGTTGTGACCGGAGAAATGGATTCACATTTTGATGATAGTGCCTTAGCTTTATCTAAACATAAATATTGTACATGCAAATACGATTTCTAAGAATAGAAATTCGAAAGAAGTTATTTTGTCTAGAAAGAATAGAATAGGGAATTCCGCCTCCAAAATATAATGACGCGGGTCATTTGATTTATTCGCAAAAAAAACTAGTAGTTTCTCTGAACTTTGGCTAATTTATTTTAGTACAATCATCAAAATATATCTGACTAATATAATCATCAATTCTTGTCAGAAAAGTTCATTTGGTATAACTTCATTTGGTAACCCGACAATTATATTAATCAGTTATGTTTTCAACTTTTTTGTTGATTTTCGAATTGATTTTTTGTCTACTTTCATGTCCAGCAAATATTGTATTTTTGATAATTATTAAAGAATCAAAGGAAATACAATTCAAATGGAGGCAAGTATTTTTTCCAGAATTCCACGTGAATTTTTATTTTAGAATCGCATTGTTCTTATTGTTTTGCTCTTCTTCGATAATGTCATTGACACATTTATTCAAAATTTATTTGTATTTCAAATATTCTGATTATACTGTAGCTGAAATGTATGCAAAATTAGATGGTAAAAAATCCAAAATTTTTTAAAATTTTGAAAAATCAATAATTTTTTGTAGTTTTGAATAATACAGTATACTTGCATCAAGTTGGTTTATTTCTTCAATCTCTTTCATTGTTTTTATTCACAATGAATCAATTTTTGGTAACTTATATCTTGGAAAACACATTTGGATCGATTTTTACAAATTTTATCTTCACAATTACTGTAATTGCAATCGTTATTTTCTCATTTTTTCTATCATATTTGACTCATTTCTCGGAAAATGTTGAGTTTTATGACATTGCAAGTATGGAACTTATGATAATTATTGATCTGATAAGTCTTATTCTTCTCATTTACACTTCTCGACTATCAAAAATCAAATATAATCTAAAAATTGGCCTAGTTTCTCTCGAAAAGAAGTTTCAATTATCACAAGTTTATACATGGTCGAGAAGTGTTCTTCCAAGTTTTGTTTTTGCAAAAATATTCCGATTTGTTTCGTTGTTCAATGTGATTGTAATCAAATATTTATTCAAATTGGTTTCCGCGCAAACTATTTCGATTGCTTATTCAATTTTCAACGTTGGACTTGACATTTTCATAATTTCGCTGACAATAAGTGCAATTTATCGACAGAAAAAACTTCGAAAGGGATTATTTTTTTGGAGTCACAACTCGAAAACCACAAACTATTGATGGAAAACAAATTGAGATGAATCCAACACATAATGATTATATTAATTATCTACATAATCAATGGAAATAATTGAAAATGTTTTATAAAGAAAAAAGTTTTTTTTCAAAAAACCAAATAAATTTTAATGATTATTGAAAGTTCTTTGAGCCGGAAGTTGGCTGAATGCATCCAACTGTCAACAATTTCAACATTATAAGAAGTTACGAATTTCACTCTTCGATGATCGCTTTCTTCTTTTTCTTGATTTTTCCATAATTGTTCCAGCCAATCAACAACAACTTGTCCTCTGAAAAAAGGCTAAGGCTTAGTTAAGGTTAGGCTTGAACTTTTGTGTGCCATTAGTTATAAGTCAAACATTCCACGAGGTCCCATTTCTTTCAGAGGTCCCATTTGGACAAGACTTTCATTTGGTCATTTGTGGTCCCATTATCCAGATGCTTACCTTGTCTTACTTCCAGTTAACTCAACATCAACATATAATTCTTTGCTCTCTTTTGCAATTCGATTTTCATCAATCGCAGTTGCGATCGCAATTTCATCACAATACGAATATTGTCTCCCATTTTGCTCACATTTTGCTCGCCCAATACTTGTAACTCTTCCCAAATATCCAGCCAATTCGGTTTCATATTTCAAATGAGCTGAGAAATCGACAGATTTGTCATGAAGTTCCGATTCGAAATGAAAAGCTTCCCAGGGAACAATTGTGATTGGACACCTCATTCTTCGCAGAACAATACTTGCTGCTTCTGGATCACCATGGAAATTATATTCAGCCGAAGAACCTCCGTCAACATTTCCAACCGCATAATAGTTTCCTCCCATAATAATTAGACGAGATGGTAGTTTCGCAAAAGATTCGTCTAATTGTAGAGCGATCGCAATATTTGTAAGAGGTCCAATTGTTACAAGAGTTGTATTTGGATTCTGTTGAAATGTTTCGATCAAAGCCAATGCTGCATGTTTGCCAGAATATTTAAAATCATCTTCAAGAACTTCAGGAAACTCTTTTGGTTGATCTCCAATGCCATCAACTCCGAAAAAATCCGAAACAGTTTCATCTTTCGGCAAACTCAGAATACTTTTATGTGCTCCTTTATAAACTGGAATGTTTTCATTTTCTTTTCCATTTGCTCGAATTGTTCTTTTTATATTTGCATATGCTTGATCTACCGTGACACATCCATGAACTGATGTTATTGCAATTACTTCTGCATTTGGATGTTGAAGAGCAAGAGATATCGCGCGAATATCATCGCTTACTCCGTCAGAATCTGAAAATCTTCGAGTTCAAAAAATTCTATTAATGTTGATCAAAAACATACCAATAACTAGTTTCACAGTCATTTCAAATAAAATAACTTTTAGAATAGAATAGAAAAAGAAAGGAATAGTTAATAGTGATTAGGTAATCTTATCAGTTGGTTTTATCAATGCACAATGTGTTAATCGGACACTTAAGTATTTATAAGTATATACAAAAATGGAAAGTATTCGGTTTCTGTTGTGAGAAATTGAGAGATTTCTCACCCAAATACAACGTTTTTAACATGAAAACCAATGCTAAAAACCTCAACCCAATTCGTTTGTCTCGAATAATTCGAGCTCAATTCAATCGGCAACCAAAAGCCGAAACAACCAGCGAAAACGCGCTGAAAATCGAGGAAAAAGAAGAGAAAACCCGTTGACGAGAAAATAGTGTGTATTTGCGAGAGCGCGCAGACGACGAGAGCGCAAAACCAATTCAAGGCACACATATTTATTCGCTCGGGTCTCGTTGGGTTGAGGCGGCAAGGCCGCCATTCAAATATTCGAATTTCTCCGGAAAAACTTTCGCCGTTGAAGTTTTTCGGATCGTTTTGGGACTTCGCAGTTTTCGTGCTTTCGGGTTGCGCGTTATACGTTTTGGGCGATGGGTTTTCATGTATATTTGGGTTTTCTCACACCCCCCTAGGAATTCAATCACATTTAGAGCCAACCATTTGGCCTAAATCGCGCTAAATTAACATCAAAAGCATTCTACCACAACAACCACAAAATTTTAATCCTAATTTGTTTTCTTTCTTTTATATTTCTCTAATAAATTAGTAGTTTTTTGTTCTTGTGTTCTCTCATTTTTATTCTCTTTAAGAGATTAAGGGATCTCAGTCCCTTTTCTCTATCATATCTAAATGGGAGTCAATGCTCGAACCCAACTAAATCCACGCGATTTAACATGGTGCATTACGACCTAAACCAAGAGAACATCGGCACAACTGAACCAGAGGTCACAAGAAGACCAGGTGTTCAAACTGAACCAGAGGTCACAAGAAGACCAGGCGTTCAAACTGAACCAGAGGTCACAAGAAGACCAGGTGTTCAAACTGAACCAGAGGTCACAAGAAGACCAGGAGTTCAAAAAACAACCAGAGGTCTAAAAGACCAAGTGTTGACAAAACTAGAGGCACAAGAGGCCAATAAAGTTTTGAAGAAAGCCAAAGGCTCTGGAAGCCAACGGCAAATAGATCTCGGAGTTGTGCCGACGAAAAAAGACCCGTTTGAGAGTCAGAAGCCGTGAATAGAAGGAACAGAATCCCAGATTCTGAAGGGGCAAGAAGCCTCCAAACCTTAAAAATCCCCGCGCAAGACACAAACCAAAGTTTTTAGTCAAGGTCTTGCATGGGGAATGGTATGGAGGATTCAAACCTCTGAATCCCAAAGAAAAACGGCAGACGACTCAAATCGCGGGCAGAAGTTCGCCACACTACTAAAAGACTAACAAAAGTCTCAAAAAATGGCCTCAACATCAGCGCCAAGTCATCAAATTGAGCCAGAACGACAATATCATCGAATTGAGACAAAATGTCGCAGTTCTTCGGAAAACATCTGCAAAAAGCCAAGGAGTGAGAAAGAGACACACTAAGAGAAAGGATCTCACAACGCCTACATCGACAGTGTTCTCAAACAAGTTCACCCAAATACTGGAGCTTCATCAAGGTTCTGTCAATCATGAACTCATTCGTCAATAATGTTTTCGAAAGATTCGCCGTCAAAGCTTCCAAATTGGCTCGCTACAACAAGTGCTGAACCATCTCATCCAGCGAAGTTCAAACTGCTGTTCGTTTGACTCTTCCAGGAAAATCGGCCAAGCACGCAATTTCCGAAGAAACCAAAGACCGATTTTGCAAATTCACATTCAAAGAAAACCAATGTTTTCTCCCTTCAAGGATTTGGAAATCTCAAATTTCAAAAACTTCTGGCAGTTCGCAAATATTTCCAAAATCTTGAGAAATTCGAGAAATTGGCGACCCTTGGAGGACAGGAAGTTTGGAAATTGTCAAACATTTCGAATACAAGCTTCGTTCTTTGAAACGAACTGGCGAATTTCAAATAGTCTCAAAAGACTTTCAAACCTTCGAGAGATTTATAAGAATTCTCCCAAAAATCAAAAGAATTTCCAACATCTCTTTTCTCATTCATGAATTGATGTCTGGATCACAGAAGAAAAAGGTCAAGAGGACCTACAAGCTTAAAACTTCGCACCAAAGGCACAAAGAGTTCCCAGAACTCCACAGCCAAGAAGCATCAAAAGTTCTTTAAACTTTCTGCCAATGTCATCGAAAGATCAACGCGTTGTCAACTGTCTCAAGTTTGCAGACTGTCTACCAAAGCTACCAAAAGTCCTTCAGACTTTTTGTAAGCTGGATCGAGAGTTTTTGCAAATCTTCTGTCAAAGTTGTCAAAAGTTCTCCAAACTTGCTGCCAAAGGTGTCGAAAATGCTTCAAGCCTTTCAACCAAGAAGCGCTGAAAGGTCTTCTAACTTTTCAGCCAGGAGGCGAAAAAGTTCATCACACTTTTCAGCCAAAAAGCATCGAAAGCTCTTTAAACTTTCTGCCGAGATTCATAAAAAGTTCTTCGAACTTCCTTTAAAGGTATCGAAAGTGCTTTAAACTTTCTACCGAAATTTTCAAAAGTCTTGAACTTTTATGTCAAGAATCATCCAAATTCTGCGAAATCATGAAGCAAAGCTTCAATTAACCTGTCGTAAAAAGTATTCATGTACTAACTCGCAGCACAGCTGCATCATCAAGCTTTTTCCTCGCTCGCCTTTCCCTACTTCCGAAATCAACATGATTTCGGAGCGTAAGACTATTGGACGATAGAGCGTCGGTCTCATCGATCTACTGAGTTCGGTCTGATCAACTGGGCCAGCCCCGATTCGCCAGAATTTGCCGGGATAGCGGTGAGATAGGGAAGCAGCAGGAAATTAGCGCATGAACTCAGAGGGAGTCAACCCGAAAAAATTTACAGGCTTCCAAATTCGCTGAAAACCAATTGGACCACGGAAGAGAACCGCTCAAGAAATCAAGGAGACGTCTGCGATTATTGAGAGAGGGTGATTGGTGGCCGAACAGTTCGAATCGATTTGGATTTTGCGCAAGTTAAGGTAAATTTTTTTAGGGAGGGTTCCAGTGGAATTCCAGTCATCAAAAATCTGAAACCCACTATAAAAACGTCAATAACTGAAAATCGGCAAAACCGAAAATCAGGTCATTGATAGAAACAAAAAAAAGAAGTTCGCAAAAATGAACAAGAGAAGAATCACCGGAGAAATGCTGTGGAAGATGTGAAGTTGTGGCAGAGCCAATCACCTTTCATTGCTGCTCGGATGAAACATAATTTCGTTCACATTGATGAACGATTGATGAAGAAATCTGAAACTCCGCAACCTTGTGAGCATCTACTTTATCCCCTAAATCAACCCCATCAAAATTCCCACAATTCATGTAATTAGCACTTACTGCACCTACTAACCATGAATCAAAATCGCTCAACACTTTTCCAACTTATGTAGGGGGGGAAGGGTTCTATCGAACCTCAAATTTTGATTTACCCACGGATACCCCCACACATTTCCAATTCAACCAGGGGATACCCCACAAATTTCGATAAAACCATCGAAAACAAAAAAAATTCGAATTTTTTCAACAAATTTCAAGAAAATTCTCATCTACGCTGGCGATAATACTGCCACGAGAAAAACAATTCATTTGGATAAACTTGACAACCCAAGTCGATTGCAAAAAATCGAACAATTATCAATTCTTTGTTAGTCAAAAATTCATTCACCATCACTACTTAAAATTTGAGCCATCAGGGCATAACAACTTAAAATTCGTGATCGGTTACCAGAAGAGATCATCTCAATTGCTACAGTATCCTGAACATACCCCCACACAAAAGAAGGGGTAGCAAAAAATTTTGTGCATCTTTGGATCGACTTCAACGATTGGAACAACAATATTGGAACATTGAATCGAAGGACTGCTGTTCACACACGGTATGGTCAAGTGATTGTATGAAATGTGATACTACTCAATCTGGAACTCAAATTCAACAAGGCCCCCCTACTCTCCGCCGCGATTGCACTGATGTCGTCTTCGAAATCGCCGAAACACTGCACAAGAAATTCAACACTAACTTCATCTTCAACAAGGAAAACTACAGTAACCTTCGCAATCTTATGTAGAGGGGGAATGTGAGAAATTGAGAGATTTCTCACCCAAATACAACGTTTTTAACATGAAAACCAATGCTAAAAACCTCAACCCAATTCGTTTGTCTCGAATAATTCGAGCTCAATTCAATCGGCAACCAAAAGCCGAAACAACCAGCGAAAACGCGCTGAAAATCGAGGAAAAAGAAGAGAAAAACCCGTTGACGAGAAAATAGTGTGTATTTGCGAGAGCGCGCAGACGACGAGAGCGCAAAACCAATTCAAGGCACACATATTTATTCGCTCGGGTCTCGTTGGGTTGAGGCGGCAAGGCCGCCATTCAAATATTCGAATTTCTCCGGAAAAACTTTCGCCGTTGAAGTTTTTCGGATCGTTTTTGGGACTTCGCAGTTTTCGTGCTTTCGGGTTGCGCGTTATACGTTTTGGGCGATGGGTTTTCATGTATATTTGGGTTTTCTCACACCCCTAGAATTCAATCACATTTAGAGCCAACCATTTGGCCTAAATCGCGCTAAATTAACATCAAAAGCATTCTACCACAACAACCACAAAATTTTAATCCTAATTTGTTTTCTTTCTTTTATATTTCTCTAATAAATTAGTAGTTTTTTGTTCTTGTGTTCTCTCATTTTTATTCTCTTTAAGAGATTAAGGGATCTCAGTCCCTTTTCTCTATCATATCTAAATGAGGAGTCAATGCTCGAACCCAACTAAATCCACGCGATTTAACATCTGTGGAGAAATATTTTTGTGGATCACATGAATTCAAAGATTACTGTATTTAGAAAAGGGCCAGGTATAACTTTTTGGCCCAGCTCCACGAAATTTAATTTTTAGAGATTACAGTCGTTATATGTCTGAAAATTCCGGTTATCTCATTCAAAACTTTTACAGAAACCTGGAAATTTTTGAGAAAAAAATTTAACTGAAAAATCCCATCTCGTATCAAATTTTCTTCGAAGTTCACGTTTTCAAGACTCGATTTTGATTGGTGCAAAAAAGTTTATTCAAGAAAAAAGGAAAAAAAATGTGTGTCAAAATAAAATATAGGCAATTTGGTCAGTAAAAAGATATGTTCAAGAACAATTAAAAAGTTTTGTTAAAATATCATTTGCATATTTAGTCGATCACAATTATTGATTATCTTGTTGTTTGTTTTATTTTATAGATTATTATTATTATTGCTAAACACCGGTTTTTAGACTTATTATAGAAGAGATCGAAAATCAGAAGAAAAAGAAGGGAAATAATCACAAATGACCCGGTGATGGATGATAAAATGTGAAAAGAATACAGTATTGCTCATGTTAGACTTCTTCATAATTTGTGATAAGTGGTGTTGTAACTGTTGCATAAATTCCACCAGTTGGACAATTTGATATTTGATCTACAGTACATTGTGGAAGAATTCCATTTGCTGAAGATGCTCCTGAAGATGTTCCACTATGTGTGGTTGCAACAGAAATTCGAGGAATCGATTCGTTTTGAGATGTTACTTGGAGTGGTTCACGATGTGACTGGGAACAATGCAACATCGGACTTTGAAGACTTTGAAGAGCTCCAGCTGTTGAAGTTGTTGAATAATATGCATCTGATGAATTTGTTGGTGGACAACATGGTGGGCGAGAATTCAAAGTTGTTTGGAGCTCGATGATTTTTTGAGTCAAAATATCGATTTGTGAGATGAAATGATCTTGTGTTCGATGCATTTCCCAAAGTGTTTCATGCATATCCGAATGAAGTTTGCCAACATCGAGTAATGAATTTCCCTTTTCTTGAAGTTTACGTTGATCCCACTTGATTCTTCTGAATTCATTAATTGAGTTGAGAAATCTTCTTTGATGATGACGCAAACGCAAATCATCTCCTTTATGAAGCGCCTTTTTATATTTATGAATAAACCTGAAAAAAATAAGGAAATGAATTGAATAGAAAGTAAATAATTCAACTACCATGTTTCTTGAAGAACACTCGCAGCTGCATTTTTCCGTTGATTAGTCAATTTTGAATCAGCCATAAAATTGTTCACATGTTTTTCCGCTCTTGACAATTCCAATTTTCTTGAGATAATCGCAATTAATGCCGAAGAAACACCAGCTCCAACAATTCCAGTTGTAATCGACAAACATCTTCCACAATAGGTATTCGGAACAATATCACCATATCCGATTGACATAAAAGTAACCATAATAAACCACATTGAATTGAGATAATAATGTTCAACAGTCAATCCACCATCATATCTTTCGCATTGTGTAAACATCCAAGACATACAGATCCAATAAGAAAGTGTGAAAACAATCAAAACTCGAAGTGGATGATCAGCCATCATTGTTTTGATGACAAAACGGAAATCCATTGAAATTCGGTTGAGAGCAGCGATTGATCGAGTTGCTGCATCTTGGAATTGTTTGCTGTGAAGAACCATGAAACGACAGACAAGATATGATCGCAAAAACATTGGAACCGATAAAATAACATCGACTGGGATTTTTCTGATTGAAATTTTTCTCGAATCTGAATCAATGTATGGCATTTGCATCACACCGGAACCTGAGAAATTTTGAAATTAGATTTTTTTTCAAATAAAACAGTTGGGAGGGATACCTGGGAAAGGGCAAATCATACAAATAAATATTTCAATAAGTAATTTGATCATTCGATCCGTTGATAATGCAACTCTCCAATCATCCGCTCCACTATCTATTAGTGCTATTTTCACTTCGATTGCATGATAATTAATAAGGCAAATTATGAGAAGAATTGTTGAAAAAACACAAATAGAACGAAGAACAATTGATATCAATTCACCCTGAAACTTTTCAAAATCAGTGAATAATTCAAATTTGCTAATGTTATACCTTTGCTGCAATAATATCCTCTGTACCTTCACTTTTTGCAGCCAATGCAGTGAATTCCGAATCAATGATGATTAAGAATAATCCAACCAAAGCGAGAATCAGTGAAACATCGCAAACCTGAAACAATCGATTTTGTCTTCAAAAGTTGATTGAATTTACTGACGCAAACAAATCAAATCGGTTTGCAGGTGAAAAAGTACTTTTTTTGAACTTGTGTTGCCAGGATACCAATAAACAACTCTTATAAGATTCCCGAAAATATCATCCCCCAAAACTCACTTTATTTCTACGGATGAACAATTGTTTTCTGAGTCGACATCGCATTTTTGCCGTGCTGTCGCTGAAAACCCATATTTGTTAGATCAATTTCAGTTTAAAAAATGTCTTATTTTTTATTACTGGGGAAAAAACTCACTCAAAAAAGAAGAAAATCGTATCAACTATGGTTTTTCGTGTCAAGATTTTCATGTTTTCAAAAATGCGCGATAGAAATATTTATAATAATAGTAAAAAACTGGCGCGCTCAAATATCTAATTATTTAGTTTTCTCAATTCTCACAAGGCAAAGTCAGTCAGTCAGTAAAAATAAATAGGCTCCGCCCTCATTTCTCATTTTTTTTCTTTTTGATTCTGTTTTTTTTTTATATCTTGGTTTTCATCAAATACAAATCTGATGATTCATTTTCATAGTATCTTACCACCATTTTGAATCAACATAATCGTCGTAGATCATAAACTACTGTAAAAATGAGACTGAAAGGTATCAAAAAAAAAGAAAAAAGAAGAAGGTACAAAATATCGGACTACTGTAGGTTGTTTTTTCCATTTTATTATTGTCAATCCTGACGCCCACGTACAGTAGACTAAAAATGACGTGGTAAACAGCCCAAAATTTTGCAAAGTCTACTGTAGTCTTGGTTTTCTCGGCCATCTCGGTTTTCTTTCCAAGATCTTATTTTTTCAGATTGACAACATGATAATCTGCAGTTCATTTTAATCTGCTCTTTGTTTTTTTATTTTCAAAAAAAAGCAAATCTTTTTGTTCAAATTCAAGAAAGGCGAGAAAAATAAAATAATGTGTGAAGTTGAATTTGTGAGAAGCAGAAAAAAATGAAGTCTTGTTTCGTGAAAAAGGATAAAGTGTTCGGGAAAACGAGCGAAATTGAATTACTTTGGGAAAAACGAACATTTTTGATGGATTTCAATGTTTTCCGCAACTCTCCGCCCCCATTTCGAATCGACCCGATTTTTTTTTGCTCTTGATAATTAATTCCATTTTCTATTTATTCTATATGTAGTTTGTTAGTTATCAAATCACATTATTACTACTCTACTATCTCATAACTTCTCCGCGGATAACCCATTAAACACCTGCTTGAACTTTACTGAAAAAAACTAATCTTGGTTGCCAGGTTACCTACTTTTTCTAGGTTTTCATTACGATTGATTTTTTTATAGTTTTAAAAAATCTCAAGATTTCACAGACTTCAAACATCTCAAAATTATATAACTAGTTTTCCAACAGCAAAAATTTACACATTTCTGTGACGAAAATCAAGAATCAAAAATAACTTTTTCAGGGGATTAAACCTACAGTATATTTTGCAGTTCTTGTCTTAAAAACCACAAAGGCATGACAATTGTCGGAATACGGTAGATCAACGTTCGAAATACTACGGTAGTCGCCATCTTGATCAGTTAGATATTTTAATAAAAGACAGGTTGTTTAGGCGCGTTGCTGAGCCCAGAATGTGAGCGAAAAATAGGGGCGGAGTTTGAGAAATTATTATTTTTTCTTATTTTTTTTTGTATTCTTAAGGAAGGTAAAATGTAGTTGTATAGAAGAGAAAATAACAAAAAAAAACTATATGCTTTTTTTTCGTCGAAGCTGGGAAAAAAGAAAGAGAATTGATTTTTTGGATATACTTCAGATTTAACTGATTTCATAAGGAAACTGGGCCACAAAAAAGGCCAATCGGGGCCTAAAAGTTCGTGAACAGAGCCCACAATGTGTAATTTATTTCTCCAAAATCCCTAGACCTCAAATTCAAAACTTTTCAGGGGAAGATCAAAAATATTTTTCTCTAAATCTCTTACTTTTGCGTTGACTTTCAGGAAAATTCGGGGAAAACTTTGAGTAGTAAATCAAACTAATTTTTTGATAAATTCTGAAACTTTAGAAAATTGGTTCAAATAAATTTTTAATTTTTCAATAACTAAAAACTTATTTTTCAAATCTCCCAAATCAAAAAGCAATTTTTTCAAAAATAAAACTTCAATCAAAAAAATTTCCTCTCACAATTAATTTCCTCATTTCATCTAAATGTTCGAACAATAAGAATCACCAACAAAATAATCAAACATCACCCGACAGAAAATTCCAGTATTGTCATATTTCTTTTTTGGCGAATTGAAAAATGTCAGAAAAATTTGGAATTCATGGAGCCTTTTTTCAACGGATAATTGCAGATTTAAAATTTACAGCTCATTGAATTTTTCTAGAAAAGAACAGAACACGAAAAAAGGGAAAAAGAAAGAGTTTCAGAAAAAATAGGGGGAAAATAAAACTATTACTTTTCTAATGATTGAAGTTTGTCACGAAATCTTGAGTTGAAAAAAAATAAATCATGGGAACTTTCCACATTTTTTTGTTCACTTGGAAATTCTTAATTGTCAAAAACAACATAAAAAATCAAAAAAATTCAACTCAATGATCAAAATGTGTGTGTGTGTAAGAAGCCGAAAATAAATAAAAAACGAAAAGGGCATTATACGAAAAAGCAGCATGTCTTGGCTCTTTTAATTTAATTTAATTGCAAAATCTTTTATTTCAGTTTTTTCTATCTTGTTTTTTTTTCTAACATGGAGAAAAAATGCAGGTTTCTAAAGTTTGAGAAGAACTTTTGCAGTGAAAAATCCAAGTTAGCGAAAAACCTGATATTGGAAAATGATGAAGCTTATTTTTAATTGAAAGGTACCTAAAAAAAGTGATTGAAGCGTCTATTTTTCTTGAAATTATGAAACTCGTCGAGAGTTGAAACATGAAATTATAGTTAAATTTTCTGAAATTATTTATGACGTGGCAAAGTTGAATCAAATTTGGTTCCAACATAATTTCAAAACAATTTTCTCTGTGTTTTTCACAGGAACCCACACGTTTGCCACGTCATAGCACATTCTCAGATAAGTTTTCAGTATCTCTTTTACGAAAAATTTTTAAACCTAGAAAAATGGTTCTAACAATATTTCAATTTTTGGTATAAGTTACTCTAACTTATAAGTTTTGTGTCTAATTACCCTACCTTATCAATCTCAAGACCTCCCACGATTAAACTAACCTAGAAATAGCAATTCCATATCCACTTTGCCTTCTTCTGATTCCAGGTTTTCCTGGTATTTGTCCTCCTCCTCCTCCTCCATTTCCAGTCATTAATTGCCCACCCGAACCTGATTCTTCAATTATTTCATTATCAAATCGAACACTTCCATTTGCAAATCGATCATCTAAAAAACACATATTTTAAGCCAGTTACTGTAGATCCTCCAGTCTTTTTATCCCATTTAGAATCAGGATAAAAGAATTGAATCGTCATATTAATCCGCTCTCAAATCCTCACATGATTTATTGTAAACAGATCAATTTTGACTTGATTCATAGCTCAAATGATATCATCATTTTATAGTTTTTTTCGCATTGTGAAATCAAAAAAGCAAATTATTTAGATCATCTCTCCCCGTTTTCCGGTTCAGCTCAAAATAAATTATTTTTTTTCTTTCTTGAAAAAAATAATAATTTTTCTCATGAAATAATTTTTGAGAGTGTATCATATTTCACCATCTCCTCCTTCCTAATTCCAAATCTTTGATCTCCTCCCAAACTTTTTTTTTGTTGAAATAACTATAAAACTGAAAATGTTCCCTTGGGAATATTGCGAATCGCGGCAGTTTGTCACTTTTTCAAACAACTTCCCGACGATTCGAACATCACTACACAACACAAAGAAAAAAAAAGAGACAAGACAAGAAAATATCAACCCATTTTCCCATAAATCTAGAATTTCTCCTTGTTTTCTTTTGTGATCCGCGAACGAGAGAAGGGTCATAACAAATAGTGGGAAAATATCAATGTTTTTTTTTCAGTGCGCAAAATGAGAGAGAGAGAAAATATTATTACTAATCAACCTAATTTTCGGCCAACAGAAAGAATAACATTTTTTTCTGAAAATAATAAACTCACCCAAAATTTTTGCTTCTCTACATATTCCCGAAATTATTCGATACAACTTCTGCATTTCCTTCTACAATTTTGAAAATTTAATTTTTAAAAAACGAATTGTTAAAAAATATTGTCATAAGAATCCTAATCATAATTTAAGTCTGATTAAAAATGTGACCCGAAATTATTTTTTTCCAAGTTCTCAAAATATAGTCTAGTTTATTTTCAGCAAAAATTAAATCAAAATTCACGCCTCATTCTCAAATCTAAATTTCATTTTTCACATTAAAATCAATCAAAAAAACATAAGTGGCGCTATGTAAAATTGTTGTCATGACAAAACGCGCGGAAAATAGAGTTTCATTAATAACAAAAATAAAGCTCAGGCGACTGGCTCTTTTTTGGCGCCCGACAGAAAAAAAACTAAGAGGAAAACTAAAGAAATAGAGAATGGGCTGAGCTGAGCTGAAAAGTAGGCGGAGCCTGATTCAGAGTTGATCTGGTATTTATTTTTGAATGACTATGACTCTTGATGAAAATGAAAAAAAGGGAGAGAAGAAGAAAATGAAGAAGGGCAGCAGTTTTTAATTATTCGAACCAAGAAAAATTGTGTTCAATGGAGATAAAAAAGACATTTGAAATGCATTGAAACTGTCACACTTTTTTTGCACGAATTTGCATTTTGAGTAAATTTAATTGAGTCATAAGTCTTGAAATTTTGCATAAATTTATTTGGAAGATCTCTAATTTTGAAATCACTAAAGATTAAGTTTTGTAGATTTTACATTAGGGAAAAATTCAGAATTTGTTTAATCCTCAAACAAAACACATTCTCAATAAAAACGTGAAAAGATCTAGATTATTTTCAACCTACGATATAAAAACAAATAATATATTTCTGAATCAAAGGAAATTGGAAAAAGCTCGGAAATTGAAAATTGTTTCAATTCAATTCACCTCCATTCTATTCTATTATTCATAAAATGTCACGTCACACATTTTTCTGTTCGCGTCACAATATTTTGCACAAAGCAAGAAGGGATTATTTTTCAAATTTTGCACTTACCTACCAACAAGACAATCGGCATTCATCAAAATATCAACAAAGTATTAGATTTCCTACAAATTGAGGTTTACTTTTTGCAATCATAAATCACAACAATTTGATTTCGAAACATCTGTTTCAGATCAAAACATTTTATTCGAGTTTGGACGAATAAAAAAAAGAAGATCAGACCGGAAGATAAAACCAAAGACGCAATTTATGTCTTTAAAAAGACCAAATTTTTGGAAAACAAAATCTGAACTTCAACCTTTTTTACTTTTGCAAGAAGTCTTCTTTTTGTTTCCTAGTTTTTTCAAGTTTTTCACACGAACACACAGATTAAAAAAACCGACAAAAACTATGAATAATTTACTTCCAAAAAAACTCGAAAGCACTTCCCTAACAGTTCTTCGACCCTTTTTATTCTATTTTTCTATTACCAAAAAACTTCCCTTTTTCAGTTCTTTTTTTTTGTTATTTTTTCGTCGTAAACCCGCTCATATTTCACCCCTTCGACCCATCACATCATACAAAGCTTCTTCCAAAAAAAAAAACAACAAAAATATTCTTTGGTAAGAAATTTTTAATAAAAACAGGAGAAGATGAAGAAAAAGAAATCTTAGATGAAATTAGCAAAATTAATGGTTTGTTATGAGTTTTTTCCTATTCGAAGAAAAATATTTAATTGTCCTTTGTGGTTAAAAATCAGAAACATTTGGAATGATTGTTTCAATCATTCTCAAGAAGAAAAAGGGCCGACAGGTGCAGTATCAACTCAACTTCAAAAACAAAACAAGAAAGTGCGCTCTAATGCACATTATTTGTGTGAGCGTGTTTTCAGACACACAACCCTTTAACATTTGATCACCCTAATCTAATTCTGAAAATCAGATTTTTCAGACTGGATAACCTCCAAACTCACAAGGATTCGTAAAAATATGAACAAGTTGTTTTGGATCAGCCAACATCTTCGAACTTCTCCTTCTACCCTTAAACAAATTATTATCCATCGCACTGAATCGCCTCGAATCAAAATGTTGAACAGCCATAATTGCAGCCGAATTCGACGCAGATCCTCCATTCATTGTTATAGTTGATCTACGAATTGTTGGCGGGCATCCAATTGGCGGTAGACCTTCGGATATTTTCCGACGAATTGCAGAAGAAGACATCGGAACTGACGATGATATCTCATTACGATATCGTTTACGCTTCTCACTCATCGTTTTTGTGATGATGACTTCATTTTTTAGATCATCGCATTTTTCTGGAGAAGAATTGAATTGAAATCGGATCAATGAGAGAAGGAAAAAGAAAGAAAAAGAAATGAGCAACCAACCTGAAACCCGGAAAAATAATATATTTCAATTGCACTTTTTCATAACATGCAAGATTAATTTTTCCGGGTTACTGTGGTTGCTTTTTCTTTTTTTTTTATAGAGAAAAAATCGAAAAAAGAATTGTGTTGCTCTAATTCGTTTAGAGTCTGACTTTGGAAAAAATGGAAAACTTTTCGGAAAAAAAACACAAGATGACATACATACCTTGACAAAAAATATCAGGCGGCAGTGTTTTTCAAAAAAGGTAAGAGGTGAGAATAAAACACTTTGAAGTAGTCACGGAAATATTATGTCGATCTGCCGCCGGGGTGTTCTTCTTCTTCTTCTTTTTCTTCTCAAATATCAGCAGTAGAAGCGAGAGAGGATCCTGACGAGACTCCGCCCACTTTTCTCGCGCACCAAAACCTCTGCTGCTGCCTAATCTTATGAGTGAGAAGACATGGAAAAAAAAACTTATATCAGCAATGAGAAAAAGAGCAGAATATTATTATTGATATTTCATTATGAATGATGATGAGAAAAAAGTTTCAAAAAAAAAAATGTTGTGTAATTTTTTTCGAAAAAAAACGACGAAAATATGTATTTTTGGGTGAACCGAACATTGATAGGCCATTTTGAGAACAGCAAAAAAAATATTGTTTTTCTCAATTTTTCTTATTTGATTTGTTGTGTCTACCCGAATACAATTCCCTAGTCAAATTCCCAAATTCCACGTCAAAAAGTGTCACATTTTTCGAAATGAAAAAACTGTGATTCATTTTTTGATCCTATTTTTTATGGATGAACAAAAAAAACGCGATAAAAAAGATAGAACGAGAAAAATATGTGGATTATCCAGAGGATTTCAGATTTTTTTGGGGATTCCTGGCAAATAGGATCAATATAAAAACACTGGAAATATTAATTCGAGAACATACTGTACATGTATATTTTCACAAAAATGCGATTTTACAAAAATTTATTAACCGGTTTTTTACTAACCGAAAAATTTCCCGAATTTTTTGAGACCTAACACGATTTTAGGGTGAGGCTAAAGTCAACACGAAAATAAGAGATTTAGAAAAAAATATTTTTGATCTACCCCAAAAGTTTTGAGGTCTAGCAATTTGGGGTAGTAACCCTAGTGTTTCCTCAAAAACACACACGACTTAAAAAAACACCAGACAAAACAAGAAAATGCGCTCTACTGCACAACCATATTTCCCTCTCAGCAGTTGCAGATGTAGCTAATTCATAGCTCAACCGATCGCAGCCCTTGACACTTGCGTTTTATTTACGAACAGTGTGCGGTTTAGCTACAAACACACACCGAAGTCTGTTTTAGCTACGAAACACACACGCATGTTTTAGCTACGAAAACTGTTTTCCTGTTTATTGCGAAATACTGCTTATGTGGGTTTCTTTCTGTATTTGGCGTAGTTAGAAAACTTGCAAATATAAAACATTTATTCGTATTGAAACATACAATAACATAAGAATATGAAATTATAGTCAGTTATTCACCAGAAACACTTAATTTTCTCGCAGTTGTTTGATAGCTTCTGGATCCTGGACCGGCCGAATATTGGATAGAAAAGTAGCAACTAAAATTTCCCAATAGGGTAGGCTTGCAAAACATGACGATATGGTGTTTGTGCATTTTGCGACTCCATTTGGCGGTTTAACTTCCCAAAAACCTATTAGAAGCCAAATTGGTTGAGATCCATGACATCCGGCTTTTTTCTTGTTATTGGCATCTGTAAATTGAGAAACATTGTGGAATATTGAAAAATTTGTTGGAATTACCTCATTTATTGAATATTTCACCATCACTTTCCACTTTTTCGAGAAACGCAACAAACTGACTGTTTTTCTGCAAAGATTCAACGTAAAACGTAACTTTTAGATGAACTTACTCGTTCTCCATCGATAAAACACTTACGCGTAGACGATATAATATGTTACCAGCACTTTTCTAGGCTTTAAGTCACGAAAATCGTCGAAAAACAAAACAAAACGAAGAAAACATGTTTGCGCGCCAAAAAACCGTAGCTAAAACGTATGTGTGTTTTAGCTGAGAAATCGGCCAGAAACACTGAGCTAAATTTTTGCTTCGATTTAGCTGGAGATGCAAGTTCTTTCTACGGTTCAGCTACGAAAACCCTCAAAATATGATTTAGCTACATCTGCAACTGCTGAGCTGTGTTTGCAGACATTCTGCGCCACATTGTGACGATATTTTTTCCAAAGAACCTACAGTAATCCACCCAGTTTCACATTTACCTTTTCCTCATCATCGAATATTCGATGTCTGATTTATGAACACTCAATCTTTTTTTCCCGCCTTCTCATGTTTCCAGGTGTTTTTTTCTTTTTCAAATGTGACTCGAGTTTTTTCCCCCGTTCCCCCCAAGTAAATTAACTAACCGATATCTCCAGTCAATTTTTGATTTTCATCGCCTGATTCAATGTTGACATTCGGTGTTGATTCGCGTCTTGGTGGAAATCGAGCTGTTAACAAACTTCGGAATTGTTGTGTATAGCCAGAAACTCGTAGAATGTCAGAGGAGACCTGCAAAAATAGCACATTAGGAAAAAAATGTATCAGAAAAATTGACCCCACACACATATTTTTGGACTTTTTTTGACCATCAAGACTAGAGAAAACTAGATTCACACAGATATTTTTATTGATATTTGAGAGGGATGCTTCCATGTGCTTCCGTGGCGCAATAGGCAGCGCGTTCGGCTGTTAACCGAAAGGTTGGTGGTTCGAGCCCACCCGGGAGCGAAACTTTTTTTTTTGCTGGAAAATTTACCGAAAACATAGAAAGTGCTCGATCTCTGGATCTTGTTGATGTTGGAAGAATCGATGAAGATTGATAATTCCGACGTTTCGGTTCAGTTCTTCGACGATTTAAAGGAACCGACATTTGGCGAAAAAAAAGCAAGTAAAACGATGGACTTTAGAAAAAAGACAACAAAAAGAGAATCAATAAAACTAGTAATAAATGGTGAAATTAAAGTTTTTTTCGGGAAGCAGAGAAAAGAGAAAATCGAGAAAAATAAAGAGAAAATGAAGCATGCTTAGGCTCAAATTGCTTTACATCTAATTGGGTCTATTTAAGGACGTTTCCAATTCTTAAAATGGTTTTTGAACTTTCAGTTGTAAATAAATATATTTATTTATGAGCAAACTAGACAAATAAGTGAGGTGGAAACGAGATATTTACGAAATTTTTTTTGGCTAAAAATCAAATTTTATTTTCTGTCAAAATTCTTGAAATTATGTATAATAATAATAATGAAAAGTTTATTGTTTTTCATTCAAAAGAATCATTCAGCCAAAAACTGGCGAGTATGAAAAATTAATGGACACACAAAAAATGCGGAAAAAATCTGAGAAGAGGAATATTTTAAAATGGCAGATGATGTGTCAAAAAAAAGCCGAAAATGAAACAGTGGAAAAATATATAAGTATTTGCATAGATACGAAGAAATAAAGAATGAATGAAAAAAAAACGTTTATATTTGAAAAATGAGAAGATTTTCGAGAATGAATGAAAAATGTCGATAAAATTCCGATTTTTCTGCATTTTTTATGTCGGATCTTTGTTTTCGACTTTTTTTCAGCTGCTAGCAAGAAAAAAATCTGACTAATAAATTTTGTAGGAATGGGAATCATACAAAATCATGCTACAATATTCGAAATACAAAATAATTTTCTCTCAAAAAATATATCAAGTGATTTGATCTTTTTTTTCAGAAAGACTAAAAATGCATGAAGTTGAGTTGTTCGGATGTGCGAAGACAAGAAAATAAAATAAATGTTATTTCGTTTTCGCGCGCAATTTTTTCGGCGGAGGCGCCAAGAAAGAATAATAAAAAATAAAATTCGTCAAAATTACCGGAAATGAAAGTCTGCATAGGAAAATATGAGAAGCTAAGGAAAAAGGTCGAGTTGTGAGAAAATTTGTGTTTTTTTTCTGAAATCTGAGAACTGGGAACTAATCAAGTCAAAAACAAATATGATTGTGAGTATTCAAAATTTTTGTGTCTAGCTTGATCGGAAAGGGGTCTACGTCTATTTTTAAAATTCAAATAAAAATATATAGTTTTGGATCACGGCCTTTAACAGATCGAGAGATCGAGAGAGAGAGAGAAAGAGAGAGAGAGAGAGAGAGAGAGAGAGATAGAGATGCAGACATTCCAAAAAATGAAATTCGAAAACAATTTGATCTACCGTTTTTAAATCAAGCGCGGGAAAAGTTTTTGAATTAGAAAATTTTTCAAGACACAGGCTAAATTCTAAAAAAACCCTTATCCAAGTTTTTTTTTACACATTTCCCACCCTTCCCAAAAAATTCTTGAACTAACCTGAGCAATCGGATTATTGAACCGATCATGTCTGTCTCGATCATCTTCCGATGTGTTGAATTCACAACTTCGACCCTGTCGTCGATCCAAAGGAGCAGGAATTGATGTAGATCTGAAACATTTTTTTTCTCGAACTAGTTCAAAATTTTCCCCGATCCCTTGAGTTTTGGTGAATCAGCTGCCAAGAGTTCAGTTCTAAAACATACCTGAATCTAAACTTTTGTCTCTTGATTCGAAAAGATCGATCAGCACTTCGATGTTTGATAAAAAACACCATTTAGACTAGACGTGTGAAAGAAAAATGAATAGAATCAAGCCGGAATAATCTATTTTACCTATTCTAATCCAATTTTATGTGTCAGAAAAGACCGGAAATTAGTAATTTGGTTAGGACAAAAATGCAACATAACGGAAATTTGATTTTTTTTTCGCGGCGCAAAAAAAACGGTGTCTATTTTCAGCACTTTTCAGAATAAATGATTAATGAAGTTTGGCAAAAGAAGGACTAACTAAATAACAAGGAATACAATTCTAGACTCTTCAACAAACTTACGTTTTTCTACAGTAATTACTATATAAAACAGTATCAGAATATTTTGGCATTCGAGGTGATCTTCGAATTTTTGTAGCTGAACTTGGTAAAGGTCGAATATATTCATCGACTGAATCTTGCGATGAACCAAATGATTTCCACATCTAACATAAATATCTATTTATGATGAAATGTTCGAGAAAAAAACAAGGAAACGACTAAAGAAGAAATAATATTCAAAAAATGGGAAATATGACACTTTTTGGTGCATTGCGTGATGAGAAAAAACAATTCCAGAGACTTTTTCAGAAGCAAAAAAAATCTGAAATTGTCTGCGTCTCTAATCATTCATTCTGTCAAAAAAATATCTTGGGAAAATCGAGCTAGAAAATATTTGTAAATTAATGTTTAGATGTGTAATCATAGATTTTCCGACCAAAAATTGAACAGGAAAAACGTAAAGCTAAAATATTTCAGATGAAAAATAATGAGAAAAACGACTTGAAGTGCATTAGAAAGCACCTGTTTATGTTACAAGATTTTTTCGTCACTATGACAATTTCAATTTCAATTTCAAATTGAAAAATTCATGAATTTTTAATTTCAAAAATGATTTTTGATGATTCACATGTGTCTAGAAAATTCTAGGTGCAAAAAAGCTTTGATTTCGAGACGAAATGACGAGAGAACAAAACATTTATGTGTTTATTTGAAATCCAAGACGATTGTACTTCAGAAATGAGGAATTTGGAAAAATAAGATTTATTGGGAGAAAAAAACGAAATTAAATTTTTCTCTCTCAATGAGAAAATGTCGTGAGAAACGAGTGGCTAACACAAAATCAAAACTCATGTTCTCTGAAGCAAAAATTATCATCAAAATAGAAAATGAGAATAGGCCAAGTGGAAAAATTATCTTTCGATTTCAGTTAACTTATTTTTGAAGAGGGATGTGAACTAAAACTACAGTACCCTTCTACTCACCTCGGAAAATTATTTCATCTGCCATTTTCAAAGTCCAAGAATTTTTTGAAATGACGAAAAAATGTGGGAGGAAATGTGAACACGTCGAATTTTTTTAATTAGATCACGTGATAAAGTAATTTAAATTTCACGTGAAAATTGTTTTTTGAAGGCGGGACCACCCAAGAAGCTTCTGGCTCAAAATTGAGCCGAACAAGAGATCGAAAGGAAAGTTCAAATCTTACTGTATGCAAAAGTGTTTGCACACACCAATCCGCTGAACGTGGAGGCAATTTGAAATTTTTAAAATACAAGATTTTCTCAGATTTTATTAACTTTCGAAATTTATTACTGGCTCCTTTCATATTGAGCTATTTTTGACACTGAGCTTTGAAGAAAATCAAAATAATTGCCAAACTGACTTTAACTAGACTTGAAGATCACTTTTTGACTCTCATTTCACTTGACTCTCATTTCAAACCCCCCCCTCAAAAAATAAACTAACCCAAATCTCGGTGTGCATGTTCCAACCGTATGTCCTTTCACCAGTGTTCGATTATGCAGATTTCTGAAATATTACCTCTATTATTTTTCAAAATAAATTCAAATTATTTATTGACTAACCCAGAGACTGGGAATTGTTGACAGCGAGCTCGACATGTTTGGATTTCCTGAAAAAAAGGAAAAATGATTTCGTTCCGAAGAGAAATGTATATTTTGGATGAACAGAACACCGTTTATTTTTTTTTATTTTCAGTTGAAACCCCATAATTTTGATGTGACAAGCAAGCCCCCCGATTTTATAGGTTTTTTGTTGTTTTAAGCTTAGAAAACAAAATGATGTCAAACTAAAATATTTTCCTGTTAGCATAAAAATGAGCCACAGTAACCTTGTCTTTCTGTAAAAATAATAGGTTGATTAACATCCAATTGATAATTGCTTCGTTTTGTTTCTGATTGAATACATCGAGCTCGTGTTAGACGACTTCGTTTTCTTCGAGCATTTGATGTTTCATGGCTCAAACTTCTTGCAATCATTTCGAGTCTTGGATTGTTGATTCCTTTTGGTCTTGCACCATCCGATGAACATTTTGTCATCAAACGACGGACCATTCTAATTTATTTTAATTAAGTTGATCAAGAACTATGAAAGGTTATAAGTATGAGAAAAGAGCTAACAACAAAAATGTTTTTAATCAAAATAAAAGAAAAAAATAGAAGTAAGGAAATACATATAAGCGTCTAAATTACAGTGACAGAAGTTTTAGCGGCTAAATTTTAACTCAAAAATTGTGTAGATCATAATTTAGGTCAGGAATACTGTAGAACTTTAGTGCCAAATTTTGTTATATACTAAACTAATGAGTTTTCTTGTGGCAAAACCTATTAATAAATTCAAAACACTTTCAGAAATTTTGTAGATCAAATTTGGCTAAAATTGTTTTGTTCCCCCTTATAAAATTTCAAAACTGTAAGTTTCAGTCCTCTATTCTCCCGCTCTATCAATAAAAAATAATGAATATAAATAAAAACATTCCAATTTTTGATGACAAGAATATGTTTTTCAAGAAAAGCATAAAACTGGAAGAATAAAAAAATGCAAGAAGAAGTATTATGCTGACTGAGCGGACACAACAAAAAAAAGTGATTATAGATGATATATGTATATTTTTCGTGTTCTTTATAAGAAAAAAAAACAATAAGAAAACCAGATGTGAAAAAAAGAAGAAGAAACATGTGTGTGAACTTTTATAGGAGCTCTAGATGATAATTGAAAAAGTATGAGTTGATCAAAAAACTCAAACGTGGGAAAATTTCTGTCTGCATTTTCTGTTTCACGATGAGTTTTGAAAAAATGTCATATTATTTTTTAATCAGAAAAACCACGAGACTGGATAAAGCTATAAAAAAGACGGGAGGGAAAAACAATTGAAAAAAGTTCATCACGGATAAAAAATGTATAGAAATAAATATACTTCCTTGTGGTTTTATTCATTTTTTCAACAAGAAAAGAAAAAATCGTATTCTAGCAAATTTATTTTCAAAAAAAGAATTTTCAAAAAAAAACAGCTGCAATTTGATCCAAAAATATCAGATATTCGGAAAAATTGGGGGATAAATAAATAAAATAAAGTGCGCAAAAAACTTTTCCCAAGAGTTTCTGCCCATAAAATGTGTGAGAGGAAATTAAAATAATTTTTTCATAACATTTTGTCCCGAAATTGGAAAAATCTCCGGTTTCAACATGCTATGATATCAATAATATTCTATTTCACACATTTTTTATCTCCGCCCATTTTTTGAGCCGGAAAATTTCGATTTTTTTCGGAAACTTGTGATACAAATAATAATAATAGTCATAATCAAGAAAGCTTAAATTATAATAATCATAATATATGACTAAAGATCTAGGTGTGAGTCAAAACTATTTATCATCAATAATTATTTTTTGCGAGATTTTTTGCTGAACCACCCAAAAAGTGCAAATATTTGTACTTTCCAGAAAAAAAGGCTATAAAGTGATGATCGCTTGAAGAAAAAACCACCCAGGGAATATAGAGAAGTATTTGACATCATAGATATTTTCAGATCAAAATAAATACTTTCAGATTATCCACGCAGCAACTGGTTTATTTCTTATTCATATTCAAGAATAGAATAGATTTATTTTCTTTTATGATTATTAATTTTTTAAATCTTCTTTCAAAAAATTGGAACAAAGTAACAGAGTGAGATATTTCCCTATAAATTTTAAATTTAAATTTAAAAAATACCACCTTCAAATTATATAACTGCGAAGAGAGTTTGCACAGAAATATCTGGAACTCAAAAAAAAAAGTTTCCAAAAATTTTGGAACTTTTCTCCCAGGCCTTCTGATGCAACATTCTTTTTGGTACTAATTTTGGGGTTCTCATATATTTTAAACTGATTCTGTCATTAATCCAACCCTTCCTCAGAAGTTTCTATTTCAGTTCTCCTCCTGTTAATTTCAAACTAACCTCCAGTTATCATTCGAATTGCAGGAATTAGTCGATTATTTGAATTGGTTATCGTCGAAATATTTTGAATCGATTGATTATTTGAATTTTCGGCGGGAAGAAATGGAATTCGATCATCAAGTTGACAATAAGATGCGGCTCGAATTCGCATTCTGCAAAAATAGAAATAAGAACGAACAGCTGAATATTGACTTGGAAATATAAACTAATTTTCAAGTCAAACGCAAATCAAACAGCTGAAAATTACAGTATTCAAATTTAGTTCACATGGAAACCAAAGTTCAACAAAAACTTGAGGTAATACATAAAGAATCGAAAAACTTTGCGGCGCAACACAAATTATATTATTATTATTATTACTTACAAGATATGGGATAATGTGATTTTCTTTTTCTCAAGGTGATTTAACATACATAAAATATATGTTTTTCGTGGGCTCAAAAAAGGCACAAAAAAGGAAATCTCAACTTCCTCCTAGTTTCCTATTTTTTGTGTGTTGCTTGGTCAAAACCCGAAAACTTTTTTGGGTTGACTTGGAAAAAAAGAGAGAATTGGAAAGGGAACTTTTTCGAAATTGGGAATTTTTTTAACTTGAGGATCTATAGCATTCTGAAACTTCAAAAATTCGAAAAATGGGTTTCAAAATATTAGAGGTATTCTAACTGAGATCAATCAGAAAATATCATAGAAAACCAAAAATCAGAAAATGTATTCGACTACCGAAAATCCAAAAAATAGGGCAATTTTTTTGAAAAATAACATACACATCACTTTTAATTTTTCAAATGATTTCATAAGCTGATAATTTTCTGAGATTCCGAAAAAATTCTTGAACTTCACAATTCATATAACTAGACTAAATTTCCGTCTCTGAAAAATACATCTGACTAACTTTCTCACAAAATTTCAATGTGAGAAAAAAAGGGCAACGAAAACCAAAAATATGTTTCTTCTGTCTAAATGTATTCAAAAAATGATTTCATAAAGTAGTTTTTCCCTCTCTTCCTCTTTCTCAAAAAAAGTAAAAAATTCTCATTGTTATGATTATTTTATTTGGGTGAAAATGAGACTAAAAATGAAAAGAAGCAAAAAACGAGGCTGAAATGTCCCTAGAAACCAATTACGTCAGTTATTTTCAAGATTTTTGCTTTCGAATTGATTCGAAATTTCGCGCTAACAGTAAAAATGAAAAGGAAAAAAGCGATAAAAAGTTCTTCAAATCCTTGAAAAATGAAAATGTGAAACAACATATGTCCAGTTGAATTTTTATTGCTTTTTGATATATTTTTTGAAGAAGCGCTTTTTTTTTGCTTTTTCATTTTTCGACAAAGAAATTTCGATCCGAATTGGAAAATTTGCAAAAATTCACTACGGTATTACAAATTTGTGCATTTTTGCGTCAAAACACTTCGAGCTAAAAATAAAAATTCGAATAAATCAAAATTGCACAAATTTATTGAAGGGCCGTGGAAGAGAAAAAGAAATCACAGTGACTCTTTTGATCGATATTGAGAGAAGAACTGTTTGGTTTTCTAGGCCATATCGGTTCTCTTCCAAAAAAAAATGATTCTCAAAATGACGTCATCATTGAATGAATGAACTGTCGAATTTTTGCTCAAGAAACATAGGATTTTTTCCAGATCTCTGGAAAAAAATTAAATGTTCTTAAAATTAAAAAAACAATTTTTATTCCTTTTCAGAATAAAAGTACTAAAAATCGCACATTTATTGTGATTCTATCGAAAATACTGAAAAATTAATGTTCTTCGAGAATTTTGTGCACTAATTTTTGAGAAAATAAAAAAAAACTCAAATTCAAATTCAAATTACGAAATTTGAAATTTACATATTTTTTAGGTTCAGCCAAAAACAAAACATTTTCGCAATTTTTCTACAAACAAAAAAAAATGGAGAGACTTTATGACATCTTTTTCTGTCAAGCGGAAAAAAATTGAATTTTTCTATTTTTCCTCAATTTTTTCCGGAGAAAAAAAAACACTTCGCACTTTTTGATGAGTTGATTGATTTGTGTTACACAAAAAAAGTGATTTTTGAAATTTTGCAGAAAAAATTAGAAATCGTCTGTTTTTGTGCAAAAAGTTCAGTTCAACTTTTGAGAAAAAATTGAGGCAAATTGAAAATTCAATTTTGAAGGCGAAGCCGATAAAAAAACGTTTTATTTCGCGAATGCCGAAAAAAAAACATTTTTTGATCGTTTTGTGGTTCAAAAAAAAATACTCGTCACATTTGTCAGAAAAATCTCGAATAAGAAGATGTGTACTTCTTTTTTTCTGACAAATATAAGAAAAAAGAAATTTTAGCACGAAATTTGATACCCTTTTTTCTTTTTCTCCCAATTCAACGCCTTTTCTAGCTGGATGAGATTTTCATTTAAAATCTGGCAAGATGAGATTTTTTGAAATTTCTATTTTTAAATACTGCGAACATTTGTTGTTGTGATTTCTGAATTATCAACCATAAAAATGTATGAAAATAAGTGTATTTGTTGGATTGAAGAAAAAAATGAAGGCAAAAAATGAGAAAACCTGTGTAAAATATCAAATTGAAACCTAAAAATAACAGGGTTGGGGGAAGAGGAAAAAACAAGGGGTCAAATAAATATTTCGAATTAAAAAAAGTAGAAATGAGCAAAAAAAAATGAATGAGGGGAGGGAAAGAGAAAGAAAAAAGCGCGAAAAATAATAATTGTTGTTGAATTGAGACCGTTTGCATCTATCTAGTTTTTAATGACAACTGTTTGACCAAAAAGCTCACTAAGAATACGCGATGCCGCTTTTGGATTGATCTGAAAAATGAAAATTATTTAAGTTTGGAAAATATCTCTAGACAAAACTTACATGAATGGCTTCAGTTTGACATGCCGAATCCTTTGTGCTGACAACATCAGTTTCTGTTGAAACACTTGTAACTTGTGGCAAATTCTGGAAAAAAATCAAGTTGGAATTTCTTTAGAGTGACTTTCTGTGAACTACGCTTTCTAGACTTGGCTACTTGACAGAGAAGCTCTCAAGGCGCGGTCCCTAGACAATAATATTCACTAGGCTCAGCTACTTGATAACAAGACTTTTTAGTGCTCGGCTATTTAAAAAATCATGTGCTCTTGAAATTTCAAAATGTTAACTTTTGGGGTACAAGAATGCGACTTCGAAGAAATTCGACAACAATTTGACTCATAATTTTTTTTGTAGAAAAAAAAAAACTAACCGCACGGAGACCCAATTCCGCAAACCATGCGTTTGTATGTTTTTGTTTCATCGATTTTTCATGTGTGCGGATCTGGAAAAATATCGAGATTCGACTTGGATTGAAAATAATTTTACGTGAAAACCACTCACATCATTTTCGGAATCCGGTGTATGTGACAAACTTCCAGCATCAATTGGCTCTGATGGTGGCTGAGAATGTAATTGATGCAAAGTTTGTTGTTGTGGTCCGTTCGGTCCGATACCATTCATCTGATGGATTTGTTGAATTGGTGCCATTGGCATGAAATTTGGATAACGAAGTTGTGGTGGTGGATATGGTGGAGCTATTCCAGGTGGCATTATCATCATTTGTGGTTGTGGTGGACGGATTTGGTGAATTTGAGACATGAGGGATTCCATTGAATAAATTGGCATATTGAATGGATGCTGCAAATTCATTTATTAATCTTAGAAACTGTGTAATTCAGATTTTTTGTTTTTATTTTTTATATGAGACCAAAAAAACAATCACGAGGAGAAAAATCAACATCCGGAAAATGATATTCAGCACTTCATTTGGCTGTGTAAACGAATAAACGCCGATTCATCAAGAAATGTGATATTTTCCTCGGAATTTCTAATGAAAAACTCACAGTTCCCAATAAACTATTCCATTCGCCCAACGAATGATATTGTGTCTCATTTTCTGTTCTTAGCTGCAAACTTTCCGTGAAATAACCCGATTGTAACCAAAACAACATATCCTTTGAAGTGTATGGCCCTGAAAATACGATACTTTTTTCAGCATGGATGCTTCGTTTGGAATTCAGTGAAAATACTTACCGTACATTTCGTTATCCGGTCCTAAATAATGCCAACGAGTCTCCTGAGGTTGCGGTGACTGTTTATTGATCATTTTTAATTATATTCTATAAAGTTTAAGCCCTGAAAAAAAAGATTACAAATAAAAATAACGTATCAGAGAGATATTGAATGGTTTAAAACCGAACACCAAGAAACAATTTCAAAAAATCAATAAAATAATTTAAAGTTTTATTCATCATCAAACCATTTTTCTTCCTCGTCTCGCTCTCTTATTTTATCAATGTTTTTACTATTTTCACATTTTGAATAGTCGAAAAATCTGAAACAAAGAAAATGTTGGGGAAAATGACGATAATGTAGAACTTACTCTTTATCTTTTCCGGCTAAAAATCGTTGCTTCATGAAATTTTCAAATTCTTTTCGAAGAAATACCGGTGTTTCTATTTCATCGAGATCTTGATTATATTGATCTGCTTCGAGTTGTGATAATCGTTCCATTTCTTTCCGAAGTTTTTCAATTTCGTCATCATCATCTTCTGCTTCATCTTCTTCTGGTACAAAGTCATCGTGATTCAATCGATTCGAAACATGCGCCAGTAATCTATCAGATTTGTTCTGTAATACAAAAAAATTGATAAAATCTTTTCTATATATCGATATAAACTGACATTTTTGTCCTTTGTATACTCATATTCTTGCATATTTCTACGTTGCGCAATCTCACCGCTCTCTTCAAATCTATCAAGCATTGCGGACCAACAACCTTCACCAGCATTGCGTGTGACTGTAGGACGAAGTGATAATCTTTCTGAATTAGAAATTGTGAAATGAACATTTTGATTTAGATATTCTCACCACTTTCATTGAGAAACCTTCCAATCATTGCGTCGAACAAATAAGGTTCCCTTTGTCTCATTTTAATATCTGAAAAATAATCTCCATTTTCGATTAAACTTTGCATCATTACATATCGCTCATTTTTCGTGTTCCTTGGACGGCTATCTTTTAGACTTTTGAGTAGAAATTCGACAAATGGATCATCAGAGGAGTTGAAAAGGGAACAATCATCCGATGACAAATACTTTCCATATCTGAAATTTTATTGATAAAGAAAGAATACAATGAGGAAAATTTCATAATAATCTTTTTTGAAGAAATAAAATAGAAAATCACAAACCTGGTTAAAAATAACGAAATATTGTTTTCAATGAGATTTCGCAAGATTGAAACTTTTTCATCATTGGTCAATTCGTCTTCATCAAACTTTAAATGTTTATAGAAAACATCAGGAGTAGCCACAATTCTTGAAATCAATGAATCCATGGCAAAAACAGGCGCGAAAAATTCGAAAAAACAAAATTGAATAAGCTCCGCCCATTGATGAGCACGGCACGCATTTTTGCAAGTGCGGCGCGGTTTGTTTTTTATTTTTCATTTTGCAAAAAATTTGCATAAAACCTGAATGACGTGTTTTGTGACGGTAGGAACGACATTATTCGAAGGTTTGATAAATGAAATATTGTCTGATGTTTGTATTGAAGATTTGAGAAGTATTGGAGTGAATAGAATTCTTCTACAAATCGGTGAGTCACGCGTTAAACATTGGTTAGAAAATTCAATTTTTGTTATTTCAAGGTAACGGAAGTTTTCCGAAATGAGGTTATTGAGAGAATATTCAAAGAAGATACCTTGGATGAAGGAAAAACTGTATATAAAGGTATGAAAATCGAATATTATAAATTCAAGCCGTCTTTATTGGAAGATATCGAAAATTCTACAGTGAGTACTCAATAATTTATATCAGTCATATAAATGGCTCTTTTTTCCGATTGTGATAGGTCATGCTGGTGCCGGTACTTGTCTGGAAGTTTTGAAACTCCAGAAACCGTTCATTGTTGTTATCAACGAATTATTAATGGATAATCATCAAGCTGAACTTGCTGTTGCTCTTGCAGAAGGTGCACATCTACTTCATTGCACTCCTTTCACACTTTCAGAAACAATCCGAAATTCAGGATTATTCACTCTAATTCCTTATATTCCACTAAGTCAAAAACGAGTTGCTCGATTTATCGACAACAGAATGGGTGTGTGAAATTCTTTATGAATGTATTTAAAACCAATAAATTAACCTATTTTGAACTTGAATCAGATCCAGAACTTGATTCAGAATCTGACGTAGAAGATGAACTAGAATTAGATTTGGAATTCTTTGAAGACGATGATTTTCTTGACGAACTTTTTGAGGATGAACTTGCTGAAATGTATTCTTGTTCGGGTTCTTCTTCATCTTCTCGATTTATCACAAATGTTCCAGATGAATTTTCTGAAGGTCTTCTAACATTGTTTTTCTTGGTTTCTTTTCGCATTTCCGTCATTCTTTGTTCATATTTTCGCTGAAGTCTATGTTCTTGAGACAAAGCTGATTGTTTTTCCATTATCAATGGACCATTCAAAACTCGTTGTTTCATTTCTTCTAATTGACGAAGATAATCTCGACTTGTTTCCTGTTGCTGTTGGCTGAAAATATGAACTTATTGAAAATCAAAAATTCACTTAAAAAACTCACATTTTGATTTTGGTTCTCATAGCAATATCTTCATCAGTTTTACTTCGATTCGCCAGAAACATATCAATACGTTTTCGATTATCATTTTTCCAATAAGCTTTCTCATTATGATACAAACTTTCTGACTTTTTAATTTTTGATCTGAAAATTTGAAATTCAATATTTTCGATTAGTCTAAAAAAATGCCAATAAATAACTCACGCAATAGTTTGATCTCGAAGAACAGTTGCATGTGTTGTTGGAACATTTGAAGCAACTGGAAATCGACTCAAATTTGATGTAGATCTTCGATATTTTGAAATGTGCTGTTTATTGCAATTAGCATGTCGAAATGTTGATGTTTGTGGTCTTGATTCAAAAGAAAATGGCTGTGGAACTGTTGAAGGTTTCGGCGAAACCCCAGATCTTTTATTGATATTTGCATGTAGTTTTCGAAAATCTGGTGGTTCTGATCTTCCAACCATTTCAACTGTCGGTTTTTCCAATTTACATTTACTATGTCTTAAATGAAATGCCATATTTGAAGTAGCTTGTCTAGTTTTGATTCCTTTCGGTGTTTCAGCTTCTTCAATTAATCTTGTTGCTCTTCTAACCGCACTTCGACTTCTTTCATTTTGTTTGACTGGAATCGGAGAAATATACGTAGTTGGTGGAATATATCCAACTGGTTTTGCTGATAAATTTCCTTCGCTTTTCGATCTTCGAATAGTTTGCTGTTGTAATTCAAATTTTTTCTTTGCTGCAGTCATCACTTTTCGTCTCATCGAAGCAATATATTTCTCATCTAACAAATAATTATTTTCAGGTTTATAAGTTGATTGAGGTATAGGTTTCGCTTTAAATTTTTGAGCATTCAAATTTTTCGTTTCGGCTTCTTCCTTCTTCTTCTTCTCCTCCATCATATCCTGCATAAACTTTTTGGCATAAGTATTTTCTATTGATTTTCTGACTGTCAATTGGAAAGGTTGAGGTACTGTAGGTTTTGGCACAAAAATATCAGATTTTTTCGGACGAATCACATTATCTATATAAACTACATTAGCAATTTTATGTTTCGGTGCAGATTGTGCTCGTTCTTTCCGAAGATATGGCTTGGTTTTTGATTCTATTTCAATATTTTCATATCGCAAATTTTCGCGGTTACTACCATTTCTAGTTTTCTTGATTCGTGTATCCCTAGATCTTTCTTCTTCCAAACGCCACGAATCACGTTTTCCACTTGATTGTATTCTTGTTTCATCATAAAATCGACCTCTTTCATAATTTCTACTTGGAGGCAGACTTTCATCATAAAATTGTTCTTCCACAACATGCGAACTTGTTGCAAAATCATCTGTCAATACTTTTGAAGCTAAATAGTTTGTAGTCTCTTCATGTTTTTGACGCAAAGTTGATAATCTATGAATAAAATCGCAATCTGACAGCAAACTTGGATCCTAAAAAATCGTGAATTAAAGATGTTATGTTTTTGAAAAAATAACTTACCCTTTCTAAAGCATTTAGCAAATTCTCAGTTGCCTCCAAATTTCGTTGTATAGAATCCATGTCACTTCAATTCAGTGAAGTTTGAAAACAAGTTCATAAGTTGAATAAATAAATAAATACTAAAAAAGTCCAGAAAAATGAAATAGTGAACGACTCCTCGAAAAGATTCGTTACCTTGACAACCGTAGTTGTAGTAGTGCATATTAGGAGAAAGAAAGGGGTAGTAGATATCTAGTGACCCCCAGTTTGTAATTAAAAATTGCTCACACGGATATAAATAAATACGCCTCGATATACAAAGTGGATTAAATTTTTCATGTGAAATAGATTTATGGAAAGCGCCAAGAACAAACTTTATATACAAAAATATGTATCAATTGTAAAATTATGGTATGCTAACTCTTTTCAAGTTTTTCTTGTCGATCTTTTCTTCATCAATAATTCCTAAACTTTTGGCAATCTCTTCCAAAATATTACTATTCTCTTTGTTTTGTTCGACAAGATTTTTCGATGGTGTCAAATCAATTCTCTTCAGTTTACTATCCTTCCTATTATTGATTTTCTTCTCGCTATCTCGAGCAATTTCTTTTTCAACATCAAACATGTTATCCTCTCGGATTTTTTCTATTCGAATTGGACTTCTTCTTCTATTTATTTTTCTAATTCTTCTTCGAACTTTGCGAACTTTTGCACTTCCTTCTTTTCTCCATTTTGGATATTTTCGATCGATGAATTTAGCAGAACTTATTTGATTTGTTTGATGTTTCGATTCTTCATCAACAGTTTCAATTAATCTTATCGGCAAAGTTTTTCGTGGTGTCATAATCGTTGTTCGAATTTCCTTTATTTTCACATCTGGAACTACTGTAGTTGTTGATATCGTCAATTCTTCATCTTCTTTCATTGGTTTAATATAATCCTTAACTTTTGGTAAATGAGCTCGTTTTGGTTCTTCAAATACCATTCTTTCAATTGTTTTCACTTCTTCAACTCGATTATTTCGTTTTTCCGGATTCATTTGATCTCTTCGAACATCTTCTAGAGATGGTAAAGGCAGAGTTGGTTTGATTGGATTTCTTCGAATTTCAGGTTTAGTTGGTGGAACTTTATGAATATTTGCTGCAATTGCTTCAACCGCAACATACGCTGTATTTTCAGCTACTTCAATCGCTCTTTTTATCATATCAGCACATTTACATTCCTCTTTTGTTCCAATTCCCGGTTCTCCTTGTGGTCCAAAATCTCCTCGTTTACCCGGTAATCCAACATTTCCTGGAGCTCCTTGTAATCCAGGATAACCAATAATACCACTTGGTCCCTCAATATTATTATTCGTTCCATCTTCTCCAGCTTGTCCATGTGGTCCCGCTTTTCCTGTTGGTCCTTTTGGCCCTTTTTGTGGAAGTAATACAACACCATCGAATCCGTTCACACCAACAGGACCACGAGTTCCCATATTTCCCTGTTTTCCAGGTGGTCCATAACCACCGGGTAAACCAGGTTGTCCATTTTTTCCGTTTGGTCCAGGAATCCCTGGGGCACCAAAAAGTCCAGGTTTTCCCGGTTGACCATTTATACCTGGTTTCCCGTCTGGACCAGCTGGACAAGAAATACAAAATTGTGCAAAAGTTGGGATAAGTTCATCCATTGCATCTAATCCCGGACCACCATCATTTCCGTCTTCACCATTTATTCCAGCAACTCCTTTTTGTCCTTGTGGACCAGGTGAACCAACCGGACATCTATTCTCTTCAATTGGGCAGACTGCAAAAAAATAACATGAGATTTCAAAAAAAAGTTGATCAACTCACTAGGAAGATTATGCGAAGCTGGTGGAGCTGGCGAATGTGGAACTTTTCTTTTCGGCAAAACTTTTGGAATTTCTGCAATAATCGTATCAGATTCTTCTTCATAATCACCGTCTTCATATTCAATTACTTGTTTCTGTTTTTGTGGATAAGGTGTTGGTTTCACTGATAATTTTTGAAATGTTGAAGTTCTTTGTTGTTTTGTTGTTCGTAAAATTGGGGGAAGAGGTGGAATTGCTGCATATGATTTCAATGGATTTTGAACACGACGAGTTTTTGAACCTTCTGCTTTTATTGGATGATCTGCTGGTCCAACAGAAGTTGCATCGGCCACCATTCTGAAAAATTATAATTTTTCAAAAAATAATTCACATCACATTTGAAACTTACTGTAATGCAATATCTCTTTCTCTTCTCATCGAAGATGGTCGAATTTCAGACAATTGCTCATATGATTCTTCGAACATTTTCAAACTATCCTTAATTTCTCCATCGAATTCTCTACGAATGGAATCGATTTCAGAAAAAATAAAAGGCAGTGAAACAATTTGAAATGTTACTGTTATTGCTACAACAACAACACCGAATACAACATAATTTTCAACAGCCAAACGGCTCATTTTGAAAATTTGCTGGGAAAAACAATACAAAAAGTGGTTATATAGTAAACTTTATCATACAAAATGATCTGCTTTTACTATATGACCTCAATTGAAACGGAAATCTTGATGAGTGAAACCGGAAAATAACACTTTTATTTATGACAATTTACTGGTAGCTCCAGGTGTCACATTTTCACTTTTCACCCGAACTTGATGCATCAAAACTGAATATTTATAAGTTCAAAAAACAGACGAGAAAACAAAAAAAAAAGAACAAAAGCAGCCCATCATAGATTTTCCAAGGAAAAAATAAAATTCGTGAAAATTTTTCTACATATTTGCAACCAAAAATGCACGAATTTTTTACAGTATTCTAGATAAATTTAAATTTTCAGAAACTCACGTTTTTTCATGTTTCCCAAAAGCCAGAAAAATAAAATTTGAAAAAAAAAACAAAAAAATTTTTTTGTTTTTTAAAAAATAATATTTCCGCGTGACGTGAAAAAACGTGCGGCGCGTTTGCAGAATTTTTATATTCATTTTTTATTTTTTTTTCTCGCGAAAAACAATTTTTGCGTTTTTTGTGGTGAGCTCCTGGGAAATTGTGGACAGTTTACTGAGTTGCGAATTTTTTGTCAAGAGAAATCATGCCTTTCTATCGTCTTTTCTTTCAATTTCACTGAATTTTACTAAATACCTTGTTCATTTTCGAAAAAACACGTGACCTCTTCATCTTGACCTAATTTCGATTTTGCAAAAAAATACTCGGAAAAATCAAACCCACTATTTCTATTTTTCGTTTCTCTAGGAAACAATCTCCAATTTGGAGGTAAACAATATTCATTCTAGTGTTCCATATAAACGTTATTCCAGAATTTCGTGATTTCTTTCGGAAAACTGTTTCGTGTTTCTCATAAAAAATATGGTGAGTTCATGTTTTCTATGAATATTTCTCAATCTATTATCTTCATATTATTTCAGTCTCGTCAATCGACTCTTCTCAGTCCTCCAACATATTCTTCAACATCCAATGATCCAACGACAAGTATCGAACAACACAGACAAAAAGTTGATGAGGAATTTCAAAAAATATTTCGTCGTGCTCAAGAAGCTATCAATCAAGGAATTCAACCAACTTTGATTCCTGAAGGCAGTTCAGGATCATACTTTGTTTATGGATTAGAAGGGGAAATTCTGGGTGTTTTCAAACCAAAAGATGAGGAACCTTTTGCTTCTCTCAATCCAAAATGGCCAAAGTTTTTCCAAAGGTATGCATATAAATATCTAAAAATTGTGAATCTATATCTATTTTCCAGAATGTTGTGTTTCTGCTGTTTTGGTCGTGCTTGTCTTATTCCAAACACTGGATATCTTTCTGAAGCAGCTGCAAGTATTGTGAATGAAATGTTGCAATTAGATGTTGTTCCAACTACACGAATTGTCAAACTTGCATCACCTTCATTCTTTTATTCAAGATTTTTTGGTCATTATGATGTTCGACCAAAAGAAGGAAGTTTTCAATTGTTTGTTAATGGATATGAAAGCGGAAATACAGTTTTTGCTCGTTGGAATTATGACAAAACACTTTTGACTGACGAAGAAGATCACAAATTTCGAATTTTGTTCCAGAAAATGTGCATTGTTGATTATGTTATCAGAAATACTGACAGACACATGGATAATTTGTTGGTTCGACATGTTCCTGGAAAAGAGATCAATTTGGCTGCAATCGATAATGGACTTGCTTTCCCAGTCAGACATCCAGAATGTATTTCAAGATTCAGAACTTTTCCATTTCGTTGGTCAAATTTCTCTTGGGCACAATGTGAATTTGATCCGATTTTGAAGCAACATGTTCTCTCAATGCTTACTCCAAATTTTGTTCATCGGCTTTGTGTTGATTTGAAGAAACTTTTCCGCCATGGAATTGGAAATTCGAATTATATGATGGTTAATAGTCAATTGAGAGTTGTTAGAGGACAAATTTGGAATCTTCGAATGGCTTTGTTATCAAATGAAACACCAGCTGAAATGGCTCAACGTCCACCGGTTGTTGTCAATCGAAAGTATGTTGATTTTGTCTTGATTGTTTTCTATAAACAAATTACAGTTCAGATATCGCGGGAGTGAGCCAAAAACTAGCAACTGGGACGATTGGTACACCCCAAAATATCCAAATTGTACACAACAGCAAATGTGCTAGCAATTGTGCCGAACACATTGAACACGAAGAAATTGAGCACTTTTTGAAGTAATCATGAATATCATCGATTTTTCGCCATTCATTTTTAGTTTCACACTAGATAAACATTTTTCAAAAAAAAATCTAGTTTGAACTTCTGTTAAGTGATAAGCATAATAAAATTTACATTTTTTTGAAAAAACTCGGGCCGATTTTTTTTTTTTGAAAAAACTCGGGTCGATTTTTTTTTGAAAAAACTCGGGCCGATTTTTTTTTTGAAAAAACTCGGGCCGATTTTTTGAAAAAACTCGGGCCGATTTTTTTTTTGAAAAAACTCGGGCCGATTTTTTCATCCAACGAAAAAACTCGGGCCGATTTTTTAGAAAAAACTCGGGCCGATTTTTTAGAAAAAACTCGGGCCGATTTTTTTAGAAAAAACTCGGGCCGATTTTTTTTTTGGAAAAAACTCGGGCCGATTTTTTTTTTGGAAAAAACTCGGGCCGATTTTTTTTTGGAAAAAACTCGGGCCGATTTTTTTTTTTGGAAAAAACTCGGGCCGATTTTTTTAGAAAAAACTCGGGCCGATTTTTTTTTGGAAAAAACTCGGGCCGATTTTTTAGAAAAACTCGGGCCGATTTTTTTTTTTGAAAAAACTCCTGCCGATTTTTTTTTGAAAAAACTCGGGCCGATTTTTTTTTTGAAAAAACTCGGGCCGATTTTTTTTTTGAAAAACTCCTGCCGATTTTTTTTTTGAAAAAACTCGGGCCGATTTTTTTGAAAAAACTCCTGCCGATTTTTTTTGAAAAAACTCGGGCCGATTTTTTTTTTGAAAAAACTCCTGCCGATTTTTTTTTGAAAAAACTCGGGCCGATTTTTTTTAGAAAAAACTTGGGCCGATTTTTTTCCATCCAACGAAAAAACTCGGGTCGATTTTTTTTTGAAAAAACTCGGGCCGATTTTTTAGAAAAACTCGGGCCGATTTTTTTAGAAAAAACTCGGGCCGATTTTTTTTTTGGAAAAAACTCGGGCCGATTTTTTAGAAAAAACTCGGGCCGATTTTTTTAGAAAAAACTCGGGCCGATTTTTTTTTGGAAAAAACTCGGGCCGATTTTTTAGAAAAAACTCGGGCCGATTTTTTAGAAAAAACTCGGGCCGATTTTTTTTTTTTGAAAAAACTCGGGCCGATTTTTTTTTTTGAAAAAACTCGGGTCGATTTTTTTTTTTGAAAAAACTCGGGTCGATTTTTTTTGAAAAAACTCGGGCCGATTTTTTTTTTGAAAAAACTCGGGCCGATTTTTTTTTGAAAAAACTCGGGCCGATTTTTTTTTTGAAAAACTCGGGCCGATTTTTTTCATCCAACGAAAAAACTCGGGTCGATTTTTTTTTGAAAAAACTCGGGCCGATTTTTTAGAAAAAACTCGGGCCGATTTTTTTAGAAAAAACTCGGGCCGATTTTTTTAGAAAAACTCGGGCCGATTTTTTTTTTTGGAAAAAACTCGGGCCGATTTTTTAGAAAAACTCGGGCCGATTTTTTTAGAAAAAACTCGGGCCGATTTTTTTAGAAAAACTCGGGCCGATTTTTTTTTGGAAAAAACTCGGGCCGATTTTTTAGAAAAAACTCGGGCCGATTTTTTAGAAAAAACTCGGGCCGATTTTTTAGAAAAAACTCGGGCCGATTTTTTTAGAAAAAACTCGGGCCGATTTTTTTTTTGGAAAAAACTCGGGCCGATTTTTTTTTGGAAAAAACTCGGGCCGATTTTTTTTTTTGGAAAAAACTCGGGCCGATTTTTTAGAAAAAACTCGGGCCGATTTTTTTAGAAAAAACTCGGGCCGATTTTTTTTTGGAAAAAACTCGGGCCGATTTTTTAGAAAAAACTCGGGCCGATTTTTTTTTTTGAAAAAACTCCTGCCGATTTTTTTTTGAAAAAACTCGGGCCGATTTTTTTTTTGAAAAAACTCCTGCCGATTTTTTTTTGAAAAAACTCGGGCCGATTTTTTTTTTGAAAAAACTCCTGCCGATTTTTTTTTTTGAAAAAACTCGGGCCGATTTTTTTTAGAAAAAACTTGGGCCGATTTTTTTCCATCCAACGAAAAAACTCGGGTCGATTTTTTTGAAAAAACTCGGGCCGATTTTTTAGAAAAAACTCGGGCCGATTTTTTTAGAAAAAACTCGGGCCGATTTTTTTGGAAAAAACTCGGGCCGATTTTTTAGAAAAAACTCGGGCCGATTTTTTTAGAAAAAACTCGGGCCGATTTTTTTTTGGAAAAAACTCGGGCCGATTTTTTAGAAAAAACTCGGGCCGATTTTTTAGAAAAAACTCGGGCCGATTTTTTTTTTGAAAAAACTCGGGCCGATTTTTTTTTTGAAAAAACTCGGGTCGATTTTTTTTTGAAAAAACTCGGGCCGATTTTTTTTTTTGAAAAAACTCGGGCCGATTTTTTTTTGAAAAAACTCGGGCCGATTTTTTTTTGAAAAAACTCGGGCCGATTTTTTTCATCCAACGAAAAAACTCGGGTCGATTTTTTTTTGAAAAAACTCGGGCCGATTTTTTAGAAAAAACTCGGGCCGATTTTTTTAGAAAAAACTCGGGCCGATTTTTTTTTTTTGGAAAAAACTCGGGCCGATTTTTTAGAAAAAACTCGGGCCGATTTTTTTAGAAAAAACTCGGGCCGATTTTTTTAGAAAAAACTCGGGCCGATTTTTTTTTGGAAAAAACTCGGGCCGATTTTTTAGAAAAACTCGGGCCGATTTTTTTTTTGAAAAAACTCGGGCCGATTTTTTTTGAAAAAACTCGGGCCGATTTTTTTTTTTGAAAAAACTCGGGCCGATTTTTTTTTTGAAAAAACTCCTGCCGATTTTTTTTTTGAAAAAACTCGGGCCGATTTTTTTTTTGAAAAAACTCCTGCCGATTTTTTTTTGAAAAAACTCGGGCCGATTTTTTTTGAAAAAACTCGGGCCGATTTTTTTTAGAAAAAACTTGGGCCGATTTTTTTAGAAAAAAACTTGGGCCGATTTTTTTAGAAAAAACTTGGGCCGATTTTTTTCCATCCAACGAAAAAACTCGGGCCGATTTTTTTTTTGAAAAAACTCCTGCCGATTTTTTTTTTTTTGAAAAAACTCGGGCCGATTTTTTTTTTGAAAAAACTCGGGCCGATTTTTTCATCCAACGAAAAACTCGGGCCGATTTTTTTTTTTGAAAAAACTCGGGCCGATTTTTTTCATCCAACGAAAAAACTCGGGCCGATTTTTTCATCCAACGAAAAAACTCGGGCCGATTTTTTTTTGAATATGATGCAAATGAAAAAGTGTTCAAACTCAAGCCGAAATTCAGATAGAAAATAAGAATTGTAAATTTTCCAAAAAAACGAGTATTTTTTGTTGTCAATTTCAATAATATGTGAAAAACAAATCAAAATAATTCATTCATTTTATCTTTCCTAGTAATTTCTTTCGCTCGATTGTTGTGTGGCTTCGACTGGATTTTCATATTCGTGGAACATTTCCATCAACTAGTTTGGCAATTTGCCATGAAATCTGTCACGATGTGTTACTCTGCAAAATGTTGAGTAGGCGGGAAAAAGTGAAGTTGAAATAAATAAATAAATAAAAGTGTATTTTGATTTCACTCACTTTAGAAAATTCGGCAATGTTTGCAATTTTCCCGCGTTATAAATATTTGCTAAAAAATGGCAGAACTTCGTTGGCGAATTCTTTTAGCCATCAATTTTCCCATCAGTGCATGGTCTTCGGTTGCTAATAGTGATATTTTAACGGCCTTCCAATTTTTTACAACTTTCATTTGTGTAAGTTTCTTCACATATTCAATCGTTGCTATTGCATTCGAGTTGTATGCCGCAGGTAGTGCATCAATTACTTCTTACAGAGTTTTTGGGTGTGATGTTACCATTTTCACGATCTCAGTTCCCAAAACTGGCAAATTCGCAGCTACGAATGTTTTATATGAAATCTGGAAAGAGGTGATGAAATTAAAGTTGAACTTGCCCTTCCTCCCCCCCCCCCACAGGGTGTAATTTACTACCCAACTTCTCTAGGCTTCAAAATTTTCAAGAATTTTTTTGGTAGATCAAAAATATTTTTCTCTAAGTCTCTCATTTTTGCGTTGAATTTCGTCGTTTTTAGTCCCGCCCCTAATATTGTGTCAGGTCTCAAAAAAAACGCGAAAATTTTTGGGTAGTGAATCACACCTTGTGCCCCTCCCCCCTGAATTTTGATATATTATCGAAGAACTCACCGGATATTTACTTTTGATTCTCGAGTTGAACGTCTTTTCTACCATATTGACTAAATCACACTCAGGCATTTCAAATTTTTCGTATATGAAACGTGCGAGTTTGATCTAAATAAAATTGGAATTGATTCTCTCGAAAATTTTACAACCTACTTTAGCCAGCACCGAAGATTGATTTGCAGCGTTCTTCAAACTTTCCAATGTTTGCCGATCTTTTTTTGTTAATGAAGATGGATTCATATTCATATTCATGATCTATTAATTGAACAGTTATTTATTTGTCAGTTGAATGATTTATCCTATAGAACCGATTGATTTCATACGAATTTTTATCTCGTGTTTTGATCAAAATAAATAGGTCACGTATAAAATTGAAAAAAATACACTTTTTTTTTTTTAGACTCTAATGCAAAATTTCTACCTCTCATTAAAATCCCGTAAGGTGCAATTTGTTTAAAAATGCTCATTTCTCTCGGTATGGCCTAGGATTTCTATATCGAAATTCTCGGCCATTTTTTCATCCGATGTTTCGCGCCAAAAACTACAGTACCCTCCAAAACCCATTTTTTGCAGCTCGACGAAATCGTGAAACAAGCCAAAAACGTGCGTTTCGCCTTCATCAAACACGGTCGAAAATTGACAGCCGAACAAATCGATCAATATATATTTCGAGCCGGATAAACTCGGCGGAATCGATTCGTATTTTTTCAAAGAAATGTTGGCAACAATTTCGAAATATGATGCGAAAAATTCCGAAATTCCGAGGTAAAAATGTCGGAATGAAGGTTCGGAGTTCGGAATTACGATCTGACCACTCGGAACGAGCGTGCTCATTCCGAACCTTCCGACAAGGTCCATTCCGATCAGGCCTGATAGGATTATACCTAAAGTTTTAAAGTTAAATTATAGGATTGCAATTCAGACTTAGGCTTAGGTTACGGCTCGAATTTTACGCTCCGATTTTAAGATTAAAAATTAGGTCTAAAATTTGAGATTTGGCTTTAAATTAAATATTAGGCTGAAAATATAGGCTTACATCAAAAAATATCTAGTTTGAACATTTGTTCAAAGATAAATATTTTGGGAATGTAGAAATCAAAGTTTTATTATTTTTATTAAAGTTGTCAATTATAACTATAATATTTATAATGGCCGCTTGTAGACGAAACAAATAACACCGTCTTTTTGAGCTTCACAATGTTCAGTTGTGCTGACAAGATATGTGAAACCAGTTGTTGAGCAAATCACATCAACACTACTGTCTGGGAATTCTTGTAGTGCATTTTCATGGATGAGTTTCTTTGAGCCGAGAGCATCATTAGCCACGATATTCTGAAAATTATAAAGTGTTCAAAATTTAATCTGAAAAGGAAACTTACAGTAAGAACCAGACTCTGCAACACTTTGCTGTTACATTTCTCATCAGTGATTGCTGTCTTCGCAGCTCTCGCTTTAAATTCTCCACCTGGCGTCGCATCATCTGAATCTTCCCCATTTTCTTGTGCTGATATCTCTTCTCCAAGTTGAGCATCCAAAGGAGAAGCAGTCGCTTCAACATGTGGCAGATTCTCAACTTCTTCCAATTCTTCTTCAACAACTTCGCTATTTTCAGTTCCAGGCAATTTTCTTGCTCTCAACATGATATATTTGACTTGTGATTTACATTGTGGTTGATCTTCTTTTGGTGATCGGAATACTTGATCAACTGCTGGTTCACTTCCGGAATCTTCATCTACTTGTGCACCAACAGCACCGGCTGCAGAAGCGTGTCTTCCACCGGTCGAATATCCTCCTCCTCCAGCAATTGGAGCTTGTGGAATGGCTTGTGGAATCGGAGCAGCTGGGCCAGTAGCATAACCACCCCCGCCCCCAATACCACCAAACGAAGCACCGCCGCCGCCACAACCTCCGCCTGAAAAATTTTTTTCTGGAATTTTTGAGATACTTTTCCTGATTGTTTAGCTACTTTCAAAAAAAGTGAAGAAAATTTTTATAAATCCCGAGAACTTTGATGTTTTTTTTTTGAAAAAAAAAATCGATTTCAGAATTTTACTCAAAAAAAGTTGAATAGCTCTGGACCCAACTCGATTTCTGAGTCCTAATTCAAAAATTAAAAAAAAACTAACCGCATCCACTACTTGCTGGAATATAAACTGGTTCAACTTGTGGACAATATGCAGTTGGTGGAGGTGGACAAGGAGGTGGTGGTGGGCAAGATGGACAAACTGGTTGTGCACATGCTGGAGCTGCTTGTTGACATCCACAACTTGGTGGTTGAGGTGTTCCACATCCACAACAACATCCACCGCCGCCACCTCCTCCCATTGGGAAGAATAAAGAGCTCGCTTGATGTATCAATATCAAATAAAAAACTAATTGTTTCATTTTTACAAATAATTTAGTTAGGTTAAATGAACAGTATTTGAGTGGGTATAAAAGTTATATACATATGGAGAATGACCCAAAAAGTCTTGTTTTTCCGGTTGGTTAGCATAGTCCCACCCATTTGCAATAATCTATTTACTACTTCTTATCACTTTCGCCTTCTCGACAAATCGCTTGTTTCATTCAAACTGGTTACTTATCTCATTATGCCAAATAATGGATAAAGATTTCGGAAGAAGAATGTGAAAATGAAAAAGCATACACAATATAACATGATGGATGAATTTGATTTATGTAAATATAATAATAATGAAACATGTTCTATCTGGTTTTGAGATTTTATCGGTGTAAAATGCGAATTATCCGATGCCATTTTCGAACACTCAATAACAATTTTTTTCCCTTTATAATGCAGCTCAAAAAAACTACAGTAACCCATGAAAAATCAAGAAATATTCTTCAATTTCACGATCTTCACAATGATACCGTACTTTAAATTTTCTGGAGCATTTTTTTCCTGAAAACTTGAGATAAACAGCGAAACTGGGAAAAATTGATCAAAATTAATTAAATTTTTGATGAATTTCGACAAGCTAGAGGGTTTTCAAAAGTTCAACTAAACAAATTTCAAACAAAAAAAATTTTTCTCGTTTTACATCAAAAAATCTAGTCCTAACTATATTTTAGCCAAAGCAAAAGAGTTTGAAAAATAAAAAAAATTCAAAAAATAAAAATAAACACAATTGGGTCTCGTCCCGCGTGGACTAAGCAAACAAACACGTGTAGTTCTCTCGGGAAACATTTATTTTATTATTTTTTTTTTGTTACGTTCTGATCAGTAAAGATCAAACAATTAGGGTTGTTATCAGTTCATTTAAACGGTGTGATAGATAGATAGAAAATAGTATATAATATTTACACAAGAAAATGAATCGATTGGCTATTGTTGCGAGAAGATGTTTTTCTGCGAAAGCTGCAGCGTGAGTTATTTTCATTTGGAAATTATTTTTTAAAGTTGCTTTTTTAGAAAACAAACATGCCTCATTGATGTTCATAAAAAATACGGAGGAAAACTAGTCGAATTTGCCGGGTATGAAATGCCAACACAATATACTGATCTTTCAATCAAAGATTCATCAATTCATACAAGAAAACATGTCAGTATTTTTGATGTTTCTCATATGTTACAAACACATATCACTGGAACTGATAGAGTTGCTTTTATCGAAAGTTTGACAACAGCAGATGTTCAAGGATTAGGTGAAAATTCTGGAGTTTTATCTGTATTTACAAACGAAAAAGGAGGAATCAAAGATGATCTGATTATCATGAAAACTGACAAAGATTTTCTATTTCTTGTCACAAATGCTGGATGTATTGAGAAAGATTTGCCATATTTGCTGGTTAGTTTGAAAAACTGAACCGTTGATAGCTTATCAGTTTATTTTGTCATTTTCGATTTTATTTATTTTTTGGTAAAAAAATTGTTCAGGAAAACGCAGCAAAATGGAGAGCAAACGGAAAAGATGTTCAAATTCAAACATTAGACAATCGCGGACTTGTTGCTCTTCAAGGCCCAGAAATGGCAAAAGTTTTACAAGCCGAAACAGATATTGATTTATCGAAACTCTCTTTCATGCATACTCAAATCGGAAAAGTTTTTGGTATTGAAAATTGTCGTGTAACACGTTGTGGATATACTGGAGAAGATGGAGTTGAAATATCTGTTGATCCAAAAAGAGCATCTGATTTGGTTGAAAGATTATTGGAGTCAAAGGTTTTTTTTTATTTTTAAGAATAGTTTTTTTTGAATTCGATATATTTTTTTCAGAATGGAAATGTGAAATTGGCCGGTTTGGGAGCTCGTGATGCGCTTCGCCTTGAAGCTGGTCTTTGTCTTTATGGAAATGACATTGATGAAAATACAACTCCAATCGAAGCAAATCTCGCTTTTGTTGTCGGTATGAATTAATATTCTCTCAACCTTGTCTGAAAATTTAATTCAATTGTTTCAGCCAAAAGACGTCGTGAAACCTTGGATTTCCCAGGCGCCGAAAAAATCGTGAAGCAATTGAAAGAAAAAAGTTGGCCAAAAAGAAGAGTTGGACTAATTTCGGGTTCTGGAAGATCTCCAAGATGTGAGTTATATTTTAAAAAAATAAGGTTTCAAAATTTCAAAATCGGGAAATCAAAAATTTCAGCACATTTGCCATTGATTGATCCACTTGATAAATGTTCAATCGGATTCGTTACATCTGGATGTCCATCACCAACTCTCAACAAAAATATTGCGATCGCTTATGTCGATAAATCACATTCCAAAATCGGAACCAAATTTGTTGTTGATTTCGGTGCCAAACAACAACAAGTCGAAGTTGTTAAAATGCCATTTGTTCCAACAAATTATTTCACGCAAAAGTGATAAGTTTTCTGTTTTTTTTTTTTGAAATTTTTATTTTTTAAGTTTATTTATTGTTTGCGGTTTGATAGATCAGGAAAGAAAAAGGAAATAAATTACTAAAACCAATAACGCGGACTTTTTTGATGTTGATGATGAATAAAATGAAAATGTGGTGGATCAGAAAAACGATCGCGTGGAATTTCGGGAAATCTATCTGACAAAATATCTTCCGATTGTTTTCGCAAAAATTCCGCCATTTGTTCTGCAATATTATCTGGCGATTCAATGAATCGATGAACTGGAAATTTCGAAAATCCATTGTGCCAATTTTGAGTTTCAGTGTAAGGCACATTTTGCCATCTAAAAATTTTGTTAGTGAAAAAAACCTCTTTTAAAAAACCTACCCAGTGGATCGGAATTTTCTTCTCGGAATATATTCATTTTCATTTTCCGATTCTATTTCATCCGATGTTATAAATCGTTGTTTATGAGGAGAAATTGATTGAGTTGAATATTTCGAAGGCGATTTTCGAACATTTTTCGATTTTTTGAATATTTTCATCAATTCATCTTCATCTGTTACATCATCGAATTTTACGCGAACTCGAGGTTCTGAATCTTTTCTTGGATCATATTCATAGCGATATTCAACGCGTTGTCCAAATGCACGAGATTCTAGACATTCAAATTTTCTATCACTTTGTTTTCAAAAAAAAAATCTAACTTACCAGAAACTTCGAATAAAAATAGTACAATCAAAAGTAGGAATATTTTCGTAGTTGTCATAACTATGTACAAAAAATATGTAAGTGTATTATTAGTATACATAAATAAACCGCCCATTTTATTGGATTCTTCGTTATTAGTTTCTGGTTATCCACTAAAATGTTATGGTCATTTTTTATTTGCAAAAAAAACTCGAAAAAAATTTTATTGACTCCAAATTTGATGAACCAAAGAAAAAAATAAATAGAAGCATTCGCGAATACACGTATTCCACCCAAAAAAAAAAAACAGGAGAATTCTCTGAATCTCAGAAAATCACAGAGACAAGACAGAACATGAATGTAATCTTTGATGACAAAGATTGGAAATAAATATCAGAATCTAGATAGATACAAAAACTAAATCGGAGAAGGAGAAGTTTTGGTTTCAATGAAAAATTATACAAACCGGGCAAGACTTTGGTTGAAAAATCGAATAATAAACAAGCTTTATTGTGGAGGAGAATTTTGACGATCGAATCTGCAAAAAAATATTTTTTTTTTTTGAAAAACAACTTGAAAGGACAAACCTAGCCAATCTTCTTTGTCTCAATTCTTCAGCTTCTGGTGTTCTGCTTCCAATTGAAGTTGTTGGAACATTCTCCGATTCAGATTGTGCATCTGTTTGTGTATTATTTGGTGTGATTGGTGTAGCTGGTGAACCAAAAAGTGATGAAGGAGTTCGTATAACTGGTTCAGATTCAACATTTGTATTTGTAATTGGTGTTGTTGGTTCAGGTGTAGGTTCTACAACTGTAGCATTTGTAGTTGGAATTGCTGAAGCTGGTGGAATAACATTAGCAAGTTGTGTCATATGAATATGTGCAGCATCAAGTAATTCCATAACATTATCCAATGCTCGAAGTCTTGCTAGAATAGCTTCTCTTCGATTTCCTTCCATTTCTAATAATTGTTCATTCGTCAACTCTTCCAATCTTGGTTGAACCGGCGGCGAAAATGGTGCAGGTGGGAGGCCAAAACCCATTGGTGGTGGAGGAATTGGTGGCGGGAATTGTGCCAGAAAATCGACACGATTCGGAGGCGCCGGCGCGAAAAATATCTGATGTGGAAAGTTTTGATGTGGCGGTGGTGGAGGGGGTGGAAGATTGGCTGGAGGGGCACCGAATTGATGGGCAAAGAACGGGAAGATTTGAGCGGGTGCTGGAGGCTGCTGTTGAGCCGGTTGGGGCGGCATCGGCTCCAATTATTGGAAGACCATTGCGGCCAAGAATTTCTGTTCGACAAGTTGGACAAGTTTGTTGGCGTTGGAACCATGAACGAAGGCAATGAGCGTGGAAAACATGAGAACACGGTAGTCGTTTTGGTGACGAATCAGCTGTCATTTCTTCGCGGCAAATAATACAAGTTGTATCAATTGTTGTCAATTCTTCTGCCGAAACCAATGGGAATTGTCTGAAAAATATTGGATTGGAACAAATAAAAAATATTCCAGGAAAAAAGGGACTAACGTATTCATAGCTTGAATTGCTCTTCGACTCAAAACAACATCAGAGAATGCCTTGTGAAGTGCTCGAATCGCTTGATAAAATGGACGAACCCAGAAGAATGGAAGAGTATGAACACGAAGCATAACAATTGCAAAAATACCATACAAAATACAACGAATGAAGTCTAGAACGGAAAAAATTACTTGACTATAAATACATATTCCAAGATAAAACTTACTAATGAAAAGTTCTGCATATAATAAATAAACAGCTTTGTTATCCCATGATTGTTCAGTTCTCAAATCGTGCATGTGTAGAATATATTTGATTGTGATATGTACAATAAGAGTCATGAGAATCGCATATTCGAAGCCGAAAATTATTTGAGAAGAGGCGCCTTTTGAAAGAGTTGTGAAGTATGCATGAGATACGAGATATGAATCGACGAAACCAAGACAGCCAAGAATCGCTGGAAAACAATCTATTAGAAAATATAATTTTTCGAATTCAGATAAGTGTTGATTTTTGAGGGAATTCTTATAGAAATAGAGTTTCCTAAATCGCCAAATTTTTGGGTATCAGAATCATACGTCGCAGTAATCGATCCGTGGAGGGATTGTCACTCAATCCAGGTTTTAGGAAGCGGTTGGCACTTGTGAAAAAATTTGAGAAAATTTCTCAGTTTTGTAATTTATCAATCATTGGGATTACTTAAACTTTTCATTGATTTTGATCCAAAATAACGATAATTTCTGTGTTTTCAAAAAATTCTGGAATTTTTTATCCCCTTTGGTTTTGGATTAATAAAAGATTATATTGGATTATAAAATATATGAAACATTTGAAACGTATTTTTTTCATTTTTCAAAAATTAGAATTTTAATAGGCGAAAATTGAACGGAAAATCGCTGAAAATGAAAATTAGAGCTGAAAAACGTGAATGAAATTATCAATGGTATGGCAACTCGAAAATTGAGGATTTTTATGGAAAAATCCATAAAATTCTGCATTTTCAGGATTTTTCATTTTCTGGAATCAGAGAACATCAAATTTCTCGATTTTTGCCGGAAGAGAGCAATTTTGAGCTTAAAACAATCAAAAATGTGGATTTTCAAGTCTACATAGTCAAAAAGGAAAAAGGAAAAAGAAAAGAGGGGTTGGGGATCCCTTTTGTCGGAAATTTTCAAAAATAGAGGTATGCACTGGCCGATTTGAAACGTGGGTTTGCCACGTATGATCAGAATCACCAAAACAATTTTTGTTTAAAAAATTGATTCGAGACTAAAAATTAAAAGGGCCTGTCATGACCAATTCACAAATTTTTCCCAAATACAAAAAAAACTCACCCATCATTCTCAAATGAAATTTGATAGTAATAATTGGACTTCTCTCCATCATATCAACTCGATCATCCGCCAACCAATGGAATCTTTTAATGAACAATAATCCAATAAATAACATCACAAAAGTTGGCGAAAATTCATCTCGAAAAACTGTGAATGCGAGGCAAGTTTCAATTATTGCATGCCAAGTTCGTTCAGAAAGATGTTCTGCTTCAGCTGCTCGAAGTTCGCCGAAAAATATTGATCTAATTACTTCAAATGCCAAATATACAAGAACGAGCGCTTGAACATAAAGAACCTGGAAATGTTTGGGGGTTAATTTTCTGCATGAATGTTTTTTTAAAGAACTAACCGCCATACTCGCACTACTTTTCGAAATATATACAATTGATGGATAGAACTCTTTATGTAACACAAATGCGTTGGCAAACGTGACTGCCGAAGCCAATCCGGTTCCAGCAATCACAGCACCGGATGAAAAACGCATCTGCAACAAAAATATGATAAAATTCTGTAAGAAGAATTTTTTAAATCAATATAATATAATTATTATGTGGATAGAGTTAACCAACAATTATAAAAAGAGAAAAATAAACTGCAAATAAATTACCTTCATCAAAAAAATCACATTAAAAAGGAACGTCTAACCGGTGTGTATAATAATAGGTACATGATATTATACAGAAAAAAAATGAAGAAAGAAATAGCGAATCGAAAAAAAAACACACTCAATTAGGTCAAAAAGAGCACAAATACCACGAAAAATACCATGAGAACTCCGAAAATTTGGAGCATGAGCCAACGATTTTTGGAAATATTTTGAAGATAACGAACAAGTTCTGTATGAGCCATATCAATGTTGAGAGCTGTGTCTTCAACGTTTGAATCAATTCTGAAAAGAACAATTGTTTTTGAATTGATTGATATTAATATTTTTGGAAAAAAGGAAAAAGTACTCACCTAGTAATCATTTCACCTTGTTCACTAACAAGTGTTGCTAATTGAGAGAAAATTTGACCAAGTTCTGATATTGATCCTTCAATTGTTGCCATTGTATTACTACGATCTTGGGCGTATTGTAAACTTGTGTCTTGTTGTTGCTGAAAAAATGTTTCTTGTTTTCTAGACAAAACAATTGAGTGAAAATATCTTACCATTGTTTGTTGCATTCGATAATTTTCCAAACTTCCCATATCCAATGCAATACTTCCTGATCCATGTTCTTGATCATCTTGTAATAATCTTGATCTTACATTTTGCGATGGTCCTCCTCCTCCTCCTCCAGCACTAGCACCTCCTCCTAAACCAGAAGCCGAAGAAGATGGTAACCCCATTGGAACATGTGCTCCGCTTGAGAATTTATTTCTTCTCGTTTTCTCGGCCTTCATATTTTCCGTGCTAATTTCAATGACACTTTGGAAATCTTTCGAAACGCTCGCTAATTTCGATTGCAGTCCAACGACCACCAATTGACTGTGACCATTATTTTGATTTTTAACATTACCAGCTCTTCTTCGAGAAAATTCTTGAAGTGCTGCGATTTGCTTGTTGAGTCCCGTTATATCTTCCTTTACGATTGATGATAAATGTTCAATCTGAGATCTTTCTTCGTATAAACTTTTTTTCTTCGCAAATTCTGCAAGTTTCTCCATTTTCGCACATGTTTGACTCAAATCTCTTCCAATTCGTTTTGCTAATTGATTGAATTGTACAGATTCTTGAAGAACTTCGGATTTTTGTTGAGGACGAATTCCGTTCGCTGCGGCTTTCATCTAGAAATCGATATTTTTTTTGATTATCTGATTTGAAGTTCAAAAAATTGACTTACCTCAAAAGACTTTGCAGTCATTCGAAATTCACTAGTTCGATCTCTGGATGGCATTGTGAAATTTATTAAATCGTATGGACTTCCACAAATACCCAATTTATCCAAAACTTGAAGATTTTCTTTTTCGTCTGCTGCTGCTGTTGAATAATCGTCACCAGTTAGAGAAGAATAGGCAGCCGAAGGAGGATAAGAACTTGTGTCGTATGTTGAAGCAAGCGCTTCCTAGAAGAAAAAAAGATTTGGAAGATAGATAAAGCATGGTATCTTTTTTTTGAAGAAAATTATTGGAATGAAAAATGTCGCCGCGAAAAAATGGAAATACCTGTGCTGAATTCCAAAGTTGCGAGGCAGATGCGTTGAAAACTGTGGAAAATGAGCTGTATGCTAATCCTTTATTCTTTTGATCAGGATCTGTTTCAAAATTGACAACTGTTGAATAGTTGGCTGCTGAATTTTCTTGAAGTCGACGTCGAGATCTAATGTTGTCAGACATCCGACATCCCAGCTAACCCTGCAAAAAAATTTTTGAAAAGTTATTTTTTTCGTATAATTTGAAAAATAGAAAGTTGCGAGTTGTTTCATATTCCCAGGAAAAATCTTGCGTATTTATAAATTCTATTAAAAGATCATGTTGTTTATATTTACAGATAATTATCTCGAATAGAAAAACACAAAAACCGCGAAACACTGCGAACAAAAGAGACAACAACACACCCGTTCAAGCCACGCAATGAGTGTTTTCTACTGTAAAACGAAAAATCTGCGATTGAAAAAAACTGTGCAAACACTTTTGCCTAATTCTCTCTGTTCGCCGTTATATTTCGCACTACAGTATTAAAGGAACATGATACATTTCATGCGTTGGGTCTTGTCGCGATTGCTAACTTTCTTCGCAGGACCTCAAAAAATAAGAAAAGTAGCAAGTCAGGTAGAACTCGATGCGCTGATTATCATGCTATATTTAGTTTTTCATGAAGCTTATCTAGGTTTTGAGCTACAGGGTGCACCGTTTTTACAGCGTTTTGCTGATTTTTGTGTTGCTTGAGCGGGTGTGACAAATAAAATATACACACAAAAAAATAGCGGTTTTCAATCAATGAAACAAACAGACGAACAGACATGCAGCGTCTTTTTCGCGTCAGAAACACGCTGCAAAACATTTTTCTCTTCAAAATTTCCTAATTTTCTACTTTTTCCTGCGTAAAATCTCGAAAATTCTATCTGTTGTTTCATAGAATATTTAAATATTGAAATTCGGTTAATTTTCATACAAAAATCCCTATTTCAAATTTGAATTACCGTAGTTTCTGGACCACGTAATGGTCGAATTACCGTAGTTTACCCCGTAAATCGACACAAGATAGTTCCAATTGGAATGTCGTTTATTATTTACTTCCTTCATAAAATTCATAAAATCGTGCATATTTTTAGATGATTCTGAGGACATTGATTGTTATTGGAGTTTTGGCAAGCTTGGCGCAATCACACCAACCACAACAGTTTCCCGGTTCTGAGCAGGTTGGTGTTTTTAGATAATTTTGAAGAGAACTTCTTAAATATTCAGGGAGGTCAGCAAGCTCATCCACAACATGGACAAGCTCAAGCTCAACAACAACAACAACAACAACAATTTGGTGGAGAACAAGCTAAAGATGAACAGTGAGTGAACCATTTTTGTTTTTTGTGGGAAAACAAGTTTCGAAATCTGATTTTGATGAAAAAATTCAATAAAAAAAATTACACGTAATTTTTCAGCCATATAAAAGAGCATTTGGATGGAAAAGTTGATCCGACTGCTAATATGACTCCAGAACAACTACAATTCCATTATTTCAATATGCACGATTTGGATAAAAATGGAAAATTGGATGGAGTTGAATTGATCAAAGCTATTACACATTTCCATTCAGGTTTGTTGAGTTTTATTTTGGGCAACAAATTCAAAACAAAAAAATATTTCAGAAAACCCGGGACCACAACATAATGGAGCCGGTGCTCCAGCTCCAGCTTTACCTAGCGAAGTTGAACTTGAAACCATGATTGACAGTATTCTAAAGGACGATGATTTCAATGCTGATGGATATATCGATTATGGAGAATTTTTGAAAGCTCAAAAAATCAGAGAAGATCAAGCTAGAGCACATCAAGAATCAATGGCCAAAACAGCACAATAATCCAACAAAAAACAGCTATCATTTCTGTATACAGGTTATTTCTGGCTGCTAACGATTACTTCTTTAAGATTCTGTCTTTTTCCTAATCTAACACACTAAATGTATCATCCTGTCAAATTAAATCACAGCTCAGGAAAATGACTACTCCGGAGAAACACGAAAGGGGCTATTTTCTCCAGTGCTACCCAAGAATGCACTAATTCTCACCAAACTTCCCGAATTTACTCCGGAGAAACACGAAAGAGCCGTGATTTTCAGCGCTCGTCGATTTCCCCCTTTTTACTCCGGAGTAACTCTGGTGTTTCTCTTGATAGAAAAGGGGGAGCTCCGGTGCGATCAAAATTTCAAACTTTTGGATGCGCTGCGCTGCGTCGCGGTCAACTATTGATTTTTTGCATTCGATTTCATTTTTCGTTTTTCTTTTCTATTTTGAGTTATTTTTCTCAGAACCCATACGTTTTTTTTTGTAAATTTATGTTTCACATGTTTACTTCGCATACTTGAAGCTTTTTTGAATAAAATTACTATCTTTTTCATATTTTTCAGTCAAAATGGGCGCGCTGGAAGGAACTAAGATTCGAATGAATTTTTTTCGAGGAAGCAAGATTTGTTCATGGGATATTTAAGTGTTAAGGTATGTTTTTAATCAATCTCCGTATTTACATAAAGTGATTTTTACAGTCGACAACTGGAAAACAATTCATATTATGCATCAAATTGATGTCGCAATATGGACCACCGACCAAATGCAATTCAAAAGTGTATAATGTGAGTTTCTTTTCACTTCCTAAAAACCATGACATCTTACATTTCACGAAAATAATCTCAAAAGTTGGTTATTTATCTAAGATGGGAAATCGCTACGATTCCATCTTGAATTTCTCTCTCTAATTCTAAAAATGTGCAATTTTAAGTATATGTTTCATTTTCAGATCATAAAAGCGACAATCAAAAAACTTGATGTTACTTGGCAATAGTTATCAACGAAATATCGATCTACGAAGAAGGATTTGGCTATTTGGTTACCGAAGCGACCATATTTGTGTACTAAATCGAGCCTTAGTAATTATAATCATTTTAATTATTCAATAAAAGGTGAACTATACAACGTGTTTTTGATCAAGCGAATCAAAAAGCCAGCTGGGAATCTTCTGAAACGCACTGAAAATACATAGAAATTTACCCAATTCGCGCAAAACTTCTCTAAATCGCACCGAAATTCCCCCAAACCTCAACCGAAAACGCTCCAGAGGAGCGCCGAAGCGACCGTTTTTCTCCGGAGGAGCACCAGAGCGCACCAAACTACCCAAAAACTTTTCAGGAGAAAAACGAGTGCTAGCACCGGAGTAATTTTCGGCTTTCTCCAGAGCTGTTTATGTGTTTCTCCGGAGTATTCATTTCCCTGAGAGGTATTGACAAATTTGAATAGTCCCACTCACTTATCGCATTTTGTTGAATCCATAGTATTTATTTATTGATTGTTTCTTTAATAGCCCTCTAATTTGTACCATATTTGCATAATTTATTGTGATTTTCTGAGTTGTTGGCATCTTTCTTCTTTTTGCAAAAGCATAATTTCATAAATTCTTCTATTTTTTTAAAATTAAAATAGGAGTTACTTCACAGAAAAAATAAAATCGAAAATGACAAAAATAATAAATACTTATGCAACGTGTACAACGACGTGGAAATGTTCATTTTTATAATTTAAAACGTCATAAAATATTGAAAATTTATAACAAAAGGCCATCTCTTTCTCTCTTTTTTTCTTCTATACAAGTGGTTTGCTGATAATGCATTTTTCATATGAATTTTATAATATGAATACAAACAGTCGTGTGCTTTTATTAATATGTTGTTTATTGATTTTTACACTAAACGTGTCAGGTAATTTTTTTTGTTGGAATTTGGTTTGAAACTAATTAATTATTTGATTTTTTTGAGGTGAGGGATCTGGACATAATTTTGGTCAAAAGGATGATGTTCATGATGAAGAGTGAGTTTTAGAAATAAAATTATTGAAAAACCAAACTACAGTATGCATTTTTTGAACTCGGTAGTTTACTGTAATTAAATTTGTATTTTCTGAAACTTTTTTTTTGATTTTTGGTAAATTTCATTTCAGAGAAAAATTTTAAGTTGATTTTTTTTGAAAAAAAGCAATGTCGATTTTCAGACATATAAAACAGCATTTGGAAAATAAAATAGAAGTAGAAAAATTATCTGAAGAACAGCAGAGATTCCATTATTTTTCAATGCATGATTTGAACAAGGATAATTTTATTGATGGAATTGAAATCTTGAAAGCTTTGATGCACGAACATACGAGAACTGAGAATGGTAGGAAAATTATAGTCTTACCCAAAAAAAATATTGAATATTCAGATGCACCTGGGAGACCAGTTCAAAATGAAGTTGAAATCGAAAGACTTGTTGATGCTGTTCTTGAAGATCTTGATCAAAATGGGGATGGAGTTATTGATTATTCGGAATATTTGAAAAGACAATCGTAAAAATGTGTTTATTGGGTATTTTTAGGGTATGATTTTTTTGTTGCTGCTGAATATTTTCTAGTCATTTTTGTTCTCATTTGTTGGTTGAAACAATTGTAGAATTGCATTTCCTTCCTCTTTTGTTGGGATTTCATCTGTAAACTTTTTGTTTTTTGAATAAATTAATTTTTTGTTTGGAAATTTTTATAAATTTTTGAAAATGAAATACATATAATATTTTTTATATACTAGTAGCTTCCAAAACAAAAAAAAAGGAAACTCGACTTGCCTGTTGTTTAATTTTCTCACACTGTTTGAGCGGAGTGTCGTTACTCAGCATCTCCTGGCGTACAAAATGCGCACGATAACGTACGCTTTCTCTACACTCTTTCTACGCTTTTTGTACACTTGCCACTTTTTCGCGAGTGTAGCTACATTGTAGGACCGCGTTGCAAGCTTGTTGCGTTGCGGCTATTATTTTATTTTTCTTTTCTATTTTCTTTTTGGCCTAAAATTCTTTTTAAACGTATAAATCAGGTATCATGATAGTAAAATTATATCTGCGTGGATTCTAGAAGTTGAAAATAATTATTGAAGCTATCAAACAACTTATTCGTCAAAAAAATATCGTTTTTTCAAGAAAAACCTTGAAATAATTTCGAAAATTCATCCAAACTGCGAATCAGAGTTGACCGATAACATTCCTTCTATTTATTCTCGTTATTATTCTTTTTACACCTGAATTTGATTGTGATTTGTTGGAATTTCAGATCATCAAACCAACAACTCCTAGAATTTGCATCATGACGGCAGAAAAAAGGAGGAGAATCTTCACTGGAGTTCATCGAGGAGATGATTTTAAAGGTGAGGAAGACTACTAGGAAGACTAAGAATTCGGAATCTTACTGGCTAATCGCCTGTCAAAACGTAGGTGATCTGAAGTTGGCAGATCATTTCGTGGAGACGCCTCTTATAATTATGATAAGTAGTAATGTAATGGGACTTGGGATGTTTATGAATATCTAGAAAGTTGAAAATCATCCTATTTTTCAGGTTGACACTTGATGCTCCGCCTACACCTACGCCTCAATGCTAACATCGGGATAGTTTCGACCGAAGATTCACAGTCAAGTAACCTGAAAATCAACGACAACATGCACATGCGCTCCACAACCCGAATTCTACCTGCAACCCCGACTTCTACCACTCAACCCTCAACAACCAACACATTCTCAAAAAATCTTCGGAGAAATTAAATTTCTAACTTTTTTTATTATGTTTTGAAGATTTTTGTTATTATATTTATTTAATGTGCTAAAAGTCTATTGATCCATAAATGATTTGTTATATTTTCTAGTTTTAATCTCTCCTAAATCGCAGCGCAAAAAGAAAAATCGATTCGAAATTCGGTGTACGGTATTCGTTCAAAAAAAGGAAAAGTGTAGGATCTTTGTAGAGTTTTTTGTAGGATGTGCGTACAATGTTTGTAGCGTGCGTCATACAACAATGTAGCTACACTTTTTGAACGAAAAGCGTACACAGAATTTCGAATTGATTTTTTCCCTTTTGCGCTGCGAATTAGATGAGGTTGAAACGAGAAAATATAACAAATCATTTATTAATCAATATACTTTTAGCACATGAAATCAATAAAATAACAAAAAATCATGAAATCATAATAAACAAATTAGAAATTTAATTTTTTCGACCATTTTTGAGAATGTCTTGGATGTTGAGGGTATGTTGAGTGGTTGAAGTCGGGGTTGAGAGCTAGAAGTCGGGTAGCGGAGCATATGCGTATTGGCATTGATTTTCAGCGGACTTGACTGATATTCTTCCGTTGAAACTGTCCCGATGTTAGCATTCGACGTAGGTGTAGGTGGAGCATCAAGTGTCAACCTGAAAAATAGGATGATTTTCAATTTTCTAGATATTCATAGACATCCCAAGTCCCATAACTACTACGTATAATCATAATTATAAGACGTCTCCATGAAATGATCTGATAACTTCAGATCACCTAAGTTTCGACAGGCGATTAGCCGGTAGGGTTTCGATTTCCTAGTCTTCCTAGTACTCAAGTTATACTCACCTTTGGAACCATCTCCTCGATGAACTCCAGTGAAGCTTCTCGTCCTTCTTGCGGCCGCCATGATGCAAATTCTAGGAGTTGTCGGAATGATGATCTGAAATTCAACAAATTACGATCAAATTCAGGTGTAAAAAGAATAAGAACGAGAATAAGAAAAAAGAATGTCATAGGTAAACTCTGATTCGCAGCTTGGATGAATTTTCGAAATTTTCAAAATTATTTCAAGATTTATCTTGAAAAAAACGATACTTCTTTTGACGAAAAAGTTCTGTGATCACTTCAAAAACCATACTCAACTTCTAAAACCCATGTAGATCTAGTTAGACTAACATGATACCTCATTTAGACGTTTTGAAAAGAAATTTAGGCCAAAAGAAAAGAAAAACAAAAATAAAATAACAGCCGCAGCGCACACAGGCTTGCAACGCGGTCGTACAATGTAGCTACACTCGCGAAAAGTGGCAAGTGTACAAAAAGCGTAGAAAGAGTGTAGGGAAAGCGTAAGTTATCGTGCGCATTTTGTACGCCACGAGATGCTGAGTTATTTTTACAAAATTGCGCGTAGGATTTTGTGTTTGCGGGCATTCGGTGTTGACACACACTCTTATTTTTTTCGTTTTTTCTTTGTCTGTCTGTCCGCTCGACCTACTTTTGTGCCCTAGATTTAATTTAAATTTAAATAATATATAATTTGACGTGAATCATTTTGCTCATTTTTGATTTTTCAAAACCCTCGGATTACCGTCTCAATTTTTTGAAATGTATCGTGAGTTTCTATAGAGATTATATAGATTTTAAATTTTATCCCAAATCCAAAAATAATCATCTCACTACATGCTTAGGTTTACTTTCAGAGCTTTCCAATATTCACACCTTTCTTTACTTTTTTGTTAAATTAAAAATTCCTAACCTAGTCCCGCAATTTTTTGAATCACTGTAGATCACGCGCGATTTGACTATCCTTTTTGTCTCTTCTCTCTCGTATGGGCCCCCATATTTTGAAATAGCGTTTTGAATCAATAAAAAAACAACCAAACGAAATTCAAATTGAAATTGAAATTATTTTTCAGATTGGTCGTGGATGGAAATATTTGAGATAATTTTTATTGGAAAGCATGAAGCAATCCATCAATTTTGAGTGATGAAATGATCGAAGAACGGACGAAATTTCAAAGGTTAGTTCTTTTTTTGGGTTGGATTGAGTAGTGAAGTTTTTTTAGTTGGAGGGAGTTCTGTAGAGTTCGAAAATTTTTAAACTGATTTGCATTTGAATCGAGGATGCTTTTGAAAGAAAGTTTTAGTATCTTTTAACAACTTTGAGGTCGGGAGAAAAAATATTTCTTTTTTTTTGAAATATAAACTAGGCATGTGTTGTTTCTAAAGGTTGTTAGAACTTTGAGGAGACAAAAATGGAGATATATTGGGGATTTTTGTGGATATGGAAAAGTATCTTGGTGAAAAAATGAAACAAAGTTATTTCATCAAAAAATTGCTTGATTATAGTAACAATAAAGCCGAAATCATGTTTTTATTTTTATTTTTTTATCGTTTTTTGAAGTTTGTTTTTGTTATGTGATTGAAACGACCGGCTTTCGCCGTTTTCTTGTTTTTCTGAATTTTTGAATGTGGTTCACGTTGAAAAGTATTTTTTAAGTAAAAATTATTCCAAAATGTTTTCAAAGTTCTTACCTAAACCCAGAAATCGTTTCGCTAAATCGAAAATTTTAACTTGTTTTCTCTCCGGTCTTTCCTTATCGAAATCAGTGTCTTCTGTTTTCAAAATCGGAAATCCTTGAATTTTCCGAAGATCATAAAGATTCTCTTGATTTTTATTGTTCGATGACATCAAATCACCGATTTTATACATCACTGGAGGCAGGTTTTTGGCTAAAAAAAATTGTTTTCACTGAAGAAATTGTTAGGATAAACTCACAAGGTAGAGAATTCACAACTCTCGAAGAAGAAGATGGAAAAGACATTTGAGATGGAAATTGATTTGTTTGACTGTACGGGATGAGACTGAATTTCTGAGAATTTTGAGATTTTGGATGAAAAACAGGTTGCGGTTGAATATTTGGTTCATAATGCATTCTTCTTGATTGATCTATATGATGAAGTTCCATCATATGAGCAATTGATGAAACTATTTGAGTAAGTGGAGAATATTCCTATAATTATCAGATTTTCAGCAAAAAATTTCGAAAATATTTTAGATACCAATTCAAACCCATTATCAAATGGATTTCCAAACATTGGATATTGAATAGGCATAAACATTACAGGTTGAAACATTTGTGAATGAACAGAATTAATTACAAGGAAACATACAAAGCTGTACATTTTCCAAAAAAAACTGTGTTGAGTTATTTTATATTGAAAACCAAACGAGAAATGGGTCATCGCACTTATGAGAAAATGAATGAGAACGAAAATGAAAATTAAATATGATTTCGAAAAAAAATGTCTGGTAAAAATAAAATTTATTCAAAAAAATAATCAAAACATTATTATGTTTTTTGTCAAGAAAGACATTAACCCGTAAATAAATAAACTCAAAAAATCAATTCCTACATAAATATTCACAATTAATTAATTAAACAACTTGAAATTAGATGAGATAAAATAATCACTCAGGTTTAAGAATGTACAAAAATGGATTCAGTTGATCTGGCCGTTTCGCAGGAACTCGATTCACTTCTTGAACTATACATTTTACCCATTCATCAGAGCTCAATTTGCGATTTCGATCCAAATCGCAGGTTTTGAAAAAGTTTCGCGAACAATGTCGCGCATTTTTCCATTCTAATAATATTGATTTATATGGTTTCCACTCGATTCGTTCAAGTACACCATTATTATTTTTATCCAATTGATTGAATTTCCATCGAATTGCTGTATCTCGACCAATTTTAGACGTTCCATCTACAATTTTTTTTATTTTATTTTTTTGGTTAAAGAAATGTTCAAAGAAAAACTCACTTCCCAAAATCATTTCAGTTTTAATAGTTGCAATAAGTCTTCTCAAAAATCGTTGTCTTCTGTTAGCTTTACATCGATTCTTCTTTTTATTTTTTCTAGTCTCAATAATTACAGTAGTCACTTCTGGACATTTTGGCTTCCCATGAAATGTGTTGGTTCCGATTTTTGGTTCTCCGGACACTTCATCAACACACCAACAATAATTCGATATTTCATGACATTGAACACGTTCATAATATCTGAAGAAGTTATTGGAACTTGTGTTTTTTATTTAAAAAAATACTTACAAAGGATTTCTTGTTGAACAAACTGGCACATATATTTTAGAATCTCCTGAACTTTGACGAAGTCTTGCCTTTTGTCTTTGAGATGCACAATCAAGTCGAATAACTTCTTCAAAACGTCTTCGACCAGTTGGATTTGTTTCACTTATATCAAGTATTCCTGAAAACTTTAGAACAAGTTTTTCTAGGTGAAACTTTTTAAAGCTAACCTAGGCCTGATCTGCTGGAAGAAATTGGTTGCATTTGGAGTTTTACGATTAAAAAACACAAGTAGATGAAAACAGATGATTGCATTCTGAAAATCGTTTTTATTTTCCTAAGATTAAGAAAAAAATAAAATCCAACAAGAAAATGCGTCATAGTTGAGTTCAAAAAAACAATTCATGAAAACCCTTCCATCTTATGAAAATTCAATTATCGGCTGCAAAAAACAACAAGTGCAAATTTCTTTTTTTTTCTCAGATTTAGAGTTGTGGGTGGGCGAGTTGAACAATTTCCGGTTAGCATTTTCCAGCGGATATGATGTTTTAACTCAAAATATCCAAAAAATGACGAGATTTGTACTTTGAGAGAAGAAGAACTTGCAAAATAAACATAAACTTCAAAAATAGAATGTAGTTAGTATGGGATAAATGAAATCAGAGAAATTTTATGTGTGTACTTTCAAAGATTGAAACTGAATTTAAAATTTCGAAAAAAAATAGTTTCAAAGTTTTGAAGAGATTCAGAATTAGATACTGTATCTGGATTTAATAGAGAATTCTACAGTACTTTAAGAAGTTATAAAATTACAAAGAACTTAGGATAGCTGTAACTACAGTATTCCAATAGAGTACTGTAGAAACTAACTAAATGTGGAAGGATACTGTAGAGAACCGTACTACAAAGTTTAAAAAAAAAATTTTGGTTCAAAAATAAATCCGAAAAAAATCCTCGTGAAAAGTACATGCTTGTTCTTCTCATTTTCAAATTCGTTTTTTTTCGGAACACAAACTCAATTAAAATGTTTTGGGAAAAAACAATGACGTGATGAATGGAAAAATTCTAGACTAAAATGAATCACAAAAGTATTTTCTTCACTGTCAATTATTTATCAAGTGACAACATTTTTTCTTGAAACATCATAAAAATTTGATAAATGTTTCAAGCTCAAAAAAATTTAAAATTGATTTTTTTCAAAATTGTTTTTTTTTCTCTTTCAAAATCCAAACATTTGGAAAAAATCGATTACCTAACTAAATAAAATCATTTCAAAAATCGTTAAAACGAAGAACAAAAAAACAATAAAGTAGAAAATAGTAGAAGGAAGAAAATCGGAACGGATGACTGGATCTAGAGGTCGCACTCATAAAAACGACAATTAAAAAATCGTAAATTTTCTCAGATTTTTTGACAAAAATATTTATACACACACATTTTTTTTTTGTTTGTGATAACATGGCTTGGCTCCAGACTGGTTGGCTCCAAATTGGATAATTATCATTAATTTTTTTGTAACCGAATTGAAGAAAAAAAAAAAGAAATTTGAGAAGTTTTCAAACGCTACACGGTAAATAATGTAATCTGTTTGGCAAATAAATCGGAGAAAATCTTTGTAAATTCTTTTATTTTCGGACAAAAATATCATTTTGATGAATCACAAAAAAACGGGAGTCTGAAATATTTTGCAAAGAGTTCCAATCATTTTTTCTAATCACAAAATTAGTTGATCAAGATCATGTGTTCCCACACATAACATATACTCCCGGATTTTCATAATTTCAATCACCTATTCCATAAATGTAATGTGTTCCAATTAAAATCGGAAGAACTATAAATTGATCCTCATTTGATCAATGTTCACACACAACTGAAATGAATTCACTAATTTTCTTATCATTTTTCATTTTTATTTCCAAATCTAATTGTTGTATAAGAACACAATCATCAACTGCAATTGTCGCCGAAACAGTGAGTCAATTGTTTCTGAAAAAAATTTTGAATTTTAATTCTATGTTTTTGTAGTGTGATATGAGTATCACGAACACAAATCAAGAATCTGATGTTGGAACTAATTCACTACAAGCGTAAGTTTGTTTTATTAGTTTATGGAAACATGAAAATGTGGAAAAATACCATTCAATTGAGACGCTTTCAAAAAAGTATAATCATAATTAAACACAGTAAGCTTTGCTGTGTAGATTTTTCTCAAAGTATCCTTTGAATAACGTGATTTCAATAGATTTTTGAAAATTAATCTATTTTGGAATTAAAACAGTTTGTGTTTTCAGGGATGGGACTCTCTCTGTTCAATGTGTGGATACGATTGGCAACCATTTTGTGCAGGTAGGATTGCATGTAAACTTCTTCAAAATTTTAAATTCTCTTTTAAGATTACTAATTATGTTGACACGTTATGCGGTGAAATAAGTCTCACATGCAGTGGAACAACATGGATGTATGAATCAGAGTGAGTCAACAAATAAATAAAGCATCTCCAAATATTTTCTAGATCCGTCACACAGTACTACTGTTCTTCAGATTCTTGTACTCCATAAAATGTTTTAAAAAACCAACGTGGTGCAAGAAATATTTATTTTTCTTCTGATAATTATTTTTTGAAGATTCAATAAGTTACAGAAAAATTGATATGTGATAAACATTTTACTGTAAAACAGAAAAATGAAATTACAATTGTGTTGATCCTTACTAGAGAAGTCTGGAGAAGATTTTCGATCAGAAACTAAAACTCAACAAGATTTTCCATATTCAATCCACACACCCTGTTCAATTTTTCCTGAATTCTCCCAATTGCATGATTCAGCTATTCTCATTTGTTCAACTTAGTAGATCACAATAAATTTCATTCACCAAACAACTTTCTTTCTGCAACCCCTCTCATTTTTTCCATTTATTTTTTTGGTCACTACATAATAAAAACTTTGTCATTGATACCACGTGTGTTGATTTCTTGAGTGGAGGTGTACTCATCTGAAGATAATAAGAATTCGGCGAAGTTCAAAAAACCAACAGGAATCTGCTGCAGAAAAAAAGGAAGACTTTGTTCGCCTTCATTCTTTTTTGTCTTATCATTAAAAATCTAATCAATCACATAAATATTTTATTTATCTCTATGTATTTGTCTTATTTTTCCCACCGAGACGCGCGCAGATACATACGCAATCCACGTGGATGAATTAGATCAAATTTGCACGTGATAAGAAGAAGACATTGTATGAAGAGAGAGTGAGAGAGAGAGATGAAGAGAAGAAAATTTATTTATTCATGAATCAAATCAATGTATGTGTACATTCAGAATCAGTGGATTTTGAAAATATAAATCCTGAAGGCATAGCCAGAATAGAAATCTGAACATTTAGGCTTCCGGGCAAGGGAAAGCTGGAATTTCAGCAAAAATTGAAAATCTGAAATGTTTGGATCAGCCCTAGGCTACCGTAGTCCTTGCAGTTCAGGGTGCTGTATGCCTTGGAGTCTCAGACGTTCAACTACAGTAATCCTTGCAGTTCGGATGCTGCTGTAACCGTGAGGCTACAGTAATCCTTGCAGTCCGGGTTCCCACCAGGCGACCTAGGACTTCGAGATACAGTATCTCGTGTTTTTGAACATACCGTAACCCCAAGCTACCGTAATCTTTGCAGTTCGAGAAAGCAAAAAAAAGTATATTTTCTCTTACTTGATTGAACTTACAATTTACTACACTCTTCTCAATTGAATGACAGTTTTTATCATTTACTTTTCTCAAGTACAATTTTATTATAAATCGGTTTGCACTCCTTATGAAAGAAAAAATGAAAACCGAAAATCATAACGGTTTCTGATGTTTACCATAGTAGATAGACCTTTGAACCCACCCGATAATATCCAAATATCCGATCACATGTGTACAAAACACGTGCAAAATTATCACATTTCTTGTTTTCTACAAAATCAATAATGTCTTCTTCTTCTTCTATCTTGTTTATTTGTTCCAGTTTTTGCGGCCAATTCGCAACATTTTTCTCATCTTTGCAATTTCAGTGGGAGGAATCGAGAAACAAATTAACGTCATATGTATGATTACGTGACTTTTCGAATTATTTTCAGGGAAGAAGTGATAGGAAAGGACAGATGGAGAAATGGAAGTTTCTAGAAATTTTTCGGATTTCTGAAAAATCGCTGGGATGAAAGATCTATTTTTCAGCTAAAGATCCAAAATTTTGGCCGATCTAGATTTTTGGTCAAGCCTGATTGTGAATCTAGATTGGATTTCTCAACAGAAAAATTGCGATTCTAATTTTTTTCCAAATTTTTTTGACTCCAACATTTTATGTGTAGTGTTGAACTCATCAGGAAATAAGAAATAAAAAATGCAATTCATCAAAAACCAACACAGATACCGTATTTCGTTGAAACGCTCTCCTCACAATCAAACAAATGTCTTTATGTTTTTTGTCATACACGTGAAAGAAAAACCCGTCAAATATAAGAAAAAACGAAAACAATTAGGGTCAACAATGACTAGAATATTTGGGATCGTAGTATTTACAGGGAATACCATGAAGAGGTAGGTTGTCATAGTAAATGAATGAAAATATGAATATGAAAAGGGTTGAAGAAGAAAAGTGAGTATAATAATAATAATGGATTTGGATTCGAAATGAAATCCAGGTTCAGGTTCAGATTCAAATTCAAATTCAAGAAGAGAATAAGAACTTTTTGGCTTGTGAAATGAATTGTGGAATAATAAAAGTTGAGCGATCATCATCGTGAAGAATTCCAATTTCATATTTAGCCAACATAACTCGAGCATCAATTGAATGCCCAACAGATTCGAATGCATCAGTTGCATCTCCTCCAGCCTAGAAAATTATTATCATTAATTAGATATTGATCGATTAAAAATATTGATTACTTACGTATTCTAAAAGAATCTCGGCGCCTCCTGGATGAGTATACAAAAAATCGGTAATATCATAAACATAATCACCATAAATAATCCAACAATCATCATCTGAACAATGCATATTGACTTCTTTTCTGGTGAAGATTGCGGACATTTTTAAACAGTTTTTTTTCAAGTTTGATAGGCGCTCTGAAAATTTGAAACTTTTTCATGATTGAATGATTTTTCAGTTGCGAAATTGTTATCAAAGTGAAACTTATGGGGAATTCCCAACCTCGCATCGTTTTTATATCAGAAAAAATTGGACTCCGCCCACAACCTGGGTACATTTACATTCTAAAGAACATTTCAGCCACGTGAAACGCGCGGCGCCACGTGCAGAGGCGGTTCTTCGCAGTTGTGAAGTAGCCAGGCAGGCCGCCACCGCGCGTTTCAACGAAACGAATTTGATTTTTTGGGTGCGTGTGAATAGAGGGGATTGCACGATGATTTACGATTATGGGAATATTCTGTGAATGAAAAATGTACCATGGAATGAAAATTTTGGGGGATGATAAGATAAACAGAGATAATACAAATCAAATTTATTGAGACGGTTTCATTGGTTTATTTTATATCACAATGAAAAACTTTGATCTTCCAACGTTTTTTTCAAAGTTCAAAAATATTTATTTGAGAAAATTCCTGAATGATTTTTTGAACTTTCTAAACTGTTTCAACGCCGAGAAGTTATGCCCAAATTAAATTAGGTTTCTGAAGTTTGATTTGTTTTGTCGGTTGCACTTTTTTTCTCGATCTTCGGTTTTTTAAAAATATGATCTTGAAATACTATGTGAGGCAGAAAAATTAATTGAATAATGAGTGGAATAAAGACAGATTTTGATTTTTGAACTGATTTTTTGTTTGATCATTAGAACAAGAGTAACTAGAAAATAGTTCATAAAGATCAAAGTTCTGGGAGAAGATTTTGGAATTTTGAAATTTATTGTTAGCCTTGTTTCAACGCACCATCGAAAATTGGAGTGCGCCTTTTAAAGACAATTTCGACTCACAAAAAAAACGCAGCGTGGCCGAGTGGTTTGCGCATCCGCCGAGCTTTTGCGAAAACCAGGGTTCGACCCCACCCGCCGCCCAACTTTTTTTCATTTTTTTTTTCATTTAGCTTTGTTGGATTTTGAAAACCCCACCTGAACTTGGACTAAAACTGAAGTGTGCCTGAAGTGTCCCCAAGACCCCCTCTCATATGTTTTTCTCAAAATTTTGCAGATCATGAGGTAACAATACTATTTTTATATCAAAAATTGCAATTTCCTCAACTTTTATTTATCTCAAATACAAGAGGACCGAACTTTGATGCGTGTACCTCTTCTTTCCATTTTCATTTCATTTCAATTTATCAATGGATTTGTATGATAAGCCGTGTCTGCAAAAACGATCAAAAGATGCTAAATGAATTCTCTCCACTTCATTCACTCATTCATTTAATTTCGAACACTATCAATCAACAAATTATATAATTTTACAAAATTTCAATCATGTGAACATTTTTGTTGTAACAAGAAATGGGTCATGGGGTTGGGCTGTTTTTCGAAATTTAAAATAAAAAATTGAAAAGATACTAAAAGAGAGTGCTAACAAAGTTCAAATGACCGTGAGTTGCAGTTCTTCCAATATATTTTTTGATCTTACAAAAATATTTGTAAACAAGAAGTGTCTACAAAATATCTAGATGATGAAAAACCAGAATGAATTTATTTATTTATTTTCTTGGCTTGGTTCATGTGACAACAAAAGAAAACGACAACAATTTTGATTGTACGCAAATTTTACACTGCTTCTTTTGCTTCTTCTTTTTCTGATACAACGGGGGATGCCCAATTTATTTATTTGTTAAAACATGATTTTTGCACGAGGAAAAAATTCCGATAAGAAAAAAGTGTAAAAGGGGTTTTTCAGCTTTCGAGATCAATTTTCTATTAGATTTTCTTCATTGACAAGAAAATAGTGTATCATTTTATCATTTCTGAAAGTTTTCCCACATCCACATGGCAGTTTTTTGTTGCTGGCGACGTCACAGATAGGAGAGAAAAATCGTCCATTTTTTGCGCGGTTTTGTTCCATTGATTATCAAAAATCATAGTTCCATCATATCATTTTGTTTCAAAAAAAAATACTTCAGACGATAAAAATTCCCCAAGAGGAGAAAGTCTAATTGATCAGAAGATTTTATTTTGGAAAATAAAATTATTTTGAAATTATTTTGAAAACAAAACACGTGGTATGACGTGGCCTTTGGGAGTTAATTTTAATTTTTTTGTGGAAAATTTGTGGAAATGAACTTTGAAGGTGGACAGGAAGATATTTGATTTCACACTCTGGCAGATCCAAAAAAATTTCCAAATATTACTGTACGCAAAAGTGCGTCGCAGTGTTTGCACACACGAATCCGCTTGTCGTGGTTGCAGTTTGAAATTTTAAACTTCCATGTTTTCACAATTTTCACTAATTAACTATTTTTCAGAAAAAAGCTTGAAGAAACCGTAACTGAAAAGATATTTGTGCTCACTGCTACCGTAATCCATTTTAGTTTACCAAAAAATCGAAAGAAAAATCTTATCAAGGAAATAGTTTTCACTTTCCTTAGCTCCTTACGTTCCAAAAAAACCATTTTATTTATTACCGTATTGAAAACCAGTAGTTTTTATCAAGCAAAACCCTTTTTATCTTATCACTTTTTGTCTCGCAGGAATTAATTACACCCCGAAACCTTTCTAGTTTGAAACCTGAAAAGCATTTTTCATTTTTGTCAACAACAAAAGTTGTAGATGGAACCCTAGCTGAAATTCACATGATTTTATTTTTTATTTCTTCATTCACCAATATTATTTCATAACAAATAAATAAATCATAAGTTGCCTTCCGGAGAGAGGATCCTTTTCAACGAAATCAGTAGAAATATGTTTGTTTTTTTTTCAGAAGAAAATAAAAAATAAAAAAATGGAATCAAAATCAAAATTAAATGTAGTAGCACAAAATAAATATATACAATGAATAAGTGGATGAATAAAGCGGAATGTGGAAAAAATATGTATTCAAGGAATCGGGTCTTTACATATTTTCAGGGGATCATCTGACACCCATAAACTTGAATTTTCAAAAAAACATCTGAAAATAAACGTGGCCCGATTCCTCACAAATCCAAAAATTATTCGGGAGATTGAATTGCATGCCATTTGGAGACTGTAATTCCAGCACCTTGCATCATTTGTTGCCAATGTTCATTTGCATCTGGTGTTGAGCTGGCGAATCCGATTGAAATCGAACCGATTTGTTGTTTTCGTCGAAGAATTCCCGAAACTGTCCAAACTTCGATTTTGATTGTTGATGTTTCGACTTTGTCTTTTAAAAACTGCAAATTATTTATTTATTTATTTATTGTTGTCTCTCTTATTTTTTCTAAAAAAAATTCTGTTTCCGCGTACATTTGTTTTCTGATTTGCCCCTTCCCTGCCCCTGTCAATTTCTAAAAACAAAACAAAAAAATGTTTCAGTCTCTCCACATTTTTTTACGATTCCAAAAGCAAATTACCATAGCAACAAATCTTTGTTTGTTTTATGAAAAATGTATGAAGTTTTTGCACTTACCCGAATCGAGCAATGATGGCTGTAAACTGGCTGAGTTGTATGTTTCACAGTCTCCGTCTTGTTTCTGGACAATTCCGTGTTGAATTCGTCGAGTCCAAGAATTCGAATAAATGAATCTGGTGGATGTGAAACATCACTTCCAAGTGACGATGCTTTATCAATTGTCACCGACACAACTTCGTGTTTATCATCGTAGCAAAGGCCAACCAAAATCTGAAGAAAAAATTGAGGATTTGAAATAATCTACACAAAAAATAGATATAGATACTATGTACCTCAGGTGATCCACTCATTGGTTGACTGCAAAATCTTCCAGTTGCATCAACCATACTACTTCTTCGACTGTCTCCGTTATGTCCATTTCTAGACATACTTCCATTTGAATGCATTGATGGCTGGAAAAAATAGAAATAGAATGATAGTCCAGCAGATTTTGAAAGGTTTTCTATGTCTATTTTTAGCTCAAAATTTCTAAAATAAAAATTATGCAGGTGAAATTTAAAATTATAACTTATGTAGAAGAAGTTTTATGAAAAGAGGAAAATTTTGAGAAAAAAAATTAGGATTTGTTTTTTCCAAAGGTGAATCGAGTTACTCAAATTTGTAAAGTTCAGTGTAACTTAATTTTTACGCAAATAAATTTTTTTTCAAAAAGAAAGGTTCCCATGGCAAAATTTTTCAAACTGGTAATTATTTATATTTGAGAACTACAGTACCCTGATGAGTTTTTTCCATCAAAAAACAGCAAAAATGAAAAAAAGTACATTATCCATTTACACACACACACATAAAAAGACACCCAAACATTTATAATTGAAAATCGACTTGCTCTTGTTCTTCTGAAAAAGACATTTCAATAGTCTTCTTCTTCTTCTTCTTCGTTTTGTTTTTGTTTATGTGTGTATTTTATGGGGTGCTGCTCTTTTTATACGCTTCGACCACCCGCCATCACTAAACTCGTAAAAACACACAACACACACAGAATAATGAGAACGAAAAAAACATACGAGAAAGACAATAGAATTTAGGATTTTCTCATGGGAAGAAGAATCATTTAGGCGTTGATTTTGAAAATAAATAGAGGAATCTCTGGTTTCAAAATTCGGGTGTTTTAAATATATAGTTTAATTTCTCGGATCACATTCAAATTTCTTCGAACTTCCAAAAAAAAACTTTTATTCGGATCCGAATTTGGGGCCCTAAAAATAATATGACTGTGCTAATCCAGGCCTAGGATCAAAGATTAAATCACCCGCGACATAACAAAAGGCCCTTTCAAAAATATTATTTTGTGCCACCAACTTTTAGGTCCACATTGAGAGCTTTTCCTGGGTGAACCAACCTTTGAGCCTTTAAAATTTTGACTCATTTTTCAAAATACAGATAGAAAATCCGGTCACATTTTCTGGAGTTTCTCAGAGTTTCAAAAATCTCAAATCCCACATTTTTCCCTCCTCAAAGATCATCCGTTCCATCTCGTGAAACATTTTTTTCTATTAGAAAATGGAAACAAAAAAAAACTAATTATTCAAATATATCAACTTTATAAATATTCATGAAGAAAGTTTTCAAAGTTCTCCGAATTTATTTTTCATTTTTCTCATTAAAATGAAACTCCCAGAGGATTTTTTATAGGATGAAAAAATGATGTGGAGTTCTGAAAACAGAACAAAAATTGAGAAGAGGCGGAAAACAGGTGAAATATGTGAATAATTTGACGAGAATATTTTTGGAGAGAGTGAGAGATCTTTTGAAAAAAAAATAAATATGGTAACTTTTTGAGCTTATTGTTAATTTCGAAATTATTATGCATGCAGGAGGGAAAAAAAGAAGAAAACGATTACTGAAAATTTCGTATGTGTGTGAAATGAGGTGAGAGAAGGGATATAAATGAAAGAAAATAACAAAACAAAACGCATATTTTGTTGTGTTTTTTTTTGTTCATTGGATATACTCGAAATTTCCCATCAAAAATCCCTTCGCAGACATTTTTATTCTTGAAAAAACGACAGACACAACAAAGAACATAAAATATTCATAGAGGACAGGACAAAAAACAATGATAAATTGGAGGAAATTCAATTTTTGGAGAAAAAATAACATCTAGAAATTTTTGCACTTGTGTCTGATCTTGCGAATTCTGACATTTCGGAAGTTTAAATGGTTTTTCTAATAAAAAAATTCTGAACCAAAACTTAAAATTCTGAAAATCAGGATCTAATATTTTTTGATGATCATGTTGGAGAGGGGCAATTTTCAGAATTTGAAAATAAAACTTTCTGAAAAATCGTCAGCTTTGAATTCTGAAGAAAACATTCTGATCGAGTATTTTTTGCAAATTTCTTCTTCGCAATTCGAAATTTTGAAATTTTCTTGCAAAATCAAGAGTGGGCTTTTTTGACTGTCATTTTCAGGTAGTTTTGGAACTGGAATTCTCGTGTCTTCATCCCCATTCATTCCTCTTCTCATCTCGAAAACTATAGAAAACTCTCATTTTTGTTGGTTTTTTTTGTCGCCCACAACATTTTTGTTGCATCCTCCCTCGAATATAATTGGAAATGTTGCCTCTGGGACTTCCTTTAGACGAGGGTGTCAAAATTGAATTATTTTATTTTACCTAACTCAATATACTCTGAACTTTTTTCTTCCCTCCCAATTTTGCTATTTTTAATATCAGCTATCTCTCTTGATAACTGTTATTTGAAATTGTTTTTCATTTTTCGAATTGTTTTCAATTAGCTGATTTCGATTGGGAATTCAGAATCGTACTCAAAACAAGTTTTTTTATTTTTCCCCAAACTAAAATTCTCAAATCCCACAGCATTTTTTCATGAAATTCGAAACCATATTATATTTTAGCTCATATTTACCAAGCAATTTCGAAATTCCCCCGGTTTTCGTTTTTTTTTCCCGAAAAACTCCGAGGAACAAAAAAAACACAACAAAAACGGAGAAATCACTAATCCACGGTGTGTTAATTAGAAAAATGGAGGAAGAAAAAGAAGAAATGAAAGGAACATTTTATGTACTTTTTTCTATTTTGTTTGTTGTTTTGTTGCTATTTTCAGACAACAAAAATAACAAAACTGGAAAAAAATGCTTGGAATTGTTTAAATTCAGAGCTTCTTGAAATGGATTTTGTAGCGAGAATGACTCTGAAAATTACAGCCATGAAATCTAGATTTTTCGAAATTCTAGAAAAAAGTTCTGAAATCTTTTGAAGTTTTTAATTTTCAAATTTTAGAATTAATTTAATAGAATCTTCTGAACTACGGTTGAAATTCAGAATTCTAAAAAAAATCTTCGAAAAATCTACAGTATCAAAAATCTTCCCACGTCATTTTCAGGAAGAAAGTGTTTGGCCCTGGAATGAAAACTGATATGGCCTAGAAAACCAAATTATTGTATTTTGGTTTTCTCTTCCACGACTCAACTAGACCCTTCTAAACTAACCGAAATTGGCAAAAGAGTTGGCTCCAACATTGTCGATTTTTGAGATCCAATAACTTCCGAACACGAATCGGAAGAACTTCGCGAATCGCTCAACTTTCGTCTGAAAATAAAATAAAAACAGGAATAAAAACAATAATAATGAGAAAAATAGAATTGTTATGTGGACCATAAATTCTTCTCTTATAGAGAGAATTCATTTTTCATATATATTTTTCTCTATAGAAACGACAGAACTGGAAAAAGAATTCGAAAAGATTAGACTTTTCCTCCTCCAAAACATTTTTTTCTGTTTTCTATAACACGCAAGAAAATTGGATTAACAAGATTTCATTATTGTTTTATTATTATGTAATGCAAATGCATAAAAAAGTTTTAATTTCCGGCCGGATATTAGATGAATTTTTGGAGAATGTGGGGAGAAAAAAGAAAAAGAATAGAAGACATTTAAGAGGATTTTTGGATTTTTGCTTAAGAAAATGTGAAGTATCCTAGGACAGCCAAAAAAAATATAAAATAAAAAAAATGATGTATGTTTTTGAACTATGATGATTTAGAAGAAGAAGAAATTCGAACTTGGATTAGAAATAATTAGGGAAAATATGGATTCCTAATAATGTCATTCTGATATCTAATTCTACTTCCTTCAGAAAACTGAATAAATTGTTCAAGTCCTTTTCCTCAGCGAAGCTCTGCCCTTAAATAATTTTCTTTGTGGGCGGTCCGAAGTTTGTCAAGAAATCAAATCGTACTTGCCAATTAAATCCCACACTCACAGTTTTTATTTTATTTCAAAAAAATTATTTTTTTCTGAAAACCAACCTGAAATCAAATGACATTTTCGGTCGAAAATCTCTTCTCGCAACACAACTCAATGAAATAAAAAAGTCAGTGAGTGGAAACAAAAAATGGGCGGAGCAGCAAAAAAAGAGTCGCGTCGTCGCGCAGTCAAAAAAAGCAAGCAAGTAAAAAAAAAGAAAAACGGAAGGAAGGAAACTGTGGAAGAAGCTCAATTAGGTTCAGTAATTTGCGGAAGTTTCACAAGAAAGCGAAAAAGATCGAGATTTTTCAAGAAAAAGACATCTTTTTGTGTCTGAAAGTTCTTGGATTGAACTTTTTTTTCGAAGAGAAAAACGCGTTTTGAATTCTGCAGAAATAAATAGCATCATGGTATTTCATGGAAATAATTTTTTATGATTTTCTCGAAAAATATTAAATGTGGGAATCGTTTGATCTATTTCAGTTTCCGGGTTTTCTTTGAAAGCAAGTAATTCACAAAAAAGGAATTCTGAATTTTTGAGAGTTTGAAAAATCCAAAGTTTCTCAAAAAATCGGACTTGGCCTAATTCAAAATTATTCAGACTCAATAAATACAAAATAATTTAAATTATCCGAAAAAATATCATGACGAAGAAAAAAAATCATATTTTTCAAAAACCAATTACAAAATTACAGAAAATGTGCTCTTTGAGCTCAATTTTTCCTCAAAATTTTCCCTCTGAAAATCAAAACTAACCTGCAAAAAAACTCAAAAACTATGTTGAGACAACCCATATTTTTTGAGCGCTGTTTTCTCAGATTTTCGTCTGAAATAAATGAGATTCGGAAACGAAAATTGGTATTCTGTTTCGAAAAAAACGAAAAGAAATATTGCATTATTGCGCCAAAAAATATAATATTTATGTTCGTTAGGTGGTCTAGAAAACATGTAATTTTTGAACGAGTGAATTTATTTTTAGACGAAAAAGAAGAAATAAAAAATTTTCGGATGACGAAAGAAAATAAATTGGTTTGGTTGACGATTATCAAAAAAAAAACGAGTCAAAAGTATGAGAAAAACAAAATATTTATAGATATTACATGCAACAGACTATTCAAAAAACACTAAATAATTAAAAACAAAAAATACAGGAAAAAAGGTATAATAAGGTGTTGATTTTTCAGTAGAAACTCGAAAATTTAATGGGGATTTAAGTAGAAAATAGAAAATGAAATATCACTTTGGAAGACCCGTCAAAAACAAAAAATCAGGAACCCGTTCAAATAAAATTATCAAACTTTGCACAAAAATTGATTCTGAAAATCGATTTTAAAAAATCAAAAGAAAACTAGATTTCCAAGAAATCTTGTGCAAAGTTTGATTAATTTCGGACTGATTTTTGCCAACTTTGAATAATAAACTTATCAATTCCACCATAACCGAGATTCAGAATAAAGCTGACGATGAAAAAATAAGAGAAGCCAATCTAGAAAATGACTTTCACAGTGAAAACCAACCCAGGAGAAAAACTAACCTGTAAACTTCGAACAAACCAAATATGATAAATACACGCTGAAATTACAGTATACCAGAACATCAGAGCAGTGATTTTAACAAATATATGCAACTTTGACTCTTTCCACTGAAAAAAACTTGTTTTTGAATAAAAATTTGAAAAAAAAACAACTAACACTTCTCCAAACACCATCTCCTCTTTCAATTGGAAATTGTCGATTTATTGGTTGTTCTTCACTGTAGAAATTGTGCAAAACTTGTTCTTTGATAAGCCAGCGACTGAAATGATTTACTAATTTTGTTTACATTCGGAAAAAAGGTTCACAATATTAACGTTTTTCGTTAAAAATAACCTGGGACTGGCAGAAGCCCTTTTTCAAACCTTCAAAATAAAAAACTCACTCATTCAACCATTTTTGCACATCTGAATCACTGAGAGGAACTTGTCCGATCGGTATTTTTTTGACATGAAAATGAACTTCTTTGGGTGCAGAACCTTTCAGAACCAAATCAACTTCGGATTGAACAATATTATAAGGATATGCGATTGTAATATCATAAATGTAGTCGATATAATCTTCTGGAAAACAACGGTTGAAATTGGCTATGATTTCAACTGAACTTATCCTGAATTCCAGTGAAAGGCAGGGAAGAAAAACATTTTCAAAACTTTAAGTTATAAACTAACTTTTTCAGTATAATAACTATGCATTTTAAGTTTTTTGAACTCTGAAAATGACCCTAGGTTTCAGGTTTCAAGTTTTTTCCTTTTGAAAAATTGAAAAAAACACAAACTTTCTCTCATTCGATTCAACAAATGCAAAAATCCCGTCGTTCTCGGATAAATAACATATTCCAAATTTCGCAGTCCATTTTTCTTGGCAAATTCTCGACTCTTCAACGTTGTCCATTCAGATTTGTCGGTTCCTTCAGGAAAAAGAAGAATTTGATAATTACGATCAAGTCCATGGAAAATAATCAATTGCATCATCAAACGATTTCCGATCAACTTCAGCGTTTCTTTCAAGGAAAACGAATTGAGCAGCAGCCATTCCGAAACCTAAATATTTCACTTTTTTTTGAATTTCCATTACGTACATATTTATGTCAAAGAAAAACCTACCAGCTCCAGGCAACTTTTTCAATTGTGCTTTCAATGATATTTTGTTAGTTGTGATGAGCCATGGATTAACTTGATAAAGAGCACACCACATATACATCCAATCGAGGCGAGTTCGATGATTCATTATTATTAATGCAGGTCGACCAAATTCAATTTCATCTCCACTTACACGAACTCGAACACCCATCAAATATTCGAGTAAACCCTGCAAAAAATATTAGGTAATTTGGAAAATTGTGTATCGATTCTATTTTTCAATCTTTTCCGAGAGAAGTAATTTGTTGGAAATAGATTCAGAATCCTTCATCTCCCCTAAAAATCCCCCGCCCTCATTTTTTTCCCCAACTTCTCGTTTATCAAAGAAACAAAACATGTTTACATTAGTAGTTGTAACCCATGACATTTTCCTTCTTTTTCTTTTTCTTTCAATTCAAAAACAGAAGCCGACGTGTTGGGTGAGAAACAAAACTGATTCATAAAGTGCAAAACCGTCAACTCGTGAGAAGGTGAAACATTCCTATTTACGACTACTAAACACATTTTTCTAAAGAAAAATCTATTTCAAAAGGAACCCTTTTGTTTGGAACAAATTTGAAGGTCGTTCGAGATTTGAAAAATTTCGGCAACAACAAGAACAAACTGATTTCTTTAGAATTTCAAATTTTCAAAAAAAAAAAATAAGAAATGCAAACCATTGGAATAGTCATCCAATATGAAATAGCTCGATCCATCAATCTTCTCCATAATCGATGTTTTCCACAAACAGCAATGATAAGAAATAAACTAACAACATAATTACCGAAAAGAGAAGTGAATAATATAGAAAGTCCAAAAAACCATCCTAGAAAAGGTTGGAATATTCGAGGAAAGCGCATTTTTGTGTTGGTCTTTGTGGCGAAAAGTTTGACCTATATTAGGTGGAAGAAAGAGAATAAAACGACGAAAGAAAAAGATGAGAAAAGATAATTGAGAAAAGAGAGAATTAGGAAGATATTGGGGGAAAGATTTGTACTTATGAATAAAGATATCAAGGATACAAAAATACAATAATATGTTTGTTACTTTCTTCGTATTTTCTATAAGAAACATAAAACTCACCGAAAAAATCAACACATTTTTACACCCAAACTTGATCGAACTTTTTCATAAACAACATAACTTATACTAACTGCTGGGATAACTTTCATAAAATTCGGCGTGATCCCTCTATAAAAACCCAATAATCCTTCATTTTTATATATATCTCGAAATTGTCCGAACATTGTGTCAGCTTCAATTTGGTGTCGGGAAACGGCTGAAAATATGAATATATTATAGTTTCTACAACAACAAAAAAAACATACTTCTGGCTTGTAATCTAGTTCTAACCAATGCAAATGGATAACTTGCTAATTGTCCACAAGTTGAACTACAAGTACCACATACAAGAAGAGCAAAAACACTCGGTTCTGAAGTCTGAAAATATTCAATACATATTTACGAATTCAATTATAAAAAATATAGATACCTCATGATTTTTCAAATACATTCGTTTGAGTGTTTCATAAATGGCAAGATCAATTCCAGCATATGGAATTATTCCAATCAAATTCGGCCAATATCCTTTATAAAAACTTCGAATTCCTTCTTTGGTATACATTTTATGGGCAAAATGAATGATTCCTCGATCCATTTGACCTGTTCTTCTCAATGCTAAACGAGTTTTCATAACTTCCATCGGATATATTATTGATTGAGAAATTGCACCAGCTGGAAACAAAAGATTTTCTTGGGAGGCAAATCAATATTATTCTCACCACTGCTTCCAGCGAATAATCTTTCAAGAAGTGTTATATCATCATCAGGATTTTTATTTCGTTGAATGAGTCGTTTGATTTCCTCATAACACATAAATTTTATAGCAGATTCTGGAGCAATTTTTATCACATTTATACCATTTCCTCGCCAAAATGATTTCATTCCTCCTTCGGCATGCAATAACTTTATACAAGATAATAGACCCATGTTATTTGTTTTTGATGAATTGACCTGAAACCATATTTTTCCGGTCAAATGTACAATACCTGGAAGACATGCCCTGGAACTGAATTTACTGTAAAAATGTACAAACCCTGCATTATTTTTGAACAATACCTGGAAAAAAAATTTGGCGTTTTTCCGCTCAGAGATTCAAAAAATTTCACAAAAAACGTTTTCAAATTGATAGATCTGTGGTTCGAAAGATGTTCCAAGGTGAACAGGTGAAAGTGTGCAAAATATTCTAAATTTCAGGTTTTTCATTTTTTGGCAGAGGTCTAGTAGCGGAAAAAACATTACTTAGAACAAAAAAATCACGTTCTGGAATTGATTCGAGAAATTTCAGACCTTTTTCTCGTTTCCAGGTATTGCTTTAAAAATCCAGGGTTTGTACATTTTTACAAGAAATTCAGTTCCAGGGCATGTGCTCCAGGTATTGTACAATTGACCTATTTTTCCAATGTTCCACACTTGAATCTTTCTGAAGAAAAAAAAAATCAAACCTGCAAATAAACTTTGAGTCGATCAAATGGTGCTGTAAAAGTTCGAGATATTGTTCCAGCAATTCCACCAGCCACCAAATGTCTCCACCAAATTCCTTCTTTGATTTCTTGAGCACTAAAGTCTTCAGGAACCAAAACATCTTCGCCAATGTCAAAAATCATTGCGTGTCTCCAAAAATCGACAATTTCTTTTATATCATTTGATGGATATAGGATCATATAATTTACAAACTCGTTGAGCCCAATAAAAGTGCCATTTCCAGATTGATCCATTCTGAAAATATGAATCTTTGTGAAACTTTCTTCGATTAATTACTGACTTATTGACAATCAATTGTGCTTGTTGTTTATCCAAAGACATTCCATTATCCATACAATAATGTCGAAGTTCCCAAACATCTATCACACCTGAAACCGAATATTTTTCCCAACCCCTTCTTCAACTCTCAAAAGAATATTACTCACCATCGTTGTTCCTATCCATTGTAGCAAACATTTCTGCCAGTTTTTGTTCATGATCTAAAACATAATTTGCGAATTCTACGAATCCAACTTTTCCATCATCATCTTTCGACATTTGTGACATAATAGCTGGTGCTAAATTGGTTGGAATATGTGACAGTGAGTTTTCATGTTTGAGTGCCTGTGTTAAATCTCTTATATCAATTGTTCCATCGTGATCAATGTCCAAACGATCATAGAACTCGCGGATTCTGAAAATATTAGCTTTTTCAAATAAAAAATATCTTCAAAATGCTCACTGTTGTTCTTTATCTGGAGAAAGTGCAAATATCAGCGCTGAATGTGTTGCAATTGCAGTTTCTTTCGTAACAGTTCCATGAACAAGTGAATGATGTTTTGCAGTCAAATGAGGTGTCACATCGCCAGCCAAAAGTGTGAAGTCGGTGAGATGAGTTAACTCTTCTGAAATATGTTTTATCAATCAAAATTTTCATGATAAATATTACCTGTCTCTTCGTCTTCAACTTCTTCATCGATAATTTCTTTCGAAGTACTTGGTTTCGGCTCCATTCGTGCTGAAAATGAGAAAATTTGTTGCTTTTTCCAAAAAGAAAAATGTTTTCCATCAATACTGCAAACACTTCCACGAACAATTGCACTAAGTGGTGTGAACTACAGTAATTCAAACTTTTTTATCAGAGGAAAGGGCCCATGGGATGGAGAAATAGACTGCGATCTGGCTAACATGTTATTGCAATACTAGAACTCTTGAAAATGAAGTCTTATCACACAGAGCGAAACTAGAATCTTCGCTCAAAGTTTTACAAGGAATATGGCTATTCCGAAGTCTTACAGAGTAGAAAGTTGCGATTTTCTGATTTAAATCGAATATTTCTTCAATAATTCTAACTCTTTGATGAAAAATACATAAATCTAAATTAATTATTGCAGAAAGAAGTCACAGACAATCTAAAATCGGACTATTTGACCGGCCTTATTGTTGTATCATTCTCCAATCACAATATTGTACCACGAAATTTGTTTATATTCTTGTTTTCCTCTTCAAAATCATCAAAAATTCCATTTTTTATCGAAAAATTCAACATTTCCCACGCGAAATTCAAAAAATGGGCGGGGTTTCACACGCACGAGAAACAAAAACTTCGTTTGTTCGTCTCTCGTCTCGTTCACAATGTGTGTGTTTCGCCACTCTCTCGCCTTTTTCCCACACTCGGTTCGCCTATAAAAAGGGTAGGCGGAGACTATTTTCCTCACTTTTTTCGCATTCACCTGCCAATTTCTACGGTATTCTGCCAAATTTCTACTTATATTATTCCGCCATTCGCGATTTGGGCGCACCGTTCTTAGTCCTTCGGAATGAGCAATGACTAGAACCGTCGCTCATATCGCGTCTCGGCGCACTTTTTCAACATTATTCTTATTCTCTGTAATTATTCAATCGCGAAACTTGGCCCGACCTCCAGTTGTCTCGTGATCCGCCGATAAATGGAACGAATCACAGTCAACTGTTGGCCTGGTCTTGAGAATTTCGCATTTTTCATATTTGTGAGTTTGATATTTCAGATACCGTAATCATTTGGAGCCTTTGAAAGCTTACCGTACTTTTAGTTGCTCACAGGATGCATGTTGTTGAAAAACGAAGAAATGAGCATGTTACAATTAAATGAGCATGTTGTTAGATGTTTCATATCTAAAATGCGTTTTCATTTTTGTGACGTGGAAGTTCACGCTTCGAAATTGTTGAGATTTGTTACTGAAGTTCCGTTGAAAATGTCTGATTCTTGGAAAAATCAAAAAGTTTTTGAAAGAGAAAAAAGTTCATATACTGAAATTTACACCATAGTAATAATAATGCTAATTTACACATGTGTTCCAATAAAAAGTGGATGAGTATCTTTAGCCAAAACAAAAAGGAATGGATGATCAGCTTTGAAAACAATTGGCTCCTTCAAATGCATAATTGCTGATTTTGTCATAAAATCAACAGTAGTTGCAGCAGCCGCAGTGGTTCCATCTTCATCAACATCAATCAATGCTTTGTGTGTGACTTTTGAGACGTAGATTTCGTCAGCGAAGTTTGATAAATCAGCATTTTGTTCGAATGCATCACGAATTCCAACTTATTTGGAGAACTTCTTTCAATGCCAATTCACTTTCGATGTGAATTTTTGGAAGATGAACCTGAAAATTTCATTATTTTCTGCCCTTTTTTTAAATCTCTTACATTCAATAATTCAGTTTCGTTATTTGCAAGTAATTGTTGAAGTGTTGCAGCATTCAATCCTTTCAAAGCTTCAGCTAAACCGAATCTTGTTTTTGGAAGGAAAACGTGGAATGAGAATGTGTCATCTTTGTATGCAAATTGGGCAACTTGCCAAGTATCAGTTTCAATGAATCTTTTGGTTGCTCGGAAAGCATGAAGAAAATCGACCTGAAAATAAATTGAAATTATTTTTCAAAAAATTCTTGAAGTTCTTGCCTGCTTTTGATCATTTGCATTGCTGAAGAAATTATCCTTGAAAGTATCAGTTGGCTTGAATTTACGATCCCAAGTTCCTTTGAAATAAAGAGCATTGACCAAAACAGCAATAAGATCTGGTGTAATTGAAAGTGGTTTTACGATTTCTTTGATATGCCCTTTTGTATTTTCTTTTACAAATGCATTGATTGCATCAGCTGTTGCATCGGTATTTGAGAAATCGAGTGAAGAAGCATTTGCATGATACAATTTTTGGGCATCGAGAAGATATTGGGGTTTTGGTGGATGAGAATCGCTCGAGAAAATGTGATTGGCAATGTTGACTTCAGTTCCTTTGGTTGCGTTGAGAAGTGCGGAATTCAGGGCAGAGAAGTGGGCTTCGAACTCTTCGTCGGTTGAACCTACAGAATTTTTTTGAAAACTTTTTTTCCAGGATAAAAAGAAGATATTTGATCTTTTGATCTTTCACAAAAATTGTGGTTTTGAACCCATAATTTAAAAAAAAAAAATACCTTTCGCCAAAGCATCTCTGATTTGATTGCGAGTTTCGCCTTTTGCCGCCAAGTGAACCAAAGAAAGCGCCAATGCAATTGAGACTGGCGAGAAAATTGTGGAATTCGACAAATCTTGTTGACGAAGAAGAGAAAGTCCGAAGTTGGTCTCCGATTCGAGGAGAAGAGCCATTCTGAAATTAAAATAGGGTTTGAGATGAGAAAAAAGGGTCGACAAAAAATTGATCCAAGAAATATTGTTTCTAAGTCTCTCGTTAGACACGATATTTTTAGGTCAAACTAAATACAAAGGTAGATCAATTTTAGAAATCACATATTATTTGGGTCAGTTGGGAGCATTATTACTGAAACTATATTCGAATCTACAGTAATAATTTTTACTCTGAATTCTCACCACTAAAAATCATTAAAAATTATTTTTCTGAATGTTCCCAGAACATTAAGCAAAAAATGAAAAAATGAAATTCTGGCAATTTCATCAATTGGAAACCACAGTAATACATGTCATCATTTCTAAAATAAAGCATTTCAAATGATAAAAATGACTGTTCGCCCAATGAGATAAATAGTTCTATTTGGCTTGATCAGCAGTGAGAAAAAGTGGAAATGATTTCTTTATAAATAGGTTTACTTCCGAAGTGTTCAAATAAAAAACATATCGATTCTTGGCGTAAAAAGTTCACCAAAAAACCAAAACCACATGAAAAATCGTGCAACCATTTGATCAAAACAAACAAAACAACACACTGACTCATTCTTCGCTTTTCTCTGCTTTTATATCATTTTCTTCTAACTTTAAACTAACTTGAAACAGTTGTGCTGAAAGCTAAACTCACTTTTCTTGATTATCTGACATGTTTCAGTTTCTGAAAATCAAAAAATCGTTGGTTAGAATTGAAAGTAAACAAGTGAAACAAAAATAAAAATGTCAAACCAAAAAATGTGTTTTTTTTCTTGTTTTCTTTTCCGTCTCTTCTATGGACTAGAGACCAGGGAAACAAAAAAAATTGGAGAAGGACATTTTTACTTTCAAAAAAAAAAGCAATGAACGTTGATCGATTGTGAACATTGGAAAGGAAAGTGTAAAAAAATCGAGATTTTTTTTTCAAAAATTGAGAAAAATTGGAAATCTGAAGAGAAACAGAGAAAAACAGAAAAATAACTGCAAGACTTTTTCGCGCTGCATTACCAGTCAAAAATATAATCATTTTTTATTTTGTGAAAATGAATTAATTTTTGACTGGTATTGCAGCGCGAAAAATTTTTGCAGTTCTTTTCACATTTTCTCTGTTTCTCTTCAGCGTGTTATATTGATATCGATATCTAGATGATTTAAAAAAAACATGATGGAAATGAGTATAATTTTTGAATTTTTATTTAAAAATATTTGGAATTCTCTTCTCATTTTTTTTCAATTTTGTTCCCTCGAAATCATTTTTTGAACTCGAAATTATTGACAATAAAATATTATCAAATGTAAATAGTTGACAAAAACGTATCTTATCGAAAAATTTTCACTTTTTTTCTTGAACCAATTTTCAATGTTTTCTATTTTCAGTGAAATGTCGCTGAAATTCTGCCTCGATCTTCTTGATCATCTGAACCTGTCAGAATCTACAATATTTTCTCCGTCTTCAATATCATTAGCACTTTCGTTGGTACATTTGGCAGCTGAAGGGAAAACCAAACAAGAACTTCGGAAGGTTCTTGTGAAAGATAGTGGTGAGTAATCTATAGATTAAAAAAAAATCTATAAATGTTTATGATTTTTCAGAAAATGATGACGAAATTCAAACCTTCCATTCGAATTTATACAAATATTTGAATAACTCTTCTTCTGGTTGTGAAAATCTGGAACTTCTCATAGTCAATCATATTTTCACAAACTCAATATATCCAATCAAACAAAAATATCTTGATAATTCATCGGAATTATATTCATTGAGTGCTTCTCCACTCGATTTCACTGATTCTCAAAATTCAGCCGATAAAATCAATGAATTTGTCAAAATTCATACCAAAAACTTTATCAACAACATCGTGAAATCGGATGAAATAACAGATGATATTGTAGCAATTCTGATGAATGTTATATATTTCAAAGCAAAATGGCTTCACAAATTCAATTCGGAACATAGTTATATTGGTGATTTCAATTCGAATGGAAATATCAGGAATAATATTGATTATTTATGTGAACCAAGTGGAATCGAATTTATTTTGAAAATCAACATTTCCAAGTAATCCAGCTACAGTATCTCAACACAGATTTTGTTCTTCATATATTTCTACCGAGAACTGGATTGGAAGAAGCTGTTAAGACATTGACTGTGGATCAATTCAAAGAAATTCTAGAAAATCAGAAAACCGAAAATCTCAATGTAAGATCATTACAAAAAAACAATGATAAACTTGGATATTTCAGATTCATCTTCCGAAGTTTCAAATGGAAAGAAAAATAAATTTGAATGAAATTCTGAAATCATTAGGAGTTGTTGAAGCATTTTCAAAAGATTCTGCCAATTTATCAAATCTAAGTGATGATATATGGATCTCTAAAATCACTCATAAAGCAAAAATCGAAATCGACGAAGATGGAACAACAGCTGCAGCAGTAACAACTATTGTCATGAAAAAACGTGAGTTCATTTTTTGCATTTTTCTAGAAACAGTATATTTTTCTAGGAAGTAAACCGGCTGTTCCAAAAGTTCCGATTTTATTCAAAGCTGATCATCCTTTCCTGTTTGTACTGGCTAAAACTAGTTTCCCAATTTTTATCGGAACTTATGTTTGATGATAATTATGAAGAATACTGTAGAAGCGGATTTTGAATGACATGATTATTGCGCAATAAAAATCTTGTGACCAAAACCTGGTGTTCCAGCTGGTCCTGGTGGTCCTGGTGGCCCGGGTGGTCCTTGTAGGCATGGTTTGCAAGGTGGAGGAGTTGTTGGCTCACATGGGGCAGTTGGAGGTTTTCCTGGGACTCCTGGCAATCCAGGTGATCCTGGGCGTCCAGGTTTTCCTGGTTTTCCAGGGTTTCCAGCTGTTCCTGGTGGGCCTGGAAGACAACATCTGAAATTGTTACAATGTTGTGCGGGTCAATTATTTTTTCATCTTAAAAGAATGATCACGTAATTGATTATTTCAACGGCCTCGGCCACGTCATTGTTCTAGTTTTACAAAAAAATAAAATAAATTTGGCCATTTCTCTGGATTTTATTCTACGAAGAGACGCGCTCATTTATTTTTTAAAATGGGTAAGTGAAGAATACATTGGAAACCTATTTATATCAGAATCTTGAAGCTAATATTTTCACAAAAATCACAGTTTGCCGACTAGAAATTCTTTATTTAGTTTCATATCAACTTGACAAATTATGATTTTTTGTAGTTTGAAACTGTAGAAATCAAGAGGTTTTGTTAGACAATTCGATCACAAAATCCCACTGATCAATTCAAAATCAAATGAGTAAGGGCCAAAAGTTTTTGGGCTAAACATACCCCACATCGAACACACTTTTTGGAGAAACTATTTCGGATATTCCACATCCCCTTTAGAATTATTTGTCACTTGGTTTTTGGAAATGAAATGATAGTTATCTAGGTCACGTTCTAACATTCCGAAATTATTGAAATTTCCAAGAAAAAAATTATGAATCTATCCAGAAAAATTGAAAAAAAAAACATTTATGAGAATTATTTTACAGATGTCGAAAATTGTTTGTTTTTCGTGTTAAACTCAACTGAAAAACAATACTCAACCTTAGTCAAAGGTCCAGGCGCACAAAGCACTCTCCCAGCCGAAACTCCACTTTGGTTTTGGGTCTTAACCGAAAAGGATATCGAAAATATCAATGTTGATATCGAAGGTAAGAAAAAATGATCATTGTTGTTAAAAATATCACAATTTTTTTCAGTGGATGATGCAAAAGTTAAGTTTCTTCAACAAATTGACAAGAAAGCGAAAAAAATGACGATTTTCTATACCATTACGACCACGATTTCAAAACAATTGGTTATTTCTATCAACGCCGAAGGAGAAAACTATCGTTTGGTATGCGATATTTGTGCGAAACCCTCCGATGTCAACAACGAACCTTCCGAAATCAACAGAACAATTATGGATGTTGTGAGTTGAACATTTTTCCGAAAAAACAGCGCATCGAAAATATATCGCGCTTTGATTCAAAATGCCTTCCTTTAGACTCCTCCAGCGCGCTATGTGTTTCTAAGAAAACCTAGTATTCTTGTATTTTTTTAACCTTAGATACGATAGGATATTCCTGAGAAGGGAACCTTTTTCACTCATCACTTCAAATCACGATGAAATTTTTTTCGTTATGCTAATTCGATATTTTTGCAACATGTTGTTTTGGTTACTGTAGATTCAAGAAAACTTGTTGAATTCTTGCAATATTTGTTTTATCCATGATTTAAAGTGTCGAGTAAAAAAAGGTTGCCCTGTTAGAGAAAAATTGAAATGACGTTCAATCATAAAAATATCATGTCAAAAATTGTTTTTCCAGTATTTTTCTTATTTTTCATTGAAATGACATGTTGCCAGCAGTCCTTTTTTGCGAACTCACAATTGAATTCTGAAAGCTTTAAAAAAAATCGTTTTTTAGAGCCGAATGTTGCAGTTGCCTGGGGATACGTCGGTATGCAATAGCTCCGACCCAATGTGGAAAAAATCTCTCGATTGGAATCGACATTTGATTGTGGAAATCGAACCACTTCGACAAGGTGAGTTATGCACGAAGTCTCATTAAAAATTCTTTGTGGAACCTCCCATTTAAGCTTAAACTCTGGAAATTAAATTTCAGGATGGATTTGACTGGTAAATCGTCTGAAGCGAGATCGAATTTGGATAGTGGCAAAAGAGAAGACGTGGTTGGGCATGAGTTGAAGTTGGGCGAAGGACAAAAGAAGAATCTCGTTGATGCAAAATTGAACTTGAATACTGGCAAAAAAGAAGACGTGGTTGGGGATGAGTTGAAGATGGGCGGAGAACAAAAGAACGAATCTCGTTGATGCGAATCTTCATGGTTTTGCAGCTCCCGAAGAGAAGAGAAAAAAGGTAGTGAGTCATCTCAATTATACATTGTAGACTCTTCTGAATACTGACTCTTCTGAATAAATATTTGTATGAAATACATGTAAAGTCTACAAAACATGAAATAATGTTGTATGCATGATATAAAAATCTTACGATTTGATCCCAACCCAAATTGTTTAAATTTTGAAAATCAGAAACAAATCATTGTTTACATTTGTTTTGCAGCAAAGGGAACTGTTCCGATTTTATTCAAAGCTGATCATCCATTCCTGTTTGTACTCGCTAAAACTAGTTTCCCAATTTTTATCGGAACTTATGTTTGATGATAATAATGAAGAATACTGTAGAAGAGGATTTTGAATGACATGTTTATTGCGCAATAAAAACCTTGTGACCAAAAAAATTTGAGATAAAAAATAAAAGTAGAAGAAAATTGCACTTAAAATTGAGAAATTGACACCGTTTAACGGCGAGTTCCATCTTCGAAGAAGACTCCTCCATCCAAAGCGCAATATTTTGGACAGATTCCCTTCTCTCCTGGTGTTCCAGCTGGTCCTGGTGGTCCTGGTGGTCCGGCTTGTCCATCGACTCCTGGTGGCCCGTCTGGTCCTGGCGATCCTTTTGGTCCAGCTGGTCCTGGTGGCCCGTCGTTTCCTGGTGCTCCTGGTGGTCCTGGTGGTCCAGCCGGTCCAGCATCTCCTGGCTCTCCTGGTGCTCCTGGAACAAGTGGTTCGGATTGAGCTGGTGCTCCTGGGTCTCCTTGTGGTCCTGGTTGTCCTGGCTCTCCAGGTGGTCCTGGTGGTCCACGTGGCCCTGGAAGTCCGTTGGTGGCATCAGTTCCTGGTCTTCCTGGAGTTCCAGCCTCTCCCGGGTCTCCTGGGGCTCCTGGTGGTCCTGGTGGTCCGGGTGGTCCTTGTGGGCATGGTTTGCAAGGTGGAGGAGTTGTTGGCTCACATGGGGCAGTTGGTGGTTTTCCTGGGACTCCTGGCAATCCTGGTGATCCTGGACGTCCTGGTTTTCCTGGTTTTCCAGGGTTTCCAGCTGGTCCTGGTGGTCCTGGAAGACAACATCCTTCGCATTGAAGATTAGCTGATGGATTGACTTCAGGGGTTCCATATCCGGATTGTCTTGCAGTTCTGTTTCCTGGGGCAGCTGGTCCAGCATTGGCCTTCATGAAGTTGACCTCAGCAAAGATATCCTTAGCGGATCCCTTAAATTTGGAAAATGATTAACAATTTTGTTATTATGGTATAATTTTCAGAAGAAAATCCAAAATATTTCAGAAATATTTCAGAAATAAAATAAAAAAACAAACCTTGCAGAAAGACAATTCATGGTTCATTTGTTGTCTAACATGTGAAACATAATTGTAAACCATTGGAAGTGTCAAAACTACCGATAAAACAGCTACAATCGAGAATGTTACAGCTGCATAAGCGACAAATTTATAGGCCTTTGTACGACCATCAGAAGACTCCATCTTTTTCTTGATCTCCAAATATGATGATCAAGTGTTGATGATGTTTTGACTATCCTCCTGATCGACTTTATATACTCGTAAGGATATCATTACTGGTATCCGATCGGGCGGGGCAACAAAAACAGCAACGCAAGGAACACCAAAAAAAGAGGCTTATCAATCCTGATTTGCGCGCAAAAAAAAGAGAGAGAAGCATACTTTCGCCTTTACTTTCTTCAAAAACACACTGACCCATTTTAAATTATATATGTTTGAAAAGTTATCATTCAATTGATTACTTGATTATGTGGCGGTGATTAGGTAAAATCGAAATTTGTGGATAAACAAGATGTGAAAGACAAAATTGGAAAACTCGGGAATTCGGGGAAAGTTACCGGAAAGATTTCTAGAATTGTCTCTAAATATGATTTTCTGGACTGACATCAGGATATTCTGAAAATAAATTGTAAAATCAAGAAAAATTGTACCACAATTGTTGATTTTCCAAAGTCAGTTTTTTCATAATTTTATTTTTTATTCAGTATAAACCGTAGTACTGTACTCAGAGAAAATCTGTACCACGTGCCTTTTTTTTCCCAAAAAAGTCTGAAAATTGAACAATTCCAAAGAAAATCTGAATATTTTTTGTAAAAATTATAAATCCAATTATTCGATTTTTTGATTTCCCCAATAAATTTTGCCAGATTGAATTCAACCTTCCTTGTTCAATTTCGAATTGAATGATGTCAAACCTTTTCTCCTGTCTTTAAAAAAACAGCTCTTTCTTTGTCAATTTTTCAATTTGTTTTTCAATTTCAATTTTCCAATTTCATATCCGCCTTCATTAATTTATTTTTTTTATTTTATGAAATCAAATTTATCTTCGTCAAAACAACAGAAACAATATAAATGCAAATTTGTTGTCAGTTTTTTGTTGTCAACCCACGATTTCAGATGTCAAGATTTCATTTGATTTTATTTCAATTTATTTCATCCCCGCCCTTTTTTTCATTTGCTCTTCTCATTTTTCAAATTCAGTTTTGTTTGGTTCCAAATAGAACAAACATCATAACATAGATAATAATTTAGATATCATAAATCTATCAAACCATCACCAAATATGCGAACTACATTCTTGGTGGCTGTCTGTCCATCATATTCAAGTAGTTCCTAACTAGTTTCGATTTCTCTATTTCTCTCAACTCTCTTTTATCAATTATCTTTAATATTTTTGTATTTTTGTTGTCTTCTCTCGATTATCCTTCTATTCTGGTTCTTCTTCATGGAATTTCCAAACGAGGAATGAAGGGATTCTCAAAATAAGTATGTACACAATTACAGATGAATCAAACATTACTATTTTTGTTCGTGCAATCGATCGCAATTCTTTTGGCAACTTCTCACTTTGTTTCGAGAAATGAGAGGTGAACTTGAATTTCGAGATTCAACCAAAAAATAATTTTTTTCGAAATTTCAGATCCTTGATGAGAACTGAAAATATCGACAAAACTGAAGAATATCCAAAAGGGATGAAAGAAGTTGTTGAATATCTGCTTCTCAAAGATTTGGCAATGGAGTATCCGGACCTAGTTCCTTCCAAGAAATCTGAGAAAAAGCCACGTCGCATTGTCTATCTGGTCAACTACAAAATTCCAAAACCACTTGATGAAACTCCAACATCTAATCCAATTCGCTATAAAATAATGTATTGATCTGAATTTTTTTCGAATCCCATTTCACAACTCATTATTTGTGCTTGCTAGATTATCATTAGTATGCTTTTTCTATTTTTTTGCCAATTCAATAGAAAACCTCAAAAATGTATTACAATGTTGCTTCGTAATAAAATGATTCACCGCTTTTTTCTCCAAATCAAATTTTTCGCTGTTGTTTTTTCGATAAATATTTTCTCGCCTCATAAAAATGACGACGTTTATTTCAACTGAAACTATTCCATTATTAGAATATAGATCGAAATGGGAAAGAATTTGGCCGAAAGATGGAATTGAGACTATTACATTGAGTAAGAAGGTATGGACTGGGATATACAGGTCTGAAATTATTCAACAGTTTTCCCACTTTTTTCAAAAAATTGCTTTATTCTAAAAATCTGAACTTTCAAAATTTTAAATTCCCCCCAAAAGCTGAAATAAATTTTCTAGGAACCTCCCTCGTCAAGATTCATTTGTTCGTTCCCGTGTTCAAAGATACAGTATCAATGACTCGAAAAATTTGTCAAAACAAACGGGATTTGTAAACACTGTGAACACATCCAAAAATAACCTGTCAAAATGAAAAAATCAAAGAGGAAGATCAAGTTTTTGTGTGGGTTTTGCACAATGCTTTGCCACGTGTCAAAACTGAAAATGTTGTCGAAAATGGAGTTTACACATCTACAATTTATTATGAAAAAATTAGAGAATAAATGTTTTGTATGCTTGGTTAATAAATGTTTTCAGAAAAATTGTTGAAGTATTGTTTATTTGACCGATATAGATATTTGTTGAAATAATGGTTTTTTGTCTGATCAGATAAAAATTCCTCATAAAAGAACATTGAATTGTCCAAATTTAAGTAGGTCAAAAAATCAAATGACAAATAAATTCCAACATTTATTTTTGAAATCTGTATTTCTGATTTCAGCTATTCCTATTTCATTGATAGCCTTCAAAGTATATCAAAACTATCAAAATCTTCAAATTATTCAGAAAAATGAAGCAGAATTCAAATGGTCTGATATAATTAATTATAAAGAGTTGAAAGATACTGTAGAAAATAAATTGGAAGATGGATACGGAGTTATTTTATTGAAAATAGACATGCTATTAGAATGACTCTTAATTGGTTATGTAATATTCAAAAGTTCCCAGAAGTCCAGAAAAATATATTATTCATTGTTATGGATCAATATTCTGATGATGAACTTCGCAAATTTTATCCTAATTTGAATATTGTTATTTGGTTGTCTCCTTTACTTCAAACAAGTTTTCGACCCTATGATACAACTTATATGAGTTTCTTTTTGATGAGAACAAATATGATTCGAGCACTTCAAGAATTCGGAAAATCATTTTGGATGTTACAAGCTGACACGATTTGGACTGATGATTTTTTCAAAAGTTTTGATGTTTCAAAATATAAAGAGAATTCTGATATTTTATTAGATCAACAAGGATTTTCAGGAACTGCTGAAGTTCGGTTATTTTTAATCATTTTTTCAATAATAAAATTTCAGACAACGAACAATGAATGGTGCGAATTTCTTTGTTCCTGTCAAAAAATCATCAAAATCTTTGGTTGATTCATGGCTATCCTGGCAAAAATCCGTTTATATAACTGACCCAGATCTCCTCAAAATGTTCTGTCTTCGACAAGATTTCAATTGTGAATATGTTCCTTACAAGTAGGTTCTCTAACAGTTTTCTTTTTAAAAATAAGACTTTTAGGTATATAACAGGATGGGAATGGATATATGGAGATCAAAAATTGGCACCAATGTTAATTCAGATGGATGGAGAAACTGGTGGAAATAAAGAACAAATTCTGGAAAAATATAATTTCTGGTTTTTGGATAAGAATAATCAATGTGATTTGGGAAGAGTTGAAAAAGCGATTCGATTAGTTAAAAATGGAAAAGTCACAAGATTCATTTCAACTTCGAAAGCCAGAGAACAATTTTATTTGAAGTTGGGAGAATTCATGAATCAAATTCCTGTTTTTGGACATTATTCTTCAATTTATGGAGGATTGACATCATTGTACTTGCAAATATTTTGAATTTAATAAATTTTTTATTAAAAAACAACAATTAATACATAATTTAACTTTTTAATAAATATCTCCTGATACATTCAGGATTTCTACCATTAATCATAAATAATCGAATATGTTTTAAAATTGGATGAATTTCAGAATTTATGAAAATCCACTGTTTTGATTTGAAGTTCTTTTCAAGAAATCTAGAGAAGATAATACGATCTTCAAACGATTCAGGCTTATGAATCTCGATATTTATCTGAAAATATATATATATATATATATATGATTTTCTTGCTATCACTACTGACCTGACAAACAAATATATCATTCCTCTCTAATTCTTCATTTTTCCCGAAAAAGTTCAATATTTTATATTCAGCGTGTTCGCCAATGTTAATTCAGATGGATGGAGAAACTGGTGGAAATAAAGAACAAATACTGGAAAAATATAATTTCTGGTTTTTGGATAAGAATAATCAATGTGATTTGGTTAGAGTTGAAAAAGCGATTCGATTAGTTAAAAATGGAAAAGTCACAAGATTCATTTCAACTTCGAAAGCCAGGGAACAATTTTATCTGAAGTTGGGAGAATTTATGAATCAAATTCCTGTTTTTGGACATTATTCTTCGATTTATGGAGGATTGACATCATTGTATTTGCAAATATTTTGAATTTAATAAATTTTTTATTACATAAAAAACAACAATCAATACATAATTCAACTTTTTAATAAATATCTCCTGATACATTCAGGATTTCTACCATTAATCATAAATAATCGAATATGTTTCAAAATTGGATGAATTTCAGAATTTATGAAAATCCACTGTTTTGATTTGAAATTCTTTTCAAGAAATCTAGAGAATATAATACGATCTTCAAACGATTCAGGCTTATGAATCTCGATATTTATCTGAAAAAAAAATTATATGATTTTTTTTGCTATCACTACTGACCTGACAAACATATATATCATTCCTCTCTAATTCTTCATTTTTCCCGAAAAAGTTCAATATTTTATATTCAGCGTGTTCGATGTCAATCATCATTTGATCAATGATTTTTTGTTGAACTTTTTGGTTTATAAAAGTTACTAGATCTACAGTAGTCACTTCTTGATAACGATAAATATCTGGAATTGGGTATGGGAATTTTTTTTTAGTTTTTGAGAGGTGTACCTTCTAAAACATATGATCGGAAACTTCCATTTTTATCGCCAACTGCCATATTATAAAAATCGCCGATCTGAAAGAGAAATTTGAGCCACAAAGGTTTCTGAGCAATTTTTGTTCAAAAAATGAAAATTTCGATTGTTTTTTTCAAAATTAAAAGTATAATTTCAACAAATTCTGATTCCAAAAAACCCACCGGTTCAAAAAGTTCTTTATTATCCTCCTCAATCGGATCTGCTCCATAAAACAGACATTCTGGCATATTATATTTCATTTTCTTCTCAGCTTTAACATCTTTTCCAATTCCAAGTGAAATAATCGAACAATTTAATTGTTGATAAATCAACTAATGGTAAATAATGATATTTTAATTCATCTGTATTTGCATAATCTGATAATTTGATACTTCTAAAGTTTGGAGAACACATGTTCACAGCAAATGTGAATTTTTCCCAGAGCTAGAAAATGTTTTCTATTTTGTTTGAAAATAAGTTTCAAATTAAAGTACCTCCCAATAATCATCATCAAATAATCGTTCCAATTTTATTTGTACACAATCTGCAGAATTTTCCAAAATTTGAATATTATTCGGGATTTTCACAATGGATCCTTTGAATAATAATTTAATTAGAAGAAAGAAAATGGTATAAACAACAAGTTTTGACGAGTTTCGACGATTCAACATTGGCAAAATAATAAATTTGGATGTTTGTTATGCTTTTCTTGATTTTATCGAGATTTTCACTTGTTTGTGTGGCATGGAACTAGTTATTTTCAGTAAGAAACATCGAAATTTGAGAAAAATTGATTTTCGAAAAAAATCAAAATCTGATAAAACTTTCGGGAAGAATTTAGATTTTTTAAAATAATTTTCATAGTGTTTTTCAAACTTCCTTCAAAAAAAAGCAAGCTTTTTTACCTGTATAAATTTTTTTTTTTTGGTTTCATTTTTCTAAACATTCCTTCTCTAATTTCAAATTGTTTATTATCAGATTTCATTTATTTTTAGAAAAAATTTATAAACAAAAAATCTCTAAAAATAAACAAAAATTATTATTTTCGATTCACCTTGCGTAATATTTTCGGATGTCGGAAGTATTCTTCAGATGTGTCAGATATATCATTAGATAATACCAACCATTTTTGCGCGGAAGGTGACAAAGGTGACAACAAAACCAATCCGATTTTATCGTTTTATTCTCAAGGTTATTGGGAGCATTATGGAATTGTTTCACAAAAGAAAAGAGCCGGTAATAATGCGTGGCGGGATATTTTTGAATTGAATTGAGTTGGGTTTCCCATTCAATTTGGCGCATCTTTGGTGCCACCCTCGTCTGTCATTTGTTCGGAAAAAACCGGTCAATTATATTTTATTGTATTGGTGTAGGCCACCAAAAAAGAAAGAGCGAAAGAAATACCGGCAGAGAAAAAAGAGGAAGTGCAAATAATGTTGACCTTATAAGTAAGTAAGTATACATTTATGTCATTAAATAGAAAAGATATTTCATTTGTTGTCTTTTGAGATTTGAGAATTTTCAATTGTGCGTTAGAGCGAATTTTCTTGTTTTAGTTGATGTGTTTTTGTTTTTTTTCAACAAAATTTTCCACAAAAACCTAAGATTTTTCCTCTCTCAAAAAATCCCAATACAATCAATTATTGTTTTATTTCTCATAGATATAAAAATTAACATAATCGCTAATTATGGTAATTCTCTAAAGTATTCCAAATCTTCTTCGCATTCCTAAACCACTCTTAGAATACAGTGTAATAAATAATCTCAATGTCATCATAAAAATTGACACCCAAACTTTTTTGCAGTGATTTATTTATTCGATGTGTCATAAATTCCGAATCAGATAAGAAATACATAGAATATTCAAAAAACTTTGGAATACAAAAAAACTGTCTGACTGTCTGCGTCTCTTTGCGTTCGAAAAATAATCAATTTTTGGTTTGGTTATTCACAATCACATACATGAATAGATATTTTCGAATTATTCTTTTTAATAATAAAAATAATAATATGTTGTTGTGCGGTGTCAGGAAGTGTCTGGTCCGTGGTTTCCTTTTGTGCAAACTTGACAGACATTCTTCTTCGGTATGTGTCAATATTTGTATTATATTTCTCTTTATTCCATTTCCGATTCGCCCTTTTTTCTCGTTTTTTTTTGTTAAATGTTACTGAATTTTTTTCATTTGGAAAAAAATCAGAATTAGAAAAATCAATCTGAACTCTGTTGCCACGTCATTTTTGAGATTTCAAAGAAACAATTTTTTCTGTAAATTTTGGAAACTCCAATTCCATTTCCAAAGTTAGAAAAATCAATCTGAACTCTGTTGCCACGTCATTTTTGAGATTTCAAAGAAACAATTTTTTCTGTAGATTCCGAAAATTCGAAATTCCATTTCCAAAGTAACCCCAACTAATTCTGCCATTCCTCAAAAATCATTAATCATTCACCTTGTCCTTGGTCTAATTTTTCTTGCCGTTCAAGATTATATCAAAAAATAGGTGGGCGTGTCTTATGCACCCTCCTCCACCCTTTTTCTTTCTCTTTTCTGAAGGACATTGCAATTTAGGTCATTCTCATAACCATCCTTCGCTTTGAGTAGTCGGGATATATTGAGAGACTGTAGAATAACAAGAGTGTTTAGAGACAACCGTCCACACTCATTCTCTTTTTACCGCATTTCTAAATACTTTATTTTAAATTCCTTCGATCTTATTATAATTTTCTCTTATTTCAGATGCTTCCCAAAATTCCAAAATTCGAACAAAAATGGGAACTTTGAATAAATAACATCAGAAGGTGAGTTTTCTTTACTTATCTAATTTTTTTTTGAAAATTCAAACCAAAATTGTATTTTCAGCGAGATTTTTGCCCGACTTTCTCGTCAAATTCAAACATTTCAACTTGGCGTATTCAAATCTATATCGTCTTCCAAAAAAATCGAAAAAACCAAAAAATATCCAAAAAATCGAGCTCGTCAGCATATCTGTGATAATTCAAAATGTACAGTACCCCTTCCCCAATTCCAAAGTGTCCCCCATTTTTTTTAAATCAACGCGTTCACCAAAAAGTGCCTTATTTTGTGTGAATATTTTATTTTTGCCTTATATTTGTTGTGTGTTTTTTTTGCAAAGAGTTAATATATTTAATGAGATAAATAAATAATTTATTCGAAACTTCAGTGTTTATAATTTCGATTTACCAAAACAGCAGCTTTTTCAGAATACGTTATAGTTGGATAAATCCAAGGAAATTTACCAAGATATCTTCAATAATTTTGGATCATTTGATTTTTTTCTTGAATAAAAAAACAACTCACTCAATGTTATACGTGTGGAACGCGCTGACAAAATATAAAAGTTTGTGATGTTTCGAGAATTTGTCGTTAACCTCTTCTTTCAAGTTCGAACCATAAGTTCCAATTACCAGAATATCAAAATCTTTCAAATCATCAGGCTTCAAATTTTCAGTCTTGTTATATCTGAAAACAAAATTGTTGAATGAATAAATTCTCGAATAGAAAATAACTCACATCCAAAATGGACTGGCTTCTGTGAATCGACTAACACCAGTTTGAGCACAAGCATTGTCAATATAAACATTAACTGGTTTATGGAAATCAGAGCGTAATTGGAACTGAAAATATGACATTTAGATGAATTCAGAAGTTTGGAAGGGGGAGGAAGATGGTAAATAATGAATGGGACCCCAAATGACTGAATGGGACCCCATGCTGAATGGGACCCCGGTCTTTAAAAATCGTCGTGATGAATGGGATCCCAAAATAATAAAATGGGACCACAGCATTTTTTTGAATTGTCTGAATGGGACCCCGCAAAAAAGGGACCCCGTTGAATATTTGTATGAGTACGAATGGGACCCCATTGAAATTTTTTCAGAATGGGACCACAGGTAGGCTTAAACTTAGACGTATCCTCAGCACTGGGGTTATGCATAGGCTTAGGCTTAGTTAGGATTTCAGGCTTAGACTTAGATAGGCCTTTAGGCTTAGGCTTAGTTAGGGTTTTACGCTTAGGCTTAGTTAGGATTTTTATTTTTTTTTTTTGATAAAAAAATAAATTTACTTTGAACTCAAAAATTGTCAGGCAAAAGTTACAAACTTTCAAAAATTGACTCACATGTAAATGATTAATTGCATCAGCTCCTGGATAATTTCTCGATGAAACCAAAAGCAAAGTTCCAGCAACAACTAAATTGGCGAATAAATGACAAAGGCAACCGAAATAAAGGAACCAGCGAATCACATTTTTTGTGCGATTGATATACCTGAAATTATGCCATTTTTATCATAGAGAACACAAACCGAACTAACATTCTTGCGCAGAAAATCGCTGTGGCTAGATTGAAAAGTGGAAATACATAAATAATGAATCGAAGTTCTTTGTGTGGCAAGAAACTGTAGAGAAGAACAAAGAAAAATGCAGGGAAAACCAAGGAATAAAGTCGACGATCCAATAATAAACCAAGAGGGACAAGAAATATTGAAGATAGTAGAGCACGTGGCAAAGCAGAATAAAAATACCAGAGGAACGGAGAAACCTGGAATTATTCAAAAAATAATAGATATATTGTTTGATATGAAGACTTACCCCATATTCATGACTTTTATTCTGAATAATATTGAAATATGCAACTTCTCCTTCTGGCCAAACAGGTCTTTGCCAAAAATATGAATCAATTGGAAGTGTTAAAGCTAAGCAAAGCGAAGAAACTCGAATACCATTTGGAATTGCACCATCATGACCAAAAAATGGAAGGCGACCATTTAAAAAATATGGTAGAAAAAGTGGGCCATATAAAAGAACAAGTTCACATCTAAAAATTGAACTTATTGATAAATGATCGGAAATTTGCTCACCTAAACAAAAATACAGAAGCTGTTGCCCATCTCACAGCTGATTCAAGCCTATTTTCGAGAATTCTTTCGAAAACAATCATAACAAAAAGTAAAGCAAATGTATTTGGGAGCGGTCGAGAAATATAAAATATATAATGAAATTGTGTTGCAATTATGATTCTGAAAAATGTTTCATATTTTTCTCCAAAATCCAAAAATAATACCAACCTCAAATAAAACGCAGTGATACTTCCAAAAATTCGTTGAATCGATCGAGCAAAACTCAAAAACGCGAGAATATTCATGAATCCAAGTGTGGATCGGATGAGAATTAGTTGCCAAACTTTGGGAACCATCCAAAAGCGAAAAATGAAAGACATTGGAGCGGATAAAATGGCAAGAAATATTGGGCCAATAAATGTTCGAGGAACCACACCCGGAAAATTCGAGTGATCATACTGTAAACCAAAATATATTGAGAAATCTGGTCCGATTCTTTTTTTTGTGGTTTTATTCATTAAATTTTTGAGAAATTCGAAAGGTTTTTGTTTTTTAGATACGAAAATTTCTTGACCCTGAAAATCAGGTCTTCAAAATTTGCTCTGATTTATGAAATTATTTATCAATTGAACTTTTGACCTCTTCTTCTCGAAATGAAATTTAAAAAAACTACGTGAAAAGTGTCTAGGTTCACTCATGTTCAAGGTTGATTTTGTTTCTTTGATAATATCAAAAAATCAACCTTGAGTACTAAATTCGCTGAACTTGACCAGTTTTACTATAAAAGACAACCTTTTTGAACTTGATCAAACTATTTTCGAAAATGTTGTCAAAGTTTGTGCTATTATTTGTCTCATTTTCTGTAGTCTCAAGTATTAAAGGACCAGAATGTGCACAACCTGAATTTTTCAAAGTATTAGGATGTATTGGGGTGAGTCTTGAAAATCTAATCAAAATTTTGGTGAATAAAAAAATTCAGGGGCTTTCTCAATTCGTCAGTATTCAATTCGATTTAACGAAACCAGAAGAACGTCAAAATTTCACCGAATCTTGTAAAGTAGCAACTGATTGTTTTGGAGATATCACATGTCTTCATGCGGATCGTCTCAAATTATTCCTATCAACTTATTGTGGATATTCAACATTTTTAGAGACTGAATTTAAAGAATGTAATGATAAATTGAACAAAAAAGAGAACAATTATTCATGTGAAAAGAGTTTCAAATCATTTTTCGATAATGTGAGTGGACATTTTTGAATTTCTGAATTTAAAATTAATCATGATTTCAGGGAACTTCGGAAACTGAAAAATGCGAAAATTTGACAAAAGCAACAAAATGCATAACTAAAGAAGTTGGAAAAATCTGCAGTGCTGAAGATGCATCAAAAATGAATGAATATTTGACAAAAATGTATCAAGGATTATCATGTGATTTAGCTAAAAGTCAATAGAAATAAATTGTTTTTTCAATAAGATTTTTGTCGAACTTTGATTTATCCCCAGATATTTTCTGATCTGTTCAAAAGTGTAACTTCCTGGTCTCTTTTTCGATGTTCGAAGATAACATGAAAAAAAATGACCTTCGGTTTTTTCATTTAGAAATCTGTTCATTTTCATTTGAGACACAAAAATGTTCAAATTTGTGATTTTTCTATTTTTCTTTTCAACAACTTTGGCTGCCAAATGCAGTGTTCCTCAAAATTTGAAAAATGCCGGATGTATATTGGTAAGTTTCTATCAAATCTCAAAATTCCAAAAAAAAAAAACAAAAATTTCCCTAGAAAGCCGATGTTCTTTTGGACAAAGGTCTGGATCTTGATCCCGAGATTCCTGAACAATCCAAAAAATTCGACGGGATGTGCAAAGATGTTCAAGAATGTTTCAAAAAAGTTGGTTGTGATGAAGCTGACAATTATTACGAAACTTATGTTGGAGTTTGTAATTTTGTGAAATATATTGGAACTAATTTCGCGAAAAAATGCGGGAAGAAATTGGAAAAAGTTAATTCAAAGTGTTACGATAATCTTTTCGCTGATTTTTCCGCTGTTTTCAATCAAAAGGTATCTAGAGAATCAATATTTTGAAAAGAAAATAGAATTTTTCAGACACCTAAATCCACGCGATGTTCGAAACTTCAAAAAACTTTGAAATGTCTTGATGGTGAAATTCAAAAGAATTGCGATAACAAGATCGCAGTGGAGTTCAAAAATAAAATTACTGACCTAGCGAAACCAGTAAAATGCTAATCCGTTGCTCATTTTCTAATTTTTCGGGCGAAATTCAATAAAACTTTGGGAAATATTCAAAAAAAAAACTCACATTACTCAAATTAGTTGGCAATTTGAATAAAATATCATGCGTCGCTTGAACATTGAAAGATTCTTCAACTTTTGTCGCTGGTGCAAACATCAAATGAACAACTGCCGAAATGATAACAATCCATTCTGACCCAGCAATATCACCCATTCGATATTATTCTGAATTTGGTTAAAATTCGAATTAGCAATGGAAAACAATAGTTAATATTGGTTAAAATACCATTCACAAAACGCAAAAAAACAAAAAACTTTTTTTTAACCTAAAAATCTATTTTATTTATTTTGAACTAATATTATTTTTTCTATCCTATCTATTTCTTCTTGAACATTTTCCACAACTTTTCGAGAATTCTTCCAATTTTCTTCGTGATTTTTGAACATTTGATGGTTTTGTCTGAAAATTTATTATTAAAATTTCACAGAGAAATATTTTAAACATACATTTGGATTATCGATAATTGCTTGATAAGATTCCATTTTTGCCAAAAATTGATTCTTTCTTTGTTTTGTTTTTTCAAGTTGTTTATCCAAACTTTCCAAAAATGCGTTTCTCGATGATTCTTCAATTTTCAACCAAAGTACACAATTATGTCCAGGAACAGGACATGCAATATATTCTCGATCTTTCTCAAAACTTCCAACAATTTCAGTCACTTCTAAACCTGAAACTGGTGTCACATCTTTCGCCAACATTTTGATATCAGAAACCGAAAAATCTTGATTTCCCGTAAGTTCCAAAACTCCTCTGAACACCAATTTCGGAGATAATTCCAATTTTTGACGAAGAGATCGAGTTGCTGCAGAGAGAGCTGTTACAAGATGCATCACTTTTTCGAGTTCAGGATTACGATGGAAAATGAATAATGAAGGCTGAAATTGAAATCTCGTTAGTTTGAGAGAATAATAAAAACTCTAACCTTTACAACATCAAAATTAATAGAACCTTTTTCTCTGGCAAAAATTCGTTCATATAAATATTCGGTGACAAATGGCATAAAAGCTGATAATTGAACAAGAGTCGGTTGGAGAACTCTTTGAAGTGAAGAACGAGCCTCCGCAATTCGATTCAAATCATTTGACCATAGGGCGCGTTTTGTGGTTTCCTATTTGGAAATTATTATGTATTTATTTATGTTGAAATAAAATGACTTACCAAATAAATATCACAAATATCTGAATTAATAAATTGATGCAAAGTTGAAAGAGCCAAATGCAATGAATAGTTTTTCATATTTTCATCAACTTGAGTGATAGTTGATGACAATCTCGACATAATCCATTCATCAATCAATTTATCCGAATCAACATCTTTTATCACTTCACATTTTGATGATAATTGCTCATAATAAGCGGCAAGATTCCATAATTTATTGCAGAATTTGAGACCTTCTAATGCAACATTTGAAATATCTAATGGAATGTCACTTGAAAGAATGTCATATTTTAAAAGTGCAAAACGAAGAGCATCCGGGCCACATTTTCGAATTCCTTCGGGAAAACGTTTTTCAGTGTCAGCGATAGCAAGTTCTACAACAAAACAAACATTCTTGGATTTTTTATTTTCAAAAAAATAAAAATAAATTCTCACCGATTTCTTTTTTTCCAAGAGCACTTTCCTTCAATCTTTTGATCATATCTTCTAATTTTATACCATCCAAAATATCCAGTGGATCAATAACATTTCCCAAACTTTTACTCATTTTTCTACCTTCAGAATCTCGAACCAATCCATGTAAAACAACTTGACTAAATGGAACATCGTTCGTTAATTTCAAACTCATTCCAATCATTCGAGAAACCCAAAACCCACTAATATCCCATCCTGTTTCCATTAATTGTAAAGATGGATTTTGTTGCGGTGAATTATTCTTTATTAATGGAACAAGTGATGAACTGAACCATGTATCCAAAACATCTTCATCTTGAACCAAATCTTTCTCATTTTCGATATTTTCAGCTACAATCCATTTTCCTTCCAAGTTTTTATAATATGCCGGAATTCGATGTCCCCATAATAATTGACGACTTAAACACCATGGTTCTTGATTTTCAAACCAATCAATTAATCGATGAGATTGATATTCCGGAAAGATTTTAATCTAAATGCATTTTCATTCTCTCCAATCTCATAATAGAAAAATAACTCACCTTCCCAGTTTCAATAGCTTCTTTACTTCTTTGATACATATCTTTAACATCCATAAACCATTGTTCCATCAATCGTGGTTCAATAATATCACCAGTTCTCGAACAAATATTCACATGACTACTTTTAAATGTTTCATCAATTCCAGAATACGATTCTAATAGTTTCAATTGTTCAATTGTTTTTTCTCTTCCTTCAAATCTATCCAATCCATCAAATATTCCAGTGTTTTTCATTTTTCCATCTTTGTCGATGCATTCAATGATTGAAGAATTTTCAAAATTCGATTCGTGTCTTTGATAAATTTCGAAATCTAATGGATCGTGATATGGTGTTATCTTAACTGCTCCAGTTCCTTTATTCATTAATACAGCTTCATCCGCGATTATTAATAATTTTCGATTTGGAATCAGACGATTTATGACAGATTTTCCAATAATATTATTATATCTTGGATCATTTGGATGTACAGCAATTGCAATATCAGCAAATATTGTTTCAGGGCGAGTTGTTCCAACTATAATATATTCTTCACTTCCATCTATGTAGTACTTTACATTGTGCATTTTTCCTGCGCTGATTTTTCGATTTCCAATTTGAATGATCCCATTTTCAGGAATATCGATTTTGTCAACTTCTTGTGAACTTAAAGTTGAACCCAATTTTGGACACCAATGCACAATTCTTTCGCCTCGATAAATCAATTCTTCTTTATAAAGACGACAAAATGTTTTCTCAACGAATTTACTAAATTCTGTATCTAATGTATAATATTTGTTATTCCAATTCAAACTTGCACCCATTCTTGAAAGTTGTCGTTGAATCTCTGAAGAACATTTATCACTCCAAACTTCACATTCTCTCAGAAATTCAGCTCTGCTCATCGATTTCCTTGATTTTCCTGATTTTTCCAACATTTTTTCAACAACAGCTTGTGTTGCAATTCCAGCATGATCAAATCCAGGAATCCATTCAGCAATATTTCCCTTTTATTCTTTCATGTCGACATATTGAATCTTCAATTGAAACTGTCAATGCATGTCCAAGATGTAGTTTTCCCGTTACATTTGGCGGTGGAAGTATCATTCGATAAAACGTTCCGCGTTTCCGATAATTTTCTGATGCAAAATTGGTTCTTTCTTCATAATTTCTTGTTACTTCATCAATGTTGAAACTGAAATTTCATTGAATTTTGACTACTATTTTGCAAATAATCAATTACCTACTTGTACTACTGCTAGCTGTTGAATAAAAACATCTCCTTGGTCTTCTTATTCCATTTCTTGAGATAATAATCATCTGTAATAAGGAGCTTGAAATTTAATGAGGGAAATTGCAAAGTTACGCGTAATTACACGAAGAAAAAGACGCAAAATGATTGAAAAGAGCGCAAAAATCACCGGTGCACAGTTTCAAGGAACAACATAAAATATACAAATATCTTGAAGCGATACACACAAATGGAACCTGTGTAGTACTCTCGGACAATGATTTTATTTTTTTTTAATTTTCAGAAATCTATCTAGATCTCAAAGAAAATACCCAGTTTAGGGCGCTGTTTTTTGAAAAATCATTAAGAAGCGAAAAAAGGGTGCGTTCAAAAAATAGATGAGCTTGTTCGCTCTAATGCCACAGCGCCCAAAGGAAAACAAAAAAAACATTTACAGAGAGAACAAAATGCTGAGAAACTTGCGATTGTTACGAGTCAAACCATCAACCTCAGTTGCTTTTTATTCAAAAGAAAATGCAGATATTAATATTCGAGATGAGAAGAAAAATGAGCTAAAAGTAGGTTTCTTAAGTCTGTGAAAATTAACAAGAATAAAACCATGTTCCAGGATTTCAATAATAAAGTTCAAGTGATGGAAAAAAAGAAAGTTGGAATTTTTGGAACAAGCAATGTTCCGATGAACACCAACTTTCCAAATCCAAAAGGAGTTCCTGGTTATGATCCTGAATTTTCTGTGAAGGAATTACTTGCCGAATTGCCAAATACAACAAAAAAGCAATCAAAATTGTTAGGAGGCGAAATGCGAGATTTAATTAAAAGTGCTGGTGTGGAAAAAGTTGAACTTCTTGAAGATATTGGATTTTTGAGGCATAATGAAGCAAGAGTTGAATATAAATTTGATACTAAAGAGGTGAGATATTCATTATGTTTCAAATAAGAAATGCAAGATTTTTTTAACAAGGGAAGTGTATAAGGTCCCGGAATAAACTTTTAATGAGACTTGGTACACATATAGATTCGAACTCGCTGATCTCGAATTCGTTTTCAAAAATTGCCACAATTGCACCCAAAACGAGTTTTTCACCATCGAAAATGCGCCATATTTCTCATTGTTTCATATGTCAAACATTTGCGGGCAAGAAAAATAACAGCGGATGGCAGAGTGGTTAGCGATCTCGACTTTAAAATTTTAGGTTTCGGGATCGGTCCCGGCCCGTGGCGAACTTTTTTTCAAATTTTTTTATTTTTTTTTCAAAAAAAAATAACGAATTGAAGATGATCTTTCATATTTATTTTTATAGCTTTCATATTTATAGCTATCCAAGTTACCTTCATCCGGTGGATCATCTTCAATTCGTTCCAGAATTTCATTGTTTTCAACTATAATTTCGTTGATGTCCACACTACGCAAAACATCAATAATTCCGTTAGGAACTTTTTGAAGTTCTCGCGGGAGACATACTTTCTTGGGATTGTACAATTGTCATTGAAATTACCCATTACGAAGTGCAAAATTTGTTCAGAAGGTAACATTTTGAACGAGAATTTAAGAAACGAAAAAAATGATGACAAAAAATTATAATTCAAAGTCGGTACGTAGACATCTTTACAGGTTTCGAAAAAAAAATTTTGAAAAAAAAAAAAAAAGTTCGCCACGGGCCGGGACCGATCCCGAAACCTAAAATTTTAAAGTCGAGATCGCTAACCACTCTGCCATCCGCTGTTATTTTTCTTGCCCAGGAAATGTTTGAGATATGAAACAATGAGAAATATGGCGCATTTTCGATGGTGAAAAACTCGTTTTGGGTGCAATTGTGGCAATTTTTGAAAACGAATTCGAGATCAGCGAGTTCGAATCTATATGTGTACCAAGTCTCATTAAAAGTTTATTCCGGGACCTTATACACTTCCCTTGTAAGTAGAAAATGAAACGTTTGTTGAACGTGAACTAGAAATAATGTATACGTAAAAGTATCTACCTTTTTTAAAATAAAATCCCAAAAGAAAAAAAAAACTCTGGTCAACTTTTTGTTGGGTCAAAATTTGTAAATCTGGAAAGTTTTCCAGTTTTACAAATCCTCTTTTTTTCGAGCCAAAATTCATAATTTCAGTCTAAAATTGATATTACCGAACAAAAACACTCCTATATTATTATTTTTTATCAGAAACTTGATCTATGGCATCTTGGTTGTGATAGTGATTGGAAAGAAGGATTCTCGAAATGCTCTTTTGTGAATACCCAAAATAAAACCGGATTATTCAGTGGATCAATATCTACTCAAATTGTAAAAGATGGACGTGTTGAAAGAGCTGGATGGGCTTCGATTAAATTAGAAGACAGAAAATCATTCAATAGGAAAAAGTTTCTGACAAAATGGAGAAATTTTTCACATTTATTTTTGAAGGTTTGTAATTTCAATGAAATTTCGAATTTTTTATTTGACTTTGATTTTTTTAGATCCGCGGAGATGGTCGAAGTTATAAAATAATGCTTCATTCGCCATTATCAATGGATTTTACATGGGGTGATTCATTTTCATATCCTCTTCATACACACGGTGGACCATATTGGCAATATGAAAAGATTCCATTTTCCAAGTTCTTTCACACGGTTGCAGGAAGAATTCAAGATCGACAATATCGAGTGAATTTAGAAGATTGCAGGTACTTCATTCTTGAATAAATTGATATTCAATTCATAATATAATTTTCTTCAGTTCAATTGGAATTGTTTTGATGGATCGAATCGATGGTGATTTTTCACTTGAAATTGATTATATCGGAGTATACAATGATACAACTCACATCGAAGACTTTGCATATGAAACATATACTCTTCCAGTGTTCAATACGCATGGTTTCTAGTCATATTTAATTCTTTATTTACACTCTCTTGAATAAAAAACAGAAAAAAGTATCACTAAAAAGTTACCATTGCAAAAACCGGTTTACAGAGCGTTACACGCCATGAAAAGAACCCAAAAAACGGGGAAAATAGTATTTAAAAACCTAGAAATTTGATGAGATCGAGTTTAACATTAGAAGCTTTCGAATTTTGAATGATCGCCTACAACATGATATCCTTTTTCTTGTTTTTCGAAATCATTGGAATATACGGTTCGACATCAATCTGCAAAAATTGCATCATATTTTTTTTGTTGAAAGAAATATTGGTTAAAAAGATTTTCGTATGTACTTCAGGCTGAATCAATGAGGAAAAGAAAATAACTTACTCTATCTCCATCTATGACATGTGGTCGCTGCTCGATTGCTTTTGTTGCACTATCTTTATTTTCGAATGTGATTGAAGCGAATCCACGATGAAGACCTGTTTCGCTATCCTGAAATTATTCAACTTTTTTTTTTAAATCTAGATATCAAAATATTTACTTACATAAAACATGTTAACACTTTGAATATTTCCATATCGTTTAAAATAATGCTCTAATTGTGCTGAAAATTATCAAAATTATTTCGAAATATATTTAACAACAATAAAAAAACTAACGTTTTCCTGTTACCCATTTTACATGTGTCAAATAAACAGTTTGTCCTGGAACTTGTGGTCGAGCTTCGATCAATTTTTTGATATTTGTTGTTACACCTCGAGCCACTGACCGCATTCTGTTCTATAAATAATATAAAATATTGAAAATGATCAGATAACCTTTTTGTTTTATAGAAAAAAAAGTATACACGGCCTGAAAAAAATCATATGACAAAAGAAATGAGAGACATGTGAGATTAGAGCGAGTTTGCGTCTTTTAACAATTTTTTATTTGACATAGAAAAGAGGAAAGGGAAAAAGTAAGTACATATTGTTCAAAAACTAAAGAGCGTGTTTTTTTGTTTTTGTCTTGGCTGAAAAATGTGAACAGTGATCTTTAAAGTTGAAAACACGTCATTTTTACTTTAAACTTAGGTTAAAATAAATTTCATTTTGCTGCGCAAAAAAGCACACTGATCGCAAGATCAAAAGCTTCACAAATCAGAACTCGTAACAGAAAAAATTTTCAAAAATAAATGTTTTCCGAGAGAACTACACGTGTTTGTATTCCTAGTCAACGCGGGACGAGACCCAAATCTGTTCATTTTTATTTTTTGAATTTTTCATTCTTTTTGAACCTCGTTTGTGTCGACTAAAGCGTTGTTAGGATTAAATTTTTCATTTTAAAAACAAGCGAAAATCAAAAGTTGTTCAGTTGATCTTTTGAAAACCCCTCTATTTGGTCGAAAATTGGTCGTGGGCTCTGTCACTTCAATGTTTTTTCTCTCTCCGATGACAAATAAAGATTTCAAAAGGATTTCAAAATTTTATCAAATAAATTTTGTTTTTCATTTCACAATTTTGTAATCGAAAGTTTTCTTTCACAATATTTATTATTTTCGGTTTCTTTGGAATTTTTTTCTGAAAGTGTTTCAAACCGCCTCCATGAGCACTTGTTTTTTTTTCCATTTTGAATCACTGACCACGAGGTTTGGCTATAGTTCTCTTTATTCTCTCTTTCCTACTTATTTAGTGTTTATTATTTCTTTTTATTTTGTAACCATTATCAATCAACCGTTTATTTCACCATAAATGACAAATTTCGAAATCTTATCTTATAAAGTGCGGTTTGTTTTCAATCCTCTCAATATATAAGCGGTTCATTTCTTCGCTAACCGTGTTTTTCAAGATTCAGAAAACTTTACAAATTTCTATTGTTCTTTCGACAATTTTCAGTTTCTTTTGTCGAAAAAAAAGCCATTTTCAAGTTTTTTTCTGCTTCTTCTCTACAGAGCGCGCTTTCTCCAAATCATTTGTTTTGTTTTCTTTTCGTTCTAAAGTCACATGAGCTGATATGACTAATGTTTACAAAAAAACAACGATATTATTTATTTTCATTCTTTTTTTACTGTTTCCCTCAAAAACTCCTCCCCCTCCATCCAATTTCATAGCCAAATAAACAATTAGACACACATAGAGACGCAGGCAAGCAGATCAATAAAATGCAAAGGCAACAACAAAACCTTTACTCCATCGTACTTCTTGTCGTCGTTTTCAATTGTATTTTCGCAGCAGCAGAAACAGCAATGGTTGGTGGACATACTGAACAAGATCCAACTAAAAAGGAATATACTGTGAGTTTTTTTGTTTTTGAATACATCTCTGGATGATAAAATAATTATATTTTTCAGGACTTCGCATGGAAGGCGGTTAAAGGAATCAATGATCAAGCTTCAAACAATGGCCCATATTATTACGTGCCAATCAAGGTAACATTTTTTATCAGAAATCTTTATATTTATTTTGAAAATCAATCAATCAATACACTTTATCATATAGCATTTTTCCAATTTACAAAAAGCCTAGGCATGTTTTGTAGTAGTTGGTGAAATGGTAGTTGTTGATTTTGGAACATCTCCATTATTCAAAACAATGATTAAAATTGATCCACCAAGAAGTGCTGCCCAAACAGCCCAAAAAAGGATAATTGCGATAACTCGAGCAGTTTTCCAAAATGGCTCGCGACGTTTTTCACGAAGTTCTAGAAGAGTGTAACCAATTACCTGCGGTTTTTCCTGAAAACCAAAAAGTTTTGGGAATTTTAATGAAAATTCTCACCAACCTTTCGATTTCTAGCCTCTGTGGATTCTGAAGAATATTCTGAACATGGTGAAGAAACAACTGTTGCACTTCGTATTGTCTCCATTTTAATCGATTAGAAAAAAATTCCGAATTGAATGAATGTTAGAAGACAGAAATGAAAATGATAAGACGGTGTGCAAATAATTCAAAATAGATAATAATTTTGTGTTTTTTGTTCCGATTGAATAAGAAAAACTAAAGTTCACGGAAAAATTGGAATGTCAAATAATTTATTATTTTTATTTTATTGTTGTTGGACAAAAAAAAATGAAAATAAAAAATAATGGTTTGCGCAGATTAGTTGGAATATAAAAAATAAAAATAACATTTTGAACTAAATGAAATTTTTTGCAGGTTGTAAAAGCAACAACACAAGTCGTCGCTGGTCTCAGCACAAATCTCGAAGTTCTCGTCGGCGAATCCACATGCAAAAAAGGAGAACTTCAAGCTCACGAGATTTCAGCTTCCAACTGCCAAGCTAAAGAAGGAGGATCACGCGCGGTAAATTTTTCTGAACAAAGTATGAAAAAAAAATTATGAACATGGTGGTTTTCAGCTCTACAAAGTCAACATTTGGGAGAAGCCATGGGAGAATTTCGAGCAATTCAATGTTGAGAAAATTCGCGATGTTGCTGCCAATGAGCAAATTTAAAATTCCGATATTTGTATTTACTTGTATGTTCATACTTTCACTTTTTTCATTTTACATACTAAACTAAACTTTTTAATGGCCAAAATATCGAAATTCACAAATCTTAAAAACATTTATTCCCAATGTTTTCACATCAAAACATATTTCAACATATTTGGATTCCTTTTCGCCTTGATTTCCAAATATTTCTTATACTTCCTAACAAATAACGGAAGATCGAATTTGAAATCAGTGTTCATCAAAACCGCGTGATCCACAAAATCCAATTGTGTGTGTTCTAATTCAACTCCACAAAACACGGGAAGTTTGATGCCTCTTCGATTCATCGCAAATCGCAGGCGCTTTTTGACTTGGGGCCAGAGAACTCGTGGGACAATGAATGAGAAGAGTTTTTCGATTGGAGCTGCGAGTGGGCCACCGATGCCAAGCTGGAAATCATGAATTTGGATAGATGTTTATTAGAGGGGAACTTACATCAAACACATTGACATCAACATTTGTCAGAGAGACTTCTCCAAAAATTCTCGAATGTCGAATTGTTGGTTTCAACTGAAAAAAAACTCGAACTAAAAAAATTCAATTTTTAAAGGCTTACCGTAACATGTAATTTAGTATTGGCATGAAGAACATCGTGAAGTTCTTCTCTCCCTTTGAACATAATCGAAACATTTCCACTCAATTGAACTCGAGCTCCAAGACTTGCATCAATTTGAAGACGTGGCTGTCTAAACCATCTGTATGTGAAGAAAAAAACTGGCTATCATCCAGTTTTGATAGACTTACTCTGTCAAATTTGCGGAGATTTCAACGTAGCATTTTGAGCAAACTGCTTTGGAGAGTTTTTGAAGGATTTTTGGGAGACTGCTTGGGCCGTATCTGAATTATTGGGATTTTTTGAATCGAAAAAATCACTGTTTCAAAAATTGTTTTTTTTTCGTGAATATTGTGACGCAAAAAATCAAACTTATTCGCTCAAAAATTTAGTTTTGAATAGAAAATCTGAAAGTACAAAATTTCAAAATTTTCAACCTCAAAAAAAATTCACTGTTTCAAAAATTGTTTAAGTAATTGAAATTTTCTTGATTTTTGTTCATTATCTCGTTGAAATATAGATTTTCAAAATAAAACTGAAAAGAAATGGAAGCAGGTCGGATTTTTTGAGAACAATTTGAACCGGACCCAAAAATTGGCCAACAGGGCCCAAAAAAAAAAATCGATTTTTCAAGCCCGAACCAGAATTTTTCTCTAAAACCGGACTCGGCCCGATTGCTATGGTCCGATCGAAAATCGCCATCGGGCCAGATCTGAACAATTTTGAATCGGGCCTGAAATCCACAAGAGCCCAATTTTCGGCCCCAAACCAACCTATGTCTAAATGATCCCAAATCATTCATAAAAACATGGTGGAAAAGTGTATTTGGAATATATTCCGACAAAAGAATTCCAATCATCCCTTTATCCAACGCGGTTTTATTCAAAACATGTGGCAAATGAGCTGACTCAGCTTTCCAACCATTATACATTATTCCACCATCCAATCCAATTATCATATCCTAAAGAAACATTTGGGTTACTATAAGTACTCATTTTCAAATCAGGGAAAACTTATTTACATTATCGGAGAAAGTTGGTGGATGATTAACAGAAAGATCAACATCCCAGAATGGTTTTGCTGTCGAATTTTCAGCTACAACATCTAAAAGATCTTCAGGTGCTGGAGTTGTTGTTGATTCGATTTCCTCCTCAGATTTATCTTCCTCTTCTTTAGCTGAATGCGATTCACAAAGAGAAGCTCCAAGTTCAGCCATACTGAAACCATCAGTAGATGTTGACACTTCCGGTTTTTTATAATCTGGATGTTCTGGTTGAACAGGTTTGTGAGCCATTAGAAAAGTGAGAGCTTCAACTGCTGTGGTGCAAATGGCTCCTTGAAGAGCAGACAGAATCTGAATTTTATATTTATTTTGGTATTTGAAATAAGTTTGTAAGTATCTAACTTGGCCCTTGATTTCTCCTTGAATTGAGACAAGTTGAGAATCTGGTGGCATAGAAATTGATAAATCATGATGAGTGACGTTGCAGATTGGGGCCTGTGACATTTCAAATTATTTTTTTTTAAAAATATTGCTTCCAGAACTTACGGTAACATGTGTTGTGTGATTCAAAAACTCGAATAATAATTCCGAAACCACGTGTAATCCACGTAACTCAGCGATAAAACTTCCCTCATACTCAAAAATGAAAAATTTGATTGAAGCATGCGCGGAAGCTTGGAAATTCGAGAGACTTATATTATAGCGAACACCTCGACCTTCGATGAATTTTGCTTGAATTTCGGGTTTTGTCACTTTTGAAATGTGGAGATTCGAAATATTCACATTTTCATTGACTTCGATTAAAGGGGGACTCATGTTGTTCAGAATTTCTGGCACAGCTTGGGATGCAAGTTCTGGAAAATAATTTTTAGTTGAAAAACGGTATGGGTTCCTTTTTTCTCTATAAAAGTTTTTTGCCCAATTTATTTTTATTTTCCAATTAATTTTGTTTTCAAGTTGGCTATGATTACTGTAGCTTAAAATAGATATTTTTGGGAGAGAGAGAGAAGATAAATAAACCTACGCTGGTTGTCCTTTTATTTTTTCTGAAAAATTTAGAAGAGGTACAGTACAGCCCAGAGCCCACCGTAATACGGAGCATCGTTTGAACTAAAATATTGCGAGTTTACACTTTTAGGAACTAAATTTTAAAAAAAAACTACGATACTCCGCATTTACGGCGTAAAAATTATGAAAAAAAAACTCTAAAATCCTTTTTTCTCCCTAAATTTATGAGATAAACTAACCACTCATATAATCGACAGCTTTTTGATTTAATCTAACATATAATCCAGCTGGTTGATAAAAAACCTTATCATTTTCAGCATTTGCTGAAAATGCTAAAAATCCCAGAAATATTAGAACAGCTAACATTTGTGTTCTTGGGTTAATAATAAAATGAGCAAGCATCTGACTGACATCTGCTTTCTTTTTTCGACACACAGCTAGTGTAAAGTTCAATCAATCAATCGATAAAAAACATGCATCTGTTGATTTATGACATTTCCAGAAAGCACATTTTTTCGAATAAAATTTGTTTTTTTTTAATTGATTTATCAGTTTGATGACGTTGTGTGATGCGTTGAGCAGAAATCTGGATAAAAATTGATAAAAATATTAGGAAATCATGGAACATGTGTTGTTTTAGATAGAAAAAATGAGGTCAAGCCTGGAAAAAATTAGAAAAACACTGGAATGAGAGAAAAAATATGAACGGTTGTTGGGAATTCCAAAATAGGATGCATTTTTGAGAAAATTTCAGGGAAATGGGAAATGTGTGAGCAGTTCTCGGAGATTTTCGATTCTCAAAACATAAGGATTACTGTAGATTTTATTGTTTTTTTTTTCTGTAGAAATCTCGATTTTTTATAATGTATGATTAATCACACCAACAAACAATTATTTTACAAAATTGGAAAATGTTTTCAACTCGGAATTTTCGAAAATTATTTTTTCATCGTAAAAGAATGATCACGTAATTGATTTTTCAACGGCCTCGGCCACGTCATTGTTCTAGTTTTACAAAAAAAAAAAATAAATTTGGCCATTTCTCTGGATTTTATTCTACGAAGAGACGCGCTCATTTATTTTTTTTTAATGGGTAAGTGAAGAATACATTGGAAACTTATTTATATCAGAATCTTGAATTACGAGCTAATATTTTTACAAAATTCTTCAGTACGAGTTCATAGTTTGCCGACTAGAAAATCTTTATTTAGTTTCATATGAACTTGACAAATTATGATTTTTCGTAGATGAAATTATAGAAATCAAGAGGTTTTGTTAGACAATTCGATCACAAAATCCCACTGATCAATTCAAAATCAAATGAGTATGGCCAAAAATCCTATTTAGAATTATTTGTCACTCGGTTTTTGGAAATGAAATGATAGTTAACTAGGTCACGTTCTAACATTTTGAAATTATTGAAATTTCCAAGAAAAAAATTATGAATGTATCCAGAAAATTAAAAAAAAACATTTATGAGAATTATTTTACAGAAGATATTAAACAATTATTGTCGATGTTGATAACGGAGAGCGAAACGAAATGTAGAACAAGTCTAAAAGGAAATGGCATCAAATCAAAGGTTCCAGCTCAGAAACTTATGTCTTTTTGGGTGGATTCAGAGACCCCATTGGAGAATATTAATGCGACAATAACACTTAGTGAGAAAAAATTATGATTGTTGTTAAAAATATCACATTTTTTTAGTTGATTCGGAGACACAAGTCAAAGTATTCACATCAGCGGATCACAAAAACAAAAAGATGACATTTTTCTATACACTTCCAAACAGTAATGCGAAACAAGTCATTATTTCCATCAATGTCGCCGAAGATAATTATAGATTAATTTGCGACATTGAAAAAAACAATGAGAAACCAACGGAATTCGACAGAACCATCATGGAAATAGTGAGTTGAACATTTTTCCGAAAAGTTGGAAAAACAGCGCATCGAAAATATATCGCGCTGTGAGATTTGATCCAAAATGCCTTGCTTCAGACTACTGCATCGCGCTGTGTGTTTCTACGAAAACCTAGTATTCTTTTATTTTTTCCAACCTTAGATACGACTGATTGAGTATCTATCTCTGACAAGGGAACCTTTTTCACTCATCACTTCAAATCACGATGAAATTATTTCGTTACGCTAATTCGATATTTTTTGCAACATGTTTTTTTGGTTACTGTAGATTCAAGAAAACTTGTTGAATTCTTGCAATATTTGTTTTATCCATGATTTAAAGTGTCGAGTAAAAAAAGGTTGCCCTGTTAGAGAAAAATCGAAATGACGTTCTATCATAAAAAGGTCACGACAAAAATACATGTATTGTTTTTCTAGTAATTTTCTTATTTTTCATTGAAATGACAAGTTGCCAGCAGTCCTTTTTTTGCGAACTCACAATTAAAGTCTGAAACTTCAAAATCGTTTTTTTAAGACCGCGCAGTTAAGTCAAGATGCTGATGCGACTCGCCCAGTTTTTTCTGAGTTGAAAAAGATGGACGGAACTGAAGAGAGTTTGGCGGTTGAAGGGAAGACAAATGATGGAGTTGTTCCAGCGGTTGATGCGAGTTTGGCGGTGGGAAATATCAATAAGGATCAAGTTGGTACAAATGACGTGAGTTTGTTTTTAACATTTTCTTGAGCGCAATTTTCACATTTTTCAGAAATCCGAATTTCAAATAGGCTAATATTTTTTTGAACCTGTTTTAGTTCTTGTCTAACCATCCAAAGCCAACAGGTTCCCCAATCATAACAAAAATAATTTCAACGAATATTTTCAGATGGGAAGACAGTTTGAATCAACATGATTTGCAAATTTTATATCGCCTTTTAGAAAAACAATATGGTGCAGCTGACAGAACGGTTGGATTGAGAATTGGCTTAATAAAAAAAAAGAAGGAACAAGGAAAAGATACTGGAAAATAATTTTGAATTGAAAAAATTTGAATAAACTTTCGGTTTGTATTTTGACATTGCAGTTGAACTGTAGTTTGAACTACAAGCACAGAAACTTGGGAAAAGCTGACAGTTTCAGATTTCTATCATTTTTAATCGAATTTATGCATCTAGAAAAAATCTGTTGATTTATTACGTCTTTGGTGATTTCCAGAAAGGACATTTTTTCGAATAAAATTTATTTTGAACACTTCCACCAGTTTATAGAAACTTTTTCAAGATCAGACAATAGATTAAAAGGGAGAGAGAAAAAACAAACAAAACACGCCTAAAAATTTACAACGAATTCAACTGTGACACAAAAAAAGAATAGTTAACATTTTCTAGATTCTAAGTATGAAAAAATAACGAAATGAATATGATACAAGGGATACTGTAGAAAAAACGAAAAAGATACTTTTAAATTAATTATAATTACAGCCATTTAGGGAAAAAGAAGACAAAATTGGTTAAATGATGATTTTTTTGGGGGGAAATTTTCTATTTGCAATTCTTCTGGAACATATTTACATTTATACAGTTTGATGACGTTGAGTGATGCGTTGAGCAGGAATCTGGAAAAAAATTTAAAAAATTATTGAGAAATCAAGGAACATGTGTTGTTTTAGATAGACAAAAAATGGTCATGTCTGGAAAAAATGAAAAAATTGGAATGAGAGAGAAAAATATGGAAGATTGTTGGGAATTAAAGGGGTTGTCTTTCTACGTGAGAAAGCAAGTCCGCAATTGTGCGTCACTATTTTCAACTAACTATAAACTAGCATTAACTTGACTTGCAACACCCCAAATGACTTAATAAACGTTTGGGTGTGAACTCCGAGAGAAGTACACACAAATAAATAATGTGTGCGATAGAGCGCACTTACTTTCCTAGTTTTAAGGTTTTAGCGGCTTGTGTTTTTCACCAAAAGATCAGTATTTGCGCACCAAGAAAATTTTATGAACACGGAACGTTCAAGAAGCACCTTAGCCCAAGCGATTTAGCATATCTTGTTTGTGGAAAGACAACCCCTTTAAAACAATTGATCGAAATTTTATTACTGGATGGATTTTTGAAAGTTTACCATGATAGGTCAAAAATAGTCTCAAAAAAGTTCGCAGAAAATTTTGACTTGGGCCTCAAAAATCCGAGAATCCCCTAATTTTGGCGTGTAAAAATCATTTTGAAATTTTTTTTTCGAAAATCTTACCATCATCTCATCGTCATCAATACTTGCGCAACGTTCTTCTCTCTTCTTCTTCTTCTCATTCTTTTTCTGATTTTTGCGCTTTTGAGCTTCAATGCTACTATTGCTATTAAAAAGTCGTTTTTCTATTCTTTCACTGAAAGAGACACTCTTTTTCCGAGGAGCTGCCACCACTTCGCAATCCTCTCCATCTTCTGAAATTTATTTTTGTTTTTTTTTCAAAAAATTTTTCGCTAGAATAAATCTCACCATGAAATAGATCTTCTTCATCTTCAAAGAATGGTTGTGAGCCACCAAAATAATTTGGAGAAATCGAACCATCTCCAGGAATACATTCACTATAAGACCGATTGAATAATCGACCATGACCTGTACTGTATGGTCCAGTTGCGGGCCATTTGAGAATTCCTCGAAGTCTCATTCCACACTCACTGATTGATCTTTCTCTTCCAGTTGGAGTATAGAATGGTTCATCGATTGAATGTGTTGGTGAAAGAGAAACTCCCGAATCAATCGAATCAGTTGGAGACCAAGCTAATTGAGTTTGATCCGTTGAGGAGGAATTCGCCAAAAAGTCGCAATTAACCATCAATGGAGTTGTGGTTATAGCAGCCACGTATTTCGTCAAGTGAGAGGCTTCCGTCTGAAATAAAATTGTATTTTTTCACTTTCAGCAAAAATTGTTGTTTTGTTGCAATTATTAATCTGACCAGTTCTGTTTTTCATATGATTTTTGTTCAATATAAAAACTAGGTCATACAAAAAACAGTATAAACCTGTTTTTTTTCGGCCATTTACTTTTTTTCTCACCTTGTCCAGTCCAATGATCACATCATTGGTCAACGAATTGGGCACTTTGATAAGCGACTGTTGGATATTATTTGGATTCGGTGAAACTGGTTGCACCCCAATTGCGATCGACAGTTTTGAAGATAGATTCAGAATTGAAGAGCATGGCGAATAGATTGGCATCTCCATTTCGACATTGTTCACAAAAATCGAGCATTCGAGACGTTGAGTGATTTTTTGAGGAACATCGCGCGGTGTTTTGTCTTGTCGTTTTAGAATCCACGAAAGACACGTTGGAGAAGTTTCGAAATGACATTCTGTTTGAGAAGTTTGAAGATAATCCGAATCAATGTACAATTTTAACAAATCTCGTTTGAAGTCATCTTTTTCGAATGAAATTTTGGCAATTTGACCGTTCTCATCATTCGATATTTCAGTGACCAGATGACTTTTCACCGAATTGCATCCAGCGATTTTGATCAACTCTTCGAAATTTTCATTTTGAAGAAAAACAACAGTCAAAGTATTGTTTTGAAACTCGACGATTTTATCAGTTTCCATCAAAATATCAGTGAATTTATCAAGTTGAGATTCGAACAGTTTGTTGTCTTGATCACCTCTTCTTGTCCAGAGACTATCTTCGAGAAGACAATCGAGATATTTGAGTGAAGATTTGCAAGCAATTTCATGAATCTCGCGATTCTTCGATGACAATTCTTCGATCGATGGATGGAAACGGATTTTGACACATTTCGACTTCTTCGCGTTCAAACCAGTGATATCACTTGGAACAACCCAAATATTATTCGAGTTGTCGTAAAATGGAGCACCGATTTCCTCGCAAAAATCACAGATAACGTTCAAAGTGTTGTTGTGTTTGTTTCTAAAAGATTTTTTTTTTGAGATTTTGAGACATTTTTTATGAACTTACTTGTTGAACAATTGGAAAAGTACTGCTTCATTCTCTATTTTGAAAACAGTTTTGGACATGACAGGAAGTGGTTGTTTGAAGTTTCCTGTAAACAATAATAATTTTTAATATATTGATTTTCAAGAACTTCGAATTATTGCGACGGAACACAAAAATTAGTGAAAAATAACCTCTGAAAACTGATGATAGGAAAAAATAAATGTGCCGAAATGACTGATACGTGACTAGGCAAAAAATATGAAACACACATTTGGAAATAAAATTAGCGTCCAGAATTTTCGAGAATCTTGATTTAAATGTCACGCTTAATAAATGAAAAGTATTATTGTGATTTGTTTTCATTTTGAAAATTAATTCCTATAGCAAACAACAGACAAGATTTCCTGTGATTCTAAAATCAGCTGCCTGGTACAAAATTGGTCAAAGATTCTAGTTTCTGAAATTTTTCTGCATCTGAAGGTTTCAATTTTTCCACCATTATTATTTCAGAAAACGTGCAACAGTACATGTAAACAATACTGATAAGATTGTAGACAAAAGGACGCCCTGTTTTTCTTTCTGGTCTTTCAACTAATATATTTAGTTCGGAAAAAAAGCAGAGTGGAAATTGTTTCTTTTCAAAAACCTCGTGAGCTGCCTAGCTGGCTGATGCAATGCAATTTTTGGCCGAAAAAGAAGATAGATAGAAATAGAGAGAAAAAGTGACCGATTGGTATATACACAAAGTTAGAGTAGAAGTGTAGGAGAAGGGCAAAGATGTTTGTATGCAATGCACATTATTACGAACATCAAAAATCTTTACTTGTCACATGATTCACATTTTGTTGACTTTTGATGATTCTACTGATAAAAACGATATTATATTTTTGAAAGAAAAATATTCAAAGCAAAGAAAATCTTAGAAACGACCACATGTAAATAGCTATTGATTTCTTTTGCTAATAAAAATATGAATAGCCAGAGTATTTTCTAACCATGTGGCGGGCTGAACAGAATAAAATCAATTAGAACGAATTCCCAAATGAAAACAAGTCCGAGAGAACGTGTTTTTCGAGAATATTCTATTCGACATTGAGAAAGATGAATAAATTATTTGAGGGTCAGAGAAAAACAGCGAAATTGGGCATAATAGAGTGCTGAATAGGAACTTCTAAATACTAAATCATCATGAATTTTCCTAATCAAGGATGGGTAAGATTCACGGTAAACCCGGTGCCAACCAGATTCCCAGAATTTGTTGAAAACTTCGAGATTTTAAAATATTTCTTTCAAACTATTGGCTACAGCCTGGTTTCTCAAAATTGTTGAGGTTTTGCTACCAAAATTTAAATCTAATGAAAAATACATGCTCAAGTTCTTTGAACTTCTGTTTAAGTAGGCCAACAAGAATTTATGGCTGGTTGAGTCTGGCGGAAAATTGAGCCACAATTCAGATTTCTATACAATTTTTGTCCTATTTTTTGGTGAGAACAACAAATATTATAGTATTTATACTATAGTTGTAGTACGAAAATTCTCGAAGCAAAAAAGCACGGCGTCGAAGAGAAGAGAAAAACCTATTTATCGACACACATCTGCCTTTTTCTCTTCTTTTCTCCCTCTCCCAAATTTTTTGAAAAACAAAAATTTGTTCAATAGAGCGCACTTGGTGTCGCTCGTCCGCGGCCACTGGCAGCAGCCGGTTATGATGAAACAACAATTGATCGCAAAATAGGAGAGACACCACACAATGTCTGTGTGTGTTCGCCTTTTATTTTTTTGTTTGGGTTATAGATTTTTGGCAATTTTATTAAAAGGAGGTTTTTTATTGTTTACAGGTATTATTCTATGAATTCGCGCAGCTAGAACATGGACAGAAATAATTCTGTTCCACATTCACCATCTATAAAGGTATGAAATTCAATTGTTTTTCTTAATTAATAAGTGCTTTTGTTTTCAGGATGATGATGGGCAACAACGTCAGCAACCAACACCACCAACAGCTTTTCCGTTTTCGGGTTTGCCTGCAGGTAGTCAACCAGTGCTCAATCAACCAGGTAATTTATTTATTGATTTTTTTCTATTTGCATCGTCACTACTTATTACAAACATCAAAAGGGAGCACAAATCCGTAAATATAAATACTTGACCGAAACTTTTACTCGCTAAAGTTGCAAGGGGTCAACTGGTTTTTAATGTGCTTGAAACTTGTAATTAAATTAAACCAGTTTTTGTGTAGGCTAAATAAAATTTGAAGAAAACATAAAAAATCCAAGCCTTAACCTTTTGTAAGTAAGAAAATTTTATTTGAATCTTGTGGCCATTTTAGATAAATCAAAGTTCCAAAAATATATCGATCGCGATAAAATATTCTGTCTTGCCGTTTTTTCTCATCGAGCCAGCTGTTCCTTTCGAGAATTTATACTCATTTAGAAATTCATGAGAATAAAACCAACAAAGTGACGAGTTAATTGAGAAGCGTCTCTTTTGTTTAGAAATTAGAAATTATTTTTAACACTTTTTTCATCACTGATGTTTTACTACAAAAGTACCTCTCACAAGATTTATACCCCCTCTTCATTTTTTCTTAAAAATAGATCAAAAAACTTGTCATATCTTCTAGCAAAGTCGTAAAATGTCTACAAAAACACCGAAAAAACTATAAATTTTAATGATTAAACAACAAGATGAACAAGAAGATCTTTTTATATTCTATCTGTATCTCTAGCATCCTTCTTTATTTATTATTCATTCCCCATTGTCATGCTGGCTGTTTCGCCATTGTGCATCTTGCATTTTTCAGCGGCGGCAGCTCCAGGATATCCAATGCAGGCTCATGTTCTTTATGATCCGGTTACCGGTCAACATTACATAGTTCCACAACCCTATTATCAACCATTACAACCAATGTATTATCCACCACCGCAGCCACCAAATCAACCTGCTCATATGTATTATCCATATCCAAAACAACCACAACAACCTGGTAAGATACACTAGTTATTTTGAAGTTAGAAAAAAAATGTTTTTTTTCAGTATATATGGGCATGTATTCTCCAGCTAATAGTAGACCAGCAACATCAGCTGAAGGACCATCGAATGAAGATAAATCTGAAGCAAATAATTCTGAAGATGCCATGTCAACCACATCAAACATATCAAGAAGCTCTTTTTCACTTATGTAAGTATGAAAGATTCAAACTCCCTCCATTTTTTTGTGTGTGTTCTGGCGCGGCGCGGTCTGCGTCGTGTGTATATTCCGGTGGAGCGCGTTTTGAATTTTGGATAATATTTTTCAATTCCGAAAGAATATTCCACATTTTAACGATTTTTAGGCAAAATGCAAAAATTCCACAATTTGGAACAAAACGAGAGAATAGTCGAGAATATATGTTTCGATCTCCAACAACCAATCATTCACCATTTTTGCATCATCAACATCAACAACAACAAGATTATGAACAACCCCTTCGATCTCCAATTGGACGAGCAAAATATGAAAATCCATTTGTGAAATTGCATCGACTTGAATCCGAACCTTCTCGAGGGGGAACACAATCAGATTTTGAGGGAAAACCAACTCCAAAATTCGCATATCCCACGAATTCTTCTTCATCGGATGTTGAAACATCGAGAAGATTTGGAAGGCAAAGAGCACCTGAAACTCCAGAGTCTTCGAGAAGAATAATTGAACAAGAAATTGAGAAATCTGAAGAAACTATTGTTGAAGAACCGAAGAAACGTGAGTTTATTGAATATTTTTGACTTTAAAAATTATCTCTTTTTTTCCAGCTCGAATTCCACCGGCAAAATCTGTTCGAATGGAAATCAATTTTGATGATGTTCCAGTTGTTCCAGAAGAAAAAAGGATTCCTCGAAAATCGAATGCGACTGCATTCACAGTAACCCTTGATTCAAAGGAAAAAGATTTATCATTACAAGAAGCTGCTAGAAATTTGGCTGAAAATCGAAGAAATCGAGGGAAAATTGTGAAAATGACATCGCAGGAAGAGAAATCGGCTGATCTTCCAGTGAGTCGAGCAAATAAGAACTATTTACTGGAAAAATTATTGACGGGAAAAAATAGTAACGAGTATGATGTTGGAGAAAATGCTGGAAATGAGGCGGGTTCGGAAGTTGGAAGTCGAGAAGATTTTGATATGAGATCTGAAGCATTGACATTTGTTATTGATACTTCGAAACGAACTGGAAATGCAGCATATCTTAATCAGAATAATTTCCAAACAAAAGTTGTGCAATTTTCTGATGATGAAGATTCAGAAAGTGATAGTGAAAGTGAAATAATGCAACAATATTCACAAAGAAGTGAGCCACCAAAACAACAACCGATTAAAATTAAAACTCCATCTCCACCTCCACCTCAACCTGTTACAAAACCATTTGAATCAAGAATAAGTCGACCATCAACATCCAAATTATCTCCGAGACCAACTTCGGGAACTTCTGATTTCTTGCAAGAACTTGCTAAGCTTCGACTTATGGCAGGCTTGCCAGCTTCGGGGATCGAAGAAAGTGTTTCGGAAAATGATTCCACAAAAAGAAGCAATTTCCGAAGAGCTGAAACAAGTTCTGCTCGAGCACCAACTGTTTCCTCAACTCAAAAAGTCAATGCTCGCGCTTCATTCAGTAGCAGTCGACCACGTGAATCAATCACAACAACACCAACACCAAGTAGGAAAACTGAAACGAGAAGATCGTTGACTGGAACATCATCGCCGCAATTATCTGGAATGTCAGCTGGACAAAGACCTCCATTTAAGTCTGGAACAAGAGGAATTCTGGTTGGTTTTTTTGTGTTCTCTGGAAATTTTTAGCTAACATTTTTCAGCTTGGACAAAGTGAAGAGCAACGTGAGCAAGAACGAAATGCTTGGCTTCGACGAAAAGATTATAATCCAATGAAAGCGGCTGCGGCAGCTAGAAAACCATCAACAGAATTGAAATCAAAAGAACAACAATTCCAATCGAGACGTTCTATAACAATAAATACAATAAACAATGATCCATTTGCAAAAAGAGCACCGCAATGTGTTTCTCGTCCAACTCCACGAAATCGATCACAAGAACCAAGACAACGCCGGCCGATTCCAGGAGGAGACGTACAAAAATTATCTGGTTTGGCAAAAGCTGTGGATATGTTATCTGCGAAATGTAAAAAGAGTATTGAATTAATTCGACTACAAAATAAGGGATGTTTATCGGTTTCGGTGGAAGATTTATTGCAAACAGCTTCCGAACCACCAAGACCAAATGAATCATTAGATGAACAATTGGAAAGATTGTCAGATGCATTTGATGCAGTTCAAAGATATTTGGAACAATCGCCTTTGGATGGTTTTAATAGTCCAACACCTGATGCTTTTTATGATGATGATGATGTGGCTGAATCGAGATCCACGTTTTCCGGTGTCAGGTTGGTTTTTTCAAGAAAAAATTTCAATTATAAATTTTTTTGAAATATTTTTTTTTCGAAGTCTAACTTTTCTTTTTGAATTTTCTAACAATTCGAAAAATTCTACGGAAAAACTTGGTTTTGTTAAAACGTATAAAAAAGAGAATTGAATTTTAAAAAATATGGGTTTCCAAAAAGGTTAGGGTAACTCTGTGACGAAATTTTTGAAAAATAAAATTTTTGATGAAATGATTTTTCAAAATTCCACGTCATTTCACGTTCCACTTTTTTTTTTTCAGTTTAAAATTTCAGTTTCATTTTTTCAGTACACATCAAGAAAATCGTCCTTCAAATGAATCCATATCTTCATCATATCGAAAAAAAGTACTTGATTCATCATAATAAACAAATTAATTATCATTTTCAAATTACAAATTCTATAGATTTTTTGCTCCTAATTTATTTGCATCTTGTGATATAAATTTGTACTCTTTCAAATATCCCCCGCCTTCTTTTTTTTCCTTTTTAGAAAAATGAGCTCAACGAAAAAAAACCAGCTCAATTTCACAGAGATTTGAGTACTTTTACTATCCAAGAAGAAGAAAGAAAATTGAGGCAAAGAAAAAGTGGAAAAGAAGAAAAAGAAGGTAATGAGTTGGTTAGCCTCGAGGGATTTCGAGTCTTTTTGAAAAACGAAGAGGTAGAAGAAAGTTGCGGTTTTTCCCCCTTCTTTTTTTATTTTATTCAATCCAAGGTGAAACATTGGTTGAAAACTCGCGGAGCTGCTGCCGGTCCGATGTGCGGCGGTGCATTGCTCAGCTCCGGATTATGCAGATTTTCCGAATTAACACCTGGACAATTTGGACTTACGAAACAATTGGTTAGTTTCATTTGTGTTCTAGAGAAAAATCTCGAAGATTTTTTGGTTGTGTTGTGGAAGATTTTTTCAGTAAGTTCTAAATAGAACTTCAAAAAAATAGTTCTGAAATGTTGCTTATGAAAAAATGTGAACATGCCCTTTTTCCATTTACATAAATAAATTGAATAAAAACTTCCGGTTTTCTGGAGGACTGGAAAAGTCCCAATTTAATTTATGGAACCAGAACGACGAACTTTTCTTAAAAAACTTGAAACCCAATGCTGAAACCCAATTTTTTTGAACTTCCAGAATTAATTCAAAAGATATCATCAGAACTTTCTCTCTTATCCAAAAAAAATCTGAACCATTTTTTTTTGGAATTTTAGGTGCTCTAAAAAATGAAGGCTAGACCAGTTCAAAATATTTCTCCAAAAAGGAATTCGGTCCAGATTTACTTGACCGAAATCTCCGATTTAGTCGCTATGTTTCATAAAAAAACTAATGAATGTTCAGATTACTGTAGACGACATTTTCTAAACAGAATCTGAACCATTTTTTTGGAATTCCAGACTCCTGAAAATGATGAAAACTTTTTCTAGTTCAAAATATTTTTCAAAAAACTTGATTCAGGAATTCTAAAAATATTTTCGAAATTCTATGGTTTCATAGAAAAACCGTTCATAAAATCGTTCAGGTTCTCCGCCTTGCACTTCCACATGTCACACTTTTATTCGTTTCCATTTGCTATGCCGCATTCGGTGGTTGGATGCTAACAATTATCAATTATAGTCAACGATCTGGACAACATTCTCTTATATTTGATTCGTAAGTTTCGGAAATTCGGAAATTTTAAAAATCAAATCTTTTATTCGAAATAATTCAAAATCAATTTCAGAACACGTCAAGAATTCGCGAAAAATCTTATCAATTCAACAGAACTCATAGATTATGATCTACTTTTTGATGAGTTTATCGAAGAGGCATTCGAATATCGAAATCACGCCGATGGTGTTCATTGGCAATCACCAATTCAATCAAATCCTCTATCAAATTTCACATCGAATCTATTTTTTGCTGCAACAACTTTGACTTCAATTGGATACGGTATCGATGCTCCTGAATCACTTATTGGTCGTGTTTTTTGTTTGGTTTATTTATTTTTTGGAATTCCTTTGTATCTTATCACAATTGCTGATTTAGTGAGTTGACAGGCCTTTGTTCTAGAATATTATTCCAGGGTTTCAGGCAAAATTTTGTACTGAACTTATGAATCGTGGATATACTGAGATAATCAAACATAAGTTCCGAGTAAAGCGGAGATATAAACGATGGAAATCCGGGAGAATCAGAAGGTTTTTGCAAATTTTTTTTTGGATATTTTATTTGATCTCCAATTTTTTCAGAGAATCAATGAAAGTTGGTCAAGTCATAATTGCTGGTGGAGAAGATGAAGTTGCAGAATTCCTGTGGACTCATCTTGAACACGCACAATTTGTTGAAGTTCCTTTTCTGTTGGTTATAGGCATCTTATTATCGTATATTGGTTTGAGTTCTTGGGTCATTTCGTGGATTGAGAATTGGGAAATGACTGATGGTTTTTATTTTGTTATGATGAGTGTTTTGACGGTTGGATTTGGAGGTTGGTTTTCTCAAAATCAGGGCTGAAAACCGGTCAGAGACAGAAAAACAGAGTGTTTATATTTTCAAAAAATTAAATTTCGTTTTTTGCTACTTTGGTAAAGTGGTTAGTGAGTTCGGTTTTGCTTCACAAGGTGGCAGGTTCGATTCCTGCCCGGCACATAAAGTGTTTCTTTGTCTGGTCCTATAAATATCTATAGGGTCTCTGATCTTTTTAGGAAAACATTATAATTCTTTCAGACATGGTCCCCAGGAATGAATGGTTTGCAGTTCCAATTTTATTCATTATTCTAGCTGGTCTCGTTTTAACAACAACTTGTGTTGATGTTGTAGGTGCATATTATATTGATCGATTGCATTTCTTTGGAAGACGTCTGGATGATGTGAGTTAATTTTTTTTGGGGGAATTTCAAACCATAAAATGAGGCTTTCTAGGATCCACTGAGTTGGTTGAAAGAAGTTCAACAACGTCGAATTGAGGCGATGAAAAAAGAGGCGATGAGGAAGCTTTTTGAGACTGTTACTGCTTTACATCACATTCGATTGACAGGTATTTGAGATTTTTAGCAGGCTTGGTACATAAAACAGGCTTCGGCCAGCCAGGTCCGGAAATTGTGGGCGGAGTAACTTCCAGGGCCAGAGACCGGCCTGCTTGTGAAATTCCGGCCAAGCCTCCTGGCCGCCCTGGTTTTGAACGGCCCGGCCATAATTTTCAAACTGCGGCAGCCATTGACAAGCCTGAATTTTCAGAAGTATAGACCATTGTTTCCACGTGGCTTTTGAAGTACTGTAGAAGAAACATTTTTAAATCTGAAAATTCCAATTCCAATTTACAAACAAATTTTTCAGCGTTCAAACAACTCACACAAAATTACGATGATCATTTGAGAAAAAGTGAGTTCTTTCAACTTCATCCAGAAAATTTAGATCATATTTTTTTCAGCCCCAAATCCACCTCGAAATCTGGTCGCCTCACACGCCACGGCGGATTCTGTTATGTTGAGATGGAGCGCTCCGATTTATGTTGATGAAGGGAGAAGATATTGGTATACGATCACATATAAACCAAGGTTTTCCAAATAAAATTCTGATTCAAATTTGAAAAAAAAAACATTTTTCAGAACTCCACAAAGAAAAAGTAATATTGTAGTTGTTGATTTTGTTAACAAAGATCGATATCTGGTTACTGGTTTGAAGTCTTTCACTTTGTATGAATTTAGTATTCATACAACAACGAGATATGGCCAAAGTATTCCGATTAAAGTTCAAGAATATACAGGTGAGCATTGTAAAAAAAGAGTTCTGAAAGAGATAAGGGATAAACTCAAGCTCCCCTCCCCAGAACTGTAATTTTAAATATTGTTATGATTTCCTAATAAAATATGGGGTCACTTTGAAGCTCTAGATTTTGACGAACATTTTCATAAAATTTTGAAACAGTATTTTTTTTTGAGGAAAAAATTTCAAAAATTGTTTCAAAATTTTTTGATAATTTTTTTCGAATTTTTGAAAAATTCGATAAGCATCTAATCGGCCAAACTTATTAGACTGTAATTTCTTTAAAAAACTTGGTATGTCGATTTTCAGCTCAAAAAAATCGACATGCAAATTTAAAATTGAATTTGATGTATCCAAAATTTTGACTTAAAAAATGACTGTTTCAAAAATTTTTTTTTTAATTTTTTTCCGGTATGTTTAAAATTTTTAAAAATATTTAAGCAGTCCAGAATTTACTCATCTAAACCTCTTTCAAAGATTACCACGTGAATTTTCAGCTTCAAAAAAAATCTTGAAAAAAATTGACTGTTTCAAAATTTTGTGATAATTTTTTCCAGTATTTTTAAAATTTTGATAAACTTTGATTAAGTTGCCCAGAATTTATTAATCTAAAAAATTGACACGTGGATTTTCAGCTTAAAAAATTGACATCTAAAAAAATTCACATTCCAGAACCTTGCACAGTTCCACAAAGTGTTCGAATCGATGCGATCAGCGACGAAACAGCCACACTTTCATGGCGAACACCGAAAATGAACAATGGTCCGGAGGTGAGTTTTTTTCATGTGTTCCAAATATTCTGGAATTTTCAGAGTTATGTGATACAATATGTGCAAGAACCGGCTCCACAATTTGTTTATTGGAATAAATATCGAGTTGGTGAATCGTGTCGATTTACGCTAACTAATTTACAGCCTGATACTAGGTGAGAGAATTTTTTGGGGGAACTTGTGATCTACAAAATATACTGTAGTCAAATTATCCTTGAAATTTGATCAATTTTTGAGAAGGAGCTTTTAGTGGAAATCCGAACTACAGTACCTTATTTTGGAATTTTCAAAAAGAAATGTGTGATCTACCAAAATTACTGTAGTTTTGATTTTTCTGAAATGTATTTCCTGCTCTAAAATGCGGAAGGGAATCGGGGTTACTGTAGATTATCGGGGAAAGTTTGGACTACTGTAGATAAAAATAATAGAAAAAACTACCATCTGAAACCTTGGTTACTGTAGAACTGCAAGTACTGTAATTCGAAAAATCCCAAATTTCTGGTTACTGTAGATTGTCTCAAAAAATATACAGTTTTCCTGTAAAATTCAAAACTACAGTAACCACTGGAAACTTTGAATGTATGAAAATAATTAGAAATTTTTTTAATCTTCAAAATCTGATGAGAAACTTTCCGAATTACAGTATCTATGTGGAAACTTTTTAAAATTTTAGATTTTTATCTACAAGTTCTACGGTGCTGGAATTCTAGTTAACTGAACTCTACAGTACTTTTTAGTTCAAAACTATTATTTTTTGCAGATATATAATTTGTGTGACTGCTGAGCACAATTTCGGATTAGCAGCCATGTCAAAATCAATGCGATTCCGAACCAAAAAATGGTGGGGAGACGAGGATAGTCAATATCTTCGAATTCCTGGAACAAGTCATCGTCTTTCGATTGCATCTGCTATTAGCACATTGAGTGCGTTGAGATGATTATGTATTATGAATACCAAAACAATAATTGACAAATTTGAACAATTCAGGGTTTTATTATGAATCGATATTTTTTCACATTCAATAACTATTTTAAAGCACCATTAATGGGGGTTAGTAAAAGGTAGTTTGTAGTAGAATTTTGAAATGACACCTAAAAAAATTCTAGGAAAGGCACATGAACTTAAATTTAAACACGCAAAATCTCCAGTTTGTTATCTGAGCAAATTGAAATCCAGTCAGGGAATGAACTTGACCAATGAATATGATTAACCTAAAAAAATTATTTTTTGAAAAATTCTGGGAGGTAAGTCTACAGTACCTCTCCAGCAGCTTGATAGGCTAAAATTGGATCATCGATTGGTTTTGGCATCTCATGAACATCCCAAATTAGGGCTTGACGATCGTCGCCAGCTGTGCAAATGTGTGAGCCAGAATGTGGAGCCCATGATATTCCATTTATTGTTGCTTCATGATTTCGAAGTCGAGCAACAGGAGTGCAAGGAAGACGTAGATCAAGAATTATCACCTGAAACTTTTACATTTTTTTCGAATTCACATTTGAAAATTGTACCTCTTTACTATCCTGTGCAAATGTTGCAATATAATTTTGATCATTTCGATTCCAGGATAATCTGAGCAATGGAGTTCTTGTTGGATCTTCGTACATAATTGTTGAATGTTCCAATCTTCGTAAATCGAATATTCGAAGACTTCCATCAGCTCCAACTGATGCAAAAATATGACTACTTGCATTTGAAAATGAAATATCGAAAACTTCTTTATCATGAGCAATCAATTGTGTTCGTATATTTCCATCAATTTGTGCTGGCCGTGTTGTTCCAATCGCTTGTCCAGTTTCCAATTGCCAAACTGTACAAGTTGTATCAATACTCGATGTTCCAATCAAATTCAAATCATTCTCATTCCAATCGAATGATGTTAGTGGAGCACAATACTCAGCTGTTCGATTTGTATTCAAAAGTGATTCGATTCTCGCCTGATTATTCGAGCCAATTCTCCATAATCTCAAATAATCTCCACTTGTTGCCAATAAATCCGGATAGGTTCCTTTTTGATCTGGGATCCACATGATTTTTGTTGCCGGATATGGATGATCGAATGTGGCGCGTTGAACTATCTCACCAATATCTTCATCGAGTTGAACAATCGATATTTTATTCGAATATTCTTCAATGAAACTTGAGACTGCGATTCGGAATTTTCGAGATGTGTCAGTGGCAGAACTCCAACCATGTGAATATAAAGTGTGTGGAGCAGTGTAGGCATAGATTTCTTTTCGACGAGAATCATCGCGCGGACCACCCGAAGAAGAGCCGATTAAATCCGCTGAAGATGGTCCAGCTGATAACATCGCATCTTCAAATGGTTCTGAAGATGGTCCAGCAATAAGTTCGATTGGTTGTTGTTGTTTTTGAATTTCTGCATATGTGTCAGATGGCTGTTGTGGCTGCTGTTGTGTATAATAGCTCATCTGATGTTGTTCCATCCACGAAACTTTGTACTGAAAAAAAATGGGATTGAAAATTCTATTTGTAAATTCTGACAAACAAAAGTACAAGAAATCGGATATCAGACCGATTATAATCGAAAAAACAACGCAAAATCAAAATAAAATTATTGTCGGCTTATCATTTTAAATGAAAAATATCACATATAAGAGTTAATAGGAAAGAGATCAAAATAACACTGGAAATTGTTTTTTGGGTAAAGTTAGTTGTTAGGGAATTAATGAATGAATAAACATGAAAATGAAAATGGAAATATATCAAAAAAATACTTCTTAAACTCGGAGAATTTCAAGTGATTTGTTAAAACAAATACATATCCAATTGCTATGCACTGGTCCCCAATGAACTTGGTTGACTTCTCCGCCTGCGGAATACGCCAAAATCGGGTCTTCAACTGGTCGTGGAATATGTTGAAGATCCCATATCAATGCTTGAGCATCATCTCCAGCTGTACATATATGATGTGGACTGTGTGGTGCCCAAGCGATACCATTTACTGGTGCATTATGATTTTTGAGACGACAAAGTGCTTGACACGGCATACGGATGTCTAAAATAACAACTTCGGTTGCATCTTGAGCAAATGTTGCCAAATAGTGTGGTTCTTGTTTGTTCCATGCTAAACGCATTAAAGGAGTTTTTGCCGGATCTTCGAATACGATTGTTGAATGTTCTAGTCTTCGCAAATCGAACATTCTTGCACTTCCATCGGCTCCAACTGTTGCAAAATGGTCACGACCATTATTTACGTGTGAAAAACCGATATCGTGAACTGGTTTGTCGTGAGCAATCAGTTGGGTTTTCACAGAAAATGTCGTTGGTTTTGTGGCACCGATTGCAGATCCAGTCTGAAATTATTCATATTTAAAAAAAAATGATAGCCATTTTAGTTTTTTATTGAATAAATGTTACCTCTATATCATAAATAGTACACGTGGTATCAATACTAGCAGTTCCAATAATTCTTGGATCTTCTTCATTCCAATCGAAGTTTGTCAATGGAGCAGTATATTGTGTTGTTTGAACATGCTGAAAATTTATATTATTTATAGAAAAACTTGAAAACAGAATACTTACATTGCTAAGAACACAATCTGGTTCAACAACATTTCCATCGATTTTCCAAATTCTTAAACAGTCGCCAGTCGTGGCAATTAGATCAGGATAATTGTTTTTTGGATCAGGGATGAAACCGATTGCATTTGCTGGGAATTCATGAGCAAAACTTGCTGTTTCAATAAGTTCGGGGTGGTTTTCTTTTAATTGAACAATAGATACACGATTTCCTTGATCTTGTTCAACGATAGTTCCAACGGCTAACCGAAACTTCGCATCTTGTTTGTAACTCCAAGCTGAAGCAAATAGTGGTTTATCCGAGTTATATCGATAAATTTCACATCTTTTTTGCTGTGGTGCAGTTTCCCGTACAGTATTTTGTGATGTATTATTAGATAGCGGTCGTTGTGCAGATGATGGTGTAGATGGTTCCGATCCATTAGGTACACTAGTGGACATATCTAAAAATTAACAAAATGATCAATCGATAGTGCGATCAAAAACAAACAAAAAACTATGTAAATTAAGATAATGAAAGAGTGTAAAAAGAGTAGGAGAAATGAAAGAGAAAAAGAAAAGGGGGTAGAGTGTGTAAAAAAAGGGTCAGCGTCTAGAGAGTTGGCCGGCCAGCCAAGCCGTTTTTCTCTCCCTACTCTCCTCTTTTTACACACTACATAGTGTTCGAGAGTGGCATATGTGTCAGTGCGCTAAAATCAAGGCGTTTTGTCGCACAAGTTGTTATCAGGAAAATGAGCGAACGGAGCAAAAAATAATTGATGCAATTTTTGCAAAAAAAAATTAAAACAATATTGTTCAAAAGAAGTACACATTCACGGGTCTCGCGTGGAACGCACGTAATTTGTCGTGCGCCTTTGAATCTACAGTACCACATGTGCGGTCTAGTTTTAGAAAAATGTTCCTGAAAGTTGCGAGAAAGTTCAATTTTTCGTAAAGTAAGCAGCCGAATCAAATCTGGTTTCTTGCGTGGGGTCTTGCGTGGAATGAACATAATTTGTTGTGCGCCTTTGAATCTACAGTATCACATGTTTGGGGTCTAGTTTCAGAAAAATGTTCCTGAAAGTTGCGAGAAAATTCAATGTTTCGTAAAGTAAGCATATCAATTAGCCGAATCAAAAATTTTGATTTATAATCACCTGAAAAAACGGCTATAATTATTTCTAGATGTTGGGAATAAGAAACTGACTCATAGTCACATGAATTGTACAACTATAATTATTTCGTTTCCAGCGAAATGAACTTTTCTCAAAAAATGAAATAAAATAAAATTTTTCAAGAAAAAGTTTTCATAGATTTTATGTGAATCACTTAAAGTTTCACCATTCTGTCGACAACATGTGCTCAAATCGTTCATTATCTTCAGTTGCTTCTTCGTCTGGAAAATATGTTCGAATTGATTGAGCTCGAAATGGATGCATTTCATCATTTATATTATGACAAGCTCCAAAATAACAAACATATCCTTCTCGACATTGCCAATCTCTCATACAATCAATTACATCTCTTCTGATCGGATTTTTCGTACAGAAATCCTGAAATCGAAAATATTATTTTTGAGTTCGATTTTCAAATTAAACTTACTGGTGGTGTCATACAAGGGGCATTGCAATTGACTAATTTTAAAATGAATAGGAAAATCACAAGATTTTTGTTGAACATTGGGTTCGGGAAATGAAAAATAAAATGAAATGAAAACGTTTCGGCAGAAAGTTCACGTATTTTAAATTTATTTTGAAATGTGGAATTTTGTTAAATTTTTGAAAAAAAGAAGGGGGGGGGGTTTGATCTGAGCCTTGGGGCCAATATTTCTAAAAAAAACACTCTGGATAAATTTTAGCATAGATTTAAAATTGTGCCCAAAGATCTAGCCCAGATTTTTCAGTATCCCAGCTCAAACATTTTCACGACTCCCGGAATCATATTATTTCCTCACTATTATCTCAAATTCCAAAAATAGTTTCTCAAAACTTTTCCTATGTCTTCCCTATTCACTAAAAATGATCAAAACCTTTGAAAATTATTTGAAGTATCTATTTCGCTTTCAATTCTTTCCCCCGGTTTTTCTTTTTTCTTGAAAACGAACTGACTAACGAGCCATCCGCCCGAACAATTGAATATAATCATCAAACAAGTGGTTTGTAAGTCGAGGAGTTTTGTCAAAAAGAGGCGAGCGAGAGGAACCACCACAACCAGTTGAGTGGCCCCCCGAATTGAATTGAATTGACACTACAAGTGGTGTCTTCTATTCGTTACTTGTTTCAATTATTAGATTTTTGCTGTAACATTATTTTGAAAGAATATTTATTTCACCTAGAATCTAAAAATATTTTACACCAATCTCTCAATCAAAATGTCACCACATGTTTTGATTTCTTCTTCAATCCCCAACCCTCTTTAGTTCCACTTTGCACATTTTTTGAAGAGTCTACGGTAAGTGTCACTTACCTATGAGAAAATCGTTTTGATTTCTTTTGTTATTGAGAATCTCAATGAAGCATGTTTGGCTACTGTAGTTAATGCTTTTTGACACTCCCAACAAAATGCTCTTCTTGATTGGCTGCCTCTTCATATTTTGTTGATTTTTTGTGAACTTGGTTCATTTTCATTTTCAGAAAAAAAGTTTTGAATCAAAATTAAGTCATAGCACAAAAAAACAAATTCTGATCAAAGTTCTGATCCCAAATTCTAACTACAGTAGTCTCCTCAATTGTCTCTTTGCTTCAAAATTACATCAAACAAAATGTAATTTATACGGTAGTGGGGTGGTGTCGTTTAGAAACGAAAAGAAGAGGAAACTCAATTTAATAAGCAAAGGCGGGCTCCAATCAAGCCCAAAAACAAAGCATCCTTCTTCTTCTTCTTCTTAACCCGATTTTCACTTCTCCCATTTCTCGTTATTCTTCGAATTTTATCAAGGTTTCATTTTCTTGTTTATTCTGAAATTTATATATTCTTGCAGATTTCAGCCAATCATGAGCGAAAAAGAGGAGAAGGTACAGTAATCCAAATTAGATTCTGCCTCTTGACATTTTGTCATTTTTTAGACTTCTTCTTCTTCTTCACCCGATGGCCAAAAAGAAACTTCAGTGAAATTTTCGGTTTCAAGTATTTTATCGCCATTTGAGAATCTGGGTAAATTTAGAAGAAAATTCCTTTTTTGATCATCTAAATAAAAATTGAATACTGTAGCGCGTGTTCAACAACAACTTCTTCGAATGGCTGCTTCTCATCGACAAAGTTTTGATCAAGCTACAACATCTGGGTTGAAATTACCATTGATTCCACCGCCAATTCCTCATCCAGCTTGGTTATATAATCAACAATCCACAGCAGCTTCTTGTAAGTTTATAGAAACAATTTTGATCTACAAAAAAATCTACAGTACTCCCCGGCTCTTTTGGAAATATGCCTTTGAATCATCGAAGAAAACGACGAGTTCTATTCAGTCAAGCTCAAGTTTATGAATTGGAAAGAAGATTCAAACAGGCGAAATATTTGACAGCTCCGGAAAGGGAGCAATTAGCGAATTCAATTAGGCTAACTCCAACACAGGTATTTAAGAAAACTTTTTATTTTAATAAAAACCAGGAGCTGTTAGCTCTCAGGTTCAAGCATGTTTCTTGTTCTCCAATGTATAGAAAAACTTTTTCTGTGGAGTGATTTTGTTGAGCTTCGCTAGCTCTTCTTTTTCTGTAAAATTTCAAAAAATTTTCTTGCGCCTTAGATAACTTTGCTTAACTTACCAGCTGGTTTGCAGACTTGTTTTTTCGAAAACAGGCAGAATAAGATGACTAGGGCATAAATGATTCCAAGTGCAATAACAATACCACTGGCAACCACAATATACAATGATGGGATTGGAATTTTTGAATTTTCTGCAATTTTTTTGAGATTTTCTACTTCCTCTTGGGCTACCATTTTTATTCAAAACTGATCTGGTCATTCATTAAAATGTGTTTGGATAAAATGTCACGCGAAATTTTTTTTTTTTTAATTCGAAGTCAATATTTTCTTTTTCCAGGTGAAAATTTGGTTTCAAAATCATCGTTACAAATGCAAACGTCAAGAAAAAGAAAAGGCGATGAGTGGCCTTGATAATTCTGATTCTCCAACAGCTGAAGATGATGATGATGGGTATGTTCACAACATCTACAGATTCTCCAAAAAATAATATATTTTTCAGAAAATATTCGGAGAAAGATGATGAGGAAATTGAAATTGAAGAGGAAGAAGAAGATCCGATTGCACAACTTGCTAGAAATCGAATGTTTGCTGTAAGTTTCGAAATTTTTTTTTATTTTTATTCAGAACCACAAAAAAAAATTTCAGCTTGCTGGACAATTTGCATTTTCCCCTGGTGCTTATTTGCGATGGTGATAATAATTTTTAAAATTTAGATAAGAAGCTTTTTGATGATCTCTCTCGCTAATAAATTTTTATTCGCTTTTTATTTTTTCATGCGCAGATGGTTGTATCAAGGACAAGGATTGTAATTTCACAGAAAATTGCAGATGGCCACCATTTAGAACAATTGTTGGTTTCTTTCATTTTTGAAGATGGTTTTATGAATTTGCATTCGTGAAATCGTAGTTTTGCTTCACTTTTAACATTCTGAGCTTTTTTGAAATTTTGAAAATTGAAAATAAATTTTTTGACAGTTCGAAAACTAAAAACGTGAACTTTTTTCATTTAGACGTTTTATTATCTCGAAAAATTAAATTATTGGCATTTCGAAATATTTCACCCCAAGGAAGATAACCGAAATTTCTCAAAATTTCTCACATCCGATTGAATATAAAAATTTGAGAAATTTTTGAAACCCAGTTAAGTTAGTATTTTCTTCATTTGCTTGAAGGTTTTTTGTTGATATCCGAGGGTGTTATTATTTTTCTGTAAGCTCAAAAAAAAAAGTAAAAAAAGAAAAAAATTATTATTCAAATGTTCCGCGAAGTACCGCAAACGCGCCAGCATTGAGCCACTTGACACACATCAATTTTGTTGACGTGTTTTTCGTAAAAAATTCAATTTTCTGATTTTTTCGCAAAAAACATGTTTAGCGGGAGTTTTTATCAATGAGAAATAAATTTTTTCAACAGTAAAATTTCAAGGAAAATTTTCGCCATTTTTTTCAGTCTTTTCTCATTATAAAATAGGCAGGTGATAATTAATTATGGTGTAAAGAAAGAAACTTTGAATGTTCATGAGAACAAACTTTTTTCGTATTCTATTCTTTAACATTTTCCCAGAGTCGTTGATATTCGTCATAAATATAACAATTACTCTGTTCGTTGCTAGGCATTATTTTTCATCTCTCTCAAAAAAATCGATATTTTTCACTCACAGGCCAGGGTTATGTGGAGTGGCGATGATGTTAATATGGACGATGAGATGTCAGGAAATTCGAATGATAGTGGAGAAGCTGCTATGGAAGATGATGTAAGTTAAAAAATAAGCCAAAAACAGTTGATTATTCATGAAAACAATGTATTCAGGATCAATCATGCAGTAGTTCATCTGTGACAAAACTATCAACTCAATTTCAATTAGAACTCAATGCATCATCTCCAAGTCATAATAATCCGCAATCAAATCCAAAAGTCGATAATCTAGTTCAACTTTTCAAAGAATTATCCGAATCAGAACAATGCGAAACATTCACTCGATTACTTTATGAAACATCAATGTCAAATATCCGACATTTACGACATTTAATCGAACCATTTTTTCAACGTGATTTTCTATCTTGTCTTCCAATTGAACTTGGTGTTCAAATTGTATCTCATCTTGAAGGAACAGAACGCATAAAATTATCACACGTTTCTCAAAATTGGAAATTAGTATCTGAAGTTGATAGTAATTGGAGAAGTATATGTAGTAAAACAGTTTTATCACTTCCTGATCCATCAAATCGAATTTATGGAGCATGGGCTGCAACTGCAGTTGGACAAGGGGTTAATATTCCCGATCACTGTGTTATGGATAATTTTTCAGTTACCAGAATGGATAAAATGTTATCAAAACATGGATCGTGAGTTTCCTAGGGAGAAATAAAATAATTTCGTTTTTTTTTCAGAGTATTTGCTCGTGCACCAGACAAGGCTCGATTCATGAGAATGTTGAAAATTGAAAAGAACTGGAGAGAAAAACCAATTCGCGGATCATGTGTTTTAAAAGGCCATGAAGATCACGTAATAACTTGTATGCAAATCCACGATGATTTACTTGTAACCGGTTCGGACGATAATACGCTCAAAGTGTGGAGTATTGATAAAGGAGATGTTTTGTTCAATCTTGTCGGACATACTGGAGGAGTTTGGACATCTCAAATCTCGAGTTGTGGAAGATTTATAATCAGTGGTTCGACTGATAGAACTGTTAAAGTTTGGAGCTCATCAGATGGTAGTTTAGTACATACATTACAAGGACATACAAGTACTGTTAGATGTATGGCAATGTGTAAAAATATGTGAGTTTTTTTCTCAATTTTTTTGGAAATTAAGCTAAATTGAGTTTGTTTTTGCAGATTAGTAACTGGTTCTCGTGATACAACTCTTCGAACTTGGGATGTTGAAAGAGGAACTTGTCTCAGTGTTTTAGTTGGTCATCAAGCGGCTGTTCGATGTGTTCAATTCGATGGATGTCTTGTTGTTTCTGGTGGTTATGATTTTACTGTAAAAATTTGGTCGGCAAAAAGTGGAAATTGTTTGAAAACTCTCAATGGTCATACAAATCGTGTATATTCGTTATTGGTGAGATTTCAGAAAAAACTTTCAACTAGCAATCGAGATTTTTAATGAAACATATGTTTTCTAGTAGTTTTTGATAGCTCTACTCCTAACATGAGTTGTGACGTGGCAAATTTCGAAATATTGCGACTTTGGGAGGTCGAAACTCGCTTTCAAAATAGTTTTCATAAAAATCTGATATTATAGCCTTTTTCAGGAGGATTTTCTGAAATCTGAAAGATCTTTCAAAAACGTGGCAACCTTCTGAACAACTATTTGCCATCAGATTTTCATGAAAACCATCTTGAAAGCGAGTTTTGACCTTCCAAAGTCTTAATTTTTCGAAATTTTCAAAATTTGCCACGTCATAACTCATGTTAGGAATTGAGCTTTGCAGTTTTAGATAAAGAAATCGTGATCAGTGGGTCGAAAACTGCTAGAAATTATATATTTCCTCAAAAATCTCGATTGCAAGTTGAAACAGTTTCGCTGTGAGAAAAATTCTTTGACATGTTTTATTTTTTTCAGTTTGATCGTGAACGTGCAATAGTTGCTTCTGGATCTCTTGACACATCAATTCGAGTTTGGGATTTTCGCCGAGAAGATGGAAAAGAGTGCATTTCACTTCTTCAAGGTCACACTTCTCTAACTTCTGGAATGCAATTACGCGGAGATATTTTGGTCTCTTGTAATGCTGATAGCACAGTTCGAGTCTGGAATATTTATGATGGTTCTTGTCTTTTTCATTTACACGGCCATCGATCTGCAATCACTTCTCTTCAATTTTTCGGTGATCAAATTGTTGCGACAAGCAGTGATGATGGAACTGTTAAATTGTGGGATATTAAAAAAGGTGCGTTTTTTCTTGTGAGCCTGCTTATCTAATTGAAAATATAAATTTCAGGTCAATTTATTCGAGATTTGGTGACTCTTGAATCTGGCGGAAATGGTGGATGTATTTGGCGACTTTGTGCAACTCCAACACTTTTAGCATGCGCTGTTGGATCACGAAATAATACAGAAGAGACCAAAATCATCTTGTTGGATTTTGATTCGGTTTATCCATAGATGTCTATTCTTATTTTACTTAATTTTATTTCATTCATTTTTTTATCCGGGTGTTTTTCTAGTGTGTTATTATTATTATCATTTATCATCATTTTTTGTCTAGCTTTATTTCTTTCATTTCATTTCTCAAAAGTTATTGTTTTAAAATAATCTCGTATGTAAAAAGTTGAACCTTCTGACAAACTTATCTGAAAAAAAAACATTTCAGGAAATTTCATTTTTCTAGTTAATGCGAATCAATTGGATACAACTTCAAAAAATAACATCGAAAATGGAACCGATTTTATTGAATATTGCAGAGAATAAGGATTTTCAGTGGGTTTTTCGCAAATATTTTTTTTTCAGAAAATTTATTCAATTTAGAGCGCTCTTTACACCACAACTGCAAAAACTTCGGGGATTTTTCGAATCTCGAGGATTTGAAATTCGAATAGCTGGTGGAGCTGTAAGAGATTTGTTGATGAATATAAAACCGGCTGATGTAGATTTTGCTAGTACTGCCACGCCAACTCAAATGAAGGTATTTCTGAAAACTCTGAATTTTATATTGAAAATTGTTTTCAGGAAATTTTCGAGGCCGAACAAATTCGAATGCTTCACAAACGAGGAGAAGAACATGGAACAATTACTTGCCGAATTGATGATTGCGAAAATTTCGAAGTGACAACACTCCGCGTTGACGTAGTTTGTGATGGACGTCGTGCAAAAGTTGAATTCACTGAAGATTGGCAATTGGATGCGAATCGACGAGATTTGACAATCAATTCATTGTTTTTATCGCTGGATGGAACTGTTGTTGATTATTTTGGTGGAATTGGAGATATCAAATCGAGAAGAGTTTGTTTTGTTGGTGATGCGAGACAAAGAATACAAGAAGATTATTTGAGAATTTTGAGATATTTTCGATTTTTTGGAAGAATTTCGAATACTTCTGAACATGAAGATGATACAATTTTGGCGATTATTGAAAATAAAGATGGGATAAAAGGAATTAGTGGAGAAAGAATATGGACGGAATTGAAAAAGATTGTGATTGGAAGAATGGCATCAGAAGTTATTTATACTATGATAAAGGAGTGTAAATTGAATGTTTTATTAGGTTTGCCAGAAGAATGCAATATTGAACGATTTAAAATGGTTTGTTTTGTTTTTCTTTTTTGAATCTTCAAATTTTATTTATAAAAATCTTTAGGTATTCAAAAGATTTGAAGGAAGTCTCGATCCAATGACAATGATTGCTTGTCTTTGCGAAGAAGTTGAAGATATTTCAAACTTTCATAAAGTCACAAAATTATCCAACGATGAACGAAATACTGGTGAATTTATTCTAGAACACCGCAGAGAAGCTCAAGAAAATTTGGAAAATATTGATTTTTGGCAAGATAAAATTGTTGATCTTGAACAAAGACCTGGACATGATCCAAGTTTGGAGAAACTTCGAAGAAGAGTTGTTCAATTAGCAAAAAGTGTTGGAGCAAATCGGGAGATTTTGGAGATTATTGAGAAGTTTGAATCACCGAAATTCCCGATTGATGGAAAAGTTTTGATGAGTTCTGGAAATTTGAAAAAAGGTCCACATGTTCGAAATGTTTTGATGTATTTGTTCGATTTATGGAGACAGGTTAGTCAGTTTTGTTTTTCATTCATTCACAACATTTTTTGGAAATGTTTAAAAACTGGGAAGTTATTTTTAAAAATCTGAAGCTCCAATGCACTTTGAAAAATGCTTCACATATATTTTCCACATTTTTTTATTTCGATTTTTTTTAGTTTTCAAAATTATTATTATTGGTTTTATTTTTATTTTTTTATATTTTCAGAGCAAATTCTCAATGAGCCAAGAAGAATTGCTCGAACATACAAACGATGGAAATATTCCAATTCTCTCTAAAAAATCAACTTCACCCAAACGTGTATGACAGACAGACAAGTTTATTAATTTTGCAATTGCAATTAAAATAAAACAATAAAAATGTTCTAAAGATTTGTGTGATATGCTTTAGCAAAACCAATTCTTGCATTTCCAATATCATAAATATTACAATATTGTCGAATAAAAGTGTCTCCAAGAATCCAACTCGGTCCAAAACCAGTGAATGTCATTCCGAAAAATGTCAAAACACATTTGTTGTTTTTCAATCCAATATCAAGAATGTATTCGACACTTTTGACTGTGTAATCAATTTGACCAATTGTAAAAATGATATCTGGAGAGGAATACATTTTGTCACAATCAATTTCGTATAATTCGTCATTCCAATTATATTTTGCACCCGATGCTTTAACAACAGCTGAAACAACTGAATGAGGTGCGCCAATCCATGATGTTCCAGTATCACTTATCACTTTGGCTGTTTTATTCTCAGAAAATGTTCCGACCTTAAATGAATCGAGATGAAATTCCCAATAAGTTTGAGCTGTCAAATTGACATAATTAATGTCAGATGCACAATTCACTTTATCCAATGCGCCATATGTGATTAATCCACCATTTCCGCCATTTGATCCATTGATTTTTCGATCAAGCCAAACTGTGAAAAGTGGAAGATCAAGTTGAGGGAGAAGATTTTGCATTGGAGGGATGATTTTATCGACGGCGAGACCAGGCCATGCAAGTCCAAGAATTCCATCAACTGGTTGATACGCAAAAACCTAAGAAATTGTAGGATTAGTTACCGTAACCAGTCAGCTTCTAATTATTTTGTTTACCTCGTCCAAAGAATTTGCAACTCCAAATTCTTGTTGTTCCACAGTTAATCCACCTCCAATAATTAGAGTATCTTTTGCCAAATAACCAGAACAAGATCCTGACCCATAACTTATACTGAATTTTTTGTTTTCTTTTGAAAAACTCGACGACGCAGCAGTATTGAATTTATGTTTTGGATAAGTAATTCCATTACACGCATCTGTATTACACATCGAATCAATAACCCATAAATTTGATGAGCCAGTATCCAATACAACAGTAACTGTTTGTGGTGGAGTTCCAATTGAAATATTTCCAAGGTAGAAATCATCGGCCCAATCTAGAAATGGTTGATTTCCGGTGTTTAATTGGATACGTTTTTCATGATGTTTTGCAAGATATTCTTGATATTTTCCAGAATTTATGAGACGATTTCGAAGGGAACCTGCACTTTTTGTTGGAATTGAAAATGAGGCAGATGTAACTAAATGAACAAATCCGAGAATAATCAGAACTTTTTTCATACTGATAAACTTTGAAAATGAAGACTGATAACTCTGATCAGCTTATGCTTATATACACATGAAAAACCATTGATTTTGTCAAGTGATGCAAATATTATTTTATTCCAATTTTCCTCCCGAAAAAAATGGCGTGATGAATTTTTAAGCACTTATACATAGTACAATGGAATTTCATGCATTTTAAAGTTTATTAGATTTTCTCAGACTCGACTCATCATCAAATTTATTCAAGTTTTCTCTATCTGAATCAACAAAAATGGATGAAACATGAAACATGTCACATTAATTTGAATACGATTTGTTGATTTGATGAATAAATAAAAAATAGTCTGGTTTTCGATGTGAATCAATCCACCCAGATATTTGGTTACTTTGGTTTTTTCTTTTTATTTTTATTGGGAAAAAATTGAATTTGATCTGAGACACAACACTTCAATAATACTCTAATCCTTAGGATATCAATTACAAATGTATTCTATTCTATTTTGGGTCAAAAGTGTTTTGAATAGAGTAATCAAAACTATTGTGTTTCAACAATTTTCATAAATTGTTCGAAACACCTTTTCGTAATTTTTTTAGCATGTGGTTGGTAAACCCTTCAAAAATATGTTTTTTGCTAAATAGGATTACTATACTTATGTTATTTTCCCATCTGTTTTTGGTCTCTTTTCCATTCATGACCTCCAATGTTTACCCACATCAATGTTTCTTTCTAACTCACAAGGAATTAGCTTCAAAAATTGTGCAAATTTTATGAAGAATCCCCATGTCGATTAAACATCTTCTTCGTTTTATATATAAATTCGTAGTTTCTCATTCTCACACCCAAATTCAATCACCCATTTTTCGGGGAGTTTTTCGTTCGTCAGCCTCCGCTCGTCCATCCCATCCCATCCCTTCATTTTCTTCTCCCCCTTTTTTTCGCCAGCCGCCATTTGCATATACTATTGTTGTTGTCTGTTTGTCAATCACTCTCCTCACATCACACACTCTCTCATCTAATTTGACGAGATAGTGTGGAATGAGTGGAGTGTCGACGAGACAGAAGAACGCGAATCGATAAAAGTGAGGAGTGAAGAGAAGAGTGGAGGGTCCCTACACACAAAAAGCACAATTTCTTTTCTTTTCCTCTCTTCTCCTCTCGTATTCGTAGTAGTACGCATGTACGATTTTTGACGACGGGCACATTTGGTCACTTTTTTTTTGTGTTCGAACTTCGTTCATCTTGTTGTTCTCTTGTTTTTCTGACCTTGGAGAATTTTGTTTATTTTGATTATTGTCCGAGAAAAGAACATCCACTGGTCACTCTTTCCTTGAAAATTAATTAGTTCCATATGTTTTTTATTTGTAAAGTTCAGCTTCTTGATTTTTTTCCAGTCTTCCAAAGTTTTTTGAAAGTTTCGTTTCTTAACGAACATTTTAGTTGTCAAAAATTCATTTGATTTCGAACTTGAAAATTCATGAAACTTTGTTGTGACCTTTCAAATAGAACATTTTTCCAATTAGTCGTTTTTTTTTGTTTCGAGGCGCCGAAATTCTAATTTCTTATTCAATAAACGTGTTTTTTATTAGTGCAGTCGAAATACTTTTTGTTATTTTTTTGAGTGTCTTTCTTTTCGATAAAGAAGTGTTCAAATTTGATTAGGTGAATAGATAACAAATGTTTTTTTTTCACAAAGAAAGTTTCAACAATTAACATTTCGTTCTCTAAAACTGTTATAACTATACAATTTTTCTTCCATTCATAGCTCTCATTGTTTTTTTTTGTCATAAATGCGCCATTTTCACATTTTTTCTTGAACAAATGTTTTCCGAACATCTGGCAATATTATTCCATGATTTTCAATACTCGTTCTTTTGCTTTGGATACAAATGTGTTGTATTGTTTTCTTGAGAATGAGAAAGAACATCAATGTTTTTTGCCATTCAGATAATCCTCCGAGAGAACTACACAGAATGTTCCGGTAGGAGGCTTATAACTGGGTCAGTTGAGACAGAAAGTGATTCCGGTGTTCGTTCGTTGCGACAAAAAATAACTAGACAATCTGTGAGAGAGTGTGTTGAGTGAAGAGGTTTAGAAATGTTGTTCTTTCTGTCGACTTTTGAATTGTAGTTTCTTTCTTCTTGTCTTCTACTATTTTGCACCAAAAATCATTTTCTCATAATTTAAATTTCAAAACCTCTGCTTTTTTTTTCGTCAACCATTTCGTAACTCACATTTTTTTCTGTTTTTTCGGAATACCAAATTAGATAGGTTTCTAGTTCTATGTTATTTTTTCCTACTTCGTTGAGGTGTTATAATTATACCCATTAATACTTTTATGAATAATATAGTATGGAAATGAGAGAAGAATATATACTATTATTATTATTATTGTTGGTATATACAATAATGGATAGATAAGATCTTTTTCACACTTTTCTGTCGGATTAGTTTCATCGATTTTTTGTGACTATTATTATTTATTTTGGACACAGATACGGGAAACTGAAATTTCAAGTTTCTGAATTTTTTTCAAAGTGGATTTATTTTATTTTTATTGCAAGATGCCTCAATAGATTTTACGATCTCGTCATCTTGTTTTACTTCTCCTCGTTTTTTTCATCTCATATATTATTTGGATCCTTGCCAGTGAAATATTCATTTAATTGAATTTTTCCAGTGCCTCAGGCTACTTTTTTCCAAAAAAAAAATGAAAAAGACAACACAACCACCCGAAAAAGTAATTTATCATTTTTTCTTCTTTGAAACTTTGTTCAACTCTATTTTTGCTGCTCTTCGTTGGTTTTTTGTTGAATAGGAAGTGGTGTCGCTCACTATTTTATTGAAATGAGTCATGTTCTTTTTTTTTGGTTCAAAAAATGCGATAAAATGCGTCTTTCACATTGTTTACCCCTTTCTGACTATACAAAAATGTGTGAGAAACTTTCTTTTTTTTTATTCACTCTCAACAAAAAAGGTTTTTTCTCCCAACGAAAATATTTGGAACTTTTTCTTGGTAGAGAAATAGAGGGAAAATATTTTGAGCTTGTGCCTGAATTCCGAATAACCGGTCATTTTTTTGAGTTTTGATCAGAGAAATTGAATTGATGAACTATTTTCGATTTTGAAAAAAAAAGTTTGGCGGGCACCGGGAATTGGACCTGTCACCTTTTGGGCAGTAATAGAAACATCCAGAGGCCAAAAAAATACGATCATTTTTTCAAAGGAATTTTTAATTTAAAAATTACTGTAACACTCTTACTGTAAATTAACAAAATCCAAAATTTTGAACTAAAATCTAGTTTTCACAGCGCACTTCCAAAGTTCCTTTAGCAACATTTTCAGACAGTTTGTCTAACTTTGCCGTTTTATTACTCTACTCTCAAATAAAGTATCAAATACAAATACACCAATATATTTATATTTGTGAGTCTTTCAACACAAAAAAAAATGTGAAGTGTCTTTTTCTATTTTTTTCTCGTTCTCCTTGGCCATTTTCTTCTTGTGCACAATAATATATCGTATTTTCTCCCCCTGTATTTCTTGTTTTTTTTTTGCGTTTTTGTGTGTCAATAAGTAAATAATAAAGTGGTTGGTTGGTTGACTGTGCGCAGCAACGAAAAGCCACAGTGTGTTAAGTCGAATGAGACATTTTTCGGATAGTTTTTCGCATTTTTCATTTGTTGTTGGAGCAAAAAATGTAGTTGTTTTGCTGAAATTTCTGCTTTGACCTACCTTTTTTTTCTATTTTTCGTACAAGACTCGCGAAATTTATTATTCATTTCTATTTTTTTTCTTTTCAGGATTTGGTGTCAATGCCAGAAAAATAGTAGCCGATATTAATCATCATCGCCAACACACATTTTTTATTCGACGTGTTTTTTTCATTTTCAGTTTTTCTCTATTTTTTTAAAAAAATAATTCAATATGAGGTAAGTCTGTTTTTTTGTTGTCAGTAAACTACAACATATCACATTTCATTCCGAGCAAATTTTTTTTGGTGAAGGAAGGAAGACAAAAAATTTGCTCACTCATCAAAAAATAAACAGTTGTTTGGTTGAGCAAAATTTTTTTCCCTGCCAAAGATTTATCTGACCAAGGGAGATAAAAAATTGGGAAATTAAAAAGAGATTTTGCAGTTTGGAAATATCAGTAGCGGCTGCATTAGCCGAAGTCATGGTGTATAATGAGATGACTAAAAAATGGCAGCCACCGCAAGGAAGCGATGGACAAGCATCGAAGGTTGAAATAATGCAACACAATCATAAACCGGCATTTCGAATTGTTTCACTTCGAGATGGAAAATGGCTGCTGAATTGTAATATTCATCAAAAATTGAAATATCATAGTGCAACTGCGACATTTCATCAATGGAGAGATGAGAATCGACAGGTTTATGGGCTCAATTTTCAATCGGAACCTGATGCGAGAATGTTTGTTTCGATAATTGGACAAGCTATTGATCATATTGCTCATCAAGCGCTAAGTGAATATCAAAACCCGCATCGTGAGTGTTTTTTTGGATATGAAATATTAATAAGGCGTTGTCAAGCAAGATTATCCCTCCTTAAATTTTCAAAAAAAAACTGACAAAGATATTTATTTATTTAGTAATGTTTTTCTGCTGCAGTGAAACTAAAAATCCTATCGATCCTATTTCTATTATTAATTTTCCAGCTGCGGATAACGTTTATCAAGATCCACACCAACATATGATGCATATTCAATCGGCTCCGAATTTTGCGGCACATGATGAAAATCAGAATGCAAACTTCAAAAAGCAATCGAATGTACCATTACAACAGCAAATAAATCGTCGAGTTTCACAAACATCGAATCAAGATTATCATCATTCGCATGCAATTCCGTCATCTTCTACGAATACAACAACAGTTCCAGCTCCACCTCCAGCACCTCCAGCTCCGCCACCAATTCCGCCGCAGGCATCAGCTGGACCATCTTCGATTCCGCCAGTTAGTTCGAATGCGCCCCCACCACCTCCACCTCCGCCACCAAATTTTGGAGCGGCTGGAACTGCTGGTAAACCGACGAGTTTGGCGGATCAGCTGAAAATGCGGAGTCAAAATTTGAATAAGACGACGAATGGAGCGGCGCCGGTGACGCAGAAAGCAGAACCCGAGAAACCAGCAGCACCATCAGCTGGAGGTAAGAATTTTTTGAAATTGTACATTTTTCCTCTCGACCTCTAAAATGTATTCATTTGAGTATGTACATCTGTTGAGTACACTGCCACGTTTTTCATTATTTTTTTGCAGGAAATCTAATGTCTGAATTGGCTGCGCATATCAATAAAAGAAAAATGACTCAAGCTAAAGCTGATGCTGTTGATTCGAAATCGAATACAAGCAATGGTAAGTTTTTTTTTCTGGAGAAGTTTTAGAAGGCTGAAAATTTTCTGCGCTTCTGAAAAAATTTTCACCCGATTCTCCAAAATTCTTCTTGAAATGATAATTTTGCAGGTTCTTCAGATAGCGGATGTGGAACTGCAACATCAACAAATGGTTTTTCGAATGGTGGAAGTATTGGATCAGCAGCGGCCAAGAAATGGTCAGTATCCGATGTTAAATCAGCATCGATTACGGAAAGTCCGAAAACTCATAGAAAGTAAGTATAAATTTTAATGAATTCTATATTTTACATAAATCTCAACAAAAAAATCAATTTCAGATTGCCCTCTGCATCTTCAATTTTCAGTCAAGACGAGAAAACTGTGGTGTCTGAAGGCAGCAGCACGGGAAGTCTTGTGAATAATGAATTGCTCGAAAAATTCCGTGCCGAATTGATGGTCGAAGTTCGATTGGAAATCAATAAAGCGAAACAGGAAATCATTGAAGTTATTCGACAAGAATTATCTCGACATTAACGAAAATCTCCATAATTTTTAACCAAAAAACATAACTAACTATTCCTATAAATGTAAGAAAATAATTCCGGTGCTCCTTTGTGTGCTGCTTATTTTAATTTGTGAAACCTCCAATACTTTTTTTTTCTTTTCTTCTACTTCTTCTTGTTCAGTTTGCCTTTTTACGGGGCAAAACACTAACCAACAGTTTTATCATTTTTATATTTTATCCCTCAAATAACCTGCTCATGCCGGCTGGGATCATTGCAATCATGACCCGATTTTTCTTTCTTTCTTTCGATGTGAATTTTCTATGAACAGACTCTATATTTATTATTGTATTTTTGAGACATTGTCAATTATTTACATAAATCAATTCAGTGTTTGTGTTTGATTGTGAGAGCGAAGATCAGAAAGTTCAGATGTAGGGGGTGAAGTTTGGGTTAGGCCAAGTTCAAAAAACCCAAGCCTATGATCATGCGTTGTCACGAAACTTTTTTTTATTTTTCCTTGACAACGTTTCCCTGACAACATGTACATTTTTATTTACCCGAACTTTTTTCGAAATTTTTCTGATCAATTTTTTTTGGGCTGGACCCGAGGCCAATTCCGACCCAAAAAGTAATAAAATTAAAAATATTTTAGAAGTTTAGAAAAATAATAATTAGAGAAGGACTAGAAAATTCAGAAAAATTTAGAAAATCTAAACCAGAGTAGGTAATTTTCAAAAGTTTCAGTTTTTAAAAAATATTTTTGATTTACAAATAGTTCAAGAATTGAATTTTTTAAAGTGAAACTATGTATTTAGAAGCGTAGCGTTACTTTAAAAATTGAACAAAAAATATTTCAAGGAACAAAGAAAACCTTACGACTCAATTTATCAATCACATCACTTTTTATTTCTTCTTTTCTTTATCCATCTTCCACTTGTTTTGTTTTGTTTTCATTGATTTTAGTAGTTTTTGATCATTTTTCCCATCGGACCAAACCAAAAAGTTTCCCATTTTTCAAAGCCACTCCCATTATTAGGCCACGCCCATATCGATATAAAAGTTTTCCTGTTCATTTCATCGGTCTATCTATTTCAGATGATGTTCTGTTTTTTGTTTCTGCTATCATTTCCGATTCTAACAAGTGCAAATGGTAAGTGTTTCATTGGTCAAAAATTATTACACTAAATTAAACAATTTTCCACTTTTCTACCAAGGAGGAATTTCAGATGGTGGTCCGTTTGATTACTTGATGTTCACAACAATTTATCCAACTGCAGTTTGTCGTGCTGATGATGATTCAGTTCCGGATTCTTGTGAAATTCCAAAAGGAACTCCACAATGGACAATTCATGGATTATGGCCAAATTATGAAAATGGATCTTATCCACAGTTTTGCCCGGGAACACCATCACGTTTCGATGAGAATTTGATCAAACCAATTGAGCCGAAGCTTTTGGCAGTTTGGCCGAATTTATTCCCTCATAAATCGATTCAATCATTCTGGAAGCATGAATATGAAAAACATGGAACTTGTGCACAATCAGATGAAAGATATAAAAATGAATTACTCTATTTTTCAAAGTGAGTGGTATATCAGGTCTTGAAGAAAATAATCCAAGATTTCAGCTCTATCAAAGCCTACGAAACTTTCAACATTGCCTCAGCTTTATCTTCAATTGGTCCAAGTGACAAACTAATTACCAAAGAGCAATTACACAATGCACTTCTAGAAGTAACCAACGGCAAAAGCTATCAGATTCATTGTTTGAGAGATAAAAAGGTCAGTTGATGTGAAAGGGCAAGTTCATATAACTTGTTCCAGACAAAACAATATTTGCTCGGCGACATTCGTTTGTGCCTCAACAAAGATCTCACAATTCGCGATTGTCCAGATGATCGGAATTCGAATCGGGTTCATACTCGATTCCCGCGTCGAGCATCGAATGGCGGAGGTCTTCCAACTTATCAAGAATGCCCACATTCTTTTGTCTACATTTCTGCGGAAACATCGTACACTCCAAGAGGATTGTTCGCCCCACTTTGGGATAAAATCTTTGGATAATTTTATTTATTCATTTTGGTTGATGATAAATACATTGTAAAAATAAAATGTTTTAACAAAAGAATGATAAAAATTGATCATCCATAGAATCCGTATGGTGAATATCCGAAACCGCCGCCATAAAATGGTGGGGGCATCGGGCGAGGGAACATATAGGGATTGTATCCATAACCATATGAATATGGGAAGCCCATACCAGGGTAACCAAGGTATTGACGTTTTTGACGGATACTGGAAACATGGAAATTAGGATAACTTCTGAAAGGGAGTCAGATCAGAAAAAAGTTCACATCAAAAATTGTGGCACCGTATTTTCGCAGTTGAAAAATGTGGTTGTCATAAAAATTGTTTAAAAAAACTAGTGCAGAACTGAATTGTCACGTGCGGCTGTGCGTCGCGGTCGGAAAACAAATACATTATTGACTGTTTCCCGACCGCGACGCACAGCCGCACGCGACTGACGAAGTAGAGTTTTTTCATTCATTCAGTTCTGCAAAAAAAGTTGCTTCGTCAGTCGCGTGCGGCCATGCGTCGCGGTTGGAAAAAAATACATTATTGACTGTTTCCCGACCGCAACGCGCATCCGCACGCGACTGACGAAGTGAAAACTTTGAGGTAACTCACTGATGTTCTTCTTCTTTCACAATTGCACCAATTATTACAAAAGCGAGTAACAAAACGTAAATAACAGAGAGAAATCGCATTTTATTTTTTTTGTGTCTCAAATTCAGTCAACCACGTCGTTTATATATGCCTCAATTTTTCTCGAATCATCACCGGATCACAAATGATGACCCTGAACAAAATTGGCGAGGAAAATTGTTTTTTTATTTCGACCTCGGGTAGCCGTATAAGAATGTTTACATTTATGTTTTCACAAAAAAAATAATTTAGTGTAGATTTGGAGTTTTGGGACCGATGATGGTTATTTGAACTTCGTTTCCGAATTTTTTTCGGATGAAAAATTGATCGAGAGCTTCGATTGTTCCCTGTAATTACACAAGTTATCGCAAAAAATTATAAAATTCAAAGAAAAATAAACTGAACCTGAATACAAGTGATGACTAATGTAACAATCGGTGCAGCTTGATTATTATGATATGCAACTGAAATTCCAGCACTGACAAATAACGCGATCCTTACTAAAACATGCAAAAAACTGATCAAATCTCTCAACCACCATCTTCTTTCAGTTTTCTTATCGATATATTTTATAAAATTTTCCACAATATTCTCAATTGTTCGAATTTTATTCTTCAAATTCTCCTCACTTGTTCTTGTTGCCGATTTTTTGAAAATATTCGCTTCCTCCTCATTTTTCGAAAAATGCACAACTTCTTGAATAATTCGAGCTAAAATAGCGAGTTCATAAGCAACATTTCGAATAGTTTCATTTTCTTTTGGTGGAATATTGAAAGTTGATTTGGCACAAATTCGATTTAGACGAAGAATACAATTTTTGACAAGACGATAACAAAATGTTGAAGATGTTTGTGTTTCGAGGTCTCTTTCAAGTTCATAATGAAATATTTTAAGAGCTTCTTGCATTCGAATAAAATCAACTCTCAATGGTCGAAGTTCATTTATAAATGCAGCTTCTCGAGCACCGAAAAAATCACAAGTTCGATTCCACCAATCACGAGATTTCATTACTGGTGGTTCATGAGGTCTATGATTCCAAAATAGATTTTTTTTTAAAGATTTGATTTACTCACTCAAGTATACATTTTGTTAGTGGTGTTTCACAACTTGGATTTGAATTACTCTCTTCTAAAATTGGACTATGACTAGACATTTTAGAAAAAACAAGAAATGAAAATTGAAGATCAACACGTTCATTTATTTCATTCTTATTTATTTTCAGTTTTTTTTCGTAATTTTCAATTATAGTCTAGAATTTCTTCAATCTTTGATTTCATCGAACAAAAGTGGTTTCTCCGATTGTTTTCAATGAAATAATTGAAGTTCTTCGATCTTTTCTGCATGAAAATAGATTAAAAGTATAATTTCGATAATGATCGTATATAAAAATAGTTGTGATTGTTGAAACGAAACCATGCATTGATATTATCATAAAACTCAAATTATTCAAATCTTGATTGTAATAATCCATAATTATTGAAAATGTGAAATAATAAACTGGCAAAACAACAAGTAACATTGGAACTGATATTTGAATACAAACTGATATAAAATATTTTCTTTGTAAATATTTTGTTCGTTCGGATAAAATTGTGTTTTTTGAGGAAATATATAAGGAAATCGCAGAATAAACGAAGAAAAATATACATTGACCGAATAGAAATACAGTTATAAAAATGAACAAGATTCCAACAATTTTTGGATCCATTGTGAGAATTGTTATTTGATGTGTATTTATAACATTTGATAAACATTCATATGAGATAATTATTAGGAATTTACTCAAAATTTGGTCAGGAATATTGAAATATAGTGGAATTATGAACAGAAAAGCAATAGAACAGTTTATTATTGTAAAGAGATTACGGTAGATTGGATTATTTATGCGATATTTTTCCGAAACTGCATAGAAATATCTATTCTCAAAAAGTAGAACAATACTTGAACCAACTTCCGCAATACAACAAGTTGCGATATATGTTTGAATGAAAGGACTAATTTCAAAATAATTGAAGAATCCTAAAGGAGTTCCAGCAATTGCGGGAAAAAATAAATATGGTATTGTCAAAGTTCCGATAACTAAATCACTTATTGTACTCCAAACATGGGTATTTAACATTGTTATTCTCATATTATACATACGTTTTGGAGTTTTGTAATATATCATGTAAATTCCGAAAATATTTATGAAAAATCCAAAAGATGTTGAGATACAAGAAATTGTAACATAGATTTTTGGATCAGAAAGTATAGAAAATGTTGAACAATTCATATCAACACAAAATAACTTTAAGGAAATGAAATGGGTTTCATAAATTAAGTTTATTTTTTTTCCAATTAAATTAGTTCCGGCTTCTCAAACCACTGTGTTCATAACACTATTTTGTTGAACAAACATTGAAGTTGTTTCTTTGAATTGCATCATTTTGAAACAAACAGTTCGGAAATGATCATATGTGAGAATAGTGGTTAAAGTAGAAATACAACCATAAATTGACATAAAAATGAAACAGAAATTATTGAAAGCTTGATTATAATATTCGTAAATAATTGAGAAAACGAAATAAATAAATGGGAGAGCAAAGGATAAAAATAGACTGGATATTTGAATTATTACTGATATCAAATATTTTCTTTGCATTTTTTTGGTTCGACTTGATAAGGTTTTTGAGAACGAAGAAAAATAGAGACTATAAATTGTGTGAGTCACAAAAAATATACATTGAATTGTATAGAAAAATAATAAGACAAAACATATGAAACCAGCAGTATGGGGATCATTTGTGATTATTATATTTGGTAGCTCATAGAAATCTGAGGGAATACATTTTGAGATTTGAAGCAATTCATTATCTGTTTGATCGGGAATATCAACCCAAATTGGAAGGAGAATTATAAATGGAGTGAAACAATTCAAGAATATGAAAATGAAGCGTTGAACTTTAGTTTCAATTTTCCAAGCACTTCGAACTGCTTGATAATGTCGATTTTCAAACATTAAAACAGCTGAAGCAGCCAATTCAATGATTATAATACATAAAAAATAAAACATAACAAAATAGCTGATTCCAAAATCATCTAGCCATCCTAAAGCTGTTCCAGACATTGATGGAATATAAACATATGGAATTGTTAGAGTTCCAATTGAGATATCACCAATTAAGCTACTTGAAACAGAATTTGTGTGTGTTCAGATTTGAATGTTGTTTAACTCACCACATATGCGAATATACCAAAACTTCTCTCATATTTTTCATTGATGGATGTATTTTAAAATAAATCAAATAGAATCCAAAAATATCAATTGGCATTGTAATAATTGTTAGAAAATGCGAAGTGTAATGCAAGAAATCAGAAGTTTCGAAAAAATTGAACGAACATTCTAACATCTCTGAAATTGTTGTATGATTATAGAAAAATGAACGACTTCAGGAGATAACAACTTGATTATTATGATTATTCGCCATGAGAAAAAACAAAGAAAAAACGACTCATAGGAACTGATTTTTGAAAACAACAAACAAAAGTCTGATTGGAAAAGGAAAACCAAAGATTTTTTTCCCGGAAATTAATTATTTTGCACGTTTTTGTAAATGTCGAACACGTGACCTGAACCTTGTTGAAATTCGAAAATCTATAAACTAGTCGCTTCCAAAAAAAAAGGCTTGCCTGTTGTTTAATTTTCTCACACTGTTTGAGCGGAGTGTCGTTATTACAAAATTGCGCGTAGGATTTGGTGTTTGCGGGCAGTCGGTGTTGACACACACTCTTATTTTTTTCGTTCTTCTCAGAGCGTGTCTGTCCGCCCTAGATTTAAATTTAAATAATTTGACGTGAATCATTTTGCTCATTTCTAATTTTTATGGGGTGATTCAGGTCGAAAAAAAATAATAAAAAAACATTTTTTATTGTTGAATTAAAAACACGTGAGAAATAAAAAACTAGGTCAAGTGATGTGGATATAAAAACAGTATAGGTAGCCATGTCGTCAGTTGCGATGCGGTTCTGCGTTGCGTGTTGACCTCGATATTTTCCATTGGATTTGTCAAATTTTCATTTCTAAAAACGTGTCGCCCACACGCATCGCAACTGACGACATGGCTACCTATACTGTTTTTAAATCCACGTCACTTGACCTAGTTTTTTATTTCTCACGTGTTTTTAATTCAATAATAACAAAAAAATTCGATTCAGCAAATGTCAAAAAACTATATTTTTTTTCCTATTTTTTGACATTTTTTTACATTGCAACATTTTCGCTGCGAGATATTTTTCATTTTTGTGTGGAAAAAAATGTCAAAAAATAGGAAAAAAATATAGTTTTTTGACATTTGCTGAATCGAATTTTTTTGTTAAAAAATGTTTTTTTATTATTTTTTTTTCAACCTGAATCACCCCATTAAAAAAGTTCGGATTGCCGCCTAAAATATTTTGAAATGTATCGTGAGTTTACTTAAAGAAATCTATAGAATCTCTAGTTTTTTGTGATTATTATACTCAAACAATGTATATAAATAATGAATTTGATAAACAAATTTCAAATTAGGTCTATTATCTTCAGAGCTTTCCAATATTCGCACCTTTTTTGTTAAATCAAAAAATTCCTAACCTAAATTGCAAATATTTTTCAGATTGGTCTTGGATGCAAATATTCGATGTGATTTTTATTGGAAAGCATGAAGCAATCCATCAATTTTGAGCGATGAAATGATCGAGGAATGGTCGAAATTTCAAAGGTTAGTTCTTTTTTTTTGGGTTCAATTGAGTAGTGAAGTTTTTTTAGTTGGAGGGAGTTCTGTAGAGTTTGAAAATTTTTAAACTGATTTGCATTTGAATCGAGGGTCATACATGAACTGGGACTCCGGATTCGGAGAGAGGGGGCTTAACTTTTGAAAATTTTAGGGTATTTTATGCTTTTTGGGATAAAAAATCAGTAAAAAATGGGTCAGGGGGGTTAATTTTTCGGAAATTTCCCCTGGAAGGGGGGTTAACTCGAGAGTCCCCGGAGCTACTAGTTCATGTATGTCGAGGGTGCTTTTGAAAGGAAGTTTTAGAATATTTTAACAACTTTGAGGTCGGGCGAAAAAATATTTCTTTTTTTTTTTGAAATATAAATTTGGCATGTGTTGTTTCTAAAGGTTGTTAGAACTTTGAGACAAGAAGGGGGATATATTGGGGTTTTTTGTGGATATGGAAAAGTATCTTGGTGAAAAAATGAAAAAAAAGTTATTTCATCAAAAAGTCGCTTGATGATAGTAAAAGTAAATAAAGCCGAAATTATGTTTTATATTTTTATTGTTTTTTGAAGTTTGTTTTTGTTATGTGATTTTTTGTGACTTGATTTTTTTTCTCAAACGGTGTAAAATACAAATCAATTTGAATCTTGCACTGGATAAGGGAATCACCCAATTTTTCGAAATAATCTACAGAATCTTTCGTTTTTTGTGATAATTATACTAAAAACGTTAACCTTATTTTTCTCTTATTCTTATCCTCAACACCGTAATCCTTTCTCTAACCTTTGTCCTTCCTGTGGACACTAAAAGCAATTTCGATGTGTCAAATAGGACACGCTGTAAACTAAAACCATTCTGTTATTATTGAAAAATGTCTGAGTCTCATAAAAACACATAATAACTCTATTTTTAATAAAATCCAATATCTTGGATATTGCAGGAAGCTCCCAAACTGTCAGGGACCGGCCAATATTTAAACCCTCAACACGTCGTTGTTTTTCATTTCGGAATTTTTTTCTGGATTCCTTGATTTTATTTTTCACTTACCCGTTGGCTTTTGCAGTATTAAAAATTCGCATTCACCAATCACTTGCTAGGCAAAAAAAACATTTATTCAGATTTGAAACTTTAAATATTTTTTCTCCGAAATGTACTTTTCATTGAAAAAAAGAATGCTCTCTGTCATTTCGAAATCGATGAAAATTCCATTTTTTTTTCTTTGATTGAATCATCCCCATTACGTGTTGAGAGCAAAAACTGTTTGCCGTCAATCAAAACATTTTTGACTCCTCAATATTTTCTGTAATACATTTATATTTTTTGCAAAATGTTTACAAATATCTGTCTACGTCTCGAATACTTCTGAAAAAATCAATATTTTTTCTCGATTTCTGTGTTTTCTAGCGTTCTTTCTCTTTCCTCCTCTTTGTTTTGTTTTGCAAAAAAAGTGCATGTGAACTTTTTATTTACCAGTCAGTGTTCGGCCTAAAAACAAGCCAAAATTCTATTTTCAATTTTTTCTCGTTACTTTTTAGTATATTTCTAGAGGTTTGTAGTTTTTTTTCGGATTACTGTAGGTGTGTGATTAATTAAGTTTGGATCAAGTCTGTGATAAGATTTATTTTTTATCAATCCCTTCAAAATGTTCGTTCTCCCGTTTTTTCAAGAACACTTGGTCCCTTCTCCTGATTTTTTTTTGTTGCATCTGAAGAAAAAAATTCAGCAACAAAAAAAAGCAACATAAGACAACGTGTACAAAAAGAAAGACGAGCAAAATTCGCTCCATCGCAATTTTTCACCAGAAAATTCTCTGTGTTGAGAGAGATGAAAAAGAGAGAGATGAAAAATGTGTTTTTTTTCTCTCCTTTGAACAGCCACTTTCCTCTCTTTTTGTTGTTGTCCTTGAGAATCGATCAAACTAGAGCATGATGAAAAAAAGTTCGAAATTACTTCGAGAGAACACTTTAATATTTACCTTTTTCGATTGATTGACAGCAAAATTTGAACATTTTTACAGAGACCTTTGCTTGCGGTATTCAAATTGGAAGACCACAACATGGACCGAAACCAGCCACCAAGTTAGTTTTTGCATTAGAAAATATTTGAAACCTTTTTGTGAAGGGGACCACAATTGTGTTTTATTATCTTGAACTAACTAACAAAGCTAGCCTAAAATTGATTGAAAGCAAAAAATTGGGGAATGAATTTTGCGAGAAGTATATAGAGACAAATAAATTATGCACTAACTAAGACCTTAAAACTTAACGAAACTTTTCAAATCCCTTTTTCTCTGAAGCAGAACACTCCGCTCAATGAATATTATAATAGAAAATCTCCGGAACAATGCTGTGTCATCAGATTCGCCTGAAAATTATTCTGAAAGTTAGTCGTTCCATCCTGAAGCTCACAGCTTTCTGAACTTTTTCGTCCTGTGCTTTCATAGCAATTTTAGAACTTCTAAAAAGTCTGAGCATCTTGAAAATAGTAGTTGCCACGTGGATTTTCAAGAGCCCAAAAAAAAGTGGCAATTTTTTTTCCAACTTTGCCACGTCATAAATCAACTTGAGATTAAATCATCGTCAGTTTGAAACATTTTCCTTGTAAGAAATCGTTCAGTCATTTTTTTTGTAAAAATAAGTGTATCTAATTTTGAAAATTTACGTATCAATTTTCTAATTTTCCCCATAAAATTTGAGGCGATATTTCATAATTGCCTCAAAAATTTAAAGGCCGCCCTAAAAATGAATCGATACCGCTTTGGCTGTATGATTGATAACGTTTTTCATTCACACATTTATATTTTCTCTATTTTTTTTCTCACGAAAAAAAACTCTAAACTAAGAAAAATGGAGGGATTAAGAGGTTAGTTTAAATAAAAAAAGAAATAAACAACTTGATCATTATTACTATCTTGAGGATGTTTACTAGTGTTTTAGGTAATTTTTTTTTGCACAAACTTGATTTCAAGAATTCAAAATTTTTAAAGATAATGAAGCTCTAATCTTAATCGTATTTTTCCCTTTTTTTTTATTTTTCAATAGCCTTATTATCCGCTAGAAAAGCATATTGTAGCCTATAATTATTGGTTGTGAGCAGATTATCAAACCACGCCCCTTTTTTGGATACTGTAGTATGTATTTCGAAATATTTCACGCTTTTTTCGAAAACATTTTTAAATTGATTTATTTTTTTTATATTGTTCAAAGCGAAATTATTTGAATGACTTGTGAGTTGTCGGAAAACTTTTTAGGACATGATAAAACATACTAACTTTCTTCAACATAACAATTTTCCAGATAATTCATTTGATCCAGATGAGCTCATGGAATTGAGCCCTGAATGGAATGAAGACATAATAAACAACGAGAACGATCAACTCACTGAACACGACAACATGGAAATACAACTCGAAAATGATCCACCCAACAATGAATCGGACTCGGGTCACGAAGAAGATGGTGCTGTGAATCAAGAAGCAATCAACGCAACCATGTTAGTTTGAGAGAATATACAGTATCATAGAGATACTTTGAAAATCACCGGAGAGTCTGCTAGTGGAAAAACGGTTAACTTTGTCATTTCTGAAATCTCACAAGAGATTATTTAATGATCGAGTAAGTCGATGTTCACATGTTGATAACCCAATAACCCAAAAAAATATTTTTTCAAAATTGATCAGCCCAGTGATTTCAGAGCATCTCGTTTTCGCGAAGTCAACAAGAAAAATCGAAGTTGTGTGAAGATGATTGAGATGAAAGAAGCCGAGTCGCGTTTGAAAAACGAACAACACGATGTGATTTTCTTGGAAATCTATTTCAAGATGAGAATAATGTTTGATAATCTCAAACTTGAGCTAAATACAATTGCGAGTTGTTATAAATTTGAGATGGCTAGTGTTTATGCTCGAACAGCTGCGAAATGTTGGTTGTTCGCAAAGCGAATCACCGGTCCAAATAATGAGCCGTCGAACCTTCCCCTGGAGCATTTGAAGGATTTGAACACCAGAAATTGTGAGAAGAAAGTCAACCGGTTCATGATGGTTCTGGTAAGTTTTTTCCTATTCTTATTGAGTGATTTTCAAATTTTTATTTTGTTACAGGAACAAAATCCGATTTCGGAAGTATTATTGGATGTGTTGGTGATCAATGAACCCATCTTCGTCGAAAGATTCAAGAAAGTTCGAAACAGTTATCATTCTCGAAAATAATCGTCATATATTTTTTGCCGTGTCAACGTAATTTTGCATTTCTTCATTTAGCCTACTTCTCATTATTATTATTATTGTCATTTCGAATGCCTTACAATTAGCTCCCGTCCAAATTCTGATTCTGGTTGTGAGGATCCTAGTGTTTCATATTTTGTTCTGGTTGGTTCAAAAGCTTGGGGTATTTTATTATTTTTTCGGAAAAAAAGAAGAAATTATTGTTTGAAGCTTGGGAAACGGATATTTTGTGCCATTTTTTGAAGTTACTCGCGAAAATGGAGAAAACAGGAATGCGTAGAAAATGGTGCAGCTTGCCGTACACCTACGCTACACATTCCTGGTTTTCTCTTCGTGAGATCTGCGGTTTTCGATGATGCAGGTCTCCAGGTTTTTTCAATCTACCAAGCTGATTTATAATGTCGAAATATGACAAAATCCAAGAAAAGGACTTTCCGGTGGTATCTGAATATTCAACACTGAGAAGGTTTCGGTTCATTTGTGGTTAAATATTTTAAAACCTGTCAAATCAAAAATCTACAGTACTCAAATTGTTTTGTTATTAATACTTTATGGTGATAGAGACGTTATCAGGCTTAACGTCCACAAACTTCGAAAATCAAATTTTTACTCGAAGAAAAAATTTAGTCAGGCAGAAAAAAACGCTCAGACTAATCAAAGTATTTTCTACGACAAAAGTTTTCCGATTTTATTTCGACTAAAAAATTAAAAGTTCTAGAAAAATGGCACAAAATCTCGTATTTATTCCAAAATAAAACAATATTTCGAAAATTTTCGATTTCCAAATCAATTCCCAAACTTCGTCCAACCAGAATTGTTTACAATTTGAATCTTGATAACCAAACCAGAATACTCATCCTTTCCTATCCATTTCTCATGTAGTTTTTTTTGTTTACATTACAATTCCACCCCTGATACTTAACTGTGACCTCGAAAATCGACGACGACCCTATGAATATAGCAACCGAACCGACGAACCGAAAACCGCCTGCAAACGACCGCAGAACTACGAAAAATCGTATCACCCACCTCCGTGTATCGCTCTGGTATTCTCACCATACGAGATGTTAACGAAGTGATGTCGAAGTGAACCGCAGAACGAAATGAACCGCAGAACAGTGTAAACTGTAATTGAAACGATATGCTGCTAGAAAAAAAACAATGTTAACGATGTTTGGAAACATTTCAAACGAATTGACGATTGATGGAAATTTGCCAAAATCATGTTAAGGTAACATGACACTCAAATATGACACTCAAAAATTGACACTCAAATATTGCTGATAGAAGATGTCAAAACTTCAAATATTATTTGATAAACTCGGTATACTTTTTTGAAAGTTGTTATAAGTTGAATTCGCTCGGAAAATTGCGATGTTGTCCATTCCGGAATATATTTTGCCGTCAAAACTTCCGCTGATGATTATGATAGTATAATGTTCGGGTGTCTCCAATAGACACCACCCACCTCCGTGTATCGCTCTGGTATTCTCACACGAGATGTTAACGAAGTAATGTCCCCGCCGTAACAAAATATGCAACACGACGATAGAGCCAAGATATTATACGCTTGCCAAAGGTTCAACACAAAACGGTTGCTATTTTATTACGGGTTTTTCGTCGTTTACTGGTCACAAATGTTTTCAATAAGGGTGTTTTTGTTGTAAATTGTATTTTATTGTAGATATTTTTTTGGTTTGTAGTTGTTAAAAAATAAAAACGTTGCACACGGACAAACAAAGTGTTTCTTTTTGGAGTTTGATTTTTCAGGAAATTCAAAATTTTGAGATTGAAAAAAGAATCCGAATTTCGAAAATTTTACATTGGAGGTGAGTTAGGGGATTTCATATTGTTCCAGAAATTGTTTTTCCGAACGCAGTTTGGGAATGAGAGAAAAATTATGGTTTTCAGATTCATGCTCGCTTCAACGGGAAGAAGGAAAGTTATCCCTTGTAGTTTGAGAATCGGTTTGCTTGCAGATTCGGTTGTAATTAGCATTAGGCTACAGTAATCCTTGCAGTTCATGAGCTACAGTAAACCTTGTAGTTTGAAATAACCGTAAGCTACCGAAGCGTACAATCTCTCTGACCTTCCATGACCGCCAGCTTTCGAAAATTAATTTTTCAAAAAAAATATTTCACCATTTTGCCTCTGATCAATTCAGAAGAATGGACAATAAGTGAATAGGTTAATTTGGACTTTGAAAGCATTTCGCAATAGCTGAGAGACGAGTCACACAGCGATTCACCTGCAGCATTAGGAAGAAGTACAGTGCTCACTTTCTCTGCGTCTTCAAAAAAATATTCCAAAAAATAGATAAGGATTTTTCATTCACACATATTTTTTTCACCCGAAAATAAACTCTAAAGAAAGAAGAATGCAAAAATTTAAAGGTCAGTTTAAATTTTAATGAAAATAAAAAGATTATTATCTTGAGGATGTTTTTTCTAGACCACGCCACTTTTTTTTTGATACGTACTCAGAAAAAACCCGCAAGTTTTGCCGACTATAGTATGTATTTCGAAATATTTTAGGATAATGTGCCTTTTTTTTTGAGGTCCCATTAAAAATCGAAAAAGAGGAATATTCTACTAAAATAATAACAAAATTTACAGATAATAATTCAAATGATCCTGAGCTCATGGAATTGAGCCCTGAATTGAATGAAGACATACAAAACAACGAAATCAATAAACGCAACAATCACATAGAACAGGACGACGTGGTGATGGATATAGAACTTGAAAATCCACCCAACAATGGACCAGATTCGGGTCACGAAGAAGATAGTGCTGTGAATCAAGAAGCAATCAACGAGGAGTGGCAGTTGATAAAGGAACGAAATATCGATATGTTATGTGCGATCTATTTGAATATCAAAAATCTTCTCAGACCACTCAAACCCAAACGGAACACACATAGAACTTGTTTTGAATATAAAATGGTTAGCAGTTATGTTCGCACACTTGAAAGATGTTGGAATTTTTTGAAGCAAATCACTGGTCAGAATAATGAGCCATCAAACCTTCCTTTAGAAAAATTGATGGATTTGACTCCCAGAAATTGGATAAACAAGGTCAATCGTTTCATGATGATTTTCGTAAGTTTCATTTTATTTAAGTTTGTTCAACTTCACATTTTAAATTTACAGATGCAATATCCCATCGCGTATGCTTTATTGGAAGTATTGGTGGTCAAAGAACCTATGTTTTTGAGAATCTTCCAAAAAGTCAGAAAAAGTTATCATGCGATGTAATTGTCATATATTTTTGCCGTGTCAACGTACTTAATTTTGCACTTTATCCCTTACAATTAAACTTATCTGTGACCTCAAAAATCGACGACAACCCTATGAATAGCAACCGAACCGACGAACCGAAAACCGCCTGCAAACGACCGCAGAACTAGGAAAAATCGTATCACCCACCTCCGTGTATCGCTATGGTATTCTCACACGAGATGTTAACGAAGTGATGTCCCCGCCGTAACAAAATATGCAACACGACGATGAAGTTAAGATGTTACGCTTGCCAAAGGTTCAACAAAACGGTTGCTATTTTATTACGGGTTTTTCGTCGTTTACTGGTCACACATTTTTTCAATAAGGGTGTTTTTGTTGTGAATTGTATTGTATTGTCATTCCGAAAAAATTAGAACCTTGGAAGAGAACCGAAATGGCCTAGAAAACCAAAATACAGTAGACTTCGCAAAATTTTGGAGTCTATTTGAAAAATAAAATGCGAAATTTACACGTTGGCTATTTGCCAACCAGTTTGATGTGCATGTGTCACGTCATTTTTAGTCTACTGTACGTGAGCGCCAATTCAAACGGGGGTTCTTTTATTTTCGGAATGATAATAGATATTTTTGCTTTGTAGTTGTTAAAAAATAAAAACGTTGCACGGTTTTGGTGGAATTCAAATTTTCAGGATTTTTATTGAAAATTCAAAAATATCAATCAGGGGAAACAAAAAAATTAAATTTTAGATCTCAAAGATTCGAGTTTAGCCTTCTTCACAGTTTCAGAAAGCTTATATGCTCGATCTTTTGGCTCGAGAGATGACCAAAGCGACAAAGTATTTGATAATTTGTCCATCCCAACCGATCTTCCAAATCTCATTGGTCCACCGATTGATGGAGGCCAACCGAATCCAAGGATACTGAAAAATATACAGGATTCGAAAAACAAAACTTAGAACTTACAACATAATATCAATCAAGCATTCGTGTTGAATAATTCCTTCTTCGAGGCACAGAAATCCTTCATTTACCATTGGATAAAGTAGGAAATTAATAACATCTTGATCACAAATCAATTGAATATTGGTTTGAATTCCATTTGATATTTCACGAATTATTTGTTCAACTTCCATATCATTCTCTTTTTTGTGTGTTTTTTCGTCATATTTATAGAATCCCTTGTCTGAAAAAATAAATTCAGTGATCAATTTTCAAAATTTGAAAACTTACTTGTTTTTCTTCCATATCTTTTTCTTTTCAATAATTCAGTTTCAATCGGATTCAATGGCCAATTATTTTCTTTTTTCAATTTTTCCATCACATCAATTCCATTCATATCTGCCATTGTCAGCGGTCCCATCAAAAATCCAAAATTTCTCACAATTTCATCAACATGTTGAGGAGTCAAACCATAAATATAAAGAAGTTTTTCAGTTTGTTCCAAATAGACAGCAAGAAGTCGATTGAATAGAAAAGCTGGACAATTGCCAACAAGAACTGGCAATTTTTTGATGGTTTTACAAACTTCGAAAGCAGTTGCAACGGCATTTTGTGATGTATTTGATCCATAAACAATTTCAACCATTTTGATAAGATTTGCCGGATTGAAAAAATGTATTCCAACGAGTTTTGTGTTGTTTCGAAGACACAAACTCATTTCATCAATATCTAAACTTGATGTATTTGTTCCAAAAATACAATCATCTCGACAAATTCTATCAAGTTTTGAAAAAAGTTCCTTTTTCAGTTTCATATTTTCAAAAACTGCTTCAATTATCAGATCACAATTTTTCAAGTCTTCCAAATTCGTGGTAAAATGCAGAGCCGATTTGATCTTCAAGATTTTTTGATCATCAAGACGTTTGAATTGTTTTTCACGGGTATAAGTTATATCAAGTTCACGTTGACACCAATCAAGAGCCTGACAAAATTTCATAAGCCTTAAGTAGCAATTTTAAGTTACCTTTTGATCATTTTCGACCAATATTGTTTTATAACCAGCTCTCGCACATGCAATCGCAATTCCTCTTCCCATAGTTCCACCTCCAATAACTGCAACCTCTCGAATTTCCCCCAAAACTTTTGCACTTTCATAATTTCCTCGTTCATTTGGTAGTGACCACTGCAAAAAGGAAAAAAAGTAATTTTAATTTGGTGAAAACAAAAATATAAATTAAAGAAAAGAATCACCTGCTGACTCAACGAATATGCTTCCATCAAATAATTTCGAACATCTTCAGGCACCTTTATTTTATCCATGGCTGACAATGAGTAAAAAATTCAGAAGAATAAAATATTTTGAATAAAAAAAATAATGAGAAAAGGTTGATTGATAAGGAGAAAATGAGAGACTACAAACAAATAGGGACACATGGCCTACAGTGTAGTCAATTGATTGGTTACTTTTGGGAAGGATCTTTTTTGGGAGAGAGAGAAAAAGTTTAATTTGAAAAAAAACAACAGCATCTTGTAGATCAAAAAATTTGGGAGTTCAGAAATTAGAACTTTAAAGGCACATTCTCAAATTGTCTATGATTTTCCATTGGAAAAGGTTCCTTTTTTACCCTTCTGAAAAAGATTCCCTTCTCTTGTCAGTTTCATTTTTTTAACTAAAATATTGTTTTGTTGTGTTGTTTTGTTATTTTTTTTGTAATTATATTTAATAGTTTTCTGAATTGATGAGAAAAAAATGAGATAAATAAAAAAAAGTTTGTTTTTCAAAATACCGGAAAAATTGGATTCACATGTATTTATTCGATCTTAGAAGACAATGAGAGGCGCAGAGTAAATTATAAATTTTTTTTTGATCTACAAAATTCGAGTCTAGACAATTTCTTTGAAACTTTGTTTTTGATTTCAGAATCTGTACCCCTTTATTCTGAGATGAAAATGTTTTTGAGTTAAAATTGTAATAAAATATACAATTTCGTTTACATTCTACAAGTTCAAGCCTACAATTTTCTCGAATTTTTCTAGATAAAAACTACAGTACACTTTACAGTAATTGGAAACTTTTTTCATTTTGATCAACAATGACGAACCAAAGTATCAAAAACAAATGTTTATCCTTTTATAATCCGAAATAAATTACCTCTATAAAACCCCCACAAATTCGAATTTTCAACCAATTCCAATTCAATCAAAAAATGTCGAAACTCTCAATTATTCTCTTGATTTCCGCTGTTTGTATCTTTTCGATCAATTGTGAAAATTCAGTCAGTGGTAAGGTTTTTTTTCGGAACTATGAATTTTAAAAAACTTTAAAAATAAAAAAAATGATATTTTTCAGAAGCCAATTATTTGGAAGAGTTAACTGACTTTGGAATTTCTGAAGAAACCGCACAAGGAATTGTTGATATTACAAAGAAAGCCGCCACAAAATCAACAGATCCAAATGAGACCGGAAAAACAATTTTCGAATCAATTTTGAAGGAAACTAACAATTATGTGGCAGGACGTTCACCAAGTGATCAAGAAGCTTATGCAAAATTCGTCGCATCCAAGACAAATGAAGCCGAAAGCGTTCAAGAATAAACTGATATCAGCAAATTTCTTTAAAAATTTTTTCTATCTATCTATCTATAAAGCTTTCCCCTTTCCAATAGTTCAAAAAATTTTCTCGTTTCAAAAATCAAAGTGTTCTTCTGCCCTCTTTCAATTCGTCACCCCCCTTCATTTTCTTCCGCTTCTCATGATTTTCTCAAAGACAAAAAAAATATTTGGCAACAATTTCAATGATTTATTCATCAACTAGTTTCTATTCAACCAACCAAAAAAAAATTTTTTGAGAGAAGGGGATTTTTCAATTTCTCGCGTACACTTTTTCATTCTCAATGAACTGATCTGAAAACAAAAACGGAGGAATGGACTTTTGTGACATGATAGGTTGTTGTTTTCAAATTTCAATAAAATTAGCTGAATCAATAAATTGAATTCAGCGAAAATTGAACAAATTAAACAGTCTGTTGGTTGCGTGTTGCGATAAAAATAGAAAGATTTCGTGGGATTTTGTGCTCGGGTTCAAACTACAAACATTTCAAGAGAGAACAAGGAACGGGAAACATGGATTTTCCGGGTTTTGAATTACCAAAAAATGTTTGGAGTATTTTTTGCTGAGTTGACGTAACTCTACTCTCGGAACCTTCCAGGCACCCAATAATTTTCAGATAATTTTTGACGCGCCAGTTCTGCACAGTCTTTCAAAAAAAAACGGAAAATGGGGATTTGAGAGAGAGAAGCTCCAATGTGGAATACACAATTTTTTCGCGGTTCGGCTCTTCGTTTCAAGACCAAACGCGGGAATTTCAAATTCGAAAACTATTCCTGTGCTAGGTCCCGAAACGATAGATCAAATTTTTTCGAATTTCTGATTTTCTCTGCGTCTCTCTTGACTCCACATATTTTTTTTTAAATTCAAATCATTTTGAATATTCTCAATGACGTCCAAGCTCTCATATATTTTTTCCAAAAATCGTACTAATCATATGATTTTTTTCCTGAAACATTTCCCATATACACTACTAAATACTTTTAGTATTCAAAAAATCCCACGACAAAACCAAAACCACAGAAAATATTTATTATCGAAATATTATAATTGTTGAAAAATCGGAAACAGAGGGAGGGATTTCGGGTTTGGAGTTACACATATACTCGACAATAAGTGTTTTGCGCGAATGAGAAGAGACCACACATACCAAGAAAAAAAAACATGAAAACGAAAATAACAAGAAATACTTCTGCTGTTGCTTCTGCTCTATTTTCTACCAAATCGTAATCGCTCTGCTCCTTTCAACGATGCAACAAGTGAATCGGTGTTGAGACCACGTTTAAGACTGCAATAGACTAGACTATAGTTTGTTGGGGGTATGTTTTTAAACCTACAGTTCTGGATAATATGAATCGTAGGATTCAAATTCTGCGGCATCGGGTTGTTCGATATCCCAAGATGATCGTTTTCCATATCGAAGTCGTCCAGCATTGTTGAGTGCTGATGCAAAACCACTCATATCCGATTTTTTATCCATCGGTTGAGACAGAACACTGAAAATATATTTAGATTAGAATAACTTCCGGTAACTCTTTTTTTTGTTTTATTTTTAGTTTTGTCCCTTTTTAGATGAAAAAGTGAAAAAAAATAGGAAAAATGTAGCTAGTAGTGACCAGATTTGGGGGATTTGTATTACGTATTACATACGGATTTTTTTTCATGGAAAAAAAAACTATATATATTTTTTAGTATAGTACAGTACTACAGTAAGATATTCACCTACAGTAAGATATTTACCTGACAAAAAGAACAACTAGGAATAACATCAAACTGTGAAGCATTTTGTGTGTGTGTCGGCTGAGGATCAGTCGAGAAGAATGAGCCAAAAAGTGGGCGGAGTCTTCTCGAATCGAGAGCCCCCGTTTTCGTTTTTTATTTTTCGCGTGAGAAATAAAGAAAACATAACGAAGAGAAATATACTAGAATGAATGGGAGAATTAATTTCGCGAAATTGTTTAATTGGTCAATAAAACCATTTTTGAGAAAAGAAAACACGAACCTGATGAATAACACAAATAATATGGTGGGAATAATAATAATAGGAGAAGTTGAAGATGTCATTTTGAATCGGAGGACGGGGATATCTGGAAATGAATATTAATGAAATGAAAAATATTGCTATGGTGAGAAGAGCAAAAACGTGTCTGGAAGTGTACTTTTAAAGGGGTGTTGTTTCGCAATTTTGCGTCACCATTTTTGATTTGGGAATAATCAGAATAGATCACGGACTTTCAAAAATGAGGAAAATCTTCGTTTCGAGACCAGGCGCGGGAAACATATTTTTCAAATGCAAAAAATTTTCGCGCACTTGGTTTCGAAACGATAGATCAAATCTATCGCGATTTTCCTCGAGAAGTACACACAAATAAATTATGTGTTCGGTAGAGCAAATTTGATGATTTTGTTGAGAAAGCGCTGAGGAAAATCACAATCTCCGAGAGAACTACACAACTCTTCGCTTCGAGACCGCAGGAGTTTTTTTCTGAACTCGACGCGATTTGTATTTTGTTTTTTTTCTCATCACCATAAATTCTAACCTCGTGAATTCTAACATCTTCCCACGCTTTTGCAAAATTGTATTTCTCTCCAGATATCTCAAAATCCATAACCAAAAAAAAAGAGCATTTTTTCCATAGATGTCCCCGATTAATTATAACAAATCCCTAATCTACGTGGATTAGCACGGCTATTTTTGATTTCAGGTTTGGTTAATTTTTGACATTATCCTTATTTCCAGCCACATCATATGTTTTTTTCTACTCAAAATGGAATAAGATGGGGAAAACATGTCATTAAAACAAGAAAAAGCCTACTCACAAAAACATAATATAACTACAGTACCCCCTTTTAGTATCCAAATTTTTTGTGGGGTGAAAGTGGGCATACATTTATATAGAGCTCTAAATACTCATCATTTTGAAAAAATGCTCAATGTCAAGTGGTTTTGTTGTTTTGTTTTCAAAAGTGAAAAGAAGGAAATCTATGTGTTCATGGAATGTAGGCGGAACCATTATTATTCTTTGAGGGAAGAAAGGATGAATGAATGGATAGATATCTGAGGGGGTAGAGGTATTATCAAATATTTATGATGTGAAGGATTGAATTGGATTGTTGCCAAGCTAGATATATCAAATTTCATTGTCTTTTTTCAGATTTGAATGAAAAAAAAAATTCTGCAGGAAGGGGGAGTCGAACCTGGGTCAAAATATTAAGAACCTATCAACTTATCCACTCGGACACGCGCGTTAGTTTTTCCAAACGCCAAATTTCGATGAAAACATTTTTCTTTCATTTGCATATGTTTTTTCTTTCCTTCACCAAAAAAACTCGGCTATACAACAATGAACAGAAGAAGCCCAAAAAATCATCGGAAATTCAAATTGAATTTCCTCTCAAAATATGATGTGATTGGTGTGTGTGTTGTCGTATTTTTGTTGTTTTCGTTCATTGACTCAAATCCTCGCCTTCTTCTTCCTACATACTCATCATTTCAATTCATTTCCGCTCTCATCACATCAGTACGTACACTCAAATAATTCCTCATTAAAAAACCGCACGTTTTTCGTTTGAATCTGCTTCTTCTTCCGATGACAAAACAAGAGCAAAATGTGGAAAATAATAAGTAAATACACTTTGAATATTAATGACATTATACCGGAAATCACTAATTTTTCAGCGACTAATTAATGAGTAGCAGCACAGGTGGATGGAGTGTGATCCACGGCGGACCCACCGAGGACCAATGTGGAAAATTCACCCACGGTGGATACGTGGTGGGTCCGCTGTGGGTGAGATTTAGGGAGAATTTTATAAAAACCTGTTAAATGAACTAAATGTACTTTTAAGAGTTCCGCTATGCCTCGAATGGTGTAAAAAGAGATTATATTGGCTATAGAATCATTTTTCAGTTCTTACTCACTTTCAAGGGTGAAGACACAGATTTGTAGAGCGGAGGACCAATATAAAATGTTATAAAACATGAAAACTAGTTCAAAAACTCTATAAATTTGATCAGATTCACTAAATAATTGATTTTCTACTGTTCTCATCTCTTTTTTTCAACTTTAAAGCGTTTCTTTCATAATTTTATGAATTTTTGCAAAATGTTGGGGTACTGTAGTTCGAGATGTGTGTAGTGGCATTTAATCTGACGCGCACTTATTTTTATTTTTCGTTTTTTGGGCCAAGTGTTTTTTATGTTTTTTTTTGGTGTTTTTTGCGGATTTTCATATCATCTGTTCATGGTTTTAGTACTAAATGATATTTAAAGTAGTCCTAAAACAGTTACAGAAGTAAAAAGTATGTAAAAGTAGCAAATTTTAGGATATTAGGGGAAAATATTCAATTTTTTCAATTACATTATTTCCACCGAATACTCTGTTAAAACCAAGGTTTTCTTGATGTTTATCCTGCATTCGTCTCCTTACCATTAATTTTTGACATAATTTTGCAGATTCATAGTTCGTGACTTTGACTAAAACGAGGAAATGCTGAGAGCCGAAAAAAACAGAAGAAAAAATGGAATAAATTGTATATTCAGATGGATCTGCTGGAAGACCACTTGATGTAAGTTTGAATAAACGACTTTTGAAATATATTTTTTCAATTATTTATTTCATTTCAGACATTGGAAGATTCACCAGCTCTTCTGTCACTTGGACTCAACATCTTCTCGGCTTCCAGTATTTGGAACTAATGGTAGGGATTCAACATTCTAACAATGAACTATATCAGTTATATATTTTTCAGGCAATGTTATCTCCGCCTGGACCGACTTGGATGAATTTTGGAAGACCGGCGTTCACCAAGAACATATATCACCGACTTCGCTCAATATGGTCAATATTTTATAGGTCAGTTTTTTTTGTAGTCTATGAATATAAGATGTGATAAATTACCTGCAAACTACTGTTTAATCGGAAGTTTGCAGAAAAAGAGATAACACTTTACTATGCCGATCTACTGATCAACTTATAGCAGAAAAATGTCACTTCATTCATCAAAAACTCTGACAAAATTATCAAAACTCTGATCTAAAAGTCTAAACCCAACCCTTAAATCCAAAACTACAGTTCGCGCATCTTATAAAATTCTTACAGATATTGCCAACTCGGAAAAACAACGAACGAGGATATGGACTGAGCGAGACGTTATGTGATCAGGATTATGCAATTCTGGCGCCCGAAACTCAACCAGGAAATCAATAAATTTTTATTTATTCTCTGGTTTTTGTTAAATGAGAATAAATATGTTTTTTATTGAGCATAAATTGTATTTTTTCGGTAGTAAAGGGAAAGGGAAGTAACAAATAATCTAAACCCACCGCCGACCTACGGTGGGTGGGGCCGTCGGTGCACCAGTAGTCCACGGCGGATGAAATCGCCGTGGATCCTCGGTGGGTCCGCCGTGGGTCACACTCCATCCACCTGTGAGGGAATTTTGAATTTTTCAAACAATTGCGTTGTTAGCAATGGAGCGCGATTGCACATTCTGTACTTTTTTTCATTTTTAAAATACAGCGCCTAATTAGCAATAGAGCGCGTTTGCTTAATTGGTATTTTTTCAAATAAAGCGTTTCAAAATCTGTCTTTAGAAGCGTTGCGGTCACGCGATGCGTGTTTCATTTTAAGACAAAAAAGGCGGCGATAGTGTGCCACGTGAAGAGTTGCAGACAAAAAAACACGCAGCGCGTGACTGCAACGCGTCCAACGACATTTGTGCTCGATTTTTTCCAATCGGAAATCTACATCCCAATTTTCCATATTTTTCTAGACATTTCGTCAACATGAATTTCCTGAAAATCCAAGACCAATTTTGTTTTTCTTACTGTAATATCCGCAAAATAAACAGACATGTGAATTTTTGAATATTTTGGTTTGTCAAAAAAAGTATCGGATTTCGATCCGAACAAAAAAATCATGGAAAATGTCTATTTATTAAAGAAAAAAGAAACACGAAATGCAAAATTTCGCCAAAAAAAAGCAAATAAATAAAAAATAAAACTCTAAAAATACTTATATAAATTAAATAAAATAATCACATTTTCACGGAATGTTTTCGAAATTAGCAAGTTTATTTCCGTTTTCTTTGGCTTGGAGAATCACCAGTTGGATTTGGAGCTGTAGCAAATTGATAGACTGATTGGAGCAATTCAAGTACACGGTTCTGCAAAAAAATCGTATATTTCCCAGAAATATTTCATTCGAAAATGCATTTTTTTTATTTGAAAAAGCTGAGCAAAAAACAAAAACAAACTATTTCAAGACGTTAAAATTCATGGAATAACGGAAATGAAGTCAAGTTCCTAGTAAAAACTATTAAAGTTTATCATGTAATATTTTTTGCAAATAACATTATAAAATGTTAGATTTTTGTTGCGTTTTCTAGTTGTTTCTGAAAATGAGAAAAAAAAGGTTGTGACATTTGTTGTCATCTGACTAATCCTTCTATTATTAAATCTGCTCACATCATAACCAGAAATCAGTCTCCTTCTGAAAAATGCAGCTTTCAAAAAAAAGCAATCTACATTTTCTCAGTAATTTGTCCACACATCATATCATCTGATAATTATTACCTGGTTAAAGAATGCGAGAGCCAAACAAACAAAGAATGGCAATGACATCAGTGATCCAAAACTGATATCAACTTCTGATGCTTTTTTCGATGATGTTAATGGAATTCGAACAACTCGAATTGGAGCATCCGCGATGAAATATGCTGGAAAAAAACACTGATTTTGACAATTATTCTGAATTGTTATTTTTGTTTTGTTATATTTTTTTGCAAAGAAAAACATAATTCTTGAATTAAAAGGGAATTTTTGTTTACGACTTGTAATAAAATTGTGAAAATGAATGTTTTTTAAAAATTAAGATTAAATGTTCAACGCGGAAGTTTTTGCATTTTATCTGTAATTTTCAGAACAAAACACGAAATGACAAATTATTTGAATTTCAGTTCCAAAAAATGTTCCTATAATTACTGGTTTTTTATTCTTTGTAAACAAGCCAAATTGATATTTTCAGCTGCAGTTTTTATCTGCAAACCTTTTATGAAAAAATAAATAGTTAGGGATTTGGATTGAAATGAAATGAACTTTAAAATTAATTAAATTCAATATTAATCCAGGTGTGATTCATTAAAAGATCTTTGAACATCAAATTGGATTAACTCGCAAAATAATAAAGTTTTTGGCTGTCGAAGAAAAACGGGACTCACATGTTTTGGCAACAAATGCCATTGGTGGTTTTTCAGCTTCAACTCGAATATTATATCTCGATCCATCTCTTGGCAAATGTGATAAATAGAACAAATGTTGAGGGAATGGAATACTTGCAGTTTGAACCAGCTCATTTTCCTTGTGAATAACAACTCGAACCGATTGAATATCTTTCAAAGTGCTCATATCAATTTCAATCGCCGCATCTGTTGTTTTTTCAATTGTTGTTGCAATGAATTCAAGATTTTTGACATCTTCAGATGTCATTGAAACAGTAAATTGTCCAGGGAAACTATGTGGAGCAGCCGAACCATCAGTATATGCTGAAAATCATGATTTTTTTTTTGAAAATTTATTTTTTTTTCTTTTTGCAACTTACATTTTGCATACACATTATATTTACAATTTGGTAATAATCCACGAAGTCTGAAAGAACCATCAGATCCAGTTGGAGCTTCTGATTGATGTGAATCACAACCAGTTGAAAGAGCTTCAACAACAACATCTTGAACTGCACTTCCAGACATTTCACGAATCTTTCCGAAAACACTATAGGAAACACGTTTTCCTTTAACAATAACATTTTCATGAACTCCTTGTTTCACTTGAATTGTTGTTGTTGATGGATTGAATTTATATTCTTGCAAAATTGCACGAATAAAATATTCTCCTGGTGCCAAATCAACGAAATTCTTGCTCGCAGTCGAATCCAAAACATTATTCGATCGATAATCTTTTCCACCAACTAATGACAATAAAACACCATCCAATGGTTCATTTGTATTCTCATCAAGTACAGTAATCGATAATTGTGACAATTTGATACTTTCAAAAATTCCATTCGATCCACTGAATCTATATCCATCCAATGAAGCTGAGATATCATAATCTTCGACTTTTTTAACTGGTCCAATTTTGAAATTTCCATTTTTATCCGAATTCAGAGAAATAATGACACTTGGATCGGATTTCAAAACAGCTTTGATTGCGACTTTTTCAACTGCTGGTCGAATTTGTCCATCGATGAAAATTCCACGGAAACTTTGGAATTGCACGGCATTTTGAATACATTTTCCCGATACTTTGATTGATTTTGATGTTGGTTCGAATAAACGAGCAGATGATGATGGAACAAGATGAACATTTTGACCAGTTGAGGAAAGTGGCTCGTCGAAATGGAAGGTTCCATCATTATTCACTGAAACATCTCGTTCACCAGTTGGAGATCTGGAAAAACGAAAAATGCGCATCTCACTGAATCACAAAACTCACTTAATTTTAATATGAACTCCAGCACTTTTATCCCCTTGCAAATCAACAATTCCTCCAATTCTTGCAGCAATCGCAGACTCTTTCAAAACTCCTTCGAATGGAACATTCATCTCGAATTGTTGTCTTTCAAATTTATAGCAAGAATTCAATGAAACACTGTAAACTCCAGCATTTGGAACACAGATCGATAATGGTTCATTTCCTTGATGATGAGCTTCGCCGTGAAGTTGTTTTTTGTCGACGTTTTCCCATTTCTAAATAGAAAAATATAATATCACATGATTGTCCCTTTTCAATTCAAGAATATAGAGCTAACTTACGATATCAGCTTCGTGTGATAATTGAATTTTGGCAGCAAAACCATTTTGAACAAAATGAACAGTTGGTTGTTGCTTGGATTGTTCGACGACTAAATTCAATTCCGAATTTTCCCAACATCCTCTTCCATTGTCATCCAATTTTGCTTTATAAGTTCCTGGTCCAATTCCTTCGAAAATGAAAACATCAGTTCCTTTAACACTTCGGACTAAATTGTTTCCAGAAAGATAGAGGGAAACTGTTGAAGTTGGACAAGCACCTGAAATGAAATTTTATTATTTATTTATTGAAGTTGGATCAAAACTCACCAATACATGATACTCTGACATTTGCATCAGTTTTGAAATGAGTAAAACGAAGATCGAGAATTGGTTTCGAAGTAACATCAATTTGAAGTGATTTTGGAGTAAGGGAACTTGTTTTATCAGAAGATTCGATTGTGTATAATCCAGGTGCAACAGATTGACAGAATGAACCATCAGAATTTGGTCGAATTTCAATATTGTTCGAAAGTTTTAGGCTTTCAATCACTCCATTTTCTGATTTTTCAACTGTTCCACAAATATCAAATTTGGTGACTGTGATATCGTTTATCGAAACTGTTGGGAACTTAACAGTGATTTTCGAAACAGAAAAATGAACATTTTTTGCTTCGGCAGTTACAGATTGACTTGTTCCTTCTTTCAATCCTTCCAAAGTTATGTATCCATTTGAATCTGATTTTCCAATCGATTTTCCATTCAATAAAACATTTACATCGCTAAATGGTTTTCCATTTGCAGTTACACGAACTTTGGATGATGCAGATTCGGCAACAAATTTGGCGTTTGAAGCAGATTGCGAGACTGTGATTTGTTGAGTTGACGGAGCAAATTGAATATTTCCGAATGATGCAGTTAGATAATAATTTGCAGATGGAACACATGCGACTGATAATTTTCCAGCGTTGTTAGTTTTACCGAGTTCACAATTGAAAGAATGACTGTTTGGAATATTTGGAGATTGATTTTGAGAACATTTCACATTTGGGAGATCAATTTTAGCTTGAGAGAATATATTGATTGTTACTGAAGCGAAATTATTTGTATCGACATTTAATTGATAGCCAGAAATTTTGAGATTTGGCTTGACTTCAACTGGAGCTCCAGAAACTTCGACATTCGCCTTTCCTCTTGAAATACATTCGGATGCACCAGCTCCAGTAGAAACTTCGTATTTTCCTGATGGCGCTTTCATTTCATATTTTCCTCCATCAGTTGTCACAGTTGAATCGATTTGTTCACCAGATGATGATTTGAGAACAAGATTAAGACCGGCGCCAGCTCCATCAACAACTCCGCGAATTGAGAAACCATTCAATTTGAAAATGATGTCCTCATTTTTGGAACAAGGATCATTGACACCATCCAATTTGAAATCAAAAGTATCTGGCTCAAAATAATAACCAGCTGGTGACGAAACCTTCAACGAATATTGACCCTTGCTATAAACTGGGATCATAAAATATCCATTTGATGGATTTACTTCTTCTTCATGTTTCAAATGACCTTCGGTTGTCAGAAGTTTGACCTGAATTTATATGTAAATTTTAGGATATAAGAACAATTTAATACCGTAATTTTGGAAAAATCGATTGAAGCACTCGATTTGACGAATCCTCCACAACTGTATACATTGGCAGTTGTTGCAGCCACCAGTAGAGATAAGACTAGACAATTTAATAAACCCATGATCTGCAAAAAACACGTTGGAAACACACGAAAACCCCAAAAATCAAAAGAATTGAAAAATTATCGTGTGCTAAATTACGGGCAAGCGGAATGTTGTGTGTAAAGAAAAGCATGCGCGCTCTATCGAGATGAGTGTAGCGAGGAGGCAATTTGAAAATTAATAAAATTTCGGTAATTGATAACAATTCGAATGTATGGCTTTTGGAGTCGACTAAAACTAACCGGGAGTGATTTATAATGAAACGTCACATTTTCCTCTATGAAAAATAATGAAAAATGAAATCCAACAAAACAAGGTCACGTTTTTTTTTTGTTTTTTTCAAATTCAGTTTTCACGTTTTTGATCCACCCCTTATTTTTACAGATATAATCTGAATTCTCTGATAATTTCCTGTTTTCGCCTTTTTTTTCGAAAAAGTGCAATGTATCCTCATTATTTCTTCCGCTTGGCTCAATTTCAAAATTGTTTTGTAATCGCTTGTCCTTTTAGAATAATGATATTCACCAAGATTCCAACCCTTTTTGGTATTGTAATAGGTTACTGTACTTTGAACCTTTAAAAATCACAAGTTATTTTTTTAATGTCTGAAGTTTTCGTAAAAATAAAAATGTTTTTCAGAAAAAATTGAATTTTTATTTCTATTTTCATGCAATTCAAAAATAGTAATATTTTTTCTTTCAGCCAATTTTCCAGGTTCTTATAAAAGTATAATATTATTTCCCTTTCTTCAAAAAATGGTCTGCTCTCTCCACATATCCGGTCTCCAGCCCCGCCCCGCCCATTCTTCTTTTTTTTTTGCGACTACTACTGCAAAATAGTAGCCATCCCTCTCGTTTTTTTTCATTCCTTTTCACTCATTTCTGTGGTCACCCTAGTAACTCCACTAACTGACCAATAGTACGTTTTGCTGTGTGCTTTGAACTAATCCCCCCGAAAAATATTCGGACTAAACTAAAAATGCGATCTCGATCGACTTCAGTCACTGTGTTGTATAATATCAACTCGAAAAAGGATAGAAAAGGTGATTATTTGATTATATCTAAGTTGGCAAGCATGTTGAGCTAAAGTGCAATTACTTGCAGGTGTTTCTCTTGATCGGAATAATAATTTTACAACGAGTCGAGAAGTTGAAAAACAGCCAAGAATGGTGCATACAAGTTCGAGACATGTTAATGAGGGATTTTTTGGGGTAAATTTAATGCTAATCAAAATATTTTCAGCCAAAATCTAGAATTTGTATTTTATAGCTCGCTAAATAAAAAATGATCCTAATTTAATTTAATTTTTAAAAATTTGACCTAAAGTTCAATAGGAATTTTATTTTAAAAGAAGCTTTTAAATTTCAAAAAAATCTGAATAATAGTTCAAAATTTGTGAACTAATCAATTTTTTAAAAAAAGTTCCCATGTGAGCCAGAAAAAATAAACTCTGAAATTATCTGAAATCAGCAAAAGCTCACAAATATTCAGTGTGAGCTCAAAATTTTCAAATTTTTCTCGGAGTAGAAAATAATTTTCTCTAAATCTCTCAGTTTTCCGTTGACTTTAGTCTACCTCAAAGATCGTGTTAGGACTCAGAAAAATGCGGGAAAATTTTCATCTGTGAAATTCTGAAAAAAAAATTTCATTACTTTACAATGTGCTTTCGGAGTATTATTTTTCTATTTTTTTGTTTTCTCATGAGCAAATCGCTAATTATAGGCTTCATAAAAAATAATCGAAAAAAATCTATTTTTTGCTGTTCATTTTCTACTATACAAAATCATATATACATTCATTCATGTTCAAAAAAAGCATATAACAATTATGATGTATATTGGACCGGAACTGGTCAGAAAAAACCCCCTTCTATGAAAAAAAAGTACACAATCTTATACTTTTCGTATATACTCTTTTTGTGCTCCAAAAAATTGTGAGTCAGCGGAAATGAACGGAGGAGGAGCACAGAAGTTGACGAGCCGGAAAATTTTCACCTGGGTAGAAAATTTTGAGGCCAAAGTATTGGGAGTTTAAGTCTAGTCATGTTTTTTTTTACCAAAAAGAAATAAAATAATCGTTGTGTTTATTTTGAAATTGAGGAAAAACCAAACCAAAAAATATGTTTTTCTTCCAGGTTTCTAAATGGATCCAACATGTGTCAACTCGTCTTGATGTTGAAAAACATTACGAAATTGGAGCGGTCATTGGAAAAGGCAATTTTTCTAGTGTCCATTTCACACGTAGAAAAGTGGATGGCACTAAATGTGCTCTAAAAGTGAGGCTGAATTTAATTAAAGAAAAACAAACATTACTTCGTTGGTCCTTGATTTCTTCCTGTTTACATTTGAAAAAAAATGGGCCTTTGTAGAAAAATAAAATGTAGAAAAAACTTTGAAAAACTCGAAAACCAGGAAATCAAAAGTTCTTTGTTTTGGAAAAGCTCAAATAGGCGCAGTCTTGAAGCCTGCGCCAAATATTCATATTTTTTAGCAAGTTGAAAAACGAGCAATGCGTGGAAAATGTTTTTTCGTTGACAATGAAGTTGAAATGCTCTCCCTAATCCACCACGATCATATAATCTCAATTATGGACGCCTACAGTACTCAAACAGAATACTTCATTGTTTTCGAGCATGCACAATACGGTGATTTGTATGAAACAATTCGAAAAAATGGTCGAATAGATGAACCAGATGCAGCTATAATCACACTTCAGATAACTTCAGCACTTGGTTATTTGCATGATAGAAATGTTGTTCATCGCGATGTTAAGCCCGAAAATTTGTTACTCGTTGATAAATTTAATGTGAAACTTTGCGATTTTGGACTCGCTTGTCATGTTTTGGGACCATTGTATCGAGTTTGTGGGACACCAACTTATTGTGCACCTGAAGTATTGACAGAAAAAGGTTATTCAACAAAATGCGATATTTGGTCATTAGGAGTTGTTTTATATGTGATGCTTGCTGGTTATGCTCCTTTCAGAGCTCCAGATCAAAATCGTTTGTTCAAATTAATTATTGCTGCGAATATTGCATTTGATATGCCAGAATGGAAAAATATTAGCTTGAGTAGGGTTTTTCTTTTTAAGTTAGAAAAACTTTTGAAAAAAATCTATTTTTCAGAAGCTCGTGATCTAATAACCCGCCTAATGAACAAATCTGAAGATCGTCGTCCTTTGGCATCTCAAATTGCTTCTCATCCCTGGATTCTGCCATATACAATCGACTCAATTGATGATGAATGAAGCCTAATTTTTGAAATATTATAATTAATTTCGCATTTCTTGTCCGGTGTACTTATTTAATTTGTCTTTCGTGCCATGATATTGAATACATTTTGAGAAATAAAAATTATTCGCTACTTTACGTTTCACACATAAATTATGGCAGAAAACTTTTATGATAACGTTACAGATTTTATAATTTTCTGATTTTTTTTTTGAGAATACATATAAGAGAGAACTAAATTCTCAGAAAAATGATTGAGTTTTGTTGAAAAATTGAATTGAATTGGGATTTCCTGGATTTTTAAATAAAATTTGAGAAACTATTAATTTTAAAACGAATTTTCACTGATTTGATATTATTTCAAAAAATTTTGAAATATTTTTTAAAAGTTCAGCTTTGAAGAAGATCTTTTGAAAAAAAATTGGAATATTTTTGGAATTTTTCAGATACACAACACTTTGAAAAAAATTAAATCAAGCTTTGGAACATTTTCACAAGTTTTTTCGGCCCCAAATTTTTTTTTTTTTCATATTTAATTCCTAATTTGACGTGTGAAAAATAGAAAATTCAATAAAATCAAATTAGGCAAAGTTCATTTCTCTCAGTTTTCTGAGACCAGGAAATTCAAGATCCAATTCAATTCAATTCTATTTTTAACACACATGAAAAACCCGCTCATATTCATCTGTTCCTTCTTCCGATTTCCCTATTTACACAAACAATTCATTCATTTAGTACCAGTCTATATGTATGTATTTCCTCGAACTTTCTCTCTCTCTCTCTCTCATTTCCCACCCCACTCATATTCAATTAAAAAATGAAATACATTTATCCATCCGCATGTTTATATTAACAAAAGGCTCAAAAATTTGATCACCTGTGAATGCTGTGTTGCCTCCTGCGTCTCTTTTGTTCTCTATCTATCCGATCACAAAAGATTCGAATTCGAATTCGAATTCAATCAAATATCGAAAATGTTTGGTTCTTTTTCATTTCTTTCCTCTAAAATGTTTCGTTTTTTGTTTGTTGTTTGATAATTGAATCTTGATTTTTTCAAGAATGGCGGATTCGCCGCCGCCGAAACCTGAACCACAACAACAACAACAATCAGTGAGATCTTCGAGAGTTCAACTTCCACGATATACTTCAATCGATTTGGAAAATGAATTACCAGAAATTTATAAGTGAGTTTTTTGATGTTTGGCTTCTTTTTCAAAATCAGTTGACTTGAAATTGGAAACTTGATTTTCCGGTGATCAAAAGCCAAATTTTTTATTCCAGCACATCTTTGAATCCAAATCTTCACGATCCAGATATGACAATGTTTTTCAATCGAAATTTGCCACCATTTCATTCAAATTGGTCGAAACGTCACAGTCCTCCTCCAATGTATCAATCGAGATCGAGTAAGTAAAAACAACTATTTTGACCAAAATCCGATTATTGTTGTTTTCAGAATCCGGCAGTAATTCATCGATTCAATCATCAACTCCATCAACAAAAAACAAGAAAATATTTTCTCGAAATTGTTTAGCGGGAGGATTCTTATGTGTATTTATAGTAACTCCAATTCTTATTCTTCTCGTGTTTTATATTATTCCTCGAATTGTAGTTGTAGATAATCAACCATTTCAAATAAATCAGTTTTGAGAGAGAACAGTTTACCTTATAAAAACAAAACAAATAAATTAATTCAATTCAATTCAAAATTTTGGCTCCGTGATAATACTAAATTAATTAATTACACAAGTAAAATACCCATTGTTTTTAAACCATAGTTCGGACTTCGAAGAATCGTTTGAGGTAGAAAATTTGGCCGACGGTCATTCCGACGAGAACAAATGCTTCGAAAATTGCCCAAAGAACGACGCGAGAATTTGTGTTTTCATTGACTGAAAATTAATTTGGTTTTCTTTGAAATCAGAAAATTTAGGAAACGTGACCCAACCAAATCCACATTGGAATCTAATTTTGGAAAAATTCTATCATTTTCTTCCAATTTCAAATAAGAAAGCTGTGCTCGAATTCGACCAAAACTTGTTTTTTTCTTATTTATCGCTAGACTATTCTGGAACACTGATAAAACTTGTTTGTTTACATATTCTAGTTTCAAAGTTACAGAGTTTCTCGATAAATTTAATCCCCATTTGATAAAATTCAATAAAAAACTTACTCGATCGATGAACTCGTTCTCTAACTTCCATATACTCTTGTTCATGCTTTACATTCATCAACGAGCTTGACAATTCACGGACCATTTCTTCCAATTTTTGATTATCAATAGCTTCTTGATTTTGCGCGGCTCCTGGTGCATTTTGATGTGGTTCTGTGATATCAACAGTGAACATAACTGCTTTTGGTGTCATTGTGCTCATTTTATTGCCAAAGCAATAAGTATATTGTCCATCCATATGAGCTGCGAATGCGAATTTTCCACTAGATTCACGCTCTCCTTTGTAAATTTCTTTACTATCTGGACCGGTGATCTGAAATAAATTCATGAGTTCGAAAAGAAAAATGACCCGGCAAAATACTCACTTTGACATCAATATCCAAAAATCCACCCTCAGCAACTTCAAACATAAGTCCAAATTTAGTTCCAGAAGTCAATCGATCAAAAAAGCATTGTTCTTCATTTGCATCGATATGAATGAAGTATCCATGGCAAACTGATAAAGCGCTGAGCAATATTACTAATCCTATTTTATTCATTTTTACCTGAAAACAGTTTTTTTGGCTGAAAACAACAAAAAAAAACGCTCGAAAAAAAGAAAAATATTTGTCCACGTTGAACTGCGGTGTTTGCACACATTGTCAAAGTCAACACAAATGACGCACAAATGCACTACTTTTTATGTTCTCAGCAAATCGCTGCGTACATGAACGGTAAGGATTTGTGTAGCTTGTGTGCTGTCTAACTCATTTTACACACATTCCACACACAAGCTACGCACGCGTCTACACACCAGCTACACAAAATAGTTTTTTTCGATTTTTTTTTCGTTTCGCGTTTTTTCGGATTTTGCGGGCTGAAAGATGATTTTTGAACACGTTTTGAATGAAAACAACAATTTATTATCAGAATAAGCAAAACATGAAAAAAAAAAGTATTTCAAACAAAATTACAAATTAGGAGTTGAAAATTTCGTAGATGTTGCGGATTGTCTTGTTTTCCTCGCCATGAAGCTGCTTTTGATGTCTTCTGTGTCCAGATTTCCATCGAGTGCTGGCGAGACTGAGCATCGGAGAGCATATTCTGTAAAATTGAGATGAATTTTCATGCTTTTCAGAGTAGAAAGAACTTTATATTTACCTTCAAAAATAGCTAAAATTGATCAAATTTCTCAAGACATATTTTGTTATCCCGTTTCTTTTTCGGTTATTGACTCACCTTTTGATTAGCGTGGATGATGACTGATTGATGTTGACCTGATTTTTGTGGAGCGTAGTCGTTGTCGAACTTGTTGAAGTTTTCTGAAAACTGTTTTTGTAGTAAATATGTCGTTTTTTAAAAGAAAATTCCCTCACCATTTAGCAGCCATTTTGCAACGATCACGCTCCCGGAAACCTGAAATTAAAGATAGTTAAAACAATTCTGAATGAAAGAAAAATTTCCAGACTTGAGAAATTGGGGAATTCATAGATGTTCAAAAGAAATTTCAACATAATTTTCATGAAACCTGAAGAAAAATGTTAAAAATTATGTATATGTTCACTGCTGGCCCGATTTTCACAAGAATTTAGGCCTGGAAAAACAAAAACAAAAATGAGAAAAGTAGCCGCGACGCTAACCGCGTTGCTTCTCTGATTTGTGTAGCTGGTGTGTAGCTGCGGTGTAGCTATTTTTCGCCGATAAAACCGTTCATGTACGCGACGATTTGCTGAGTTTGCGGGTTTGAAAAAATGAAATATTTATTCAAAAAATAAGCTTCAATGTGATAGTTTAGAAACGGATAACGAAGCAAATATGAAAGCCACCAATAAAACAGTCAAAACTAACAATAAAAATGCGACTTTCACAGAACGATGTATAACTGAACTTGAAGATACATTTTCCGGAATTCGAGAATCACTGCGTTCAATTGTGTAAATTGTTTGATGTGGGAATTGAATACTTCTGAAACTTCTGATTTTTTTTCCACTAAAAATTGGAAACTTGAACTAACCTGGATGGCAATCTCGAATGTTTTGGTGTGCTATTATAGTACTGATCAAGCTCTTCTTTCGAGTTGTGCATATTTTTTGAATCGGGTTTCGGCCAAAACTGTAACATTTTTGTAGGAACTCTTATCTCAAAAAGTATAAAGTAAAGTGTCAGTTTCAGAAAAAAATGGGAGAAAAGAAAAGAAGATTAATTCAAAACAATGGGTAAAAAACCTTTGAACTGATTATTTGTATAGTATCATTCATATTTTATTATTATTAAAAATGGTACAAAAACAAATAAACATGTATAAATATAATGAATTAAATCATACATCACGTGGAGCAAAAGTTGTTGATTTTTTTGTCAGATAAGTGATTTTCGATCATTACAGTAATCTTTTTAGTTGAAAAACTAAAAGCTCAAAATGTGTTTTCTTGGTAACCAATTTTTCCAATCAAAAACCATACAAACGCCCAATTTAATCTAGCTTATTTCCCGGTAATTACCTTTTCTCAGACCTTAGCAACCGTCTCATTCTACTAGAAAAAAATGCCTGCGAAATCTGATTGTAATGCTACAAAAGCACTCGTTTTCACACCAGAACTCCCAATAATCAAAACAATTTCATATTTTGCATCTGAAACTTACGATATTTCATTGATTATTCTTCTATGTATTTTATTCTTTGGGTTTGTTTTACAAATCTTCCATCTATTTATTTTATCTCGGAAAAATATGGCACATTTAATGATGCTCAAACCATTGCTCATTTTAATGATTTCAGCAATTTTTCTATCAATTGTATCTTTTATCAAATATTTCATTGAATTCTTGGCTGACACAATTTGTGGTGTTGAATATTCATACATCAATAATCTTTTCGAACTTATAAATATAATTGTTTTCACAATTTCACATGAAGCAATCATTCGATGTGTTATTTTTATAACATTGACCAGAGTTAATATAGTTATTGAAACTCGTTATTCTCGAAAGTACCGTATCCCTGAAAAACTATTGTTTTGGTTCACAATTATTTCCGTTGTTTTGGTTTTTGTTAATCAAGTCGTACGAATTTTTGCGAGAGAAATTGATGAAATTTTAGATGCAGAATCGTATTCTGAAATTTATCGACAATATTCACAAAATAAGTGAGGTAGCAAATTGTTTTCAAACTTTTTTTTGTATTTTTTTAGCTGCACAATAACTGCAAACACTAGATTGTGGAGAATTCATATCAAAACTATTGAATGCGAATTAACGAGATTGAGATCAATTGTGAGTACTGTAGCTGGAGAGGTAAGCTTGAACTTAGATATGTTTTTATGTACATATCTATGCTTTTTTAAGATAATCCCATGTATTATCCTTCTTGTCTCCACAATTTTTCTTTCTCTCGAAGTTCGTCGAATTGCCGAAAATGATCCAAATTCTGAAAAAAAGAAAAAATCAGGTCAAAATGTTCGAGCATTGATTATTTTTCTGATTTTATTTTTTCTATCTGAAATTCCTCTTGCAATTATTTATGGAATTGGGATGATTAGCACCGCTGATTTCTCGTAAGTTCTACACTTTCCATTCAAGAAATCAAAGAATTATGTGTTTTTTGCAGAGCAATTGATGTAATGTATGTGCAAGAGGATTGTTTCATTTTTTTGAATTTGAATATTGGTATTTTTGTGTATTGCACAATGTCTTCTTTGTATCGGGATACTGTAGCGATGGTTTTTGGCGCCAAAAGTCAGAATATTCTCGAAGTTCAAAGACAACAGGTATATACTTTTTTGAAATCACATAAAACTTAAAATATTTTCAGTCAAAAGCAGTTCGAAATTAAAATCAATAATATCGAAAAACGAACACTGCTCTTTTTCTCCCGCGTATTTTCTCTATCCAATGTGTATCATCTTCTTGGGATGCAAAAGTTTTCTGTTGGTTGTAATATTTTGTCTCTCTCTCTCCAATTTCCATACTATTTCGATAATTCGGAAAAGTGAGGAAATAGTTTTGTTAGCCACAAGAATAGAGCTCATCGTTGGAAAAAAAGAGTTTGGATAACTTATCTTTTTTTTTCTTACTTATTTATTATTGATTGGATTTTACAGTTAGAATAAATGAGTTTTTTTTGCTGTTGACCTTATCAATTATACATATTTTGAACTTTTCTCCTAGATAATTAGCTTTCTCCTTTTCTTCTCAAAATAAGGAAAAAACCGGTTAACATAGTAAAGAAACCGTAATAATATTATATAAATTACATTTCCTCAGATTTTTTTCATTCTTTTACCCTCTCCAAAATTTCATCTACCTTCGCATATTATTTTTAATAACTCTAACCTTGTTCCGTCCGAAAATTAGCAATTCAAATCGGGCGAGAAGAACATAACACGAGACAAAAAATGAAATAATTTTGCCCATTTTTTCAGTGAACAAACATTATGACACTTGAAACATATATATCAAGAGACTTAGACAGTTATTGTTTGTCGACATCAAAAAAAATTGAGAGTCACAGTCTATTTTCTGACTTTTTAGAATTACTTTGATTCTCAAGAGCTTTGAGAAAAGCCCCTTTTAACACTTTCAGAAATTGAACTTTTTCTAGATTTCGAAATGTTTTTGTTTTTTCTCTTGAATCAATTTCGAAATTGTAAACTCTTACAGCTGGTGTCTTGTGATATATGTTTTTGTTTTTCCGTCCGATTTTTTCACAAATTGTTAATTTTTATTATTTTCGGAGAGTTTTAGTTTGAATCTGAAAATTGTTTGAAAAATCTTTGTGTTTGTCTTCACTTTACCAACAAAAAAACTTTTTTATGATCTTCAAACTTTCCAGCTCACAATCAGAAAAAAAATGGAAGAAGAATTGCAGCAACTACGGACGAATGCGTCTTCAGATCTCATGTCAGATGAGGTGAATAATTTCGTATAGTGTTAAAATCCCTGATAATCTCTGATCAGATTTCTTTAATCCAAAAATCTCAAATATGATTTTTTTTTCAGGATTTTATCAGTCAAATTGAGTCGATGAGTGTTGAAGCTCAAGAGAGGGAAATCAACGATTTATTGAGTGAGTTTGGTTTTTTTTTGGAAATTTTTGGTTAGGAATTTTAGATTCTAAACTTTGAAAAATTTTTTACAGAAGCCATGCATGAAAATCGAATCGTATCTTGGGATGAAGCTGAAAGAATTCTTCAGGAAACAGATCGAACACCTGTAAGTTTTTTATTTGAAAACTTTTTTTTTATTCGAAAACCCAACAATTTTTCTCGCAGATAAAATGCAGTTTACCTGAACAAACTCGTCCAACCGAACCAGACAATGAAGTTGATGTTGATTCTTGTATTCGAAAATTACTTGACAATGATCCAAGTTTGAAAGAAGTTAATTTGAATAACATGAAGGTACCTTTTTCCTTAATTCTAGAATTTTTTAATTCAAATATTTTCAGAGAACTCCAGTTCCAGCGATTAAACGTTTATTGGAAGCGCTTGCTTATAATGAACATTGTGAACGGATTTCTTTGGCTAATATGGGTTTATATGATCATGATATTATGGTAAGTTCAAAATTTGTTTTCAAAACTTCAAAATAACATTTCAGGTTCTTGTGACAGTAATTGAAATGAATCAAGCAATTAAAAAAGTCAATTTGGAAACCAATTATTTGAGTGGCGAATTTTTCTCGAAACTTTTCAAAGCTGCACTGACAAATGAGACTGTTGAGGAGATAAAAGCCGTGAATCAAGGAGTTTCGTTTTCAACTCAATCGGAGAAAGAGATTATTGATTCAATTGTGAAAAATAAAGGGTTGACTAAAATTTCAATCAATTTTCGGTTACCTGAAGGAAGACATAAAGTTGAAAATGCAACATTGAGAAATGGAGAATACAGTGAGTTTTTTAGAGTTTTAGAGAGACGAAAATTGTGCATTGGAGCGCGGATTCCTCAACCAAATTCTTTAAAAATTTTCCAATAAAATATTTTTGTAGAACGTGTAAAACGACGAGAAGCTGCACTAAAAGCCAAACAAGAGCAAGAGGAACTTGCGAAAAATCCAGTTCCAAAATTGGCTCCCGAAAAACCGCCAGCTCCTGCTCCCGCACCAATTCCCCCGAAAGTACAAATTCCAGCCAAGGTTCGTTTGACTGTTTTCTAACTCGAATGAATAAAGTTTGACTATTTATTGCATGGTGTTGACAATTTTTTATATGTGCATGAATGATTTTTGTCTATCTACATATTTCAGGGGTTTTTCAAGTCCGTCCGTTTGCTCGTGTTCAATGTTTTTCTCTGAAAATCAAATTTGAACCTCAATCTATTTTCAGATTCCATATTCACTTGTCACACCAGAACCTCCACCATCTTCTTCTTCATCTCAAAATGTTGTTCAAACTGCTCCACCAAAACCAGCAATTCTTGCAAAACAATTATCATTTCAAAGAGCAAGTCGAGAAGATGAAGAAGAAACAGAACTTGTTGCAATTCCAGAACCGAAAAAAGTTCAAATTCCGAAAATGTTTCAAAAATCGGAGAATGAAAATGGAGAGATAATTGTCAAGAAAACTGGAAAAGTTTGGAAACCTAAATTGAAGGTTGAGGAGAAGCCTGAATCATGGAAGAAAAAAGTGGATTTGGAGTTGCCGGAAAGATCAGTGAGAGATAGAAAGTCACCAGCAAGACATCTGAAATCTCCTGAAGTTCATGAAAATGGAAGAAGATCTCCGAATCGGTCATTGAAATCGCCAGAAGTTCCAAATTCAGGAAGACGATCGCCAGGTTTTTCGAGAAGGAACAATTTGAAATCACCAGAAGTTGCTGAAAACGGCAGGAAATCTCCAGAACCACCAAGAAGAAATTTGAAATCTCCGGTGCCTCCACAAAATCATAGAAAATCACCAGAACCACCGAGACGGAATTTGAAGTCTCCAGCACCTTTGAATAATCACAGAATGTCTCCAGAACCACCTAGAAGAAATCTGAAGTCTCCGCAAAATTTCAGAAAATCTCCAGAACCAACCAGAAATGAATTGAAATCACCAGATCAACAGCCACCTGGACGCAATCTCAAATCACCAATACCCTCACGAAATCAAAGTCAAAGATTGTCTCCAGAACCCCCAAGAAACACTCTGAAATCTTCGGAACCTAAAGAATCTGAAAATCCAAGTCAAGCAAAAAGTGCCAAAAATATGTGGGAACATCGAATGGCAAAACTCGAGAAAAAAGAGCAAAAATCGAAAAAACCACTGCTTTCAATTCAACAAATTCGTGAAATGGAAAGAAATGGAAATGTATTCGAGCAGAAGATCAAAGCGAAAAAACCAAAAATCATGGAAAATGCGGCGACTGAAACTACAGTAATCCGAAGAACTGTTATGAGACAAAGAAAAGATGAGCAACCAAATGCATGATTATCGAATATAACTATTATATTATTTTTCCACTTCTTTAAATTAATTTAATTTAATTTAACATGTACATTTTGCAAGCGAGTATTTTGTGATTTCCATAGAAAAACAAATAAATATCAAATGTAATTTTCCAAATATTTTCAGCCAAATCCCGAAGATCTTGCTGCTGGAATTGCAAAAGTCTACAAACTCAATCGCTCAATTTCCAAAGACGTTTCAAACTAATAATAAAAATATTCAAATGTATATTATTGCCATGTGACTTTCTCACGAAGACAAAAAAATTGATGAAAAAAGAAAAGTTTCAGCTTTTTCTTATTCTTATGTTGTTATTTTCTTTTCTTTTTGCTGTGATAAACACGTCATTGTCAAAAATTAATTAGAAATGACAGCTCACAGAGCACAGGACAAAAAGTTTATCCAGTAAATAATTTTTCAACCCTTTTTTTTGGCTAATTGGATAAAACTCGCACAAAAAACGAGGAGCACATCAGATAATTAGTGCACCACACTTTGTGTTTTTTTCTTGATTTTTTTATTTGTTGTATTTTTTTATTTTTGACTTGTTTTTGAAAAAGGATGTGGTTGGGAAATTAGTTGGAACTATTTTAGTTATTCTCAAATTTCTCTTTAAATAGAGAAAAAGCTGGAGGAAAATTGGTTTTTTCAAAATTGAGACGTGAAATCTTTTTCACGCGCAGCGCAGCCAACAAGTGTCGTTGGGCGCGTTGCGGTCACGCGCTGTGTGTTTATTTTTGAAAATTTATTTTTTTAACTAGATTTTTGGGCCTAGATTTTGATGAGTTAGCCTAACTTCTTTCTATTTTTTTCAAAATCCCTCACCAAAAAACTCACCAATCGCTTCTATTTCTAAAATCACACGAAAACTCGAGATCCTCCTTGTTTTCCATCTTATTGACATTGAAATCCAATTGTCCATCAATATTTCAAGCTGAAAATCAGAAAATTTGAATTTTTCATGTACCATTGAGTTCAACTCACATTTAAATCATTTTTGACTCTGAAAACTCAAAAATTTCAATCGAATCTTCGATAATCCTCGGATTTTCCGTTGGAATCGATAATTCGAGTCTTGTAGAACATCTAAAAATTCAATTTTTGACTGAAATCCACTGATTTCCCCCGGGAACCTGAAAACCCAGCGAAAAAAAAAACAAAAAATGAAAATATTCTCGTGTTGCGCTAAACAGCGGGCAAGCCGGAGTGTCGTTGTGAATGTCAATTAATTTTCTATTTTTTCGCTTTTTATAATGGAGAGATTGAGAAAAAAAGAAAGCGCCACGTGACCGCAGCGCATTTTTATACGTGGGAGCAAAATCTGGATTTTTTCTTGATTTTTTCTAAAAAAAAAAGAAAACATAGGATTTCCTATTTCCACATCATCATAATAATAATCGAATCAAAAAAGAGAAAATAGAGATTAGCCTAACAATTTTATCCTCTGCTCATTTTTCTCATTCTCAAAGTGAAATCCATAAATTCTACATATTTTTATGGTGCGTGTCCATATATTTTATTTCCCCCCTTTTCAATGAACTTCTTCTTTCTTTCAGATGTTAAAATGGCACTTTCGGATATTTTTCCAGTTATAATAGTTGCTGTTGCTCTCTGGATATTAGTTTATTGTATTCTTATGACTCAAAAATGTTTTATGGAAACACAATATCAAGAAATTGCACCAAAACCAGAGGAAGAACCTCAAAATCCGTAAGTTTTGTAATAAGCTCCGCCCACTTTATGTGTGTTGTGTGGCAACACGCGAAACTCGTTTATTGTCGGGCGGATTGAAATATAAGAAGAAATGGCGAGAGTTTTGTTCACGTTGAGGATGATATTGTTTTGACTAGGGCGGTCTTACTAAATCGTGGTGATCTAGTCGATTCTGATGACGTGAACTTTCAAAGATCTTATGAGAAAGTTGCAATTTTTGGTTCCAAAAGAAACGGGAAATTCTTTTTTACACTTTTTTCAAAACCTTATCATCTGATCATATTTTTTTCACCACCCCAAAGTGTTGTTAAAAATAACTAGATCATATCTTTTTTTTATAGATCTCCCAATCAACAGGATCAACACGTACATCACACGAAACAGGAAGAAGAACGACACTTTCTTGCTTATTATTTGTAAAGTACGGGTTTTTCATATTTTTTTTCGATTTTTCATCGTTTTTTGTGTTCTACCTACATATTTATTTCCATCAATAAATAAACAATACAAAACAAAATCATAATCGGTTTTCACTTTTTATTCAAAAGTAACAAAGTTTTACCGTTTTCAACACAAATTTTCAGTCGTTTCGCCGGTTTCTGCCAAATTTCAGAATGCACAAATCAACTCTGAATATAACACAATTGGGCAGTGTTTTCTTCTTCAATTTCTTCTCCTTTTTTACACTCTGTGAGTTTTCTTCTTTTACTTCTTTTCCGTCTGTGTGTGTGTTTTTCTGTCTATGTTCTCTATGACAATCACAGGCTTTTTGAAGACGTATGCGCGATGTGCGCGCGCGAAGGCGCCAGCCAAAAATAATGGGTTTGGTGCAAGCGCGCATTTTGTCCAATCTGGCAGGTTAAGCAACGTTGACTCGAGTTAGTGGTGAGTTCGGACTCATCCAAAAAGTTGTTTTGTACAGTTTCAATTCTGTTTGGGTAAAGTTTAGGGACTCTAGTGGAGATGATCTTCACAATCAGATGCCAAGATGGTTCATCCTGAACTCCAGTACGACCATCGGAAGATCGAGAGTCTGAAATTTCCATCAAAAATTCAAAGTTTTTGAATTCTTCTCAAACTTTCAGAACATTCTACTGAAGTCTTGTGGCAATCAAAATGATCAAAAATTTCGATTTTTTGTATTCCTGATCTTCAGTATGACCATCAGAAGATCAAGATTCAGGGCGAAATTCTGAACATTTTTTGAAAAATTATGAAAATTTCTGAAGTTTGTCTTGGGACACCTTGGACTTCAAGGCCATCAAGATCTGTGATTTTAAATCATCCTGATCTTCAGTATGACCATCAGAAGATCAAGATTCGGGGCGAAATTCTGAACATTTTTGAAAAATTATGAAAATTTCTGAAGTTTGTCTTGGGACACCTTGGACTTCAAGGCCATCAAGATCTGTGATTTTAAATCATCCTGATCTTCAGTATGACCATCAGAAGATCAAGATTCGGGGCGAAATTCTGAACATTTTTGAAAAATTATGAAAATTTCTGAAGTTTGTCTTGGGACACCTTGGACTTCAAGGCCATCAAGATCTGTGATTTTAAATCATCCTGATCTTCAGTATGACCATCAGAAGATCAAGATTCGGGGCGAAATTCTGAACATTTTTGAAAAATTATGAAAATTTCTGAAGTTTGTCTTGGGACACCTTGGACTTCAAGGCCATCAAGATCTGTGATTTTAAATCATCCTGATCTTCAGTATGACCATCAGAAGATCAAGATTCGGGGCGAAATTCTGAACATTTTTGAAAAATTATGAAAATTTCTGAAGTTTGTCTTGGGACACCTTGGACTTCAAGGCCATCAAGATCTGTGATTTTAAATCATCCTGATCTTCAGTATGACCATCAGAAGATCAAGATTCGGGGCGAAATTCTGAACATTTTTGAAAAATTATGAAAATTTCTGAAGTTTGTCTTGGGACACCTTGGACTTCAAGGCCATCAAGATCTGTGATTTTAAATCATCCTGATCTTCAGTATGACCATCAGAAGATCAAGATTCGGGGCGAAATTCTGAACATTTTTGAAAAATTATGAAAATTTCTGAAGTTTGTCTTGGGACACCTTGGACTTCAAGGCCATCAAGATCTGTGATTTTAAATCATCCTGATCTTCAGTATGACCATCAGAAGATCAAGATTCGGGGCGAAATTCTGAACATTTTTGAAAAATTATGAAAATTTCTGAAGTTTGTCTTGGGACACCTTGGACTTCAAGGCCATCAAGATCTGTGATTTTAAATCATCCTGATCTTCAGTATGACCATCAGAAGATCAAGATTCGGGGCGAAATTCTGAACATTTTTGAAAAATTATGAAAATTTCTGAAGTTTGTCTTGGGACACCTTGGACTTCAAGGCCATCAAGATCTGTGATTTTAAATCATCCTGATCTTCAGTATGACCATCAGAAGATCAGAAATCATCATCGAAAATTATCAATTGTATCTGATGACGGTGAAAATTTGATATCGTGGGCTCTCGACTGTGCACTGTATTTTTTTTTGCAATTCGAGGGAGACGCAGACTTTAACGTGTGCAGACAAATCTCTCGTCGAAAAAGGGAGAGAAATAGTGTGTGGCAGACACACAGCGTGTCGAGACCAGCGAGTGTCTGCGTCTCCTCGAAATTGCATTTTTCTATTAGAAAAAAACACAGTGTGTGGAGAATCACATGGTCCTTATTTTGTTTTCATGAAAATTATTCTTGAAGGAACATACCTACCAAAAACACTTTTTTATGAAAATATCATTTTTTTAAATCGAAATTGGACTTTTGAAGTTCTTGACTACGATAGACATTACAGAAACACTATTTTCTCATAAAATCCAATTTGTTGGTTTTCATTATAAATTTGATATTCTCTGTATTGCGTAGATTAGTCGTATCACAATCAGCGCAGAACAGGATAAACTCTCGCGAATGGTTTCAAGATCTGCGAAAACTACAAAAAAATTGTATCGCAGAGTTAGTAGTGAAGAGTCAATAGTTAGTATTCGGAGTTAGGAAGAGTAGTGAAACCACCAAGTATTTTTTCTCGAAACGCCTTCAAGAGTTTTAACTTTTAACAGTTTAAAAACTTATTGGTCTTACTGTCCTCCTCCCTCTAACAGATCATTAAGCCACGCATTAAAATTAAATTCAACAGTTTGCATCATATCGCTTATCCTACAAACCTCGATTCACAAAAAAAAAATGATATTTTCATGGGTAGTGCCTTAAAAAATCAGTTTTGAGTCGAATTTTCATAACCACATTGTTTCTCTCATAAAAAATAAAAAAACACAGTGTTCAAGAAACAAGTGTTTTTGATGGGTATGTCTCTTTAAGATTAACTTAACTGAAAAAAAAATAAGGACCATGTGATTCTCCACAGTCGAGAGCCCACGATATCAAATTTTCACCGTCATCAGATACAATTGATAATTTTCGATGATGATTTCTGATCTTCTGATGGTCATACTGAAGATCAGGATGATTTAAAATCACAGATCTTGATGGCCTTGAAGTCCAAGGTGTCCCAAGACAAACTTCAGAAATTTTCATAATTTTTCAAAAATGTTCAGAATTTCGCCCTGAATCTTGATCTTCTGATGGTCATACTGAAGATCAGGATGATTTAAAATCACAGATCTTGATGGCCTTGAAGTCCAAGGTGTCCCAAGACAAACTTCAGAAATTTTCATAATTTTTCAAAAATGTTCAGAATTTCGCCCCGAATCTTGATCTTCTGATGGTCATACTGAAGATCAGGATGATTTAAAATCACAGATCTTGATGGCCTTGAAGTCCAAGGTGTCCCAAGACAAACTTCAGAAATTTTCATAATTTTTCAAAAATGTTCAGAATTTCGCCCCGAATCTTGATCTTCTGATGGTCATACTGAAGATCAGGATGATTTAAAATCACAGATCTTGATGGCCTTGAAGTCCAAGGTGTCCCAAGACAAACTTCAGAAATTTTCATAATTTTTCAAAAATGTTCAGAATTTCGCCCCGAATCTTGATCTTCTGATGGTCATACTGAAGATCAGGATGATTTAAAATCACAGATCTTGATGGCCTTGAAGTCCAAGGTGTCCCAAGACAAACTTCAGAAATTTTCATAATTTTTCAAAAATGTTCAGAATTTCGCCCCGAATCTTGATCTTCTGATGGTCATACTGAAGATCAGGATGATTTAAAATCACAGATCTTGATGGCCTTGAAGTCCAAGGTGTCCCAAGACAAACTTCAGAAATTTTCATAATTTTTCAAAAATGTTCAGAATTTCGCCCCGAATCTTGATCTTCTGATGGTCATACTGAAGATCAGGATGATTTAAAATCACAGATCTTGATGGCCTTGAAGTCCAAGGTGTCCCAAGACAAACTTCAGAAATTTTCATAATTTTTCAAAAATGTTCAGAATTTCGCCCCGAATCTTGATCTTCTGATGGTCATACTGAAGATCAGGATGATTTAAAATCACAGATCTTGATGGCCTTGAAGTCCAAGGTGTCCCAAGACAAACTTCAGAAATTTTCATAATTTTTCAAAAATGTTCAGAATTTCGCCCCGAATCTTGATCTTCTGATGGTCATACTGAAGATCAGGATGATTTAAAATCACAGATCTTGATGGCCTTGAAGTCCAAGGTGTCCCAAGACAAACTTCAGAAATTTTCATAATTTTTCAAAAATGTTCAGAATTTCGCCCCGAATCTTGATCTTCTGATGGTCATACTGAAGATCAGGATGATTTAAAATCACAGATCTTGATGGCCTTGAAGTCCAAGGTGTCCCAAGACAAACTTCAGAAATTTTCATAATTTTTCAAAAATGTTCAGAATTTCGCCCTGAATCTTGATCTTCTGATGGTCATACTGAAGATCAGGAATACAAAAAATCGAAATTTTTGATCATTTTGATTGCCACAAGACTTCAGTAGAATGTTCTGAAAGTTTGAGAAGAATTCAAAAACTTTGAATTTTTGATGGAAATTTCAGACTCTCGATCTTCCGATGGTCGTACTGGAGTTCAGGATGAACCATCTTGGCATCTGATTGTGAAGATCATCTCCACTAGAGTCCCTAAACTTTACCCAAACAGAATTGAAACTGTACAAAACAACTTTTTGGATGAGTCCGAACTCACCACTAACTCGAGTCAACGTTGCTTAACCTGCCAGATTGGACAAAATGCGCGCTTGCACCAAACCCATTATTTTTGGCTGGCGCCTTCGCGCGCGCACATCGCGCATACGTCTTCAAAAAGCCTGTGATTTTGCAAGGCCAAACATGTGCCTCAATAGCTCAGTTGGGAGAGCGTTAGACTGAAGATCTAAAGGTCACCAGTTCGATCCTGGTTTGGGGCAATCCTTTTTTGCTTTTTTTTTTTCAAATTTACAATATCTGGAATTATTTTTCAGCCGCTTTATCTCAAACGCTGATACAAAATGTGTCAAAAGAATATGGGATAAATGAGCATACGGGATATTATTCCAATTTTGTAATTTATCTGGTGTTCACGTTTGGCCATTTTGTGGCAACACCGATTGTTGAAATAATCACACCCAAATGGTCAATTGTTTCGGGTCTGATAGGATATGGACTTTACGAAGTATCTTATTTGATTTTCAATGATACATATATGTATATTGCTGGTGCATGTGCTGGATTTTCAGGATCACGTGAGTTGTATTAAAAATATCTGAAATTCCAAGTATTTTAGTACTGTGGACTGGTCAATTTGATTATCTTGCACAAAACTGTAAGCCTGAAACTCTCGATCGAAATGCATCAAATCTTTGGGGACTCACACAAGCTTCAATTATTTTTGGTGGAATTTATCTTTTGATTATTTATCGGTTTCAAGAAGGCGATGATTTTCCTGTTCCATTGGTAGTTCTTTGATTATTTTTCGAAAAAATCTTCTATTTTTTAGATTCGTTTAATTGTCGGCTCATTTTTGGTTTGTACATTGATCTCAATTATAATTGGAATATTTCTACCTGCTCCATCTTTCAAAGTTCCGAAAAGAGAAGTTGGATATATCGAACATTTAGGAGAAATTGTCAAAATTTCTTACGAAAAAGAGCTTTTATTACTTTTCTTCACATTTTGTTATTCAGGATTGGAGCTCTCTTTTTTCTCAGGTAATTTTTCATTTTTTTTAACGCAGAATAATAATTTTATTTTTTATTATAGTCGTTTTCCCCACAATGGTTTCAAATACAAAAGCTCTTGGAAAAACGCGAGATCTCAATGCGTTTTGTTCAATTTTCATCGGCGCCGGCAATGTTTTGGGTAAGCTCCGCCCCTTTTGCATGCAACAGATAGCGAGGCGCGTGGCAAGCCAAGTGTCGGCTGCGCTGTTTATTGAAAAATGGGGAGAGATAGGATGGCGTTACCTTTTTACACGCCGAGGATGAGAGTTTGCGACTAGGGCGGTCATACAAAATAATGGTGATTTAGTCCATTCTGATGGCGTTTTTAAAAGGAAAAACATATTTTTGAAAAAAAAGTGAATTTTATTTCATTTTTGTTAGAACTGAAACGGTGGAATAGAAGATTTTCAGTTTCATAAATAATTGATGGAAAATATTTTTTTTCAGGCTGTGTTGTGTTAGCCTACCTCGGCCCAAAAGTCCGGACTATTGGTCGACATAATGTGTTAATAATTGGTTCATTATTCCATTTGGCAGTCTTTGTCATGTCATTTTTAACATTTCCCGAAGTTTCCCCATTATCTGAATCAACTGATCAAGCAATTTATCCACCATCAAAATATATCGTCTTCATTTCTGCACTTTTCCTTGGAATTGGTGACACAATTATCAACCAACAATGTTATACAATTTTGGCTGATATTTATGAGCATGAAAAAAGAATCAGCGCTTTCGCTGTGTATCGTTTCTTTCAAAGCGCTTCTAGCTGCATTTTAATGTTTTCTGCTGCATTTTTCAATTTATCCACACATTTGATAGTTTTAAGTGTAACTTGTATATTATCCATGATAACTTTTCGACTGATTAAAGTTGTTCCGCAAAAAATTAGTGAGCAAGAATTGTTGCAATGAATTTTTTCCCTTGAATTTTTGTTGAAGTACAGTCAGATATTATAAATATCCGGTTATAATCGTTTTTGGGTAACTCGGGATACAGATACAACCAACCAACAGAAAAATATTGAAATAACAATTAAATATTTTTCGATGAAAACAACAACCGGTAAAGTTCTGTGCTGTTGTGGTTGTTCATTTCTGTGCGTTTCGGTTTGTATTATGTTGGGTGTCACAATTGTTTTGATCTCCTCATTGGTGTTGGTTTCAAGAGTTGCAACATTTCGTGATCAATCGGTTGCGGTTAAAGGTTTTTTTTTGAAAATAAAAATATTTTATTCATTTTTTTTTAAAGTTTTGATTCCTAGGTGTTCTTATTTGTGGTGACGAGCCTGCTGGAAATGTTCGAATCAAATTATGGGACGAGGATTCTGGTCCAGATCCAGATGATCTTTTAGCTCAAGGATATTCGGAGACAAATGGCAGCTTTTTCTTGTCGGGTTGGACAACTGAAACAACTCCAATTGATCCGGTTTTTAAAATTTATCATGATTGTAATGATCATGGATTGGTGAGTTAGGAATTCAGAAAGGGACTCTGGGAAGTGGTTGAGAAATTGCAGCTGGGAAATGCGGACTTGAGAATCTTAAATTTTCATAAACTTCTTACAATGGAACTGGAGATCAAGATTTTAATAAAATATATGTTTTCTAAAAGTTTTGACCCACTGATCTGTAAAAAGTAAGCTACTAATATGAGTTACTTATGACGTGGCAAAATAAGGAAATTTCTAAAAATTGGGACTTCAGGAACTATTTTTGAAAATCGTGTCCCAACATTTTGAAACACGGATTTTTTTCGATCAGAAAATATTACAATCTGCAAACTTTTTCATCAAAAATAATTTTACAAAATTGATATGAATTATTTTTTAAGCTAGTTCTCACTTCCTGATTTCCTGATTCCAAAAACAACCTTTTTTCCTCTAAAATATTTTTAATTTCAGCCAACACATCGAAAAGTGAAATTCACAATTCCAGACAAATATATAACTGCGGGAAGGGTGAGTAAAAATCTTATATTTTATATTTTGAAAAAAAAAATTAATTTAAAGTTTCCAAATGCAACAATGGATGCCGGAATAATCCAACTCGAATTCGAATATATGAAAGAGGAAAGAGTTTTGATGATTGATTGATTAATTCCCACAAAAAGTGTTTTTTTTTGTTTCAAAAATGAATATTTATTTCGTTTCGTGAGCAAACTAGAGAAAAAAAGAAGAAAGTCAGAGCAAAAAAAATTATGTCGATCGGAAATGGCAAGAAATGAAGAAATATGAGCAAAATCGCGCGGAGAAAACCAAAACAAAAAGAAAAAAATCATGAAAAGAGGTAGAAATTACAGAAAAAAATGTAGCCAAAATGAAAAAAAATAATCACTGAGAAAATGAAGTGAGAAAAATAACCGCATTTTTGAAGTGTAGACGTGTTGAACTTTTTTTTGAATTTTGAAAAATTTTAGTTAACCATTTGCTGGTTTTGACTTTGATATGGCGGTGGTGGTGGCAGATGAAGGTTTCTGCAAAATTCAAAAATTTAAAATTTATTTTTGGATAAATTTTTAACAGTGTTAAAATATTGTGGGTTCAAAAATATTAGGGCCGTGAAAGAGAAAACTACTACAGTAAAATGTGCAGTTTATGTACAACCCAAACTGCAAGGTATACTGTAGCTCCCGGACTACAAGGGCTATTCCAAACTGCAAGGATTACTGTATCTTGAGGCTTGTTGAAACCCGGACAACAAGAATTACTGTAGCCTCACGGATATTCCGGACTGCAAGGTATTCTGTAACCTACGAGTTGCTGTAACTCGCGAACGGAACGGATTACTGTGCCCCAAACTGCAAGGTATACTGTGGAGTCAGAGTTACTGTCTCTATCAGACTGCAAAGATTACGGTGGCCAGGGGTTTATCACAACCCAAACTGCAAAAATTACTGAAGCCTTGTGGCTATCCCAAACTGCAAGGATTACTGTATCTTGAGGTTTATTTTTCACAAAGATTACTGTAACCTCATGGAAAATCCGGACTGCAAGGTATACTGTGGAGTCAGAGTTACTGTAACTATCAGACTGCAAGGATTACGATAACCTGGGGGTCAATACAACCAAAATTGCAAGGAATACTGTAGCCTCGTGGCTATTCCAAACTGCAAGGATTACTGTATGAATTTTGAGATTTGTTTAAACCGGAAATAAAAAGATTACTGTAGCCTCATAGAAAATCCGGGCTGCAAGGTATACTGTAGCCTCATAGTTACTGTAACTGTCAGACTGCAAGGACTACGGTAGCCTGGGGCTTATTTGAACCCGAAATACAAAGATTACTGTAGCCTCATAGAAAATCCGGACTGCAAGGTATACTGTAGCAGGCAGTGTATTTTTAAAAAAATTAAAATTTTTTGAATTTCTCAAAAATTCTCCGAAAAAGAGCTTTTACGTAGTCCGAGAGAAGTACACGGATTTCAAAATTAATTTTTTTATAGATAACTTTTTCGATAAAAAATCTGCAACTCACCCATTATGCTGTTCAACTCGTTGTTGTTGTTGTGTACTACTAATATTATTACTATTACTACTAATATAATTAGTGCTATTTTTGACTATTCCTCCTGTTCCTCCTCCTCCTGTAATAACACCATTCAAGGCGTTCTGCTGAACAAATGCAGAATCGATCAAATATTCGCCTCGATGTTGAACAACTGAAGACATCAGTGGATCTGAAATGTTTGGATTTATATTTTTTTTTAAATAAATTCAGAAAAAAAAAAAGAAACTAACAACTGATTGCATCAGTTGAAGCTGTCAAATCAATACAAGACGATGAAGGTCGTCGTTGATGTGTTTTCGGTGCCAAATAAAACTTTGGCATTGTTGTTTGTTGATGATCTTTGAGTAATTGAAGCATCATTGGATATTTTTGAATATCCGAAGAATCCAGATTATATTGTGTTGCAGAAGCTGGCGGAAAAGATGGTTGACCGCCGGCTGCTTCAGCTGGAAGTGGACCAGATGATAACATTGGCGGGGGAGATGATGCTGAGATTGGTTCATATGGTGGCGGATTCCGGGGGCGATTACTACTGTTCATTGAATGCGCGTGGTTGAGTTGGGGGATTATTGGAACATATATGGATTCATCTAAAGGAACGCCAGTCTGAAAAAATATGTAATTCAAGAAAAAAAAAATGATTTGCTTCAACAAAAAAACTAACAGTTTTCATAACTCCATTAACATGATAATGTGATGGCATTGAATGAACTCGATTAATCGTTGCCGCAGTTTTACTTCCCGCCGAATTCTTCTTCACAAATCGCCCCGGTCTCTGCCCCCAAACATCTGCTGAATTGTCGATTTGAGTTTCAGACCTCGTTCCGCCAAATTGTGGAGACATTGGTGGGATTTTCCATTGCGCTGGTGGCGAATGACTTGTTCGCAGATCATGAATCGAACTTGATTGAATACGTTCAGATGATAGTTCGGATGAATCTTCGATGGCGTGTTCAATTGATTGTTGGACAGAAAGACTTTCTCGTTTTTTGTTGTTGAAATTCACATCGACGTTTCGAATTAAGCTAGATTCGACAGTTTGAGAAGCATTGTCAATCGAAGAAGGGCGACTGAAAAAAGATTTCGTTTTTTTTTTCAAATTTCAAAATGATCACGACCATACAAGGCGGCCGTTGAGTCAGACGCGAGACGACGAGAGTACACGTCGTGCCAGAAAAATGGGAAAAGATAATTTTGTGGAGACGCAGACATTTTGTGTGGTCTCGCAGCGATGCACCTGGGGGGCCGGGGAGAGTACGGTTTGAAGCTTGGTCTCGCAGCGATTCACCTGAGGAACCGGGGAGAGTACGGTTTCGGCAATTGGTCTCGCAGCGATGCACCTGGGGGACCGGGGAGGAGTACGATGTCTTTTTTTCTCTTCGTCTCCTCGAATTTGTGTGGTGGCACGACGTAAGTAATTTGCAAAAATATCCCGAAAATGAATTTCGCTTCGAGATATTTTCAATAGAACATGTGTTCCTTGAAAAAAATACGGTATTTTTTCAAAGGGACACATATTTTTTTCAAAAATATCTCGAAGCGATGTCTTTCACGTCATCAGACTCCCGTCGTCTCTCGTCTGACCCGAGGGGCAATTTTCTTTTGGAGTAAATGGTCGTGTGATTTCTAGACTTACGTTGTTTCATGTGTGGTTACTGTATGTGTCGAGGAAGTTGCACACGATGAAGATTCAGTAACTGGATGATATGTCATGAATTTTGTTGAAGGTGTTGATTCATCGCTAGCTTTACTTGATTGAGAAGCAGCTCGTTCTTGTCGAATATCTGAATTTTATTTTTTTTTTTTGGTTTTTTTTCTCAATTTGACTCACGTTCTAATTCCATTTTTTCAATCTTAACATCTAGATTCGAATCCATTTTAATTCTCATTCTCAATTTCGATGAAACCGAACCATGACATCGACCATTTCCATCTCCAATACTACTCAATGAATCGCTATCTTTATCATGATCACCAGATCCAATTCCACTTGTTGAACTACAACTTATCCCATCCACAGACATTTCTTGGTATGGTTTTGGTGGTGGAGCCATTGTTGCGTATAAATGTGACATTACTAGAATTGTTTGATGAACTGCTCGACATAATTCCAAAAGATATTTCGCTTTATTCTCAGTTTGAGCATAAAGTGACATTTTTGTACCATCTGATCCAATTATTGTCAACTTTTTTCTATCAAATGATAATCTTTGAACTTTGCTCCAATGTAAATTTCGAAGTGGAATTCGATCGCCAAGTTCAGAAATATCACACATTTCAATTCCTCTTGCATTTATTCCCAAAACTGCATTATCTCGACTATCCATTTTGTGCCTTCTCAATCCGTATAAATGACAATTTAGGGCAAATGGTGAGCGACCAGCTTCAATCATGAATTTATCCATTGCTTTATCCGAACCTTCATTTAATATATCAGCACAAGCAGCTTTCAGATTATTTCGAATGTATTCCAAGCCTCGTTCATTTATCACCCATAACGGGAAATATTGTTCAGCTCGAAAGTATCTGGAAATTTATAGAATAAATTAAAAAATAAGTATATATTGATCTGAAAAAAAAACAAAAGTGCTATTTCAGCTTCACGTATGTTATCCACAGGTATTATTTATCATCGGAAGACCGTCGTGAAAATCTCATCATCAATAACAACAATTTGAACAAAACCCCAAATGCGTCGAACGGGCAACGAACCCGGGACACACAATCAAAAACAGCGCCTTAGACCACTCGTACACACACTCACCCGAGATACTCTGTCCCCTTGTCTTTTATAAGAGCGAGCGCTGCCATATACCAACATCTCTCTTCAGATACGCAATGACGATTGGCCCAATGATCGAGAAAATTGTCTTTCAGTTGAAGATAGTAATGTTCACGGGCTTTTGGACAGCTGAAAATGTGGACTTTTGAGGAAAAATAGTATGGGAAATGAGGAGAGAGAAGAGAAAAAGAGAACATTCCTTTGGTTTGAGAGAGAAAGAGACGCAGACAAAAATGAACTTTTTTCTTTTGTTTGCTAACAGTTTTGATTAAAAAATGTCTAGAATTTTATTTTTAAAAAAATCAACAACCTAAATACTTAGAACTCACGTCAAAAGTCCGACTTGATCAAGATAAACTCGAACTCTGAAATACAAAACTAAAATCGGTCGATTCTCCGTTGATTTTGTGTGCCAATTCGCAAATCTCGGTTGTTTATGAGCATATTTCATAATCTTTGCAGCTGGATCAAGAAAATAATATTCGTGTCTAGGTTGATCACCACCAATTCCTTCAGTCGGTTGGCGAAATGCTAAACCGAATAATTTGTCTTCGGAAAGTGATAGACGTTCTCCACACTTCCATAAAACATCGTGAACTTTTGTTTTGGCCTGGAAATTTTTCATGGAATAATTTTTTACAAAAGTTCTAGGTTTTTTTTCAAATTTCAAAAATTAAGAAAAAAACTCACATTAACCGCAATATGAAAAGATTCTTTGGTCAAAGTTTGAACCGAAACAAAAGTTTGTCCCGGTCGAATATTATGAATTGATTGAAAAACTTCGGGATCGGCAGAAAAACTGGATGAAGAGGGCTGTTGTAGATGATGTGGAAGAAGACGCGGTGAAGGTGAATCCATTTATGGTGGAGATGTGGACAGAAAACCTATTGATGGTGGCGGTGAAAATTCGAACATTTAAAACGTTCCGAAAATCGCCGACGAACAACCACTTTCAGACAATTCGCGCCAAACAAAATGATGAGAAGAAAGTCTGGAATGATATTTTTTTAATATTAAAAAAAAAGTTCGCCCCGTGATTGATTTATCATAGGAGATATATAGTTGAAAGAAGTGAGAGACGCAGACAATCAAAAGATCCCGTGATGATATTTTTGCAATGTGTGGGAGAATGGTGATATCGTTTTTTTCATTCATTTCATTTCATTTTTCTGATAAGCCCCTTTAAGACTGAAGAAGAGAGAGTGTTGGAAATGAGGAGACATAGAGAAATCGAGGAATGCGAGAAAGAAATTTTGTTTGTCTCGCACTATTTGGGGTTAAAATAAATTGACACTAAGGATTTGGCTGATTCAAAGAACTTTAAGAGTTCGTGGAACTACTCAGAAAAAAATTTGCGTATTTTTTGAGACCTGACACGATTTCAGAAGTGGGGTGAAACTAAAGGAAATGTGAGAGATTTAGAGAAAAATATTTTGAAAACTTTTTCAGAAAAAAATTCCCCAATTCCATAAATTCAAAAATCATCATGCAAAAAAAAAACAAAGAATTCCAGAAAATGTTCTGACAAACAAAAAAAGTGTAATTTTGTTTTGTTATGATCAATCAATGTGTGTTTTTTTTGGGCGACAATTGAATCGAACGCGAAACGATAAGAAAAATGGGGACAGACAATAAGAGAAGAATGAATAGAAGGAATTAACACATGAGGACGAGAAGAAGAAGAGAGACTTTTTGGAATTTTTAACAATAAAAAAGACTGAAAATATGAAAAGAAAAGAAATGTCTGGAATGGTGGAATGTGATCGGAAAAGGGCAAAAATAGACAAAAACGTGACAAAAAGGGGGGAGAAGGAAAAGAATTTGATGATGTCATCGGAATTTTTTTTCTCTTTTGTAGATCGGGATAATATTACGCGGTAAGTCGGTAGATCAAAAATATTTTAAAGTTACAGCCGTTTTTAAAAAATAATTAAATTAAACATTCAAGGAAGTTTCACGTCAGGATTGGGAGGTTTTTATGAATTCTGAATTTAAAAAAAAATAAAATTGAAAGTAACATGAGCAATCTTTTTTGTAGAATTTTAAAATTACTGTAGCTTCCAAATATTTTGTAGATCAATTCTTGTAGAAGGTTGTTGGAAGGGTTACTGTACTTTTTTTTTTGAAAATTACTGTAGATAGCAGAATTCTCCTAACGGACTCCTGAAAAGTTCCTTGTCAAAGTTTCTTACGGTTTTCAAATTACACTGTGTTCAAAAATTTTTAGATAAAAAAAATAAAATAAAGTTCAAATTTTTTTTCTTCCAAAAAAATAGAAAAATTCCTCTGATAAAAATCTTATACTGAAAAAAAAACCCGCAAGAATTTTTGCGGTTGTTAAATTGTCGTAAAATTTTTGTTCTTCTCCTTTTTCTTCACAAAACGGAATAAATATCGATGTGAACAAAGTTTCTTCTTGCAAAAATTTTGATTTGATAAAAATAATTTGAGAGGGAATGGGGGGGGGGGGTCTAGAAATTAGCTTAATTCAAAAACAAAACACAGAGAGAGAAACAAAAAGGTCAGTTGAAGGTGAAAGTTTTTTTTTTGGTTGTTTTTAGTCTACTTGGAACTATTAATTTTTCTGAAATTTTTTCGAGTGTCTGGCTGGAAGAAAATAAAAAAATTCAAAAATGTTTTTTTGAAATTTTACAGTGTAAAATTATTGGATGAGAGTTTCCGCCGGAACTGACTAATTTTCAAAAAATTTATGGAATTTCATTTCGGATAACGAAAAAAAAATAGAAAATAAATAAACACAGTATTTATTACACATGAGAGTTTGGCAGGTATTCAAACACAAAATCAAAAAAAAAAGGATTCACCTTGACTTTCCAAAAATAAAATGAAAAGAAAACTAAACAGTTTCTTCTTCTTCTTCTTTTTCTTTTTTCTCGCACTGTCTGTACACTCTCCAAAATCACAAAACTCTATCAATCACAGCAAATTCCTTCACTTGTCTTATGTCTCTTGTGTTTTTTTTTTCGGCGGCCGCGCGCGCGGGGCGCGTAAATGTTGTAAAACATAATCTTCTTTCGTGATCAATCAAATCAACCGCGCGCGCATAAAAAAACGAGGGAAAGAAGAGAGAGAGAGAGAGAGAGAGAGAGAGAGAGAGAGAGAGAGAGAGAGAGAGAGAGAGGAGAGAAGCAGACAACGAGAGTAAGTTAGAGATGCAGAGTACATTTATTAGCATTACAGTAACTTGTGTTTTTTCAGAGAAAAAGTTCCGATTTGAATTTTCGAGATTTTTAGATCCTAACAAATTGAAAAACAGAGAAGCAGGCGGCGAGAGTAGGTTAGAGATGCAGAGTAGAATTACAGTAATCCTGACTCCTATTTTTTTCAAAAAAAAAAGTAAGTCTTTCAGAAAAATAGAAAATTTTCAACATAAACAGGAATAACACATAAAATGAAAAAGGGCAGGCGACGAGAGTAAGTTAGAGATGCAGAGTACATTTATTTAGTATTCAACTGAAATTAGAGTAAATTCAAAATCGTAAATCTTTCAAAAAATTTTCAACCTTCACAAAATAAACTGGATTTTCAGAAGAAGATCGTAACAGATTTAATGCCAAAATTTTCAGTATTTAGAAAAAGTTGTAAAAAGATTCTAATCGCCATACATACACATCAACAAAGAATGATGACGATTATAATGATTTTATCGCACTTATTAAATTTTTTGTGAAAACTTTTTGTGTTTGAAAATCTGAAAACATTTGAAAGGGTCAGATTTTGGCATTGGTAATAAAATTTTTGAGAAAAAATCTTTGAAAAATTAGTAAACTCGGGGAAAAAATAAGTTACTGAAGGAATTTTCAACATTTCAAAATCGAGAATTCAAAAAATGTTTCTGTTAAAAAATTGCAAAAAAACGAGTCTCTTATCTTTTTGTCATATAAAACAACAAAAAGAAGAAGAAGAAGAAGAATGATTTGTAAACGATCCGAAAAAAGAAGTGGATGTCTCAAAGAAAAGAATTTGCCTATTCAAATTATCAGTCAGGTGAACAAGAAAAATGCAAAAACAAGAAGAAGAAGAAGAAGCTGGGGCTGGTTTCATTGGCATGAAACACAAAGGTGATATGGAGAAAGAAATATGTATTTATTAGATATATTTTCAATCAAATAAATAAATATTTTATTTATCAATGTTTCGAGGAATTCAATTTTGGAAGAAAAATTTGAATGGGAAAAAAGGGGGAGTTTATTTGAATCGGACTCGAGGAATCTGGAGAAGCCCGGTTTTTTTTTTGAAAAAAAAACCTGGCTGGATAGGGCTTCAGAAAGAGGTCCGATTCAGAAGTTTAAAAAAAAATCGGGAATATTTTCCCGCGCTTGGTTTCGAAAAAATAGATCAAAACATTTTCGAGTTTGAAAATTTCCCGCATTTTTTTTGAGTCCCGACACGATTTTAGAGGAGGGACTAAAGTCAACGAGAAAGTGAGAGATTTAGAGAAAAATATTTTTGATCAACCCCGTAAGTTTTGAAGTCCGGTGATTTGAGATAGTGAATTACAAACTGTGCAAATGTGAGCTCCCACGACTTTTCAGAGTTGAGACACAGTGTGTAATTTACTGGCCCAAATCGCTGAAATTTTCAGACTTTTTTGGGGAAGATTAAAAATATTTTTCTCTAAATCTCTCACTTTCGCATTGACTTTAGCCCCATCCCTAATTTTAAGATCGTGCCGGGTCTCAAAAAATGCGCGAAATTTTTTAGGTAGTAAAAAATCTACAAAAGGAGCATCAAACGCCAATTTTCAAAAATAAAAGCAGAAAAAAAATCAATAAATACAGTTGATTTTTTTTCTCGGGAACGTCAGTCAGAATGATGGTATTTGTAGTACTCAAAAAGAAAAGATGATTATTTGTTTTGCTGCTAATTCGACCACATCCATTTTTTCTCCTTCTCCTCCTTTTTCTTTTGCGCATTTTTTTCTGGACAAAAGTCGAAAAACAACCAAAATTTGAGTATTTAACTACAGTGTAGTTCGAAAGACAAGGAAAATGAGAAAAAGAAAAAAAAATTGAAAAATAACTCTCGGCAGCATTCCGCAAATTCCAAGACTATCTTTTTTTTTCTTACGAAAAAAGGCCGAGATTCGATCAAAAAACGTTGAAAATCCTTTCCCAATATTGGGTTATCTGATTGCGCGAAAAATGAGAAAAGAAGAAGAAGGACACATTTTTTGACACCAATTGAGTATGAATACATAATATTAAAACGTATAAAATAGTAGTTTTGATAATGATCATGAAGGTCATCGCGGTTTAATTATCCAAATCATCCAAAATTTATTATTATTTTTTTTTTGGTCTAACAAAAGTTATCAATAATTTTTGAATAAAAATCCCTTGTAAAATAAAATCAGACATCATACGTTCTGAAATATGATTTCTGATGTTCAAATAAATAGAAGGTATCAAATGGCATTGAAAAGAAACTAGAGATAATTAATCGTTTTTATCATTATTTTCTGTATCTTTCCTTTTCTTGCCAAAAGACAGAAAACAGTTATATCACAAAAATATTTACTACTGTAACCGAAACGGTTGTTATGTAAACATTTTATATGGCAAGCAATTGAAAAAAACAATGCGAACAAAAAATACCGTGGAAATCTCTAAGATCGGCCAACTCTTGGCATACTTCTCAAAAAGTGCGTATCCAATAGTTCCTCTTTTACAACATCCAATCCACCAATAAGTTCACCATCCAAATATAATTGTGGATAAGTTGGCCAATTCGAGAATGTCTGAAATATCCGTATATTAGTATTATTTAATAATTTTTCCGCAAAAATAAATACCTTCAAACCCTGTCTAACTTCTTCGTCTCCCAGAATATCAAAAGTTCCATAATCAGCTTTTGCCTCATTCAATAATCCAACAATTGTTCGCGAAAATCCACATTTCGGTTCATTTCTATCACCTTTCATGAACAACATCATTCTTTGGCTAGAAATCAGTTTTTTCAAACGATCTTCGAGTGTCTGAAAAAATTAAAATAATTTTAAAGAAAATATTTAATTAAAAAAACTCACCAATTTTCCTTCTCCAACTTTTGGTAATTTTTCAACAAAAGCTTCATCGGCGAATTCTTCTTTAACAACATCCAATCCACCAACAAGTTCACCATTCAAATATAATTGAGGATAAGTTGGCCAGTTTGAGTATTCCTGAAAAATTGAAATGAATAAAAAAAGGGAAATATTTATGTGAAGTTCACGTGAACTTGTCTTTACGGTTCATTTTTTGAAAAAAAAACTGTTTTTTCTCCAAATCGCCACGTCATAGTTCACGTTTTTACAGATAGCGTCTGACAAGGGAACTGTTTCAACGTTCGCTCTACATGTTTTAATGAAATCTATGTTTTCTAATAGTTTTCGATCTGCTGATCACGATTTTGCCGTCTAAAATTGCAGAGCTCAACTCCTACCATGAGTTATGACGTGGAAAAGTTCGAAAATTTCAAAAAAATGGGATTTAAGGAGCTGAAAACTAGCTACAGAAATGATTTTCATGCAAATCTGCACAGGCTTGTTCAGGAGAATCGTTTTTGAAGCTAGCTTCTGAAATCTCGATTTTTTGAAATTTGCCACGTCATAACTCATGTTAAGATTTGAGCTCTGCAAAAATTTAAGACGGCGAAATCGTGATCAGCGGACCAACAACTACTAGAAAACATAGATTTCATCAAAAATGTAGAGTGAAAGTTAAAACAGTTCCCTTGTGAGATGAAATTAAACATTTTACCGATCAGAAATTTTTTTTGAAAAAAATTAATTATAGAAACCATCTAGAACTGAAAAAAATACCTTCAATCCTTGTCTCACAGAATCATCGGATAAAATGTCAAAACTATCGAATTCGATATTTTTCGATTGCAATAATCCAACAATTGTTCTCGAAAATCCGCATTTCGGTTGACTTGGATCTCCTTTCATAAACAACATAACCGGACTTTTCTTTGTCAATTTCTCAATTCTCAAAAACAATGCCTTTTTCAATGCTTCCTCGTCAACATTATCAGCAAATGGAGCAGCTGTTGAATATCGTGTAACTGTGTTCAAAGCTTTTTCTTTGATTTCAGTTGGAAGGAAACCATCAACTCGCCCAACTTCTTTTCCGTTCTGAAAACATGAAATTCAACAAAAAATCGATGTTCCAGAAATAAAACTAACACTGAAATAAATAAGTGTTGGTGCAGCGGTGACTTTGAAATTGAGAGTTATTCCTGGCAAACCTTCTGCATCAATGAAAGCAGTTCTGATCGCTAAATTCGAATCTTCAACAAAATCATCGATAAGAGCATTGACCTGTTCGCAAGATGGCGCCCAATTTGCATAGAAGTGCAAAACTGCCGGGCTGAAATATTGATTTTCTAACATGAATCTATGTACAAAGATTTGAATGTTAAAGAGTACCTTGGATCTTTGATGAATTCGGCGACTTGTTCTCCTGTTTTAATCTCACTGATCGGCATCTGAAATTTTCAACTCTGTAAATGTTTTTGAGCCATTTTACAAATATCAATGGTTTTTCAGTGACCATGTTTTCAAAAAAAAATCAAGAAAAAACGAATAATTGGAAATTTAAGTGAACTATTGTACAAGACAAAAAATGACCCGAAAATGAAAAACGAGATCGTGAAAATGGTACAAGATCAAGATCAATAAAAAAAATCACTGAGGAGGCAGGCAACCGAATTTTCGATCCCACAATGAATATGCATCAAGTTGAGAATCGTCGACGGTTGGACGAACAACACGAGTTGCGGCAATGAAATCACTAAGATTGACAGAGCGAATCTGGAAACATTCGGAATTAGAAGGAGTCTTCCGATTTCATTTTCTTACATCATCTTTAGGAATAGTTTCAATATCATCTCCAACATCTCTTATCGGACCCATCGCAGCTTCTGTGCATAACTGTCTCATATCAGCACCCGAATATCCCATTGTCAATTCGCTGATTTTCTCCAAACATCTACTATCAATACTGTTTTTGGTGTCGCGCAATAAATTCTCCACGATTTTTGTTCGCGATTCGGATTCGGGCAAGGCAATGTAAAGACGTTTTTGGAATCGACGACGAGCGGCTTCATCCAATTCTTGAGGTCTGCGAATTTTGATTTTTGAAGTGGGTCGAAAATGAGAAATTTGGATTTGTACGACCTTCCAGATTTTTACTACGAATTCACGATTATCAAATCTAGCCTAATTTTATGGATAAAAATGAGAAATGGTCGTTTCGAAGTAACTCCGAATTCACGATTTTCTATTCTAGCTCATTTTTATGGATAAAAATAATAAATCGCGGTTTCTTTAGACATTTAGTGAGCATTTATTGAATAAATGCTCACTAAATGAATTGCAATCAATTTAAGCCTAAAATCTTGAAATTTGGCTCGATAAAAAAGAAAACCTTCCAGATTACAAAAAAAAGGTTTCGCAGTCACTACGAATTCCCGATTATCAAAACTAGCTCAATTCTATGCATAAAAATGAGAAATCGTACGATACTTTTTTAATTAACTCACAGTCTTTGCTACATTTCAAAAAATAGTGCAGAAAATAAATGCGGCAATCCAAACGTTTAAAAAAAATTAGAAATGAGCAGAATAATTCATGTGTTTTATAACGTGAACTCCCTTGAAAACAACGTGGAAAATCAAACATAAATAAACCATTTCAAAATTGTTATATTCTCAAAAATGGCCTAATTTCGAGTGAAGTGAGTTTGATAAGTCATGTTGAAAAATACTAAAAAGGAACATGGCAGCCTCCTCATTTCAAAAATAAATCAAACTAACCTATTAGTTGCTCCTAAAACAAGCAATCTCTCATCCGATGCTGTATTTACACCATCCAATTGCACCAAAAACTCGGTTTTTATTCTTCGCGATGATTCATGTTCCGATTCGGATCTCGAAGATAGCAACGAATCCACTTCATCAATAAAAATCACACTTGGTAATTTGAGGCGAGCAACAGCGAAAAGTGCGCGAACCAATTTCTCGCCTTCTCCAACCCATTTTGAAGTCAATGATGAAGCTGAGATATTGAAGAATGTGGCACGACATTGTGAAGCAACACAACGACCAATCATCGTTTTTCCTGTTCCAGGAGGTCCGAATAATAAGACACCTTTTGGAGGAGCACGAATTCCAGTGAAAACATCACTGAAATAATTTTTTTAAAGTGAAATCAAGATGAGCAAACAACTCACGGTCTTTTGAATGGAAGAACAACAATTTCTCGCAAAGCCTTTTTAGCTCCATCCAATCCAGCAACATCATTCCATCCTATTTCAGTATTAATTGACATAATCTGTAATATTTCAGAAATAAAAGATCAGATCTCATCTCATCTCAGATTTTACCTCTGATTCAATAAGAGAAATAATATTTTCATCAAAATGCTTCAATGATGGTTCGGCTCTCAATCCACTCAAATTTTCATCTTTTCCTCCGCCCGAATTATCCATTTCCATTGCTTTTTTCACAATTGCTGGACCCGTAAAGGAAGATTTCTTTGATAAATCGGGAACTGATGGTTTTCGAGATCCAATTGATGGAATATTTGGATTTTGAGGACTTGGTTGTCGTATCAAATCTACCATTTTAGCACGCTTCTGACAAAAAAATAATTTTTTTCAATTTACAAAGAGAAAATGAAGAAAACAAACTTCTGAATCAATTGGATTTACAAATTTGGATTTATGAACATCTTGTCCATTTGCAGTTGTGAAACTTGGATAAATCGAAGTTGTTGAGCAATTTGATCCTTTTGAAGTCTTTTTCGTTTTTTTGTGTGGTTCAGTTGCTACAATTTCAGCACTTTTTTGCGCTTTTTCAGCCATTCTTTGAAGAAATTCTGGATTTCTACGTTGTTCACCAGTCTGAAAAATAGTAATGTACTTCTGATACTTCACAATCATGAACTAACTGGATCCACGATTTCACAAATTTTATCACGAATTCGGCTAACATTTGGATCAGATGCAAAATTGAACACTTTTTTCGCCACATTTTTTCTACTCGGTGGAAAATCATCTCCTTCTGTATAGTTTTGACTTGTCTTCGATAAAACTGATGCAGCAACAACATGTCCTGAAGTGGCTGTGTGTTGTTGAACATCAGAATACTCGGAGGATTCTCGTCTGACAGTTAGAAATGAGCGAAGCGATGCATTTTTGAGAGGTTTTCTGTTTTTCTCTTTGACTGGTGTTGTATCAACATGATCATCTTCTTCTATAACAATTTGCTCATCTTCTTCTTCTGTCGAATCTCTCATTATAAGTTTTGGTGGAGGACTCGTAGATTTCAGTCTAGCAGAGCTATCCAATTTTTTTCGTTTTGGTTTTCCAATATAATATGGACTAACTCCGTCGCGTGCTAAACTTGCCGGTGGATAAATATCAGAGTTTTCGTCTCTTTTCCTATTCATCAGAAGCTGTGTTCTTATATATTCTATATAGAAAAATTATTGGAAACATGAAATATGACAAATCAGAAGTGAAACAAATATAAACATCCAAAATATTCAGGTTAAAGAAAAAATTTATGAAGGCTAAACTATTAAAGTAAATATGGAACATTTAGGAATAAGTGACGATCAAGTTTGGAATGTGACCATAACGAGAATCTTCGAGCAATTTTAAGCCTTGATTTGCTTTCCGTTTTCCCATGTTGAAATCTGAAATGTTTACTTTGTCAGTATTTTTTTTTCTGAAAATAAGTTAAAGATAACTGTACCTTGAGTGTTGCGTCAGCTTTCTTCACTGGTGCTTTTCCTTGAACTTGCTTGGTGCATTTTCGGGTGATTTCAGCAGCGATTTGCGAGAATCTAACGTAGTTGAGTCCAGCGGCTCTCCAGGCGACCATGTTTTCTGCAAAATTGAAATTTACATGGATCTAAGAACTTTTTGTATAGAATAACTGAAAGTTTGCGAAAGGAACATTATAAATTGTTTTTGCAAAAAAAGTAAAACTGAATTTGATTTAAAAGACAAGCTAAGAGCAAAAATCAAGTGTATTTATGATAGGAACTTTGTTCCTAACATTGAAATCTTCCCTGAGTTTGATTCAGGCAAAAAATGTAAGAAAATTACTCATGGTAAACCACGTAAACAAGCAAAAAACACAACAAAAAAGTGGCAGCCCATCTTTCCCAATTTGGAGAGGAAAGACGCACATATTTTTTGTGTGTTTGGGTCTCACACCGACCGCCAAAAAAAGCGGGAATGCGCGAATTTAAAACGCTACACACACAGCATATGTTGCATTTCTCATTTGTTTTTTTCTTTTTTGGTGGCGTTAGTCATTGGTGTGGTTAATTATTCATTTTGTTCACGTCTATTGAATTTTTGCAGAAGTTCAACATGAAGGCACCAACTTACAACACTGACTGGACTGCTGAGAAGCAAAAAATCCGCAATTTCATGGACGGTTTCTATTTGGATGATGAGAACGGTAAAGAATTCATCTATCGTGACCAAGTTTTCCAACTCGCACAAAGAGAAAAACGAGCAATCGTCATTGACGTCGAACACGTCAAAGAATTCGACGATCCAGAAGCTCTTGAACTCTCTGAAAATATTATTGGAAACACGAAAAGATACGAAACTCTGTTCAAAGACACAATTGACGAAATGATTCAAACCTATTTGGGAGATAAACAACCAACTGTTACTGATGCTTTGGACGCTTATATGTTCCAAAGAATTTATATGGATAAGACCGAAGCTTCGAATGAGAATGAAGTTAGCATTGAAGATAAACGGAGAAAGTATCCACCACAACTTCTTCAAAGATTGTAAGTTTTGATTTAATAAATACAAATCCAGAATATTGTTTTTGTTTTCAGCGAAGTCTACTTCACCACTGACAATGCTTCCAATCAAACTTGTGTCCGAAACATCAAAGCCACTGAAATCGGACATCTTGTTACTTTGAAAGGTGTTGTTATCCGTGCCACTGAAGTCAAACCATGTGTTCAAGTTATGACATATGCGTGTGACACTTGTGGAGCTGAAGCTTATCAACCAGTCAAAGGAATGCAATTTACTCCACCACAAAATTGTCCAAATAAAGATTGTGTTGATTCAAAAGCCAATGGACGACTTCATATGCAACTTCGTGGTTCGAAATTCGCAAAGTTCCAAGAACTCAAAATCCAAGAATTGAGTGAACAAGTTCCAGTCGGATCAATTCCTCGAACTATGACTGTTTATGTGTACGGAGAAATGACAAGACGGTGTAACACTGGAAATATTGTTCAAGTCTCTGGAGTATTCCTTCCAATTTTGCAATCTGGTTTCAAACCAACTGGAGGACTTGTTGCTGATACATTTTTAGAAGCTCATGTAAGTTTTGCAAAAATAATTAACTATAGAAAAATGTTTTTTTTCAGTACATCATCAATTTGGATGACAATCCAACATATTCTGGTGTTCAATCAGAAGAACTCGAAATTCTCAAGAAAAAAGGGGATAATTATGATGCTTTGGCTTCTTCAATTGCTCCTGAGATTTTCGGACACACTGACGTCAAGAAATGTCTTCTTCTCGCATTGGTTGGAGGAAATGACAACAGTTCGAATGGAATGAAAATTCGTGGATGTATCAATGTTTTGATGATGGGAGATCCAGGAGTTGCCAAATCTCAACTTCTCGGATACGTGAATCGTCTTGCTCCTCGCTCGCAATACACAACTGGTCGAGGTTCATCTGGTGTCGGTTTGACTGCTGCCGTTATGAAAGATCCAGTGACTGGGGAAATGTCTTTGGAAGGAGGTGCCTTGGTTTTGGCTGATGGTGGATTGTGTTGTATTGATGAATTTGATAAAATGATGGATAGTGATAGAACAGCAATTCATGAAGTTATGGAACAACAAACGATTTCGATTGCCAAAGCTGGAATTATGACTACACTTAATGCAAGAACTGCGATTATTGCTGCTGCAAATCCAGCATATGGAAGATATAATCCACAAAAATCGATTGAACAAAATGTTGATTTGCCAGCTGCGTTGCTTTCTCGTTTTGATATGATTCTTTTGATGCAAGACAAAGTTGATCGTGAAAATGATAAGACTTTGGCTGAACATATCACCTATGTCCATCAACACGGAAAACATCCAAATCGCGAGAAGAAGGATATTATTTCGCTGGAAACATTGAGAGAATATATTCAACTTTGCAAAACCTATTCGCCAACTGTTGATCCAAGTCTTCGTGAAAGAATTGTTGATGCTTATGTTGAGATGAGACGCGATGCGAGATATTCATCTGATCCGACTTTTGTTTCGCCAAGAATGATTTTGGGTATCGTAAGGTAATTTTATCAAGAACAATTTTTCAAAAATTATATATTTTGTTAATTTTTCAGAATGGCAACTGCTCGAGCAAAGCTCCGTCTTTCAAACACTGTCAACGAAAGTGATGTTGAAGAAGCACTTCGTTTGATGCAGTTCGCAAAGGATTCACTTCGCCCAGAACAAACTCGCCTCGAAAAACGAATGGCTCCAGTCGATGCCGCATTCGCTGTTCTTCGAGAAATCTATCATGGTTCAAATGAACCAATATCACTTCAAACCGCAATTCAACGGTGTGCCCGAAAGGGAATCAGCGAATCTGCGTTGCAGAAATGTCTTGATCAATACACTAATAACGGTGTTCTTATGATGGATCGTCAACACATTGTATTCGCAATAAATTAACCTACCTTATTGATTTCTAACATTGCCTTTTTATACACAACAACATTGATCTCTTTTTGATTTATTGTAAACACTGTAACATTTTAAATTTTCACGAAAATAAATCGATTTATACATATACAAACTCATATTTTTTTGGTGATAATTGAAAATTGGTACTTTCGCCAATGAAATGTCTTCCAATATTCTTGAAAGAAATTCTCGATAGTAATCAACATTGAATTGTTGAAACTTGAGATTTTTGACCGTTTGCGAATCCAGCTGAAGATTCGAATCGATATGTTTTTTGTGTGGAAGCAACTTTTGCTTTTTTGCAGAAAACCAAATTTCTGAAATTAATCAAAAATCCAAAAAGTTTCTTATTTTAATACTTACCTTTTACAAACTTCTCTGTATGGTCGAACAAAACAAATGTATGTAAACGGTGAAAAACAAGGAATCAATAACCAAATTGGGATAATACTGTACTCAATAATCTCATTAGGAAGAACAATTCCAAATTGAAGCAATAAATACAAAATTACAGAAATTAGCATAATTGCTGGAATTAATGATTGATAAGTTAGGCATTTTAGAAGTTGATTATGAATTGCTTTTGTTTCTGTTGATAGCAAATGCGTTGATTCATTTAGTTTTGATACAATTTTTCGGCGCATGATGAAAATTAGAATGTACAATGGGAATATTGGAGCACAAATATGAGAAAATGTGAACATTGATGAGAATGAGAAAACATTATCGATAACACTTATCGAAGTAGAATTTGTGAAATTATAATTAGGCAAAAATTGATTAGCCATTTCTATAGACGCTTCTGAATCCAGAAGACAGAATGGAAATGTTAACATTTGCAATAAACTTGGAATATAAACAAGAAAAAGTCCAAGAACAATTTTTCTTCTTCTCATTCCAGCATTAGTTAATATGTGATATCGATAGAAAAATGATAGAAATAAGGACCACAAACCATGTGGAATACAGTGTTGAAGAATACTCAATCTGAAAATTAGGGATTGGGTCCAAGTTTGTCTGATTTTTTAATGGATCGTTCATAAAAATTTCAAATCACAAAAATTCACTGTTTCAAGAAAGTTGTATGATTTTTTGGAAATTTAGTGATGTGATTAAAGAAACCTTCTGTCTTCTTTAATAAAATAGACAAAAGTTAATATATTTTTAATTAATTTACCCAATTTTACAAGAATTCAAGCCAGTAAATTGGCATAATCCATTGAAAACATAAAATAATACAAAATTGTTGGATGAAGGAACTAAACGAAATGCCACAAATACATCCATAAAACATGCCACAACATCAGTAAACGCAAAATTTATTATAAAAGTTGCATAAACACGGATTTGTTTTGGTGATTTGAACACACTCAAATAAATCAAAAGACAATTTGAAATTATTCCGAAAATTGACAGAAATCCATGCCAAATCGAAAAAATCAAGAGAATTGTTAGCATTGAATAGTGGATATTTGTGAATGATTAGGAATTGTGGATGTTTTTGCGGCCGTTTTAGCCCCAGTGGAATTGAAGCGATTCTCATTAGTTGTAGGTGTTTTCTTGATACAAAATATTCTGAGAAAACAAATTTTTGAGTGAGATCTTTGGTTTGGAGAACTTTACCGTTTACAATATTGACGATATGGTCGAACAAAACAAATATATGTTAAAGAAGATAAAACTGGCATGGGTAAATATGAAGACATAATTGATAATTCAAGCCAGCGACTATTATAAATTCCAAATTGTGCGATAAGATATAAACATATAGCTAAAACCATGAAAATTGGAATAAGCGATTGATATGTTAAACATCTTAGCATTTGCGCATGAACTGATTTTGTTTCTTTTGATAAAAGTTTTTCATTTGTTTTTAATGCTTTTACTATTTTTCTACGAAGTATGAATATTACGATATACACTGGATACGATGGAAGACAAATATGGAGCACGGCATAAAGTGCTGTATATGATGCGGCCAAATCGATTGCACTCAAAAAACGATTTGATAAATCGTAATGTGGGAAGTTTCCGCTTATCAAATTGTATGCTGATTGTTGATCCCACATATTTTGAGAAAATGTGATCATTTGAAGAAATGAAGGTATGTAAATTATTATCAAGGCAATGATTATTTGTTTTTGTTTCAGTCCGGGATGTTTCAAAATATGAAAACGATAACAAAATGAAAGCAACAAGGACCATAGACTATGTGGGATAAGACTCAAGAATATACCTGTCCTAAAAATGTTTCGAAAAAGATCCACAATGTAAATATTTTAATATTTCTTACCCATATAAACAACTCTGAAAACTAACAAATCGACAGAATCCATTGAATTGATATCCAAGTTTGATTTCCATTGGAATTGGGATACTTCGAAATTCCAAAAACATATCAAGAAAACATTCAATGAAATCAGTTATGGCGAAATTTATGATAAATGTACCATAAACTCTGATGGATTTTGGAGATTTGAAAATACACAAGAAAATTAGAAACGAATTTATGAAACATCCGAAAATAGAGGAAAGTGTATGCCAAAAACTAAAAATTAAAAGCGGCCAATCCATTAAAATGAATTGAATTCTTTGAATCTAACTCATTTTTAGTATTATTATTATTTTTTTATATCAATAGCCAATCAAATACGGAAAAATGATAAACAAGTAAAGTAATACGGTATGATCAAATTAACATCAAAATATAAATCAGAAAACTATTGATCAATTTTTTGAAGCGGAAGTTGCGAATGCTGGAGTTTGTGTAGAATTGATTGGGAGATTAGTTTTTGAATTGCAAATTGATTGAAAGACTCTGAAAAACAAAAACAAAATGATTTCGTAACGAACAGATCACGAACCTTTTACAGTATTCGCGATAAGGTCTAACAAAAACCAAATAAGTCAAAGAAGATAATACTGGCATGGGTAAATAAGTTGACATTATTGCTAATTCAATATATCGATTATTAATAATTCCAAATTGAGCAACAAAGTAAAGACCTACTCCAACTACCATGAAAACTGGAATAATTGACTGATCACGGCCCGGCGAAACGTACATCCCGCCCACTTTTTTTCTCATTTTTTCCTTAAGCGTGGGAGCTCATGTACGAGTGGTTAACACACGCGCCGAACAAACACACAGCGCGAGTTCGACTCCCCATGGGCGCACACATTTTTTTCTTCTTTTTTTTCTTTTTATTTTTGCGCGCGCTTTCTTTTCAACGATAAAATACTTCATGAATAAAAATTATTTGGAAGTATATAAATATTCATTTCCATCAAATCGATGACGATAAAAAATATTATTTTGTTTTTGGGTGTTTTTTCGGCTTTCAAAAACAAGAAAATATCGAAAAACCAAAATTATCCATATTTTCATAGGGTTTTCAAGTTCAAAAATTAATTTTGAGAAAACCGCTTGTACAATTTTCATATAATTTTTTTTCTTGACTAATAAGGTCTAAAGGAAAGATAATAGCCCACAAACAAAAAATTTTACGATGGAATTTAAAAGTAATGGGCTTGTGACCAGATTTTGCTACATTTTTCAGAGATTTTCAAGTTCAAAAATTAATTTTGAGAAAACCGCTTGTACAATTTTCATATAATTTTTTTTCTTGACTAATAAGGTCTAAAGGAAAGATAATAGCCCACAAACAAAAAATTTTACGATGGAATTTGAAAGTAATGGGCTTGTGACCAGATTTATCCTTATTTTTCGGTGATTTTCAAGTTCAAAAATTAATTTTGAGAAAACCGCTTGTACAATTTTCATATAATTTTTTTTCTTGACTAATAAGGTCTAAAGGAAAGATAATAGCCCACAAACAAAAAATTTTACGATGGAATTTGAAAGTAATGGGCTTGTGACCAGATTTTGCTTCGTTTTTCAGTGATTTTCAAAGAGTTTGAATATTTGAAATTTTTCTGTAAAGTTTGAAATTTTTGAAAAAAAAAACAATATTTCCGAAAAATTCAAATTCAGAAAAGGTTAACTATTTTTGCTTGAAAAATCTTTATACATTGTTATTAACCAAGCCTAGAAGTTGTTAATCCTACACGTAACAGTCTCCTTCATTAAGATACATTTCTCTCTCACGTTACTTTCAAATTCCATCATAAAATTTTTTGTTTGTGAGCTATTATCTTTCCTTCAGACCTTATTAGTCAAGAAAAAAAATTATATAAAAATTGTACAAGCGGTTTTCTCAAAATAAATTTTTACTTTTGAAAATCACTGAAAAATGAAGCAAAATCTGGTCACAAGCCCATTACTTTCAAATTCCATCGTAAAATTTTTTGTTTGTGAGCTATTATCTTTCCTTCAGACCTTATTAGTCAAGAAAAAAATTATATAAAAATTGTACAAGCGGTTTTCTCAAAATAAATTTTTACTTTTGAAAATCACTGAAAAATGAAGCAAAATCTGGTCACAAGCCCATTACTTTCAAATTCCATCATAAAATTTTTTGTTTGTGAGCTATTTTCTTTCCTTCAGACCTTATTAGTCAAGAAAAAAATTATATAAAAATTGTACAAGCGGTTTTCTCAAAATAAATTTTTACTTTTGAAAATCACTGAAAAATGAAGCAAAATCTGGTCACAAGCCCATTACTTTCAAATTCCATCGTAAAATTTTTTGTTTGTGAGCTATTATCTTTCCTTCAGACCTTATTAGTCAAGAAAAAAAATTATATAAAAATTGTACAAGCGGTTTTCTCAAAATAAATTTTTACTTTTGAAAATCACTGAAAAATGAAGCAAAATCTGGTCACAAGCCCATTACTTTCAAATTCCATCATAAAATTTTTTGTTTGTGAGCTATTTTCTTTCCTTCAGACCTTATTAGTCAAGAAAAAAATTATATAAAAATTGTACAAGCGGTTTTCTCAAAATAAATTTTTACTTTTGAAAATCACTGAAAAATGAAGCAAAATCTGGTCACAAGCCCATTACTTTCAAATTCCATCATAAAATTTTTTGTTTGTGAGCTATTTTCTTTCCTTCAGACCTTATTAGTCAAGAAAAAAAATTATATAAAAATTGTACAAGCGGTTTTCTCAAAATAAATTTTTACTTTTGAAAATCACTGAAAAATGAAGCAAAATCTGGTCACAAGCCCATTACTTTCAAATTCCATCATAAAATTTTTTGTTTGTGAGCTATTATCTTTCCTTCAGACCTTATTAGTCAAGAAAAAATTATATAAAAATTGTACAAGCGGTTTTCTCAAAATAAATTTTTACTTTTGAAAATCACTGAAAAATGAAGCAAAATCTGGTCACAAGCCCATTACTTTCAAATTCCATCATAAAATTTTTTGTTTGTGAGCTATTTTCTTTCCTTCAGACCTTATTAGTCAAGAAAAAAATTATATAAAAATTGTACAAGCGGTTTTCTCAAAATAAATTTTTACTTTTGAAAATCACTGAAAAATGAAGCAAAATCTGGTCACAAGCCCATTACTTTCAAATTCCATCATAAAATTTTTTGTTTGTGAGCTATTTTCTTTCCTTCAGACCTTATTAGTCAAGAAAAAAAATTATATAAAAATTGTACAAGCGGTTTTCTCAAAATAAATTTTTGAACTTGAAAATCTCTGAAAAATGTAGCAAAATCTGGTCACAAGCCCATTACTTTTAAATTCCATCGTAAAATTTTTTGTTTGTGGGCTATTATCTTTCCTTTAGACCTTATTAGTCAAGAAAAAAAATTATATGAAAATTGTACAAGCGGTTTTCTCAAAATAAATTTTTACTTTTGAAAATCACTGAAAAATGAAGCAAAATCTGGTCACAAGCCCTTTACTTTTAAATTCCATCGTAAAATTTTTTGTTTGTGGGCTATTATCTTTCCTTTAGACCTTATTAGTCAAGAAAAAAATTATATGAAAATTGTACAAGCGGTTTTCTCAAAATAAATTTTTACTTTTGAAAATCACTGAAAAATGAAGCAAAATCTGGTCACAAGCCCTTTACTTTCAAATTCCATCGTAAAATTTTTTGTTTGTGGGCTATTATCTTTCCTTTAGACCTTATTAGTCAAGAAAAAAAATTATATGAAAATTGTACAAGCGGTTTTCTCAAAATTAATTTTTGAACTTGAAAACCCTATGAAAATATGGATAATTTTGGTTTTTCGATATTTTCTTGTTTTTGAAAGCCGAAAAAACACCCAAAAACAAAATAATATTTTTTATCGTCATCGATTTGATGGAAATGAATATTTATATACTTCCAAATAATTTTTATTCATGAAGTATTTTATCGTTGAAAAGAAAGCGCGCGCAAAAATAAAAAGAAAAAAAGAAGAAAAAAATGTGTGCGCCAATGGGGAGTCGAACTCGCGCTGTGTGTTTGTTCGGCGCGTGTGTTAACCACTCGTACAGCGTGTTTTCGCTGTTGCACATTTTTGTGTGGGAAACGAAAAAACACAAACGAAAAAAAAAAGTGGGCGGGGCGTCCGTTTAGCCGGGCCGTGCTGATATGTAAGACATTTCAGCATTTGTGAATGAGTTGCTTTTGTTTCTACAGATAACATATTTTCACTCTCAATTAGGACTTTTATAATTTTCCGACGAAGAATAAAAATGATTATGTAAACTGGATAAATTGGAATACAAAGATGAAATATTCCGAAGAGTGCAGAAGGTGATCCAAATATTTCCATTGCACCTGCTTTCAAACCTGTCAAATTATACGATGGCAGCTTCTCGTGTACTAAATCAATGGTTTTTTGATTGTCCCAAAAGTTTTGAGGAAAACTGAGAAGTTGAATGAATGATGGAATATAAATTAAACACAATGTGAGAATTATTTGTTTCTTTGACAATCCAGGATGATTCAAAATGTAAAATCTGTAACTAAAGGACAATAATAATGACCATAAACCATGTGGAACACAATGAAGAAAAACACTGAGTCCCCCAATGCAGATTTTTTGCCCAAAAAATTGACAAAGTCCATTGAATTGATATACCAATTTAGCCTCGTTTGGTATTCCAATTATTCTCATTTCTACAAATATGTCAGATAAACATTCTACAAAATCTGTAATCGCAAAGTTTATGATAAATATTCCATAAGTTTGTATGGATTTTGGAGATCTGTAGATGCATAAGTAAATCAATAATACATTGACACAACATCCGAAAAGTGAAGCTACTGTATGCCAGATATTAAAAATCAGAATCAACCAGTCCATTTATGAAAAAATATATATTTATCAAAATACGTATTTTATCAACTTTTTTTTCCATGAAATGAAATGAATTGTTACACCAAAATAAATAAAATAACTAGGTATTGTTAGGTTTTCCTCTGAATTTCCTTGTTACACCTTTTTTTTGTTCCCCTCTTTTACAATAAAACTGTTTAAGCTGCAGACATAAAGCAGTATAAAAAGAAAGGATAGATGAGAAATGAACATCAACATAGAAATATGTCGGCGAAAACATTGGTAACAATTGCCAGCATTGGCAGCGGTTTGGCTGTGATTGCCTGTCTTTTTACTGTTGGATACATTTTCAATGACATCAACAACTTCTATGATGAAACTATGGATACACTTGATGAATTCAAGGTATGTTTTTAGTTTATTTTTGAAATAGAATTTTTTATATGGCTTTTCTAGATGAACGAAAAGGGAGCTTGGCATGGAATGGTTGAAAAGACCAGAATCTCATCTGATGTTTTGTTCGGTCGCGCTAAAAGACAAGCTTCTCAATGCAACTGCGGTGCTCGTGCAAGTGGATGTCCAGCTGGACCACCAGGACCTCCAGGACAACCAGGAGATCGTGGAGATGATGGACATCCAGGAGAGCCAGGAAAACCAGGAGTTGACGGAATCGCTATTGCTATTTCAACCGGAGACAGCGCTTGCATTCAATGCCCAGCTGGAGAACCAGGACCAGCCGGATCACCAGGAGCTCCAGGACCAGCCGGACCAGACGGACAACCAGGAGCACCAGGAGCTGGAGGATCTCCAGGACCAGCTGGACCACCGGGACCATCAGGAGATGCTGGACAACCAGGACAACCAGGAGCCCCAGGACAACCAGGACAAAAGGGACAAGATGGACAAAGATCTAATGGACTTCCAGGACCAGCAGGACCAGCCGGACCAGCGGGACCAGCTGGAAATGACGGGCAACCAGGAAATGCTGGAGGAGTCGGACAACCAGGACCAGCTGGACCAGCTGGAGCTAACGGACAACCAGGATCTGCTGGACAACCAGGAACACCAGGACCAGACGGTCAACCAGGACAACCAGGATCAGATGCCGCTTATTGTCCATGCCCAGCCAGATCGGCTGTTGTTCAACGCAAACTCTCGCACAGAAGAGTTTCCAAAGTTGTTGTTTAATTCATCAATCAATAAATATTCATTCATCACTTATTCTAATTTTTATCCCAAAAAAAGATTCAATGAAAAGTTCCCCTATGATGACCCACGTCGTTATTTCGAATATGTGGAACATCTAGATTTCTCCAACATTGAAACGTAATTCGTCGAAAGTTTTCATATATGAATACTGTGATAAGACTAGTTGAAAATCCATGCATTGAAAGAATCAAAAAACATAAATTATTAAGAGTTTGATTATAATATCCAACGAAAATTGAAAAAGCAGAATAAGAGACTGGAATTAATATTGCCATAAATGGAATGGATACTTGAAGAAATACAGCCAGAAAGTATTTTCGCTGTAGAATTTTGGTATTTTTCGATAACCTTGTGTTGTTTGAAAATAGGTGGAAAAATGTTCGCAAAATAAAATAGAAACTTTGTCCAACATAGAATATCAAATGGAAAACTATCAAACAACTGAATGAGAAGACTTGATCAGTCAAATAGTAAAATGAATCTATGTTCATAATCAGTTCGTTGTTTATGCATGGAATTTTTTCGAGAATTTCAATCTTGGAAATTGTATGTTTTTCATTCATTAGTAGAAAATATGGAGACCATAATAAAAATCCAATCGAAAGTGTTAAGATTATCAAGAACGACCGAAATTTCGAGTCACCAAATATTTTGTAGTTATCACTCACTAAATAATGATGTCGATTTTCGAACATAATAACTAACGAAGCTCCCACTTCTGAATTATTTTTGAAAAACGATTTTTGTTGTGACGAATATTTACCTGTCAATCCTACAATAACTAGATAAACTTGAATTTTTCTGCTAATTCCAAAAATGTGCAAAAATCCCAAATCCATTCCAGCCAAAACTGGAAAAACAATAAAAGGAATTGTCATAACACTAATCAATAAATCAGATATAAAACCAGCGATTAAAATATTCAATAATGCAATTTTCATATTCTTCATGATTCTTGGAGTTTTCAATAAAACTAGAATAATAACATATAACTGTACAGGAATTTTGAAAAACGATGTGGAATGAAAAGAATAAGTTAGAAATATTGGAGTTCCTAGAAATGGTTCTGATTCACACATCTCAAGGATTATGGAATTGTTTTCAGAAATAAACAGGTGAAATTGAAAACGGCGCTTGATGAAAATCAAGCAGACGTTAAGATAAGCGAACTTTGGATCTTTGGATTCAATAGAAAATATTTTTGTTTTTGGAATTTTGTTTTGCATAATTGAAATATTTCTGTTTTTGTTTTCATTTTGTTGAATTCGGATTTTTCATATTTTTTAAAGCCAGCTGCCGAGTTTCCCAAAAATTTTTCATTTTAGGACCAAAACTACATCAAATATTCAAGCAAACAATATTTATATTGGCTACTGTAGCAACTTTTGTTGTGTGTAATTTTGCGTCGCGGTGTATGTGTTCCTCGAAATTTTCAAATTTTTTTTTCTCGAAGTGAATTTCAGGAAAAACAGATAACGAAAGCTCACAAAAATAATAAAATAACTGCTAAAATTTGGATTTTAAGTACAACGTCTGAAGTAAATACAGTAAGTCATTTTCATTCTTCATTTTCTCAAGTTGTATGACAGTTTCTCGATATTATTTATCAAGCATCAACCATCTGCTCGTGAATATATATTCATAATAATAAATAACCCGTTTTTCCTTCTTCCACCAACCAGCCTGCTCCAATTTCCTCCATCTATTTTTTTTTCTCAAAACCTCTCCTACTCTCTCTCTCTCTAGTTCTTCCTTTTTTCTTCCTCAAATGTCCATTCTCGGCCACTCTTTCTTTCTCTGTGTCTCCACAATCTGCGCACTCTCTCCCCGTTTGCTTGTCTTTTCTCTAACAACGTTTTGTATTATACTTTGTGGAAGGACCTTTTTTTTGTTGGTTTTTGCTTCATTTTTTTTTTCAACACCGCAGATTTCAGATGATGTGAAAACGTATTATTTTGGTTAGTCATGTCATATTTTTTACGAGAAATTGTTGGCCAACGGGCCGAAGTGCATCCCGAAGATATTCCGAATTCCAGTCGGATATCTCACAAATTATCAAATCTTATGTATAAATGTGCTGAATATCGATGCAAAAATGAGATTCTCAAAATTCCATCTGCCGAAGTTCCATCTTTCAATGATTCTGGTAAGTTTTCTGCTCTCCTGTTTCAAAATTCATGATCCTTTTTTTCAGAAAAATTCAAAAATCGTCTAGAATGCCTGAATTCTAAATTCGTTGTCAGTGCTCCCTCATCTTTTGGATGTATCGCAATGGCAAAAGCTATTTTAGCTAGATTTGGAGAATTCAATATCGAAAATAGTTCACAGAAGTCAGTAGATTTAGATGAAGCCAAAACAAGTAAAAACCATGATGCTGAAAATGAGAAAAGTTCGAAAAATGTAGGTCAAATTTTTTTTGTTATTCTGAAAAAATATTATGGTTTTTTTCAGACTGATCAATTAGTTGGTGCCAGTTTATCTTGTGTTTTCGAAATTCTTCAGCAACTAAGTAGAAGAGATTCTGAATTATGTGTTCAAGCCCTTGAATCACTACTTTCACTGATTCAAACAATGCCAATAGAATGTCTAAAATCAGAAAACAAATGGTCAGTCTCATCAATGATGTCAGTTCTCAAAAAACTTCGAGAAGAAGGTGGTCCAGCCGTTTGTTCGAAAGCCACCTCTTGCCTTGTTTCATTGGCTGTCGCAAGTGGAGAACCAGAGCAGCTCAGCTCGGCAATTCAATCTCTGATTTGTCTTCAACGACGTGATCGAAATAGTGTTGATTCCACTTTCGATTCAATTCAAATTCCGGAAAACCTTCGAAGATTGCTTTTGAAAATTCGACGAAAAGCGCATCAACAACACGATGGATCTTCCAGTTGGTCTTCCCTGAAAATTGAAGATCACACAGTATCTTGCTCTTTTGATCTACCAATTCTACCAGATTCTTCTCCTGATGATACTCCAGATGATGATCATAGATTATTTGCGACACTCGTATGCGATGGTGCTTATATTTATATTTTAAACTATGTCGGATTGTATAAACTTGGAACTGGACTCGAAGAAACTATTATAGGTAAACTATATGCTGCAAATCAATCACTAAAAGCCACGTGAGTAAAAACTTTTGAAAATATTTTTGAATTTATAAAAAAAATTATTTCAGAAAGAATTGTATGCTGTATCTTTGCAATGGATCTCTGTATCTTCGAAGAAATTTATCATCATGTATCTGTGTTGTCGATACAGATTCACTTCAAGACATCGGAGAAGTAATTCTACCACCAAACGCAAATCAATACTCATATTTTTCCGATGGTTCTAGTTTCTTTAGTTCAACTCTGATTGCAAATTCAACTTTGATGACTGTTCAACTCAATGACTCGTTTTGCCCGATGAATGAGACAACATCGAAAAAAAGTTATCGTTTGACAGATGTTAATTTTACATCCTATGGAGATACAAGAATACCTCATACTTTACCGCGACATCTACCTTCTAATCTTCAATGTTAGTTTGATTTCTGATCTTTTGAACTTTGAACTAAAAACCTGTTATTTCCAGCTCAAGCTATTGATCTTCATTTGGCTAAAGACATGGCTTTTATTCAAGCTCGGTCTGGAAAAATTTACTACGCTGGAAATGGAACTCGTTTCGGTCTACATGAAACAGGAAACACTTGGATGGAACTGGTTCTACCGGAACCCATAGTTCAGATTTCAATTGGTTTTGAAAATATAATGTTCCGATCTGGAGCTGGTCATTCATGGATTGCTAGTGTTGATGATAAAAAGAGGAATGGACGATTGAAAAAATTGATTTCATCGAATCGCCGGAAAGTTGTTTGTGTTTGTTCTTCTGGTCCGATGTTTGGATATGTGACTGAAAATGGAAAAGTTTTCATGGGCGGAGTGCATAATATGCGCGTTAATCTACAAAATAACATGTTATCCGGTCTGGAAAATGTTCATATTTCTACAATCGCTCTTGGTAAAACACACGGTGTTGCAGTTTCTCGAAGCGGCCATTTGTATACGTGGGGTCTCAATAATTTGAATCAATGTGGACGCGTTGAACAACCATCTTCTATCAATAATTCTCCTCGACACTCAAATCAACAAATTTGTCCAATCGGTGATCATATTTGGGTCAATGATATGCCAACAATATGTTCACAGTGTGGACTTTGTTCAGCGAGAGGTGTTGCGTGTGGAAGAGTTCCACGCCAAAAAGGAACTATGTGTAAATGTGGAACTGGAGAATCAACGTGTCTTCGATGTGGATTGTGTAGACCGTGTGGAGAAATCACTGAACCAGCTGCACCTGGACAACCTCAACATGTGCAATTCAGTAGTTCGTCACAACAACGAACTAATTTGATGCCGGCCAGAGTTATGTTATCCAAAGGTGTTCACGATGTCAAAGTTTCGTTTGTTAGCTGTGGGAATTTTCATACAGTACTCCTCGCATCTGATCGTCGCGTATTCACATTTGGATCAAATTGTCATGGTCAATTAGGATGTGGAAATACATTAAGCAAAACAACAGTTCAACAAGTTCAACTGCCAAGTGATGTTGTTGTAGTTCAAGTGGCTGCTGGTGCAAATCATACTGTACTTCGGACAAATGATGGATCTGTTTATACATTTGGAGCTTTTGCCAAAGGACAACTCGCGAGACAAGCCGGAGAGAAACAAGGTTGGAATGCGATGCCAGAAAGAGTGCCTGGATATGGAGCAGGATATAATGCATTTGCTGGATGGATTGGAGCAGAAGGCGACTCGACAATAATTCATAGCCATACAGCATTGCTCAGTTCAGACGATGTTTCGAATGCGCAAATTGTGGCAAGCAAAAATAATATTTTTATTTTCCCTCGGGAAATTGGAAAAGATTATATCGTTATAAAAAGGAAACATAACATGTTCGAACATCATACAATTGGTGCAGCTGGTCTTTATACAAGTTGGGCTATGGAACCAAAATATGATATGTTATGGTCGTATAATGCTGCTGAAATGAGAGTTCATGCATTCAGTATATTCAAAAGACAGGATAATGTAACACCGGGAGATTTACTAGAAACATTACAGTATCAAATATCTCCCGAATTTGCCGTTCCTCTTGATTCGAATTCTTTCACAAGTTCAACAAATCTTGGAATTTTGCTATTATCCGCTACATTTTCTGCGAATATAATCAAGAATTCGAATTTTTGGAAAGATAAATCATCAGATATCAGTGGAGAGAATAATGGGCCCAGTGAAGGTTATTCAGTGATAAATCGATTTGAAGGAACTGGAGGTGGATGGGGATATTCGGCACATTCAATTGAGGCAATTCAATTCAGAACATCGAAACAGGTGAAATTAGTTGGAATCGGATTGTATGGAGGGAGAGGAGAATATATTTCAAAGCTGAAATTGTATCGATTAATGGGTGGAGATTCGGATGAATTATATGTTGAACAGATAACTGAAACTGATGAGACAATGTATGATTGTGGGGCTCATGAAACAGCAACACTTCTTTTCTCCCAGCCAATTATTATTCAACCAAATCAATGGCATGTTATTAGTGCAAAAGTCAGCGGGCCTTCTTCAGATTGTGGAGCGAATGGAAAAACAACCGTTGAAAGCGATGGAGTAACATTTACTTTTAGAAATTCAGTTGTTTCTAACAATGGAACTGATGTTAATGTTGGACAAATTCCTGAATTCTATTATCAGTTGAATTCTTCATCTGATGCAAAAGAGAATAATGAAGAAATCAATAAGCAATTGACACTTAGTATGTCGAGATTATTCTCTCCGTCGTGTTTTGATAATATATCATCGAAAGGAATATCTGATTTGTTGACAGTTTTGGAATGGAGTATTCAGAAATTACAAACAGAAGATGAGGAAAGTATAGAGAAACATTGGACAATTGAAAGAGCATCTTTTGTTGCGCTGGTGACTATGAGACTTCTCGCTAAATTTATCAATTCAATTTATAAAGATGATGAAAAACATGATGATGAACCTTCGATTGATTTTGCTAACAAATTGGTTCAACTTCATTCATTACTTCTCGATTTTTTCAACATTGATGTGACATTTGCTGATCTAGAAGAAAGATATGCTTTATCACAATGTTTATCAGAAGCAATCAAATTGTTTATTTCACTTTCACATTGTTTTCTTGGCTCGAAAAGTTTGATCAATGCACATCTGATTGCTGTAATGAGTAAAAGAACATCTTACTGTGGAGTTTTGACTGCTGCTGTTATTGGAAGTATTGCAAAAATGAATAAGATATCACATCAATTGATTCAAAATATGACTGTTATTGAAGATCGATATCCACTTTTAACATCTCTTCTCACAAAACATTTCAATTGTGAAAAAGAAACATTGGCATCTTTGACATCGTTTTCAAATGTTATGCGATTTTTCTATGATCGAACATTTCACTATAATATAAGCACAATTCACAATACACCAAAGTTAGCTGAAGATATCATTGTCAAAATTTGTGAAGAACTTGCGGTTCCAGAAGAAGATGGTGTGATGGGCCCGATTATTCATCAAACTTTGGCAAGGTTTCGAAGAAGAAGTGTCGCCCCAGCGTGGGATATGTCAGATGGATCATCAGATGCGATTGCATTCCGAGTTGATACGGAAGGTGTTCGACTTCATGGGTTTGGTGTATATTTGCCAGTTGAACACGATTGTCGACAATTTATTGGAGAAATTCTGATGTTGTCTTCAGAACAATCTGAAAAATGGACCTGCCTTGTAAAAGTTACAGCAGATATAAGTTCAGACGAAAAAGAAGTTGGAAGTATTCGCTTCCCTGATTATGTTCTATTGTCTCCTGGAGTCACTTATGCTCTTAAAATCACAATGCCGAAAGTTGCCAAAACGTTTTGCGGTGAAGGAGGAATTCCACAACTTCGACTTATCAATGGTGCCAAAATTAATTTCACGGGATGTTCTTTGAGTCAAAATGGAACAACTGTTCAGAGAGGTCAACTTCCATTCTTACTGTATTCAATTTTCGATCAAACAAATACTGTTCAAATCTCAGAAGATACTATTCATGATTCATTTTTATTGATTCTCCGATTGTTATCCAACAAACTTGGAACCTCAATTTCAGACGGACATCTTTTTGAATGCGGTCGTAGTTTGGTGTCAAGAATCTCACCGTATGTAATGGTATTTATGGAACGATATCCTGATAAATGTATCGAAGTTATGGCAACATTAGAACAATTGATTCCATTGATTTCGAATATGAATGGTATTGCTGGAAGTCAGGAAAGTATTAGCAGTGTACTTGGAGAAGCACAATGTAGAACTATTATTATTGAAAGTCCACATCCTTATAAATCGAATTCTACTTATTCTGTTGTAGGTTTTTTTTCTGTAAATATTGTCAACAATTTATTGAAATTTTTTTTGCAGGTGGTTGGTTTCAACGAGAATATTGATTTTATGTGTTTGAGATTTTCCCCAAATTGCGAAACTGCTCAGTTCGATGATCAACTCACAATCTATCTTGGTGTAGATGGTCATTCCTATATTCCAATTGAAAAGTTAGTGAATCTGAACATGAAAATTAATTCAAATTAATTTTTTAGATGTTATGGTTCACATGATTGGCCAGCTTATCCTATGATGCTTCCTGGAAATTCTTTATGGTTTGTGTTGGAAACTTCAAATCCAATCGATGGTGCATCAATGGAACATATGTTTGGCTTCCATATTACTGTATTAGGATATTCAAGTATAGATGATGACACAAATTTGAGAATTGAACAAGAACTTGTTTGGTTGAGCGCGAATGCTTGTCGAATAATCACTCAACTTCCTGTAAATCCATCAAGTATTGAACATTTATCAACAGCTGAAGATGATACACATCATTTATTTGAGAAACATGGGAATCTTTTGAAAAAAGGGTTGAGTCTTAGCCATGCTCCAACTTTGAGTGAGCTTATCAGCAAGGGACAACCTGCACCAGCACAATCACCAGATTTACAATTTCTTCGGGAGTTTTTGTCGTGTCACACTTCAACTGCTCCTGGTTTTTTGGCGAAATGGCTTCCAATTGGATCTGTTGTTGATCCTTCCAAATGTCAATTAGCTTTATCACATGAAGAAATGTCAGTGGGAAAAGCGGTTACTATGAAATTATCTTGCCGTGATCAATATGATAGAGAAGTTGAATGTTCGAAACTTCACGTTGAAGTGACAGCTGTGATTGGATATCAGAATACGAATGCGAGAAATATGACACATGAGAATCTTCCATCAGCTTTATTGATTCAACAAAATCCATTTCAACCGTTGGTTCAAAATCATACAAGATATATGAGTATTTGTGCAATGCCAGCTTTTGCAAATTATTCTATCGAAGAAATTCGACTTGGATTTATGAAAGAAGATTTGATAAAAGATAAGATCATTTTGAAGAGTCGAGGACAATCTGTATTTTCTGGAACTTGGACACCAAGTGCTGCTGGAAATTATCGAATTGAATGCAAAGTTGATGGATATGATATTTCACATACTTATACTGTTGAAGTTACCGAAAGATTGAGAAATGATGAATCTTCATCGAGAAATAGAACACCAACAACTCGAGGAGCACAAATGACAACTTCGAAAAGTGTGGTTATTCCATTCTCAAGTGATTTCTCAGGAATTCGAATGAGATTGGGAACAACTCTTGCATCAACCTGTGCTGGAATTATACCAAGAGGTGCAATTATTGAATATAATGAAGAGATTGAAAATGCAGAAGGAAAATGGATTAGATTAACTGATGAAACAGCAATGTTATATGGATATCCAATGGGAAATGGACAAGTTTGGTGTTTATCTTATCATAAACAATTGAGAAGAGTTTTGATACCATTAGAAGAGCGAGATCAGGAAAAAACTGTTCGATTGAGAAGGAAAGAGATTGAACAATCTGTTGATGGTTCGAAACATCATAGTGTGTCGATTGATGCCGCGGAAACATATATTCTTGCAGCAAATGATGTTTTGCAAGTATATTCATCTCCATTTTTGAATGCAGCTATTCCGGGAGACATTCTTAAAGGACCATGTGAAATTTTGAGTAATGGATGGATGACGAATCGAAATGGCGTGTGGATCAAAATCCATGGACAAGAAAAGTATATACTTCAGAAAACATTGAATGATGGGTTGGAAACAAGTTTGAGTTTTTCGACAAATGGAAATGATGAAGAGGAAATTGTGCAGATTCAGGAAAGAGAAAAATGGAATATTTTACCGATTGCCTTGACACCTTCGGTCGCTGATTGTATTCGGGCGGTATTTGCTGCTTTTGTTTGGCATGAACATTTGGTGAAAGATCTTATGGCTGCTGCTGCTTATTTGAAGTTTCATCAAAACCTTCACAATGTGAGTTTGGATTGAAGATAGCTTGGAACGGAAAATTTTTAGCTCAAATTAGTTTGGAGCAAAAACACATCGAGAGTGAAGGAGACGCAGAGAAAATCTCTAGACTGCCACGTAGTTCACGTTTTCATTAAAAATACGTTTCATCATTTTTTTGGAATGGAAAATTTTGAAATATTTACGTGAAAATGTCTGCGTCTCACTCACTCTCACCCATTATTCATACTGTAGTCGGCGAATGTTTTTCGTGTGTATTTTTTCTGCGAGTTTTTCGAATTACTAAAAACAGCAAAGCTCCTCAAAGCATATATTCCCAACATTTCCAAAAACAACAATCTAACAAATTTCTCGAATTTGCAGATCTGGCAGTCTTGTGATATCCCAGTTTGTTCAAATGCTCCAGCAGCACTTCAACCAATAGTTAAAATCTGGCGAGATATATGCGAAGCCGTGCAAACAAGTGTCGAACAACATCTGATAATGCCACCGGTCTCATCGAAAGCAGTTCTTCTCCAAGATAATCCGAAAACACCAACCACAAATGGTGGAACATGTGAATTGTGTGAAGAGTATTTCAAAGTTCCAATAACTGCACATTTACGAATGGCTCATCCTGGCTGTGGCAATGATTGTCTTGGTTACGGATATAATTCGAATGGTAAATTTACAACTGGTTGGTCGGGAGAATGTGGAGCTGGTGGAAGAGGACAATCACCTTGGTATTTGATGTGTAATAATTGTCGAGCACAATATCTTCGGAAAACAAAAGCGGGACATCATCAGGAGAGAACTAGAAGATGGAGGGAATTCAGGTTTTCGACAAATGCGTTGGATGCTCGACCGGAAGTGATCATCAAACAGAATGCGATGTTTTTACTTGATTTGAATTCGCGACTTCAAACTGGATCGAATAATTCATCTGCAAATACATCTGGATGGACAATCAATCTATTCCCAACACATTCGAGTAATCCATCAACAATTCAGAAAAAAGCGGATGCATCCATCGTCAAAACATCGTACATGGCACAATCATTGATGAAGACAGCCTGTTCTTCGGATCCTGGACCAAAACACAATTTTCTGATATCCCCACCTGGCGGTGAACAAACATCTTCACTCAATCGACAAGGAATGACGGTAATTGAGCCGACGGAAGTGTTACAAAGTCCGTCTGCTGCTCTCCGAACACTTTTTTCGAATACAAACCCATCAACATCAGAAATTTTGAAAAGACCAGTGTTGGCATTTTGTGTAGAACATCACGATTTGAAGCGTATTCGAGCAGCGTGTGTTCAATCAATTCGAAGAGCTGTTGCATTTTCTCACGCATTTCGTGTATGGAATTGGTTACTTCGAATGGTGTCATCTGAAACTAGTGTTGCCGATGTTTTACTTCAATATTTGACAAGTCTTACTTCATATAACAGACTTGCTGAATATATGTATAATTCGAAGAAGAATTCACACATCCTTCCACATCCATGGCGACTTTGTTTTTTGGCTGGTCCACTTGCTTCTGAAATGGTTTGTCAACTTCACGCACTTCTTCACACGATTTCAATTATTCTTCAATCTTCCGGAGTTGATAAACGACTTCAATCACTTTGCTTCAAAGCTTGGACACTTCAACTAACTTCGCAAGAACAGGATCTATTGATTCTTACTTGTAATATTCTTGCGACTGTTGGTGGAGTCCTCTCGGATAATTCGATTGGTGGTTTTTCAACCTATAATCGATTAAGTGATACTGGAATCAAAGAAATGAGGGATATTTCGAATTTCGTGAAAATCACAGCCAGTTCTAGACAAGCAATGGTTATTTGTTTGACTGATGAAAGTGGAGAAACATTTTGGGAAAGTGGAGATGAAGATAAAAATCGAACGAGAAGTTTAACAATAAATCTAGATGAATGTGCAATTGGAGTGCTATTATCTGTTTTTATTGATAATGTGAGGGATGAGAGTTATCGTGTTAGTACTTTGCAATTTAAAGCAATTCAACCAGATGGAAATAAAAAAGAATTGGATAATGCGAATCTAGATAATGTGAGATTGTTCTTTTTGAAAAACTTTAATTAATTTATTTATTTTTAATTTCAGAACTTCTGTGGATGGGTGAAATGCTGCATTTCAAATGTGAAACAAATTCAAATAACACTAAAAGGACCATCTTTATCCTCAAGAGTTCGGCAATTATCAGTTCTCGGATTCACCGAAAAACTTGACACAACATGTACAATTCCACCATCAACTTCTCATCATCTATTTTTCAACAATACCCAACTTGATGCTTTCGGATTATTCCAAGCAATTTCATCCCAAGCATTCAGTGGTGAATTGACAGAAGATGATACATTACGAGAACGGGTTATTGATTTATTGTTCAGTCAAGTTCAACTATTTCCTTTGCAAAACTACGTGCATAATCAAGTTGTAAATGCTATGGAAAAGTAAGTTTTAATTGAAGATTCCTCCAATAATTCCAGTATTTTTCAGAGAAGTTGAATTACTGTGTACAAGAGTGAAACGAAATTATTCATATTTCTGTGGATTAATGGAACTTATCGTGAGAATTTGTGATTCAACTGGAAATCTAGACAACTTTGGACAGCGAAATTCAGTGTTGAATTCAGTCTCACAAATTATGATATTTGCACCGGTTGTGGTACAAAGACAGTGTCTCAATTCTTTAGAATGTATTTTTGGATCATTTTCTCCGGCAAATGTGGATTCTTCTAAAGTTATTAGGAATCTTCTAGTTGCCGTTGGAAAAGTTATTCAATTACAAGTTAGAGATAAAGCTGCACATACGGTTGTCACAGTTCATTTATGTGTAAGTTTTTTCTCAAGAGAAACTCGGGATGCAATATAATTTGTATATTTTTGCAGTCTTCTGTCACAAATGCTCCTCATAATTGGCGAGTTGATAAACCAATCGATACTGATATTGGAAGACAAACTGCTCTACTTATAATGAATATTTGTGATGGATCTTATGGTCAAGAATGGAAAGATACAGCACGGAAGGAGTTGTCAAATGGGTTACTCAGTTTGATTTATATGCCAGAATCTTCATCATGTTCTGAAATATCAGCTCATAATCAATCGGCTTCAATTATAAATTCGAAACGGTTTTGGATTGCTATCGCTTCTTTGGCGCTGATGAAAAATAAAAGTTGGTTAGATCTTTCGGATCGATGGAAATCGGAGAAAGAGAGGGATCAATCAAAAGAAGAACCGATAACTATTTGTGAAAATCATGATGATGGTCATACTGTAGCTCAAGTATTTTGTTTGAATTGTGATATCGCGTTGTGCAAAGAATGTTTCACTGTAATGCATCTTCATAAGAAAAATCGAAATCATAATGTGAAAAACTTGACGCAGCCAAATATTCAACATGATATAAATATCCATCAAGGTTGTGCTAGGATGAAATTTCTGAATTATCTCATACTTTTCCACGGTGAAGCATTAAATGGGATGGTTGAAATCGCAGCTGATTCGATATTTCCATCATCGTCTTCAACAAATATAACAACATCAACACTTTTAGCTGCAGCATCTACCTGTAGATTTTGTGGAAATTTTGTTCCAGACAGTGAACAGAATTTGGAAGGCACATGTTCACACGAAGATTGTATCGAGTATTCCAAAACCGCTTGTTCCAATTTCCACGAATGCGGTCATTTTTGTGGAGGAATTAGTGGCGAAGAAGATTGTTTGCCTTGCATGCAATGTCAAAAATCTGACACAAATCAAGACGCCGATGATGTTTGTGTGATTTGTTTCACCGAAAGACTTGGAGCAGCACCATGTATCAAATTAGGATGTGATCATGTTTTTCATTATCATTGTGTTCGGAAAATTCTTGAAAGAAGATGGAATGGTCCAAGAATTGTATTTCGATTTTTGCATTGTCCTTTATGTATTCAACAAATTAATCATCCCGGTTTAATGGATCTTATCGATCCGATTCTAACAATTCGTCAAGAAGTTATTGAAAAAGCCAAAATGCGGTTAGAATACGATGGTCTTCTCGCAACTCCAGCTCTCGTTGATCAACGAAGTGAATTCTATAATCAACCAGAAGAATATGCACTCGATAGATATATGTATGTTCTATGTTACAAATGTAAAAAAGTCTATTTTGGTGGAGAGAATCGATGTCAAGCGGCAATCGACAGCTCACAATATAATCCTGAGGAATTGATTTGTGGAGCGTGTTCGAATTCGAATGGTCAACAAGTTTGTCCAAGACACGGTGTCGAATTTTTGGAATACAAATGTCGATTTTGTTGCTCGATTGCTGTATATTTTTGGTTTGTTTTACTAGAGAGATCAAAATTTTCAAAAAAAAAATCCTTTTTTTCAGTTTCGGTACCACCCATTTCTGCGCGCCATGCCACGATGATTTCCAACGTCTCATATCGTTCCCCAAACATCTTCTTCCCCCGTGTCCAGTTGGTCCTCGTGCAATTCCAATGGAAGAATCAGCCACTTGCCCACTCAAAATGAAACATCCGCCAACGGGCGAAGAATTTGCGATGGGTTGTGGCATTTGTAGAAATATCAGCACTTTTTAGGATTTTTTTTTTAATATTCAAATTTTTTTTATTTTCCCAGTCAATCCATGATTCTTTTTTGCCATACAGAGTACAACAAAATTTAGTCACAATTATTTTTCACAACCTTAATAATAATTCAATTATGATCTCTTCAATTATCGAAACGGGAATAAATATTTTTAGATGTTTGAGTTTTTACTTACATCGGAGCAAAATCGAATTATCTTCGACCGTTGAAAACATCCATTATTCTTTTGAGAAAAAGAAGCTGAAAAAAAACAGAAAAACTGATAATTCGGTTAGCCGCAGAGCTCTATTTTAGCTCAGTGAGTATTGGATTTTGTGTTTTCTGTTTTCATGTGGAAAAATATATGTTTGTACTTTTGGAATTCAAGAAAAGATCTATTTTTTCTAGGCAAGGCAAAAAACTGATTCCAGATTTTTTTTCACTGTTTCAAAAATTTCATTTTTTTAATGAATTTTTTTATTATTGCTTTCTACTTTTTTTTACATTTTCAGAAATTTATCCCAAAATCAAGCTGAAAATCTGAAAATTCTTCTGAAAATGAGCTGTGAATCATATTTTAAATGAAACTGCAAACTAATATTATAATTTCAAAATCCAAATTTATTTAAAGAAAATTTTGAAACAGTGATTTTTGTCGGAAAAAAATCCACTGTTTCAAAAATTTAATTTTTAAAAAAATTATTTTTGTCACTATTGCTTGTTAAATTCTGACAAAATTAAACTGAAAATCTGAAAATTCATCTGAAAATGAGCTGAAAATCATATTTTAAATGAAACTGCAAACTAATATTATAATTTCAAAATCCAAATTTATTTAAAGAAAATTTTGAAACAGTGATTTTTTTTCAAAAAAAATCCACTGTTTCAAAAATTTAATTTTTAAAAAAATTATTTTTGTCACTATTGCTTGTTAAATTCTGACAAAATTAAACTGAAAATCTGAAAATTCATCTGAAAATGAGCTGAAAATCATATTTTAAATGAAACTGCAAACTAATATTATAATTTCAAAATCCAAATTTATTTAAAGAAAATTTTGAAACAGTGATTTTTTTTCGGAAAAAAATCGGAAATTTTTTTTCTTTTTCAAATTTTTTCGAAGAATTTTTCATTCGCTACTAACAAAATTTTGAAATTTTCAGCTAAAATCCAAATTTTTCTTGAATTTTTTTCTGAAATCCGAAAAATTGCTAAAAATTTTTTTTGGAAAAAAATCACCCAAGTTTTTCAAAAAATTTTAATTTTACATCAGATTTTTCCACTCATTTTCTTGAAATTCCAATAAAAATCAACAAATTTGAAATTTCATACCAACAAAAAAAAAGCCTCATCTCATCTCATAATTACCATAATATTTCAGAGACTCTTCTTCGAAAATATAATTTTTTTGCAAAAGATTTACGACTCTCGTTTTTTGCGCTTCAACCACCAAACCACATATTTCATTTCTCTTTTTCCTCGTTTTTTTTCAGTTCCAGTTTATTTTATTTTATTTTAGTTGGCTCATCAAATGTGCTCCCAAATCTTTTCCAAACTTTGGTCTAAAAATTAAAAATGCTTCTGACACATCTGTTTTTGACACCTACAGTATCTTCCATATTTGTGCATAAAATGCAAATATTTTATAGTTTGAGGGTCGAGCCAAGTTTTGTGGAGTGAGTGAACAATTATAAAAAAAAAAAGAAGAGAGCATTGGAGCTTTTTCTTTTGAGAATATCCTTGAATAAACAACACTCTCTTCTCTCCTCCTCTTTTTTTTCGCCTATTTTGCATTGGTTTCAGGGTCCGCTCCATTTTTTCACACTTTATTTTATTGAGCATTTTTTTTAATTGGGAGAAACAACTGACACTCTTAACAAAAACATAATTAGATTTTTATTTAAAAAAAAAACATTTTTAAAATTGTTTTTTTTCTGTTGTCTTTTTTCTCTGGACCTAACTTTTTTTTCTTTTTTTTTCGAAAATTCTAATTATGTACAGATGTTAAATACATTTCTTCTCATTTTCCCTTTTTCTTTCCCAAACCCCAAAAAACGACTAATCCATCGTACTACATTTTACTTTTTTTTCTTCTTTTTTTCCTTTCACACACAACATTGCTCATATTAACTACATATATAATCAAAATGACCAACTGTGCTTTTTCTCTCTCAATATCTCTAGCCCCAAGGGTGGTTCTCTTTGGCTCATATGTCGTTTCTATTCTATACATCGTGTATCTTTTTTTGAAATCGCCACAACAAAATAACATTTCGCTGCTTTTTCTGCTAATTTTTGTTTGCGATGTTTTTTTTTGTTTTGAAGTAAAACTAGCCTGGGACCTTTTAGAAAATGTAATCATTTTTACGAAATTTTTTATATGACATCATCCCTGGTAAAACCCTGGTACCATAAAAAAAAGAAAAAAAAGAAAAAAAAAAGAAAAAAACAACGAGACTCCGCGTTGACGACAACGCGCGTGGTTTAATAAATGTATTTGTGCTTCCATTTTTCGGTTTATCGAAATGTTTTGATTTTTTCTCTGAACTAGAAAAAATTGAGAAAATTTGGGCTTTGAAAGTGCCCACATTTTTTTTTTGAAAAAAAAAACCATCAGCTGTTTTTATGAGGTCAATCTTATTTCATCGTCATTTTTTTTCTCAAAAAATATTTGTTTATATTTTGATTACTACAAATTTAAGTTGATTGAAGGCTATAAATCATCTAAACCAGAGAAAAACTTTCATCTTTTATTTATAGTTTCCAAAAAATAAAAAAAAACAACGACGCTCCGCGTTGACGACACCGCGCGTGGTTTAATAAATGTATTCGTGCTTCCATTATCGAAATTTTCCGAATTTTTTTCGAAAAAAAAATCTATCAGCTGTTTTTATGAGGTCAATCTTTTTTATTTCATCAATATTTTTTCCGACAATATAGTTTTCTCACATTTGTTTATATTTTGATTACTAAAGTTGATTGAAGGCTATAAATCATCTAATGTTTGTTGTTTTTTCTGATTGTTTATCCTCATACCAGATGTTGTTCGTCATTTTATATTTTCACATATTTTCTCAGAATTCTTCTGAATCAACTCTTCCTTCCTTCCTGATTAATCAAACACATGAACTTCCTCTTCATTTTTTTCCTAATTACATCTCTTGAGAATTCCATAAACTTCTATTTCCACTTCATATTCTATTCCATTGTCCTTTTCTCTTCTCAACAATGTGCTCTAATTAAACTTTTCCATTTTTTCTCTCAACTCTTCTCTGAAAATAAAAGTTTCAGAAATGTCAAAATCAATATCTATACCACAAGCTTTGAGTGATCTCAAAAAGAATTCGTTGAGAAGATTGAGTAGTGCAAGAATGGGAATACTGACAAGTTCTTCGAGTAGCAGTGGAAGTTCGGACAAGAAGAAAGCTAGTTTGACACCTGGAACACCGTTGACTGGATTTGTGATTTTAGTTGAGAGGGATGGAGATATTGTCAGATTATATGGTGAGTTCGGAATGTTTTGTTTTTCAAGGGGAATCTCTGGGAATATCTGGATTTCCAAATTTTTGAAGAAAATCTGAAAATTGCCACGTTTAAGTTGCATTTTTCAAAAATCTTCTGCCATGTTGAATTCCAAAGACTTCGGAGTACTGTGGGTTTTGTGAATATCTCAGGTTCTGGTTATTGTGGTAACTACAGTGTAGTTTATGATTTCAAGAAAAAAAATTCAATTTTTGTTACATTTCACTCAAAGCACGTCGTGCCACCACACAAATCCGAGGAGACGCAGAGAAAAAGACACCGTACTCCTCCCCGGTCGTTCAGGTGAATCGCTGCAAAACCAATTGCCGAAACCGTACTCTCCCCGGTCCCTCAGGTGCATCGCTGCGAGACCACACAAAATCTCTGCGTCTCCACGAAATTATCTTTTCCCATTTTTCTGGCACGACGTGAAAGTCCCGTTCATTTTTAGAAATTCAAAAAAAAAAATTGAAATGAAATTTAAATCCTAAACTCACGTAAAACTATTTTTTATTTCTTCACGTCAATTTTTTTCAAATTTTCTGGAAAAGCTACAGTAATAAAGGTCTTTGATGTTCTAGAACTTTACACATCTAACAAGGGAACCTTTTTTACTCAACACTTCAAATCATGATGAAATTTGGTCCATGGACACCTATTGGGACCATAAGAACACCCTAAAATTTTTAGTCTCCCAATGGACCTCTGAGCCAAGTTCTGGGCTCTCAAAAACTCAAAAAAGGCCTAAAAATGGTCATAAGAGGCATCATAGCTTCATTTCAAATTTTTTTTTGGGAGAAATGAAGTTTCTGATAATGATCAGCATAGTCGATTACCTAAAAGTCAATCAATAAAAAACTTTATTTCGAAAAATTTTGAAGTTTTTTATTTTTGGGCTGAAAATTCATGAAAATTCATATGTGCCCCTGCTCATTCTTTTTTTCAAAATCAAAAATTTTTCCGAAAATTTGATTTAATGATGGTTTTTGGGTAAATCGACCACGCTGATCATCATCTGCTACTCAGTTTTTCATAAAATTGATCGAAAATTGAGTTATGACGTGTTTTATGAGCCAATTTCGGCAATTTTTGAACTTTTGAGAGCCCAGAACTTGGCTCAGAGGTCCATTGGGAGACTAAAATTTCTAGGGTGTTCTTATGATCCCAAAAGCTGTCCATGGACCAAATTTCATCATGATTTGAAGTGTTGAGTAAAAAAGGTTCCCTTGTAAGATTTGTCCTTCATCTCAAGAACTTTTTGATTAGCTACAATCTTTTTAGGAACAGCCGCAGAACGTGCTGGTTTAAGTGTTGGTGATGAAATCATCGGAATCAACGACATGAAAATTGATGGGAAAAAATATGATCAAGTTATTGAATATATTCAAGATTGTATCCGCAAAAAGATCATTCAACTCAAAATTCGAAGAAGAGCGCTGGAAATTCCCGCGGAAAATGAGGCTTCTGTGTTTAATTGTGAGTTCTTTTGAGTTGCTGCTGAAATTATTTGTTAAAAATGTATGTTTTCAGGCGCAACATCGAATCGTTTGGTAACTGATGCATATTTGGTATCAGTTGAAAAAGAGCACATAAAAGAAGTTATCAAGCGATTGAAAAAGTGAGTTTTTTCCCTTTTTTCTAATTTATTCTGACTACTATTTGTTTATTTTGCAACTCTTCATTTTTCGAGTACTTTCTCATATGGTAATTACTGTTGACTCTTTCTTTCCTCTCGACATTTTTTCTGGGTCGAGTTGACCGCATTTTTTTAATTAAATAATTAATTAATAAGAAAAAACACGAAAAAGTGTAATTCCAGCTACTTAATTTCTTTGAAGGAAGAGGTGATTAATCATTTCCTACCTGCGAGTGGGTCTCAATTTTTTGTTGTTATCATTTTTTTATCACAACTAAATATCATGTTTCTCAGACACACAGCCGAACACTTTTTTTTTCAATGTTTAATAATATTTGCTAACATACGTTTTTTTTTTACATCTTGATTTATGAAACTTTGTTGGAGAAATAGTTAGTAGAAACTTTTTTGTATTTTAAAAATTTTGGAAGTTCAGTCAGAATCTACAAAAAGGTTTCTGGAAATTCATCTAGATTTGAAAAATTCCCGTCTGAAAATATAAGTTTCAGAATTTAATTGAACCCGATGAGACCAGGGTAACCATTTTTCTATTAGGAATCGAGCCAGGTCCAAATTTTTTGAGGAAAAGTTTTTGTTGAAACACTTTTCGACAATGGTAAAATTCTTGTCCCATAATGTCGAACTTTTTTGAAAAATTTTCACAATTTTGTTTTGGTTGAAAAATTAATTGGTCACCCTGGTTTGATTGAAAAAATTACAAAACGATTTTTTGATTTTTTTTTCAAATCTAAATTTCACCGCGAAATTCTGATTTTGTCCAAAACTTCAACCTCATAAATGTGTTTTCAACATTTTCATTCCACATTCTATTCCAACAAAAAAACCAGAATACAAACACAACTCGTGCATTCATTCATATTGTGTCCCGCCCGTGTCCCGACTGCCTGGTAACGGGACACAATAATAACAATAAGCTGTCGATGTGCAAACAGCAAAAAAGGTTGTTATTTTGAATACACATTTGTGATGAATGTATGTACATTTGAATGTGTCAGTTTTTGATTATTTTTCATTTTTGTAGCAATCCTCCTCTCTTTTAGCACTCATTCATTCCGACACGGTCTGATTGTTGAATTAATTTTGTTTTTGATGGTGGTGGAGGGCACCCCATACATACAATAAAATGTGAGCGCATTATTGTTGTTGTAAAGGTCGTATATTGATCTGGTTGCCTGCCCGTTAGTTACATGGTTTATTATTATTTTTATTTGTCAGAACAACAATATTTTTATTCGTATCCTCCAACTAGTTTTAGGTATTATATTCCGATTTGGACACAAATTCTATTTTTTCCCTCAAATCATCCGGTTTCTCTCGTTTTTTTCCTCTAGATAGTTCAATCTAATTTGTTCGTTCCCGCCTTCTCTCAACACCTAATTATATTATTCCCTAATAACCATAAAACGGAACCCACGGATATCTTGTCGGTCGGTGTCCTTTTATCCAATTATTTATTTACCACATTGCACCAGGTGTGTCTTTGCAAAAAAAAACAAAAAATATTTTTGCAAGAAAACTCGAACCCGCATAGCGTGCCTCAAAAAACTAACGCTCTACCACTCCGCTAGACGCGTCACAATTTCCACAGGTTTATTTTTCTTCATTATTTCGACTTAAAAAATGAAGGTTCCCTTGTAAATATTATTATTTTCTTCATTTTCTAAAACAATAACAACACCAATTGTTCATTTTTCCTTCTTCATTTTCTGTTTTTCTTTCCGTTCTCGCCTCAAATATAATTATTTGAATTTCCGATTTTTCCCTTCCACCGAGACGGATTAAAAGAGCCAGGTGCACACACCGTTTCACCCCATTTTCGGCCCAATTGTTCCTTTTCTCCCCGTAAAAAATGCGTTTCACGAAAAAGATTGTATCGTGTTCATTTTGCTTACTTATCTGTCTCCAAAAATCTTTTTGTTTGTTGTGTATTTTTTTCGAGAATTTTAAAATTTTATTTTTTTTATTTTTTCTGTGACTAACACTTTATTTTTGTTATCATTTTGGGTCTGTCCATAATTTATCAGTTTTGAAACAGCACCACACTTTATTGTTTTTATGAATCACTTTTTTCGCTAGTTTCGACCTTGCCCTTATTTTCTAAGTTAGTTAAGGTTTATTTTTAGAAATCAGAAAAATTAAGCAATAATTTTTAAAAGTTTTTTTTGTGGCTCAGCTCAAGAAGAGTAACTTTCAAGCTCGTATTTTCTCCAAAAAAAAGTGCCAAATTTAGCCTCCAAAAATATTTTAACATTTTCAGAGAATATCCAGAAATTCGAACATATGACATGGAACATATCGCAGCAAATACACCCACAAGATTAGGAATCGAAAGGGGTTCTCTACGAAGGCCACCGGAAAATCTAGAACTTCAGGAAAAACGAAAACAGGAGCAAACATTTCTTCGAAGTTCGTTGAGAAAATCAAAGAAACTCAAATTGTTAGCGAGAAGTGTTGAAGAAACCAGTAAGTTTTCTATTTCCAAAAAAATTATTACAAAGGAAATTACAAATTTCAGAAGTAACTTCGTTTGCTAATCCGGTTGCTGAAGTTGAAGAAGAGCAAAAAAGTATACATGTGGAGAAAACGGAAAATGGAACAACGAGAATATCGATTGGTGGGGATGAACCGACTGAAGTTATGGTTGATGAAGAAAGCAAAGATGGAGGAATTCGTAAGTTTGGGGCGAAAGGGAAAAAATAAAAAAAAGCTGCGGGCGTTGGGAATCGAACTCGGGTCAAAATAATAACAACCTATCCACTTATCCACTCGGACATGCACGCTACATTTTCATTGCGCCGATTTTTCCTGAAAATGGCGCGCCGAAATAATTATTTTTTTTCAGACATGGAAGAAGTTACAATATCTGTGGAGAGAATAGTTTCAAAATTATCCTCATTAGGACATGAAAATGACGTGGCAATATTCCGTGATTTCTTCGCTGCTCCTCCAATTCAAGCAGCCATCGAACAAACAGTAAAAGCTCAAACAATTCCATCAACAGATTCTGGAAATGATACATCATCTTGCACTTCTTCACCAATTCCACCATCGTCTTCACAAGATCAGAAAGTGAAGATTGTTTCAGTTTTAAAGGATGAAGATAGTTATCTTGGTGCAACTGTTAGAAATGAAGATAATCGAATTGTTGTTGGAAGAATTGTTAAAGGTGGAATTGTGGAGCGAATGAATTTATTTCAAGAAGGCGACGAATTATTGGAATTGAATGGAGTTTCTTTGAAAGGAAAACAGGTTAATGAAATTTGCGATATTTTGCGGAATCTTTCTGGTGAAGTTAATTTTGTTGTTGCGGTCAAAGAAACGAATGAAAATGATGAGACAACAATTGTGAATAAAACTAAGATTCAACATGTTCAACATCTTCGAGCACTTTTTGATTATGATCCAGAAGATGATGTTTATGTGCCTTGCAAAGAATTGGCTATGAAATTTACAAGAGGCGATATTTTACATGTTTTTAATACGAAGGACGAGAATTGGTGGCAAGCTTATCGAGAAGGGGAAGATACTTCACATTCCCTAGCTGGACTTATCCCAAGTTCATCTTTCAGACAACAGTAAGTTCTATAATTGAAGAAAAACGTTTTTTCCATAATTTTTTAAAAATTTTTCCAGAATAATTCTTTATGTGGATGAACTTGAAAGAGAGCATGATCTGAAGAAAAAAGATTCGAAAAAGAAGAAATCGAAGTCTAAACTTGAACCCAGGAAAGCTGCAGATGAAGAAAATTTAGAGCCAATATCTGGATATTCATCTGATATGCTGACTTATGAAGAAGTTGTTCTTCAACTTCCAAAGGCAAATCATAGAAGACCGATTGTTTTATGTGGAGCTGAAGGTGTTGGATGTTTGAAGTTACGAGATCGATTACTTGAATCTGATCGGATTACATTAGCATGTCCAGTTCCATGTGAGTAGATAAACCTTATTCCAGGAGACGTTTCCAAAAAAAAAAAATTTTCAGACACTTCACGAGCTGCAAAAAATGGTGAATTCGATGGCGTCCATTATCACTTCGTCACCAAACAAAAATTCCACGAAGAAGCCAAATCGGGAAAATTCGTGGAATACGGAGAATATCAAAAATATTGGTATGGAACATCGAAAAAAGATGTGGTAAATGTAATTGAACGCGGCAAGACTTGTGTGATAACATTGAAGCCAGAAAGTCTCGGAGCAATTCGATGTCAAGAAGTTCAGCCGTTTATAGTGTTTATCGCTGCGCCTTCTTTGCATGTTTTGAGAAAACAAAGAGAATCTGAAGGAAGTTTTGGAGCGAAGGATGATGATCTTAAATCTATTTTGGGGCAATCCAAACAAATTGAAAATGTGAGTTTTTTTTTGTTAAAGACAGCTAACCATTTGGGAAGGTTTTCCAGAAAATTTAGAATTTTCATTTTTAAATACTGTAGTTGACAAATTTTGTTGTGTGCGATTTTGCGTCGCGGTGTGTGTGTAGCAGAAATGGTTTCCCGCGCTTTTCAAAGTTTTTTGAATTTAATTTTTGGAAAAACAGGAAATGAAAGCTAATGGGGTGATTCAAGTTGAAAAAGAAATAATAAAAAAAGATTTTTTGACAAAAAGTTTCGATTCAGCAAATTTCAAAAATTTTTTCCTATTTTCTAACATTTTTTTCATCGAAAAATTTTCGCTGCGAGATATTTTTCATTTTTGTGTGAAAAAATAGGGTTTTTTGAGATTTCCTGAATCGAAATTTTTTGTAAAAAATTTTTTTCGAACTAAAAATCTGTAAAACCATCTCAAAACTATATTTTCCTTGAATTTTTCAGAAATACGGTCATCTATTCGACGGAATCATTGTCAACATCGATTTCGATCGTTCATTAAAAGAGCTCAAAGAAATGCTCCGTAAATTGAACACCGAACCATCTTGGGTTCCAGCCACCTGGTGCTCTTCCTAATTAAAAAAAATTCTAATTAAACATTCCTTTTCCCCGGGTAATCCAAAAAAAAGTATTGTCTAAGTCATCTCTTTTCTCGGTTGTGTTTTTTTTATTTTTGAAAATTAATATTCATTTTTTTTTAAATAAATACATTAAAGGCACATTATTAAAGAAATCACAAAAAGTTACAAGATAAAAAAAATAAATTATTCCTCACAATTTTCCAGATATTTTTCAATTCCAAAATTTTTCAAATCTATCAGATTTTTTGTGGATTCGCCAAGTTTTTCTAAATCTTCGCGGGTTGGCAAAGGATGATCGATGAAAAATGCGGGAAAACATTCTTTGATTGATTTTTTGATGTCTGCCACGTGGATCAGACGATTATCGATTATTTTTTGAGTATTTGTTGGATGCATGTCTTTGATATGTTTTGTTAACATATCTCGACATTGATGGCCCTGAAAATAATCTTTTTTTTTCTAGTTTTAAAAATATCACAGTGTGTATTTCACAAAACTCACAACTTCACAAACTGGACATTGAAATAATTCCGCTTTCATATGACTATAAGCATGTTCTGGCATTTTATTAGCTACCAATTTACTACAAATCTGACAATACGAAAATTCGTTGACCTTCTTCCGACAGAATTGTGTTCCTCCGATTAGAATTGAAATATTCCTGGTGACCGCCGCAACTTCTTTTTGTTTTTTCGATTTTTTCCCGCGAAAATTGAAGCGACTGATTTTCCTTTTTCTTCTTGCACTTCCAGTAACTTGTTCCTCTTCTTCTTCACCGTCTTCTTCAATTTCTTCCTCATTTTCAGTCTCTTCGACATCTTCTTCCAGATTTTCCTCAGTTTTTTCAATTTTTGGTAGATCAATAAAATCTTGAAGGGTTTCGAGAAGAACATCAGCTTCAAGTTCAGCTTCTTCATCGATTAATGTCAAAGGAGATGCATCTCCGCTTTCATTTTCGCGCTGAAAACGTGAATTTGTAATTTTTGGGCTTGATCCAAACTTTCGGAATCTTTGGCACAATTTTCTACAGTAGCCTTTTAAGAGTTTCTGGGCTCAAATTTTGCTGAAAATAAATGAAAGCGTTTTTTTTCAGCACAAAATTTTGAGCCTAGATACTTTTCAAAAAGTTACTGTAGAAAATTGTGCCAAAAGTTCCAAAAATTTGGATCAAACGGATTACTGTAAAAAATATTTTTCTAGATCAGAATTTCGCGTTGAAAATGCTGGAATTATTATTTTCAACAATTTTTGAATATTTTCAACATATTCATCACAAAATTTGAGCCTAGAAACTTTTCAAAAGCAAAAAAATGTGCCAAAAATTCCGAAATTTTGGATCAAAGGATTACTGTAAAAAATATTTTTCTAGATCAGAATTTCGCGTTGAAAATGCTGGAATTATTATTTTCAACAATTTTTGAATATTTTCAACATATTCATCACAAAATTTGAGCCTAGAAACTTTTCAAAAGCAAAAAAATGTGCCAAAAATTCCGAAATTTTGGATCAAAGGATTACTGTAAAAAATATTTTTCTAGACTGAAATTTTGCGCTGAAAATGCTGGAATTGTTGATTTTCAGCAATTTTTGAATATTTCCAGCATTTTCAGCACAAAATTTGAGACTAGAAACTTTTCAAAAGCAAAAAATTGTGCCAAAAATTCCGAAATTTTGGATCAAAGGATTACTGTAAAAAATATTTTTCTAGACTGAAATTTTGCGCTGAAAATGCTGGAATTGTTGATTTTCAGCAATTTTCATTATTTTCAGCGTTTTAAGCACAAAATTTGAGGCTAGAAGTAATTTTTAGGATTTATCCAAATTTTCGGAATCTTTGGCACAATTTTCTACAGTAGTTTTTGAAGAGTTTCTGGGCTCAAATTTTGTGCTGAAAATGATGAAATTAGTTAAAAGTGCTGGAAAATCAAAAATTTCAGCATTTTCAGCACAAAATTTGAGGCTAGTAACTCTTCAAGAGCAAAAATTGTGCCAAAAATTTGGATCAAACGGATTACTGTGAAAAATATTTTTCAAGATCAGAATTTTGTGCTGAAAATGCTGAAATTATTAATTTTCAGCAATTTTCATTGTTTTCAGCACAAAATTTCAAATTTTTAGACTTCTTAAACTTTCTAAAATTGGTTTGTTTTTCTCACCTGAACATTGGCAGCTGGTATTTTATTTTTCCTTTTGCTTTCTTGCGCAAACAATGATGAAATACCAAAACAAGCTTCACTCATTTCTTTCACATCATCCTGATATTCTCCAATTCGATCTTCAACACAATCATCTGAACCGTGCTCTTTTTTTCCATGAACTTGCACAGATTGAGAACGATCGTGTCCAAAATCACACTGTTTACAAGTATATCGATTGATTCCTTTATCTTTAGCCATATGCCATAAAATATGAAATCCACGGATTCGATTTTGCATTGTTTTTCCGCATAATCGACATTGAAGTGGATGATCTTCATCGGGAACAAGTTTCAATGGAAGAAACCCTGAATTTTTTTTGAATATTTCTTTTTCTTTACATAATCTCAAAATTAACTAACATCTTCCAGATTAAAAATTCAAATTCATAGTACATGGATTTATCAAAAATAAAATTCAAATTCAGAAAAAAAAACAAAAAGTTTTTAACACAACCTGTTGGACCCAGAAGGAAAATTGAGGACAATAACAAGAAAAAATCGCAAAATGTGACCGGAAACAAATAATGCACAACACAACATTTAGGAAATCTGTCGTTTCAAAATTTGAACTTATGAAAGTTTGTTTCGAGTCTCATAGCGCGATATGGATTATCAGATGGAAGAGAACTTATATGGCCTAGAAAACCAAATTTTTCCTCTTTCAATACAAACGATCAAAAGAGTTCCGAAGGATTTGAGATTACTGTAGCTCTTATTGTTTTTGATCTACCAAAAATTTTCAGTAACATTGGGGAGATGAAGCGTGTTGAATAGACAATGGGAAAAATAAAGCCCGAAAATTATTAGACAGGCACCCACCCAAATGAAAAAAATCAACAAAAAATGTTAGTATTCAATTTTTTAGACCTTTTTTGATAAATCCACGCACCATGATTCGAATTTCTAACTTTTTCGGTTCAAATTTTGAAACGACACAAAACAATATTCTCTAAAATTATAGCAATCCTACTGTAATTTTGAAATCCGTACCGTTTGTTGACACATTGTTTGATGAAGCAGAAGTGGAGATCGATGACGATTTTGCAGCTTTATTTGCATTCTGAAATCGGCCCGAATTTTGTTTGTTTTTTTAATCAATCAAAAGGTAGAGTTAACAAAGGGAAAACATTGTTACTTGATTTTTTTTTTAGAAAAAAATCAATATGACTTCCGAAATCCCGCGCACACCAAACCATGACAAACCTTTTTCGCATTTGCCAATTGTTGTGCCGCATACGCAATTTCAGCTTTTGCCGCAGTTGGACCCGGAATCGTGCCATTTTTTGTGCCCAATAGTTCCATGCTCAGATCCTAAAAGGAAAAAAATGTTAATTTCACACCAGGGAAAAAATGGTTTAAAGCAGGATAAATAACATATCACAACGTGCAAAAAGACAACAACAACGTCATGCAGAAATGAAATCACATCACAACACCAACCTGTAAATCTGGTGACCAGGATAAAAGATTTGAGCGCGATGCTCCGCCGGCACGATGAGCAACAAATAATTCATGATTCAATTCCTGCAAATGTGGTGAGGGTGTGACTTGAAAAATGTAGTGAATACACATATAAAACTTATTATCACCACCACCAATATTATTGGAGTAAAAAAATTTGGCACTCTTCCCAAGTACGGTGTTCCTGAGTCGCTGCGAGACCCCTTGTTAGTGACGCAGAGGAATACCGTACTTGGAGAATGTTTTTTCAAAATAGGTTAAGGTGCGACTATTTTCTGATTTGTGCGGAAACATTTAAAAACAAAAAATGAAGAAAATAAAAAAAGCTTACCTGACATTTTTGAAAAAGTTCCAAAGATCGATCTTCCATCATATCTGGATCAATTCTTCCGTGCATTTTTGATTGATGATTTTCCATTTGATCTTTTCTATAATGTTCAATTGTACATCCTTCGTGTTTACATTTAAAGCGATAGATCTGGAAAAATTGAGACTTTGGAATTTCGGGTAACTTCAGAGTAAAATTCTTACATTCTCATCTTTCGCCAAATGGAAAAACATATGCATTTGTCTTGCGCCGGCAGTAACTGGTTTCTGGCATTTGCTGCATTCACCAAGTACACGTTTTTTGGAAACGCTTGAAGTTATCTTTTTTGTTTCCGATGATTCGATGGTGTTTGGGGTTGATCCGAAAAGAGCAGCAACATTATCGAGAACAGAGCTGGAATAATTTATTGTATTTAAAGGAAGCTAATCAGTTGGAAATGCGCCTGAATGACCTGGCAACGGAGATTGTGAGCACTTTTAAAATGTTCAAATTTTGATGAATGAAACTCGGCCACCGAAATAGTTCGGTTATATCTCATATTTTTTTCAGTTCTTTATTGCTCATAATCTCCGTAGCTTCGTGGGTGGTCTGAAATAGCTGTCTAACCTGATTCAAAACTTACATTGGGTTCAAAGCATCGAGCGGATCATCAAATGCATCATTTTGCTCATTTGACAAATCATCAAGATTCAATTTGTTATTTGCTCCAAAAAGCGATGCAAGTGCTGAATTTCCATCCAAGTTCAAATCATCCAATGAAAATGTTGCTAAAAATAAAATGTTATTAAAAATCTATTGTTTGTTCAAAACTCACGTTGTAATTCATTTTCTTCATTTTCCCCATTGATTTTCGATGCTTTTGCAACAATTCCATCCAAAGTTGCATCAGAAACTGGAACAATATCAACAGTTGCACTTCCAGAAGGAATCGAATCAAATGGCCGTTTGTGTCCTCGACTTGTCCCATTTTGTTTTGATTTTGGTGTAGCAATGTCGGAGACAGAGAAATCGAGAAGTTTCAAAAAATCCGCTGCAACTTGTGCCTGCTGTTTCTCTTTTTCCTTAATCGAAGGAGTCGAATCATTTGAAGTTGCCGTATTTCTTCCAGATGATTGATTCGATCCGCGACAAGTTTTCGGTGAATTCGGCGACGCGTTTATCCTTTTCGCCACATTTCTTGCAAAACATTTGTCCATGAGTATTTGCAGTTGTCTTTTTGCACCAACATTATCCACATAAATGAATTTGTTCATATTTTTATTGTGTGTCGCATGTAAATGTTCTCTCATTTGTGCATCACTTGCTCTTTCAACCAAACAAATTGGACATTGAAATGGTAACCAATTCAGATGTTCTGTTTTTAGATGTGTTTCCATATCTTCAGATGTTGATTTTTTGACACCACATTCAACACAATTCAGATTCATATTTGGGGAATTATTCGATATGAATTGAGGTTCTTTTGGCGAATTTGTTGAGGATGAAGCAATTGATCCAGCTATCAAATTTCCACCACTTGATGAACCATTTTTGAGGCGAGAAGCTATGTCATCAATACCATTTTTCACTTGCATCGATGCTGAAAAACAAGCTCATAAGGGGTCTATCCAGAATTTTTTGAAATTTTTTCTCATTTTTTTTATCAACTAGAGATATTTGGATTTTTTATGGATAAAAATACTTTAACTGAAGTGGAACTTTGAACTTCAACTTCCAAAATTCAGACATTGCTCATATTAAACAAGATTTTTGGGTTTAGACTTGAAAGTTGGACAATGCGCAAAATTGATCTACAGTACTGATTTTCCTATCGAGACCCAAAAATTTCAACTCATATTAAACGCAAAAAAGTACTAAAAACTGTGGACTTCAACCAAAACTCAGAAATTACAGTAACCCAAAACCCAAAAAAACTCACAATTTGCCTGAATCAAAAATTGTTCGAGTAGAGCTTTTTGTTTATCATCAAGATTCAATAAATCCTTTGAAGAAAACCCGTTTTGATGTGTAGTTTCATTCATTTCCAAGTTTCGAATTTTGTTCCGAATTCTGGAAAACAAAAGAAAAATTATGAGATGAGAGAAACTCAGCCAACAAAAAAAGAACGAAAAAAACGAAAAGAAAAACTGGTGAAGGCAAGGGACAAAAAGTGAAGAAGAATCTTCTTCTTCATCTTCTTCTTCTTTTTTTCGACGTCTCCTCTCCAAACGGAGGAGAAATCGGGTGAAAATGAAGAACACACGAAAGAACAGTGAGTGTAAAAGAGACACAGAGCGACGGACATCCCGGCCGCTATTTACCAAAAACTATGTGTGAGTGTATTCGGGGGGAAAAAGAATAATATCAGAAATGAGGAGAGTTGACAGACATAGACAAATTGAGCTGATGAAATGAAATGAAGATGAAGAAAAACTGGAGATAAACTGAAGGAGATGATGGAAAAAATGAAGAAGAAATAACTAACACAAAAATTGTGAGGTCAAATACTACAATTCTAACAAGGAAAGTTCAGGCTATAAACTTTTTATAAGACTTCGTAAACCTATAGATATATCCGAACATAATCTGTTTTCCATTTTTTCAAGCAGTTTAGCCTAGTGGTTTTCATGGCTGCCGACTACTTACAAAACCAGGGTTCGACCCCGCTCTACGTTTTTTTCGAATAATTGTCTCAAAATTAAAAATGAAAGAAATTCTAGATTATTTATTCCATGAGGAAAAAAGGTCACGCGAACCCGCAAAAATTTCAAGACCACCTCCCATCATGAAAAAACACAATGTGACAAACATAAATATTATTCGAAAAATATCAGCAGGCAACAAAAAGAGTGACTGGGGGCACAAAAAAGAAGAAGAAGAATCGATCGATCGATTCTGAATAGAACGACGATGAAGAAGAAGAAGACGAATAATATGCAAAAAGGAGAAGAGGAATAAGAAGAATGTGACACAAACTATGTATATGTGCTGATAAGAAGAAGAATAAGAAGAAGAAAGGACAGAATGAAGAAAAAAGGGCGACGTAGATGAATGAAGAAGGAGAAGAGGAGGAGAAGAGGATTCTTGGTATACACAAATATAATTAGACAACACAGTGATGATGAGGAATCAAGATAAGAATATGATGAGGTCAAGTTGAGATGATGATGACTTCATTTTGGTAGATCAAATAATTGCGCAGGACTCTGAAGTATTGTAGGTGCATAGCAAAACACTTTTTGAAGTTTAGGAAAGATACCGCTACTGAAAAATTTATAATAAGTCAGGTGCTCAATTTCAATGATAGTCTATGGACGTTCGTATGAACTTAAATTTTCCAAGTTATCTTGTGAAAAGTAAAAAAGAAGAAATCGCTGAGCAGAAATACTTGCTCACTCCCTCTTCAAGTGTCTTTGTGAGATGAAGTCATATTTCTTCATCTTGTTTTTCATCCCGCGCAAGAAGAAGAGAGTACACATACAGAAAATGAGAAGAAGACGAATGACTTCTGATTCTCAAATGAAGAAGAAAATTTGTGGGGGAAAAACAACAAAGAAGTGCAGCAGAAACACACAATGAAAAAGAAGAAGAAGAGGAGAAAAATGGTGGCGGAGCCTAGAAGAAGGCAAGAAGCAAGAAGAGAGCTAAATAAACATTCCGAAGGTTGGCTGATAGACGGGAGACAGACTATTTGAAGAGCAGAAGAAGAAGAAGAAGTCGATTCGGAATCGATCGATCGATACCGTTATTTCCGCTTTTTCGTGTTGTTGTTGTTGTTCGTTGGAGAAGAGTTCTAATAGAGGAAGAAAGGAAAAAGGGAAACAAGGTCGAAAGGTTTTGGGGATAAAAATGAAGCAAAATGAGAAGACAGACAAAGAAACATTAGGCAAAGAAATAAAGATCATTATGTTTTTCTGGATGCAAGAGATGCCTTTTGGAAATTAAGGGGGAGAAATGAGCCCTTAGATCTAACTTAATTCTTCAAAAAAGATTCCTCTACAGAGAACTGTGGGGTTTTCAAGGTTATTGTTCCGAAAAGATGGAAACTTGAGCTTATAGTGTACCGTGTTCAAAAATTATTTCATAACCCAAAATCTCAAATCCAAAAAGGCCGAACGATTGCAATTCATACAGACATACAAATATAACATGTATATAAATATATATATATATATATTTGTCGTCAATTCTTCTTCTTCTTCTCTTTCGGACAAAATCCGGCAAAAGGTGTGTAAATATGAAGAAAGAAGACGAAGAAGAGCTCTTCTTCTCGTCTTCTTCCTTCTGTCACTAATCACATACTCACAGCTCATCCATATTATATTCAGAAGACGAGGAAAAAGACGCCCTTTCTCTAGAAATCAGGCACCAATTCAATTGGTTTCCATGGAGCAGGCACCCCAGAAAAAAAAAGAAGAGCTAAGAAAAAATGAAGAAAAGCAAACGAAAACAAATATGAAATGAATGAAGATGAAGAAGAAGAAGAAGTAAAAGAATAAAACTTTCTTTTTTCTCAAGAGTTTGTCGAGTCACTGATAAGAGCACATTTACACTCCTCTTCTTCTTCTTCATCGTCCTCATCTGCTTTTTTATTCTTCTTCTTCTTCTTATTTTTTTTTCTTGGAAAATGAGACGAAGAGAATATTAACTGATAACGTCATCAGGAGAAACAATTTTCGAAAAAAAAATGTGGCGACACAAAAAATAATGAGAAAAAGATTTCACTCAAGTTCGTGCGGAGATTGGAACTTTTTTCAGAACCTTGAGAAAATTTTGGAAAATATTTTTGAGGAGTTGTGAATCGGAGTACAATTTCGAAATAAAAACCAAATTGTAATTTTAAGAGTTCAAAATGGGCTCTCAAGCAGTGGCTCCTTGAAAATTGAACTTTCAAGGCGCGGTTCCTTGCCAAAGTGAATCTCTCCATGCGGGTCCTAGACAATTGAGTTCTTCAGGAACGGCTATTTGAGAACTAGGCTTTCTAGGCGCTGACACTTGACAATTAAATTTTCTAGGCTCAGTTACTTGAAAACTAGAAAACCTAGGCTCGACTACGGAAGCTTTCAAGGCGAGGCTCTTCGGAGTTTCGAATTCAACGTTTTTATTATTGAAACCCACGACCTTAGCCAAAATGAATGTGGTTGAAAAAGTTAGAAAACAAACTCTGTCAAAAAGTGATCGAAAAAAAAGAAGAGAATAGAAGAGCAAACAAAGAAAAGAAGAAGAAGACAAAATCCAGGAAAAAACTTTAACAAAAAAAAAATAAATTTCCGGATCGGCATCACGTAAATTCTCAAAATTCAAGAAGGAACCCCAACTTGAAACAAAACGCAGTGTATTTTTTTCTGTTGCAGCACCACACCGTCTTCTGAATCTCACTCTTTCACACTATTTCCGTTTCTCTGGGGAACCGAGAAGCTCTGCGTCTCTTCGTCTCACACACTATTTTGTGGGCTCTTCAGAAGAATCTTCAGTGCATTTTTGAAAAGGAGAAGGAGAAGAAGAATTTTTGAGAAGCCTTTTTTGGAGCAGAAGCGTTTTGAGACAAAAATAGTTTGCTCCGCCCATTTTCTAAAGGATTCTGATGAGTTCAAAAGCTCATTTGGATTTTCTTATGAAACAAAAGAATAACCTCGAAAATACAACAAAACCAAAAACGATTTCAATCTTTATATTTAGAAGATGTCAGAAGAAAAAAGGAGAAAAACGAAGAAGACGAATGAATTGGACACAGAGGTCACTTCTTCTTCGTTTTGCTGTATCACTTTTTGAGAAGAAGAAGAAGAAGAAGAATTCCAAATCGGCGCCCGTCTTCTTCTTCTTTTTCCTTTTTTAGATGAAGAGAAGTAGACGAAACATGATTCTTTCTTGAGATTTTCTCCATTTTCGTGTTTTTTTGGATGAGGAGAGATGAAGAATGAAACGATTTCAAAACTTGAAAGGGATGAAAGGGTTACTGTAGATTTTTTTGTGAATTTCTAGTTTCCAAGCTAAATATTTTCTGAATCTAGCACTTCCAGAAAATATCATTTTTGAATCATAAAATCCTGTAGCACTGTAATTTTTCTGTAGTAAACTTTGAAAAGCCAAAAACAAAGTCATCTATGTTTTTCAACTTGTTTCTTTCTCCAAATATCTGTATTTTCCTATTTTGTCCATCTGTTAGTTCGACCTTGTTATTTTTCTTCTTTCAACAGACAAACGGAAAATAACCTGACTAATTCACACTAAAATGGGCAAACAACCAGCCAGATTCTTCTGAAACAAAATGTTGCGTTTGCAAAAATGATTGGCTTCTTTCTTTTTCTTCTTCTAGTTTCGAGAGAAAATGAATGAGCTTCTTCTTCTTCTTCTTCCACTCAAACATATATATACCACCAGACTCTTCTTCTTCTTGACTTTTTGTCTTTTCTTCAAAGCACATACAACATTTTGCGACTTCTTCTTTTTTCGAATTCATTGGAGTTTTTTTTTTGAGAAGAAGAAGAAGAAGATGAAAATTGAGATGAAGAGGAGCACACACGGAATGAGGGATCGACTCGAGCAACAAAATACATTTTCGACAAAAAAATTCAAGATTTTTTTGTGAAACCAAAAAACATGTTGTATGAAGTGAAAAGTGAAAATGTTCGAAACTTTGAGAAAAATCTTTATTTTTAGAAATTTTGATTTGTGAAAACTAGGGTTGGAAAAAAATACACGGATACACGCGCTCGATACACGGTACACGAATACACGCGATACACGAATACACGAATACACGAATACACGCTTTTTTATAAATTGCTTGAGAAGAGAAGAAAACCGTGTATTCGTGTACAGTGTATTCGTGTATTGCGTGTATTCGTGTATCCGTGTATTCGTGTATCGCGTGTATTCGTGTACCGTGTATTCGTGTATTTGGCTGCGCGTGTATCCGTGTACGCAAATACACTGTTTTTCCAACCCTAGTGAAAACGAAAAGAAAGATAATTTTTGGACAAAAATTTGATCTCTCATATACTGTGACTAAATAAAAAAGGTTTACCAAAAAATCACGAAGAAAAGTTTTGTACCAAATTTTTAGACACATTTTTGGTACGACAAAACTTTTCTTCATAAATTTTTAGTAACCCTTTTTTTTTGAATTTAGTCGCAGCATCTATTTTGAAATCGAAATTTTCATTTTTTTCGAAAAATCATTTTTTTCGAATCAAAAATGTGTTCAGAAAGTCGTACCGATTAGATTTTTCATCGCCTAGGTCTCACCACGAATCTACATTTTTGGCGGTAATTTGTAATTTGCACTGATCAGAAAATATTTACCACACAATTTTGATTATTTCAAACGGGAAATAAACCTTTGGTCTTCGCAAATTCGATATACTTGAATGAAATTAAGCAAATAACAAACAACTTTTATTTTTAGGTTTAGTTTCATTCACATTTTCATTTTCATTTCCAGTTTTTATTCTCAAATCGAAAATTCATGAATTTTTCGCACCTGCAGCAAATAAATTATCAATTTGTTCTTGATAAGCCATAGATTAATATGAATAAACCGAATTAATTCGAATTTTGATCAGTGTTCAATTTTTAAGCCCGTCTGAAAATTTCAGCTTGATTAGCTTGAGTCACATTTAATGAAGATGCTTCATTTTCTTTCAGCCCACTCTTTTTACCTAAATAGCAGGTGTTTTCATCACGCCCGTATTATTTTTAATGATTTTTTAAAAACATTTTCCAAAAAAATATTTAGCTTTTTCAGATGGCTTGTATTCCTCAGAGCTTTTTAGATAGTGCTGAATTGATGAGACCATTATCCCATATAATATCAGCTATTGAAACACCTTTCAATATTTATGGTATACTTTTGATTTATTATAAAACACCATTTCGTATGAGAAGTATGAAATGGACAATGTTAATTGCTCATATTAGCAGTACAATTTCTGATATTATGTTAGGAACAATGACTATTCCATTTGTATTTTTTCCGGCAATTTCTGGAGTTCCTCTTGGAACTCTTTCTGATATTGGGCTCAATGCTTTTGTCCAAACTTTTGTTACAGTTGGATGTATTGGAGGTTGGTAAAAATTTTCTTGTTGAATATTTATCTAATTCATTTTTTTTTTAGAAGTTGGAGCATCAATTGCTTTGATGTTTGAGAATCGACAAAATCAAGCAGTCACTAGTTCTTTCAAAATTCGAACAAAACTTGGACGCTATTTTTTCACAATTATTAATTTGACAATGCCATTTTTCTTCATGTTACCGGTATTTTTACAAATTCCTGATCAAGAAATATCAAAAAATAATATTATAAAGGTAAAATCCAACAAATTCCTGAGCTCATTGAGTTTTTTTTTCTGAAATTTTCTAGGATAATCCATGTTTGTCTCATGAATTTTCCGAATATCCAGTTATAGTTGTTACCGATCAACCTCGTCTTGTTGGAATACTTTTTGTTTTCATAACAGTTTTCTATCTTTCCCAAGCCTTTGTTTTTATTCTTCATTCATCTTGGTATCTTTGCCGATCTGCACATATAACTAATCTCAGTCAAAGAACCAAAAAGCTTCAACGTAAATATTTCACAGCGGTTTGCATTCAAATCGCAATTCCTCTATTGATAATTGCAACTCCAGTTTATTATTTCATATTTTCAATTATCACCGATTACTACAATCAAAGTGAGAATCTTATTAAAATTCTACATATTTAACAATCTTATCAAAAATTTCAGAACTCAACAATTTATGTTTTCTGATAATGTCATTACATGGTTTCTTTGCCACATTAGTCACACTGCTAATTTATGAACAATATCGATTATTCACAATTAATCTAATTCTATGCCGAAAACAACCAGTTTTGACACCAAGTTTTTCGAACAAGAGCACAATTGAAACCACTTTTGTTAATTGAATTGATTAATCTGCCTGATTGAATTTTAATAAATTTCAAGAGAAAGAAAACGAATGAATAAACTATTGAACACACATAAAACATTCAACAAAAAAACAACTAATGTATGATATCATTCCCAACTTCACCAAAGTAATTTTCAAGCAACAGAACATCCCATCAAAAAAGGACGTGAAAAACACATGCTTCACCAGGTTCGTAGCGAGAAATTCTCGTTTTTAGAAATAAATTTTCCATTTTTTTTAAATTCAAAAACTGAACTTACATTACAATACTCGAAAAATCGACATTCAACCAAAATCCGTCAATTTTCTCTCGAAATCCTGATCTTGTTTCGAAAATCAATGCTTTTTTCGGAAAAATTTGATAAAACCTCCAGCTTCATCTTCTTCTAACTCAAAATCTACGAAAAGTCGAAGATATTTGAATTGTTGAGTGAAAAAACCTGCGAACTCTTCAAAAATCCGATTCAATGCCTGAAAATCAACAAATTTTCGAAATTTCTTGATAAATTCACAAACCTTATCAATTTTCTCCATCGCTGAATCCAGCAATCCGATTGAGATAAACTTCCACCAGATTTCAATGTAACAGCAAGAAGTTGGGCTTCTGGAAAAAAAACAAACTGTCAAGTTTCAGCTAACACGTTTTTTGTCTCGGGAACAATAGAAAAATATTGAAATACTCACCGTAAAGCAATTTCATCTCTTCTATTCAAATATCTATAGTTGAAGCCTTGAAAATGTGTTTTTGATGGAGAAAAACTGAAAATGCGCCGAAATCCCCACCTAGTGTGTAAACACCGCGACGCACAAATGCACAGAAATTTGCGCACCGTAGTGAAAACTTTCAAAAAAAAAAACCGGCGGCTCATCGCAAAATGTGTTTTTTCCTCGATTTTCTGACGTTTACACGTGTCGAACTCAAATTTTATTGATTTCAGAATGTCGGGAACTTCCGGATCATCCATCTTCATCTATTCAACAACTTGAAATTGTTCAAAATGCGTGGTAAGTTTTTTATAAATCTGATTATGTTTAGACAGTCAGCATGACTTGTTTCGGGATTTTTCTAACAGTCAATATGAACTATTTCGGTAAATTTGGAATTTTTCAAACATAAGTTTGACATTTTCATGAAAACTGGGGGATGCATATCCCATATTTATTTATGAATTAAAAAAATTCAATTAAGCTTTGAAGTCAGTGATTCGTCGAATCTGGTATCCTCCCAAAATCGCCGGATTTTCGATCAAATTAGTTGTGCAAGTATATGTCGAATTTCTTCGAACATTGAAAGTCAAATACTTGATTCCGTCCTCTTTTTGCTCAAAATATGCGATTCGATCGTACTTGTAGAAAAGTCTCAAGCCAAGTGCGGTTCCGAAATTTTTTTGAACTTCCTTTAAATATTGGGCTGAAGGAAGAAGTTATTTTCCACTGGTTTATAGTGTTTTTTGATATTTGACTCACCCTTATTCTGTACCTTTTTTGTTAATCGTAATTCTCTCAAAATTATCAGTAAAATAAATACCAATCTTCTTAAAACCAATAGTTTCGTGCATTTTCCACAAAGAATCCACAAAATGTTGAGCGGCTTTAATTGCCTTAGGATCAGAAGAACTGAACGAAGATGGGTTTGCCGCCGAATTCTGCGCGAAAAACGCCAAGAATATGAGAAGTGTTTTGGTCGAAATCATTTTTCGATAATACAAATATTTTTGATTTTACCGTGGTTTTTATGTTGATTTTTGCTGATTTTTGGAAATTTTGCAAGAAGATTTTCCACTGAAATACAGTACTCCATGGTTACTGTAAATAATTTGTTTATTTTTCAAAACACAATTTTGATTAATAATTGTAAAAAAAGAAAAAGAAGCGACAGAAAAAAGTTCAAAGCTGGATGAAAAAGCAAGATTATAGGATATTTGAAAAAAAATTAAGTTTTCTGAAAATGATATGAAAAAATGGGCAAGTGAAAAAACAGAGATACAGGAAATAATAACAGGGGTTCAAAATTCCAGACAAAAAATAATTAAAGCTAGGATACAAAGAAATTTCAAGATAAAAGTTGATATGAAAAAAATCGGCAAGTGAAAAAGAGATACAGGGAATTCAGCCCTAAAATGGATTTCTCGAAAAATAAATCAATCCTCCTTCTCCATATCTTCCAACACCGGATTCCAAAGCACAAGTTTCTTACCAGCCGACAAAAATGAGATGAAAGCTGGATTCCATTCAACCAATAATGGTATTTGTTCATGTGGTGATCTTTCAAAAGTATGAACAATTTGGGCAGTTTCAGTTGACCAAATGTGGATGTGTTTGTTGCTACTTCCACAAACGACATATCTCGCATCCGGGGAGAATGAACCTTTCAAGTGGAGTCTCTAAAAAGGATTTTGTTTTTTTTTTTTTAAATTTTGTCTGGGACTTTTTGAAACCTACGGTAGTATTCAAATGTCCTTGAAGAACATGTTTGATTGCTCCGGTAAACGCATCCAAGAGTAGAAGTTTATCAGTGTTTGTTGAAATCAGAATGGTGTCCCCAGCCGGTGAAAATCGCATCGCAACCCAATCATCAGTTGGAATATCAACACTCAAAAAAGGTCCATAGTGATAACTTTTCAAATCATACAGTCTCAGTTTTCCACCACATCCAACTCCAAAAATCGAACCTGTTGGATCGAATTCGGCGACCGCTGTTGATGGCAATGAAATTGTTCCCAGTGATTCCTCTTTCAGAGGCTCCCAAAAACGAATGGTTTGATCTTCGCTGATTGATAGAAACAAATCATCTTTTGGAGATGTGTGAAGTCCAATTATACGGCCTTCGTGACCAGTGTAGTAGCGCGAGTAATTGATTGTCACAAGGTCTAAGTAGCTGATCCTATCTGCAAAAATTGTGTTTTGAGAGCTGCTCTCAGCTCCTTCCCTTCCCAAAAAAACTAACGATCCCCTTTGGTACTAGCAAGAATAGCGGTCTTCGCATCGACAATGAATCTGACATGCGCAGCTCCATATTTTTCGCACCATACAGTCCTTGCTCGAGCTGACTTCTCCAAATCATACAGCCAGACTTGATCACTAATTGTTGAAACGATTGTCATTTGTCCGTTTCGACTCATGGAAAGGCTCTCGATTTGAGCAGTTGAATCGCCAAATACTCGGCCCGGAATCATGGTATTGAAAGCTCGTGGATTGAGTTCAGATGTTGGCCAAGCTTCCAAGTCCTCTCCATTCGGCATTTTTGATTCTGGAAAGTATTTTATTTCACTTCAAAATGAGTTCTAGGAACAGAGTTATTCAGGTTTAAAATTCAGACGTCGTGGGTGGCCTAACTATTTTTTGTAAACAAATTTCAAATGATAAACAAAAAATAATATTGAAAATTCTGAACCCAATTAGAGAAGAAGACAAAAACCTATAAAATCTCGAAGAAAACCTCATTTCAAAAAAAAATCTGATGAATGAAATAGAGCAGTTTTGCGGTGGCTAAAGAAGGAGAGATGCACTTTTATGAGAGAGTGCAGACGACTAATGAAAAATAGTATAATGAATTTGTTTTCTTGAGGGGATTTTATTATTGCGAAATATTGCAGAGTTACTATGGATACAGGAAACAGGGGAAACTAATCCGATCTTTTTTTTTAGGTCATCTGAGATTTGAGAGAAGTAGAGGGAGCATTGAAATTTTGAGACCACCCAAGAAGAAAAATGGAAAAAACTTCAATTTGATTCTTGACTCCAGCTTGCTACATAGATTTAAAAAAATCCTAAAACAAAAAAGTTAATGATATTTTTTGGAAAAGAGAAAAGGGCCTATATGACTCATATTTAAAGATTGAGAGAAATGAGAGATTTAGAAAAAAACAATGCTCCGCCCATTTTTTTATAAACAAAAAAAAAAAACAAATGGATTTAATTTTAATGAATCTACAGTAATCCTGGAGTACTGTAGATCATTTTGTAGAGAATTTCTAGGGCTTCAAAATGAGACCAAACACGGATGGATTTGCATCAGAAATGTTTGAGATTCTACAGTAATCCTGGATCTTGCAGTACTGTCACAGATAGATGATTTGAAAATGAAACCAAACACTACAGTAATCCCAGAGTTACTGTATTTTGAATTTTTCCAAAACTAACATTGTTTGGTATCACCTTGAAGCTCTTCAAATTCTCTAGAAAATTTCATACAGTACTCATGGGTTACTGTAGATTCTTGGGTATAAGGCCGCTTTTTGGATCTTCAGAATTTTCGAATTTCGAAACAAAAATGGGCGGAGCAGAACTGTTCTCGTGTTTCTCTAAATCTCTGAAATTTGAACCTCTCTCCAATTTTCTGTAAAAATTATTCATTTCGATTTTTCTTGCTCTCTCAAATCATTTTAGTTGTCAAACCCTTTCTCTGAATCTCTCACTTCCTACAGTATTGAACATGACTCATATTAGCGTCTCTTCGTTCTTCTTCCGATCCACAGAAACAGTTCCACTACAGTAGGACACTATACGGTAGTGTTAAATGACCTTTTTTGTCTAACATCTCTGAATCTCTCACCTTCTCCACTCTCTCTTTGTTCCCATGACTCATATTAGCTTTCTTTTTGTTTCTGTGAAAAACATGTTTTCGTGTTTCCTATTTTTTTTATTTCTTGAGTATTTGTGTTTTTAAATAACCTTAAAGCAGCGCATTGTAGATTAATGCCAAGTAGCCGACCCTATGAACTCCAGTTCTCAAGTAGACGCGCCTATAGGACCTTATTGTCTAGGACCCGCGACTGGGGATACGATTTAGCAAGGAGCTGCGCCTAGAGAACCCTATTGTCTAGGAAGCGCATCTAGAGATTCACTTTGACAAGGAGCAGCACCTAGAGAACCCTATTGTCTAGGAAGCGCATCTAGAGATTCACTTTGACAAGGAGCAGCACCTAGAGAACCCTATTGTCTAGGAAGCGCATCTAGAGATTCACTTTGACAAGGAGCAGCACCTAGAGGACCCTATTGTCTAGGATGCGCATCTAGAGATTCACTTTGACAAGGAGCAGCACCTAGAGAACCCTATTGTCTAGGATGCGCAACTAGAGATCCGCATTGGCAAGGAGCCGCGCTTGAAAGTTCTAGCTGTCAAGTAACAGTGCCTAGAGAACCCTATTGTCTAGGATGCGCATCGAGAGATCCACTTTGGCAAGGTGCCGCGCCTAGAGTGTCGAGCTCTCAAATAGCCGCGCCTAGAGGACCCTATTGTCTAGGATGCGCATCGAGAGATCCACTTTGGCAAGGTGCCGCGCCTGAAAGTTCTAGCTGTTAAGTAACCATGTCTAGAAGCCACTTTTGAACTCTAAAATATAAAATTTGAATTTCTCTCCAAAATTTTCCCCCTTTTTTTTTTAAATTCTCCTATTTTCAGACAAAAATGAACCTCCTCCACGAGCTCATTTCTACCTTCTTCTGTATCACAGTCTTCTACTTTTTCTGCGAAATTCACGACGAAAAGGGACTGACCTTTGCCGATTTGGGATGCCATATTGATGTAAGTTTCTTCTTTGAGAATAGAAGTTTCATTTTTAAAAAAAAAATCAATATTTTTTCTATAGATCATATCTTGCGATCCAGAACTTGGACCTGGAGTTGAGGCAAATTGCGAAATCACCTGTGGAGAATCGGATGATTCAGACGAATTGGCGAGATTCATTTTTGCATGGGTTATGGTTTTCTACTTGGTCTTCAACTACTTCAGCGTGCTCTGGAAAATCAGACAACACTTCTTCCCAGCCCAAAGAAGAGTCATCATGAGACGCTCAATTATTCGTTTTGTTTAGACTTTAACATTTCACCTTAAATCTAAAGCCTTAAAATTCCTTATTTTTTTCATTTTTTTTACTTAAATTCCGACCAGTTTTATCCTTTTTTTTTCACTTGTAATGTTTATTGCTCATATTTTTATTTTTCTAAACGTGGTTTTCTTTTGCCCAAGTTTTTGTAATGTCGCTACTTTCTTTGATCATTTTTTTTCGAAAAATAAACAATTTTTGATTTACAATTTTCCAAACTTTATGATCTTTTTTTGTGCAAAAAAGATTTTCAGTCAAAAATTTTGGGAACATCTAGAGATTTTCTAGAAAGCTTAAACTATTTTTCCGAATTCCCAAAGTCTAGACTCTATATTTTCTGTCTCCCCCTTTTAAAACCGCATTTCAAGAATCAATTTCAAAATATGAAACTTATTTTATTTTCTGCGATCTTCACTCTGATCCATGCCAAACTTTCTGGAAACTTCAAAATCGCCGATGAACTTTTTCAAAATGTTCGGAACCTAGTGAGAAATTCCAAATCTCAAGAAGCTGAAAAATATTTCGCTTCTGATTTTGAAGGAGTTCTCTATGGAAATGGTTTTAGGGATTATAATTGTCCAGAATTTTTGTATAAGTTGTTCGAATTCAAAGATTCGAAGTTTTCAGATGCAATTCAGATTTCCGAGGACAAAGATGCGACAATTGTTTTGAATTATGAATTCGCTGCGCCTAACGAGCTTATTAAATTGACAATTCGATCCAAATTTGATGGAAATGGTCAGAATTTGAAGTTTGTTTCAGCGGATTTTCAAACTTTCTTTGTGCCTCCAAAAAATTACTGAATTTATTGTATATTGTTTCTAATCAATAAAACATTTTATTCGTTTCTGTTTGAAAAAAAACCATTTTAAAATCATTTTAATTTAACTATCCTTCTACAAACTAGGATAAACAACAATTCAAAACACATCTCTAGAAAAGTTCAAAATTTGCGTTGATTTGTTTGAAAAGGAATTCCACGATATGAGTGAGAGCCCAGAAAAAGAAGAATCGATAAGCATGAAGAGAAAGTTGAGTTTCGGCTGGAACTTGGGAAGAACATGTCAGTTCGCAGATTGATTTTATGCCGGGAGCTGGTTTTGGAAAGCAGTCCATTTTCTGGAAAAAATGCAGATTTTTTGAGGAACTATATTTTTTTTCTGGTGGGAATTTGGGTCTTGTCAAATTTTCAGACAAGCAGTCATGCTTATAGACCGTCGCTGAGAAGGAACTACGCCTTAGAAACCCCGATTTTCAAGCAGGGAACCTTATCTGATCCTCTCATAAGGTAGCACGTCTTGTGAGCTTTACTGACAAGCAGCCTCACCTTGAGAGCTTCTCTGATAAGCGTTCACGCCTTGTCAGCTTTACTGACAAGCAGCCACGCCTTCAGGACATCTCTCACAAGCATCTACGCCTTGTGAGATTATCAGACAAGCAGTCACGCCTTGTCAGCTTTACTGACAAGCAGTCGCACCTTGTCAGCTTTACTGACAAGCAGACGCACCTTGTGAGCTTATCAGACAAACAGACACGCCTTCAGGATAACTCTGACAAGCATCTAGGCCTTGTGAGCTTTACTGACAAGCAGTCACGCCTTGTAAGCTTCACTGACAAGAAGCCGCACCTTGAGAGCGTCTCTGTAAAGCATCTACGCCTTGTCAGCTTATCAGACAAGAAGTTACGCCTTGTCAGCTTATCAGACAAGAAGTTACGTCTTGTCAGCTTTACTGACAAGAAGCCGCACCTTGAGAGCGTCTCTGATAAGCAGCCACGCCTTCAGGACATCTCTGACAAGCAATCTACGCCTTGTGAGATTTACTGACAAGCAGACACGCCTTCAGGATAACTCTGACAAGCAATCTACGCCTTGTGAGCTCTACTGACAAGCATCTACGCCTTGTGAGCTTTACTGACAAGCAGCCACGCCTTTAGGATATCTCTGACAAGCATCTAGGACTTGCGAACATATCACAAGTTGGTTCTAACCAGATTTTTTCAAAGAAAAAGAGTGGATTTCAATTTTCAGACAAATTTTTTGATAATGTTTCTAGGGCTGAAATTTTTTTGTACTGAAAATTTGAAACTCCTATCAAAATCTCCCCCAAAATCCTCACCTCAGCTCTACAATCAATTTTGGCATAAGTTCCATTGAACGACAAAAGCATGTAGTAGACCATCAAAATCGCTTGAATAATCAAAACCCGAACAGCGAATCGAGTAAGGCTCATTTTTTGTTGGTTGCGACAAAAAAGAGGAACAAACGAATAGAAAGATGATGGTCGTTAATATGAGTCATGATTAGGAAAAATGGGAAAATTCGAGATAGTGAGGGAAGGCGAGAGATTTAGAGAAATATGGGGTTGTAACCTGGGAGCGGTCGGCTACTTTTTTGGGGGGAAATTTGAGTGTACGCTTGCCACGTGGCATTTAGAGCCCAGCAAAATTTTTTGAAACCAAGGAAACTTTTTTGAAAAAAAAATGTTCAAAATTTCGATTTTTGCCGCCAAAAAGTTTCATTTTCCCACTTTTAACTGTGTCTAGCCGATTTCCCTTCATGGAACATCTATCTTCACATTTTCCATATCACAAAATGAAAATTGTCCTATCCGTTATTTTTCTCCTTCTTCTAGTTCAAGCTGAAAATTGGGAGCTTTCTGAAAATCAAAAACTCGCCGATGATCATCTTCGCGAAATCATTACTCATGTTAACCAAAATCAAACCGATGAAGCCAGGGAACTCATCCACGATGATTTCAAAATGAAAATTGCATCATATAAATTTTCGGCTAACGTATTTTTGAAGATTTTACGAAAACACAATATTGATGAATCGCATTTACCAAAACCTGAAGCGGTTGGCGAAGATGAAGAATATGTTTTGGTGGCTTATAATTTTCCGATGAATGAATCGTATTTTGATTTTATGACTAATACTACAATCGATAGAGCTTTTGGAGGGGGATTTTTGTTGACATCTGCGGTATTCAGATTCAAAAATAATGAAACAAGGAAAAAAATATTGAGCTTTTGAATAAAATTGCTCAGATAATAAATGATTTTGAATTAACTTTTTAAAAATGACAAAAAAAATGAGTGAAAAACATTTTACTTATTTTGTTAAATTCAAAAAAAATTCACGTCACGTAGACCTGAATAAGTAAAAAAAAATAGGTCCAGAAAACCCCAAAGCTAACTATTTTTAGACAGTTTTGAAATATGAAATTGTGAGTTTTCCAAATTCTCCAGAGCTCTGGGAAATCCAAAAAATTTTTCAGAAAGTCAGATTTGGAACTCAAAATTGAAATCAAAAGCAGTGAAACACGTTATTCTGGATTCGAAAAATGGAAGAATTTGTGGTTTACTTTTGGATGATCATGTGAATAAAAATTTCTTTTGAGGTTGTGAAGTTCTGGGGAATAATTGGGAGTTCCAGGGAGTTCCAGGGAGGTTTTAGCATGCTCCAGAAGATTCTGAGAAATTCTGGAATGGAAATTTTTCTGAAGCTTTTTCCTGATTCTCTTGATCCGAAATACTTTTGAAGATCAAAATTATGAAAAAAAAACTGTTCCAACTTCACAAAGTTTATTCAAAAAAAAACACAAAAAAAAAACAAAAAAAATTACAAAAACTCACAGAAAATCTAGATTACATGTTTCTCACTTCCAAAAAAAAGATCAATCTTGCTCAACATCGTGATTGAAAACATCAACCTCGAAAAAGTTCCTGTAAACTCCATAACAGATGAGTCCAGTGATCATCATTTTTGTGAATGGTGCAATTGTGATCGGCTCAATTTTGACACCAGATCCTGGAGCACAGCCGGTAGTTGGCACGTAGATTGCAACCTGGAATTTTAGATTTTGAAGAAAAATTTTTGAGAGCCTAACAATAATAAAAGGCTTACCTTGCTGAGCTCATACTCCATATAAAACATCAAAAATCCGCCGAGCAACAAAGTGGAAACAATAATAAGATCGCGGAAAAGCTCTTTGATCTCCATTTTTCGCCGCCAAGCACAGAAGAAATATTTTTACGAATGAAATCGGCAGTCCTTTTCTGTTAATATGAGTCATTGTAGGAAAAAGAGAGAGAGATAGTGAGAAAAGAATTTGAATGGTGTGAGAATGTTTTTGTGGCCCAAAAACACGTGGCCAAAAAGGACATTTAGGAAAAGAAATTCATTTTTGTTTTGGCCAAAAAAAAACAAGGACACCTGTTTTTTGGAAGAAAAATAAGATGAGTGGATTAATTTTGGGGACTTCAAAAAGAAAAAGGAATGCTGTCAGATTTTTCAAATTGGCGGGAACAAAAACACATTTTTCTCTCTCTCGCTATTCAAAATCAGAAATGAAATGGAATATTTCAAATGTGAGAAAACAAAAGAGGAAAATGTAAGATGAATGGGTTTAATTTGCGTGTCCTTCTTTTTTTTGTTGGGAAAAAAATTGCATTTCTATTTATTTATTGATCAGAAATTGAATCAATTTGGGCTTCAACGAAGTTTAGAAATTTAATTTTGTAGATCAAAAATTAATCTGGGTAAAATTTAGCCTATTTCATTTTGAGATAAATATTGTGACAGGAAATTACAATTTTTCTATGCAGAACAACAAAAAGTACAGTACTTTTTGATTATTATTTTTTTTAGTAGAAGTTGTCAAAAACCTCCAGAATCTTTCCACAATAACCAAAACATTTTTACACATTTTCAAAAACCACAATTTATTCTTCGTTCGAAAAAAAACATCTAAACTACAAAAAATATTTAGCAAATCAATTATTTCTGTCTGCACGAAAGCCTTCCAACGGATTCTGTCTCAAAACATTTTTGTGAATTGCATATGCCAAAGTGATCGCAAAAGCAGCTTTGATCCATGGGTTGAGCTTGGGAACTTCGATTTTTGCGTCGCAATTCGCGGTCTGAACAAAAAAGAATTATTTCCAAATCAAATTCCTCTGGCAAAGTAAAAAAAAAAAGTAACAAACCTCAAAATCACATCCAATTTTCTCGACTTTCGGGTACATGATTGATAACAAATACATAATCAAAACATTCATTGTGACCATGCAGATCACAAAAACCACCACTCTTCGAATCATTTTTCGTCGAAAATGATGGCTAATATGAGTCATGATGGTAGGAGAAGAAATATGGGAGTGGCTAGAGACGCAGACAGTTGGAGAAATTGTGATAGTTTCTTGGCGCTAACCAAGCAACCATAAAAAAAAAATCGATTTATGATAATCGTTATGGGCATCGTGAGAAAAAAATCAACACTGGGAAGGAATTTTTTGGTATGGAAAATATATTGAGGGACCAGAAACAAGTTTGAATTTTTTTTAATTTTGACAATTCAAAAATGCAGATTTTGCCCAATATATAGTTATGACGTGGAAAATTTAATTTTCTCAAACTTGAATATTTATTTCTTGCTTTTAAGTAGCTTTCATTTCCTGTTCCTACTGAATCCCAAAAAAAAAAATTAATTCAAACGGTTTTAAAAGCGCGGCAAACCATTTCTGGTACATACATACACCACGACGCACAATTATTATCGAAAATCTCATCGGTACCTTGCGCTCCACCGAAATAAACACGCAACGCAGACCGCGTCGCGCCACAAAACACACAAATAAGGGAACGATTCAAATTCCCTCCCTTTTTTGTATGTGTTGTTGCGTGGCGCGGTCTGCGTTGCGTGTTTATTTCGGTGGAGCGCGTGGTACCGATGAGATTTTCGATAATATTTGTATGAATATTTTAGGTCAAAACTAACATGGACTAAAAATGAAAATTTTGAGAAAGATCATCTTAGACTTTTCCTGAAAAATCGCACTAAATTCAGCCAAACTATAATTTCAACTAAATTTTTATTTTAACAAATTCTCGTTTGAAAGTTTTAAAAAGTACATAGTTCAATCTCTCTCACGGGGGCCAAAATCTCTCAAAAGCATAATACATATACAACACAAAGAATTGCAAGTGATTCCCATAACAATCATTCCCACAATCGAAAGTACAATCTTTTCAGAGGCTCCAATATTCGAGTCGGAACTCTGGAATAATTAATCGCTAATTAATTAACTAATTAAGAACAGCTAATTAATAAACCAACCTCTTTTCGAATCGGACCACCAAAAACGCGTGTCAAAAAGCAAAGCAAAACAGAAATAATTAGAGCAAAAACAGTAGCAGTTCTCATTTTTTTTCCTGTTACACAAAAAGAAGACAGGAAAAAAAGTGATTTTTTCTTTGGCGACAATTATAACATGAGTCATGGGCGAGAAAAGAGACAAAAAAACATATGTATCTATCCTTTTTCACCATTGCACAGTCTTTCATCATTTTTCTTGTGCCTTCTAGAATTATTTTTCTTAAGAAAAGGAAAAAATGCGAACTATCCTTTTGCTTCTCACTATTCTGATTGCTGTTGTGATTTCATTCACAATTTCTGAATTCGAACGCGAGGTAATTAATTAATTAATTAATTAGCTGATTAATTAATTAGTTAAAATATTTCTTTTTTTTTAGTTTTTGAATCAACAAAATCTCTTTTGGATCAAAATGTTTCTCAAATATGTCATTTTCGGGATGATCGGATTCTACCTTTTCGCATAATTCTTTGCAAATTGAGATTTTTGTATTTCCCCGTGACCCCCTTTTTTTTATATTTTCAATCCCAAAATCATTTTATTCATTTCTTATTTATCTTTTTCTTCAAAGTCCGCGGAATGAATCGATTCCAACAAAAAGTGTTATTTCTCTCGCCGTGGCGCAAATCCCTTTTTTTTTTTTTTCATATATTTTTCAAATTTAACAGAATTTTTCCGGAATCCCTCCCCGAAAAAAACTCACCAATCGCTTCTACATTTCAAATCCCAATCAAAATCCTTGCGAAATTCGAAATCCTCCAAGTTTTCCACGTTGAAATCCATCAATATTTCGAGCTGAAAATCAGAAAATTTTAATTTTTCATGTACCATTAAGAAAAAACCGCACCCTTCTTCGATAATCCTCGCATTTTCCATTGGAAGCGATAATTCCAGCTCGATAATTCCAGTAGAACATATAAAAATTCAATTTTTGACAAAAAATCCACTGATTTTCTTCGGAAAACCAAAAAACCCGCGAAAAAAAAACGAAAAATGAAAATATTCTCATGTTGCGCTAAATGGCGGGCAAGCGGAGTGTCGTTGAGAAAGTAAACAATAAATTCAATTATTTTTCTATTTTTGTGCCAACAAAAAAACATTTTTTTTGATCTACCCCGCTAATATTTTCTATTTTTCGCGATCCAAAAAAACGCTCATCGATTTTTTGCCATTTTCATTTTATTTTGTGTATTTTTCGGCCGTGCGAGGATGTTGAAAATAAGTTTTTCAGGAGGTTTTTATGTTTTCGAAAGCTTCAATAAATTTCGAAATCATACCCACTCGGATCCTCAGAAACTAGAGAAAGTCTGCGCGCGTTCCCTGAGTTAGTACCGCCTACCAGCTTCTGAAACCCAAAGCCATTCATTTCACATATGAGTGAGGATTGAATCCTTTTGCTGCGGCCGGAAAACAGTGACGGGAGTCGCATTGGGTTTTGCGCATCGTTTATGATGTTTTTCTGGTGAAAAGTGGGACAAAATATGGGAAATGTAAAAAGGGATGAAGCTTTCAAAATAACGATTTGTCTATTTTTGTTTTTTCTCGCAGGCGATTCAAATATATCTGTGTGTGTGTGCAAACACGGCGACGCACAAATACACACAATGGCTACCGTAGTGCTTTCAATATTTTTTGTTGCGAAAACCTGGAATTTTGCTGAAAAATCGTCAATTTCGCGAGGAAAACCGTGGTGGCTGGAAATCGAAGAAGTTTGAAGCTGAAAAATCTGGAAATCGTGAGTTTTTTGGGGAAGGTTTGAAGAAATTTCAGCTTTTTTTCAAAAAATTAAATGATTTATCAAAAAAAGGTTCATCAACTATGTAATTGTGGCAGATGAGATTCTATGCTTTTTCGGGAGCAGACCTGAAATTTTAATTAAAATTTTCCATATAAAAAGCAGAATTTTGCCCTCGCTAACCCTTGAAAACATCGCGATATTCTGTGACCATGAAAATCAATAAAACCGCATCAAAAGCTGGAAATAAACCAAGACCACAAGTAAATATCCCAATTGGAACATTGATTTCAAAATATTCGCCAAAAAACGGTGCATAAATTGTGAAAAATACAGGAGCAAATAGGTTAATTGTTGGAATAATGATTTGCAATTTCAAAGTTCGATACATTTGTCGATTTAATCGTCGAAGATTCGGCGAAAATCTACTCAAAAGATATTCCATTTCTCCATTCATTTTTCGAACAATAAATAACATTATAAAATATTGAGAGAATAAGAGAAACGTTTCTTGAAATGTGAAAAAACTTGGAAACCATCGCAAAGAATTTTGAGAATCCTTAAAAACTTTAGGATAAAAATTTAGGCTTTCTGATGAATCTGACTCACATGTACAACCATCGTAAATCCTGAAACTGTTGAAATATTCAAAGCGTAGAAATCTGTCAATACATTTTTGAAATAATTTTTGGAAAATTCGTCGAAATTCGCGAAATAATACATGCTGACTGAATTAATGATTCCAATGAGGAAAACATAGAAAACCCAAAGAAAATACCAGTGATTTTTGAAGTAGCGAAGTTTGGAAGAACTGGAATTTTTTGAAAGAATTCGTACGTACTTCAAAAAATGATTCAAAACTCACTGAAAAACGGCCCAATATCTGTAAATAAATTGGACCGTAATTGATGAAATTGTAGAGCCATAAAGACCGTAATAAGAAGCTTTAATGAAAAATTTTGTTTTTCCCCTCAATCTCAAGAAGTTCTTACCCATTAAAACTTCCAAAATGCCCTTTTCAAAATAATCTGAAGTTGTGAAAAATACAAAACCACTGTTATAATTATGCAAATTCGGAAAAATTAAAACATCCAAATTGGCGAAAATCATTCCAAGAATTGAGACGAAAATAATTAGAAATCGATAGGTTCCGAATGATTTTTTGATTCGAAATATTGTTACGAAAATAACGATTGAATTTGCGAGATTTGTAGTTAGGAAACCAATATGAGCAATGATTTTGGAGAAGTTTAGCCAGAATGGGGCCATATTGGGAAATTCAAAAAATTGAGACTATTTATTCAGAAAGATGTATGAGCTCTTGAAAGTGACGGGAAATTTTAAAAGTGCATACAATTTTAGACTACACTTTGGTCAAAACAAGATTTTAGTTGGGGAAAAATGGAAAAATATTAAAAATCAAAAATTTTCGACTAAATGGGATAAAAGTAAAAATTATTGCTCATGATAGCGTAAAAATTATCTGATTTCTTGATGGGAAACTAGAAAATTAGAAATGAAATGTTCTTTGGTAAAAAATAAAAAAATCGTATATATTTTGAGACGTGAAATTTCTTGAGAAAATCAATTTTCACGTGGAATTTTCATTTCTGTCTTTATTTTCGAATTATTCTCGTCTTTTTACAGATCAAGAAACCTCGCAAAACTACGATGCTCCGCTTGCCAGGAGAAAATTGATTGGAAAATATCGCATTTGCTGCCCAAAAAACCGAAAAACCCTGAAGAAAAACAACGACACTCCGTCTCCGCTTGCCTGTTGTTTATTCTGTTTCGCGCAAAAAACAATTTTGGTGATTTTTCTTTTTCTGTCTTGATGTGTTTATGATTTTTATTGTTTTTCAGGTGTCAAAATGCAGGAAAATGGATCGATTTCGAAATTTGAGTGGAGTTTTGCCTTGGCGTGGGAATTTTTGGGCTGAAATTGGATTTTGGAAGCGAGAAATGAAAAGTATGTGAGATTTTTATGGATACTATAAAAGTTGATGACGTCAAAAATACTAGAGGTTGAACAATCACTTCGATCCATGAAAAAATCATGTTATATATTGAAAAAATCAACATTATGAATTTATAATTCCCCAGTAATTTTGAAGATGTGCAAATTATTAAATATATTAAAATGGCATTGAGGATTTGAGATCCGAAAAATCCAATAAATTGGAAAATATGGGGATAGTACATTTTGAAATGAAATCAGAATAAGAAGGGCGAAGCGAAAACGGTATTATCTGGAGGATTTAGTGCAATTGTCAGATTAGAAAAATTGAAAAACAACTGGGAATTCTTGAGATTTTTATGAGCCTTGTGATAAATTTATTTTTTTTTCAGATTTCAACACTTGGCCACTGGTTTCTAGATTTTTGAAGAGTGATGCGAGGAACTTTGAGACGAGGAATTTTTGGTGAGATTTTTGGGAAAAATTGAAAACAAACTTCCTGGGAGCTAAAAATTTGGTAAAAACATGAATTTTAAACATAAATTTTGGATTTCACTAGCTTAAAAATTTTTTTAAAAGTTCAGTTTTCAAATATTAAAATTTCTAGTTTTAGTTAGGAACCTGGATTTTTGTGTTCCAAAAAAATTCAAACCAGATTCCTGGAATTTCAAAAATTGTTTTTTTTTCTATAAAAGCTGAAACTTTCTCTAGGTCCAGAATTTTCAAAAACCAAAAAAAGTTATCCAAAAATCGCGAAAATCTCCCACACATATCTGTCAATAATTTAGTGAAAGTCTGGTATATTTTTCCCGAGAAGATTTTTATCGAAATTTATGCGTTTTCCCCTCCCAGAGAAAAATATATGTTACCGCCAATAATAATATTAATAATAATTATTATTTAAATATTCATTCACAAAATCTCTTTCTTCTGTTCAAATATTGACTAACGGGTTTATCTAGAAATCAATTTTTCACGCTTTTTCATTTCCGTTATGCGGAATTAGGAGAAGCTTAAGTTATGCTAACTCGAATTTTGGTTAGAAGATTCTTAACCCATATTTGAAGCCTATGAAAATTGAGAACAGGTGGTGTAGGCGGTAAGTGCCTACACCTCTGTTTTAGAGGTCCCGGGTTCGAGCCCACCTTGTGACTACTTTTTTTTTGAAATTGTATAATTAGAATTAGAAGAAGCTTAATTTATGCTAACTCAATTTGATCAGAAGCTTTCAGCTTAACCCATCTGTTTTTATTCCTCTTCTGTAGCCCAGTTATAATAATAATAATTGTGTTTTTGAAGTGATTGGATTGGTCAAAACACTATTTACATAAGACAATAGAGCATAAGCAACACACAGTCTCTTTTCCTCCCGTTCTTTCGCTTGTTAAAATAGACTAATAACAATAATAATGAGGGAATATGTCAAGAGGTACATCTCACCACTTGGCGCATTTCTAGGCCTTGTTTTATCGCTGCTGATGTTTTTTTTTCGCGTTTTTTTTGCTGGTTGGAGAAATCACAGTGGGTAATTTAGTGGCCAATGCAATTTTCTTTGTTGATCCACCCTGGAATTTTTGAAAATTTGTTTTGGGTACTGTAGAGGAGATACGGTAGTGTTCACTGGTTTTCTTATGGAAAGTAGTGTTGTAGGTTGATTTTTCAATTGTTTTTCACGAGGTTTTAACACGGGTCCTGTAGATGTTTTTTCAAGAATTTTGAAGTTTTTGAGAAATTTTGAAGCAGTTGGTTTTTTTTTATTGAACAAATTGATTTTTTATTTTAATATGTTATTTTAGCGTTTGAAAAATATATCGTGAGTGTTAAAGAAAATATTGAAACAGTGATTTTTTCAAAATTTTAGCTGTCATTTTATGAACATTTTGAAACAATAAACTTTATCTATGAAAAAATTTTGATCAATTTTTTCAAATTAATTTAGTGGAGCATTTTTTCAGCGGAAAATTTCATTCAATTTTCGAAACAGTGAATTTTTTCAACAAAAATTGCATTTTTTTGTCTGAAAGACAGTAGAATTTTCAATTTTTTTTTTGACACAAGTTCAAAAAATAATTCAAAAGTTAATCACTGTGACATTTTCCTAAAGGAAATTGATCGAAATTTTGAAACAGTGAAATTTTTCTATAAAAAAAAATTAATTTTGTATTATTTTTTTCTGAATCACTGTTATCAAAATTTCTGAATTAGAAACTGTAATTTCTACATAGTTTTCAATCTACAGTTGAATTTTCTAGTTTTTTTACTGTATAAATCTGAAAGAATTATCACTGACACTTTCTGCCAGAAGTTCATGAAAATGTTGAAACAGTAAATTTTTTACAACAAAAAATTCTAATATTCGTGATTTTTTAAAATTTCATTTTGGTGGTTTGTTTTTAAATCATTTTGTCAATTTCAACCCGAAAATGTATCTAAATTTTGAAACAGTAAATTTTTAAAACAAAAAAATTTTAATAATCGTGTTCTTTTTTATTTCAAAACAACAAGTTCTATATCAACATTTTGCCAATTTCAGCCGGAAATTGGTCTAAATTTTGAAACAGTGAAATATTTTGAAAGAAACATTTGAATATTTTTTGAGAATTACCGGTTTGTCTTTTAGTATATTAATTGAAATGAAATAGTCTACAGTAGCCAGAGTACTGTAATCTGGAAATGAAATTATAATGTGGAGCAGGACTGTTTGAGTTCGTAGAAGTTCGGAAATACTGTAGCTACAGTACCCCGTAAAATTAGCCAGTACTTGACAGTATTTCCTCATTACATAATAATGTTGTCTCATCAACTTTATTTAGTTTTTTTCTGGTTGTCCTTTTTGGCGATTATTTGTGTAACATGATAGTCTGTCGTCGCTTCATTTTCTCTCATTTTCACCTCCCGCATTTTCCGCGAATTCGTCCTCTCGAAGACCCAATATTTGTTGTATTTAGTGTGGAAATTAAACGGTCAATAAATAAATAAATAAATAAATGTGGACACATTTTCAAAAAATGTATGTGTTTTCTTTGAGAAAACTTTCCCTTTTTTGGTCACAATTCCTCCCAATTTATCTTCCGTTTTTTTTTGGTGGCGCGGCATACTTGAAGAAGCCACTTTTACAAGTGTCGTATTCTGTTTTTTTTTGTGAATTGACTTTTTTTGGTGAAACATTGTTTAGTTGGGCTAAGTTTGGTGACCCTGATTTTGGATTTTTTAGAAGTTTTGGGGGTACTGTATGCGATTGTTTTTTGCAAACTTTTTGCTTTATATTTTGAAAAAATCGGTATTATCAAAAAATTCTAGTCATGAATAAAATTTGAAAAAATTTTGAAACAGTGGATTTTTTTTTGAAAATTAGTTTTGAGCTGCTGTGCTTTGGCAATTTTTGATGATTTTTTGAGACGCCATCTCCATTGAAAATCTAGATTCATACAAAATTTTATGGAAATTGTGAAACAGTAGATTTTTTGATGTTGAAAATTTCAATTTTTCCCTTTTTTCATGAATTATCAGTAGAAACGTTACTAAAAATTTGGATTTTTCTCAAAATTCGTGATGACATTCAACGAGTTACTGAAAATTTCATCGAATCTGAAAATATAGGAATAAATTAGAAACAGTGGATTTTTTTTTTGGAAAATTAGTTTTCAGCTACTGTAATTTCAAGATTTTTGATGATTTTTTCCGGTTCCGTCCGCTCTTACATTGAAAATCTAGATTCATACGAAATGTTATGAACAATTTGAAACAGTAGATTTTTTGTTGTTGAAAATTACAATTTTTCCCTTATTTTCTTGAATTATCTTTCTTGAATTATCAGTAGAAAAAAATTGGAAAAAAAATGTTTTTTTTTCAAAATTCGGAATGAGGTTCAACGAGTTACTGAAAATTCCATCGAATCTGGAAATTTAGGAATAAATTAGAAACAGTGGATTTTTTTTTGGAAAATTAGTTTTGAGCTACTGTGCTCATAAGATTTTTTATGATTTTTTCATGCGCCAGAGACTGCTCTATTGAAAATCTAGATTCATACGAAATTTTATGGAAATTTTGAAACAGTAGATTTTTTGTTGTTGAAAATTTCAATTTTTTCCTTTTGTTTTCTTGAATTACCGACGGAAATTTGGAAAGTGTGTGCACACAGTGTGTCGCTATGAGGCCTAAGGATTTACTGAAAAATTTGATCGAATCTGAAAATTTAGGAATAAATTAGAAACAGTGAATTTTTTTTGAAAATTAGTTTTAAGCTACTGTGATTTCAAGATTTCTGATGATTTTTTGCTACGCAGCCAGCTCTTACATTGAAAATCTAGATTCATACAAAATTTTATGAAAATTTTGAAACAGTAGTTTTTTTTCTTGTTGAAAATTTCAATTTTTCCCTTATTTTCATGAATTATCAGTAGAAATGTTACTAAAAATTTGGATTTTTCTCAAAATTCGAAATTAGATTCACCGATTTACTGAAAATTTCATCGGATCTGAAAATATAGGAATAAATTAGAAACAGTGGATTTTTTTTTCGAAATTTAGTTTTGAGCTACTGTGCTTTTAAGATTTTTTATGATTTTTTGCTATGCCGCCGGCTCCAGCATTGAAAATCTAGATTCATACGAAGTGTTATGAAAATTTTGAAACAGTAGATTTTTTCTCATTGAAAATTTGTTTTCTTTTATTTTCTTGAATTATCAGTAGCAAAAAAATTGGAAAAATTTTTTTTCTCAAAATTTGAAATAAGGTTTAACGATTTACTGAAAATTCCATCGAATCTGAAAATTTAGGAATAATCTAGAAACAGTGAATTTTTTTGGAAAATTAGTTTTAAGCTACTGTGATTTCATGATTTTTGATGATTTTTTGCTATGCCGCCGGCTCCAGCATTGAAAATCTAGATTCATACGAAATTTTATGAAAAATTTGAAACAGTAGATTTTTTCTTGTTGAAAATTTCAATGTTTTCCTTTTGTTTTCTTGAATTACTGAAAATTCGGATTTTTCTAAAAATTTGAAATGAGGCCTAACATTTTACTGAACAATTTGATCGAATCTGCAAATTTAGGAATAAATTAGAAACAGTGAATTTTTTTGAAAATTAGTTTTAAGCTACTGTGATTTCAAGATTTTTGATGATTTTTTGCTACGCAGCCAGCTCTTACATTGAAAATCTAGATTCATACGAAATTTTATGGAAATTTTGAAACAGTAGATTTTTTGTTGTTGAAAATCTTTGAAACAGTAAAAATTAATTTTTTGAAACATTTATTTACTGAAACAGTTTCAGAGTTTCTTTGTTTTATTTTCAAATTAAGATATTTTCCGAATGTGTCTCAACAACCGTTCATTGCAAGTATGGTTTTTAATTGAAAATTTTTTGAAACAGTAAATTTTTCTAGTTGGTTTGTTTCGAATCTCTTTTAAAGTTTATTAATCGATAAAATATATTTCTTCAAAATATTTTAATAAATTTTGAAGCAGTGAAATTTTTTCAGGAATTTTAGGAATTTGGGATTATCTTTGTCCTCTCAAATATACTTTCTACTTTATTTAAGTATGATTTTCATTTAATGAACGTATTAATATCTGTACAATTCAAAAAAACAATATATATATATAAATTCTGAAACAGTAAAATTTCTCATTTTCTTCTTCTACAAATGTCTAAACATAAATTTCTCGATAGGTCCAGAAATTCAGGTTTTCTCCCCCCACTTCTCCCCAATTTTTGACCAAAGTATAATCTCCAGCTCCCTTCAGCAGCTACAGTACTCCTCCTCCTAATCGGAACATTTTTCCAAGCTATACAAACTTTATTTTGCCCACAAACATTGTGAAAAAAATACAAAACCAAACATCATTAAAACCGCGTTAAGCTGCGGACTGGTCTGACCGCTTCTGTTTTTTTTCTCGAGAAAAAAAAACAACATTTTTATTTTATATGTATTTATTTTTGTTCTTTTTTCTTTTTCTAATGGTTCGAGAAATTATTTACAGAATAGTATTTTGTTATAGATAGAGAACGTGAAATTGAGAGAGTCTAGAGAAAATAGTTGTCTAGGCTCTCTCAATTTCACGTTATCTCTAATAATTTGCAAAATTTCATTTTATCACAGTACTGTATTTTTGGACTTAAAGAACTCGCAGTAACAAAAATTCTGGTAATGAAAAAAAAGTTGAGAAAATTTTGAAACAGTGGATTTCTTTCAAACACGTTAATTCAATTTTGATTAATTAGGCTAAGATTTTTCTTTTTCACAATTTCCCTTTTTTATCGAAATATCAGGCTCATTGAAAAATTTGAGAAATCTTTGAAACAGTGAGATTTTTCGATTTTTATTAATTTTGGATAAAAGATTGGGACCTTTTTTTTTAATTTTTCGTCCATTTTCTCGGTTCTTTCTGAGCTTTACAGCTAATTTTTCACACCATTCTAAAATCGTGTTTTCCAGAATAAAAAAATGCCAAAAATTGTCTGAAAATGCCGATTCCTTCAACGTCTCATCAACAAATCAGCTGGAATTTTCCGCCTTCATCGCTCAAAAATCAAGTGAGAGTTGCGGAAAAGCGGAATCCGGAAAAATCTGAAAATCCCGACGATTCAAATCATATCTACGCCTGCTCAGATGACACGTCATATTATGCGGCTCCAATTTTTCTCAACTCATCGACAATTCGAAAATTGGGAGAAGCTGAAGAAGTGCCGAAAAAGCCGGCGCCTTGCCTAAGTCGACAATCCACGTGTCGACCCACAAGCCAACTTTATTTGCCGAGCAAAAAACGAAAAAAGTGAGCTATTTTTGAAATCAATTTCTTGACTAATTAAAATAATTGGGAGCATCTTCCTATTATTTTTAATTGGCTCTAATTATTGCTCCAATTTTCTCTGGAAGATTTTTTTTTTTGAAAAAAAAATCTTTGAATTTTTCCCCTACTTGGAGCTCTGAGAAATTTAGAGCTTATTCATGGCTCGTTTTTTGAGCGGGGGTGGATTTGGTGCACTTTTTTCCTATTTCTTCTTTTTTTTCCGACTGGAAAATGAGCTTTTGGTGGCATTACTGTAGAATAATTACTGGATTATTTTTCGCAATAAAATTTTGATGAGAAAATTGAGAATCTTGGAGAGCTTATGGATTATTTTCCAGAAAAAATGAGGTTTTTTTTTGAAATTTTTTAGTTTTGAAGTGAAATTTCAATTTCAATTTGAAATTGCCAAGTAGAAATTCACAATTTCAAAATTTTAATTTCAGAATTTTTTTTTGATAGTTTTAGAATTCTGAAACTACGATGTGTCAAGTTGCCAAGCCTAGAAATTCTTGTTATCAAAAAGTGAAGAGCCTATAGAACCTGCTCGTCTAGAACCCACGCCTAGGAAACCACTCTGGCTAGGAACCGCGCCTTGAAAGCCGCCGTGACTAGGAACGGCGCCTTGAGAGATCTATTTGAAAAATTGATTTTTGAATTTTAAAACAATTTTTAAATTGGTTGACCCATAAATCCATGTAGAAAAACTTCTGAATAGTTTTTTAAAAAATCTAAAATTAAAAATTTTCTCTGAAACTCTTATAATTTTCAGTTCCATGAATTTATTTCTCAAAAAAAAACCAGATAGAAAGCAAATGTGTATAGTTTTATAATTGATCCAAAACTTGCAATTTCATTTTCACATTTCTTCCATCAAAAACAAAAAAAAACAAAAATGTTTTTTTTATTAAAAATGATTTGGTTTTGTTTTTATATGTCTCATCCTTATATTTTTTTTAAACTTTTGACCACAAAGAATATTTTTTAATCAGATTCTGACGCATAGGCAAAGTTATCATAACTACAGTTTCACGGTAGATAACGCGGAAGCTTGCGGATCAAAAAGTTTTCTCTGAAAACATGGAATTTTTCCTGCCTTCGCAACCTAATTAGAATCCGAGCATCTTTCATGAAAACTTTTGTCGTTCTCGTTTTTCATCATTTTTTCCTTTTTTCTTCCTGTCATCATTAATTTCCTTGTTTTTTCCGAGGAATTTTTTTCTAGATGAAAAAGATTTTTTCATATTTTTCCAACAGAAAATTCTAATGTGGTCCAGATGTTTTTTTTTTGTTCTGAAAAAAGTGACGAAAAATTTGTTGGACCCTCAAGCACTCAACACATTTTTTTTCTCGCTTGCCAATTAATTTTTCTTCGGCCCAAAAATTTGTTGGCAGCTGTTCAGCTACAGAAAACCTTGAACTTTTTTCACACAAAAAGAAATTTTTTTTTTTTGAAAAAAGTTCCGAAACATACAAAAACATGTGTTAACTTGGGGCCAACAACTGACCTTTTTTCACAAATTTTTCCAGTTGTTAACAATTTTTTTTCTGTCCCGGAGAGATAGACCAATTTCATTTTTTTACGATCATAAATTTTGTGGTCTTCCCGTTTTTTTCCAGTTTTTTCCAACTCACCGAAAAATTCTTCGAGACACATGTTCGATCGATTGAAATTAATCATTCGAGACACTGAAAAATGCTGTTTTTTTCGAAAAAAAAACAGCACAAAAAATAAAAAGTTGAGGCTCGAATTTCCAGTCAGTCAGTCAAATGTTACTTTTTTTCTCGATTCTCGTGATCGGGTGGAAAAAGGTTTTTTTGAAGCTTGAAATTTGTAAAGCGTCAAGGAAGGTTTATTGGCGTGTTTTTAGTAGTAAGGAATATTTTCTGATCTACCAAAATCGGAATTTTGTTGACGCGATTTTTGTAGCCTTGTGAATCTAAGCCTGGAAATATGTTGACGTAAATTTTGTAGATCACAAAAATACAGACCTTGACGCATTTTTTGTAGATTACTCACCTGATGTGCAAAAATTGCGTCAACAAATTTTTGAGATTCATAAAATTTTTCTCAACTCCAATAAAATATTGTAAATTTCTAATGAGCTACGTTTGAGCTACCGAAAATGCGCCAAGGTTAACATTTTGCGACCTACAAAAAAATGCGCCAGTTGAGCTTTCCTTGACGCTTTTTTCTCAAGTCTACAAAAACACTGTAAATTTTTCATCAAGTTTTTTTTCTTCAAATGTTTGATCTACAAAAAACGCGTCAATCTCACATATTTAGACTTTGTCCATGTGTTTTAGCTACCAAAAAAGCGTCAATACAACTCTCTTTGACACATTTTTTTAAAACGAAAAACACATGTTTTCGTGATGTCTTTTGTTTATTTATAGTATAAATACAACATAATATTTCTGTGTTGGGAAAGTATTTAAAGGATTAGCACCCAAACTTTTTTTTTTTTGAAAATTTCGCTTTTTCTTCTTCTTCTTCTTCTTCCTCAAAAAAATCTCGAATATATTTTTTTCCCGCCAATTTTTCGACAACTTTCCCTCTGGGGACAATAAACATGAGTTTCGCCTCGCAAAACTTCCTTATTTGTCTCCTGCGTGGTGGCCTGTCAAAAAAGTGTCAAGAAATTTTTTCACGATTTTTCATCACCCCCCATGTTTTCTCGTGGCTTTCCATCCTTCCTCCCCCAAAAATTTGCATTTTTTTTGTGGTTTTTTTTTTGAATAATCGAATTTCGCGCCTCCTCCCGTTTTTTTTCTTGTCAAACCACAAAATATTTTTCCGGGCTCTCGTGGAATTATCATAAATTACTGGCTATAATAATAACATGTTCGCTGAAAATAGCAGCAGCTGAATGAATGAAGGCCGCCGATTTGCCAGCATGTAATGGAGCCACCAGTTGGCATGCTTCCAAGCGGTGGGTACTGTAGGGAAAATTTGCGATTTTTTGAGATCGAATTTGACCTGGGTTTGGGGAGTACTGTAGGTCTTGATGATTTTTCATCTACTCAAAAATATCACCATTGAATTCCACGTGGAATTTGAGTAATTTTGAGACCAAACACGGTTACTGTAGTTCTCGCTGCAGGACCTAGTAGTAGATTTTTTGAGACCGAATTTGGCCTGGGTTTTGGGAGTACTGTGGGTTGTGCTGATTTTTGATCTACTCAAAAATATCATCATTGAATTCCACGTGAAATTCTGGTCGTTTTGAGACCAAACACGGTTACTGTAGTTTTCGGTACAGTACCTTTTAAATGTGGGAATTACTGTAGATTTTTTGAGACCGAATTTGGCCTGGGTTTGGGGAGTACTGTAGGTTGTGATGATTTTTCATTTACTCAAATATACCATCATAAAATTTCACGTGAAATTCGGGTCGTTTTGAGACCAAACACGATTACTGTAGTTTTCAGTACAGTACCTTTTAAATGTGAAAATTACTGTAGATTTTTTGAGACTGAGTTTTGCTGGGGTATTATTGAATTAAAAACACGTGAGAAATGAAAAACTAGGTCAAGTGACGTGGATTTAAAAACAGTATAGGTAGCCATGTCGTCAATTGCGATGCGTGTGGGCGACACGTTTTTAGAAATGAAAATTTGACAAATCCAATGGAAAATATCGAGGTCAACACGCATCGCAGAACCGCATCGCAACTGACGACATGGCTACCTACTCAGGTAGCAGCTTGCCCATGGACTGCCCTTAGGAAAGCGGTTGCCCCATAATTGCACCTTGGGCAAGCCCTAAGGGCAAATTTTTTAATGGGAAAAATAAATTTATAGCTATTTTTCATAACGTGACCTAGTTTTGATACGTGTCCTGTATCGAAATCGGAATTTCTTCTCATTTTTGATATTCTGTTAGCCAAGAAAATAGCGAATAAACAAAACTATTTCGATGACGCTCAAATATCGACTTATTATAGAAGCAGTAACTTTATGCAAAACACTGTGAGAAAGTTATCAATTCAAATATAGTGAAGCGGATTCTGGGATTGTCACTGTGATTTTTGGATGGATTTTTATGAATTAGATGTTCCAAACCATGTATAAAATTCTCAAAAAAGTTGTTTTGGATCAACTGCTCCAACCATTGCAGCTTTGAATTATAAAATTTCGGAAAATAAATTATCAACTTATGTGAAAATTTGATTCTATAATGAGAAGCAAAGTATGATCAAGCTGAAGTGCATCTATCCACAGAGTGTAATTTACTACCCCAAATCGCTAGACCTCAAATTTTTCATTAATTTTTTGGTAGATCAAAAATAATTTTTCTCTAAATCTCTCGTTTTTGCGTTGAATTTCGTCGATTTTAATCCCACCCCTAAAATCGTGTCAGGTCTCCAAAAATGCGCGAAATTTTTCGGGTAGAAAATTACACTCTGTGCTATCTCTCCATGTTATTTCGTTTAATAAAATTTTTACCTCTAGAAAACTTTTTTTTTACCTCTAGAAAACTATCATGATTTAGCCTTCAACTAAATACATGATAATGTTTTCATGTGTTTAGTTAGTTGAAGGCAGCTTCTTTTTGATGAAAGCTGCCTCTCCAAACTGCCCCATTTTGGGCCTAGGCTTCATTTTTCCAACCTGAGAACAAGAAAAATTAGTGAAAATGCTTTTTTACGTGGCTTGAATTAATTTGAATTTAAAACGTGATGTTCTTGTTTAATTCAAATGCCCAACGATTGCCCCTTGAATGCTCCAATGCAGCCCTTAGAACCTGCTCTAAGGGCAGAGTAAGGGGCAGTCCATGGGCAAGCTGCTACCTGAGTATACTGTTTTTAAATCCACATCACTTGACCTACTTTTTTATTTCTCACGTGTTTTTAATTCAATAATACTGTTTGGAGTACTGTATTGTTTGAGATTCTGAAAATTCTTTAATTTGCAGTCCAGGGTACTGTAGCTTTTAGATTAAGAAAGTACTGTAGGGATACGGTAGGTCTTTGGAATTTTTTGATCTACTCAAAAATTTATCCACGTGGAATTCCGATTTTTTTGAAATTCTAAATTATACCCATTTTTAGGATACTGTACTGTAGTTTTCGCTTTGGGACCCAGAAACCTGCATTACTGTAGGTTTCGAGATTTTTTGATCTACTCAAAATTTCGCTTAGAATTCCCTAGTGACTAGAGTCTAGTTGAGTTTATACTCATTCTAACGGAAATTCCACGTAGATCAAGAAAAAATCGATAATTTCCCCTTTTTCCCCCGAAAATCCCTTATTTTTCAGAAGCTGTTTGGGTCGGCTGACGACACTCGAAATTCTGCTATTTGTACTATTCGCTTTGCTTTTCATTTCATTGTTATCTGTGTTATTTCTCTGGTTATGGGTTCTCGACGGATATAAAACATTCAGTGAAGGTTGGTGCTGAAAATTGTGCATTTTTGAGATGAAATTCAGCGTTTTCACCCAGAATTCATTATTTTTAACCTAAAATTAATTGCAGGTCGTCCAATTTATCCGCATCCCTTTGAAAACTCTTCGGTTGCTGTCGATCGATCTGCTTTAAATCATAATCAAGTTGTATGCACATCGCGTGAATGTGTTCGACTCGCCGGATTTTTGGCCGAAAATCTCAATCCGAAAATTGATCCGTGTCAAGATTTCTACGAATTCGCCTGCGGAAACTATGGATTGAATCGAAATTTGCCGGCCAACAAACCGCTTCGACAAACTATTGGAGATGTGCAGGCCAGATTGAATAAACAGGTCAAATCGTTGTTGGAGGTGAGCCTGAAAGTTTTATTTTATTTGTTAAGGAAATTTTTTCAAGTTGTCGTGCCTAGAAAGTTGAATTGTTAAGGAAAAACCCTATTCTGAATTTTTTTTCGAAAATCACCAAAATTTCAAATTCTGCAAATGATTTTAACAATTAAAATTGTTAGACAAATTATATTTAAAAATTATTAACAAATTTTGAAACAGTGAAAATTTTTTGAACAAAAATAATTTTTATTCAAAATAATTTTTTGCCTGAATTTTAGTTGAAAAATTTTAAATCTTATAAAATGTTGTATTTACAGATTCACACAACATCGGAAATTAATTTTTGAAAAATTTGGAAAAATTTTGAAACAGTGAAATTCTCAACAACAAAAAAATTACTGTTTCAAATTTTGCTCTAAATTTTCTGGTAAAAATTGGTTAGTGGTGAATCTATTTTGTTGACGCTAAAAATTCCACGTCCTGAATTTTAGTAGAAATTTTTTATCGACATTTGTTCTGGACCAAACTGCCCGCATCAAAATTTGAAAAATATGAAAAAATGTTGAAACCACACCTGACGAGAGAGTGTCCCAAAATTTTTGTGCAGCGTGGAAATTTTTGCGAAAAAAATTGTGCAGCGTGAAATTTTGAATTTTTGAAAATTTTCATCGAAATCGGCTGAAAATCAATGAAAACTACACTGTTTTCGTGAAAAAATGTACAGTGTGACCTTTGAAAATATTTGTACAGTGTCCATTTTGGACACGTCTCGTCAGGTGTGGTTGAAACAGTGAAATTTTATTTTCTTTTTAATTTCAAAAAAATTCACTGTTTCAAAATTTTCTCATAATTTTCTGGTAAAATTTTTAAAGTGATACGACTTTTTTTGTGAAGTTTTTAGTTTTTAAAATTCCACGTCATAATATTTTTACAGTTTTCATTTCTATTTTTTTCCTATGAAGTTGAGCCCAAAAAGTTTTCGAACATTTTTTCGCCGAAAAAAATTCGCTGTTTCAAATTTTGCTCATAATTTTCTGGTAAAAATTGGTTAGTGGTAAATCTGTTGTTGATGTTCTGAATTTTTTTAGAATTTTTTTATCAAAATTTTTTCTGAACCGAACTGCCTTAATCAAAAAGTTGAAAAATATGAAAAAATGTTGAAACAGTGAAATTTTCTTTTTTTTTTTAATTTTAAAAATTCACTGTTTCAAAATTTTCTCATAATTTTCTTGTTAAAATTTTTTACAGTTCCATTTTTCCCTTGAAGGAAGTTGAACCAAAGAGTTTTCTAACATTTTTTCGCCCAAAAAATTTGCTGTTTCAATTTTTTCTCATTATTTTAAAATTCAACTTTTTTTATTGCTTCTATCAATTTCAATTTTTCTTGAATTTCAAACGTGTAAACGTGACCCAAATCCAGATCATCTCATTTTAATTTTCTATTCGTCATTTCCATCAATTATTTTCACAGAAACCAATAACATCATCGGATAAACCATGGGATCGCCTCGCCAAAGGCTACTATCAAAAATGTCTGAATGAGCCCGAATTGGAGAGCACCGGAATTGTGGCAATGAAATCGATAGCAAATCGAATTGGCGGTTGGCCAGTTCTAATGGGCGATGATTGGATCGAATGGCAACATGGTTGGGAAGAACAATTGGCCTATGTCCTAAATAGAACCGGTGTGAATGCGGTGATTCTTGAGATGGCTGTCACCCACGATCCATCGAATTCGAGTAAAAGTGTGATTGAATTGGATCAACCGAAATGGGGAGCCGGTTCGAGATATCCGTATTTGAGTGGAATTGATGATCCGATGTTGAGGAATTATACAACACTTATGATGCAGACTGCAATTGCGATGGGAGCTGATCCAAAACGAGCCGAGAAGGAGATGATTGAGGCGATGGAATTTGAATCGAAGTTGGTGAATTTTAGCGCGGATGATATGGTTCGAAGAGATCCTGAGAGGGGAAATAATCCCAAGCAATTATGGGAACTGAAAAATACATTTCCGCTGGTGAGTTTAGCTGGGTTAGAGAGCTGGGAGGGAGCAAAATTCTCAAGAAATTTTATTTTTGCTAAATTTTGATCACACCAAATTCGAAAATAATGAATTTTGGCTCTGAATAAGTATATCTAAACAGTGTTTTCATAAAAATATCAATTTTTGCTCTTTAAAAAATATGTCAAAAAATTTTGAAACAGTGAAATTTTCAACAACAAAAATTTACTGTTTCAAGATTTTTTGATAGTTTTTTGGTTAGGAGAAAATTCGGTGTATTTGAGATTTTTCCAATTAGACTGAATTTGGAGCATTGCTTATGACGTGGCAAGATGTTTTGAGTTAATGAATCCTGTAATATTCAAAATCAACATGTAAAAATTTTGAAACAGTGAAATTTTCAACAACAAAAAATCACTGTTTCAAGTTTTCCTGATGGTTTTCTGGTTGAAGGTAACACGATAATAGTATTTTTGTGCAATTTCTGAACAACAAAAAAACTTTCTGAATTTTCCCTAAAAATCTCTGAAGATCCTCAAATCATGAAAATTTTCCAGATAAATTTCGAAAAGTACATCCGCACAGTGTTCAAAGAGTTGGTCGATATTTCACCGAATCACACGATTATCATTAGAGAAGTCGATTATTTTATTGGAATTCAGGTAAGTCTGGAATTGGTTTTTGGCTGAAAATGTGAAATTTGAAAATGTTAACTGAAAATTTCTCTATTTTCCAGCACGTCCTTCAAAACACACCCAAACGTGTCCTTGCTAATTATATATCTTGGCGCCTGGTTCAAGGTGGGGTGGCCGTCGAAGACTTCTTCAGTACGTTGCCAAGTCCAACTTGGCCTTTTCTCGTCCGGCTTTTTATCGATTTTTTAGCGTGCCTTTTCTGATTTTTCAACACTCCCTTTGTCTTTTTCTTCTAAAAATGTTGAATATAACTTTCCTGAGTTGGCTTGGAACGTGTGAAGTTGTTGCTTCTTTTTTTTTTCTTGAAACATACTCCAAAATTTGGGTCCTGATGCGAAAAAGAGTACTGTAGGTCTATTTTTGCCGCGAAAAATTGAGTTTTTTTGCTTCAGGGCTTCTAATTTCGACCGACTTTTTGAGATCAAAAATGAATTCTGAATTTTCGCGCCAAATGTTGGTCTTGGAACGGAAAAGAGTACTGTTGACTCGTTTTTGGCGGTGATTTGAATTCTCACGTCAAAAATTGGGTCCTGGTGCGAAAAATCTGTAAATTTGGCCAATTTTCAGTAAATTTGAAAATTTCAAAGCTCAAAACTTTTTGGAGTATGTTTCTACCTCACCCCAATCCTCATACTTATCCTAACTATCTTCAGGTTTTTCACCATTTCTTCCACCATCAATTCGCGAACCCTTCTATCAATTCAAAGCCAATCAAACAGGAATGTTCAACAGTCCACCGCCAGATCGATGGGAAGATTGTGTAACTCTATCAGTGATTATGATGGATATGCCAGTCGGTCGATTATTTGTCGAAAACTTTTTTCGAAAAAGAAAAAGCGTTGGAGAAAATGACGGAATTGACGTCGTATTTGAAAAATGAGTTTATCAAACAACTGAAAGTTTTGGATTGGATGGATGAAGTCACGAGAAATCGAGCGATTAGTAAAGCAAATATGATTGAATATAAATCCGGTTTTCCGGCGCAGATTTTGAATGACACGTGGATGGATAAAAATTGGGGATTGCGAATCGCTCCTGATGAATATTTGTTGCATTTGACGATTCGGGTGAAACTTGTGAGGTTTACTGAGGAATTGATGAGATTGGATCAGCCGTTGGATCGGAGTATGTGGTTTCAAAGTCCCGCTCAAGTTGATGCTTATTATGCGCCAAATAATAATGAGATGAGTGAGTTGATTTTTTGGGAGATTGAATAGTGTTCTAGATTTTGAGATAGAGCCGCAAAATTCACTTTTAAATTTATTTTTCTAGTTCAATTGTGAATCTGGTACAAATCAAAATTGAATTTCAAAAATTTTATTTTCAAAATAATTCGAAACAGTGAAATTTTTTGAAGGCAAAAATTAGTTACAAAAAATCTCCAATTTTTAATTAAATAAAAATTAACACGGAAAAATCACCAATTTTTTCTTTTTCTAAATTAAAAATATCACTGTTTCAAATTATTCTCTTTAAGAAAATATAGTATATTTAGTAAAATGACCTCTCGAAGCGGAATCGAATTTTAAACTTTTATTTTCAAATTAATCTGAAACAGTGAAATTTTTTGAAGGCAAAAATTAGTTACAAAAATCTCCTATTTTTCAATTGAATAAAAATTATCTCGGAAAAATCATTTGCAGTTTCTCTCCAAAAAAAATTTCACTGTTTCGAATTTTTGGGGAAATAGATTTTAATTTTTTTAAATATTATTATTATATTCAATTTAGTTCCGCAAAATTTTCATAATTTAGTTTCAAAACAAAAATTTTGGAGCGATAATTTCGATTCTAACAAAATTTCAGATCTCGGAAAATGTTATCTAGAAAATTTGAAACAGTGGTATATTTTGATTATAAAAATTTACTGTTTCTAATTTTCTTCAATTCTCAATTTTCATTTAGCACGTCGATACATGATTGAGTGAGCTCTCACTTAAAAATGAAATTTATGTTTCAATAACATAAATTCTTGCTGGCGTTTGAGAAAAGAGAAAACGTCGTAATTTTTGGGCATTTGAAGTTTTTTCTTCGGTAACTATGTATATTGTTAGAAAAAAATCGTAAAGGTGGTAGTGGGGTTGAAAAATTACAAAGTTTTCATCTAAAAATTTCGAAACAGTGAAAAATTTGATTTAACAAAATTCACTTTTTCAAATTTTAATCAAAATTTGCTTTTGAAAAATACGCGGAAAATAATTTTTCGAATCTAGTTGAAAATTTTTCAAAATAAAAAATCACTGTTTCAAATTTTTCACAAACTTTTTTCTTTCAAAAATAAAACGGTTTGAAGAGAAATGCTGACTTCCTTTGAAAAAATGATATATTTGCAGTTTTCCCCGCCGGAATAATGCAATTCCCATTCCTAACTCTCGGAGTTCCCAATTATATCACCTATGGAATGGTTGGTGCTGTAATTGGTCACGAAGTTTCACATGCTTTCGATGATCAAGGTGGACAATATGATGAATTGGGAAATTTGAATGATTGGTGGGATCAGGAGACGGGCGAGAAGTTTGTCGAAAAAACACGGTGTTTTGTGCGACAATATGAGAATGTACACGTGGCTGAGGCTGATATTCATTTGAATGGACAATTGAGTTTGGGAGAAAATATTGCGGATAATGGAGGAGTTAAGACTGCGTTTAATGTGAGTTTTTTGGGGGGAATTTTCAGCACAAGATTTTGATTTCACATGTTTTTTACCTGAAAATGATCATTTTTACCCAAAAAATTGAGATTTTTCAGGCCTACAAAGCTTGGAAAGCCAATACAACAATAACCAAATCTGATGAGCCAGCTTTGCCAGGATTCCAAAATTTCACCAGTCAACAAATGTTCTTTTTGGCGTATGCGAATGTGAGTTTGGGATTTTTGACTATAATTTTGAATCTGCAAACCGCCACTTTTTTCTCATTGTCACGTGGATTTTCTTTTTTCAAATGATAATATTCTTGATCCAGTAATATTCGAAAAAAAAATCAGAAAATTCAAGAAAAATTGAAACAGTGAATTTTTGCAACAAAAAATTTGAAAATTTATTGAAAAATGGGAGTGGCTTAATTTGTGAAATATCCAAGTTTTGCATATTTTTCATTGCCACGTGGATTTTCTGAAAAAATCCTTTATGGAGTAATTTTTGAAAAAAAAAATTATTCAAATAAAAAGTTTGGTTGAATTTTGAAAAATGTAAGTCTGGCACACTTTTTTCTATGCTACGTGTTAATTTTTGGCGCGAAAATTCGAATTTTCAAAAAATTTGGAAACCTAAATTGTGGGAACAAACATTTGTTCACATAGTTTTTGAAACAGTGAAAATTTTCTTCAAATTTTTAAAAAGGCGTGGCCGTATTATGCAAACCCAACGCACTTTTTTCCACGTGGATTTTGAGTTTATAATTAACGATGAAGTAGTCAATTATTTTTTGGAGAAAAATCGGAAAATTCAAAAAAAATTAAATCGATATTAAAATTTTGTTTAAAAAATCTGCAAAGCGTTTTCACATTTTTTTTCTTCTAGAACTGGTGTTCAATAGTCCGCCCCAAACACTACATTCAAATAATTCTAACCGATGTTCACGCGCCGTCAAAATACCGTGCAATGATTCCCCTTCAAAATCGACCCGAATTCGCCGAAGCTTTTCAATGTCCCAAAGGTTCACCAATGAATCCCGAACGAAAATGTCAAGTTTGGTAGATTGGCCCAAATTTCGGATTTTTTTCTGTTTTTTCTCGAACTTGCCATATATTTTTTTAAAATGTGTCTAGTCAACTTTTTTGTTTTTTCATTTTTTTGTCCCCAAAAATTTCTATCATCTAGTTAATCCCCTGATCTCATCTCAAATTGTACCAAAAAACCCCCCACTTTTTTTTGCTTCATTCAAGTTATATTTGATTTTTTCTGTCTGAAAATGAAAGAGGTCTAGAAAATCTGAAATTTTCAGGCGGAATTTATTTTTGGAAACGTGTTTTTCGGATGCTTTTTCAGCTGGATGAGAGTGAATCAGAAGATTGAATTTTGGCGGAAAATTTGAGGAGATACGGTAGGTTTTGGCGCCAAAAATGTGGGAAAATTGTATTTTAGAACCAAAAAATTCACTGTTTCAAAGTTGTTGTATATTTTGGCGGGTTTTTTGGAAAATCTAATCCATAGTTCTTAAACTTCAAAATAAATCAGAAAAGTTAACATGGAAATTTTTACTGTTTCAAAATAATTCTATATTTTTGCTGGCTTGAGGAAAATCTGGTACACCATGATCAAGCAAATGTTGAAAAAATCAAAAAATATTGATAAAACAAATTTGCGCTTGAAAATTTATTTTTTAAAATTCACTGTTTCAAAATTTGGGTATAATTTTCTCAGGTTTTGGAATATCTGATCAACCTCAATTTTGAAGTAAACATCTAAAATTCAGTCAGACCACAAAAACTGCACGTGTTGGTAAAAAAAAAGGTCCAAATATATTTATTTTTATAAATTCAGAATTATGAATTTTTCATCTCCAAAACCACAGTTAGATCAAATTTCAATCAAAATTTTTGTTGAGTAGAACTTTGATTTTGTCATCTTGAAAACGTACAGCGATTTTTGGAAATTTTGATTCCTCTGACATTTTTCGTAGACCAAAACTTGTCTGAAATTAATTTTTAAATTTATTCGAAAAGAATCAAATCTTACTTTGTCACCAAATTTTTGAATTGTTCGTTTGTCATTTTTCGCTCTCCGAAAAAATCGGAAATTGGGTCACGAAAATGTTTTTCTGTTGATTTAGGCTAAATTCCATTTCTAACAATAATTTGTGACATAATTCAATTTCATCCCACAAACTACTAAAAGAAAAAAAGCAGCTCAAATCCACCTGAATACATTTTCACCTGATATTCCTCATTTCCCTTCTTCTTCAAAAGTGTTCATTTTTCTAATTTTCCAGGAGAAAATGATAAGTTTCGAGGTTCCGAGTTGGCTCATTTGGCATTATGATATTGTTGGAGCAATTTCATTTATTATAAATATTTTTGCAATGTTTTTGATTGTGACGAAAAGTGGAAAGAAGAATGAATTCAGGTTTTATTTGATGTATTCACAGGTAATTTTGAATTTTGAACAAAAAAACTTGAAATTAGAATTTGGCTCGGAATATTGTTATGACGTGGCAACTCTTTTTCGCCAATTTTTTAAAGAAATTTTCAAAAATACATTTTTTTTCAAATATAAGCCTTGAAACAGTGAATATTTCTGTTAGAAAACATACCTGATTGGAAAATTTCCTATTTTCAATTGAAAATTTGATTTCAAAAATATCTCTGAAATATTTTCTGGCTCATTTGTTTTCTGAGAATTATTTTTCCTGAAAAAAATAATTTTTCAGTGAATGTTTCCTTTTTTGTTTTGAAAATAACGATTAAAATGAGCAAATTCAGCTCTAATATGAGCAATCCTCCCTCAAATCTTCAACTTTCTTTTTTGCAGTTTTCCTGTATAATATTTGATCTACAAATGTCATGTTTCATGCAACTTTGCCCGCTTTTTCCAATTGTCGCCGGATTCTCAAATGGAATTGCATCAAAATATCTGAATATTTCCACGCATGTTCTAATGTGCCTCGTTTTTCTTTTTGTAAATATGCAAATTCATTCGCTAACAATGTGTTTCATCAAAAAACATCAAACATTGGTCAGAATTGGTAATACAAATGATTTGGGATTTTGGAGAACTCGAGTGATTTATGCGGTTTGTATTTGTTGGCCGGTTTTTGCGTCGGGTGTTTTTTATATGTGTGAGTTGGATAAAAATGAGCAATGGAGGCAGATTAAAGAGGTTAGTTTATTGGAAATTCCTATATTTCAAAGAAAATATAAATTTTTTGAAACAGTGACATTTTTTTTCAGAAAATTATTTCTAAATGTTGCTCTCGAAGGAAAAATTCACTGTTTCAAAGTTTATTTAATAAAAAATTATATTTTTAAAATTGTTACATGCTCTGAAAAGAAAGTTTGACACTTTTTCTCAATTTTCTGATTTTTTGTGTCATAAAGTTGAAAGTGAATTATTATTTCCTGAAATTCAATTTCAGCTGCCTTTTTTTTCAAGTAAACATTTTTATGAATTTAAAAAATTCACTGTTTCAGATTTTATATTCATTTTTTTCTCCAAAATGTTGAATGATGGAAAATATTTCGTTTTTCTGATTTTTTCCAGACTTTTTTGAGTCGTGATCTGAAATTTTACAGTAGTCAGATTCATATTTCTGAAAATAAGTTTCAGCTGTCACAGAAGTGATGTAAAAATGTGAATAAAATGATTTTTTGTGAATTTAAAAAATTCACTGTTTCAAAATTTTTATAATAATAAAAATTGTTTTGGAAAATTATTGAGTTATTGAACGAGACTGTAAAATAAATACAATTTTGAAAATAAAATTCACTGTTTCAAAATGTATACTTGAAAATGAAATGGTTTTAGAAAAGTGATTTATTGTTTGGGTAAATTTCTAATTTAAAAAATGCACTGTTTCAAAATTTTTATAATAAAAAACGTTGTTTCGGAAAATTGTTGGATTATTCATCTGGAGAAATATAATTTTTAATGTTTCAAAAATTTGATTCTATTTTTGGAAAAGACTCCTGGAAAATTTTAATGTTCTTAATTCAGTAGTGAGTAAATTACTTAAATACACTTTCAAAATTCACTGTTTCAAAATTTATATTAAAAAATGAAATGGTTTTAGAAAAGTGATTCATTATTTGGGTAATTTTCTAATTTAAAAATTCACTGTTTCAAAATTTTATAATAAAACAATTATTTTGAACAATCGTTATTATGATCAAAAAAGGCCGAAAAATTGACTGTTTCAAAAATTATTGTCGAAAAAATAATAATCAAAAACTTTCCAGCTCTACCCTTCATACCTCTCCGGATTTCAAAGCCTCCGCGAATTCACCATCTACGATGATCGCAACTATTTCACACTCTTCGCAATGGTCCAAATCCTTTTTGGTTATTCAGCCGCACTTTTTATAATTCCACCAATCGCAATTCATATGATCAATGTTCTCAATCAAAACAAAAATCAAACTTCAGCAATTCTAATGAAAAAACATCGTGCAGCAGTCAAAGGTCTAATTGCACAATTTTCAACGTGTCCTTTGACATTGATCCCAAATGTTTTTGCGATGCTTACCGTGGTTACGAAATTCGAAAATAGCCAGCAATTTATTTATTATGTGATTGTTGTGATGACAATTCATTCGATGACAAATTCAATCGTCATTATTTTCAGCTATCCAGATTATCGAAATTATGTTCTAGAAATTCTCAAGCTTCGAAAACGTGTAACACCGAAAATAAGCCAAACATTTTTCGTGAATGTTTGAGACGTGACCCATTTTTTTTTCTTTTTTTTTCTAGTTCAAAAAAATCAGAGCTCAAAAAAAATTGAATCAGTATCGATTTTTGTATAACAAAGTAAATAGCAAACTGGATCCCGGAAAAATATAGAAAAATATGGTTGACAGAAATATTCATAGTGAATTGTGGTTTCATGGTTTGTTGCCGCGTGAGGATATTCGAGTGATGTTACGCAAAAACGGCGATTTCCTCGTTCGCTCGACTGAACCGCGTCCCGGCGAACCTCGTCAATATGTATTATCAACAATGAAAAGCGAAGAGCAAGAAGATCAAGGAATCAAACATTTTGTGCTCAAAGAAGGAAAAGGTCAAATATTCATTGAAACCAAAGGATTCGACACAATTTCCGCTTTGATTGCACATCATTTGAGCACAAAAGAACCCATCAAACAGACTTGTGTTCTTCGAAATCCAATTGTTAAACAAGATTGGGAAATTGATCATAATCAAGTTGTTCTAACTAAAAAATTGGGAGAAGGCGCTTTTGGAGAGGTTTGGAAAGGGAAAATCACATTGAAAAATGGGAAACAGGAAGATGTGGCGGTGAAATCGGCAAAACTTGAGTCATTGAATAAAGAGCAGATCAAGGAAATTATGAGGGAAGCAAGATTGATGAGATTTTTGGATCATCCGAATATTGTCAGATTCTATGGAGTTGGTGCGGGACAAGAGCCGCTTTATGTGATTATGGAATTGGCGGATTCGGGAGCATTGGATTCGTATTTGCAGAAGAATCCGAATATGACGATGCCTAAGAAGATGGAGATGATTTATCAGGTGAGATTGCAATGGGGACTAGTTTGGGTTTCTAGGCCATCAGTACAATATTTTTTTTGAATATTTTTGAACTCAAAAAAAAAACTGTTTCAAAGTTTTGTAATAAAAACACTTTATTTTCGAAAAATTTGATCTAGAAATATAGTTTTCAACAAAAAAAATCACTGTTTCAAAATTTTGTGATAAAAACAATTTATTTTGGGAAATTGATATTTCTGGCCCTATTTGAAATGGATTTTTAAAATTTCAGAAATAATTTTTCAAACTCTTTTATAGATATTTAATTTCAAGCCAAAAAAATACTGTTTCAAAATTTTTCTATTAAAAAAATTTATTTTGGGTAATCGATAGTTCTCCTCCATCTAAACCAGAGTTCCGAATTTGCAACACCTTGAAACCGTATTATACCGACACCTCACACGGTGTCGGTTTCATTAGGGTGTCGTTAAACGACACCCGAGTGAAACCCATCATTGTTGAATGACACCCTTATGAAACCCATTGCTGAAATTTCGCATTGAAGTTGAAATTTTTGTAAATCGTCTGAAAATAAGTTTTTGAGTAGGGTGAAGCTTGAATTTCAGCTTCTGCTATCACTTTAAGCTTAAGCTTCAACCCAGAAGCTGTTATCAGTGATTATCAGTGAAATTTCAAAATTATCAGAATGAGCTGGGAGTTGGAGGAAATGATGTTTGGTGATTGTGGATGACATTTTTGATAAGTTTATAGCTCCAGCTTTATCCCAGAAGCTCTTATCAGTCCTTATCACTAAATTATCAATATGCTCAGATTGAGCTGGGAGTTGGAGGAAATGATGTCTGGAGCTAGTAGAGACTATTTTTGATAACTTTATACATCAAGCTTCATCTCAAAAGCTCTTATCAGCTGTTATCACTAAATTATCAATATCATCTGATAAGGCTGAAAATCGGCATTTTTGGGTTTTCGAGTATGGGGAACCGTGTGCTGATAATCATTTTGTCTGAAAACCACTCTTAAAGGACCCCATCACTCAAAAAAAAAATTTTTTGGAAAAATTATGTTTCGGGGTTTTTCGGTACGGGGAGTCATGTGGGGTTGATCAATCGACTCAAAACTCGTTTTTAAAGGCAGTAAACATGAAAAAATTAATTTTTTTTTAATTTCAAGATTAGTGGTTTTTTGATACGAGGAACATCGTGGTGATACCCATTTGACCTAAAAATGACTTTTAAAGGCACAGTCCAGCCAATTTTTTTATTCAAAGGCATATTTCAGGTTATCACTTTTTTTGAGTTTTTTTAAACATAAAAAACCATTTTCGAACCAAATTGATGTCAGCACAATGATCACCATATCAAAAAACCTAGTTTCCATAAAAAATATTTTTTGGTCAGAATGTGCCTTTAAAAGTCATTTTTAGGTCAAATGGGTATCACCACGATGTTCCTCGTATCAAAAAACCACTAATCTTGAAATTAAAAAAAAAATTAATTTTTTCATGTTTACTGCCTTTAAAAACGAGTTTTGAGTCGATTGATCAACCCCACATGACTCCCCGTACCGAAAAACCCCGAAACATAATTTTTCCAAAAAATTTTTTTTTGAGTGATGGGGTCCTTTAAGAGTGGTTTTCAGACAAAATGATTATCAGCACACGGTTCCCCATACTCGAAAACCCAAAAATGCCGATTTTCAGCCTTATCAGATGATATTGATAATTTAGTGATAACAGCTGATAAGAGCTTTTGAGATGAAGCTTGATGTATAAAGTTATCAAAAATAGTCTCTACTAGCTCCAGACATCATTTCCTCCAACTCCCAGCTCAATCTGAGCATATTGATAATTTAGTGATAAGGACTGATAAGAGCTTCTGGGATAAAGCTGGAGCTATAAACTTATCAAAAATGTCATCCACAATCACCAAACATCATTTCCTCCAACTCCCAGCTCATTCTGATAATTTTGAAATTTCACTGATAATCACTGATAACAGCTTCTGGGTTGAAGCTTAAGCTTAAAGTGATAGCAGAAGCTGAAATTCAAGCTTCACCCTACTCAAAAACTTATTTTCAGACGATTTACAAAAATTTCAACTTCAATGCGAAATTTCAGCAATGGGTTTCATAAGGGTGTCATTCAACAATGATGGGTTTCACTCGGGTGTCGTTTAACGACACCCTAATGAAACCGACACCGTGTGAGGTGTCGGTATAATACGGTTTCAAGGTGTTGCAAATTCGGAACTCTGATCTAAACTTAATTTTGAATCATTTTCAGAAATAATCTCATGAAAAATTATGAGATTTTGAAACTTTTTCTCTAGACAGGGTTTCAGCTTTATTTTTTCCAGAAATAATTTTTCGAACAAAAAAATCACTGTTTCAAAACTTTTTATTAAAAAGTTTTGATTTTGGGAACAATTTGTTTTTTCGAAAAATGCACTGTTTCAAAATTTTGTGATAAAAACAATTTATTTTGGAAAAATTTGATGTATAAACGTTATCTAGAACTATGATTTTCAACAAAAAAAAATCACTGTTTCAAAACTTTTTATTAAAAAAAGTTATTTTAAGAAATTGATATTTCTGGCCCTATTTGAAATGGATTTTTAAAATTTCAGAAATAATTTTTCAAACTCTTTTATAGAAATTTAATTTCAAGCCAAAAAAATACTGTTTCAAAATTTTTAATTGAAAAAAAGTTATTTTGAAAAACGGTTATTGTTTCCAGAAATAATATTTTGAACAAAAAAAATCACTGTTTCAAAATTTATATTCAAAAACAAAAAGTTTTATGAAATTGATACTTCCCCTGCATTTACATTTAATTTTAAATCATTTTCTCAAATAATCTCAGGAAAAATTATGAGATTTTGAAACTTTTCTCTAGAAAGTGTTTCAGCTTTATTTTTTCCAGAAATAATATTTCCAACAAAAAAAAATCACTGTTTCAAAATTTTATTATCAAAAAAAGTGATTTTGGGAAATTGATTAACCTGAATTGACAATTTCTGAAATAACGAAAAATCACTGTTTCAAAATTTATATTCAAAAAATAGTGTTTCTGGAAATAGATAATGGAGAAATCTCAAACATGAACGAAAAACCCAACCGCAGATTTTGAGATGGCCTAGAAATCCAAAAACTTCCTAAATTTCCAGGCTGCTTGCGGTGTCGGCTACATGCACGAAAAACATTTATTGCATCGCGATATCGCCGCCAGAAACTGTCTCTACGGTGGAGGACAAGTTAAGATAAGTGACTTTGGTTTATCTCGCGAAGGTGTGTTGTACACAATGGATATGTCGAAAAAAGTTCCGATTCGCTGGTTGGCTCCAGAAACGTTGAGAGGCGGTGTTTATACACCGAAGACTGATGTCTACGCGTTTGGAATCATGTCGTGGGAAATTTGTGAGAATGGAAAAGAGCCGTATGCGGAAATGAGAGTGGCTGATGTGGCGAGAGAGGTTTTGACGGGTGGAAGATTGCAATTCAAGCCAGATGTTTGTGCGGATTATGTGAAGTTTATTAATGTGAGTTTTGAGAATTTGAAGAAATTCTGAATCCTATTATTTTTTTTGCAGAAATCTTGTTGGTCTGAAAACCCCAATGATCGTTCATTCATGCCAGAAATCATCAAATATTTCCAAAAAACCTACAAATTCAAACCAGTTGTAGTTCATCCGGTTAGTTTTGCTCAAAATTTTTTATATCTTTTCGAATTTTCTGAATTTCCAGAAAGACGAACACATGGACTCTGCCAAAACAAAACCCAAGAAGAAATTGTTGGGCGGACTTTTTTCGAGTGCTCATTCGTCGCCGGCTCATTCCACTGCTCATCCTTCTGGTCATTTGACTCCACATTCTACAGCAACTCATCCAGCTCATCCAACACATTGAAATTATGGGTAATGAATATTTTTGGAGAATTTTTCTGATTTTACCTTATTGGTTGTTCAATAATCATCGCCGTTCTCCAATTCAAAAAGTTAAGAAATCCTTGAAACAGTGAATTTTTTCACAATTTTTCGTGCAGACATTTAATTTAATTTTCCTGGAAACTATACGTTTTAGAAATTCTAGAAGGTCAATTTATAATTTTTAGCAAATAAAAAAACAACGGAAATGAATAATTTCCCTAATTTTTTATCCAAAGTTCACTGCGAGTTCATTCATAGATAATTCCTAGAACCAAAAGATTAACGAAAAAAATTGGTCTTGGAGTCTGCCATAAGTTAATACGCTTTTCAAATCCCTTGGATTTTCATAAGCTTCTGATTTTTTTTTTCATATTTTTAGTTTCATTTTGAAAATGGACGAAAAATCGCCGAAAAATATTGGGACATGTTTAGTTTGCGAAAAACCAGCGGATAGTCATCATTATAATGTGAGTTTTAAAAAAGTTTTTTTGAGGGGAAAAGTGTGCGAGGCTTGCTGAAATTAAGCCACGCCTATTTTGAGAATATTGAAAATTTTGAACGAAAAGCTCATGTATCAGGAAATTTAATCAGGAAAATTTTACTGTTTCAAAATTTTCAGAAATTTCCTGCAATTAATTTTTAACTGTTCGGATGGAATTCTATGTTTCGAAAATAGAAAAGTGTATATTTTTCAAAAATTATTAGAATTCATTTTTTTGAATTGAAGTTTTTGTATAAAATTTCAATTTTTCAATTACTGAAACAAATTTCTTGTATCAAAAAAATTCACTGTTTCAAAATTTTCATAATTTTTTTGTAAAATGTTTTCGAAATTCTGCAGACTCTGTGAAGTTTTAAAATTCGCTTTGAAATTTTTTTCATAATTTTTTTTGCATAGAATTTTCAACTGCTCAAGTACCTATTTTCCATTTAAAAAAAATTCAGAAATTTTTCTTTTTATCCTTATTTTTACTGAAATTTCCTGTTTCAATTTTTGAAATTTTCGATTTTTTTTATTGAAAAAATTCACTGTTTCAAAAATTGCATAATTTTTTTGCAAAAAGTTTTCGAAATTCTGCGGTCTCTGTGAAGTTTCAAAATTCCCTTTGAAAATTTTTCAGAAAATTTTTTCATAATTTTTTTTTGCAATTCTAAACTACTCAAGTACCTATTTTCTCCAAAAAATTCGGAATTTTTCTTTCAATGAAAAAAAAATGTCATCCTAATTTTTTAAAGAAATTTCCGGTTTCAATATTTGAAATTTTCGAATTTTTTTTATTTGAAAAAATCACTGTTTCAAAATTTTCATAATTTTTTTGCATCGAATTTTTTTTTACTGTGTTGAGATTGCTGTGTTCATAAAAATAAAACTGACTTATTGTAACTTCCCACGTCATAGTTAGACTGAAAATACACTTTTCTGACTTGAAAGTCAAATTAATCCGATATTCAAATGTGAGGGCAGATTAGTTGAACAACTCTTGATCGAAAAAAAATGTGCCAGAACTTTGTTCAAAATTTTTTTCCAGATTCTCTGCTGCCACGGTTGCAAATCCTTCTTCCGCCGCGCGATTCTCATCAAAAAAACCTTTCCGGATTGTTTCCGCGGCTCGAATTGCTACACAAAATCGGCGAAGATTTTGAATTGTCGAGCTTGTCGATATCAAAAATGTTTTCAAGTTGGAATGGTGGCGCAGTTTGCGACAGAGAGGAAGAATCGGAGTGTTCAGGCGGTGGTGGTAAGATCGGAGGTGAGTATTTTGAAAATCTAAGAGTCGCGGTAACTCAACTTAGGTTCAAAATAAGTTCAGAGCCCATTTCAGAACGAAGAAATGCTCAACATCATCAAAAACCTATCAATCCTTGATTTCGAGTTGAATCAAATCCGCAACTCCGAATTCCACCCACTCTTCCCTGATTCCCTCAAAACCATCGTCAATTCCACATCAATCATCGGAAATGCTCAAAAATATCAGCAAATGACTGGATGGCCGTTGGAAATTGAAGAATTCATAGGGAAGCAGAGATTTTTGAGCAAAATGAAGTTTGAGGCTGAGTTGGGCATTGTTCAGGAGCAAGAAGTTAGGATAAATACGTGAGCTGATTTTGGGGAATTATTTTAAAAATTATAGATTTAAAAAATTTCAGAAAAGATTGGCTACCTTTTGACATGCTTTTGTCAATTGAATACACAAAAACCTTCCAATTTTTCGGCGAATTGAGCACGGATGATCGAGTTAGCCTAATTCAAAATACGGGGCTGATGTGTTTGGCGATAACCAGTGCTTATAGTTCATATCAGAGGAAGAAGGATATACTTCAAACACCTGATGGAATTTGTTTATCCGGACCTCCGGCGATGGTTGGGAAGTTGTTTGATTGTTTTGTTGGGTATTGTGATGCGTGTGAAGGTGTCAGGTTAGGAGGTTTGGGAGGGGAAAGAAGGTTGAGAAAGGTAACATGCGCTCTACTGCACACTCGCCCGCGAAAATGTTTTTTTTTAATTTTTTGCGTTCAAGAGAATTCATGAAAGTCTTCAAGATTTCGTGCTGAAATTGAACTTTATCCTAATTTTTAGCAAATGGAAAAATGAAAGATTCAAATTCCCTCCTTTTTTGTATGTGTTTTGGCGCGGCGCGGTCTGCGTTGCGTGTTTTTTATTTCGGTGGAGCGCGTGATATTTGGAATTCATTCCGGAAATTTTTTAAATAATTTATTTTTTCTGAAGATGAAAGATATTTGAAATAAAAATCTAGAATTTGAAATTTTTTTTACAAAATTTTTGGAATCCTGGTTTTTTGTTTAATGAAAATTTTCCAACAAAACATTACAGTAACCCAAATACAGTAATTAAATTAGAATGCTGTGAATAGTTTCTGAACTTTTTATGAAATTCTACAGAAGCCGACCTACAGTAATATTTTCGGTCTACAGAAGCCCAGAAAAAATACAGAATCTTAAAATTTCCAAGTCTTGAAATTTGATCTACAGTATACTATGTATAATTTTCAGATTTACAGTAATCCATAGAAAAAAATCTGAAAATTTAAATTTATATTTTCCACGTGATTTCACGTTATTTTTTTTTCTTCTAAAAATTCATTTCACAGTTTTCCACTTCAAAAATTTCAGGGATCCGCCAGTCATTGAAATGCTCAAGAAAAACATAGATTGGAGAATGGGAGTCAAACTAATCATTCCATTAGTTCGAGAACAATTCAAATATTCAGAATACCTTATATTGAAAGCAATTATCGTTGCAAATCCAGCTGCCGGTTTATCAAATGATGGTCAAAAAATTGTGCAAAAAGAGCGCAAAAAATTGTCGAGAGCTTTACTTGATTTATGTTTTTCGAATTTTGGAAGAATCAATGGTCCCTCGAGATTTATTACACTTATTAGTTATATCAATTTGATGGAGAGTAATCAGAAAGATTTTCGCAATCTTATTTCGATTTTTAAAATTTTTAAGCCACGACAATCTTTGAGAAGTTCATTGCCTGAACAGGTTTTGTTGTGAATCATGGATGTTGAATAAATATTTTTCCACAAAAAATAAAAAATCGCAATAACAATCAACAAAAAATCCGACCTCGATGAGGAAACGTGATTTAGTTTTGGCTAGACATGTTTTCAAAATTGTGCCTATATTCTCACAATATTCTAGGGAATCAAAAATAATTTTGGAGATAACATGTAATCATCAAAATACGTACGTATCATTGCTTGTCAATGAAAAATACAGAAAACTGAATTGTTTTTTTTTCAAACACAAACTTGAATGTTGTCGTGATAAAAAGCATCAGATATCATTGAACAAAATGTTTTGGATCACTTATTTTTAATTTTGAAAAAAACAACTTTCTGATAATTATAAAATTTGCATTAGAGCATCTAAAAAATTACATAAAACCTCTATGACGTGGAAATCGATTAGTTAAGCGAGTGAAAAATGTTGCATTAAAAGTTTTATGATATGTTATCAGTGATCATTTCTCATCTCAACACACATAGATCATAATTTCGTGAGGCATCCAAGTTTTTTCAGCTTCCTGGATAGATTTTGTTCTGAAAAACATCAACAACAATTTTCATCACATATAAATGTTGGAAAATCTTCTGAAAAAACATTTAAAAATGTTTTTGATAATTTCAGCTATTCTAATATTCCCAATTGATTCATGTTTACCAACTCAGAGCTCTCAGATAATATTAGCGGATAGCGAAGTTGAAGAAGGTGATATTGCGTCATTTGAAGCGTCCACCATTATGAATTCTGCCATCTCCACTACCACAATTTCAACCACAACTGCTATCAAATCATGGCATTGCTTAGATGACACGTGGACAATGTTTGATAGAGATACTTATTATTGGTGTATGAAACCAGTTTATAAGAGCATAACTTTGAGTGAAGGAGCAGCGCTTTGCGAATCATTACAACCTGCCGCAGTTTTATCAGGTTTTCAAAACGCCAATGAAATCTCAGTGATGGCTGATGAAGCGGTAGCCCACGATAGTACAATGGATGACCTGGCAGTTGGCGCAGTTCGATCAGACGATTGTAAAACGCAGGCAAGCCTGAACACTGAAGCTTGCACATCGTTGAATATGTTTTATTGGACTGATGGTTATACAACTGGAACGGATGGATTTATTTGGTATCCAACTACACCGAATGGATGTTTCTATGGAGGTTGTGCTGAGGATTTCTACGCTTCGCTTTATATTCATCACAAACAGTTGGATGATTTGCCAGGAACTCGATCTATTGGTGGCGCTTTTTGTGGAATGTTGGCTGAGTATTATTGAAATTTTTAATTGACTAACAGGTGCAGAAAACTGAATCGTCTTTTCTATTACTCAGAGAACGTCTGGCTTGAACGGCGCGGTTCGCGAAACCCAAAAATCTGCCAATCCGCGGCTGACACAAGAACTTTAGCGAAACGTCCGCGAAATTATACTCCGCTGTTAGCGAAACATCCGCGCAATGCACTCTCGAAATATAAAAATGCTTCACTACCCCTGATAATTATCAGAAGTTAGTTTTGACTTGTTGTTCCAACCCGGCCTCGATCCCAATCCTGTCGTTTTGTAGTCATCCATCTTCCTCGCTGCGCTATCCTCGTTGTCGCGTACGCGATGCAATTTATCCTTTTTATACCCTCCCTCACGAGTCCATCCGCGGATCCGCGGAAAACGCAAAAAAACCAAATTTGCGAGTGAAAAAATTTCGCGGAATGCGCGAAATTAGACTCTCTTCGGCTGAAGTTTCGCCGTTCGCGAAATTTTTTTCGCGGAACCAGCGTAATGATTTTCACCCAAAAATTGGTAAAAAATCGTCCGCGGACCGCGCCGTTCAAGCCAGACTTTCTCTGAGTGATATGATGATCAATGAACAATTATGCAATTATGTGTCTTATCACCCTTGAAATTTCTCTGAAATTTTTTGTAAGCTTTAAAGTTTCATATTTGTTGCATACCCATGGATATAAGTTTTGGCAGATTTTCGAAATCTTATTTCGATTTTTGAAACTTTTAAACCTAGATAATCTTTTGTTGTGATTTTTTGAAAGATAAAATGTTTGCCACGTCAAATCTATTTATTCTTCTACTCGGGTTTGAACCCAAAAAAATCATCTACAAACAACTGTCACTGATTATACAGAGACAACAAGAAATAAAACACCGTGAAAACAATCAAAAGAAAGATGCCGAAATATCCGACTTCGATGAGAAAATCGCAAATGAGTTGTCTGAAGTTTGAGGGAAAATGATCGGAGAAGTGGAATTTTGCAAGTGCGGTGAACAATGTCTGAAAAAAGAAAGAAAGTATGAGGAAATCCTTGTGACTAAAAATAGCATGCTTTTTTTTTCGGAAAATTGCGAGACCTAAATTAAGAGCCTTATCAATTTTTTTGATGATTAGACGACAACAAATTTTTGACCTGTCTATGTAATTTCCGGGGGAAATCGGAGGTTTTGAATTAAAATTTGAAAAAAAATTAAATCGAAAGTTTTTTTTAGAATACCGAAAAATGTTTTATCAAAAATCTGGGGAAAAATTGAAACCTAGGAAATATTTTACTGTTTCAGAAAAAAAACCTTCAAAATTTTTTTTCGAAAAGTTTTTTTTCCTTGTGGCTCCAAAAATCCCTCAAATATTAAAATATCCTACCTCATTTCTATGAATCGGAGCAGCAGAAATTCCCAAAATGATGAAAAACATCAATAGAATAAGAACAAGTTTCTTTTCAGAACTAATAGCCAACATTTTTTCAATGGAAAAGTTTGAAGAAGCCAGAAAATAAAAAGAGAATGGGAGTACCGAACTATCTTAGCATGAGAAATATGATAAGGGAAAATTGGACATTTTTGTGTGGAAAAACTTCGAGTCACGGGAGAAGGGAGTAGTAGCACAAAAAATTTCGCAATATTAGAACAAAACAAAAATAATCTAAAAATAGATAATTAATAAGTCGCACTTCAGGAACGTTTCGAAACTAGAAACTAGAACTATGTTGAAAATTTCACCTGAAATTTATAAGAATTTTGAAACAGTGAATTTTTTTTCAAAAAATTATTGCACTTTTTTTTATAAACAATCAAATTGAAATTTTCAATCCAAAAATTCATGAGAATTTTGAAACAGTGAAATTCTTTTCAAAAAAAAAATTAATTTTTGCTTCTTTATTGAAACACAGTTGCTAGATTGATTATCAGCTTTTCCTGTCCAAAAATTCATGAGAATTTTGAAACAGTGAAATTTTTTGTAAAAAAAAATAATATGTAGTGTTTAATCAGCTTGAAATTTTCTATCCGAAAATTCATTGGTTTTCTGAAACAGTGAAAATTTTTGCAAAAAAAAATAATATGTAGTGTTATAATCAGCTTAAAATTTTCTGTCCGAAAATTCATTGGTTTTCTGAAACAGTAAAATTTTTTCAACAAAACTTTAATTTCCGGTTTTTTATTGAAATACAGTTAATCGTATCATTATTAGCTAGAAAGATTCTATCCGAAAATTCATTAGTTTTCTGAAACAGTAAAATTTTTTCAAAAAAAATTTTACTTTTTCGCAACAATTTTGTCTTCATGATCAGCTTGAAATTTTCTATCCGAAAATTCATTGGTTTTCTGAAACAGTGAAATTTTTCAACAAAACTTTAATTTTCGGTTTTTTATTGAAATACAGTTAATCGTACCATTATTAGCTAGAAAGATTCTATCCGAAAATTCATTAGTTTTCTGAAACAGTAAAATTTTTTCAAAAAAAATTTTACTTTTTCCAAAAAATTTTGTTCGCTCATCAAAAATTGAAATTTTCTATTCGAAAATTCATCAAAATTTTGAAACAGTAAAGAAATATTGTGTGTTTTTTTTTGAAAAATATGCCACGTGGCATGAACTTTGCTCTCTGTGATCACGCCCTTCCATCTTCACATCAAAACATACATAGATTACTGTAGGGAAATTTAACGATTCCGTGAAAAATCGTAAAACTTTCCTATAAAACTCTAGTTTCTTGCCCTTCCCAGATGATTTCTGATTTTATTCAATCATGAAAATAGTTTTAATTTTCTTGATCTTCATTCTCTCAATCGAGGCTCGCAGCAAAAACGTTGAAGAAAGTGACGAGTGTTCAGCTTCATCTAGTGAAGAAGCTCAAAAACCCAAACACCATCACCATAAACACCAGCATAAACATCACAAAAAACGTCGGACCACTACGACTACAACAACAACCCCAGCGCCACCAAAATGTTCGGAAGGTTGGACTGGATTTCAGAGATCGGGAAGAACTTGGTGTATTCAGGTGTTTGATAGTTTGGTGAATCATATGCATGCTGATGCACATTGTCGGATGTTAAGAGGAAGTTTGACGGGAATTGAGAGTGTTGAGGAGAATCGGTTTATACAGGGTGGGTTCTTAGAGCTGACTCTAGTTTTTTACAACACTGACAATTTTACAGCGGAAGGTCTTCGATGTCTTCAAAAATATGGAAAAACTCTTGGTGCAATCTGGCTTGGTTTAGAACGACGACCGGAGTGTCAAGGCTTCTGGAATTCGATATCAGCCGCATGTTCGGGAAGTAATGGATTTGTGTGGATGGATGGTGTGACAACGCGGAAAGATACGATGACTTGGCGACCAACGATGCCGGATAATAGCGGGTGGGTTGGGTTAGACTAGACTGTAGTCTGGCTGCATCTAGCTGAAACTGATAGGCCTAACTAGACCTACCTCAATTTTCAGCGGCAATCAAAATTGTGCCTATATGCATGTCGGTTATCAATCGTTCTTGGGAATCAATCCTGGAACTCTTGATGATATTGAGTGTCTGAATCCGGTGACCGCAAATTTGGATATTCAAATTCCAAGAGGATTTGCGTGTGGAAAGTGGGCTGAATGATAAGGTTTTGATTTTTTGTGGGGGTGATAAAGTATTTTATTTTGCAAAAACACAGTTCATAATTTGAAAAATATCTGCAAAATTCTGAAATTCATGATTTTCTGGTCATTTTGTGCTAAATCTTAAAATTTCCCCATAATTTTTTCATTTGAAAAAAAAGTATCAAAAACATCAAAAAATCCCACAGACATCAAATAAAAAAATATTCAACAAAAATTTTCCTAAATTTTTTTCACTGTTTCAAAAAAAAATGAAAATTTTCTACTATTTCATCTTCATAATACTAATTCTTTACCCAACAGAATCCCTCTGTATTTACAATGCGACTTCCAAGGATTTTGTGTTAGCTCAAAACTTGACCAAAAAATTCCTAAGCATTGTAAAAGTGTCAACAACCCAACAAATGGGACCATTTATATTCGAAAAATTGCAGAGCTCAACTTTATTAATGACCGAAAATTTGCAAGGATTTCCAATAGATCCATCGTGGAAAAGAATTGAGATTCTGAAACATTTTGAGAGTTTGGGAGATGTTCGATTCAAAAAATTTGAATTCACAGTTCCAGAAGTTAAAAATGTTTATTTCAAAGTCACTGAAAATGGGACAATTGATAGAACTCGAATGGCTTTTGAAATCGAATATTATTTGAATATTGGAAAAGTGAGATCGGTTGTGATTACTAGATTTTCAGAAAAATTTAATTGTTATAAAATATATCATCATATTCGACTTTGTATTTATGGAGGAAAACCTGATTGTGGAAATATTTATGGGATTAGAATGCATTTGAAGATTTTGATGGATAAGCTGAAAACTATTCCTAGTTTTGTTTTGGAGAATATTTATTGAATTTTTGTTGATATTTTAGAATGTATCCTGTAATTTTTTGTGAAAATTTTTTTGTATACACACATTTTTATTCGCAAAAAATTAGCTGAAATAATGACTGAAAAGCATGAAAATATAGAATAATTTTGAAAAAAAAGTAAGAATTATATGAGCAGGTTAAAGTAAAAACCAAAAGCTACCAAAAAGTTATGTCGACCAATCAAGGAACATGTTCCAGAGAATCCCAATCAAAAAAGCAAAGATCAGCACTAATAAGAACATTGTGAAAGTATGGAGAATAACGAAATGAGTCTGGAAAACCATCGAGATAGCATCGGAGTACCAAGTCTGAAAAAAACACATGATTTACTTATAGTCCCTGTTTAAAGCTTAAGCTTACCTCAGGGGGAGCGGAGAGTCCAGGCAACATAACATCATTGGAAATTTCTTTGGGTTTGGCTGATTTTGGCATCGAAGTCGAGCAGTTTGCAGAAGTCTTCTGAAGCTCATCCGTGCAGTTAATTTTAGGGGCTCGAATGAGAACGGTGATTTTTGATGAAACAAAAATGGCCGAAAGAAGAATGAGAAGAATTTTCATTTTCTGAAAAAAAATTTAATATATTTTACTTCGCATTTGAAAAAATAAATGAAAATGGTTTGCCTGGAACAATATGACATGGCAAGGGATGAAGAGAGTGCAGAGAAAAAATCTGGCTAATATGAGTCATGTGCTAGAGATGAAGAGGGTGCAGAGAGCTGCGGATCAGGCAGGCACCAGGAATATAGGAAAAATAATTCTTCTAAACTCCATTCATGCTTAGAATTTAAAAAAAAATTGGGAACTCATAATTTTGAAAGACTCTAGATTCTCCCAAGATGAAATACAGTAATCTACGGTCCAGCTTATTTCTGAATTTAGAAGATCACTTCAAATTTAATTTTAATTTTCAGAAAACTTGAAAATTAAAAATTAAAATCTAAAAATTTACACCAAGAGGTCACACGACTCAAACAAAAGAAAATTATGAAATGATTTTTTCTAGAACAAATCTTACAACATGAGTCATGAGCTAGAGATAAGAGGTTGCAGAGAAAACAGAATGAGACATTGACTCATACGAAAAAGAATACTGTAGATCATTTTGAAAAAAAAACAATTTATTTTCAAAAATGCTCGAGCTCATAATTTGACCCGTAATTCGGACGATTCAAACGACCTTTTTTGATAGCCACGTGGGTTTTAAAAGTGATCAAAATTAAGCTGGCAAACACGAAAATCAGAAAACCAATCAGAAAATAAATTGTGGAATTAAATTGTTCGTCATTTTCGGATTTCGCTGTCAGTAATTGCAGAGTAGAATTTGAATTGCAGGTCTGAAAAAATGAATCAAATCTTGAAGTCTGGAAAATCAGTATACCTGTTTTTCACAATCTGGAAGAGCACTCATTTTTGTGAACATGAAAAATATCAAAAAAATGTAGAGGAATAGTTTCATGTTTCAGGAAAAAAAGAAAATGATGAGAAATATTGAAAAACAATAATTTATAATTGAATGTGGTTTTAATTTTATTTAAAAAGTAGAAAAGTTTTTTTTAACGATTCTGAATTCCAATAAAATTTTTGGAAAATCAGCGAATCAAAAAAAAGTATGATCTTCAGAAGATCATTGAACTTGCAAAAATTTGGTGAAAATAGAAAGAAATTCACGTTTTTAATTAAAAAAATAATTAAAAACGTGAACTTCCAACGTGGATTCCATTTTTATTTATGTTAATTTAATTTCCAAATTTTTGAGAACAGTTTTTTTGAGTTCTTCAAAATCTAGGCCCAAATCCCTGAATGATTACGCTGAAATCAGGACAGATTTAGTTGGCTCGAAGTTTGTTTTCTGAATTTTCATTTGTCTTCGTCTAGTTCACGTAAATTCGGTTCACAATTTGGTTTTTTTTCTAAAAATCAATTCTTCCCACAGACAATTTTATGACGATTCCAAATGTTCCAATTCCAAATTCTAAACAAAAGTTTCCCCCCAAAAAATATCAGTTTACAACTAGTTCCACTGAAAACAATGCTCGCCTTTTTCATTTTATTGATTCTATTTTTCTGCAATTCTATAAGATCATCTGAAACACCAATTCAAATTCAAAATGTCAATGCAACCTTCTCACAAAAGGTCTCCCCAGAAGTTTCGAATCTCATCAAGAACTTGATCAAAAAAGAAAACTTGGATAATATTTTTGAAAATGATTTTGTTTTTGTGAAATGTGGAATCCGTAGGAACTCTTCGTATTTTTTAGAAAATGTTATTTTTAAAAATCAAATGAGTTTGGAAAATATTTGGGAGTATGATTTTGGAGAGGATTTGACGCTGGTTGATGGGAAGTTTATGACAAATGTGGTTCAGATTAAAATTGGCGCAGGGAGATTATCGATTTTTGCCAGATATCAGAATTCGGAGAGGAATTTGAAGCTACGATATGTGAAACAACCTTGTCTTGAGATTTGATCAATTAATTTTGATTTTTGTTAGAAAATAAATTTGTTTAAATTGTTTGCTTTTTAATTCTGATACCTCAGCTTCTGCAAATTTTAGGTCCAAAGTTCTAATTTTGAATTTCAAATTTCTAAATATCCCTTTTTCGTCTAGCGTCTCTTCTGCACACACACGCTAACTTTACTCTCTCGTTTTCTCTCACGAAGATTGGTGTGCGCAAACACTGTGTTTATTTTTTCAACCATTTTTGGGTTAAAACTTCGTGGGTGGTCTCGAAAAAAATGTCTAGCCGCTTTCAATATAAAAATTTGCCCAGACAAAAAATTTCCCATTTTTTCCATTTTTTGAAGATGAAATGTTCTCTTCTGATTTTATTCCTGATTGTCAATGTTCAGCTCTCAAGTTCTGACAACTTGCTTGACAAACTCATGGTGTTTAAACAATCCAGATTTAAAGCATATTTCGTAAATCATCGACCTTTCAATAATAAACCGGAAAAACTCACAAGTTATACGAATTTACTAAAAGAAAACGTGGATTTTTTGAATAATGAGATCTTCAATTTCATCATGAATAATGAAACCTCTGAAGCTCTCAAGTTTATTGCTCCGGATTTTATTTATATTGAGAGAGGGACCCCGCAAACAGTCTCAAGGCTATTTGAAACAATTCGAAAATATTCAAAATATTTAACTTTTCCCGCTTCGAAATTAATTGATGTTAATTACATCATTCAGGAATCTCAACATTCTTCGATGAAACTTGAATATTATGTGAATTTTGGTACGAAGGAATGTAAAATTGTCACTGAAAATATTGAAAGCCAGCTGGATTTTAATATTACTCTCACTTCGGTTGATCTAAAATGCCGGGAAGTTTCGATTTGCCCGAATTGTTAATTTTTTTTTTCCTTGAAAAAAATAAAGTGATGAAATGCAAACACGCACAAACACGCACGTTGCGTACATTTTTATTTTTTGGGTTAAAACTTCGTGGGTGGTCTCGAATAAGATGTCTAGCCGCTTTCAAAATTTGCCCAGACAAAAAATTTCCCATTTTTATCATTTTTTGAAGATGAAATTTTCTTTCCTGATTTTATTCCTCAACATTTCTCTCTCAAGTTCTGACAACTTCGAGGATAAACTCATGGAATTTGAACAATTAAGACTTGGCGGATTTCTTGAATATGTACGATTTTTCAACGATAAACCTGAAAGGCTCACAAATTACACCGATTTACTCAAAGAAAATGTGGATTATTTGAACTATAAGATTTTCGAATTCATCATGAAAAATGAAACCGCTAAAGCTCTCAAGTTTTTTGCTCCAGATTTTATTTATATTGAGAGAGGAACCCCGGAAACTGTCTCAAGGTTATTTGAAACAATTCGAAAATATTCGAAATATTTAACTTTTCCCGCTTCGAAATTATTTCATGTCAATTACACCATTTCGGAATCTCAATTTTCTTCGCTGAAACTCGAATATTATGTGCATTTTGGAACGAAGGAATGCAAAACTATCACTGAAAATATTGAAAAACGCCCAGGTTTTCATATATTTCTCACTTCTGTTGATCTAAAATGCCGGGAAGTTTGGATTTGCCCAAATTGTTAATTTTTATTCTATAAAAAAAAATAAAGTGATGAAATGCAGACACATTTATCAATGCAATTTTGAAGCGAAGCGCTCGTGGCCTCCTTAGCTCAGTTGGTAGAGCGTGAGACTTTTAATCTTAAGGTCAGGGGTTCGAGTCCCCTAGGTGGCTTGATTTTTTGGTTTTTCTCATGATTTATTTGTTTTTCGATTTTATCAGACAGATTCCAAATCATTTTCAAATTCCAAATGTTGAAATTTCTCCCGCTTCTAATTTTGATGATAAAACTAGTCGATTCACAACCAGATGTTCTTAGATTAGTCGCAAGTTTCTCTCAGTCAATATATCTCAAAAATTACAAACTTTTTCGAGAAGTAGTTGCGCCAATTTACTCAATAGTTGATGTAAATGGAACGAGAAAATCGATGTCGAGATCATTTATTTTCTATCGAGCAAAAATGGCGCCTGGAGATATTTCATTAAGAGAATTAACACTTTACGGAAGGAAAAAATCAACCGAAAATGAAGGGGAATTTGAAAGTAAAGCGCTTGTATCTAGGAACGGTTGCGAAATGTACATTTAAGTTCAGAAAATATGGAACTCAATATAAAATCTTCGAAGAAGTTCACACTTCAATAAACCCAGATCATCAATATCCGAGAAGTTCAATATTTATAAATGATAGTGCAATTGATAAAAATGAATTTGCTTGGAATATCGCAAAACATCTAACAAAAGGTTATGAGAAATGTATAAGATACAAAAATCGAGAATTACTATCAAAATTTTTGAAAACCCCTTATCAAATAACTTTCACTGATCACTGGAGAAACATTCATGTCCAAGAATATCCGAATCATGAGATGGTTAATAGTTATGTTCAAGTAAATGGTAAAGTTCCAATCGGCTCATTTATTATCACTAGAGCGATTTTGCATTCGAATTGGAGTGTAGAGTTTGATGCGCATTATAATCATTTGAGAAATACATTTTTGGCTGAAACTGCGTGGCATGGTTATATGATTGTGTCGGAGATACAAAACGCTGTTGTTGTGCATAGTAAACCTGTTTTTGATGGGTTGAATCTTATGGAGGGAAATTATAAATACATTTTTGATATTGGATAAATTGGGACGATCTTTTTTCAGTTTTTTCAATTCATGAAATGTTTTTCTTCCCACAGTTTATTATTATTTTTCAGTCAGTCGACACGAAATGTTAGTCATTCTCTTGGCAAAAAATGAAACATTTGTTTATATTACTCCTATGTTTCACCACTTCATTTTCAGCTACTGATTTCAATTTCCTAGAACTTGGCAGGAAAAAAATATCGGATTTTCAAAATGCTATTCGCCTGAAAAACATGGATCTATTCTATCTTGTAATCGCTCCAAATTATAAAATTGTGTTCTCAAATTCAACCAAAAAATCAATAATCAGCAGGGACATGTTTTATCGTGTATTGTTGGCGCCTGGAGATGTGGCGATTCATAACATTTCAGTGGAAAGACACAAACAACCAAAAAATACGGAGAAATTGGAACTTGATGTATATCTAGGAGGCGTGGCGATTTGTGTTTTTATGTTGAAGAAATTTGGAGGGATTTATAAAATCTACAAAGAAAGGCATATATCAATCAACCAGAATTATAATTATCCTTTGGATTCTATAATGATTAATGATACTGCAATTGCCTGGAATGTTGCCAGAAATTTAACAAAAGGTTATGAAAATGCAGTGAGATATAAAAATCTCAAAGAAATGAGCAGATATTTGGTGTCACCGTATCATATAACTTTTACTGATCTTTTCAAGAAAACACACGTTCACGAGTATTCACACAGACATATTTTGAAGCAGTATAGCACAGTTAATGGGGAGGTTCCTGTTGGATCTTTGATTATCACTAGAGCGATTTTGAAACCCAATTCTAATTGGCATGTGGAATTTGATGCTCATTACAACTTGATAGATAACACATTTCTAGCTGTGACTTTAGGGAATGGTTATATAATTATGTCGGAGATACAGAAAACTTCGACTAAAAATGAGTTGCCGATTTTGGATGGGTTGAATTCTGTTGATTAAGAATTATGTAGATAATAAAATTGTTTATGCGCAAAAAACATTGACAAATTTATCCAGCAAAATTGTTTCATTCTTCAACTTGGTTTCAATATAACCTGAGCAAGTCTTCCCATTTGATTCTAGAACATAGAATGTTCTAACTTTCATAGAACCATCAGAAAGTTCTCGAACATCTGCAGCTTGGGATTTTGTTAGCAGCAAGATCGAAAAATAGTAAAGAATATCTGAATTTGAACGCTTGCTGGATAGAATTTCACCATCTCTTCGGGTTTTGAGAATTTCAAAGTCTTCAGAAAGGTGTTTCAAAAATTCAGAAGAGTTCCCAAGTTTGGCGAGGTGGGTTAGGTTTTCCAGGAACTCCTGATTTTTCTGAAGATGAATATTTTCAGCAGATGTTAAGTTGAAAATGAAAATAGGCAAGATGTAGACTTTCAACATGCTGGAATGACTGAAAATAATTTATTTGAAGAAAAAATGGGCTAGCCTCTATCTAGACGGTCTAGACAGTCAATCAATGTCGCCTTCGAAGTTTAACATTAAAATCCTTGGTGTGCATACTTCCAAGCTCTGATTTTACGATACATGGTGGACCATTTTCATCAGGAAGCACCTGGAATCAAAGAACCTAGGTTTTTTTCCCCTGAAAAAAATGCCGACCTCATATCGATTCAAAAAATTGGCAAAAAACAAAAAGAGCTCCATTTTCGCCAATCCTTCTCCAGGACATTGTCGTTTTCCAATCGAAAATGGTATAAATTCCTCGATTTTCTTCAATTTCCCACTTTCCTCATCGATAAATCTTGAAGGATTGAATTTCCAGGGATCCGGGAAGGCTTTTTCATCCAAAAGAACTGTGCTAATCTGAGCAACCACTCCGGTTCCTTTCTTGATTTGATAGCCATTGATTAGGGTGTCGCGAGTTGTCATGTGAAGGAGATTTAGGGGAACTATGTTGGCACAGCGTTGGATTTCCTGGAGAATTTTGGGATTTTGTGAAAATTACTTTTGGAAAAACAGATTTATGATCTTGAGTTCTGAAATTGAAAATTTTGAAAAAAATTTTGAAATTGAAAAAAAATAATTCTGAAAAAGTTACAAGTCAACTTTAATTTTGAAATTTAATTTCTGAAAAAATTAATGGCATATGTTCTCTAAATAAAAATCTGGAAATTCTGAGGATCCCAGAAATCTACAGTACGCAAAACTAGCTTTCAAAACTTTTTTTTCTTTTATTCAAACATTTTATTTACTGTTCTGAAATGTTTGAAAAATTCAATTTTGGTTCAGAAATGTTCAAATTCGAAATAAAATTTGTGGAATATTAAAAAAATACAGAATCTGTTTTTCCCGAACTCCCCAATCGAAACAAGACTCTAGTCGAATTTCCCCACAATAAACTCACATTCAAAAACGCTTGCGTCCGCTGTAAATCCGCTCGATCTGCCGTCGTAATCAATCGATCTCCCGCCACAACTCTATCCAACTCCTCCTGCACCCATTTTTGCTCCTCCAAATAATTCACCACATACGCCATTCCCCAATTTGTCGTATTTGAAGTTGTCATCAACGCGGCAAACCATAAATCCAGGCACATATTTGATAACTGCACATTCGAAAAAGTCTCAAAATCCCCGTCAGCTTCTCGTCTCTTCTGCTCCTTTAAATATGCCTCAACATAATCCTTATTCTCCCCATCTTCATCATCCAAATCAATTTCCAATTTGTGATCGGCGATTTGTTTTCCGAAAAATTCAGTAAACCCAATTCTATATTTTTCAAATCTTTCGAGAATTGTAGGACCTGGTAGAATATATCCCATCCAGGGTAGGAAAAATTGAACTCTCATTGAGAAGGTCGCGAATTCCCCGGTCTGGAAATCGAAGAATTTGCGGATTTTCTGGAATTCCGAACTTCTAGATTTCTCAAATCGATATCCAAACATCATTTGATTGATAATATTTCCAATTGCTTGATCAAATATATCTTTCAGAAAGATTCCCTTGTTTTTTTCATCTTGAGCCTGGCCTTCCAGAATCTTCTGATCACATCTCTCAAAAATATCCCGAATCTCAATCAAGATTCTCTCCTGCATCCGATCTTTCCCCAATCCAAAATCCTTGAATTGATGAAGTGCAAATCTCCGATGAGTCCTCCAAAAATCCCCATTCGTCTCAACAATCCCAAAACTTCCACCACGAAAAGATTCTTGAAAAGACATTGGTTTCTTATCCGCGTAAACTTCACCATCTTTCACAAAAGTTTCCTTGAGCGCTTCGAGACCCGAAATCAATAAATATGGCCGAGTGCCAACCCAAAACGTGTAAATGTCTCCATATTTTTTGCGCCAGTATATGAAGGCTTCATAACCTGGTGGCGGGTTTCGAAGGGATAAAAGGTTTCCGATTAGAGGTAGCGGAATTGGACCCGGAGGGAAATTTCGACGCTTCCAGTATAATTCATGGAATAAAATTAGTAGAAATAAACTAGAAATTAGTAGAAAAAACATCAGATTTTTTGTGATAAGAGGAAAAAATGGACAGGAAAATCAGATAAGCAATTCTTCTTACATCATATTTTTCTGGTTGGTTTTTTGATTTTAACCCAGCAAAGCAAAAAATTAGGTGAGAGAGTTTAGAGAAAGAAAAAACATAGATCAATAATAAATAGACTTTATTTTGTTAGTTGTGATCAACGTACAAATTAAAGGTATCGCTTTTGAATTTTTCCAAAAACTTGTCTTGGTGTTACTGTCGGGTCTATTGTTCTATCGATTATTGGAATCTTGTCAACTTGTATCTGGAAAATGAAAATTACAGATTTTCGAAAAGAATTTCACGTTTTTTCAAAAATATATTTTTTTATTCCACGTCATGCCCCATTTTCATTTTTTTTGTTAAAAAAAAACATTTTTTTTTTGAATTTTTGATCTTGTAATTTATTTCTTGAGTCATATTTAGCTAGAAATGGTCGGATGAAAAAAACAATTTGAAAATGTCAGATGGGAATTATTTGGATTCTGTGAGTTTTTAGGATTTTTTTTCAGAAAATCTAGAAGGTTTTGTAAATTCTGGAATTCTAGCTTTAGTTTTTTATCTGGAATTTTTTACATTTTCTGAGTATGAAATTGAGACTTTTTTGAAGTTTAAGTTCATTTTCTAATTTGCTATTCACCTTATATCGATTCAAAAAATTCGAAATAAACAAAAACAATTCCATCCTCGCCAATCCTTCTCCCAAACACTGTCGCTTCCCAATCGAAAATTGTAACATCTCATCAAGTTTTCTAAACTTCCCAGTTTCCTTATCAATATGTCTTGTTGGATCGAATTTCTCAGGATTCGGAAACACTTTTTCATCCATCATAACTGTACTAATCTGAGCAATCACTCCAGTTCCAGCTTTCACCGGAAAACCATTGATTGTTGTATCCCTTGTAGTTTTATGCAATGTGTTAAGTGGCACAATATTTGCGCATCTTTGAGTTTCTGCGATAAAAGCATTTATAAATGGCAGATAATTTTTGTCGGAAGTTGTGATAAGTCTATCGCTCCCAATCACTCTATCAAGCTCCTCATTAATTCTTCTCTCGATTTCTGAATCATTCAAAAGATATGCAAATGCCCAAGATACTGTAGTTGTAGTTGTTACCAATCCAGCAAACCAAATATCCATACACATATTTGATAACTGTACATTGGAAAATGTTTCAAAATCTCCTTCAGCCTCTTTTTTTCGTTGCTCTTTGAGATAGGCCTCACAATAATCATTGTTTTCCTCTGAATCGAAGTCGATTTTAGAGCGATGTCTTTTGATTTGCTCATTGAAGAAGCCATAGAAATCCGCGCGGAAGCTAGCCATCCTGAAATAAATTTGGATAATTTTCTCGTAATTTTTTTAAAATGACTTACAACTCGGGCAGCCGTTTTCCTGGCAAGAAAATTCCAAGGGCTGGTATATGTTTTTCTATAACCACATATTTATTATTGAACGCTGTCTTCTGCCAATCGATAAGATTCTTAAGTCTTACAAAATCCTGGTATCTTTCTCCCTCAAATCGATATCCAAAAGTAACTTGATTAATAACATTAGCAACACCGTTGTAAAATTGCATGGTGATATCGAAGTCCGATCCAATACTCGAATCAAAATTCTTAATCATATCTTGAACCTCAATCAAAATCTTCTCCTGCATCAAATCTTTACCCAACCCGAAATCTCGCAAATTCGACAATGCAAATCGTCGATGAACCCGCCAAAATTCACCATTCGTTTCGATAACACCATAACTTCCACCACGAAACTTTTCTTGAAAAGGTTGCGTATATTTTGCTGAATAAGTGTCACCATCTTTTATAAATGTTTCCTTCAAAGTTTCGTAGGAGTTAATGCAAATAAATGGAGTTGAACCAAGCCAAAATGTATAAATATCACCGTATGTTTTGGTCCATCTGTTAAACGCCACAAATCCTGGAGGAGGTTTCAACATCTCCATCATATTTCCCACTAATGGTAAAGGCATTGGACCTGGTGGAAGATTTCGACGCTTCCAATATAATTGGTGAAAGAGATAAATTGATAGTAAAGTGATAAATAATACAAAAATCATTTTAAAACTCAAATTGAGTACTTTTTTGAGTGCAATAAATTTCTATTTCTATTTATATATAAAAAATTTATAAAATTTTGTTCTTGTTCTTTTTGATAAGAGTGACCAAACTATGTGTGGCGTAAAATTACACAATATTTGTCTGATTTTGTCATGCTGTGTGCTTTGTTCGTTGATCTTTGGAGGAAAACGAGGAAATCTTTGTTATATATTAAACGGTGAAGTTGTAAAAACAATTCAATAAAAAATAAAACAAAATGAAAATAATTTCAAAATAAAAATTAAATTTTTTAAAAATTTCGCGTGTACAGTTTTTTTTTATTTTCACTTTTTTGAGAATCCAAAAAATCTGGTGCATACATCTGTTAGCACCCCAAATGTCATGACCTTTCTTCGAAATTTTCCTTTTTCGAAACCCCACCCTCTTACCCTCTAAAAATATAAAAACTACAATCCATTTTCTAACCAAAATCTAATCATTTCTCAAATGTTTCCCGAAAAACTCACTTAAATCAGCAATCGGTTGTTCATTCCATTTCCCTGAAGACAATCTGAAAATTCGAGCACTCAAATCCGGAAGAAAATACTAAAAAAAACAACAAAAACGATAATTATTGATTTTTTCTCCAAACACATGGCCGAGAAGACCCGAAAAAAAAATTCCGTAAATATACACACAGTCGACATGTGTGTTACAGTACCATGGTCTCGTAGCGATCCGCGCTGGCGAAGATTTGAATTTCATTTTTTGTTTTTCAGTTTTTTTCAGTTTCTCCGGGGTTTTCTTAGTTTTTGCTCGGTTTTTGAGCGTTCCGACGTGAAACTAGGGTTTAGTTTCAACTCTAGAGCCTTTTCAGCTGATTCTCAAAGCCAAGCTTCGTTTTTTGCGCATTTTCAATGCGGAAATTTGGTTTTTTGTTTTTTTTTCACTTTTTTTTGTTTTTTCGGGGTTTTTTCCGGATTTTAAAAAGTAATCTAGCGAGGTGTTTTAAAAATTTCGGTTGTTTTCCAGCATTTTAGTACAATCAGTAAATACCTATTTTATTACAGTCATTAAATCACATTTTCTGACAAACCCCTCTAATTACATCTCTGATATGATTTAAACCATGAAATGTTAAATGATTAGGACTTGAAAAGTAGCTAAATCCTCGATTATCGAATAATCTCCAAGTGTTCGTGTCATTTCTATAGAATTTTGGAAGATAATCGAAAAGTTCGCATTTGTCACCACAATCTTTCATCAGTCGAGAATACCTTATCCGCGCTCTCTTGGATGTGTCTTCGCTGACCAATTTTTTCTGAAAGTTTTCGAATTTCAATTAAAATTGATCTTTATTGCGACCAACATCAATCTCCGCAAATGTCAGATTTTTTCTAATATTTTCCACGATTTTTCCAACTTCTCCAGGATTAGTTCTTGGCATCGCATTCAGAATGAACAGTTTTATCTTGATGTTTTTCAACAGGATTTTTAGTTGATTCAGCATGTAACTATAAATCGGATCATTCTTCGAATCTCCATGAATAGGATCGCCATATGAAATATCTCTGAAAATTGTATTTTTCATCGATAAAGCCTATAAGTTCATTATACCTGCTGATGTGAATAGCATAATCCGGTTGGAATTCTTCAACATGTTTTTGAAAACTTATAATATTTTGCTGACACATTTCTGACTGTTTTGATGGATAGAGCGGTTCACAGCCAAATGCTGAGCCAATAGTCATTTCTTTTGCATTGTTTCCGCATTCCTGATAGATAAGTTTTGCGTGATTTGCTGCCCAACTATTTCCGATAACCATTATTTTATACTTCGGAGTCGTTGTATTTGACACACCAAGTTTCCCAAGTACATTGATTTTACACCAACCCAGTGGTTTTGTATCTTCGTAATCGCATTTTTCAAAAAGCAAATTTTCCCAGTCATGAATGCTCCAATCATAGTTCAATTTTTCTGCATCAGTTAGAGTCAAATTTGAAGTATCACCATCAAGGTTACTGAAATCTAGAAGATTTTGCTGGTCACTGAACAGCTTGATAATCGAATCAGTGTACATAGTTTTCATGTTTCCCAACAAAAGAACTGCGATCAGTATAGCAACATTTTGGTTGGATAAACTTATATACCATTTTTCGAAAAGGTGATAAATCACAATCGCAAGTAATATTGAAAAAGTTATAGAATAACACAAAGTCAAAAAATTTCCCTTCTGTGTAATCTTCCAGTAAGCATAAATTGGCCAATGTATCAAATATAATGTATAGGAAATGTCTCCGATATAAGTTATAAATTTATTTGAAAGTAGTTTGTTGTTCTCACCATTTGAAAATATTAGAATAGCAGAGGTGAAAACTGTTACAAGTGGTCTGAAAAATTTGTGTTTTTTGTGATGATTTTTTCTTGCGATACCTCACATAGTATTCAGAGACGGAGAGATGGTTGAATGTGATAAAAGCCACGAAAATGGTCAATAATAAACTTAATTTCGAATTTGGCTCTATTAAATATAATTTCTTCTCAATTGTTGGGTGTTCCTGTAAATGTGGTTCTTCCGAATTTTCTAATAATGCATACGATTTATGGCTGTCACTCAAAATGTAGGCCAACATTCCTAACAAAAACTGCCAGACCCGCGAAAATACACTCAAAAACGCGGAACTCTTTGGTAAATAATAAAAATAGCTAATACTCGCGATTGACAGAATAATCAACGATGATTTTCTAAATGGAAGAAGAAATATAAATGGAGCTAGAAAATAAAATTGAATTTCAACTGAAAGTGACCAAGTATGTGTGAAAATATCGATTGCAACTGAAAGCATTTCGAAATAGCTTTCCTTGTTTGTTTTCATTCGATTCGATAGAAAAAACAAGGCACTTCTAGCTGATTTTTCATTCGTATCGATCGATGTGTCCGGAAACCATGAATAGAGAAATTGTAGCGAGAAAAAGATAATTAAATAGTATAGAGGAAGTATCCGTCGAAGTCGTCGATTATAAAAATTTTTAATAAGTTCAAATGAGGATTTATCAGCTTGTTCACTTTTTGATAATAACATGGACATAAGAAATCCAGAAAGCACAAAAAATTGATCAACTCCCAAATATCCATTTGGAAATATTTCTGGGAAAAAGTGAAAACCTAGAACCGAAAGAATAGCCAGGCCACGGATTCCTTGCAAATCCAAACGTTTCACATTCTGAAAACCATTTCAATACGAAACATCGAGAAATTTTGCAAACCTACTTTTGGTGGTTGAAAAATGAGACCAATATCTGACTTTTCTTCAGTTTCATCGTTATTCATAGTGCACTCATAAATTGCTTGTTTTGATGCTATTTATAGTATGTACAAGAGATAACATCTTACACACGACAGGATCTCTTTCGAGGAGTGCTTTTGTGTTTTTCTGTAATGTTCTTGGCCCCGGAAATAATGTGTCTAATTTGTAATAGACTGAAGACTAAAATAGTAGACGTGGTCCTGAATCCTATACTTGATTTGAAGATGATTTCTATCTTATGTTTTGTGTTTCATTTCCCAACTTTTTTAAATTGAAATTTGGAGGGATTTCATTGACACGGGACCAAAAGAGATTTTTCTGAAAATTAGTTTTCATAGTTAGCGGGTTATGGATATTGTTGAAAAATGGTGGTTATATCTTGATAATGAATTCCAACTCTTGTTTTTTGAACAGTTTTTATTGACTTCTGAGCTTGTTGATGGTCGTTTCCTTCTAATTCGCATTATTAAGATTTTCAGCTGTGTTTTTCTACTTATTTTCTTCATTTTTCCCCGACCGCGTCATGATTATTTTTTATTATTATCAAAAATCACAATTTCGCACAAACCCCTCTAATTACATCTCTGATATGATTTAAACCATGAAGTGATAAATGATTAGGGCTTGAAAAATAGCTGAATCCACGATCATCAAAAAATCGCCAAGTTTTCGTGTCATTTCGATAGAATTTTGGGAGATAATCAAATAATTCACATTTTTCACCGCAATCTTTCACGAGTTGAGAATTTCTTATTCGCGCATTTTTGTAGTTGTCCTCGTCGACTAACCTTTTCTGAAAGTTTGGAATTTTTTGAACACTCAAAATTGTTCAATATTCAACCAACATCTATTTCTTCAAATGACAAGCCGTTTCTAATATGTTTCACAATCTTTCCAACTTCTCCACCATTAACTCTTGCAATCGCATCCAAAATGAAAAACTTTTTCTTGATACTTCTCAATAGGATTCTGGCTCGATCAAGCATGTAGTTGTAAGTTGGATCTTTCTTCAATTCGCCATTTATTGGATTTCCGTATGAAAAGAACCTGTTAAGAGAAATTTGTTTGCTACACGTTTTCGATATTTGTGTCCAACCTGGTAACATGTAAAAGATAATCCGGCTGGAATTCTTCGACGTGTTTTTGAAAATCAGTCACATTATGCTTACAAACATCCGACTCATCTGATGGATAGAGCGGTTCACATGCATAAGCTGATCCAATAATTATTATTTTTGCTTTGTATCCACATTCCTGGTATATTAGTTTTCTATGATTTGCGGCCCAACTATTACCAATCACCATTATTTTGTACTTTGGTTCCAAGTTCTTTGTGTTATTTTCGAAGTCACTGATTCTACACCAACGTCTTGAATAATCAAAATTACATTTGTCAAGCACCAAATTTTGATCATCATGAACACTCCAATCATAGTTCAAGTTTTCAGCATCATTCAGTGTCAGATTTGAAGTATCACCATCTAGATTACTAAAATCCGGAAGGTTTACTTGCTTGTTGAAAAATGGCTTGATTAAATCATTATGGATGATCCTCATATTTAATAAGAAGATGAAAACGATCAATATTGCAACATGTTGATTTGATAAGCTTATGTACCATTTCTCGAAAAAGTGATAAATTGCTATCGCTAATATAATTGAAAGAATTATTGATTCAAACAGACTAATAATATTCCCATTCTGAGTAAGCTTCCAATATGAATAAATAGGCCAGTGTACTAAATATAAAGCATACGAAATGTCACCGATATAAGTTAGAACTTTATTTGAAAGAAGTTTATTGTCATCACCATTTGAAAATATAAGAATTCCAAAAGTGGACAATGTGAGAAATGGTCTGAAATATTGATTGTTTTTTTTTCTAATTTTTCCTATTATATTCTTTAGTACCTAGCGATTTCTTCTGGCAGAATAAGATGGTTGAATGTGATAAAAATCACAATAAACGTCATAGCAAAACTTAATTTTGAAGCCGATTCCATAAAATATGGTTTATATTTGGCTAGATCAGTGAATTCCTCTGTTGACATTTCTAAATTTTCTTCAGAATTTTCGACCAGCTTATTAGATTCCTCACATTTGTATGAATATTCAGTCATTATGTATGCTAACATTCCTAATAAAAATTGCCAAATCCTCGAAAATACACTTAAAAATGCAGAGCTACTTGGTAGAAAATAAAAATAGACAATACTTCCGATTGATAAAATAACCAGTGATAATTTTCTGAATGGAAGTAAAAATATAAATGGAGCTACGAAATAAAATTGAATTTCAACTGAAAGTGACCAAGTATGTGTGAAAATATCGACAGCAATTGAAAGCATTTCGAAATAATTCTCATCATCACTTTTTATTCGATTTGACAAGAAAAACACGGCACTTTCAGCGGATTTTTCATTAGTCTCAATTGCAGTGTCCGGAAAAATGAGGTATAGAAATATCAGGGATAGAAAAATAATTAGATAATATAGAGGAAGAATCCGCCGGAGTCTTCGAATATAGAACGTTTTGATAAGTTCAAATGTTGATTGTTTAGTTTTCTCACTTTTTGATAATAACATACACATAAGAAATCCAGAGAGAACGAAAAATTGATCAACTCCCAAATATCCATTCGGAAATATTTTCGGGAAAAAGTGGAAACCTAGAACTGAAAGAATAGCCAGGCCACGGATTCCTTGTAAATCCAACCGTTTCATCTTCTGTAAACATTTTCAAATTGAAGCCGAGATTTTCAATTTTTTTAAACGTACATTTGAATTTAATTGTCTTTCATCTCATTTTTATTCGTTGTTTAGTCGTAGAATGAATATCCACATCACTATTATATAGTATGTTCAATAGTCTGAGATAGGCATCTTGTTTGTAAGATACCCTTTTTTGGGAGGTATTTTTGAAGAAGATTTCGATTTTTGCCGGGCACAGGAAAATCTAGTTCTATTTGGAAATAATTCCGTAAGAAATTTTTTGAAATAGATTTATATCGCATATTTTGTTTCAATGAACACATAAAGAATAAGAACTGATCTTTTCGCGCTGTGTATTGGGCCTGTGTAGGGGTTTGTGAAAAAGGAAGTAATCAATTTTTCACTATTAATTATAAACGAGCCTAAAAAGGAAGAAAAATATTTCGAGAAATTTGTAAAAGAAAAAATATGCAATGTTTTTTTCAAATTACATTTTTCTTTGGTTTGCAAACACTTTCAATAATTCCCGTTAGTTGAGCGATTCCACAAACTAGTCATTTTTGCCTGAATTTTTTAAATGGTCAACACACACGCATAAACTTTAAAAATTCACATTTTATTACAAATTCCTCTAATTACATCTCTAATATGCTCTAAGCCATGCATTGAAAGATGATTGGTACTAGTGATGTACGTAAATCCACGGTCGTCGAAAAATCGCCAAGTTTGGGTATCGTTTTTATAAAACTTTGGCAAATAATCAAACAGTTCACATTTTTCACCACAGTCCTTGGCGAGTTGAGAATATCTGAATCGCGCATCTTCCATCCGATCTTCGTTTGCTATTTTTTTCTGAAAATTTAAAGTTTTGGAATGCAAAACAATCTCTCTACTTACATCAATCTCCGCAAATGTCATATTTTGCTTAATGTACTTCACTATTTTTGAAACCTCTTGTGGGTTTGCAGAAGGAATCGCATTGAGAATGAAAAACTTGTGTTTTATATTTTTCAAAAGAATTTTTGTTTGATTTAACATGAAACTGTAAACCGGATCGTTTTTGATATCACCTTTATAAGGTGCACCATAGGAAATGTGCCTGAAAAAAAAAATGTATTTTTCGGCTGAGATAAGGGAATCTTTACATACCGGGTAACATGAAAAGCGTAATCTGGTTTGAAATCTTCAACATGCCTTTGAAAATGTGTGATATTAGGTTTACAAATTTCTGAATGAGATGATGCATAAAGTGGTTCACATCCATATCCAGCACCAATAACTATCATTTTCGCTTTGTTTCCACATTCCTGATAAATTAGTTTAGCATGATTTGCTGCCCAACTATTACCAATGACCATTATTTTATACTTGGTCGTTGTATTTTTTGATTCATTTCCAAAATCAGTGATTCTACACCAACCAATCGGTTTAGTATCTTCATAATTGCATTTTGAAAAAATTAAATTTCTCCAGTCATGAAGAATCCACTCGTTATTCATTCTCTCAGCATCATCAAGTGTCATATTTGAAGTAACTCCATCTAGGCTATGGTAAATTGATCGGTTTAGATTGAAAGGAGAATGTTTTTGAAGTGTTTCGTGATTCAGAATTGTTAAATTCCCAAGACAGAGAAATGTAAGTAATATAGCGATATTTTGATTTGATAATCCGAGATACCAATTTTCAAAAAAGTTGTGAATAATGATAGAAAGAAGTATGGAGACAATTATAGAATAGAACAAACTCTCGAGGTCTCCATTCTGGGTTAACTTCCAATATGCGTAAATTGGCCAATGTATCAAATATAATGAATAAGATATATCACCTATATAAGTTAGAACTTTATTTGAAAGTAATTTATTCTCGTCGTTTGAAAATATTAGAATCGCACAAGTCAACAATGTAAGAAGGGGTCTGCAAGTTCTATTCGAATTTTGTAATATGTTTTTCAGTACCTAACATAGCCTTGCGGTAGTTCGATATGATAAAAGATGATGAAACACACGAGAACCGTAATTGCAATACTTATTTTCAAATTTGGTCCAGTTAGAGATGCTTGTTGTTCCCTGAGAGCTGTATCTTCCTGCACCTCTATTTCTAATTTTCGTTCAAGATCTTCCACCAACTCGTAAGAGTTATCCGGAGATTCACTCAAAATATAAGTTATCATCCCCAGTAAAAACTGCCAAACTCGAGAAAAAACGCTAAAAAATGATGAACTACTTGGAAGATAATAGAAATAGGCAATACTTGCGATTGATAAAATAACCAATGAAGATTTTCTGAATGGAAGTAGAAATATAAATGGAGCTAGGAAATAAAATTGAATTTCAACTGAAAGTGACCAAGTATGTGTGAAAATATCGATTGCCACTTGAAGTAGTTCGAAATAATTTTCTTCATTGGTTTTTATTTGATTTGACATAAATAGTAAGGCGTTTTTAGCGTATGATTCATTTGGTTCAATTGATGTGTCCGGAAAAGCGAAGTATAGAAATATTAGAGATAGTAAAATTATTAGATAATACAGAGGGAGTAACCTTCGAAGTCTTCGAATATAGAAATTTATAATCATCTGCCAAGTTGATTGTTCAGTTTTCTCACTTTTCGATAATAGCATACACATAAGAAATCCAGAGAGTACGAAAAATTGATCAACTCCCAAATATCCATTCGGAAATATTTTTGGGAAAAAGTGGAAACCTAACACTGATAAAATAGCGAGGCCACGAATTCCTTGCAAATCCAAACGTTTCATCTTCTGAAAATATTATATATTTGAAACCTTGAAATTGAATTCAAAAATTTTCCAAAAACATTGATTTTAATTCTCAGAAGAGTACGGTAGAATTATCCACTTTTATATAGTTCTAACTTTCAAGATACGATCACGGATAAAATTTTTCTCGGGCATTTGCAGATACAGAAATCGCATGAATTGTGTTTGTATTCTAATTGGCCTTTAAAAATTTCGAGACACACGATATTTTTGATGATTTTTGTTGTCTTAATAGAAATTTGGAGATTTTGCGGAAGATTGGTCTAAATGATCATCAAATGATTTTTGAAGATACTATCATCTTGCACTATTTTAGACTCGAAGGTATTTAATATTTATGATTCGGATTCAAAATTTAGTCGTCGTTGATTTAGGTCTTACTGTACGCAAAATTGAGACGAGGTGTTTGCACACACAATTTCTCAGAATTTGGAAATCTCCGTTTTTGGAAACATCTCAACTTGTATCAACATTCATGTTTTCCGAATTTTTTTAGTAGTTCATGAACTGTTTTTTCACACGATTCTTTCAGGAAAAAACGTGCAAGCTGATTTCATATTATTATTTTTTATTTTTCTGACACGTTTATAGTGCACTTTGACTTTCGAGATAATATCTTTCCAGTCGTTGGGCCTAGTCTGGCATGTCTCATTTGAGACAAAGTATTGGGTCATAAAAAAAACTCTCATGCGAATTTTCTCGGTCAGTGTCGCTGACTCAGTGACCATCGATCGATCATTCATGTGAGAAAACAAAAAAGCGCGAAATTTATTTCTCTGAAAATTGGGTATTGACCTGAATTTACAGCTGTTTCTCAATTTTGCGTCAAAGGACGTCGGGGCTTGAGTTCAAAATTCCGGGTTCAAGCCTGAAATTTGGGTTTATGATCTAAATTTGAGACTTCTGGCTTTATCTTTTAGAAACAACTTTTGGGACAAAAATATAAACACTTTAAAAATTCGAATAAACTAATTTATGTCGCTAAAAAATTTTTCACGTTTTCTTTTATAATTCTTGAAAACTATAAAGATAAAATCAGCGATACAATATTTAAAAAAAAAAAAAACAGAACATTTCGATCCATTTTTTACATTGAAAAACGTTTATCTCACATTTTCTCACAAATTCCCCTAATAATATCTCGAATATGTTCAAAACCATGGAATGATAAATGATTCGCATAAGTCATATAACTGAATCCACGATCATCGAAAAATCGCCATTTTTTTGTATCATTCCGATAAAATTTTGGAAGATAATCGAACAGTTCACATTTTCCACCGCAATCTTCGACAAGTTGAGAATATCTTTCCCGCGCATTTTTGTACTTTATTTCACTTGTCATCTTTTTCTGAAACATCGAAAAAATGAAACAATAAAGAGTTATTCTAACTCACATCGATCTCTACAAAAGTCATATTCTGTCTAAAATATTTCACAATCTGCCCAACTTCTCCACCATTAATTTTTGGAATCGCATTCAAAATGAAAAACTTCTTTTTGATATTTGTCAATAGTGTTCTAGTTTGATTCAACATGATATTATAAATTGTGTCGCTCTCGAAGTCTCCATTTTTGTGAAAAGGTTCACCGTACGAAATATGTCTGAAATATGGAATTTCCTAGTTCAACCTATAAAACATTTCTAGTACCTGGTAATGTGAAATGCATAATCCGGTTTGAAATCTTCCACATGTTTTTGAAAATCAGATAAATTGTGCTTACACGTTTCTGACTGATCTGATGGATAAAGTGGTTCACATGCATAAGCTGCACCAGAAAACATCATTTTTGCCTTATATCCACATTCCTGATATATTAATCTGGTATGACCAGCAGCCCAACTATTACCAATAATCATTATTTTATATTTGTTTCTCAGAGTTCTTGATTCATTCTGAGAAGCGGTGATTCTACACCAGCCATGTGGTTTTGAATTTTGATAAGTGCATTTTTCAAAAATCATATTTCTCGTATCATGAACACTCCAATCATAGTTCAATTTCTCAGCATCATCAAGTGTCATATTTGAAGTAACTCCATCCATTCGACTAATATTTGATAAATTCACATTATAAGTGAAAAAATTGTTAATTGATTCATAGTTTAAAATCATAACATTGCTCAAGAAAAGAGCAGCTGTTAAAATTGTGACATTTCGATTTGATAAACTGATATACCATTTTTCAAAATAATTATGAATTATCATCGCAAGGATAATGGAAATCATTATCGAATCGAATAAATTTACAAGACTTCCATTTTTAGTGAGCTTCCAGTAGGCATAAATTGGCCAATGTATCAAATATAATGAATAAGAAATGTCTCCAATATAAGTTAGAACTTTGTTTGAAAGAAATTTGTTGTTTTCATCATTGGGAATGATTATAAGCCCAGCAGTTAGAATTGTTATCAGGGGTCTAAAAAGAGTTCATGGTTTTATTAGTCTCCCGAAGTTTTGCAGGGTTACCTCACAAATTCCTTTGGAAATGGTAATTGATTGAATGTTATCAAGATGGCAAAAATCGTCATTCCTGATCGTATATTTGGATAATAAGACTTCAGAGAATGCATCTGGATTTTTTGCAGCACCAACTCGAATAATTTACCATATAACTTCTTCTCGATGTTCATGTCTTCCTCTATTTGTAGTTCTAACTGTTCTTCCGAATCTTCCACTAACATATACGATTTACCCTGAGATTCACTCAAAATGTAAGCCAACATTCCTAACAAAAACTGCCAGATCCTTGCAAACACACTTAAAAACGCAACACTCGGCGATAAATGATAGAAATAGATACAACTTCCAATTGAAAGATAAATCAGTGATGCAGTTCTAGAAGGAATCAGAAATATGAATGGAGCCAGGAAATAAAATTGAATTTCAACTGAAAGTGACCAAGTATGTGTGAAAATATCGACAGCGATCGAGAGCATTTCAAAATAATTTTCTTCATCAGTTTTCATCCGATTTGACAAGAAAATCAGAGCTTTACTCGCGGATTTCTCATTAGGCTCAATTGCATTGTCAGGAAAACCAAAATATAGAAATATTAGGGCAAGTAAGGTTATGAGATAGTATAGAGGGAGAATCCGTCGAAGTCGTCGAATGTAGAAGTTTTTGATAAGTTCAGTTGTTGATTGCTCAGTTTTCTCACTTTTTGATAATAACATACACATTAGAAATCCAGAGAGCACGAAAAATTGATCAACTCCTAAATAGCCATTCGGAAAAATTGTTGGGAAAAGGTGGAAACCTAGAACTGATAGAATAGCCAGTCCACGGATTCCTTGTAAATCTAAACGTTTCATCTTTCGGAAACAAAACGAATAAATGAAAAGACGAAGCAAAGCACATCTTTATTTCAGAATTGAATAGCTCACAGCAACAAAAAGACTAAAACATTAAATGAAAGTGCATTTATTTTTTGGAGAAAACTATAGCGAACCGAAAATATATAAAATATTGTTCATAAATGTAGAAAAATAGAAATGAACTATAGAATAAATATAGAATTTAATGTTTCTCCCTATCGAGACTATGTAACCTGGGCACTTTTTGACAAAACATTTCCAATTGAACCAATGGCAAATATAATGTTCCTTTCATTTCGTTGTTATACATTTTGTATGAACAACTCGATTCGCCAAAATTCCATTTATAATCAGAAATAATTTTTGAAATAACTCTGGGGTCCGTGAAATTATAGAAAACCTGAGTATTCCTTGGTTTTGGGATGAATGGTGCACGTTCATTATATTTGAACATTTTGAAAAAGGTTTCATCGTCATAACCATCTCGACCATTCTCGTCTTTTATAGATGTTTTGAAGTCTTTAGCCATCAAATTACTCGCTCCTGTGTAGTCATCCACAAATATTCTTTGAACAATCTCCTCATTGATTCGAGTAACATCTTCGAAAAGATATTTATTATACAAATATTCCTTGTATCTCAAAGGTTTATGAGTTTTCCAAGAATCTCTGGAAAACCATCGATTCAAAGTTCTGCGCTGCATTAGAGATGTTGCATGTGATTCGTAGAATTTATCTGCATTTGCTTCTGGCAACTTTCCGCCGTTTTCAAGTTGACAGTTTAATATAAATGAATAGAGACGGAAATCTAGAAGTACAGCTCGTTCAGTATGTAACATCTGAAGTCGGCAAATTGGAAGTTTTTGCCTTTCAATCAAAATCTCAGTTTGCAATGTTGAATGATATTTTCTTGTAAAATTCAAAGTTGTATAAACAACTTCAGGAGTCGGAAGCTCGTTTTTTATATTATACCGAAGAATTGAAAAGCATTTATCTTTTTCATTGATATATTGATCATCAATCCAACAATCAAACTGATAAACAAGATAATTGTAAATATCATCTCCTCCTTCGATCATTATTCTATTCATAAGTTTTACTTCAGCAGTGAGATTAGCAAAATACTTTTTACTATCAACCAATTCCGCAAAAATGGCTCGTCGATATCCACGACGTAACTCGAATTCTTTGAAGGACTTTGTCAAATTTTTACAATCAACGATAACATTCAGCAATGTTATATGCGAATCATTTCTATCCACACCATTATCCGTGTAAATTACACAGAAAGTTGTGTCGGTCATAAATTTGTACTGTGAACGAATGTGTAGAGTGCCCTTATTTCTCCAGACCTCCATCGGAAGTATTTCCGGAATAGTCGAATTCTTAACAAGGTTTATGAAGTCGTCCTTATCCATTCCTTCAATCTCAAACCCATCCTTCAACAAATGTTTTACTTGGTTCACCTGTTTATTCTTGATTCTTCTGACTAGCTCTGAATTAAGTTTCTCAACATCGTTTGTAAGGAAACTCTCAGGTTCCATAAAACTGAATATTGTTTTTAATTCATCCGATGTATAATTCAAATTTACATAATGATCCTCTTGGTTTTTGTGTTTTCTATAGAACCAATCTTTCAAATATTCGGCGGTAATAAAATTGAAAAATAGCGAAAATTTGATGATGAGCATGTTTATTCAGGCAAAATAATGACTGGGGTCTATAAATTTTGAGAAACACAAATGTTTATGACTTGTGAAAAATGACAAAAAAATTCACTAAAATCCAAAATTAAATTCTTTTTTTCAACACAATTCAGTATTGTTAATTTCTTTCATACAGTTTAGCTTGAAATAGTTTAATCGGAGATCGAATAGCATAGCTCTTTCAGTGTGCAACATCTCAATCCTGCAAATCTGTAGATTATCTTGTTCGACGTGGATTTCGGTTTTCATAATTACTTGATATTTGTTGTTAGAATCAAAAATGGTTTCAATAACTTCTGGCTCAGAAAACCTTTTTCTCACGTGCTCTCGTAGTTTTTCAAAACATATTTCCCTATCCAAAATCAATTTATCTTCAACATTGCAATGAAAATGTCCCGAAAGATATTTGAAAATCGCAGTCTCGAGCATCTTTTGATTCATCATTCTCGTTTCATTTATCAGAAGTTTAATCACTGGTGCTGGGAGTTTGACCAAAAATTGGTCAATTTTTGGTCAAAAAATTTTGAACAAAAATTGACCAAAAATGCACCAAAAAAATTTTCACCATTTTTTGGTCAATTTTTCAATTTTTTCCCACCAATTTTTCACCATTTTTTGATCATTTTTCCCGACTTTTTTCAAATCAAAAACACTTTTTTTTTCACAAAAATTTATTGAAAAAGAACAAAAAAGAAACAAAAAATGGTTCTAATTGTTAGGAATCTGCTTATATTATGAACTTTAATTTTCGTTAAAAAACATTTTTAGCTAATTAGAGAAAAGAGTTGGAGGCTTGTGCTCGTAAGAATGTAAATTTTGCCCTAAGAAAGATAATTTTAGAGCAATCGCAGACTCCTAACAGTTTGTGAACCTTACAAACAATAAAAATTACTCAGTTTCGACTAATCCTTCTGCTTTCTCTGCACCAGCAGAAAGAGCAGTGTCAACTTGTTCCTTGATTTGCTCACGTTCTTCTTCTGACGATTTATCCGGATTACCATATTGTTCCTCGTCGATTGAATCGTTGTTGGCATCACCTTCTCCTACGGTTGGCATGATAGTCATGGCATTTGAGAAAACTTGATCTTCAAGTTATTGAGTTCCAAAGGGCTTGTCCATAGTAGAAGTAAGGATCAAATGATTGTTCGCTGTCGTCTCCGAAGAGTTTACCACTGAAATGCATAGAAATAGAAAATGTATGAAAATTTCAAAACTTACGCAAGTTGAGAAGCCAAACTCGAGAGATCAGCAGCCTTGCTGAATTCGCTTGTCAACAAAAGACGCTTTCCAGATGTAAAGTTGTTCTTCAATTGTGTAGCCCTAGAAATAAGAACCAACTTTGATTAAAATTCTTCAGAAGAAAAAACTGACTTTTCCTCGGAAGTGAGCTCTGTGGTGGCAGCGGTGGAAGTTTCAGCAGTAGTTGGAGTTGTTTCTTCGGTAGTGGTGGTCTTGATATTTTCAACTGGAACAGTGGTTTCTACGGTCATTGTGTTGGTAGTGTCAGCAAGAGCAGCATCCATTCTTTCTTGGTTAGTAGTTTCTAAAAACAGCACAAATATCAATATTGCGAAATAAGATAGATGAGAATCGGATTTAGATGAGATGAAGAATCGGACTTTAAAACCTCGACAGCCGTCTACGGCTGTTGAGACACTTCTGATTGTAACATAGAAACTCAAGCAAATGTTGCTGGAAATGTGTCAAACTGAGAAACAGCCCCGTTCTGATAAAAATCTAAAACTCTAAGAAAACCAAATTTTTTTTAGTTTTTGGCCTAAATTCAAGTTTAATATGTGAATTTCAAAATTCTGGTAAAACTTGCTGCTAGATCCTACACAACGTTCCGAAACGCAATTGGGTGAGAGGAGAGAGATTCTAGAGAAAACATACGTTTTTAGTGGGCAAACGTGCTCAAATGAGAACAAAAACTCCATCTTTTCGAACATTTTCTGAGAGGTCGTTCAAACGTATCGCCGACATCGATCAAACAAATGGTCAAGCGCTATACACACATGTATTATTTTTCTTTGTTTTTTTGAAAAATGAAGCGAGACGACAAGAGTTCACGCGAATAATCAACAAAACGTGAATTCTTTTATGTTTTTCTCTAAATCTCTACCTCTCACCCTATTGCATTTTATCATTAGCCTAAAATGTTGTGCCTAGTCGGGGAACAAGCTTTATATCTTTTTAGCAGTCGTGAACAATCAATTTCTCTATAAGTAGGGCAACACACAAAAAAAAACGAAAAAAAAAAGAAAAAAATTTTGGCGTGCATTTCGTCCGAGAGAAGTACACACACACATTTCGCTGCAGGACCACATTCCATAAATATGTGCGCCTTTAATCTATTGTTTTCGCGCCCCAATTAGTATTGTTTGGTGATAAATAGTTCGCATCATTAGATTCAGAATTTCACGCTGAGTAAAATGATATAAAAATCATCTCTGCCTGTGGAAGTTTTTGAGTGCACGTTTTTGGGAAAAATTGCATGATTTTTGGGTCACTGGTGTTATTTTTTCGAAGCTGATGGCTATCACAACAATATTCTTCCAAAAAATAATGGAAATTATTGCCTCTGAACCCAATACTTCTGAATTCTCTGAGCCCTAGTTCTTGATAAATCAAGGATCAATCAATACAACTGATAGATTCGAGATGGGTCTCTGCTTGGTATCAAATAGCTCCAAGATAAGTCAAAACTGATTTTAGTTGAAGATTTGGGGCTGAAATTTGCGCCAATGGTGCAATTGGTGTGAGTGGCGCCAAAATTCACCAAACGAAGTATTTAACTCCTATTTATTGATTCACCAGTAGAAAAACAACGAAATTCATCAACCTAACTTCACCAAAAGCCACAAAACGACATGTCTGCCCAACAACATTAAGATTTTCGAAATTTTTCACAATTAAAATTTTCACTGATTTTTGGCCAAATTTCGACCAATTTTTTGACCAATTTCTGACCATATTTTGGCCAATAAATATTTTTGATCAATTTTTGGTCAAAATTCGACCAATTTTCGTTTTTGGCCAAAATTTGGTCAATTTTTGGTCAACCTCCCAGGACCAGTGATGTAATATTGCTTATCCTGCAATTGAAAATGAATTCTTCGAAATCTCTGTCTGATCTCAAATTCCTTCTCAGATCTTGTCAAGTTCTGACAGTTCACAATTACTCTGAGCAATATTAGAGTATTCGGGAGGATTTCGTTATCACAGTCGATAATACATAAAATGTTTCCGATTAGTTTTTTGTATTGTGAGTAGAGGTGGAGAGTTGATTCACGCACAAGTTCTACAGGAAGAGGTCTGGGTAAAATTCCATTTCTCATAGTTTTGAGAAAATCTGGCTTCTTCAAACCCTGAACTTCAAACGTGAAATTCTTCTTGGTTTCATCTCTCAAAAACGTTTTCAAAATTTTTGAATTGAATTCCGCCACGTCACCCATCAATCTATTTTCATAATCGATATTACCAAGGACTGGTTTAGATTCTCCGAATGTTAAATTGAAATTTTGAATTTTGTATTTACTATGATAGGAATTTTCACTAGAAATTGAGCTGGGAAATGAGAGGAAAAGTAGGAAAAACATTTTCAACCAACAAGTTTTTCGAAAAAATATTTATTTATGTCTAGAAAAATTTTATGATTGAGAAAATTCGAAATTCAATCATTTGAAATTTCTTCTCTCTACGAAACCATGAAAAGTCCGTGGGGTAACTGAGGCGTCTTTTGACTTATCCAAACTTGGTAGGTTTTTCACTCTCATCTTGTATCGCTTCAGGAAGTTCGAGATAAACAAAAATAATTCCATTCTAGCCAATCCTTCTCCAAGACAATGCCGCTTTCCGGTCGAAAATTGAATCATCTCATCGATTTTCTTGAACTTCCGAGTTTCCTTATCAATATGTCTTGTTGGATCGAATTTCTCAGGATTTGGAAAAACTTTTTCATCCATCATAACTGTACTAATCTGAGCAATCACTCCAGTTCCAGCTTTAACTGGCCAACCATCAATTACAGTATCCCGTGTTGTTTGATGGAACGCGTTGACTGGGACAATATTTGCACATCGCTGAGTTTCAGTGATAAACGCATTCATATATGGTAAATCATTCTTATCAGAAGTTGTGATAAGTCTATCTTCCGCAATAACTTTATCCAGTTCTTCGTAGATCTTATTTTCTACGTCAGGGTTATGTAAAATAAATGATAAAGCCCATGAGATTGTAGTTGTCGTTGTCAACAATCCCGCAAACCAGAGATCCAAACACATATTCGAAAGTTGGATGTCTGAAAAACTCTCAAAATCTCCTTCAGCCTCTCTTTTCTTCTGCTCTTTCAGATAAGCTTCACAATAATCGCCATTTTCTTCTGATTCGAAATCTATAGTCTTACGATGTTGTTTGATTTGCTCATTGAAAAATCCATAAAAATCATCTTTGAATTTCTTGAGCCTAAAGAATAAAAAAATTAAATGAAAATAAATGAATCACATACACATTTGCGGCTTGGTTTCCTGGTATAAACTTTCTCAAAGCTGGCACAAAAAATTGTAGAAAAATCAGAGGTTTGCCTAACTCATCATTCTGCCAGTCAATCAGTTTTTTGAGGCGCAGGAATTCTTTATCTTTCACACCATCTTCAAAACGGTAACCAAACGTTGCTTGATTTATAACATTAGCCACACCATTATAAAATCTCAAAGGGATATCAATTTCCTCACCACTTCCGACCGTAGAATCAAAGTTTTTGAAAATATCTTGAACCTCAATCAAAATCTTCTCCTGCATCAAATCTTTACCCAATCCAAAATCCCGCAAATTCATCAGCGCAAATCGTCGATGAGTTTTCCAAATATCACCATTTGTCTCAATAACACCAAAATTCCCACCACGAAATTCTTCTTGAAATTGTTGCGGTTTTTTGGCCACATAAATATCACCATCTTTTATAAAAGTTTCCTTCAATTTCTCATAACTTGTGATACAAATATATGGTGTGCCAGCCACCCAAAACGTGAATACCTTACCGTATTTTTTGGTCCATTTTTCGAACGCCAAATATCCGGGAGGTGGGAGAAAGACTGACGCAAAATTACCCACCAATGGCCAAGGTGTGGGACCTGGCGGGAAATTTCGACGCTTCCAGTAAAAATGATCGAAAAAGTAGAGGAAAATTAGAGAGAATGCAATTACAATGATCATTTTCTGATCGAAAAATCTGATTTTGTTTTGGTGAAAAAACAGTCTACTTATATTTTGTTTTCTTTTGTGACTGTGTTTTGTGTTTGTCTTCTCTTGAAAAAAACTTGCTTTGCAATTAACAGATCAAAGTTTCATGTTCCCAAGAATCAAAAAACATCGTACTTTCAGTGCTTCTACGCAACGAAATCTAATCACCACCAATTAAATATAAGCGTATATTAGAAAAAAATAACAAGAAAGCTACAGACATAATCATTTTTATTCCATTTTTTCTCACAAGAGCTGAAGAGGTTCCCTTGTCAGAAATATGTCTGATCGAAGTTGGATAATTTGGACAGATATCAGTGGAACAATCGGTTTCAGCCTATCGATTTTATCGAATTCTTGTCTATTTTTAATGATTTGTTTTCTGAAAACAACCAAAAATATTGGTTCTTATAAATATTTGCTCATTATTTTCTGCATCTTCACATTATTTTATGCGAGTGTTGAAATGTTATTGCGACCTTTGATACATTCTTATGATGACACGTTGTTTTTGATTCAGAGAAAACGATTTGATTGGGGAAAGTTGGCGACGAGATTGGTGGCTAGTAGGTTTTTTTGAGGGAGGAGGGAAATTAGGATTTTTCAAATTTCAGTAGGCTCCATTGAAATTTTCCCCAAATTCCCACGGCATGTTTTTTGTGAAAACATTTTTTTGCAAAATTAACGACCTAATTCCGCTAACTTGATTTTCCGCGAAAGATACTTGGAAAAGTGATTTATTTCAAACCACATGGGATAAATTAGTTTTTTGAGCTCTAAAATTTCAGGTGGAATTTTCTGAAGTTCAATGATCAAAATTCCAGATGATTTTGTGGTGAACATTTGAGTCAGCTCTCATTTTTTAGACAGAATTTTTTAATTCTGAAAATAATTTCGAAAAAATAAAAATGTTGAAATTTGATGCTGTGGAAATGCAAAAAATTGTAATTTTTGCCCAAAGGTTAGAGTACTGTATAATGAAAGGTTTGGTTACAGTTGATCAAAGACCTCAAACGTAAATTATAAGTTTCAGTATAAAATCTGAATTTCTCTACTCCCAAAGTCCACCTCATTCCCCAAATTTCCAGCCACATACTGCGGTTGTTATGCCATGAGTTTCACTCTTTTTGCTCTCCAATTCATCCACCGATATATCGCAACTTGTAAACCCCAACATCTCCATCATTTCGATGGCAAAAACTTCCTTTTGTGGATTTTTGGCGCAATTTCGATTGCGATTAGTTGGGCTTGCGCTGCACTGTTTCTCTTTCCTCAAACTTTGAGAACTCATCAAAGTTTTTTGACGATTATTAAAGATTCCTATGATTTAGATCCATATTGGACAGATTATGTGCCTTATAAATATGTGAGTTTTTAGTGATTTTTCAAATATTCTCTCCAGTACTCAAGAAAATTTTTTAGTTTTACTACAATGAACTTGGCCAAAAATTGCCTGATTTACAAAATATGTCTGGAATTTTCCAGCATCTTTTAGTAATCTTTATAAGCTTTTTAATTCTATTCTACTGCGGAACTCAAACATTCTTCGAAATGCATAAATTCCGTGGAATTTCGAATAAAACTCGTGATCTACAATTCCAACTTTTCCGCGCATTGGTAGTTCAAACTATTTTTCCAATGATTTTTGTGTATATTCCAACTGCTTTCATTCTTGCTTGCCCATTTTTTGGATTGGAATTTGGAGCAATCACTAATTATCAATCAATTTTAACACAACTTTATCCTGGTATTGATCCAATTATTTTTATATTTTTGATAAGGGATTATCGAAAAACTGTGAAACGTGTTATTTTTGGCAAAGTTTTCAAGAATACGGTAGCCAGTGAATACAGTGCACCATCTTCATGATAAATTTTTATTAAAAATTAAAATAAATAACACTTATGTCTTCTGTGTAAAAATCCCACGAATTTTCTTGGTCCAACAGCTGCTTCTTTAGTTTTGTCCATTTCTGGAAGATTTTCAACTATCATTTTGTATCGATTCAAGAAATTTGAAATAAAAAGAAATAGTTCCATCCTTGCTAATCCTTCTCCTAAACACTGTCGCTTTCCAATTGAAAACGGAATCATCTCTTCGAGTTTCTTGAACTTCCCAGTTTCTTTATCAATATGTCTTGCTGGCTCAAACTTCTCAGCATTAGGGAATATCTTTTCATCCATCATAACTGTACTAATCTGAGCAATCACTCCAGTTCCAGCTTTTACCGGCCAGCCATTGATTACTGTATCCCTTGTGGTTTCGTGTAATAAGTTTACAGCAATAATATTTGCGCATCTTTGAGATTCTGCGATAAAAGCATTCATATAGGGAAGATCATTTTTATCCGAAATTGTGATAAGTCTATCACTTCCAATAACTCTGTCTAGTTCTTCATATATCTTTTCTTCGGCTTTCGGATTATACAAAATATACGAGAGGATCCATGAAATGGTAGTTGTTGTTGTGATCAATCCAGCAAACCATAAATCCAAACAAACATTTGAGAGTTGAATATTTGAAAAAGTTTCGAAATCTCCTTCAGCTTCTCGTTTCTTCTGTTCCTTTAAATATGCTTCGCAATAATCTCCATTTTCCACAGAAGCGAAGTCAATTTTTGAACGATGGTTTTCGATTTGCTCATTGAAAAAAGTATAGAAATCAGTTCTGAATACCTTGATCCTGAAATTAGTTTCATTTTTTCAACAAAAATGTGGTGAGTTAGAAGAACTTACAATTTATCAATACTTTGACTTGGAAAAAGTTTGCCAAGAAATGGAATGAAAAATTGGATTATAACCAGAGGTTTGCTGAATGATTTGTTTTGAAAATCGATAAGCTCTTTAAGGCGATCAAATTCTTTATCAGTTTCCTAGAAAAAAAATGTGAATTAGGAATTTTGCGAATTTTCTTACCCCTTCGAAGCGATAGCCAAACGTTGCCTGATTTATAACATTTCCAACAGCTTTGTAGAATCCTAACGGAATGTCGATTTCCTCGCCACTTCTAACACTCGAATCAAAATTCTTGAACATATCTTCAACTTCAATCAAGATTTTTTCTTGCATCAAATCTTTACCCAATCCAAAATCTCGCAAACTCGACAGCGCAAATCGTCGATGAGTTCGCCAAAATGCACCATTTGTCTCAATCACACCATAGATTCCGCCACGAAACTTTTCTTGAAATTCTTGCGGTTTTTTCGCCGCATAAGTTTCACCATCTTTCACAAAAGTTTCTTTCAAAGTTTCATACGAGTTAATGCAAATATATGGCGTCCCAGTGACCCAAAACGTAAAAACATCTCCATATTTTTTGGTCCACTTGTTGAATGCCACATATCCTGGTGAGGGTAGAAATATTGATAGTAAATTGCCGATGAAGGGAAGAGGAATTGGACCGGGTGGAAGATTTCGACGTTTCCAATAAAAATGATGGAAAAAATAATAATTTTATTGGAGTGAAAAGGGTAGGATGGATGGGATAGTGCGCGGGATTTGTAAAAATTGTAATTTATTGATCAGAAAAACAAATGTTTTTTTTGACCAACCCGCGAAAGCGAAGAAAATTATTAACAGTTTATCGTCAAGAAACATTTTCGGAAAAACAAGTCATTCGGATTTTTGTAAGCTCAATGCCCACCCACCCACCCAACTACATGTGACTTCCAAAAATAAGTAGCCTCAAATTACAAGATAAAACAGCCACATATCACAAACTTACATAGAACAAAAAGGGAGTTCAGAAGCCTTGGATATGACAAGAACACCACGAATGGGAAACGATAAGCAACGAGAGATTCAAGATATGCAACCGCCGGAAATCGCCACCGCAGAATAGGCTAAGTTTCTTCAAACACATTCCCAAAGTTCCTAATTTTCAGTAAAACCCAACAACCAGCAGCTCCAGCTTCTGCCTTGACCTGCCGCGTTTTCCAAGTCGCTCAAGCCCGACAAGTACTTCGACACCACGCACGGAATCGTCTTTACGCCCTAGCCGACTACAGTCAACAACTACAGTCAACAACACTTACGAATAACGAAATAACGCTTAATTCTAGTATTTAAGTATGAATACTAACCTATTATGTTAGAAGTAGGGTTACCTCACTGGCTAATTATTGTGTCTTCACTTCCTTTGAGTTCTACAATAAATCCATCCTATCCAGAACGTAAATAAAATTGCCTTTTTCCCGAAGAAAAACGAAGGGAAAAATAGAGAAAAAGTAGAGAGATAAGTGTTACAATGATCATTTCATAGAATGGCAAACTTTTATTTGTATTTCGTATTTTTTTTTCACATATGGCCTTGCAGAGACGCAGAGAATCAAAAGATTGAAGTACATACATTATTTGATCAGAACAAGAATTGTTTTCAAAAGTTCATTGTTTTTACATAAATCAATACAGACACTTATTTTTCCAATCAGAAAAATTAATTTTGTCTTCTCTTTAAAAACCCCTTGAATGCTCGAGGCCCAACAGCAGCTTCTTTAGTTTTATCCATTTCTGGAAGCTTTTTCACGTTCATTTTATAGCGATTCAGGAAGTTCGAGATGAATAAAAATAATTCCATCCTAGCCAATCCTTCTCCAAGACATTGTCGTTTGCCAATTGAAAATTGAATCATCTCATCGATTTTCTTGAACTTCCCAGTTTCTTTATCAATGTGTCTTGTTGGATCGAAATTCTCAGGATCAGGAAAAACTTTTTCATCCATCATAACTGTACTAATCTGAGCAATCACTCCAGTTCCAGCTTTTACAGGCCAACCATTGATTACCGTATCTCTAGTTGTCTCGTGGAATGTGTTAATCGGAATAATATTTGCGCATCGTTGAGTTTCGGTAATAAAAGCATGCATATATGGAAGATCATTTTTATCCGCAGTTGTGATAAGTCTCTCACTTCCAATTACTCTATCAAGCTCTTCATTGATTCGCCTCTCAACTTCAGGATTATGTAGAATATATCCAAGTGCCCAAGAGATTGTAGTTGTTGTTGTGACTAGCCCAGCAAACCAGATATCCAAAATCACATTTGAAAGTTGTTTATTCGAAAAACTTTCGAAATCTCCTTCAGCTTCTCTTTTCCTTTGTTCTTTTAAATATGCCTCACAATAATCCCCATTTTCTTCTGAATCAAAATCAATAGTTTTCCGATGTTTCTCGATTTGCTCGTTGAAAAATTGGTAGAAGTCAGTCTTGAATATCTCCAATCTGAAAACGTGATTCTTATGGTGAGCTTTTGGAGTTGTTGAAACTTACAATCGTTGTATACTTTTATTTGGTAAAACTTTTCCAAGAGCTGGCACGAAAAATTGAATCAGAATCAGAGGATCGCCGAATGCCGTGTTTTGAAAATCTATCAAACCTTTGAGACGCAAGAATTCTTTGTTATTTTCCTGAAAATGTTGGATTTTGCAAATTTTCACAAACGGAAATTCAAAACTAACCCCCTCGAAGCGATAACCAAGTGTTGCTTGATTGATAACATTTCCCACACCAAAATAAAATCTCAAAGGAATATCAACTTCTTCGCCGCTTCCAACTCTAGCATCAAAAGTCTTGAAGATGTCTTCGACCTCAATCAAGATCTTCTCCTGCATCAAATCTTTACCCAACCCGAAATCTCGCAAATTCATCAGCGCAAATCTTCGATGAGTTCTCCACATTTCACCATTCGATTCAATCACACCAAAACTTCCGCCACGAAATTCATCTTGAAATTGTTGCGGTTTTTTCGCTACATAAATATCGCCATCCTTGACAAATGTCTCTCTCAATTTCTCATAAGTATTTATGAAAATATACGGTGTTCCAGCCATCCAAAAAGTGTAAATATCACCGTATTTTTTGGTCCATCGATTAAAAGCCACATATCCTGGCGGCGGATAGAACATTGAAAGGGAGTTTCCCACTAATGGCCAAGGTGTTGGACCCGGCGGAAGATTTCGACGCTTCCAATAGAAATGATGGAAAAAGTAGGCAAAGCTAATTGTGAGAAGAATCACAAGAATCATTTTTGATGTGAGAATCAGTCAGAATGTAGAGGCTAACCCTCTATTTATATAACATTTCTTTTCTTTTGTGACTGTGCTTTGTGACAAGAAGAGACGCAGAGAAAAATGACCACGAGAGGGGAAAATAACTATAGTTTGTTCATGTTTTTGGAAAAATTTGGGTTATTCTAGAAGCCATTGAATTAGCGATCGACCTAAAACTGAGGTAACTTCAGAATCAATAATTTTTCACATTTTCAGACCGAAAAAAATATTTCATTAAAAAAACTGCACATTTTTTCTTTTCCTACGTTTCTCTAAAACCCCCTCAATTTTTCTTGATAAAACATGCGCATCTTCGGATTTATCAATAGACGGAAGAGTCTCTACTTTTATCTTATAGCGATTCAAGAAGTTCGAGATGAATAATAATAATTCCATTCTAGCCAATCCTTCTCCTAAACACTGTCGTTTGCCAATTGAAAATTGAATCATCTCATCGATTTTCTTGAACTTCCCATTGTCATCGATATGTCGCATTGGATCGAATTTCTCTGGATCAGGAAAAATTTTCTCATCTAGCATCACCATACTAATCTGAGCAATTACTCCAGTTCCAGCTTTCACATGCCAACCATCAATTACAGTATCCCGGGTAGTTTCATGAAATGTGTTCATTGGGAAAATATTAGCGCATCTTTGAGTTTCGGTTATAAAAGCATTCATGTATGGTAAATCATTCTTATCAGCAGTTGTTATCAATTTCTCACCACCAATAACTCGATCTAATTCCTCATGAATGTTCTCTTCAACTTCTGGATTATGCAAAAGATAGGCTAGCGCCCAGGAAATCGTAGTCTCGGTTGTCACCAATCCAGCAAACAATAAATCCATACAAGAATTCGTAAGTTGTAAATTTGAAAAACTTTCGAAATCTCCTAAAGCTTCTCGTTTCTTTTGCTCTTTCAAATAGGCCTCACAATAATCGCTATTTTCTTCAGAATCAAAGTCGATTTCTTTTCGATGTCTCTCAATTTGCTCATTGTAATATGAGTGAAACTCGTTTTTCAGTGAGCCAAATCTTAAAATTTTAAACTTTTATAAAGCAATTCTTTTGGTGAGAAGAAAACTTACATTTTCTTTACATTATGATTCGGCAAAAAATTTCCAATAACGGGCACGAAGAATTGCATAAAGACTAGAGGATTTTTGAAGGACTCATTTTGAAAATCCATAATTTTCTTGTGCTTTTCGAAATCGGCATTTCGTTCCCCTTCAAATCGATAACCGAAAAGAAGCTGATTCGTAACATTAGCCACCGCTTTATAAAATGCAAAAGTTATGTCAACTTCTTCCAAGCAATTATCGAAGTTATCGAAAATATCTTCAACTTCAATAAGAATTCGTTCCTGCATCAAATCTTTGCCCAACCCAAAATCTCGCAAATTCATCAACGCAAATCGTCGATGAATTCTCCACATTTCACCATTCGCCTCAATAATCCCCAAGTTCTTTCCGCCACGAAAATCTTCTTGAAATTCTTGTAACTTTTTTGCAGCATACGTTTCACCATCTTTTCCAAAAGTCTCCTTGATTTTCTCATACGAATTTATGCAAATATACGGTGTCGATCCAACCCAAAAAGTATAAACATCTCCGTATTTTCTGGTCCAATTTTTGAAAGCCACATAGCCTGGCGGAGGGTTGAAAACTTGCAGGAAGTTTCCCACTAGTGGCCAAGGCGTGGGACCTGGCGGGAGATTTCGACGCTTCCAATAAAAGTGGTGGGAAAAATAAATTGCAATGATTGCAATCGAAATCACAAAGATCATAATTTTCTTTTGATCATTGAAAATTTTCTATTTATATACTCTGATAAGAGTGTTCTAACATTGTGTAATTTTTATTTTTGTTGTCAAAAGTTTGTGGATTTTTTTAAAATTCAAACATTTCAGCGTCATTTTTTTTTCTTCAACTTTAACATTTCGAGCAGGTGAATTTGGAACTATGTATTCACGAGAGAAAAGTTCAGTAAGTTATAAATTTCACACACAACTATTTCAAAAAATAGATGGAACAAAATGTTTTCAATTACAACTCTTTCCAAAAAGGTTTCAAATATTTTATTGACGTATTCTGGGCTATGTTACTTAAGGGGTGAGTCAATTTTATTTTTTGACGATTAATTGACAGAAATTGTGAGTGTTTTCTTCACGTTTTGGTCAATTCCTTGCTTTCATTTATTGACAAAAACGTGAAAAAATTGCACAAAAAATACTCACAATTTCTGTCAATTATTCATCAAAAAATAAAATTGACTCACCCCATTAGAGATTATTTCACCGCTGCAATGATTATCACATGGACGTTTCTAGCCTGTACATTTATTTTCACCTCCTTTTTCATATTTCCAGTTTATTTCTACGTTTATCGAAAAAATCAAAAACGCGATGAAAAGGTTGGGTTTCTAACACTACCAGTCAATTTCTATACTAATTCCAGACGCCAATTTTCCCAATAACAAATCATATTCATAATTCTCTATGTTGGCTCCAAACATTATTTTACATTATCATAGTTTCTGCGGCAATTACCTATTATTTCATGGCCACACATGAAACATTGATTATACTTTTCTTCTTTCTATTTTATATTTATGTAATTATTTGTCGAATTATACTTATTGTTTGGAATTTCTCAATATTTCTTCTGGCTTTCCAAAGATTTATGATATTTTTCTTTCCCAAATCGATAAATTATGTATCGCCAAGTCGAAGAACATTGAAAAGATTTTTAATTTATTTTTATATCTTATCAATTTCCAGCAACTTGTTTATTGAAATTTACAAAAGAGCATGCAAATTTTTTTGTTCAGGGAAAGATAAGTCTTATGAAAAATATGAAACCTATTTTGATATGTTTTATATTTTTGGTGGCGTACTGGTTATCCCAGCTGCAATTTTCTATTTTTCGATGTTGATTCAGATACGAAAATTGACCAATATGTTGACTCAAGTCTCGAAGAACGATCCTTCACATTTTGTGCTTATTCAAGTGCTACTGACATTTGTTCTGAAGATTTTCGTTTTTCCGGTGTTTCTTCTATCCACCGAACGTTATTTCACTGAACAAGTCAGTTTTTTTCAAAAAAAAAAAGAAAAATGGTCATGCAGAAACGCTTCAGATCGCGAATTCCTTGGTCTACGTGGATATTCTGACTCTCCCATTCACTCTTCAGATTTCCTATATTTTTTGCAACAAAACAAATTTTGATACTGCTCATCAGATAAATTTGCTTATATTGAGAAATTGGGTTATCCTATGTTGCCAATTTTCAGACTCGCGAATTTCAGATTATAGTTCGAGAGAAATTGTAAGTGACAGGCGGACAACTAGATCATAAATATGTTTTTGAATATCCAGTATGTATGAAAATAAACGTTGAAAGTGTTCTGTACCAGAGATCTTTACTCACACTTCAAAAAAACAAAAAGAAAAATATTGTGCCTTGGTCATAGACCACAACTGATAAGGATAGTATAAATAGAAGAGATATTTTTGAAGAAAAAAAACACTAAAAATGTTTCTAATCCTTGTAATTCTCTCTGTTATTTCCTATTATTTATACTGGAAACTATCCGAAATTCTATCAAAAAGCCCGCCGGGTCCATTTCCTCTCCCAATTTTTGGGAATATTCTCTCCCTCAGATTTCCCGCTCCCGGGTATCAAGCTTTTATTCGATGGAAAAAACGATACGGTCCAATCTCGACATTTTGGATGGGTTCCAAAAAATATATAATCATTTCGGATTATGAATTGATGAAGGATACTTTTGTTAAAGACCCGGAAACATATATCAATAAATATGCGAATGAAATTGGAAAAGAGTTACGTGGTGGAAATTATGGCGTGATTGAGACAAATGGTGATACTTGGAGGGTTCATCGAAGATTCGCGTTGACTACACTTCGAGATCTTGGATTTGGTAAAGATTTGATGCAGATGAAGATTTTGATAGAGGTCGAGGAACTTTTCAAGATTCTAGACAAACCTACAGAATTGCCTGTTGATCTTGCGAAATTAATTGATCGTGCAGTTGGGAATGTTATCAATCAAATGTTATTCGGATACCGTTTTGATGATTCTGGGGATTTTGAAAAACTCAAAAATTTGATTGACACACTTCGCGAGACATTTGGAGAGTTCCGATATTTTATACAATTTATGGCTCCAGCTTGCTCGAAATTCATTCCTGGTACAACATTAAATGAGATGGTTGCTATTCGAAGAGAAAAATTGAACAAATTTTTCGACGCGCAAATCAAAGAGCATCGAGAAAATATTGATTTCGATTCCGAAGATGTTAGTGATTATTGTGAAGGATATTTGAAGGAACAAAAGCGATTGGAAAAATCTGGAGATCTTGAAATGTTCAATAATAATCAACTTCGAGTGATGTGTTTAGACATGTGGTTGGCTGGTTTGGTAACAACTACAGTTACACTAACTTGGGGTATTTCATATTTTTTGAATGATTCAGAAGTGAGACGGAGAATTTATGAAGAACTGGATAGAGTTATCGGAAGTAGCGAGACACTTGTGACAACTTCTGAGAAACTAGATTTGCCATATATGAATGCGTTTATCAATGAGACTCAAAGATGTGCAAATATTTTACCAATCAATTTATTCCATGAAACAACACGGGATACCGTAGTAAATGGTTATTCAATCAAAGCTGGAACCGGTATCATTGCTCAGATTAGCACAGTAATGTTGGATGAAAAAGTGTTTCCGAATCCTGAGAAATTTGATCCAACAAGATTTATTGATGGGGAAACCGGGAAGTTACGAAAAATTGATGAAGTTATCCCATTTTCGATTGGCAAACGACAATGTTTAGGAGAAGGTTTAGCCAGGATGGAATTATTTTTATTTTTTGCTAACTTATTTAATAGATACGAGGTGAGGCATTTTACTGTTATTGTTTCGTTTTGAACTTTACCTAAAATTTTTATAGATCACAACAACAAATCCTCCAAATTTGGACAAGTCACATGGTATTATTGTGCTGGCGCAAAAAATCAATGCAAACATGCAAAAAAGAAGTTGATCTTTTGGTTTTGTTTGCCTTTTTCTCCCTCGCCCTCTCCACTAATTTAACGAATCAGAAAGCATGAACACGAAAATTTAATATAAAACTAGAGATTTTGTTTTACTTTTCTTATCATTTTGGTCTCTTGTTTTTTGAAGAACAACTAATAAAACATGATTTTTGTTCTGTGTTTGACATTATTCGTCATATTCATATTTCACCAATTTTATTGGCGTCGACGAAATCTTCCGCCAGGTCCAATGCCATGGCCATTAGTCGGAAATTTTGCGTCATTATTTTATCCCTCGCCAGGATATGCGGCTTTTAATCGATGGACTAAACAATACGGAGATGTCTATACTTTTTGGCTGAGTTCTACTCCTTATATTATGATTAACTCGTATGAACTTATGAAAGAGACATTTGTGAAAGATGGTGACACTTATGTTGGAAAGAAAACACAACCTATGAATATTGAACTTCGTGGTGGGAGCTATGGTGTGATTGATACGAATGGTGAAGTTTGGAGGAATCATCGAAGATTTGCGTTGATGAATTTACGAGATATTGGATTGGGTAAAGATTTGATGCAGGAGAAGATTTTGATTGAGGTGGAAGATATGTTCAAAGATTTTGATTCGACGATCGGAAGTATTGAAGAAATTGATATTCCATTGAGATTTTATAATGGAGTTGTGAATGTTATCAATCAAGCCACCCTTGGTTATCGTTTCGATAGTGTAAGTTGAAATGTTATCAGCAATTGTGATCCTTTTTCTATTCAGGAAAATTATCATGAGTTTACTAAACTCAAAGGCTTGCTTGAATTCCAAGATGAAGCATTCAACGATCCAATAGTGATGATCCAGGCATTCGTTCCAATCCTTGGCAAATTATTTCCGAATCGTAGCATTCAAAAAATTCTAGATGGATTCAAAGAGGACTTCTATGGATTTTTCAACGAGGAAATTGAGAAAAATAGAAAGAAAATTGATTTTGATTCGGAGGAAAGTGATAATTATTGTGAGGCTTATTTGAAAGAACAAAAGAAGAGAGAAGCTGAAGGTGATTTCGAAAGTTTTTCAAATAAACAACTCTCTAATATGATTCTTGATCTTTGGTTTGCTGGATTAGTCACAACTACAACTACTATCTCATGGGCAATAACTTATTTTTTGCATAATCCAGAAGTTCAGGAAAAAATTTATGAAGAACTTGATAGAGTTATTGGTGGCGAAAAACTTATCACAACTTCGGATAAAAATGATCTTCCATATATGAATTCATTTATAAATGAATCTCAAAGATGCGCAAATATAATTCCAATTAATTTATTACACGAAACAACAAGAGATACAGTAATCAATGGTTGGGCAGTAAAAGCTGGAACTGGAGTGATTGCTCAGATTAGTACAGTTATGATGGATGAAAAACTATTCCCAAATCCTGAAAAATTCGATCCTTCACGATATATTGATAAAGAAACTGGGAAGTTCAAGAAAATCGATGAAGTTCTTCCATTTTCAATTGGAAAACGACAATGTTTAGGAGAAGGATTAGCAAGGATGGAACTATTTTTATTCATTTCAAATTTCCTAAATCGATACAAGGTAAGCTTTCGAAGCAGAATTTCTAGAAATATGATAATTTACAGATAAAAGTCAACGAACTTCCATCAATCGATAAAAGCAAAGAAACAACAGTTACACCAAGAAAATTCAACGGGTTCGTCACTCGACGATATTTGTAAATATTTATTTTAAGATGTCAGCAGAAAACTTCAAAATAAAAATGCTGAAATATACATACATAATTTATTTTTCGTTTTTTCCTCTCGTGCCTCTCCTTTTCCTTATCAAATCAGAAAGCATGAACACAAAACGATGATATATAACTAGACATTTTTGACTTTCCTTATCAATTTGATTTCATTTTTCAAAAACCATGATATTTGTTCTCTGTCTAACTTTCCTATCAATTCTTGTATTTCATCAATTTTATTGGCGGCGTCGGAATTTACCGCCAGGTCCGATGCCATGGCCTCTAGTTGGAAATTTCGTTTCAATGTTCTATCCGCCTCCAGGATATGGTGCGTTCAATAGATGGACCAAAAAATACGGTGATATTTATACTTTTTGGCTTGGTTCAACTCCTTATATTATGATAAATTCGTATGAGAAAATGAAGGAGACATTTGTGAAAGATGGTGATACTTATGTAGCGAAAAAACCACAAGGTTTCAATGAAGAGTTTCGTGGTGGAAGTTATGGTGTGATTGAGACAAATGGTGAGGTATGGCGAAATCATCGACGATTTGCGTTGATGAATTTGCGAGATATTGGATTGGGTAAAGATTTGATGCAGGAGAAGATTTTGATCGAGGTTGAAGATATGTTCAAAGATTTTGATTCGACAATCGGAAGTATTGAAGAAGTCGATATTCCATTAAGATTTTATAATGGAGTTGTGAATGTTATCAATCAAGCAACACTTGGTTATCGCTTTGATAGTGTAAGTGGAAATTCCATCAATAACTTCAACTCATATTTTATTTACAGGAAAACTATAACGATTTCGCCAAATTGAAAAACTTGCTTGATTTCCAAAATGAAGCATTCAATGATCCAATAGTGATGATTCAAGCCTTTGTGCCGGCTCTCGGTAAATTATTCCCAAATCATAGCATTCAAAAAATCCTTGATGGATTTAAAAACGATTTCTATGGATTTTTCAACGAGCAAATTGAGAAAAACCGAAAGAAAGTTGATTTTGATTCGGAGGAAAGCGATAATTATTGTGAGGCTTATTTGAAGGAACAAAAAAAGAGAGAAGCTGAGGGAGATTTTGAAAGTTTTTCAAATAAACAACTCTCAAATATGATTCTTGATCTTTGGTTTGCTGGATTAGTCACAACTACAACTACTATCTCATGGGCTATTGCTTATTTTTTGCATAATCCAGAAGTTCAAGAAAAAATTTATGAAGAACTTGATAGAGTAATCGGAGGTGAAAGACTTATCACAACTTCTGACAAAAATGATCTTCCATATATGAATTCATTTATCAATGAATCTCAAAGATGCGCGAATATAATTCCAATCAACTTGTTCCACGAAACCACCAAAGATACCACAATTAATGGTTGGCTAGTGAAAGCTGGAACTGGTGTGATTGCTCAGATTAGTACAGTTATGATGGATGAAAAAGTATTCCCTAATCCTGAAAAATTCGATCCAACAAGATATATTGATAAGGAAACTGGGAAATTCAAGAAAATTGACGAAGTTCTTCCATTTTCAATTGGAAAACGACAATGTTTAGGAGAAGGATTAGCAAGAATGGAACTATTTTTATTTATTTCAAATTTCCTAAATCGATACAAGGTAAGTTTTCACACAGGCATAAATGCTTGACTTTTTTAATTCAGAAATTCCTGTCGCAGAAAAAAAATTTCTCGCGTGAATCGGGAGGCGGGATTTATTTGGCAAGGTGCGGCACGTTTTTTTCAAGCAAAAATTATTTCTGATTTTTTGCATTTCGAAATTTAATGGAGAAAAAAAGATGAAATCGAAAAAATTATTTTAAAAACGTGAAACGTGTAATCGTGGCAGGGGCGGAGCCAGCAGGAAAAAAAGTCAGCAATTTATGCCTGTGTTTCAGAGAAGAATTTCTAGAAAAATATGATAATTTCTAGATAAAAGTCGGCGAACTTCCATCAATCGATAAAAGCAACGAAACAACAGTTACACCAAGAAAATTCAACGGGTTCGTCACTCGACGATATTTGTAAAAAGCCATGTATTTTTTGTAAATGAATTTAAAAAAAATGAAAATAAATAATTGAAACGTATTTACGCACAACGTTCCGAAACGCAATTGGGTGAGAGGAGAGAGATTCTAGAGAAAACATACGTTTTTAGTGGGCAAACGTGCTCAAATGAGAACAAAAACTCCATTTTTTCGAACATTTTCTGAGAGGTCGTTCAAACGTATCGCCGACATTGATCAAACAAATGGCCAAGCGCTATACACACATGTATTATTTTTCAATGTGTTTTTTGAAAAATGAAGCGAGGCGACAAGAGTTCACGCGAATAATCAACAAAACGTGAATTCTTTTATGTTTTTCTCTAAATCTCTTCCTCTCACCCTATTGCATTTTATCATTAGCCTAAAATGTTGTGATACGTGTTAACATAAATACAAAAAAACCACGCGACTCAAGCCACAAGAAGCCATTTCTATTTTGCGCCCAATTAAAAAAATGGTCAAATTACATCTCTCAAAATTTCTCACAATATTCATTGTGTTGACTATTGTTCTAATTCTAATCGCTATTTGTAATCAAGATGATGCTCCGGTTCACGTAAAACCTCCCGAACACATTTGGGAATTGGCGAAAATGGCGAATTTTGGGGGAAAAGATGGAACTCGCGTTTTGTGAGTTAGAATTCCAGAAAATTAGAACTAAGGTTGAAATTCTTGAAAAAATTTCAGACAAAAATTTGGTGAAAAGGAAGAGGTATTTGTGGTGGATGTTCTACAAAATGATGTGATTTTTCGAGCTGTTTTACTCAATAAAAAATTTATTGGAGATTTTATTGGCAATGCAGCGCTCAAACCACCGATTTTTAATGGCAGTTTGCCAACTGCAATTTGGGAATTGGATCATGGCCGGATTCTACCGGGAACTTTGCATGAAAGTCAGCTGATTCAAATCTATAAATCGGGAATTTTGCCATTCTCGAAATCTTTTGAGGGAAATGCGCTGGTTTTTGGTGTTGGCACCGGTGCGGTTTTTATGTATTTGCAATATCATTTCACGGAAATGACGATTACTGGAGTGAAATTGAGTAAGGAGAAAATTGCGGTTGCTGAGAAGTGGTTCGATTTTTCGCCGACTCGCGGGAATAATTTGTATGTTCAGGATATCGCCGAGTTTTTGAACGATGGTCAGTTTCAATTTTGATTGAATCGAAAGTCTGGAAATTTTTGTGAGAAATGCTTATGAAATAGCATTTTCTAAAGGTCACGCGTCACGAAAATTCAAGAAAAAATGAAAAATTCTTTTTTTTCTCAAAAAAAAAAACTAAAAATAACCTGTTTTCAGAGAAAGAGGAAAATAATAAATATGATATGATAATTGCTGATGTTGGAATTGGTTTCGATTGCCCACCAGACTCTCTTATCACTGAAGAATTCCTCAAAAACCTCCGAAAAAACATGAAACCAACTGGCGTCATTTCAATCAATCTACTTCGCCTCGGCGTTCCGAATTTGCTCCAAAAATATGAGGAAATCAGAAATAAGTTTGCCAAATATTTCGAGAGTTGTGAGATTTTCAAAATCAACAGTTTAACCAACGCAATCCTAACTTGTTTTTGCTCGAAAAAACTTGAGAAATCAAGAGATCCTACGAATTTCCTACGAAGTATTGGAATTAAAACTAAATTTTAATAATTAATAAAATAAATGTTAAGTTATTAAATCAATACGTTTTCACAGAAAAAGAAGAAAAAAGTAAAAATGTTTTCAGAGAAAAACAAAAAGAAAACAACGACACTCCGCTTTGCCCGTTGTTTAGCGGAATGAGAAATATTTTTCATTTTTTGTTTTTTCGGGGTTTTTTGTTTCTCCAGGCCGTTTACACACGAAATACGCCTACTTTCTAAATAAAGTATGATATTTTCAGAACTGTCACATCAAGATGACCAGGCGATTTCACAAATGTAAGTTTTTTCATCAAAATTTCACAAAAGACATAGAAAATTAGGTTAGAGCAATAGATCCAACTCGTTGTACATTCGTTTTGCCTCCAGCTAATCCAAGCAAATCTCGGCGAAAAGCTGGAGTTGTTAAAAATATCGAAACTGTCACAAAGCTCCCGTGACATCTCACAACAGCCAAACAACTTAGAATAACTCCAGGATTGAACCAATCATAATATAATGAACTTGATGTGATTTGTGATGGAAATGTATACATAAATAGGTAAATTAAAGTTTGAATAAGTAAACTTTTCAGAAGAACTTGTTGATTTTTTGCGTTTCGATTGCTCTGTGGACGAAACTTTTTCATAATTGTGTAAATTGTTATAATCGGAACTATATAGATCCCAGTGAATGTTAAAAACATCACAAAACTCAATGGATAGTTATCTGTGAGCTCTACATTTTTCCCTGTATAACAGTTATCTTCCCAATAGAAATCTGGAAGCCCAGATGTGTTTTTCGCATAAGTTTCTTTATCAAAGTTTTTTCCACTTGTATCATAAATCTCTTCGGAATACAGGATAAACCCTGAAAAATAAAGAAAGACGAAGAAAATTCTTCCAAATCGTTCCATTTTTTGATAAATTGGATGTGGCCAGATGGCTGATTTTAATCGATAAAAATACAAATGAATAATTGAGACACCTAAGGAATGACTTAACGAAAGTGCGATACTTTGCCAAATAATTGGTGGAATATTGAAATGTTTGAGATATCCTGTTGGACAAAGAACTTGTAAAGGAGCAAACCAAATAAGTGCAAGACTTGAAGAAAATTGTTCAAAAAGAAAATTGCAAATTATTTTGAAGAGCAGAAAAAAATCGATAATTCTTCATATAAAGTTTTGCACGGTAAATCAAGTAATAAATTGCGAAGAGGTAAATAGGTAATGATAGAAATATATCCAAATAACTTGAAATTGTATAAATTTTGAAGAAATTTGTGAAAGGAGCAAAGTCTTTCATGTTTTTTGGTTTAGTGAAAGAAAAAAGAAAATGAGCTGAAAAATTTGTTATGCTCATCTGATTAGGTTTCTGATCTTTTTGTGTTTTGAATCGCAAGAAAATGCGGAAGTTCAAAAGTTCGAAAATGATGTTTATAAAAGTGGAAATAACTTTGATAAAGAAACGTATTGCGAAAAATACATCTGGGCTCCCAGATTTCTATAAGGAAGGTAATTTTTATGAGGAAAAGCTCACAGAGTTTGAGTTTTGTGATGTTTTTACGTTCACTGGGATCTATATAGTTCCGATTATAACAATTTACATAATTATAAAAAATTTTCGTCCACAGAGCAACCGAAACGCAAAAAATCAACACGTTCTTTTGAAAGGTTTAGTTATTCAAACTTCGATTTACCTATACCTATTTATGTATACTTTTCCATCACAAATCACATCAAGTTCATTATTTTATGATTGGTTCAATCCTGGAGTTATTCTAAGTTGTTTGGCTGTTGTGAGATGTCACGGGAGTTTTGTGATTCCAGCCTAGTAGTTGCTCTTTTTCAACCCCGAAAACTAAAAAAAATAATACTTTTCCCAAAATAAAAACGTAAAACTTGACGTGACCCAATTTTTTCTCCCCACTTTTTTCTGCCAAACTCGACGCCAAAACTCGGCATTTAGTATTTTTTGACAAATAGAAAATATGTATTCGGATCAGAAAAATAAAAATAATAACATCAGTACTGACGAGTGAGTTTGGAGAGTTTTGAACAAGAAAACATCGGAGTTCTAGAAAGTCTAGGATATTTTTCCAGTGTCGATGAGCAAAAATGTACTCCAGTGAATCGACACAATAAAAAACCATCTCGCGAGTGAGTTTATCTATATTTTTGATATAGTTTTTGAGATGAAATTCGTGATTTTTTCAGAATTGTGCATGACTCGAATACTCCAGAGTAAGCTTCAATGTTGAATTCGCGAGAAAAATCGATGAAATTTCCGCAAGAGCAAGATTTGGCTGAGAATTTATAAGATCTCCCTGGAACTAGTGCTCCGAAAATCAATAAATTTGGCTCGAGAAGTCCAGTGTCAGAGATTTTTGATAAAATATGTTTTCTAGTAGATGTCGATCCGCTGATCACGATCACGCCGTCGAAAATTGCAAATCTCAACTCCTACTATGAGTTATGACGTGGCAACGTTTTTAAATTGTGGAAAATCGTCACTTTAAAAGCCAATAGCTAATTAGAGTCACGTTTTTTTCCAGAATTTTAAAACTTTGCCACGTCATAGCTCATAGTCAGAGTTGAGTTTTGCAATTTTTGACAACGGGATCGTGATCAAGGGGTCGAAATCTACTAGAGCCCATGTTGTATCAGAAATCTCTGATTTTCTCGAGTTCCCGAGCCAAATTTATTTATTTTTGGAGCTCTGACTTGGCTCACGGGTTCAGCGAAATCATATCGATTTTTGGCCCAAATCTTGCTGCAAAAAGTTTTTTCGCAACCCTCCGTTTTCCTTAGAAAATCCCTATTTTATCCAGAAATACCGGATCCAACGAGAATGGAGCAAAAGACGGAAAATTGGCGGTTATAATCGATGAGCCAATCGTTGATATCGATGTTGGTCCACCAGATAAAATCAAAAATCGAAAAGATGACGAAATGTGTGAGGAGAAAACGGGCGAACAAGTCGATGAGCCGACTGATCGAAAAAAGAAGGGGAAAAATAAGAAGAAGAAAAAAGTGAAGACAGATGTGGTGGCGGAAATTGTGCAGGATGATAATGAGACGGCAATCGGGATCATTTGTGATAATGAACCGCCGTCGCCTGAGGTACTTTCGAAGCGAAAACGGGTCTGCCTATAGTTGGACATCGACTAAATGACATTTTCATGTTTTTTAAGCAAATGAGTCGAAATATTGGGTTCTAATGTTATTCATATGATAGAATGGTTTAAGACGAACAGAATGATATGAATTTTGATGACTTTACGTTATCCATAAGTGATTTAGCGACGTTTGGTCGATATTTAGTCGATAAGCTCGCTAAATCACTTATGGATAACGTAAAGTCATCAAAATTTATATCATTCGGTTCGTCTTGGACCATTCTATCATATGAATAGCATTAGAACCCAATATTTCAACTCATTTGCTTAAAAAACATGAAAATGTCATTCAGTGGTCAATTTTTTTTCCCAAGCTATTTTTCCCAAATTTTTTTCACAAGGTCGTTTTCAAACTTCCCAAATTAAATTTTTCCCAATTTTTTTTCCCAAGTTAATTTTGCTTTTTCCCAAGTTTTTTTCCTATTTTTTCTTTTTTTCCCAAATTTTCGTTTTTTTTCTCAAAATATCCATTGTTTTTCCTTTTTTTGTAAGTTAATCAACATTTAAGCCTATTTTCCCACCAGAGCCTGAAATTAAGCACTTCCGCAATGTGAAAAAAACTAAAAATAGTCGCAAAGAAATAATGGTTGATGAGAAACTCGAAAACAAGAGACCAATTGTGTATAAGTTGATCGAAACGAGAAGGTCAAACCGGAATTGCCTGTCCAAAAAGAATCAAACAAATAATAATCAAAATTGAAGATTTATTTTTAAAGAATACAATAACATCCCAATTTAGTTAATCCCCTCGTTCTTTTGATTTCGGATAGCAAATTTCGCTGGCTGAAAATATGTAATTTTGGATTTCTAGGTCTTCATACAAAAAATTTATTCACTAGTTGATTTTCTCAGAATTAAATTAAGCAGAAACTTTTCGTTTAGAAAAATATCGCGTGAGAAATGTGGGGATATTTTATCCCACTTCCGACTGTGGATTTCTTTTTGACATTTAAAATATTTGCCGATTATTAAAAAGGCAGATGAATTGAAAAAAAAACTTGGTTACGCTCTAAAAGTTCGAAATTTTCTGATTCTTTGACTAGTTTTTTTTTCAAAAAAAAAAACACTTACAGAAAATACCACATAAAATTCGAATTCGGTGTACATTAGATGAACCACTTCGACTTCTAACAACGACGCAGAAGGATTTTTAGATTACAATTCTCCTCTCAAATCTCCATTCCTTTACAAGTTCCAGCCAACAATTCATATTTCTCATTTTCTCCTCTCAAATCTCCATTCCTTTACAAGTTCCAGCCAATAATTCGGTCAATATCTCAATCCTAAACTTTCATCATTTTCTCTTGTAAATTCGCTCGATTCATCTAACTTGATCGAATTCAACAAACGACGTGGCAAATCAAAAATCAGGGAAATATTTTCGAGCGATGATTCATCAGTAACACCTCCATTTTGTACATATCTTTGGCCATTTTGGTTTTGTGATCTACGTGGAATTTGACATCTTCTACGGGTTTTTTGATATCCTCGCCCAAAAGCCAATTCCTTTTCCGGCAATTGTTCGACAAATCCTCAAGTTTCAACGAGATTTTCAGTTTCCCAAATCAATTGTTTTGAAGTTTCGAAGCCGGAATTTTTTGTTGGGCTGATTGTAGGCATCTGAAACAATTGAAACTTATAATTAGAAGAAAGACTGTTCAGAAAAAACAATTAAACGATAAAAAACGGAGATAATAACTATTTTGAGGCGAGAAATAAAAATAGATGCGCGTCAACGAATGTTTTGTGCAAACACGGCCACGACAAAGTGCACAACCCGGGTGTCGCTGCAAGTTGAAACTTATAATTTTCGTTGAACAAAAGTATCTCGACAGAATCTACTCGTAACCTTTTTTGTATAAAATTTAGCGAAGAATTGCTTCGTGAAAAGGTTTGTGAATTTTTTCTAGAGAATAAAAAGTGAAAAGAGTGTTTCAGGAGTATTTCGTAAAGTTTCGGCTGGGATTATATGATTTATGACTATGAAAACAACACATCTTTGATGAATATTGAAAAAGGCGAAATCAATCATATTCATGAAGCAAAAATCTTGAAGAATGAAAAGTCAACAGTTCATCAGTCACCAACAACACAAGATGTCAAGCAAATTTCGAACAACGCTTCTAACAATATTATGACAACCAAAATGGCAACAAAAATGTTATTCTCTTGCACTTGTTGAAGCTCGCAAATCAAAAAAAATCGAAAATTAACACAAATTGACTACAACACGCAAACGTTTAATACTCAGTCAAGAAAACAGCGCATCGTGGTGAGAACACGTGTGTGAATACCGTATTGGAAGCTTTTATTGATTACAAAAAAAAGAGGCTGATTTGTCGCTGTTTGATGTGGAAAAATCAAAACGAAAATCACAATGATTTTCCCAGAAATTGATTTTGTCGAAGAATGGAACAAAAAGTAAGTTAAATTGTAAAAAATAAAGCATTAAAAATTCATTTTTAGACATATTGAAATGATTCGCTTGATCAAGCCGATCGATTTGGTTGAAATCATTCAAAAACGACGGATCTCTTTCGAAATGCCTGCTCATTTGTCCGAGAAGAAATACCCCCCAGATGATTGGGATTGGCACGGTAAATGTTTTCATTTGCTGTCAGAATCCTTTTGCAATTTTCAACCACCAATTCTGAAACAATTTCTAATATATATCACAAAGTTTGAAAATATTTCAGATCTGAAGAAGAAAATATTTCCACAATACGGAACTTTCACTGTTGAGGGCGAAAAGATGGGATTTGTAAAATGCAGACAAGTGGAGAATTTGAAGTTTTTCAAGTTCGTTTTGAGAGATGAGAAGAATACACGAGTGGTGTCGATTTATATTTTAGAGAGTGGTTCGGTTGATTTTACGAGTTGTAAAACAAGTAGAGCGTCTCGTAAGTTGTGATATCATAGTCTTGGATTTCAATGAAGATTTTCAGCGACTGATGTTCAATATATTCGAAATAATCTGAATGGGTCTACGAAAATTGGAGCATATAAACGAATGGCTGAAGAAGGAAAAGTATTTTCAATGAGTCAAATCACAAACCAATCGATCACTCACAAAACCGTGGTTAAAAAGAAAACGGGTCCAAAAATGGTCAGTAAACCGCAAGATCTCTCCGCATTTCAAGCAAAACGCTTCAAAACCTCAGTCTACGAACCATATGTAACACACAATAATTTGCGTGGTATCAGATTTATGGATTTTTCAAAAGATGCACTGTCGATTTATATGGCGTTATGCCCATCTGAGGCTGAAATTCATCTACAACGTGAAGAAGCTGTCAAATATTCGCGTCTTCCGGAAACTTCAAAAATCGAATATTTGAGTGAGTTTTTGAATGAACGTCAGAAAAAAGAAATTCTCTTTTTTTCAATGTTACTTAGAAAATAGGAAATAAAATTGAATCATCATTCATCACAACTTTTCACTTCTCATTCAGATACACTTTTTGCAAATCACCCCGACGGAAAAGTTTTGAAATCTGGCGCTGAACTTGATTCAACATACACAGATACCGATGCTCTGGTTTCAACATTTGCGGTGGAATTACCACTTTTTGTGTGAGTTTATAATTTTAAAATTGATAAATTTTTCTTTTTTATTAAAATGCATTGATTTATAGAACATCATCATCTGGAAAAAATGTGAAAATATTGATGGGTTGGTCAATTCATTCAAATAAGGAGCTTGTGAATCACGAGGCTTTTGCCAAGTTCTTGGCCAGCAAAATGGGAGATTTCAAAAGAATTTCCAGTTTGACCGTTGATGGAGAAAAATCGTTTTCGATTTATTCACAAGTTAGTTTTATTTATTCAATTTTTGAAATAATTCACCTTTATGTATTGACAGATTTTACAATGCCCATTGTTGCGCTGCCAAGTCCACATTGCCAGCAACATCAAAGACAAATTTGGAAAAAACGGAAAAGAACTAGTCGACATTTTAATGGGATCGATGGTAAAACTTTTACTTCTAGCTTGATGAACTCTCACTCAAATATTTTTCAGAGTCCTTCTGGGAACTGGATCATGGGACTTTTGCATTGCGGAACATTGGATGAAATGACCGAGAAGATAGAAAGTTTGTATTTGGATGGTGGATTGAATGATGATTGGTATTCATATTTGAAGAAAAATGGTAAAATGTTGTTTGATGGATGCTCGGTTTATTCAAAAATATATTGTGGAATGGTGACTTTGTACAACTCGACGAATAGAACGGAGCAAATGAATTGCGACTTCAAACGTGCAATTGCAAAACAAGTTTCACAAGCGGACATAGCTCAGTTTCTTCTCGACTATTCAAACAGTAAGTCTAAATAAAGAAAAAAATCACTATTCAAGGGTTGGTGCTTTCCTGGTGAAAAAATCGTCTGCAAAAAGGCGTCACAGTGTTGTGTGCAAACACACACACGAAAATTCAAAAACAACTGCACTAGAGCGCCTTTACATGTTTTATTTCGTAGGTTTTAACTCGCTTGTGTTTTTGAGGAAAAACATGGGCTGAATTTATACTAGATTTTTTTCTAAAACTTAAACCTTCCAGGAGCACCTTATTCCTATCTAAACCAAGCAAAATTCCCTGGCGGAGCACCAACCCTTTCAGTGAGACGAACAATTATATTAACCTAATATTTAACATTGAATTCACTTTGTTTTTCAGAGTAGAGTATAACCCTAATTTTTATAGCTAACAATAAGTAGTTTATACAGCTTGGCCTAGGATTCCAAAACCTCGATTCCGAAAGTTGAGTTATTTTTCAGAGACGGTTCTCGACTTGTATCGATCATTAAAGTTTGATGATGGGCCGATTCGTTTCTTGAAGTTTTCGGAGTCATCGAAATTGGATTCGGTACAATTAACAGCGTATGCCGGGCGACTAGGGTTCCATGAATCAGAAGTATTATTTTGGAATTGGCCAATATCATTTTACTCAAGTAAGTGATATATTTTAAAAAATTACAAAAAATATAGATTCACAGGCATAAAATTCTGATTTTTTCTGCCACGAGTGCACGTTTCACATGATTTGAATCATTTTCGCGCTTTTCATCTTCTTTCTTCACTACAATTTCCAGGAGAATAGAAATAATAATTTCTCGAAATAAAAAACGTGCCGCATTTTGCCAAATGAATCTCGCCTCCCGCGAGAAATTTTTTTTTCGGCAGAAGGCATTTCTGAATAAAAAAAAGTCAAGAATTTATGCCTGTGAGATTTGCCAAATATTTCATTTTCATTACTAATATTTTTTAATTTCAGGTCTCGATTTGTCGATTCTGGTCAAAAACTATGATATTACAAAACGACTTAAAGTAAATGTTATTCAAATTGGACTTTATCACATTGAAAACCCGGAATTATCATCATCTGCAAGATTTGTCACGGTTTTCACTGAAGATTCTCTCATTTGTCAAAAATGCACCGATTTTGAACCACATTCATTATGTGAACATTTGTTAGTTTTTATTTTCAAATATGAACGTAATCATTCAGTTCTTATTTTTCAGATTAGCTGTACTGAACAGTTTGAGTGAAACTGATCGATTCGTCAATTTATGCAAACTCGAACTGAAAAAACGGAAAGAAATCACAGAAAGAAAGGAGTTGTTGAAGTCTGCTCCGGTGGGAGCTGGTCAGAAGTGTCCACGAAAAGCATCCGAGCGGAGTCATCATAATGATCAAAGAATAATCAATAGAGTTGTGCTAAATCCGGCGTTGTGTCATAATCAAATCATTCGCGAGACAAATGAAGAAAACCCTACAGCGGAAAGTTCATCAAGTTCTGACAACTCAGTGATGTTCAATAATTATGAATCAAGTTTTGAAGATGTTACGACAACGGAGACGACCGTTCATGATGAGAATATTGAAATTGGTTCAATCACATCAGAAGATGATGTTTTCCCAGCCGAAAATCCGAATCCTGATTTGAATAAAACAACATCCGAAATCCCCGAAAAACACAATACTAATTGTTCAAAAAAGGAAGTGATGCGAGATTTTTTATCGAGCGCTTTTCTATCGGATATTCAATTTATTGCTGATCACAACAAAGTCGCTCTTTCAGATGATTATTGTGCGGTGAGTAATCAATTTCATCTAATATTTTTAGACTAAAAACCCGAAATTTACTCAAAGTTCACTAACAACTTTGAAGTTACATTAAAATTTATAAACAAACCAAGATTTTTCGCGAATTAAGTCATGGAGACGCTTTTTGAAAATATCACTGCAGAAAATGATAATAATCTTTTACATCAATTTATTTTATTTCAGAATCTTGCAAAAATGGTGAATTGCATTATGGATGGGATAAGTGAATGTTCGAAATGTGGCGTATGTTCGGAAAGAGAACATGGAAACTTGTTTTGTAATGCTTGTGATCAATTCGCTACAATGCATTGGAAACCGTTTTTGTTTCCATCTGGGTCCGATTTTTGTGCATCTTTAAAGACATTAAAAGTGAGTTATTTTTTGTGTTCTATAAACAAAACCAAAAAGTATTCAGTTCGGCACCACCGACTTTGGCGACTCCAGTTTGGATGACAGTATCGAATCATTGAATCAATTGGGAACTGACAAAGAACGAAACCCAATCGTCAACGTTTTGCAGCCTTCAAATTCGGTTGTTCAAGAAGGATGTTCGACAAAAATGAAGGAAGTTCCACAAAAACCAGAAAGGCCAAAACGGAACAATGGAAAAAGGACAAGCTATGATAAAAATGGACCTTTTGAAATTGTCAACGATAAAAAAGTGTATAGGTGAGTGATTTTGAGCATTTCCGATGTGCCATCTCTCAATCTCAAAAGTTTCAGATATGCATAGTTGTGTATGTTCTACACTCGTTCATCAATCCGTCTCCCACAAATACAATTTTTGCTTGTCTTGTTAATCGTTTTGTTTTTGTTAAATTTTGTTATTGTTACGTTTTTCATTCGTTTCGTTGATATTAATACTATCAAATTGTGGATTTTTCATCTTATTGCTCATAGAAAATAACAAAGAATGGTGAAAAATAGCAACTTTCATGCTATTTGAAAATTTGGGAAAAAAAGAAAAAATAGGAAAAAAACTTGGGAAAAAGCAAAATTAACTTGGGAAAAAAAATTGGGAAAAATTTAATTTGGGAAGTTTGAAAACGACCTTGTGAAAAAAATTTGGGAAAAATAGCTTGGGAAAAAAAATTGACCCATTCAGTCGATGTCCAACTATAGGTCTCTGCCACGTGGATTTTCTTTCTCTCTCATCCAAATTTCCTCTTTCCAGAAAGAAAAGAAGAAGCCGAAAAAGGAGAAGAGCGCAAAGACGGCGGCTCGCGCGCAAAAACGCGACAAAAAAGAGCAATCACTTCACATGGGTTTGGCGGCGCAGGAAACGCGGAAGCGGACGAAAATTGCAACAACAACAGAGCACAAATAATTCGGAAGAAGATGGCACGAAGCAGAAGCACAAGAAGAAGGGAGCGGATGCGAGCACGCGGAAAAAGGCCAAGAAATCTGGCGAGAAAGAGGTATCGCTTTGGAAGATATATGCTGTCTAGTAGATTTTGACCCGCTTATTAGGATCTTGTTAAGAATTGCAGAACTCAACTGATAATATCAGTTATGACGTGGCAAAGTTTAAAATTTTCGAAAAATCGTGAAGTTATAGCCATCTAAAGTCACGATTTCTAGAAATTTCCAACTTTGCCACGTCATAACTGATATTAGGAGTTGAATTCTGCAACTTTTGACAAGATACCAATCAGCGAGTCAAAATCTACTTTGAAATCTCTGGAATTTCAAAAGCCCAACAAAAATCTAATGTAAAAATCAATTTTTCAGCGCGATTTGGAGAAGACGAAACGGCGAAAGGATGTGGCGGTGAAAAAATCGATTTTCAATTCGCCCGTCAAAACTGAGCAACAAATGAAGAAGGAGAAACAGGAGGGATTCTTCAAATCGATTTTTCAGCGAGCAAAAACCTCGTTTACCGGCAAATTGGACAAGTCTGATGATTCGTTCATCGCGTGAGTTGGTTTTTTCGAGGAAAAGTTAGGCCGTGGCCTAGAAAACCGAAATGTTTTACTGATTTTCGTGGAAAAGCTAGGCCACGACCTAGAATTCGCAATATTGTTCAAAAGAAGTAAACATAATTTCTGATCAGATTGTTTTCTGAAAAATCGACATTTATTTTCAAATTTACCAATCTTGAATTAATTTTTTTCAAAAAAAAAGAGAACTTTCTGGAAAATCCATCAAAATTCCCATTTTCCCCTCGAAATCCGCATTTCAGCGCTCCCGAAACCATCCAAAAAGCAGTCGATGTTCGTGCCGAATACGGTTGTCCCGAAGACTACGGTATGCCACCCGACAAACCCATCGACTCGAATTACGACAACAATGGTGCCCTCTTCGTCAAAGGTCGCCCGTTTTGGTGTCTGAAAGACGAGAAACCGCCGCCCCCGAAACACTGTGTAATGAGTACGGCTATGAGGAAATTTATGGACAAATCGTGGCAAATGGCTGATCCGATTACTGAACCGTAGGGAATTTTTTGAAGAAGAAAATTGGGTAATTTTTCATTTTTTTTTTCAGAACTGATTTGGATCCTTATCATAATTTGGAATATATTCAAGCTAGAGATTGGATTTATATGAAAAATGATAAACAGGTGAGAAAATGCCCTAAATTTCCGGAAAAAAACAGAATTTTCTTGCAGATCTTCAGTAACACAATTCGATCGCTCGGTTTGATGGCCAACATGAAGATTAAAAGATCGGAAAAATCGGAGATTGATCTGGACACGACAACTCAAGTCATGTCGAAATCGACAATGACATTTGTGGCGGCCAACAAGTTGATTCAATACAATCGGAAAAATCGACACGATCTGACGAATACGATTGCATTTACACCGGGAATCACCAAAAAACAGAGAATCAAACATCCTGGACTTCATGGAAAAAAGGGATGATTTTGTCTGGAAATGAATGATTCATTTTGTAATTTACATTTAACAATTCTGCCGGCTCCCGGAATTGATCCGGGATCTTTTGAGTCGTAGGCTGAAGCTTAACCTAAGAAATCCTGGATTCTAGGAAATTCAAAAATTTTTCAACGGGCATCTGAATCGCACCAAAACTGCGAAATTATCAAATTTTCCAAAAATCCCCTTATTTTTTCACGTGACATATTTTCCACGTCCCATTTTCCATGCAATCCACATTTTCTTTGCTCATTTCTTTTTTTACTAAAAAATAAAAATATCGCGAAATGGATATTTCGAATAGTTTATCTCAAAGTCGAACAATTTCAAATCAAGAAACTGGAAGTGAAGAATTTGAATCAGTTACTAAAAACGATTATGGATTGGAATTAGATTCAGAAATTCAGGAAACATCTACAATATCTGATGTAACTTTGGTGAAACCAATAAGATCTGCTGAAGTTATCGAATCGCCGACAAAATTCGAAAAACCGAGAGATCGATTGAATATTGTGTTCTTCATTTTCTTCTTTTTTGGATGTTCGTCGTTGGTTGCTTGGAATATGTTTATTACGGTCTCTTTTGATGTGAGTTTTTTTGAGGGGGAAATTTTGGAATTTGAATTTTTCATTAGGTTTTGGTGAGAAAAAATTCAGAATTTTTCATTCAAAAAAATTTCACTGTTTCAAAATTTCTATTCAATTTTTCGGGGTATTCTCTCGTTTGTTGAGATGGAAATATAGTAACTTCTAAAAATTAGTGTGAAAATGAAATTTTTGAAGAAAAAATTCCGGATTTTTCATTCAAAAAAAATTTCACTGTTTCAAAATTTCTATTCAAAAATTTTGACATTTTTCGGAGTATTCATCCGTATTTGCAGATTTGAAAATAATTTTGATTTTTGTGCTCAAAAAAAATCCACGTGGCCCTAATTTTTCACGCCTAAAAATTCCCACGTGGAATTTAATCTCTGAATCTTTTTCTTCGAAAAATGAAGTTTTTGAAGAAAAAATTCAAAATTGTTCATTCCAAAAAAATTTCACTGTTTCAAAATTTCTATTCAAAAAAATTGGAATTTTTTGAGGTGGTATTAGGTTCGTTCTGATCTGTCAAAATTTAGTCGAAAACAGCTCCAAAACTCAATTTCCAATTCGAAAAAAAATTTGAATTTCGCGCTAAAAATCACACATGGCCAAAAAATGCCACGTGGAAAATTATTCAAATATTTTTTTTCACAAAAATCTGAATTTTTTCATTCCAAAAAATTCACTGTTTCAAAATTTCTATCTATGAATTTTCGCATTTTTTGAGGTGGTTCTTCGTTCTGATCTGTCAAAATTCAGTCAAAAACAGAAAAATTGAGAAAATTTCGCCAGAAGTCACACAATTCCACGTGGCAATGTCTGATGCCAACAAATGTCACGTGGAAAATTGTTCTAGAAAATTTTCAAATTCTTTTTTTTTCTCACAAAAATCTGATTTTTTTCATTCCAAAAAATTTCACTGTTTCAAAAATTCTATTCAAAAAACTGCAAACTTTTCGAAGTGTTGTATAATATATCGCCGATAAAAAAATTCCCCGAAAAAAATTCCACGTGTCTTTCCAAATCTATGTTTTCTACAGTACTACGAGGCGTTCAAACTGCAAACATCTGATGGAAAATCGAATTGGTATTCGCAAAATTTCCAAAATGCAATGACAATTTGTGCACAACTTCCGAGCGCCATTTTTTGTATTTTGAGCATTTTCAAAGATTTGCGGTGAGTTTTTGAGTGGGTTACGGTATTAATTATCTACAGTACCTATTTTTTTCAGTGGAAATCTACCATTTCGAATGCAATGCTCACTTTTAATATCTGGTACAGTACTCTTGATTACGATGACTTTGATCTACGTGGAAACTGAATCTTGGATTCCCATATTTTTTGTCTTCACACTTTTCACTGTTGTTGTTTTGAATGCGGCAATTGGGGTTTTTCAGAATGCGTGAGTTTTTTTTTGGCGCGAAAAATTTGAATTTTAAAAATTTTTTGATTTTGAAAAACTTTCGTACAAAAGCTCTAATTTGAAATTTGAAAATTCAGCTCAAAAATTTTTTTTTTCGCGCAAAAATTTGAAATTGAACAAATTTCTGAGATTCTGAATTTCCAATTCTTAGCTCAAAAATAATTGGATTTTCATATTACATTTATTTTATTTTTGAAGTACATTTCAGCTTCAGAAAGAATTATTTTCAGATTTTCCTAGATTTTCAGCTCAAAAATCTAGAATTTTGCAGAATGTTTGGTCTTGTCAGCACATTTCCCTTCAAATACACAAATGCTGTAATAATTGGCCAAAATTTCAATGGAATTCTCATAACTCTTTTATCGATTTCAAGTAAATTAGGTTTGTAGACAAAAAAACCTTGGAGTTACAGTAACTCAAGCTTTTTTGCAGTTTCAAATAATTCACAAATAAGTGCGATGATATTTTTTGGAATTGCGGTTCTAATGATTTTGGCGTGTATTTTATTGCTAATGTTGGTGCAGAAAAATGTGAGTTTTGAAATTTTTGGCAAGAAAATTTCAAAAATTCAAATTTTCCCTCCAGGAATTCTATCGTCGTTTCGGAGTTTTGGATAAAATCAATTCACAAAGATCAATTCAGGAAAATGATCAGAATTTTTGGCAAAAAATCGGCCACGTGTTCAAAAAAGCCGGTTGGCAATTTTTCAACATTTTTTGGTTGTTTTTTGTCACTTTGAGCATTTATCCGAATATTACGGTTTATATTCGACCCAAGGATCCAGAGAGTTTTTTCATTTCAGGTTGGTGGATTTTGGGAGAGTGTTTAAGGGAATTCGCATCAATTTTCTCAGAAATCCCAAAAAATTCAACAATTTTTTGAAACAGTAAATTTTTTCACTCGAAATTTTTTAAAGATTTTTTGAGGTGAAAATGTTTGCCACGATAGGGTTAAGCTCAAAATTGAGCTTAGGCTTAGATTAAGGGTTAGGCTTAAGAACTTACATTAGATCTGGAGTTAGGCCTAATCTCAGGCTTAGCTTTGGACTTAGGCTTGGGATTGAATTTGGGCCTCAAATTAATTCTGAAGTTAGGCCTACACTAAATGTTAGGTTTAAAGGCTTGGGACCGCATTTTGGCCTGAACTTAAGCTCAGACTATATTTTTGAATGTCAACAAATTTTGAAATTTAAAACAATTACGTAGGATCCAAATCAAAAGTCTCAGAAATCCCAAAAAAATTCAACAATTTTTTGAAACAGTGAATTTTTTTTGAAAATTTTGTTGAGATTTTTTTCTAGCTTTCTTGCCACGTGGCACAATTTTCTCTATTTTTTTCATTGAACCAAGTGAATAATTATTATAATATAATTTCAGTTTGATATTTTAGAAATATTTTGAAACGTATTTTTTGAGGGAAGGAAAATTTCCTGTGAAAATCTGAAATTATTTAATTTTTCTGGTAGATCAAATTCTAGCGCCGAAACTCAATTAAAAAAATATTTATTTTCAATGACAACAATCATAATGTCTAACATGCTGTGCTAATCCACTTGCCAAAAGCATCAAAATTCCAGAAATCAGAGCCAAAACGCATGAATAACCCATCTGAAATTTGAAATTTTTGAGCATTTTTTGACCCAAAGTGCTCCAAAAAACTTACAAAAGTCTGTCCAATGCCAAAAAAATTGCTCAGATTAGAGGCTGTTAGAATAAATGGCACAATTTCCATCATTGCAATAATTAAGGCGATAAATGAGATTAGATTGAAACTGTGACGAATTGAGTGTGAGCAACCGCAGTGGCGAATTTTTCGACTGAAAATTTGGGATTTTGAGAAAAATTGGGAGCTGATTTTGATGTGCCACGTGGATTTTTGTTCCGAATTTTTAAGATTTTCAGAGAATTTTTTCGACTAAAAATTTGAGATTTTTTAAACCTAAACTTGATGTGCCACGTGGTTTTTCAGCCCCAAAAACACAATCTTTCTCTTAAAAAATGACCCCGAAAAAATACGTTTCGAAATTTTTTGAAATTTTCAAATCGAAATTTAAGAATTGATTCTTCTGATAAATTTCCAAGAAAACACTGAATTTCTGACGCCAATTTTTGAGCCTGAAAATGCACCAAAATTCTAATTGTTCTATAAACTTACACGGCATGCAAATACGCCAAACACAATAAAATTGAGATGAAAAATGAGATGAACATAAACTAACTCGAAGTGACAAACCACGTTGGCTTATTGCCATTTTGAAATGGCATTATACCGTAGAAATATTGTTGACCCAAAATTTTGACAACAAGCCAACCAGTTGTGAAAACTGATACGGTATTTAGAATGAAACCGCAACCGATTAGAAATCCAAGACCGCCGATTTTTCGCATTTTGAAACTGGAAATCTAGAGGGGTTTGAAAGGTTTTAATAGCCAGTTAGAGTTGGAAATGGAAGAAGAAAAATTGAGAATAAAAATTTTGAAAAACTATTGAAGAATTTTTGAAACAGTAAAAAATTGGGAAAAATTTATTGTTAGAATTTTTTTCAGATTTCTCGAGCTGAAATTTTTTTCGTAATAGGTTTGAGTTGAATTTTTAAAGATGAAATTATTCAAAATTTCTAGAAACAGTGAAATTTTCGAAATTTTCAAAAATTCAAGAACTTTAAATTTTTCTAGGCTGTTCTTAGCATAAAAAATTACTGAAAAAAAGAATTTTTCATAAAAACGTGGAAATTTGGGAATATATTTCTGGAAATTTTTTCACTGTTTCAAAATTTTTATGAATTTTTATTTGAATATTTTATTCTTAATGAGTCAGCTCGAAAAATTATTTCGAACAAGATTCAACGAATTCTGAGTAATTCCAGAATTTTATAAAAATGCTAATTTTCTCACTGTTTCAAAAAAAAACCTCAAAAAAAAAAATAAAATCACATTTTGCACCACAAAAAATTGTGTGAATGAATAAATATTTACACATTATCTTATCATTTTTCACTTTTTTTCCTTATGACGTGTTTTTTGGGCCAGAAAAGAACATTTTGTTTGACGCATTTAAGAATTGAGTCACTGGATGACCTGAAAATAATTTCGAAATTTTGAATTTTGACGCTAGATTAAAATCCACGTGGCAAAAATGTATGAAACATAACTTTTTCAGAGAAATTCTACCTGGATGTCGTGACGTTTTTGAACTTCAACTTTTTTGCGTTTTTGGGAAATTTGGCGGCGAATTATGTGAAATTTGTGAGTTTTTTGGGCGGATTCTTGAAAAATATTCACTGTTTCAAAATTTCTATATATATTTTTTTGAATTGTTCTTTTCTGGTTAAAACATTGAATTACATTCCTGAAGATTTCGATTGAATTTTGAATTTCCAAAATTTTGTTTCAAATAAATTTCACTGTTTCAAAATTTTTGTATATTTTTTCTGATTTTTTGAAATTTTTTTAGTTGGGCCATTCAAGTTCTGAATAATTCTCAGAAAATTTATTTACCACAAAAAGCAGTGAAAAAAAGTAAAATAGTTTTCTAATTGTAAATATTTTTCACTGTTTCAAAATTTCTATGAATAAGTACTTTTTGAATTTTGAACAGTTGATAACATTCTTTAAATAGCAAAATTTAGCTGAAAATTTCAATACAAAAAACAGAAATCTCAATGTTCAATTACCGATTGGAAAATGAAAATTCGATTTTTTTAAATGAAAGTTTTTCACTGTTTCACTCATTTTCATCAAACTTTGGTTCCCAAAAAAAAATTCGATTATTTTTCACTGTTTCAAAATTTCAATGAATTTCTTTATCTTTCTTTCTCGATATTGCAATTGGAATTCTAGTTATAATCTAAATCTAAACATTTCACTGTTTCAAAATTTCTGTATTTTTTTCTCTGATTTTTGAAATTTTATAAGTAGTGGCGATTCAATTTCTGACAAGGGAACCTTTTTTACTCAACACTTTAAATCATGATGAAATTTGGTCCATGGACAGCTTTTGGGACCATAAGAACACCCTAAAAATTTTAGTCTCCCAATGGACCTCTGAGCCAAGTTCTGGGCTCTCAAAAGTTCAAAAATTGCCAAAATTAGCTCATAAAACACGTCATAACTCAATTTTCGATCATTTTTATGAAAAACTGAGTAGCAGATGATGATCAGCGTGGTCGATTTACCCAAAAATCATCAATAAATCGAATTTTCAGAAAAATTTTTGATTTTGGAAAAAAGAATGAGCACATATGAATTTTCATGAATTTTCAGCCCAAAAATAAAAAAACTTCAAAATTTTTCGAAATAAAGATTTTTATTGATGTACTTTTAGGTAATCGACTATGCTGATCAATATCTGAAACTTCATTACTCCCAAAAAAAATTTTGAAATGGAGCTATAATGACTCTTGTGACCATTTTTAGGCTTTTTTTGAGTTTTTGAGAGCCCAGAACTTGGCTCAGAGGTTCATTGGGAGACTAAAATTTTTAGGGTGTTCTTATGGTCCCAAAAGCTGTCCATGGACCAAATTTCATCATGATTTTAAGTGTTTAGTAAAAAAGGTTCCCTTGTGAATAATTATCTGAAAATTTATTTACCACAAAAAGCATTGAAAAAAAAAAATTTCCAAATATTTTTCACTGTTTCGAAATTTTTATGAATGTTTATTAGAATTTTTTTTTCAATATTTTTTATTCTACTATAAAAAATTCACTCTTTCACTAATTCTAGAAACAAGTGCGTTTTCAATTTTGAACAATTAATAACATAAAAAAAAACAGCAAAATTTAGCTGAAAATTTCAAATTTACCTGAAAATTCAATTTTTTTTAGACAAAATGACTGATAATAATGTGAGTTTTTGGGATTTTTCATGGAAAAATGATGAAAATTCGATTTTTTAATGAAAGTTTTTCACTATTTCACTCATTTTCATCAAACTTTGGTTCCCAAAAAATTCGATTATTTTTCACTGTTTCAAAATTTCAATGAATTTCTTTATCTTTCTTTCTCGATATTGCAATTGGAATTCTAGTTATAATCTAAATCTAAACATTTCACTGTTTCAAAATTAATGTATATTTTTTTTGATTTTTTAAGTTTTATTAGTCTGCCGTTCATAATTTTGAATCAGGGCTGGTCGGAATCGGAATATCGAAATTCCGAAATTCCGAAAATCGACGTTTTTCGGAAGTGTAGTTTGGTCGGAAGCACTTCCGAAAGAAAAACTCGGAATTGCTCAAATTCCGACTCTCGTTCCGACTTTTTTTCATTCCGACTTTTTTGTCGAAATCACTTTCGAAAAATCTCGGAATGTCGGAATCTATGTTTTTATAAAGAAAACTTCATTTTAAGACTGAAATGACGGTGAAAAATTTCTTAATAATCGATAATAGTCAAAATTTTGTTGTCTTTGATGAACTAAAGAACAAGATTTACTTTTTCGCAACTATTTTTACTATTATTGTTCTGATAACTCATCGAAAAATGTCGTTTTTCACTTTTTTCTTGCGTATTAGAACTTCCGAATTTCTTCCGAAATTCCGAAAAAAAGTCGGAAGAAAAAATCGGAATTCCGAACTATCGAAAAATTATTCGGAATAAAAAGTCGGAATGCCGAAATTCCGAGAATAAAATCGGAAGTGAAAATGGGTCTTCCGAAATTCCGAAAGCTCAATTCCGACCAGCCCTGTTTTGAATAATTCTCAGAAAATTTATTTACCACGAAAACCATTGAAAAAAAGTAAAATAGTTTTCCAAATATTTTTCACTGTTTCAAAATTTTTATGAATGTTTATTAGAATAAAAACATTTATGCTTTAAAAATTCACTGTTTCACTAATTCTAGATATAAGTGCTTTTTAGATTTTGAACAGTTTTAACATTCTTTAAACAGCTGAAAATTTCAATACAAAAAACAGAAATTTCAATTTTTAATTACTGATTGGAAAATGAAAATTCGATGAAAGTTTTTCACTGTTTCACTCATTTTAGGTGGTTAGTCAAACTTTGGTTCCTAAAAAAATCGATTATTTTTCACTGTTTCAAAATTTCAATGAATATTTACACAATTTTTATTCGATATTGCAATAGGATTTCTCTTGAGAATCTAAATCTAAAAATTTTACTGTTTCAAAATTTCTGTATAATTTTTCTGATTTTTGAAATTTTATTAGTAGTAGCAGCGGTGATTCACATTCTGAATAATTCTCAGAAAAATTGATTTACCATTGCAAAAACCATTGAAAAAAAGTAAAATGGTTTTCCAAATATTTTTCACTGTTTCAAAATTTCTATGAATTTTTGTTAGATTTTTTTTTTCAATAATTGTAATAATTGTAACAAAAAGCAAAATTTAACTGAAAATTTCAATACAAAAAACAGAAATTTCTATTTTTTTTTCAAAAAAAATTTACTGTTTCAAAACTTCTATGATTTTTTATGAGTCTCTGATTGTATATTTTCCTAAGCACTTGTTTAATACTAAATTTTTCCAAAAATCTACAGTACCTCCCTTTTCTCCCCCAAATCTCTATGTTTTCCAGCCAGGACCCAAATACATAATAATTCCCGTTCTTCTTCGTTTCTGGTTCATTTTCTATTTCCCATTTTGCAACTATAATCCGGAATTTCGACGATTCGATGTGTTTTTCGAATCCACGTGGCTTTTCATCGCAAATTTGGCATTTATGTCATGGACAAGTGGATATTTGTCATCGTTGATTATGATGTATGCGCCAAGGTGAGAGTTTTGGGCTGAAATTTTGAGCATAGGTTTTTTAACTGGAAATTGATTTTCGGAGCACTCCAGCTCAAAATTAAATTAAAATTTTACACGAAAAATCTATTTTCACACAAAGTTTTCCATTTGACGCTAAAATTTTATTTTTTTTCAACAAAAAAAAAATTCACTGTTTCAAAATTTTTTTAATTTTTTGTGAGAATTTTATTCTTATTATTTTTTCACTTTTGTAACGAAACACTATTTTTATCAGAAAAAAATTTCGCACTGAATTCAAAATTTCCAGTCCTCAAATCTGAAAATTCCCCCAGAATCCCAAAAATTCCCAAATTTTGCAGAACTTGTTCCGATCCCCAACTTCAACGTTTGGCTGGAATGATTTCGTTGGTGTTTTTGCTTTTGGGAATTATGAGTGGACTTTGTTTTTCGTGGATTATCAAACTTATTGTTTTGAACTGATTTAAATGAATTTTTATTAATTTTTTTATTATAAATAAAAACATGAAATGGTCGATCTGAAATATGAGATTTTTTAGAAAAAAACTCGGGCCGAGTTTTTATACCAGAAAAAACTCGGGCCGAGTTTTTTTATACCAGAAAAAAATCGGGCCGAGTTTTTTTTTTTTTGAAAAAATCGGCCCGAGTTTTTTTTTGAGTTTTTTCCCGAATTTGTTTTTATCAGCTACCTGCCCGAAAAAATTTGAAATATTGATATTTGTTTTTTTTTCGTTAGAAAAAAAAAATATACCTTTTTTATATGATGTGGCAACTCGGTGAAAGTTGCAATTTTGAACAAATCTTCGCTTAAAATCCACGTGGCAATCTATAAATTTCATTCTAAAAAAACTCAAAATTCAAAAAAATCTTCTTCATTCGATCACAGAACAATTGTGGATTTGCCAAGAAAAAAATCAATAATAAAAAAATAAATTCGGGGGCCAAAAATATAAAAAGAAAATAAAATGAAATTAGTGAGGGATGAATAAAAAAAATGAAAATCGACACACAAAAAAAATAGAAATGACCCAACAAAAATTACATGTTTTTCAATCTTGTGCTCAAAATTCGGGCGGGAAAAAGAAGAAGAAAATGCGCGCGAGAAAATAATGAAATTTCAAAAAAAAGCATTAAAAATTAGTCGAAAAAACACATTTTGAAATTAGATTTTTCAGTTTGAACACACAAAAATGGGCGGGAAAATGAGAATATTTACGTAAATCGCTGGGGCAAAAAACATCAATAATGACAAATAATGATAATTAATTAGGGAAAAAAGAAAACAAACACGGAGAAAAAGCACCTAAAGATTGAGCTCTTGCGCAATTTTCGAGGCAATATTTTTGAAGCCGATTGATGTTCCCGAAATTCGTTTGAATCGAACACCGTTTAGGCTGAGGCGGGGAAGTTTGCAGACCTGAAATTAAATTTAGGTTTGGTATGGAAAGATTTCAATTGAATCAACTTTGGTCATTGTATCAAAATTGAAATTAAATGGAAAAATTATAAGAAAATTTTGAAACAGTGAAATTTTGTTGGAATATTTTTTTGCAGAAATACCTAAATTCTCGCAATTTCAGTGAATTTTACATAATGACATCTGCATTCTATCAAAAATTAGAAATCCATGAAAAAATTATGTGAAAATTTTGAAACAGTGAAATTTTTAGGGGTTATTTTCATTCTGAGTTTTTTCGATATAACAATATAACAATGGAATTAATATCAATAATGCATTCTGTGAAAAATATATGAAAATTTTGAAACAGTAAAATATTTCAGGATTTTTTTTTGGAAAAATATAGACTTTAAATTTTAAATTAACATCTGAAAATTCCTAATTTTCTGGGAAGAAGAACAAATTCAAAGTTTATGATTTTTACCCAAAACTCTCCTAAAAATTCATTTTTCTTACGGTAATCTGCATTTTCTGGTTACAAAAAATATTAAAATTCAATGAAAATATAGGTAAATTTTGAAACAGTGAAATTTTTTGGAATATTTTTTGCAGAAAATCCTAAATTTTCGCGATTTTATCGAACAACTTATCAACAATCAGAAATCATGAAAACATAAATGAAAATTTTGAAACAGTAGATTTTTTTTCGGATTTTTTTCTCAAGAAAATTCCAATTTTAGGGTTTCTCCCTCAAAATCCACAATTTTTCATCAATTTCTCCCTCAAAAACCTCAAACATACCTCCATTTCCCATTGCACCAACGAATCCGTATTCGGATCACCATGAACACACAAAATCATATATCTTTCGCGTTGTTCGTAGTCGCAATTGTTCGAGTCCAAAACTTTTCGAATTTCTCTCATCATATCATCCGGTGCCAAACTCGACGTCGTTTTCATACTCCAAGTGAATCGCAATGATCGAGGTTTGACTTCTTCACCCGCTCCGCCGCCAATACTTCCGGTAACTCCACCTCCAACTGAAGATGCAGCTGGACTTGATGGTGGATGATTCTGAATAAAAAAAAAACAATAGATGAATGAGGGGGTTTCGGTGCAAAATTTAATAGTACAATTTTGAAACAGTGATTTTTTGGATTTGGTAAATTTTATGAAAACAAATTAAAAAACTATCATTTTTCAAATAAAAAAATTGAAACAGTATTTTTTTAAAAATAATTTCTTGGAAATTTCAAAACATTTGAAAAAATGAAAATTTTCCATTCCAATTTCTTGAAGTAAAAAAAAACTGAATTTCATTCCCAAACCATCTATGGAAAGCAAATATATTTTTTGATGGAAAATTTATTGAAAAAATTTTGAAACCTATTTTTTTCTGTGAAATTCACATGAAAATACCACTTTTTTAATAGAACATTTTGAATTTAATCCGGAACTTTTGATATAGAATCAATGAGATAAATCTTTTGTTGCAAAACTTAATACAATTTTTGAAACAGTAAAATTTTTTGAAATTTAACAAAGTTATTAAATTTTATGAGAATGAGAATCAAATACGTTTTCAAAATATGGAAAATTCATGAAACAGTGAAATTTTTCACATTGAATTTCAGGTTTGAAAATTGGACCGGAAATTCCACGTGAAAATCCAAACCTAGAGCATACCATGCCTGGGTGAGGCATATGCACGGCGCCAATAAAAATTTACGGTAATTTACCTCGTCAATTTGAGATTTTCTTGAAGTTTCTCTGTTAAAAAGTGGTTTTTTCCAGTCTAAAAGGTCGTTTCCACATCGCCAAAAATTCTCAAAATCCATACCGCCAATTTTCGAAGTTAATTCGCACGAAGCTGGGCGTGGTTTGATTTAGAATTAGCAGAACAAAAAAACGTTTCAATGATTCAAACAATTTTGAAACAGTGTGATTTTTTTGAACTAGAAAAATTCTTGAGAAAAAATTCACGGTAAATTTCAAAAAATAGGTATTTTTTAGGTCAAATTCAGTCTTAAAATTGTCTGGAAAATTGTGTGTATGAATTTTGGTTTTGTCAAAACTCTTCAGATTAAATTATGGCTCATTTTTTGCCTCAAAATGCTCCAAAAACTCTCCTCTTCTCAAAAATCATACAATTTTTGCAAAATAAATCAAATCCGCTCTCCAAATGAAAATACTGAAACACTAAAAAATTATAGGAAAATTACACGTTTTTAATAGAACATTTTGAATTTCATCCAGAGTGCGTGTCGTTATTAAATTAATGAGATTTATTGTTGCAAAAATTGATACAATTTTTGAAACAGTAAAATTTTTTGAAATTTAACAAAGCCAATAATTTTTGAATATAAAAAAATGAGAGAACGAGAATCAAATACATTTTCAAAATATGGAAAATTCATGAAACAGTGAAATTTTCACAGTGGATTTCACGTTTGAAAATTGGACCGAAAATTCCACGTGGGGAAATAGGATTTTTCCGAAAAATTCTGAATTTAGAACAACCCAATGATCAACATGAGCAAAAACAAAAAACATTTCGATGATTCAAAGAATTTTGAAACAGTGGGATTTTTTTGAAATTCAAAATTTTTAGGATCCAAAAAATCCCGGTCAAGATTAGTGTCAAAAAACACATAGCTGATTTTTTGAGTCATTTTTAGTCTCAAAATGCTCCAAAAACTCTCCTCTTCTCAAAAATCGTACAATTTTTTGCAAGAAAGCTTCAAAATCCCTCCAAAAATCAAACTCACTCCCTGTCCCTCTCGAATCGCAGCCAACGCTGCGGCAGTTTGTTGTCCCTGCGCGGCTCCAATCGTTCCAGCTCTTCCAGACACCGGTTGCGTCATACTTTCCCGCGTATGATCTCTGGAAAAAATTAATTTTCAGATAAATTTTATTGCTCAAAAAAAGAAAAGTTCCTGGGGGCCCTTGAGCATGTTTGCCTAGAACTTAGCCTAAGTCTAACCCTAAGGCCTTATAAAAAACACCCTAAACTCGCAAGAATTTTGCACATCAGGAAAAAAAACACATAGAGAAAAAATAGAAGCCAAACCCATGCCTTTGCCGTTGCGACGCATAAATCGGCGGCAATTCGCGTCGTCGTCGCATCGCAAAATTCGAAGAAGTCGCCGATGACGTGGATGTCGCTGATGGTCTAGATTTTGACAAATTATCACACAAGAAAAAATTCAAGAAAAATAGTAGAAAGAGAAAAATCATGCGCTTGCGTGTGTGGCAAACATGCTCAGTGTGCAGATCATAGATTTGGCGCCAAATTCAAAAACCCCCTGTGTACCTTTGATTCATCGACATTGAATGGTGCAATTGGGTGGAATTTCGAGGAGCCGTCGAATTTTGGCGAGCCGACGAGCTTCCCGATGATAAATTGTTGTGTGGTCCCGAAACTTGGCTGCTACTGCAATCAATGAAAAACACACTACAGAGGCTACAGAGAGAGAGAGAAGTGATTGAGAACATTTTTTGGTGGTTTGGTGAATGGGGGAAAATTGCAGTGAGGACAAGACAAAGGACAAGGAAAATTTTGAAAAAAAAAATTAAAATTTTTTTGAGCACATTGAGCATTTTGGATTTTTTTCAGATTTTTTTCTGAAAATTCAAAGAGATCACTCGAAAACAACCATCATTTTTTGAAATCCATTCCCATTATAAGAAAATTTTGAAACAGTAATTTTTTTTTCAGAAAAATTCTGATTTGCTCATTCAAAATGTGATTTTTAGATTATTTTCAGACAAAATTTCAAGAATTTATTTTTTCAATTGAATTTTAGCCGTGTGGGAACCCTATTTGCATCATTTTTATATTGCTTAATTTCTAGATGAACAAAATTTGAAACAGTACATTTTTTTCGAAGAAAAATCACAAATTCCCAGTTTTTTCTACACTTTTTGTGGTTCAAAAACTAAATTTTCCAACAAAAACTGAAATTTTCAGGTTTCTAATTTGGAAAATGTAATTTTCATCAAACTTTTTGAATTAAAATTATGTATGTAACTGTGATGTAGTACCTTAACTATCAAAATTAAAACTAATCCCAAATTATAAATTTTTTGAAACAGTGATTTTTTTCGGGGAAAAAAATTCTGGATATTCCTGTTTTTTTGGCTCAAAACTCTTGTTTTCAACACAAAGCTGAAATTTCAGAAGAATTGTCTGGAAAATCTCGAGGTTTTTAATTTGATAATTAATTTCTCGAAATTCCCGGATTATAAATGATTCCGTAAAAAAAAAAATCAAAAATATAAAATGTTTGAAACAGTAGATTTTTTTTGAGATAAAAATTCCTGAAAATACATTTTTCAAAAAAACTGAAATTTTCAGGTTTCTAATTAGAAATTTAAAGTTTTAACTGGATAAAACATTACTTGTAAAACCCATTAAAAAATATAAAATTCTTGAAACAGTAGATTTTTTGCTCAAAAAAAAACCCAGCTCAAAATGCTCAAAACTTCTCCCAAAAAAACTCCCGCAAAATTCATCCATTCCAAAAATAAGGTATTAAAAACACGCAGTTATTCATACAAGTTAGGTTAAATCAGAAGAAAAAATAAAGATTATATTATCACACAAGTTAGTAAAATTCTACATATTTTAGGTAAAAAAATAAGGTGTTTAGGTCATTTTTGAGACCTTCTAGGTTTCAAAGGAATCAGGGTGTTCTAGGTGTGAAATCAAATCAAAAATCAAAAACGATGAACCAACCGTCTTGTCAATTTGCTCAATTTGCTCCAAATTCCCTCGTTATTATTCGATTGTCCTTGTGATGTATTTGCCGGTTGACCGCCGATTGAAATATTTCCCGCAAGTTCGCCAGAACCATCGAGATCTTCACCTCCCTGGAGAAAAAAAAACATTGATAAAAATTTTTTGAATAAAATTGAGAAGCCTGCTAAAGGTTACTGTAACTGAGCCTAAAGTTACAGTATTCAAGTAGTTATGACGTGGCAAAATTACTGTAGTTTTAGATGTTTTCACGAAATTACTGTACGGGATTATTACAGTAGTGCGATTCTTGAAATTGTATTTTTTTCAAATAAGTTATGACGTGGCAAAGGTTACTGTAATTCTCAATTTTTCAGGCATATTTATAATCAGTTTATTGAGTTACAGTATCCTAATTACGGCGTGGCTAAAGGTTACTGTAATTCTCAAAAATACAAGGGATTACTGTAGACTAGCTTTGGAATACGGTATTTCTACTCTAGTTATGACGTGGCAACATTTCTTTGAAATAATCCAAATTTTTAAAAACTACAGTAACCAGCTAAAAATCCACTCAAGACCCAAAAACTGATCTACAGTAGCCCAAAAAAATTGATTTTTTCAGAACTAAGTTCGGAGTAGTTTTCAATAAGAAGACTACACTCTAGTCACTACAGTACCCCCTCAAAAATCATCTCAAGACCCAGTAAATTTATCTACAGTACTTATCTACAGGACCCTGAATTTTCAAAAACTTATGAAAACAAAGGTATGAAAAAAGCGCACAAAGGAGAGAAAAAAAAAAAGACAATTTACCTTATCTCGTTCAGTTTTTCCATGGAAAGTCTGTCGATTTCGAGTGTTTCGCGGAAAGGCGGCAGATTGTGCGGCAGCAGCTGAAGCTTGCGCTGCGGCTGCAGCTGATGACGCAATTGTAGTTGGCGGAACTTGATAGACGGATGGCGAGACAGAAAATGAGGCTGCGTTATGGGTTAGTGTTGGTTGATTTTGATGTGTTGAAGATGTTGTTGTTGTTGTTGTAGTCGATGGATATTGCTGAAAAACCAAAAAAACGGGCTCAGAGACTAGACTTTTTCAGGAAAAAAACTGGTGAAGAGGAAGGACGTGACAATTTTTTTTGTGTAAAATTTTGTAAATGAACGGATGCATTTATGTGGGAAGATCAAAAATAATAGAAATCTTGAAATCTAAAATGAATTCTTGAAACAGTGAAATTTTATATGAAAAAAATAATTTCCAGAATTTTTTACCCAAAATTGTTTCCCCTTTGATTGAAAATTCAAAAATTAGCTAGATTTCAAATTAAAATTTTGAAACAGTAATTTTTTTTCGGAATTTTGAATAACGGCTATGAAATGAACCATTGAAAATATTGAAAAACTAAATAATTTTACAGAATTTTTGAAACAGTGAAAAATAATTTTTAGAATTTTACACCCACTAATTGAAAATTCAAAAAATATCTAGATTTCAAAATAAAATTTTGAAACAGTGATTTTTTTCTTGAAATTTCAAAGACCAACTATATAACCGTCACATTAAAAATGTTGAAAACCTAAATATTTTCACAGAATTTTTGAAACAGTAAATTTTTTTTGACTTTTATACTGTATAAAATGGAAAAATTGAAAATATGGGAAAATCTAGCTTTTTAGGGCAATTTTAAAACAGTAGATTTTTTATGAATAAAAATTTGTTCTGATTTTAGTTGAATACAAACGAATCAATAATTATTCCGAATCCAAAAAAATTAGTGCAAATTTTGAAACGTACATTTTCGGGGTTCGGAAATTTTTTGTCGTTTATGTAGAACCATACCATTGGAAATTTCAATAAAATACTAATTTTTAAGACAATTTTGAAACAGTGATTTTTTTAGATGAACTTCCATCAAAAATTTCTTTAGATTTTTATAAGCTGATCCACGAAAACTACTAAATTTTAATGATATAAAAACGAAAAAAAGAAAACCAAACGATAGGGAAAAAAGAGAGAAAAACATTCAAAAAATGAAGAAATCAGCCAGGTTTTTTCTTCGAAAAGCGATAGAGGAAAGAAAAACGTACACCAACTAAGAAATTCGTGCAAATTTTCAAAATTCAAATTTTTAATCTGTATATAGGGGTAATTTCTATAAAAAAAAAAAGAAGAGAGGGTAGAAGGGTAGGAGTAAAAAAGGGAAAAATTGAACTGAAAATGTTGTTGCACCCAGGAAAATATATAGTACCACCACCAGAAAACAATGCACCAATTTCTTTTTCGCACCAGGAAAAAAGGCTCTGTTCGGGGAGGGAAATCAAGGGTTTCAGAGAAAATGAACTCAAGGGTCCGAAAAAAAAAATTAAATTTGAGAGTAAAAAATTGCTGTTTCAAATTTCTCTCATATTTTCTGGGATTTGAACATTTTTCATTAAGAAGCAAAACGGAGAAAAAAAATATTATCAAAATTATTTAACAAAAAAAATTGCTGTTTCAAATTTCTATCATAAAATTTCCAAATAATTATGGGGCTATTCAAGTATTTTCTCAACACGCTGAGAAAACAGGAGAAATGCGGAGAAAATTCATTTTCTTCACTTTTTTCGTATTTTCTCAGCCTACCTGAATAGGTTTTCTCCTGTTTTCTCAGCGCTGAGAAAATAACTTGAATAGCCCCATTAGGCTTTTGATTTGATGTTGTTTGAAAAACTGTGAAAATGTTCATCAAAATTTTTTGATGAAAATTTTCACTGTTTCAAAACTTATGTAGAAATTTGAAAAATTGATTCTGATTCGATTGATTTAAAGAAGTTCTTCAGAATTTTCTCAAAATCAATATTGTTTCAAAATCTACAAACTTCGAAAAAAAATTTACTGTTTCAAAATTCAGAATTAAATTTCCAGGAAGAAATTTTCAGTGATAAATCATTAAACATTTTTGTTGAAATTTAATTTTTTAAAAATTATATTCCTGGACCCCCGAAACCATTTTTCTCTTCAAAAACCCCTCGAATTTCCCCAGAGCCAATTTTCCTTGCACACCAAAAAATCCACCAAAAACCAAAAAAGACCAACCTGACTAGAAGCACCCGTAGAAGTCGTCGAAACATTTGCCGCATTATTGATTGTCGCTGATCTCGACATTTGTTGTTGGGGATTGGTGTTGACACGTGGCGAATTGGTTGTGTTTTGTTGTTGTTGTTGTGATTCCGCCAATGTGATTCCTTCCATTGCTTGAATCATTGTCGCTGGTGGCATTGATGGCGATTGGTGGAGGATCATCGACGGCCTAGAAATAATCGAGGTTATTTTGCGGTTTCTATAGATGTTTAGGCCTTTATTGATTTTCAGGCTTGAATTTTCAATTTTTATTGATTTCTCTAGTTTAGTGATTTCACTTCGTAGTTGAATTTTTTTATTCTATTTCTGAATAATTTACAATTTAACAATTTCGCAGAATTTTTGAAAATCATGAAATTTTATTGAAACAGTGAGATTTTTCAACTTTTGTGAAACAGTACTATTTGCTATTTGTGTTCGCGGAAGAATTTTAGATTGCTTACAACAGGGAAACAGAATCAAAACACTGATTCAAAACAATAAATTGAACTTTTCCTTGAAACAGTGAAAAAATTAACTTTCAAATTTATCAATTTTTGATTGAAATTCAACAAATGCGTAAAAAATAATTGCCAGAAACCCGGAAAAATTATGCATTTTCTTTGAAACAGTGAATTTTTTTTCGAATTTTCAGAAAAATAATTACTTTCAGAAAAATTATAAAAACTGGCTAATTTTTAGATGTCAAAAATCCTACTTTAATTTTTATACAATCAAAACAATGATTCAAAACTATAATTCAACTGTTTCTTGAAACAGTGAAAAAATTAACTTTCAAATTCATCAATTTTTATCAAAAAAAAATGCAAAGGCTGGGTAATACTTTCCAGAAACCCGGAAAAATTATGCATTTTCTTTGAAACAGTGATTTTTTCATAACTGTCCTATCTTGATTTTTTTTTCGAATTTTAGATCACTTTCAGAGAAATTATGAAAGCTGGCCAGTCAGGGATCAAAAATTCATACAAACTCCAAAGGAAACTATGAAATGTTTTCATTTTCATTTTCATTTTCAAAATTTAATGATTTTTTATATGGAAAAGTGCAGGACAATAACATCAGAACAATGATTCAAAATTATAATTCAACTTTTTCTTGAAACAGTGAAAAAATATAGAATATAGAATTTATGAATTTTCATCGAGGATTATCATAGCAAAACTACCATATTAGGAATAATTTCCAAAAAACCTTGAAATATTATGCTTTTTCCTTGAAACAGTGAATTTTTCCTTATAAAATTTCTGTGTGAGGAATTTAAAAATCCACTCCGAAATTTCAACCACAAAAAAAATAATTTCAAGCTGAAACAGTGAATTTTTTGAATTTTAATGTTCGGGTTGTAGATTATACATATAACGTAATAAATACCAAAATCCTTGAAAAATCTTGTCTTTTCTTTGAAACAGTGAAATTTTAGTTCTGAAGCCCTCAATTGTCTGGAACGTATGGTAGAAATAATACCTTCAATTAAAAAAAAATAATATTTCAATTTTGCTTGAAACAGTGAAAATATTTGAGTTAAAATTTTAACTTTGGAAAAAACCCCCGGAATTTTTAATTTTCAGCACGAAACTTTCAGAAAACTTCAGAAATTCAACTTTTCTGATTAGACTGAAAATCTGTGCAAATTTTGAACCTAAAATAAAAAAATACTCCCCAAAAACCCAATTTTTTTGCGCGCGCCAAAATAATTTTCGAAAAAAAAAACTCGTGTTGATTGTTACACTGCACACCATTCAAAAGTATCACTACATTCAGGAAAAAAAAAACAAAAAAAATTCACCATTCGAAAACTAATAGTCCTTTTGAAATATGGCGAAATCGTGGAGCTCGTCGAAGATTTTGGTGATTCTGTAGTTGTGGTAGATGGTGTAGTTTGACTTCTCAATCTCAAATTTCCAGCTCCATTTGTCGAAATATAGAGTGCAGCCATTTGTCGATCAATTGTATCCTGATTCGAATTTTCGATAAAATTCGAAGTGGACGGAGTTAGCGGAAGTCCCACAACACAAGTTTGTCTTCTCGCAATTCTTTGAACCGGTTCCGATTTTCTTCCAGATTTCTTTTCCAGAATTTCCAGAGTTTCGGGAGTTCGATTCAAATTCATCATTTGGTCTCGCCACGAGCTAGAGAAAAATAAAAGGACGTGCACAAATCACAGATACACACACAAACAGAAAAAAAAACACAGCACAACCACCCTCGGTCTAAAAAAACAGCACTTTTTTTGAGACCAAAAGTGGTGGCCTTTTTTGTTTTTCGTTGTTGTGTGTTTACAGGAAAAATAGGGGGATTTGGGAGAGGAACTTTGGGAAAAAACGGGAAATACTGAAATTTTCTGGGAAATTTTGAAAATTCAGGAATTTCAGAGCTAAAATTGGATGATTTGGAGTCAAAACTTTGAGAAATTCTTGAAAATTTTAAGATTTTGGCAATTTTTGTTGGTGAAATTCGAAAATTTCAAGGAATTCTGATTTTCTTCAATTTCAAAAACCGGTTTTAAAAATTGAAAAAAAAAATTCAGCTTTTCGAATTTTGTTTGCTAAAAATTCAATGATTTTTTACAAAATTTCGGAAAAATATGTTTTGAGACCTGAAATATTAAAACATAGGTTTTGGGACCAAAAAAATTGGAAAATGTTCAAAAATCATTAATTTCTGGTTAGACAAAAAATTTCTTAAAATTTCAATTTTTCCCGAAAACTCTACGTTTCAAAAATTTCATATGTAACATTTTTTTTTTGAAAAATTTAATGACTAAATAAATCTCTGGAAAAAAATGAAAGAAAAAAATCAACATTTCGAAAAATTTAAAGGAACATAGGTTTTGAGCCGAGAAAAATTTTATTAATTTTTTGGCTCAGATTTTTCCCAAAAACTCCTCCCAAAAAATCTCCCTCAACTAAAAATCATCTACAAAACAACACAAAAATCGATCATACAAAAAAAACAAAATTACTGTAAGAATGGATGAGTACTGTAACAATCAAACACGTTTTTTTTCCAATTTTTGGGCTCAAAAATAGTGATTTTTAAAGACCGCGGGCAAAAAAGAAGAAAGAGGAAGCGTGCAAATTCCAAAAAGTGCAAAAAATACAGTAATCCTACTGTAATTTATCCCCAAAAAAAAGAAAAACTCACTTCTCTTTTGGCGCTTCAGACGATGCTTTTTGCAAATTTTCAGCAGCGTTTTCAGCCAAATTTTCAGAGTCGGCTGGAATTCCGCCAATAATTGGGATTGTCGATGATTCGCTCGATTCATCTTCGTCTTCTTTGATGGCTGGCTCAGTTGGAGCATGTGAGATTTGTGAACCGGATTTCTGGAAAAATTAGGAGATTGGGATCGATTTTTGAGGCATGACGTGGCACAAAATTTTAATGAAATATATATTTTTCGGGTTCATTGAACTGGAGAAGGAACTCCTTTAAAAAATTTCAAATCTAATCAAAAAATTTTGAAACAGTAGATTTTTTCAACAAAAAAAGGTATTTAATAATGATTGCAGGTTCAAAATTCTCCGAATAAAAATTTCTTAAGTTTTTGAAACAGTAGATTTTCCCACAATTTTTGTTTGAATTTTTGAAATTCAGAATCTGAACTATGACGTGGCAATTTTTCATATTTTTTTTAATAATATGGAATTTGCAATAGAAAATCAGGAACCTGTAATCTTATGTTAAAATTTGGAAACAGTGAATTTTTTAGCAATTTTTTTTTGCTAAATCAGAGTTATGACGTGGCAAAATTTCCAAAAAAAATTAATTTATAAATTCAGGGATCCGGGATCGTCATAGCAAGCATCCAACCTAACCAAAATCTAATACAAAAATTTTGAAACAGTGAAAATTTTCCATAAAAAAATATATATGTATGTTTGATAATTTTCAAAATGGTTATGACGTGGCAAATATTCAATTCGACAATTTTTTGATAGGAAATTCCCCGCCCCTTTTTTTAGCAATTTTTTTTTCGTTGAAATTTCGATTTGCAAAGAATTTTGGAATATTTTGAGTTATGACGTGGCAAATTTTTTCAACATAAAATAGTTTTTTGTGACAAATCAGGTTACTTCAATAAGATCCAAACAAACAAGAAAATATTGAAACAGTACATTTTTTCAAAGCAAACATTAGGGCGTTTCAGGGGAATCGAAGCGAACTACTGACTAACCGAAATCTTACACAAACATTTTGAAACAGTGCAAATTTTCCATTGTAAAATTGATTTTTTTTATAAATTTCAAGAGTTATGACGTGGCAAATATTTAATTCGACAATTTTTTGATAGAAAATCCCCCTTTTTTTTAGCAAAAATTTTTTCGTTGAAATTTCGATTTGCAAAGAATTTTGGAATATTTTGAGTTATGACGTGGCAAATTTTTGCAACATAAAATAGTTTTTTGTGACAAATCAGGTTACTTCAATATGATCCAAACAAACAAGAAAATATTGAAACAGTAAATTTTTTCAATGCAAAAATTAGGGTTTTCCGAAATTTATGACAAGTTTGCTAAATCAGAGTTGTGACGTGGCAAAATTTCAATTTTTAAATTTCAAAGTAATGATTCAAAAAATTCAGGATCAAAGCCGACTGACTAACCAAAATCTAATACAAAAATTTTGAAACAGTGAAAATTTTTCATTCAAATTATATATGTTTGATCATTTTCCAAATATTTATGACGTGGCAAATATTCAATTCGACAATTTTCTGATAGAAAATTCCCCGCCTCTTTTCAGCAAAAATTATTTCGTTGAAATTTTGATTTGAAAAGTAAATTGGAATATTTTGAGTTATGACGTGGCAAAATTTCAAAAAAAAATTAATTTATAAAATCAGGCCAGCCGAGAGCGTCATAGCAAGTATCCAACCTAACTAAAATCTAATACAAAAATTTTGAAACAGTGAAAATTTTCCATTAAAAAATTTTAATTTTTGATAATTTTCCAAATAGTTATGACGTGGCAAATATTTAATTAAACAATTTTTGATAGAAAATCCCCCCCCCCCCCTCTTTTTTTAGCAAAAATTTTTTCGTTGAAATTTCGATTTGCAAAGAATTTTGGAATCTTTTGAGTTATGACGTGGCAAATTTTCTCAATATAAAATATTGTTTTGGTGATTAATTGCGAAAATGAATAAGATCCAAACAAACAAGAAAACATTATAGGAAACATTGAAACAGTACATTTTTTCAAAGCAAAAATTAGGAACATACATGGCACTGCTCTCAAAATTGTGAGGGGGAGATCATGACATTTGGAAAAAATTCTCGAGGGGGATCATGACATTACATACAAAAAATCTAAATTTTTATCAAAGTGAAATCGGTACGCTAGAAAAAAATTGGGTTTTTGCATGTGGTCATTTTTGACATATTTTTTCAGGTTCGATAATTTGGAAACTAGTTCTTTAGGAATATCGAATGTAGAGAACGAGCGAAGAATTCGACGGATATCATTCATTGGCTAATTATTCTTATTTCTCATTTTATTTCTAAAATTCTCAATTATATTTTTCTATATCCTTCTAAAATAAAAAATGAGTTTATTGTAGTAAGTTCCTTTCAGAAATTTTCATGCAATTATCATGCTCAACCCTTCTGAACAATTCCATATAAATTATAGACAATGCGTTATTTATTTGATAATCAAATTGAAATCCAAAAATATTGAATTACAAAACAAAAGAAAAAAGTGGATTCCACCGAGAATTCGATCCAAAAACCCTCAGATTATTACGCGCGATCTCTACCGACTTGACCACGAGGCTACTTTCTTTCACACGCTTATTTTTAAGTGATAAAAAAGGGATAGAAGGGGAGAGAAAATGAAAAAGAGAAGGAGAAGCGGAAAAAAATCATGAAATTTTTGAAAAATTACCATTTTTTATCGAATTTCGCCGATTTTGTTATATGTTTCGACTGTATAAGTAACTTAAGGATGGTAGAAAGGAATGTCTGTCGAAATTATCTAGAAGGAAGGCTTATTTCTTGAGATATGATCCCCCCCAAAATGACATAGCAAAACGGCTTCGATTTTGGGGGGGGGGATCATATCTCAAGAAATAAGCCTTCCTTCTAGATAATTTCGACAGACATTCCTTTCTACCATCCTTAAGTTACTTATACAGTCGAAACATATAACAAAATCGGCGAAATTCGATAAAAAATGGTAATTTTTCAAAAATTTCATGATTTTTTTCCGCTTCTCCTTCTCTTTTTCATTTTCTCTCCCCTTCTATCCCTTTTTTATCACTTAAAAATAAGCGTGTGAAAGAAAGTAGCCTCGTGGTCAAGTCGGTAGAGATCGCGCGTAATAATCTGAGGGTTTTTGGATCGAATTCTCGGTGGAATCCACTTTTTTTCTTTTGTTTTGTAATTCAATATTTTTGGATTTCAATTTGATTATCAAATAAATAACGCATTGTCTATAATTTATATGGAATTGTTCAGAAGGGTTGAGCATGATAATTGCATGAAAATTTCTGAAAGGAACTTACTACAATAAACTCATTTTTTATTTTAGAAGGATATAGAAAAATATAATTGAGAATTTTAGAAATAAAATGAGAAATAAGAATAATTAGCCAATGAATGATATCCGTCGAATTCTTCGCTCGTTCTCTACATTCGATATTCCTAAAGAACTAGTTTCCAAATTATCGAACCTGAAAAAATATGTCAAAAATGAAACTCCCCACAGGATGTAATTTACTACCTCAAATCGCTAGACCTCAAAATTTTCATTAATTTTTGGGTAGATCAAAAATCATTTTTCTCTAAATCTCTCATTTTTGCGCTGAATTTCGTCGATTTTAGTCCCACCCCTAAGATCGTGTCAGGTCTCTAAAAATGCGCGATTTTTTTGGGTAGTAAATTACACTCTGTGCCCCTCTCTCTTTGATATTTTTCATTTTTTTCACCATTTATTTTTTCAAATTTTTGACAAAAAAATTGAGGGGGGGATCATGACATTTCAAAATTTCGGGGAGGGGGGGGGGATCATTACATGGAGGGTCCGTTGGGCAAAGATGCCATGTATGATTAGGAATATGACAAGTTTTGCTAAATCAGAGTTATATCGTGGCAAAATTTCCAAAAAAATTAATTCATAGAATCAGGTCACCCGGGATCGTTAAAGCAAGCATCCAACTTAACCAAAATCTAATACAAAAATTTTCAAACAGTGAAAATTTCCCATTGAAAAATATATATTTTTTTGATAATTTTCCAAATAGTTATGACGTGGCAAATATTTAATTCGTTCTCCCCTCCCCAAAAAATACAAAAAAAATCGCGAACCTGAAGTGGCGGTGGATGTTGTTGATTGGAACTTGCGCTATTCGCCGCCGACGGTGTCTTGTTACTAATCAATTTCGACATCATTGTAGACGAAGTCAGCTGATTCATATATTGATCTCTTTGATGATGCGAAGCACTTGTCGGAATTCCTCCCGCACCTGCGGCAGCCGCACCAGTCGCAGTTCGATGTTGTGTGGAAGCAGTCGAGTTGAGAGGCACACGTCCTTTCGGATCCGACACTTTCCGTTGGGCTGCCGCTACCGCAGACGCGGATTGCGGAGTGCTTCCGGAAGTGGAGCTTCGATTGAAGAGCGGTGGAATTTGCGCGAGTTGTGTTCCGGTATTTCCGGCACCCGACGATTTATAGCTGGGCGGTTGGAGGAGCGAAATTGCGGCTTGCCTGCTGGTTGGCTGCGGTCTCATTTGCACTCCGCCGTGACGTGTTCCACTCATCACTACCGTATTCGCCGCATTTGCCGCCGCGTCATTTTGACTGGCTCTTCGTGAAGATGTGGAGCTGGAAGAGTGTTTTTGAGCGTTTGCGGCACTGGCGATTGCTGATCCTGCAGCTGCGCCAGTGGCTGGTGGATTGGCACCATTTGTGGATTGTTGAGCCGAGCGAGAATATCGGGATGGCTGGAAAAAAAATGAGATTCAGAGGATGAATGGGGGATGAAACATAGATATGACAAGACAAAGACAAACACATGCTTCTAGATTTTGATGAATCGCTCATATTAGTCTAAATTCTCATTGCTCAGATTAGCCGAAAAAAATTGAATATTTCTCAATAAAAATTTTTTGAGCTCTAATAGATATTTTGGTCTAAAAAATTCAAATCCTATTTTTTTAAAGTATAACATGAGCAATCTAAGAAAAATTTCAACACACTTTTTAGAAAAGAACTATAACCTGAGCAATGCAAATTCCAGATTTTTCATATTTATGAAAAATCAAAAATTTTCAACATAACCTCTAAATTCCCCATTGCTCATATTACTTAACATTCTAGATAGAATTTCATTTTGAATTTCCAAAAAGTATAATCTTGTAATGGATAGATGACCTCCCAGTCATCCCCATTACCCAGTCCCAATCATAAGTACATCACATTAACGTGTAAGATCTTTATTATACAGAATAATGTTTAGCAACCGATGTTGGTGGTCGCAAGCCAAAGAATGAGGGTCTCCAGAGAGAGGGAGAGACACATGGATGCACACGAGTGTGCACATGTCTCTGCATCTCTAGAAGGCACCACATCCCCCTCCCGATACAAGCCAGCGTCCTCGCGGCTGATATATACCGGGACGGTGATGTCTTAACATAAAACAATATAATCATAAATACAAATCAATCTGATATTATCAAGCAATACATTCAAATCACAAAGTTACACGGATTCTTTGGGGTACTTATGATGGTCTGGGTCTGCCTAGTATCTAGTAAGATGGAATTTTACAATATTATCGGGCGTCTGGGTGGTGGAATAAAAAGAATAAGCAAGTGAAGGAATAACAAGTGAAATACAACTTTAAAAATTTTCAACTATTTAGATGTTTCGTTTTCAATACTAAATCATGGGGAAGAAACGACAAGAAGACCATAATTTGTTTTCTTATTAGGGACAGGAAACCTAATAATAAAACCATTGAAAACGTACTAGGAACAAATAAAAACCGAGAAAAAATTTGCCTAGAAAGATATAACGAACATAACTCAATTTTTTTGAAAATTCTTCTTCCTCTAATTGGTTTCCCTCACCAGCTGCTTCTTCAACCAAGTTCGAAACACATGCAGGCGCTCTTTTGTTCTGCATGTCGGCTCACAAAAATCGATAAAGAAGTTGTTGAAGACGAAAAGTGCAAGTCTTCGAAATATTTCGAAATACTCGGATTTTTCCAGACGATAATAAATAAAAATACTAGACAGATAACAGTAGTCGAATGTGTGTAGCGGTATAGAATGGTTAGCTCTCGACCGCGGAATAGTTCGCGAAATTTCTGGGGCTATTGGTGTTATGGGAGACCCCAGAAAATTTCTTCAAACGGTCGGAACCTCCATGTAATGGATAGATGACCTCCCAGTCATCCCCATTACCCAGTCCCAATCATAAGTACATCACATTAACGTGTAAGATCTTTATTATACAGAATAATGTTTAGCAACCGATGTTGGTGGTCGCAAGCCAAAGAATGAGGGTCTCCAGAGAGAGGGAGAGACACATGGATGCACACGAGTGTGCACATGTCTCTGCATCTCTAGAAGGCACCACAATCTGAGCAATCCTTATTTTTCCATAGAAAATTCGAAATAAAATTGTGGCTCAAAATTAAGGCCATGAGATCTTTCAGCTAAATTTTCATTCGAAAAAATTGTTCAAAAAAGTATAATCTGAGCAATCATAATTTCTCCATTGCTCAGATGAGTCTAGAAAACTCGAGAAAAATTGGTTTTTAGAAATCTAGGCTTACTCAAATTGCTCATACACTGCTTTACTCAAATTGCCTACTATAACATGAGCAATCTTCATTTCCTATTGCTCATATTGAAAATCTCAAAAATACAATTACTGGACCATTTTTCTAGATCAAAATCCCTATCAAAACCTAGAATTAGGGCTAAATCCAGGTCAGACTTTCAAAATTCCAATTTTTCACAACAAAATCACATCACATCACCACACAATATAACTCATGCCTAATTTTCTCTATCTAGAATTCTAGATCTACAAATATATGCATCATACACAACTCACAGATCCACTAACATGTTCTCTGGTTATAACACCAGCTGGATGTTGTCCAAGTGCCGACGAAACATTTATTGATGAGTGTGTGATCAGCGATTGTGCCATTGTTATTTCATTTGCATCCATCTGAGAGAGAGAGAGGAGGTGAAGGATGAGAGAGGTTAGATCAGAATTTTTTGTGTTTTTTTTCGGAATTCAAAAAATTTTGAGTTGAGTTAGGATAAAAACTTCAAAAAATTCAAAAACAAAATATTTTTTGTGGGTAAAAAAAATGGATTTTTCATGCCAAAAATATTCAAATTTCCGCTCAAATTTTGGCGCCAAAACTTTTTTGAATGTTTCTTGTTAATTCTCTCTCAAACATGCAACATACAAATTTTTCCCCCGAAAAAACTCACATCCGATTTTCTTTCTCCTAACAATAAATACGTGGCATGGATATCCTCAAACTTTTCCTTTTCAACACTTTCCAATATTTGTTGTTTGTTGAAACCGAGTTGAAAGATTTGAATGAGTTTTTCGATTCGCGAATCGTCAATTTGATCTTTTGGCGGTTCGACGTATGGTTTCAATTCGTCTTCTTCGTAGCCAACGTTCATCCATCTGAAGATGAAAACATTATGAAAATTGATTGCGATACATTCGAAACAGAATGTTCGATTATTTCACCAGAATAGTTTACAGAAAATTTGAAACAGTGATTTTTTTGAGGCGAAGAAATTATAGATTCCAATTGTTTTTTTTGAACTTCAGAATACTTTTTAAATGAGATTTTAGGTTCAAATTTTCGTGTCATTTTCTCAAACCAATTCAAGTATGAACGTTATAATATCGAAATCCGAATCAGAATTATTCAAGAAAATCTTGAAACAGTATTTTTTTCGAATGTTAACATTTATTTTTTTGTGGAAAATTTTTGTCGGGAATTATTTGAACTTCAATTCCAAAATTTTACTGTTTCAAATTTTTCTTGAATTCTTTTTTTTAGTTTTTTTCGTATTGATAAATTCGTCTTTGGAGAAAAAAAGTTTTTTTTTTTTAGAATTATTGAACCTTCAAATTCACATCAAAAACTAAACAAGATTTCAAGAAAAATTTGAAACAGTGAAATTTTTAGGAAATGAAATAAAAATTAATTATGAGTCAATTTTTTGTGGTAAAAACTATAGTGTAAAATTCAGAATTTCGGGTCAAATTTCAGGTTGAAAATTCAATTTTTCTACAATTTTCTGAAAATTCAGAGATTTTGATTAGATTTTTTTTTGATTTTGATTAGACAGCGCGTATGTAGCAGGAGCGTTGAAAAAACCAATCAACAATTTTAAAAAAATCTTGAAACAGTAAATTTTTATAATTGAAAAAAAAATAATTTAGGAATTGATTTTTGTGCATAAATTAAAGTGAAAATTCGGAGCGATTTTCATTCAATTTTTCAGGTTAAAAATTCTTTTTTTTTTCAATTTTTCATTTATTTTCTGATGAAAATTTTGCATAATTTTTAGCCGCCGGAAAATTTTTCAAGCTAAATTTTTTTCCCAAAAAAAACTCACCGATCCTTCATAATCACATCCAACGCACTTCTCCGTTGCGGATTGATCACCAAAAACTTCTTCAGCAAATTCTCGCAATCCGTCGACATATAGAATGGAATACGGTATTTTCCGCGCAAGACCCGCTCGCGCAACTCTTTCAAATTCTGTCCATCAAACGGCAAACTACCCGACACCAATGTATACAGAATTACACCCAAACTCCACACATCCACTTCGGGACCATCGTATTTTTTGCCGGAAAATAGTTCGGGAGCGGCGTATGGTGGAGAACCGCAAAATGTGTCGAGTTTGAGACCGGGTGAAAATGTGTTGGAAAATCCGAAATCGGCAATTTTGATATTCATATCTTGATCGAGGAGCAGATTTTCAGCTTTCAAATCACTGGAAAAATCGAATTATTTTTTGAAACAGTAAATTTTCACAGTTGGAAATGTGGTACTATTGAAAAATCAGAATTTCTCGAGAATTTTCATGAAAATTTGAAACAGTGAACTTTTTCAAGAAATTCAAATTTTCTAGTTTTAAAATCAATTTTCCAGCAATTTCAGACTAAACATAAGAATTTTCAAAATTTGTTCAATAATTTTTTGGTTAACTGCTAAATCTATTGGAATTTCTAATCTCTCCAAATTTTTCATATGTTTTTGAAACAGTGAATTTTCATAATTGAAAAATACAGTTTATTGAGAATTCTTGGGAAAAAGATAACTAGAAATTACGATTCTCTCAAAAATATTAATAATTTTTTGAAACAGTAAATTTAATGAGGCAAAAATGTCGCACCTATTGAAAAATCAAAGTCTCTTGAGAATTTTCATAAATATTTGAAACAGTGAATTTTTCAAGAAATTCAAATTTTCTAGTTTTCGAATCAATTTTCCAGCAACTTCAGACTAATCATAAAATTTTCAAAATTTGTTCAATAATTGTTTGGTTAACTGCTAAATCTATTGGAATTTCTAATCTCTCCAAATTTTTCATTTTTTTTTTGAAACAGTGAATTTTCATAATTGAAAAATACAGTTTATTGAGAATTTTTGGGAAAAGAAATAACTAAATAGAAATTACAATTCTCTCAAAAATATTGATGATTTTTTTGAAACAGTAAACTTTCTCATTTGAAAATGTCGTACCTATTGAAAAATCAAATTATCTCGAGAATTTTCATGAATATTTGAAACAGTGAACTTTTTCAAGAAATTCAAATTTTCTAGTTTTCAAATCAATTTTCCAGCTATTGGAATTTTTAAATCTCTCCAAATTTTTCATATTTTTTTGAAACAGTGAATTTTCATAACTGAAAAATACTGTTTATTGAGAATTATTGGGAAAAAAATAACTAGAAATTACGATTCTCTCAAAAATATTTATATTGTTTTGAAACAGTAAATTTTATGAGGAAAAAATCTCGTACCTATTGAAAAATCAAAATCTTTCGAGAATTTTCATAAATATTTGAAACAGTGAACTTTTTCAAGAAATTCAAATTTTTTAAAATCAATTTTCCATTTTTGTTCAACAATTATTCTATTGGAATATCTAAATCTCTCCAAGTTTTTCATATGTTTTTGAAACAGTGAATTTTCATAACTGAAAAATACATTTTATTGAGCATATATGGAAAAAGACATTACTAGAAATTACGATTTTCTCAAAAATATTATTAATTTTTTGAAACAGTCATTTTTTTTTTGATTTTGGAAAAAATTGAACCTTTTAGAAACGAATCATCGCTTATTAATAATTCGCTCAAAAATTCGAAAATTCTTTGAAACAGTAGCTTTTCAGAACGAAAAATAGTGATTTTTTTTTAAAAATAGATTCAACTAAACAATTAAAAAATTCCATCAAAAAATTTGATAATTTTTTGAAACAGTGAAAAAAAAACTCACCGATGAATGATATTTTTCGAGTGCAAATATTGTACAGCAGACACAATTTGTCGAAATTTCGCTCTCGCTTCTTTCTCTTTCATTCGACCATGTGCTACCAGATAATCGAATACCTGGAAAATAATTAGGGTAAGTAATTGGGTCTTGATTTTTTAAAATATCTATTTCATTTTTCATTACTCAACCAATACTCAGCGTTCCCATTTATAATTTCATCTAATTCAGTTGTTTTTGAAACAGTGAAATATTGGCGGAAAAGATCAATTTCAAAAACCCCACATTTTTCATTCAATTTTCCATGAAACAGTAAACTTTTCATCAGTGATGGAAAATCAAAATTTCAAATAATTTCCTGGGTTCATAAAATTCTTGAAACAGTAAACAATTTTCAAATCTTGAAAATACAAAATTTGTATTGAAAAATTCAAAAATTTGCAGAGTAAATTAAGAATCTGATCAATTTAAATTAGAGATCAAAACATCCATCGTTTTCCAAAAAAAATACAGGAAAATATAACATTTTTGAAACAGTATTAAATTCTTGAATTAAAAAAATGTATTTTTTGGTGAAAAGAAAACAAAAGTTTTCAAATTCAGATTTTTGAAACAGTGAAACTGTATCTTGCAGGTTAAATTATATTGAATGTTCCCTGCGGACTCAAGCAAATGATCAATCTCAAAAACCCCACATTTTCATTCAATTTTAATTGAAACAGTAAATTTTTCAAATATGTTCTCTAGCATAATTAATTGTTTGAAACAGTGAACAATTTTTAAATCTTGAAAATACGAAATTTGTGCTGAAAAATTTAAATTTAAAAATTTTTCAGAGTGAAGTAAGATTCTGATCATTTTTAATGCGAGAATAACACTAATCGTTTCACCAAAAAAAATTCAAACAAATATTAAATTTTTGAAACGTAAAAAATCGAGGAGAAACATTTTTGCAATAGGAAACGTGCAACGTGGCAAATTTCTCTGGTTTTAAATTTCTGAGAGCAAAAATATATTTTCATGCTAAAACATTGAAAATGTTTCCAGGGTAACATTTTTTTTCGAATTTTACACATGTAAAAATGCCACGTGGCAAATTTTAATCGAATTTTCAGATAAACAAATGCCAGATTTCTTCAGTTTCAAATTTTTATGCTTTTTAGGTTTTCGAAATTCTTCCCCAAAATTCATGGCTCACCTCTCCTCCACTCGCATACTCCAAAACCAAATACAACGTTTGTTCAGTTTCCATAACTTGATACAATTTGACAATATTCGGATGATCCAATTGTTTCATAATCTTCACTTCTCTAAACAACTTTTGCAAACTCGATGGATTCAGGGCAGTTTTATCAATAATTTTGATAGCAACTTCTTGTCCGGTTATCACGTGTTTTGCCAATTTCACTTTGGCAAAATTGCCTTTTCCAATCGTTTTCATCAATTTATATTTGCCAACGTGGACATCTTCGGGTTGGCGGCGAGCCGCCGAACGACTTGATGAACCCATTCCGGCTTGTGAACGAGAATGTGATGATGAGCTGGAAAAAAGGGGGTTGGGGGAGGATTTTTTGATGGGAAACCCTTGGAAAAAATCCCGTAATTCCAGATTTTCTGGCTGAAAGTTCAGTTTTTTCTTAAAATTTCCAGCCCAAAAACTTATAAAATAGTAATATTTTCTCAAATTTTCAGTACAAAACTGATAATTTTTCGAGCTTCTTGATAATTTCCCAAACAAAAACACTGATAATAAATGTTCAAAAATCACTTTTTCAATTCAAAAAATCGAGATTTCGATCAATTTACCAATAAGAAAACCTCAGAACTTCAAATCCTCTCAAATTTCTCAAAAAAGATCTAAAATTCTCAACTTTTCCAGGAAAAGAAGAAAAAAGAGAGAAGAACGACACATACATACAAGTAACCTAATTAGACAACATTTTATTCTCCGTGTTTTGGTTCATTCAAAGTTTCCGAGAAAGAGAAATCTCTAAACTTTCAAGGATTCTCAAAAGTTCTAATTAGATGAACTTCTCGAGGAAAAAAGAAACATTTTTCCACGTCATAGAAATTTTTGGTTGAAAATAAACAAAAAATTAAATGTTTCCAGGAAAACAATTGGAATTCCATGAAAGTTTCTTCAATTACAATAGGTTTTGGGGTTAAATTCAAGAGTCTCAAAAATCCGCTTCCGGGGCCAAAACTCTATCAAAATACCTAATTTTCTACCCAAAATCTCTCAAAAAACCTCCCAAATTCCCAATTTCCCACCCACAAAAACCAACTTTTCACTTTTCCTCCTAATTCCTCCACTTCTTCTGCTTCTCACATTTCTATATCTACTATTATTATTATTTCTAGTCACAATTTCAGTCGTCACAATTTGTTGCAACTCAGATTTCGGTGCACCACAAAAAATCGCCGAAATCGCATTTAGCATCGAAAAGATTTTTCCGCAGCGAAAAAAATGAGGAAAATGAATTGGGAAAATGTGTATGTGTGTGTGTTTATTTGACGACCAAAATTAATTTAAATTTTTTTTCAGCTTGCTTGCAATTTCTCTCACAAAACAACATTTTGGCACTTTTTTCGAGAACAAATATTGTTTAGAGAAAAAGAAGAAGGAAGAAGGAAGGAAGCAAAGTTTTCGAGGAAATTGATCGAAATTTGGCCAATTTTTTCGAGATTTACTAGAAAACACAAATTTTCTGATTTTTCAAGATTTTGGGCACATTGCTTATTTTAACGATGTTTTTAATTTTTGAGCAAACACTAAAAAGCATTGCTCATATTAACTACAAAACTCAGAATCCAACTTATTGATTAATATGAGCAATCCTTATTTCAATAATTTTGCTCATGTTGAAATTGTCCAAGATTTCGAGCTCCAAAATCTGGATCCCAAAATCAAGTTGCACACGATTGCTCATGTTAGAGTGTTTCAATCAAAAACCTTGTGAATTTTCAGCCAAAACTATCAATTTCTCAAAATTCAGAGCATCTCAAGTGATTGCTCAGATTAACTTCTCGATTTCCAATTCCCTAGCATTGCTTATGTTAACCAAAACGTTCCTAACCAGTTCCCGCACCTCAAAAAAGTCGACACAGTAAAAGGTATCAAATTTCACTTAACTCAAGTGAAAAAGGTCTAGATTCTCCTCCTCATTCATATATAAAATGTTTGTCTAGGCAAACAACACAAACTTCCCAAAAAGAACAAGAACAAGTAAAAGGCAGTGACGACGGAGAAAAAAGTGGCTGCTAAAAATCAAAAACCTCTACGCTTCGAGACCCAAATTAAAGGCAATTAGAGGCACTTTTTATAGAAAAAACAAACAAAAACACTTTAGAACTACACAATTTCCCTCTAAAATCAAAAAACATAAATAAAACGACCAGTTTTTTTTCCTAGAAAGTTGCAGGAAAAAAACATTGAGAAATTGGCCACTTGGGGGCGACAAAATGACACAAAAAAAAGAGTGTTCTGTTTTGTGTCAAAAAAAAGTTCAAATTTTTTTGTGCGCGCGCTGGGAAAATCGATGAATCATTCGCATTTTTTCCCAGACAATTTTATTGATTTTTTTGTGGATTGATGAATCATTGTTCTCCAAGAGAACTACACGATGAAAAAATATATGGTGATAAAAATGAAAAAAATATCAAAATTTTCAAAAAACAAGATAAATAATTCACGTTCCGAGAGGGAAAAACTTGTCCAAAAGAACTACACAATTCGTGCAGGAGGATAAGAAGAAAACAGCTGATAGCTGGGAAAACGATCAGAAATCTTGTGGGAGAAGCTGGATATTCTCCTCGAGAACTACACAAGAAAGCCCGAAAATTCAGGGAAAATCAAAAAATCTTTCAAAATTGATGGAATTTAACCGGAAAAAATTCGTAGGCTAGAAAAATCGGAGTCGGAAACTAACAGAAACCCCAAAATATCCCTAAAAATCAAAAAATCATTCGAAAAATCTAATTAGACCGGAAAAATGTAGCCAAACAGCTGGATGGGCTGAAAAATCGTCCAAAACATATCCGAGAGCCCAAAAACCATCAGGAAAATTGGATCCTCCTCGAGAACTACAAAATTCAAGGGTCAAACTACAATGTTCCAAAAAGTCACTAAAAAATCCGACAGAGTTCAAAATTTGTGAGAAACTATTAGGAAATATTTCAGGTAAGTTCTCGAAAAATTGTCCAAAAGAACTACACAGAAAAAGCTTCTAGAGTCAAAAAAATCCAAAATTCTCCAAAAGAACTACACGAAAAAATGAGTCATACCTCTGCCCATCGCAAAAATCCCTAGATGTTTCCGCATAGATGGTATGCCTGTGATTCGTCGACTTCAAATCCAAAGCGAAAGCATACGATTTTTTGAACGTCATAACAGTCAAACAGAAATGAATAAAAGCAAAAAGGTACACACACAAAATGTTCTCCTTGAGGGATGACTAATATGCGATACCACACACTCTGCTTCTCTAGACTCTCTCTCAGCTCCAACACACTATCTCATCGTCCCTTATTATTATTGTTATAATAATAATAATAATAAAATGTAGTAGTGGTATATAACAAAAGAGGGAGCGGGGAGCGAAATTAGGAGGAGGCCAGAGAGAGAGAGAGAGAGAGAGAGAGAGAGAGAGAGAGAGAGAGAGAGAGAGAGAGAGAGAGAGAGAGAAATCGGAATGGAAAATTAATATACCAGGTAGCAGCCAGCGGGCGAATGGTAAATATTGGGAGGGAGAAAATTGGCCTCCTGGTAAATTACTGTTTTATGAGAATGTGTCTGATTCATTCATTGACGAGACAAAAAAACGGATTATTTTCCATTTTCGGAGGAGAGGAAATGACAGGTGCACTGCCTCCCCAAATCTACGTGTGTGTGGAAAAACGAAAAATGTCTGGCACGCTCTCGCAAACACACACTCTCTCGCACACAACTTTTTACTTTTATTTCGCGAAAACAGTGCATATTAGGAGCTGATTTTTATGTGTTTTTCATCGGAACCACAATATGTGTTATACATAGTTCGAAAGAGAATTTCTTCGGCTACAAACACATATGAAATGTTATAAATGAAACCGAGATAAAAAAATAAAAATTTCATGCAAACATGACATGGTTTTTTTGAATTGTGTGAAAAACGCATGTGTTTTTTGATGACCTGGCTTATTTTTTGAATATCGAATATATGTATAATCGAGTCGTAGTTTTGTTCAGAATCTCAAGGGCTTTCAGATGATGTAAATCAATATTTATGAAATTGTGAAATCATGGAGGAGTAGGGATTTTTCGTTTGTCAATTTTTAAAACGAAATTTTCATTTTAATTTGAAAGGAACTCGAATGAAGTTTACATACGTTTTGAAGAGAATTTCTCGGGCTTCAAAATCATATATATTTCTATACACAAAAATGGAAATTGGAAGCACCGCTTTCGGTTGAAAACTCACCGCTGTTTTTCGCAACGCCACTGAACGCGGTTTGTTTGTTTGGTGCAAACCCAACGAGTTTTCAACCGAAAGCGGTGCTTCCAATTTCCATTTTTGTGTATAGAAATATATATGATTTTGAAGCCCGAGAAATTCTCTTCAAAACGTATGTAAACTTCATTCGAGTTCCTTTCAAATTAAAATGAAAATTTCGTTTTAAAAATTGACAAACGAAAAATCCCTACTCCTCCATGATTTCACAATTTCATAAATATTGATTTACATCATCTGAAAGCCCTTGAGATTCTGAACAAAACTACGACTCGATTATACATATATTCGATATTCAAAAAATAAGCCAGGTCATCAAAAAACACATGCGTTTTTCACACAATTCAAAAAAACCATGTCATGTTTGCATGAAATTTTAATTTTTTATCTCGGTTTCATTTATAACATTTCATATGTGTTTGTAGCCGAAGAAATTATCTTTCGAACTATGTATAACACATATTGTGGTTCCGATGAAAAACACATAAAAATCAGCTCCTAATATGCACTGTTTTCGCGAAATAAAAGTAAAAAGTTGTGTGCGAGAGAGTGTGTGTTTGCGAGAGCGTGCCAGACATTTTTCGTTTTTCCACACACACGTAAATTTGGGGAGGCAGTGAGGTGGAAAATTGGAAATGTATATAATTTTATACATACATAAATCACGACGGTTTGAACCTTTTTTGAGGTTTGGAAAAAAAACTGCAAAAGAGATTTCCGAAAAACATTTTAATCCTGCTCCAAGATTTTTTGATAAACATTTTTATCCTCAAAAATTGTTTGATCTTTTGGAATTTTCAGGGATTTCAAGGATTTACTCATGAAAAAAATGACGTGGCAATTTAATTTCAAAACCTAATTTCAAGATCAAAAATTCCAGCAAAAAATAATATTTCTCAGATTTTAGCCACGTCATAGAAATTTTCAGAGAGAATTTTCAATATGAGCAATGCTTCAAATCAAAATTTCAGGGCTAAAAAATCCCGAAAAACCCAAATTTCTACGTGGAAAATCACTGCAAAATTGTGGTGCAAAATTCACATTTTCAGGGCTCGAAAAAAGCTTCAGGCTCCAAAAATCAGTCAATTTTTCCGCACAAAAAGCTCCCCGAGCTCAAAAAATCGATAAAAATTCAAATTTTCCTCAAAAAATCAAACTCACTCGGGCGGTTTCCACATAAACTTCATCACTTCTCGAATAACCAAACCGCGCGGCAGTTTTGCTCAAAAAGATTCTCCAAAAAAAGTAGGAGAAAAGTTCGTTTTTCTGTTTTTTTGAGGGGGGAAAAATCAGAGATGCTCCTCGGAGCCAACAGAGATAATTTACATCTACAGCCGGGTTCTTCTGGAAAATCGATATTTTTTGGAGGGTGGTTTTTGGCGCCACGAACACAAAAAAGAGCAACGAACGGAAGAAGAAGAGCCGGAAGATAAAGGAAAACCAAAAAAAACAAATAAAATGAAATCTGGAGCAATTTTGGGGTAAAATTCACGAATTTTTCATCAATCTTTGAGCTTGCTCATGTTAAGGCTCAAAATCTGATGAAAAATCGCATTTTCATAAGAAAAAAGCCAAAAAATATCCGGAAAAAGTACACAAAGTGTCAAAAATCTTGTTTGACTCATCTTTTCGAGAGGAAAACTAGTGAAAAAGCGAGGCGAGATATAATTGGCTCATGAGAGATTCTGAGAAATCAACAAATTCGCACAAATTGTACATATATAGAAAAGGGAAGAGATGAGATGAGCTAACTTTTCTCGGAGCAAAAAAAAAGATGGAGAGCTCTCTCAATTTGCATAATTTATCTTGTAATGTTCCTTTAAAAACCGTAATTTTCTCGGGGAAAAGAACATGTTTTTCTGATGAAAAATGATGAATATGTGCACTTTTCAATGAAAAATTGATATTTTCCAGCCGAAAAATCGGTGAAAAATATAATATTTTTTGGGTAAAAATGAACGAAAACAAACAAAAAGTATTTAGCCTTCTCCTCTTTTTTGCGACCACAAATTGATTCGAAAAACAAATATATTTTCATATTTATAACTAACTACTATTTTTACTACTATTACTTTTTTTTTGAATAAAAAAAGTGAAAATTTTTTGGTTGAGCGAAAAAACAAGGACGTAAAAATTTGTAATTTAAGCCTTGGCTGGAAAAAAGTTTTTGCAGGAGAGAGAAAAATGAAAAACAAATTGAAAAAAGTTTGTTTCGAGAAAAAATTGGGTCTCGGAGCGAAAAATCTCGAATTTTTCGAGTCAAGAACGGAGAAATGAAATTTTATGGGTTTTCTTTTATGAAATTTTGGTCTTGGAGCAAAAAATAGTCTCCTAGGTCCTATTTTTCGTTGTGAGACCAAAAAAAATTAAATTATAGGGTCTCACAACGAAAATTAGGTTCAAAGCCCCAGAAAATCGATAATTCTCAGTATTTTTTGGGTCTCGTCACGAAAAAATCATTTTTAGACCCACGAAACCACGAAAACACACCAATATTTCTAAGATCACATGAAAATCACAAAATTTCACCAAAAATCAATAAATCTCCTCACTTCCAATGAAAAATCAAACATTTTCATCACAATTTCAAAAATCAAATAATTTTCCCACAACAAAATGTTTATAAACATTTCCCAGACCATCGATTTTCCCACTTTTAATATTTTTTTTTCGGAAAAAATCAATAATTTCTCCCCAAAAAACTAACCTTCCACCAGTTCGACTACTTCCGCCACTAGTTCCATGCGCCGATGTCGAATATCTTCCGGAAGATGGTGCGGAAGGTGCGGCGGCTTGCGTTTGTTGCGTAGTCGCAGTGGTTGTTGCGCTTGCCCCATTCATTTCTCGTCCGGATGTTGTTGATGGGCGCTGAAAGAATTGTCTGTGTTTTGTCGATTTTCTATGTGAAAATCGGTTACTTTTGATGTTTTGATGGTTGACGATGATGGTTTCTTAGCTTCTCTCGATGCGGTTGAAGAATTTTCCTGGAAAATTTCACCATTTTCTCTAGAAAATTCCCTGCGAAAACCCCGAAAAAAAAAGAAATGAAAAAATTTGTCATGCGGCCTAGGAACCGTTTGGTTTTCTAGGCCACGTTGGCGGGGGAATTTCGAAAAATCAACCAACCTTTTCTGTTTTACTGCTGCTCTTGGATTGCACGTCAGGTGTATTCACATGCTCCTGAAAGAAAACACAATTATTGATTGATTATTATATTATATTGTCTCAAGAGCCCAACAAAATCGATAAGTGGAGCTTATCATTGAAAAATAAAATGAAAAGTGAATGAGGCAAAACCAAGCTAGAGTGTATGGGTTTTGAGGAGAGTTTAGAGATAAAATAAGAGTATTTGACAACTGTTCACCTCCCACTTTAACAACAAAGAGAACTCTGTTTGTTGTTGATGTGAATCGAAATGTTATTTGTTTTTTTTTTTTGCGGGTGGAAAAAACAGGATGAAGCAAGTGCGCTCCATTGCAAAAAGACTGGTTTTTTGCGTGTTTTTGCACTTTTTATATATTAGAAAATGGATAGAATAGAATTGAAAAGTACAGAAAAATGAATCATTTTATATTTCTGTGATCAAAAATGAAGTGAGAGAGAGAAAATGGGAGAAGAGAGGGAAAAGAAAGAGAGAGAGAGAGAAATTTGGAATGAGATCAAAAATTAGATTTTTGGCGGGATTTTTGAGGTCTAGAAATATTGGGGTTAGTTATGACGTGGAATTTTGACGCGTTGAAAAAATTTGAAAAAAATTTCAGCCTCCGAAAAAAAAACATCTCTTATCATCTCAATCAAAAAATCTCAAGGGAGGTTTCTCCCCAAAAAAAAATCGATAATTTTATTTTCAAAAAAAAAAAAACGAACAAGAAAACTTGGTGCGGCTGCGTTTTGACCCTGGGAAAAATCAAATCGCGCGACAAAAAAAAAGAAGAAAGATATTTACATTATACATAGAAATGTCTGGCGCGCTCTCCTCAAATCACGCACTATTTTCCGGCACAGAAAATGTTGGCGGTCAGGAGAAGAACGCGCCCGCGCGCTCTCTCTTCTCTTTTCATTATTATATTAGGAAAATCAAAAAAATAAAAATAATATTATGTACAGTGAGTGAGTGAGTGTATGACAGTTTTCGGGTGAATGCGGAGAAAAATGAGAGAGAGAGAGAATTCTAGTTTTGTTGCGGAACACTTTTCAATCGATAATTATTGTGTCTTTGAAAAGCGACAAGCAAAAAGTACTTGAGAGAAAGAACACGAAATGAATCTATTTTTAGCATGTTCCTTTGAGGTACTGTAGATCAATTGACAGTTATGTTCCTTTAAAACGAGTAAGAGAACTGTGGCTCTGAATTTTAATATTGAAGTATGGGTTGAGGATAGCTATGCTCCTTTAAATCTAGAAAGGTTACTGTAGATCAAAATCCAGAATTTTTCAAAAGAGTTGAAGACAGCTATGTTCCTTTAAATCTGGAGAGGTTACTTTAGTGGCTTGCGTACTGTAGCTAGACTTATTGAATCTCAAACTTAGGAACCGTTAAAAATAGTTCAAAACAGTAATGTTCCTTTAAAATCAGTTGGAATACTGTAATTCTCAATATTTTGAAAATTTTGGAGAAAGCTGTGTTCCTTTAAATCTAGAAAAGGTACTGTAGCTTCTACTTTCTAAATTACTGTAGTTCCTAAACATCTTACAGCTTGTACCGTACCCCTCAAAAATTTTGAGTACTGTACATTTTCAAATCAGAATTTTCCGAAAAAGTTTTGAGTACTGTAGCTAGATTACTGTAGCTTTTCAAGAGCTCAAAAAGAAAATTTTGAAAATAAATTCGGACAATTCAAAAAAAAAAAGTGCTAGACTACGTTACCCAGGGATTCAAGGGGTACTGTAGACCTGAACTTTTCCTCAAAAAAAAATAGAACATGTTCCTTTGAATCTAGAGGTACTGTAGAATAAAAATAACATTTTGAAGCTCAAAAATCCACGTCCTTCCTTCTCTTCCCAAACAAACAAAAATATAAATATTTATATTTTTGGCCATATCAAATTACCTAAGGCCTCTAATCTGAGCAATGACCCAAAAAAAATCAAAATCAAAACCAAGTCAGCGCAGTCCAGAACTACGAATCGAAGGCCACCTTTTTTCAAAATGAAATAATAAAAAAAAGGCGTAGAGAGCGCAGAGAAAAACAGAAAAGGAAGTGGCGAGAGAGCATGGGAAATCGAGAGACGCCGACACGAAACACAAGACGAGAGAAAGCATTGATTGGTCAGGGAGGGACGGGGGATGAGAGAGTGTGGGGAAATGAGAGAGCGTGCAGACAGAGAGAGAGAAACATTGGCTGGAGGGAAACAAAAAAAGTTTTGATAAGAGAAATACAACTTGGAACTTTTTTATTATAATTTTAGATGGACACAAAATGTGTCTACGATTTTTTTGGAGCGGGGAAAAAACGGGGAAAAATAAGGTGTACGAGGAAATAAATAGCTATTATTATATGTATTGTGAGTGGGTTTTGGCGCCAAAAAACTACAGTAACCCGGAGAAAATTTGGCGCCAAGTTTGAAGCAGATTTTGTTCAGAAAAATTGTTAGATTTTTTTAATTTCTGAAAATCCAAAAAATTTCAGATTTCAAAAAATGGCGCCAAAACATCTACAGTACCCCAGATCAAAACCCCCGAAACTACAGTATTCCTGATCTACAGTAATCCTTGATCTACTAGAACTACAGTACCCCTAAAAGCCTCCCAAACATTTTCAAATCAATAAAAAAAGTTCCGAAAAAATTTGGACAGCTGCAAAGTATACTAAAGAACATCTGGAGTTCGATTGATTTCTGGGTGGCCAAAAAAATTTCAAAAATCGGTAGATCATACAGATCTGGAAGTACTGTAGATTTTTGGGCGCCAAATTGTTTGATTCAAAATTTTCGCCTCAAGAATTCTGTGACCCTAATTTTTCACATCGATCCGATTTATTTCTGGCTGGGTTTTTTTTCGGGAAAAAAGGAGGGGTACTTGAAAACAGTGTGTAAATAATAGCAAAAATGTGATGAAAAAGACAAAAAAGATCAGAAAATGGGAAGAAAAAAAGAGAACACACGAAAAAAATGAAATGGGTGTGGCTGGAAGAAAATTGGACGCAAATCGAAAAAAAAATCGATTGATAGATTTTTTTTGGCGCCAAGAAATTTGGTTGCGAAATTTTCATTTTTGAACAGGTGGATTTTTGGCGCGAAAAAATCACATTCAAATTTGAGAGGTGAATATTTGAATTTAAAATTTTGGCGCCTAAAACTTTTCCACGTAGATTTTTGACTTTCAAAATCAAGTTTAGAAATTCAAATCAAAATTTTTGAATTTCAAAACTTGATGCTAAAATTTTGCAACGTGGATTCCCGTCCTAAAACTTCAAATCCCTCAAAATAAATTTCAGACATTCCTAATTTTCAGTCTCAAAAATATGATTATAACAATTTTCAACGTCATTGAAAAAAATGAGAAAAATATTCCCAAATTCCCCAATTTGAATATTTTTATATTTTTGTCCAAAAAAAACTAAACCGATTAAAACTTGTGATTTTTATAGGGGCAAAAAACTTGATTTTTGGTATTTTCGAAAAAAAATTCAGATTTGAAATTCAAATTTAATGAATCCTAAATTCAGATTCCAGATTTCAACTCTCAATTTTTCAAAATTTCAAAAAACAAACTAACCGTTATTGATTTTTTGTCAACCGAAGCCGTGCTCATTTTTGGCGCCAAAATTGATTTTGTATTATTATTCTTATTATTCTGATTATATTTTCCTCTTTCTATATAGAAAAAAGTGGGCGGAGCTAGAAAAAATTCAATTTTTTTTCGGTGAGCACAGAAATAAACAAGTGAAGAAAAAATTGAGAAAAAAAGTTACGAAATTTATTTTTGGGCCAGGGAATTTTGAAATCATCAAATAAATTTTTGAAACATTTTGGTTAGTGACGCAGAAAAATTGAAATTTGATACTAGAATTTGAGAATCAGAATCAGAAAATAACAATTTTTTAGGTCATCACAGTTGTGCTCAAAATTTTTGCCACGTGGATTTTTCGGGGTCCCAAAATTTGATCTACAAATTTTCTGGAATTATCTAATTTTCAGGGCCTGAAAATATAATGCCACGTGACAAATCCACAATTTTTGATAGGTCTAATGTAGATCAAGAAATTAGAAGGCAAATTTGAAGAAATCAGTTGGCTGAGTATCAAACGTACGCAGCCAAAATTCACTACTTCTGAAGTCTAAACTTTTTGAATCTAATCCAATTTGTAGATCACAAGATAAAAAGCTAAATTTGTGGAATCGGTTGGCTGATTATCAAACGTACGCAGCTAAATTGCCTGGTGTAATTTCCAAGTAAGAAACTTTCTGGGCCCAATTTCTGATCTACAAAATCCCAAAAAATGAAATTGGAAGCAGTTGGCTGAGTATCAAACGTACGCAGCCAAAATTCACTACTTCTGAATTCTAAACTTTTTGAATCTAATCCAATTTGTAGATCACAAGCTAACAAGCTAAATTTGTGGAACCCGTTGGCTGAGTATCAAACGTACGCAGTTATATTGCCTGGTGTAATTTCCGAATAAGAAATTCAAAAACTTGCTGGGCCCAATTTCTGATCTATGAAATTCCAAAAGAATTAAATAAGTTGGCTGAGTATCAAACATACGCAGCCAAATTTTTTTCCAAATAAAATTTCAAAATTCCCGGGAACCCTGGCCCCAAAAAATCAATAATTTTTCTCCGAAAAAAAAAACGAGAAGAACAAGAAAAAAACGAAGAAGAAGAAGGTCTGGAAAAATATATAGTGACGCGAAAAAAAGGCGAAAAACGCGAAGAAAACTCTCGTTTCTCTCTTTCTTTTTTCGCTTTTGCCTGGTTGCTTTTCAGAGCTCGAGAAAAAAATAACGCGAAAATTTGAGAGAAAAAAAGAATTTCGGACCAAGAACAAAAAAAAATGGTCCCAGGCAAAAAAAGAGAGAGAGAGAGAGTGGTCAGAAAAAATAGAGAGAGAGTATTTTTAAATTGGGTTTTTTTTGGAGCATCAAAAAAATGAATGAATGATGTTTGAAATTGGAATTAGAATTGAAATATGTCACAATTTTTTGGGAAAAATTTGAAGATCAAAATCTAGTTACCGTAGTCTTAGAGTACTGTAGTTTTTTTTTACTGTAGCCAAAATTAGAGCAGAGGATACTGTAGTATTAGATTAGATAAGGAGAGTTTGATTTAAGTTACAGTACTCTTAGAGTCTTAGAGTACTGTAACAGCTTAAAATTTTCAAAGTTAAACTATACTTCAAAATGTTCTATGAGTACTGTAATCTCTATTGACACCTCTAGTTACCGTAGTCCAAAATACTGTAGATTTTCTGGCGCTTTACAAAATTTAAAAACTTGAATTGTATTTTTTTTTGTAAAGGGCTTGTTGCTTGAGAGCCAATTTGTCAAAGAGCCGCGGCTTGGCAAAATCTATGTCAAGGAGCAATGCCTTGAGAAGCCATCTCTCAAGGAGCTGTGCCTACATAGCTATTCTGTCAAGGAGCCGCGCCTTGAGATATTCTCTATCAAGGATCCACGCCTTGAGATCTTCTCTGTCAAGAAGCGAAACTTTGAGAAACTACCTATCAAGGATCCACGCCTTGAGAGCCAATATGTCAAGAAGCCACGCCTAGAAAAGCTATTTTTCAAGGAGCTGCGCCTTCACAGCTATTCTGTCAAGGATCCACGCCTAGAGGCGCTACCTCTCAAGCAGCCGACTCTTGAGAACGTCCCCTCTCAAGGAGTCGCGTCTTGAGAACACTGTGCTCAATTTTCCCCGCCAAAATCTACAGTACCCTCCAAAAATCCCACCAGAAAACGTAATATTTTTCTATATTTTTTCGTGGCTCTCGAAAAAAGCGCGCGCGAAACTTGATGCATTTTTGGCCGGATGTCACTTTTTCGCGCAAAATTTTTTTTTTTGCAAAAAAAAAAGTTCTCTTCTCGTTTCAAATGTGCAATTCGATTCTTTCTTTATGGGAAGTAAGGGGAAAAAAAAGTTTTGCGGTTCAATGCAGAAAAATGAAAAAAAAAATTTCAGAATGGAATGTGCCTACGTCAATCTATCTAGCCAAAAAAAGGCCCGTTTTTGGTTGAAAGAACATTATGAATTGAGAAAAGAAATTAGTAGAAATTTTTTGGCTTTGAAAAAAAATTGGAGAGAAAATTACAAAGGCAAACATGTTAGTATGTAAATATTGATAGATGCAGAAAACAAAAAAATGAACTTTTGTTTTTCGAAAAAAAAATTTGAGGCTAGAAATTCGAATTTTTGAATTTGGCGCAAAAATCAGGTCAAGTTCTCAAGGCGGGAATTTTGAAATTTTGAAATTTCAAATTTAAACAAAAATGAACTTTTGTTTTTCAGCAAAAAATATTATTCACATGTACTTTTCATTATGATGATGAGAAAAAACATGAAATGAAATATTCAGTTGCACTTTACTTTTCAGAATTCATGATGGATGAGATAATTTTTTAATAGAAAAAAACATTCCAGATTTTTTTTTCGAAAAATACAAGGATTTTCTGGATTTTTGTTGAAATTTTGGATAATTTGTTGCACTTTATGGATATTTTTTTTTCTTTTGAGAAAAAATTCCGACAAATTCAAATTTCATCAATCTTCAAAATTAAATTCAGGACTCTAATTTGGAACAAAAATCATCAGATTAATTGGAGCAAGTTACAGTACCTCCAAATTTTCAAATTGAGTTTACAGGAACCTAAATTTTAACTGAACCTTACCTAAACCTAATCTGAAAATTTGGCTGAAATTTTTAACGTTTTCCACGAGTCAGAATAATTATTGATGAAAATATAGAGTAAAAATTCCAAAATCTGACTACAAAAAACACTGAAAATTCAGATGATTCCAGAAAAATTCTACAATTTACAGTCCACAAAAATTGTCTACTTAAAAATTTTAAGATCCAGAAAATTCAGTCACTAAAAAAATCTATAGATCCAGAAAAATTAGTCTAAAATCCTATATCTCCCACCCGCCAAAACCTACCCGATCCCTCTCCCGTCACCCACCCTTCTCCCACCTTCCCAAACCAACCTTTCCACCATGATTATAAATCCTATCCACACTTTGTCGTCTCGATTTCTTTTTCGATTTCGGCTCATTTTGATTTGTCACCGCTTCCGAAGCTCTTCGTCTTTTATCATGTTTCATTCGATTTTCTTGATCTTCTTCAGTTTCATTCCCCACAATTCCACCATCATTTTGTCCATTATTTCGACTTCCCAAAAGTGAGGCGATTAGTGAAGAAGATCTGAGGAGAAATGAGGTTTTATAGGGTTGGAAAACACGTGGCAGCGGAATTGGGTCACGTTTTTTTGTTCGAAAAATGTTTCTGGTTTTTTGAAATGTATACATTTTAGTGGGTCACGTTTTCAGATTTTTCTCGACTTTTTCAAAACCAATTTCAAAAAGAAATCCAAATTTTGGCGCGAAATTCAAAAATTCAAATAAAATTTAGGAATTTATTCCGAGTGCAGAGAATTTCAATACAATTTTTGAAACCTATTTTTTCCTGCTTCATTTTTTTTTAGAAAATTTTAAATTTTAAATTTCCCGCTCTCAAATTTTTAGCGCGAAATTCGAAAATTCAAATTTTTTCTAGAGAGACAAATTCTTAAAGCAATTTTTTTTTCAAATCCAAAATTCTTGTATACATTTTTTGAAACCTATTTTTTCCTGCTTCATTTTGTTTTAGAAAATTTGAAATTTTCATGTTTCCCGCTCTCAAATTTTTAGCGCGAAATTCAAAAATTTGAATTTTCTCAACAAGGCCTCGCGGCTTTGCGGAAGCTCGCGGAAGCATGCGGCTCAACCAACCTCTTATTCAATCTCCTCGACAATCTTTTCGTCCAAGCCAATCTTGCCGTCGATGGTTCTTCTTCCTGCTGTTCCGGCATTTTTTCCTGAAAAATTTCAAAATTCAATTTTTTTCTCTTTCTCAAAAAAACCTCATCATAAACAAGGTAAGAAGAAAAAGTTGGGAAAAAAACAAGTTTTTTTTTCGAGGTGACCTCGAGCTACCTAAATGTTCCTCACTTCATTGAAGAAACAAAACGAAAACCGGTAGAAAATCGATAATTGCGCCTTTAAAGATAAAAATAAAAATATTTTTTCTTTTTTTCAAAAAAAAATAAAAATTTATAATCGTATCAAGTCATTCGAACACAAAATTTTTATTTTCTTCAGTCAGTTTCCTATTTTTTTCAAAAAAAATAAAATGGGAAAATTAACGAGCTGCACTGCACAACTGTGAAGTTCACAGTTGGCTCATTTATTTATAGACCAAAAGATAACGAGAGAAAAAAAAAACAAAATGGCCTCAACGCGGCTTCGAACCTCTGACCCCTGGATCCCAAATCCAGCGCGCTACCCCTGCGCCACGCGCACAACTGAAAGCGCCACTGCAAATTGTCAACAAATGAAACTCTCAAAAAGTGTAGTGTAAAAAGTACCCAAAAAAAAATAATCCGCAAAATGAGAGAGAATGGGTTTTTGAAGAGACGCAGATAGGGTTTATGTTTGGGGGACAAAAAGAATGTGTAGATGAAAATGTATGAAATGAAATAAAAAGGGGAAAAAAGTTCAATTAAAATCCGGAAACCAAGGAAAATGTGGGGGAAAAAATCATAAACAAAATGAAAAAAAAAATGAAAAATGTTTGGCAAAATTTTCTCTTGAAAAAATTTTTATTGAAAAAAAATTTTTGTTTTTTTTTTGGTCGGAAAATGGAGGGTTTCAAAAAATTGAACAAAGTTCAACAACAAATTTTTCATGAATATAAAATGAGCAATGTTTAAAATTAAAAATTCCGAGCGGAAAAATTTTGAAAATTTAACATTTCGCGCACTTAAATTTTGGCGCGAAATTCAGAAAATTTAGTTTTTTCCTAGAGAGCCAAATATTGGAAGCATTTTTTTTCGAAAACGAAAATATTTCTATGAATTTTTTGAAACCTATTTTCCCCGCTAAATTATTTCTCCAAAAAATTCAAATTTTCAAGATTCCCGCGCTCAAATTTCAGCGCGAAAAAAAGCAAATTCAAATTTCCTTCACAAAATGCTCCAAAACCTTGAGAAACAAAGAAAATCAGGCGAAAAATATTCAAAAAGATTGAATTTCATTTCTCATTTCTTCTTCTTTTTGCTCAAGAAAATATTGTGTAAAAATGTCTGCGTCTCTCAATTTCGCACACTCTCTCATTTCTGTGTGTTCGCAAAATTTTAGTAACAAACTCGAAACTTTGTTTTGTTGTAATTTTATTTAACAATTTTGATTTTGAAAATTTTGATTGCATTTTGAAACAGCAGAAATTTGAACAAAAAATTACAATTACAAAGTGGCCAAACGCTCAGGAAAAATCGAAAAAAAATTAAACGCGCGAAAAGTGGAAAAAAATAAGAAAAATCCAAAAAGAACGAAAAATTAAGAGTGTGTGTCAACACCGACTGCCCGCAAACACCAAATCCTACGCGCAAAAATAAAACAACGACACTCCGCTCACACAGTGTGTGAAAATTAAACAACAGGCAAGCGAAAATAATATATTTTGTAGATAAAAGGAAATTCTTGATTGAATAGGGAAACAGCAAAAAATTAAATTTGAACAAAAAAATTACAATTCCGGAAAAAAGCTCAGAAAAAATCGAAATTCGCGAAACGAAAAATTTCTTTGGAATCAAATTACAATTTTCCATTTCTGACCACTTTGGAATAAAAAATAAATAAACAAAAAATATCTGGGATTTTTTCATGGCTTCATTGTTTTTTTGGCAAGCAAAAATTTGAATTCAGCTGTTTTTCGGAGAGATTTTTTTTAGAGGAAAATAGAAAAATTAGTACCTGAAAATCCACGTGGCAGAACCTAACTGGGAAATTTTGTTCAAAAATAAATAAGGAAAGGGAAATTCGGAACTTTGATTTAAAAGTTACAGTTTCAAAGATTTCGAGCCAAAATTCCACGTGGCAAAATATTCCTGAACTTTCTATCAAACCTACATGTCATCTCAAAATTTCCGTGCAAAACTTAGCTCAACTTCCAGGAAAAACCCATAAATAATTCAAATTTATCAGAAAAAGTTCAAAAAATCACTGGAGCAAAGTATAACCATCTCGATTTCTCACTCCATTTTCATTTTTCCAAAAATATCGCCAAGTTTGATGAAAAACGATGAAAAGTATCGAAATTCCAATGACTCCAAGATAAAAGTCTGAAAAAATTGGATTTTGAATTTTCCGGAAAGCTCGGGCGCGGTAGAATGCGGAAGAGTGCGGCAAAGCGCTGGGGGATAAGGGTTCTAGATTTAGGCTCAGTCGCTTCGCGGAAGCTTGCGGTCTACACTCGCGCAAAGCGCTCGGCGCTTTGAAAACTCACAAAAAAATATGTCAAAAAATCCGAGACCTCCTCCATTTTCTTCTTTCTCCACATTTTCCGAACTCATAAATTTTTCATTGTCAGCAACAAAAAATCTTCGAGTTTTTCCCGTCAACTTTTTCACAAATTCATCCAATTCTTCGTATAGCTCATTCCAGATTTCACGGGGTTTGGTTTCGACATTTTCAGCTGGTTTTTGATGGTGATATTTGAGAATGTTCATGAGATTTTGGGTGAAATGACTGTCGAGGGATTTTGGATAGGATTCGAGGTGGATTCGAGTGAAGTTTCTGGAAAAAATGGGAAAATTTCAGTGATTTTACTGTATTTTTCCCTGTAAAAAATCACTGTTTCAAAAAAGTCACAATAATTTTTTTGGGATTTTCACCTTAATAATGTTAGTTTGTACAATAAAAAATCAGAAAAATTCACTGAACAAAAAACTTCCAGGAATTTTCATCTAATTTGAAAATAAATTCCAAAATTTGAACTTTTCTTCATTTTTCATTTCAAAAAATCATTCCTGAAAATATTCGAAAATTTCAATTTTTCCTCAAAAAAATCTCACTGTTTCAAAATATTTATATTAACTTTCATGGTTTTTTAATTTTATTGTGTGATTTTATAATAAATAGTTTGATTAAATGAATATTTTTCTGAAAATCTGTCGAAAAAATTTTTTCAAGATTTTTTTCCAGAAAAAAGAAGATAACTTGAATTTTCTTCGAAAATTTCAAATTTTCGCTTCAAAAAATCTCACTGTTTCATAATATTTTTATCAATTTTTATCAATTTTCATAGATTTTTCATTTTTAGAAGAAATTAAATTGATTAAATGAATATTTTTCTAAAAATCTGTCGATAATATTTTTTCAAGATTTTTTTCCAGAAAAAAGGAGATAACTTGAACTTTTTTTCGAAAAATTCAAATTTTTGCTCGAAAAAAATCTCACTGTTTCAAAATATTTTTAAACAATTTTCATGAATTTTTCATTTTGATTTGTAACACGCATTAAAATATCTAATTAAATGAATATTTTTCTGAAAATTTGGCGAAAATATTTTTAAAGAATTTTTCCAGAAAAAATAAGATAACTTGAATTTTTTTCCGAAAATTCAAAATTTTTGCTCAAAAAAATCTCACTGTTTCAGAACATTAATATTAATTTTCATGGATTTTTCATTTTATTGTGTAACTTTAAGACAGAAAAAATCAATTGATTAAATGAATATTTTTCTAAAAATCTGTCGAAAATGTTTTATCAAGAATTTTTCCAGAAAAAAAGGAGATAAGTAACTTGAATTTTTTTTTCGAAAATTTCAAATTTTTGCTCCAAAAAATTTCACTGTTTCAAAATATTTTTATTTATTTTCATGAATTTTTCATTTTGTTCCTACTATCGAAAACTATCGAAAACTACAAAATAATCATTCAATAAATCTTTATTTTGTGGTAAAATTTCCAGATTAATTTGAATATCTCAGAGACTTTTAGAACTAATAAATCAGAAAAAAAATGAATTTTCATTGAACAAGACAAAAATTGTTGGAACTTTAAATCTTGACCTATTCAATTTCACTGTTCACTGTTTCAAAATTGTTTTATCAATTTTTTTCAAAGATGATTATCTGATATAAAATCGAACATGGCCACGGAAAAAAAGATTATTTCAAGTCAAAAAAATTCACTGTTTCAGAATTCTGATAAATATTTTGTTGGATTACGAGCGAATCTTTACAATTGAATAAATAAAAATTCACTGTTTCAAAGTTAATTTATTATTTTTCTTGAATTTTTAGCCAAGATTTCATTATTACTCAAGCATGAAAAAAAACCACAAAAAATAACCAAAAAATTGATTTTCCGGAATTTTTTTACTAAGATTTCATATTCTCAAAAATTTCTGGTCAACTGAAAAATTCACTGTTTCAAAAAATTTTGATATATTTTCCTTGATTTTCTACCAAGATCAATTGTTTTACTTACAACTCTTCCCCCAAAAATGCTCACTTTTTCACATCTTCATTCCAAAATTGATGTGCATCTTGATAATATCCATTTCTCATACCATTTCCAATCAATTTTCCATTCTCATCAAAATCAATCTCAAAATATCGTGCACCATTATTTTCCTCGAATATTTCCCAATTCTCTTTTTCATTTTCCAAAGGTTTTTTGAAATTCACAAAATCCGCAAATATTCCACTATAAACTTTTTCAATCAAATAATCTTTCATATTCATTTTTTCCGATTTTCTATGAGTTCCAAAAACATATATCAAATCTTCAGAATGTGTGGGAGATGGTGTATTCTTCATATATTTATCGAATGCTTCACCAGCTCCAGAATATTTATAAGAATACAGAAACACGTCTGATTTTGAATTTGAATGGAATTCGGCTAACTTCCGAGTTGGAGCATAAGTATCCAAATCATCTGAGAAATATTGAGCCATTGAAAAATTGCCATATCTTTCTGTACATTTTTGAGCAAAATCCTGGGGGTTTTCAAATCGATAAGTTGCTCCAAATTTCCAGCAAACTTCTTTGATTTTTTCTTGATCTACAGTTCCGTTTGAATTTTGACAGAACTGGGAAATTCTGAGTTCCCCGGTGGTTGTTCCAAGTAAAGTTGGGATTCTGGAAAATTTAGAAGTTAGCTGGGGAACTTCGGAAAATCAAAATTTTCATCTCAATTTCTCTGACTGTGAGCGGGAAATTCTTATTTTCAAGTTTTCAGACACAGCCTATTTTTTGATAAAAAACCTACTGTTTCAAAAAATTAACATAAAAAATTTTATTTTTAGCAAGGTTCAATTTTGTAGTCATATTCTACATTTTTTAATTGAAAAATCTACTGTTTCAAAAATTGAACATAAAAAATTTTATTTTTTAGCAAAGTTGATGCAGAGGAATAACGGATGCACAATGACGATTTGCAGGAAGTTCCTAGATTTTTCAAACATTCTTTGTTGTTCTTAAAAAATTCACTGTTTCAAAAAATCCATATTAAAAATTTGAGTTTCAAGAAAAAAAAATAAAAATCTACTGTTTCAAAAATTTAAAATAAAAAATTTATTTTCTAGCAAAGTTGGTCAAGTTTCGTAAATATGGAATGAAAAATTATGATTCCCAGGAAGTTCCTGCATTTTTCAAAAATTTGTTTTATCAAACTCATTGTTGTTCTAAAAATCACCCAAAAAATTCCAAATTTTCTCCAATAAAAATCCCGAAAATTTACTGTTTCAAAAATTTAACATAAAAATGTATTTTCTAGCAAAGTTGGTAAAGTTAGGTAAATATGGCATGAAAAATTATGATTCCCAGGAAGTTCCTGGATTTTTCAAAAATTAATTTTATCACTCCTTTTGCTGTTCTCAAAATTCACTGTTTCAAAAAATCCATGTCAAAAATTTGAGTTTCAAGAAAATGTTAACGTATTAAAATTTAAAAAAACGAGCAATTAAAATAAATTCAAGTTTTCACACACATTCCAGATTTTTTTAAATTAAAAATTGACTGTTTCAGAAATTTACTATCTCCAAAATAACTCCCTAATAAAAATCCCGAAAATTCACTGTTTCAAAAAATTCAAATAAAAAAAACTATTGTTAGATTGATGATAAGCTTTTCAATGCTTTTAAAATAAAAAAAATACCTTGAAATGCCAGAATTTCCATTCGATAGTGTTACATCAAAATAATCCTCCATAATTTTCCCATCCATAATAATTCCATCGAAAAAATAACTAGAATTCTGTTCAACTTCTTGCTGAGCTTCGAAAAGCCTTGAAGCTTCAATATTTTTCAAGCAAGAAATATCCGAACACTTTAGAATTCGCGCGATTTCTCTGCTGAATTTTGAATTTGTCCGCTTTGTTTTCTCCTGCAATGGTGAACTCATCAAAATCTGCCTCGCCACCAAATTTGGCGGTAATTCTGGGGATAATATCAGAACTGCTATCAATGCTCCACCAGCACTATGTCCAGCCAACGTTAATTTTTTCGGATCTCCCCCAAAATTCCTGATCTCTCGATGTATCCAATTTATAGATTCTAGAACATCATACATCCCAAGATTCTTGATTTCCTCGCCGAAATTTGAAAATCCAAAAATACCCAATCGATAATTTGTAGTGACCACAATAATATTCCGATTGTTCCCCACGAAATTATTGATTAAAATATCTGGGTTGAAAGCCGATGCTGATTCAAATTCAACTTTTCCACCATGAATTACTAACATTACAGAGCAATTTTTGGTTTTGAGACAGAATTTGTTGGTGAAAACATTGAGGTAGAGACAATCTTCAGAAACTGTGCCGTAGGGAGGTGATTTGAAGGTTCGTCTGGAAAAAATTGGATTTTGATTTTCTACATGGAAACATCTCAAAATTCACACAATATTCTGAATTTCACAAAAAAACCCTTTTCTAATTCTCAAAACATCAACTGTTTCAAAATGTTCTTTAAAAAATTCATTCGAAAAACTAAATTTTGATTTTCGTTTCATATTTACAAGGAATAGATCCCAATGTGACCTCCTGAAAAATTCCGGTTGTATGTTCAAACTGAGTTACGAATTTTCAAAAATAGAAGGCGTTTTTGTCTTTTTGGAAATTATTCAGAATTTCGACCTCCGGATTCTCATAAAAGAAATTTTTACTTACAAAATCCCCTTTGGATTTTTCATAACTCCCCATAAGATGCTATTTGAACATACAACCGGAATTTTTCAGGAGGTCACATTGGGATCTATTCCTTGTTAGTGAAGAAAAAATTAACTGTTTCAAATATTATTCTACAGAACAATTTTTTTGGAAATTACAATGTCATAGGTATCATCTCTTGATAAAATTGTTCTCTTTGGCTGAGTATCAAATGTATAAGATACGCAGTTAAATTGACCCTGATTGGTGTTAGTAATAGAAAAAAACTTGTTGAAGTAATTTTTTTTTTGAAAATAAATTTTGGATTGAAATTCAAACTTTCATGAATAAAAATCTACTGTTTCAAGAATTATTAAAATTTTTGATTGAATACTTTTCGTGGTGTTAAAAAATAAACGATAATTTCCAATTTTCCGCGGTAAAAAAATAACCAGGTAAATTAGAAAAATTTACTGTTTCAAAGAAAACTCAAATTTTTCAAGAAAAAAATCAGCTGATTAAAATGTTTCAAACTGCTCAGTATATTTATTCCTCCAAAAAAATTTTCAAAAATTTTACTGTTTCAAAAAAAATCGAATTTTTCAAGAATTAAATTGACTGCGTTCATATGTTCTTGCGGAAATATTTTTTCCAATTCTTAAAATTTACTGTTTCAAGGAAACATTGAAAATTTCAGAACAATTTTTCGAGTGTTAACAAATCTCGAAGACCATTGTTTCAAAGAAAACTGTTTTTTTTCAAAAATAAATTTCGCTGATCGGAAAAGAGGGATGGATTGAATTAAAAATTTCTATTATGAAAAAATTTTCAAATGTTATAATTCTCAAAAAAGTTTTCGGAACTCATTTTTCAGCGAGAAATACTACTGAAAATTAAATCTTCACTTTTTGTTATCAAAAAAAATATTTGAAAAAATAAAAAATCTACTGTTTCAAAGAATTTCAAAAAAAAATCAATTTTTTTCTAGCGGCAAATTTTTTTCGTTATTTGAAAATTCACTGTTTCAAGAATCCTAGTTAAATGGAAGTCAAAATTTTTCGAACAATACTTTTAGGTGATTCGGTAAAAAAATTCCTCTCAAAAAATTCCACTGTTTCATGAAAAACTCTAATTTTTCTTCGACAAAAACCCACTTCAAATCACTCATACAAGCTGAGCTATATTTCTTGGTCTCCAAAACTCCCATCCACTTCTCGGGTCTCACAGGCTTCTCAAATCTCAGTTCTCGAATCGGCGGTTTTGCAAATGGAATTCCCAAAAACACAATTCCCGTCTGATTTTCCAGCGGGGAATATGAAGCTGTCCTTGATTCTCCCTCGATTTTTCCAGTGCTACAAAAAAAATTCAGAATTGATTGAGAAAAAAATCTGAACTTACCTTAAGTCAATTCGAAAAACATCACAAAAACTGCCACGTGACAGGGAAATCAACAAAATCAAGGCAAATAAAAAATTGAACATTTTTGTTTTTTTTTCTCGTTCAGCCAAAAATAAAACTAATGCACATTATATCGATAAGACCAGAAGGTGCATAAAATACAGAAAAAAAACAAAAAAATTGTGATGATAAGAGATCACAAGTAGTTTGTGGCTTGTAGTTTGAAACATCAGAAATTTTTTGAATTTTTGATTTTCCCGCTGGAAAATTTACCTGAAATTTCGAATTTTCAAATTTCCCGTCTCCAATTTTTGAGCTTAACTTTTGAATCTTTGAATATGCGAATTTCCTGCATGAAATTTAAATTTTCACATTCAACGTCGCAAATTGAAATTTCGAATTTTTTAATTTTGAATTTCTGAGTTTCCCGCTTGGAAAATTTACCTAGAAATTTTGAATTTTCAAATTTCCCGCCTTCAATTTTTGACCTAAACTTTTGAATTTTTGAATTTTCGAATTTCCTGCTCCGAAAATTTACATGAAAATTTGAATTTTCAAATTTCCAGCCTTCAAAAATTTACTTGAAAATTCAAATTTTCGAATTCCCTGCTTGAAATTTGTAATCTGAAAATTTAAATTTCAAATTGTTTTTCAATAATTTAGATCCGGTAAAAGCAGTACAAAAATTACTAAATTCAAATTTTCAGGAGCAAAAATGTTTTTTTGAAACGTACATTTTTGGGGTTTTTTTTTTGCTGAAAAATTGAAATTTTATTGGAAGTTTGAATTCAGACTTTATACAATCAAAAATATAAGTTAACATGAGCAATGATTTTTCATTTGAGCAACATATAACCTTCTCTTTTCCGATGCATTAACCAATGTGTAAATGCCAAATATAAAATTGCAATTAGCAAAATGCAACCAACTGTTAGCAAAAACACATCTGAAAATTTAGAAAATGTGGATTATTTGAGATCAAAGATCATTTTTTTTTTCTTTGACCGACAGTAATCCTATAAAAAACCCACGAATTGATTGATGACTATGATCCAAATCCTCTTCCAAAACTGAAATTTTCCCAGACTTCAAATCCTCCAAAAATGCATCGGCTTCTAGATATAATAATTGCATAGTCTCCAAATTTTTATATGAATCTGATGATTTTTGTGTGTGATGTGATTCGAGTGGTTCAATTACAACTGTCATTGATAAACTATCGGTTGAATTTGGAAATATTTCCATGTGAGTTTTGGGGAAGTTTCTGGAAGAAAATTAGGGATTTTGAGGTGTTTTTTCAGTTTCAGCCCGTGAAAATATAAATTAGAATTTTTTCAGAGCATTTTTTATTCAAAGAAAATTCACTGTTTCAAAATTACTTCGTAAATTTTTTGAATTTTTCATCGGGATTATATTTTTGTTTCCATTTTCCCAACGGAAATTTTTTAATGAATTTTTTTCGAGACTTTTTATTTTCTATTTTCAGACTTCCTATTTTTAGCATTTTTTATTTTCAAAAATCCACTGTTTCAAAATTATTTAATTAATTTTCTCGGATTCACCTCCAAGATTTGTATATCATGATTCTATTCGTTCTAAAAAAAATCACTAGTACCTCAGAAAAAATTAATTTTTAATTCTGAAAACTCAACAAAAATCACTGTTTCAAAATTAGTTTCTTGGATTTTCGAATTGATAACAATTTATTAATATTTTTACTGTTTTTTGTTTCATAAAAATTCACTGTTTCAAAATTATTGCATAAACTTTCTAGAATTATACAAAACGCTCCCATGTTATATTAGTGCAAAAGCTCAAAATATCATTCCTAGTCAAAAAATATCACTGTTTCAAAATTAATATATCACTTTTCTCTAAATTTTAATCAAAGTTCATCTATTTTTTGCTGTTCAAAAAATCAACTGTTTCAGAATTATTTCATAATTTTTCTAGGACTTTCTCAAATATTATAAAACCGGGAAAGTTCCTCATAACCAGAACATCAATGTTTTTTAATGAAAAAAATTTCACTGTTTCAAAATTATATTATCAATTTTTTTGAATTTTTCACCGAGATTTTTGAGCATTTTTACAAGCAAAAATTCCCTTTGAAGCCTCTTCCCCAAAAATCCTCACTTTTTCACATCCTCATTCCAAAATTTATGTGCATCTTGATAATATCCATTTCTCATACCATTTCCAATCAATTTTCCATTTTCATCAAAATCAATCTCAAAATACCGTGCACCATTATTCTCCTCAAATATTTCCCAATTCTCATTTTCATTTTCCAAAGGTTTTTTGAAATTCACAAAATCCGCAAATATTCCACTATAAACTTTTTCAATCAAATAATCTTTCATCTTCATTTTTTCCGATTTTCTATGAGTTCCAAAAACATAAACCAAATCTTCAGAATGCATTGGTGCTGGAGTATTTGCCATATATTTATTGAAAACTTCACCAGCTCCTGAATACTTGTAGGAATACATCAGTACGTTTTTGGATGACTCGTGAGCTTGCGCAGTTCTTCGGGCCGGCATGAAAAATTCAATTTCATCTGAAAAGAATTGTGGGCGAACAAGTTCTCCAAATCTTTTCGCACATTTTCCCGCCAAAATCTCCGGGTTACTGTAGCCATTTCGATATGCAAAATGTTCACAAAGTTCTCGAACTCGTGTTAAATTTGCCACCCCATTCTCGTCTTGCGAATAAATTGATTCACTCATTTCACCAGTCACAGTTCCAATAATTGTTGGGATTTTTTGAAAGTTCTCGGAACTCATCAGAATATCATTGTAATCAATGATAAATTCGCCATCCACATGTGGTTCGGTGATAAAATTCCTGCCGAATTTATAGATGTCTAGTTGAGCATCTAATAATTCTTGCGCTGAAATATTCCGCAAACATTCGAAGTTCTCACAAAAAGTGAAACGTTTTCCAATAGTTTTCAAGATTTTCGAGTTTGACGATCTAGTTTTTGTGCCATCTGGAGCACTCATTATCATTTGCTGAGCTATTAAACCACGTGATTGTGGAGATGAGGTGATTGCATTGGCTAGAGTTCCACCACCACTATGACCAGCGAGGGTAAGGAGTTTTGGATTGCCGCCAAAGTTGTGGATTTCGCAGTGGATCCAGTGAATTGATTCGAGGATGTCTGGAAAGCAGATTTTTGAAACGAAACAGTAATTTTTAATTGTTAGTAGTATGCGAACTCATTTATCACTTTTGAAAATTATTGAAAAATATTTACGAAATTTTAGAAACAGTAGATTTTTGATTTTTCAAAGTTTGAGATCGTAAGCTATTTATCAACAAACAATATTATTAACACTGTTAATAAATTTTTGAAACAGTTAAAATTTTAAAATTCAATTTTGTATTAATCATTGAACAACATTTGGAAGAAAGAGTTTGTTGTCTGTCTAACAAATCACTTTAATACTCTCCAGAATTGAAAGAAATTTTGAAACAGCAGAAAAATGTCAGTAATTTTTCGAGCACAAAACTAATTTAGGAAAAATATTCAATAAATTTCTGAAACAGTGGATTTTTCAAATATTAGAACAATCGTTCACCCACCCGCACCCATCAAAACTTAAAAATCTCCCAAAAATTTATGATTTTTTTGAAACAGTAAATTTTTTATTCACAAAAATTTTCATTTTTAGATAAAAATATAATATTTGCTGTAACCTTGTGATACAATCAAAGTTCCAAGAAAAAATAAAAAACATGTGGTTTTTTTGAAACAGTGAAACATTTTAAACAATTTTTTGTTCTTTCTTGAAACTTTGATGTGAGGTGTAAAAAAAAATCAAAGTTTGATAAACTTCAAACCTTTTCAAAAATTTTTGAAACAGTAAATTTTTCTAAAAAAATTTCAATGGAACGCATAACGAAAACTTCTAACCCTCTTTAAAAATAATATGTTTTTTGAAACAGCAAATTTTTTATTCACAAAAATTTTCTAACACATTTCGGATCCTCGACATTAATAAAAAACAATCTGAAAATTCCTTTTTCAGTTTTCATCGGCTTCAGGAAAATAAATCGATTCTCTTTTCGAATTTGCGTCAAAAAATCATAAACTCGCTGATATCCGCCTTTCCACAAAACTGGGTGAAGCTGAATATTTTGAATTTGAATTGTAAATTTTCAAATGACACTAGATTCACCTCAATATTGAATTGACAAATCGAAATTCCCGCCAAATCAAATTGATTTCCTCGATGAAAAAAGTCTAAGAAAAACGTCTCGCCTCCCTCAATATCCAGCCAAAGAAAATCGATTTTCGATAACTTCAAAATATTTTTCAAAAAATATGTGACATCTACAGTTGTCACATCTTGGTTGAAATATTTTCCTGGTCAAAAAATTATTGATTTTTTATTTGGAGAGAAAAGGGACTCACGAGTTCTTTGATTCTGATTTGGTAAAATTCGAAAAGTTGTGACACCGGCTTCTCGGCCAACTGCAAACGGGAAAAATTTGCCAAAACTAGAGTATAGTTGAAGATTTGGCTCGATTACTGGATCGGCTCCGTAGAATTTTGTGTTTGGGAGAGTCTGGAAATGTGTTTTAAATAGCTGAAATTATACGTGGCAAAATATTGTTTTCCAATGGAAAAATGTACTGTTTCAAAAAATCGATGAAAAATTTTTGATTTGGAATATTTTATTCGGTTTCGGAAAAGTGTTTCACGGGAGGAATATTTTTGGAAAATTTTGGAAAATTATTTTTGTTTATTAAAAAAATTCACTGTTTGAAAAAATCTATGAAAATTTGCTAAATTCAAAAAAGTTATTTTCTATTCTCTCAGTTGGTTGAATATTTCTCCCACTAAAAATTTGCTGCAAAAAATTACTGAAAAAATTCACTGTTTCAAAAGTCTCATTAGAAAAATTCCAGATTAATCAGTAGATGTCATCATTCATTTCAGAAATTTGATTTTTAAAAAAATCACTGTTTCAAAACTTCATACAGATTTTTCAGTTTCTCGAAGGGTTTGATAGGGTGAGTCTCATCCATAAATAACATTTTCTACTCTCAAAAATATGAAACGAGACACATTTTTTCCAAAGAGAAAATCACTGTTTCATGAGAATTATAAAGAATTTTCTACATAGTTCAAAAATAATATTGCTTTAAGTTAGTTGTACTGTAAGAAAAAAGCACTGTTTCAAAAATGCGCTCAAATTTTTCTTCAATTATGAAGCTTTTCTATTACCATTGTGTAGAATAAATACATGTAAATAAAAAAATTTACAACGTAGAAAAAACCTACAACTTCAAAATTTCCAGAAAAAAATACTGTTTCAAAAATTCATCAAGTATTTTTCAATTTTTTGAAATTTGCTCGACTTGGGAAAAAATTATCTTATTGTTATTTTCTGAATAAAAAATTCACTGTTTCAAAAAATGAATTAAAAGTTATTAGAACCAACAAATTTATTAGGTATGAGGGTTTAGAAATCTCTCCAACAAAATTTGAATTTCTTGCCACGTGTCAAAAAATCTTCTATTGAAACATTTTCTGGTTCAAAAAAACATGTGAAAATAATCTTCCACATGGCAAAAATTTTTCAATTTCGAAAAATTCACTGTTTCAAAAAATTTATGAACTTTTTTGTTGGTTTTAGGAAACTTGCTAACTTATTTCTATATTCTGAATAATAAATTCACTGTTTCAAAAAATGAATTGAATATTTTTGAATTTGAACTTTTTGTTAAAAGGTCTCATCAGCGCTAAAACCTAATCTACTGCTTCAATGTTTCATTTAAAATCTGCCACGTGGCAAAAATTCTTCAATTTCTAAAAATAATTTTCTTAAATAAAAATTCACTGTTTCAGAAAGTTAATTAATTTTTTTCAAATTCCAAAAATTCAGTGAAGTATCTCGTGAATCCGAAAAATCCAAACCTCTGCCACGTGTCAAAAACAGCCTACCCTATTCAATCGAATCTCCGCATCCACATCATGTCCAATTCCCAAGGTAACCATCACATTTTCCTCCATCTGAAAATCTATCTTAAAATCAGGTTTGGCAAAAGAAACTCACACAATTCGGCAAAATTGCCCATTTGATCTCGTGTTGATTTCTGAACCCTTTAATCGGTAGATCTTTAAATTCCGTCAGATTATCGCATTTTTTCGTGGCCGCACAGAAATTCCAGGAAAATTCGGAGGTATTCAAATTTTCCAACTCATCCTCAAAAATTGGATCAATACAACTATGAAAAGCTTGGAGCAGAGCTTTCGGGTCAAAATTTGATGATTTATCCGAATTTTCACATTTTGGCAATTTCCCAAGCTCTTCAAAAATTGGATAAGGCTCAAAATCCTTCTGATCTTGATTATTGAAAACATATCCGATTCCATCACTGGATTTCAGAACTCCCTGATATTCCAGCGCACTTTCTCGAATTTTATACAACTCGTGAGCACTCAAATTTTTCAATGTGCATTTTTTATCAGCTCCAAAGCTCCAAGAAAAGGCAGTGAAAATGATAAAGACAAGAAATACGAGAAATATACTTCGATCTTTTCGTCGCAAAAAATTCGAAGTTTTTTCGACGTAAAGAAGACTTGGTTTATCCATGGATGAGAAATTGGGGAATAAAAAATGAATAAACAGAGAAGGAAAGTTAGGCTAACTATAGTATACAATAAAAAAACTTGTATATTGATATTGATAAGAAAATATATCTGGTTTGGTTTCGTGGAGAGGAGAAAATATAATTTTTTGGATTTTTTTTTTCGATATAAAATTCACTGTTTCAAAAATATTATAGCATTTTTTGTATAATATTAATTTAAAAAACATTTTTCGGTGTTCAAAGTGAAAAATATAACAGAAAATTCGAGAATATATCGTTCAAACTGTTTCGAAAAATTCTCAAATTTCTCACATTTTTAAAACTATAGAAAATGTATTTTTCCTACACAAAAAATTTAAAACATTCAGTTTCCACTAATTAAAATTGTAAGGAAGTTAATCGAACTCCGAAATAATCGAGTTTTTCAAAAATTCCACAAGGATTCATACAATTTTAACTTTTTTTTTTGAAAATCTACTGTTTCAAAATTTTCATAAAGCATAAATTCAGTGGAGAAAATGATTTTCTTATGTTTTATATTTTTCAAAAAAAATCACTGTTTCAGAGATTTGTTGATAGTTGACTGAAAAATTTACTGTTTCAAAAAATTCATTAAAACTATTTTGATGTCAAGATTTTGTTTTCTGAACTGATCAAGCAAACAAAAATTCACGACAAACTCTCCCTCGCAACTAAAAACCGTCTAAACGGAGTTACAAAATACAAATAAGTAATGGGTGATAATAAAGGCATAAAAACAAAAACACAAAAAACCAAATATTCAATAATTTGATTATCCACAATTCCAAGTTGACTTATAATATGCAAAAATGCTGAAGAAATGCAGAAAATTGGGATTATCGATTGAAAAATGAGACATTTTAGAAGTTGCGAATGCAGATTTTTGGTTTCTTTTGATAAACTATTCACCAAATCTCCCAATTTTCTTGATATTTTCAATCGAAAAATAAACATAATCAAATACATTGGAAATAGCAAACACATAACATTCAAAGTTGTATAAATTCCAGCAAATTTATGATTATAAGCATAAATTGCTGTGAGACTTTGATGCTCGGAGAAATTGTAAGAAAGATCTTTTTGTGAAAAATTGTGCGCAGTTTTTTGGTCGAGTAATTCAGGAGTGAAAATAATGAGTTGAAAAAATGAAGGGGAATAGATTAGAAGAAGAATTAGAATGATATTTCTTCGAGAAAGTGAAGGATTTGATAAAATATAAAATCGATAGATAAATGAGACTGTTAAAGACACAATACTGTATGGAATACAGTGTAAAATAATACCAGTTCTGGAAAAAATGGACAATTCTGGAGGTTTCAGATTTTATGAGTGTCCGAAATCTGAACTCTGAATTTACAGGAATTCAAGAATCATATTGGCTGAAAGTTTTTCTACAAAGAATTGGTAAAAAATTCACTGTTTCAAAAAAAATCATAAAAATCTCTGAATTTTGAAGTTAATTTTCAATTCATCAATTTAATATCGCCTTGCAGAAAAAACCGAATTCTCTGACGCCGAAAAAAATCCACGTGGCAGAAAATCTCCAAATTTCGAAAAAAAAAACATTTCAGTACAAATTCACTGTTTCAAAATTTTTTGAAAATTTTCAAATTTTGGTGAGATTTGTTTCGTCGTCCTTAGTTGCCGAAAATATCAAAAATCATCAAAATTTCGAAGAAAAACCGTTACAGAAAAATTCATGAAATTTTCTAAATTTTGATTGGATGGTCTAAAATAAAATGTTTCTGGTTTCAGAAAATTGCCACATGACAAATGAAAAATGCTTTCGAGAAGAAATTTACCAGACAAATTCAGGGGTTTCGGCAATTCCCAGAAAATTTTCAGAATATCTAATCATCATCCTCAAAAAATTCACTGTTTCACAATTTTTTGAAAATTTCTAAATTTTGGTGAGATTTGTTTACAAATTTTTCTACTACATATCAAAAATCATCAAAATTTCAAAGAAAAACACTTCAGAAAAATTCACTGTTTCAAAAAATTCATAAAATTTTCTAAATTTTGATTGGATTTGATATGTCGGTCTGTCGCCTATTTTGAGAACATAATCAGAGTAATATTTTCTGCTCTAAAAAAATTGCCACATGACAAATGAAAAATGCTTTCGAGAAGCAATTTACCAGAAAAAATCAAGGGTTTCGGGAATTCTCAGGAAAAAAGTATCTCAAGAAATTTTCAGAATGTGTAATTTTCATGCACAAAAATTCACTGTTTCAAATTATTTTGAAGTGTTTTTAAATTTGATGAGACTTGTTTTTGCTCTCTTAAAACAATCATCTTGCTCTAAAATTTCCAATTTCATAATGCACAGTTGCCACGTCATACCCAATTCTACAGTAAATCTGCTCAAAATACTGACAAACTCCATAATAAACATAATAAACAATAAACTTATTCGGCACTGGAACCAATCTCATTTGCAAAAAGAAATCGAAAATACATTCAATTAAATCGGTGATAGCAAAATTTATGATAAAAGTTGCGTATGAATACATAGTTTTTGGCGCTTTGAAAATGCAGAGAAAAATTAGGAGAATATTGAAAATCAGGCCGAAAATGCAGAAAAATGAGTGCCAAATTAGGAGGAACATTTTTAGTTGATAAATTGTTCTGACTAAAAATTGAAATATGATCTGGACATGAAAAATAAAAATAATTATAGCCTTTGGAAAATAAATTAGTAGGCTTGTGAGTAGAACATTGAAGTTTGAAACTTACAAAATTTCAAATAAAAATTATTAAAACAAAATAAAAAAATTAAAACAAAAAAAATTCACTGTTTCAAAAAATTCGCAAAAATTTCTGGATTTTCAGATAAAATGCTGTACCAATTGAAAAAAATTCTAAAAATCTTCACTGTTTCAAAAATTTCCCTAAATTTCTTTTATTCATAGGGAAATGCTTTTTGCGTTCTAGTATATGTGGGAAAAATATTTTTGAAAAATTTTTAGAAAATTATTCACTGTTTCAAAAATATCTTATTCTTTTTTTGACTTTCGGGAAAATGCTTTAAACTTCAAATTTTCTCACTGTTTCAAAATTCTTATAACTTTTGTCAGAAAAATAATTATTCATTAACTTAAACAAAGTTCTTAAAAAATTATACTGTTTCAAAAAATTCAAATAAATGTGCAGACTTCTCGTTAATTTCTAATATTTACAAATGAGGCACACTTGCATAATTTTTAAATTATTTACTGTTTCAACAAACTTATAATCATTTCTGTCAGAGTTCTAATTCGGTTTCTACTTCGTACAATAGGACATCAATAAAAACTCACTGTTTCAAAAATAAATTATGAGAATTTAGGCTAATAATTTCCAATAATTTCAACTTGAGCAATTCATAAAAATTTTTATAAAAAATAAATTTTGTTCGAGAAATTGTTTCACTGTTTCAAAAAATCCATATTATTTTCCAGACTTTTAGAGCTTTGATTATATCCCCAAACATTTTCGAAATAAAAATTACTGTTTCAAAAAATCATCCAGGCTCACATATAAAATACTCTGCTAAACATTTTTCACTGTTTCAATAAATTCCTATGATTTTTTGATAACACTAGATGTTTGCTGATTCTAAGCTCTCACCCACCCAAAAATAACTAACCCCACAATGCAAAATTGCTTGCCTCCTCACTCGTCCCATTTCCATTCCCAAAATGTCCAAATCCAAAAATACCCAATCGATAATTCGTCGTAACCACCACAATATTCCTCTCTTGTCCCACAAAATTATTGATCAAAATGTCGGGATTCAAAGACGAAGATGTTTCATGATCAAATCTTCCCCCATGAATTGCTAGCATTAAAGAACAATTTTTGGTTTTGAGGCAAAAATCGTTGGTGAAAACGTTGAGAAATAGACAATCTTCGGACATTGAGCCTGGTTTTTGGGTTGTTGTTTTGTAGGTTGCGCTGGAAAATTGGGGGATTTTTTGGAACAATGTTTTCAATTTAATTTTGTGTGTGTGCGTTCATCTTATCTATCAAATTTTTAGAAAATTCTTTTTTTGAAACAGTAATTTTTTCAAAAAAAAAAATTGTCTGGTTGTTATGTTTTGGTCAAATGAAATCAAAGTGTTAGAAAGTTTCGAAAGCTTTCACTTATTTTTGAAACAGTAAGTTTTTTTTCAAAAAATTTTGGATATAAATTTCTAAAAAGAAAAGGAAAGCTAATTCAACACTTCATAAAATCAACAAAAACCTAAGATTTTTGAAACAGTGAAAAAATTAATTTTTTTTAATTTTCATTTTCGTAAAAATTTTTTTTAGAAAATTCAGTCTCGTTCGTATCAAATTTTTTAACATGAAAAAATGGTTATGCAATTTTTGAAACAGTGAGAATTATCGAGAATCCATCAAATTTATCGAGAATACATCAAATATTTCAAAACTCCCAAAAACCTCATAAAATTTTTGAAACAGTGAAATTTTTTTTTTATTGTTCACTATTGACAACAAGTCTCGAATCAACATTTTCAACATAAAAAATTTTTGAAACGTAATTTTCCATGAAAAAAAAATCGCGAATATTTTTTTCAAACTAAAACTTGAACTAGTAAATCAAAAAAAAAACACTCACATCGGATCGCTCATACAAACCGCTCCAAATTCATCAGCTTTTCGAATTCCCGTCCAATTTCCAGGTTTTTCCGGTTTTCGAAATCTCAATTTTCCAATCGGCGGTTTGGCGAAAGGAATTCCCAAAAATTGCACAGCATTTTGCGAGCCCAGCGGGGAATAATTCACCGTTTTTCGAACACCCTCGATTTTTCCAGTGCTGAAAATAATAGAAAATTTTGTGACGTGAAAAAAAGGAGGCATGGCCAAGTGGTTAGCACGACTGCCTAGCGTTTGCAAAACCAAAGTTCGATCCCCATCGCCGCCCAACTTTTTTAAAGTTTATTTTTAGAGTATTTCTCGACTAGAAAAAAATCTAACCTCAAATTGATCAACAAATTATCCCCGCTTCCAAAAATTATTAGAAAAATCAATAAATTCCGCATTTTTTTCTAGACAAATAAAACAAAAATAAAAACAATAAATGAATGGCTCTAAAACCAATGATAACAAAAAAAAGGTTTATTTGATAAGGTTTCTAGTTTCTAGTCACCAAAAATCGTGTGTCTTCTAGCGAAAAAATGGGATTGCTGTAGTCATTTGAACTTTCAAAGTTTTTTTCTTGGAAAAAAATGAACAAATATGAAATGAGGCTAATTGAGAAGAAAAATTTTGATGAAAAAAATTGTGCAAAAAAAATCTTATTGAGTTTTTTTTTCATTTTCATTTTTTATTGAATCTTTGAGCTCTGCGGCTAGAAATTTTTGCGCTAAAAATTGTATGAAATTCATCCAAAAAAATCCACTGTTTCAAAATTTTCCCAAATTTTTGAATGATAATTCAGAGCTGATAATTTAATATAAAAAAAATAAAAATTCACTGTTTCAAAAAATAAAACAATAAAATTTCAAATTTGAGATTTTTATTATATTTGAGATTTGTATTATACTGGTAAAAAAACATTTTTTTTTCAATTGCGAAATTACTATTGTAACTTTAATCAAACTAATCTAGGTGCCCAAAGAAAATCCTAAATTTCAAAATTTTGATGCCAAAAAAATGTATTCATCTAAAATTTTCAACATCTACTATTGTCATTCCGAAAATAAAAAGAACCCCCGTTTGAATTGGCGCTCACGTACAGTAGACTACAAATGACGTGACACATGCACATCAAACTGGTTGGCAAATATCCAGCGTGTAAATATCGCATTTTATTTTTCAAATAGACTCCAAAATTTTGCGAAGTCTACTGTAGTCTTGGTTTTCTAGGCCATTTCGTTTCTCTTCCAAGTTCTTATTTTTTCGGAATGACAATATTTCAGTCAAACATTTTTTTCACTGTTTCATATTTTTCACAAGATTTTGAATGACAATTTCAGAACTGATAATTTAACAAAACATGTTATAAAAAATATTAAAAATTCACTGTTTCAAAAATAAAACATGAAAATTTCAAATTTGAGATTTTTATTGGTGCCATTATTCCCTGAAACCTTAATTTTGGAAATTAAAAACAGTGCACCTGAATTTTTTTCTGTACTTTTCATTAAATTTTTCAAATTAGGTCCCGTGGCGAAATTACTACTGTACCTTTAATCCCGATTGGATCCCGATTGGAAAAGCCTACTGTAGCTGTCTAATTTCGTACTTCAAAAATAAGGTCCCGTAAAAAAGTTACCACTCTAGGTATAATTTTTGCGCGAAAAAAAACCCATGGGTCCCGTATGTAAATCATACTGTAGCTTCCCATCAGAAACTCTAAGATCTCAATAATCTCTCGAGAATAATTTTTTCTCAGAAAAAATAAATTTAAAATTCAAATGAGACTAGGATAGGACAATTTACTACATAGGATCAAACTACATACAATTTTTTCCCACGTTTTTATTCCCAGATTTTCCCATTGTGTTTTCTACTTTCTGTTTTCAGTGCCAAAACTTTTATTTTCGAAAAAAAAGCGAGCAGAATAATAAATTGTTTACTTTCGAAAAAAAATGCTTTTCAGAAAAAAAGTACAAAAAATTTTTGTGTCTGGGGTTGGGGTGAAAAAAGCTCTTCGCACTTTCCTGGATTTTTTTGGGTCTCGACTGGAAAATCCTACTGTGCCTAATTTTTAGTGTCAATTTTTTCCTGAAGAATTTGCATTTCTAAACATAGATCATCTCTCAAATTAGTCATTTCGAAAAAAAATTTTGAATAGGAAAAAATAATTGGGATTTTTAATTGAGACTGAGGCGAAGAGCAAAAAAGTTGTTTTGTTTTGTTTTGAGGAAATGATGTTCTTGGGGGTACTGTAGATTTTGCATTATTTAAATTTCTGAATTTTTGTTTTTTTTTTTTGTTTTAGTTTTTGAGATGAGAGCTCAAAAATCATTTTTTTTTTTCAGCCTAGGATTTTTTTTTGAGATTTTATTTAGTTACTGTAAATTTTAGCCGTAAGCAATAACTGGAACAAAATTTGGGAAAATTTCTGATTTCCATAAAATATTTGAAACAGTAAATCATTACAGCATCAAAACATTTGGAAACATTTTTCATTCTCAAAATATTTTGAAACAGTGATTTTTTTGCTCAGAATCAGTTTTTTAAAATTTTTTTCAATTACAACTCATGGGGTATCGATTCTACAATTTTTGTCAAAATTTTTGTGCAAAATTTGAAACAGAAGATTTTTTTTTTCAAAAATTAAAACTCTTTGTTTGGATAGGTAGTTGAACAATCACAACAATTTTCACATTTTCTCTAAAATTTCGTAAGAAATTTGAAACAGTGAATTTTTTCTATAAATATTTTTGATGATTTTTTTTCAAGTATGAACGAACAAGTGCGAAAAAACTCAAATTTCTTCTAAAAAAAAATTGAAACAGTAAATTTTTCCGCAACTGAATTCCGGGCATTTATTTTTTATATGTTATACATCGAAAAAATGAAGCGAAATTTTCCGAATTCGCAAAAATTTTATAAAAATTCTGAAACAGTCAAATTTTTCAGAGTCAAATCAGTTTTTCGAACACTGGGCATCAGAATTATAGACATTTTCTCTCCAAAAATTTTGAACATTTTTTGAAACAGTGAATTTTTTCTCTAAAAACCTACGGTATACCAGGATGTTCTAGACATAAACATCATTTTCCAGCTGAAATTTCTGAAATGTTCTTCTGACTTAGAACATCAAAAATTCTGAATTCCAGCTGAAAAATAACTTTTTTCCGGTCATCAAAAAAGATTTCTGAACTTCGAAAATTTCATTTTACAAAAAATCCCAAATTTCCAAATGAATTCAAAAGTAAATCGAAATTTTACTGATTTCAAAAAATCTCTCCAAAATTTTTCAATAATTTTTGAAACAGTGATTTTTTTCTCACTAAAATTCTTCAGTTCATAAAATTCTGCTTTCTGAACCCGAAAAAAGTCCAAAATGTTCCTTTTTTAGACATATACATAAAGAGGAAGAACATTTTGACAAATGATACTTTTTTCTGCATACATACATATTTATTTTATAGATCTCTGGAACATTTTTCTTTTTTTTTGTTGGCTTTGAAGTTAGGCGAAATCTGTTATTTATTGGTTGAACTTTTGCAGTTAAAAATGTTGGGTTTTGAAAGTTTCTGAGATGTAGAAAAATTCACTGTTTCAGAAATATTTTTTAAAAATTAAAAAAAAATTTCAAACCGATAATGATCTTTAATTACCTTTAAAATTCAAATTCTGTTTGAAAATCTAAATTTCGCTCAAAAAATTTACTGTTTCAGAAAAATAATAGAACTTAAAAATTGATTTTGTATTTCAATACATCTCTTATTGTTATTCGAAACAGATTCGAAAATAATCTTGAATCTCACATTTTCCAAAAATCAATTATCCTTCAAATTACTTCAGGATTTTTTTTCGAAAAAAATCTAATCAGCTTTCAAAAAATCTCAAAAGCCTAATACTTTTGTGCAGAACTTTGGTTCAAAAAATTTCACTGTTTCAATTTTATTTTAATTAGAATTTTGACTTTTTGATTTTAGTACGTCGGCATTTTCTGCGTTCTAAAAAATCTCACTGTTTCAATTAAATAATATCTCAAATTTCCAGAACTAATTTTTCAATGTTATAAATATTTTCTAAAAATTTAAAAATCTCACTGTTTCAAAAAATCATTTAAAAAATACCAAAATTTCCAGAAACTCAATTTTTCTAATAATTGTCTCCAGAAAACTTTCAAATCTCATGAATTTCTTGGTCGAAAAAATTTCACTGTTTCAGAAAACAGTTTTGAAAATTCAAAAGTTCTAGAAATTCGATAATATAATTGGTTGCGTTCTAAAAAATCTCACTGTTTCAAAGAAAATTCCAATGATAATTAAAATTTTGCAAAACCTTTTCACTGTTTCAAAACTTTTTTAGAAACTAACAGGTTTCGAAAGATTATTGAAAAAACAAAAGCAATTTTTAAAAAATTACTGTTTCAAAATTTAAAAAAATCTCACTGTTTCAAAAAATCAATTAAACAATATTTCAAATTTCCAGAACTTAAATATTTTCTGAAAATTTTTTCAATTTATAAATATTTTCTAAAAATTTAAAAATCTCACTGTTTCAAAAAATCCTTTAAAAAATACCAAAATTGCCAGAAACTCAATAATTCTAATAATTGTTTCCAGAAAACTTTAAAATCTCATGAATTTCTTTCGCGAAAAAATGTTACTGTTTCAAAAACTAGTTTTTAATATCCAAAATTTCTAGAAATTCGATAATCTAATTTGGTGCGTTCTAAAAAATCTCACTGTTTCAAAGAAAATTTCAATAATAATTAAAATTTTGCAAAACCTTTTCACTGTTTCAAAACCTTTTTTAGAAACTAACAGGTTTCGAAAGATTATTGAAAAAACAAAAGCAATTTTTAAAAAATTAGTGTTCCAAAATTCCTTTTAAAAATCTCACTGTTTCAAAAAATCAATTAAATAATATTTGAAATTTCCAGAACTCAGTATACTTTGAATATCCCCGCAAAAAAATTTCCCCAAAATCACGACCCCAAAAACATCCAAAAAGGGGGTGGGATAATCCCAGATTTCCTATTTGTGTACAATTCTGACTTTAAATCCATCTTGAAATAAAATTTCAGTTTTCAACCGACTTGTTCCGATGATTTCTGCTCTAAAAATACATAATAAAAATTCATCATTTTCCAAATAAATATTCATATATTTTCAGATAAATTTTGCTCTTTCCGGTTTCTTTGCTCATTTATTTTTTTTGAAAGGAAACTTGGAAAAAAACAAAAACTCAAAAAAAATAATTAGTTTTTCGAACTTTTTCTCTAAAAAGTGATGTTATTTTCTCAACTCTAATTATCCGCCTTTTTTCTTTTATATACTGCACTAACTTCTAATTGTAAGCTTGTTTTGGTGCTGGAAATTAAGTTAATTCAAAAAATTTTGCAGAATTCTCAAAAAATGTCTCGTTTCGAAGCAGCTTCTCCCCAAAAATCCTACATTTCTCAACAAATCCAAAAAATCGAGCAAAAATATTTGGAAGAATGGACAAATTCATCACGTCTACTATTCTATTCAGTAATTATTTTCTCACTAATTGCAATTCCAGCATTTCTAATTTCACTGGGTCGATTAATGTTTGTCAAAAGTTCGTGTAACACTTATTATTTTCCATATTTGTGCGCGATTTTGATTGCAAATATGGTGTTGTTGGGTTCGCTTTTGGGAAGTGTTATTACGGAAAATTCGGATTTTGTTTATAGTGAGTTTTTTTTTTTAATTTTTGAAAAGCAGGGGCCAAAAATCCAGCCTAGGGTTTCTAGAAAACCTCAAAGTTTGACTAATTTCTAGCGGATTTCCGCAAAACATTTTTTTCTTCAGAAAAATTAGAAACTTCGAGCAATGAACAGAATATTTTCTTCAAAAAATTCTAGGCATCATTTTCAAACGATTTATAATTCAAATAGCATAAATTCTTGGGAAATTTCTAATAAACAATATTTTTGAAACAGTGAAATTTTACTTGTAAAAAAACACTTTATCGATGAAGCATACATTAGAGCAATTCGAGAATTTCATTTGAAAAATTTGTGAAAATTTTGAAACAGTGAAATTTTTTGGGATGAGAATTTTTATTTTTTTTAAATATATAGTGATATAGTTATTGATTTTTGAACATTAGTTCAATATTTTGTGTATTTTTTGAAACAGTGAAGTTTTTTTAAAATTATAATAAGCTGGAAAATAATGTGATCGTAATAGCTTTTTTATCAAAATTGTTTTTTAAGCTCAAACATTTTTTTCTGAAAACATTATAGACTTCAAGATCAGAATTTTGATTCTGAAGTTCGGAATTTCAGAAGTTAGGTTAACTGGCTGTGAAAATCCTAAATTTAAATCCAAATATTTCAGATTCAATTTTCTAGGGCCAAATTTTCCTATGATAACAAATTTTAAGACAAATCACTACAAGACCCAATTTTGATTAAAATTTTGTTATTTTCAATATTTTTCTTTTAATTTTCCCATGAAAAACTGCCCAAAAATCTCACATTTTCCTTCATTTTCTTCTTGTTCTCGAACTCTCCAAAATTCCGATTTTTGCTCATTTCCAAATACACTAACATTTCCAAAACCTGCAATTTACTATACTCTTTCAATTTTCTGAAAATGAATAATAACTTACCACAACTCAAATCACAAGAGAAGAGATGATTCAGGGACCATTTCCAAGTGCCAGAAGAATTCGAACTGAGAAAAAAAAAAAACTTTAAAATAAAAAATGAGGACACGTTTTCATGTTTTTTATAAGTTTCACGTTTGAAAATTCTTTTTTTTAAAGATTTTTTTCAAATTTCAGAGCTAATCTTGGTTTAAACAGCTCCGGGATAAAAAAATTTAAATTTTCAAAAAAAAATTTTCAACATGAAACTACTGTCTATTGAACATTGAACAAAATTCAAAGACAAAGTAATTATTTTGAAACAGTAAAATTTTGTGACCTCAGAAAACTTGATTTTTCAATTTTTCCTCTTGTATTTTCACGTGGAAAATCCATGTTTCTCAGAACTCCCATCCAACTTTAATTTCAGTGTTTTTCTGCAAAAAAGTCCTAATTTCAAAGAAAGTTCGTCTGCTTTTTTGTTTTTGTTTTGTTGAACAACAAAAAAATGTACTTTCTTTGAAATAACGAGCAGCTCTAGACAAATCTAGAAGAAGCTTGGGGGATTTTTGAGAAAAAAAAAACAAATTTGGGCTGAAATTTGGGAGAAGCTGAAAATTTAGGTTTTAAGGTTCCAGAGTCACAGAATTTTATTAAAATTTTCAGAGGTACATTTCTCTGTGTATATTTCTGAAATTAAGCAAACCTCAAGAATTGCTTTGTAAAAAAACACAATAAAAAAATTTTACAAAAAATTCACTGTTTCAATAAAAATTCTTATTTCCGATTGTTTTGGGAAAATTTGTTTCTTCATCGTCGAGTCAAAAATTCATGATATTCTATTTTGAGGTAAATATTCTATATAACTCTAGCTTCAGAGTACTGTAGCTAGAAAATTCAAAATTCGGAACTACAAAATTACCGACCTCGAATATTACTGTAACCACCAGAAAATATTATGTAAAAAAAAAGCCCTGATATTACTGTAGCTAAATAATTTGTGTTTCAAAAAATCCCGCCAAAAGCTGAATAAAAATGAAAGAAAACCGTAGTTTTCACTAGAAAAAAAAGGAAAATTTCCAAAATTCCCCCTTCAAAAACCACTAAACCTCTCCAAAATTAAGTACAGTACCCTTTTCCAGGTCTTGTCCCGGGAATAATCGTGTGCAAGCTAACAGCATTTCTAGTTAACACATCTTCATGTTTTATTCATTGGACTTGGGTGGCAATGTATGCTCAAAGATTTATTTTTGTATTTTTCCCACTTCGTGCAAGAAGAACTGTTTTTAGTCAATCGATAATTTTGATCGGGTGAGTTTGGGTAACTAATCAAACAGGATTTGGAAAATTCATTTTCTAGTTATTCTCAAAACCTCTCTCTTTTTTTAAGAATCCTAATAATCTCTGGCCTTCTTCAAATCTGGACCCTAGTCTTCATCACCGCAATTCATTTAGACGACGAAAATCTAGATAGTATGTATTGTGGTGGAGATCCCCAATATTCCACAGAATCTAATCAAATAATTGCAATCATCGAATGTACAATCACATTTTTTGTCCCACTATTCTTAACAATAATTTCCGATTTTTCGGTTTTGTTTTGGAATAATTCATGTGGCCAGCAGTTTACACTGGTTTCGAATGATGGAATTTGTGAGGGTGGAAGAAAGAAGAGTAATATGAAGATTGTTTCGATGGATTGTTTGAAGGTGGGGAAATTTGAAAAATTGGGGACTATAGAGAAAAAAAGATTTTCTGATATCCAATTTTCAGCTTAAAAAATAATTTCAAAATAAAATAGTTCATAAATATTTACTGTTTCAAGTAATTTCTTAACATTTTTCTACTTCTCATTTTTGCTTACACATCCGCCATGAACTTTCTAGTATAAAATTTCAACGTGGCTTGAAAAATCCCATGAAAAATCACTGTTTCAAAAATTTATTATAAATTTTCTCTTTTTATTTAATTTTGATGAAGAGTCGACTTTGTTCAGAACTGAATGTTCAGAAAAAAAATATCATGAAAAATATACTGTTTCAAATAATTTTCATAATTTTCTCGTCTTTCAATTTTTGATAGAAATAGCCAAAAAAAAACTAAATTTCGGTATTTTTCCTGAATTTCAGTCGTAATAGTTCACGTGGAAAGAAAAGTTCAAAAAAATTTACTGTTTCAAATAATTTCTTTACGTTTTTCTTCTTTCATTTTTCAGTTAAAAAAAACACTAATTTTCCATTATTTAAAAAAATCCCATAAAAAATCACTGTTTCAAAATTTTATTATAAATTTTCTCTTATTATTTAATTTTGATGTAGAGTCGACTTTGTTCAAAACATTATGTTCAAAAAAATCTCATGAAAAATATACTGTTTCAAATAATTTTCATAAATTTCTTGTCTTTCAATTTTTTGATAGAAATAGCCAAAAAAAAACTAAATTTCGGTATTTTTCCTGAATTTCAGTGGTAATACTTAGTTCAAGTGGAAAGAAAAGTTCGAAAAAATTCACTGTTTCAAATAATTTCTTTACGTTTTTCTTCTTTCATTTTACAGTTCAAAAAAACCCTAATTTTCCATTATTTTAAAAAATCCCATAAAAAATCACTGTTTCAAAATTTAATTATAAATTGTCTCTATTTATTTAATTTTGATGAAGAGTCGAAGAAAAGTTCGAAAAAAATTCACTGTTTCAATTACACTTCAAGACATTTTGCTTCATATTTTAATTAGTTCGAGGTTTCTGCACATCATAGTTGATATTTTTTCGAGTTTTTTTCAGAGAACTCAATGTAAACGTGCTCAAGCAATTCGTCGCTGTCTAATCTCAGCCACAATCACACTTCTATTCAATCTTCCAAATTACAGTCTTCAAATTTTGGATGAATTTTTGGAACTTCGAGATAATCCATCAATTGATGTTAGACGATTTTATTTAAAGGTTGGTCCAATTTTTAAGAATTTTTGAATTTTCAAAATTCGAGTTTTCTAGATCGATGCATTTGTCTACATTCTATATTTAATGCAATTTCCTCTAACTCCAGTTCATATATTTTTCCTAACATTCAATACTGCGAAAACTAAATCAAGGAGTCCGAATACTTCAAATCGACTAAATAATTGCTGTAATTCGAGTGTTGTTGTACATGTTTGATAATTTATTCTGGGTTTTTGATATGAAAAAATTCTTGGCTTTTATGAATCGAAGATCAAAATAATTTGAAGTGAAATATTTTTCTGCATTTTTTGAAACAGTGAATTTTCGAAAAAACAACACATTTTTTCAGTTCTCAATTAGATTTATCGAATCTTTCGTTGGAAAGAATTAATTTTAAAATTCAGATTTTGATTTTCAGAATAACAAACTCCGATATATCAGAAAAAATTCAGACAAAACACATTTTTGAAATTAATGAAACAGTGAATTTTTTTTCGAAAAAAATGGAATTCCACCTAACACATTGAAAAATATGAAACCCAGGAAAATCTTAATTATTATTCGAAACAGTGAATTTTTGTAAAGAAAAAAATTTTCAAATTTTCAGATGAATTATAACGTGGAAAAAACACAATTTTCTAACAGATATTACAGAGTTACTATTTTCAGTTCAAAATTTCGGAAAATCAAATGTTCATGAAACAGTGAATTTTTCTGATTTTTTTAAATTAACCTGTAAGCAAAACTCTTATTGAAAATTACGAAACCCAAAAAAACCATAATTATTTTTTGAAACAGTGAATTTTTATGAAGATTTTTACCTTGAATTTTTCAAGTGAACTATGACGTGGCAAAAAAGACAAAAATATTTAACAGATAACAAAGCAGCGTTATTATGTTCAGTTTAAAACTTCGGAAAATCAAATGTTCATGAAACAGTGAATATTTCTGTAAGCAAAACTCTTATTGAAAATTACGAAACCCAAAAAAACTATAATTATTTTTTGAAACAGTGAATTTTTGTGGAGGAAATAAAATTGATTTCAAATTGACTGTGACGTGGCAAAAAGAGACAAAATTTTCTAATAGATAGAGGATCGAGGCGTTATTATTTTTAGTTCAAAATATCGCAAAATCAAATTTTTTTGAAACAGTGAATTTTTGTACGAAAAAAAAATTCAAATTTTTAGATGAAATTATAACGTGGCAAAATTAATTCATCATTTTTCAACAGAAAGATGTATGCGCTAATTAGTTTTCTTTCGAAAATCCTGATAAATAACATTTTCTTGAAACAGTGACTTTTATAGATTTTTCTTGAAGAAATTAAACGTTGATCAAAAACTTTCAAACCCCAAAAAATCTTAATCATTTTTTGAAACAGTGAATTTTTGTGAAGGTTTTTATCTTGAATTTTTCAAATGAACTATGACGTGGCAAAAAAACAAAATTTTCTAAGAGATATCACAACGTTATTATTTCCAGTTCAAAATTTCGGAAAATCAAATTTTTATGAAACAGTGAATTTTTCTGATTTTTTAAAATTAACCTGACATGAGCGCAAGTTGAAATGAAAAATACGGAAGCCAGAAAAACTATAATTATTTTTTGAAACAGTGAATATTTGTAAAGGAAACAAGCTTGTATTTTTCAAATGAACTATGACGTGGAAAAAAAACAAAATTTTCTAAGAGATATCACAACGTTATCATTTTCAGCTAAAAAATTCTGGAAAATAAAATTTTCATGAAACAGTGAATTTTTCTGATTTTTAAAAATTAATCTGACATGAACGCAAGTTTCTGATTGGAAAATACTGAACCCAAAAAACTATAATTATTTTTTGAAACAGTGATTTTTTTTGAAGGTTTTCATCTTGAATTTTTCGAGTGAACTGTGACGTGGTAAAAAAAACTAAATTTTCTAACAGAATCCGACAGCAATATTATTTTCAATTTAAAAATTCTGAAAAATCAAATTTTCATGAAACAGTGAATTTTTCGGATTTTTCAAAATTAACCTGATGTAAGCAAAACTCTTATTGAAAAACACGGAGCCCAGAAAAATCTTAATTATTATTCGAAACAGTGAATTTTTATGAAGATTTTTACCTTGAATTTTTCAAGTGAACTATGACGTGGCAAAAAAGACAAAAATATTTAACAGATAACAAAGCAGCGTTATTATGTTCAGTTTAAAACTTCGGAAAATCAAATGTTCATGAAACAGTGAATATTTCTGTAAGCAAAACTCTTATTGAAAATTACGAAACCCAAAAAAACTATAATTATTTTTTGAAACAGTGAATTTTTGTGGAGGAAATAAAATTGATTTCAAATTGACTGTGACGTGGCAAACAGGAATAATTTCTAACGAAAAATACGGAAGGATTCGCTCTATTATTTTTAGATCTGAATTTCGGAATATCAAACTTTCTTGAAACAGTGAATTTTTCTTATTTTTTAAAATTAACCTCATGTCAGAACGATTCTTATTGAAAAACACGGAACCCAAACAATTATACTTATTTTTTGAAACAGTGAAATTTTGTAAGGAAAAAAATCAAACTTTCAGATGGACTATGACGTGGCAAAATTAACTCATCATTTTTAAACAGAATGCGTACGTATATTAGTTTTCTTTCGAAAATCCTGATAAATAACATTTTCTTGAAACAGTGAACTTTTTTTTAAAAAGTTTTGATAAACAACCTAACGCATGCGAGATTATTATTAAAAACTCCTAAACCCCAAAAAATCTTAATTATTTTTGAAACAGTAAATTTTTCGTTGAACTCAAAATTTCTTTTCAATAAAAAATGACGTGGTGTCTAACAAAAAACCCTAATTTTTTCCAAAGAAATCGGAAAAATGTCAGATTTTTTGAGAAATGCGAATCAAATTGAAATATGTGAATTTCTTTTTTTCTACTGTTCTCCTTCAATGTTTTCTAATTTCCAAAATTCCTTCGAGCTATGACGTGGCAAAAAAGGCTCTTCAAAATCCCATTAGATTTCGGCTAACTTTCAGTTTTCAAGTGTAAATTGACACCTCTCATCATTTTTCCAATCCTATTTCCATTTTCAAACTTCTCTTTTGTTTTTTTTTTGGTGGAAATGTTCATTTTTCCTAATTTTTTCCAAAAACTAATTAGCCTAACTTTAACTTTTGACTAACTGAAACCCTCCAAAAAACTCATTTTTCTGAACAGAAAAATTTAGAAAACAACTTTTTTCAAAGCTAGAAAAAATGTATTCGAATAAGTGAGTTTTCAACAAAAATTTTTTTCATTTCGAGCTTAATTTTAAAATTTTGAGAAGAGTTCATACACAAAAAAATCCAGAAACCCAAAATGAAATCGAATACGCCTAGAAGATACCAATAAATTTTTGTTGGATATTTCCGAAAGCCTATTTTTCTCATTTTTTGATGAATTTTATTGGGTTTCCTCATATTTTTAATCATAAAAAATAGCGAAAAACAAGAAAAGGTTTCCCTCCAGAAAAAATTTTGTCTGAAAATGTTCAGAAAACGTGCAAACTTGTCATGAATTTTTAAGTTTTCATCATTTTTTCTTGGCCCCCAACAACTTTTCTCACTTTTTTTCTATTTTTCACTTTTGGGGAGAAATCTAACAAAGTTAGAGGTTTTATTTGGCGTCGAAAATCTAATTTTTACAAAATTTTCAGCTCAACTTTCATGTCCTATTATAATACCGTGGATAATTATGGAGGTGGTTTGGAAGGTGAGTTTTTAAAGGGATTTGCGAAGATTTTGTGTAGTTCTCGAGGAAAACTAGAGAAAAATTTCATAGATTTATCTTATTTTCAAGATTTTCGATGCCTACCAGCTTTTTCAAATGAAGAATAGCTTTGAGCGCATGTTTTTTGGTGAAAATTGAAGATTTTTGAGAAATTTCATTCATTTTTCAAATCCCGCCCCAAAAAACTCACCATTTCCTTGAAATTCCGAAAATCCAGCTTCATCTTCACCTTTTCCTTGACCTAAAATCAGAAATTTTCATAAATTTCAACCTATTTTGCAAAACTCACCAAAAATCGAATTTTCCTGCCTGAAACTCCTTCAACAAAATATTTCAAATCCGCAAAATTCAAGCGAAAACATGATTTCAATATTCAAAACACAAAACAAAACTTTATAATCACTTTATTCACACACAAAAACCAGAAAACACACGAAAAATAGAAATGACGCGCAAAAAAAACAAAAGTAAAACAACGACACTCCGCGTGCCCGTTGTTTAGCTTGTTGTTTTTGCAAACGTGGAATTTCGCATTTCTTGATTTTTATCGATTTTTTGGCAGTTTTGAAGATTTCAATGCAAAATTTGGTGAGTAGTTTGGATTTTTGTGAAATTTAGTGAAAAACAGAGCTTCTAGTCAAGTTTTTATGTGTAAAAAATGATTTTCGGTGAAAAATTTCGTTCAAAATTCCCAAAAAGTGCACTCAAAGTTCCTCATTTACTTAAAAATTCATGAAAATTGTGAAAGTTCGCAGAAAAGCGAGAAATTTTGTGGTTAGAAAACTGAAAATTGTACATTTTAATTTGACAAATTCCAGAAAATTCTTTTTTTTTTTCATTTTCAAATCAAAAAATATCCGAAAAAACTTCATTTTAATAACCCCAGGCTTAATTTTTTGGCTGAAAATACTCTTGGAATTTTTTTTTCAAAAACCTAACGAGATCTTTGTCACTTTGAAACAACACCTACTCAAAATCCTTTTTTTCAAAAAAAAAAAGAAAATCAAATTTTTGACAAGGGCTCCGGCCTCATTTTCTTCTTTGAAAACACGAAAATCTTTTTTTTCACTTTGCTCAAGAAATGTTTCCAACCCGACGAGAAATTTGATATTTTTTATCCGCACACAAAAATTTGTGTTTTACTTTTCTCGTCATTTTTTGGGTTGACACCAAAAAAAATGTTTTTTGAAATTTTCCCACACAAAAAGTGTGGCGCAATTAATTATTTCTTACATCTTTTTTTTTCACATTTTTTTATTCACATTGAAACATCAAATTTTCCAGCTGAAAATCCATATTTTCTGACTCATAAAATAAAATTTTATGCGATTTCTTCTTCAAAAATATAGACATCTATCTATCAAGATAATTCGAAATTTCCGGCTCTATAATTTTCAGCTATTCAAAAAAAAATACAAAATATTCAAATTTTTAGGCTCCGCCACTGTTCCAAACATGTTTTCAGGCAAAAACAATGTTTTTTCGCCGTTGGCCAGTGAAAAAGTTCGACGAAGACCGAGTCAGGTAAGAGCATTTTGGGAAGGTTTGGGCTGAAAATATTTGAATCTTTGAGATTTCCGGTGGGAATTTTTGGATTCTAGAGGAAATTTGGAGTTTTTTGAGACCAAATATGCTGTGATTTTGAAAATTCTATTTTTGAGATACAGTAGGATTGAGACTTTGTGAGATTATTGTCTTGCATCAATTTTTGGCGCGAAAAACATAGCTTCAAAACGCTGTGATTTCTCATCGAAAAAAAAACATTTCTGAATTCTGGGGCCAAAATTATTTTCTAAAAATTTCACTGTTTCAAATAATGCCTAATTGTTTTTCGAAAATTGAAAAAAATAATCAGAAGGCTGGCGATTATTTGCTGCATCAAAATGTTTCCAAAAAATTTCACTGTTTCAAAAATTGCCTAATTGTTTTTTGAAACTTTGAAGAAATGTTCATTTAACTGTTGATTATCTGATAAAAATACTGTAATTTCCCTCTGAAAATGGCGCCAAATATTAAATTAAAAAAAAACCTACACGAGTTTTAGCGTCAAAAATTCCCGATTCAAAATTAGATTTTTTGTGCGTCAAAATTTTTCAAAAACAAAATGCACTGTTTCAAAAATTGTGTAAATTTCATTGACAAATTGAGAAAATGTTTGGTGTTAAGATTTTTCTGAGTCCTCATAGTACTGTAATTTCTCTCCAAAAATCGCGCCAACAATTTCCGATTCAAAATTCTGATGTGATTTATTCTGACATAACTTTTTGTTCAGCCGGCGCGAATTATTTCCTATTTTTCCTACCAAAACCCATGATTTCTGGCGTCTAGAAATGTTTCATGAATTTTTGATCTAACCATATTTTTTTTCTGAAAATATGTATATAAATAAAGTATATCAAAAATTCTCCCACACAACAAAAACAAGGCAAATTTCGCCATCTCATTTTGTTGAAATTCAAACCAGCTCAGCTCATTCAGCTCTCCATTTTTTCTTGTTTTTTTTCTGAATTCCCGCGCTGGAATAATTAATGAATCAGAAAGAAAAAGGGACTTTTTTGCCCATTTTTTCTCCTTTTTTCTTTTTCTTCTTGTTTCTCATTTTTTTCATTATAAAAAATATAATATTGAATAAAAATGTGCATTTTTAAGACTTGCGCTAACTTTTTCTAGGATTTTCAGAGTTTCTTTTTAGTTCTGAAAATTATAGTTTTTTGTAGAAAATGGAAATTTTGAAAAATTAATTTTCGCGCCGAATTTAGAATCAGAAATTTTGTTTTCCTATATAAAAAGTAGCTAGAAAACTGTTTTTTTCAAAACTCGAAAAATACGTTGAGAATCTTTGAAACAGTAAATTTTTTCAGAACAATTTCGGTTGAAAAATTCAGTTTTTCATGAAAAAATCTGAAATTTTATGCGATTTTTGACTGAAGTTCTCATAAATTCCTGATGTAGCACCATTACACAATCAAAGTTTTCTGAAATTTAAAATTTATCAAAAATCTTTGAAACAGTGAATTTTTTTCTTGCTTCAAATTTCTTTTCTATCTGAAAAAAACGAATATTTTATTTTAAATCGGGATTTTTTTGTTCGCCAGGTGTTAGATTACACTTTCATGTTTCAGGTTTCATTTTTTTTTTGAGATTTTCACCTGACTTTCACTATGAGAAATTGTTATCTTAGAGTTTTTTCTCAATTTTTGTTTTAAATTAGGCTTCTTCTTTTGAAGCCTGAAAATCAGACCTGAACTTAGGCTTCTCAAAATTAAACCCCAAATTATAGGTTTCTCAAATCTTATTTTTGAACCTTGAAAATTAAGGTTAATTCTCAGGCTTTTCCAATTTTTTTTCTCATTTTCTGAATCTAGAAAATTGATTATTCGATTTCAGGAGTCCCAAATATCCAAAAAAAATTCACTGTTTCAAAATTTTTTTAAAGATTTTCCAAATTTTCAGAAATGCTAGTAGTATAAGCCCGCCTGCCAAAAAATAATTGTCCCTGTGTTTGTGTATTTTTTTGGTTGAAAGTGACACACACGAAAATTTTTTTCTCGCAGCAGTCAGGATAAAAAACAACAAAAAACACGAATCCTATCCTGTTTTTAGGCAATTTTCTTTTTGAAAATAAATAGAGTCTGAAAATTTTTTACATTTATTTAACCGCATGCTTCCGCGCGGTTAGCGGAAAATAATTTTTTTCAAAAAAAATTAATGTTCCTATTCTTCTAGTGATTTATTTCGGTCGTACAAATATATAAATAAAATGAAAAAAATTTGACAAAGATTTATTTTTTGGGTTTTTTTTTTGAAAACAAAAAAAGCCATCAAGTGGGATGGGATTTTTGAAGTACACATTTCACTCATTTTACTAAAACCAAAAAAATTCGTCATTTTTTCAGTATTTTTTTCGACTATATAAAAATTAGCTGAATTTTTCCTATAGAAAATCAAAAATGAAACATTTTGTTTCCGGATTTTTTGAAAAAATGCAAATTTTAAAAATCTTTTTACATACGTTTTTTTTTCGCGCCAAAACTTACAGTACCTTCCTAAGTCAAATCACAAGTTCAAAACTCATTTTTCCTCCAAAAAACCTGTCATCAAAAATTCTCGCATCAAAAAAAATGACAAATAAAATAACATCATCCATCTCTTGATATCTTTTTCGTCTTTTTTTTTTTCGAAAAAAAAACCACCAACTGACTTTTTCCCCCAACTTTTTGTCGCGACGAACAAATTTCTATATTTTTTTTCAATATTTTTTGGAAAAACAATTCCTGATGAATGGGTGGAAATTCCAGCAAATTTGAGGCGAAAAATCGAAAATCTAGTATTATTTTGTTGAATGGCAATCAGATTATTGATGACGAGGAATTTGATGAGCGAGAAAAATGGGTAGGGGATTTTTGGCGCCAAAAATTTAGAGGTACTGTAAGTTTTGGCGCCAGAATTCTGATTTTGGATTTTATGAAGCTGAGATATTAAGCTTCAAAAAAATGCTGAAAATCTTCTCTGGAAGAATATCTGAAAAGGTTTTACGAAAATTGAAGAAAATTCTGAAGTTCACCTGAAACTGAATTTTTGTCTGAAATTCCACGAATGCTGAAAATTCCTAATATTTTTGGCGGAAAAAATCCCATTTGAAAATACGTTTCAAATGTTTTCTATTAAAAAACCAGTTTACTTTTATTTTATTATACTTGTTTTTTCTTCCAAAAAATTTCCTGTTTTAAATGTTTCCTGAAAAACTTCCAGATTTTGTCTAAAAATATTTTCTAATTCCCATCGGAAATAGAAACTCTCTGAAAAAAAGGCATAATTCAATTTTTCCCTTATTATTTTCAGCAGCCTTTTTCTCTCTGTCTGCTCTGAAAAATACACATATAGAGAGAAAAAAATTGTATTTTCAGTGAGCGCCGCTCAATTTTCAGCACTCATTTTCCTAGCTAAAAATAATTTTTTTTTGCAGTTCGATCGAGCTGTTCACAAAGTCTATTCGGAGCCGCCGCAATTATTCACAAATTCGTTGATCGATACAATTTATCATCGATTTTATTGGTCGTTGAGAGCTTTGCAGTTTCGCGTTTTTTATAAGAATGAAGGTGGGTTTTGGCGGGGCAGATTTTTTCACTGTTTCAAAAAAATTTGAATAAAATTGAGGTATTCTAATTTTTGTTTAATCAAAATTTGGATGTCCCAAAAAAATCCACGTGAACTATTCGAATTCTCGCGCCAGAAAATTTGATTTTTCCGAGAAAATTTTTTCACTGTTTCGAAAATTTTTGAATAAAATTGAGACATTCTGATAAGGTGTTACATCACTTTTTCAATTTTTCACGTGGAAATTTCAAAGTTCAAACTCTTGTCACAAGATAAAAATTGAGGAATCCGATTTTCCCGAAAAAAAATTCACTGTTTCAAAAAATAATTGAAAAATATTTTCGCTACAATTAATATGGTATTCCTTCTGCTTGAAATTAATAAATTAAAATTCATAAATTCCTAACTTTATAATTGTAATTCTTCTGTCATCCTGAAAATATTTTTGCAACAAAAAAAATTTTGACGTCAAGATTCCACGTGGAATTTTCAGAATTGAAACTCTTGTGACCAAAATCTTTTTCAAAACTCACTTTATCATGAATACATATTTTCACTGTTTCAAAAAATAATTGAAAAATTTTGATTTGCTACAGTTTTGATGGTATAGGTTCTGAATTCATATTAGATTGAAATAATTCAAAAATTCCAAACTTTATAATTGTATTTCTTCTGTCATCCTGAAAATATTTTTAAAATTAAAATTTTGGTGCTGAAATTAACGAGGCTAAAATTAGGGAAATTCAATTTACCCCGAAAAACATTTCACTGTTTCAAATAATTTTGAAAACAATGGAAAGAATCTAAATTCGATCGATTTTTTCTTGGCATCTCGTTCAAATTAAAAAAAAGTTTCAACGCTGAAATTCCACGTGTCAAAATTGAATCTTAAAGTTACAAACGTAAAACTCTCAATTTTGCATGGATGGATTGTTTTCCACTGTTTCAAAAAATTGTTTTTGAAATTTAGAAATTTGAAATTTAGAAGACTTGATGGTCTCATTTCTTGTGTTATCCTGAAAACATTTTTCAATTCAAAATTTTGGTGCTGAAATTCACGAGGCTAAAATTAGGGAAATTCAATTTTGCTTTTGAGAAAATATTCACTGTTTCAAAAAATACTGAACAACATTTAAGCGCCTCATCACTTTGATAAAATTGAAAAATAAACAAAAATTTTGATTCAAAAAAACAACAAAAAAATGCATTTTGAAGGTACAATAAAATTTTGCTCCTATTTTTTGTTTTGAAAAAAATTACTGTTTCAAAAAATTTTTGAAAACATTTGAAAGATTCTAAATCTGATAAACGCGTAAAAGAAAAATCATATTTTTATCCGAAAAAGTTTCACTGTTTCGAAAATTCACCAGAATGAAAATTTAGAGTTCATAAAGTATTATCTTATATTTCGAGTGATCTAGAAAAAAGCATGTTGTTGTGAAAAATCAGAATTTTTGGTTAAAAGTTCACATTTGACTACAAAATAATCTCACTGTTTCAAAAAATGTGGAAAACAATTTTCCAGCCAAAATCCATATTGGGATTCTCAAATCTAATAATATTCAGAAAATTTAGTTTTTTTGAAACAGTGAACATTTGTTGGTTAGAAATTCCACGTCATAAACTTTTTCATTTTTCCCACGAAAAAACACATATTTCTCATTCTCAGGAGAACATTTAGATGATCAAAAATAATACAAATCCGATTTTCCGGATTTTTTCGTGGGAAAAAAACTTGAAAATAAATTTCTATATTTAATTTGATTCGAGAATTCCACGTGGCGAAAAAGCGCCAAATTTCATTTTCAAATTTTTTTTGTTTTGCAGATATGGATCTAGACGAAACAGTGGATAAATGGGAAATTGGTGTTCAACCACCGTCACTCGAACAACTCGCACATCGAACACATTTCAGTCCGAGATGGATCAAATACATGTATGCCAGATTCAAAAATGTGAGTTATACTTTTATCACCGTTTCGCTAAATAATGGGGAATTTCTTTAAAGCATGGGCACATTTTGTGCCTGGGAAACATGCTCTTTTGAATGTGATACTTCTGGTCACTGAAATTTTCCGCGAAAAATAGGATTGATTACAGAACCGTCAACGATCTGTGAAAAATAAAAGTTTTTTACAAAAAAAAAAAAAGTTTTAAAAGTACCAACCCCATATTCCGCCACGCTTCTTCCTTTCACTAATTTTTCCTTTTTGTACCACAAATCTTCATCACTCATGTCGACTCGTTTGCTTCTCTTCAAAAAATGGTTGATTAGCTAATTAATTAATAGGGCTGATTCACGAACGAAAAAAATGTTAAAAATTCACGAAAAGTCAAAAAATGTCGAAAAAACATTGTAGGTCAAAATTAGTTTTTCAAGTTTTTCAGCCAAAAATGATGACAAATTAATATTTTTCAAGCTTCTGAAGTAATTTCTGATGAAAATTGACCTTGGAATTCACTTTCCAGAAGGTTTTGCTGATTTTTCGTGAAATAAACAAATTTTAAAATTTGATGAATTTCGAAAAATTCATCAAATTGAGCAAAATAGGGGTCTCAAAGCTTATTTTCATCAGAAATTACTTCAGAAGCTTGAAAAATATTGATTTGTCATCATTTTTGGCTGAAAAACTCGAAAAACTATTTTTGACCTACAATGTTTTTTCGACATTTTTTGCCTTTTCGTGAATTGATCTTTAAATGTTAAAAAAAGGATTTTTTCGTTCGTGAATCAGCCCTAATAAGTGAAAAATCTCACATATTGTATAATTTTATCAACATCGTCGTTTGGATTTACGCTAAATCTGAAAAGAAAACCACAATCGTTGATTCCAATTGAAATATCAGGCTTCTTCTTCAATGAATTATTTATAGCGTTTCGAACTTTTCTCACAGGTTTTTTCCAATTTTGAAAACTATCAGCGTACTCTATTATTTTCTGACATTTATGAAAATGCCCAATCGCTTGAACTTTGTCTTCAAGTTCTGACTCGAAATCCTGAGCCCATAGCAAAAATTGACGACTACTAAATTTGAGATTTTTTCGATTAGCGAAATTTGTCGCCGCTACAATATTCAATGAGTTAGTATGATAAAATGTGTTGCTGAAAACAATGTCGACCAAACAATTTCCACATCCACATGAATTTGGTCTGAAAAATCGGAAGCTACAACATCGAAATTTGAATGAAGCAGTCTTACTTTTCAGTTGGTTTCCTGTTGAAAAACTTTGAAAGAAAATAGAAAAATACAAGCGATGCAATGAAATATGCGAACATTTTTGTCGAAACAAAAAATTATGTGATTTATCTCACAAATTATAAATAACCAGATTTTGTAGCGTTCTTTTGAACTCATGTCAGATTAAAAATATCATTAAAATTTGAAGTGTGAATTTCGAAACTCGAATTGATCATCCTAAATAGCTTTGAAAATATTTCAATATTGATTTTTCTTCCCATAATTCAAATTTTCTCCAGGAATCTCCCACCGGAAAAATGAAGGAGGAAGAATTCAAAAACCTGCTGGCCTCAATAATCGCTCCCGAAAAAGCCACCGATCAATACATTTCCAGACTTTTCCAGGCTTTCGCTGGAAAAGACAAGAAAACCATCACTTTTGAGGTACTCTTTAGAATTTGCAGAATTTTTGGCTGAAAATCTTTGATTTTCAGAATTTGCTGGAGAGTTTGGCTCATGTTCATCCACAAACCGCTGAAACCAACGCGAAATGGACAATGCGATTGATAACTGAAGGAGAGGGAGACAATTTCGGGTTTAGTGTGAGTTTTTTTGGGGGATATTTGAAAAATACAGTAATCCTAGGAGTACTGTAGAAGAAAATTTATCATTTTGGCGGGAAAAATCAATTTTTTGAATTTTCGAATGTGCATTAAAAATACTGTAGTTCCAGAAGTTTGTGAGGTAAAATTACAGTAGTTCTAGGAGTACTGTAGAATTCCCTTTGATTTTCTCAATTCTGTATCCTTATCTGAAACAAAAAAGTACAGTAATCTGGATTTTTTTTCTATTTTTGAAAAATTTCAACTGGAATATTTTTGGGTTACTGTGTTTTTTGAAGTACAGTACTTTCAGATGAAAAATACAGTTATTTGGACTTATGCTTATTCCATCCTAATATGTGGAATTGTAGTTGGCTTACTGTAGGTTAGAGACGCAGATAAACAAATGAGATGATTAGAGACGTAGAGGGTTAGACAACTAGAAAATCTGAGAAGCTGAGAGACGAGAGAGTGTGTCTATTTTAGAGACGCAGGCAGCTTCTTGAAAATTTCAAAAATCATATTTTTTTTTCTAATTTCAAAGTCAATTTTTTTCAAAAATCCTATTTTGAACATCAAAATTCAGAACCCGAATAGAATATAAATATAAAAAATTTCAAAAAAAATCTATTGTCATGCTAACTTCCCAAAACACTTTTCCAAGCCCCGCCCCTTTCACACATCAAACATAGCCATCTCCAAAACCCGCCAATCGTCGGCGAGTCGAAAAATTTAAGAATCCCCAAAAACATCCCCTTTTCGTTCAATAAAAACATTCAGAGCCTTTAATAAGACTCGGTGTACAATTTTTGGAGATCTTTCTCGTGAGAGAAGGTGTTAATCACGACGTTACATCAAATTTCTATGTTTTTTCAGCAATTCCTCGACTTCACCCAAAGTGTTTTCCAACTAAACGAGGGAAAAATCGCGGGAGTTGAGCTAAATCGCGAATCGATCAATCAAAGAGCCTCAACAATTTTCATGGAACTCGATCAAGATCACGATGGACTGGTGACTTTCCCAGATATGATTCGATTTTTCGAGAAATCTGGAGAATCCAGTTTGAGCTCTTCTTCTTCAACACATCCTGATATGGTGTAAAAACAAAATTTGAACTTACTTTTTTGATTTTTGAAAGATCTCACTCTTCATGTATTTTTATTGGAATTCAATGAAAATGAATAATAGAAAATATTCGATTTACCAACTGAAAAACAAACGAAATCTAATCATTTTCAATCATTTCCGGTTTGAAAAAATGAATAACTATACTCTCTACACAGATTTCTCTGATTTTTATACTGTTTCAAATTATATTGATATTTTGCTGAGTTTACCTATCTATTCATACGCAATTTATTACATGATTTTTCGCGCCAAAAAACATATGAATAATTATCGATTTATCATATTATCGAAAATAATTTGGAGCTTCCTATTTGAGCAATTTTCTGCGAGTCTTGCTCTCATTTGGTTTGCTCCATTGGAAGTTTTCTGTCCAACCGGATACCTCACGCATTTTTTAAAAATCCCGCCAATTATTTGGCAAAGTATTGTAGTTTCACTAAGTCATTCTCTAGCTGTCTCTATAATTCATTTGTATTTTTATCGATTGAAAAGTGCACTTTGGCCACATCCAATTTATCAAAAAATGGAGAAATTTGGAAGAATTTTCTTTGTTTTTCATTATTTTTTGGGGTTTTTCTTGTATTCGAAAGAGATTTATGAGTCAAGTGGAACGATTTTGGATAGAAAAAAATATGCGAAAAATTCGTCTGGAATTCCAAATCTATTTTGGAAAAATGATTGTTATACTAGAAAAAATATATCAATAATTTCAAATTATTCTCTAATTTTTCTAATGTTTTCCACGATTTTCCTAGTTTTCCTAACTCCTCTTCTCACAACAATCACAATAATTCGAAAATTTCGTCAACAAAGTTGTCGAAACGCGAAAAACCAACGAAATTTGCTGAAAAGTCTAGTTATCCAAACTCTAATCTTCCTGCTTTTATACATTATTCCGAAGCAAATTACATCAAGTTCATTATTTTATGATTGGTTCAATCCTGGAGTTATTCTAAGTTGTTTGGCTGTTGTTAGATGTCATGGGAGTTTTGCGACGATTTCGATATTTTTAACGACTCCAGGATTTCGGAAAGATTTTATTGGATTTTTGGGAAGCATTGGGCACAAAAAAGTTAACTCGATTAATTTGAAATGAAATTTCTGGAGTTTTTGTTTTGAAAATAAAGAACTTGAGAGTATGTTCCTTTAATGTTTCTTACTGTAGCTTCAGACAACCCAATAAAAAAAGTCTAGCGATTTTTTTCTTGTTTTTTTTTGTCCTAGCGATATGTTTTTGCGGGTTTCCTGGTGAATTTCAAAAACATTTCCTCATTTCATGCAAAAATAATGTATATTCTGCTATTTATTTCTGTTTTTTGCTCAATTTCGAGTTATGTCAACTCATATTTGGCGATATTTTATGGAGGAGTTGGCTCAAGTATGAATTGTACGAAATATTCGACTGTCTCTTGGGACACTTGTATGACAAATTGTGAAAGTAATGCAAATTGTTATGTGAGTTGGGAAGAGACATTTTCAAAAAATTTTGAAACAGTGAAATTTCTGAAAAAAAAAATTAATTTTTCGAATAAATTTGAAATATTCTAAATTTTTTTCTTTCAAAATTGTAAAACTGGAAAAAGTTAGACAAACTCTACTTCCAACTTAAAGCCTTTAAGGTTCTCTAAAGTTCATTTAAGCTCTCTGGAATCCTATGAGGCTTCCAAAGTTCTTTCGGACCCGCTAAAACTTTCTCAAGACCTCTGAAGCCCTCTAAAAGTCCCTAGAAGCTTTCTGGAGTTCATTAGGGCCCTATGAAGCCGTCTGAACATTCCTGAACTCAACAAGGTCCTCCAGGCCTCATAAAGGTCCCTTGGCTCATGTGAGGCCCCTAGAATCTCCTAAAGCCCATTAGAGCCCATCAGAGCCTGTCATAGGCTTCCCAAACTCCATTCCCTTTCAAAATTTCAATCTAAATTCCCAGCTCGCCTACACTTCCCCTACAATTTCTTGCTACATCTGCGGTTACGGTGGATTCAAAGGCATCACATATTCTTCCTCGGAAACCGATTATATTTTTGCAATGAAAACTTGGTCAAGCAATTGTTCCTATAATCAGGATATGTTAAGCTCTCAAAATATCGATGTTCTTAAAACGTGCCCCGGTGGTTATGGTACAGTAACCCGAAGCATTTATACAGTTTGTGCTCAGAGATTATACTACAATATCTATAAGACCAAAGCTTTTGCGGTAAATTTGTGCATCGAAAGAACATTTGGATACGGTGGGAAACTGATGGGTTTGAATACTGATATTGATCGGATTAATGGTGCCGCCGCTCCAGCTTCTAGCAATGTTTATGCGTACAATTGTAGTCTTTGGATTGGCTTAGAGCTTCAAAATAGTGTACTTAAAAATCCTTGTGAACTTTAGGAATACAATGAAAAAAATTTGCAGATTTGGACATGGACTGATCCTTATATGAGTGGAGCGGGAAGCATTGTATGGGCCTCGGGACATCCGAAAACTGGATACACATGTGCCTCTCTACAATATGGAACTGCACTTTTACAAAGTGAGAATTGTGCTGCAGCTAAGTGCACAGCGAAATATTGTCCAGGTTCTTGTTTGTGCGTGTTTCCTATGCAATAAAGTGTTTTCGGGTAGCCTGGAGATTTTTGTTTTTTTTTTAATTTTTTCAAACTTAAGAAGAGCTCTTTAAAAATATTCAGTCAAAGATTTTGATTTTTTAACTTGGAATCAAAAATAATTTCAAAATTAAAAGTTCACTGCAAAGCGAAACGTATTTTTGCCTGCCTTTCCCTCAATTAACCATGTTCTCATATACTTCAACCCTCTCAATAACGAGAAAGGTTTTCAAAAATTGTAACCACGAGTCTTGAGTAAGGCTCTGCTAAACGTTGGTTATACAAAGCAAGCCAACATTTTCCAGCTATTTATATTTTCCCACTCGCCGACGTTTGCCGGGTTTTGCGCGGCGCCTTGTTTCTCGTGGAAAATGGGCGGGGCTTGTTTGAAACTGTAAAATTTTTGAGGTTGGTTTTTTATTTATTTAGAAAATATTCCCGCGTGTTCAAATTTTTTTTGATCTTCTATGAAAAAATCCCGCGAATTCCTCATTTTTGTATTTTTGGCGTTTACGAATTGGCAGTTTTTTTTTCGCAAAAAATCAATTCTAAAGCAAATTATGGATGAGTATATTTATGTAAGTCATTTTTCCTGTTTTCAAAACCCATATATTTTATATTTGCAGCCCTACAACACTTCGTGGTTCGATTTACCATTGGAAATGCGCGAACATGTTATAAAACAAATGGATTTTAGAACAAGATGTCGATTTTCTGACTGTTCGACGATTTGTGAATCAGAAGCAATTCAGGAAAGATTGTTTAGCATTTGGAGTATTGAATTTGATGAAAGTGTTGACGGTGTACTCGAAATCCAAGTCGCGGAAAGTTTTGATGATCGGGAAAGGTTTCCGACATTTAAATTTGAAAAATTGGATGAACATCGAACCATTGTCAAATATCTGGAGTAAGCATTCAATTTTCTTCAAAAGGTTGAGCTTTATGATCTCTTTATTCAGAAACATATGGAACAATGAATTTTCAACAACTATTGCCAATGGGAGTCCAACACAAGTCAGAGCAAAATATGCAAATTATTTTTTCGGGAAGTTTCAGGATTCAATTGATTATTGTACGGTTGTTGTAAGTACTTTTTTTTTGGTTCTTGTAAAACGAAAAGTTTTGTTAACAGGATCGTCATGAAGTCACAACACTCGAAGGAATCAAATTTCCATTTCTGAACCTTGACCAATTTATTTGTTCCTTTGACATCAAAAATTGGGAGTATTTCCATCAGAATGGTATTTTCGAGTTAGAAGAAGTGAGAATCTGATGTTATTTCACCTACAATATTCAATTTTGCAGATGCGATACATTGATTATTTGGAATTGAGTGCTTCGATGAGAATCGCCTTCGATTTCGCACTCAAATATAAAGGCGGATTCGCAGAATTTCATTGTGAAGATTTTGATCAACAAATCATTGATGATTATTTGTCTCGCGTGAAAATTGAAGGAATGCATGAAGAATCAATGATAACAGTGTCATTTGCTTCGAGAAGACTTGGCTTCACAATCGATGTTCAAAAATTGGCGCCAATCAAAACTTGGCAAGAAAAACATCATTGTTATAGCGCAATATGTAAAAATGTTGTTATTGAGACAGAATCTGGAGGTCAAAAAATACACATAATCTATTATGATACTTTTATTCAATTGAAAATCAAAAAAGACTGAATACATATGATATTATTTTTAAAAACTTGTGAATAAATTATTTTTTCAATTTCTCGAAAAACCCTCAACACAAGCCCCGCCCCTTTTCCACGAGAAACAAGGCGCCGCGCAAAACCCGGCAAACGTCGGCGAGGGGGAAAATATAGATAGCTGGAAAATGTTGGCTTTCTTTGTATAACCAACGTTTAGCAGAGCCTTACTTAAGACTCGTGGTTACAATTTTTGGAAGCCTTTCTCGTTATTGAGAGGGTTGAAGTTTATGAAAAGAGAGCAGCTTTTGCATCAGCTCACAAAAAAAATGAGAAAAAGGCAGGCAAAAATACGTTTCGCTTGGCCGTGAACTTTTAGTTTTGAAATTATTTTTGATTCCAAGTTAGCTGTTCATTAAAAAATCAAAATCTTTGACCGAAGATTTTAAAGGGGGACTCTGAGATAAATGCATGTTTCATCCATCCTAACGCTATTCCGTCTATCCCCCTAACTCCGCTTGCGAAAAAAATCGCAAAAATTTTGTGTGTGAGAAAAGAAAAAAAAGAAAAAAATCTGTGAACATTTCTGGCACGCGAGCTTGTGCGCTCTATTGACAACGGCGGCAAACGATTTTTTCAAATTTCCTTTTTCTATTTTTTTTTGTTTTTATTTTGTTTTTACTTAAAAAACAAAAGTATTTCAAACATTTCATAAACAATGTATCAATAATAATCGCTTCACAATATTTTATGTTTTCAGAAAAATAACAATTGTACAAATAAATCAATAATTTTTGGTCGACACAAAATTATGAGCGATGAAAAAACAAGAAATAGTTTTTGTTCTTATTGTGGAGCGAAAAAAAATGTGAAAGAAATGCGAGCTGTAACATCAAATAATGCTTTATTTCAAAAGTGGAGGGCCAGTCTAGGTGAAGAATTCTATAAAAACGCGCGATATTTTTCGAAACCATCGATATGCCGAAGTCATTTCAAATCCGGAAGCTTTGGGAAAATTTCAAATAGTTCTATTCCACTTCCACTGCCTTTCAGTAATTTGGTTAGAGAACTTCCGCTTGAATATTCGACATGTGAACTACGAAAATCATCATCTCAACCATCGATTAACACTGGAGGAGAATCGTGTAGCAATAATTTTATGGAAGAAACAATGTCCGAAGGAGAAGCTGAAAACGTCAGTTTCAATTAGTAATTTGATGACTAGATATTATTTATTCAGATTTTGCAAAATGTCGGAAAATATCTAGAAGAGCAGGATAATACAGAGGATTGTGGAGATAATGGAGATGAAGATTCTTCAGGTATGGAAGCAGATATTTCTCTAATTGAAGATCAACTTGATATTGTGAAAGATCCTAACTATCAACCCAGTATTGTTGAATTGATCGAAAAAGATGAGTCAATGATATTTGAGGATGGTGAAAAAGAGGCGAAATCTACGACAAATTTCGTATATTGTTTTGTTCTCATTGAAAGTTTATTGTTATTGGTTGAGAAATGCTTTGATTGTCATTCTTCAGCGAAATCAACAGTGAAGAATGTTGGAAGTGTCATAATTGTGAGTTATGAACATTGAAATTAGATTTTATAGTATTTTTATAGATTGATTGTGCATGCGAATGCGGTAAGATATGGAGATTTGAATCTAGTAAAAAGATTATGAGAACCGATGGATCCAAATCTAGAAGATATTCACTGAATGTAGCTGTAACCGCTGCCACAGTCACAATAGGGCAAACTTATTCAGTGAGTTTTTACATTATTCTAAACAAGTTTACAATGGAAAAATAAGAAATGCCGATTTTCCTTAATTGATTCAATAAAATGTGGATCGAAATATTGATTCCAGAATTTGCTCGGATTTCTCAACGTATTACAAGCTCCGTGTTTATCCCAAGCGACATTTTTCGAGACACGTAAGAATGGAATTGTTCCAGCTATTCAAAAAATTTATGATGATCAATCCGAAAAAATTGGAAAAATTTTGAAATCATTTGTGAGTTGAATCCATTATTCAAATTTCAATCAATTTCTGTTCAGGGTAAAAAAATCGATGTATCAGGAGACGGAATGTACGATTCCAGAGGATTCTGCGCCTTTTGGTGCCGTTATGTTATTATGTGTGCCGCCACAAAATTTATTTTAACTTTCGTAAACAAGAGAAAAACCCCTGGAAGTTTGTATATTTTTCTTAAACCAAATTTAATCTCATTTTTTCCAGAAAGTTCAAAAGCGTTAGAATCGTGGGCACATAAAGAAGCATTGCAACAAACCATTCAGAAATATTCCAAATTATTTGGCATACAAAACCCTGTGAAGTCAATGACCACAGACAGATGTCCATCGATCACCAAAACTATGGCAAAATCGTTTCCGAAATTGAACCATCTGTATGATCTTTGGCATTTAGTACGTAACATAACTATGGACGTGTGGCCGGTGAGTTGTTTGCTTATTATTATTTTTTTTGTTTTCATCGAGTTGAGCATTCTCTTTTTTTACAGAAACGAAATCAGAAACAAATGATGCCCATAAAACCCTGGCTCCAACACATGTTGAACAATATTTATTATGCTATTCAAACAAGCAATGGTGATGGTGTTTTGGCAAAGGAGCAAGTAATGAGCACATTCGCGCACATTGCGGGTATTCATGATGATTTTCAAGTTAGTTTGGTTTAAAAAAAAACTAGGAACATCACATTTTTTACAGAACATTGGCTGGTACACGTTCACAGTGCTAAAAAAATGTGCACACGAAGAAAAAGATGTGAGAAATGTTGGATATCTTGATTTGGATGATGAACGAGATTTCAAAGCCTGGAAATTAGTCAAGGATATATTTTTGAAGGGATCTAGGCTTGAAGATCTCGCAAAAATTTCACCAAATTTTTGCACTTCCGAAGTTGAATCGTTCAATAGTTTGTCAGCTCATTATGCACCCAAAGATCGATATCTGTAGGTTTACTTCTAACTAGCAAGCTTACTGTAGCAATAGATTTATTCCAGACACAATCACGAAACTTCCTCAAAACTCGCTGTTTTGCATTGGAATCATTTAAAGCTTGAAGAATTTGAAGGAGTTCGGGTAGTTGAAAGTATGAAAACCTACACCAACAAAACTAAACAAGAAAAACGATTGAAAAAGGTGAAAACGAAATCTAAGCACTCGTGGAGAAATTTGATTTTGGAATGCAGCATTGTGAAATTGGGTAATTTTAATTATTTGAATTTAATTTCCATTGTGTTTTTATAGGAAATATTAGAGAGGATCTAATTAATTCCCAAGATCCCGACTACGAAGACAATTTGAACGAAGATTTTGCAGAACGAGTGAGTTTTGGTACAAAAAACACAAAAAAAAAAAAACATTTTCAGCTCGAATTTTTGATGGATGAATTATCGGATGAGACTGATATCGAAGAAAGTAGCAGTGAATCCGATTGACAAGTTGAAATATAACTGTGATTATGTATAATTGTGAATATCAAAATGTGAAACTTTGTAAATATATGTCAATAAATTTTATTATTTATCAAAATTCAAAAATAATAACATTTTGTTTTTACTTCTCACTCTTCCTCATAACATAAAGGTAATGGAGCTTTGAATCCTTTGTAAATTTGGGATGGCCATTTTGTTCTGATGGTCGCAACAATACATGAAGGCAAAGGAATGCGTTTTGAGTTTAGTTTGATGTTCATGTCATAAACTATCAACGAGTATGCGTAGAATCGATAATTCCTAAAAAAAAATACACATTTTCCGGAAAAATTCCATTATTTTCAAAGTTTCTAATGATTTTCAATGAAATTTTGAAAGCTTCAGACAATTTGAGATATTTTGCCAATATTCGGGCAAAATTTAGAATTTTCGAGAATTCTCAGACAAAAATTCCATTATTTTCAAAGTGTTTTATGATTTTCAATGAAATTTTAAAAGCTTCAGACAATTTGAGATATTTTGCCAATATTCGGGCAAAATTTAGAATTTTCGAGAATTCTCAGACAAAAATTCCATTATTTTCAAAGTGTCTTATGATTTTCAATGAAATTTTAAAAGCTTCAGACAATTTGAGATATTTTGCCAATATTCGGGCAAAATTTAGAATTTTCGAGAATTCTCAGACAAAAATTCCATTATTTTCAAAGTGTCTTATGATTTTCAATGAAATTTTGAAAGCTTCAGACAATTTGAGATATTTTGCCAATATTCGGGCAAAATTTAGAATTTTCGAGAATTCTCAGACAAAAATTCCATTATTTTCAAAGTGTCTTATGATTTTCAATGAAATTTTAAAAGCTTCAGACAATTTGAGATATTTTGCCAATATTCGGGCAAAATTTAGAATTTTCGAGAATTCTCAGACAAAAATTCCATTATTTTCAAAGTGTCTTATGATTTTCAATGAAATTTTAAAAGCTTCAGACAATTTGAGATATTTTGCCAATATTCGGGCAAAATTTAGAATTTTCGAGAATTCTCAGACAAAAATTCCATTATTTTCAAAGTGTCTTATGATTTTCAATGAAATTTTAAAAGCTTCAGACAATTTGAGATATTTTGCCAATATTCGGGCAAAATTTAGAATTTTCGAGAATTCTCAGACAAAAATTCCATTATTTTCAAAGTGTTTTATGATTTTCAATGAAATTTTAAAAGCTTCAGACAATTTGAGATATTTTGCCAATATTCGGGCAAAATTTAGAATTTTCGAGAATTCTCAGACAAAAATTCCATTATTTTCAAAGTGTCTTATGATTTTCAATGAAATTTTAAAAGCTTCAGACAATTTGAGATATTTTGCCAATATTCAGACAAAATTCAAATTTTTGGAGTATTCTCAGACAAAAATTCCATTATTTTCAAAGTGTTTTATGATTTTCAATGAAATTTTAAAAGCTTCAGACAATTTGAGATATTTTGCCAATATTCGGGCAAAATTTAGAATTTTCGAGAATTCTCAGACAAAAATTCCATTATTTTCAAAGTGTTTTATGATTTTCAATGAAATTTTAAAAGCTTCAGACAATTTGAGATATTTTGCCAATATTCGGGCAAAATTTAGAATTTTCGAGAATTCTCAGACAAAAATTCCATTATTTTCAAAGTGTCTTATGATTTTCAATGAAATTTTAAAAGCTTCAGACAATTTGAGATATTTTGCCAATATTCAGACAAAATTCAAATTTTTGGAGTATTCTCAGACAAAAATTCCATTATTTTCAAAGTGTCTTATGATTTTCAATGAAATTTTAAAAGCTTCAGACAATTTGAGATATTTTGCCAATATTCAGACAAAATTCAAATTTTTGGAGTATTCTCAGACAAAAATTCCATTATTTTCAAAGTGTCTTATGATTTTCAATGAAATTTTAAAAGCTTCAGACAATTTGAGATATTTTGCCAATATTCAGACAAAATTCAAATTTTTGGAGTATTCTCAGACAAAAACAATATTTTCACGATTTTTCAAATACAAAAAAAACTTACTCAGCTTTCAAATCTTCTTTTATTCTTGACATGGCAAATTTATAACCACTCATAAAAACACCAAGAATCTAAAAAAAATGAGTTACGTTCAGAATAAATTAATGGAAATGTTCTTACCTCCTCGTCTAAATATTTTTTGAAACCTTCACAATCCGCTGCACATTTATGGAAATCGCCTTTCCAAAAGATTTTATCAAAATGTTTCGAGATTTGTCGCCCATATAAAGCTTGATTTTTTTCATTCTCTGGATATATTTCATGACAACAATACGAGACGTCGCCATCCGATGTACAACGGCCACAAGTACAAGTATTAGTTCCATTTTTAAATAATAAATTTATACTTTTTTTTGTCGCATCACGTTCTTGTCTATCCATCATTTCTCGATTATTCTTCATTTCTTCCAATGTTGGCTGATGGGAGTATTGGGAAAACTTTGGTTTTTCCATCTGTAAATATTTTTCGAAATTATAGGTTTCAAAGTTATTTTCTGTTATACACAAAGTAATTTATTTTCCGATGAATATTTGAAAAACAAAACGAGAAAAAATGGGAAAAACGTGTGTGTGTGTTGAAAAAAAAAATAAATAAATGTTCGTCATGTGTGTTGTTTGCGTACAGCCAAACATTATATGCGACGAACAATTGCGTACACCAGTTTTGCATTATTTCAGTGACCCCCTTTAAAGAGCTCTTCTAAAGTTTAACAATTTTTGAATAAAAAAACTTTATTTTTATCAGAAGAAGATCAAGAAAATTCGATCTGGTTTTAATAATCCAACAACTGTGCAAAATGTTAATTTTTCGAAGACTTTTTATAGAAATAAAATGTGTTTCTCTGCGTCTCCTTGTGCGACACACTCTTTCTCTTCTCAGGAAAATGAGTACTCCGGAGAAACACGAAAGGGGCTATTTTCTCCAGTGCTACCCAAGAATGCACTAATTCTCACCAAACTTCCCGAATTCACTCCGGAGAAACACGAAAGAGTCGTGATTTTCAGCGCTCGTCGATTTCCCCCTTTTTACTCCGGAGTAACTCTGGTGTTTCTCTTGATAGAAAAGGGGGAGCTCCGGTGCGATCAAAATTTCAAACTTTTGGATGCGCTGCGCTGCGTCGCGGTCAACTATTGATTTTTTGCATTCGATTTCATTTTTCGTTTTTCTTTTCTATTTTGAGTTATTTTTCTCAGAAACCACACGTTTTTTTTGTAAATTTATGTTTCACATGTTTACTTCGCAAACTTAAAGCTTTTTTTAAAATAAATTTACTATCTTTTTCATATTTTTCAGTCAAAATGGGCGCGCTGGAAGGAACTACGATTCGAATGATTTTTTTCGAGGAAGCAAGATTTGTTCATGGGATATTTAAGTGTTCAGGTATGTTTTTAATCAATCTCCGTATTTTCATAAAGTGATTTTTACAGTCGACAACTGGAAAACACAATTCATATTATGCATCAAATCGATTTCGCAATGTGGATCACAGAGTAGATGAAATTCAAAAGTGAGTTTCTTTTCACTTCCTAAAAACCATGACATCTTATATTTCACGAAAATAATCTCAAAAGTTGGTTATAATTGTTGACTTGTTGATTTTCACGAAAATAATCTCAAAAGTTGGCTTTATCTAAGAAAGGAAATCGCTACGATTCCATCTTGAATTTTTCTCTCTAATTCTAAAAATGTGCAATTTTAAGTATATGTTTCATTTTCAGATCATAAAAGCGACAATCAAAACACTTCATGTTACTTGGCAATAGTTATCAACGAAATAGCGATCTACGAAGAAGGATTTGGCTATTTGGTTACCGAAGCGACCATATTTGTGTACTAAATCGAGCCTTAGTAATTGTAATCATTTTAATCATTCAATAAAAGGTGAACTATTCAACGTGTTTTTGATCAAGCGAATCAAAAAGCCAGCTGGGAATCTTCTGAAACGCACTGAAAATACATAGAAATTTACCCAATTCGCGCAAAACTTCTCTAAATCGCACCGAAATTCCCCCAAACCTCAACCGAAAACGCTCCAGAGGAGCGCCGAAGCGACCATTTTTCCCCGGAGGAGCACCAGAGCGCACCAAACTACCCAAAAACTTTTTAGGAGAAAAACGAGTGCTAGCACCGGAGTAATTTTCGGCTTTCTCCAGAGCTGTTTATGTGTTTCTCCGGAGTATTCATTTCCCTGAGTTGATGCCAGAAAATGTTGATTTTTTTGAGTTAGTGTAAATTAGTTTTTTCGGAAACTGCAGAGGATCACTTCCATGATTTTCAGCACGAAATTTCAGATTTAGAAATTAATTTTTTAACAAAGCAAAAACGATTTGTTCGAAAAACAAAGGGTTCATTTATACATATCAGATAAAACAAAAAAAATGTAGATTTTTAACATTTCACAAGTAGACCTTATAAAAACCCGTAAATTTTCACCAGAAAAAATGATAAAATTGAAAGACAATTAAAAAGTGAAAGAGTTATTGATTAATAAGCTCGGAATTTTCTTTAGATTATTATACATGAAAAGTGTGGATGTTATTTTAAAAAAATGTGGATATTATTTAAAGAATAAGCTTGGAAAATTGAAAAATTCCAAAAGGGACAAAAAAGATCAGAAGTGAGAGCTTACTTGGTTGATGAAGATGGGACACAAGATTTTTCACGGCGACGGATTTTCGAGGACGATCGGGAAAAAAAAATATTATTCGACGATCTAGGTTATTAGAAGCCCAGAAGTTTTTACAGGCTTCAGTATATATCTAGAGGGCCTAGGAATTTTCTCGAATTTTTCAAAAAACCAGATAAAATTCTGAATTTTTCAAAAATCTCAAGAAAATTTATGACTTCAGAAGTTGTAGGGTTTTCGAAATCTCGGGAAAAATTCCATGGCTCCAGAGCATTTCTAGAAGACCTAGGAGGGCCCCCTGAACTCTTCAGAAATCCAGAGAAAATCTAGATGTGCTCACAGATAGAATCTCCCCCCAAAGGCAATTCTAGAGCCCAGAACAGTTTTTAGAAGACCTAAGGAACGCATCTGAATATTTTTGAGCCCCAAAACCAACTCACTGTAATGATGGGACCGCGGATGTTTGTCGAGTTCTCCTGCAAAAAAAATCAAATTAAATTATTTCCAAATTTCAAAACTCACAATTTGTTGGTCTTTTTCAATCTTTCCTGTTGTTTCATTTGTTGATCAAGATCCGTGAATGTTCGCTCATATTCCTTTATCATTCGTTTTCCTCTTCTAGTTTTTTCACTTTCCAACAATGCATTTTTATATTGATTGATATGATAAATGGCCGCCCATCCAATTCGATCCACCATTTCCATGTCCAATTTTTGATCATTCGCTTCAACCAATTTTGGCAACAGGATCCATTTCAATACACGAAGTTGAATTAGCTCGAAATTTGGAAAAGTCAAACTATAATCGATCACTTGTTTTTGGATCAATTCTTCTTCAATTTCGTGGATTCTGAAAAAAAAACGTTTTGCTAATTTGAAAGAGCATGTTCTAACAATCCTAGAAGGATTTAGTTTAAAAATTTAAAATCTCGAAAAATCCGGAAATTTGCTAATGGCTTTTTTTCACCAGGGGACCAAATTTAGCATTGAAATTGACTAAAAGATTTTCATTTCTGATTCAAAAATTGAAAAAAAAAATATTTTGGCTAATATTTGAAAATCTGGTAAAACTACCTAGATCTTTTAGAATTTTCTACCACAATTCTAGACGATAAACTTTTTTTTTCGAAAATCAGCCCAAATTTCTAGAAGGTGTAGGTGGATTTTTTTCTAGAGGTTATGCTAACTTGAAATAAAAATCATTGTAAAAATTTCTACCACAGTTCTAGAATTTCTTGAAAATCAGGTTGAGTTTCCAGAAATTTCCTCATTAAAAACTTCTATCAAGAAATAAATCTACAATGTAGAAAGCTTGAAAAAATGCCCCGAAAATTGGCGTTGTAAAAACTAACCGAAGATGGATATTGATTTTGTTAAGCGATAGATAATTCCCGCCGAAAACGATACTATCCTCTAGTGTGAATACTGAATGAATCCAACCTCCAGGCATCATAAGTGTCATGCCGCGCTCCAGTTCAAACATTCGAACATCTTCCAACACTTGGTCGAAGAACCATTCTGTGCGATTTTGTCGCAGTTCAAAATCGGCAAACATCTTCAGATTATTTTCAGTTGGTGGTGCGACAAGGAAGACTTTTTTGCCGGAAACGAGATGGTAGTATACATTGGTTCCGCCAAAATCGCAATGTGAATTCGTGTAAGAATCTTTCATTCCCATTAACAAGTAGTTCCGAACAGTCGGATGGAGATTTTTCGGAAGATGGCCAATGTCGATCAATTTTTGAGTCATTGACAGCTTTCTCACCATCTTTGGTTGCTCGAACATCGAACTGATCCTGTAAACAATTCTTTGTTTTTGTGTTTTCGAAATCTGATTTATTTTCTAGATTGTTTTGCATATTTTTTTTTGCAAAAACAATTTTTTTGCTTGAGAAGGATTTTGAAGGCTACAGAATTCTCCGGAAAAATTTAGGAGCATTTTTGGGGACTTCAGAAGGCCTACAAAAATCTTCAGATGGCTTTTGAACGCTTCCAGAGGCTTCAGAAGTCTTCATAAAAATTCAGGAGCATTTTGGAGGTTTCGGAAGGCTCCAGAAGGCTTGAGAGCACTTACAACTATTCAAGAAGTTCCAGAAGGTTTCAGAAGCATTTTTTTTATTTGAAAGGCTTCCGAAAGCTTCAAATAGCTTCAGAAGACTTCAGAACAATTTTCGAAGCTTCAGAAAGCTTCGGGGGCTTCAGAAGGCCCCAGAAAGCTTCAATAGGCTTCAAGAGGCTTCAGAAGACTTCAAAAGGCTTCAGAAGACTTCAGATGAAATTTCGAGACTTCCAAAGGCTTCCGAAGGCTTCGGGGGCTTCAGAAGACCCCAGAAAGCTTCAATAGGCTTCAGAAGGCTTCAGAAGAATTTTTTTCGGGGGCTTCAGAAGGCTTCCGAGGGTTTCGGGGGCTTCAGAAGGTTTCAGAAGAATTTTCGAGGCTTCAAATAGCTTCAGAAGATTTCAGAAGACTTCAGAAGGTTTCAGAAGAATTTTCGAGACTTCAGAAGGCTTCCGAGGGTTTCGGGGGCTTCAGAAGACCCCAGAAAGCTTCAATAAGCTTCAAGAGACTTCAGAAGGCTTCAGAAGGCTTCAATAGGCTTCAGAAGGCTTCAGAAGGCTTCAGAAGGCTTCGAAAAGCTTCAGAAGACTTCAGAACAATTTGCAAGGCTTTAGAAAGCTTCAAAAAGCTTCAGAATTCTCAAAAATAAAACGTACTGTGGCAAATTCGTGATTTCTAGACTGATTGCATTCAAAATTTTTGTTCGACCTTTTTTCTTCATCATCTCGTTTGCAAAATCTCCCAGTTTCATTTTCTCGGTTTGTTGTCTTTCAACGTCAATCACACCAATATCAAAATCATCTCCCAACAATTGGCAAACATTACGAATATCAAATCTGGAATCGGGAATTTCGATTCCCAAACCAGTTTTCTCCTTCACTATGTAGATCTTATCATATGATTCCAATCCTCCTTTTCTTGTCAACATTTTCTCAAGCTCCAAACCATTCTTCACATATTCAACTTCATTTTGAGTTGGATCCAGGAAAAGTGGAAGAATTTGTTTGAACTTTTTGATCCATTCCTTTGTTCCAACATTCCAATTATTTTTGTTGAGATCGTTCTGAAAAAAATTGTAATTTAATTTTTTTGTCATATTTTTTATGTGTTATTCTGTCATGTCAGATTTTTTTTTAGGTATCAAAAAAATCTTTTCTGAATTTTTTTCAGAATTTAGAAACAACAAAAAACAATTCAGAAATAGATTTTGAAGATTTGAAGATTAATTTCAGACTGAACAAAGTTCTTGGAATTTTTTAGATTAAATTCTTTTTGACTTTCAAAATTCTGAAAAATATCTTTGGATTTTTTGAAAACAAATGAGACATTCAGAAAAAGATTTGAAATTTATGTGGGAATTCAAAAATTAGTTTCACATAATCTAAAAATCTTTTCTAATTTTTTGAGCTGGATTTTTTCAACTTTCAAAACAAAAACACAATTCTTGAAATTTTTCACAATCTCGTTATTGAATTTTTGAAAAGTTTGAAACAGAAAAAAAAATGTTACTCTGAAATTTTTTGTAATATTTATATATTTACTCTTTTTTTGAGTAACAGGAAAACAATTTAGATTCAAATTTTTGAATAAAAGATGAGTTAGAAATACAGGAAAAATTTTAGAGAAAGATTGTTCACAAAAAAAACTGACCACTTCTTTCCGCAACTTTTCCAATTTTCTTGCTTTTCCAGGTGTTCTTCCTTGTGCACCAACAACCGATTTTGATCGGGATTCTCTTGCTTTTCTCTGAGAAGAGCCATCAGTCGGCAAAACATTCGTTTTTCCTGGTGTTGCTTGAGCTGTTTTTGGAGTTGGAAGAAGTCCTGATGGAATTACGCTTTTGGATCTCGACCGCGTTGTTCTTTGCATAATATCATCATCATTCGACAAAACATTCGGTTGGAGCTGAAATTTATAATTTTATGGTTACTTTTCTACATAAAATGAGTTTGGAATTCTATTTTCAGATTAATCCCACATTTTCAGGAGCTTTTTCGAAAATTTGGGTTCAAAATTAATTTTCAGACAACTTATAAAGTCACTCAAGAAAAATTGTCTGGAATTATTTTCAGAAGAGGGCTTCAGTTTGACTTTCAAGAAGTTTTTAAATTTGAGAAACAAGCCAAAAATTTTTTGAAGCCATAAACTTTTAATTGATTTTTCACTGACAAGTATTTGAAGAACTTCTAATTTTTCACAAAAATATAAATACAAGAGATGAAAATCAAACTGACCGATTTTCCTGCGTTTGACCTTGGAGCAGTTATTTGTTGCAAAGCTTGTCGAGTTGAAGCCGCCGGTGTTTTGGATCTTCTTCTTTTTTCTGTCAAATGTTGTGGATGAGCCGAAATAACTGGTGGAGAAGTAAAGGCGATCTGGAATTCAAATTTGAATTGATTTCAAAATTCAATTTAGATACAAATCAATAAAGCCCGCTCATTTCTCGAATGAAAATTGCGAAAGCTTATTGAATTTTCAAACTGATTGTGAGTTTCAGATGAATTATTTTTATGAAGCTTGAAAAGATGTACCTTTTGACGTTTTTGCGGAGCTGCCGCAATACTTTTCGTTCTTTTCCTCGACGCCAATTGTGCTGCTTTTGCCATTGATTTTGCGCGGCTTCTGCTGCTCCTTTTTCCCAAAGTTTTCTGAAAAAAAACACACTTTATATTTAGCCATTTTTTAAAGAAAACAAAAAAAGAAGGATACGATTCCGTGATGCTTTTTTTCATATGAGAAATGCTCATTGAGCGAAAACTCTAGGAGCTACATACAATCAAAGAAAACGTCAAAAGGCTATGAGAAACGATAAACCTATCACAACAAAAAACACCTGCAAAACGAAAAAGATAAATAATCAATAAACTCCTCCGAGATCAGGTCAAAGTTGGATAAATAACTCTGTCTCTCTTCTCCTCTTCCCTACAGCTACAATGTAGGGAACAACAACTCTTCTCACCTTTTTGGTTGTACCATGCGCTGGCTGTCTGCGTCTCGCTATTTCTCCTACTCTTTCATCGCACATGCCAGTCCATAATTTTATGAATTTTTGCAAAATGTTGGGGTACTGTAGTTCGAGATGTGTGTAGTGGCATTTAATCTGACGCGCACTTATTTTTATTTTTTCGTTTTTTTTGGGCCAAACGTTTTTTAAGGTTTTTTGGTGTTTTTTGCCGATTTTTCCATCATCTGCTCATGGTTATAGTACTAAATGATATTTAAAACCGTACGGTGTCGAGCAGAATATCCCATTGCAAGAAGAACATCACGAGATTCGACGTGAGATTCAACGAAATTTATCAGGTGACTTTTGTGTGTTTCTCTAGATTTTGTGCTGTTTTATAAATTTTAAGGCAAAACCTGATTTGAGAAATTGTAGAATACATATTCAGACAGGCCTGTGCCGGAAATTTTCCGAATTTTCCGGATTTTCCGGTTTTTTCACGGAAAAATCAATTTTTCGGTTTTCCGGAAAATGTGCTCGGAAAATCCGGAAATGATCTCTAGTAGTAATATTTTCAGAATTGCCTAAATTTTGGAAAATTGTCTCAGTTTATGATAGAAAAAATGAAATTTTCGGAAATTTTTTTTTCAATTTTTCAAATTTTTCAATTTTTCAAAAACGGAAATTTTCCGACTTTCCGTTTTCCGGGTTTTGATTTTCCGGCACAGGCCTGATATTCAGATAACTGATGTTCTTGCTATTTTATCAGCCCTGAATTTACATAGAATAGATAGCTGATGTCCATGCCCAAAATTCAGTGAATATATGTGCCGTTAGTATTAATTGTAGTTCACAACAATGGTTAGGCCTGTCTCATTTTCAAATGAGCTGTAACATAGCTTGTGAACTATTTTAGAATAAAATTAATACTATTTGAATAAGGCTGCCTAACTGTTCACTGAATTTATTGATCTTTTGATAGTTTTTTGGGCTAATTTAATGATTTAAAAATAAATCTTATTTGTCTTTATAGTTAATTTACAAATACAGCTAATTTACTACCTGATGATGACCCGAAAAGAAGCCGAAAAATATAAAAAACATAATGAAAACCCCCCAAAAAATGTGCAACGCACAAAAATCATAATGAAAAATATAGGCGGTTTGGTCATCGCCACCTATGATAGGTCACACGTACACGTGAAATAATTTACAATAATTTTCTCTTTTAGTTATTTTTTTTCAACATTCCAACAATGATTAGGTTTGTAATTACAGAAAAAAGTGAAAGTAATGATTTAAAAATGCTGAAAAATCCTGAATTTTCAATTTTGAAATTATTTTTGATTCCAAGTTCATTCGACTGACGATTTTTAAAGAGCTCTTCCTTAGTTTAAAAATTTTTTGAATAAAAAATGTTTTCGGCCACCAGAATTCCATTTGAAATCTAGAGAAAGTTATCCAAACTTTAAGAAAAAAAAAATAAATAAGTAAATAACATTTATTTTTCTAATGCAACACAATAATCTTAATAACCCACGAAAAAATGAGTCCCAAAATACAACCAGTCAACAAACAAATATAAGCCATCATTCCAATGAGTCGTTGAAGTTCGGGTTTATCGCTGGTTTTTGGTGCATACGTCATAATTAGCGATGACAAATATCCGCATGTAAAAGCCATTGATGCTTGATTGCTGATGAAAAGCCACGTGGATTTGAAGATCACATCGATTTTTCGCTCTTCTGGTTGGTAGTTGCATAGGGGGAAATAGAAAATGTACCAGATTCGGAGCCAGACAGGGAGCCAAATGTAACCAGGGCCTGGCTAGAAAATGAGAGGGATTTTGAAATTCTCAAATTTTCCCGCCAAAAATCCCCACTCACCCAATGCACCGTATTCGCCAGCAAGCTTCCAAAAAACGAGAAAAAGTTGAAATTGAGCAGCGTCACAATATCAATATAGTATTTTTCGGGAACAAAAAATGTGTAGGGTTGGCCCAGTTCTTCGTCTCGAATATAAATTGTCACATTTGGAAATACGCTGAATGTCACAAACATCAGAATGAAAATGTTGAGAAATTGACATTTGGCCTGCAAAAAAACAACAATTGGGAAAATTTCTAGAATTTTTTTCCAGACTACAAGGATTACTGTAGCTCCAGAAGGGTTACGAGATCAAGAACTGCAAAGATTACTGTAGCCTTGAGGACACTGAATCTCAAACTGCAAGGATTACTGTAACTGGAACATCCCGAACTGCAAGAAGTACTGTGCCTTTAAAATTAGAGATCTCACTGTACTCTCTGGGATTTTCCAGATTACAAAAATTACTGTAGCTTCAGTAGGGTTACGATATCAAAAACTGCAAGGATTACGGTAACTGAGAAATCCCGAACTACAAGGAATACTGTATCTCAAATTACAAGAATTCAGGGAATTTCCGGACTGCAAAGAATACTGTAATTGATGAGTTGTGTTTCACAAACTTTACAATGAAACTCAGACTACAAGAATTACTGTAGCCTAAGGATTTTCCTGGACTGCAGAGATCGAACTGCAAAAAGTACTGTAACGGATAAATCCCGAACTACAAGGTATACTGTATCTCAAAATTTGTCAAAAATGTATCTCACCTTTTTAAAAGCCTCGAAAAATTTGTGCCAAATCGATAAACTTTCAAAATCCGAAATCTCATCGATTTTCTCATTTTCCTTATTTTCTGCTTCATTTTTTAGTTCTCCAAAATGTTGATAAAACGCATTTCGCTGCATAATTCTCAACAAAAACATGCAACCCAATTTGAAAATCACGGCGATTCCAAAAAATACCATCGAACTTATTTGAACATTATCAGAGGCTGCAAATTTTTAGATTTTGCTAGAAAACTTTTTTCGGGGAAAGTTACCAGTTTTGCTGAGAATCGATAAAACTGTGACAAAAATTCCATTGAAATTTTGGCCAGTGACGACGGCTAAAGTGTATTTGACTGGAAATGTGCCGACAAGACCGAAGAGGCTGGAAATGTTTCAGAATTTTTGAGAATAAATAAAATTCTGGAACTTTTGGCCTGAAATTCAAGTTTTCAATAAAATATTTCAAATTATATGTTTTCATAACACTTTTCAGTTTTTATGAAAAAATTTACAAAAACTTTGAAACAGCAATTTTTTTCATAAAAATTTCATATTTGAACCAATTATCAAAAAAATTGGGAAAATTGTTTTTAAAGTTTTGAAACAGTGAATTTTTTCCCAAATTAAAACAATTCACAAAATATAGCTTTGTTACATATTATAAATTATTGTTTAAAAAAAATTTTGAAGGAAATTTTGAAACAGTGGTTTTTTCAATGAAAAATATAAAAACTAAAATTTCTGACCAAGCTGAAAATTCAGAAAAATTCAACTACAAAACCAAATATCAAAAAAAAAGTGACAAATTGTTTTCAAAAAGTTTTGAAACGGTGATTTTTTTTCAAACATATAACAATTTTTAGTCAGAAAAAAAACTCAAAAAATTTCACTGTTTCGAAATTTCTACTAAACTATATAAATGTTTCATCAAATCATTAAACAATTTTAAAAAAGGAAAAATAGTTTCCCTAAATTTTGAAACAGTGAATTTTTTAAATGAAAAAATATAAAAACTACAATTCCTGACCGAGTTGAAAATTTAGAAAAAATGAAATTCAAAAGACCGATTATTCAAAAAAAGTGACAAATTAATTTCAAAAAATTTTGAAACAGTGATTTTTTTTCAAACATATAACATTTTTAGTCAGAAAAAAAACAAAATTCTCTAAAAATATCACTGTTCTGAAATTTCTACTAAACTATATAAATGTTACATCAAATTATTAAACAATTGTAAGGAAAATGAAAAATAGTTTCCCTAAATTTTGAAACAGCGATTTTTTTAAATGAAAAAATATAAAAACTACAATTTTTGACCAAGATGAAAATTTAGAGAAAATTATGTCAAACGACTATCACCGATTATTCAAAAAACATCGACAAACTGTTTTCAAAAAATTTTGAAACAGTGAATTTTTTAATGAAAAAATCCCGTTCCAAGGAAAAAATTGAAGAATTTTTCGAATTGAAGTGAAATTTCTGATTTTTTAAAAACTCACGAATTATCAAAAACACCAATCGCCGAATTCAACACAACAATCGTAACCAACGTGAAAATAAAAAACACCAAAAGCCACGTGGAAGTATCAACATAAATCAAAGACATTGTTGCGAGCAGCGTCAAAACACTGACAAAAATCGATAATTGCATGCGACGTGGCAAATTTCCGCGAAGATCCAAGAACAATCCGAAAACACAAAAAAGCCAATCGGGAGTTTGTGAGGAAATTGTCATGGCATTTTGGAAGTTTTGCGAATACCACGTGGATGTTTTGTTGTATTCCAGTTTGAACGTTTCATAATACTGCAAAAATTTGGATTTATTAGGTACATAGAAGAGGAAAATGCGCTCTATTGAGAATTGTAGAATAATTCTCAAAAAAGCAAGTAAATTTCAAAATTTTGTTTTTTTTTTGAGGTTTTTAAGAATTTTGTATGAAAAATGAATAATTATAGGACTTTGAAAAGTGGGCGGAGCTTGTTTTGCAACTCGTGGCACAGTTTTTCTCAAGAATTTTTGAAAAATTGTCTCAAAAAAGCAAGTGCGCTCTACTGAACTTATGTTTTTTTTTTCTGAAATTTCGTTTTTCTCAAGTAAAACTCACATCAAAGGAAACCGACACAAACATATTCCACGAAATCAACGACGAACTTCCGAAATAGAAAAATATGAAAAACACAAAATTGAATCGATCTCTCGGAATATCATCCTCCTCTTCTTCAATATCCTTTTCATCATCGGAAAGTTTCGAAAATCTCAATTCGACTTCCGATAATTCATCAATAGCTTCCGAAAGTTCACGTTCACTTTGAGATAAACTATGACGTGTAACCAAAGGCTGTGAAATCTTTTTCTTGAATTTTCATCGTTCTGTGTGAAGAAAATGAGAGCTTACCATATTTGAAAATGTGATTTGATAAATAAAACTGACTTTTTAAAATTCATTTTTTTTCACCGCAATTTAGGTCACGTTCGAAAATTCAATGTACAAAATATTTAAAAACATCCAGCAAGTCAGACAGAATAACGGATAACTTGCCACTTTTCATCTCCATGATTATAGTGTGCCACTTTTGGACTTATAATAACTTCAAGCGATGATATTTCAATTGAAAAATATGGAAATCGATCATTATCAATATCGATCAAATATTCAGTTGAAGATTCGCTGAAATTATTTGAAAATTTGAAAACAAAAATTAATTCTGAAGGTTAAACTCAAACTCACCAAACTTTCTTTGCATGAGGGTTCAATCCATCAACAATTTGTGCATGATCAATAATTGTATCTTCAGTGAGATTAAATTGAATAATATCAACATTTTTCGATAGTTTTTGTCTCAAACAACGCGATAAAATAGTTTGAAAATCCAGCGATGTCCATGTTATTTTATACAACCAAATGGTTTTTGCTTGCAATTGGAACAGTTGATCGATTGTTAAATTTGGCCAATGAAATCCAACACAATCGGTGATCTTACAGATTTGTTCAAAGCTAACGAAATTGGAATCAATTGGATTTTGACCGTTATTTGTTACAGCAAGATCGAGATAATTGATTTGGCGCAAGTTTTTGATATTCGTTTCGTTGTACGGAAAATCGTTCTGCAAAACAAAAAATACGGAATATTTTCACCAAAAAATAGTGTTTCGAAACACTCACCATATCAATTTCCAGTCTTGTTAAACTATTGTGCATTTTGAAGTTTGTGAGCAACTCAAAATGATCTTTTGTTACTTTAGCGATTGAATCGTACAACCAGAGTAGCTCGTGAAACTTGACATCATCAATATCATATTTAATCAGAAATTTATTCTGCACATCAGTTGCAAATATTGTTTTCGAACACGTTGAACGCGAATTTCCAATTTCAATCACAACAGAATTTTCTCCTCGGTCGATTATCAACTTTTCAACATAATCTTTACTGTCCAAAACTTGATTGAACGTTTGTTTGGATAATTTCATATAAGAACTCCTCGTTGCCAAATCCATTTCTTCGATTAATTTCAATTTTAATTCAGGAGGAAATTTACTACTATATATATTATTTCTCGGATTTTCTTCATTTTGCTCTTCAACATCGTTTTCATTACTTGTTGTCGCTTCTGGTTGTGGTAGAGCAGAGAGCTCAATCACTTCCGGCTCCGTCGCTGCATTTTTCGAACATGGAAAAACACGAAAACGCACCAGAAAGCATCAGGTGCGAGGAAAAGAAAAGAAAAAACAACGAAAATAGTTGTTTTCGTGATGATCCTTGAATTTTCACTACGGTGTCTGCAAACACGACGACGAACAATTGCACAAACCGTAGTAAAATGTTTTTTTTTTGTTTTTTTTTTATTTTATCCTCCTTCTCTCGCAGAAAACACGGCGAGGCGCACAACCCGCCGTTCGTCGGTGATCTAGAGTATACAAGTAGGGCGAGGAGAAAAATTTGCCGTTCAATTATGACAATCAGAGCCTTAGAAAAGACTCGTAGAACAATTTTTGGAAACCTTTCTCGTAAGAGAAGGTTATTGAAATTCAGGAGTAAAATTGTTTTTCAGAATTAAAAAAAACGTCACGTGAATTTGAATTCAAAAAAAATATTAAAAAATTCAAATCCCTCTCATTTTTACCTTTTTATATGCAATCGAACAAAAACATTTCAAAATAAGAATGTTCCAAATTTTTCCAATATTATCATCATACCTATATTTTCATCTAATCATAATTCAATCAATAATCCTCCTCAACTGCACCAAAAAATCTTCACCATCTCAAAGAATCGACGAAGCCACCAGTAAAACCGCGATTTCACCATCGCCAACACCATCCACCATTGAAAATGTGACGACACCTGCAGAGCAGCCGAAAAAAGAGGCGAAATTCAAAAAAATCACGAAGAAAACGGACAGTTTTCCATCGTCGGAGGACACAAAAACCAATGAAACTGGCACGAAAAAATCGTGTGAATCAACGCCGAAAAGTCGAGAAAACGAAAAGAAAGTGGGAATAAAAGAGAAAGCGCCGAAAAGTGGAAATTTTAGTAAACAGATGATTGAAAAACATAAACAGTATATGAGATCGAAAGAGGTGAGGAATCATGCGCTGCGTATTTCGAAACACGCGACGCTTGACCGCAACGCGCCTAACAACATATGTTATTTTCAGCTAACTGACAAAAGTGACGCAAGATCGAGCAAATTCCGAAATATGGGATCGATTCATATACCAAAAGAAGCCACGTTGGAAGCGGTGAGTTTTGGGTGAAATTCCAGCCGAAATTAGCTGGAAATCCCAGAATTTTCAGATATTTAGTCGGAAATTTACACAATACTTTATTGTGATATTTTTCATCAAAAAAAATTTAAGAAATTTCTGAAACAGTGAAATTTTTTGATATTAAAAAAAGTTGAAAATTCAGTTTTCTTTTCAATTTCTTGTTTTTGTCACGTTATAGCTTTTCTCAGGAATTTATTTAGAAACTCGATTTCTTTATCTACTATATACTAATTGGAAACATGCTTTTCGGAAAATAGTTTGTCCGGGGCCCGTTCTCAGCTTCCACTTCATAAAAATTGATGATCAAAAAAAGAAAAGATAGCTTTGCATGGCACCTCGAGGTATTTTTCTTGGATTTTTGATTAAGATTCTGTGAGTGCGCGGAGAGTTGAAAGTTTCGAGGAAGTCAGAAATTTCAATGTATTTTTTGATTTCAAAATGTTCCACTCACAATTTCTCTGTCCTCAGAAGGCCGTTTTTCATGAAACCTTCACCATTCGATCCCAAATTCTTTCCCATCGATGCGCTAATATTCGATCTTTCGAAAAGTGCGCAAGTTTTCACGTGAAAATTCAAAACTTTTTTCATGAAAAAACGAATGATCACGTTTTTATTCTAAAAAAATTAAAGGACACGTTCTTATCTGATCTTTCTATTTTCTGAAAAAAAGCCAACAATTTTTCGGCATTTCTCGATGATAGCTTCTTCCTAATCGGTTGGGTAAATTAATAGAAAACAAAGTGAGTTGAACTACTGTAGAGGTTTTCATTAGTTATTTGAAACTTCAGATGAAAATGGTTTCCAATGGATTGAAGAAGATGAACTGAATCGTATTTTATCGTGAGTTTCGGTTCATATTTAGTCCAGAAAGCAGGGAAGTAAATAAGTGTCTTCTTCGGAATAAAAGAGAAGCGCTGTACAGTAATTGAATAGGCTGGGCATGATGATAGCAAATAGAAGGCAAAGAACATGCTTCATGCTTCCTTCAAATATTCGGTTTTTAAGCTGATCATGAGCCGCTTTGGAACCGAACAAAAAAAGTAAAAAATCAAAGGCGGTCAAGTGGGAAGTTTGAAAGAGGTAAAATAGCGGATGAAGGATTTTTCTGAGAGAACTCTTTCTTGAAGGAGAAATAGGGGAAAATATGAAGTTACTTTTAAATGAAAGAAGATGTCTTTTAATCAATTTTTCCTTTTACATCAAATCTCTATCTTGAAATCGGTTTACTAAAAACATGAAAGAAATATGAGTAATCGAAAGAAATGTAATTTTAGGTACTTCAACGGATTTCTCCTATTTTCAAAAGAGGAGAACAATTCTAAAAAATTGTAATTCAAAAAACCTAAATTTGGATTATCTGTTGAGGTTCCTGAAATTCCATGTCTTTCGAGTACTCAACTTTCTTCCAATTTTTTATTAAACGGATTTCAAGATAGAGATATGACGTGAAAGGAAAATAAGGGATGAAACACATTCTCTTTCATTTGAAGGTGGAGTCTGAGCAAAAAATACGAATTTTTAAAGAGTGTGTTCTAATTAGTGCGGTCCTCGAAGGATTTTATCTTGCACCATCTCAAACATTGGTTAAAAAATTTCAAAGTTCGAAAAAACAGTGAAATACCGAGTAAAATGGCTCAAATGTCCAAATGTTCAGTAGTTTAGAGGTGTGTTTCTTTAATGTTTGAGAAGCTTCCAGAAACATTTTTTTGTACATTTTTTCACTAAAAAGTTTAGTTTTTCTTGATTCTCAGAATTTTTCAGCGAATTTTGATGAAAACTTTCAAAAATTCAAAATTTCACGCTGCACAATTTTTTTTTGAAAAAGTTTCCACGCTGCACAGAAATTTTAGGACTCTCTCTCGCCAGGTGTGTGTGAAAGTTTCAGCGGCTATTACTTCAAAATTGAAATTCTATTTTCAAATTTTCTCAAAAGAGTTGAGAGAGGGATTGTGCGTTTGGCATTCGCTAAAAGATTTTTTGCCTCTTTTTGAAAAAGGTGAGGGTGCCGTCTGTGTGATCAGAAAAAGTATCTACCACTGTTCTTGATTTCATTAAAAGCTTAATTATATAGGAAAAAAACAGATAAGTGATCATGTTGCATATTGTTGATACATGTTTGTTTTCGGTTTCTCAACCATCTGTTCAAAATCTAAATGAAACACTTTTAGTTTTCCATTCTTAACAGGACTTCAGACTTGAGAGAACTGTTTATCGACAGAATACTGAGCGCGAAGCCGCGACAACCCAGAAGGAGGAGCCGGCGATAGCCGGCGGAGCCCTTCTGGTTTAAAAAATTCCAGATTCTCACCCTACTCAAAAGTTTATTAATTCAAGAATGTGAATAACAATTAATATCAATTTTCATAGTAAAATTAATATTTATTTCATAAGAAAAAAAAGTTAAAGAAATTTTTGAAACAGTGAAATTTTTCGATAATAAAAAAATTGGAAATTCAGTTTTTTCAATTTTTAGTTTTTGCCACGTCATAGCTCTTCTCAGGAAATTATCAAAGCCCAATAAATATTTATTTCATCAAAAAATTTAAAATTTTTTTGAAACAGTGACCTTTTTTTATTCAAATTGCGATTTCTAGGAAATTATTTTCTAGAGGATTTTTTTTTCGAAAATTCAGTCTTTTAATTTCCAATTTTTGCCACGTCATAGCTCTTTGGGAAAATACAGAAGCTCTAAATTTCGATTTGAAAAATTCAAGATTCTCAGCCTAGCTAAAATTATAATTTTTATTAATCGGACATTGTAGTCGCAATACATATTTATTTCATCAAAAATTTGAGAAAATTTTGAAACAGTGAAATTTTTTGATAATAAAAAAATTGGGAATTCAGTCTTTTTTCAATTTCTAATTTTAGCCACGTCATAGCTTAACTCTGGAATTTTTTTAGGGACTCGATTTTTTATTTTAAAAAATTCTAGATTCTCAACCTAGCTAAAATTATAATGTTTTCCATCAGGCATCATAATAGCAATACATTTTTTTCATCAAAAATTTGAGAAAATTTTGAAACAGTGAAATTTTTTTTAAATAAAAAAAAGTTGGAAATTCAGTTTTTTTTTCAATTTTTGGTTTTTGCCACGTCATAGCTTTTTTCAGGAATTTATTTAGAAACTTGATTTTTTTATTTTAAAAAATTCCAGATTTTCAGCCTAGCTAAAATTATAATTTTTTCCATCAGGCATTATAATAGCAATACATTTTTTTCATCAAAAATTTAGGACATTTTTGAAACAGTGAAATTTTTTGGTAATAAAAATTGGAAATTCAGTTGTTTTTCAATTTCTTGTTTTTTTGCCACGTCATAGCTCTTCTCAGAAATTTTTTGTAGGGACTCGATTTTTTTATATTTTTAAAAATTCCAGATTTCCAGCCTACTCCAAAGTTTGTTAATTTGAGAATGTGCGAAGGCGGTGTAATAGCAATACATTTTTTTCATCAAAAATTTAGGACATTTTTGAAACAGTGAAATTTTTTGGTAATAAAAATTGGAAATTCAGTTGTTTTTCAATTTTAGGGCTGCACGATGGGGCGTGGGGGCGGCCCCCTCGCCCCGCCACGCTTTTGCCCCCTCGCCCTTTGCCCCCTCGCCTCTTTGCCCCCTCGCCCCATTGCCCCCTCGCCCCGTCGCCCCTTCGCCCCGTCGCCCCCTCGCCCCCGTTTGTAACTGTGTGCGCGCTTCTATCTTCTTTCATTTCTTCACCACACACAGTTACAAGCGGGGGCGAGGGGGCGACGGGGCGAAGGGGCGACGGGGCGAGGGGGCAACGGGGCGAGGGGGCAAAGAGGCGAGGGGGCGAAGGGGCGAGGGGGCAAGCGATTTTTTGCACGGTGTTTCATCGCGGGGTGCCCCACGTGCAGCCCTATTCAATTTCTTGTTTTTTTTGCCACGTCATAGCTATTCTCAGGAATTTCTTTAGGAACTCGATTATTCATTTTAGAAAATTCCAGATTTTCAGCCTACTCAAAAGTTTATTAATTTTAGTTTGCGAGAACAATAAATATTTTTTTCATCAAAAATTTCTTAAATTTTTGAAACAGTGAAATTTTTTTATATTAAAAAAGTTGGAAATCCAGTTTTTTTTTCGATTTCCAATTTTCGCCACGTCATAGCTCTTCTCAGAAATTTCTTAGGAACTCGATTTTTTATTTTAAAAAAAATTTCAGATTTTCAGCCTACTCAAAAGTTTATTAATTTGAGAATTGAATGCAATTAATATTTATTTCATCAAAAATTTCTTAAATTGTTGAAACAGTGAAATTTTTTGATAATAAAAACATTGGAAATTCAGTCTTTTTTTCGATTTCCAATTTTTGCCACGTCATAGCCCATCTCTGGAATTTTTTTAGGAACTCAATTTTTTATTTTAAAAAATTCTAGATTTTCAGCCTACTCAAAAGTTTATTAATTCGAGAATTGAGAACCATTAATATTAATTTCATCAAAAAAAAAGTTAAAGAAATTTTTGAAACAGTTACATTTTTTATTCAAATTTTTCTAGGAAATAATTTTCTAGAGGTTTTTTTTTAGAAAATTCAGTCTTTTCATTTCCAATTTTTGCCACGTCATAGCTCTTTGGGAAAATACAGGAGCTCTAAATTTCGATTTGAAAAATTCCAGATTTTCATCGTGAGCCTAGCTAAAATTATAATAGCAATACATATTTTTTTCATCAAAAATTCGAGAAATTTTTGAAACAGTGAAGTTTTTTGATAATAAAAAATTGGAAATCCAGTTTTTTTTTCAATTTCTAATTTTTTCCATGTCATAGCTTTTCTCAAAAATTTTTTTAGGAACTCGATTTTTTTATTCAAAAAAATTTCTAGATTTCCAGCCTACTCAAAAGTTTGTTAATTCGAGAATTGAGTGCAATCAATATTTATTTCATCAGAAATAAAATTAAAGAAAATTTTGAAACAGTGACATTTTTCAGTTCACCCAAAAATGCGAAAAACCCAACAACATTGTCCTCAAAAAAGTCTACTTCGACGAAACTTTGAACGAACGATACAACATCGGAACCGACATTGATGACATCGAATTAGATGACAGCACAGAAGATCGAGACAAGACATTGACAAAAACTATGGCACAATCAATGAGAGGGAATGGAGCAGGAGGGTTGACAACAACAAGTATAACAACGAGAAAAAAGAAAAATCAGAAAAAGAAGAAAGCAAATCTGAATGTTGACAAAGAAGAACAATTGGGAAAAACACAAGAGAGTTGGAGGAAATAATAAAGTTTTGTTGATTTTTTTTTTAAAAAATTGAGACTTATGGGAATTTTTTTGGCTCATTCCTCAAAAATTCCAAAAAAAAAAAATTCATTTAACATTTGGTGCAGTCGGTGCTCTTTTCTCCGCATTTTCATTCTTTTTATGTTCCGAAAAATAGACAGCCATTTCCAATTTTTTAGTGGGTGTCATAAGGAAGATCAAGAATGGAACAGCGCACAGTTCGAAACCCAACGATCCTCCAGAATACGCAGCTTTCACCTCAATCGCAGCTCCAACAAAAATATATTGAATGGCTCGTGTGATACAAAGAACAGGAACTCTTGCAATACTCGGTGTCATTTCGATCAATCGAATTTGTGCATAAAATCGAATTATTTGGCTCATTGAAATTGTTAGACAAATGAGAATAATTGAACTCCACTCGATTTTTGTAAACGTTTCACAAACTCGATTTTTCGAGTCGAAAGATGGTAGAAAGAAAATCGATAATTCATAAAATATGAACATTAGAATGGCGGCCAAATATGCAGGAAATACACGGACTTTTGGGAGGAGGCTGGAAAATATGGGAGGTTTTTGGATGGAAAGTGAAAGTGTGTGCGGTGGTTGCAATTTGGGGGCGTGGCCTAGAATTTTTTGCAACTCTCGCACACATTTGATACGCGTAAAAAAGCTCTAATGAAAAAAAATTAAATTTTTCATAATTTGTAGAAATTGTTCACTGGAGCGAATTTTCCGCTTTTTTTTGAAAATGAAATTTTTGTAATTGGGAAAAAGTTACGCATGAAAATACGCTCCAACGAACAAATTTGAATTTTTGAAAATATTCAAAAATGTTCGCTAGAGCGTTTTTTCAACTTTCAACAAAAATGTATTGTATTTTTTGTGGGCGTGGCCAAGAAAAATTCAAATTTCAAATTCACGTAAACAAATACGCTCCAGCGATAAACGTTGAATTTTTCGCTAGAGCATCTCAGCACTTGACTCTGTAGACTGACTGTACAAATTGAAGAAGTGTGAATACAGCGAATGAACGCTGTACCTACACTTTTTTCCCGAAAATCGTAGGTTCATTTTATCTACAGCGTAGCTACGAAAAACATCAAATTCGTAGCTACGCAGATGATAAATCGTTGTTACGCACACCTGAAATTTTGACGAGAGCTGCCAAGCATCACACAATCAGAGATGAAAACGTAGGTACAGCGTATCTCCGCTGTAGCTACACAATTCGCGGACAGAAATGAAGTGAAGTGACCGCTCTATATTGTTTTTGAATCCGTAGCTACGCCGTTGCTGTTCTGTAGCTACTTTGTAGATAAACGGATGTTACTTATGTGCAATTCTCTCTTCCCCGTTTTCGTACAAAGTATCAACGAAATTTGTACAGTCAGTCTACAGAGTCAAGTGCTGAGATGTTTGCTATTTTTTCAAATTTCTCAGTAGAGCGCACTTGCAAATCCCTCCCCCTAAAACTCACAACGCAAAAGCCAACATATAAATCGTAGTGACCGTATTCGACGCGGGTTTCACCAAAATCTTGTCAAAAAACGAAATTTCTCCGCGATTTTTCAATTCATTGACCAAAGCCAACGAAATTCGATCCAAATTTCCAAAAAGCACCGAATTCAAGCCGATTTCAAACATTATTTTGCGATTTCTCAACAATCTTAGGATAACTTCGATATAGGAATCGGATGATTCAAAATTCTCGAAAGCAATACTATCAACAATTGTTGAAGCTGGTAGATCCATTTTTGATAACTTGATATATCTTTTGATTCCTTTTTCGAGGCGGAAAAATTTTCCAACAGTCAATAAATTGAATAAAGTATCATGGATGTGGCTGAAATCAATTAATTTCAGGTAAAATCTTTCAAGAAGATCTTCAACTTACAAGTAGCCATAATAAGTGATCAATAAAGTAACACTGGCAGCAACATGATAAAAATAATCATAATTCATCACACCGTGATTTCCGCTAAGTACAAGAATCAATGAGGCGGCAACTTGTGCTAAATCAGCACTCATTCGAAAAAGCACATAATAAATGACTCGATGATATTTTGGAAGTGATTCCATGACTAAAACTTGAGAGGCTGGGATATAGATTATTATGCAGATTTGGACGATGAAAAGACAAATGTAGCGGAGTTCGGTTAAGTGGGGAGCGGCGAAAAATGAGAGGGAAACGAGGGAACATGTCCAGATTATTATTCGTTTTGTTCGAATTCTGGAAAAAATTGGGTATTGGTGGATGATGGCCTAGAAAAACTAGGTATGGTGGCCTAGAAACCCAATATGAGGTTTTGATGGCCTAGAAACCAAAGATGAGGTTTTGATGACCTGAAAACTCAGGATAAGAGTTTGGTGGCCTAGAAATTTCAAAAATTGTGTTTGATGGACAAGAAAACCAATTTGGATAGCCTAGAAACCCAGGTGTACGTCTCTGATGGCCTAGAAACCCAATATGAGGTTTTGGTGGCCTAGAAACCCAATATGAGGTTTTGGTGGCCTAGAAATCTTGAAAATTGTGTTTAATGGCCTAGAAAACCAATTTGGATGACCTAGAAACCCGATATGAGGTTTTGGTGGCCTAGAAACCAAATTTACAGTTTTGAAGGCCTAGAAAATTTCAAAATTGTGTTTGATGGCCTAGAAAACAAATTTCGATGGCCTAGAAACCCGAGATGAGGTTTTGGTGGCCTAGAAAACCAAATTTACAGTTTTGATGGCCTAGAAATTTCAAAAATTGTGTTTGATGGCCTAGAAACCCAGTATTATTTCTCTGATGGCCTAGGAACCGAAAGGGATGGTTCAGATGGCCTAGAAAGCCGAATTTACAGTTTCGATGGCCTAGAAAGCCAATATGAGGTTTTGGTGGCCTAGAAAACCAAATTTACAGTTCTTATGACCTAGTGACCCATGTTTCCATCTCTGATGGCCTAGAAACCCAGGATAAGAGTTTGGTGACCTAGAAATTTCAAAAAATAATTTGTGTTTGATGGCCTAGAAAACCAAAAGCATGTCTCTGGTGGCCTAGAAAACCCAAAACACAATTTTTATGACCTAGAAACTCGAAACAAGGCGAAAGTGATATAAAAATTTTCAGAAATTATAAAAATTGGTTTTCTAGGCCACCAAGACTTTGTTTTTTGTGTTTCTGAGCCAGAATTTGGGTTTCTAGGCCACCAGAAAAGTTCTTCCAAGTTTCGGGCTTAAAATTGCCTTTTAGGCCCCAAAATTTCATCCCAAACTCACCCAAACAAGAAAATCGAACAAATCGCAGCCGTAGTAATAGCCATATCAATATAAGGCATCGCCATTCCCGAAAAATCACTAACATTCGCAATATCCATCAAATAATTGCCTTGAACAGTTGGATGTTTATAGAAAGGTTTCAGCATTTTCTTATATGTTTTCGTTTTGAACTCAAATAATTGATCGAAAATATCCAAGTGTTCAATGACAAAATCCGCGAGAAAATTGAGCAGGAAAAATGGCAAAAAAGTTTGAGAAAAATGCGGAAAACGCGTTGAAATATAGCTCAAAAACAGGTCGATTGTTCGAAGTTGTCGACATTTTACACGATGTTTTGAATTTGTCGATGACTGCGGATCTCCTTCTTTATTCGAATAAGAGGATTCTTCTTCATTTGTATTATTTTCATCATTAAACGAACTATTACAAGCCATTGTGTCGTCATTTATCCCAAATTGTCGTTTTATAATTCGCTGTTTCGATGGTTTCTTGGACATTTTGGGCGGCGCTGTTGGTTCAGTTTTCGACGCGGTTTTTGTGGGTTGTTGAGGTGTTGCAGTTCCCGCAGTATTCGAGCTTGTTTTTGTTGTTAGCGGCGTTTCAGTGCCAGTTTTTATGGTCCCTTTTCCAGATCCACTTTTCTTTTTTGTCACATTCTCCACTGATTTTTTTGATAAAGTTTCGGTTTTCGCTTTTTCCTTTGGTTTCGAATCCATAATTTTTCCTAAATAACTGAGACGCCCGAGAATTCCCTCTTTTTTTCACGTTATTTCAAATGTCACGTTTGTATATAATTTATGAAGAAAAAAAAACAAATAACAAAAATCTAGCCTATTTTGCTTTTTAAATGGTTTTAAAATTATTCTGCAGGAATTTCAGGTTTATCTGCTTCTTTTTCTGCTGGAACTTTAGGTTTTCTGGCGATATTTGTGTTTGAAAGCAATCTGACGAGCACTGCATCAGCTTCGAGGAGAGTTAGATCTTTATTTGACCCCAAAAATCTCTCACTCAACTCTGGATCTAATAATCGTATCAAAACTCGCGCGCCACTTCGATAAGACCTGAAAATTATTGAACTTTATAGTTTCGCCGAATATTTCCCTACTCTGATCCAACACTTGGTGCCTTGCAAACTGCGTTGAATTTCAAACCAAAATCAATGTATAAATCATCTTGAATTCGTTGCGCAATCTTTCCCACAACAAGCCGCCCATTAAAATCGCCGAGTTGCATGAATTTCGAGTGTCGGAGAAGCGAGGCAAACGATTTATTCTGCAAAAACTCCATGATTTTTTTGATTTTTCCATGAGAATTCGTTTACCTGTGATTCTGAGGTTTCCGCAACGCTATCAACAAAATCAATGATACTTTCAGGTGTAGAATAAGCCGCTCGACATTCCACAAATTGTTTCACCGGACGAGCACGAATAATAGCGCGAAACATGGCTAAAAACCCAACAAACACAAAAACAGAAAAATAAAAAGAAGTGCGCGTCAAATGAAATGCGCAGTGTGCAAACACACAGCATCGCGTACAGCTGTTGTCAACCGTAGCCTAGTGTAAAAATCGGAAGAGCGTCCCTTCAGATAACCTGCGTTGTGTTATTATTATACCACTTCAATCAATATTTATTGTGTTTTTCCAGGAAAATGAAGTGTTGTCTATTGTTTTTAACATTTTCAACAATTTGTTTTGCCGCCGATTGGACAATTAACCTTGAATACAGTTTAAACGGTAAGCTCTCTTATTTTCCACGTAAAAAGCTCAATTTTTCATATTTTCAAGATTTCTCAACATCGTCTCCATTAGGAACTATTGAATTGCGTAGAAATTACGATGGAAATTACACGGGAAGCTTTAAATCGTCACAAGAAAAGGATTTCGGAAAAAAGTAAGATTTTCCTGAAGAAAATTTGATTTTCAGTGATTTTTAGATTACTCGAAGCGAAAGATCAGACATATTCAGTTCGCGCCAAATCTTCGACTCAACCTGGACAAGAATTTTTGACGACTAGCAAAGCGGTGAGTGAATTTTATTGATTTTTGTATGAAAACAAAGAAAATATGCAAATTTTATGAAAAACTGAAAGCATAATCGATTATAGAAACCAAATATAATTCTTATGAGAATCAGGATGTTTTTTTGATATTAAAAATGTGTTTTTATACTGCCACGTGGAAAATCAATAAGTTCACGTTGTGATAAAGTGATTTGCCACGTCAGAAATGCATTTTTCAAGAGAATTCGGCTAGAAATCTATATTATCTCGCTGAAAATAGAAGATTCTTATGAAAAACTGCCAAATTTTATCTATTTTTGCGAAAAATCTAATTTCCTTATGTTCTGAAAACAGGAAAACAGTTTTCAGTGAAAATAGAGCTTTATTCTTGATTTCCAGCTAATTTTAGCGCAAATTCTGTTGAAAAACCTATTCCGAATAGTTTTTGCCTCGAAAAATCCGGGTTTTTCTTTAAAATTAAGTCCAGGAACCTCTGAAATGCTCATTTTCTGCCGAAAACCTTCAAAGAACCTTTTTGAACCCGAATTTCAATCTCAAAACTTTGAAAAGTAAATTTTTTCATCAAATTCTCAAATTCTAACTTGTAATATCAAAAATCGTAAAAATTCAAAGCTTCTCCCAAAAAAAGCCCAAAATTTTGGCCTCCGTGCAAACCGCCTTCACTAAGAAACCCATGTAAGCGGGATCAATCGACCATGGTGTACACTTTCCCACGACGTCGGCTCAGTCGCGTTGCGAAGAAAACGCGCGACTGGAATTTGTTGTCGTGGGGGTAGGGACTAGGCGGGCGCCATCCCCGCACCTCCCGATTCGAAATTCAAAACACAACCACTGCACCATCCCCCCTCTTTGTGTTCGCTGTCAACAAAGCCATTTAAATAGATAGCGCGTGGCGGCGAGAGAGTGCAGACATAACGAGAGAGTTTTTTTTTCAGTGTCTGTTGCTTCGCTCAAATCTTTTCCATTTGTTCTGGGTTTCTACAAATGGCCAACAATTGCAAACAATTACAGTGTTCCCAGATCCAGTTGCGTCGCAAAATCAAATCGAAGAGTAAGCTTTGGCCTGATTTTAAATAACCTAAAATCAATCTTTTTTGCAGCCCAGAAAACCCCCAAGCGCCCTCCAAAACTTGCCAACTTCCATCAAATCATGTGACTTCTGGCGCACCTTCTGGAACTGTTACCGTATCGACACGTGGCGTTTTGCCAACACCGGATACCGCTAGTTTTGTGCAAAGAATTGAGCAAGAGAAAAGAGCCAAGCAACATGGAGCAGATGCGGATAATCGAAGCTTTTTGGCAAAATATGTGAGTGTTTTTTGGGGAATGGGAAAAATTATGAAGGATTTTCAGAGCTTTATAGATTTCTAGAATTTTTTTTGAAGCTAAAATTTCACTTTTAATTTTCATGCTTATATATTATGACTAATCAATTTGACAGAAAAATATTTTCAATTCTGAAATTTTTGAAACGTAAAATTTCATAGACAGAAAATATTTTTAAAATTTTTTTTGAAAATTTAAAAATTCAATTTCCCCGCCAAATTATTCACGTGGAATCTCTTGGATTTCTCTTGGCGCCAAAAATTCACTTTTAATTGGCATACATTCTCATGACTAATCAAATTTGACAGAAAAATATTTTCAATTCTGAAATTTTTGAAACGTAAAATTTCATAGATTTTCAAACAGAAAATATGTTTGAAAAATTCAAATTTTCCCGCCCAAGATAATTTTTGGCGCCAAAAATTTCAAAATTCAAAATTTTTTCCAGTGGATGTACATTCTGCCAGTCGTTCTTTTCGCCTTCCTCTCAAACGCTGTGAATCCGGAAAATCAAGAAGGAGGCGGTCAACAATAATAATAACCTTACAGAAAAATATTGATTTTTCACCTGAAAATATCGATTTTTCCCGCCTTACTAGTCGTTTTTTGCCCCCGTTTTTTTTGGTTTGCTCTCAAAATTTGTTGTGTCTTCTTCATTTTTTTTTTTTGAATTTTTCCCAATATTAATTTTATCGGGTAATAATAGAATAATTTATTATTCATTTCGTTTTTTCTCTTTTCTCCAATTTTTCACTGTTTCTCAAGCAGTTTCTATATCTATTTTCACCAATTTTTTCTTGCAGTTTTTTAAAAACAATTTTGAAATTTTTTTCAGAGAGAAACGCGAGACAAATACAATTAAAACAACAATAAATTGGATGGAATGAGTGCGAGAAATTTTGACAATATACCGCCACATGCGACGAATACGGTGACTATTTCCACGACTCCGCAGGTTAGTTGGATTTTTTGGGAGGATTTTGGAGATTTTTGGTGTAAAAATTGTGAATTTTTGTTGGAAATTACATACTTTCTTAAAAATGATTGAATTTGGAAATTTTTGGTGCAAAATCATAAAATTTTGACCAAAACATAAAATTTTTTCATTGAAAAAATTCACTGTTTCAAAATTTCCCCAAATTTTTTTTTTTGACAAATGTTCTCTACTGATCTATCTATGTTGAATTCAAAATTTTGAAATAATTAATTTTTAAAAAATCACTGTTTCAAAAATAAAATTAGTAAAGTTTTCAGAAATTATTGAGATTTTATCACTCTTTTGTCCAAAAAAAATTCTCAAAAAATTACTGTTTCAAAAATTTTACAAAATTTTGCTATGAAATTGAAGTATCATTGATGTATCACATTAATATTTTCCATCATCAACAACACGATAAAAAGCTCTAAGTTTTCAAATTTAAAAATTATTTTTATCTCACCTGAAAATTCACTGTTTCAAAATTTACATAATTTATTTTTGAAGAGAAACGGTTCAATTTCATCATTAAAATTTTCTGCAAAATCTACTGTTTTAAAATTTTGCTTTAAAAATTCAGGATGATAATTATTTTGATTATTTCTGGAAAATCAATGTTACTATATCGAAAACTCGCATTTCTCTCAAAAAATTGTAGCAATAATTTCAAAATTTGTAGTTGTTTTTGTATGTAGAAAAAATATGGGAAAAATAGATTCTTCAAAAAATTCAGGGAAAAATAAAGATGAAAATCGATATCTTCCAAATTTCATATTTTTTGCAGGTCCGAGTCACACCCGGAAGTGGTCAACTTCGTTCAATACCAATTCGACCCCAACCAGTTCCAATTCGAAAAATCCACCACGACGGAAATCCAATCAATTCATCTTCCACTTCATCCACAACAACACCTTCAGCCATCACAAATTCTTCAAATAATCAAGCTGGAACATCTACACCAGCACCATCTTTCAATTCGATTCATATAAAAGAGGAGATTGTAGAGACATCGAATCCCAATATTGATTATCAGAATGCGAATTCAAGTGGACCACTTTTGCCCCCATCGACTTCGGCTAATAGTTTTCAACAATATCAGAGGGGATCTGGACCGGTGAGTTGTTTTTTGTGGGAGGAAAAATTCACTGTTTCAAAAATATTTTGAAAAATAATCTCAGATTTGAAAAATTTGATGATGTTGTTTTTGTTGTATGCTTACTAAAAAAATCTGTAATTTCTGTAAATTCTGTATACTTTTAACCATAATAATTTCGAAAAAAATCCCGAAAACTCACTGTTTCAAAAATGTTTCTAGTATTTTCTCAAAAAATATCCTTTGTTCTTCCTTTCAATCATAATAAAAATAATAGAATTAAAATCAAAATATCTAGCTAAAAATCTACTGTTTCATGAAATTTTAATAGGAAAATTCAGTTTTTCTACCTTTTTAATAAATAATCGGATGTATTAAAAAGGGGTGATGCGAAAAAAGAATCAAAATTACGAATTTGATATTAAAAAAAAATCCCGAAAATTCACTGTTTCAAAAATATTCCTAGTGTTTTCTCAAAAAATGAAAATCTATTAAGTGTGGAAATGAGAGTTGAAATAAAATAATTTCCAGCTTCTTCAATCAGAATAAAAATAATGATAAAAATCCACTGTTTCATGAAATTTTAATGTGAAAATTGAGTTTTCAAGAAGTATTAAAATGGAGGTGATCCGAAAAAATCAAAATTACGAATTTGATTTGAAAAAAAGACCCGAAAATTCACTGTTTCAAAAATATTTCTAGTATTTTCTCGAAAAATAAAAATCTACTCGGGGAAAAAGTAGCAAGTCTGGCGACAAAAATAGACTTTTAGCCTGCTTGCGACCATTTTTAGCAAGCTTGCTACAATTTTTATAATGGGAAAAAATGTAGCAAGCTTGCCAAAACTGGTCGCAAGCTGGCTAAAAGTCCATTTTTTGTTGCCAGACTTGCTACTTTTTCTTCGAGTATTCAATTAATTAAATACATATGTGATTAAAAAACATAATTTCCAGCTTCTTCAATCAGAATAAAAATAATTTTAAAAATCCACTGTTTCAAGCAATTTTAATATTAAAATTCGGTTTTCGGGAGGTATTAAAATGGGGGTGACACAAAAAAAATCAAAAATATGAATTTTATTTTTAAAAAAATCCCGAAAATTCACTGTTTCAAAAATGTTTCTAGTATTTTCTCAAAAAATAAAAATCTATTCAATTAATTGTGAATATGGGATTCAAAATAACATAATTTCTAGCTTCGTCAATCAGAATAAAAATAATGATGAAAATCCACTGTTTCAATAAATTTTAATATGAAAATTCATTTTTCGGAAGCATTGATCCCATGAATTACAAATCAAAAAATGAAAATTTTAAATTGAATTTTTTTTTCTGAAATTCACTGTTTCAAAAGTCCTAATTTGTCACAAATTATCAAGAAGCCATTGAAAAATGAATTTCGAACAAAAACCACTGTTTCATGAAATTTTAATGTGAAAATTGAGTTTTCGGGAAGTATTCATAACCCAAAATTCAAAATTAATTTGAATTGAAAAAAAAATCCCGAAAATTCACTGTTTCAAAAAAAAGCTAAAATATTTCATTTAAAAAAACCACATAATTATTCCGTTCCTTCTTCTAACCAATAGTATTAAAGAAAGAAAATTTCGAACAAAATTCCACTGTTTCAATAAATTTTAATGTAAAAATTGAGTTTTTCGGAAGCATTAACCCCATGAATTACAAATCAAAAAATGAAAATTTTAAATTGAAAATATTTTTTCAAAATTCACTGTTTCAAAAAAAGCTAAAATATTTTATTTAAAAAACCCACATAATTCTTCTGTCATTCTTTCTAACCAATAGTATTAAAGAAAGAAAATTTCGAACAAAATTCCACTGTTTCAAGAATTGATAATTTGAAAATTCACTTTTCGGGGAGTATTCACAACATAAAAAATCAAAATTAATTTGAATTGAAAAAATCCCGAAATTGCACCGTTTCAAACAATTTTAATGTGAAACGTTTAGTTGCAAAAATGATTATAGCCCAAATAAAATTAGAATCAAAATTTCAAAGTAAAAAAATTCTACAGAAAATATTTTTTTTCCAAAACGCAAAATTTTCTCCAGGGAACATCTACATCGGCAAATAATGGAAATAGTGGAAGCCTATCGATGGATCAACCAGCACCGGTGAATTTGGCGAGCAAAGTTGCCGAAGTTTTTCTGACCGCCGGACATGCTTTTCAAAAAATTGGGCGATTTGACACTGCAATTGCATACGACTACGGATACCGATGAAAGGTGAGCATTTTTTGGCTGAAATTCATAGTTTTCCATCAAAAACCCCTTATTTTTGCAGTAAATGGACGGACAAAGAAGTGGATAATTTACGAGATGCGCTAACTCGTTTCGCTCACGAACTTGATCAAATTAGCACGTGTGTTGCTTCAAGAACCACGTGAGTTTTATTTTTTCAGCGCAGAATTTCAAGCAAAACTCGATTTTTTTTCAGGAAACACATTAAAAATGATATCAAACGACGACATTTGATTGAGGAAAATAATCAGGTTGGTGCATTTTTTGAAGAAAAAAAGAGTGGGAAAATTCACTGTTTCGGAAATTTTTTTTAAATAAAATGGATACCAAAAGTTTACTGTTTCAAAAAAATGTTGAAATTAATTTTTGACAATTTTCTGGAATTCCTTCTCTCTTCTTTCAAGAAAAAATTCACTGTTTCAAAATTTTCATTTTGAGATTCTAGAAACTTTTATTCTGATGATCCTTCTGATTTGGTTGATTGCAAAATTTTACTGTTTCGAAAAATGGTTGAAATTAATTTTTGACAAATTTCTGGAAAAATTTTCAAATCTGATTTTTTCACTGTTTCAAAATTTTGTTATGAATAATTTGGAAAGTTTTCTGGAATATCAGTCTTTTTTTCTTACCGAAAAATTCTATTTCGCAAGTTTTTCTTTAAATTACTTGATCGAACTTTCCACGTGGCGAAAATAACAAATTTACACTAAATTTTGCTTTAAAAAACTGCTGTTTCAAAAATATCCCAAAAAAAATCAACAAATTATCAAGTATTAATTTTATGTATTTTCTAAAAAACCATCCAATTTTGAAAATTAAAAAATTCACTGTTTCAAAAAATATTTTTAATTTTTTGCAGCAAGTCAAACGTATGGCAATCTCAGCAACATCGGCCAGCGGAGCCTCGTATTCGGCAATTTCAACAATGGGTCCCGGAACGACTGGAATGCATACCGTACCCCTGGCACAGAAACGCATCGTTCAACCGACAACTAAAGTTTTGGCAACGAGAGTGAGTTTTTTTCTGTGGGAAAAAATCTACAGTAATCTAGAATTTCCCCATATTTTTTTGCAAAAATTTTCTTATCACAAGAAAAATTGACTCAAAATGGTCACAATGCCTTTTTCTGCTGATAACCTTTCGGGAAAACTTTGACCAGTGAAAAAAGAGTTTTTGCGTAAGCAGACCTAATTAATTAATGAATTATCTCGAAAAGAATTGTTTATTTGTGTCCCGTGAAAAATGATAAGAAATTTTGAGCCAATGAAAAATGGGAAAAAGGAGAAAGTCACGAAGGACACAGAGAACTTTGGAAAGGTTTTTGATTTTTGAAATTTTGAAAAATGAAAACTTGGAGAATTTTTGTTTGAAAAATTTGGAAATTCAATTTTTAGGGCGAAATTTACAAGTTGAAAATATTCATTTTTTTAGCCACTCAGCACAAATCAAAAATTCACTGTTTCAGGAAAATGTTATTAAAATTTTGAAACGTAGATTTTTTGATTAATTCTGTTTTGATTATCCAAAATTATTTTTGTTGAAAAAATTAGAAATGTTCGAAGCTTTTCTCAAATATCTGACAAAAAGTTGAATTTTTCGGAAGAAATTTTAAAATTTTTTATTTAGAAAAATGTTCGATTTTTAAGCCACTAGAGAAGACATAGATCAAAAATTTACTGTTTCAAAAAAATGTTGTTAAAAATTTGAAACGTATATTTTTCGATTCATTTATGTTTGCATGGGACAAAAATATTTTTGTTGAAAAATTAGAAAAGTTTTCTTTCGACAGATATTTTCGAATTTGAATTTTTTTTAGACGAAATTTCAGGGTATTTTTTGTTCAGAAAATGTTTAATTTTTAAGTCACTCGAGCAAAACACCGATCGAAAATTCACTGTTTCAGGAAAATGTTATTAAAATTTTGAAACGTATATTTTTCTGATATTCTACTAGACTGTTCTAGGACAATATTTCATGTTTTTTCTTCAGAAAATAATTCAATCCACCCTGTACAATTGAAAATTCATCAAAATTTTACTGTTTCAAAAAAATGTTATTAAAATTTTGAAACGTAGATTTTTTTTTGTTCAGCCAATATTGTGCTTTTACAAAAATTTGAAATTTTAGGATCATTTTTCTTGAAATTTTCTGAAAATTATCAAAATTTTACTGTTTCAAGAAAATTGCATAAAATTTTCGAACTAACATTTCTCTGGTTCTGTTTTTTTGTAATACAGAAAAATTATTTTTTCGAGCTTAATAGTCTTTTTTTCTGACAATTTTGTGAGAAAATAATTTTTTCACTTTCAACGAAAAATGCACTGTTTTGAAAATTTTAAGAACACGTCAAAAAGTGAAGTATCAGATTTCGCCGGATTCACTCAACTTAAATATTTTTTGAAACAGTGAGAAAAATGCAAAGTTGAAAAACAAATTAAAATTTGAGCAAATGTCTAATTTTCTCCCTTTTGCAGGCCGTCGTTCCAACCCGTTACACAGTCGGACCATCAACCTCAGCTTCTCCCTCAATCCTGAACAATGGTGCAACAATGCCACAACTTCAACAACAACAAACCGCTCGATTAATAACAACCACTGGAAATTTGTCAAGTACAACTCGATTGGCCGCCTCAAATCTCGCCAAATATGCACCAACTACAGTAACCGCGAAACGTATTATTACCGCAACAATTCCGCAACCAAAAACGAGTGTTGCGTCAGCACAACTTGTTCAAGATTCGAATGATTGATTGGTTTATGGGGCGACTTTTTGAACTTGAGTTTTGGTGGATTTTCATAGTTAGCTTAAGTTTGAATATGAGTTATGACGTGGCATTATTCTCATTTGCCACGTCATAACTAATTTAAAATCTACTTTTTTCCAATTTTAAAAGTTCAAAAAGTTGTCCTGATCCTAGGTGCCTTATTCATTTTCTCCCCAGGAACATTTTGCCTTTTCCCTCCCAAACTCTCTGAAAATTTTTAAAAAATTTTATTTTTTTTTCGCATAAATCTTCACTTATTTCCTGCTACTACTACAGTACCCCTTCTCAATTTTTATGCCTTTTTTCAAATGTTTCCTTCTACCTCTGTAACTTTTTTTGCAATTTTTTTTTTGAAAATTTTAAGCTGTACCCTGCTTTTGCTAAATTTTATTTTACAAATTTTAATGTTTTTTTTGGAATTTTGAATTTTTCTCGTTTTTTAACTGCATTGAATGAATTTTTTTGGATTTTTATAATTGGATTAGAACTGCAAGATTGAAGTTACTGTAACTCGGACTACTATTTGAAATGTGAAACTGTAAGCTACCGTAATCCGAACTGCTAATCTCCAGCTAGAACTCAAAAACTAGGGAAAAACTACAGTCTAGATTTCAATTACAGTAATCTGAACTGCGAGTTGATTACAGTACTTTGCACTGCAATCAGAGTACAGTACTTTGAACTGCAAAATTTCGAAGGTACTGTATAGCTAATTCATTTTAAGATACAGTAATCCGAACTGCAAATTACGGAGTTACTGATGTTAAAATTTGGCTTGAAAAATCATTAGCTACAGTAATCCGAACCGCAAAATTCTGGATTCATGGATTACTGTAAGGCTAGCCTACAAATTTTTGGTGGAGAAAAAATGAATCAAAAAATGTGTTACAGTAATCGGACTGCAATGGATACTGTAGCTCTTATTGTTGATCAAACGGCAAAATTTCCGGAATTTTTTCTGAAATCCCGGGTTACTGTAGAGCTAGCCTACAAATTTTTGGTGAAAAAAAAAATGAATCAAAAAATGTTTTCTTATCAAAATTTTTTTTTTCTGTGCCCATCAACTGATAATTAATATAATTTTGAAAGATGATCTCGACCAATTTTTCGGAGCCCAGAAAAAAAATCCGGGTTTTGTTGTGCGATAAGAAAAATGGAAAAAAAAGGGAAAAATCACATGAACTGAATAAATTATCGGAAAGAACAATGGAAGCTGCCAGAAAATGGAAAATGGGAGGAAAATTGATAAGAGCTCAAAAATTCGGGTATAAAAGGCGGCGAATTGGGAAGAGCAAGTAGCTTGGCTCAAATTTCGAAAAATGGTGAGTTTTCGGAGGGGTACTGTAGTTAGAAAAATGGGTTACTGTAGTTTATCTACTGTGTAGTTCCATTGATGTTTTGAAGTTTCTATAGATACTGTAGATTTGCAGTTCGGGTGTACTGTAGCTAAAAGTTTAGTATGTTTACTTGGTGGCTATTGTATTTTAGAACAGGATTACTGTAGATTTTAATTTGCAGTTCGAGCTACTGTAGGCGAAGTACAGGTTACTGTAATTTCAGAGCAGGATACTGTAGTTTCTAGTTTTGCAGGTTACTGTAATGTTTTTGCAGTTTGAAGTACTGTACTCAATTTTTCAGAAAATCAAAGGTTACGGTAGTTTCTATTAGAATACTGTAAATTTTGCAGTTTGGAGTACTGTAGATTATTTTTCAGTTTAACCCGGGGTTACTGTTATCCCTAGTTTACTGTAGATTTTGGGTACTGTAGCTTGTAGCTCGATTACGGTAGCTGGTGAACCTATTAAAAAAAAATTCCTGGCTGTAAATTATTTTGAGAAACCATGATGTGAATTTTGATTGAGGTACTGTGTTTCTTAAGATACTGTAGTTTTTTAAAGTTTTGCGAAGAAAAAAAACTACTGTAGTATTACTGTAGCTGAACGTTTAGCGTACTGTACCGAAAGTTCTAGGTATAATGTTTTTCAAAAAAAAAAAAATTCAAAAAAATTTTTTTTCGAGCTTAATCAAAACTATCAGATTCAAACATTTTCACTCCAAATTTTCTCCCCAACCCAATTTTTTTCTGCAGAAATTCGTCTTATTGCTCTCATTCATCGCTTTCTCCTCTCAACTCGCCATTCCTCAACTCTCCGGAGCCGCTTTGACCGAATATGTGAATTCGGTTCAAACCGCATGGCGTGCAGCCACACCAAAAGAAGGTGTCGAGAAGATTATGCCAAAACTCATGAAACACAAATTTGTTGTCGAGAATAAGGAAGAAGATATTGTTGAGATGGTTAAGATGGCTGAAGCTGATATTCCAGCCTCGTTTGATGCTAGACAACAATGGCCAAATTGTATTTCGATCGATAATATTAGAGATCAATCGGATTGTGGTGAGTTAGAGCAGAGAGAGAGAGAGAGAGAGAGAGCAGAGAAAGAAAGGAGAGGCAATTTTGAGATCAGAACTTTCTAGAATATTTCTGGATTACTGTAGAGATGTTTGAGATTACTGTAGGAACTATGACTTTTGGTCTTGAAGCGATTGGGTTACTGTAGAGTCAGTTTTGAGATCAGACCTTTTTAGAAGAATTCTGGATTACTGTAAGAACTATGCCTTTGGGTGTTGAAGCGATCGGGTTACTGTAGAGTCAATTTTGACATCAGAACTTTCTAGAAGAATTCTGAATTACTGTAGGAACCATGTGCTTGGGTCTTACAGCGATTGGGTTACTGTAGAAAAGTGAGAAGGGTACTGTAGTCAAATTTCAAATCCAAAAATGTCAGAAAAAAAACAAAGTACTGTAAAAAATATTGGAAGCTACAGTACTAATTTTTTGCCACGTGGCATTTCGAATGAGGCCACGTGGATTCAGTAGGGGTACTGTAGGCCCAAATTTCCGTCTAGATGTTTTCACTTTTTTCTGGAAAAAATGGAATCTAGAATTTCGAAAAAAAAAAGTTTCGGTGATTTTTTCCGGGATGAAATTTGAAATTTAAAAAAAATCTACACAAAAAATTCTCCCGAACCCCAAAAACATTTTTCCAGGATCCTGCTGGGCTTTCGCGGCCGCCGAAGCCTCCTCCGATCGTTTCTGCATCCAATCCAACGGAACCGTCAACACCCTCCTCTCAGCCGAAGATGTTCTTTCCTGTTGCTCAGCTTGCGGTGACGGTTGTGACGGTGGATATCCAATCGAAGCCTGGAGATATTTGGTCAAAACCGGTTTCGTCACCGGTGGATCTTATGAATCACAATTCGGTTGCAAACCTTATTCCTTGGCTCCATGCTCTGAAACCGTCGGAAATGTAACCTGGCCAGATTGTCCAGCTGACGGATACAGTACTCCAGCCTGCGCCCACAAATGTACCTCCACAGCTAACTATGCGATCCCATTCAAACAAGACAAACACTTCGGAAGCACCGCTTATGCCGTCGGAAAGAAGGTCGCACAAATCCAAGCCGAAATCTTGGCTCACGGCCCAGTTGAAGCTGCATTCACAGTCTACGAAGATTTCTACCAATACACAACTGGTGTCTACCATCATGTTTCTGGAAGTGCTTTGGGAGGACATGCCGTGAGAATTCTTGGATGGGGAACTGATAATGGAACTCCATATTGGTTGGTTGCCAATTCGTGGAATGTTAATTGGGGAGAGAATGGATATTTCCGAATTCGACAAGGACACAATGAATGTGGAATTGAACATGCTATTGTTGCTGGAATTCCAAAAGTTTGAATTTGAATTTGAAACTTGAAACAGGGATGTAATATGTATTTTGTATATTTTACGGTTTACGAATAAAATATTTTTATTTTTTTTTTTTTTTGGAAAAAAAATTGTGGAATCTTGCCACGTGGATTCTGAATTTCTGAATTTTTCAAAAAAAAAAAATAACAATTTCAGATTCTTGTGGATCATTTCAGTAATTTGGAAAGCTTAAATATTGCCACGCGTGGATTCTTAATTTCCACAACAAAAAAAAATAATTTCAGGTTCTTGTGTCATTTCCAGAATGTGGAAAGCTCAAATTTTTCCACGTGAATTCTGCAAATTCGGAAAATTTTTGACGATAACTTGTTTTGCCACGTGTATTCTGAAATTTTGAATTCTGAAAAAGGTCTCTTACAAGGAATAGTTCCCAAAATTCCCCCGGGAAAATGGGATTTAATGGGCGGAAGTTTTAGCATTTGGGAAGGTATGAAAAACCCCAAAGGGATTTGGCATGCAAAAATTTTGTTCCCGGATTACCTGGGGGTGGACCTTTTTTCGAGAATTTTTTGGGTTCTGAACTTTGAAAAATCGTAATTCCACTTACAATGGACGAAAAAAGTCGATCAAAACAGTTAAACAAAGCTTACATACTGCTCTATAAACTGAAAAATAGAGTTGTAAAAAAATATTTTTTTTTGACCCAGAAAAATAAAAAATTTCAAAAAAAGTAAAAAAAAAAATGTTTCCAAAATTTTTTTTAGAGGAAGTTTCAAGTGTTCTAGTGTCGATTTTCGAACTCTACGCACAAAGTTACGTATAGTAACATGTTGAAATCGATAGGTCTCCGGGTCCCCAGATGTTCTAGAAATCGATTTTATGTTTTTCTGTTGCAAAAATCAACAAAAATAGTGTTTTATGCAGGCTACACTTTTGAGTAAAGTTGAAAACGTAGGAATTTTCAAGCAAAAGGTCACTGGATCGATTCCTCACGGCGGAAAAAAAAATTTATTGGAAAAATATTTTTTTGGGAAAAGTTTCATGGGTCCGAACATGTAGTTTAGCGAAAATACTGAACTTCTGAAGAAAATTTGGTCAGGCTAACAGAAAATTTTTGAATTTGTCAAAAATTATCACGCTGTCAACTAGTTACGCCAGAAGAGCCGCTTCAGCTGGCAGACCAGTTTGGAAAACCACTTAAACTCGGGACGGCGCCTTGAGAGTATACATGTCAAGTCGTTGCGCCTGCAGAGACCACTAGACAAGGCACAGCGCCTAAACAAAGCAAAGGCTGACAAGGAGCCGCGACTAGAGAGCAAGTCTTGCAAGGAGCCACGCCTAGAGATTGAACCTGACAAGGAGCCACGTCTAGAGAGCAAGTATTGCAAGGAGCGACGTCTAGAGATTGAACCTTTTTCAGAGCAGAATATGTTATTAATGGGGTGATTTGGTACATTTTTTTAAATTATCTTATTTTTTTAGAGACAACAGTCACAGAACGCAGCGGTCCCATAAAATTCACAATTGTCATTTTCTGATGTAAGTTTAAGAATAGGCGAAGATTTTGAGAAAAAGAATGTAGATGTTTCAGGCTTCCGAACAAGAAGATGACAGGACATTCGAATAGATCAACAACTTTTCACGGAACGGGCGGCCAGTCAAGTTAGTTTATTTTGAGGTTTGGGGGGGGGGGGGGAACAAAACACGGCTTTTGAAAAATAAGCAAAATTGCAAGTTGAGAGAGACGCAGAGAGAAAAAAAACCACCTTCAAATGGAAATATGAAACACCAATTCCATTTGCTGTTCGACTCCTCGTTTCGAGACCAAGCGCGGGAGACATTTTTTTCAAATTCAAAAACGCTTCCCGCGCTTGGTTTCGAAACGATAGATCAAATCATTTGTGAATTTACCTTACGCTTCAAACTGATTTTCACTTACAACTCAGCTTAAAAATGTGAGATTTAAAGGGAGGTACAGTAGTTGCCACGTTGTCTATCATAAATTTTTAGTGGTGAACTGAATTTTGCCACGTGGATTCTGAAATTTAGCAAAAAAAATTTCTGATCACTTTTTTTGCCACGTGGATTTGCTCTTCAAAAAATCTGAACTCTTATGCGATGTGTTTTCCTGGACACCACAATTAATTATAGGTTAAAAATATGAGGAGGAGGGTTGATCTTTGAGATTTTGTTTTGGACAATTTCTGGTGTATTTTATTTTTGAATTTTGAAAAGCTTGGGGTACTTTAAAGTAATTTTTTTTAGATTTCTCAAAGTTTAAGGTCAAGTTTAATTTTTAAAGTAAGATTTTTTAAAGCTTAGTGTAATTTTTAAGTTAAGGTAACTTTCAGAAAATAATTCTTGAATAACTGTGTTTTTTCCTATGTTTTCCTTATGTGAATAGTTTGTGTGTTGTGATCAAGATGATTCAAACTAAAGATACACGAATTAAAAAATGTTCCATTTTTTGTTCTCTAAAAACCGGTCAATTATCAAATTCTTGATGTTGAACTTTGAAAAAAACCGTGATTTATGATGGGAAAATTTTTGGGATGAAGGGGTACTGTAGTTTTGTTTTTAGTTGATCTAATGGCTTGAAAATCCACGTGGCACAATTTTTTAAAATTCAAAAATTTCAGCGCTTAATTTTAGTTTTTAAAATTTGGATTTTTTTTTGGAAAATGTTGAAATCATAAAAATTGACTTCAAAAATCTCAAAATCCACGTGGCTATCCCTTTGGCAAGTTTTTCCATGGCTAAATTTTTTTTTTTTTGAAATTTTTATGTTTAGATCACACTTTCAGTATTAAAAAGTTCTGAAAAATCCACGTGGCAAAAAAAATCTCAAAAAAATCTGTGGATCAACTTTTACAGCTCCAAAAAACTGAAAATGTTGACCACATCAAAAAGTCAGAACTTCGATCGCCCAAAAAACCTCTGACTCACATTTCCATCATCCAAAAATACCCTACAGTACTACCCGCCTTCCCAAACATCTCCACCAAGTTTTTCAACAAAAAAAACTCCAAATCAAATCAAAAAATCAAAAACAAATCAAATTCGCCGAAAAAAAAAGTCAGCTCCTTTCTATTTTTTTCCAATTATCGGAAATGTCAAAGCGAGAGATGACAATCGGAAGAAGAGACGCAGAGAAGACGAGAGAAAAGTTCGGCGAATTTGACAGATGAGAGATTTGACAATTGAGAAGAGACGCAGAGAAATAGAGACAATGAGTTTAATTCAAATTAGAATGAAGATCTGACAATTTACCCGCGAAAAAATAAAAGTATATAAATAGAGATTTTTTTGAATCAAAAAGTTGTGTTTGAAAAAAAATATTCTGCAGCTATTTGATACTATCATCTTTTTCTTGTCTACATTGTAGGAGGTTAGTGTTTTTTCTGATTAATGAGATAATTTTGAAAATTGAAAACTAGTTGGATTTTTAGTTAAAAATCTTAAAGTTGAACAGTTTGGGCTTCAAAATAAAATTCTCTCATTTCCTGTTTTTAATGCGAAAAACTCGCAGAAAAAATAAATAAATTCAAACTTTTTGAGAAGCGCGGGAAACCACATACACCGCGACGCACAATTACACACAATGAACATTTGTCAACTACAGTAGTCTAATATAAATTAGCGTTTCATAAATATATGAAAATGAAAACTTTTTCGTAGTTTTGGTCCAAATTTCGCCCAAGTTTTTTAAAAGAAAATTTCAAATTCCTGAAAGTTTCCGAATTCAAAATAACAAATTACCAAATTTTTTTCTCCAGATCACAACTTCATTTCTTCTTGACAAAAAGGTCAAAAAACGTTGTCCTTATATGTATTAGCAGAAAACAAAAAACCTTGATTTGTAGAACTTTTCCAATGATATCATTTATCATCATTTTTGTAGGCAAACATTGGTTTGTTGATCAACAAAACAAAAATTTTCACAAATTACGTAGGATTTTCAGATTTTTTCAAAAATTTATTTTAAAAACTCATTTTTCATCAAAAACTAATTGGACATGATATCTGTTTTTCTCTAGACTCTCTCATTTTCTCACGATCTCTGATTTGACTTTAAAAATGTTTTCTGATCAAGCAAAAAAGGGTTTTTGAGAAATTTTTATTTCAAAAACTTTTTTTAATTGGTCAAGATCTTCTGTGATTTTGATATTTATCTTCTTTTTTATTTTGCAATCTGATTTTCACTTTCATGATTTCTGATTTCTAGAGAATTCAATAAAACAACGTGAAAAATATTCCAAGAAAAAAATTGGGCGGAGTTTTCCATATCCCTTTTTTGTCTCGCGTCTCTTCTCTCTCTCTCTCTCTTTGCTATTTCTCTAGACCCTCCCAATTTCCCATGATCTCTCACCGATTTTTAGAAATTCAAAAATGGAGATCAAAAAATCAAAATCCCAAGAATGCCTGGTTTGTCGAAAATCATCAAATGGAATGCATTTTGGAGCAATTTCTTGTCGAGCATGCGCCGCTTTTTTTCGGTGAGCTCTGGAATCTCAAAAAAAATTTTGTTAGCCTAACTCCCATTTTCAGACGAGCTACAGTATTGAACATTCAATATGAATGCAAAAAAGGAGAAATGAATTGTAATATTGATGGAAGAGGAAGATTTGTATGTAGATTTTGTCGATTTTCGAAATGTCAACAAATTGGAATGAAACCTGATAGTCAGTTTGGTTTTTGAAAAATCAACAGAATTCTGAAAAAAATCCCGTTTTTCACTCCAGAAGTTCAACTAGATTACGATCCAACATATTCAATAAGAGGGTTGCTAAATGATGATTCTGGAAGTGATGATTCAGCTACAAATTCTCCAAGTTGTTCGAAATCTGAAGAAGAAATCAATTTTTCACCGAAACCTTCAGACAAACCGATTGCAAAAATTGATTTTTCGGATTTGACACAGAAAATCGAATATCTTTTTGATTGCAAAACAGAAGACTGTGAAAAAGATGAGCTGGAAATATTATCGAATTCAATTTCACTTTCAGAAGAATCTCGTAAAAATCCCAGAATTCAAGAAATCCATCAAATGGAAATATTTGAAATGATAAATCTACTGAAAAATGAGATAATTTGGAAATGGGCAAAATGGATGAATTCGAGTCAATTATTGAGGAGAATTGAGAAACAACAAAAAATGCAAGTTTTTCGGAATTCTTGGAATATTCTACATATTTTTGAGAGGTTGTATAGAACATCGAAGAATTTTTTGAGTGAGCAAATTCTGATTTCTGATGATTTGCTATGGATTTGTGGGAAAAGTTATTATAATATTTCAAGTATTTCTGAGATTTCTAATCAATATTTTGCAAAGTAAGTTAACCATTAAACACATACACCGTGACGCACAATTACACACAGAAAAAATTTGCCAGCTACAGTAGTCGAATATAAATTATGTTTGCATGAATATCCCACAAGCCTCTGAAGTTTTTTGAGGGATTTTTTTTCTGGGTCAAAAAATTGCGAAAACGTCGAATTTTCAAGTCTCTGAAGTCATTTTTCACGTAAAATTTCAAATTTTGGCTAAAAAAGAGAAATTCTAATTTTTGGGAAATCCGCTCCAACTGGGAAAATGTCTTTAATTATCCTAATTAACAAAAAAATAAATTTTTATAGATTATTCGATCCATATCTTCAAAGATTCATCGATGTAATTGGTAAACAATTATCCGAAATGCAATTAACAAATCAAGAATTAATATTTTGCCTAATTCAATTAATTGGATATGATACAACAGATTTAACACAAGAAACTATTGAGATTATCGAAAATTTGAAGCATCAAATCGCTGATCAAATGCATAATTATTACTCGAATTATTCGGATTTGACTAATTATTCATATCGATTAATTAGATTGATGAATATTGTGAAAAGTATGAAGGTAAATTCATTTGGATTTTTTAGAGTTCTGAAAATCAATGAATAATTTTGCAGAAAATTGCCATCGAGAAGAATAAAGTCAAAGAATTATTCTACATTTTCGACATTTTTCATGCCGATATTTCTGATCCCTATTTTTTTGATATTTTTTGATTGATTTTTTAAACTATGGGAATTTTTGGGTCATTTTTTGAGAAGGAAAACGAGTTTTAGGTTAAAATTATTGATTTGAAAGATTGTCATTTCTTACTTACAATTAGAAAATTCGTGAAATAAGGTGATATGAAAAATAAATAATCATAATCAAATTTGTTTACAGTAGCCCTGGAGTATATAATTTTGTAGAGAGATTTCCCATATTCGAAAACCCAAAAATCCCGATTTTCAGCCTTATCAGATGATATTGATAATTTAGTGAATTTAGTGATACGAGTTTTTGAGATGAAGCTTGATTTATAAAGTTATTAAAAATAGTCTCTACTACCCCCAGACATAATTTTCTGCAAATTTCAGCTAAATTCGAGCTTATTGATAATTTAGTGAATTTTGAGCACAAGCACGAGCATGCAATTTTTGACTGGTAGAAGTTTTGTTGTGAAAATAAAGGACGTATTTTCAAACCCCCGTCTATTTTTTTCCGGCGTTCCGCACGGAGGACAAATTAATTCTCAATAGTAATAAAACAAAAGTTATCTCGATTCATCCAAAACCTTCTGAATTCTCCTATCACATAAATCAATCTAGCATCTCTAGAACTTCTCTGATTCGCGATCTCGGTTTTCATATCTCACAGAACCTTGATTTATCGGAACATTGGGAAATCTTCACCAAAAAAGCCAATTCTCTTCTCTATCTTTTATTCAAAACATTTTCCACTAAAAATCCTAAGCTCTACTTATCTCTTTATAAAACTCATATTAGATCTGTTCTCGAATATGGTTGCATCGTCACATCTCCTCCAGACAAATCTACTTCAGATTTGATTGAGAGGGTCCAGCGCAACTTTACGAGAAAATTATTTGGTAGAATTTCTGGGAGAATGATCAGTATTACTTACCCTGACTATTTATCATATTATGAGGGAAAGCTAGATCTAGTGAGAATTATTGTCACCTAATTTCATTCAATGGGAATCACTGTTGAAATCTCTTGCGAGATAACATTTTTTATCATCATCACAAAAAGATACACAACTTCAATTTCAGTATAAACTCTCGACTTGAACTTTCAATAATTATATCTTGCCGAGAACAAAACCACCGTTCTCCATTTTGGCAATAAAAATCCAAGCTTCCAATATCACGTCAACACCCTCCCAATTTCCCCCACCAATCGAACCAAGGACCTTGGTATTTTTGTAGATAGAGACCTAACTTTTGAATATCACATTTCCCACATCACTAATATTGCCCTTTTAAAATGTCGCCAATTATTGTTCTTTCAAATCTAGAAACCCAAATTTTTTGTTTAAATTGTTTCATTCTTATGTCATGCCCTTATTAGATTATGGTTGCGAGATCTACCATCCCTCCTCAATTTCACAAATCCAAAAACTAGAAAAACCCCTTCAATTGTTTTCCCGGCGCGTATTCCAAAGATGCAACTTATCCTACAGCTCATACCACAACCGTCTCTCCCAATTCAATCTAATCTCCACCCAGCATAGGCAACTCATTTTTATCACAAATATGTATTACAAAATCCTAACTAACTCTAGTCATTTCCCCTCCCTTCCCCTTTTTGTTACTTCTTCCACCTCTCAGCGTTACCCCCTCCATCTAAATTGTATTGGCGCTCGCAAAAATAACTCATTTCTACACAAGCACAGTACTCTCTGGAACAAAACCTCAAAAACACTAACCCATTCTTGCCTTCCTCAAAATCTTATTCCACATCTAAAATCTCTACCATCTAGTCATTTTCTCAAATCCTAAATCTCACTCTGCAAATTTGAACTACCGTACTCTTGCGGGTACAAAAGTTCATCTTATTATTCTAAATCACTTTCACATTCTAAAATTTCATCATTTCAAATTTACAATTCTTCTTTCTTTTTCTAAAGTATTTATTTTGATTAAAAATCTATTCTCATTTTTTCAACTAATTTTCGTGTAAATAAATGTGATATGAATAAATAAATAAAAAAATATAACAAATTATAAAACAAATAAATGTATAAATGAACAAGATTAGAAAATAAACAATAAAACGTCGTTATCTATCTTTAATGGGGTGAGTCATAAAAATAAATTGACAGAAAAAGTGCGATTAATTTCACGTTTTTTGTCAATTAATCGCATTCATTTCTGAAAAAATGCGATTAATTGACAAAAAACGTGAAATTAATCGCACTTTTTTTGTCAATTTATTTTTATGACTCACCCCATAAAAAATGAAGCAGCAAAATTAATTAGTGTGTGTGTGTGTAAGCTGTTTGCAAGTATCAGTTGTTGTCAGCCTCAGTTGCGGACAGCTCTTTGATGAATTGGAGAATGCCAATGAAGATCTGATTGACCGCAAAAATGCACTCGTTTTGTTTGATTTTGTATTTTTTTGAGCACATCAACGTTTTAAGATTGAGCATCACATAAAACATAATCAGAATTGATCCCAAGAATGCGAAAATGAGCATAACGATGGTGACTTCGAAAAATTCCGAGAAGATTGGGAATACCATTGCAGAACCGATCAAACTGAAGAAGACGACTGCGATGTAACCGGGGTAACTGCTGAAACTTGATTCATTTTTTACAAGAAAATCTTTTTTGCTAAACACTTAAAATCTCTCTCAATGGACCTCTGAGGCAAGGGCTCTTTAAAACTCAAAAATTGGCTCATAAAAATCATCATAACTCCACTCACAATGATTTTATTGACATGTTTTCAAAAGAAATGCTCTGCCCCACATCATCATAAAAATGGATTCAGCAAGAATTTTGCAAATTGCTGACTGGCTTGTTTGAAGGGCCGGTCAATAACCGCCCAAGCCTACAAAATTATGGCCGAGCCTGAATCCGGTCACGTTATTTCTTGTTAAATTATATTACACAAAAAAAATGTTTCCAAATAGTCGCCACAGTTGTTCACAACAATTGTTATAGACAAAACATTGATTGGAAAAACGGGAAAATTTCTGTTGTTAATCGGGTGATTTATGAAAATAAATTGACAAAAAAAGTGCGATTAATTTCACGTTTTTTGTCAATTAATCGCATTCATTTCTGAAAAAAATGCGAGAAATTGACAAAAAAACGTAAAATTAATCGCACATTTGTTTGTCAATTGTTTTGTATGAATCACCCCATAAGAAATAAATCAAAAAGATTTGAAGAAGTTCTAGGATTTTTGAATACCGAAAAACAGTTTTTCAAGACTTTTACACAAGTTGTGCTAATTCAGAATTCATCAAACTCTCACTGATGTAATTTTTTATCAGAAATAACACGTTGCTGATTTTCTTGTGTTTTCAATTTTCACAAGTTTTCAGAAAATCATGTTTGAATACAATTCTTTTTTTTTCTCAATAGCATTTTAAAAAGTCATATTATTTATCTCGAGCGCCTGTTATATGTCACTATGTCATCAGTTCAACAGTTGTCTTAGAATAAGTGCTGGCGAATATCCTCCAAATCACTTTCTTCCCTTCTATTTTATCTTATATATTTTACTTATGGGGTGAGTCAGTCAATCGGGTCAATTTTTTTCGGAAAAAAAGGGGTAATTTTTGGAGGAAAAAAAGAGGTTAAATGTAAATAATCTGTTATTCAAGGCTTAGGCTTAGTGAACGCCCAGACAACTTTGACACTCAGGACCCCTTTTTGTTCCAAAAATTTGACCCTTTTTTTCCTCCAAATATTATCAAAGTCAAAAGAGATGACAACGTCGTAAATCGGAAACGAGAGAAATGGAAAATAACTACAGTCAAAACAAAAATCGTTGATCGCGTGCGGTTTGCAACGCGACTAAAAACCAGAATGAATATTTTCTAGTTTGACGATTTTAACAATTGATTGACCAGAAGTTTGTAGTTTGAACACGAAATAGCATGCAAAACTAGAGATTTAGACAGTAGATCAAAAACGTCACCGATCGATTCGTCAAACTAGACAATATTTTGTTGGGTTTTTAGTCGCGTTGCAAACCGCACGCGCTCAACGATTTTTGTTTGGACTGTACTTATTTCGTATGACTCTTGTTTTCGATTTACACTGGTGCCATCTATTTTGACTTTGATAATATGAAAAAAAAATTTGGCCCCTTTTTTCCTCCAACAATGACCCCCTTTTTGAAAAAAGTTTGACCCCCTTTTTGTGATATGGGTCAAACCCCTTTCAGATTAACCCCCTTTCAGTAAAACCCTTTTTCCTATACTTGACCCCCTTTCGGACTTCTTGCCCTGACCCCCTTTTAAGGGCGTCAACCCCCTTTCAGAAAAACCCTTTCAGTTTTTTTCCAATTAATCGACATGTTTTTTGCTATTAATTGACAAAAAAAATGCGTCTTTTAGGGCGATTAATTTAACGTTTTTGTCAATTTCTCGTTTTCATTTCTTGCAAAAAATGCGATTAATTGCATAAGGGCTGATTCACGAACGAAAAAATGTTTTAAAATGTTTTTTTAACATTGAAAGATCAATTCACGAAAAGTCGAAAAATGTCAAAAAAAAACATTGTAGGTCAAAATTAGTTTTTTGAGTTTTTCAGTCAAAAATGATGACAAATCGACGTTTTTGAAGATTCTGAGGTAATATCTGATCAAAATTGACTTTGAAATCCACTTTTCAGAAGTTTGTGCTGAATTTTCGTAAAATAAAAAATTTGAAATTTCTGTCGAATTTCGAAAAAAGTTCATAAAATGAGGTAAAATAGGGTTCTCGAAGCTTATTTTCATCAAATATCACTTCAGAAGCTTCAAAAACCTCGATTTGTCATCATTTTTGGCTGAAAAAGTCGAAAAACTAGTTTTGACCTACGATGTTTTTTCGACATTTTTTGACCGTTCGCGAATTGTTTTTTCGGTGTAAAAAAAAACATTTTAAACATTTTTTCGTTCGTGAATCAGCCCTATAAAAATTCAAATTTATTTGACCTATATTTTGAAACGTGACCTATATGAGTTGGAATTATCAACAAAAAAAGTCTTCTCTCAACTTTCTTTTATTTCGAAATGAATTCAAAAAATAAGCTGTGAATTTGGGACACGTTTCAAAAAAGAGGTCAAATAAATTCTATTTCGTATTGAAATTCCTCATTTTTGAATGCAATTAATTGCAAAAAAAGATCAAAGGTGGAGTGCGACAAAAATACAAGTTCTCATCATTCCCGCGTTCTTGCTACACTTAGAGAACACCCGTTTGTCAAAAAATTCAAGAAAAGCGAGCATCGGAGAACAAAAGCGAACAGAAACAGTTTTCGGCATTTTCGCATGTAGTGGGCAAACGCGCTCTAGCGAACAGGCGGAACGTTTGAATTTTCTGCGTTTTTTTTCTTATTTTTTTCAGAGTTCATTTTTTTCAGTCAAAATCCGAGGAAAAAATGGATTTTGAACGCAAAAGCTTTACACAAGATGAAAAAGGAGAAGATTCTATACCTATTTAGTGATAAAAAATCTTAAAACGATGTTGTTTCAGTCTGTTTTTCACATTTCAAATTAAAGATGAGCAATATTTCGAAAACATTGCATACAATATATGAATCTGTTCCTTTTTCATCCAGAAGCACTAATATTCATCTCAATAATTCGAAATTTATAGGGTTTTCGTTAAAAACGTGAAACAACACAAATTCACACACTTTTCGCAAACACACAAATTGACGCGCAATTGCGGACGCTTTTTTCGGGTTTTGTCGCACTCCGCCTTCAACTACTTTGTAATAAGGAAACATTAAGAAATGATTAAAATAATCATCTCTAAATATTAAAAATGTTTGATAATAATAATAACAAGAAATCACGTGACCTTAAAATGCGGAAAGACACCTCGGGAAATAATATATACAGTGCGTTTCACAATTATAGCCCCACCCCTGAAATTAACGAAAACTATTTTTATTTGAAGTTTTCATGTAAAACTAAGTTGAAAATAGGAAAGATCAGCCGAAATAAGGTATGTAAACATGTTTTTATCATAACTGACTTTGGTTTTGATTTTTTATGTACAAAAAATTTAATTTCGGGCGTTTCATAAGTATAGCCCCACCTATAACCAGATATCCGAAAACCCATTTACAATAATTTATTCAACTTTTTAGTTTTATTTACTTAATTTTAGTTCACTTTTGATCATTCCTAAAAATTATCAATAGATTTCAACCTATTTTCGATTTTATATAAGCGAAAATCTTCAAAAAGTGAAGTTTTTAGGCGATCCACTTTTATGACTGTCATAATTTTTTTTGAACTCGATCTATTATTTTTTTTAACTCATCTAATTTATGAAAAACAATGTTTTTCACAATTTTTATGCCAAATTATTACATTTGGATGTGCTTAGATATCATTTCTAATCGTGTTTCACAATGTATAGACTCTAACTTCCATTGTTTTCTTGATTTCTTGACTTATAAATAGAACATTTGAGGTTCAATACTGGAGATAATTATCTAAAAAGGCTTTTCAGAGCATTTAAAAGTTATTTCAAAAACAAATGTCTTTGGTTAAATTAGTCTGGAGTCTCACCGGTAAATGGAATAAAATTCAAATTTTTTTGTTGTTCCAACTTCTGAATTTTACAATGTCTAACTTATTTTTCCGATCGTATTATATAGTTTCCTTAGAATTTTGATCATATTCCATACTTTTCAATCAGATTTGACTATTTTGAAATCAAATCACATGAATTTTCCCAGAAATTGATTTCAGGATTCGAAGTTCCGATTTTTAAAATCTTTTGATATTTCTATTTTCTCAATCAGATATTTGTACGGACCTCGGGGCAAACGGTAATGGATTCTCAAACCGAGAAAAATTAAAAAAATTGCTTTAATTGCTTCAGAATTCATGTTTTGTTATTCATTTTCAAAATTAGAATCCGGATGTTCGGTTTCCAGGTCGACAAACTCGCATTCTGATCATAACATGAACTACAGAACTAAGATACACTGAATGAAATGATATCTAAGCACATCCAAATGTAATAATTTGGCATAAAAATTGTGAAAAACATTGTTTTTCATAAATTAGATGAGTTTAAAAAAATAATAGATCGAGTTCAAAAAAAATTATGACAGTCATAAAAGTAGATCGTCTAAAAACTTCACTTTTTGAAGATTTTCGCTTATGTAAAATCGAAAATTGGTTGAAATCTATTGATAATTTTTAGGAATGATCAAAAGTGAACTAAAATTAAGTAAATAAAACTAAAAAGTTGAATAAATTATTGTAAATGGGTTTTCGGATATCTGGTTATAGGTGGGGCTATACTTATGAAACGCCCGAAATTAAATTTTTTGTACATAAAAAATCAAAACCAAAGTCAGTTATGATAAAAACATGTTTACATACCTTATTTCGGCTGATCTTTCCTATTTTCAACTTAGTTTTACATGAAAACTTCAAATAAAAATAGTTTTCGTTAATTTCAGGGGTGGGGCTATAATTGTGAAACGCTCTGTAAGTAGATAATAACAAATACTCACGTATTGATGTCAATTTCATGGCTGAAAATAGTCATTCCAAATGTGCAAATAGTAAAAATCACCAAGCCGATCCAAATTGCCAGAGCATCTACATCAGAACAGATCACCATTGACATTACAGATGTTATCAATGTCTGAATAGTATTTGTGGTATAGTTTGGAGAATCGGTTGTTTATTATTATTATTATGAGCGTTCAGAACTTGGTTATGGGGTGATCCACGGCTATTTTTTTGCAATTAATTGACACGAATTGGGATTCATGAGGTGCGATTAATTTCACATTTTTGTCATTTTATTCCATCTTTTTTTGCAATCCATTGCAGTCAAAAAAAAAGGAATTTTGATATGAAATTTGATTTATTTGACCTCTTTTTTGAAACGTGTCCCAAATTCACAGCTTATTTTTTGAATTCATTTCGAAATAAAAGAAAGTTGAGAGAAGACTTTTTTTGTTGATAATTCCAACTCATATATCTCAGGCAAATCGTCCCACCGGCGCAACACCAAATCTCCACTCAATCAACACCGTTCTTCCACCGGTGGGCCCACCGGTGGGAAACCGGTGGAGCTTCGGTGTTCCACCGGTGGGCAAAGGGGGAACACCGGTGGAGTTTTGGTGTTGCACCGGTGGCGTTCAGGTGTTCAACCGGTGGGATTTAGGTGTTGCACCGGTGGGTTTGGAAAATTTTTTGAGAGAAATTTATTTTTTTTATTTTTTCTGTTCAGAATGGAATATTTGAATTCCTTTGAGCAAAATTAGTTCGCCAGAGCGAACTTTCTGACTATCTCTTTAGTGAAGAGACAAAAATTCTCCTGACAAGAGAAAACCTCAATAATAGAAGCATTTTGAAGTTGAAATTCGCGGATTTCGTGGAAGGTCATGTAGTGAGTTCACCGACGTTTCGCGAGGCGCGCGCGCCGCTATGTTTTTGATAGGCCGTTTTCAATGCTCGTCTTCCATTTTATCAACACCGGTGGAACACCAGATGAAAGGTCCGGTGTTGATTAGGTGGGAAACCGGTGCTAATTAAGTGGACCACTGGTGTGGTAAAAAATGTTGGAAAAAATAATTAAGCGGTGTTACTCCGGTGGGAAGTGGTGTTGCGCTGGTGTTAGAACGGTGTTCAATCAGTGTTAGTTGAGTGGAACACCGGTGTTTTTTTCTATTTGGTGTTGCGCCGGTGGGACGATTTGCCTGAGTATAGGTCACGTTTCAAAATATAGGTCAAATAAATTTGAATTTTTATAAGGCTGATTCACGAACGAAAAAATGTTTAAAATGTTTTTTTTACACCGAAAAAACAATTCTCGAACGGTCAGAAACGGTTTTTCCCATGAATCACCCCATTAGAATCAGGCTGGCGCGGCAACGGGAAGCGCAAGTTTTCCTAAATCAAAGCTCACCAAAGTTCCAAGTACCATCAAATTATTTGGAGATTCTCGGGTTTTTGTCCCAATCAAAGCCAATGAAATTTGAGCAATTCCGTAGAAGACGCTGAAAACACGCTTTTTGAAAATCGTGAACTGAGAGAGGGAGAGAGAGAGAGAGAGAGAGAGAGAGAGAGAGAGAGAGAGAGAGAGAGAGAGAGAGAGAGAGAGAGAGAGAGAGAGAGAGAGAGAGAGAGAGAGAGCGAGAGAGAGAGAGAGAGAGAGAGAGAGAGAGAGAGCGAGAGAGAGAGAGCGAGATAGAGAGAGAGAGAGAGAGAGAGAGAGAGAGAGAGAGAGAGAGAGAGAGAGAGAGAGAGAGAGAGAGGGTGACTCACTATACTCTTTTTTTGACGTATCCGCGTGTAACGAAGTTCATTGTTGGTGGATGGAACCATGGAATTGTGGTGGCCACATTAATGATGACCAGCTGGAAAAATTGTGAATTCTAGGCAAAAAATGGGTCAATCTACAGGTTTCCTGAGTGGACCCTTGTTTCCTGAGTGGACCCTTTCAAATTAGGTCAATAGGTCAATAATAGACTAATAATAAGCTGATCTGTAATTGCCTGTGTAGGTGCATGATGCATTCTTTTTAATATAATTTTTCCACAATTTTCTCAAAATTATTTCTGGGATCTATATACATAATTTTGAAGCTCATACTTTACTCTACTCCATCTTCAAAGGTTTTCAATATAACTGATTGATTTGAACAGGGGTGGGGAAATTGTTATGGCCTCATGTTGTCCTGTCCTTGAAAATGGCCTAAACTTGTCCTGGCTCAAACATGGCTTGAACATGTCCTAAAGCTATATTCCCAACCTGTCCTCGCGTGAACAAAAATTAGCTGAGAATTTTTTTTTTCTGCATAAAAAAAATGCGATCTCCTATTTTTTGGCGTGTTTTTTCTCAACTAAAAAAAGAACCTGTCCAGGACAGAACAGGTAGCCAGGTTTTCACGTGGACCTGTCATGGCTTATGTTCTTACCACCAAAGCCAACATGAGGCCAACGTGAGGCCAGGTTCCCCACCCCTGGATTTGAAGACCGGAAATCTCGTCGAACTTATGGGGTGATTCAGTCGAATTAATCGACGTGAATTTGTCAATTAATTCTCGTCTTTTAGGGTGATTAATTTCACGTTTTTGTCAATTCCTTGCTTTCATTCTTTGGCAAAAAATGCGATTAGTTGCATAAAAATTCGAATTTATTTGACCTATATTTTAAAACGTGACCTATATGGAATTATTAACAAAAAACTCATCTTCTCTCAATTTTCTTTCATTTCGAAATGAATTCAAAAAAACAACCAGAGAATTTAGAACACGTTTCGAAAAAAAGTCAAATAAATTCTATTTCATGTTGCAATTCCTCATTTTTGCATGCAATTAATTGCAAAAAAAATATGGATTTAATCCACAAAAACGTGAAAAACTCACACAAAAATGACTTGGATTTTCTGTCAATTAATTGTTAAAAAAACGAATTGAATCACCCCATTAGGGTTATTAATTTCACTTTTTTGTCAATTCTTCGCTTTCATTTCTTGCAAAAAATGCGATTAATTTCATAAAAAATACAATTTATTTGACCTCCATTTTTAAACGTGATCTGATGAGTTGGAATTTTCAATTCGAAATGCATCATTTTTCCTCAATTTTCTTTCATTTCGATATTGGGACACGTTTCAAAAAAGAGGTCAGATAAATTCTACATCATATTGCAATTGCCCATTTTTGCATGCAATTAATTGCAAAAAAAAGATGGAATAAAATGACAAAAATGTGAAAAAATCGCACAAAACTGACTTGGATTTTCTGTCAATTAGAAACTACCAGAAGGGCTCCGCCGGCTAACGCCGGCTCCTCCTTCTGGATTGTCCCGGCTTCGCGCGTAGTTTTCTTTAGGTGTAAACAGAAACATGTTTCGTCTTAAAATACGACAGAGTTGTAGTTTTTGAAAAGTTGGAAAAGATTCTTTCAACAAAAACCGAAATTTTGATTTTCGTTGAATTCTTTCTCCGCTAGGTATGATTTTTAAAATTTCTGAAGAAAATTGACAAAAATGGTTTAAAAAAATGTGCGAAAAAATTTCTTGATTGAATAAGGTTAATCCAAATTTTCTACGTCTCAAAAACTGAAGCACAACATTTGGCGAAACTGTTCCGAAAATCTAAAATCCAGAGAGAAAAGAAATGCTGCCTTATTTTCTGAGTATAAGCTTCTATGTTCCATCTGACATTTTCAGAGCCGTGGAAGATAAAACCAAAGTACAGTAAACTCCGCCGCCCTCTGATTATTTTCATTGATTCATTCGGTCCGATTTTTTTTTCATACAACGAAAAAACTCGGGCCGATTTTTTTGAAAAAACTCGGCCCGATTTTTTTTGAAAAAACTCGGCCCGATTTATTTTTTTTGAAAAAACTCGGTCCGATTTTTTTCATACAACGAAAAACTCGGGCCGATTTTTTTGAAAAAACTCGGCCCGATTTATTTTGAAAAACTCGGCCCGATTTTTTTTTTGAAAAAACTCGGTCCGATTTTTTTTCATACAACGAAAAAACTCGGGCCGATTTTTTTGAAAAAACTCGGCCCGATTTATTTTGAAAAAAACTCGGCCCGATTTTTTTTTTTTGAAAAAACTCGGTCCGATTTTTTTTCATACAACGAAAAAACTCGGGCCGATTTTTTTGAAAAAACTCGGCCCGATTTATTTTGAAAAAAACTCGGCCCGATTTTTTTTTTGAAAAAACTCGGCCCGATTTTTTTATCCAACGAAAAAAACTCGGGCCGATTTATTTTGAAAAAACTCGGCCCGATTTTTTTTGAAAAAAACTCGGCCCGATTTTTTTTTGAAAAAACTCGGTCCGATTTTTTTTATCCAACGAAAAAACTCGGGCCGATTTTTTTGAAAAAACTCGGCCCGATTTATTTTGAAAAAACTCGGCCCGATTTTTTTTTTGAAAAAACTCGGTCCGATTTTTTATCCAACGAAAAAACTCGGGCCGATTTTTTCATTTGAAAAAAACTCGGGCCGATTTTTTTGAAAAACTCGGCCCGATTTTTTTTCATCCAACGAAAAACCTCGGGCCGATTTTTTTGAAAAAACTCGGGCCGATTTTTTTTGAAAAAACTCGGCCCGATTTATTTTGAAAAAAAATCGGGCCGATTTTTTTGAAAAAACTCGGGCCGATTTTTTTTTGAAAAAACTCGGCCCGATTTTTTTTCATCCAACGAAAAACCTCGGGCCGATTTTTTGAAAAACCTCGGGCCGATTTTTTGAAAAAACTCGGGCCGATTTTTTTTTGAAAAAACTCGGGCCGATAAAACCAAAGTACAGTAAACTCCGCTGCCCTGTGATTATTTTCATTGAAAGAGGAAACGATTGATTTTCTCGGCCATATCGATTCTCTTCCAAGGCTCACAAAATTTTGGATTGATAATAATTGTTTGGGCTTAACTATATTGGGATTCCCAAACACATCAAAACTCACTATCAAACATTCACATTAAAGTATTTGTTTTTCTTCTTGTAAAAGAAATTATCCAATATCTGAAAGTTCGAACAAATTATGAATTTATCCACAGTAATATAACTCACTTTTTTCTATTTATTTTCAAACCGATTAGGAATAGAGTAATAGCGAGAAATGATTAAAAATGTCCCGCTATGACTGAGCAATAAAAAAGATCAGATAAGAGACGTGACCTAGCCATTTTTCTGATTAAAAACGTGCTCATTCTTTTTAGCATGAAAAAAGTTTTGATTTTTTACGTGAAAACTCGCGCACTTTTTGAAAAACCGAATATTAGCGCCTCGATGGGAAAGAATTTGGGATAGAATGGTGAAGGTCCCATCAAAAATGGTCTTGTGGAAATTGAGAAAAGTCGAGCGACACATTTTAAATCCGAAAAATACATTGTGATTTTCAAACATTTGATTCTCCGCGCAGTCACAGACATTTTGAGAAAAAATGAATAGGATGCGCACCGAGCTGCCAACATTTAGAAACTTTTTCTTTTTTTGATCATCAATTTTTATGCACACAGTTTTGAGAACGAACCGCGGACAGACTCTTGCCAAAAAAATTTTCCCAATTAGTAGATAGTAGATTCTTAACATCTTCCGAGTATATTCAATACGAAAAAATAATTAAAAAAGTATTTTTACGAAAAATTGATTGATGACGTCATCCAAAATTAGGAAGCCTTCCTAATTTTGCCACGAGTCATTTTTCGATAAAAAACTCGAAATTTTTAATAAATTTGTTTGTAATTCTTATTCTTAACATCTTCCGAGTATATTCAATACGAAAAAATAATTTAAAAAGTTTTTTTTTTGAAAAATTGATTGATGACGTCATCCATGGCAAAATTAGGAAGCCTTCCTGATTTTGCCACGAGTCATTTTTCAATGAAAAAACTGGAATTTTTTAATAAGTTTGTTTGTAATTCTTATTCTTAAAGGGTTGGTGCTCCGCCAGGGAATTTTGCTTGGTTTAGATAGGAATAAGGTGCTCCTGGAAGGTTCCAGTTTTAGAAAAAATTATAGTATCAATTCAGCCCATGTTTTTCCTCAAAAACACAAGCGAGTTAAAACCTACGAAATAAAGCATGTAAATGCGCTCTAGCGCACAACTTGTTTTTGAATTTTCGTGTGTGTGTTTGCACACAACTTTGAAAACAACACTGTGACGCCTTTTTGCAGACGATTTTTTCACCAGGAAAGCACCAACCCTTTAACATCTTCCGAGTACATTAAAAACGAAAAAATTATTTAAAAAGGTTTTTTTTTTGAAAAATTGATCGATGACGTCATCCATGGCAAAATTAGGAAGCCTTCCTGATTTTGCCACGAGTCATTTTTCAATGAAAAAACTGGAATTTTTCAATAAATTTGATTGTAATTCTTGTGTTCACCATCTTTCGAGTACATTAAAAACGAAAAAATTATTTAAAAAGGTTTTTTTTTTGAAAAATTGATCGATGACGTCATCCATGGCAAAATTAGGAAGCCTTCCTGATTTTGCCACGAGTCATTTTTCAATGAAAAAACTGGAATTTTTTAATAAATTTGATTGTAATTCTTGTGTTCACCATCTTCCGAGTACATTCAATACGAAAAAATAATTAAAAAAGTATTGAGCAATAAAAAAGATCAGATAAGAGACGTGACCTAGCCATTTTTCTGATTAAAAACGTGCTCATTCTTTTTAGCATGAAAAAAGTTTTGATTTTTTACGTGAAAACTCGCGCACTTTTTGAAAAACCGAATATTAGCGCCTCGATGGGAAAGAATTTGGGATAGAATGGTGAAGGTCCCATCAAAAATGGTCTTGTGGAAATTGAGAAAAGTCGAGCGACACATTTTAAATCCGAAAAATACATTGTGATTTTCAAACATTTGATTCTCCGCGCAGTCACAGACATTTTGAGAAAAAATGAATAGGAAGCGCACCGAGCTGCCAACATTTAGAAACTTTTTCTTTTTTTGATCATCAATTTTTATGCACACAGTTTTGAGAACGGGATCCGGACACACTATTGCCAAAAAAATTTTCGCCCTCTCATTAAAATCCCGTAAGGTGAAATTTATTTAGAAATGTTCATTTCTCCCGGTCACGTGAAATTCTGATAAATATATATTTATCAAAAATGCTTCATTTCTTACCTACACGTGTGGTGTAGGCGGGGAGAGCGATGCCTTCCAATCAGGCAACCCGCCTTCTTTTGTGGGTTCGAGCCCCACTCGGAAAAAATTTTTCCCTATATCGAGTAATGCAGATTTTCGGAAATTTTGTTCCTTTCTCCCCAAAATTGCGAAAATTCGACATTCCAACGCGGCAAAAAAGAAAAAAGAAGAAGGAATAAAAAGAGCTCAAAAATAATGAGAAAATCAAGAAAATATCCTGCGTGACCCATGAACGAAAAAGCCTGATTCTTCAGATGCTATTGGCATTGTTCAAGAATTCCTAATTCCTAACGGGCCAAGAATATTATTCAA